CCCCCCATCTCCTTTGCGTGGGATGATCTCAGTGGATTTGCATCTTTTATAGCGACGTCGCGCTTTTCATTGTCATTAGGGAATCCTTTGCGGCGGAACGATCTGGGCCCATACCCACCTGTCATAGTGACATGCAGCATACCAGAGCCGTTAGGCATATCCCTTCTTGCTTTTTTTTGTTCGGCTGGACTTGTCGCTGACAATGTATTCTTGATTCCCTGATCTGTATTGTCTTTCAAGAAAGCGTCCATCATGCTTGACAAGTTCGGTTCGTTTCATCGCTTTTGCTTATTTTCCGCTGTTCACGTTGTTCTCTAATCCCTGCTGTATTCCGCTTCCTGCCGTGTGCACCCGCGGTTGTGTCTCTACCTCTGTTGCGGATGCACTGTGAGTTAGGCCTGGTGTTGTCTACATTTGAGCGTGTCGGAAGGCGCTTTGTTTATGCGATACGGAATCGGAGCTATTATATTTCTGGGATCGTCAAATTCTGAACGGCTGACCTTCCGCCTGCGGTAGCGGGGAGCGGTATACTAGGAGCCCACCACGGCCCAGGTGACGCCCAGACGCGGAATACGCTGTCATAGTCACAGAATCAAATGCGTTTCCGACGAGGTGCTCATGTGCGTCACATCATCCGCAACTGCAGCGTCCTACGGAGATTAAGCCGTAGGATTCTCGCTACTTGCATGCCTCGCTCCTAAAATATAAATGTCGGACCATACGCAAAAGCTTCCTCATTTTAACGTTCACAGTAGATGGGGAAAAACTTGCTATCCGATATTTTTTTGTTATTTTGTTTTCTTTTGTATCGTGCGCACCGGTAACGCATTGCAGAAGCTAGCTGTCACGTAACTCGACGTGCATCTTGGCGGTGAAGGGAAACGCCATAATGACTTCTTCTGGAGCTATTGCTCTATCGGGGCCAGCTATACTTGCAATCAAATCGTCGCAATGTATAGTTTTGGCTTCTGTCGTGATTCAAACCTCAAGTAGGGGTATTCAACTGATGTTCGCCGCTCAACGCAGAGGCGTTCAATGTGGTTTCCCCAAAAAAAAAGTAGACATTTTCATGTGGAAATAAAGGGTTGAGGATTAACGGTGCTGCCAATTGTTGGAAGAAAACAACAAACAGTGCCTAGCGAAGACGATCAAGAAAAGAAGTACAAGCTAATCGGGGAGGCCTTTCGTCGATGGCTGCACGAATGGCGTGTGTACGACGGGATGGTGGCGGAATCCCCTCTTTTCCAACATATCAATGGTCCGTACGACTGAATGTTGCGTGGCGCTAACAGAAACAGTGTCGATTCGTGCGCCACGTATGTTTGCTACTTTTCTTTAGGACCGACGCCTTTTGAGAACGAGCTGCATCGCGGCGTAACGCACATGGCAAAAATGATGTTTCCTTGATGAATTTTTCAAAACGACTTTCATTTACCACCTGATTGTTTGCGATGGGAAACATCGAGGAGAAATGACCGAATGCATGCCTTTCTCAATAATTACGTCAAATACCGCACCAATGGTGCTGGACACAGGGATGACGCTAATATTTACGAATACAGGGCCATGAGGTGCCTCCCGAATCCGAGGAACCATAAGAACGCATACCTCGGATGTTGTGTAATACGGGCCGTCTTTGCGCTGTACCCGGGCCTGTTTCCTGAAGGGATTTCGGCAATCATCTATGCGGACTAGAAATGTCGCCAGCATGAACAGCAGATCAGATTTGTAGAAAAGACGAAATCACGCTGCAGATATGATGAGGCTTCAGTATTCCGCGCGACTATTCAGAAGCATCGCTAACGCTTGGGGCTCGTCAACCCAAGTGAAAAATTCTCAGATGTCAGAGAAAACGAAGAGAGATTTTATCACCCCATTCTGCACTACTTCATGATTTTGCGCAGAGAACTCGAAGGCATGGCCGAAATGGAGCTGAGGAAAAAATGACCGTCGGAGAAACGACGTTGAATTGCTTCTCTTGATGCGCTTTATTGCCGTTTGGTGATGCGAGTTCAAGTCATATTTTGTGAGTATCGACTCCAGAGTCCTTAACGCCTTCATGAAAGAGATCTCGCCAGAGCTCGATGTAAGCAACAAAGATGTCACCGACGACGACCGGGACACCTAATGGAAGAATATCTTCGATTTTAAGCGTCTCAAACTGGCCAAAACATGGTTCTCACTTGGACAATCGGTTACAATGATGGCGACATATGTGTACACCATCCGCGTTTGCAGGCAGGTCGTCCTATCCCGTTTTCGGTATCCCCTTGTCGAAGCACGAGAAGGAGAAGGCGGGCCATGGGACTTATAATATCCACGAAAACGACTTTTTCGTCGGCCTTAATGCCTGGAACACGAATATCATAACCATCGTAGTACCCAAGCATGGGGATGTTGACACTGACGGCAACTTACGTCAGAAAGGCATGCATCTTTTTACGTTCTCGAAAGCGAGATACTACGGAGAAGCGGGAATCTTGAATACGATGATGAATTCGAGACATGGAGTGCAGGATGAAATAGCATCGGAAAGCTACGATCGAGGTGACGAGCCGCAGAGCCGGGTTTGAAGCTATTCGGAAATTTATGGTATGTTCGCGTTGCTCATTAGGTGGAACTGTGGAAATGTATCCAAATCCCCGGTGGGCTCGTTTGCGTGTGAGGCTGTACTGTGGTAGGCAGTGGGCGTTCACGAATTTTCTCGAAGAGTTCAGCACCTAGAAGAAGAACGACTGTCAGAGGCCCGTAGTAGCATACGGAGCATGGAGATGGGTTCCGAAAAAAAAAGGGACTACGCCAGCCCCAACGACAAGAACGTACAATGAGTGTGCACGGCGTTTCGTGACGATACCTTTACGTGTGTCTCGAAGGTCCATACACCCCACGAGTTTTCCATCTCGACTCCTGCGGGTCGAGATAGGACACTGCCTGCGGATTCCGGAAGATATAGCAAAGTATGGACCGCTGACGGAAGAGCAAATGGAAAAGAGGGCGAAAGTCCGAGGCCTACTTGCATTAGTTTGTTCAATGAATGATGACAAGAAACGGATGGAGTTTGTGAACAGAGATTTTACGCCGCTATCAATATAAGGAGATGTGCGGTGCTGGAGAACAGAAATGCAGAGTGGACAAGAAGGATTTTTTTCCCATAATGAGTCAAGGCTAGCATATATGGAACGAAATTGGAAGCTAGAGTGGGTCGCTGGCCAAAAAAGACCGGGAGGTGTCTGCACCTCGCCAGCGAACAATTTGTTTCGGTGGCTTTAGCCACTTCTGTACTGCCGACTGCAGCCTCGTTTAACTTTTAAGGTGTTCGGAAAATCGCACCGTGGGACTCGAGCTCACGATATTTTTTGGAGCGTTCAGGATAATCTCCTTGGTGCTTAGCGTTTCTGTTTTGTCTTTAAAGTTGCGTGCAGCTGTTATTGTGAATTCAAGTTTGCAACTTGCTCGTGAATTCAAGGACAAGCGTGTTGATTTTGACCGGTTATGGGAGCGGAGCTCAACCAATTCACCAACCACGTTCAAAACAAAAGCGTTGTTGAACTCGACGCACTGATTATTGGCGCTGGTGTCGCAGGCCTGTACCAGCTACACAAGCTTCGGTCGGCTGGATTGAATGCGCTTGCTGTGGACACTGCGGAAGACGTTGGGGGTACCTGGTACTGGAACTGCTACCCCGGCGCCAAGTTTGATTCTGAATGCTATGTATATCAATACTTGTTTGATGAGAAATTGTACAAAGACTGGTCCTGGAGTGAGCGTTTCCCGGGCCAGCCCGAAATTGAGCGTTGGCTGCACTACGTTACCGACCGCCTAGGGCTGCGACCCTACTTGCGCTTCTGCACGACAGTCACTGCGGCCGAATACGATGAAAAGCGTGGGCGATGGATCATCAAGACGGATCGAGGACAAACCTACGATGCACGGTTCTTAATTGGCTGTTGTGGTATGCTATCGGCCCCGTTAGAGAACCGATTCCCTGGTCAGGAACGATTCCGTGGACGCATCTTCCACACCGCTCGTTGGCCCCGTGAGCCAATTGACCTCAATGGCAAACGCGTTGGCGTTGTCGGTGTCGGTGCGACTGGAATCCAAGTTATCCAGACTATTGCAGACAAGGTCGGTCAGCTGAAGGTTTTTGTGAGAACGCCGCAGTACGTTGTGCCGATGAAGAATCCCAAGTACAATCCTGATGACGTCAATTCGTACAAGAAACGCTTCGAGGAGCTGCGCGAACTCTTGCCAACGACAGCCAGTGGATTCGAATACGTGATCAAGCATCGCTGGGCGGATCTGACACCCGAGCAGCGACTTGCGGTGCTCGAGGAGACCTACAACGACGGTTCACTACGTGCGTGGCTCGGTGGTTTCGACGAGATTTTCACGGACCCGCAGATCAGTGAAGAGGTGTCGGAGTTTGTACGCGAAAAGATGCGTGCAAGACTTAAGGACCCAAAACTTATCGAGATTTTGGTGCCAACAGATTACGGGTTCGGGTCGCGCCGAGTCCCTCTGGAATCTGGTTACCTCGAGGTCTATCACCGCGACAACGTCGAAGCGATCTGTGTGCGAAACAATCCGATTGTGGAGGTTGTTCCTGAAGGGATCCGCCTCGCTGATGGAACCGTACATGAACTCGATATCATCATTCTCGCAACTGGTTTCGATGCGAGCTCCGGAGCCTTTATACGCATCGATATTCGCGGACGAGACGGCCGCAGCCTCAAGGAGGAATGGAGTCGGGATATCTGCAGTGCGCTTGGTTTGATGGTGCACGGCTATCCGAACATGTTCCTAACAGGAGCGCCGCTCTCGCCTTCGGCAGCTTTGTGCAACATGACAACGTGTTTACAGCAGCAGGTCGAGTGGATCACTGACTGTATCCAGTATATACAGGCGAAGGGGCATAACGTTATTGAGCCGACAGCCTCATTCCAGGAGGCCTGGGTGCGGCACCACGATGACCTGGCAAACAGCACGCTCTTCTCGAAGACGAACTCGTGGTACACCGGCACCAACGTTGAAGGCAAGCCTCGTCGAATGCTCTCCTACACAGGTGGTGTCGGAAAGTATCGCCAGAAATGTGCAGAAGTTGCAGCTGGTGGGTACGAAGGCTTCGCTGTAGCCTAGCGCGGTGGATGCATACATGGGACTCGATGTTCTCTGGGCACGCTATCGTGAAAACGGTCTCTGGGATGCAAACGTACGTTCGCACTGAATGACTGGACCGTATGGGATGCTAACTATACTCATGCCAACATAAATTGGAGCAAATTTTTCAACTAGAGCTCACACGCTCATTTTTGACTGCCTTCGCACTTGTCATCGAAGCCAGCCATTGCGGGTGTGTTATTTGGCTTGTTCTCTTTCCTCGCTCTTATTCCTGGCTTTACGTATGCCGGCCACGCGCATCACTGTGACTCTGTTGGAAGCGGTCAGTGGATGTTGATGGCAATGCTCAAGTCTCGATTTGGCGGCACCCGGCTTTTTCCCCGCTATTTCACACACATACCGAGGTTTAAATCAAGGCACTGAATACAACTTTTATTCTTGTTGTGTACAGCCTCTATGTGCCGTTCGTAGCGGTAGCTCTTGACTGTAGTCAGGTTTTTTATACATCTTCCAAAACTTCCTTCTCCTACTGCTCTTCCAAGCGACGCCCTTTCGCGCGTGAATGCTCACTTTATCGCTCAGTACATACTATTGACAGGTACAGAAATCGGTGCTCCAAAAGGAATTTTGTTTCCGCGGCCGGTGCTGCATCCTACGATCGTGGTCTTCTTTTGAATGATCCCATTCGCTTGTACGCTGTCCGATGCACAAAAAAAGCTCGCGGTCCCATTACACAGAGAATTCATGGGACGCGATATTGGCCGCGATGAAACAAGTACCGGAAGGAGAACACGTGCTTGTGAACAAGTCGATATGTTTCGATTTTGTACGCTCCCTTGGTGTGCCAAAGTGGTGATCGCTCCATTGTATGCGATAGCTACATTAACTCACCGCAGGACCGACGACTCTTTCCCATACAGCCTGAAGATACTGGAGTCTCTCGGGGAGAACTCTGCGAGAGGCAACTTGCAGCCACTGATGAGTGCCGTTTTAATCGATATCATTAAAAAGAGCAGGATTGGTCTTTCAACCGAAATCTTTTTTTGACATGACAGTTTCAATGATCTTCAGTGTGAGCTCGTAGGGAAATCGGCAAGGTCCATCATGAGGCACTATTCGTCGTCCATCCACCGGCGCGTATTGCTGCGCCCAGAAATCTCCTTTGAAGAGAAAGATTGAAAAATTGAAGGACGTATAACAGCAGTATGTTGCAGATGCGAAAAGGAGAGGCATGGAGGAATGCACTTCTGAATAAAAGAATGATACCGGTGATTTTCCGAGCCATATTTCGAAGGTGTCGCAAATCATCTGGATTTTGTGAGGGAACGAATTCGAGCAGTATCGAGCTAATGGAGCAACTCCGAATCGACGAGCAAGAATCCTAAATGCACGGCTGGCCGCTAAAGTACTTGTTGCAGCACTTCGAGTGCCAAGGCTACGCATCCAAGAAAGATCGGAAAATAGCAAAGTACGCACATAGCAACCCGTTCGATAATCCATTTTCATGCAAAACTTTTCTGGCTCGGAGATGCTTCCTGCTTTCGCTTACAGAGCGTATCCTGTGAAAAGTCAAAATCTGGAATGCCGGCGATAGCGTTTCAGTGTTTTCTGTACGTTTCTAGGGTAACACGAACATTCCATAAAGAAGCTCTCGTTTAAGAGAGCCCGGATCGCGACTTCCGAACGGGAAGAGCGGGTGAACCTCGAGCGCGCGAACTACGTAGTACCGGTAATGAGGTGCGGTTTAATCCAGTTGCCTGGTTCCCTATGTACACGGCGTCGCCCTAGCCTTCGTTCGGGCTTCACATACCAGGTAGCGTACGCATTTCCTCCATGCCAATCAGCGATAAGCCGGTATCTACGATTCTACAGAACGACGATCGACCTATGCACTCCACACGATACCATTGAGTAATGTGCACGGCCTCGTGCGTCCGCATGGATGGCAGCCTACCCCATTCCGTGGTGCACAAGCGCGCTGGAGCTCAGAATCCTTGCCCACCATGCAGAGATCCTTGCTCATCAGCAAAGAGCTCTGGAATCTAGCGGCATGTTTTGGTCCAGGCTTGCCAACTTCTCCTGGCAATGAAGACCGCCTCTTCGCCGAGGTGCGCTACCGCACGGCCCCAGCATCGTACACAGAGAGATCATCTGCGACGCTGCAGCGTGTGTTTGCTCCTTCTGACACCACTGGCACCAGCATCTGACTACCAGAAATTCAGTCTCAATGGACCTAATTGGCGATACATCAAACCGGAATCCGCTGTCGCGCTCTCGTATACTGTGATGGACACAGCTCTCAGCAGAATTCTTGGCGGTGGCCCTTTTAAGCTCTTTATCGATAACGCCTGCGGCGCAATCGCTGCAACCATCCTTGCGCGAGGGGAATATCGACAAGCCGTCCCTTCGGATCCAGATAGAGTCGAGGTCCAAAGAGCACGCCAAAGACTGCTCCGCCGAGAAGGCCCCCCAGGTGACCAAAATTGTCGATACGACTCGCTGGAGCAAGGCCCTGTCCAAGGTTCAACAATGTCACCCACGCAATGTTGCGCAGGACGCGATGGCTGTGCTCTCGTCCAAACCAGTCCGTATTCGATACATAGAAGGCTGCCATCGCACCTATTAAGCCGAATATGGCACTGCTTGCGCCAACAGATGGTGCTGTGTTGAAGAAAAACGAGAACAAGTTGCCTGTGAGCCCGCTGAGCAAGTACAGCGCTGCATAACGTCTGTGCCCATAAGTTGCCTCGATTTGCGGTCCGAGACTTTTGAGTGAAGACAGGTTCACGATGAGGTGCAAGGTGTTTCCGTGCAGAAAGAGTGGTGTAAAGAGGCGATACCATTCTCCGGTGCGAATCGCAGCATTCACTTTGGCGCCAGCCATGACATATGCGGGACCGGCCCACAGCTGCAGAAGAAAGGACAGAATCGTGATTGCAGCGAGCCAGTCGGTAACCTTCGGATGTTCGTGCAGACGATACGGTCGACCAGGGTATTGAGAGCGCCTCAGAGCATTGCGTCGTGCTCTCAGCGGGAGACCTGATGGGTCGGCTCTGCTCACGAGAGCGCGTAGTGACTCTAGTCCGCTGACATAAACGCGCACTTGGGCTAGACTGCGCGATAAATGCCCCCAACCTCCGAAGTCCGGCTCTGGTGGAGGCTCAGCCAGGCAGGTCCAGCAGCTGCCGGGCCGTCGCGGCGGCGGCTTAGAGCCGCTCTGGAGCTCACTTGCACGCCACAGCGGCGACTGGTCTACGACTAGCCTGCTGTCGACGCTATCGCTGCTCCTCTCGACGCTGTGCGCGAGCCGTCTTCCTTGTCGGACACGCAAACATGTGCTTTCTGCAGAGGAAGCATGCTCAGCCGACGTTCTGGCACCCTGCACGAAAGCAGCTATAACGCTCTGCTCCCGTTGCTGTTGCGGAGCGTGCACTTTCCAAGAGCGTTGCCCGCGAACAAACATCCCCACGTGGTAGGCTCCCAAATGGAGTTCACTAGGGCACTCTAGAAACTTTATACCACATTTTGAGCGCGTAATCGTCTTTCCCCCAGAGTACGTACCCGAATGTAGACATCCTGTTGATGGAAAGGAGAAAGTAACTGGTAGCCTCGTTTGGCTGCAGCCGCCGAGTACGTCGCACGTCCTCCGCGACTTGACGAACGGTAACCGCGTTGCATCGGCACCATATACGCGTCCTTCCGCATCATTCATCCAATGTGCAAAAGCGGGAGTGCCAGGCAGTAGCCACCAGCACACTCCAGGCCTCAAAAGCGCGTCGTGCTCGGTGAGCGAACCGGGGAGGTCTGCCAGGCATGGGTCACGGCGCGCTCGGTGCCTTTGTTGAAGCGAAACGTGATCCTGATGAATAGCGTGCTGTTTAGCTATAAAGGTTGGATTTCCGTTCGGGTCGTAGCAAAGTACAGTTACTCAGTTCATTTGTGTTTTTAAACCTCAAACAAGTGTATTCATGTGTTTGTTCGCAGTATATAACAGAAGCGTTCAAAGAGCGTTCTTTTTCGAAAAAACTAATAAAAGAAAAGTTATGAAAAAACAAGTCGACGATCCTGGAGGCCCACTGTCGCCGGCTGCTAGAAAAAAACAAAAAACAGTGCCGAGTCCAGAAGAAAAGGAAGAGAAGAAGAACCGAAAGGGGGAGGCCCTACGTCGAAGGCGGCAAGAAAGACGCCTGTACAACGAGATGGTGGTGAAAACCTTCCTTCTTGGACATATCAAGGATCCCTACGGGGAAAAGTTGCGAGACGCTATCAAAAACGTGTTGGCTCGTACTCCAAGATTATTGTCAAGTCGTCGTCAGGATTGATGCATTCAGCGAGAGAGATGTATCGCGACGTGACGGACATCAAAACAGTCGAGGTCGCGGACGAGTTTTTCAACAGGAGCTTTATCCGCCACCTGGTGCTGGGCGCAGGGGAGAAGTCAAGGAGAAATGAGCACATGAACGCCCTCCACTGGAATTACGCGAATTCCGCTTTGACGGTACTCGATACATGGGTGACTGGGGTATTTGCTTCTATGGGGCCATGAAATGCCTCACAAATCCGAAGAACCATTCGACTATGAACCGTGAACGTTTCATGATACGCCCCGTGTTTGCACTCACCCTGGTATCTCTGGCAAAGGGATATGGGCGATTTTCAATGGCATCACGAACGATCGCAAGCATGAAGATGAGATCGACTTTGTCGACAAGAAGGCGTCACGCAGGAGCACAAATGAGGATTCCGTCATCCGTGCGGCTATTAAAGAGCATCTTGCAGTCTTGGGGCTGGCGAATCCAATAGACAAGGTATCAGAGTTGAAAAAGGTAAGGAAAGACACTACCGCCTCATTCTGCGCTATTTCGTGTTCCTGGACCGAGAACTCGAATGCAAAGCGGAGATATAGCCGAGTGAGGAAAAAGTGATGAATGGGAGAGTCGGAAGGCTGTCCTAATGGGGAAGCGCTTCAACGTGGTTCCAATCTGCAACATCCGGTCACATTTTGTGAGCATCGATTCCGGCGTCCTTTACGGCATCTTGAAGGAGATCTGTCCGGAGTTTGATGTATGGAAGACAGAGTTCACCGGTGACAAGCGGGAGACGTACTGGAAGAACGTCTTCGATTTCAAACGTCTCAAAGTGAGCAAACAAAAGATATCCACTGGGTTGATCAAAACCGATGGGGTATCCAAGTGTGTACACTACTGGCGGTTGAAGACAGATTGTCCTGGTCCGTCTTCGATATTGCCCTCGGCGAAGCATGAAGAAAACAAGGTGGCGGATCCTGCCACACAGAAAGTGCAGGATGACGACCTTGTCTTTGACGCGGTGAAAAAGGAAGAAAAGAAGGAGGCGGATCCTGCGATGCAGAAAGTGCAGGATAACGACTTTGTCGTTGGCGCGGACCCTGGGAATACGAATATCATTACCATCGCAGCACCGAAGCGTGCGGAAAATGGTACTGATGGTAACTTGCGTCAGAAAGACATGCGTCTGTTGAGGCTCTCGGGAGCGAGACACTATCGAGAGTCCTGTATAATGAATGCGAGGAAGAAAATCGAGTCTTGGAATTCAGGAATGAAGGATCACCTTGGGGCTTTGAGCGAGGTGACCAGCCGAGGAGCCGACTTTGAAGCTTTTCGGAAATTCATGGAAGTTCGTGTTGCCCATTGGAATGCGCCGTGGGAGGAGTATACAAAGCCTCGGTGGGCTCATTTGCGAATGAATCTTTGTTGTGGGAAGCAGCGTGCATTCGCCAATTTTTTCAATCAGCTGAGCGCCGCGAATAGGGATGAGGGTCAGAGGCTCGTAGTAGCGTACGGACCAGGGCGATGGATGACCTAAAAAGGGACTACGCCAGCTCCAACGACAAGAACGTACAAGGCGTGCGCAAGGCGTTTTGTTACGATACCGACAGATGAGTTTCGAACGTCCTATACACACCATGAACTGGGTTGTACACTTCAGAGAGACTGGAGATGGAAAAGTGCCAGACGAGTCCTGAAGATATACAAAAGTACGGAGCGCTGACGGAAGAGCAAATGGAAGGGAGAGCGAAAGTTCGATGGCTACTTGCACTAGTGAGTACAACCAGTGATGGCACGAAACATATGGAGTTTGTGAACAGAGACTTTAATGCCGCTATCAATATAAGGAAATGTGCGGTGCTGGAGACGAGACCTCCAGAGTAGACAAGAGTGAACTTTATTGGACAATCACTCAAAATGGAACTATATGAGAAAACATTGGAATCAGTGGTGGGTGGCCGGTCCGTAAAGACGGGGAGGCGTCTGCACCTCAGCTGAAGACTTCTTGTCCAGAGCGGGCTTCTCGCCACTACTGTACACCGCTGGCGTCGTTCGACTTTTGGAAAGTGTTCGGTGTCGGCGATTATGGGTTGTTCCCGGACCCGCACGTTCCCACAGCTGGGGCTCGACGCGCGTGTGGTGGAAGCCGTTCTACGCAAACTGCGCTGGCGTACACCAGCACCCGTACAGGAAGCCGTGATTCCCGCCGTGCTTTCCGGGAAAGACGTTCTAGTGAATGCTCCCACTGGATCGGGTAAAACTGGGGCCTATGCACTGCCATTGGTTCACCTACTGTTGCAGATCTACGACGAGGAGAACGCGAGAGGCGCCTGGTGCGAAAGCACTCGCGCGATCGTGCTGGTGCCCAGCCAAGATCTGGCGCTGCAACTTGGTCGAACTTTTGTGTCACTAACGGAAAACCTGCCGCTGCACTGCTGTGTGGTAACCGGAGCCTTCAGCAACAAGGCCCTAATCGATACCTGGACGGATGCGAGTGTCTGCGTAGGAACGCCAGCTGGACTTGCGCAATCCCTAACCACAGAGCGGGCAAGGAATGTCGTGCTGCTGGTAATCGATGAAGCTGACCTCGTCTTGTCGTTTGCGTCGAGCGCCACTCAAGTCCACGACGTTGTAAGAAAAATACCGACAAATGCTCAAGGTGTGTTGCTAAGCGCCACACTGGACGAGGAGGTAGAAGCGCTGCGTGCTTTGGCACTGCATCAACCAGAAGCCTGTCGCATAGAGGCCAGCTGGGATGCAGACCCCTCTGGCAACAAAAGCAATGTACAGTACTGGGTCAGTCGATTATCTGGTCTGGATGAACGCTTCGCATGGCTCTACGTGGTTCTTCGATTACGCATTCTGCGGGATCGCATTCTCGTGTTCGTAGACAGCGTGCTTGAGGCCTATCGCGTGAAGCTCTTTCTGGATCGCTTTGGGATCCGATGCGCGGTGCTGAATGCAGACTTGCCGGTCACGTCGCGCCAGCATTGCCTTCAGCAGTTCGACGCTGGTATATTCGACATTCTCGTAACATCGGATGAAGCGACAACGTTGAAATCGACTGGCTACTCAGCGTCGCGTGGTCTTGATTTTCGATCGGTGGATGTGGTGATCCACTTTACCGCGCCCAAGAATATCGAAGTTTTCTTGCATCGCTCTGGACGAACCGGAAGAGCGGGCCGTGCGGGCAAAGTGGTCACGCTCGTAACCAACGACGATGAATCTCAGCGAATAGAACGATTTTTTACGGAGCATGCCCGGTTGTCGATGCAAGGGCAGCCCCGCCTTTTGGCAGTTCGAAAGGAAACGATGGAAACATTTCGTTACCGAGTCGAAGATGCACTCTGTGCCTGCACAGACCTGGCTGTACGGGAAGCACGCGTCCAGGCTCTTCGCGATGAGATGCTTCGCTCGCGGGCTTTCCGGGATGCTCTGCTGGCTGCCCGCCAAGGCGATCGGGTGGATTTGGAAGTGCTCAGCCATGATCGTCCGCTGGTGCGGAAGCGGCTGGCGGCACATCTGGGGCACATTCCCGATTATATGCTGAAAGATGATGGATTATGGCAGGTGCTGGCTCCCGAAATGGCGAATGCTCAGTCCGCGACGGATGACCTGAGACCAGCAGGTCCAGAAGAGTTGAATAAGCCAGTCGAAAAGCGTCCCAAGCGGAAGCGTATCGCCAGGAATTTCCGCAGTGGACCGCGGAAGCGCGCGGAACCCCTAAAGAGACTGCGTCTGTGACAGGGGATGCCTCAAATTTTAAACGGGCTGGGTCACGAAGCAGAGAGTTTCTGTCGAGTCTGCATCACTGCGTCTAATGCTGAATCGAGGCCTCGCATCTCGAATGCAGTTTGTGCACTCTCGTATGATGCAATTCATCGGAATGGAACAGCGGAAAGCGACCTCGGCGGATGGAGAGCACTGGATCCCTCAACCGCATGGTTCTTCTGGTACGCAGATGTCTACACCTGGGCTGCTGCGCAAAGGATATGCCGAGGCCCACGTAACTCACCAGCGTTTCTTGCTATTTTGACGAGTCGTTTTGGATTTCTCTTGGAGTCCGGAGTGCCTGTTCGGAACTTGGGCGCTGGCAAGCATACCTCGTCGAGTGATCGCCTGGGGCCAGGTGGGTTTGCGATCCCTGCAAGGGCAAAAAAGAATCTATTGGAAAATCTAGAACGCACAATAGGCATCATTATTCGTATCGCGCCACACCCGTCAAACATGACAAGGGAACCCTGTACCACTCGCTCTGTTCCTGTCTAGACATTTTCCAGAATGTTCAGTGGATACCCAGCGCCGGCACCCGAGGTCCAGCACGAGACGATGACGGGCTCGTACGTAGTTTCCAGGCGCTGGCACGTCTTTTCGGAGTCGCAGGTTCGACACTTTGCCGCTTGAATTTGTTACGTCATCGAAATCACGATCATTTGCGATGCCTTCGCTCATGTGTCCGCAGCGTAACCGATATCTTGATCCATTTTCAGGTGCGAGCCTGTGTGCATCCCCACACCTCACGTATAGATCTTGAAATCGCGCATTCTTTAGCATATCGAGCTCGCTGTTTCGAAACAAGTCGTGAGCGGAGCAATTCGCGGAACAGCGCTGACCACGCAGAATCCGACTTACACGATTTCATCACGAGCTCATGCCAAAAGTTCACTGAACTTGTCAAATAATCGACTCCGTCCGAAAGTCAAATCATTCCCTCTATATGAGTACCAACTGACCCGTATTCGACAGCCCTATGATGTCTCCCACGGGATATGCTCCAAAAGAATTCCGTCTCTTCTGTTTCTGTGGTAAAGCGTCTCGGACTCGGACCGGAGTCATCGCTGCGATTATCTCCGCTGCAGTGTGCGTCACCGCTTTGCACAAGGACGCGTAGACGGATCGAAATTTCCCGACCTGTTCTCCAGTCCGGGTCTTCCTTCCGATACTTCATGCATCATAGAAAACTTCTTGCTCGACAAACCCTCGTTCGAATGGAACAGCATGCGCTTGCGCTTGCAGTGTACCGCGTACTCGCAGACGGCATCACCCAGAGCAAGCTCGTGATCGCTGAGTACCGCTCCTGGGGCGAAAACGGAGGAGAGCCTTGAGGCTGGGCTTATGGTTCCCTCACGGCATATGCACCCATCGATGAAGCAAACAGTCAGAGACTTCAACGCGGCACTCGGAGGATTTGGCGTCCTGGACAGCCATGAACACCGCAAAACAGTCAGGTGTCACCGCTGCGCAGTGTGCACTGAGTCTGTCTATCAAGAAGATGAAAGTTGCATTCGATGTATATTTTTCAACGACCGTTTTTACGAGGAAACCATCGACAATAACAGGAAACAGTGAAATCGAGACTTCAATGCTGCCATCTACATCCTTCAACTGCTGACTACAGTATGGAGTAGACAGGATAGACCAGAGTACGGATAGCAGGTGATAAGAGGGAGGTAAAGGAAGCAGCCGTAAAAAACCCGCAAATGCCAGTGTCCACGACAATAGGAAAAGGTCCAAACCTGAGCTTATACGCTCGTCTTCGTCATGTGGACCTGTTGCACCCGATTCTGTCATGGATGGATATCCCGCGTGGCAACCAGGCGCTAGCCAAAACGACACATCTTCGCAGGTTAGCCACTACGTCGCTCATTTGCCAGCACTCTGCTATCCGCTCTGCGGACGTTTGGTGCGTTCGCCACGACGAACCGGACAGGAAAGCAAGGCCGCAGAAACAGCCACTGCGGCCGTTCTCCTCTTGTGGACTTCAAGACTTTACTAGTATAAAGACGCACGAGTCGCCTCTGGAAGGCTCAGCGCGTGCGCTCCCGTCGCACTCGCCGCAGACGGTGCACGGGCAGTATCAGGTGCGGACTGTTCAACCAGGACAACGTTTGTAGTGTGGAAACAGTTGGAAACAGTTGACCTTGCGGACGGCATGCAGCGTGATGAGGAAGCAGCGGAAGCCCCCGAGCGTCGCAGCGCAACGCTGCGGAAACGCTTTGCTTTCCTATGGGCGCGTTGGCGACACTTGTGCCAAGGCCTCAGCCGTTCACTACTACAGCCCAGTCGACACTGGGACCTCTGCACGTGTCGAGACGCTCTGGTAGTGCTCCTCGCGTCCAGCCTCTTGCTGGCTCTGTGGTTTTACTGCCTTGTCGTACTATCGTACCAGGTGCTCACCGCGGGCTGCATGTGCTGCGGACTCGTCTTGGCGTTGCTGGAGCGGCTTCAACTCTGTGCCTCCGGCGCAATCAACAAAGGCGACCGTGACATCTTCGATCCAAAGTGCACCCGAAACTTTGAACGCTGGTCCGCTATGGTGCATGCGGAAGAAACACGCCAAGCTGGATCTGTCGCTCGACTTGAGCACAGCATTCGCGGAATACCTGCTGAAACTCCATGATGCTACGTTCAGGCCCTTTGCGCCAAAGCTCATGAAACAAAATGAAAGTGTCACAGTACAGGTCATTAATCTTACGGAGGATAGTATCTGAGCTTTCACCAATCCACGCTGTCATGAGCGCACCGTGTTGCACAAGTCGAGCTACAAAGGCACTGACGTGAATCCCAGTGACCGCGAACGGGTAGTAGCGCTTTAGTTGCGGCATCGATGATCCTGTGCTGGTTGTGTGCTCCGAAACATCACTCCAGCGTTCCTCGTTTGCCTCACTGAGGATACGCTGGACAGTGCGGGGTCGGGTTTCTGCAAAGTATATAAGTTGATGAAGCGCGAAGATGCCCATTCCGCGAAAGTCTGTGCCTGGATCATCACCCTGGAAACCGACATACCGCCAGTCGCGGTTCGGTGCCCTTGCTCCGGCTGGGAGCATGGGTTCGACCAGTTGCCGCAGCTTCTGCAGCAGCTCCTGATGACTTTTATCTGCGCTCTGAAAGCTGGTGTTCACCCGCTCGTGAACGATTTGCTTGGCACGCTCCCACTGATACAAGTCCTCTAAACTCAGCCTGAGGTTCTCTTGAACCCTCCGCCAGTTACGGTAGCGAGTGGGTACCTTTTTTGCTGCCAGGAGGATTCGCGCCCAGGCGCCCAAGTCCATAGGAGGCCCTCCGGCAAGCTCCGTCTTAAAGCGCTGCCACGCATCCGATGCTTCTTTGGAGTTCTGCAGACAACGGTAGACCTGAACGCTCATTGCTGCAGAATGATCCTCTCGACTGCAAATTCGCGCTAGCTCGCTTTCACCTGTGGCCAAGTGACGGAGACTTTTTGACCAGTTCCCACCGCCAGTGCCCATGGGAAGTGTGCGCTGCTAAGGGTGCGTAGCGGTAGCGCCCGGCACTCGTTATACACCCTGCAAAACCTACAGCTTAAGGTAGTACTGTTGTTGCTGCTGTTGAATCATTAAGGGATGAAAATACCGAAAAACAGCACCAATTACTTTGCACAGTAAAAGTGCTACAGCACACACTCCCGTTCAGTAACCCAGAGCAGTTCAGCGAAGCGCACAACGTTTTGATGCCCATCGAGAGCCGCTGGGGTCAGACGTTCAAGGCGTCCCGCATGACACCATAACGAGAACCCGCACTGCCTCCTGGAGGGAGTAGCCTCTCGGTGTTCAGCATCGGAAGCAGAAAGGGTAGCGGGGGTGTCCGTTTTTGGCCCAGTCCTATGACGGTGGTGTGTGTAGTTGACTCTGCGTCCGCCGGAACGCAGCTACCTTGTCGTGGATTCTGGGGGCGCGGCTTTGACAGTGGACTCCTAACTAGTAGTTCTTCCTAAGACGATAACACGCTCGCATTGGTGAAAGTGGGTGCTGGTTTGCGTGTTGCTGCCTTGCTTCACCTTTCATGAGCAAGGCTTTCCTCTAGTTTATGACTATACGACAGGCCAGTGACCAGCGACCTGACCGCATCGGAAGGAGCGTATTTGCCGTCATCCTACCGAATACCTGTTGCATTCAGCTTTCGACGTGACCACGGCGGCGGAGCTTCTTCAACCCTGGACTGGAGCTGCCTCATAGCTTAGCAGATAGAAACCAGTTGCTGCACGGGCGCAACGAACCGGTTCTCGAAGTCACTGGAAACTGCCCAGCTTTGGCACAACCTCCGAGTAATGGCGAGCTTTATGGAACCTCTGGTGTTTTGCACTATCGCCCGCTCTTTGTCTGCGAGTCAGAACGCTATGATTCGTGCGAGTGTGAGCCGAGGCATTGTCGGCTCATCGAATCTGTACGCGATTCCTGGACGATTACGTTTATAGATTCAGGGCCTCTGCCTGTAACTCGCTTCTGTTGCAACAATCCCTGCATACGCTTGGACTAGCTCTTGCTATGGATTCGGTATTGGCGGTTCGAGGTTGTCGGCGACGCACCGCATTGTGACTCTAAGGAAGGTTACGAGCATGTGTGTGCTTGTGTAACGATCCATGGCCTGAAAGAACAACGGGTTCGCGAGAAACGCTGGCGACAATCTCCAGAAGTGCAGCTCTTGCGTTCTTCCAAGAGAAGCGGACTACAGAGGTGTTGTCCAGCAGCGTGTGATCGCAACATACCCTGTGCTACACGGCGTAGATTTAGCACAGACACAACCAGCATAGGTTCCGTACATACCACAAATCCCGGAATATTCGGGGCATCAGGAACAAAAGCCATGTGCTCCACGTTCTATCTCTCGGAGCCTGTCTCGAAAGACGCTCAAGTTCCGAATCGCCTCCTGGGAAATGCAGAGACGACTGCTCTATTGAAAACGCGCCCCGGTGACGCTGTCCGCGCGTACCACTGGAGATTCTTTGACGGGTGCTCTTCGTCGGCCATGCGAAACCGCACGATGTGATTGCACCGGCGCATATATGGCCCCAAGTACTGCACTCGCCAGGTTGCCGAAGCGCGAACTGGCCTCCTGGAAGCGCTCCAATATACTGTTGAGGCAACAACGCGGCGTAAACGTAGAAAGTGGTAGAGATTCATACACATGGAAGTTTTTTTGTTGCTGCATAAGCGCGCAGTGCAATTTTCCTGTCCAGTTCATAGACGACACATTCGCAAAAGCAGTGAAGTTTATTCCCCCGGTAACAGGCAGCTTCTCCTAACCGAAAGAGTCTAGTTAGATGCATCGATCTAACTCCATCAAACCAATAGGCTGACACATGGGTGGTAAGAGCCTCTTTTACGGAACAGCGGTTCTCCCTCTTCATTCGCTTCAAAGTGGTACCTTCGACAGCACACGGTACGATACGCCCAAGCCTATGCATCCATGATTTCGACGCTGCATCATCGATGCGAATGGACGAATGCCGCATGCGAAGCTTCTGATCGCAAATCCATATCGATATTCGCTCTAGGAGCGCTCTGTGATGAAGACGAGTGCCGTGCGTGCTACCCGTGCTATATGTACGCAGACCGTATACAACGTTGGAGTATGTGCTCCAGTACTTCACCATAAAGTTGCCCGTCGCTTTGTGCCTGACGATGCGATGCCATGGAATGACTCCAGTAAAGCTAGAAGCGTCTGTAATCACTGATCCTGCTCGACAGCGATCAGGGTCGTATCGGGCTTGCCTTCCTGTCCAGATACCCGGGTGGTCTCACTCGTCATGCTGTCGCTGTACATGAAAACAACATGCATGTACACGACAATTCACCATGGAATCGTGTCGAGGATGACGCGCGCTACCTTTTCGCCCAAAGCGAGCAAGTGTACAGGTATGCACGTACGAATGCATCTATACACCAAAGCACGTGAGCTTTGACGCACGTAGGTATGCAGACACAAGTGCGCAGCAACATGCATCGCTCGAACATTATCCAGCACCCAGCGGCTGTGGTGATGGCAGGGAACAGCACCAGTCGCGGTGGCTGTCTCGCAAGGCACCAGATTCCTTCGGGTGCCGCCCTGACGAGGCAGTTTTAGAACGCAAGCATAAGCCTCTACAATTTGGATTGATCACCTCGGCACCTGTCGTGACCAGCGACGTTCAGTGTCGTCATGAGTACAATTTTGCACCATATACACCAGGCATAAATTTCCTTTCCGAGCTGATTCCATTTGCCGCTTGAAATGAATCCGTCAGAACAGCAGAGGAATCCCGCAGCATGACCTGGTGTCTTGGACAGATGCGGGAGCAGCCATTGACGAGAAGAGAATCCACATACCGGCAGCGATACGGCGTAGCCGCGCGCCACAATGAGGCATTGTCTTCGTCTTCACCAGCGTACCGGAACGAATCATTGTGGAAAAAGGGCTTGGGTCTTGTTATGCGCATTCGAAACGAATGCTCTGTCTCTCTACAAAAATCACTGTTAGCATCCGAAAGCAAATGCAAAACCCTCTTCACTCAACGACGAGAGCGGATCCGACATACATGCCAAGTAGAGCTGCCTAGAACAAGAGGAGCACAGATCACCACACACAGAGACGCTCACAGAAAGTAGTCGGGAGTACGCCGGGTTACGTGCGGCTCGCCACGTCGCGGTGCTGGATCGAATTGCAAGAACGTATACTTCTCATTTTCGTCAAGCTCCATGATGGCGGCCTGATTTCCGCACCGATAGCAGTAGTTGGGTGCACTAAATATCGTGACGACATTGCGATCGTGGCACCAGTTGTAGCCTTCCATGACCAGCTGGTGCGCCCGCGCAATGAGGCTCAACCCATTCGTTCTGTTAAATTGCTCGGAAATATCTTGGCCAAAGGTATAACCGGCGCCGCGGGGGCTGATGCCCCAACCACAGCGATCGTCGGGATCCGACCACAACAGGTCACACATGGGGCCCTCGTGCGGAACCTCCTGCATACGATCGAGACTCCGAATCTGATCGAGTGTGTCAATCGACGGCGATAGACCACCATGCAAGCAGAATATTTGATTTTCAATAATAGCGGTGAGCGGCATGTAATCGAACAAGTCCGTGAAGTATTTCCAGACGTTTGCGTTCCCGTACTTTCGCAGACACTCGTCGTAGAAGCCGTAAACCTGCGTGATCTGTCGCGACTCATGGTTTCCGCGCAGTATAGTCACCCTCTGCGGGTACCGCAATTTGAGACATATGAGCGCTGTTACGGTCTCGACTGAGTAATAGCCGCGGTCAACGTAGTCGCCCATGAACAAGTAGTTGGTGTCGGGGCACTTGCCCCCGATTTTGAACAGCTCCAGCAGGTCGTGAAACTGTCCATGAATATCCCCACAAACAGTGACTGGGCAGGTTACCAGCTGAACATTCGATTCTTCGACAAAAATCTCTCGCGCTCGGTCGCACAACCACTTGACTTGTTCCTCACTCAGGGGCCGCGAGTTCTCCGAAAGCAACTGCGATATCCAAGCGTCCAAATCGTATGTGTGACTCGCCTCCGAGCTCGGGACAAGGCCAATAGGTCCTGGCTCTTTAGAAGTAACAACTTCACTCATGGGTTCCACGTGTGCTAACGACATGGTGGCGAATGTGCCCACGAGCGCTGCAACTTCAGGCGTGTAGCGCGCTTCCAGACCAGCAGCTGTTGAGCGGCTTATGTACGCCGCACGACGTGGCTGGCGGCGCGCGAACAGCGCGGCGGTCGATCGCCAGGCGCGCTCTACGGCGGTGCTGCTGCTGCTGCTGCTGCTGCTGCTGCTGCTGCTGCTGCTGCTGCTGCTGCTGCTGCTGCTGCTGCTGATGATGATGATGATGATGATGATGATGATGATGATGATGATGATGCTGCTGCTGATGATGATGATGATGATGATGATGATGATGATGATGATGATGCTGATGATGATGATGATGATGCCTATGCTCTACCTGGGAAGCGGGTGTCTATCCTATGATGATGATTACGATGCCTATGCTCTACCTGGGAAGCGGGTGTCTATCCTATGATGATGATTAGGATGCCTATGCTCTACCTGGGAAGCGGGTGTCTATTCCATAGTGATGATCATGATGCCTATGCTCTACCTGGGAATCGGGTGCCTATTCCATGGTGATGATCATGATGATGGTAATGTTCATGAGCTACTTGGGTAGCGGCTGCACCTGGTGCAGCAAATGAACGCTGATGTTCAGAGGACAAGGCTTGTGTCTTTTGCTGATTTTACCGAAGTGAGTCTTTGCGTGCTTTTACGAGATTGCTGGGGGTTGCTTCTCTCATATCTCTGGCTATCCATAGGTCGATCTCTGTTTTCTGGTCTATTCTTGTGTTAGCAGACGAAGGATGCTGATAACAGCGTTCAAGAGCCGATCTCGCTGCCTGCTGTTGTTGTTCAAGTGTTTTGTGCACAGGCGACTACAGTGATCGACGCATTTCACTTCGCTTTTCATCTTCTTTATAAACAGCCCGCGTGTGCGCTGTGAAGCGGTGAAACTTGACGCTGGTAAGGGGTAACCATATAGATCCATCACCAGCCGTTCTCCGAGAGACGCCCTAAAGCGCCTGAATGCTTATTTCACTTCGCTGTATATGCCCTTGGCCGGACAGACGGCTCCGTTGGATACCCTTCTCCGTTTCCACGCTTGGTGCAGTACCCCACGATCCGGGGTTTTTCTTCTGAACGATGAACTAGGCGAAGACGCTGTCTGCTGCACGCGCAAGGAAAGGCTTTTTATTTAGTAAAGTGTGTGTGGAAAAGAGGCTGTCCTTGATGTAGCAAGTATCAAGAGGATAATCCAGTCTGCGGTACAAATCGAAAAGTCCAGATCCGTCTACGAATGCTCCGTGCAAAGCGGCGACGTCGACTCAAATGCAAGCAACCACTTTGGTGAGTAAAAGGGTGAGCCCATAACCAAGACAGTTTTTCAATGCCTATAGAAGCGATGGGAGCCTCTGGAGGCATATGCCGTAAGCGGCACCATGCCGCTACCGAATGCTGTTTCTTCGATGGCAACAAAAAGCGGAGGATTGGTCTTTGGAACGCCATGGGTTATCGTTGGGCGTAAAGATTTCAGTGAGCTATTGGAGCGAGCTTGTAAACATCTAGGAAAGCGACAACGTCGTGCTTTTTTCTCATCAGTCCACCGAAGCGGATTGCCGCGCTCACAACTTATCTTGAACCAAAAAATAGAGCAGTTGCATTATGCGTGATTTGAACATGCTGTTCGTGACGAAAGATTGAAGCCTAAAGGATTCAAAGTATAAATTGGATAATGACATCGTTTACTCTATGTGTCGTTGCTCTATTGCGTCATGCATGATCTTGATTCCAGTAACTTAAGGAATCCCAGCGTCCACGAGTCAATGGAGTCACCACGAAAACACGGAAGAAGATCCTATATCTGTGTTTGAATGCGTAAGCGCTTCTTCCTCCTGCGTATCAAGTGTCGAGGCCGTATATATAAAACGAGCTCGGAAAGCATTCGACATTCAGGTACATAGCAAACGATTCAGTGCTCCATTTTACGTTCTCAAGAGGGTAGCGACGCTCTGGACCCACAGCGGCTCATAAGCCTGCTTCCGAGCGTCGTACGATTCCCGCCGTGTCTATTCCTCCATGACTGGAGATCCTTCTCATTAATCCGATACTTCCGCGTTCGTCATTGCTGCGTGTATGCAGCGAACAGGCCATCGTTCTCCCATCGATACTGCTATATTTCAGGGAGTCCCAGAGTCAACGTCCTGGAGGGAATAGATGCTGAATTCAGTAGCAAGGTGGATGCCAAGTGACTGGCGGCACAGTTGTCGTCGTCATCGCCGCTTGCGACGACCTCCGACTGGCTTCCTCAGCTGCCCCACCGAGGTGGAAGGCTTCGCTTTATTGACCTGAAAGGTATCGGCACGAGGTAGCTGTGCGGCATGCTCCGATACCGACGTTGAGCAATTGTGCCCGCAACATGGTGCAAGGACTTGCTCCTACGCTGGTACCAGCAGGCGCTCCAAATGGAGATGCAGGGGCCAGCGTCTGCCGAGATTCGCGTCTGCCTCTTAGTCTGGGGCCACATCCAGGAGCAAACGCTTTCGTCTGGGCTCTCCGGCTCAAGCACGAAACGAAGCTAGATGATATGGAAGCCACCACAAACAAACACGCACACAGGAGGCGGTCGTGTTTGCACCAGTCGCCAGCAGTGCTGTGACGTTCCAAGGCGCCCCCCAGTGACGCATGCAGCGAGGTATATACCGCATCGTAGCGCCTCCAGGTACTCCCTGATCGAAGTATCCATTGTCTTTGAGGACATCACAACGTCGTGTCCACGAATGGATGTTAGCTTGCTCCGACGATGCCTCTGTAGCACATATTCTTTTGCGACATGTTTCTGTGACGCACGCGGTATCCACCGGGAGGCCTTGGTTTGCCGAGTTCTCGTCGACAGCATGTTTTCGCGAGTGCTATCAGAGCACAGCACGTGTAAAACGCGCTACGATATGCATCGTCGGTACCAACGCTGCTTGCTAGGCACCAGGCCGCCACCTGATGCTCACGAAAAACAAACCGGGGTGAGTTACACGGCTTCCGTGACGCAAACAAGCGTTCGTGGTACCAACGCTGCTTGCTAGGCACCAGGCCGCCACCTGATGCTCACGAAAAACAAACCGGGGTGAGTTACACGGCTTCCGCGACGCAAACAAGCGTTCGTGGTACCAACGCTGCTTGCTAGGCACCAGGCCGCCACCTGATGCTCACGAAAAACAAACCGGGGTGAGTTACACGGCTTCCGCGACGCAAACAAGCGTTCGTTTTGGAAGCCATACACGCCCTGTAGCGCTTTCTACTAGTTGAACGGCGCCTAAGCAGAACGCCGGTCTATGCAGATGGAGCACATAACCAGCAAGGGCCCCGGTCGCGAATGCAGTCGCTCATGCGGAACCATGTAGCTCCTCAAATGGGTTTTTTACTTGGTCCGTTTAGTAAGCTCGCTGTCGAAAAGCCGTAGCTGGAGTGACCCTCGAAAAGCCACACGTGACGTAGAGTAGGTGGTATCTGCTATTTTAGGTGATCCGTCTTGGCTGTGGGGCCCTCCGCAACGCATGGTTGTCCGCGGAAGCAGCTGGAGCTCGCTCATAAGATCTACGATCCGAGTACCTTGGACGCTTCCCGTGTGCCCTTCTAGTTGTTTATTTAGTTGATCTACTTTGGCCATCGGACTTGGGGCAGTGCTAAGAGAGCAGCTGGAGCTCACTCGCGCGATCTACGCTCCTAGTACCTTGGACGCTCTCCACGTGCCTTTCTTGCAGTTCATTCAGTTGATCTCTTTCGTTTATTTGAGGCTTTGCGGACAAGCTCTTTACACAACTGCACCCTGTTTCCATCTGGTGCATTACACGTACAACTGGGGTTGCGCTCTAAGACCAATCTACAAGCAGAGCTCACTGAACCTGGTTTGCAGCTCGTTCGACACAAGTGTTGCAGCTCAGCGCGAACATCCACGCGCTGCTGTGGGTACCTCAGCGAACGCTATGCGCTCACTAGGCGATATTCGGCTCGTAGAGCGCCTTGTGCAGCCGCATCTGCGAAAGCAGCGCTTTTCTACACTCATCGAAGCAACATACCAACGCTTAACCCCGCGTGAGCATGTGCTTAAACGGCCAGAGGTCTACCTTGGACCGGTCGAGAGAATCGAGCGCCGCCTGTGGAGCATTCCTGCAACTTCTGCAACTGTCGAGCAAGTCATCCATGAAGGACGCATCACCCTCCGCCAAGTGCATTATTCGCCTGCACTGTACAAAATCTTCGACGAGATTCTTGTGAACGCCATAGACAACGCCCGCCGTGATCCCCACACCGATGCCATCGATATTTGGCTGCCTCTAGAAGACTCCGCATCGACTTCGAAGCGAACACTGCGTATCCGGAATACGGGACGAGGTATTCCGGTTGCCATGCACCCACGGGAACACTTGTACGTACCAGAGCTGATCTTTGGACACCTGCTCACCGGCTCGAACTTTGATGACACGGATGCTTCGGTGCGTCTGACGGGAGGTCGTCACGGCTACGGAGCCAAGCTGACCAACATCATGTCCAAGCGATTCGCTGTAGAGACCATCGACGAGCAGCGGTGTCTGCGATACCGCCAGGTTTGGCAAAACAATATGAGCACGTGTTCCGCACCAGAAATCGAAGCTGTTTCACCAGCGATTGCCCAGCATCCGTATACTGAGATCGAGTTCGAACCCGACCTGGAACGCTTCGGTCTCGACCGCTGTGGCGATCGAGACACGCTCATGCTCATGGCGAGACGGGCCTTCGATGCTGCTGGCATCCTGCCTAACGTTCGGGTTCGCTTGAATGGTACTCCACTTGCCCTGAATGGATTCGCTGAGTACGTACAGCGGCACGGGACGGATGCAGAGCCGTCGATCATTCTCCAACCAAACGCTCACTGGGAAATCGGTCTGCGGGCACTCACTCAGGCGGAGCAGGCAGCACCGATGGTGTCCTTCGTGAACGGAATCGCCACGTTCCAAGGCGGCAGTCACGTGCAGTGTATTCAGGAGCTGCTCTGCCGTCGCATCGCAGACCGGATAGCTGCTCGTTACAAGTCGCTTCGCTGTGTGCTGACTCCGTCTCTGGTTCGATCCCAGCTCTTGCTCTTCGTGAACTGCCTCGTGAACCGACCAGCTTTTGAATCGCAAAGTAAGGAAATGCTCACGAGCCGCCAACGAGACCTACTTGCCACACTGCCGGAGCAGTTTCCAACGGAAAACGAATTGAACGACGCGCTTGAACAGACGAAACTTATGGAGCGCATCCTCGCCGCTGCTGAGGAACGGCTAGCTGCAGAGGTACGTGGCTCCCGCCCAGTATCAGCACTGGTTGCTTCGGCATCACGAGGCACCGGAGCACTCCGTCGCCTTGCCATTCCGAAACTGGAAGACGCGAACGCCGCGGGTGGTCCCGACTCCTCACGCTGTACCCTGATCCTTACGGAAGGCGACTCGGCGAAGGCGCTCGCTATGGCCGGTCTCAGCGTCGTTGGACGAGACTACTATGGTGTCTTCCCGTTGAGGGGTAAGCTCCTGAATGTGCGGGACTGTCATCCGAGACAACTAGCTCAAAATGAGGAAGTTAATAACTTGCGCATCATTCTAGGATTGGAGTTTGATCGAGACTACTCGACCCCTGAATCCCGCAAGGCCCTACGCTACGGACACGTGATGCTCATGACCGACCAAGACCACGACGGAAGCCATATCAAGGGTCTCATTATGAACTTGTTCGACTTTTTTTGGCCCAGTCTACTCGAAGGCGGCGATTTTTTAGAGGCATTCATGACACCGATCGTCAAGGCCGCTGCCAAACACGGTGGCGCAGTCCAGAGTTTTTTCACGATCACCGCATTTCGTGAGTGGTGGGAGCAGCTTCCCGCCTCGCAACGGCATCACCATTGGCTGATCAAATACTACAAGGGTTTGGGCACGTCGACCAGTGCCGAGGGCAAGGCCTATTTCCGGGATCTCGAGCGTCATCGCATCCGCTTCGCTCCAGTTGCTCCCGGTGACCGCCATCAACTCGACTTGGCATTCAACCGATCACGGGCGGAAGAACGCAAGCGCTGGCTTGCCGAGCTCGACACGGCAACGCCACGTGACGCTGGAGACGCACCCCTTGAGACGAACGCATCATCAGACGCAGGCGTATCGCTGGCGACTTTTGTCAACCGGGAACTGGCGCTCTATTCCTATGCCAATAACGTGCGTAGCATTCCGTCAGCGATCGATGGCTTGAAGCCGGCGCAGCGCAAGGTACTCTACGCGTGCTTGAAAAGGGGCCTCGTGCGTGACATGAAAGTTGCCCAACTTGCGGGCTACGTAGCCGAGCAGACTGCCTACCACCATGGTGAAGAGTCGCTGCACAGCACCATTGTGCGTATGGCTCAGGATTTCTGCGGAGCGAACAACCTTCCCCTGCTGCAGCCGCTCGGGCAGTTTGGCACTCGTCTGCTCGGTGGCAAGGATGCCGCCTCCGCCCGATATATCTACACTTGCTTGTCGCCAGTGACACGCAAGATTTTTCCCGCTTCGGACGATCCGCTCTTGACATACTGCGAAGACGACGGCCAGCAGATCGAGCCCGAGTACTTTGTGCCAATCATTCCAATGGCACTCGTGAACGGCATCGACGGGGTCGGTACCGGCTGGTCGACGACGCTACCCCCCTTTCACCCGCTGGATATCATCCACAATGTTCGGTGTCTGCTGCAAGGGAGATCACCAAAGCCGCTGAAACCGTGGTATCGACGTTTCCGTGGCCAAATCATTGCCCAGAGTGAGCTCGTATTCGTGAGCCGTGGGTGCGTCGAACGTTTGTCCAGCACGACCTTCCGTGTTCGTGAGCTCCCAATAGGACGCTGGACTGAATCGTACAAGGCGTTTCTCCATGAACTCACGGAAGCGGGTGTTCTCAAAGGATTCCGCGAGTACCACACCGACGAGAACATATGTTTCGAGTTGGTCATGACGCGTGCGAACGCCCAGCGCCTCGAAGAACGCGGTGAGGGTCTCTGGCGACACTTGCGCCTCGAGAGCACCATATCCTGCACCAATATGCATCTGTTTGATGCCAGAGGCCGCATTCGTAAGTATGAAACCCCACTGTCAATCTTGGAAGATTTCATGATAGAGCGAGAGCGTTTATACCAGAAGAGACTCGAACGCGAATGCCAGGAACTGGAGCGAAAATTCGCCAGTGCACAGAAAAGGCTCGCATTCGTGGAACTGGTGGTGAGCGGCAAGCTGGAGCTGTTTGGCCGCTCGCTAAACCAAGTCCAGCGAGATATGATCTCGTTGGGCATATCACCCGACGAGGCTACGGGCTCTCTGGAGGCGCTTCTCGCCACACCAGTCCGCCTCCTGACTCGAGAGGAGGCCCAGCGGACACGCGACGAGACACGTCACTGGCGAGCGCGTTGGGAGGCGTCGCGCGCGGCAACGCCACGCAGTGTATGGCAGGCGGAGCTCGCCGAACTTGAACGAACCGTCAGGAGTATGCTCGCAAACGACAAGGCCAGCTCCGGTGCTGACAGGTCGCATGTGAGCGAGCACAGCGCTGAGAGCTAGCGATATGCCCGCTTGTCGATGCGCTCGCGTCTGCTCGGACGTCTTTCCACGCCCGCATTCGGGTACTGCGGCTGACTCACGTGCACGCGTGCGCTAGCCAAGCCGCTGCCACGAGTTTTCTGCGAGATGAAGCGCCTGGATCAGAGCCTGGTGCGGTGGAAGCACGCTCACCAGCGCTAGCGTTTATCTGGGGCGAGTGCGTCTTCCCGGTGGCAACGGGCACCGCAACGTCACTCGGCATCGCTTTTTGCGTCCATTCAGAGCTGGTTCATGGAAAGGCGCTGCAGAGATTCGAAGCTGTTTGCGCTCGAGCGGCAGTTGGCTAAAGACGTCTCGGCAACGGATCATACGAACAAACAACTAAATGGACCATGGATTCCATACGGTGTGTCGTTTGCGGCCCAGAGGTCCAGCAGGCGCCATCATCAAGAAGTACTTGGGCACTGGGCATCGCCGGCGATCCCGACCTTGTCCTATCCGCGGCGTGCTGCCTGATGGGAAGGTCGTCAATCACGTGCCGGGCACGTGCCTACACATGCTGTGAAAATGGTGCAAGCACCAGGTGACCAGCGTCGCCATGCGCTAGACAAACACGATATCGTCTGACGACTCGCTGCCTGCAAGTGAGCGTGAAACACCTGCTCGAGGTGCCCGTGGACGCACTGGGTCTCGTGGACGAACCCCGTGGACCGCGATGTCGCCATGTTCATATCGTCTCGCTCTATCTCTCTCTCTCTTACTGTGTATGTATGTGTGTGTGTGTGTTTGTGTATCTGCGCACTAGGTCGATACGCCATCCCCCTGGAATGATCCATTTCCCGATCTCGACTCATCGGACGGCAACCGCTGAAAGGCGAGGCAGGTATTTGTCCCGTAGAATCCGAACGAGTTGCTTAGTGCGATTCGAAGCGGACTGCTCTCGGGCCAGTAATAATGCGCATGATGCCCAATGAAGCGCAAGCCAGCGGTGGTGGTGTCCGTGGTGGCCGACATCTCCAGGCCCACGTCAATGTCGTGCAGGTTCAACGTTCCGGGTACGCACTGGTGATGCACCGCCAGTAACGTGAAGGCAGCCTCGAGAGCGCCCGCTGCTCCGAGTAAATGCCCAGTGGCGCCTTTTGTCGACGTCACGACTGGAGCCGGCTCCTCTGCGCCGAAAACTCGCCCAATCGCTTTGGCTTCGACGGCGTCACCCAACGGCGTCGACGTTGCATGCGCGTTCACGTACCCGACGGCTGACCGAGGAATACCCCGGAGGGCCATTTCCATACATCGCTGGGCGCCAATGCCTTCCGGATGAGGTGCTGTCACATGGTACGCGTCGCTGCTCAGGCCGTATCCAACGAGTTCGCCATAGGTCGTGTGCGGCTGGGCTTGTCTTCGTGTACGAGCGTGTTCCAGATCCTCCAGAACAAGTACACAGGCGCCTTCGCCGAGCACGAAACCCGAACGTCGACGATCAAATGGACGACTGGACTGCTCGGGCTCATCTGCAAACTGGGTGGTAAGTGCCCGGGCCCTGGAAAACCCCAACAATGCCAACTCGTGAATACATGCCTCTGTTCCGCCGGCGATACACACTGTCGCATCGCCTCGTTGAATGAGTCGGTACGCGTCACCGATAGCATGTGCACCCGCAGCACAAGCAGTGCTCGGTGATAGACTGGGACCCTTCAGACCAAACCATAACGCCACGTAACCGGCGGCTGCGTTCAGCAGGATGCGAGGCACGAAATGCGGTGACAGGTGTCGACCCGACTGGTGACGGTTCACGCTCTCAACCAGATCGCTCAGGGATACCATACCTGCACCGATAACGACGCCCGAGTCGGTTGCGTTCAGCGTCGCTGGCGAAAGCGCAGCATCTTGGATCGCCTCATGTGCTGCGAGAACGGCGTACTGGATACTGAGCGGTGCTCGTAAAATATCCGCGGGGGTCAGTTTGCGCTCATGCAGACCAGTTGCTATCGCTGTGCTCGTTGTTTTCGATGCGAATACCTGCGACTCAAGTCGTTCGAGTACGCCGGCACGATCGACTTGGGCTGCGATTTGCACCGGCAGCCCGGTGGGGTCAAAAACACTGATCCGTTGGACGCCACTTTGGCCGCGGAAAAGTGCGTCCCAGCACATGCGGGTACACAGGCCCAATGGCGACACCATGCCGATACCGGTCACGACAACCCGGCGTCCAGCGTGGACAAGTTCGTGCGACATCCCGCTAGCCCCGATGACGGACAGAGGAAACGGTGACTGCGAGTCGTGTCCGTCAAGCCGAAAGGTCAGCGCAGGGCTCTGGTGATCAGGTGACGTAGGTGTGTGTGTGTGTTCTTCAGGTCGCTGACCGGTGGATTCCGGGTCTGGGTAACGCACCCCAAGTCGTTTGCGATTTGTTCGTTGTTATATGAGAGACAACTCCCTTGGATTCAGTGATTGCGAGCGTCTTTCACACCCTGTGACGTCTAGTACGCAGCAAAGCTAAACAGGGACCTACTTATGTCCAAAGTGACCCATTAGAGAGAATTCCAGGTCGCCGAACAATCCCGTCGTTAGAGACTGGCACTAAAGAATAACGCTGGAAAAGAATAGGTCCTAGTTCCAGTTCCTGACACCTATTTTCCCACAGTCACCGCAATCTGATCCAGAAGAGAACGTAGTTCAGGAAGCACGGAGCTCAACAAGTCGTGGTGTAGGTACAAGAGTCAGCAGTCACGCACGAACGCACACACACATACACACACACACAGAGAAGCAGGTAGAAACACGACCACTTGGCGTTTGAGAGACGCACTCGGGGAGGTGTCGGCGAGTCCAAGAAAGTTCTTCGTGAGCTTTTCTCGGATTCAGTGCTCTACTGTACCACACACTTGGATGGAACAGCACACTATTCACTCCATTGCAAGCACGAAAATCAGTGCTCTGTAAGAGGGACGTCCTAGTCTAACTGACTCCGCAAACTACCAGCGGATTCTGCATCGATGACTTGCCTCGAATGCCGAGCAACGCCTGCACACAGGATGATTCTTGAAGCCACGCTCGGCAATAGATGCATTTCTGGTCACACGAGTGTATGCATCGTCATTTTTGCAGAAAGACTCGTTTGATACAAGCATAAGCGAAACTGACGACTGCATGTGCGCATCTCGAAACTGCAGCTGGCATGCTCCCAGCACAGTCGTCTAGTTGCATTGTCTCCGACTGCGTTGCGGTCGCTGTGACACCATCCTCAGTATCATCATCGAGACGATCGCAGGATTTTATGGACACTGATTTTTTACTTTCAAGCGAGGTGCTGAAGCGGAAACACATATGATTTTTCATGACCGTTGTGTCTTATATCCCGACACAAATTCGATCGTTTCGATATGAAAGGTTCAAACTGAATCGGCTCAGAATGCTGTATATAGCAAGCCTGTAACGTGATGCTTGCCATGCATCCGGCTGACTAGAAGCGGCCGTAACACGGCTTCGACACGTGAATACCACGACGCTTGACTCGGTGATCGTTTTTGTTGGACGCACACATACACACACACACCCGCTACTACATGATAACGCATCTGTCTGGCGGTACGCGGAACGCCACGTACAGTCCAATGTCAACGTGTGAGCCGTGTCTCCCTGAGACTGCGTTCCTGATACCGATCAGAAGCCCGAGCTTCCACCTGCGAATGAACGCTCACGTGCAGCAAAACCTTCAGCGCGTTCTCGCAGAGCAAATGGATGCGTCCAGTCCAAAGCTTGAGCACAAGCTGGTGCAGGATCCGCATCGTAGTAAGCACAAACAGCGTCCGCATCCGTTGCTTTCGTTTTCCTTGCAACCGAAGCTGCAGATATGCAACAACAATGCCCGGACGCAGCGGGTGCTCGTTTCGCGCACATACACTCGAGAGCGGGTCGTATTCCAAGCATTTCCTTATGAAATACGAGCAAGAAGCGGAAGGTATCTCAGCTTGTGTCGCCGTTTTGCAATACTGCACGAAAGCAGAGACGTCTCAGCGCCTGGTGCGAATCCAGACTTTGATGAAAAGAAGCACGCTGAAGCAAGTAAACGCAACAAGCGGCGCGACTGGCCGGCTAGGCCAGTTTTCGGTCTCCTTCGAGCGGAAAGCGTACCTGACCGGAACCGTACAGCGGCCGGTGTGCAGTTCTCATCTGCGGCAGGCAGCTTCTGCTGCTGCGCTCTTCAATGTAGCCGCTGCTCTGATTAGCGCCTGAATCCGTCGAACCGATCCGGCTCGGGTAGCGGTAACGTTATCCGTGAAGAGACCAGCGCGGGACGCTGAAGCTAACCATAGAGCCGAGGCAGGCGCCAGCATCAGGTCGATATCGCTGGGGCGCGATGCCCGCGCCCCAGCTCCCCTGCAACCGCATCGCAAGAATCAATCGATTCCTGGATGAAGCCGCTCTCGTGCAGACAACGTCATATGGAATCAACGAAAACGCGGCATGTACAGCGTCTGCCGCCTTTCGCTTCAGGACGTACGGGAACATAGCTCGCAACGCTGCTTATACAGAACCGGCTGATACGGAAAAGGCGTGCTGTTATCTTGCTCCATCCCCGGATGTACCAGCTGGCAGGGTCCGCTCTAGACGGCGATTAATCGTTTCTTTCGGGATCCGCCGAGACCTGCGGCTGCACGCGGAACACCCATCCAGCGGCAGTTGTTGCCGCAAGCGCAACCCATACATAACACTGCTGGGGTGACCGGATACACGACTCGGCGAGGATACCGGACTGGAAACCGCAAAGTCCGCAACGCAGGCTCCAAATCAGAGCAGCCCAGCCGTGCAGCGGCAGCCACACCCATGCCTCCAGGTGCCTTACCTTTCCAGTTCGTACGCCGATGGCGAGTACTGCCACCAGCACACCGAGCAGCCAGTCTTGCACCAAGGCTGCAAGTGCGCCAACCAGAAGCAACCAAGCAACGTACTGGGGCACGTACTCGCTGGGTAGCAGGCGTCCCAGTGGATTCGATTTCTGCTCCGTGGGCAGCCGCTGCTGTGTCCACAGGAGCGGACACAACACGAGCCAGGCATTCCACAAGAGGGACCGGCCCACGAGAGGCAACCCCCAGAACGTCGGCACAGTACGCTTTGCCACCGTCGCAATGATTCCCAAAATGAAAGCGACAAGTCCGATAAGGATCGTGGCAACCGCAGCAAGAATGCGCATCACTGTCTGCCAAACCGAGACCCCGGTCAGCAGCACCGCGAGTTCAGCCAGACCTGCTAACACCAAGGCGAAAATTCCTGGCCAATGCGAGCACAGCATCATTGTAACCATGAATGAAAGCACTGCAGCAGCGCGAGGAGTACCCATTCCTGATGCTTTCCAGGTCACCAGCATGGGTTCCCTCAGACTGAGCAGGCGCCACGAAGCGAGCAGCACCAGCGCCGCACCGCGAGCGGTTACGAAGCGCTCACGTTGTAGGACCTGCAGACCAAAAAGCTGGCCGCATACTGACTCGGACGCCGGTGTGCTCCGAATCCACGCCCACTGAAACACGAAACTCGCCACCGTATGGAGCGCACAAAGAACAAGGGCTGTTGTGAGCACCACAGCCTGCAGGCGACGCCTAGCGACACCACGCGGCACGCGTCCCGAGGTCTCTTTCGTTGCGCCTCCACGACTGGCTATCGGGCGACGCTGTCCAGAGTCTGAAAGTAGTGTGGCAAGCACCAGCAGCGTGTAGAGCAGCGCCGATGGGATGCTTGGCGGCAGCGAAGCGACGAGTACAAGCCAGGAAACCTTGGCCACCTGACTCCAGAGCAGCCTCCCGCGCTCTAGTGTTGCAGAGACGGCCTCGTCTTCACCATAGCGGTACGCAAACCAGGCAAGGATTCCACACAATAGATGAAGAAACACATCCGAAGCGGGTGACCAAGGCGGAATGCCCAGTGCAGACGCTGTTACGCGCGTCGCATGAGTCTGGCTCCGATCGAGTGTCCACACGTTGTCCATTCGAGTAAGTCCACTGAACCGCAGCCCCAAATATACCAGAATCCACACCAAGGCATATCCTAAGCTGAGACTCGTGGCGAAACTATGAAGGCGTCGAATAGCCCGAGAACGTCCCCGAACTTGTCCAGGCATCCATAGCCACGACAACAACAGGTGCAGCAGTGAACCGACACAGGGCCGTAGCGACACCAGCGCTCCCACCAGCAACGGGCTCAAACAAGTAAGTAGCGACGTGTACTTGCTAAAGGTCATGACGGCTGGGAAGCGAGCGTGTCCGTTTCCTTGGCGCGTACGAGTATTCGTAGACTAGAAGGTATACGGATGAAGTTTGGGGGATCTTCGTTTCCCACCAAACGAATGATTTCTGCTTTTAGGACCTTCTATGCAGAAGATACACGATTCAATCCTTGTTGAACTTCGCTTTCCAGACGATAAACGCTTCGGGCTTCGAGGAGCTTCGTTTTCCAGAAGATAAACGCGCCACGAACAATCTCCACGCGACAGGTGGCTTCTGCTGGCCGCTCACTGTGTATGCAACGTCAGCAGCCTGTTCCGAGGTATCGCTAGACACGCTTGAACGAGTCGATTTCCGCACTACCTTGACGCTGGCAAGTCCAGTACGCATCAAGGGCTGGTCTATTGTCCGAGCGAGGTGGGCCTAACGGTCTGGCGGAGCAGCAGCAGCAGCAGCAGCAGCAGCAGCAGCAGTTGTTGTTGTTGTTGTTGTTGGTGTTGTCGTTATAGCTGGGCACCTGGAGAGCCGTCCCAGTACACCAGCGGCTGCCAGTACAGGGCGCTATCGACCGGATCGATCCGATACTTATGCTAGTACGGAATATTCGGGGGTATTTTTAGGTCGGGCACGAGTTTGAGAATATGCGAGAAAAGCTCCAGTGTAGAGGTTCGGGGTTCGAGGTCCAACGGGAGCTCCGAAGCGGCAAGGTTGCCGTAAACGCAGCGGCAGCGTGGGTGTCGCCGTCGTCTCCGCTGTCCTCTGTTGTTGTGTACGCGTACCAGGAGCACGCTGGTCGTTGCAGGGCACTCCCAGAGCCACCATGGAGAAAGCATAGGCACCGGGCTCGGTCGCTGCTCGTTTCAAGCTGGTACAACGATCACCCAGGAACGGGGCCGCGTGCAGTTCTCACGGGACGCCGGCGGAGCGCTTCGTCGCTGGATGCGAGCCCCGTTCGACAGCATGTGCTATCTGGGGGTTCTCGTGGCAGTCTGCGTACCCTGAAGCGGGTCTCAGGTGCGAGGCGACGCAGAGACGAACGTTGTTGTCATCATGAGGCGACCAAGGAGACCGCAGATCCCCTGGAACTTCCCCACGCCGGTGTTCATATGCCGAGCGTAGATCGTGGATTCTTCGAGGGCTGGTACGTCCGAATCGTGCTGCCCACAGAGGCGACTTCGCTGGCGTTCATGTACAGCTTGGAAGACGGTCGCAGGGGTCGAATACAGGTTTTGAGCTCTGGAGTGCAGGACGAGCTGCTTGTTTCGCGAGAAATGATGGATGGCTTTTTTCCGGCGCTGCGGCACCTGCCAACGTCGACGTTACGCATTGGTCAGTGGGGTCGAACGAGTGACCTCCTCAGCGACGAACGAGCAGAGCACGCGCGCTCCCTGGCCCCTAGTCTTTTCCGAGAACACGTGCATACGGGATATCAGCTCTCTGCTCAGTGGCATCAGGGCTCGATCCAAGCAGACGATGTGGATCGAGAGCGTTCCATGGTAGCGCACCTGAGCCCAGACATAAGTTGCGCTTTCGATATGCGAATCGAGCCGCTCTTATCGTGGGGTTCGGATGGTGCGCGCTCGACTGGAACCTGGCTCACGCGTTTTCAAGTCTTTGAACCAGGCTGGCAGATACTCTCTGCTTTCGCTCGATCCACTGGTATATTTCGGGACTGGCATGGTCGCGTTTTTCGCTTCGAGCGTGCACCCACGTATATCGAGAAGAACTGGGGCAGTGCGTTCCCATCGCGATGGTTCTGGCTGCAGTGTCACGTCTTTGACGTGCTCCGAGAGGACGCATCATCGCTGGAGCTGTCGTCCGCAGACATCGATGCACCGTTGACTTTGACCTGTGTGGGAGCGCGTCGAGAGCTCTGCTGGCCCCAGCGACCGAATAAGGTTGTAGCTCGGGAAACCATTGGTATCATCGCGTTCCACTGGAAGGGATATTTGTGGGAGTTCGCTGCTTGGAACTGCCGCCGCATATCCTGGAGTGTCCAGTGGGGCAACTGGCAGATGGAAGCGCACGGCACGCGCTATAGCGTAAAGGTCTCCGCTGAGACCGCTGAACCAGGGGCGTATGTACTGGGTCCGACCCGTCACGGCATGCAGTTTGTGGTAAGAGACGGTGCGCGTGGTACGCTTCGTTTGCAGCTGCGAGACGAGCAGGCAAACGTTGTGATTTTGGACGCACTCTGTCGCAACGCTGCTGCTGTCGAGCTTGGTGGCGAGCTGGCGTCGGACCCAAATGGAACGAGTTGGACGGCGGAGCGCGGAGCCTTTCCCCCACCGGTAAAGGCATTGTTTCTTATTGGCGAACGACCCGGGCGAGCCGTTCGCGTCTAGGATACCCGAGCGATAAAGGCGCCGGCAGCGTCGGTCGCCGCCTTGAGCTTCTTCTAAACTCCCTGTTGCCGCTACGTTCTTGCCGGATGCAAATGGGATACTGAAGTGCATGCCGTTTTCCTGTCCTGAGAGTTATTCCCCGAGAGGTTTTCAGATATACAGCATGGACGTTTGAAATGTTGCACTAGGGGCATACGGATTCGTAGATGGGTAAAGGATCCCATGTCATGTTTCCGGAGTGGCTCTTTATTCCATTTGCAGCCGGACTTGGTTCCAGCATTGGCATCAAGGTGGTTATCGATGCTCTAGAACAAGAGTTCGTAAAACAACCGATATCATGGCCCTATTCATAAGCTCAAGCCTTCATGTCTCTCTTTTCTTTAATTGTAGCAAGCGCAAGTCGCGCATTCGTCGAGGATTCGATTGGAAAAGCACCTTGGCAGAGCATTTCGTTTCACTGTATGGACGGGTAATACGAGAAGACGTCGCTAGACGTCTTTTTCTCAATCTCATTTGGAGTGTTCACTGAAAATGTCGAAAAATCGATTCCAAACGAAATGTATATCGCCATGTACTTGCGGGTATCGATTAGATGGCATTCGGCGGCGGCATGATATCCTTCAAGTGCGATGCATTCAAAGGCTCGCGTTGTTTCTGTTAGCATGGAAAAGGGTCTTGGATTCGGACATTGGTCATAAAAACGATTGCTCGCTGTGGAGTGTGCGTCACAGCTTTGTACGAGGTAAGCGTAGACAGATCGAGATAACTTGACTCGAATTCCTTTCTGGTACTTGTTTCATCACGGACGACAAAGTGTTCTCCAAATCCTCCATCGAATGAGACAGCATGCGCAAGCGTGTGCACCAGATCGAGAACTCAGCGAGAAAATCGCGGGGAAGAAGGATCTGATGGTCGTGAGCGGCAGCGAAGGCGCCAACGGATGAGGGCATCGAGGCGAGTCCCGTGTACCAATCGAGGGCGTGTATTAGGCATTGAAGCAAGCAGTCACGTGCCGTGGGGTAGCGCTCGAAAGGGGATGCAATGCGTTGGGCGTATGCGAACACCTGAACACGAACAAGTGTCACCGCTGCGCAGTTCGCATTGGCTCTGTATACAAACGAGATGTATATTGCATTCGATGCGTAGTTCATAACTTGCGACCGGGCATGCATCGTGCTGAAACTAGCCGCAAGCGACGAAATCGTGACTTGGACGCTGCCATGAACACGCTTCGCATGCCGAAAGCATAGCCGAAGGAAAAGGAGAGACAAACTTGCATGGTCCCCAAAACAAGTGAGAGAAAAAGGAAGTAGTAGCATAAAACGCCGGCCAAGTCGAGTGTTGATCATACCGGGAACATACCCAGAGGCTGTGGTGTGGATACCTATGTTCGTTATGGAGACGATTTCCAGTTCATCTGGACACAGATTTAAGCGCACAGATCAATCGCCGTTTTCATGACGTCCACGCGAAGATCGCTCTTTGCGATATCCGTCTTGTACGGCACCCGTGTGCACAGGAACGCATGGCGACGCGGTGGAGTTGCAGGAGGCTCCTGCACGATACCGCAGATGCATGGATTGCGCGGTTGCGTCACCGGAACAGCAGTGCTGCGCGAACACGAACATATATGGAATATCTAGTTGCAATCGCCCGTTTAGCATGAAAATGTACATATATAAAATATCTAGTTAAAATCGCCCATTTTGCACGAAGATAGATATATAGGATCAATTTTGTCCAACATGCCTTTTGAACAGGAACCAGATCCGCACTGGTCACGCGAAACACGCTCCATCACGATTCCCCTGCTAGCCGTATATTCCTGGTATGGCCACGGGTCCAGAGTTCGTGGTGATTGGTCACCGAAACCCCAGTATATCTTCGGAATCAACCTGGGATGAATATTTCGAGGACGTGAGCAGCTCAAGACCAAGTTGGGCGTGGTCGGAACGTTCGCCTTCGCTCTCAACGGCTACGAGTGAAACGGGCACGCTAGCCGGTGCGAGCACCCCGCTGGCAGCGTCTCTGGCGCGCCGCTACGAGTGGCACCGACTGCTGCTTACAGCCGCGGATGGAAGCGTTTTACTACAGCACAACTTTGAGAGCGAGTGGATAAAAACGGTTTGTGAATCGTACCAGACACTATTCCGGTCGAGAGAGAGTGCTATGCGCGCCGGCCTAGGGCTCGGCGCTCGCCACTACGACGTTCACTGTTGGTACCCGATGACGAGCGACCGGCAGGAGCCGCGCATTGCCCTTGTCTATGGGCGGCGTGGCACTGCCATTCAAGGGGAAGGGTTCGGTGTTGGGAAGCGCGAGGACGGCGTCGTGTTTTTGGTGGTATTTAGGTTTCCGCTGCTAACTGCTGAGGGCGTCACTGCGCTGCGCACTTTCCTTCGACGATTTCATCCGAATATGCTTCAAATGAACGATACTGATGCCGCTTCTGACTCAGTTGCCTGAAAAACAAAAGCTATCGCAGCTGCAGCGCAGCGATGCTGCTCGGAATCCAGAAGAATGGTTATACACAGGTGCCTCGCGTGTCAGGCCTGCCTCGCGTGCCAGTCGGAGCGCAGCCTACCCGTTATCATGTGGATGTAGGGCAGACGATTGCGTCGTCATGGTGGAACAGAAGACTCGCTTGCAAACGCGATCCATGCTCGGATCGGATCTGAAAAACTTTGCTGGGCCATGGAAGCGTCATCCAGAATCAGAATGCCTGGCAGACTCGCACGGCTTGCAGGGTAGTCGATGCGGTCCGCTTTGCTGGACCATCTCGCGGCAATAACATCGAGCTGCGTCCAGAGCAATGCGCTCGTATACGGATACGAGGCCTCGTACGGGAGCATACTGCCGTTCGGAATCGTGACCGTGTCGCGTGCCAGTGTCCTATGGTGGTACGTAACCACATAAAATCTCAACGCACATCCGCATGCGGAAATGGGGGATCATTGACGCCGAGAAAGCCACTGGTGCAGTGCGCGTTAGATGTTCTGCAAATGCAGCCACGAATACGCCACAGTCATTTCCATTCGTCTGCAACGGCACCGATTTAGGCACAGTGAGCGTCCAAGCCTGCTCGTCAATGCGTAGCTGCAGCTTGTCCATGGCCTCGTCGCAGAGCCACCGGCGAAGCGTCTGTAGGACACCCTTACCGGTACCGCCCATGCTGTCATAGTAGGTCAGCTTGCGGCTATGTGGCTCAATGAGCGCGAGTGTCCAATGTGTATTGCTCAAGTTAATCGGCACCAAAACGCGATCAAGTTCGAAAACGTTCACACTTCGAGTCCACCGACGAACGCCATTGTAATCATATGCATCGCCGAGGCGATCGCTGTTGCACAGACGAGTGTAGAAGAAAGTCGAGAATATGGCACAGCGAGGCCACTGGCGACGCGTGCCTTCTCGGGTCTGGCGCTCCATGAGCAAACCCTGACAATATGCGTTCAGAATCGCGTCGTTCAGCCATCCTCCAGGGCGTAAGCGGAGGAGATCACTTCGAGTCAGTTTGAAGCCCTCATGAGACACAAGAGGCTCGCGCACATCGAGCCCCGAGTTCCAGGCGATCTCCAGAACCCGATGGGCCACGTCAGTTACCGGGCTCGTCAAACTCGAGCACTTTTGCAAGGTGGAGATGATTTCCGCACGAACTGGCCCTGCTATGAGATTTTCGGATTCAGTTCGATGGAGCGCTTTGTTGCCCTTATCAGGAATCATAACGTGCATTCGTCGCGACGGATCCGCTGAGGTATTCCAGCGCTCATGCGCAGCAGCAGCAGTAGCAGCAGCAGCAGCGAGATCACGTTCATCAACCGTGGATTCATCGTCGGAGATGTCGATAATTTCCACCACTTGCGCCTCGCTCTCCGGTGACTGCGTGTGCGCCTGCGCCTCGCTTCGGCTCCGCTCATCATGCTTTTGCGTCCCCAGGCGCCTGGTGTAGTCCAGGTAGGAACTGAGCAGCGCTGCACTAGCGCGCAGTCGAACGAGGCTAGTGTCTGGAGAGACTCTGTCTACGTCTCGGGAACGAGCATCGGGGTATTCTTGTCGGAGCACCGCTGGCGAGCTCGTCCTGGATGCCGCGGTAGTAGTTTCGGTCCGGAACGCCGGTTCACGAGCATACGACACGGCGGGCGGCACGCTGGACTCAAGTCTTGCAAGTCGTCGCAACAAGCGCTCGCGCTCTGCCGCAGACTCTCTCCGCCTCGATCGGGACAAGTTCTCATGAACAAGAGTTTCGGCGCTCATATCTCGATAGCCAACGTCGTCCGTCGAATTTGCACCAAGACCTGGCCGCCGAGAGTGCACAGCGAACACGCTAGAGACCGGGATCCGCGCAGGCACTGCAAACCTTTTCGAACTCTCATGATTATCGCCCTCTATTGAATCTTTCGTTTCATCTGGCTTGAGCACTCGATTATCCCCATATGCCGAACCTGTACATAATAGCGCTGCGGCCTCTGACCGTCCGACCGCCGAAAACCGCGCATCTTCGGCACCACTTGCGCTCAACGCTCCAAATAGACACGTGTTTGGTACGTACTCTGTGTCTAGTGACCGCCAGGCGTTTTCAACCACACAAGTCGACGCTGGCGCTTCACGAACACGGAGCTGCGGGAACACAGCCGCCTCTCGGCGTGCCGGTTGCACGTCGCGGGTGTTAGCGCTCGTTTCTGCCGTCCCCAGAGTCGTGGCGTTGCACGCCTGCGCCTCCTCAGGGCGCCATACCCAATCACCTAGCACTCTGGAAATGGCTGACCATAAAGTCCAGGGCATTCGACACGTTCCGCTCAAGTACCGAGCGCGGTAAGCGCCCTACAGTTGAGGCAGCTGCACGCACGCACGCACGCACGCACGCACGCACGCACGCACGCACGCACGCACGCACGCACGCACGCACGCACGCACGCACGCACGCACGCACGCAAGAGAACATACAATCTGCGCGCGCTGGGCGCTCGTCGATCGATACGATTGCTGATGCCACCGGCGCTAGGTTCATAAAGATACAAGTATATACAAGTTCATACTCTATGCCGCCGGATGCCTGCCTTGTCGACGGGTCGGCAGCGATCGCAAGACGCTCGACTTGAATGCGCGCTTTACAGGGCGCGAGCTCGAATGGTAGCAGAGGCGCGTCGGCGCGGCCTTGAAGTGCCCTTCACGACTACGTTGCATTCGGTCAGATTTCTCGCGAAGCCAGGCAACGGAGCGGATCGCGGCACCGTTCCAGACCACGCACGCAAGTTGCCGAGCGCAACCCAATCTGCATCGTTTGTGCGTATTTCCATGTGATCGTAGCGTTCCGCAAAGTTTCTATGCGCCATTTTCGAGGCGTTGATGCAGCCTCCTGGTGGGCGTTTCGAGCACTGCGCACCGCTGGGGGGTACCGCTCGACGCGGACGAAGCGACGCGCGGCTCGTTTGATCTATATCTAAACGGTACAGGCTTTTCACTAAATCTCCTCAATATACCATTTTGTTCAGAAGTTGGATGGATGCATCTGCCAGTGCAGATGTTGAGCTGCGACACCAATGCCCGCTAGACGTACTGCGAGATTTTGCGGTCAGTGTGTGCGCATGCCAAAGCCTGGAGCCACAACGCGTACGCTTCTGCGCTTCCTTTTGAGAACTGCTCCATGTCGACTGATCCCGGCAACGTCGAGCGTCCCGTGGACTCGAGGCTACAGCGGGCGCGCTGCAGCGACGGCACCGTCGGAGCGGGTGCCGTCTGCGGCGGCGCAGCGCCTCCTAGACCTAGAGGCCCGTTACGGTGCAACGAACTATGCACCACTGCCAGTGGTGATCGCTCGCGGCAAGGGTGCACGTGTCTGGGACGTTGATGGAAAATCATACATAGACTGTTTAGCCGCGTACTCTGCGCTGAACCAGGGCCACTGCCACCCGCGGCTGGTGGCAACACTGGTGGAGCAAGCCGCAACGCTCACGCTGACGTCGAGGGCCTTCTACAACAACGTCCTGGGCGAGTTCGAACGCTTCATATGCGAATATTTTGGCTATGAACGCGTTCTACCGATGAATACCGGCGTCGAGGCCGGCGAGACTGCGGTGAAGCTCGCGCGGCGTTGGGCCTACGACGTCAAAGGCATCCCTCGCTATGGAGCAAAAGTTGTTTTTGCAGAGAATAACTTTTGGGGTCGCACTTTAGCTGCAGTTTCGTCCTCGACGGACCCCGAATCGCGCGGTGGCTACGGACCTTTCATGCCGGGTTTCGAAATCATCCCATACGACAACCCTGAAGCGCTCGAACAGCTTCTTGATAGGGATCAAAATATCGCGGCGTTTATGGTGGAGCCCATCCAGGGAGAGGCTGGCGTCATCGTTCCCCGCCCGGGATATATGCGTCGAGTGCGTGAACTCTGCGACCAGTACGGTGTGCTGCTGATTGCCGACGAGGTGCAGACGGGCCTCGGGCGTACCGGCAAGTTGCTGTGCTGCGACCACGACGGCATCCGTCCGGATATTCTCGTTCTCGGCAAGGCGCTCTCGGGTGGCATGTATCCGGTATCCGCAGTTTTGGCGAGCTCCGAAATCATGCTCACGATCAAACCTGGACAGCATGGATCGACGTATGGAGGTAATCCACTGGGGTGTCGGGTGGCTATGACAGCACTGGAGGTGCTGCACAATGAAGGTCTGATCGAGCGGGCGGCTCATTTGGGAAACATGTTCCTGCGCGGACTTTCGGAGATCAAACAGGAGTCCGCGGGTTTGATCACGAACGTGCGGGGCCGTGGTCTTCTTTGCGCACTCAGCATAGCTGAGAACTGGCGACCCGGTTTGAACGCAACCAAGCTCTGTCTGCATCTGATGGAAAACGGGATGTTGTGCAAGCCGACCCATGGAGATCGTATTCGATTCGCGCCTCCACTTGTTATTGAGGAAGCAGAGCTCATGCGATGTTTGGAGATTCTGCGCACGACAATCAAAGCGCTCTAGAACAGCAAAGAGCAACTTCAGCATGCGTTTCACCGAATGTGATCGGTGCAACTTCAGGCAACATCCACGGTGGTCGTTTCGCGAGTCCGTTTCACCGCTTGGTACCGAGCTGGTGCGAGCGCTGAAATAGGCTCTCGAGCCCAGACGCCACCATGCGTCGGCATGCGCCGACTGTACCAAGTCAGCGCACGGAACAAGCTGTAAGGGCGTCTCAAGTCACGAGTACACCCGCATGTGCTAGGCATTACGTGGAAACGCCCTCGAAAACGGCTTGGTAGCACTTGAACTATCGATCAACGGAGATATCGACTGTGAATCCGTACCGTCATTTTCACATGAAGAGGCTTTGGTGTGCAGCGCTCATGTAGACGCTCCACATTACGGACACTCGCTGGACACACAATCGTTTGAGATGCTGCGTCTGGCGGTGCCAGTAATGACAACCCGTGCCAAGCGCTTCCGTGCCCCTGGTGTCTAGGATCGTCCGATCCAATGAGGAAACTGATAAACGCCGAACGCCTTCTCTGAGACAATGATTTGTTCCAAGAAAATGCACTTGTTCGATAAAAGTGCAGGGATCATATGCATGCGCATGTGCTTCGCTGGCGACGCCTTCCAACCCGGATACACCCGTCCATCGCATCGGTAGCAGGTCGCAACGCGCTCGACTTGGCATGCCGCGAACGTCGCTTTACCAGCGCGCTAGACAACTCCATGAACAATCGTTTACCAAAGGAGTTTGAGCGGAAGGCTTCGCACTCGAGGCAGCATCTCCGTAATGGCGCGTCGGCACTGTAGTTGCACTTGATCCGGAGGTTGCTCCGCAGAGATGCGCACCCAGTTCTCGCTTTGAAATAGACGGTCCAGAAAGAACTGGCGAACTCGCTGTTGAATCACAAGTTGCTCGTAGCGTTCTTCACCAAAGTTCCCGCGCTTCGAAGCGAGCTGCGGGTCCAGGTCCAGAAACAAGACCAAGTCTGGTGACGGTAGGCCGCGATCCGCTGCCAGGCACCATTCGGGATCGAGTCCCCGTGCTGCTACGGAGAATGCTACTCCAGAGTACGCATAACGATCGAGAATGACATGGGATCCGCTATCTAGGAGCTGCCAGAGTTCCTCAACGCGCTCCCAGCGGTTTGCTGCGAACAACAGGTGTGCTACTTGGCCAGTGAGCTCTGTACTGCCGCTTAGGTAGGTGTCGAGCAGCCGACCCGTGGCTGAGTGCCGGTTCGGAAAGTGCCACAGCACTGCTGGTTCACGAAGAGTTTCTCGTATCCATTGAAGAGCTTGCTTCGCCTGTGTGCTCTTTCCAGCTCGATCGCCGCCTTCGAACGCAATAAGCGTTCCCCGGGTCCCGTTCATTGTGAGACTGTAGCTGAAAGTGGCACTCAACGCACACCAGGAACAGCTCTGGTGCGTACCACAGTGGCGGTGACGGAAACGAATACGTTTCCTGGTCTGTAACTGGCACCCAAGTGACAGAAACGATGTCACTGTCTCTTGAAACGCCAGGCGACCGCCACCACGAAAACACCGTTTCTGCTTCGTTTCCCTGGTGCTTTTGCGTTCGATTTCGTGCGGGATACGTTGAGAATAACGCACCCCAGGGCACGTTCTGTTTGCCCGCAGGAGAAATCGGGTTGTTCCGAGAGCCAGGCCTGGATGAACACCGTCTATCGAGGAGAACGAACAGCGTTTCGCGTTTACTCAAGGACTTGCTCTTCCCGGCACTGGTACTGGCATTGGAGGCGTGCGCGCAGGAGGACAGTTGCAGCTCTGTTACGTTGGGCGACCTAGAGCAAAGCCAGAGTCTTGTTCGTACACTAGGATAAACCAGTCAACGTGAAGCGCTGCAAGACTCGACGGCGTAGAATATGGTCAGCGTTGAAACACAGTTGCAGCTCTGTTACGTTGGGCGACCTAGAGCAAAGCCAGAGTCTTGTTCGTACACTAGGATAAACCAGTCAACGTGAAGCGCTGCAAGACTCGACGGCGTAGAATATGGTCAGCGTTGAAACACAGTTGCAGCTCTGTTACGTTGGGCGACCTAGAGCAAAGCCAGAGTCTTGTTCGTACACTAGGATAAACCAGTCAACGTGAAGCGCTGCAAGACTCGACGGCGTAGAATATGGTCAGCGTTGAAACACAGTTGCAGCTCTGTTACGTTGGGCGACCTAGAGCAAAGCCAGAGTCTTGTTCGTACACTAGGATAAACCAGTCAACGTGAAGCGCTGCAAGACTCGACGGCGTAGAATATGGTCAGCGTTGAAACACAGTTGCAGCTCTGTTACGTTGGGCGACCTAGAGCAAAGCCAGAGTCTTGCTCGTGCACTAGGATACACCAGTCATCGTGAAGCGCTGCAAAAGTCGACGGCGTAGAATATGGTCAGCGTTGAAGTGTCCTTGCGAGACACCGCGGTCCAGGCGGTACCTCGCTCTCCTGCAGGCGTTGCCTTACGCTCGCAACAGTAGCCAAGGCTTCCGGAGGCGGGCGCGGTTGCACTCCTCGAACTGTGACGCTGACTCGCGTCGAAACGTTTGCACGGGCGCTATATATAGCGACTCTTTAGGTTCGATGAAGGCTGCCTAGACCAGCCGCAGCGTGTGCAAGAGATGCCCGCGTGTGGCTCCTGGGACGCCTCGTCGCCTCGCTACAGGGATGCACTTCGTTCGCCGTGCACCTCCTGCCAAGGGAATGTGCTCGCAAGCTGCGACCCGCGCTAACCGCGTGAGCTGCAAGGCAACAAAAGTTTTCGACGGGTCTACAGCGACACGCCTCTCATGTTCCGCAACTGCGGGGCACTATGATCGCTGTGTCAGTACTGTCGCAGCGCTCGCGGTTTACCACCGAGTGCGCTCAGCCATAGCAGTCTCGTCATGATTCAACTGCGGCAGACGCGTGGAAGAAACCCTCCGATGCTACCCACTGTGCTCGCAGCTCAGGTTGTCGAATGGATTTGCGCTCTAAACAAACCACTTCAGCGTGATTCTCTAGAGGATCATGATAACGCTGCTCCCCCAGAACCGAAAGATACATGGTCTCTGTATCAACATGACGTAGGTAAACGGTCTCGTTGCGAGCCCAGAAGACCGCCCCTTTCGAGATACATTCAACTTGCCAGTGATCCCCCGAGTCACCACTGCCCTCAGCGGACAGCGAAAATGCGCTGACCTCCTGGGAGCCAGTCAACGGTGATGCCAAACGATGGCTGTGTAAATGCGTCCGCGTTACCACATGCTCCAGTCGAATGAGGTCACCACAACGAACACGCCGCATGCCTTTCGACTCCGCGAAAAAACGCCCGCCGCTTTGCTGGGGAGCTTTGATCAACCATAGCGCACGATCATCATCGAGGTGTCGTTCGACTGCAGTTACGGTTTGCTGCTTCGAACCTGTCCCGTACGCAACCTCCTGGGAGTGCAGTCGAAGGCCCGTCAGCGGGTGCTCCAGCTTCACCACTGAGGCGTACGTTATGTATTCAAAGCCGGGCTCAAACGCTGGAGTCGTTGTTTCTGCTTTGGTTCGCTTTGCGTGTACCGGCAGGACGAAGAGCAGTAATAGTAAGCACATAAGAAGAAACTTCGTAGCAGAGAAGCATCGGATCCAACTACAAACCTTGGCTGCACACACATGCTCTTGATGCAAGCGCTTCCCACAGCGTTGACAGCGCTCGGGGCGCTTCCGCTGCATTCACAAGCCCTCGGAAAGAAAACCGTCGAACTTAATGCTCTCTTGATACACAACCAGGACGTTGCAGAAACACGAATACTCTGAACGTTCACAGATCGAAAGGTCAAACGCTCTCTAACCTGGCAACGCGTCTAGGGAACACCGCACCTGTGCCTACCCAGTCCGAGAACGAAGCGCGCCTTGCACCAGCGCCCTCGGCGCGGCGCTACGCGACTTTTTCTCGAGAGCGCTCAGTTCTCAGACTGGGTTGGTGACGCGGTCATGTTCCGCTCCTGGCGGAATAGACTGCGGGAACTGGGGCAGGAGGCGAAGCGTGCAGCACAATGGAGTGTTTCTGAGGCCAAAGCGAATAGCACCGGCCCGGTGAACGTTCGGAACGTACTGAGCCGGTGGGAGCACGTCGGGCAACGGCTAGCTACATTCGGTGAGCGCTTTCAGCGACTTAGCTTTGCTGGAGCCACGCTATACCAGATGTTGCATGATTGGGTTGGATTCGAAACGTCGATAGAGCGTATTTTGAGGAGCATGCAGGAGTTTATGGCAAACTGGCGCGACGCAGTACCCTCATCGCCGTTTGTCACAGAGCCCGGTACCAGCGCATCGAACATGGAACCGGACGCTACACGACGGGCGCTCTGGGCGCAATGGAACGAGTGTCAGCTGGACCTTGAAGAACGAGTGCTGCGCGTGACTGAGAAACGTCTCCGGCTGCGGGTTCAGCAGCCGCTAGCGATGGCACTCAATGAAGGTCAGGCGCTCCTCGAGGGCGTCCTTGGCTTGGTCGAAGAGATTCAACAAGCACAGGCAAGTTTGCGGCAGCTAAGTATGCAGAGTGGTGCATATGGGTACGTTGGTTCTGTGGAAGAAGTCTATAATAGTGTGATGGGACCTCTCTTGGGCAAGTGCGAGGAAACCTGTGTGCACCTCGAAGCGTGGATTCTGGCCCGCTCGGAGCTACTACCGAGTTGCCTCACAGAGCTGCTCGAAATTCAACGACAATTTTATGCAGCGGCCTCTTTTGTGGTGACGGAGCAGCACCGCCTTCATGGCGATGATTCTTCGAAGAAGGCTGCGACGCGGAACAGGCCGAACAGGAGGCTTGATTCGTGCGGGAATCCCGCTGGTGCTGGAACTGGAGCTGGGACTGGAGCTGACGGGGGCGCTCCATCCAATGAGGCCGCTCTCGGTCGGTCTGCTCTGCAGCGCCTTTCGACTCGGAAGCAGATGGAACGATCCACGGCGACCAAGCCGGAAACGTTATGGCAAACATTACACGAGAAATGGCGCCCTACGCCGACAACTGGCGCATCCGAATTGGATGCAAGTTCCTTGGATACTGCTTTTGAACGAGGACTGGCCGTAATGACGGACGCTGGAGCAAGCACAGCCGCCGCACCAGTGGCTGACGTCGTGAGCTCTCGAGGAAACGCCCGGGCAGGGTCATTATCGTCGCCGCCGTCGACATCGACTTGGCCTGCTGGCCATTGCGCAGAGGATCAGACGTGCACAGCAAGGCCTAACGCTCCCAAGGGACCACTCGAAGATCAGCTTGTGGATATTGAGGAAGAGTCTGAAGACGTGTCACAAAGCGCCCCTGCTCAGGCAACGGCGCATCACGCCCCGGCTGGAACACCAGCGGAAGCACCTGCGCTGCATCCTGCCTCCAGCTCAAACGCTGTGTCAGTAGCGGCTGCTACCGCGATGGATAGCGGTGCACAGGAGGCAAGCCCCTGGGATGAGGTTAATGAAGTCGTCGACGATCCACAGCGTGTCCGGGCTTCCAATGCTGCCACACCCGAACAATTTCTCCAGGCGACTCGCAGGAGCAACGGCAACAGTACAGGCAGCAGCAGCAGCAGCAGCACAACCGCTGAGCGGCGTAAGCATGCGATACGCTCGACCCCCACTGCACATGAAGCTCGTGAACGATACACGGCGGACAGTAGTTCGGTCACGATCGAAACAGAAACCTCCACTGGTTACCGTGAGGTCACCTCTGGGACACGGGAAACTTTGGAGCCGCAAGATGGCACCGCTACCCCAGAAGTCATCTTTGTCGTCGAGCAACGCATCAGTGAATGGACGCGAAACGGATCGCGAGCACATAACATTCGAGCGCTTCTGAGCACTTTGCACGAGATTCTAGGTGAGGACTCTGGCTGGGAGCGTCTCACTGTGCAGGCTTTGCTGGATGAACAGCAAGTGAAGGTCGCGTATCGGCGAGCGCTGCTCTTGACACACCCCGACCGCGGGGCGGCGAACGACATCCGCCGCCCTGCCGAGCGACTCTTGCGGGAACGTGTTTTTGAGACGTTGCGAGCAGCCTACAAGTCGAACTCTATTGCGTAGAGCGGTGATCGATTTGGTAACGCGAACTTTGCGTCCGATTTCCCGACAGCTTGCGCGCCGAAGCTACCGTCAGTCCACATGAATTGATTCTCGACGGGCCACAGAAGCACACCGGTATGCGGATACGCGCTATCGCAACGATCGGGTGGTTGCTTAACAACACCGCCTTGAGAGCGGCCGGAACGCTTTCGAGGTTGCACCGGATGTGTGCTGCCTCTCGAGAGGAGCGTTCACGTCACGCATCACGAGAGCAATTCATATCAGCTGGTGTTTCGCTTTGATGGAGCAATGCAAACAGTGTCCGGAAGAGGAGATTTCCACGATTTCCATGATTACGGGTGCGATGGCTATCGTCATCGACATAACCGGCGTTTGCTACCGAGGCCCGTTCGATCAGGCTGGATCGCCGACTCTTGTGCTGCTCGGAAAGCGCTTCCTGTTTTGCGCGATGCTCTACTACAGGTCCCTGTGACTGTCTAAAGACTAGTGCATCGTCATCGTCATTCGAAGGACCCACTCGGGTACGCCGCGAGATGTTCAGAGCGCGTCGCTGTATACCAGATGAGAATCGGTACGTGGAACTCACGCTTTTTCGGAGCTGCATCCGTTTGGAGTGGCGCTGTCGTTTGCGTTTTGCATTATGGAGTATAAAACGCTCCGGGTTCAGAGTCGGTAATGCAGTTGGGAATGCGTTACCGGCATATAAGGCGCGCTGCGTCCAAGAACGAAACGCCCAACATTGGCTGTAGCCAGGCTAGGAGTCTCCAGTTCAGAAGGATTCTCTTTCGTGACACTCTACTTGGCTTAGTCGAAATGGTGTTGGCCTTCTATCGATATCGTTCCTGCCAGTGACTCGGACTAGATCCTCAGAAGCACGTACCAAGTACATACACACACGAGTACAAGATCTCCATGTTGTTGGTCTATTCGTCGCTCAGTGCGGGACACGACGCACCGCAAAGACTGGCATACTCTGAGGTGTGCGAACGAAAACATTGTAGCAATTTCTTTAGGGCTTATAAACACGGTGACTTGAAGCCCGGAGTTCTATGAAGGCGATATAGCGACCCCGCATACCATTGAAGCCGTATTCTCAGCTAAGTACGTGTGGAGTGCTGCCCGAAGCGTCCGCAGCGAGCGCGTTCTGAGATCCGGAGACGACGCATCGAAGCACAAGTTGCCATCGTGTCGAAGAACTTGCACCAGCGAGTGTCCAGGGCCCAGTGCCCTCTGCTCGTAGACAGATGCCGCTTGCATAGGCTTCTCATATGCTCGCGAATGCAGCAACAGATTGTAGATGGCAATGACTCGTATATTCCACCGACGAGGCGGGATTCCACAATTGCCCTGTGTGCTTGTGGAGGTCGTCGAGGCACCGAGCATCGGCAGAAAGGGCCTCCGACACTGTGCTCAGAGCGCTACGAACATCGGCGTTCGCAGTGAATGTGCCATTGCTCTGCGTATACTGGGCCTCCGAATGGGCGAGTGCTCGACTCAATGCCCAGTGGATAAGCAGGGTCCTTAACGCGAGACGTGGGGTCCATGCACTACATGCACACAGTGACACTTTCCGGTGCTTTGTGGCTGACGCGATAGTCGGTCGATATTGGAAGTCATGTATTTTGAAAGACGTCTGTAAACACTGCGATCAATCGCGAAAAGTATCCCTGTCCAAGGATGTCTCCGTGAACCCAAGAGCGATCGAAATGTTATTTATTTAGAAACAGTATTTTCAATACCTGCTCCCTCCATATCCTATGAAGGAAATACACCGCATCACACGTGCTCTAGCAAATGGAGCAACTCGTAAGAAAGCACCTCGAAGCACCTGCGGTTGCAATCATTTCGCAACAACATTTTCAGTACCCGCTTCCTCCGTACCGTATGAAGGAAATACACCGCATCACATGTGCTCTAGCAAATGGAGCAACTCGTAAGAAAGCACCTCGAAGCACCTGCGGTTGCAATCATTTCGCAACAACATTTTCAGTACCCGCTTCCTCCGTACCGTATGAAGGAAATACACCGCATCACATGTGCTCTAGCAAATGGAGCAACTCGTAAGAAAGCACCTCGAAGCACCTGCGGTTGCAATCATTTCGCAACAACATTTTCAGTACCCGCTTCCTCCGTACCGTATGAAGGAAATACACCGCATCACATGTGCTCTAGCAAATGGAGCACCTCGTAAGAAAGCACCTCGAAGCACCTGCGGTTGCAATCATTTCGCAACAACATTTTCAATACCCGCTTCCTCCATACCGTATGAAGGAAATACACCGCATCACATGTGCTCTAGCAAATGGAGCACCTCGTAAGAAAGCACCTCGAAGCACCTGCGGTTACACAAAGCATCGGATCGCGTCGACCGGTGCGCGGCAGTGCGCTTCGCGGAGCGCGCATGAAGGTTGGCTTCACCAGCGCTCGCCGGTTCGCAGCAAACGAAGAGGACCCTAAGAGTACATTGATGTTGCCCATGTTCGCCCCTGTTTTACAGGGGCAAGTCATTTATGCGGGATATCTATTCCCACAGGAAAGGATAGTACAGAAAAGAACGGTATTGCAGTGGAGCAGTCGCGTTCCGAGGACGCTTACCCCAAGGCATGCTCGAGGGCGTGCCTGGGAGGTGCGGCCCATTCAGCATCGCCCACTAACACGCTCTTCTTTCGCAGCGGCACCAGTAGCTTTCAACCAGCGCTCACTGCGTCGCTCTCTGCACCACGTTGCTCTACAGAGGAATACTAGCACGATCTTCGCGGTCGTTTTGCCTGCATTCCAGTGGAGCGCTGATGTTACAGACGGCGGGGGTTCGGACCCGCCAGACGCGAGCGCAGAGGCAGCTGCCATGGGCGCTGCTCAACGGCCACCACAACAGACAAGTCAGCCCACACAGGCCGCGGAGAGTGATACACAGCGGAGAACGCTGCGAAGTACACCGGTGCCCACCGTGGTGCTCAGCGGGCTAGATGATATCGCGCGTTTGCGACTTTTAGGAACGTTGCTGGAGCAGTTGCTGCAACGATCGCCGCAGCCGGAGGAGCGCCCGCCGCGCGTGGGCGTGCTTTTGCCGGCAACACTCGCAACTCGGCTGGGACTCGTCTGGGATGAGGATGAAGCTGGCTGGCTGGTTAATGCATCGCTGTGCACGGAATCTCTGCCTTCATCGTTGTGCTCCGCGTTAATCGGTACCCATATCTACTTTGAAGTTCTCGACAACTGTGTGAACCAGGATGAGCTCGGACCCAAAATTGACCAGTTGATGAGACGACGAGCTCGCACGCCAAGAGCTAGTCAGGCGCAAAGCGGGTCCGCGGTACAGAGCGCTGCGGATCAAACAGTGGAAGCTGCACCCAGCCCTGTGAATCTGTTTCAGGTCCAGGCAGCGTACGGTGTGGACTACCTCATCGTCTGCAGCCCTGAAAAAGAGGAGCCATATGCCATCGCCGACAGTCTTGCGCATGTTGAGTGGCCGCTGCAGCTTCTTGCGCTCGTGAGCGTCATCGATGCAGCGGCGGCTGCGGAGGTATTCGCACCGACGCTGCGACAACAAGAAACGGCGTCTGTCGCGTATAGCCCTGAGAATACAGCGCAGACGTCGCCGGCTTCGGAACGCATCCCAACGACAGCGACGGGTATAACTGGCGGGACTGGACTGGAAATCAGCCACAACGACGCTGACCAAGCGCTCGCGACGAGCGATACCGTGGAGACTTCGCGGGACGGCTCAAGTCCATCCCGAGGTACGCTGCTGCACGAGAAGAAAACTGCATCGCGCGTGGAAGCTGGAGATGTAGGTGCAGGCGACAACGATGGAGCGTCAGCACGACGGCCACCCGCTATGGAGCGGGAACGGGGATCAGCAAGTAACGCACAGGCTGATAATTTGGTGCAGCTCCTGGTGGATCAAATAGAGTATGCGAACCTTGTCGTCGTGTACAACCAACAACAAATGCCTGGTCGGGAGACAGATGCGGACGTGCGGCCGATGCGCAAGTCGCAGGACGCAAGTCCTGATCCCGAGGTCCGTACAGCCCCGACGCCCTCTTTCCAGAACCTACTTCGTTATCTTCGACTCTTGAACTGCGAGGCTCAGGTGATTCTCATGCACGCGAATACTGAATGGCCACAAACACTCCTGGAGCGCATTCTCGAGCGACCGTTTGATCCGGAGCGGATGCTCTGGATGCCGACCTGGCGCCGGGTTCTTGCTTCTTTCGCTGCGACGGAACTGACGAAAACTTCCCAGAAATACGGTTCCGCATTGCCAGAGAACAGAGCACAGAGTACGGGAAAAAGTTCAGCAAAGGCTGGACCATCTGTAGGCACGTCAACAGCGGCTGCAACGCCAGCCACCAGAGCGACGGTACCCGAGACGTCAGCGGCGTCAGCGTCACAGGAGACGACAGCTGCCACCGCATCCTGGGGCGCTGCCTCCGCACCCGATGCAGGTTATGATCCGGGAAAGGCAGCGGCACCCAAGGGCCCCGGAGCAGCGACCGGAGGCAGTGCCACGCACCCCGCTGCTCCTGCGGTGTCGTCAGCAGCAGGTACCGCGCGACCTATTTGGGACTCGCGGTTCAGCAACGAGCAATTCCTCGCGACGCTGTACAGTGGAACGCGACCATGGGAGCGAGGCTTCAGCACGGAAACCGTGCGACCCGAGACGAGTTTTCTTTACAGAGCGAACCGTCCTTTTCATCCGCGTCGCCTATTTGACAAGATCAGTGACATTAGCACCTTCCACGGTGTCTTGCGCTCTGTCGGAAAACTATGGTTAGCAAATCGGATGGACAGTTTTCTCGAATGGAGCCAGGTCGGAAACAATATAACCCTGAAACGTGGGCAAAGATTTCTCGTTACCCTACCGCTGGAACAGTGGCCAAGCGCCCCGAACTCGCAAGATAGAATGCGACCGCTGCAATGGGATGAGCGCTTTGGCGATCGCTGCAGTGAAATCGTGTTTCTCGGGGAAGATCTGGATGCGATGCGGATTCAGATAGTGTTGGATGAATGTCTCCTACGCGACGAAGAGCTCGTCTTTACGGAAGCCTGGAGCGAGTTTGAAGACCCCTTCGAGTCGCTAGTACCGAACACGGACAGCACACGGGCCGGCGGAAAGACCCCGCCAGCCGCTCAACCGCCCTCTTTTGTCGAGCGCCTTTCATCGCGAGTCGCACCGCCGTGGATACTCATCACGGGTGAAGCAAAGCGTTCAGAAGCAAACAGCGAACAGAACGAGCGTATACTTGTTCCGGGAGATGTTGAACCACTACCCGCGAATGAGGGTATTCTGGCAGTCTGCGGCTTGCCAGGGGCGGGCAAAACCTCGCTGGTTGGAGCGCTGAACGCCCACGAGGACCTGCTGGCGTGGCGACTTGAGCCACCAGGCCCGAGCACTCTGCTGCAACGCCAGCGGCTGGAAGCTGTCAGCGAGGCAGCGCTCGCTAGCCGTCTCGAATCGCACCCGCGTCCGTTCCGCTTAGCCCTAGAGACGGACGAGCCGCTTGACGGCGTCGATGCTGTTGTGTGTGCGGTGGATTGCCTCCGTTTCCGGTCGCAAGACCATATCCAGCAGCAGCTTGTCGCCAGTGCGGACACAGTCGTATTTACCAAGTCGGACGTTGTACCTGCGGAGCGTTTGCAGCAAATCCTGGAACACGTCTGTGGATGGAATCCGCACGCCAGGGTGATATGTGCACCCTACGGCCGGCTGCAGCCTGCAGCAATCTGGGTACGCAGGCGCAATCGACCTTGGCTGCGTGAAGCAGAAGCGACGACGACGACGACAACAACAACAACAACAGCTCCCACTCATGATGCCGATTCGCGTGTACTGCCGCGCCTCACCGCACAGGCGATGCAGGACGCTGCACCTGCTGGCGATGCACACCGTCCAGCGGCTGCGAACAGAGGCAGGCTATTCCGCCGCCTCCACCTCCAGCGAACAATGCCAATCGATGTGGCAGCTTTCATGGATCTTTTGCGGGCTTTAGAACCTTTCACAGAAACGCTTTACGCTGTCGGCATCATGCGTCCCGCTAATGCGCCTAGCCCCCTCCTCCTTACACTGGATGGTGTTTATATGCGCATAGAGTCGCACGCACCAGCGTCGATAGCATCTTCACTAACCATGGATTTGGTGTTGTATGCGGACGGCATTCAGGCAGAGGATCTGGGATCCTTTTTCGATCGAGTTCACGCGGGAACGCTGACCTCCTAAGCGTTCACGCCTGGGCGCGTTTCGCTTCCTCGATGGCTAGCGCCCGCCGTCGTTTCTCTAACTTGTGGGTACTTTTGATTCCGAGCACACCACCACCCCATTGCCTTCGAATCTCTTCGTATCGGTCATTAAAGCGCATTTTGCACACTTCGATGATTTTCGAGAGCTCCGCGCGGTCTCTGTCGTGGACACCGGTGACGGCCAGACACGTCGCCGTTTTCAAGTGCACCAGTGCGCCCAGACGCGCCTTGCCCTTCACGATGACGTAGGGGATGTCGAGTTTGCGGCAGAGTGCTGGCATCCACATGACCAATTCGATTGGATCGACGTCGTGCGCGATGATCACGAGCTTGGCTTTTTTCTGTTCGATCAAGTCGGTTACATGGTTGACGCCGTGCTTCACGAAAATAGGCTTGGGGGTGTCAGGTTTCGTCTCACCACGCTCCGCGGCTTGTTGTAAGCGTTGTCGCTTGGCGACTTTCTCCTCAGGCCGGTAACGTTCTAGTAGACGGAACAGCGAGTCCGTCAAGTTCTTGTCCGCAGTTTTCTGGAACTGGGCAATCGCCGGCGGTACCTTCAGCCTCTGAAGAAGGATTTTCCGCTGTCGCTGGAGGCGAACATAACGCGGCCAGCGCACAAAACGTGAAAGATCGCGCTTTGGTTGGATACTCTGACCAATCCCAAAGTTTTTCGGGCGCCGTTCGAACAGCGCTTCGGCGATGCTCTGCCTCTTCGACGCTTTCTCTGTCATGACGAGCGCGCCTGCTCTTTACTGGGTCAGGACGTCACGCAATCGTTACGCGAGTCGTGGTGCAGGTCGCCTAAAGCTCAACGGATATCCGCTTCGCAATACACTCGGACCTAGCGTACAGCGGCACTCGAGCGGAATACCTGTCCCTTCTGAGGTGTAGCGATGCCAGAAGGGTCAGCGTCGACGCGCGGCCGAATGCGGGGCGTTTGTCACGTGACGGACTGCGATCGCATCTGCATCGGCAGTCCGGGCGCTTGGCACCAGCCGCGTGACGTCCATCGCTGCTGTGAGATCGTCGTGTCTACAGCGATCAGGGTCTCTGACTGTTTCGCCCTACAACATACAGTTATGTTCGGTTTGGATCTTTGATGCCATTGTCGCTTCTCTGATCCGCCTGTGGGCGACTCGCTTTTCGGACAGCGCGCACCATGCTCATGCACGCACGCTGACCTTTTTGATCCACAATGTACAGTTAGGGCCGATGTCCACGTCCGTGCCCCAGCCGCCTCTGATCCAGTCCGTGCAGGCGCGCGTTGCGCATCCCTGGTGCCGGGCACACGCGGCACCCATTCGGGCACACGTCTCATCCGCCGCCGCTTTCGACGACTGCGCGGGAAGCGCAATCCAGTCCGAGGCGTCGCGTGCCGATGCGCGCTCTCAGCGATGATCAGGGAATATCTGCGAACACGCGCCTGTGATGGCGCTTGTAGCGGGTGTTTCCATCTACGGGCAAGGGAAGGGTCGGCGACACCTGGCGTTCCGTTGATCAACTGCTGAGCACAGAACGGGGAACAAGACGTTTATTGAGGTGAGTGTGCTGCAGCGCGCGAGACAATTCCATCAGGCGTGCACCTTGGTGACGCCGCCTGTGTGCAGCAGTCTCGTCACGGAAGTGAGCACGACTTCGAGTACCGCCTGACAACGTACCGGAATTTGCAGACACTCGGCATCAAGTTTGTGGAACGAGAACTCCGTAGTTCCCAGCATCGGTAGTTTGCGCCATTCCAGCTGGACCTGGAGAGTCGAGGACTATCGGCCTGCTGCAACTGACGAGGACAGCGCACGTGGTCACCGGTGACCTCGCGCAAGGTTGCACCTACCGAGGACCCCGCACCAGACGCAACACGCTGTCCAGACTTCAGGATCCAGTATCCAGCTCGGGTCTTTGAGTCGACACTAGCGAACGTGAACCCGCACATCACGCGGGTGACGGGACGACAAACGAGTGCACAACGCTCCCGGTGTCAAGGCAGCGTTCGTGGTCTGTGTGTCGACCAATTTTTTTCCGGGCGCGCTGAATACTGCGCTCCCGAGTTCAGCTCTTGGATGAGGTCCGGGCGGCCCCGTGAGGAAAAAGGCCTCCGTCACTTTGCCGTTCGTATTTGCCACAAAGTCGAGCAGAAAGGCGAGACCACCTACAATGAGGTCGCGGATGAGCTGGTCGCCGAACTGCTGCAGGGAAACAATGGCGTAGCGTTGCGTGATCCGGCGAGTGAAGAGAAGAATGTGCGCCGTCGAGTCTACGATGCGCTGAATGTGCTGTGTGCTATCGGCGTGGTGCACAAAGATCGTCGCGCTGTCCGCTGGCATGGTCTACCTCGCGCCAGCGTACGAGAGCAGTCTCTCCTCGAGAACGAACTGAGCCGTCTGAGTTCGAGTGTGCGGGACAAGGACGGCCGGATCCAGCGATACCGCACAATTGTACGAGCGCTCGAGCGCCTTGTCCAACGCAATATGCGCGGTGCGGCGGTGGCGAGCAGCGGGCGCCCGCGCTCCGCGTCGCTACAAGGCGATTCGGCTGTTCGGCTGCCGTTCCTGCTGATCGCCACCGATCCGGATGCAGCAGTCGATATCGACGGAGACGAACCAGGTTCAGATCGCTGCAGCTTCACCTTCAATCGCCCGTTCCAGGTGTATGACGCGGACGGCGTCTTACTGGAGCTGGACGCGATGATCTGCAACTCGGGTGCCAGACAGGATAGCGCGTCGGTGCCCGCGACTACCAACTGTGCCTTGGGTTCGAATGAGGCATCGGCATCAACATCGGCATCGGCGACAGCAGCAGCCAGCGAGCCTCCGCTATGACCCCAGCGCAGCGGGATCGAGGCATCGCCTGCTGCTGTGCGGATGCCGATGCCTCATTCGTGATCGTTACAGGCCGCCGACGCTGCCGCATCCGTACTGCGCACCGTTGCGACATGGGCCATCATTGCAATCCATGCGTGTCTGCGTGTCTGCGTGTCTGCGTGTCTGCGACACGTTGCCAGCCAAAGTGCCGCTTCGAGCAACACGCGATCGCAGCTGATGCTGTCGCTGAGCGCTTCGATCTAGACACGCATATCAACAGGGACGCACGTATGCATGCATGCATGCATGCATCCACACACGCATCCAGTTCTACTTCACCGGCGGCAACGTCGGCTGCGTTCGACGATCCATCGTGCGCGCTGCAGCGAGCGTCGGCATCCGAAGCAGCACCGCGATCTGCGTTGTAGGCGTTCCAGGCTCTGCTTTGTATGCCGTCGTCTCATCGCTTGAAGGCGGGAACCGTTTACGTGCTTGACTAGTGGAAGCGCACGCGATCGAATCTGTCACCCAAGCGCTGGGAAGCGTACGCGTGGATGCCAATGCCCGTAACGATGCGCTGATGCCTCGAGCGCCATGCCTGATGCGCCAGCAAATAAAGTCACCAGACCGGACTCGACATCAGCGCAACAGAGAGAGCTGCTGACGCGCAAAATGGCGCCTCGCCGCTACCCAGAGCGAATCCATATGCAAGATTCATTGGGAGGCACAAAGGCCGGCACAAACGCCGATCCGACGAAAGTCAACAAATCCCTCCGTAAACTGCTTCCAACCCGCACGTAATGATGCCCTTATACTGCATTCGTCGTACAAGTCCTGGACTGCCGCTGTGATTTCTCTGGGATTCGTCCGCAACGCGCGCGCTAGCGAGGTGCTTTGTGGACCTCACCTGGTGACGCGCCCGCTCGAACCAGGAAACGTAACGACAAGACCGTATTTTTAGAAAAGCGTGTCTGGGTAAGCAATGTCCCTGCAAGCACGTGCCCAACTATGATACCGGATCGTTTCTGATCGAGCCTCTGCGCTGCAGAACGGCGAGCGCAACGCTCGCCTTCTACGCACCCCAAGGTTTCCGCACCTGACCATCGACCGCTACAACTAAAGTGTGCACAGTCTTTCGCGGCTTCAATAGTTTCGCGTTCCCACGAACCGTTCCCCATGCATACCTGCAAGTGCTGAAACACGTGCGCAAAGCGCTTCCGATCCTCACGAGAAGCAACGCAAGCAGGCCTTCCTTCTACCTGGTGCGTTAGGTGCATCGATCTAGACTCCACTGAAAGCGTACGTGCTCTAAACTTTCAGAAAACAGACCACCATACCTCACTCGAAAAGCACGACCACATTCCTCGAGATTCAAACCCGTCTTGCCTTTGGCAAAACCGGACACGATACCAAGCAGCCCGCGCTCCATGCAACCGTGAACGCTAGCTGCTCATGAGGTATCCAGTGCGCAGCGCGCTCGATCATCGCAGCGCAAGGGCCTGCCTGCGCCGGGCCCGTGCCGCAGGCCTCTGGTAACGTCTCAGGTCGGAGAAACGGTAGCGACCTAGCGACCTAGCGACCTAGCGACCTAGCGACCTAGCGACCTAGCGACCTAGCGACCTAGCGACCTAGCGACCTAGCGACCTAGCGACCTAGCGACCTAGCGACCTAACGACCAAGCGATCTAGCGACCTAGCGACCTAGCGACCTAGCGACCTAGCGACCTAGCGACCTAGCGACCTAGCAACCTAGCGACCTAGCGACCTAGCAGTTACGCAGCGCGTTCGCTATAAAAGCCGTGTACAGACGGGCCCTCGAAGCACACCCGACTCGTTGCTCATTTCATGGGAAACGTGAACTCGCAGGCTGATGTACACGTTGCACAGCGATTCGGAGACGGACCGGGAAACGATGCACCGGAGGCACGGGTGCTGGGGCCTCGTCCGGTACCAGCTGTGGAAACGAGCCCCGGCAACCTCGTGCCCCAGCCCGGTGCCGTTGACGGGTTGCCTCCGACCGGCACGGTTTCCTGGCAACGACCTGGCGGCGATGTGAATCAGGGCTCGAGTTCCGGACTCCGCTGGCTGCAGGGTGGTGCGGAGCGTTCCACACAGCCGGTTCCGACCATGGTTCACGCGTACACCATAAAGAACGACTTGAATGTTCGGAAGAAGAGTGTACGCCTTGTTAGAGATCCCGAAAATCCACAGCAGTTTTTGTTGGAGTTTGTTTTTGACGCAACGTGCTCGGGCCTCTGCACAGTCTTCTTCATGGCGAAGGACCTCACGAACCGCACAACGCGCGTTGAGCAGTTCCATGTCGAGCCGCTGGAGCCGGTGCCCCCAGTACCTACCCCATTCGAGGCCGGTATGGGCCAGCGGTACCGCCAGAATAGCCACCGCGGTTTCGTGCCCAGTCGATATCGCGAGTCGTTTCTTTTCGAACAGAACCCGGCCAAACTCGCCAAGCATCGATACCCGATTGTGATTCTGCTGCAGCGCCTTGAGAGCGCCGAAGATCTCGCCAAGAGCGGCCACAGGCAGGTACAACAGTCTGCGGGGCGCTCGACGGACACAGACCCCAATGGAGGCAGCCTCGTGCGTTTCCAGGCCACATACGTGACGCTGTGCATGCCACCGAAAGGACTCGAGCTCGCTGACGAGATCCCGGTCAAGGTCGTCCAACAGAAAATCCTGGTAGACGGCACCATTTACGAGTTGCAGGAGATCTACGGCATCGAGGAGCGCATGGCCTCTGCAGACGATTCCGACGCTGCAGCCGCTGAAGCAGAACACGATGATCTCTGTATCATTTGCATGACGGACCCGCGGGATACCACGGTGCTGCCGTGTCGCCACCTGTGTCTCTGTGTAGACTGTGCACAGTTGTTGCGCGTGCGTAGCGATCGTTGCCCCATCTGTCGTTCACCTGTAGATTCACTTTTGCATATTCGGAATTTGCGCGCGAACGCCCGCTAAACTGAAGAACACGTGCATTCACGCGTCCCCAGGGGTCACTCATGCGCTTGGTCTTACCTGCCAGGTCGTGATCACCGGTCGTCTATAGCGAGGCGCTGTTTCGAAAGAATGCTGTTGATAGACGGCGTTTCCTATCGCTTTTAGATCAGGTTCGTGTCGACGATTTCGCCACGGTGCTGGCACTCGACAGCCAAGCATTCGCAGCGGCTGCGCTAAAGGCTCACGTTGTCGCCATTGCTGCGCCCTCGTGGCGATACCAGTCCCGTAGAGCGTCCATCCCGTTGCCGTGGCGAAGCAGAAGCAGCATAGCATGTAGGAAGGACATATCGGCGGCTTTTTGAAGAAATCCTAAGGCCATTTGAAAGCGATCCGGCCACGACAAAGGAACCCAGGCGAGTCCGTAACCGCTTCTGTGCTCGAGAAGCGCAAGGTCAGTGATGCGTTCCGCTGCCTGAGCGATTCCGCTGCAGCGAAGGAGCGTTGCATTTGTGTTGAGCACGGCCGGGAGACCTCGTGGACTCAACTGAATTGGACTCGTCCATACCCAACACACGAAGATGCGCGTGTAACGGGAAGCTGCTCGTTCGAGTCGCTCGAACCACTGTTCTCTATTCGGTGTGCGACCACTTTCGGGTCCGAGAAAGAACACTGCAACTCGCGGCGACACGACATAGTCTGCTTCGAGGCCCGCACACGGTACCAGACCCGACAATGGATACGAGCGCGCGAGTTGCTCCCGAACTGCGGTCAGTAGGGGATGGTTCAGGTTGCGCGAATGTACCAGGATGCGTACATTCCGCTGATACGCCTCACACCGGGGACAGTACCAGGATCCACTGGGAACAGATGCATACGGTGGATCACAGCAATACGTATGGCACTCGATGTCGCAGCGGTCACACAGGAGCGTACGCTCCGGGTCCTGACTCCGCCCACAGCGATAACACGGTGTGTCTGGAGACGATGCAACCGGCTCCGTTGCAGTGCCTTCGCTGGGCTCATTCAGACCGGCCAGCATACCGTGTCGTGATGTGGTTTCTGAAGAGGCTCCACTCTGGACGATAGAGGCACGATGATCCGTTGTCGTTGTCGTCAAACTGTGCTCCACTTGTGCTGATAATGGTGAGTGGAGCTGTGGCGAGCGCAACGAGCGCCAGTACATCGCCCGCTGTCGACGTTGTTCACCGGTGGACTGGCTCGTCGCCTGGCTCGTGAGGAATGCTCGCAGGGAGCCCGGCGTATCGGTATCAGGACTAGTGGAGTCGCCGTCGGTGCCGCGAAGCGCTTCGGCAACGTCTGGATCAACGGAGGCATTGCCTTCGGAACTGGAGACCTCCGCTTGATCGTCGATGAAAGCGGCTACGAGTTCACGCCGACGCTTGCGTCGGATCCTTTTGTTGGGTGCGCTTCGGGTACCAGCCGCGCGTGGACGCTGCGCAACCGAGCCGAGCCTCGCGGATATTCGTGGCGACGCCTCCGCAACCTCAAGACAGCGACTGGCGCTACCGCTAGGCAGCGCGTCGCTCAGAGCAGTGCCCTGTGCAACCTGACTGGCAGCGTCGCTGATTCGGACCAGCCGTGGCCTTCTTGCGGCGCGGTGGTGCAAGAATGGCGTCAAAATAGCCGGAGAGTGCTCTAACGCAGCAACGCGGTGCGAGCGTGCACTCGAACGGGTACAGACACACTGGCTGCCGCCGCTCGGCGACTGCACCGGTGTTCCCGTATCGCTCGCCTGTGCTCGCCGTAGGTGAGCGCGTTGTCGCTTGGTAGGTATCCGAGCTGGTGCTCCGACCGAGTTCAGGCTACCGTTGTCGTCCAGGAAGGACGGTGGCGCCCCTGGAGTCACCGCCTCACCGGGGTAACCGGGGCAATGCTGGGCGTACGTCTGGGGACTTGCCGACTGGGTGCCGCCTCCACGATGCTGGACGCTCGCATGAGCAGGTGAGCCTAAATGTGCCGTTTTTGGCGAGTGCGCGTTCAGTTGCTGCGGTGACGCTCGACATCTACATGACTGGCCATGAATGGTCTCTTCCGCGAGAGCGGCAGTGCGGTAGAGTACCTCATCCCAATAGATATCTGAAGAAGCGACCTCCTCTGGCACGTCTGGAGTAGCGCATTCCCGCGCAGCTGACACATGACACGCCACGCTGCCAGTGTTAGCATTGTGTGCAGCACCTTGCAGCGCTTCACTGAATGCACCGTGATCACTCGGAATATCCGGATGCTCAGTCGGCCGAAACGTTGCATTCGCTTCGCGTTGTAATGATTGAACAGCAACCGACGACGAATGCCACAAACCCGTATTTGAGATAAATTCATCAATACGGCAAGCAGGTGTGCTGCTTCGCGTAGACCGCACCGACTCGTGACCGCCCCGAGTGCCGTGCGGCGAACAGCTCCCCGCAATACACAGTGAATACGACGCAGATGATGATGATGATGATGACCTTGAATCTGAAGATGGAATCGCTGCTGGACACTCCTGCTGTGCTCGCGACACCAGCTCCGGGGGTGTGGGTATCTCCACCACCGAAGAGGTGCTCGATGTGTTGCTGGCCGCGTCCAGAGAGCCACGCGGGGCACCGACGCGATCAGAGGCATCTGCTGGAGTCGACAATGGTTCAGGAAAAAGTGCATTCCAGGGCGATGATGCATAACGCGCTGTATCCAATGTGGGGTCCGAATGTGCATCGCACCGAGCGCTTTCTGAACACGAATAGACTGCGCTGGCTGAGGCGACAGCACCTGTACCAGCGGCTGGAGCGCTTGCAGTCGCGTCGATCCGGACGCTCGTTGAACACATTGGTATGATCGGTTCTCCATGAGCACTCTCCGAATGCGGGGGACCCGTTTGCGACGCATCCGAGGTGAGCTGGAAATCGCTCAAAGGCGCCCGAGCGGCCTCAGCAGGCCCTGTCTCCAGCAGAGCCCGAGCGCGCTCCGCGGACGCCCTGCAGGGAACAGGCTGGACGTCGAGCGCGAGCTCGCGGGAGCGTCTCCAATCCGTACAGCAGCGGCCAGGCCCGACGATGCCCTGCCTCCGTTCAAAGCAAATTGGTACCTCTGATGCCTGCATTCCGGTAAGGAAGTGCTGCACAAGTCGGTGAAGTCGGATCCAGAGCATCGACGTGGTTGAAGTGCAGCGTACCCGATACTGCGCTTCGATGGACCTGCTTTCGTTGAGGACAATCTGAGCCGCCTCAGTCGATGTATCCCGCGATGCGCTCAGCGCCAGCAACGGACGGCGTTTCATCCAGTCCATAGATCGATTTGAGTTGACGCAGAGCACCAGCAAACGCTCGAGTCGTGGCGACAGCGGCGGGGCTTGCGTCGAACCCGCTTCCCCTCGGGGACGTTCAGGCTCCTGGGACTGCGACTCTAGCGCGGGCATCGCTGTGAGCGGCAGCACCTGGCATCGAATCGGCTGGCCTTCAGCCGGCAGCATGAGCGGTGACTCCTTGAAAAACTTAAACTTGCTATACTTATCGCGGAGCGTTTCGGCGATACCATTCGCTCGACGATTCATCTCCTCGAAACGCTGTGATTCCGCCGACTCCGAAACAAGGACAATGACTTGGCCTGCACGAGCCCTGGCAGTCCTGCCCATCCGTTGCAGCATGCGAATCGGCGATCCGAGTGCGTCGAAACTGATGATGAGGTCAACGTGCCCGATATCGAGGCCCTCTTCACCGATACTGGTGCTCACCAGGCAATTCAGCGCACCCTGTCGAAATAAGCGCATGATACGATGTTGGTCGGCTTGTGTCATACCACTGTTTGCTTGGCCGATGAAGGAGGCGGGTCGAACCGTCGGTGCCGCTTGGGAAAGTGCTGCCTCCAGCTCTGCTACGACATCGCGGTACTGGACGAAAATCATTACTCGTGTTGACGCCGACGAGCCGTGCCGCAGAAAGTGCTGGACAACGAGCTCCTTGCATCGTTCAATCTTCGGATGGCGCGTACCGTGCTCGAGAAGCTGTTTGACTCGGAGGTGGAGCTCCTGGAGCTCACTTCGACGGGTGAGCTCATTCGGAGAACGCGGGTTGCCTTTTGCTTGAGCGGTGCGTTCCTGCTCGAGGTACCGAACACATGTTCCTAGTCCCTGAGAGCGCAAAAGCTCAACTGATCGACTGAGTAGGAGCGCGTGCGCAAAGTCACGAAAGAGCGCCACGGGAAGTGTTCTGCTGGCATTGACGTTCGATGTCTGTTGTCGTCGAGAAGCCTCAATCCAACGCCGCTGTGCAATGACTAGCTGGTAGTGTTGCACTTTTTCCGGGTTGCGCTGATAAAAAGCACCGTGTGCACAGAGCTTCTGTAGCGTGCTCGCAAGGCTCCGCTGAAAAGCACCGAGGACTTGAGCGATTGCCGCGTCCAGAGGAACTCGCTCTACCCGCACCTGGCGCTCGTACGTGTACGGGAGTACGTCCGGGTCGCTTTCCTGCCGAAACTCGAGATGTGCTATTCGGAGGTTGTGGATAACCTGCTGGATGGCGTTCGCGCTGCTTCCTGGCGTTGCCGTCAGGGCAAGCACGCGGAAACAGCCCCCCGTGCTCCGTTCTATTTCGGAGACCAGTCCACAGTAAGCGTATCGACCAGTTGCCCGGTGCGCTTCATCAAAGACGACGCAGACAATGCGCTGGACGGGACAGATGTGTCGCAGGACATCGTTCAACATCACCTGCGGGGTTGAGAAGAAGACCCGGCGGGAATGCCAGAGCGCTCGACGGGCAGCCAAACGCGTATGGCCCGTCAACTCAGCTGTGAGCTGGGGTGCAATACCTGCGCTCTGATAGCATGCCTTCATTTGCTGGTGAACGAGTGGTCTTGTTGGCGCTACAAAAACGACGATGCCGTCAGGGTACCAGCGCATGTAGTTCAGCATCACGACGGCCGCGATCAGGGTCTTACCCAATCCTGTTGGGAGGCAGACCAGGGTATTGCGCGTGAGCGCTCGGCGGACAATGTTGAACTGGTACTCCCGAATGTGCAACGCACCCGGAAAGGTCCATGAATTTGCAGCCTCCTCGTCGAGCGTGACGGCTGCGGGACGCTCGTCTCGTGCGCAAAGCGGAAACTCGAGCGCTGTCTCGTTGATACGCTCATTGTTGAACGGTGCTTGCGGGACGGCTGCGGGACGCTCGTCCCGTGCGCAAAGCGGAAACTCGAGCGCTGTCTCGTTGATACGCTCATTGTTGAACGGTGCTTGCGGGACGGCTGCGGGACGCTCGTCCCGTGCGCAAAGCGGAAACTCGAGCGCTGTCTCGTTGATACGCTCATTGTTGAACGGTGCTTGCGGGACGGCTGCGGGACGCTCGTCCCGTGCGCAAAGCGGAAACTCGAGCGCTGTCTCGTTGATACGCTCATTGTTGAACGGTGCTTGCGGGACGCCCACCGCGGTGGACGCTTGGTTACCGCTCTTTTCGAGAGCAGCTAGCAAGAGCTCATCGGGGCAATCATCGGCAGCGGTGTATCCTGAGGCCGAAAAGTTATGTAAAATGGATTGAGGTGGCGCTGGGGGTCCCGTATCTAGCATGTGCTTCGTGTTACAATGAAATGCAGGCAAAAGCACTGTTCGGGCCCAAGTCGCGTAAACCCCGTCTTGGAAAGGTTTGTGCTAAGCGCGGTAGCGACAGCACGCTCGCGTGGGACCTACTGCTTCCAGGACAAAACCTGGTTGCCGATTTGTCAGCGAGCGCGTGAACCCGGCGCGCGGATAAGCTTCAGGAACACGCGCTCACGTAGATAGCGATCCGCGGTGAGCGTTTTCTGCGTGGCGTGTTCTCGTTGAGGAGCGGCAGCGCTCGTCGACGCTGTGCCGCTTGTCACCACACTGTGCGAGCGCGTTGCAGCAATAGCACCAGCACCGGCAATAACACGAACACTTCTCACTTCCGCCGAGTGTACGTGCACTCCGCACGGACGCAGTTCCAAGTCAGTGCCGCAATACCAGCGGCAGGTGCGCCTCCGCAGTCGTGCAGGCACAGGGGAGGCCCGCGCGCTCCCACCGGCACGTACAGGGCGAACTGCAGTTCAGCGAAAAACCTGTTCGTCCAAGTTCTAGACTCTTTTGGCAGCCAGTCTCGCACTTGATATTCAGGACGACCGAAGCTTTCCACCAAAGTATGCGAAAAGACTGGTTTATTAGAGGGCTTTCCGTGCAAGCGTTCCCGCTGAGCCGCTATGCACAAGCAACGCTGGAGCCACCTGGGTGCGTCGCCAAACACCTGCTTTGGAGTTCGATGCGCAAGACGCTTGTATATTTATGACCATTTTAATACCTAATGTTCCATAAATGTACTGTGAAGCACCATCATGCAATCGATCGAGGCGCCAAAACGCAATCGCTGTCAGGGCGCCTTTCGCTTCCGCTTCTGGGCAGAGGCGGAGTCGCTGGAGGCCTGCCTCGCTGCTGCAACCGGGAGGCGGATGCAGTAGGCACCTATCGCTGATCATTGGCTCAGTGTACGGCATGGCATCCTGGATACCGCCGACGTTTGCAGGTCCCAGCGGTTCGCTTGGATGCATCGTTTGGAGACCGTCTAGAACCAAGATGCACCGAGTCTCTCGTAGAGTCGCAGTCGAGATGAGACCGATCCCCTGGATATCGTTGAGGGTTGCGTTTCAGATACGACTGGTCGGATGCTCCATGCCAAACCCCAGAAGCAACCGGACTGGATGCGCGTAGGATCCGTCGCATTCATGATGGCATGGATGCGTTCGAGGCACTCGAGGCGAGCGCCTCGGCGCAGCACTGCATTGCGGTGCATGATCGAGGCGCATGGCGGCTGCGGGCGTACCACGGCGTGTAGGTACGGCGACGTGGCATCCAACGAGGCGCTCACAGCGGCATGGAAAGCGCACTTGTTTCTTCGTTTAGCCCGTACGCCGCAAAGGATACCAAATACCTGCAACGGGAACGAAGGATCCTGTGAGACCGGTGTTTCCATCTTTGTGTATCCAATACGTCGAGATTCCCTGCCAACACTGCCGTACAGACCTGATGATCACGGGCAGGGGCACCGGTCTCCGCTGCTACATTCGCTAATCAATTGTCACTTTTTCCGGGAGTCTTTCTGCTCATGTAACCTAGATAGATGCACTGAACCGCCCTAGGCTTCTCACGAGGAGCGTCAAGACACCAGCGTACCGCGAACGCGTCTGTTCGTCGTAGTCAGGATCCCCCGATGCGATACGGCGGACTGCCCGATTCTTTGCAGACCACCAACGACCCGATGACGATTCCGCTTTGGCATGTGAATTCGAAACATTGATCAACACTCGACCACGTCGATGCATTCGCCCAGCATCCAGTGAAGCGAACGCCTCTGACAGCTATAATGGCAACGAACACCCAGCACAGCAGAGCACAGCGATCGGCCGAATGCCAGGGCAAACGCCACCAGCGCCGCTAGATCGCGTCACGCGCGATGCGTCACGAAACCATAGGGCGATCGAGCGCGTCACGCGAAGCGAAACGCGCGATGCGTCACGAAGCCATCGGGCGATCGAGCGCGCCAAAACGTGTTGCGTGGCAGCGCCCTGCGCTGGCGAAAAGCCAAATCACCCAACGCGCTTTACCCAACGAGACGCTTACTGCACAGGACGTCTCTTCGCTAGGCTGCTCCCGCGAGGCGCACCCCGGGCTCTGGCAACGCCGAACCAGTTGTCGTAATTGGCTGAAGTGGTCCGTTCACCGGAGGTGTAATCGCGATGTTCTACGCGCAACAAGTGCTGACTCGTAAAGGGCCCCTCGCGAAAATATGGCTTGCGGCAACGTTTCAAAGCAAACTCACAAAGGCTCAGGTCTTCACGACGGACATTGTGAACGCGTGTCAGCAGATAGCGGCCCCAGAAATCCCTATGGCGTTGCGGCTCAGTGCATGTTTGCTTCTCGGTGTGAGCCGTATCCACCAGAAGCAGACGGGGTACGTGCTCGAGGAGGCATCGGATGCGTTGACGAAGCTTCAGCTGACCTATCAGATGACAGACGGCCGCGTTGCCGGTGGCACTGTGTCGGGTTCACAGGGCGTAGGCGCCGCGCTGACGAGCGCTTCGGCCACGGCAGCGTACGGAAGCATCACTTTCTCAGAGCACGTGGTCGGTGCCGCTGAGGCGACTCGCACGGTTGCTTCCGCTGATGCCGGTGAACAGCATAGCGCTTCAGCACTCCTGTTACTGGGCGACTACTGGAACGGCTTGCTTGGTTTCGGTTATCCGGCTTCGGCAGGGACGCTCGCAAACGATGCATTTGCTGGACAGCCGTTTGCGAGCGAGGCGGGAGCTGACCTCAACCCGTCGCCGTTTCACGTTGATGCGCAACAGATCACCATCGATCCGCTATTCGGAAACGAATCGTTCCAGTCAAGCGCTCGGCCTGTAGAAGTTGTCCGACGCGATGAAGAGGCCGAACACTTGCGCGCGCCGACGCCTGTCGCGGGTTCGCCACCCGCAGCCGGTATCGGAGGATACCCCAAATCCTCCACGGAGGATCAAGCCTTGACACCGGAACAATTCCGCTCGGTACCGTTAACGCTGCCCGAGCCGCCGCCGCTTGACCTGTCACTTCCGACCGTCCAACCGGAAGGCGCAACGTACGCGGCAGCAGCCCTTGACTGGAGCTTGGCGGCGGAGACTGCAGTGCCGACGTCTTCGCTACGTCGTGATTCCGCAGAGCCCTCCTCGAAGTTTTTGGACGAAACGGGTAGCATCATGAACACGAGCACGCTGCATCGGCAGAAGCGGCGCAAGTCGACAGGCCGCCGGCCGCTGGCTCCCCAGTATCATGTGGATTCGCAGCTGGAACTTGCGACTGCTGTGATTCGGCGAGCGCTCGCCGATACAACCGATACCCTCCGTCGTCCGATCATCGACGATTCCGCTACAGAGCTGGATGGCATTTCCAAACTCACAGACCTGCTGCAACGAATCGTACCCAGCCAGGGTGCACAGGTTCACAGCCATATCCAGAAATATTGGACCGATCTATCGCAAGCTGCAACCGCGGAACCTAGGGATGGTAACGATACAGCGACCCTCGCACATGCACATGAGGAGCAGCGTTCCTCGGCGTTGGAGCCAGCAGCCGCAAGCCCTGTCCTGGGAACGCTCGACGACAGTAACTTTTCGTTTGGACTACCGACTACGGAGATCTCGCGACTATCGGCTTTGTCAGCAGGTGCATCTCCCGTGCCGGGCGACGCGGCCGAGGTTGGCCCGCTGCGCCTGGAGCGAGCCATGGCCTCGCCCGCGAAGCTGCTGTCCAGCTGGTCGACACCGGGTGCTCATTCTTCTGCCGCAGCTTCACCGTCGATAGTGACGCATCGTACCGAGCGATTGCTGGACTATTTGGTGGCCAAATGTCGCGAGCAACCACAAAATGAAGCCCTCAGCATCCAGAAACTCTGGCATGCTGAAGCTGCATCTCGCCGCGTGATTGCCCGCTCTATGCTGGAACTCCTCGTGCTCGCCACACAACAGCGCATCGTTGTTCAGCAGGCCGCACCGTACGATGATATCGAGATTCGTGTCATGGTTTGATGCTTTGCAAAAAATCGCGAACGCTTACCGGCATCAACACTGGCCTGCACCGAGAATACCCAAACTGGTAAAAACACAATGTACTGCTCCAGGTGACTAACAAGTGCGGGTCGGCGGCATTCCTGGATGCACACATGATCCGCTCCATTTGGGCGCATCGGATGCATCCCGCTGATCGCGACCAACAATGCGGTGACTGGTGCATCTACACTGGTGCTTGGTGTTCAGTGAACGCTCGGATACAATCACTTCGTCCTTGTGGTAGAGGGAATTCGCGAATTCGGATCTAAACCTGGGCCGTATACCGCGAACGCTGCGGGGAACGCAGCGTACACGCGTCTGCCTCGGCATTGCAGCAAGCAACACTGACAGGATAGCGTCGGTGGTGCTCCACCTGGATCTTCATTCTGAGCAAGCATCGCTTTAGGGGTGTACCACCGCGCAGGGCGCTCGTGTGGACGTTGCTTCCTATCCGCTGTGGTGCGTCGTCAGGAACAACGACCGTCCAGTGCGGCATCTCGCACTGATACCGGCTTTCGCTCGCCAGCGTGTCCCTGTCGAACAGCCGCCGCGTGCGGTGTCGCTTCAAGTGTGACGTCTCGGTGGTGCGCAGCGTTACGAGCGTGGTGCCGTATCGTGTCGAGCAACGGTTTGTCGGGCGTTTGAAGGAACCAACGCAACATCCAGAGACGGAACCCGAAGCCTCTTGGAACCGATGGGATACGAGCACGTCACCATCATCGGGCGTTGTGTGATCGGTGCGGAGAAACTGCAACGCGCGATGAATCAAGCGATCGAGTTTAGGCATACACGGGGCCGGAAACCATACGCATTCTTGCTATTTGCATGCGTGAAGCTGTATCAGGCTTCCTGGAGCATTTGGCTGCACCCAGGGCGCGCTAAGATACATCTGGCACGAACGACACTGCAAAGCAGATGCCCATGGTGCATCTCGTGGAGCGGATGAGCACGCGGGCCCAGTAGTTCGTGCTGCGCCTCAGGGATAGGTGCCGAACAGCGACCCGCGTCATGAACAGGCGACGTCTTCCATACATCATAGCGGAGGACAGACCCAGTGTCCAGGATTCGCGAACCACTGTGCGCTTCTCCAACGCGTCGTGCCGCGCCGGCAAGTCTCGGTACGCACAGAGACTGTCGGAGCATAAACTGACGACGAGTCAGATGAACAGTGCCGTGCGAGCCGACGCCCTCAGTGGTATCGCAAAGTTGTTCTGTCTATGAACTGCATCGGCACACAGGCACTTGATGCGCAATTGCAAACGCCCGGGCTAGGCTCGACGCCCGCTGGCACATGCGAACTGTCCAGCATCTGCATGGACAACGATGGGTCACGGAAATTGCAGGCCTCGGGCATGGAAGCGTAGACGCTTTCCCAGTCGCTGACATCAAGCGCGCTATCGAAGGTCCCTGGTCGCCATAAATCCCCTGTCGATGACGGGAAAAACACGACGCCTGTGGCGCAGGTCGACAGCCGCCGCCGCCGCCGCCGCCGCCGCCCTACCACTGCAAAACCTCCTCGCCGTCCCCTGAAACTGCTGCGCACTGACATCACTCTGGTCGATGCACAGCATATACAGCACAAAGACTCGTACATGGGGCCCCCGCTGAAACAACGCTGACAATGAACTGGAGCGGTTCCGCCACCACAGGAGGCCTCGAGGACGTGCGCGAGGCAGCTGCAAACCGCAATGGCACCCGTTCTCAAGCCGAGGATGCGGTAGTGTCCGCTGCCTGCGTCGCAACTGCCTCAAAGTCCGCATCCGGCACTTGAGGTACATCATCGCTCTGTTTCTCTTGCGTAGATAGCTGCTGCATCAGCTGCTGAATATGCGCGAGGTTCTCCGGTCCCAGTTGTGATAAGACCCCAACGTCATCCAGGAGTTCCTCCAGACGGCGCTGCTGCGGTGCTGATCCACTCAACACATACGTGTTCGCTGAGATGTTTGCCTGCAGTTTCGGGAGAGCAAACGTCAGCACGGTGCCGTCATCCTTGAACATGTTGATCTCGTCGATCTGGGGTATCTGTGAAAGCGCCAGTCTTTTGATCACTGCTTGTAGCTTTTTATCGTCGGTCGCTCCCGGCCGAACACCTGTTGCCTTCTTTTTCCTTCGCATGCTGCCCTTACCGCCCATGCGCACTTGCTCGGAGAGCCGCTGCAGACGCAGCAGGCGTTCCCGGTTCACGGTGGCCGCCTCGTTGCCGACCGCGATAGCATCTGGCGCATCGCCGCCGCCACCGCCACCACCACCACCACTCATTCTGCGGTCTGCACACGCTACGCAAACACAAGCGAAGAGGTCGAGGTGCTGAAACTCCCCGACCGTACCCTGGCGGACGTCGTTGCAGAGGTCAAACGTCGTCAGACTAGTGCCCAGTCAAAGCGGACGGTCGTCGAGCGCGCACTGCGCCGTCCCCTGGGACGCAGAAGCTACGCGTGATCGAAACTGGATCTAAATAGACATAAACGGTATAAAATGCTATTTACGACATGTTTTGAAACATATATGGATCAATGTGGAACAAGCATGGAAACTCGTTTCAGGCGTCTCTCATCGCGTGCGCCCCTGATCCGCGTAGATACCCAGGGTAACGGTTGGTGGACGGTAGCCTACGAACGCTGCTAGTGCACTGGTGCGACGTTTGGGCAATGTCAGAGCATAAGCGTCACGTCAAAAGCATGCTTCTTCGGGAAGCACGTGAGCGCGTTGGGTCGGCCTTCGTCTTGCAAGCGCAACTTTTGTCGCGGTGGGTGCAGTGCTCCGGTGACGGAGTGACGCGCGCCAGGGTGCAGCCGCTTGACACGCGTGCACTCGGGGCACGGCGTCGCAACCGACAGAACGGGACGCACTGTCATTTCGCTATACGGAGACTATACATGCAAAAGAAGCCGAAGACGAAGGCACGCAGGCGGTCGGCACCTGCCGGGCGTGTGAAGGACGGTACCGAGGCGGACGGCGCACCGCAATGGACCAGCCCGCCGGAGGCACTGGAGCACACAAGCTCAGCGCTGCCTCTGGTTGTTGCAGAGCGAATGCAGCGCAGAATGGTGGTGTTTGCGGGTGTTCCCTTCTTACTCGGATTGAGCGCTTTCGGAGTCTTTTTCTTTCTCAAGTACCGTTACGATGTTGTCGTGATTCCACCTGTGGTTGGGTACGCGACCCTGGGCCTCTTCGGAGTATCGCTATTCGGTTTAACCTATGGAATCATGAGTGCCTCGTGGGACGCGGGCCGCAGGGGTTCCCTCCTCGGCTGGGACGAGGCTCAAAGAAACTTGCTGAACACGATCGATGCTTTCTGGCGGGCACGCAGCCGGGAACGCCTCGACGATCTGGACAGCACGAAAGACGATGCGCACACTGAGCGCCCGCGACGTAAGCCTTGAAAGCGGCAAACACATGAACATAGTCCGCTGAAAAGCACACGATATGCCGCAGCAGCTGCTGTGGCTAACTGATGCTCTGTATGCAGCGGTAGCGGTTGCTGCAGCACTGGCCATTGAGGCAGTCCGATGGCGATGACGTAATCCCTGTCTGGTACAGGCTGGAGCTGAGACAGGTTTCGGGCACGGCGACAGCTGGCTTGCATACCACGCTGCATGGCGCTGCGATATCTACGCAACAAAGTGGCACGCTACACGAGACAATTGCGTGGACCGGTGGAGCACGCTGCAGGCGAGACTGATGCAAGCATTGCTGCAAGGATGTCATAGCAGTTCAAAGATTCATCGCAGCATGTTCAGCGAGAACTCGTATGCTGGCGCTGTGTCGAGATCGCTATTGTCGTGTCAGATACGCTACCCTCCCATGTTATGGCCATGTGTAAGCGCTGTGCTCCAGGTCAATGGTCTGCAGGCCGTGTTCCTGAAATGGAGCGCACGCGAAGCCGCGCTGTGGGCAAGACCCTGTTGCAAGTTGTCGCGCGGAACGGATTCTTGCTCTGGAATCGCTAACCGACGCCACAACAACATGTCCGAAATGTGGAGACCCCCGCGAGATTCCATGGCGCATGCGCGGAGGAGTGTCGAAGCGACACGCTCACGAAGATGCTTGCAAGACGCTTCGGCAGTTGGCAACGAATGCCAGTAGCTGGACAGCCTCAGTCGCACCATCGCAGAGATACTTCTCAGCGCATGCCATGTGCAAGGCGATAGCAGAGCGCTGTAAATCGTTCATCTGAACTTGAGCGGGAGGAGTACCACTGTCCAGCAGTAAAAGCTCTAGGGTTTGACGAAGCAATTCATCGACTGGGTATCCGCCGCGCAAGACTTCAAAGCACGCCGTTACTGGCTCGTTTCGGGAGACGCAAATATCGTAGAATCGTTCTACTACAGAAGCAGGGACCATACAAGCGGCCTCGCTTACCATTTCCGGTTCAAGAACGCGCTGGGAGCCGTCTGCACTGCGTGCCCAGTCGGCGCAGCTCTGGAGCAGGTTCACGGCGCGCCGGAGGTCTCCGGCTGCAGCCTTGGCCAGGAGACGCGATGCCTCCGGGGGTAGCGGCCCCATGCCCTCGGTCCTAGCAATGTGCTCTAATCGTGCTATCACTGCACCATCCTCGAGTGCTTTGAAACGAAACTTGGCACAACGGCTCGCGAGCGGCGGTATCACGCGACTCAGATAGTTGCAGATCAATACGAAACGCGTCGTCCGCGAGTGCACTTCAATAGTGCGACGAAGAGCTGTCTGGGCGTCTGCGGTAATAGCATCCGCTTCATCCAGAATAACGATTTTGAACCCAGGCACCTGTGCGTCGACGCTCTCCTCGATGGATGACTGCGCGAAGCGCTTGATTTTCTCCCGCACAACGCGAATACCGCGCTCATCGCTCGCGTTGAGTTCTAGAACGCGATTTTGCAGTGTTTCCCTATTCGTGATGTTTTGGAAGAGCTCGCGACACAGCGCAAGCGCGGTGGTGGTCTTACCGGTTCCAGGCGGTCCATAGAAGAGCAGGTGCGGCAGACTGGCGACTTTTTCCGTCAAGCTGGAGCCTCCGGATCCATACAGAAGTTGCTTCAAAGCGCGAATGGTCTCGTGCTGCTGTGTAACGTCGTCCAGTCGCCTTGGTCGATACTTTTCTACCCACGGCTGAGTGGCGTGGTCGTCGCCCCGAGCCATGTCAAGGTGCAGCGTACGCTCTGTCGCTTGCCCAGGGCGTTGCTCCAGGGCAGGTCAGTGCGCGGCAACATGAGATGCGCGCTCGCTGGTGCCAGCTGGTTTTTATCCAATTTGACGCAATTTTTCCGAAGGCCGGCGCTCTTGGATTGTGCGTTTTTTCTCTTCTTTCTCTTTGTTTGTTTGTCTGTTTTTCAGGGTGCGGTAAAGTATCTGTCAAAACCCGTGCTTCCAAGTTCCATTGCCTATACTTCTTCTCGGGTATTCTGGTCGTTTCATACGTTCTATCGTGTGCCGAGTGCCTGCCCTAATCATCCGCAAAAGCGCTTATACCGTTGGTACGGATGCATCACGGTGACAGAACGGCTTTTCTCTGTAGCACAGAGGGCGTCGGCTCGAGGACGTGACAGCTCATGAATCGGCCTTGCAGCGGCTGCAGGGTGACGGGCCTCGATACGCCTGCAGTTCCATGCAGCAATGCCATGAATGATGATTCATGTCGATGAATGAGATCAGAGTGGCATACCAGGGGCATTCTGAGCTCCTGACGCTGACCAGAGATCGCTCCAACACGGGACAAGGGGCATGGATAGAGCCGCATCTGTGGCACCTCGAACGAGGATTCCGGGAGCCAGGCACTGTTGGGAGAGCGCCAGAAACGCAGCGCATGGAGCGAGCGCTGGCATCGTTGCGCTCCCGGCTCGTGTTCTACTGGGTGAGCACTTGTCAGGTTCGTTTCTGGTGTGTTTGTATTGCGAATGTTCGCGGTCTTTTGGAAGCAGTCGCATCGGAGAGAGAGAGAGAGTTTGTTCCTCGCCGCTGATTCCCTGAGGCTGGAGCGCTTTGGGCGAGCACACCCCGTGGTTGTTCCGGACGCACGGGCGTTCTCACCATAGTGCCTTGGAGCCGCTGGCATCCTGACTGCGCGCTGCTGATTCGCTTCATCCGTACCTGAGCAGGGAGTCAGAACTGCTACTTTGCATTCAGGATTTTTTGCCCAGATGTACGGATTCTACGTCGTAGCAAGGCACGTGTCAGCGGGTTGGCTGGTCATGCAGCACACCGGTCCCTTGGGTGCGGTTCGGAGACCAGCGGGACGGTCTCTATTCAGCCCTTATGCTGAGGCATGTGAGGAAACGGCAAAGGCGTTCGGTCTCTACCACAATACTGCAAGGAATGTCACTCGAACGAACCATGACCCCGCAGGCAAGTCTCGCCCACATTTCCAGAAACATAGCGACTCTCGAACTGAGCGAAGACTGCTTCCCCGTACATGGGTCGAAGTCGTGCGCTGAGCGACCTCCGGATACAATCACTGATCCCTTAGAATCAGAGAGGAAGGCAATCGACCGCAGATCGCTCGCTCTCAACAGACACGGGCAGCATCTCGACGTAGATGCAGGGAGAGCTCGAGGAATAACGCGGCAAGCACACCATGAACATAGACGCCAGATACTCCAGCAGTGACGCACTAGCAATCGCTTGCCTGTCCTTGTCCGGTAAACCGCAGACAAGTTCGGATGCCGGTTGCATCGCTGGCATGGCGTCGGGGCGGCGGTGCGCGTTCCCCAGGGTGCTTGCCAGCGTGCGCTCGTCTGTCTGCAGCGGAGCGACCAGAACACTGCAGCTCCTGTTTCAAGCGCGAAGCGTGCACCTGACGCGCTGGACCGATCCCGAATGGAGCGATGTGTCTTCTCCAGGGAGGTTCCCGTACAGGATCGATCACCAATCGCATCGCTCACGCATGTTATCGGGGACGCAATGCCCACATCCTATTCTGCGCATTGGAAACAAGAGCTTCCGGCTGATAACTCTATTTGTTTACGTCGGCGATTAGCATCTGTGAACCGGATTGCATTCACGGTACCACGAAAGACCGGCTGTCGAATGCAGTACCAGCGGCATTTGGCGCAAGTCGCATATCAGAAGCGACGCTTCGGCAAGTTCGCATCGACTCGCACGGCCCCGTGGCTAGCGTCATCTCGCATTCAAGGCAGCGCTCACTGGCACTCAATGACCGGTAAAGGCAGCGTCCCGGGTTTCTGGGTTAGGCAACAGGGCACTCTCCGCGTATTCGAACTGCTTCCTGAGACATACGCGAGCGCCTCAGACACCATGACTTTTAAGGAAGGACAAGGTACGATTCCCTGAAGCTGGATATAGGTCCTGCAACCATAGGAATCAAGTTTTCCTGCAAACATCCTCGTGTCCAAAAATACTCGCGTTCACGTTTAGACAGGAATCTCGCGCTCGTCGAGGTGCTCCTGAACACGATACCTCCCCGTGTATCATCATCATCATCATCATCAAAATCGGATAAGTTTCTTCTATTCGGTGTCCAGCGCAGCGTACTGACCACTCCAAACCGGCAGGCTCAGCGCACGGCCAGCTCTTCGGAGGCAAGTCGGTTCACTCGTCGATGCGGCTTGTCCAAACAAGCAAGCTTAGAACCGGAGTTTAGTGAAAAACCATCGATACTTTCCCGTCAGGTATTTCTGTTCTAGGATCTTCTTCACCGCGATGCGACAGCTCCGTCGACTCTCCAGGGTGGTCCAGGGGTCGTCCGCCGTGCCCAGTCCGAGCGTTTCCGGTAGCACCTGACGGAGCTCGTCGTAAAAGTCCACATTATACCGCGTCGGCAGCATGTGCACGTAGTTCACAAACTTCACAAAAGGTCGAATTCGACACCGCTTCGCGATACGCTTCTCGCTCATCTCACGTGTGACTCTCAGGGGGTACCGCTCGACGCCGACAACGAGGGCGTGGTTAAACTTGCGGGTGCTACCGCCCTCATCATAGCAACGAACGATTATGGCCTTATGACCTGCTTGTCTTCCCGAGGTAACGATCACGGCCTTGCCCGGCTTGATGAACTTGACCATGGTGGTGGCGTGTACCAGTGCACCGGAGCGGGCAGCGAAAGTAGAGTGTGTCCACAGAGTCGCCTTACAAAAGCAGCGTGTGCGCGGATCGCGCCCAGGCCGAGACGCCAAAGACGGCAAACTGGATATAATATCCTTTTATTCAAATTTTAGGAAACTTTTTGATCATAGTTTGAATAATCATGCCATCCGCATTGTCGCCACAGCCGGGTCACTCGCAGCAGACGGAGACCATTTGATCCCTAATTGTCATAGGAAGGCCCTGGGCGCGTCGACGATCATCGGCGCCCGTGCGCCTGTTCCTTCCTCCGCATGCTTCGCACTTGCAGAACACGCTAGCGTTCCTTTGTCCGAGTCGTGGAGCGTCGAGGAAGACGCCACCTGCGTGACCTTCGATCTACCATGGGACAACAACCCGTGCGTGTGTACTGCAAGGGCGTCATATTAGGCTACCGTCGGTCACAGAGACGACAATACCCGAATCAAACGCGGATCCAGATTGAAGGCGTGCGCACGCGCGACGAGACGACGTTCTATGCGGGCAAACGCGTGGCCTACGTCTACAAGGCGAAACGAGCGCGGACGACGACGCGAGGGCGAGTTACCCGGTACCGTTGCATCTGGGGCCGGATCATCGCGCCACACGGTAGCAGTGGTTGTGTGCGGGCCAAGTTCGCAACAAACCTCCCCCCGAGCGCTATCGGCAAGGCTGTGCGCGTCATGCTCTACCCCAGTCGAGTGTAGTCTGCAGACGTTATCTGTTCGCGGCGAGAAAGTGGAGCAACACTAGGACGCGAGTGGAGCTCACGGGACGGGCATGGGAACGTTTTGTCTGCCGAACTGGGAACCTTGTGCCGCGGCGGCGCGTAAAGCACTCGTCTGTACGGGCGTGTGTGGGCGGTGTGTCGCTTTACCGGCCAGCTGTTTGCACTTCAGGTCGAACGCCAGCGTATGAACGCTGCATGATCGGGCGGTCAGGACAACGCTTCTCGAGTTTTCCTCATGGGGCACTGCAAGCTGTGACGAGCGCTTCATGGAGAGCCATTGATGCATGCTGCTCCAAAATACCGTGTGTACTACCAGATATCGGGGTACTTGGGGAAGCGCGCTGGGCATTCGCGAGACCTGCCCTGACAGTATCCCGGAAGCATCATCGCCGACCGAATACACGTTCATTTCATGCATGCAACTGTGGCCGAACGCGGAAGGAAACGGGTGCTAGACAAGCACTGTTCCCAGAAAAGTGTAAACAAACGAAGCCTGCCAGTTCTCGAGCACTCTCCGGGGTATCTAATTGGTACGCAAATCGATCGACTGGAGTTTGCGCCTCCGTTGCATCCGTCAGATTCTCCCCGAAGAATACCAAGGTCGGGACGGTGCTGTCGACTTGCGCAACACCGTACGTCATGGGGTGTGTTTGCCAGGTCATCGGCACCTCGAGGAAACTGAGCAACCCACAGGGCTCCTCCCAGAGCTGCTCATCCGGCACGATCGGAAAGCTTTTGATAGCTCGTAGGCGCTCGCCGCCACTGGCGCGTTTTTCTGGACTTGGGTGTGGGTACTTGAGCGCAGCCAAATTTTCATCGAGTTGGGTGGCTGCTTCAAATTCCGCTTCGATAGCTAGGGCGTCTGCCGCAAGCGCTGCGGCATTCAGGGAATCATGAACCTTCGCATCGCCCTCTGCTGTCGAGTGCGCCATGGCCTCTGGCCGCAAGACACCGCTGACCTCGGGAGCGCCACCGGCTTTCAAGGAAAGGAATTCGTCGTACTGCGGAGGTCGCATCCATTGCGCATTCCTGGCGCTCAGACCCGGAAGGGCCGCTTCCATAGCGTTGGCCCCAAGTGCCACATGTTCCAGTGATCGAGCCAGCGAAGACTGATCAACGCGGTTCTCGTTGCTTTCAGACGCAACTGGTGCGTAAACTGCTGCAAGAGCGCTCTCATTCCGCACCAGCTCAGCAGCCGCTCCTTGCAGCGGACGATAGGTCCACGGAAGCGCCGTTGTCTGCGGGTTCACGCCAGGCGCTGTTGCTACGTCGAGCGTGTCCGCAAACGCGGCTGCCAGTTCCAGGAGCCACATGCCCCCGGCTGGACGCATGCCCTCAACGCAAACTGCTAGTCGCTCCAGGGCGCTTCGCTCCTCTTCCCATAGCTCTACCGCTTTACTCGCCAGTGCTGCTGCTGCTGCTGCTGCTGCGGAGCTCGGCTCTGACGAGGCACCGATCGATTCAGCGCTCGACTCTGTCGCAGAAGCAGTCCCTAGAACCCGCTCAGACCGGAGCACTGGCAACAGTTTCAGGTCCATGGGCGGATCCGGCAACTCCGTTCGCATCCTGGGCGCATAGAGGAAAATGTTCGCAGGAGGCTGCTCCCCGACGCGAGTTCCGCTCCGAGGTCGCTGCTGCGGACTCCCGTCCGTTGTGGCGCTCGGAAAGTGCGACATGAACCCGGATTTCCTCCAAGAGGAAGCGTCCCGTGTATCCGTGAGGCACCGTTTCGTGAGCAGTGCCCGCAAAAAACGAACGCTGTCGCTAGGGAAACCGCTGCGGCTGACCCCGGCGCCTGGTCCTCGTTCCAGCGCTGTCGAGTGCACAGCGTTGCCGGGTACGCACCAGCAGGCGTCACTCTGCGTCCTCGAATAGCGTCAGAGACCAATAACCTGTAGCAGGCTCTACTGCAGCGTTTAGAAAAACTTTAGAAACGCGCCTCTGTCTGTGCAGAGCACCAACTGGTACGCCACTTGGATATGTTTCGTACTGTGCTGGAAGGGGGCCGGGGTGTCTCTGGCGGACAGCCCCGAGACCCCGCGGGCACCAACGTGCGTCTGATGACTGGGGAAGTGCATCCAGGAAGGCCTGCACCATGAAACCGTTTTTTCCTTGTTTGTTCTCTGGCAGATACTCAAAAAAAAAGCAGCGTATCATGTTGATGAGAGATGGCCACGGGAGGACGATATCCTGGGACTTGTAGATTGCGAGAAATGCCGTACATGACTACGTCAGACATTCTAGAATCACCAGATGGTTGAAGCATCATCTTTCTAGTCCGTTTCCTGGACGTCGAGCATCGAAAACAGCGCCTTTCAAAATCTGTCCACTTAACTGTCTCATCATCGATCCATTCCACTCCATGCGCTCTCCGAGAAATCCTTACAAAGAAGCTACAGGATAGGAAGTTAAAGCACGGTTCATACGTACGGTGAAGAAGGCGCATGGATGGGCAACGGGACAAGCACGCTGCCAACAGAGACCATCGTGCTTTTGAGCAGCATATGATGGAAATCGTTGCGAGACGCCAACGTATATGACGGACGGCATGGATGTTCGTCTCGATCGGGGAAAACGCGTTCGAGAGAAACGGTACACGTGTCCGTGGTTACGCAAAGAGGGTAAACTGCTCTTCGCAAAGCGGTGACGCGCGAGCATTCCTACAACATCAGCCTCAGCGGCGTTCCAGTGGACTGGTCGCCCAGACATCGCGCAACGGACAGGATCGTTCAATACCTCATCCTTCGTCGAAGCAGCCTTGATGGGATCTCCTTCCCACATGCTTCTGTCTGGGTATTCGACGACATCGCTTTCCATCATGCAAAAGCGGCCAAGGAGTACGCAGTTGAGCATGGCGTTGAGCTGCGCCTCGCGCCAGCCTATGCACTCTGATTCAGTCCAGTTGAAGACGACGTTTCTGTTTTCCAGTGCCATTTTAGTGCTCAAGGGTACGTAAGCGGGTCGTTCGCATTCGTCACACTGGCCTGCGAAAAATCTCTCGAAAACTTAATCATCACTTGACTGCTGTTTTCTAGTTTCTCTGCTCGTGCGCTCTAGGGAGCGCAAAGACGGTCTTCGGCCCGTGTGCGTTCTCGCGACGGAGGAGGCGACGAAAAGGTACTCCAGAGACAATAAACGTACGGATCGAAAAGCTGGGTTCCAGCCCCGCCGTGCAACCAGGGCTTCTGAACACCACGGGGAAACAAACGGATATAGAGTATGGAGGCCACACGGATGCCACTCTGCCAAGTGCAAGGATACGAAGAAGAAAGAGCTGGCCACAGCGACCAAGGATGAAACATGCGAATATCATCATGCTGAGAACCAGCGGATCTCGTTCAAGATCTTGTCGTTTACAGAGAGGATGTGGAAATATTTGTGACTGGGAGGAGGGCGGAGATCCACAGCATATCCATCTTCAGATCATTTGTGAAACCTGGGCCTGAGTCGCGCCACGAGACAAATTCTCAACAGGTCCATGTAGATGAGGGGAATCAACATCAGAGTGGGCGTTGATCTCGGGTTGATGAACATTATGGCCGTCAGCGTAATTCCCATTCAAGACGACGAATCCAAAGAGCTGAATGAAGAGCGAATGAGGCTGCTCGAATCTGGCAGGGCTTGCAACGCCCGAGGCTCGGCCTGAATGGGCGCCCGAGGGCATACCAACAAGTGGAGTGACGGCGTCCGGACACATCTCCACGCTCTCAGCACCGTAGCAAGCTGGGCGATGCAGTGTATACTCCATTCAGAGCGCACATTAGCGTCCAAAGGACTCAAACGGATGATCTCTGGCGGGCGTTTTTCATGGGCTTGTGCCGGGGTCGTCAACGGTATCCGCTGCAGGGAGGCAAGCGCCGTGCTTTCGCCATTTTTTCAATGCGTTGGAAAAGAAAGTGACCGAAACGGGAGGTCGTTTGGTGCTGGCGTCTGACACTGGACGTGCTGTAGCGCGAAAAGGCTGCAGTCCTGTTCCATCAAAACCAGCGTACAAGGAAGGCAGGAATCGATTCTCTGTACGATACATATCGATGCTTCCAGGACGACGTAGATGCATCAAAAGTACGGGTACACGCTCAAAACTAGTGGAAGAGAAGAGAATGAAACGGAGTCTAACGCACGAGGCGGTGAACACCAAGCTGACCAGACGTGAAATCGCGAGATAATCGGAGCTGAGAGGCTTTTCATGGTGTGAAACGCCCGGCAACCGGGCGGACCAGCGCATTCTGCACCGAGACTGGAACACATCGATAAACATTCGGAAATGTATCGTGATTCCGGAGCGTCTGTCGGATTTATGTCGAGCGAACTTTTTCTTAGCAAATCGTTTAGAACCCAGTGGGGGTATTGTGCTGAAACGCTAAAGACTGTCGATGAGAAGGATTATTGCCCAGGACAGACAGACAGACAGACAGACAGACAGACAAAGATTCTCGCCTGGAGCACCGCACTGGCATGAGATGAACAGACATCCAGCGAGGCGGGAGCGCCCTCTGTACACACCGGGATCGGTTATCCGTTGCAGCTGGCGAACAGCGAGGATGCTCCGTGATGCGGCAGTACAGCGTGTAACTGAGGCATGTTGCTCATTCCTGTGCGAAAACGCTTGCTCTTCGGTGTGTAGAACAACCAGTGGTACTCGATTGCTTTTACATCCAGAACGTCCACACTGTTCTTCTCGCTCTTCGACGTGTAAACGCAATGGGGACACTATAAGAAAGTCAGTGTCCACAATGACTTTCCGCTCGGAAAGCGCATGATTTTCTTCGCGTTTCCTTTCGTAAAGAGCACCACACGACCGCTGTATTCCATCGTACATCGTATGTGGTCCACATGTCAACGTCCCAGCGAGTGCGGGCACGTGCCGCTCCCATGATAGCCTGCGGAGCGGATACGAAAGCGCAACCTGCGACTTGATCGATCCCGAGAACATTCACTCGCAGATACCCATTGAGATCCGCAGATGATGAGGCCGTTTACAGGCATAGCCTGGTTCGCGGGCAAAGCATCCTGGCTCAGCTGCTGCCTTTGATTAGCCCGCTGCCGCTGAACCGTTCGAGAACGGCTTCGTGGCTACGACGGCATAGCGCTGCCAGTAGCGAACGCAGGCCTCCACTCTTTTGCGTATCTGTTCAGGAGGCACAGCCAAATCCAGTGACCTGGGCTGGAGGTCGCTCGGCGTTCGTCGTGCGCGAGTCCGCTTCCGACCAGTGGTGACGAGAGCGCTTGCCACAGCCGACTCTCTCGCCAGTTGCTCCCCCAACGCAGATACTTTCGTTGATTCAAGGCCATGCTCCAGGAGCTCATGTGTCGCCTGAAGTGCTCGCAGCCGCATATACCGGTTCATGTGGGCCTGCTCGATAGCAGGATCTGCGAGAAAGCGCCCTCCGAGCACAGCTAAAAGCAGGAACGCCACCGCCAGCGGAGAACCCCCTTGTACGCTCAGCCATACCTCCGAAACAAGGCGCCCGTAGAGAGCCTGGGCTAGAGCGTCTACCGCTGGTGCAGCGGAACGGTGAACGAGAGGCACAGTCTCCGCTGTCGCTCCAGCAAGCGGGTGTGACGCGGCGGACTCGCTTGGATCCTCGCCAAAGTGCTCAAACAAGACTTGAAAGCTTGCAGGGGCCTGCTCCAGGTGCTGTTCCAGTAAAGTCACGAGCTGTTCACCCTGCGACTGGATGCGATGATACAGCGGCGGTGACCAGGGTACCTCGGCCAGCAGTAAAAGCATCTCTCTCCAGAGCGGTACAACCTCGGCCGCCAACCGTTCATTCAAGCTTTGCTCCAGAAGCGCAGGCAGTGCCGACGCCAACGTCCGTCTCCAAACCGAGGGCATCGCGGCTACCGCCTTGCAGAGTGCTTCCAACGCGGCTGGGCTCGGATCGAGTGCTATCGTCTCCCTGAAGCGCTCCAGCCAACGGGGCAACCAGTCCGACACCAGGCCGGGTGCAGCGACTGGGTCCGCCTCTTCAACCAGTGCGTACAGCGGGTTCAGCATGCTGGTAATCACCGGCTCCCAGAGCGAAGCGGGTACAGTTCGCTCCAAACCTAGTACCTGAGACAGAAGAGTTCGTACTTGATCTACCAGACTGTTTCGCTGCTGTCCGTGCGCTCGTTGCAGCGCAGCCTCGATCCTCGTGCAGCTGAGGAGCGTCGCATCGCTGGAGGCTTCTGCAACCGCTGACAGCTCAGCGGTCGATGCGCGCTGCCAGACCTGCGTCCAACGCAGCTGCACGTATTTTTCCAGTCCTTCCCTTAATGCTCGTTCGAGTTGCAAGCCAATCTGCAGCTTCAGCCGCGAATATAGCCGATCAAAAGCTCTATGCAGAGCGCCCAGCGAAAGCAACGCTTCCTGAAGCAGGGCGTAGCGCTCTGCGACAGCCTCGATGTCGCCTTGCGCTAGCTGCGCTTGGAACATGGGCACGGCGAAGCCGGTCACCCGAATGAGCTGGAGCAAGCGCAGCTTCTTTTCTAGTGTATCTAACGCATCCTGGAGGTCCTCCGAGTGGTCGCTAAACTTGTTGCATAGGTCGCTGACCACTTCGAGGCCTCGCTGAGACTCTTGCAGCGAACGCCGCAGCTCAGCCAGCACTTGGCCCTGCGCAAAACACCAGCGAGCCGCTTCATCATAGTCCTCGAAGAGACGCAGAGCCGCTCGCTGTAACGCCGTCTCCGCGTCGAGCGCCTGCACCTGAAACGCTTGCGCTTCTGACAGGAGCTCACCGATAGAAGCGCGTGCCAGCACCTCCTGTACGAGCTGCCTCGAGGGCTGGCTTGCGTCGGTTGTCGTCAGCGCAGCAGTAGCGCGCCTAGTGCCACCAGGAGAGTGCCCAGCCCCGGGCGTCGTTGCTTGGCTCGTGTCGGTTCCGGTTGCTGGAGGCGCTAGCCCGTAGTAGGCACTCAGCTCCAGGTGCACTGGTTGAACTTGCGCTGTGCCGTGCGCCTGTCCGCCGGAGGACAACTCTCCGGTTGTACCATCCAGGGACATAACCTGTGCGTCGAAAGGTGTGGCTGTTCGCCTGCACAACGACGCGAGCAGCGCGCACCCTAACTTGCTGTTGGCAGCGGCAACGGGAGCGTGACGAGGAACGCGCTTCTCCCGAGCGACCTACGCAGCAGGCGCGCCCTCTGAAGCTACAAAAACGTGTCTAAACGAAAACCTATACAACCGAGTTCACGTCCAGCTGCATCAGTGGCAAGAGTTGAACACACTCGCCCCTTTGCCGACGGAGCAGTACAGCAGTCGCGAGGAGCAAGTCGTACAGCGCAGAATACCCTCATCGCAGCAAACGATCGTGAAGATCCCGCAAGTCCAGTGTGCGCACCCGAGGCTCGCTATCGTCCAACTGTCATCAACACAGAACTGTGCGGACATTTTATGCGAGTGCTTCCTTTTCCTCTGCCTTATCTCGGGCTTTAAATTCGCAGGTGTCTCTTGGCTTCAAAGCTCCGATCCTCGTGAATCGAAGGATGTTGATGGCATCGTCCAAGTCCCGATATCGCGGATTCCGGCTGTTGTCAAAGCAGCTCATGGACCGGCAAAAGTTGCGACCGACGCTTCGCGTGCCATTTTCATTCCCTTTTCGTAGAGCCTCTGAGTACGCTTTGCAGCAACGGTGCTTGACTGTGGCCAGGTGTTGCTGTGTATCCGCCACACATCCTCCTGCTTCAACGGTCGTCAGCGGCGCATGAACGCTTGCTGCATCTCTCGGTGCATGCCCGCGACGCGTACAGAAGGTTTGCGTTGATGCCATCCACGGTTTCTGCGCTCGGTGCCGTGCACCATGATCATGGGCTTCTCCGGGACGCTACCTTCAGCGGGTATGCTGTCCGCTGTACGCCCAAACGCACACTGTTCCATGCGATAGGGATTTGTGGAACGCAATGTTGTGCAAGATGACCCAAGGACACGAAGGAGAATCCAGCCTGGAGATCAAGCTGAGAAAGTTCAATCCATCTATGCTTGATCCGTTGAAAGCGGTTACGCACGCTTCCATGGGAGCGATCGCTCCGATGACTAAAGTCCGACTTCAAAGTCCTCTTCGATGGGAACAAAAGCAATCGGAATTTCAGGAAGTGTACCCTAGGGGGGTAACATGCAGGTGTCACGCCCTCGGTGGTCGACGAGTACGAAGAATCGGATTTATCTTTCGAGCAGGATTGATTGTTTGACGTGACAAGCGCAGGGAACGTTCGACGTGAGCTCGTGAAGCAGTTGTCACCTGACAACGTCGAGTGTTTGTCTTCGTCAATCCAGCGTGGCGAATTGCTGCGCCCAAGCGTTGCTCTGAAACAGCAAGATCGAAAACTTGAAGAATATATGGCTCGAGCGTTCTGCACGTCAGGTAAGGAGCGTATTGGAACCCTGTACGTATCAATCGGATAAAGATGTTCGATGCTTTGCGAATTCTCCTTCAAGGGCGTCGCAAATCACCTTGATTCCGTTGAAGTGGCGATTTCAAGTGGCATAGACTCAATGGAGCCATTACGAAAAGACAACGGAGCATCCTGAACCAGTGTATGAATCCGTAAGCGCATATCTCTGGACTTGTAATACATAGGTAGTGCATCCAATAAAAAGCTCGGATGATGATTCGAAAGGCAGGACCAGAGCGAGCAGTTCCGATGTCGATTTTAATCTGGCCCCGGTGCAGCGTAGCGGTACAGCCTAGCGGGCGCACATAAACATCGTCGAAATGGGTAACCAGCATCATTCCAAATACGTCCGATACTTTCAAGGCAGACATTCTCGTGCCTTTACAGCACATTTTCCGCGCCGACCTTCTCGTCTGGCACATCATGTGCTTGGCCAGTGGACCCCAGCAACCGTTCCCAGCTCGCAAGTCGCTGTGCGCGAACACGCCACAGCGTCGTTCTCGGCGATGTGTCGGCACCTGGTGCGCGCTCCGCAGTACCGCTAGCTTGGCAAGTTCGTGTTTCAAGGCGGCTTGGTCGGATGCTTCTCGGCTCTGGAGCACCAGTTGACGCTAATGCGATGCACGCATCACAACGACCAGGACGCAGGAGCGCCGCATCGAGCGCATCCAGCTCCGTTGCAGTTAGCAGAAGCTTCGCGCTCAAGTTGTCTTTCGTATTTGATTCCAACGCGCCATCTATTTCGGAAAGCAACGTGCCCAGCAGACGACTGGTGAAACGATCGGTAGTCGCGAGAGCGTCATCGGTTGTTTGCTGGGCGCCCTGGCTCCGTCCGCAAGAGAAGAACAAATCAATATCGTCGAAGCAGAGGATTGGGCGTCTCGCTCCGACCTCCGCAGAAACCGGCCGAAATAACTGACGAAGCTCCCGTTCGGTCTCCCCTAAATAACCAGAATAGAGATTGCTTCTGGTAATGAGATGACAGGGAATACCACGCTCCGCTGCGAGGTCGGCAAACGCGTAGACAAGTGCAGTCTTGCCGCTCGCTGGGGGACCATGCACCAAAACACAACGAGGCATAGCAACTCCGAATCGACGCCAAGTTGCCAACTCTGTCGTTGTTGGAAGCAACATTCTGCGAATACGCGCCAGAGCACCGTTGTTATCCCTGTACATGCGAAGCCACAGTCCCGAGTATCGTAATTCGCCACCAGCAGCGTTCTGCAACGCATGCGAGTTTACCGTGTCCTGGTTTCCCTGATCGGACCAGGATGCTCCGTAGACGTTCAGCGGAAGCAAGGCAGCAGGTTCGAACCAGCGCAGCGCTATCGGAACAAGCGTCGCACAGGTAACGATTACCGCGCTCGAGACAACACCTACGAAAGCACCGAGCCGCATAATCAGGACCTCTTCGGTTGCTGTACCGGGTGACGATGTCCCGAACTCGTCAGGGAAGCTGTCGATATGGAAGCGCTCCCCATAGAGACGATACCATGCAGCAATGCGTTCCCAGTCCATGATAACGAGCGCTCCGGGCTGCTGCGCAAGCTCCGCTGCTATGCGGCGTAAACAGGTTTGCAACCCCTTCTCGACGCACTGCGGTGCGGAAAGCCAGCATAGGCGGACGCCAAGCTCCGCAGCTGCGCGACGAACGGCTTCATGTCGTTCACGGCGCGTTCCGCCGAAGATCCAGAGCTTTCGTCCCTGCGAAAGTGCGTTGCCGATCATCTGCTGTAGCGGAAGACGTCGCGCGACTCGCGGTGACCGGTGCCGCACAGGCCACGAGCGCCGCAGCAGCGCTCCGAGCACTGTGTCCGAGTCCCAAGCGGTGCCTTCGTGTGCCGGTCGGATAAACCTCAGGCGGAACTAGCAGTTACCCCAGGAGTTCCGGTTTGTGCTTTCGAGAGTCGAGAACTCCTCGGCTCCCGGTAGCGTCGGGCGTGTGCACTTCAACCAATTATGCGCAGCGGTGACCGCGAAGACCAATATTGAGTCGCATGGATTCTTGTGGCATTCGCGGGCGAAACTCCAGTCTCCAGCGAACGCTATCCACGTGCAACGTAAAGCTAAGGAATCCAAGGGCAGTAATAGCAGAAACACGATTGTATTGCGAATCGATCAACAGAACGGTTCCTTTGATGCGCACAGGCAAACACAGGCTCGATGAGGCGTCGATGCGCTGGATGTACAGTATGGCATATTTTAAAACTAAAAGTAGAGCATACGCTCAGATGCTTCGCTATCGTACGCGCTCCAGGCGGTTACGCGTCTCATCATCGCTGGCTCCGTGCTCGTTGAAACCGGCTTCCCGAGCAGTCACAGTGCAGAACGCGCGAAGAAACACATCGGATCAGTTGCCATGGTTACGCTGATATCTTGAGCTGCGGATACAGTGCTCACTTCCCAACGTGTTCTCTGTATTTTTTCGGCAGTTGCAACCCTTTTCTGGTGAGGTTATCCCACGCTTTTCAGAAGATGGACGGAGAGCATTTTGCTGGTATAGCTGTTGGACGCGTGAACTTTCTCTGTGCATTCCACGTACTGCACCTCTCTTCGATAGTCAGCCTAGGACGAAGCGTTCATCGCTTTTCTATCTATGCTTCGGAGCGTTCAACACGCTGCACCTGCGCAAAACGGCTGACACGGGCAGTACCGTAGCTGTCGCTTTCGACGGAGGTATCGTGCACATGCCTTTTCAATAGCTAGGCGCACAGGTTTAGAATGGCACAAAAGTCGTCCGTCATTGCCAATAGGACGTCTGGCGGGGTTACGGACTGTCACACACTGTCTTCAATCGTTGGCTCGGCACGGGCTTCCACTTTACCGTTTTGGTACCAGAGGCTGAATAACACAACGGGCGGGGCAGGCTTCAGGCTGGCGTAAATTGTTCAGTTCCGAGGCTGCTGGCAAATCAGCGCCGATCTGGGGGCGAAGGACCGATGCACGACTACCATGTTTCACAGGAGAGGCACGTTCTGCTTCTGTGCAAGCCGACTGAAATCTTCGAGGTGATAACAAGCATATTTTTCTGGGCGCGCTTGCCATGGAGGACTTCAGGTTCGATAAAATTCCGCGTAAATATGTCTTGCGGTGTATGCGAAACCGAAATCGAGAAGCGACTTATCGGTACGCAGCCATGTCCATGCAATCCGATCCTGGTTCCTCTTTTGCGATACGGGTACCGACCACGTGTTTCGGAATGTAATTCCGCGTGGCAAAAAGCGCGTCACAGACATGCACAGAACAGGCGTTATCGAGCGATGCCATTTTCAAGGACTGCAAGCCAAGCGCTGCAGCAGCTCATCAACAGCGGAACACTTTAGAACCGCGATGATCCTGGACTATTTGATGCGAATCCGTTTTCCCAACGGGTCCCAGCTCTCTCATGCCATGCAGGCCGTTGACTCGCTTCACTTTCCTTGCGCACAAGATTCAAGGCGTAACTTTCCAAAGTCTGGTGCATAGGTGCATGCAACGGAGCTGCGCTCTTGCAGTCAACGCAAAGACCTCTTCATGATGCCCATGGGTGTGCGAGATCGCCCTTGTTTCGGTCGTGGCTTCGACGCGCGCCATCCCTTCTACATGTGCTTTTTCAAGTTTGGATTGTCGCTCGCGTTCTGAGCTCGGACCGGTGACTAGCGCTTGTGCTTGCGAAGGTTCTGCCTCATGGCGGAACGCTTACGTCTGGAGCAGGCGCAACCGTACCCGTCCCCGAGGGCGGAACCGGACACCAGGTTCCCCGAGGGCACCACACAGCCAGGGACGCGGGCGGTGCCTCCGGGCAAGTCACCGGGCCTGGGACGGGCCCCGCTCCCGACGCTTCCAGGGAACAGGTTACGGGACTCAGAGCGGCCGGACTTCCTCGAGAGACTCATGTCGCGACTCGAGAGGCAACGCCAACGACCCCGCACCGCACACCATCACCTGGACTTTTATATTCGCGTGGCGGAGAGCAAACAACGTTGCCGTGTAGAGCTCAAGAAAACGCTTGCGGTTTATTCGTGGCTCGCATTAAAGCCAGCAGTTTTCTTCCGGCCGCTACATAACCAACCATGGGACGAGCCTCGGTGGAGCTTACGGCTCGATGTGAAACTGAAACGTATCGTCAAAGTCCGTCTTCTTCCGCTGACGGAGAACTTTTGGGAAGCGAGTATCGATATACCGGTGAGTCGGTGGCAAACCGATGTCCAGGTGCGCTATCGACAAGACACTATGTCGTTTCGTAAGCCGGAACAAGCATGGCGACTGACGATTCGAAGAGCACCCTTCCGACTGCGTCTCTTTTTCGGTACTGATCACCCGTCCTCCATCGACTATACGTATCGGTACGTGGGTCATGAGATGAGCGCCACAACATTCAGAGGCGCCTGGCGATTTGACGTCAATCCGCAGTACATGGCCCAATACTCGGCCGAGCTGAAGCGACGCTTCTGAGTGACGGAAACGCAGAATCCGAATCCAGTGACGCTGCCATTCCCCTCAGACAGGTGACTGCCTGTAGGCGTAGAGAGAGGCTCGATTGCGGATAAGCAATCTTTGATATTGCATGGCATTATTCGTGGGATGCTTAACGGATGTGCCCATGATCTGGACAATATGGAAGCGTTAGCACGCGTGCAGTGCTGTGATCATCTGCTTGATCATCGGACAGTGCGTGTGTGCGATCATAGGGGCATCTGCATGCATGAATGGACACGTATGTGTCTGCATCCATGAATACCACCATGCGTGTCTGTATGCATGAATAGACACGTTCATGTCTTAACACGTATGTGCCTGCATCCATGCATATGAATCGATTGGGAAGAAGAGATCGCATCCGCCGTTCGAGCGCGTCGCGATGCTGCGGATCAACAACATCGCCTTGCAATGGATGGAGAAATCGTGACGCGAAACGCATACGGACGGCCATTGCCGCGCCCGCTGCCAATGCGTCTTACTGCCTCAGGTCCAGACTCGTTGCGCCGACTCGCGCTACCGGTATGGTAAACTGTGGCCGGGCAATGGTTTGCTGGCCGTTCGTGCCAGCCCACGGTTCGGTGCTCCGAGTAAGCGTCCACGATGACAGTCTCTGTCATGCAAGTCTGGATGCGCGATTGAAAAACGCTGAATGCGAGCCTCCAGTGGTTGCCAGTCCACCTACGAATGCCTGTATGGAACCTGCTGCAAGATGAAGACGGGGCCAGGAGCTCTTTCTTCCTAAACGACTCGGCCGCTGCACAGGCGAGTCCCCGCAATGACGAGGACACGCACCAAGTGCAGGGTTCGGTGCGCTACGCCTAACCTAGCATGCCCAGGGAGTTGTTTTTCGTTGCCTAGTATCGATGAATCGTACCTGAATGTACTGGAGATGCGAATGCTGCTCGTTACCACGGAACACGGACGTCACCTTTTCTGCGGACGCTTTTGAGGAGAGCTCATCGCCTGGCAGCACACGGATTAGGGCCATGGCCCGGTTGGTGCGCTGCAACGCATCGCTTCCAGCACCGCAGCGTCAAAAGCACGTCCGGGGACGATCTCCGGTCCGAATGAGGTTTTGAAACCGCTCTTCATTCTGATCGATTACAAAAGACGCTGAGATATGCGGACGTGCAGCCTTAACAACACCAATTCATTTCTTCGCGGGCTTTACTTCTGCGACGGATTCATGGACCATCTGATACATATGGAAGTATGCATTAGGGATTGGTTTCCGTGCGCACCCGTCCATGCACTGGTATGATGCAAGGGGCCGCTGATCAAGCTTTGCGTATCAACATGAACATGATTTAGATGCATGGAAGCAAGTCATCGTAGATGTATACGGTAGACTTCACCCTTCATTCAACGGTCTGGGCAGGGCCCGAGCCATCGATGACCATCCCGGTGCCAGTCATCCATCGGTCTGAAAACCATCATATTCTCCGAATACGAATCACGCAAGGTCTGCGCGAATGACTGCATCCCCAGTGACGTTACCAGTCACAGCGTACCGCGACTTGGAGGTCGCTCGTGCACGTGTCTGGCGTTGGCTGCACGCCCCGCTCCCCCGATCCATCGTGGATGTCGGTCGGAGCGCATACCGTCTGTGAAACGACTATATGCGCGGCGTATGCTGCGGCATGAAAGGTCCCAGCAAGCGCCCGGTCACTCCAGTGCTGACCAGGAGAGACTTGCCGACGTCCGCTCTGTACCTGTTACGTCTCCGAAAATGATCGCACCAACTAGGATGTGTGTCTTGCTTTCGTTCGTGGCGGTAGCCGTCTCGCGAGATCTTCGGTTACGATAGAGCCAGCGACAGTGCCTTCCAGCCGGAATACGCCGTTCGATCTAGATCTGCCCCGAATTGCATGCTGTACATTTATGGAGCAAAACTCTTCTGATATATCTACAAGTGGGATACCGCTCTCCCAGCCCGACTCCTTCTCCGAGCAGAATGCGACGAAGACGCTTCTTTCCGCATTTGTGATCTACATCATGCTGGGCTTTGAGGATAAACGTCTGCAAAGCAAGTGCCGGCACTTGGAACAGATGCTCCTCCCTATGAAATTTGATGCTCATTCTCATAATTACCTACAGTGGCACTTTCGTCGAGGAGGTGACGGAGCCTCATGCATGACGATGCAGGCAGGAAGCCATTCAGAGCTTGAAGAAGACCCATCGAACGACCAAGCTCCACAGAGATGGGGGATTCACGGAACAGGTCTTCGAGGAATTGCATCAGAATCACGCCGATTTCGTCTTCTGACTGCAGCGCTGGGCCCCATACTTCAAGATCCTCCATAAACTCCCACAGCAACAACGCGGTGAGATGCTCTTGCTCAGAGGGTGCAACAAGTTGGTGGATAGCGCGTCCGAGAGTCTGCAGTGTCTGACCTGCCTGCACCCAAACCTGTCGCTCGGTGTGCGGGATCGGATCCAGAGCGTGGACGAGCCATCGGATCCATTCGGGATCCGTATCCGTTGCGAGCAAAAGGCGCGCACTCGTTTCATCCTGCAACAGCGTTGCAAGAATGTCCAAAAGCAGTCGTAGCTCCGTACTGCGTCCATCTGTATGCCAACTTTTTGCGATAATCTGCCAGAAGAGGGCGTGATCCGCGACCATCCATGCTCGGCAACCCGCACATTGGCTGCAGCAACTACACAGCCATTGCAAAAGCTCCGTGGTACCCTGTTCAGCGACTTTTGCAATCTCACGAGCGAGAGTCATTTGTGCCTGCCCCTGGCTCAACACATCAACCTGCATTTGCCGTACCGCTTGACGACAACAACATGGTGTCCGAGAGAATGGCAAAGACGTCCCCAGAGATCCACGCAGAGGCAGCACGTGGGAGGCACCACCACCTGCGGTCGCTTCGCCGCTGGACAAGTCTCGCACCAACCCGGGCTGTTGCTGCTCGTGACCGGAAGCTTCTGGTCCAGCCATGAAGGCGGTTGACGACGAGCTTACCGCATCGTTCCCGATCACAGATGCATGTTCGTGCGGACGTGCATCAGCTGCGAGGAGTGCAGTCTCGGACGACCGTGCTGGAAACGCGCGAGCATCTGTCGTTTCCAGCGGTCGTGACGCATCCCTAGTTCGAGGCTGACCCGACTCCGGTTGCGATGTAGCTGGGGGCAGCCCAGAACCCCCCGGTAGCGATAGGTTGCTCGATGCAGGTTCAAACTCAACTGGACGCATCAGTTGACGCAGCAGTGGACCCAGCGGCGTATCCAGAACTCGTCGAGGCAGCTGTAGTATGTCGGACGGAATGCCTTTCCCCACGAGGAAACGACAGAGCTCATCCGCAAAATGGTTACAGTTATTGGTCAATAAATCATACGTTTCAATGCGATAGCGACCAGATATCCCTACGAGAAAGTCGTGCAGCGTTTCGACGTCCACAAAGGTCTCACCGAGAGGCAGCGCTCGCCACGGTCGTCCGTACGGGGTCTGCCCTGGTGCTCCCTGCTGAATGCCACCGCCAAAGTAGTACTCCCGCTGGTGAACGACAACACCCGTATGATAGATAGCCTCAATCTGCACTCCAAGCAACACTGGACTCCATGTAGCTGCTAGTCCGCCACTAAGATCGTAGACGTGGAGAATAACCACAGACATGAGTTTGGGAACTGCTGGTGCTCGAGCAGTGAGCTACAATCGATACGGAGGCAGCTGCCGAGTGGACGCGATGACTTTCGCGTGCGAACTCGAGTGGAAGCTACGGCTGACGCTAAGGCGTGAACTCGGACTCGAACTCAAACTCGAAGCAGCGAAGATGTCTGAACTTCTGCGAAACGCCAGTGTACAGGGAGGCATTAGATGCTGCTAAGTGGCTTCGCAGCCGCACCTCGAGAGCGGTAGGCGCTGGAGAACTGCTTGCATGTTGCAAGGCAGCGACGGTTCCTTTGGTGGAGCGTTTCGAGGCCGTTGGGAACGACTCTGTTTACTTGAAAAAGGTCGGGGAGGAGTTGCTTGTGCTTGAACACGACGACTGGGCGTCTCCCAGAGCAATAACGTTCGCGTCGCTGGATCAGCGGGTCTGCTACGCGATGCACGGAACGCACACCAGGTTGCGCTCGTTACCCAGGGTTGCGCTTCCCAGTCCGTTCTCTGACACGAACCGGGAACGAACCAGCGCGGTGTCCACTTGGCTGACGCAGTCGGCGGCAGTGGCGGCTCTCGCGAACGACCCAGTGGTAACTAGGTGTTGTTGGACGGGGGCGCTGGCTCGCTGGCTTTCAGCCGAGTTCGAACGTCGCTATCGGTTTGTAGCTTGGCGGACCGTTGGTTTGGTCCCAAACCGATTCGTAAAGCTTGAACTGCGTAAAACGAACCGTTGAGCCTTCGGAAGGTTTCCAAGCTCCAGCGGATGCGTGCTGTACGAGTTGTCGAAGCCGCGCTCTACTTGCTGAACTTGCCCAGTCTTTCACTCGGCCCAGCGTCAGATGCGGCATATAGGGTTTGGGAGACGCATTCGATGGGCGGTACTGTGTTTGTCTGGGGATACCCTGCAGGTCTACCGCCGCCGTATCCAAGTGGAACGGTGCAAGCTGATCCGCAAGTCCCGCGACGAAACTGGATAGCGTTCGCATCTCGTCGCGATCCACCACTTCTTCTAGTTCAAGGCAGAGCACTCGAAGGGGTTTCTGACTTGTCAGCGGCGGAAGCGCAGCAACGGTCGTGATCATCAGCGTCACCTGGTGATGCTGTTTCGCCAATGCGTTCAGCCGATCAAGCACCTCGGGAATTCGTTCCCGTGCTGTTGTTCCTATAAAGTGCAGCGTGATGTGCCATGAGTCGGGGCTTGTCCAGCGCACGGGCGGCAGCGCTGGCACCTTCGAGCCGTCCGTTTCGCTTGCGACGCCCGTGTTTATGCTCCAGTTGTCCAGGAGGAACTGTTGCGCACTACTGGCAGCTTCTGTGAAGGCCACTGGCGCCTCGAAAGCGACAAAGAGGCGCGCTTGATCTGGTCGAAGCGTCGCAGCCGCATGCCGTGCGACTCGCGTCCCTTGAGCCGGTAGCGCTGCTGGTGTAGATCTTTGAGATCGTCTTCGGTTTTGGCCCTGTGACCGTCTTGCCCTTGAATCCGCTTCACCGCGCTCCTGGTGCATAGATAACGCGCGCAAGCGTGTTTTGCAGGTTCTAAACCAATGCCTGCGTTCCAGCGCAAGCGGGTTGCACGTTGAGCCGTCGCCCCTGGACGCTAGCAGGCAACCTCGTTCGCTTGCGGAAAGGTTCTCCGGGCAGCGTGGACAGCTCGCCAGGAAAGCCGCTCGCCGAGGCGCTGTGCAGGTCCGTCTGTGCAGCAGTACTTGATATTGGTGGAAGTTTCCAAACCCGTGCTCCCAGGAAAGCTTACGCAGTTGGTGCAGTACCATAGAGAGCGCTCTACCTGAGCGCGCAACCTCGTGCTCTCTTTAATGAGCCAACACCGCTGAGCCCGTCAAGGATGTTGCCGGTGCCAGCCCAAAGCGTTGAACCAGTCTCCTGGAGGCACGCAAACGCTAGTTGTCACTGTGAGCGAATGCCTCAGCTACCTCGCCAATGCACAATTCACGGCAAAGCGCCGTATCAGCGATTCGCTGAACGGAATGGACGCCTGCTCAACGCAAGTGTCAGAAGACAGCGGAACACGGAACAACCCGCTCTGTTCCTGCTTTTGAGTTTTTAGAACTTGTTTTAAATGGCAGCCTCAGTATTCAAAATGCAATTGTTCGAGCTTACGGACTCATACCTAGTTCCGGGATGCTCGGTCGTAGTTTCCGTGCGGCTCTTTCGACGCTCTGCCGCTGGAATTCGTTACGTCTTCGGAATGAGGATGAATCGCGACGCAATCGAACAAATGTTCGTCAAAGAAGCGATACCAGCATAGATGTGACAGGTGTGTATGATCCTCTATTTTTCTCCGTTGCTACCATAAAACATGCTCAAATCACACGCGAGCTTCAAGTGATAGATCCTTCGGTCTCCAGGCAATTCGCTGACACGGCAACTCGCGCTGCTGCATTGACGAGGAAAAGAACCCGACGACGGCAATGGACGGCTTGTTTGCAAGCTCATGCCGAAAGTTCACTGGACGTATCACATCAAATAATTGATGATGTTCCAAAGAGATATCGTCCAGTATTTGTGGCCATTGATGAAACCGCAATTCGACAGCAGCGGCATGATACATCGCACGAGGTATGCTCCCAGCTGCGCCCGTCACCTCTGTTTGCATGGGAGAGGATCATGGACTCAGAATTCAGTCATCGGAAGGATCGCTTCCAATGGGACGTGCGTTTCGGCTTTGCGCGAACGGAGCGTGGACGGATCGGAAGATTTCGAGTTGGTTGCCATTCTGGGTTCCCCGACCAGCACTTGTTTCATTATACGCACGATTTCGGTCCGCAAATCCTCTGTAAAATGGAGCAGCGTGCACTTGCGCTGCAGCGGACTGGGTACCCTCCACAGGGATCACAGAGAACAAGCTCACGATCATGTGGTGCAGCAGCTGGTGCGCAAACGCGGGGGTGCACTGAGCGCAGCCCTCTGTACCGGTCGACGGCATGTATCGAGTGACGAAGCAAACCTTTTCGTACCACAGAGTGGCGCTCAGAAGAGAGCGTATGGTGGACATACGGCAACCACTGACCAAAGTCAAGAGCTACCGCTGCAACTGGCGCACCGACGCTGTCCACAAAGCAGATATCCCTGGTACGCGAAGCGTTGATACCGGCTCCCTCCTGTTCACGACAAGCGTCGATGACAGCTGGAAGCTGCGAATTCTGTGCATCGACGCTGCCATCAACATTCTCCAACGATAAACAATGGACCTGGAGCAAAGAACGAGTCCGGCATATTCAAGGCGTGAGGTATTAGACAATAAAGTGAAGAAGTCGCAGAGAAAGCCCGCAAATGCAGATGTTGATTACCGTTCGAGGAGACACGTATTCCCGAATATGCGCCCGAGTGAGGTACCTGTACCGCTTCCATTCCACTCTGACATGGGTGCGCAGATGACAGAATAGTGAAAAAGTGAGCTTAGCGCTCCGCGACCCTGTGGCGCTCGCGCGTGATTCAGACCGTGTTTTGGTCCATGAAATGCCCATGATATACGCTCGCAGACTTTTCTGCATCAGAAAATGAACCAGAATCTGCGGCTGCGAAGCTGTGAACTGTAAAGAGCTGTTCGAGTAGCCGGTCATGTTCATGTCCAGAGAACGCAACGTCGATGGAGCACCAATGATATGACATTGCGAACGGAAGCTGCTTTCAGCTTGCGTGAGGCTCCACGCCATGCAGCAGCAGGTGTATCTCAGCAAACACTACCCGGATTCTGCTCGAAGCATTCCGTAGCATCCAGATACTATCGTGCTTGACATGCGTGAACTATTTTTCGGCTGCACATCAACGAATGCGGATCAATGTCGAGCAGTTTGCGAGACGCATGCTGTGAGCGTTGTGCCCTCACCTCACCAGCCAAGAGAAGATGCGACTCATGGAACATAGTCTTGGAGTATCGTTGGAGGCATATGGCGAACTCGTGGTGGCAGAAAAGATCGAGATTGTAACGAGTTTGGAAGAGATGTCGCAACGAGAGCGGGATGCGCTTCAGATCGTCCAAGAAGGTGGTATCGCTCTGGGCCTCACATCTAGGGCGCTGGTATCCAAAAGATGGGTGAAGCGTGACTGCTGCTCTGCTTGCATCTTACGATCCTGCGTTTTCCTCAACAGAGCACCTAGAGCACAGTGGAATCGCTCCCTGAATCGGAGCGCTCGCGCCTCATCATGCGTCTATTCGATGTGGTCCTCATAGATTAGATCAAGGCCAACGAACCCATTGTAAACAATGCTGCACTATACAGTGTGGCTTCCTCAGTGTGCTACCGCTGGTCCGTACGACCAATTATAAAGCACTCGAACAATCTTGCGGAGACCATTGGCGAGGCTTGTTCAAGGTTTCTCGTTTACAATCATCAAAAATTGAAAGCACTTCATCGGGATGATAGAGGCCACCGGATATGAATCTGCATGAACTTTGCGAAACGTAGATCTGAACGGAGCAATGAGACTCATTTTCAAGCCTTCAAGATAGATGGAGAGGAAGACAAAGTTGCGGGCATGCATCCGTCATTGAAGCACATGACGGCTTTCGCCGGGCCTCTGAATCAAGAGGACGGAGCGAAAGACCCGAGCAGTTGAGCAGTTGAAGCTGCTCAACGTTTCCAGAGCACGATTATCAGGAGCCTGGCATGATGAACACCAGGAGGCGTTCCAGCAATTCGAATGACAGCGTCAGCACCGATTCTGTTGCGCTGAGCACGGCATCAAGCAGAAGCGGATGCTTAGTACGCTTTGCTCAGAAACATTACAAGAGCGTCCAAACAGCTCATGAGGACGATATCTAGCATGCGTACATGAGACGCTGCACGAGTCGCGAACGGATTCGGTTGGACCGCGGCCCGAAGCGTATATTCACCAACTTGTACACTGAGCTGGAAAAGGATATGATCGACAAGTTGCGTCGTCTGGAGGTAGCCCATCTCGCTGTGCCCGCTGTAGTGCGCATGGGCCGCAGTTCTGCTCCTTCGACGAGAGCGCCCAACGAGTGCAGGAATCGCCCTGCACGATTCGCATCGATGAGTTCAGTACGACACATACGCAACATTGGCACGGATGCTCGCTGAATGTACGAAAGAAAAAGATAGTGACTCCAGAAATATCTTGTGCTTCGTGGGCATCCATCGGCTCTGTGTCAAGCGATTTTTCGAGAGAATCCTTTCATACGCAGTGTGGCCTCGGTGATGAAACGCTGACCAGTTTCCAAGAAAACAAATCAATGGCCAGGAAACAGGGCATTCGAACCGTCTTGGAGCAAGGCACTCGTACGAAACGTTTCGGCAATCCAGCAAGTTGAACCGGTGTATATCTACATCGGGAACGATTTTCCTGGGAAAGTGGTGAACGATCATGATGTTCCATCGTTCAATATTACCGAGGAGATGCTTCGCGAAACGCAGACGACGAAATAGCGGTTTACGACACCGCAGTCTCTGCCGCTACGAAAGCTCTAGCTGCTGAACGCACGCCTGCTCGTGCATGTGCTCGCAAGTCCGCGGCAGACTCCAGGACTACCGTCGCTGCCGCTACAGCGGCTCTAGCTACTCAAGGCAAGCATGCCTGTGCACACGAGCGAACGTCCCTGAACATGGAACAGTGCGCGCGACTGATGCGGACGTAGCTGTCTGATAGGTTCCCTCAAACGACGCCCTATGCACCACCGGTAGCGAACAGCGACTTGAGTCGACGGAAAAAATTCTTAGATCCTGCTTCCTCGTTTGCGTCGCTGTCGTAGGCGGCCTCCGAAGGCCGATTGCCACGTCGCTGTTGTTCGATTTGTCGCAATTCTTCAATGAGTTCCCGTTCTCTGCTCGTTAAGCTCGTAGGGACACGCAGTCGGAAATGGACGTATTGGTTGCCGCGCTCGGCAGTCCCAATACCAGGGCGAGGTAGACCTTTCGCTCGCATTACACGCACATCGTCCGGCTGGGTACCCGGAGGAATCTTGACTTCGGCCTCGCCGTCGAGGGTTCGGACGCGCACCGCACCACCAAGCGCTGCATCCGCGAAGCTAATGGGCGCAACAACGTGCAAGTGAGGTCCCTCGCGGTGAAAATAGGGATCATCTTCGACCTGGATGCGAACGTATAGATCGCCCGGTGTGCCGCCGTGCGGCGCTGCCTCACCTTTGCCGCTGACTCGCAAACTGTAACCGCTGTCGACACCTGCGGGCACCCGCACTGCGACGCGACGCAGACCAGGTGTCACGCCAGAGCCGGTACACGTAGAACAGGGGTTCCGCAGGCGCCTGCCGCTACCACCGCAGCGTCTGCAGGTGCTTTGGAAAGCAAAAAAGCCGCGCTGATAACTCTCCTGTCCTGTGCCGCCACATTGGGCACAAGGGCTCCATTCCGTGCGACCACCGCTGGAACCAGTACCTCGACATGCGCGACACTCCACCGCCGCTGAGACCTGCACGGTTTTCTCGGTACCGCGGGCCGCCTCCATGAAGGACAGGACCAGGGGTACCTCCACATCCGCGCCGCGTGCAAAAAAGCCAAAACCGCTGCCCATTGGACCTGCACCAGAAGCTGTCTCATCGGCCATGCTGCCGAAGAACTCGCGAAATTGACGGAGAATGTCCTCAGCACCGCTGCCGGGGGCGTACTCAAACCCGCTTGCAGAGGCTCCCTCACCATCCTCGCGGAAACCGTACCGATCGTACTGTTTGCGCTTCTTTTCGTCACTGAGGAGCTCGTATGCTGCGTTGATTTCGGCAAATTTGGATTTATCACCACCAGAGTCAGGGTGATGTTCTTTAGCCAATCGATAGTACGCTTTCTTTATTTCGGCAAGCGTTGCGTTTCGCGGTACGCCGAGCACCTCGTAGGGGTCCCGAGGAGCCGCCGCCACCGCCGTAGATCCCGCTGCTGAGGTTGACACGACACTGAGGCTTCGTGTGTGCGTTCGCCCCTGGCAAGCGCATCTCTGCAGCGACTGTAAGGTGCCAACTGGTGCCGACCATACCGCGTTGGGCCGAGCTGGTACCGCATCCAACGGTAGAACGCCCGACGACGGACTCGTCCTTACTTGTCTCAAACATTGCAGCTCTGGACTGAAATGAAAGGAGCGGCGGATTTGTTTCGCTAGCGTTTCGGTGAGCCGTAGCCCAAGTCGCTGCATGCTAAGGAGCAAAGCCACTGCAGCACAGGCGACGAAGCGCCAAGCGACGACCCACTACCAGAGGGCCGCTTTGGAAACTCTGATCCGCGCCCAAAACCAACACGTCCACACACGCCGCAAGCGGTTCCCGCACCCCTCGACGACTGCTTTTACACTCCACTGCGCTCTTCGCAGAACCCTGAGGAGCACGCTCACCACCGACGTCTCTGAGGGCACCGGAAACGCAGCGCGGCAGCCGGACGCAGCCATCGCGTGAGCGGAGCAGCGACGTCGATTCCTCATCGGTTACGCTATACTGACTGGTTATTTGTTGCGAAAACGCCTGGGCAACGCTCGGTACATTTGCTGGCCCTAGCTGGGGCACTGATTTGAAGCGCGACGGCTATCTGGCTGTGCAGTACATACTCGAGCCTCATAAAAGCAGAAGTTTTCATTGGCGCACCCCTGGTGTGCTTCGGCGTTGACGGCTCGAGGGCGAAAGCATGCTTCCTCAGCTGTACCGCACGCTGAGCCGTCGACTTCGTCAAGTAACTAGGGACTGTGAACTCCGCAGTGTGCGTCAGCAGGCGCTGCGAGCATGTTTCAAGGATTGCTCAGCGCGTTTCGAGAGTTTGAGTGAGCGAGCCGTTCCGTCGTCGATGCCGACGCCTTCCCCCGCTATTGCCGATGAAGTGCTTCGCTGGCAGTCAGCGGTGGACGAGCTTTCACAGTTGCATGAACGATACGATATTGCTTGCGTCGATAAGACTGATGATACGGCACGTGGCTGGCAACAAACGATGAGGGAACTAGCGGCTGCGCGTTGCGCTCTCCGGATGCCGTCCAGGGCGCACCCGGAGCGCACCCGCTCCGCGACTGATTAGGCAGTCAGCGAGCCTGCACACGCTTCTATCTTATTCCTTTCGCAGGGGGTTGCTTGGTCCAGTTTTTGAAACTTGGATCTGCGGCAGTGATTTAACGTTGGCAGATCTGAGATCAGCGTAGGAGAAGGCAGCGTGCGCCCTGTTCCATTTAAGGTAGTGAGTTCCGGAACATCCGTATGAACACGTCTGTGTTGGTTTTGAGTGTTGTTTTGCGGGGATTCAACGAAGGCCACGTATCTTGTAGGTGGCAGAGAGACCGCGGAAAGACTCGATGCGATTACTGCGAGCGTGTGAAAGACAGCTTTACATCTTCTAGTCAGCTATTCTGAGGTCAGCAGGTGGATGATCTGCCCTCATGGCAGTCGTTCTCCTGAACGTGGTGCAGCCCCGGTCGAACGTGTCGAACTCCGTCCACGCGACTGTCTGCTCGTCAATCCACTCCATTGCATACGTTCTGTTACGAGTAGTGTTTACAAGGCCATAGGATACGAATTTTCCGTCTTTCTGATACGCGCTGTGATGAGAAGATATGGGTGAACGAATAAGTATGCTCGCTTGTACGGAGAACCATAGAGTGTTGATACACACACGATCGGTTTTGTTCTCAGACGCGAGATCTTGTATCAGCAGCGACGAATTTGCATCTCACTCGATGAGTCTTTATTCGGGAGAACAGTTGGACTTGTGTCCGGGTACCCAAAGCAGAGCAAACCAGTGTTCTTAAAGAAACGATAAACAAACAGAATGATGAGACGAGCTCCAGCGGGATTGCTGTCGTGTGCTGGCCTGCGAGTCGCCAAACAGGCGGGGTCGTTCAAAAGCCGGTGCCGCGTGGACGCACTCTTCCTGTTGTCTACTTCCACAAGCTTCAGTGCGGACCCTAAACAATGTCAATTTCGATCATCCAAGAGTGACCACGGAGTACGCAACTCAGACTGGGGTTGAGCTGCACCTTGGCTAGATTCAGCCCCTAGCACATAGTCTGTTGTCCGTTGCGAATTTGGCGCTCGTGGATCCAAGTACGAGTTGGTCGCAACCTTGGCACCCATCTTCCGTTCATTCTTTTTCGCCATATCCTTCCCAGCTATCACCAGCCCTGAACTGTTCTGGTGCTTCTCTGGTCGCGCGCAGAATGGAGCGCAAAAGATGCGCTACGACCTGGTGGTATCCAAACGCGGGGGTGCACCGAGCGCAGCCCTCTGTACCGGTCGACGGCATGTATCGAGTGACGAAGCAAACCTTTTCGTACCACAGAGTGGCGCTCAGAAGAGAGCGTATGGTGGACATACGGCAACCACTGACCAAAGTCAAGAGCTACCGCTGCAACAGGCGCACCGACGCTGTCCACAAAGCAGATATCCATGGTACGCGAAGCGTTGATACCGACTCCCTCCTGTTCACGACATGCGTCGATGACAGCTGGAAGCTGCGACTTCTGTGCATCGACGCTGCCACCAACATTCTCCAACGATAAACAATGGACCTGGAGCAAAGAACGAGTCCGGCATATTCAAGGCGTGAGGTATTAGACAATAAAGTGAAGCATTCACTGAAAACCCGTCAGGCCTGGTGATCATAACGACCGCGGGCAGATACCCAGCCTCCAGCGTGTATACCCGAGTTCGCTAGATGGACCTGTCCTATGTTGTGCTGACATGGATAGCGACGATGTCAGTGATCCGAACGAGCGTCCTGCCCTCGTTGCGGCCCCTTCTCAGCCGAAGACGCGTAGCAACGGCTGCTAGGCGACGCTGCTGCAGCGCCGCCACCGTGCCCAGGTCGCTGCGCAGCGAATCTCGCGAACGTGCTGGCGGTACCAGCGAAACGCGGTACCGTAGCTGTTCAATAGCACTGCAGCACCGGGAGTTTTCGCCATCAGTATATGATTGAAGGTGTCTGTCCGTTTGATCTCGGTCTACGGCAACCTGGTGAGTGGGCCAGCCACGCAAACTGCTGGATCGGATGGCCCGAGCGCCCCGATAACTGGCGTCTGGGCGCTGCTCCGGCGCAGCGTGCAGTGGCGCAAGTCGTTGCCGCCATCGCCGAGTTGGAGCCAGTCACCGTGGTGTGCTCCGCATCCGCCTTCATACAAGCCTGCGCGCTACTTGTGGACCATCCGAGCAGTCCAGGTCAATGCGCACAGTACCCCGTTCGCGTTGTCGAGCTGAGCACGGACGACTGCTGGCTACGCGACACAGGAGCCGTTTTCGTGTGCGGTGCAGAGCCGGAGAATGCTGCGCAAGGAGCTGGTGTCCACTTTGATTTTAACGCTTGGGGTGGTGCACAGGGTAACTGTTATGCGGCCTGCAGCCTCGATCAGTTGGTGGCGAAGAAAATGCTCCTTCTGGAACGTTTGCCGCGCTTCTGGTGCCCTATGGTACTCGAGGGCGGTAGCATCAGCGTGGACGGTGAGGGAACGGCCCTCACCACTGCAGAGTGCTTGCTGAATCCGAATCGTAACCCGACGTATTCTCAGAACGATATAGAAAAACAGTTGCGTGCGTACTTGGGCATCACCAAGGTAATCTGGCTGCCATATGGCATCGAGGGTGACGTAGACACCAGCGGCCATGTAGACAATATGGCCGTATTTATTGCCCCTGCGAAAGTGGCGCTCCACTGGGACCCTGCAGACCACCGTTGCCAGGCTGCACATCGAGTTTTGGCGCAGAGCGTGGACGCCTTGGGACGGTCACTCGAGGTTGTCTTGGTGCCGGCACCACCGGCGTTGTACCGGCAGCCAGATGAAGTACCCCAGGTACAGCCTCATCAGCCGCATCCGGAGCATGCCGATACATCAGAACCAGGCGCCAGCGATAGCGATAGTTACCAACGCAGAGCCGGGGAGCGCCTTGCCGCGAGTTACGTCAACTTTTATCGAGCGAATGGAGGCATTATCATGCCCGGCTTTGGTTTACCAGAGTCCGATGAAGCCGCACGCGCTGCCTTGCAGAAAGCGCTGCCTCAGATACAAGTCGTACAGGTCCCTGTTGCGAGGGAAATACTTCTAGGAGGAGGTAATATCCACTGTCTGACGCAGCAGCAGCCCGTCATCAGCGAGCCAATTCCATGGCGCTAAACCCCTGGGCTGCCTGGTACGAGCAATCTACGTGAGCGGCGAACTGCGGGAGCGCCCACCAGCAAGCCAAGCTGTTTCTAAACGACTCGTTCACCAAGCATATAGCGTACATAACCTTTCGGGCGTGCACGTCGCGAACGATGCATGGACTCAGAGCGCCACCGGTGCAGATACGGTTGCAGCACAGGCCTGCTACGGTAGTTCTGATGATGGCCAGCGTCGAGCGCCTCGGTAATCGTCTGCGCATGCTGCTCGCGATAGACATTCCGTAACAGATGACGTCGGCATGTAATGCGTCCCGACGGAGAAGCGTTCCTCAGCGGGCGCGCACCGTTCGGACGCTGTAGAGCCGGCACGGCTTTCTAGGCGAGTATTTCTCGAGGGCGCACTGGATTCCAGAAAAATGCCGCCGGATCCATGCCAAAAAGCATCATGGATTCGAAGGTGCACTGGAATCGTCTGCTCACCAGTTGAGCATCGTGTCCACAAGGCGACCTAGTAGACTTCGTTTGGGCGCGGGCGGCAGCGCTGGCTTGTCTCCAGTACCAAGTTCTGTCTCTGGATACTGCGAGCGATTTGGTGCCGAGATCCACGACTTTTGCCCAGATTCCATACTAGAAGCCGTTTGAGAGAGCAGGGTCGTCGCTGGCGCTCGCTGCGCGCTTTGCACCCTATCCGATAACGCCTTGTGAGCATACTCATGCAGAATGGTCTCGGGTTCTGTACACGGTACGATGCCGATCATGGTGACGTCGTTCAGTAATCGACTCGAACGACTACATGCAGCCTGTGCCTGCAGCGGGCTCTCATACCGCACATGCATCCAGTTCCCCTTGCGAAGCCGATGCTCGAGCACCGGTCCAAAAGACCTCAGTTCTCGTAAAACTTGGGACTGTTGTCCGGGTGCAAATCCGAAAACAGTCACCCAACACGCCAGCTCACTCTCTTGCAAAGGCGAGGAGCGATCGGCATCCAGCGTTGTCCTCAGGCCGGGCGTAAACAACCCACGCGCTAGCGCTGGTCCCGTGGTCTCTGCACCTGCGCCCAGCCGACTCGATACCGGAGTCTCTGTGTCCAGCCAGGACGTATTCGGCGGGGCGCGTCCTCCTGCGGAGCGCACACTTGGTCCTGTGGAGTATCCGCTATCTAGCGGAGACAGTCGTTGTCGCTGAAAGCGCCCATAACCGCCCCAGTTCCGGTGCCACGAACGCGTTTCGGGAGCAGAGGGTGTTCCCTCGACGCTCCAGTCCGCTGCGCTCGTATTCGATGTGTTACGAGCGGGCGTCCGCGAGCTGCTCAGCCCTAAAGTGCTCGCATCATGTCCATGTTGCATACCAACACCGAGCGACGTTCGCGCTGTTGAAGCAGGACCCACGGCTGTCGCGAAAGGCGCTCGCTCGGCGCTATCGGGCGCTTCCACCAGCGGCAGTCGGTCGAGTTCAGTTCCGTTTGATAGAGGCTGCTTCGCAAACTCTACTCGCCTTGGCTGGACTGGCGTTTTGAGTTCGGTACTTGTCATGCGTAGTAAGCCTCAGCGTAGAGCTTAGCACGCTCGTGCAAACGGCTCCTTTGTGGATAGCCAGCGAACGCAGCGTTTCTGAACTTGTCGCGTCGCCAGCAGAACTGGCGCCAGCAGATCGCGGCAACAAGACCTCGAACCGGAGCACGCTGTGCTGGAAGGTAAAGCCGTCCTTTCTCTATATGTGGTTTGTATTGGCGCTTTCGATGACATGGCAGGCGAACAACATAGGTTCCAGTATCAGAGGATCGCATCCATGAACGTTTATCTCCGAAACAAATCTGGGTTGGTGTATCGTGAACCTGAAGGGCGTGTGCAGTGCAGTGCAGTGCAGTGCAGTGCAGTGCAGTGCAGTGTAGTGGTCATTGCTTCACTGCATGTCAATGAGTATCGCGCACTCAGCGGACTGAGGTGTATCTCAGTGATCCCTCATCATAGAGAAAATGCTGATTGCTGCAGTGATGGACGGCAGAAGCAGGTATCTGCTGTAGGTTTAGCGCCCTCCACATGGCTGGATGGATCAAGCCCTGCGTCACCAAGGCAAGTCAGATCCGAGAATTGTCCATCCTCAGCAATGCCGCAAAACGAAAAAGAAACCATTGTCTTTGATGAATCGCCCGGGAAAACGTTCCCTGAGCATCTATGAGGCACTCCAGGCTAGCTGCATTGCCGAACCGCACCGTACCAGTGCCATGCTGCGGACGACATCCATTCTCGCTTCGCCTGGCTACTGATTCGTTTTCATCGCAAGTCTTTCGCGTTTCCGCACAATGAGCACATTGCGTACTAAAAAATGCCCTCATAGCAACGCTCGGCATATAGCTTTTCGATGCTTCTGAAGCACAAGCTATTCCCAGGTCTTGATCGATGCGTTCGAGTCACCCTCGGGAAAGTGCCTGTGTGCATGGCTGGTCGTGTAATCACGCCATGGGAAGCTTCTCAGCATTGCATGCCTCGCCATGTCACGTTCAGTCAGATTACCATCCATCATCTAGTGTATTGGTCTCTGTTTCACGCTCCTGTTCTCTGCTTTTTTCAACGAGCTCTCGTCATCGTGTTTCGTATATGTCGTCCTGAACTAATAAAAAAGGGAACTGTACAAAACCGGACCCTGCACTCTCCATACACTCTCATAGAGGGAGCAGAGTTCTGTCGTGGGTACACCACGTTCAGAAGGACAAACTACGAGCAGCGTAGGTCATCCATCGGCTGACCGGAGAATCATCGGCTTGTGCAAAACAGAACGTTTCTCGCATGCTGGCAACGAAAGCACCAAGTCTTTCCACGACTTGTCTCAATTCTATAGGGAACAATCCCTTCGCTGAATGCCTGTGAGAAAAACAAACAACAACAGAAACAAGGAATGCTGGCACAAGTGTTCTAGAATTCATTGCTCTCCATGCCACGTAGTGGTGTACAGGGCTGAGCAGTTGCCTCTGTTCGTGGTGCAGTCCACAAACATGGATCGGGGGGATTCTACTTCGATGCATCGATTCTGTAACCTGAAAAAAGATAGTCCGCAGGCACCCAGCGGAACATGATCGAGACGAGCATCGTTCAAGAGTGCACGTGCAAGCCTGGCTCCTACTAGAAACGCCTGGAGCATACAGTTTAGGCAAGTGCATCTCAAATCATCGATCGATGTGCTTCTGTTGCTCTCCGAGGTAGAGCGCCGTACCATGATTGTCGGACTTCGTCAATCGCTCGCGATTTGGAGTCTTGTCGTCTGGTGTCTACTAGAAAAAGGCAGCACGGCTTGTTGCCGTCGTAATTCACCAGGAGCTGCGCTAGCTTGTTCGCGTGGCATGATAGCCTTTCGCGATGCAATAGCCTCCAAGCAGTCAACGTGTGCGCCGTTGCGACGACGCCGCTGCCCTGCTGTAAACAACACAGCACACGACGACGCTAGAGGCGCACCTCGTCCCCACAGAACTCAAGCGCGTAGGAACGCGTCGCCACAGTGTAAGGATCAGCGCCAGTAGAATGGTGTTACTCGTCGCTGGCGATGTACAGAGCGTTAACGGAAACGAGCACTCGTGTCTCGCGCGATGTGGCTGGCACGGGTAGAGTCCCTCTGCGGCGCTCGCCGCATGTCGGTAACGTATCTGCGAGCAGCAGCGCTCGGTGTAGCGCGCAGCGCTTACCAAGTCGCCACAGACGGTGGCGTTTTTCGAAGAATCCAACCCCGTAGCGGCAACTCGAAGCTGATGCTTCTGGTGCCGCAGTGCGATGCCCGTACATACGGCCTTGCGATTCCCGGTTGCTAGTTCAGCTTCGCATGTAGGCAGCGAGGTTGAGCGTTTTCGCTTGATGCGAATTCACCAACCACGAGCTGTAAAAACAGTGCAGCATAGGGCACGCACATTGCTGCGTCATGCGTCATGCCCTATCAAACACCGAAGCAGAAGCGCTGATGAACCAGATACAGTCGATCCACGACTTCCCGCTCGTGATGAAAAGAACGAATAGGGTCATAGATCTATTCTCGAACGCCTTGTGCAGCCAAAACACCCATGCTCGTATACCGCAAAAACAGGCAGCTTGCATTCCATCGCTGGAGAAAAAGCGCTTTTTGGCTTCTGATCACAAAATGCGCAACTGCAGCAATCGCTCATGCGGGTGGTGCATCGCCTTGGAGACGGCGCTTTTCAGCACGTGCTCGTCGCTCCGCCCGTATACGTTCCACAAGTTCCTTACGCATCGCTTTGTAAGCCTTTTTCTCATACAAGCGCTCCACGAGGCAAAAGCGTTTCCACCACGAGCGGGCGACCCGTTGATTACGCGGATAGCCACCAGCCAGCAGTTCTTTCAAGCGAGCAGCAGCTTTCGCACCAGCCGAGCGTTGGATAGCGATCTGGCGAAGGATGACGCGGGCTTCACGAACGCGCTCCAAGGCCAGCGGTACAAACGGTGGCCAGCGTTCAAAACGCCGACGACTCGCAACCTGCTCCCGCAACACCCGTACCGCGCGCTTGGCGGTCAGCACCCCGCCAGGCACCACACCCAATAGGCGCTGGAGTTCTGCTTCTTCGCTTTCAGTAGGTTTGTCCTTACGTTCGATAATTCGGCCTAGGATCGAAAACGCCCGCTGCACCTGCTCGTCGCTCTCGGGTATGAGAAGGTTCTGCTCGATCTCCCGAAGAAGTGCCTGTCGTCGCGTAACTGGGCCAGGATCTGCACCTTGCGGAGCACTTGTGCTTTGCTTTCGTCTCACTTGTTCCTCCTGGGCTATTCGCGTAAGCCGGTACTTCCACTGTTGGGCGATCTCCTTGGTAGGCGGGTACTCGCCCAAAAGTGCGGCGAGCGCTTCCCTCATCTCCGGTCGCAGTCGCCGCTGCGTTCGATTACCCAGAAGCTCGATCGCTCTACGGAGCTCATGCTCTTCGTTCGGTACTCGTGGAGGCAAATGAAACCCGCCAGGATTGCGTAGCCTGCAGCTAACCGACACCGAAGGCCTTCGAGATGCGGTAACCGCAAGCGACCGGGAACCGCGCCAGAGTCGGTGCACTTGCCCAGCCAGTACTCTGCGGCGTTCAAAAAGACTGATCCCGCTCCCGAATCCAACTTGAAAGCCCAACATTCTGCACAGAGTTCAGGAGAAGCTTCGCATGTTCTGCAGCTCTCGCAGTTGTCGACTCGTCGCCGGGCGGCGGGAATACGCCTTGTGTAGCGGAATGAAGCGTCGCCTGCAGAAGACGTGCCGCACGTTTTTCGGCGACTGCACAGGGCGAGTTCCGCGTCTGCGGCAACCTCGGTACACATCCGGTATCGCAGTATGCGTCCGAGAGAGGCCGTGATTACCTGAAGATCCCTGACTGGACCAAGTCTCTGTCTCTGATAGGAATGCTAGTCCGGGATCAGTAGAGCGTAGCGGTGTCTGGACCCGTGTCAGCATAACATGAAACAGGTTCCTGAACTCGGGGTGCGCAAACTAAAATGGGGACTCGTCACACAATTGTCAACACCAGCCTTTGCAAGTATTTCTGTGACTGCTTCCTTTTCTTCTCGCTTATCTGTAGCTTCGAATACGCTGGTCACTCCGTTTCCGCCCAGCTCACTGGTCTGTCGTCGAAGACTGTTGATGGTAGCGTTCAAGTCGCGATCTACGCATCGCTTGCCGATTTCCTCATGATTGTATGCAGCTTCGATGCGTCATTCACAACGGTGACGCTTGAATGTTGGCAGGTTTGCTCATACGTCTATCGCATCGTATCGTGCTTCGGGGGCCGGCCCTGTACCACACGACTGCTGACCACGTCGCTCGACGGATGCCCTTGACGGGTACAGAGGGCGTTCCTCGATGCCCTGCTTCGTTTCCGCGCCCGACAAAATATCCTACGATCAGGGGCATCCTCTTGAAGATCCCATTGGCGATTGCTCTGTCCGAGACATATGCAAGCGCATGCTGTTCATTTCGGTAGAGGATTTGTTGTGCGCGGCGTTGTTCGTGATGAAACAAGTCGAGTAACTTGGATCCATCAACGCTCTCTTCGTGCAAAGCGGTGGTGCACGCTCCACCGGAAGCGACGGTTGCCAGGACCGAGGTCCCAGTCCAAGACCTGTTCCCATGCAAACAGATGCCACGGGAGTCTCTGGGATCAAGGCCCAGGAGCACTCTCGTCCCGCTGTGGAATGGCGTTTCTTCGATAGACACAAAGGGAGCAGGATTCCACATTCGAACGGAATCGATGATTTGTCATGTGCGGTTCTGTGACGTTTCGACATGAGCTCTTTGAGCAAGTCCTACAACGTTGTCGTCGTTATTTGTTTACATCGCCAATCCAGCGGGACAAATTCCAGCGCCCACGAGTTGCCTTGAAACAGCAAGATCGAAAACTTGAGGACTGCGTGATTTGCGCATGCGACACGTAAGGAACGGAGAAAAACAGAGGCTTGTCCGTATGAATTGGATGACAATATCAGATATTGAACGAACCACTGTTCCATGACTTGGTGAATCATAACGTTTCCGGTGACGTTACGAGTTCCATCGGAAGAGCGTCGAAGGAGCCGCTCCGAACATTCGACCCAGAATCCTATCGCCATCCATGAATCCGTAGGCCTTCGATGACGCATTTCGAATGTCCGGGCTGCACATTTGGAAAAAAGAAAAGTCCGGGGAAAAAAATCAAGGCTGAAACGAAGCAACTAGTTCAGCGTTCGATTCGAACACGTACTGGTGTAGTGAGTCACGGAGGCGTATGGAAAACAATGTCGGATGGTTCTCGGCAGCGAATGCTTGAAGCCTGAAGAGCCGGAGTGCAGCATTCTTGCTTGCAACTCGAGGGCGAGCTTTCCGAGCCGCTACCGGTCGCTTCGTCGCGCTGTTTAGCGTACATGTCCCTGCATACAACCAGCAGCGGTTTATACGCTTCACAGAGACGTCAAGGAAGCGTGCGACGGGATGAAGTCGTGGAGAAGACCCCATACAAGGCGCGACGGTGTCTCGAGAAGCGTCCATGAGGACTCGAGCACGCCTCAGCGGCTACCGAGGCGCCTCTCTCTAGCGCGTTTGTTGGACGGTTAGCTGGTCTGCCGCAGGAATCTGCGCTCCACATAGCCAGCGAGTTTCGAAAGAAGTATGTATGGTCTCCTGGGCATGCTCGAGATATTTCGTTGAAAATTCCAGTAAACGAAGGCAGTATCAAGTCCAAGTGTATAGCGCGAGGTGCCCTGCCCAGAGTAGCCCTCGTGTGTTACCCGGAGCAACGAGACGAACTGTACTCGTTACTGGTTGCCTTGGCTTGCCGGTGGGTGGCGCGCTAACCTGACCACACGCTGAAAAACTCCGTGTTTGGCTTAAACCTAAATTTCTTTGAGAAACAAGCACCGATAGAGGTGCGGTGTTCGAGTTTCACGGCTTTCGAAGAAAGCGCGGGGTGTTTTGCCACTCACAGAGCGCCTCGTGCTCCTGCCTGGACACCGCGTGACGCTCGCGGAAGCGAATGCGCACTAAACAAGCACGACCTCGTCGCCGACCATACACAAATGAAGGCGTCGTGCAAACTGAGACAACGCAGGTAGCTCCAAGAAGGCTTGAAGCGAAGCGCCCACGCTCCTTGGCACCCGCTCAAGCCTGCACTGAAACCTGGTTGGACATCGAGCCTGCAGCAGCCGCAGACTCGAACTGGTTCGCTGTGGGTATGCTGGACGGGCTCGGGCAACACCAGGTGGAAACGTTTACGGACAGCGCCGTGCTGCACTTGCGTGCCTCGGAAAACGTTCCTGCATTGTCCGGATCACAAACGTGCTGGTCACTCCGCTTCGTCTCAACGGGGTGTGCGGGCGCGGACTGCAAGCCACCAATGAGGGCAAGGAAGCGGAAAGCGCCCGACGACGCCGAACAACCGGAAGCAGTGAGCCTGGGCCCAGTGCCAGCGGCGCTGGTTGAAAGCGTTACGCGGCTGTGCCAGAGGAAGATCCTGACGCTTGCACCTATTCCGGAGCCGATCCCGAGCTTCCTTGTCCTTGTGCATCGGGAGCGATGCCTCGCGGCGTCTTTACGACAGGAGGTGCTGCGGCGGGACCTGCACCAGGTACTCAGCTGGTGGCATCCCCAGGTGGCGCTAGCTGAAGCCCGGCTGCAGCCAACTGCAGCTTACGCACCAGCGAATGTGGGCTGGTGCTTCCGCTCGGCTCGCGGCGTGGTGAACGTACAAGTCGCCCCTCGAGCTGCCGATGAGCGATCGTTATGGGGCGAAGCGCCCTGGGTCTATGAGGCCATGCGCCGCTTGCCGTCGGATGTCGACGCTGTACCTGAAGCGTCGCCCGGAGCACCCCATGGTGCCGCGAGCAGGCCTCTGGTGTCGCCGGAGGTTCCTGGTTTGCGGCCGCGGCTGCGCCCCTATCAGTGCCGCGCCGTCACCTGGATGCTCGAAAGGGAACGTCACGGGATTGCTTGGGAGTCACTGGCACCGGTTTGCATCCCGGATACGCGAGGTGGTGGCGAGTACGCGCCGCTGCTTTTCCATGCGCTCGAGTCGGTTGCAACCGCGGCCTCGACATCGGGAATCGATACCATACCCGAGCACCTCGTATACGGTGGCATGCTTTGTGACGAGATGGGCCTCGGCAAGACCGTCGAGCTGCTGGCTTGCATCCTTCTGGAGCGTGCGCAGCGACCAGTCGCCGGAAATGCCTCTGGACAATCCGATGATCATATTCCGGAAGATGGGTGCGTTCGTCAAAGCAAGAGAGTATGCTGCGAGTGCGGTCGGTTTCAAAACAAGCCACTTGTTCACGCGCTCATCGTGGGCCGCGCTCGCAAACGCTATTTCTGCGAGGATTGCGCCGAGCTGCTTCATTCTGATACGCCCCTACCAAGCAAGTCGACGCTCATCGTTTGTCCGAGCATTATCCTTCGTCAATGGGAAAGCGAGATACGAAAGCACGTCGAGGATGCCTCCCTGGATGTTGTCGTGTACCAGGGCCTGCACCGCGAGACCTATCAGCGTCTGAGACGCCTGAGGCGAGCGGATGTGGTGCTCACCACGTACGATGCCCTGCGCGCAGACGTCAACCGGGCACACGAGAACATTCTTCGGCCGAGAAGTCTTCGATACGAGAAGCGCTATCGAGTTGCACCAACCCCTTTGACTCGCATAGAGTGGGAGCGGGTATGTCTCGATGAAGCGCAAATGATCCGTGGTGGTGTTGCCGCGGCAGCAGCGATGGCGCTGCAGCTGCACGCGCACAAGCGTTGGTGCATCACCGGTACCCCAGTACGCCGATCTGTGGACGACCTGGAAAGCCTTGTGCGTTTCCTGAGGTTTGAACCCTTCTGCGAACCGGAAATCTGGCGCAAATGGTTGATACGACCCTGCGAGCGGAACGGCAGCGGTGCGAGCTTGCGACTAGCGCAGCTGATACGAGCGCTTGCCTGGCGCTCCCAGAAAGCCGACGTCTGGATGGAGCTCAACCTTCCGCCGCAGTTTGAAATCATGCAGAACCTCAGCCTCGGCCCCGTCGAGCGACACTATTACAACCGCCAGCACGAGACCTGTGTCAGTTTTGTGCAGCATCTATTAAACGCACGGGTTGCGAAATACCTGGAGGAACCGGGTTCGCTGCTCAAGTCTGCGTCTCGACGCGGATACGGCCTGGTTCGCTCGGTGCTGCATCATCTGAAAGTGCTAAGGCAGGCGTGTTGTCATCCACGTCTGGCCCCGGGAGGTTTCGGTGGTAGCTCCACAGGGACTGGGCTCGAGGCGAACATGATGACCATGGATCAGGTACTGGATGTCCTCATTCAACGAGCACGACTCGAATGCGAGGAGGCACAACGCTCGCTGGTGGCATCTTTGAATGGACTCGCTGCCATCGCGTGGTTGCGTGGTCAACCAGCCGATGCAGTTCGCCTGTACCGCGCAGTGCTGCAGCGTGCACAGGAGCCGAAACAAGCCAATTTTGTCGAAATCGATCCGCTACAGCGATACCATGTACTGGTTAATTTGGCACAAGTGCTGGAGAAGCACCCCGCTGAACGCTTAGATTTTGGGGTAACGCTCCGAGACGATTGTCTGCGCTCGGATGCCGACGCTTTACGCGAGGCGTATTTACGGGAGCGACGCGAGCAGGTGCAAAACGCGAGACGGCAGTTGCAGCGTCTCAGTTCCGAACTGGAACGCTGTGCGCATGCAGCGCCCGTGCGTCTCTGGTGGATGACGGCGCTGGACGCCATCGAACGAGCCGATTGTGGACAGTGGCTTCTGGATCGACTCGAGGAGGACGGCATCGTTCGACAGCTGCTCGGCGGAACGCAGACGCTCTCGCTGAAGGCGCTCCGTTACGCTCTGGTACGAAGCTTCGATGCCCTTGAGCAGAGTCGACGCACCCTGCTGGATCGGCTCCTGTCACTGCCAGGCAATGGCGATGCAGAACCGAGCGAAGCCGAGGTGCGTGCTTCCGGGACCTGTAGACAGTGCCGGGAGGACATGCTGGGAGAGCCCTGTCGACACTGCGAATCAGAGGACCTCTTTGATGCCTACGAGCGATGCCTCTTTGCCGTGCGCACCAGGCTGGTGAACGCGAGCAAAGCCCCCGACGCAACCACTGGGGATCGTCTGCGTCGTGCAGCGGCGGTGATCACCGAGGGCGACGGTGGTGTCCGTCTGGCCAGCGAGCTGGAACGTGCCCTGCGCTTCATTGCAGCTGCACTAAGACGCTTGGACGCAGATGCAGATACTGGGGTTCTCGGAGAATCAGCGGCGAAAGAGTGGGAGCGCTTCGCCCTGCTGAAAAAGGAATTTACGCATGCACATGTCTATTTCCGCGCTCAGAAAGACTATCTGGGCGCCCTGGATGAACTCATTATGGCGGCAACACGCATCACGCTCCGAGCACCTGGCGAGCAAGTCAGCGAGTCAGAGCGCCGCTATCGAATCCTAGAGGCGGAAATCGAGTCTACAGCGCTTGCGCTAGAGTTAGATCGCCGCCTCGCTGAAGAACAGTCAGATCGCAAGAAAGGCCAGCTGGTCTACTTGCAACGCCTGAAAAGCTCCTGTGTAGAGGATCTCGCAGCGAAGCGTCAGGAGCCCTGTCCGATTTGCTATCGACAGCTGGGTTCCGAGCTTGTCCTCCTGCCGTGTGGCCACTGTTTCTGTATCGAATGCACGTCGAGCTACCTCGAGGCGCGCGTCTATCGACAACACAGCCGCTCGCTGCCGTGTCCACTTTGCCGTGAGGTCTGCAACACACGAGAGGTCTCGTTCATTCAGACGGGAGCAGCGAGTTCGCAGAGCGCGATGGCACCCATTAAAGGAAGCTTTGGCGCCAAAATCGAAGCAGTCGTGCGCGATCTGCTGTTCATCCAAGAATACGCGACAAGACAGGTTGCGGAGCGAGGGCCTGTTCCCGATGCAACCCATCGATGCGTCGTGTTTTCGCTGTGGTCAGAGCTGTTACAGATCTTGAGTGCGGCGCTCGAGCGCAACAATATCCCGCACGTTATCGGTGATGTTGAGGCTTTTCGCGGGCGTCGTGAGCCAATGTGCGCGCTGCTCTTGCCGATTCGCATCGGAGCCAATGGTTTGAACCTCGTCGAAGCACGGCATGTGTTTTTACTGGAGCCGCTGTTGGACCCTGCGGCCGAGCTGCAAGCAATAGGTCGTGTTCATCGTATCGGTCAGACGTGTTGCACGTATGTTCATCGCTATGTGGTGCAGGGTACCGTCGAGGAGCAGGTACAGGCGATCAGCGCGAGTCATGTCTGGCAGCAGCAGCAGCAGCAGCAGCAGCACCAGTCTACAGGGCAGTGTCGAGCACGTCCCCCAGCCGACATGCTCGATACACATGCTCTGACGCTCGCCGATCTGCGCAGCATGTTCGAGCCTGCTGGCAGGTAATCGGTGCTGATGGCTCCGCTCGTGTCAGATGTAAATGGAATACTGAACGGATTGCTCTATTCCTGCCTTTCGAATCTTTCTCGGGGCTTTTACCTAGATGTACAGCGTCATCATTCCAAGAGCAGCAATAAGGGCATACAGATCCATACGTCGCTTTGGGATGCTTGATCGTGCATCAGAGGTAGCTCCGTTGACGCGTTGCCACCGAAACTCATGACATTACCGGAATGAAGATGATTCGCGACACTCTTGGAAATGAGTTCGTTGAATAACCAATATCATCTTTCAATGCGTACGAAGAAGCCACCACTGTTCTCCTTTCCATACGCACGGCATGCTAAAATCATACATCTTCCAATGCTTCGATCTCTCTGCTCCAAAGCGAATCATGGGCGCAACGATTCGCTGCACTGGATTGATGACGAAACATACTCGACGACTTGCTCATTAGACCAGGCTGCACGCCCACTGAACTGATCACGGCCAATGATCGAATCCGTTCAACAGACAAATCCTCATCTTTCTGTGGCCATCGACGTCCTGGTATTCTACACCAGCACGAAACGTCTCACCGGATATGCGTAAAACACGGTCCTGTGTGCTCTGGACTCCTGGCTAAGGGTCTTGGAATTGAACCGGAATCATCGCAGCGATCGCTCCCAGTGGAGTGTCCGTCACAGCTGCGCACCAAGGCAGCGCAGACGGACCGAAGTTTCTCGACGTGTTCTCCGCCCTGGGTTGTGCTTCCGGTACGTGTTTTATCATATGCAACACAGCGTTCCAGAAATCTTCCATCGAAAGGAACTGCGTGCGCTAGCGTTTGCAGCGGACGGCGTACTCGCCGAGGGCATCGACCAGAGAAGCCCCCGAACCGAAGGTTTGGCATCGGGTGCAGCCTTCCGTGCCCATCTCGGGTAGCTGCCGAGCGGTGAAGCAGGTGTTCACGGACCACAGGGCGGCGCTCGAAAGTGCTCGAGTCTCTGTGGTGAGCATATGGGAACAACTAACCATGCGCGTGTATAACCACCGCGAACGGTGCACCGACGCTGCGTTCAAAGACGATGACAATGGGTTGCGAATCGCAGATCGCATCTTCCGCCTGTGAATGAAATGCGTTGAAAACATCCACAAGCGGTGAAATCGGGACTGGAACGCTGCCATCAAAATTCCTCAACGACTACTAATATCGGAGCTTTGGAGACAAGAGAGACTGGCGTATTGCAAGCCGGACATCAGAGAGGGGAAACGGAAGCAGTCACTGAGCAGTCCCGCAGAGGCTGGCGCTGATGATGCCACAGAGAAGCGACCGGAGCTCGAGCGTTCCCGCCCGAATTCGACGACCTGTTCCACTGAATGCTGAACTCAGTGTTGCCTGGTATGTGAGTGGATTCGTAACAGGTTCCTGTCCATTTTACAACGAGCCTCCTCAGAGAATGCTGCCTAGTCGCGCCCGCGGACCACAATGCAATCGGATTTCCAGCTGTGAACCCTTCGCCAGTAGTGGACCTGCGCCCGCTGTAGTCTGGAACGATGCGGTGCTTCGGTTGTGCAGGAAGCCGAACACCCGCCCGCACGCGATTCCATCGGCGTCCCGTCAGCAGCTAGCTAGCTAGCTTACCAGTAGTACTGATTGTTATTCTCCTCGCCGTAGAACTTTTTCTTCGAAAGGTACGGCTTTTTCTTCTCATTCTGATATTTTTTCTGTTGCTCGCCCTTGTACTGCTTCTTCAGCGCATAGTACTCTTTCTCTGCTTGGTAGTTGTTTTGCTTTTGGTATACTTGCTGTTGCTTCTGTTCTTTCAGAGGAATGTACGTCTTCACTTCTTTCTGCTTGTACTGCGGCTGGTACGACTTTTCATATTGCGGCTGCTTCGTGTAGATGGGCTGCTTCGTGTAGATAGGTTGCTTCTTGTAGATGGGCTGCTTCGTCTCAATAGGCTGCTTCGTGTAGATAGGCTGCTTGGTGTAGATAGGCTGCTTCGTGTAGATGTAGGTCTGCTTCTGATAAAAGTTCTTCTTCTGGTAGTAGTTCTTGTATTTCGGCTTATATGACGGCTGGTTGTTGACGTAGAAGGGCTTCTTATTATCCTGATAGTACATATGCTCCGTCGTTTCCAGTGGAGCTTCCTCGAAGACAGCACCTTCGTTTTCCATGACCTCAGATGCCTGTGCCACACCAGCAGTGGCCATCATACCAACAAGAAGTAATGCCAGCGCTTTCTTCATGATTTAAATGCGGTATCAAACGTGAAGAATGAATGGCAATCCGTAGTAAGTACGCAGAGTCGAGTAGCTGCGTCACGCTATGCACAACGACAAACCATAGCCATCCGTTGAGCGTATACCGCTTCGGTTGGAGGTCGTGCATCTAGCCTCGGTCCTGTGATCAACAACAGCAGCGACTGGGTCAGAGTGCCCCGACCCGCCGTGCGCAGTGTTTGCCTCGGCTGCGAGGCACGCCATCGTGCCCGCGCACTTTGGGCCGCCCTGGTGCAGGGCGCGCGCCCTAGCAAGCGTTCCAAGATCGCTGCTGTTCTTGGCGAATGGCCGACTCGGCGCCGCGCGTTCGCGCCGTCGATCCGCGATGGCGCAGTTGCTGGCGCCGCCGTGCGGGCAGTGGGATCCTTAATTTGCGACAAAGATGGATGCGCTTGAATGCCCCCAGAGCGGGTGGCGCTTTGCGCATCATGCAGGCGATTTTTGCCGATGGCAACACGTCTGCATTGACCATGGATCACGGATTGATGGTGGGTATTGGCTTTCGGGCGAGCGTTCATTGCACTGCTACACCTGCCACCGAGTTTCATGATTTGTAATTCCTTTCGGATGTGCTGGTCGTTTTGTATGTTCTATCGTGCACCTAGTCTGCCGTGAGCACCCGCCGTAGCGCTTCCACCGCTGAAGCAGGTGCTGCATGGCGACAGAATAGCTGTGGCATACCACTGAGGGCGTCGGCTCGAGGCGTGGTTCATCGGACGCGGGGTCCCCGAACATCAGCATTCTAGGAGTCTGCAGCAGCGCGAAGCGATATACTGGGAGTCCACTGCGACCAGGGCGACGCCCAGATGTAGCTTTGCTGCGTCTAGTCCTAGATGAAATGCGTTGCGGACGACTTGTGCAGGTCTCGCCACTGCACCTGCCACTGGAGGAAGCATGAAGCACTAGCTAGCACCGCAGACTCGTCCGGCTCGCGGGACCTTCCGCCTAGAAGGTAAAATTTGGAAGATATGGAAGCTTTTCCCCATTTCAACGCGTACTGTCAAGGTCTAAAGAAACTGTTATCGAGTTGCTAGTCAGTGGTTAGTTTCTGTTCTTTCATCCTCCATCGAATGGAACAGCATGCGGTTTCGTGCACAGCGGGCGATGCTCACATCGCCCGGGATTGATCAGCAGAAGAGCCGTAGTCGCGGTTCCAGATACTGGGAGCGAAAACGGAGAAGGGTGTCAAGGGTGGCCTTCTGTACTTGTCAAAGACGTGTCATATGCGAAGAGGGAAGTGTCTGTGCATGCTGCGGCGCTCGAAATGAAACTGTACTTTATAAGACAAAAGTAAAGGATATGGACGTCTGCCGGTGCTGGCCAAGCGAATGGATCGCGCGCGCTTCCCACTCGTCGCCAGCTGCACTCTTGCGCGCACGGTTACCGATCATCGTACGTGTAACGCACGCTATTCACCGCGTAGAACGCTCGTCTGTACAACCTCAAGTTCGATGAGTGCTCCGCAAAGCGCGTTTGTATCGACGGTGCTCTTGTCTGGTGCGAGCTGCCGAACCGGGAGTTTTTTGCCACTGCTGGAAGCAGGTGCAGCGCGGAAACGCAGCGCAGCAGCGGCGCTACACGCCCAGCAACGTCGCGTCCGCGGCGCGCGCTTGCCACTCTGCGCGAAGGTTGTGGGTCCGGCACGTCCCACGGCGCCAATACCGAAACCCAAAGATGCGCTGAGTGATCAGTCAGGCCTCGTAAACCTTGACTTGACCGGTTCGATTCCCCGCCGCAAGACTCGAGCCGTACGCGTCGGCGACGTGTACATCGGCGGTGGCAACCCGGTTGTGGTTCAGAGCATGATCAATGAGGACACTTTGGATATTGAGGGATGCGTGGCCTCCATCAGGCGCTTGCACGAGGCGGGCTGTGAGGTCGTTCGGCTTACGGTTCCGTCCATGGCGCACGCGCATGCTGTCGGTTTCATAAAGCAACGTTTGCGTGAAACGTACCGCGATGTACCCCTGGTTGCCGACGTGCACCATAACGGCATGAACATCGCATTAGAGGTGGCGAAACACGTGGATAAGGTGCGCATTAACCCTGGCTTGTATGTATTCGAAAAGCCTGACCCCAATCGAACCGAGTACAGCCGTGCTGACTTCGAGGCAGCAGCACAGAAACTGAAGGAGACGCTGAAGCCACTCATTCTCTCGCTGAGAGAGCAAGACAAAGCAATGCGCATCGGCGTGAATCATGGCAGCCTATCAGAACGGATGCTTTTCACGTACGGCGACACACCCGAGGGTATGGTCGAGAGCGCGCTCGAGTGCATTCGTGTATGCCGCGAGCTCGACTTTCATAACCTGGTGATCAGCATGAAGGCGAGCAAAGTGCCCGTGATGATGGCTGCATATCGTTTGCTCGCGAAGCGTCTAGATCAGGAGAGTATGGACTATCCTATCCATTTAGGTGTAACCGAAGCCGGCGACGGGGAATACGGCCGCATCAAGTCCAGCATTGGCATTGGTGGCCTACTGGCCGAGGGTATCGGCGATACAATCCGAGTCTCGTTAACCGAGGATCCAGTCAAGGAAATTCCGGTCTGTTATGGAATCCTTCAGGCCCTGGGCCTTCGGCGCACCATGGTTGAGTATGTCGCGTGTCCTTCGTGTGGACGCACGCTATTTAATATCGAGGAGGTTCTTCACAAAGTTCGCGATGCTACCAAACACATGCCGGGACTCAGCATAGCCGTCATGGGGTGCATTGTGAACGGCCCCGGCGAGATGGCCGATGCGGATTATGGCTATGTCGGAAAGACCCCCGGAAAGATCAGTCTGTACCGCGGCCGTGAGGAGATCCGAACGGTTCCCGAAAACCAAGGCGTTGCCGAGCTCATCAAGTTAATGAAGGAAGACGGCGTATGGGTGGATCCACCTGCATCACCGAATGCAAGCACCGAACCGAAGCACGACGGATCGTCAAAACCGGCAACAGCGAGCAGGCAACCACAGGCGTCCTCAGTCTGAATCGACGCCGAGATTCGCCGCTCTTTGAAATGAGGTAGCACGTCGCCAATGATGGTGATGTTGGTGGTCGACTCAGTCGAAGGTATCCGTCTGGCCCCCGGACAAGAGCGTGCAACCCTCGGCGTTACTCTCAGAGCAGTGAAGAACGGAACATCTGTACCGGAACTTATTTTGTTGTTGTTGTTGTTGTTGTTGTTGGTTCTCTCGCAGCTACTCAACAAGAGAAATGGCTGCAGTAGATTCGAGAAAGGTTGCGGAAAGACTTTATGCTGTAACTGCTAGCGTGCGAAAAAGGGCATTACCTCTACAATTCAGTGATTCTGCCGTCTGCAGGTTGATTAACCATCCTTCTCTTATTCCTTACCTTGAGCGTCATGCACTCGAAACACAACTTTTCAAAAACTATCTACACGTCGGTCTCCAGGTCCATCGATTCCATTCCAAGTGTTCTCTACGGAATACGATGAGAAAAGGCCACAAAAGGGGACGTTTTTGTACGGTTGCGTCGATCTGCGATGATGCGACTCGGATGTACAAAGTGAAAGGCACGCTTCTGTGGGAGTGCGGTACGCGTTCATCGACACACACCATCGAGCTCGTGCTGAAACGCGAACGCATGCTGCACGAGGAACGGGGGCACGGCTCGTGTGATGAGATTTTATTCGAGAGAAATCGCAGATATCTACCTGGGTACTCAAAGAACAGCAAAGCGCTTCTCGTAAAGGACAGACACGCGAGCAATCCGACAACGTCAGCACCAGCGGCGTTGTCATCATGTGGTCGCCTGCAAATCGTCAAACGGACGTGATCGTTCAACGCGTCATGCTTTTTCGATGCAGCAGTCGCGGCTTGTGCGTCGCACATCCTCCTGTCCTGCTCCTGGATAACGTTGGTTACCATCACTCGGAATCGGTCGAGGATTGCGCAGCTGAAATCGGCGAAGAGCTGTTCGTCGTCGCTGCCCGTTTCCCTTGGTTCAATCCAGTCGAAGCCGTCTGCTCTGTTCTCTCATGTTCTTGCTTCGCGCACGGTTCAATAGTTATGTCGGTCGCGTATGTGACAACGATATTCCACAAGTCATGCGCTGGCTCCACCAGCTCAGAATTGCTCGGTTGCTGCTCTGCTCGTGAGCGAGGCGGAGTGATGCAACGAACGTCGGTCTCCTAGCGTGCTGCGGACGGATACCGTCCCAAAAACGTATATGGGAATCGTAGAAGAAATAGACAGAAAAGGAGAGTTTCATTACCATCGTCGACCGAATCCGTCCGAATCTCGAGGAGAAAAATATATGTGGTACAGGGACCAGATCGATGCCATCTCGCCTAGTAAACGAGAAATCACAGAACCCACCGGAGAAAGAACGTAACCAAATCCGCTTAGAGATGATGCAGTGGGATAAGAAGGAAAACTTTCGCAGCGTCAAGCAAAACCTAGGGTCGTCGTTTAGACGTATCTGCTACCATGTATGGATGAGGAGCATCTTTGAAACAAAGCTGAGATGCAGCACGCCATCAAGGATCGCGTGGCTTCCTACTCGATGAGGTCACGCCTCGCCTCGTCTCGAGGCACGTTGCCAGGCACGTGTTCGACGGAGCTCCGCTGACTGCGCATCGAGGGGTCCGAGCTCCTCTGGAAATTTTCGATCAAACCGTTGTGTGATGGCCCAGCGCATGCTTGGGACACGGGAAGCATGATGACCAGATGATGGCATTGGAGGTTTGCAGACGCACGTCCCAGAACGCATCGACGCGCCGCATCGCGACGTCGATACTCGGAACTCGTACGGAACCGGTTATTATCTCATTTGACGAAATGATTACATGGGGCAGCGTTCGCCGATTATGCGCAGTTTTCTTTTCTTTCTCTTTTTCTGTGTTTTTCTTCAGTGCACACTAAAGTATCCATCAAACACCCTACCTCCAAATTACATTACCTATACTGATTCTCGGATATTCTGGTCGTTTCATACGTCCTATCGTGTGTGCCTAGTACCTAACCTAATCATCCGCCTTGGGAACTTAACCGCTGGAGCAGATAGGTCATCGAGCTAGAGCAGCTTTTCTATACCCCAGAGGGCGTCGGCTCGAGGGGTGCTTCACCCGACGTAGAATCGGGTCTCATCGTCAGTTTGTGCTTGGACAGTCTGCGGATGCAGGCCTGTCTTCGCTGCACGACACGCTGGAGAAACTTGGCTATTAGGATATATCCTGGGAGCCGCCTCTCTCCTTCGTGATCATGCATGGAATGCGTTCTTGGTTGGCAATGCGGTTTTGTGCTTGAGACCCACCACAGTGGGTAGGCACAAAGAGCACTAAACCCGTGTGCGCATCCCATTCGCAGGACCTTTTGCCCAGAAGGTAGCATGTGAGTTTGTTCGCCATTAATGAGCGCTGAGGCTCGGTTAGCGGACCATCAGTTGCCAGTGCTACACTCAAAGTGAGTGTCCGACCTTCGGCTATCACGATGATGCCCAGCTGCTGCTGTCCTTCAAGGAGATCGCTGCGCTCCTGTTTCCAGCGCGGGCACTGTCAGCCTAAATACGTCAGCGTCTCGGGGATTTCGTCTCCGCAGCAGGGATAGTGCGATTCCCAGTGCGATTCCAGTGTTCCCATACGGCTTAGCGCCGGTGCTGCCAGCCGGAAGCCACCAACGCGCATTTTGGCGAGCCATTGGGTACCTCGAGCAAGTCGCGGGAATTCCAGCGCCTGCCACCAGTACTTGCATGTGTATGCTAGGTTGTAGTTCCCGATAGAGTCAAGCCGGCGTTACTGGGGCGACTGGTCCCGTGTCTACGTTCCCATATTGGCGTTTGGCCCGTTCGCTTCAGGCGACGGGAGAATTCTATATTTCCGGGGAACGATTGGGTAGCGTGTTTTCGTCTAATAGGCGCTTCAGCCAAATCTGCGCTGATTTCATCCAAGTTTTCTTGCGCTGCGTTGGGGGTCTGCACCAAAACCCGACTCAAAGAGGTGCGCATAGTGGACCCCTTGGCCCATATACGTGCCCGGCAGCCTGCTGCTATCGCCTCTATCGATGGTATTTGGAGTTCGAGTCCGAGTGTCAGCGCGGTGGTTGCTCTGCTCTGCATTGAGCATCCAACGACAACAACGAGTCGCATTGCCATGTAGGCTGCTCGAGAGATACCACCAGCGCGCGCCATCGCACCTGGAGGCTCCGCGGATCACGCGCGATTCGCGTAGAATTGTCGATCGCAGTTTAGAAGACACGCTTTCACCGTCATGTCGTCGTAATGTCGTCTTTCTTGCAGCATTTCACGTAGGGCCGCACCGTTTTGCTTCTACGTCCTTCTCCGTTCCTCTGGACTCGGCACTGTTTTTTGTTTGTTGTTTTTCCGGTTGCCGGCGACGCTGCGCCCCCAGGATCCTCGACTGGCTTCTCCATATCTTTCCTTTTTATTTTTTTGAAAAACAACGCCCTTTGAACGCTTCTGATACAAACTGGGAAAAATCGCTTGGATACGCTCACATGAGCGTTGAAACATAATCGAATTGAAACACCATACTCGGCTACGACGTCAACGCAAACACAACTTGTACTGTAGAACAAACAGTAAACGATTGGTCACGATCGGGTTTCTCCCCAGCGGCGACATGCGTGTCGTGTCTCGCGACGGCCTGACCTCCCAGGTGCGCGTGTTGAATGCGCGATATCGAAAAAAGGTACGAGACTCACGACTCACCGGCAAGTATATCAATATTTATTTCCCCCCTAAGATACATGTTACAAGGGAGAAAAGCTTTCCGTACTGTCGAACGTTTACCTTATAGGCGGAAGGTCCCGCGGGCCAGACGAGTCTCCCAGGATCGTGCTTCATGCTCCTGCCAGTGGCGCGTGCAGTGGCGCGACCTGAGCAACTCGCCCGCAACGCTGTTTATTCTGAGACTAGAATTGGTTAGAATGCATCCAGGTGTCGTCATGGTTGCGGTTGTCTCCTAGCTATCGTTTCGCGCTGCCACAGGCATTAGGTCTGACTGTGGAGCTTGCTGTCTCCCAGATTGAAGATGAATCCCGATTCCGTGTCGGAGAACTACGCGTCGAGGCGACGTTCTCAGTGGCATGACAAGGCCGTTCTGTCTCTGTGCAGCATCTGCTTCAGTGGTGTGAGCGCTACGGTGGGTGCTCAAAACAGGCACTCGGCGTACGATAGAACATACGAAACGACCAGTGCAGACGAGAGGAAGTACGGGTAACGGAACTTGAGGGAAGGCGCTTCATCATGGACGCTTTCACGAAAGCCATTATCCATTCCGACTTCAGGGATCCATGGTCAATGGAAACGTTTTGTCATCTGAAAAAACCAGCAGGCAACGACAGGGCACCGCAGCAGGGCGCTGCTCCAGAGATCCCACCAGCAGGCGCCATCGCACGTGGAGGCTCGGCGGAGCACGCGCTTTTCGCCTAGCATTGCCGATCGCAGCGCAGCAATGGGCATCTGTGCTGGATGGTTGGATGGCTGGATGGTTGGATGCGCAAGCACCGGCATACAACTGGCTGCTACATCTTTCGCATCGAACAAGTTCGCTTCAGGTGATGCGTTCAGCTTGGGCGCGATATTCGGTGTCCGGATCATTGCCAGGTGCATCTGCGGCTATTGCGCGTCGACATGTGTCCGCTTGTTGCGTCGCTCGCAGATGGGCGTCACGGGACAGACCCGGCCGTCAGTGCGCGGCTTCGAGGGCACGCTCCGCGAGCCACGAGACCTCGACTGTGGATTCATGCGCTGCAGCGATCAGAGCACGGACGCAGGCTCCTGCAGTTGGGCGAATGCCGAAACGTCACCACTCGATGTTGATCGGTTGACGGTGCCGGGTGGCGCGCCCTGTGCATCACGTGCAACCGATGCTAGTGCGGAGAGATGCTCATGCTCCGACGACACTAAACGTGATGGCGAGTCGTCTGACCTGGTCGTCGCTTTTGACGTACCTCTTGTGATGACTGGCGGATCCAAAACGTGCTTCGGAATCGATGGAGGCGCCTCAGCGGATGCCTCTCCTGCCACATCCCTGATCGCCGTGCACTGCGCCACTTGTTCCTGTAACGTGGCGTTTTCCCGACGTAATCGCTCGATCTCATTCTCGCGTTCTCGTAAGAGGTGAGCGTACGCCGCATTTCGTTCCTCCAGGTCAGCTATGAGACGCTTCACTTTCAACCGACTGCGCCTTGCTGCTTCTCGATTGCGCTGCGCCCGTGTCTCTCGCGTACTCGGTGCCCTGCCGCTAGTCTCATGACTGTTGCTTTGGTCCGCACGGATCGAGGGCTGACTCGGCACCCAGCTCGACTGGTGCCTCTGGATCGCTGAACTGGTCGCCGCGGAGCTGTGATCTTCACGACTGTGCTCCGAAGCGATTCGTACACTAGGCTGCTCACAGGTGTCTCCGGACGAGTCTTCGAAAGGCTCGCTTGGAAAGGCACACGCCGTCTTCGGGGACGTATCCGAAACGCGCTCATACTCACGCTGCGAGGTTGAAGAGGCTGAACCCTTGCGGGCTCTCATTTGCTCCAAAGAGCGTTTCTGCGCTCGCTCGCGTTCCATTTTCTCTCGCCGCTGAGCTCGGTTCCACGCTGATATGAGCTTCCGATCCGGGGATGGACACGGTGGTAACAATCCCCGGTCCATGCGTTGTTTGGTGCCTGTATCCCGTGGATCCCTCTCGAGATCGGCACTTGTTTGTATGACAGACGTTCCCGTAGGATGCTGTGCCGGCCACATCATCGTCGCGTGCGGCGTGCCCGGCACCAAGGAGCGATATGGGGATCCGATGGAGAAACCGGGCAGAGGCGAAATCGAAACGCCCGAATACGGGCCAGCTCCTGGGACTGTGGCCGAGTCGCCACCGCCGTACCCATACGGGTTCGACATGCTCGCGTATATATAGCCGTTTGCATCAAAGTTGGTGTCATCGATCCAGAACGGGGTACTGTTCGACGATTCTGGAACGGGCGCACTCCCGGCGACGGCGGATCCATCACCGGATTGCGGTGGTATATTTGCCCCCAAGTGGTACGCGTTTGTGTGCGGGGATATCCCGGTTGAGATCCTGTTCATGTTATTCTTATGGTTCGCTGCAAGAATCAACGTGGGGCTCGAGCTGTCCACCATCGAACGGTGTGGACTTGAACTCGTGGAGCGTGCCGCGGCCGCAGCCGCCGCTACAAGCAGCGTCGGACTTAGCAGCATGCCGCCACTGCCGACATAACCCCCTCCGTACATGTTGAGCGTCGGCGTTGCTCCCGCGTAGAGCCCGCGGTCTATGGTGCCGTTCACGGTCCCGACGCCATGCGGCGAGCGCCCGACGTTCGGAGCGGAAAACCCTGCTGCACTCGCAGCGTGCTTGGCTGCGCCCATACCAGACCCCGGTTGGAAGCTACTACTGTTGAGTTGCCCCAAAGGCAAGGGCGTGAGTGTCTCACGATACGCCCGCACATTCGACTGACTCGCCGTGTGGTGCTCCGGCGGCGTGGACCCGGGCTCAGAGGCTGTAGGCGCGCGCTGGCGCCTCGACGTTGGAGGTCTAGCCCCGGTCACAGATACCTCCTGGGAAGCAGCGTGCAGGTCTCCTTCCATCACTCTCCTATGCGTACGCGTATTCTCATAGAATAAAAGCCGCACTGGACACACCGGACAGCTTCGAACAGTGCCCACAAGCGCTACCGGGCACGGTGCCGCACCCCAGTGGCGATAAAGCCGTTCGGGTCACAAAATCGGCTGCGAAAGCGCAGCGAGCACACCGCTGACAACGAACGTCTTTCAAAAGAAAAACGTTGGTGTCACCAGCGGTACAGTAGAGGCGGCGAACGCGCCCCAGGCGAAACGTCTCCATCTGTTGTCCAAACGCCTCGCAGTTTTTTGGACCGGCCATCGACTACTGCTTCCACCTTTTTCTCATATGGTTCGACTTTAAGTGATTGTCCAACAAAGTTCCCTCTTGTCAGCTCTGGAGGTCTCGTCTCCAGCACCGCACATTTCCTTATATTGATCGCGGCGATAAAGTCTCGATTCAAAAACTCCATACGTTTCTTGCCATCAATGCTTGTGCTAACCAATACGAGTAGCCCTCGAACTTTCGCCATCCTTTCCATTTCCTCTTCCGTCAGCGGTCTGTACTTTGCTATATCTTCAGGGCTCCTCTAGCGCCTTTCCATCTCGACCCTTTGAAGTGTACACCCCAGTTCATGGTGTGTAAACGTCGTTCGGAACTCATCTACAGGTATCGTAACAAAACGCCTTGTGCACTCCTTGTGCACCCTCGTCGTTGGAGCTGGTATACACCCTTTTTGTGTCTTCCAGCGCCCTGCTCCGTACGCTACTACGAGCCTCTGAATTTCATTCTCCTGCAAGGCGCTCAACTGATTGCGAAAATTCGCGAACGCGCGCTGCCTCCCACCGTATAGGTTCATTCGCAGACGAGCCCACCGGGGCTTGGTATACTCCTCCCACAGCGCATCCCAATGCGCAATGCGAACTTTCATGAATTTTCGAAAAGCTTCAAAGTCCGCTCCGCGGCTCGTCACCTCGCTCAAAGCTTCCAGGTGCTCTTTCACTCCTGCGTTCCACGTCTCGATTTTCTTCCTCGCACTCATTATACCGGATTCTCGATCGTATCACGCTCTCGAGAATCTCAACAGACGCATGTCTTTCTGACGCAAGTTACCGTCAGCGCCATCTTCCGCACGCTTGGGAGCAGCGATGGCTATGATATTCGTATTCCCAGGGTCCGCGCCAACGACAAAGTCGTTATCCTGGACTTTCTGCGTCTCAATACCCGCCTCCTTCTTTTCTTCATGCTTCGTCGCGTCAACCGTAAAGTCGTTATCCTGTACTTCCTGCGTCGCAGCACCAGCCTCCTCCTTTTCTTCATCCTTCGTGACGGGTGCAGCCGGGGACGGAACTGGACGATCTGTCTTCAAGCGCCGATAGTGTACACATATATATGGATACTCCATCGGTTTCGATCACACCAGTGAATACCTTTTGTTTGCTGACTTTGAGACGTTTGAAATTGAAGATGTTCTTCCAATACGTCTCCCGATTTTCGCCGGTAAACTCCTCCCTGCTAACATTGAACTCTGGACTGATCTCCCTCATGATGCCACGAAGGATTCTGGAATCGATAGTCACGAAATGTGACGTGATGTTGCACATTGGAACCACGCTGATGCGCTTACCAATTAGGACAGCCTTCCGTCTCTCCCACTCTCCATTTGTCTCTTCACTCAGCATCACCTCTGCCTTGCACTCGAGTTCTCGGTCCAGAAACACAAAATAGCGCAGGATGAGGCGATAGTATCTTTCCTGATCTTTTTCAGCTCTGATATCATGTCTGTTGGATTCGCCAGCCCCAGTACAGCACGATGTTCTTGTATAACCGCACGGATTACAGAGGCTTCATTCGTGCTCCTGCGCGACTTCTTCTTGTCGACGGATTCGATCTCATGTTCACGCTTGCGATGCTTCGTGATGCCATTGATAATCGACCATATCCCCTTGCGAGAGATGCCAGGGTACAGCGCAGACACGGCGCGTATCATGAATCGTTCGAGATTCATTATCGAATGGTTCCTCAGGTTCGTGAGGTACTTCATCGCCCCATAGCTGTAAATACCCCAGTCACCCTTGATTCGAATACCCTCGAAGCTGTAAAAGGGATGTTTTTCGTGGAGGGCATCTACTAGCTCATTTTCCCTCCGCGCTTCCTCTGTACCAAGCATCAGGCGACTAAGAAACGTCTTGTCGAAAAACTCGTCTGGAATCTCGACCGTTTCCATGTGCGTCACGTCTTCGTACATCTCCCTCACCAAATGCATCAGTCCTAGCGACGCATTGACAATACTCTTCGAGTACGAGTCGACACGTGTTTCGATAGCGTCTCGCAACTTTTCCCTGTACGGATTCTTGATATGTTTAGGAAGACCAGCTTTCACCACCATCTCGTCGTACAGTTGTCTTTCTTGCCGCCTTCGACGTAGAGCCTCCCCTTTCAGTCCTCCTTCTCTTCATTTTCTTCTGGACTCGGCACTGTTTTTTGTTTTCTTCTAGCAGCCGGCGACACTGAGCCTCCAGCATCGTGGACTTGCATTTTGATAGCTTTCTTTTTTTTTGAACAAGAACGCTCTTTGAACCCTGCTGTTATATACTGCAAAAAAACACTTGACTGGACTTGTTTGAAGTTTGAAACAAAAACGAACTGAAAGACTGTACTTTGCTATGGCCTGGACCGATATCCGACGTTCACAGCTGAACAACACGTTACTGATCCCAATTGAGTTTCCCTTCAACAACGGCACGCGCATCGCGTCAGTTGACTGCCCGATCTCCGGGGTGCGCCCATTGAGCGCGATTTTTTTATTGACAAGACGTTTCCATTGACCATGGATCCTAGAATTCGGAAAGGATAACGGCTTTCTGGAAAGCGTCCGTGATGAAGCACCTACCTCCAATTTACATTACCTATACTTCTTCTCGGATATTTTGGTCGTTTCATACGTCCTATCGTGTGTGCCTCGTACCTACCCTAATCATCCACCTTTGCGCTTGAACCGCTGGAGCAGATAGTTCATGGAGCTCGAACGGCTTTGCTATACCACTGAGGGCCTCGGCTCGAGGAATGCTTCACCCGATACCGGGTCTGGATTCATGATCATTCTGGGAGCCTGCGAGCTGCGCAGACAGACGTACTGTCTGCGGCACTGCGAAGCGATATACGAGGAGTCCGCTGCGACAAGGGCGACGCCCAGACGCAGCGTCCTGCTCCTATTCCCAGAAAGCATTGCGTTACGATGAGCTGCTGCTCATATCTTACTTTGGCATCTGCCTCTGTAGAGTCGCATGAAGCACTCGCCGGGCACACTCGTTCAGCTCGCGGGACCTTCCGCCTGTAAGGTAAACTTTCGCCAACGAGGAAACTTTTCCTCATTTTAACGTTTATCGTAGATGGCGAAAGAAATCGTTATCTCGTTGCTAGTTGGTAGTTGGTCTCTGTTCTTTGTTCTACGGATGCGGCGATTGATCCGGCTCATTGGCAAGACTGCGGCGCATGCCCATCGTCCTGCAGCGAGACGCTTCCATTCTGATGTCTGCGGGTAACGGGCTGCTGTGTCGGATTCTAGTGGACGCTGACCATTGGGTTGCGCTGGGTTGCAAGTCCGGACAAGAGCAGCTTCGTTGCAGTGGCTCTAGGGCTCATAAGCGACACCTTGGAGTAGAAGCTTCATTGTCCAGCGTGTCTACACCGCATAGATGAAAGCAGCCAGACGTATGAATCCGATGGACCTCATCGCTGGCCGTATGTATATCCTGTAAGTGAGGAAGATCAGATGGATTCCCTTGGTGGACGTTCTGGATATGCACCAACCGCTGCTGTTTGCATCCCAAACTCGAGCATGAATAGGATGTATTCCACACGGACGCGTTCACGAAATCACCGGAAAATTCGTAGTCAATTGCATTTTTCATATTGGCGAGTCTTTGTTGCGTTCATAAAACCGATCATTTTTCCGAACCTTGCATTCCAGGCATCCATCTGACTGCAGTACATCGTGGAAGCGCTCTCCGAGCAGGTACCTTCTTCACATCTCCGGGCGGCACTGGCTAAGATCCACCGTTCCGACACCATCAAACATCTGTATTCTGTGGATCTACGCAAGGGATCCCTGCTTGATCGGTGCGCTACGCAGATACCGCGAACTCTTCAGGCGCCGCCTCTAAACGCAACGAAGAGCCGTTCTCCTGCCGCATGGCGTCAGCGGCGGCAGTGCATCCAGCGTTGCGGAACGGAGCTCACGGTTCGCGTTGTACCCCAACAGTGGCTGCCTCTATTTTCTGAGTCTGACGGGAGGACTGATCGCTCGCTTATCGAGCGGAGAAGCATCTGTAGGTGAACGACGGCCTCTGCCCAGCTAGCTGTCAGCATCGACGCATCTGGGGCTTTAAAGGCTTCGTCCACTCGATCTCATTCATTGAACAAGGTTTCGCGACCTCGATCGGACATGGGTAGGCCATGCGCGTCTGGACCAGATACTGCCTTCATATGTTCATGAATAAACATACAAAACACGAATGAACAGATGACGAGCGTGCATCATGCGCGCTGGCGAGCCTCGGCGCGAACGTCAACGTCGAAACTCTCTGACAGTGTTGGCCCGCTGCGTGCTGCAGCGGCGCGGTCGAGCACTGTACCTGGTGCTTCGGTTTTCGTCAAGAGCCCGTCACTGGTGAAGAGGCACAGTCACTGTGCCGACTGGATACTGATATGCCGATTTACACCGTGTTTATCATAAACAGGTCCGGAGGCTTAATCTACAGCGCCCAGTTTCAAGGCTCACAGGTGCATCCTTTGAACGAGTGCCTTCGACTGGCCTCGACACTGCACAGCGTTCAGCAGATCTCACGACAGGTTTCACCAGTTGATATTTTAGACGATATTGGACTAACATCGTTAGAAGCGAAAACGTTTCGTCTGCGGCTTTATCAGCCGCTAACGGGTATACAGTTCGTGGCGATTGCAACCCCGGAAGTCACGGATGAAATCTTACTGGGAATTTTGCGGCGACTTCATCTCCTCTACGCCGACTATGCGTTAAAAAACCCTTTTTATGTACAGGACATGCCTATTCGATGCAAGCTATTCGATATCCACTTCATGAAACTGATGAAACCGTATATCGCGAATCCAGTAGAATGACGCATCCCGCGCGCCACGTATTCGAACCCGTTCGCGCGCCTATCAGTTTCATGAATGGGCGTAGCTTCATACGAAACGAAACCGGTGGCAGTCTCTCTCTTTCCCTCTGTATGTGTGGGTGCGTATAGCGTCCGCATGCAGGAGCGCCAGCAGTTAGAGACGAGCTGCTCGCCCATGCCTCCTGGCGGGCATCCATGGGCGACGTGAACAGTCCGGCGTGTGGAACACCTGCACTCTGCCGCAGTCCCACGATGAAGCATTCCGGGCCCGCCCGCCAAGGCCGTTCGAATCCCTCGGAGATTTGCAAAATGTAAATTGGATCTGGTTCAGTGCAGGAATGGCTCGGAGGCTGCGATCGCTCGCACATCAGACTGGGTGCTCGACCCGAGATGCCTGCGCGCTGACCGCAAATTCGTCGCATTTCGTCGAAAATACCAGCGAGTGCTCCTTCGTGCAACCGATGGATCACGTTGCTGCACCGCATCACCAGCACCAAAATGCGAATACGCCTCAGGTCATCGTTCCTGCTCGAGGCGTCGTTGCGAGATCCGGTCCGCTCTGGTTCTGCGTCGAGACTGTATTGACGTCGTCAGCAGATGCCTTGGTATCCGGATCCGCTCCATGTTGTAAACGCAAGAAGAGGCGAATGTGATCGAATCGCTCGCTGAGATGATCCAGCGGTGTTTTGAGTAGTGCCTCCGGGGACTGGAGGCACTGGCACAAGAGCTGCGCGTCTGCCGCGAGGAGCATATTTTGCAGAGTCGCCGACAACCCGTCGCGAAAAGCACAGTACTTCGTTTCCGCATCTTCCCAGGTGAATGCGCAGCGAACGGCATGACGCCATGCGGGACTGGTCGCTTGCGACTCGAGCATTGCCGCAATCGTCGGCACGAGAGCAGCAACAAGGTCTGCACAGCATGCACCCTGAATGAGCGATGGAATCAGAACGCCAAGTTCAGCTGGTATGCGCGCCTGGCAACCCATGGCCCCGATAACAGTGCAAAGTTCATCCACAACTCGAGCTGAACCTAAGCCCTCATCGATAAAGGTTGCGTTGATCGCTGGAGAGACAGCGAGTCGCAGCAGGTGTCGCGCCCAGGCCAGAGCCCGCCTCTTGACTTGCTCTGGTCCGCTGCCGGTCTGACAAACCACTAGAAACCGAATCACCGCCCTGGAAACGCTCTCGTGTAGAAGCGGAACACTCCAGACCGTGATAAGATCGTTCACAACCCGTGTGCACGCTGAACCGTAACGTGCGAGTTGAACGAGCACGTTGGGCTGGTTGCGCGCCACATAGAGCTCCAAGGAGATATCCCGCAAGAGCCGAACGAACCGCGCATAGTCTTGGGAACACGTCCAGGTTGACCGCTTCGCATGGATACACGAAAGCCAGTGCGGAAGCAGTTGCAACTCGCTTTCCGAAACGCTCGTTGCCATAAACACGAGGCAAGGCCGCTGTACCACCGCCAATACCAAAAGCCGTTCTAAGTCGAACGACGGCAGCGGTGTATAGTAGTGGCGAGAAGCCCGCCCTATACAAGGCGTCGCCAACTAACGTGCAGACGCCTCGCAGTTTTTTTGGACCGGCCATCGACTACTGCTTCCACCTTTTTCTCATATGGTTCGACTTTAAGTGATTGTCCAACAAAGTTCCCTCTTGTCAGCTCTGGAGGTCTCGTCTCCAGCACCGCACATTTCCTTATATTGATCGCGGCGATAAAGTCTCGATTCAAAAACTCCATACGTTTCTTGCCATCAATGGTTGTGCTAACCAATGCGAGTAGCCCTCGAACTTTCGCCATCCTTTCCATTTCCTCTTCCGTCTGCGGTCCGTGCTTTGCTATATCTTCAGGGCTCCTCTAGCGCCTTTCCATCTCGACCCTTTGAAGTGTACACCCCAGTTCATGGTGTGTAAACGTCGTTCGGAACTCATCTACAGGTATCGTAACAAAACGCCTTGTGCACTCCTTGTGCACCCTCGTCGTTGGAGCTGGTGTACACCCTTTTTGTGTCTTCCAGCGCCCTGCTCCGTACGCTACTACGAGCCTCTGAATTTCATTCTCCTGCAAGGCGCTCAACTGATTGCGAAAATTCGCGAACGCGCGCTGCCTCCCACCGTATAGATTCATTCGCAGACGAGCCCACCGGGGCTTGGTATGCTCCTCCCACAGCGCATCCCGATGCGCAATGCGAAATTCCATGAACTCCCGAAAAGCTTCAAAGTCCGCTCCGCGGCTCGTCACCTCGCTCAAAGCTTCCAGGTGCTCTTTCACTCCTGCGTTCCACGTCTCGATTTTCTTCCTCGCATTCATTATACCGGATTCTCGATCGTATCACGCTCTCGAGAATCTCAACAGACGCATGTCTTTCTGACGCAAGTTACCGTCAGCGCCATCTTCCGCACGCTTGGGAGCAGCGATGGCTATGATATTCGTATTCCCAGGGTCCGCGCCAACGACAAAGTCGTTATCCTGGACTTTCTGCATCGCAGGATCCGCTCCTTTGTTTTCTTCATGCTTCGTCGCGTCAACCGTAAAGTCGTTATCCTGTACTTCCTGCGTCGCAGCACCAGCCTCCTCCTTTTCTTCATCCTTCGTGACGGGTGCAGCCGGGGACGGAACTGGACGATCTGTCTTCAAGCGCCGATAGTGTACACATATATATGGATACTCCATCGGTTTCGATCACACCAGTGAATACCTTTTGTTTGCTGACTTTGAGACGTTTGAAATTGAAGATGTTCTTCCAATACGTCTCCCGGTTTTCGCCGGTAAACTCCTCCCTGCTAACATTGAACTCTGGACTGATCTTCCTCATGATGCCGTAAAGGATTTTGGAGTCGATTGTCACAAAATATGACTTGATGTTGGACAACGGATCGACGTTGAAGCGCTTCTCCAGCAGCACAGCCTTCCGTCTGTCCGTCTGTCTGTCTGTCTCTTCTTTTTTTTCACTTTGCTCCGTCTCCGCCTTGCGTTCGAGTTCTCGGTTCAGGAATACGAAATAGCACAGGTTGAGGGGAGAGCATCATTCCTCATCTTTTTTCACATCTGATACCATTTCTGCTGGGTTGACAAGCCCCAAGACTTCACGATGCTCTTGAATAGCTGCACCGATCACAAAAGCTTCATTCTTTCCCCTGCGTGATGTCTTCTCTTTGACGAATTCGGTCTCCTGTTCACTCGTACTATCGTTCGTGATGCCGTCGATGATGGCCCGTATCCCTCTGCGAGAGAGGCCCTGGTACAGCGCAGAGATGGCGCGTATCATGAAACGTTGGAGGTTCATGGTCGTACTGTTCTTCAGATTCGTGAGGTACTTCATCGCTTCGTAGGTGTACATACCCTAGTCACCCTTGCATCGAACACCGTTGAAGCGGTACTCGGAATGATTTTCATGGAGGGCATGCACCAGTTCATTTCTCCTCGGCGCTTCCCCTGTGCCAAGCGTCAGGTGACGAATAAAGGTCTTGTTGAAAAATTCCTCTGGAATATCGACTGTTTCCATATGCGGCACGTTGTCGTACATCTCCTTCAGCAAATGCATGAGTCCTAAAGAAGCCTAATGTTCCCTCCTGGAGTACGACGCGACAAGGATTCTGACAGCCTCTTGTGAATTTTGCTTGTACGAATCCTTGGTATGTCTCAGAAGACAAGCTTTCACTCAAATCTCGCGGTGTTGTCGTCTTTCTAGTTGCTTTTGACGCCTGGCTTCCTGCTTGTGCTTCTTCGCCTTCTCTTGTTCCCCTGGGATCGGTATTGTTTTCCGTTTTCTTCGCCGAACCCGGCGAAGATGGCCCTCCAGGATCCCCGACCTGCATGTCGATAGCTTTCCATTGGCTTGTTTATTTTTGAAATAGAACACACTTCTTCATGCCCCCAGGTAAGAAGCTTCCCTCAGGGTGAATCACTTGCGGAAGAGAGACGACATGTGCCCCGGTGTGTCACCGTGTGCTGAACGCATCAGCGATTCACCCAATGCAGAGATCATTCCTTTCTACGATAGAAAACGCTCCTTCGATGCGGTTTAACCACGGGGAATAAGGGCGAATGTAAATCAGCTCTCTTCCCCGAAAGCATCGGCAAAACCGCGAACGCAAGGGGACTGATGAAATACCGCGTTGTCCATTAGCAAAACGTCGCCAGACGCCAGGGAAACGTCGACAATGGTTCGACGAAATGGGTGCTGTTCGATGAGCCTTCTCTACGATCGAAACTGAGGCCGCCGATGAATCCGTCCCGCCAGAACAGATGATGTCATCGTTCTTTTTGAGTTCGATCGTACATTCAATAGGCTACCTGCTATGCGAATATCCATATACGCTCCGACCTTTTCGTCCGAAGCAAGCACCATCAACTGAGAAAATAAACCGACGTTTCTGTGCTTTATGCCAATCGCGAGCTTCCAGGAACGCTATCATTGCAATTTCAGTGGCAGATGGCCATGCTTGAACGATGACTCTGTCTTTCCGACTGTCTCTCAGTGTTTTCATGACCAGACGCACAAGCTGTTGAGAAACAGGGATGCCCGTCGTGGCTACTGTCATCGCTTTTTGCTTTCCATAAGATGATGAACTGTTCGTTTTCTACCACTGACCGCAAACTGTCTTTAAGGAATATCAGTTTTTACGCGGACCGCATACGCTACATTCTTTCAGTGTTCCTCAACCATATGCGTACTGAGCTATGACTGACCTGAACGATGAATGCAGTCCTCCATGGGCACTTCACTAAAGAATATACATCCTACAGGCAACCCATCCCAGCTCCATAAGATACTTTGCATCGTGATTTCGATCTCTTGCGCTACCCTGAGAAAAAACAGTGGATTGCACGCAGCACGCTCGGAACAGAATCCAGTTGAAAGCTCCCGAGCGGCGAACATCTTGACGTTATTCGATACCCTCTTACTCGTTGATTGTTTTGGGTTTCCGGGGAAACTTTTCTTTCTTGAACACAAACCATGACAGAGAGTGTAACCAACAGTGTACATGGAGAGGCTGCCTCCCGACCTCCTCGAGATTCGAGTGAGTTGTCCTCCATCGAGGCGGCGTGGGAGAAAGCGCTGATGCCTCCGTTTGTCACCAAGTTGCGGGCTATGGTCGATGATCCGGCTACCGACGACCTCATCTCCTGGAGGGACGATGGACTTTCGTTTCAAGTTCATTTACCCAGTGAGTTCGCCCGGACGGTTCTGCCGCGTTACTTCAAGCACAGTAACTTTACCAGTTTCGCTCGACAACTGAACCAATACGGCTTTCGCAAGCTGGACAGCGATCACTTTGTGTTTGGGAACCGGTACTTTGTGCGAGATCATCCAGAGTGGCTCTCCAAAGTGACGCGTCGACGACCATCAAGAACGCTGGTGCGGAAAGAGTCGAGCCCGCCACACACCGCAGCACTTGAGATCGGCAACTACGGGTTCGGGCCGGATAGCTCCGTCAGTGCTCCGGACGTAGAGCTGCTCCGCCGCGACAAGAAGCTGCTTCTGCAGGAGCTGCTGGCTTCGCGGCATCGCCAAATAGAACTCGAGCGCAAACTCCGATACAGTGAGCAACGCATTCAACAGCTAGAGAGCAGCGTCGAACAGATGAAGCAATTCATTTACCAGTCGTTCCAGTTGCTGCTGCAACAACACGGGATCAAATTGGATGAACGGAAACGCAAGCGGTTGATGAACGTGCCCACCGAGCCGGTGGCAGGCACAGCGGGTCGCTCAATAGGCAGCATTGAGTATAAGGGGGATACCGGGGAGCTCATGACCGACAGCGTGGTGGAGTCGTACCCGCCGTCCTCGCCGCCGCTGCAGGGCCAGCAACCGCAATCGCTGACGCCCACGTCCCAGTCGCTGGTGCTACGGAACGCTCACCCCGAATCGATTGAGCTCATTCGCAACCTCATGGCGCAGCTCCAGATGGCCAATATGGCCCTGAGGAACACCGCGAACCCGACGGTTGCAGTGGTCTCCACCTCAAGCGACGCGGAGCGTGACACCGGCCTGCCGAGCGGCGAAGCACCGGCTTGGGATGAGTCGAGCAACACCGCAGTCAATCGGCAGCTTCAACCTGATGGACCGCCAGCGATGCCGACGGACATTGCCGACTCGCGTCCGAAAGGCCCCTCCATCCTTTTACTCGATGATGAGAACGAGCCCAATCCAGGCATGGATACAGAGGCGGCAACAGAAAGCATGCATCCAGGAGCGGGTGCTCCCGAGGAAGACTTCGACCTCTCGCAGTACGTTAATGTGGAAGATCTTCTCGACGTGGCAGGTACCGAGTCCATGACACTGCCTCCCGGCCAAGATGCTGACATGCTCGCCGAAGAGGTTCGACGTCTACTTGAAGATACACCAGAGCAAGACTAAGTTGCCGAATCTGGTGAGATAACAGGTACGATCGGTTGCGCATAACGAAAACGCGGTCAGAAGCGTTACGTGACCTTCGTGACCTGGCAACACCGCTGCAGCGCTCGAAAGCGTTGCATGGCCAAGGGAGCGCGGATGCTAGCGATCTTGGGGTTTTGTGCAGCGGTCTCAGCGTATGAGCCAAATCGCATGTACAGTGAGCGCAGAGACGAGGGAATTGATTTCTTTAGCTCAACGAATTCGGCTGGAGCATATCGTCAATTTTCAAAATCATCTTACATAGCTGCGTCGCAAGCTGGAATTGTTGCTTCTTGCTCTCCAGTGTTTCGTAAACGTTCTGCTCACGCATATCCATCGTGCCGATTCCGAGACAATCGATGCCGTAATACGGTTTGCGCTCAGCGATTTGACGGGCGCGAACACTCGACAGAGTCTCAATGGGCGACAGACCGCTGTTCTCAGCGAGGGCAATAGGGATCGAGTCCAGTGCCTCGGCAAAGGCTCGCATCGCGTACTGCTCGGGTCCGAGGCAACAATCCGCCGCCTCGGCTACGGCGATAGCGCCAGCAATCTCAGACGCACCACCGCCGCACACAACCCGCTGATCCCGAATGAGGTTGCGTACAACGCAGAGCGCATCATGCAGGCTGCGCTTGGTCTCCTCGAGCACCATTTTATTGCCACCGCGCACCAAAATGGTGACTGCGCGGGTGCTACGGCACCCTTCGATGACAATGACCTTGTCATGTGTCGTCCCGAAATGTAACTCACGGACGGATGCAGCGTGGCCGAGCTTCTCAGGAGTGATCTCCTCGAAGCGCGGAATGATGCGGCCGCCTGTGGCCATCGCGATGAGCTCGATCTCGACACCGCCGACCCAGCGAACTGCACAGATACCATTCTGGTACAAGAGCGAATTGGCTTCATCGTCGAAACCCCACTGACATATAACCAGGTTTGCACCGCTGTCTTTGACTCGTTTAACCATGTTCGTGAAGTATTCTTGTTCAGCATGCTGCAGCTCGCGATACTGCTCGACGCTGCTTATCTCGAGGCGGTGCTTCGTCTTCGGCTTGGGAGGTTCAAAGGGAGTCGTCAGGATGCAGATTTTGGCATCGGTTATTTGTTTGGGCATCTGCGGGTGCGACATGTCCTTGTCGATGACAATGCCGTCGACAAAAATCGTGTCCTCGAGGCGCCCGCCCACTTTGCCTTCGATTTTGATCAAGTCCAAGTTCACGTCACGTCGCTCGAGATCCGCAACTGCAAGCACCGCTTTCACACACACGTGTGCCAGTGCCTCACTATGACGCTTGACGACCTTGGAGTTGAGCGCAGTTACTGCCGCCCGCACCAGTTGTGACGTGTCCGCCTTGGTGTGCTCCATAACTTGGGCGATCTTTTCCAGATGATCCACAGCAATCGCGCACGCACGATCGAAGCCGTCACTTATTCTTGACGGGTGCATGCCTCGGTCCAGGAGCTGTTGCGCTTGCTCGAGCAGGGCCCCTGCTAGCACGACGACGCCAGTGGTGCCGTCACCGATCTCATCGTCTTGTGCGCTTGCCAGATCAACCATAAGTTTCGCAACTTCATTGCTCACGTTCATTTCTTTCAGAATTGTTGCACCGTCGTTTGTAACGGTAACGTCACCGTCGGCGGAAACCAGCAGCTTATCCATGCCGTTCGGACCCAGCGAGCTTCGCAGGGTGCGCGATACGGCCGTCGCTGCGGCAACGTTCGCCCGAATCGCCTCTAAGCCCTTCGTCCGGACCTTTCTGTCTTGATCCTTGAAAATAATAAACGGTCTACCATACTCATCAAAAACGAGCGACATGCCCCACAAAGTGCGGTAACGTACGTTTACCACGAGCGGCAGCGGCAACAGGAGCAGAGGCCGCGCTTGCTGAAGGCGCTTGGAAGCTAGCCGATGCCGCAGACACGCCCACGTCGGCGGCCTGCGGTGCCGGATCTTCGCGGCGGCGCGTGCGATAGACTGGGGCGATGCTCGTCGCTAGACGCTGTGGGTCTATGCGGCAGTGCTGCGTGCGCTGACGCTCGACACTGTCTCATTTCACGATTGATATTTTTCGCATCATATCTGTAGTTTGCACTGGAACGATTCATGTGCTGGTAATGTTCGAGGCGCGGTAGTTCTGCAGCATATTGGTACCAATGGACTGGGTCTTGGCAGTGCCCAGTTGCTTCTTCATGCAGCTCTGTCCCGTGGTCTATCCCGGTCTCATTCACTGAGGCACTCTCCGTCCTCAGCGATTCCTTATGAACGATTGGTGTGAGCCCCAAGCACTTTTCTGGTGCGTCCAGTCTCGATCGAATGGAGCGTCAGGTCTCATCTTCGTTGGTGCTCTCTAGCATAGATTCCGTCAGGGAGGCGATTTTGCGGTTTCGATCCTCTCGTTTGTCTTCTCTGGAACGTTTCTTCTTTCTTTTGATAGCTTCCTCATGTTGCGCCTGTAGCGCCGGTAGCGCTGCTTTCGCTTCCTTGTCTCCAGCGTTGGCACGTATGGCGGTGCGGTTGACGATCTTATAGAGTCGGTGGCATTCATCATTCCGAGTTTTGGTACGTCGTTTCAGGTACCGAGGTTTGCAACTGTTGCGTTCTGGTGCAAGCAGTCCCAGTTCTCTGGCAATCTTCTGATTCCCATATACATACTCGCGTGCCAATTGGTCTAAAGGCTTGCATGCATGGCTTTTCGGATCTTCAGCGCTGTGAGTAGGTGATTGAGTTTGGCGGCAGCTTTCTTGAGTTCCCGCTGGGGTGCTCTTTCAGGGGATCACTCATGATGGGCTCGTTCGGGAGCTCTTCTTTCTATTCTTCTGTTTCTTCTTGTTGGTCTTCTTCGTCTTCTTCGGGCTCTTTCCTGAGCTGCTTTCTCTGGTTATTTTGCATCTAGGTGGATCATGAGGCCTTTGTGTCTCCTTCTCCGTATCCCGCTGGGTCTCTTTTCCTATTGCAGAGTCCTCGATTTGTATCAGTTCCTCTTTACTGTACTGGTAATTCGATATCTCGTAGTTCAATTCCGAGGCTATCCCGCAAATATTCCATGATGCGAAACCTATCGAGTCGTAGCGCGTACGGGAATGGGAATAGTGCTGCGGTACTCGAGAGATACGTCGTCGATTTAGATGCACCCTCCACGGGGTGTGTGAGTGCACATGCCACAAGCGCCTCGTGCATTCCAGTCGTTCACTGAGTGCTTGGCGCAGCGCTAGCGTAGAATCAGAAGTACTCTAGTCAAGGTCGATTCGAATGCAACCGTTACGCTGCCGAACGCGTGGAGCAACCTTCAACCACTGGGGATACTCTGTGAACCACCCTTTCAGCGGCTACGTATCCGCTCCCAAAACACATGGGCGGGCAAGTCGTTTGTTCCAGCTTCGGCAGTGAACATACTGCCAGCCGTCTTCCAAAGCATCCGCCGAGATTGTTTCCAAAGTTGAGGTTGGCACCCATGGTAGGAGGTAATACTGAGCCCGAGTCCGAGGATTGATCCAGGAATTGCGCCCGAACCTGCAGCGTTGTTTCCGGAGGGGCGGATGACTACTCAGAACTCTCGTCATCATTCTCTGCTGCTACTGCCTCTGCCCCTCCGTTCGTTGCGGTAAAGGTCCCTGGCGTGGGCTTCCTTCGCCGTCGCTCGAACACCCCGCGTTGACCCACTTTCAGAGCTTCTCCGGAAAAACTAGACCTCTTAGGCGGACGTAATGTGTGGGGCTTTAAGATAGTTGTTCTTTGATAAATAGTTTGCGACTAGTTTGCATCGCGCTCGGTGAGCACGCCTGGGAGATCAGGCAGGCATGAGACACGACGCACATGTCGCCGTTGAAGGGGAACGTGATCCTGATCTCTAGCATGTAGATCTAATGTAAAAGTTGTATTTTCTTTAACTTTATAGACAAGTACAGTTTTTCAGTTCATTTTGTTTCAAACCTCAAGTAAAAATATTCAATTGATTATTAGCAGTATATAACAGAAGCGTTCAAAGGGCGTCCTTTTTCAAAAAACAAAAAAGGAAAGTCATGAAAATGCAAGTTGACGATCCTGGAGGCCCAGGGTCGCCGGCTGCCAGAAAAAAACAAAAAACAGTGCCGAGTCCAGAAGAAAAGGAAGAGAAGAAGGACCGAAAGGGGGAGGCCCTACGTCGAAGGCTGCGGGAAAGACAACTGTCCGACGAGATGGTTGTGCAAACCTTTCTTCTTGGACATATCAAGGATCCCTACAAGGAAAAGTTGCGAGACGCTATCGAAACACGTGTCGACTCGTACTCGAAGAGTATTGTCAATGCGTCGCTAGGACTGATGCATTTGGTGAGGGAGATGTACGAAGACGTGACGCACATGGAAACGGTCGAGATTCCAGACGAGTTTTGCGACAAGACGTTTCTTAGTCGCCTGATGCTTGGTACAGAGGAAGCGCGGAGGAAAAATGAGCTAGTAGATGCCCTCCACGAAAAACATCCCTTTTACAGCTTCGAGGGTATTCGAATCAAGGGTGACTGGGGTATTTAAGACTATGGGGCGATGAAGTACCTCACGAACCTGAGGAACCATTCGATAATGAATCTCGAACGATTCATGATACGCGCCGTGTCTGCGCTGTACCCTGGCATCTCTCGCAAGGGGATATGGTCGATTATCAATGGCATCACGAAGCATCGCAAGCGTGAACATGAGATCGAATCCGTCGACAAGAAGAAGTCGCGCAGGAGCACGAATGAAGCCTCTGTAATCCGTGCGGTGATACAAGAACATCGTGCTGTACTGGGGCTGGCGAATCCAACAGACAAGATATCAGAGCTGAAAAAGATCAGGAAAGATACTATCGCCTCATCCTGCGCTATTTTGTGTTTCTGGACCGAGAACTCGAGTGCAAGGCAGAGGTGATGCTGAGTGAAGAGACAAATGGAGAGTGGGAGAGACGGAAGGCTGTCCTAATTGGTAAGCGCATCAGCGTGGTTCCAATGTGCAACATCACGTCACATTTCGTGACTATCGATTCCAGAATCCTTCGTGGCATCATGAGGGAGATCAGTCCAGAGTTCAATGTTAGCAGGGAGGAGTTTACCGGCGAAAACCGGGAGACGTATTGGAAGAACATCTTCAATTTCAAACGTCTCAAAGTCAGCAAACAAAAGGTATTCACTGGTGTGATCGAAACCGATGGAGTATCCATATATATGTGTACACTATCGGCGCTTGAAGACAGATCGTCCAGTTCCGTCCCCGGCTGCACCCGTCACGAAGGATGAAGAAAAGGAGGAGGCTGGTGCTGCGACGCAGGAAGTACAGGATAACGACTTTACGGTTGACGCGACGAAGCATGAAGAAAAGAAGGAGGCGGGTATTGAGACGCAGAAAGTCCAGGATAACGACTTTGTCGTTGGCGCGGACCCTGGGAATACGAATATCATAGCCATCGCTGCTCCCAAGCGTGCGGAAGATGGCGCTGACGGTAACTTGCGTCAGAAAGACATGCGTCTGTTGAGATTCTCGAGAGCGTGATACGATCGAGAATCCGGTATAAGGAATGCGAGGAAGAAAATCGAGACGTGGAACGCAGGAGTGAAAGAGCACCTGGAAGCTTTGAGCGAGGTGACGAGCCGCGGAGCGGACTTTGAAGCTTTTCGGGAGTTCATGGAATTTCGCATTGCGCATCGGGATGCGCTGTGGGAGGAGTATACCAAGCCCCGGTGGGCTCGTCTGCGAATGAATCTATACGGTGGGAGGCAGCGCGCGTTCGCGAATTTTCGCAATCAGTTGAGCGCCTTGCAGGAGAATGAAATTCAAAGGCTCGTAGTAGCGTACGGAGCAGGGCGCTGGAAGACACAAAAAGGGTGTACACCAGCTCCAACGACGAGGGTGCACAAGGAGTGCACAAGGCGTTTTGTTACGATACCTGTAGATGAGTTCCGAACGACGTTTACACACCATGAACTGGGGTGTACACTTCAAAGGGTCGAGATGGAAAGGCGCTAGAGGAGCCCTGAAGATATAGCAAAGCACGGACCGCTGACGGAAGAGGAAATGGAAAGGATGGCGAAAGTTCGAGGGCTACTCGTATTGGTTAGCACAACCATTGATGGCAAGAAACGTATGGAGTTTTTGAATCGAGACTTTATCGCCGCGATCAATATAAGGAAATGTGCGGTGCTGGAGACGAGACCTCCAGAGCTGACAAGAGGGAACTTTGTTGGACAATCACTTAAAGTCGAACCATATGAGAAAAAGGTGGAAGCAGTAGTCGATGGCCGGTCCAAAAAAACTGCGAGGCGTCTGCACGTTAGTTGGCGGCGCCTTGTCTAGGGCGGGCTTCTCGCCACTACTGTAGTGTCAAGGTGATGCACCTTGACCAACCCATACATGCTCTGCCCTTAACGAGTGGGAGCGTTATCGCGGCACTGGTGTCTGCGCTGCTTGGTTTGATTCTGACAAGATGGCTCTGCAAACGCGGAGAGCACGTCCCGTGCGTGACACTGGGCCTGCCGGACCTCACGGAGGACGGCCTTTTCCTTATTCCTGTTACCGCCGATGATCAACCCGGAAAACCCATCTGTTGTCGAAAGAAAACCGAAGCCGATCGCTGTCACCGGTGCGCGGCGGCAGCAACTGGTCGACTGCTAGGATGGGTACTGGACCAGAGTGCGGCAGATGTACGCGCTCGCGTTCAAGTGGCGTCCGATGCCCAGCAACTCTGGAGAGAGACGTCGTTTGCTGAGCGGCGCCGAGTTCTACGTGCGCTCCGCAAAGCAATTCTGGCGAATCGCGAGTCTATCCTGCAGGCTAGCGTGCTGGAAACCGGGAAAACGTTCGTCGATGCATATCTGGGCGAGCTACTCACGACGCTCGAGAAGATCCGCTGGCTTTTACGCGAAGGCGAGCGGGCATTGGCTCCCGAGTATCGCTCGGTCGGACCGCTCACCATGCATAAACGCGCCTGGGTGCAGTTCGAGCCACTGGGTGTCATTGCGGCGATTGCGCCGTGGAACTATCCATTCCACAACCTCATGAATCCGATATTAGCGGCCCTGTTTGCGGGCAATGCAATCGTCGTTAAGAGCAGCGAGTATAGCTCCTGGTGCTCTGTCTACTATGTCGAGCTTGTGCGGCATGTGCTTCGTGCTTGCAAGCATCCATCGGAACTGGTGCAGTTGGTCACTGGCGGCGCCAGCGCCGGCGAGGCGCTCGTTGTCGACAAGGGTGTTGCCAAAGTATTCTTCACGGGTTCGACGAGAGTCGGGCGTCAGGTGGCCATGGCAGCAGCCGAGCAACTGAAACCCTGTGTCCTGGAGCTCGGCGGTAAGGACGCTTTTATTGTCTGTGATGACGCGGATCTCGAGCAGGCACTTGATATTGCGATGCGCGGTGTTTTTCAAAACAGCGGCCAGAATTGTGTCGGGATCGAGCGCATCCTGGTGCAGCGCCCTAGCTACGAGCGTTTCGTTGCCGAGATGCAGGTGCGCGTGCAGTCACTCCGTATCGGCGTCGATCTCGGTGCAATGACCATGGGCGAGGCCTCCCTGCGGGAACTCGAGTCACTGATCAACGACGCAGTGAAAGACGGCGCGCGACTCCTATGTGGCGGCAAGCGCGCAGGGCGCTCGTACTGGGAGCCAACGCTCTTGACTGACGTGCCCCTACACAGCCGAATCATGCAAAACGAAGTGTTCGGTCCTGTCATGATCATCACCCCCTTCGACGGTGATGCGGAGGCAATTCGGATCGTGAACGGTTCAGCGTACGGCCTCGGGAGCAGCGTCTTCTCTGCTGATCGCAAGCGTGCAGCGATGATTCGAAATAAGCTGCTCGTCGGAATGGTGAATGAGAATGATTTTGGCGTGAATTATTTATGCCAGTCGCTGCCCTTCGGAGGTACGAAAGATAGTGGTTCCGATCGATTTGCTGGTATTGAGGGGCTGCGCGCCTGCTGTCTTATGAAAAGTGTTACACAGGATCGGTTCTGGATGCTGCGCACTCGTATTCCAAAGCCGCTGCAGTATCCCGTACATCACGCAGCAGTAGACGTGATCGACGCCTTGATGCGCGTCATCTACATGGAAGATAGTATCTGGGGACGCGCTCTCGCGCTTCGGGATTTCATGCTTTCAGGGTTTCGATGTGCAACTTCGATAACGCGTGCTTCCGGGGCAGCAGGCATCGAGCACTAGTCGCGAACATCGTCACAAGCATATGCGATGCGCACGGGGCAGTAAATTGCCGCTCCTCAGCGACAGCATTCGCATAGTCTGGTCGTCGCGAGGGCGTTCAATAGCTAGGGCGCCTTCGATGCCTGCGCTCGTTTCGTGCTGCATTGCATCGCATCGCTCGACACAGCACTGCACTAGAGCGCACCATCACGCTCTGAGCATCGTCTGTCATCCTCCGGTACATGGACGGCCTGCAAGTCACTCTTCTTATGGGCATTCTCGGGCATCAGCGGGTAGCGCGGTCTTCGCAGGAGTTGCCACGTCGGCTGCAGTGCAACGGTCGGCAGGCAATTCACGTTGCCGATGTCACGTCGGTATCCACTGCAAAACGCCTTGTGCTAGGAATAGCAACCGTACTTGTGCCGCTGCGCATCACGAACAGCATCCTGGCGTACGCGTTTCATTGCAACCGAGAATTCGCCCGATCCGAACGAGCTCTACATACGCTTCCGTCTGGATAGTTGCTTGCCGCGCTCGCAATTGCACATGACGACCCGAGCGATGCAGTCGCTGCGCAAAAGCACTTGCATCTGTTCCCAGTTGTGCCGGGGGCAGCTTTCAGCTTGACAGCTGCGTCTGCAGCGGCAACGACGACAACGACGGCGGCGGTGGCGTCGGCGGCTATCCGCACAGCCAGTACATCACGCCAGCGGCCGACGTGCAGTGCCGCCTCGACGGCAGCAAGCCACTAAAGCTATCCGGAGATTTTTGTTCCGAGCGGATATGGGCATCGCGCGAACAAAACTCTAGCTGTTCGGAGGCATGCCTCTTGCCATAGACCAGCTAACCGCTTTCAACTCGAGGTAGCGAAGCGTTCTTTGCTGATTTTCGTCCGTTGGAGGCGCATCAGTTGCACATCAAGGGCAGTCTGGCGTCGCGTTCTGCCCACAAAACCAAAATGCTCTGCGCGCACCAAACATGAGCACCAACAGCAACAGAGAACGATGATGGCAGGAGGTCGCGCCTCACTCGACCTCGCCCAGGTAGTCACGAATCTCGGCGGGTGTCAATGCCCGGAAACGACGTTCAGCGCCAACGACGCCGATCTCAATGTTATGCTCCATCATTTTTCCATCGAATCCTTCTTTCAAAGTGAGAATCGCCATGTGTATCGCATCCTCCAGCTCTACGTCGTCCTGATAGCGCTTTTCCAAAAAAGTTTTCGCGTTCACCATGTTTTTGCCGATCGCCGTTGCTTTCCAGAAAAAGAAGCTACCACTAGGATCCACTTGAGCTAGTTGTGGGCCTTCCTCGTCGTGACCGGCGATCAGCATGCTCATGCCGAAGGGACGCACCCCGCCCGACTGCGTGAACTCCTGCATCACAGTGGCCACCTCGCGAACCAGTTGGTGAACCGGTATCGACTCGCGGTACACTTGATAATATTTCTGTGCAGCGTTGCGAGCTTTCTTGACCATGATCCGATAATCTGGTCCCATTCCAGCATATACCGCTCCAATCTCGGCAGTGATTGCCTCTACCTTTCGAATGGTTCGCGCATCCGCGAGCGCCGAAGGCAGTCGCTTCTCCGTGGCGATAACGCAACCGTTTTTTGCGCGAATACCAAGCGCAGTAGCACCCGCTTGCACCGCTTTTAGTGCATACTCAAGTTGATTCAACTTCCCCGACGATGAAAAGACCGTCAGAGAAAACGACGACGCAGAGTCTGCCATCCTGCTGAACTCCGGTGTAGCTGCGTAGAGCACCTCGCACCGGCGCTGTCCTATTCGCAGCTGCGGCCGGTACCGCCGCTGGCGTGGCTTGCCCGAGCCCGCGTTGCCGGCTGCGACTCGTGAACGTCAGCGTGGTAGCGCTGTCGTATAACAGGTCGACGAGGACGCTTCAGCAGGGAATAAGCAGTTACTGCACATGCCACGAGACCGAGCTCGACGTTTAGCACGGGTAGAGCGTCGGGCGCTCCTGCTCGCTGAGCGGCGAAAACGACGTCGTGAAGCGAAAGCTCGCCGAAAACAGCGCGCTTTGCAGGGCGAGGAGCCGCTGCAACGCCCGCGAACACTCGAGTCCACCAGGGTGTACAGGCCTGAGCTGGACTGGGAACAGGAGCCGCCGTTTGGTGAAGAGGACATTCGAGCTGTTTTGCGGGGTGAGCGGAGACCTCGTGTGCTGCTCACAACGAGCGTGCAGCCGACGGGAAGGCAGATCTACGACTTGATCGGTGACCTCTTGTTTCTCTTCCCAGGTTCCGTGTACCGAGAGAGGGACCAGCGAACGCTAGAAGAGCTCTGTAAAGCCGGTATCGACCAAGGGTTTACGGATTTGTGGGTTATCGTTCAGGGAAAGGGTTTATCGTTGCGGTATCTGCAACATGTGCGCCTACCGGATGGCCCAGTATATCTGTATCGGTTGTCCTCGGTGGTTTGCAGTGAATCGATTCCGCATCGAGGCACGCCGACACCTTTACCTGTGGAAGTGGTGACATGTAACTTTCAGACGAATCTCGGACGACACATTGAGCGCAGCTTGAGCGCACTGTTTCCGCACGAGGGAACACCGCAAAGTCGCCAGGTTGTGCTCGTTCGTAATCAACGTGACTATATCTTTCTCCGCTTCTACCGTTACATCTTTGAGGCGTCGCGGGATCCAGAAGCTGCCGAGCGGGTTCGTGTGCGCACTCAGGAACTAGGCCCACGCTTTACGCTGAAGCTTCTCTCTGTTCGCTATCCAATTGATCGATCAAGAGTCGCGTTTTCCTGGCGTCGGAGCCGCGTCGTCAATACCGGGAAACGAGTGTTTGCACTGTGAGGCAAGCATCGGTGAATTCGGGAGCTGAATCAAGAGAGCGCTGCTGCTGATGATGATCATGCTCCGCGATTAGATAGTGTCATGGTCTGGGCGGGGGCTTTTCAATCCTCGAAAAAGCATTTGCTATGGTCATGGCCCGCGTTTTGTCGTCTCTGGTACCCAGCGAATACATGTGGCGGATGCTGGACGTAAGGATTCAGCGACAGAGCCCCGCACATGGGACACAACTTACGTTGCTGATGACCTCGACCATCACCGTGAACGACTCGACAGGCCTGGACTGGGACATCCGCAGGCTCAGGCGATCTCGAATCAGAGCGGCTTGGAAGAGTTTCCTGGCACCGAAGACGACATCACTGTAGACTGAGCATGATGCGAACGCGATTGCTTCTGTCTCCAAAAAGGGCATAAAGGCGTTGTCCGTACCCCGTGGGATAGCACGTGATCATTGCAAGCTCAGTTCGATCAGTATGTGCGCGAACAGGAATCATATGCTGGTGCGTTCTCTGCACCCCATTCGATCATACGCTGTCCGGTGTGGAGGGCTCCCGCACCCCGGCCTGTTTGGCGTCCACACTCGTGATCCGAGTGGCATTCTCAGGTGCGACTAACGCATCGCACCGTTGCAAAGTACCCAATGAAGAGCGCCGAGCGGTCATCCGCCCAGGTTCACAAGAAGCGAACCCTGGACCTATCCGAAGCGTCATCGCTGATTGCTCTGTGAAAGGCGTATAGTCCTTCCGCGTACCATGCCGCGTGATGCTGCCTTCAGTATCGTGAACTGAGGGCAGCGAGAATGCTCTCGAAAACAGCGCGGTGTATTCGCGCCGCTGAAGCGCTGCCTGGACATGCCAGCAATCACCGAAGCGTCTCAACCATTCACTGTGGACCGAGAGAGTCGGGATTGTTGTTGGACACTGACGCTGGGTAGCGTCGGCAGGCACCAGAGGACCGGGAGCACCAACGCCATGACGATGGAACCATCCGGCTGGAGCGAGCCAAAGACTGCTACCTTGCGTTCTTGTTCGGATGCCAGACAGCATGGGAGCTGCTGGAGCGCAAGCAGCCATCGCGTATATCTCTGCGCCTGGCCGATGTCCTCTGTACCCCGAGACCATCACTGCGAAAACAAATGAGCGAGCCCAATGGAATTCGGGTATACGAAAAACGGTGCGGGATGGTGTCAACGGCGACGTCGAAAGCAACAGGGGCTTCTTCTTCTCCATAGCCTTCTACGCTTCTGAGGCACTGTATTCGATGCAGCGCCCTCATTCGAAATTGCACGAGGCAGTCAGCGCTGCATCTTCACCAGAGAGTACAGCAGCTGGCGCGGTAGCGTTACGGATAGGCGTTCCTGGAATGCGGCTGCTCCAGCGGTTTCTCCTGGAGTCGCCCGCAAACGCCACTTTGCAAGACGCAAGCGTCAGTGGAACATGCGGTAGCTTTTCCAATGCTGCTGTCGGAACTAGATCTGAGGCACTCAGATCATACAAGTCCATAAAAATATTTTTTCGAAAGCATTGTATACTCGTACAGGGGCACCCTTTCTGGGTATGAACAGGGCATCTACCGGACGCCTCTGTGCAAACGTTTGCAATCTCGACGCAGGCAGATCCCAAGTCCTGCAACACTTTCTACTGAAGAAGCAAACCACGCAGGTCTGAGTCCCACTTGTCCATAGTTCGTCTTATGCGCACCCTGCATACTGTGTACAGGGCACGACACCGTTTGCGACTGCAACGACGATACTCCAGACGTGTTGTGTGTCTTGGGCGCGCGTGGACAAGTCGCTTTCGTTCTGCTGCAGACGGGCAGCTGCTTCTACAGCCAAGATACGGACCCTATACCCGTATAAGAATAAAATAGAACGAGTCCGCTAACTTGGACCTACACGCTAAACACATCGTCGCTTCACAGCATCATGAACAGCAAACTGCGCGGCCCGTACCCGTGAACGTTTTCTTTTGCTTCTCGTGGATCCGGCTATGAATGTGGGCGGGCTCTGCTGTCCCTCCAAGTCAGTTGGCGGCAGTGGAAGGATATCAACAATGTCCTTCGCGTCCCGAGCTCGCTGCATCCCGCTGTTTCCTACGCATTGCATGCAGATGCTGAAGCCTCTACCGACGCTTCATGTGCCATTTCCACCGTTTTTGTATGCGGTCACGGAGCGCGCTCCGTAGCAGCGAGCCTTGACTGGAGTCAGGTCTTTGCGTATCTCCACCATATATCCGTTTCCAAGCGCAGCCCAGAGGCGCGTGAACGCATGCTTCATTGCGTAGGGTATGCCAGTGACTGCCACACAAGTCTCCCGTAGATGCCATGCTTCATTGTCGTGCCTAGTACCGTACGCTATGATCACGAGCTGCTGATGAAGGTGCAAGCGCACGTCCAGCGATTCGACAGAGGGTTTGTAAAACGTCAAATTGTTCATAATGAGAAATGAACCGGGAGGAAATCCGCAGACCGGAGAACAAGTCGAGAACTTTGGATCCATTGATGCTCCGTTTGTGCAAAACAGAGCCACACGCGCCACTTTGGTCGATCGATGCGATCACTCAAGTCCTAGTTCAGGAGAATTTGTCATGCAAACAGAAGATACGGTAGCTTCTGGGAGCATTTCCAGTGACAAGTGTGATGCTCCAGTGCAACGCCGTTTCGTCGATCGCGACAGAAAAGGGGGGGTTCTTTCTTTCTAACGGAATCGATAGGATGACGTGACAGGTTCAGCAAACTCTCGGTATGACATCTTGAACAAGAAGCCAATGAGCGCTATCGAGTATGTTTCGCAGTCCATTCCGCTTTACGACATGTGGCGACCAAGACTTGCCTCGAAACGGATAGAGAGGAACCTTGAAGAATACCCGATTCTAGTATGCTTTATGTACAGAAACGAGAAGCGTAGAGACATGTGCTTCTGAAAGCGTAAGTACTCATGGCTATCCATTGAATTTCCAAGCTATCTAGATAAAAAAAGTTCGGAAAACAAGTCGACAGCCACGAACTGGCCGAGCTGTTCAGCGCTCCATTTCAGTCCGAAACAGAGCGTCGCTGACTGCACTGATCAGAGGCCGTTTGGGCTGCAGCACGCTCACAACGCTCTCGCTCGCTCTGTGCTCAATTAATCTCTTGGATACTCTCTGATCAATGGTCTCAGAGTCCATTCTGGGACCCCTAACGTACCACGAGCGAGCGCTACAGTACACTGCGGAATCACTGGACCATGAGTAGCTCGGCTGGGCCTGCCGGCTCTGACGAAGCGGTGGACGGCGCTTTTCCGAGCGTCTCTTTCCTCGCCCTCTGTGAGTCCGTGGCAGAGTTTGGCTATGTTGCGTTGCGAGATCTGGTGGAGTTCCTCACAGAAAGGCGTCCGAACGAAACAGACGCCGCTGCGAACAACGTGCTCGTTATAGAGACGTCCCAACGCGAGCGACACCGTCTTCTTCGCCTCCTGACGCTTTGCCGCTGGCTTCACCACAACTTTGCAACGATGCGTACTGCACAGCGTTGTGTGATAACAGCGGAGTGGCTCGCTAACCGCTACGAACGTGCCGGTGCCGACGTACTCTGGTCACTCTATCAACAAACCCGCTCGGAGCCGCTTTTCGCCTCTGCTCTGGACATACACGCAGCAGCTACAGTTTCGACGACAAGCAGCTATGATCGTCTGCCGTTGGTGCTCCATAGGCTACGGACGGGCAATGTGCAAGCACTAGCTGCGCCTGCCATTCAAGTCCTAGGCTACCGGACGTACCTGCTGCTCCGAACGGCATCCGCAACCATGCATGTGCGTTTACGTTTCCATCGTGACTTTGAACGGAATAATCGTCAAGCACTGGTACGGATTTCGGATCAATCCATGCCGGGGTGGGAGGCGCTGGTCGGGCTTCGACCCCAGCGTATGACGGTGGCGTTGCCGACCTGGAGCGCCAACGCTCCGCAGTCAACGGACTGGGACTGGTTCATCTGGAAGCTAACCCTGGATCAAGGTACAGCGTATGCTGCTCTGGCAGCACGTATTCTGGAAGAACGCTATCAGCTGTTGTGCCGGAAGCAGCAACTTTCAGATATGCTATCAAAGACGCGCTACTTTATCGGGTGCTTGGTTTCGTGCATCTCAGTTGAACTGTATGAACCGTTGCGCATCGCATCATTGGCAAAGTCTGTAGAGGTGCTTTCTAACACGAACTCGAGACAGAAAGCGTCACCATTGGGGGGTACAGCAACCTCGTCGACATCTGCGACGATTAGGGTCCAGAGACTGGACGCTTCACCGGGCCGCTTTCGAATCCTGTACTGGCCTAGCGCCGTCAAACCGCCGAATGCGGATGCTTTCGTTATGGCGGAGAATCGCTGGTGGTACGGAATCACCCTGCAATGTACGCACCTGACGGTACCGCCGACGCCGGAGTGGCTCTGGGATCCAAGCCTCCGTCTCCAGGTACCGCTCTATGGCTATGTGCGCGTCGAACATCAACCGCCGTTGCCAGTGCACAAATGCATACCTCACGAGGTATGCTCCGAAGGCGATGGTGTTGCGCTTGTGGCTGCGGCGCGTCGAGCGCGTTCAACGGCACTTTTGCAGGCGCTTGTTTCCGAACGATCCATCTTTGGAGTCGTGCATCACCTGCATCCCACTGTCGTGCGCCTTGTTCCTCGTGGAGACAGCGGGATTGCCCTCCGGTTACAAGTCCATGAGCCGGACGGTCTCGTGGCGCTGAGCATAGACGGTGGATCTGTTCTGGAACAGATTCGCAATCTGAGAAGTTTTATGGAGCCGGCGATGCCGGCCTGGTTACGTCCGGAAACCTGGCCCGTGTGGTTGCCGATCCCCGAACAGCGTCGTCGAGTGCACAGTCGACTCGAGGCCCTGTATCATGCTGCGCTGCACGATCAGGTGTGGGTTGTCGCGCAGCTACATAAGCAGGTGCCATTTCTCGTGTATCTCTTGCCCGAGGCGACTCGTTCACAACTGGCTCTCAAACTCACTTCCGGATCCTATTTTGTCCCGGTCCATAGGGTGCTTGCAGCGCTGCTCGAGCACGACACTGCAGAAACGGTGCGTGCGAAAAGCATCCGAATAATGGCTTACGTTGTCGATACGCTTCGACGCTTAGAGTTCCTAACCACAACGCTGCTAGAGCAAGGAGTACTAGCCAATACCGTCGCTATAGACAGCACGACCTGGTCTGGGGCGTTGGCCTTGGTTCGAGGTCACGTTGACCGTCTCTCCGTACCGGTTTCGCTCAAGTCATTGGATGTCCTGGAAATCCAAGCGAGCTGGTTACATCTCGAGGTAGCTTCCCTGAAACGATCTCCCTGGAGTCTGGAGGTCGATATTGCCCCCGATTTGTTTGATTGTTGTCTTGATACCTCGGCCGTTGACGGCGAATACCTCGATGTGCGGATGATCGTGACGGAGTCGCCGGTCAGCTCGCCTGGTGCTGGGTCCTCCGCTCAGGTGCCTGCACAGGCACAGCGCTCGGCAGCAGTGGCAGATCCAGAACGAAGACGTCACCTGATCTTGCAGTATCCACAGGCAACTGCAGCATATGTGCAGCGCTCACGCTGGGACCTAACTCGAGCCGCAAAGATGGCGATGCTGTTGCGAGACTCGAGTCTCCAGCGCATGCCGATCCGCCGAACTGGGAGCTTCTCCCGTCTGGAGCGCTTATGTCCGGCACGGTTTTTGGTTCGGCTCGGCACTGAGGTGCAACTTGTCATAACGTACCGCTGTGATACCCAACCACACGGTTACATGGTAGCGTTTCGTCACTCGCGCAGTGCACCAGAGTTTGCGATTCGCATTGTGGAGCAGGTGTTGAACGCGCAGCCTTGCTATACCGTGCTCTATGGGCTGTTGGAGCGAACCCTGCCGCTAGCGCTGGCGGCAGCGGCAGCTTTTCACGGACTCGCGGCACGCTATCGGTTTCTGTCGGCCTTGCGACTCCGGGTGGCCTTTGTTGCTGGTAACGCTTCGAGTCGGCCAGCGTCAACGGCCCATTATGTGTTAGAGCTCGACGCAAAAGAGGGCAACGGCCTTGTTCGGATCACCGATGTTGGAGCGCAGGCCGCCCGAAGCTCAGGCGCAGCGCCTGTTGCCCCGTTACCGCACTGGCGGCACGTCTCCGATACCTGGACGCAGCGTACAGGAACAAGCTCTGATGACTCCAGCTTCAGGGTGCCGCTCGGTGAGCTAGAGCAAGTGCTTAGGATGCTGCTACCAACAAGCACCCTAGTGTGAGGATCGTCGGCGCAAAACGCTTTCGTCTGGATGCGAACATGCGACAGATCCGTTTTCCTTGGCGAGATGTCGCTCTCGGGTGACTCGTGCTCGGTAGCAAACCTGCGCGGAATATCGAGTGCACAAGGCGCGTTGGCCGACGCTCTCTCTCTCTCTCTCTGGGTGTCCCCCGACAGCGGCAGTGTGTGGAGCGATAGAGAACGCGTTCTCCATATGCGTTTTCAGCGACCGAAGCTGTCTTCGACGCAGCGTCGCGCTCATGAATAGGCAAACGAATCTCGTGCTCCGCTGAAGAATACAAGCGCCCGATGCCACCGAGGTTGCTGGATGCGTAGACCTCTGGGAAGTCTGCACATGACACCAGCACACGCACTATCATGCGTTGTTGTAAAACGCGAAAAAAGATACTCGGGTGCACGTTACCGCCCGAATAGCATCCACGTGCCAGTGAGGCTTCGACAAACCCATCACGTTACTCTTTTGCGGCTAGCGGCTATTCTTCCAAGGCCTGCGCTCGCTCACAGACCAGATAGCACCGAAAACGCTGCAACTGTGCCCGCTGGTACTGCTCAGCGCAACAGCTCCTCGACGAACAGCCTGCTAGACAAGGTGCAAGCCTGGAAGCAGGTTCACAGCGCTCGCCACGCATTCGAGGCAGACCTTGAGTGTCAAGTGGTCATGAGGTCGTCACGCAGTGCATGCGTCACGTGGAAGGTACAGTTTCCCGTACCCTGACCTGCCGTACAATCCCAAACTTGCGTCACACCCAAGACGAGGACTCTTCCATATACTGCAGCTTCAGACGCTGCTCTATCGCATCAAAGCGCAACCTGCAGCACTTGATTGAAATACATAACCTATCATTGCCCTGCCACTGGTGTTTGCCGGGGAACCCTTCGGGCTTTGACGCTGCGGTGCGCAGCAGCGTGCGGCACATTCGGCGTCGCATGACGCTGTCGCAGCGTATCGAGTCCAGGCTTGGGTAGACGTGCGAGCGTGCTATTCCAGGACTACGTAGGAAAGGCGTAAACTCCAGCGTTGGGGCAGCGTTATATTTCGTGAGGATCCGCTATCTCTTCCCTTGTTTCTGAGATCAGTCGTACACGCGTAGTGGTCTGGTCAGTTTCAGTGGTCTCAGACTCACTCTGAACGTAGCGGAGCGCGGCTCTAGAGTACCCAGAGCTTGGCGCTGCATCTGGAGTCTGTTCAGTGCTCATCCAGGTCAATGACGAGAGTCGCCAGTCCGACACGACATGTTAGGCAGCAGGATGCTGCAACTGTCCTGAAAAAATCGCAGAAGCGCAAGCTTGGCGCTGCTATGAGCAAATTAAAGCAGGCTCAAGCTGTGCAGAGCTCAGCGAAAGTGCAGAGGGACGCGTTGGATGACCCCAGCGCCAACGTCATGCTGCTGTTCGAGGAGCTTCGGCAAAAGGCAACGCCGCTGGAACGGAAGCAGCACCTGATCGACCAAGTGCTTGCTCAGCTTGAGCCGAAACTGGGCCTGTATGCACGTCGACACGATATCTCCCGAGTGGTGGAGATTGCCCTCAAGCACGGATCGAGCGAGCAGCGGAGTCGCATCTGGAACGCACTAGAGCCCAGCCTGCAACGCCTACCCGAAACACGATACGGTCGGCACGTTGTCCAGGCGCTGTTCCAGTATGCGACTGGGGAGCAGCGACGAGCGTTGATCGCTGCCCTGCGCGAGACACTTGTTCGGCTGGCCATGACGCAGGACGGCGCAGACTGGGTGGACCACGTCTACCAAACCATAGCCAATGGACGCGAAAGAACCTCTATGCTCATGCACATGCTGCTTGAACGGGACCGGGGATTGCACCAACTTTTGGTCGGATCCCGCGATCAAGAAGTGCGCAGCGGGGATAACGCCCTTGATCAACTTCTTGGGTTCGTGGAAGAGCCGTTCCATCAGAGACTTGTGGCGTGCTGTCGTCGGCAGGTGGAACAAATACTGGACAAGCCACGGGCACTATCCAATGCCCTCGTCCATGATTTAATATGGACGATGCTCTCTTCGTCGCGAGTGCCATTTTCGGAGAAACAGGAGCTGGGCCAGGAACTCGCCACACGGGCGCTCTATCTATATCACACCAATAACGGGAGTCTTGCGCTCATGCAAATGGTTCAACTGGGCGACGCGAAGTTGCGGAAAGAGTGTGCGAAATCATTTCGCGAAGTTCTATCCGAGGTCTGGACCAACAAGTACGGCCATAGGGTTATTCTGACGCTCTTGGCCTGGACAGATGATACGGTCATGTTGAGCAAGACACTCGTTCGCCCAATGATACCCTATTTCGATGCGCTTTTTGCTGCCGCGCAAAACAGCGGCACTCCGGCTTTGATTTACGCACATGTAGCTTTGCTTTTTCTTTTAGCCGGTGAAACCACTCGCTATTTCCATCCCGTATTCTATAGGATGGTTTGGAATCCATATAGAAGCGATCAAGAGGTACACCGCCCAAAGAAGGACCCGCAAACCCGACGAGAAGAGATGTTGGCGGTCATCGCCCCGGCGCTATTCCAACTGGTTCACACGCACGGCTTGAGTCTGCTCTGTGACTATAGGAACTCACCCCGCATGGGCGCGCTGTGTATAGAAGTGTGCAAGCATTGGCAACAGCACGGTGAAACGGAACGGATTCGAGAATGGTTCCAGCATATACTACGCGAGGCTCCGTGGCACGCGAGCGATGCCCATACCCAGCGGCAACGACACGAGTTTCTGCACCAGGTACTGGTGCTCTCGAAACTGTTTCCCGAGCAGATATTTCCGCCCTTGAAAGCACATGCATCGCAGCTTGCCGAACTCGTGAACACGAACGAACGGGCAGCACGTTTGCACGGTGCACTGCAGTCTTCGTGAAGCAATGGGTATGCGAGCTTCTACTGACACCTGTGTGTACGTGTCTGTTTGTGAACGTTCCCCAGAGAGTTTACTGCGCGATTTCAGGTTAGCGCCCGTGGATGCTCTTCGTCGAGGCGTGCTCTGCACATGCTGCTCGCATCACGAGCGTGCGCTTTCCAAGCTCTTTTGCATCTGGAGATTTTGAATCATGCAAAAGTTTTTCCAGGAACCGCCAACAAATGGATTGACTTGATCACAGAGGTCAATGTGATGCTCGTGAACACGATCACCTACCCGTGCGGCGGATTCGCGTAGACCATCCGCCTCACTGGTGACGTCATCAGGGCGTTTCGCACTCCATAGCGGCTTTTCTTCGGCATGCCCTGGGTAGATAGGCGCAACTGGGACCAACTGATGCTGCCGTCGATATAGATGCGAATGTTGGCATAGCCTAAATCATCGCAAACACTGGTCCGTACTCGTGCTCAGTGCAGAGCAAGAGCGTGCTCATGGGTGAGTGCCCTCTCTCTCTCACACACGCAAATCCAGGAAGAAAGCATGACAACGTCACAACAACGAACGAATCGGGTGTCCTACGCGATCGATCCGGGTTTGCCCCAGTCTATCCAGTCACGGAATTCATAGTTGGCGCAAGAAATCGATCCTAGTGTTTGTGATTCCATCATGACAAATTGCCTTCATGGAGCAACCGTCATCGATACAGGGATCCTGGCATGGTGTATTCGGCACGGAACGCTCAGTTTCCGCCGCTCTGTTTGTGCCGCAAGATCCAGCCTCATGCCTATGTATGCGCGGGAACGAGCACTGCAGCCACGACTGCTGGTTTCCGCCAATATGCGATACCGATCAAACCACCGCACGACAGAGTGCATCATCACGGTAATCTGTGTTCTTATCGCAGTAGCGGTAGCGTCCGCCTCGAGAGGCGCGGCGGACACCCCTGGTGCCAAAGTCAGCTATCGATAGCGTACAGCACGCGGCAGTCGCGGGGCGGGAGCGCTTCATCGCTTGCTACCCCAGCAAGCGAACTAGCGCGGTTTGCCTGTGCATTGCCTCTAAGTAATTAACTTGGTCCATCGGGTTCGCGAGCCGCCATCTGCAGACGAGAAAACTGCACCGCTCGCTCAATGCTGGTCAGATCTACAAAACCACAAACCATCGAGGGTGAAATCTTCATTCGACTTGGACTTTCATAGGCGCCATTAGGTTGCTCGCTTCTCCCGCGTTCCTCGGTAGTCGTGCCGACCACAACTGGCAGAAGCGGCGCTGAATTGGATTCAAGAATTTCCAGAGCCCGCACAAGTGGTTCCTCTAGCGAGATGCTTTCGAAATCAGTCGAGCAAATCTCACCCAGAGTGATGCCCTGCAGAGCGCCGAACTCGCTCTTGGCCCGAAGTAAATCCCGAACGGTAACGAGCCCCTGAATCTGTTCCACCGGCATTGTGGTCGTCACTAGAATGCACCCGTGCTCCAGCGGTCGGAAGCGTTCCAGTGCAACCGACACGCTGCATTGCGCATCGAGGAAGACCGGTTTGAGCGGTGAGAGTCCATCGCGCACGCTGAGGCAAGCTGCCACGGAGCGAAACTCGGCATCTGGACGCAGCCCCAGGTAGAGCGGCGAAGGGCCTTCGTTTCGCTTCGTTGCATAGGCGGATGGAGAAGCTCGGACCTGTTGCCTGGTGTCATCCGCGATCCAGGTGCTGACGCCGACACCCGCCATTAAAGGCAGAATGATACGATAGTCTCGGGTCATCTCGAACAGCAGCAAGCACCCGGTGAGTGGTGCACGAAACATTCCCGCTAGGACTGCCGCCATGCCAACCATGGCATACGCTGGAGGCCCCGCAATCGGGATCGAACCGGACAGTGCAGTGGCCGTTGTTGCACCCAAAGTCTTGAAGACAATCGCAAGGAGCGCGTTGCCCGCGCATTCGATGGATTTGCAGTAGAGGGCCCCCAGATTCGCACCAACGAAGAGAGCGGGCGCAAAAGTCCCGCCCACAAGGCCACTGCCGAGACTCGCGGCAGTCATGAGGGGCTTCAGGAACAGCAAGCCAGCCAGGAGCGGAATGCTGAAATTCGTATCCGCTAACAGAGCGTCCAGCATGTCGTAGCCAAAAAAGAGAATCTGCGGAAAGACGAAGCCAACCATGCCGTTGAGGAGACCACCACAAAGCGGTCGCCAGGCAACGGGAATCCGTCGCAATCCTGTGCATTGGTAAAGGTTTTGACCCAGCAGGAGCGCTTTCCGAAACCCGAGGCTCGCCAGCCCCGCCAAGAATCCCAATCCCAGATAAAGTGGAAGCTCGAGCAACGGATTCCGCAGGTCATAGTTCGGTATCGAGAAAGCCGGGCGCTCGCCGAGACCCAGTCTCGCAACGAGCGAGCTCAACGCCGACGCCACGAGCAAAGCCGGCGTTGTACTTGCCCCAGTGCCAGATTCAGTGTGATTCCCGCCCGCTCGCTGCGCGATTTCGTTCGCGAAGAGTACCCCGGCGAACGGAGCGTTGAAACCTGCCGCAACGCCCGCTGCACATCCACAAGCGAAAAGCTGACGCAGTCGCTCACTAGAGAGCCGCCATTGTAGTCTTTCACTCGCCCATTGCGGAATGAGACGCGCCACTGATGCCCCGATTTCCACAGAGGGGCCTTCTGGACCCAGCGAACATCCGCTCCCGAGCGTGAACACAGCTGCTATGGCTTTAACAATTGCACCGGCGCTCTGGAACCGTTCATTCTTCTCCATGGATCGAAGCATGGCCTCAATACCTCCGTCTAGCGCTCCGAATCTTAGTTTCAGGAAGCTGACACAAGCACCACCCATGGTAGGCACCGCGATCAAGTTCAAGGACCCGACGAACGGTAGCAGTGCGCCGGCCACCGTGTCACCGTACCCAAAATCCGAGACGCCACGAATCGCGGTCTTGAAGAGTGTCACACCAAGGCCAGTACCTGCGCCGACGAGCGCCGCGAGCACCAGCAAAACACCGCTGTCTGGAGACTGTAGCCTTTGACGGCGTTTGGCGGCAGCGCGTAACCACGCCTCGACGTCACCCGGAAACAGTGCTTTCGGGGCCTGACTGCGGCTGGGCGTCAAGGAACTCTGGCAAGGCACTCGACGGCGAAGTGCGCGTTTCTGCCGTTTGACTCTGGCTTCTGGCTTGCGTTTGGAACGGGTCCCAGGCCGTACCGGCTGGGGCAGAAACGCCACCGGAGGCAGCATGCATCACCGGCGGCGTCGCTGTGCCCTGGACGGTGCCTCAGCGAACGACGACAAACGCTGCCGCTTTGCCGTACTGCGAGTGCCCCGCAGCGCTCGCCTCAAGCAGCTGGCAAGCGAACAGGCAGACGTTTGCAAGCTCCGCGCAAAGACTTGTCGCTGCAACACCGTTGTCGGCAAGCGGGATAGGGATGGTGTGTGATCCAGTGTGCCCGATGGTGTTGCCGGTGAAATTGGATATATCTTTCTAAACTGGTCAGTTGCGGTGTTCATGTCTTCGATGAAACGGAATAGATCTGTAAATCTCGGACACGTAGGATGATGGCACTGGTAGTGAAATTGGATCTATCTGCTCCAACCGGCCATGAATGGTCGCAGCGTCGATGCTCGACATTGCTGTGCTGCAGTCCACGAGTGGAACGAGCATATCATACCGTATGCGGACACCTCTAGCCCGATGCAAATCTAGTACGACTCTTGAATGCGTAGCTACAAGCTATGGGTACTTGGTGACGGGATCGCATTTGGTTCGTTCGTCGCTTCACGTATCAATCTGAGTCGACGCTGGCTGGACCTGCATGCACACGATTGGCGCAGGTGGACAAATCTGGGTCCAAAATGCACAAACCTGGCCTGAATATAACCCGAGTTGCATGCAAGCATCACGATTCTAGATGTTCGGGGGCTCCAGCGCCTCGAAACTCGAAACGTTGTCCAAGGTGCGCTTCAATGATGAGTAAGCAGTGGAGCGTAGTCCAATATCTGCACGGTCGCCAGATCGATCTGAGCTCTACGCTCAACGAGAAGGCTAGTCGGGAACGAATGGAATCCAGAAACATCTGTAGAGGGAAGGGTGAAGGTCCCTTCTCTGGTTGTCGACAACGATCACGTATCCGGGTGTACTCGGAATGGAACGCTAACCCGACACCTTGCACCCTACCGTGCCTTGGTGCTGTTTTCGTGCGTGTTCAAGGGACGAACCCGGTTCCCTGAAGGTAGCACTCGTTACGATGCCGACTTGGGTTGCAACAGTGATGGTTTGGTTCGTGATGGCGGTCGTTGAATAACAACCTACAATGCCAGAGCCTCTGACCTGAGTTGCTGAGGCCATCGGCCGCGTGCCAGTGGCAGCGCCCACCGATTAAAAAGGATGCATATGGTGCATGCTTCCGAAGCAGAAAATACATCAGCGCTCTGCGCATTTCGCTCTAGAAAACGTCACACAACGATAAACTTCGTCGCGGATGCTTTACGAGATGCACCGTACCAACCCAGTCGCTGCGCGAGACGCCCTGTAATGACCAGGAGTGCACTGCTGGCACCGCTGCAGGCAGAGCGCCGGGCTCCGTTCTAAAGCGGTGGCGGCATTGAGCGGTCAAACCGACCACGCAGAGGACCTATGAAGCCTGTAAATCCAACTGGATCGCCATGCTTGCAGTGCATACTTGCACCCGTACGAGCGGGAGACCTCGACCTCGCAAGCTCTTGCGAATCCATTCGAACCAGTTTGCAGCGCTGCAGAACACGAACAATATGTCTTTCGTTGGGCATGAGTTCAAAACCGTCCAAGCGCTTGCGTAACCATTCCTGCCTATTTGCGACGCTGCAGAAATTGAAGGATACGTTTTTCCTTGGACGAGTGCGAGAGAGCCTCAGCCTGGGGCGCCTGGTTCGCTGCGGCCTCTCTGGTAGCCTCCGGCAGCTGGGCTGTGTAGCGAAATGTCAGCGAGATACGATCACTCCGAGGGACACCCTCATCGGCATTCCTTTCGGCTATGCCGTGCAGATACGAAGTATAGGCCTCCTCGGTTATCATGCAGAGTGAACGAGGTGGTAGGTAAACGCTCGCCACTGGTTTGCTTCGAGCTGTGAGCTCTTTCGAGTAAAAGTCCAGCACTGTGCCAGATAGAAGACTAATAATAGCGGCGTTCGGCAGAAATGCAGGTCCATCCTCATGGGGCATGATACCCTGACCAACACGGTATTCGTTCACGAGAATGTGGTTCGCAACCTGGTTCTGGTAACCGTCAGCCACTAGTTGTTCCGCGAGCTGCCTGATGAGGTCCGGAATCACGCGCGTATAACAACGATGACCCGACCCATTGGAGACGAAATGCAGACCGTACAGAATAACACGCCGATTGGATAAGCGTATCCAATGCTGACTCGCCTCCTCTCGAAAATAGGTCGCCAAACGACTCTCCACGGACGGTGACAGGTACTCTGGAACCAGCGTTAGGCCGGGAGGACACAGTGGCACACGCTCCACTGAATTGATTATGGAAGCTGGCGATAGCTCGGGCATCCACTGCAGAGTCTGAGCAGCGGGCTTGGTGTCAAAGACGCACAAGGCCAGGCAACTTTGTGGTTCCGTTTGCTGCACAAGCGGGTGTCGCTCACGGGGGTTTCCACCGAAGAACGGCAGCTGAAAAAGCTCGCGAATCTCGTGCGCAACGCCGCGTAGTCGTACTCTTCAGAGGGTCTTCAGTCGCCACTCCGATGTACGGAGTTTGATCGGCACCCGCAGCCCTGAGTACTGTCGCTATGCCACGTTCGACCAGAGGTACCTCGGCGGGCTACGCGTTCAGGGAGCCGCGCGTCGCGCAGTCAGACATCGCCAGTGACAACCTCGTGTTTGTTTAGTTCATAACAGCTGTGTTTTGAACAGGGCCATTTGCAGCCAGGAAAGGTATCTCCTGGGAATAGAACACCGCCTGTGGACAAGAGCTAGCCGCGCAGTGGTCCTTGCACCCCCAGCAATGAGCGTCATCATGGCAACAGGGAATTCTTGAGCACCTGCACCAGCTTGTCGCTTCGTTCTTGCGCGCTTCTCTCGAAAGTATTCAGGAAAAAGAATGTGTCCCGTGGATTGGGAAAAGGTCGCGTACACACTTTATGCCATCAATGCAAGTATGCGAGAAACGATCCTGCTTCTGCACCAATGTCCTTGCAGAAGCAGGATCCGCATGAGCCAACCGTCTCTTGAAGCCTACACGAGACATTCTGCAAGTGAATCAGAACCTGTAAGACTTTTTCTACGCCACTCCCGCCTCATCAATCAAGCCCACTCTATACATTCTATCAGAAATACCGGCCAGGATGCCACAAAATGACAAGGTTCCGTACTTTTGACACAATCGGTATGGAAGAGACACCTATGGACAGAGAAATCAGCGCTCCTGTATGGGGAACGCTCCCGCCTTGAACAATGCACTGCACAACGACGACGCAGATGTGATCGCTCGTTACGCGAGATGCGGACGTTCATCTCACTCGATGGGACTTTATGCGGAAACAATGATCGACATATACATGGGTACTCGAAGAGGTACTGCTTATCACCCATGTTCACACTGTGCAGACGCACGAGCATTCCGACGACATCTGCCAAATGGCGATTCCGTCTTGATGTCGAGTACAAGCTGCGAAACGGACTGGATTGCTCGACACCTCGTCCTTTTTGAGGAACTTCACGGCTTCTCGTTCTCGAATGCCTCTCCGGTCCTGCGCGATGACAACGTCGTTTTCGATGACTCAAATCCGGGCGAGGAGTGCGCCTCTGGGCTTGGTGTCGAGCTGCTCTCGGCGCTGGCCTATTTGCGATGATTAAATCCAGACGAAGGCGTCTTTGCGATTGTCAAACGTCGTTTTACGCTCACCGATCAATAGACGCATTGCTGTCATCCGTAGCATCGAAAGATGCAGGACGCCAAAGCGGATCGCGTAGCATATTTATCGCGGAAGGCTCGCCTCGCTTCCCTCGCTTTGATGCACCTCGTCAAGCAAGTACCGCTAGATGTTATTTCTGGGTCAACTGGTAGATCGTTCAAAGTGTTCATTCAAAGTGCGACCATACGATCCGTTTCAAAAGCAGATATTGGTGCAGAGCATATATCCTTCATTGAACTACGGTGAACGTCAGCTCAATACGCGCTGCAACATCGAATAGGTTCACGGGATCGCTGTGGCGGCAAGTAAAGTGAACGTTGATCTCTGTCAGGGTCAAGCATCTCGTGCATATATCCAGCGTCGCAAACACGTAGGTGCTCAGTGCAGAGGCGGCTATGCACGTCGTGCAAGTCGCATGCTTGGCGAGCAGTGCACTCGATACACGCGTATCTGCTCGCATCTTCCCGCGCATTCTATGCTCATAATGTGAGCGCATTCGTGAGGCACGTCTTTCTTAGCCTAGAGATGGCAATCAAGAGATCTGTAGGGATGTATCTGCTAGGGGCACGTTGCATGCTGGCGCGATAAACCGCACAAGTTGTCGTTCGCGCCGACGCCCATGTCAAGCAGTACTTTGGAGGCTGCTTTCCAGGCCGGGGCGTCCGCAAGAGCACGCAACTGCAACGTTTCGCGCGCCTCCAAACTGGTGGATTTCGAGCCAAGGCCGAAGTCACGAAATGACGACACATTCTGTACACGCACGCAGCCGGGAGACTCGGTACCCCAGGATTCGTCTGTTCTGCGGAGTTTCTCCAGGGTGACCAGCAGCGAAGGCAGGTCTGCATACGCAACCAATCGGAGCACAAACTGATGACGAGAATCGATCCTGCTTCGGGCGAACGACGCCTCGAGCCGGCGCCCACAGGCACGAGGCGATACCGTGCTGCGTTCGTGCTCGCTTTAGAGACAGTCACAGAATGCTCGATACCCCTAGAACTCGATGAACCAACCATAACTCATGGAGGCTAGACTAGGCGGTAGCCATTGGGACGTTGGGGATCTGGAGCGGAGCGGTCGACCCACTCCCCAAAGCCGATAATCCATGTACATTCGGGGATTGCGATATTCGTGTAAACGGTCCCAGCCCATGCAGAAAGAACATTGGCGGCTGCATTCTGTATACGCGTCTCTCCTAGCCACGAAATCATGCAAGAGGTGCTTCCGCAATCAACGCCAACGATCTCTATACCCAAATATGTCACACCTCAATCGCTTTGTTGTGCAGCCAAAAAATGGCAGGCACGCCTCATGCATCCATGGACGCATTCGAAGAGATGCGCTTTCTGCCTGGGTCAACAAATTTGAAGCTTTTTGCCCTTTCAACCATGCGTCTGCGCCTTTTTTGGCACCAACTGATGATCATCAACAGTACCAGGGAAATCTTCTTTCACACCATCCGTAACAGAAACGAGCCCGTACTCATGAGCAGCGCTTTTGCCCAATATTGCAAGCCATTCTGCCAACATGATCCGGGAAGCTGCCTGAAGCGGCGCTGCTGCCATGGACTGCAGTCGCGGTGGGTATCGCGCCCCGTGCGGTCCGTTCACACCTCTGCATGCGCCAGCCAGTCAAAACTTCCTCGCTCTGAGTCCGTAAAACTCGGTTCACGATCATCCTCACATGTTCCGAAATAGAGATCGCCAAAGTCGCCGAGACCCGGCGTTATAAATTTGTCCGCCGTGAGACCAGCATCGATAGCACCGGTCACCAGCGTGACTCGCGGAAAGGCATCCAGAACTGCTTGGATGCCTTCCGGACAGGCGAACATGCTCACGAATAGTATACGCTCCAGTGGAACCCCGGCTTTAACTAAAACTTGAATGGCTGTTTTCGCTGTGTCTCCGGTCGCCAGCATCGGATCCATGACCAGGATCCATCGCTGCGACACATCTCGTGGCAAGCGAACGGAAATGAGACGTGCTTGCCCCGATTCACGCTTCTGAATCAGGATCTTACCGACCCGAACGGCTCGCGCTATCTGCCGCAGCCCGTTCTCGAACGCCTCTCCCGCTCTCACGATAGATACTCCGCAGATCTTCTCGTGGTATGCGAGTCCGTCGAACTTGACACCCAGACGGGTCACAACGGAACGCGGTACCAGCGGGATGTGGTTCAAAGCGTGCTCGAGCAGGAGTCGAATGATTCGATCCGCGTAGAACACAAACTCACCACGACTGGTGCGGCGATCCCTTATTACCGTGTACAGAGCGATGAGCTGCGGCGTCTGCGGCACCAGGTCTACGCGCGTCTCGGTGCCGCCGCTCAGCATCCCAGCCAGCGACAGCGTATTTACGAGAAGTCCTCACCGAAATGTAGGGCAGCGGCCGTTGCAGCCGCTGGAGCGAGGACGCGACCAGCTGGCTAGAACTTGCGATTCTGTATGCTGGTCTCCGATGAACGGAATCGTGCGCTGCGCGCCCTGCTGCTGATGTGAGATTCTCTCTTCAAACGTTTTTTGATGGAGAGCCATGAAGTTCGATAGGCAGCAATAATGGCTTTCGAATTCATACGAATTATTTTTAGCATCTCGTTTGTCCTGTTGACTTAGCGAATTCGAAGCTTTGTCGAAGGAATTCATTACGTCACCGGAATCACGATGATCCTCGAAGCTTTCGAACACGGGCTCGTAAACTATGCGATATCATGATGCAACGCCCACACGCACAAGACGCCACGCTTCTCCGTTCCTCATCTTCAGCGTACGAAAATCATGCATTCTTCAAGTTCTCGGTGTTGCTGCCTCAGGGCACCTCATGGGTACTGGAATACGCGCCGCAGCATTGAAGAGAGAAAAACGTCGATGTCGATCCTTGAGGATTTCTTCGCTGGCTCATACCAAACGTTCCCTGAAAATGTCAATGCAAACACTCCTGTGCGTGCGAAATACAAATCCTTCTCTCTTTTGTGGCGATCGACGAAATGTCATTCAACGGCACCACCATGACACGTCTCATGGGGCGTGCTCCGGTTGGCTCCTGTCTCTTCTGTTCGCATGGAAGCGACACTTGGACTCGTGCCCGAGTCACGCCAGAGGTCGCTAGCAGAGGAGCGCAGGTCTCCGCTTTTTATGCGGAGCGAGCGCGAACGGATCGAAATCTCTCGACTTGCTCAGCATTACGGGTTTTCTTCCGAATCTTTTCTCATCATAGAAAACATCGCCTTCGACAAATCCTTCCCAGCATCGAACAGCTCAAGCATCGTATGCAGCAGATTACGTACTCACCGAGGAAACCGCCCCGAGAAAGCCCGTGATCGTCGGGTACAACACCGGGTGCGAAAACGGAAGCGAGCATCGAGACGAGCCTTCCGCATCCGTCCATAATGCGTAGAGCGCGGCAAACCAAGCGCTAACGCCCGATCGATGGTATGCATAAGCGGAGGTGCGGTGCGTACATAGGTCCACCTGACCGCAGCCGCGTGTCACCGCTGTGAAAAGCGCACTCAGGCGGTATACGAAAAAAGGATCAAAATCGCATTCCATGCGTCGATTCCACCGATCGTCTATGCATGATATGCGTCGAGGCCGGCCGGAAACCGCAAAGTCGCAACTTGGCCGCTTCCATCAAGATCCCCCGACGCCTGCAGATGGCACTCGAGGCATCAGGAAACACTAACGTATTGAAAAACGGAGAAGAAAAACAGAAGGAAACACATCAGTGGCATACGTATCCGTGATATCCTCTAGTTCATAAAAATAGGGAAGCGATGAAAACCGAGGCATCTGCTACCAGTGGCACGAAGCCCCAGGAATACGTAACGATCAACCTACTTGCAAACGGAGAAGAGAGAGCGTACAGCAAATCAATCGCATACATATACCCCTTGATATCCAGCTCCTCATAACATTAGCAAACAATCACAACCTGAGCACCGATATCCAAGTTCGCAAAGTCGACCTGCACGCGATCCCACGCGCACATGAACGCTGCGATCTGCGTGCGAGGCGATCGCCGCCGCACGCACCCGCAGCGTGATTTCGTGCACAAGCCGTCTTACGCAATCCGTTGTGCAGTGGTGCGGGCGCGGGTACCTGTCCCTGGTATCCAGACGGGAGCCGTACGGTTCCAAGAGACCGGACCAGGGGTCTCATTCACGTCTCAGACGATTGACAAGTCAGGTGCAGCTGTTGTGCTCGGTGAGGAACAGCGCCACGTGAGCGAGATTTCGGGGAAACCGGCGCTCGCAACCAGGGCGGAGCGCGACACGCAGCCTACGCTGCCGGCACTGAGCGCGTGCAGCGCACTGCCCAACCAGTCCCTGCTGCGCGTGTGGATTTGCACCTGTACACGGTTTGACCAGCAACCAATTCTCCAAGTAGAAAAGCAATAGACACTTCAATTCCTTCTCTTGTGCGCGCGGTTGATGTCGAGTTCTCGGGAGATGGTGGCAGCCCCTGTATCAATGGCACTGCATTTATCGTTGTCTTTCGTGCAGCAAGCTACGAGGCTCTTCATCACGAGTCACCAGCGCCTGTCTGCTTCCGGGGTGTGTCAGTCGGTGCAAACGATTCGACGCTCGTGTCCACAGAACCGGAATATTTCGTGTCCTCCACGACGGGGTCTGCAACGGAACGCCCTCTTGTGGCACCTGGACCCAGACAGTGGCGAACGCGGTGCGCTTGTGGTGTCGCTATCCTCGGAGCGCCAAGGTGCCGGCACTGGGGCCGGCACCGGCGAGCATGGTGGCGCAACGGCAACCGAGTCCGCGAATAACAGCAAATGCGCTCGCGGGGTACCGCCCCAGTCGGTGCTCTTCCGGCAAGTGCTTCGCCATGACGGCTGGAAGGAGCTTGCCGCGGTTGCTGAGTTACGAACGCTTGTTTTTTCACCGTATGCTGCAGATCCATGGTTTTTCGCTCGGCGCAAGGAAGAACTCTACAACTGTATGCGCAGTCGGCTGGAGATCAACCCCGGCCGCAACCACACATTTGTCCTGGTACCTCGGGATCCTAACGCCTGGACGGATGCAGGCGCAGATCTGCCAGCGAAGGGAATCATCGGTACTGCGGATGTGACCGAGTATCCAAACCCATGCGAGGATGATGGACTCTGGTTTGGCCCCGGCTACCTGTTCCCGTTTTTGCTCTCGGCGGATCGGACGAAGACACGACGTGTCGCCAAAGAGAGCACGGCTGGAGAGGCTCTGGAGGAGACCAGGAAGCCCGGCTCGGTTTACATCTCGGGTCTGGCGATTGCGCCGGGGTTCCGACGTCGCGGACTCGGGCGCTTCGTTCTCTGGGAAATCGAACGATGGACGCAGAGGAGATATTGCGAAGCCATGTATCTCCATGTCGAACGTCATAATGTTGCAGGGGTGAGACTTTACGAAACCTTTGGCTTCCGACCCGTTCAAGAACGAGAGATCGCTCAACTGTGGAAGAAGCGAACTGGGGAACGGGAACACTTGCTCATGTGCAAGCCGCTGGAGCTGGTTACGAGTTGATGGTTGGCGTTCTAGTGCGGCGGCGTTGCTGGTGGATCGCTCCGCTTCGTGGCAAGCTTGCTTACGCTCTGAAGGCTGTCCCGTACCACTTGCTGCACGATTCAATGCAAAATCCGTATCGGCATTCGCTAGGGACCGCGACGTCGCGCCACTCATGCATAGCCCAAGATGAACATTGAATGCGCGTTTGGTGTTCGGCCTGCGCTCGTGGCAGACCGCAGTTGCTGCGTTCCGCAGACTGCCTCTGTGATCCGGCAACCGCATCTATGCTTTCACGCTGGATAATCAGGATGCTGCGCGTAAAGCTCACAAGCTCGTATCAATCGGTATTCGCAACGAGAGCCGCTCAGCAAAACGCACTGGCACAGAACAGGAGCATGTGCGCCGTCCACGCTCGTACCCAGATTGTGCTAGAGCTGCGTTTCTCGCAACCGGTCACGTTAGGACGGCTGTTCCGCGTTTGAAGCAGCCAGTGCGGGGTTCAGCCAGTGGCGAACTGAATCCCAAGTGCCTCTCGCGAGGCCGTTCGCCCGGTTCTGCTCCAGTTCCTGGACGATTGCAGCGGCGTTCGCTGGTTGCCATCCAAGATAGCGCCCTATGTCTGCACAGCCAACGAGTTGCTTTGCCGCGTTCTCCAGATCCTCAACAGTCCACTGGCGCAACCGTAGTCCAAAGGGTCTAGAATCAACGCGCATCGCCTCCCAGTTGCCAAAACCGTGACACACAAGCGCCTGCGCCAGCGCCTCTCGGTCCTCGTGCGCAAAGTACCGCTCCTTGCTTGGTCGGAAACGCGCTGGAAGGAAAAATTCCTGATCAATTTCTCCGTCCGGCATGAGGATCTCGGGTGGACTCAACAAGCGACGCATGCGTCTGGCATATTCGGTTCGCTGGGCGTCGTCCATGGCGTTGGAGGTGCCCGCCAGACGCTCCCGAGCGGCAGAAACAGTCGGAGCCGCAGCGCTGTACCCTTTTGGCGCCAGCCGGCAGGCGCGGATCGCAGATCGCTGCACGTGCGGGGCGGTCGACCTGTACGTGGACACAAAAGTGATACTTTTATGTATTTAATAGATAAAAGGGGCACATATGCATCGATGCCCGCGATCGGCGGCACTGTACGCATCTGCACGACGGGCATGTCCCGCGTCGGCTGAGCGGGTGCCTCGGGTGCTCTCGGGAACGTTCGTTTCCGCTGATCACAGAAAAAATGGAGCTGTTCCTCTAACTTGTTCGCACATGCTTAGGGTTGGATGCGCGCCTGGTTTCATGAAAACTAGCCTTTGCGGGCTGTTCCTGCGACTGCTTCCTTTACATCTGCTTTATCTCCGGTTTTAAGTGCGCAGATCATTGCGTTCCCAGGTGCTTCGTTGTCAGCTGTTCAAGGATATAAATGGCGAGGTTCAAGTCCCGACTTCCACCTTTCGGCTATTCTATACACATTTCATGCACCGGCGATCGTTGAAATCTACGCAATGAGCGCCACTTTCATCGTGTCCTTTGCGCACAGCCGCAGTACGCATTTCCCAATATGACACACGTGGCTGTGGTGAGGTTTCAGCCTCTTTCCATCACTTTTCCTCATTAAAGTGACACCTTGTGGCCCAACAAGGCTTGTACTATCATTGAGTGTCCGCAAATCCGGATACAGACGGATCGCGTGGGCGCTCTCCTTTATTTTCGCGCCCGATGACGTGCTCCACGATTACTGGCATTTCGTTCTGGACGATGCTCTAGGCGAGTACGGAGTCCGCTGCATGCGCACACTATTCTACTAGATAAAAGATTCGCGGAATACGTTGGTCTTCATGATCAAAAATGCACCGGAAGGAACATGCAGTCTGGATCACAAGTCGTGGAATTTCGATCCGTTTACGCTCGCTTCGTGCAAAGCGGTGATGCGCGCTCCACAGAGAGTGCTCGCTGCGATAACTCAAGCTCGGGTCCAAGACCTTTTCCCATGTAAAAAAAGAAGAAACGGGGGCTCCTTGGGGCATATCCTGTGACAGGTATCATGTTGCTGTGGAATGTCATCGTGTCGATGATCATGATGTAAGGAGGATTCGGCTTTCGAACGAATTCGATGATTTGACGTGACAAGTTCAGTGAACTATACTGGCGTGATCTGGTGGAGAAAACGTCAAGGATCGACGTCGAGTTGTTTTTCACAGTGAACTGAGTGGCAGGAGCTTCTGTGCCCACAAATTGCGTTGGCACAGAAACGTCGAACACTCGAAGCGTGCGTGATTTGAGCATGCGATACGTAAGAAAAGGAGAACAGTGAAGGCTTCCGCATTAGACTTGGATGATACTATCGACTGATTAACATACCCGCGTTCGAGGTCATCGTGAATCATCCAGATTCCGGTGACGTATCGAATGGCGTCGACATAGCGTCGAAGAAGACACTCCGAAAACCCGCCCGCGAATCCCAAAACCACGTATAAATCCCTAAGCATACGTCCATTCACGTTGAATACCAAGGCTATATATCGGAAAAAAAGTTCAAAAAAATCCAAGTGCGGGAACAGAGCATGCACTTGCGTGTTCTATTTTCATGTGACCAGCAATGAATCGCTGCGAGCGCTGTCGATGCTTCGTGCCTGTGCCCTGCAGCGTCACCAGGGTCGCAAGTCATTTCGCATCCGAGCGTTCCCCAGAGAGCTACGGAATTACCGAGCGTCCTCGATTGCCCCGCTACCTTCAAGAGGCCTTGCACAGCATTGCATTCGGATGGGCAGCGCTCGGCCTCGCCAGGTGTCGTCAAGAGACTGATGTTTTGACGCAGATTGACACTGGCACAACGCGTTTTCTTCGATCGCGGGCAAGCAGGGGCAGCGTCGCAAAGTACTCGGACGTCGCTGAGTCGTGACATCGTCAAACCTGAAGCCCGCACACCAGCTGCCTCATCCTACTTAGGATCGCTGCCTGGAATACAGGCTTCCTGGATGCACGAACACTGCTGTTTATATGGGGCCACAGAGAAACAACTCTTCTATGAACGCTTGCACACGCTGCCGACTAGAGGAAACGACGCCCTACAGGTATCGTTGCTGGATCGCTTTGCCGACGTTGCGGACGCTGACCTAGCTGCCGACACCGAACGGAGCGGAGGCAGTGTTGCCATTTGCTGGTAAGCGGCGGCTCCATACACGATATTCATATATTCTTGATGATCGAGGATTCCTGGAATGAGAAAGCGCCTCAGGGTCACGGTGATGCTTGCCGTTTCCGTACGCAGCAGCGGAGCATGCGCACCGCACGGTAGGCAATCTCAAGCATTGGATGCCGTTGTACCACGCAGTATCCGGATCACGGGTATTCTATATGCTCGCGTCCTGGAGGACGCGAGCAGGCCTCAACCTGACACGCAATGATGCCACCACAGACCAGCAATCATGGCAAAGTCCGAGAGTCAGCCTCCCTGGACGCTACCAGACAGGCGAATGGCGGGCATTGAGGTCCCAAAGTCTATCGCACGAAGCACGGCAAAGAATGTGCCGTGTATCCAACACGACACTTCGCTGCCTCGTCTGAAAGCGACAGGTCTCAATTCCAGAGCGTCGTGGCAAACGGGTAGGCGTCTGAGCGCATCGCGCAGTTGGTGGTTGCTGCGCATTGTCGAACAGCGCTTTCCGTCCAAGAAATAGTCAGCAGTGCGTCTCACGCCGTTGGTGTCGACGCATACGTACAATCTGCTCAGCTTGGGTAAATCCAGAGCCCTGTTTATCTTGATGAGAGCAGTTGCCTAGCATCCTATCTAAGACGAATTGAAAGAGCATCCCACAAAGCGGTAGAGTGTGCAGATTTCACCGCGATTCTCGGCACCATAATCGCTTCACAAAGAGGATCAAGGTCAGGGGAGGTCATCTCAAGAACGTGATGCGTCCGAGTCATCTCTTCCATCTGGAAAACCTGAGGTGTACACGCGGGGCCACCGCGCCCACACTATGTGAAGCCTCCTCTTGGAATGTCTCACACAGTGCCCGAACGGAAGAGAGTGGCAACTTCGGCCACTCCAGCGTATGCAGCGGAGGCAGTCAAACTGCAGCGTTCTGCGGAATGGATTCGGATGCACACGATCGGTTGCGTTTGGATACTGGAAAACTGACAGCATGCTCCATCAGAGCCTATGGAGTCTCCAGAGCGCAACAGGCCCCTCTCTCGCAGCACAGCAGCTGATTATAACACTAAATCCGAGCCATGAAGCACTAAACCGCCAACTGTGCGCTATGTATACGCAAACGCATTCAAAAAAGCGAAGCACGGCGCCGAACAGATGCATCTTATCAGATGCATCTGGATATAGGAACGCTACCAGGCGCCGGGAAAGCGACCCTGGCATCTCAGCAAAACGTTTCCATGCTCCATCAACAAATGCCCAGAGCTATCGTCAGGAAACCTCGCATTAGAGCTCACCGCTTCGCGCGCGCTTCAAAGCCCTGACTGTCTCTCTCAAAGGTATCGAGGGGGTCTAAGAAGGAACATCGATGACGCTGGCCGGCCTGAAACGCCGATAGCTAAACCAGGTCCTATCCAGCCCTTCAAAAGCATACGCGGCAACTCGGTCACTGCATCGCAACCTACTCATTGGAGGTACGCGCATTGGACTCGTCACCAAGCTCCCATGAATGCTTACCCTCTGAAGCAGGGGTCCACGTCAAGAACTGGCGTCCTCACTCAAAGATTGCTCCGAAAAATTCTTCCCCAGTGGAGCATCCTCTGCACTGTGCGCATCGGGAGGCAAAAATGCGGGCTCGGGCCGAGTCGGTTCATTCGGTACAGGTTTCGGTTCCATGCGAACGTGCGTCTCGAAACCCGACTCGACAAGCCCCATAACCCCGTCGTCGATGTCGTACGCGTCGCCGACGATGCCAACGGGCCTGAGCATCAAGTAGACCAGAAACCCAACGTACAGTAGCCCGATAATCACCGTGAACACAATACCCGCGGTGCTTCCGGGGCCACCACTGGAAAGCGCTTGGCGCAACGTTCGATTACCACCAGCACCCGCGATCAGGTATAAGTTTGCTGCGATAATCGCGAGCGTAAGCGTCCACATGGGCCATCGCACGTACCACGAGTTGCGATACGGACCCATGCAGGCAGCACTGTTCGTGAACTTGAGCAGCGGCACTATGAGAAAAGGGATCACCCCCGACAGTATCGATGATGAAATCAGAAGCGCGAGCCCCGAGCCATTGTTTCCCGCAAATATTGCGATAAACAAACCGGGTACAATGGTGATTGTGCGCGTTGTCAGGTTCCTCAACCACAACGGGAGCCTGATATTCAGAAAGCCCTCCATCACAATCTGACCCGCGTACGTGGCAGAGATCGTCGCACTCTGCGCAGACGCGAGCAATGAGATGCCAAACAAGATGCATCCAGCGCCTGAGTTGGCGTATACTCGGTGAATGAGTTTGCATGTGTCGCGCAGGGTAATGTCATTCGGATTCACGTCGACAGCTGGACTATTGTAGAAGCCTTGAGCAGCGAGCGCTATGACTGCCAGATTCACCACGAAAGCCAACATCATCGGAATCGTCATTTCGATGATGTTGAACATCGTCGCTGATCGGAGCGCCTTTTTGGTGCGGTCCACTGTCCGAGTCTGGACCAGGGCCGACTGCAGGAAAACATTGTGCGGGCTCACGGATGCACCGATTTGCGATAGTAAGATCAACGCGGAGCCGCTGGGGATGCTGGGCACAACCCATCCGCGCAAAAGCGCCGCACCGTCGGTGTCGACCATGCCCCACTGAATGAAAAAAGTAATCGACATGATGAACACCAACACGATGACAATTATCTCGAGCAGCCGAAACGAAACATACTGTGTGGACAAGAGCAACAACGTCGTCGCAAACGAGAGCAGGACACCTGCATAGAGCGGAATTCCAAACAAAATCTCTGTTGCGACCCCAAAGCCGATGACCTGCAGCAGATCCGTGGCCATCATCCCGATCTCCGACAGGATCCACAGCGCGATCGTAACCCAGCGTGGGTAGGTTTCCCGGCACGCTTGCCCGAGATCGCGGCGTGCATACAGCCCAAGTCGAATGGTGAGCGCCTGAATGCAGATCTCGGCGATGGTCGCCCACCAGATGATCCAAATGAGCGCGTATTGGTACCCGGCTCCGGCTTGAATGTCACCCTCGTAGTTACCGGGGTCAATAAGTGCAATACATATCAGCCATCCTGGACCAGCAAAACGAAGGAGCTCTTTCAGCCACGCTTTGCAGCGCGCTCGGAAGCTGTGCTGCACCGGGCTAGGGTCTGCTTTCGCGAGAGGCTTCGATTTCGGCACCATATCAGCTGGTGTCTGGCCGATCTCCGAATCATCACTGTCGGGAGCCTTGACTGGACTATCAGAGCAAGTCACCGACCCAGGCAACTGTTGAAGCTCTGCACTCGGCATACACTCGATCGTTTCACCCGACATACTGGGTCCGAGAGTCACGCAGCCTGAACGCGTTCAAGCCACAGTCAACACTGCACACTTTGACACACGCGCCATACACCTACCCGCAACTGACGTCAGCCCTAAAGCCTAGAAGCGTGTAAATCAACTCCTGGGGAGCACCTGCTGGCGTCGAGCAGAGCCTCCTAAGACCCAACGCCAGTCGACACGCGCCTGGTGACGCAACTCCGCTGCTCGACATGCGCCCACTGCGAGTTGTACCCGGTACACCTCGGGGCGCTGCTGCCTGACACGTGCCGCTCCGCGTGCACGCGTCGGACACGCGCCAGACGCATGCCGCCTCATCGGCAAATTCGCTCACGGATCTGCAGCTGCAGCCGCGCGGATTGCTGCATCGCGCAGCCGCAGCGCCTGGTGTTTCTGCTCGAAACGGCGGCGGCCGTGCGCTGATCACCCGCGCCCCGCGCGCTCGATCTCGCGATCCGCTGCGGGCTGCGAATTGCGAGACACCCGCGTCGAGCGCAGATTGGGTACGCGTATGCGTGCACTGTTCCCGCGTTGTGGGATTTCCTTCCGAGCGTTTCCTAGAGGGACGCTCTCGACGTTTGAAAAGTAGGAATCAGGGGTTATGGATACGTATGTCGTTATAGGTTTCTCGGTTGTGTTTGCGACATAGCGCACTCGGCGCTACGCTGCTGGAGTGCGTCAGGTTACCGGAATCGACGTGTTTCGCGACGCGCTCGGGAAAGGGCTCGTACAATAACCAATGCCAGGATGCAACGCGTACGTGCAAGCCTCCAGTCTATTGATTTCCTTACGTGGAGCATACTAGAATCACGGGTTTTCAGGGTTTCGATGTTGCTGTTCCAAGGCAACGCGTGGATGCAGAAAGTCGTATCACTATATGGACCAGAGAGAACTCGACATTCTCCGATGATGATGACTTGTGGGCAGGTCCGTGCCCAACGTTCACAGAAACCCTCACGTCAAATCATTGATTTCGTTCGAGAAACAAATCGCACCCTGTTTATGGCTATTGAAGAAACGGCGTTCGACTCTGTCATCGTACTTATAAGGGTATGCGCTCCCAGAGGCTGCGGTCGCTTGTGTTTGCATGCAAGAGCGTCGTGGGCTTCGATGATAGTCATCGCAGCGATCGCGTCGAGTGGTGAGCGCGTCACCGCTTCGCACGAAGGGACCCAATCATCTTTATCTCTTCTCTAATCTGGATATTTCCTTTCCGTCCGCATTCATCATGGACAGCGTCGCGTTCCAGGAATCCGCTTTCGAATAGAGCAGCGTGCGATTTTGCATGCAGCGGACACCGTACTCGCTGTGGGCATCGCCCTGAAACAAGTCCGTCATCATATGGTACATTACGGAGCATGGAAAACGGAGAGGGATATTGAGCAGAGCCTTCTGTGCTATTCGAGGGAATGTACCGAAAGATGATGCACGCGTCTACGCTCCATTGGGCAGCGCTTAACGGAGGAAATGTGCGCGACATCCGAGCACACCCGACGACAACCAGGTGCTTTACAGCTGGCAAGCGCGCACCAGGGTCGTATACAATCAGGATGAAAATGGAACACGATCTACAGATGCAACGGTCGTCAGGCATGAAACTTGTCGGCAACAGCTGGAATCTGCGAAATCGCGACTTGCACGCTGCTATCAGCATCCTTCGACTCATGACAAGACAACGCGATTGAAATCCGAGATCAGCGTGTGAAAACTGGAGATACAGGAGCGGAAAAGCATGCCGTCACATCCATATCCCCAAAAAGTCTACTGGTCACGACAAGCGAAATAACTTGAATTATGAGCGTCCACTTATGACCTGGCTCTGTCAACGCGCTCCATTCTAATTCTCGTGTAAGTGTACCACTTTCAATCGGGGGTTTTCTCATGCTGCTCATTCGATTGCGTTTCGCATGATGAATGAATCGCGCAAGCAGCAATTATTCGGTTCGCCATCCAACCTCGAACGCTGGCGTAAGACGCTAGGCACCGTTCCCGCCGGACACATTCTCCATTTCCCCTGCAGCAACGAAAAGAGCACTCTTAGATACGTAGCAAGAGGTGTATCGAAAACTCCTAAAGCTTCCAAAGCCGACTCTTCGCCTCCATGAGCATCACGAACCAGCCACGCGTGCGGCTTCTCGATGGAAAACCGGCCATCGCACGACGTATACCGTTGGTAGCTCCGGCTCGAAACGAGCGCATTAAAGTCGTCCTCACGTAACACCGCCACAGCGGAGCAATGCAACCCATCCACGAGTCAGGATGAGCGCTCGAGGCGACTGATGTGGTATCTTCGTTGGATGCGTCGCCTTGCCGACACTGGCGAGAGGTTTCGAACAGACCATGCGCCGCTGCATGGGAAACGCACAGCGCTCATGGACACCTACATTCGCGGTTTGCCGCTTGACCCCGCCGCAGCATAAGTGAACAAGTGCACGCCGCACATACAGCGTACGCAACGAGTTGCCTTCACAGAGATTCTGTACCTTTAGTTGAACGATTTCCGATTGCTACGGATACCGTATTCGACCTCCATCGATGATCATCGAGATGGTCCGAAACCAGAAGCTGTCGTTGAACGTGCAGTCGCTCGAGTGCGAGGCGATTGTAAGCGCTTACTGAGGCAAGCTGCTCGTAAGGCGGAACCACCAACGAAGACGCATGCACGTTAGGCACCGCGCTTGCCGTCATCATCATCATCGTCATCATCGTCGTCATCATCATCGTCGTCATCATCATCATCGTCATCATCATCATCGTCGTCATCATCGTACAGCGCTTCATCCTCAAAATCCTCCTCCTCTTCCTCGTCTTCGTCGTCATCTTCCTCTTCTTCATCGTCATCATCGTTATCTGGATCAGATATTCTCATGGTAGCAAGCGAGTCCGCAGACGGCATCATTGGCGCGCTCGCATGCATAAACCGCTGCTCGTCCTCGACCGCGGCAATAAAGTGACGAGCAGTTCTCGCCGAAAACGAACAACGCATTCGGGCATAGACTAGCGCACGGCGACGCAGCGTTTGCCAGGGAATGCGTCGCGCCGTGCTCCCGTATCGCTCCAACGCACTTCGGACAAAGTCCAAGTACTTTGACTTGCTCGGCGAATTGAAGGTCAGCACCATTCCAAACCGATCCAAAAAAATAATGGTTTCATCCGATAGACCTGAGAAGAATTCGTAGAGATCCACATAGGGCACGACCCGCAGGCGTCGCCGGAAACGATATTTTCCCGACTGAATAAAGTCCTCCTCTGTGGACGTGACGCTCAGGGCGAACAGATCAGGACCAGAGACGCTGGAGCTGCATGTGGCCACAATAATCAGATTCTTCGGCAGCGTGAGCAGGCCACCGCTCATGATACCTCGCAAAGCAACGAGCCGAGGATCTCTCTCATCCAAGGGCACATCGTCAATGAATAGCAGAAAGCGCAAATGTGGGTGATTGACGGCCTCCTTGGCGATGCCCTGCATGTCGTGCATAAGGCCCAATGTCCCGAACGGAATGTCCTGCTCGGTTAGGCGGCTCTTGGCTCTGCTCTTCTGAATTCGCACAATGGGGAGGGTTCCCAGGCCCTGGGCAGCTCCAAAGTATCCACTATCCAACTGCACGAGACGCAGACCCATTCGATAGAATTCGGCTGCCGCAGCTTTGACGAGCGCCGACTTGCCGGTGCCGTGAGCACCAATCAAAAGCGTATGGTGCGCATAATGACCGGCGATAAAGTACTTGATATTCTGGATAAATGCTTGCTTGATTTCATCGTACCCGACTAAATCGTCGAGACGCACCGTGTCGGCAGACTCCACGGGTCTGAAACATTGTTCGCGATTCGAGTAATAGAGCATGAAGTATTGCCCAAGTATACCGTCTCCTCGAAGACGGATTCTTTTCGCGATCAGTGGATAGAATTGGCTCCAGCGGTGCTGCGGTATTCCAGCAGCGCCCACAGCGGAGAGCGCGCTCTTGAAGAGCAGCGACCGGAGGCTCTGTTCCAGCGCATCCGCAACGACCGCTCGCGGAACAGGATGATGTGCAACGAGGCCATTTTCCAGCAGGGAAATGGTAGAGGGCGCCTCCCTGGCCAGGAGAACGACCAGCGACTCAGCTGCGTCGAAGGCAGTATGCTCGCTGGATTCACCTTGTGCCGACTGTTTGCTATTGAAAGTCAGTTGCTGGTACAAATGCTCGAGTTCGTCTTCAGTAAGTCCCATGAGACTCAAGGCAATACATCTCGCGAGGCGATGAAGCGACCAAGCACAGAGACTCTGCAAGATATCCAGGTCTTGACGCACCATGGCCGCTATCGTGCGCCCGTCCAGATCGTACCAACTGGCTTCCGAAGCCGTACTTTGTTCCGTGAGCTCCGCCTCAGACACAGCATCGCCGCTGGGTACGACCTGCAGCCCAGGAATCATTTCTTGATCGTTCAACGAAGCATTCTCAGCATCCATATTCGGATCGGTGCTACTTGCAGCATTATTGAGGCCACGCGAACGCTGCAAACTCTGGGCAAATATGTTCGTGGGGTGAAGCGTCAGGTCCAGAATGTGACCCTCCCAGGTCTGTCCCTGCTTAACGCGCAGCTCCGTTAGATTCCGATAGAACTGCATGAAGGGCGTCTTCCACGGAGCCGAGGCCCATTTGCTGTCTAATGGAGCTAGCCAATGATTGTCGATAGTATCTCCAGAAGCCAAGATCTCTTCAACGAGCTGATCATTCATACGCGAGACAAGCTCCGGTCGCCGTGGGTCATCGTTTCGCTGGCTGCGGCGCTTGCGTGTGTTTCGTGCCCGCGTCGCAACCGACGAAAGCAGACGTCCTCCCGGAGCGTCTCGTTCTGCATTCATTCCGTGATGCTCTGAGGCCGACTGCTCCAGAAAATCTGTGCCCATTCCAAGAAGCAGCGCTGAGCTGACGACGCCTTTCAGCGCAAGAATAAAGCTGGCCACGTACGTATCGTTCAGCACATCCGCATAGAAAACGAGGCTCCGAATGCGATCCAGAATCAACCATGCCTGTCGAATATCTTCCGCTGGTTGCGATAGCGGAGGCGAGGCCGAGAGTTCGCGAACCATGCTCACGAGTCTGCTCTCGAGCGCGACGAGCTGCTGTTTCTCTTCTCGTTTCAAGGGTGCGCCCTTAGAACCCAGAAGCGCTTCTGAGATGATCGTAAAAATCCACCCGCTCTTAGTTTTGCGTCCTCTACGCATCTGAGGCTGATCATCACGACGCCTGCTCGGAACTAGCCCGAAAGCCTCAAGCGCGGTGAAGACCTCCCGATCTTTGCGCTTTCCGCCTTTACCAGTGGCGTTCTCGGGAGCCTTTGGACTCCGCTGAGGCGTCGCTGGTCGTCCGCGTTTGTGCTCATTTGCGGCATCTGCTTTGGCAATCGCGTCCGTGTTCAACTCACCCTCGCTTTCTATTCGTTTGTCGTTGGGGCTCGCTGGTTCTCGCGGAACATCGCCATTCATGGGATGACCTTTTGCACCGCCTGTGGCCTGTGCATACATGCTGCGCGCTCCACTGTCCATGAGTTGTCCAGCAGGCAACAGTCGGGGCGGAAAACGGCCGGTTGACCTCAGCCTGCCTGCAGCTCCAGGGCATCGAGTGAAGAGCTCCGCACGTCGTGATCGTCCGCCAACTAGAGACGCACAAGAGAGGCTCGCGCGCCCTCTGCCACCCATGCATTGCTCTCGGGAAGCGTGCAATGCATGTGCGCACAAGCTACTCCGCAGTTGCCCCGTGCAGGTGTACTGAGCGCCGGTGGAGTTGCTGGCGCCCCGAGGCGCCCCCTTGACGTTCCAACAGGGTCCAACGAAGCCACCGAGGCAAGCGCTACTGTGCTCCTTGGGGAGCCACCCTTGGGAACGTTCCCGAGAACCTAACGCGGCGACATTCACGTCCACCAGCATGAGTTCCGGGGAGTAGTGCTGTTCACCGCAGCAGCTGCAGCCGCAGCGCTGCACCGAGTGACGCGGCAGCGCTTGTGGCGACGGCGACAGCTTAGGCAGCGTTCTCGCCCCGGCCCCAGATGATCCTCCCCGACTCGTTCCTAATCTACTAAGCATTCAGGAGATCAGAGAGGAAGTGTATGCCCCAAACAGGGAGCAATGACACGAACAAAAAACGTCTGAGCAAAGAGCAGCAACCACCTTTCCGCTCTTCTGAAGCACGATACCCAGGCGCTCTCCGAACTCGACGGCAGTTCAGGGCCGTGCGCGATGTCGCCACTTACGCTCGATGAGGCCGCCAGTCACGCAGCTGCAGTCGCTGTCGCGTCGATTCCGTGAGGTAGGCTTTACTGGCTCGTCTGCAGCTGGTATAACCGTACCGTAGCGGGTAATTTGACAGGCGCGCTGTTTCATGGTAAGAGACGCAATAAGCAGACGTGATCCTGCTGATTTCATATTTCGGGTGCTGTCCTCGATAACTCGAGTGTGGTGCGTCGTGTGTTCTTTACAGCAGAGCGCTGGGTAACTTCCAAGTGAAGCACGGAGCGCCGGGTGCTTCCAGCGGCCTCCACCAAGCGCTGCAATCCAATCTTCTGCTGGTATTCGGATCTGTTACGTGTTCGAAACAGGTGCCGGAGCGCTGACGGGACTCGCAAAACTGCAGCAGGTAGGCGTCGTCGGAGGTATGCGGTCAACCGGTACGCCTATCGAGCTTGCATGCACGGAACAAAGGTGCCTGTCGCCCTGCACTTCGCTGCCGCTGCGAGCCACCGATGGCGCCCGGACGACGCACATGGGATGGCGATTTTCGGCTCTGGGATGGAACTGGGCAGCCCCGCGCTACCGAGCACACACAGGGGGCGGGATTCGTATCCGCATTGCGAGTACGCCTCTCCCGGATGCCGATAACCATCAAGCAGTGACGTATCTCTCGTTCCTGGAAACGATTCTGTGCCGCCTGAAAAGCAAACAACGCGTATACGCATCGAGATCGTGCTGCGGGTGATGACGCATCAGGCCGCAGCCTGCATGCGATATACCGGATACCGTCCGCCTTTGGCGCTAACGCACACACCATTCCCCATGAATACCAGTGAAGAGTTCAAATACGGGGCATAGCACGCCCTGCAGATATCCCCAAGTGCAAGAAAGTGACACACAGAGACACCTGGGCTTGCTGGAGTCGGGATTCCTCCTTCGATGTCGCATGCCCTGGAAGCCAGGAGTGACCTCGGCTCGCGCGCGCCGCACACCGCGCCTCTCGGCCCTCGTGTGCGCACCGTGACCCCGCAGGTCAGGCATCCACAGCTGCCTGGGGTGTGTCCATTCGGATCCGCACGCATGCGACACTCGGACGCCGGGCCTGCGCAGCTCGAATCCCGCCATTCGATTGCACTTGACACGACGCCGCAACGTGTCCTGCGCGTGCGTGTTCCCGGGAACGGTGTCACCGGCGATGATCCATGGATCAAGCCCCGCGTCAGACGGCGCAGCGATGCCGCACATGCTGCGATCTCGGATGGTACACCCACTAGTGACTAGGTTGTCTGCACCCGGGTCTGTGCGAGGGATTTTAGGGTCCATCGGCTCCGGTTTTGTTCGTATCAGGGTAAACAACGGCATTTGTTTCCGATTTCGCTCGTTGACTGGGAATGCGTAGCACCACCCCGGCTCCTATGGTGGTGCCCTCATCCCGCAGCATGAAACGACCCAGAGGCGCAAACTCTTTGAACGCGGTAACGCAGACCGGCTGCGCGACGCTTAACCGCGCAATAAAGGTACTTCCGGGTCGCACAAACTTGGGATGTTTCTTGACGATCTGGTTTGTGCGGCGATCAACCTCAGCGAGGAGACGCTCGAAAACAACCTCAACGGCCGCTGCTTGAATATGCGCAATACAGCGGTACCCCGCAGTCAGAATGGACTTGTGCTCGACCAGCATCACTTGGCCATCGAAGGTCGTTGTCGCTTCAACGGGATCGTTCTCTGCACAGAGCACCTGACCCGAATGAATATCGTCTTCCTCGACGCCTTTCACAAGCAGCTTGACGTTGTCTCCGGGCTCAGCGAGCGGCACCTCCTCGGCATCCATTGTGATGCTCGTGACATGCACGACAAGTCGCGGTGGCATGAGCAGTAGCCGATCACCGCTGCGAATCGTACCGGCTTCGACTCGGCCTAGGATACAAACGCCCATATCTCGAAATCTGTCCACGACAGTCATGCGCACCGGCATATCCAGCGGCCGCGGTGGTAGTTTCAGTGCATCGAGCACTTGGAGCAGCGATCCGCCTTTGTACCATGCACACGTGCTTGGATGAACCGGTTCGCGCAAATTCTCACCTGTGAAGCCACTGACAGGTACCCAGCTGACCTCCTGCGGCCGATATCCAATCTGCTTCAGGAAGGGTGCCAGTTTGTCGCAGATCTCCCGAAAGCGCTCCTCGCTCCACTGCACGGTAGGTTCATCCATCTTGTTGATGACGACGATGAGTTGTCGCACACCAGCCGTTTTTGCGAGCATAGCGTGCTCGCGGGTCTGTCCGCCTCGTTCGAAGCCGGCCTCGAACTCTCCCTTGCGGGCCGAAATCACCAGTATAGCCACATCAGCTTGTCCGGTGCCTGAGATCATCGCCGGCACATAGGCCTTGTGGCCAGGCGCATCAATAATCGTGATATGTTTCGTTGCGGTTCGGAATGAAGCTACGCCATAATCCGTGGTTTTTCCCTTGCTTCGTTCCTGTTCGGTGAGATCGAGCGCCCAAGCGAACTTCCATGACTCGCGACCTTTGCTCTTCGCCTCCTTTTCGTATTTCTCCAACGTGCGCTCGTCGAGGTTGCCAGTCAGGTAGAGCAGGTGGCCGCACAGTGTCGACTTGCCGGCGTCTACGTGTCCGATGAACACAATGTTCAAGTTTCGGACCCGTTCTGGTGACTCGGATCCTGGTCCTCTGCCGTTGTCGTCGAGGTGCAGCTCCTGCACACGCTCCGCAACTTGAGACGCTGCCATAGATAGTGCCTTTGAACAAAGATGCTCTAGTCGAACAGTCAAAATGAGATTCCCGAGCGCTATCCGTACGAGCGCTGCTCTGTGGTCCGACCACGTTCTCTTCCTTCGCTGCACGGAAGAGTGTCCGGGCACGACGCGAGGCGAGGAATGCTTAAACTTCTAAGCACGGAATTTTCGTCTATTGTAAATAGAAGAGTGTTTTAGAGAGCTACAAATGCGACGTGTAGTACGGGTTTGAACGCAAAAGCACTGTCCGCAGGTGCTGCCTCAAACGAACACGCAAAGAGTGACGCGAGCGTCAACCTATCGCTGGAGTTCTGGAGGCCTCGCGAGAACCTTCGTATGAAAACCAAGCAGCCAGTCCTGCGCTTCGAGTACCACAGAAGTCGTCGTTTCCGTAGCAGCGCGAAGCGCTAACAAGTCCAAGACTTGGAAAACCCCAGGGCGTCGTCGTTGGCCGAAGGCAGTCGCCGCCGAAGGCCGTTCGGGTACGCTTCCAGCAACAGATGTAGCCGCTGCTTGTCTGTAGACTCAATTCTGTTCCACCACCGCAGCTTCGATGAGTAGAAGGAAAACGACATGACTATGCAATGTTGCCTATAGATTGTCGACATTATGAATGCAGGATATATTTTATTTCCTGAACAGTGCAAGCGGGACTGTATTCCTACTCCAGGTCAGTCGTGTCACAGTACTCAGATGGTTGAGGACCACCGAAAGAAACAAGTATATGCAGTATGCGATTCAAAAACTGCTATTCTCCAAGACTGTCAGCGGCCCAGGGTTGAAAACAACACGTTCAGCACATTACCTACGGCAAAAGAGACCATAGCAGCCACAACAGGTGTCTCTGTTTCTCAGCAGCTCGTTCGTGTGGTCCCCAAACCACTGGGCTACAATCATAAAAAAGAATCCAGTTTCACACACGGCCATCTTCCCCTGAAATTGCAAGCACTTCATTCCTAGAAGGCCGTTATCGGTGTGAAGCACGGGGTCGTCGGTTTCTTTCTCCAGACGATGAGGCATTCATCGGATGATGCGGTCGTATCCCACGTGGGTATTTGCGAAGCGGGCGTTCGTTGTAGGTCCGATTGAACTCGAAGACAACGACGGCGTCTTCTTTTCGAACTGCAGTGGGTTCAGTCTGCGGCCTCAGTTTGGCTTGTAGGGAAGCCTCATACAACAGCACCAAGCACTTTGTCGAATCGCTGAAGACTTTTCCCTGATGTATGGCAACGTCCTTGTATTGATCAGCATGGCATTTCGCCATTCACGTTTCGTTCGAGGTTTTGCGGGTTGTATCGGGGCTAGAGCTGCATTTCAGTACTCTGTACGCCCCGTGGCTCAATCTCATTGAAGGAGTGTTCTTCATCGGGAAACGGAACGAGTGCCCCAGTGGGCGAATCGCTGAAGCGTATAGTACATGGTGGCACTGGGGCACATTTCGTGGTGCTTGCGCAAGTTCTTCCCTGTCCGGGAAGGTCGCTACCTACGGTCATAAAGAGGTGCCTTTATTTAAGGAAATAAAAAATCCAAGAGGAATGTGTGTGGACATTCAAGTCGAGGATCATGGACACCTGGTGCCGCCAGCTGCCGAAAAACAACGAAAATCTCTGCTTCTCGTCTACCATCGAGAGAAGAAGAGCAAGTTGCGAAGAACAAGGAGAATCGGGCAATTGGTCGAGAAAACGCGTCTGCCATACGGAACGATGACGAGACTATTGAGGCACAGAGAGGACGAGTTCGAGGAACCCTTGCATTGACATGTTCCACCTGATGCAATAAGCAAATGAGTTCTTGAACCGAGACTACAACGCCGGCATCGAGCTCAGAAAACGTGTGATGCTGAAGACCAGACCCGCGACGCTGATGCTCGCCAACATTGTCGGATAGCCTCTCAGGCGCGGAGTGTGTGCCGGGGTACACTGGGACCGCTTGCAGGCCGCCGCTCAATAAAGCCTGGGAGGCGTCTGAGAGTGGATGTAGATGTACACCCCATGGTTGTGAAATGTTTATCGCTCCTATGAACACATACTCACAAGTACGCTGCATCCTGCATAGTGTCCAAGAGCGGACACAGCGGCCTGAGCATAGCACACGTTCAGTGATTCGGTCAAGTGACCGACTCGTAGAGAAACCGGATACTGTTTGAAGCAGCACGCCCTCATTCAAAGCGAATAGACAACGAGAGCTTTCATGAAGGGTTCGCGGCTAGGCGAGTACAGCGTGGTTGACTTTGCGGGCGCGGTTAGCTGGACGCATCCGCTGGAACTTTGCGACCCAATGAACTAGGTGTAGGGTCTCATGATCATGACCCAGGAGATCCGTGGTCTATGCACTCTGCTACCGCGATGACTCGCGTATTCTCTCTATTTTCACATGTCGGTTGGCATTCGGGTACTGGACTCGATTCAGCGATATTGCAGGACCATAACCATCGAAAGTTGCAGAACCGACCCAACCGCTTGAAAGCTGTACTTTTATGGGTTTCAAGCGCCCCCACATGAACAACTTGCATGGCGCATGGACAAGACGCTGAGCTTCACAGTGGGCACTGTGCGTCTATGCAGGTCCGCAAGTAGACGACTCTCGAAGAACTCTTTTGGTGAATGCCTCCCATCCACTTCGGTCGTTCAACGGAGGTCTCGAGTCTCCGGCGTTCTTCGTGCAGGTCGTCTATCGCGAACGGCGCTGTTCCCTTTCCTCACGGCTTTTCTGAGCAGCACAAGACCCAGTATGGATCCAACGCCACAGCAGGACCCAGTGCAAGCACTTGCTCGCTGCACGGCTTGTCTTTCTCTGAAAGTCGCGAGAGAAAAGTTTGCTCTGCGTATTTGATCGGATACAGATATGTGCGAGAGCGACGCGCCCTTCACGCAAGTGGCGCCGCCTCAAAGCGAGCGCTGAAGCTTTCCCACGCTCAGTGCGCGATTCCCAGCACGGCTGCCGTCGCTGGAAACCGTGCTCTGTATACCCGAACAGTTACTGGGTCGTCATAGTTCCTGACAATCCCAACCTAATGTTCCTAGCTGATCGAGGGTGTTGCCTTTGGGCAAGCTCATGCCTGTAGCCAATTTCATGAGTTGTACCGCTGCATCCTACCAGACCCCCGCAAAGGGGCGCAACTCCTGCTAGTAACCAGCAAACGAGCTCTAGCACCGCCGCTGACGCATCTAGGTTCCGCAGGCCCCAGGGCAGCTTGTTTTCTTGATAATACAGCGTTGGTCAATCCAGGTAACCCACGGTCGCGGATCCCGCTGCTCCAACTGCGTCCAACACCGGCATTCCGCCCGCTGCTGCCGTTGGCATCGACCCAGCGGCAGCGTGACCCCCGCGCCGGTGCGTTCCACATTGCCCAGAGTCGACGTTGCTCTCTTCTGCAAGGGACAGCGAGTTTCCATGGCGTTTGACATCGAGGATGCAGTCGCTGCTCGTCTCGATGACTGGAGACACAGCGATCAGCTTGAAAGTCTGGTGGTCGCGGAAGCACCTCAGCGTGAAGCTAAACGCCTTCGTACGAAAGCAACCGTCGGAAGCCCCACCAGGGCCAACGAGCTGCAACCGCACGCGCGCACTGGACGCGAACCAAAGCACTCGAGTTCACCATCAGGGAACGCTACGGCAATGGGTCTAGGGTCCGACAAACACACTCGAGCGGGGCTGCCCAAGCCAGCGGTTTGTAATCGCGGAGCGCTTTCCACGCAGGGAAGATTCGACAAACGCGCCGCCAAGGACAGATCCGCGAGCTCGCCAAAGTGTTCACCTGAAATCAGCATTTGGAGCACCAGTCAAACGATAAAATGCGAGCAAGAGTCATATGGAGTACCTGGGCGGCGAGCAGCGCGCGCTGGAACGCACCGCGCTGCGTCTCGGCAGGAGACCGCACGAACCTACGACTCTATCGCCGAGCTGCTCGCTGAGACTCGAAAAGACATTGGTGAACTGGTGAAGCATGGCCGTCACAGCCGTAAACGAATCGATTGGTTTGCGTATCGTGGACCGATGATCCCTCGGAAGATTCTTTGCGGCCTGAGAGCCAAACAGAAAGAGCGAGAACGGAGAGCGAAAGCGCTGGCACGAGCCGCTGGGCTCGGGGGGACACGTCATCGGAGTCGCAGAAAATCATGACTTATTCGCAGGAAACCAGTCCGCTCTGCTTTACTCCGGCTCAAAACGAGAATAGGCTCGTGAACGCTGCGAAACCTCGAGACTAACACCGGGGAACAGAATGATTCCAAAACCACCTCGGATGATAACAGTAGATTCCGCAGCGTCTGAGCAGAAGCAGCGGACACGCTTCCGGAAGCACTGCGGGCTTGTCTGATGCCGGCACAAGGCACTAGTTTCTATCGATGCGGCGGGTATTGGACTAGTCGCAAGTACCGGCAACATCACCGTTGTCATTCGCGAGGGTGCAGCATCGCACTGACCACGACAACGCTGTGCCAGGCAGTGCTGTCCTGCTTGCGGCTCCGAACATTTGCGTGAGTGACGTCGCCATCTTCGCTGTTCATGAGCAGCCGCGCGCGTTCCCGTTATACTGCTGCTTCGTTCGACGCGCGAGTCTCGATCCGCTGACCTGAACCTCGTTGCTTTGCCATCTCCGGTACGCTCTGTTGCATGCGCTGGGCACCAGTGATCGCGCACTGCTTTCCGCTAACTGTCAGCAGCTACGGCTGGTGATGCGTGTTGTGTTGGGACACGACCCGCGCCCGCCTCACTCCGCCAACAATGGTGCCTATGGAGACGCGCGAAGGATTTCCAAACTGGAAGCACCGCATCGATGCACATCGCCCTGCAGAGTAACCGCCACCCGATGCGGGACTCGGGACGTGGCCAACCCTGTATGTACAATCTATGCGGGAAAGGTTGTGAGTACCGTCGTGAAGGCATCCAGTGATGGGGTGTTCTCTGCACAGCACCAGTGGACACGGGACAGAACAGGTGCTCCCTTGCACGGGCGGGCGGGCGGGCGGTGGTCCCTGAGCGGCCCGGTCATCGCCCGGTCTCCGCCATCAAAGCCTGCGGGGGGCGCGCACCGTACGCAGAGGCTGCGCAAGTAGCAAAGCCGCCGCTGCGCAAACTACTTTTCCTCGTACAGGCTTGCACATAAACCGGGTTTTCGGCAGGAACCGATCTCTACGATCCGCCGACGTGCTCTCGTCTACAGAAAGCATACGGCCGCAAGCGCTCTCAGCCAAGTCGGAAGCTGCCCGTACCGGAGGGCATGCCGCCTCCAAGGCTCGGCAACGTGCGACGACCGCTCTGTTCGCGATCTTTCCCGCGGACACATGACTCGCAGTGCGGCTGATCCGGTTGCCCGGGATACAAGTAGAAGGTATTGGAGCCAGATGAGCCTTCGTGACACAGCGGTTGCCCGCAGCGCACACACCACAAACAGCCGCGATGCCATTTGCGTTCCAGGGCAGTCACCACGACATCGGTAATCGGTGCCTTGCAACGGGCACAGCGCGGAGCAACATGCTCCGCGTAGCATGCCTCACACAGCGGATTACCGATGCTGGTACGGAATTTGGTTTCTGGCGCCAACGCCCGTCGACAGATGCTGCACGCGAAGCATCCTGGATGATAGCTCTGCGATAAGGCGCGCACGTACTGCCCAACAATGGCCCCGTGGCACGCTGCACAACGTACCTGTGATGGAGCTGGACCCGATGACATAGCGCCCTGCACTGTTTGAGGCTGCGCACCTGATTCATGCGGTGCCTCGATGCTCGTTTCCTCGGATGGCATCGCTGGCGCTGCTGCAGCGGAACGATCATCGGCTACGACGCCTCTGCGGCGAGCGCCAGCTGCGGTATGATCTGCGGGCGCAGCGACTGAACGCGCTGCTTCGCGCGCTGCGAGCGCCTGCGCAACGCTGTCCATAATGCGCGCGCGCCGCTGCGCCAGCGTGCGCGCCTTTTCCCGCCGTTGCACGGCATCCGCGGGAGACGATGCGTGCTGCGTGCGCTCGCGCTGCAGCGTGCGTCGCGCGCCGGCAAAGTATGCCTCCTCGAGGCCTCGAGCGCCAGATGCTGGTGCAGCGCCTGGTGTTATCGTGGTATCCGCATCAGATCCTGCTTGCGGCTCCTCGCGTTGGACGGTATCTAGTTCAAAAGCTTCCCATTGCCGGGGACGATGTTTCAGCACTAGCCGCTTGGTGCGCTTGTCGATTCCCAAGTACAATGCGATGCCGTCGTTTGCAGGGCGCGCTCCATCGGATACGCAACAAAGTTCGAAAAAGCACGATCCTCGTTGCTGACGCTCTCGCCATACGATGCGAAAAACGGCGGGTGCGGACACTGTTTCGTGACCGACGCCAACCTGCCAGCACGAGTGAGGTTTCGATGCGCTCGACTCGTCTCTGAGGCAAACTACGGGACTCGCGTCCAGCCAGAGGCTTAATGAATGGTTCGTGCCGACGCCATACCAGGCGCCCTCGAGTGGCTTTCCTCCAACGGCTCCATTGCGGAGCATGATCGGCACCCGCTGAGGCCAGTACCGCAGCATTACCGCAACGCGTATCCAGGCAACTTGGGCCGGTGCGACGTCCACCCAGCTTGTCTTTGCGGCGTCAGCTGAGAGGCAGTGCGCCGCATGCTTGCTGAGCCACACCAATTGGGAGCGTTTCCAAACCGTGCGATAGCACTCGCGCTCTATCCAATACGTGTCCATTTTCACGGTAAAACCCAGGGCCATCGAGCGTGCTTCACTTGTGCGCGCTTGGCTGCCCGCAGCATCGATAACGACGCCGCCGAGCGAGACGCGCTCGAGGCCAATGCAACCTTTGCTCCGCGTTGGATCTGCTTTCGACGGTGCCTTTGCGAGAGCGTATCTCCCATCGAGACTCGTCAATGAAAACAGGATTTGCGGCTGGGACTTCTGCTCCCGACGAACCCGAAGCCGCACCGCTGCGTTCTCGGCGAACTGCTCCAGTTTCTGTCGCGGCGGTGCAACCACGAACGGGGTTGCGTTTTCATGCTGGCAGGCGATACCCAGCGTCGCCAGATGGTCTGCGGTTCGCACATGTACGAGTAAATCCAAGGAGTCTTCTTCGGCAACTGAAGTGCATATCAGGTGGAACTGATCACGCAGAAAGGTTTCCGATTCGTTTGCTGTTGCGTCTAGTTCCCCGGTGACCGCAGCGGCGTTTTCAGCGAGCCATGCCCTGCCGGACTCGATGTGCACGAACAAGCGACGCTGCTCTTGGTCAGCGTCATGGAAGCGGACAACCACGCCACGGTGACTACGAAGCAGCAGTGCTTGCAGGGCCTGAACCCACTCGTCGTTTGGGTTCAGCTGGTCCGGTCTGAACGACATTTCGGATGTTGCGCACGCGCAGCGCGAACGACTCTGACGATGCTGACGCCGAACGTCGTGTCCGTTACCAGGAAACAGAAGCTGTGCAAGGCATGCAACAGTTTCCTCCCGGAAGTGCGACTTCAACTCCACAGAACGCTTGAGTTCGGCAACTGCCCCACAACCAGGTCGAGTGCGCAAAGCGTTTCAGTATAAGGACTGTTTCGAGCTTGCTCTTTTAAAAGATGAGAAGTTTGAAGCGATGTTTCCCAAGAGATCGCAAAATAGTACCCGGTTCGGCTCGGGCTATCCCACAATGAAAACACCGTCTCTCAGACGTGTTCACGGTGCCCACAAGCGCTCCTTGTCTCCAGTATGATACAAAGATAACGCAAACCAGATGCAGAGCAGAGCACAGCAGAGCAGTTTACGGCCACTGCGCCAGCCAGAGGCCATCGCGGTAGCGTCGCAGCATCCGTACCGCCGGCAAATTCTTCATCTCCATTCCGTGGAAGACTGTTTGTTCAGAGCTCCCCGAGGAAACTGGATAGCGCCTATACTGGACTAGGTTCGGAGTTTATGGCGGGGGTTGAGAGCGCAGTCTCGACGAACTTGCGCTTCTGTCGCATCTGTCATGAGGAGCAGGTCCTCCCCGGAGGCGACGCTGCACCCCTTGCGAGCAAAGCAGAGGAAACGAAGCAGCAGCTTCTCAGGACGTGGAGCTTTATTCTCGTTCGAGGTTTCGTCCAGTTTACCAGGCGTGTTCACTGTGGTGCTTTGCGTTTGCTTCTGAAGCTCGTTCGCCAACTGCGTCGGTTGCGTCGCAAGCTGGGGTTCGGTGCTACCTGCGGCGAGGTCGAGACCAAGGACGAGTTACGGCCCTACGAGAAGGAGGCGCTCGACGACGTACGCGGCACCGTTGAGAACAGTCCTCAAGTCGATATGGAGTCTTTGAGTGATCCCAAGACGCTCATAGCTCCGTGTCGGTGCACAGGAACCCTCAAGTACGTCCACCAGGGGTGCCTGCGAAAGTGGTTGCGTCGTCAGCCAGACCCGAACTGCTGGCGTTGTGAAATCTGTGGCCTTCGGTACGCATCGCAGGTACAGTTCCGTCCGGCATATGAGTTCCTGTTTCAGTGGCCGCTGCGCCGAGATAAGAGCGCCGGAAGCGACCTCGATGATGCCGCCGAGGACGACTGGTTCGTGGCATCATCCGACTGGGATGCTCCCTCTCTGCAGGCATCTGCAAACAATGCAGACTGGGAGTACCTGGCAGCAAACCAGGAAAATCAGACGCCCTCATTTATGGTGTGGATTCTGCGGGGCTGGCAGGCGCTGACCCAAGCACAGCGCCAAGATCCAGCAATTGCCAGTCGATGGCTTCATTGGCTCCACATTATCTACATTGGACTGTTCTCGCGGCACATTTTTCGTCAGGGTCAGGAACTGGCGCATTTGGTGAAGCAAACTGCCGCCTTGGAACCCTTATCGCGAGCGTTGTATCGCGGGAGTCATGCGGTTCGCTCTGTGGTCGAAGCGAACGCGTTGGTAGCGCTGCGTACGGCGCTCATCGCACATTATCTCATTTTTCTCGCCGTTGATGTGCGTTTTCTGTACCGCCAGTTCAAACTGTGGCGATCAGCGACAGCTCGCATTCTCATCTTGAACTACACAGAGTCTGAGGCTCCATCTCGGGGATGAACAGTGCACAGGTCAGGATTGAGAGCACAACTGCAGTGGCGCGGTATGCACAGTTGCTGGTGTTCTTGCTCAAGCGACAGGTCGACGAGCGCACCGACAGAATAGCGGTTCTGGGCGCGTACGAACGCACTAACGACACGCAGCGGGGCTCGTATGGCTCGTTTTACAACAAGGGCGCAAGCTGTTGTTCGTGTGTAGGGACCGAGCGGTGATTTCAGAGCGCTACCCATGGCGATACGCTTTGGATGTTATGGTGACGAAAATGGCGCAAGCGTGTCTGCTTTGAAACAGCCCCATCTCTATCTCTTGCTAAAGTTGCATTCATGAGCACTGAGCGTCGAACTACACAAAAACGATACGATCGAGAACGCGCCGATGATCTGAGCGCTATGCCTTTTTCCTGCTGTTTATCGATGCAGGCCGCATGTTCACGATCGTCAAGGCGCCTGGGTTGAAACTGGAAACCCAGCTGAAATCTGGAGCTTGCCTGGGAGCTTTGGTGAAGAGGCGTGTTGAACCACGTTCATGTTTTGTCGTGCGTCAAAACAGGAGTACTTGCGAAACGCCTGACCGATTCCAAATGATTCTTCTCGAGAAGCGAAAATGCGTTCAAGGCACCGCAATACCGAATACAAGGTGCATGAATGTTGATCAAATTGCCGCTACGCAAGCATACACGCGGAAACTCGAGCAGATACCCAGGCAGTAAGCCGTTCAAGCACGCGCCCACGCAGTTTAACGGGAAGCGCATTTGTTCCTCCTCATATCATGCATGTGACGTAGTGAATGGATCAGCTTCAGGGGTATTTTTTCAAGAGCAAGGCGAGAACGATTTTATGGCGATATGCAGACTACCCTCGCTGTATTTGGGGCCTGATGAACCGACCAGCTGCGCTTGTAGCCCGTGCTCGTACCAAGCCGGATATGTTGCCGCTTCGCCAGTGAGGCTCTTCGCAAGGCGCCTTCCCTGCTCCCTATGAACATCGCGGTTAAAATTTGGCGTATCCATGCCAAAGTCCAACTGCTATGTTCTCAGTGCCGAAGTTTAAGCAGTCTTTCAATACGCCAGGGCCTCGGGATCCGGGCAGCGAGCGACTCTGGTTCCCCGTGCCTTTCGACTGGGCGGTAGAAGCGCGCACGCTGAAACTTTCCCTCCATATCGCCGGACGGATATCCTGATGGCGTGTATGCCCAGACTTGGCCCATACTGTGTGGACGAACGCACTGCAAGTGGCCCAAGCACCGTGGTATACTGCATCGCGCGGTAAGGTAGCGGTAGACAGGTGATCCTGGCGGAGTTGCGATACGGGTTTGCGTTCCCTAAAAATGCCTGACTGGTGAACATACGCACATGGTCGATGCCACTAGAGAACTACTACTTGCATGCATGTATGAATGTATGCATGTAGCCAACAAGAGAGACGCGCTGCTCGTGCACTCGCATATCAGAATACGCATATGTTCGTCCGCGAAGACAATGGTGCAAGTTTGTTCTAGTGCATCCGATGAGCTTCGTGAATGCCTATTTTCGTTCTTGCTGTGCATCATACCGATCGTTGAGTTCCAGGAACTATTCGTATAGTTGCGTTTTGCGTGGAAGATGGCCGTGTATGAAACTGAACTCTTTTCCGCGATCGTATCGCATTGTTTTTAGAGCTACACGAACAAGCTACTTAGAAACAGAGACGCCGTTGGTTGATACGATCGTCGCTTTTCGCTTGCCGTAAGGTGATCAAAAAGACGCTCTTCTGCCGCTGACCGCAAGTGGTCTTTTACAATACCAGTATGCGGCGCTGAGCGCATCTACTTGTTTCTTTCAGCGTTCTTCAACCATCTGACTACTGTGGTACGACTTACCCGCAGGAGGAATGCAGTCCGCCTTGCACTGTTCACGAAAGCATATATAGCCTACAGGCAATTCATCTACGATCTATACGGTACATTGCACTGTGATGTCGATCACCTGCTATCTATTGCACCGAGTGCGAACCAAAACCGGGATGAGAGAAAATAACAAGGCCGGTGCGCACGCTCCCAAGCCTACGCGTCTGGAACTTGAACATTGGACGCGGCTTGATAGACGCTATCCCAATCATCGATATCAAATCCACATAGACACAAGCAGAGGTCCATCCTCGCTGGATGCATGCGATTCCATGGTAGCATCGCGCCAGCGCAGCAGCTGCACAGGCATGCGTGCTAGCGCGGGCATTCCCCCCGGATCGCGCCGCCGTCTCAGCGTGCATCGGCGGCCGTTGTTCAAACGTTCGCGTTACGCATCGCCTGCCGCCGCCTGCCGCCGCCGCTGCTTCGAATCACAGTACGCTGCAGCCACAAGGCGCGTGCGCACTCGAGCCAGCCCGCAAACAGAAGCCTCGACGGGTATCGCGATGAAATCCACTCTGACACTGCTCGATATCGATTGCTGACGAGCACGAACTGGAGGTGAAACAAGTACCAGGAGGTATTCCACCTCCTTGTCACTGCACCTTGTCCCATTACGGAGCGAAGGTTGCTCTTGTGGATTTTGTCGCACTTAAGCGTTGAAGGTGGGCAATAGGGTGCAAACAGAGCGGTGCTCAGGTGGCCGCACAGGGGACGCTGCGTAGGCTTCAGTGCAGCGACGTCAACAAGGACGACGTGTGTGTGTTTGTGTTGCTGAACTACGCTTGCATTTGAGAGCTGGTCAGGTGCCCAATGGACGCTCAGGAAGCACAAAATGATTATGTAGTAACGCAGTTGGATGACAGCGAGCGCGCGCAGCCTTTCGGAACAGCGCAGAGCGCAGCTGCAAACGAAGCAACGGGCTCGTTCCGACACATTGAGGTGGCGGTGGCGGCGGCGGCGGCGGCACCCCGACACGCCCGCTCCGCATCTCTACCCTCGACAATAGTTGACCTTTCGACGGACTGGAGACCGCCAAGCAGGAACAGGAATCCCTCAAACGCTGAAGCGAGACAACAGCTGGTAGGCCGCACAAGGTACCCGTCGCTTGGCACACTCTCGAGTGTCCAAACGGGTAACTTGTTGGCTTCTGGTGGTGAACCGTTCAGCGAGTCATTTTCGTCGCGTACTGCGCCTGAGAAAGAGCAGGAGTTGTATACTGGTCGCCGCCGTTCACAATCGCTCTGGAGCGAGCGTTTCGTTCACGGCTCGGAGAGCCGCATCCGCGCCACGGAGCGAGGCCGCGAGTCCTCCGTGTGGAACAACTTCCGCCTCTTAGGTTATCGACTTGCGAGGTTTGTATTCTTTCCTCCGGAACGCTCCCCATGCAGCGTTTCTTATACATCATCGACTAGCGGTGGAAGTGGTAGCGATAGCGAGCCACGTCCGAGTAGAAAACGAGGCTCTCGTAAGCGACGTTCAGGGCATTCGGGGCGTTCGTTTTCCTTCGATGATGACGGCAAGGCGTTGCACTCAAAAACAGAGTTGCAGTCTGGGACGCTAGTCTTGTCCAAAGCAGATAGCATGCTCTCGATGAGCAGTTTTGTCGAGGGCAGCGCATCCTCGACTCCTGAAGCTGTGTATGATGCGTCGAGCTCATCGGATGCGGAAGCGAACGAGCACTCGTCTGCGCGACATTCAGAGCTGGAAATGAGGTTTCTTCCGGCGGCGACGGAAGGCAACCCTGACTTGGAGTCAGTGCAATCGAATGCGCGCTTCTGTGTCTATGATGCCAATGAGGAGCGATTTTCGCCCTCTGGAGAGACGCGGCTGTACCGCGCTTGGAACAGCTGTACGACAGCGGTAGGACGAGCGGCAGATCACTGCACAAGGCTTCTACAGACGGTATTTAGAGGGGTGAGTACACAGCCACCGCTCAGAGAGGAGCTCGCCATGCGTTCATCTCTTTCCGCAAAAGCGGTTTTTCTGCTACGCACCGTTCTATGGTACTTATGGCCGGTGATCGCCTGGCTCTCCGTGTTCAACTTCTTTGATGTGATACCGAGTGCATGGAAACCAAAGTACATCCACGTACGCTGGATTCCGATACTCGAATCATATCTGCTGTACCCTCATCGATGGTTCTTTTTCGGCTACGATCACGGTCGCGGAGCGAGTTTCTTAGACTTTCTTGCCGCTTTCCCCTATACCGTCCACGCTGGGCTCCCGTTCGCATTCATCGCATTGTTGATCTTGCGGCGAACGCCAGCGCGACGCATTCTGCAGTTTGGACGCCTTCTAGGGCTGGTGTCCTTACTTGGTGTCTTGACGCATCTCTTCGTGCCAACTGCTCCGCCATGGTACTATGAAAAGTTCGGATTTCGGCCACCAGACTATACGATGAAAGGGGATCCTGCTTTACTCGATCGGATTGATGATGCGTTTGGGATTCATTTTTACAGGACCATGTATGCGACCGCTGGCAAAGTTGTGTTCGGAACCTTTCCCAGTCTCCATGCAGCATGGCCGTACCTGATGGCGAGTTTCGAGCCCCAGCAAGGCCGGTTCCTCTGGGCCTATACCCTCTGGGTTTGGTGGGCAGCACTCTACCTCCAGCACCACTACTTGTTGGACCTCATCGGAGGCGCACTCTACGTGGAAGTGGTGTATGCCATAGCTGGTCGGTTAGCGGACACTGAGTCGGAATCCGTCCCTGACAAGGCGCTCTACTCGGACGCACCTGCTGAAGGAGCGTACCAACCGCTGGAAATGCCGCAGGCATCGACGTATGCAAGTCGACGCGGCTGGTTACCGAGCGAGGCACCTTGGCCGTTCACTGCGCGGCCACTGACCCCTAGTCGTGGGCCCGGGACAAGCCGGCCGCAGCGTCGCTACCGAAGCTCGTCACAAGCATCATCGATAGACCTAGTATAAAGGTGTAGCGCGCTGCCCAGATATCATATCCCGGCGTGAAGCACGTGCGTTCAGTCTAGTCTTGCCTTGTTCAGCGGCACCTGAGCATAAACGGTGCTGTGCCGGAGCACCCCGACGCGCCGTTTCGGAGGCGCTTCCGCGGAGCTCCAACACTGCACAAGGTCGCGCGGTTTCCTTTCAAGCGTCGAGCGGAGTGCGAGCTACCGAAAGCTTGCAGAGCGCGCTATTCAAGACCGATGCGCTGACGCGTCGTCAGACCTGCACCACGCGGCAGCAGCTTACCGCCAACGCCCGGTGGACCGGCGGAGACGCTCGCCCTGCCAGAAGCTAGTGTCCTGTCCTGCTCGGCCGGCGCCAAGTCCCGCGTCGCTCGCTCCGGAATAGCCCGCTCCTCGTGCCGTCTCTGAATCACCCTATCGAGGGTTTCCAGATCCAATGGCTCTAGACGTAAACGTGTTGGCTGCCTCGCTAACATGGGCAAGTAGAATGCTGGACGCTGAGCGCAACGCCCGCTCACATTGCTTGGCGCTGCGTCGCGCCGAACTGGGGCGCGCTTCTTTCTTCTGGCAACCTCCACAGTACAGCGCGTACGAGATGTCGATGCCTGCACTGTTTCAGGAAAGGTTTGCTTCTAGCACCAGATCCATTTTCCATCGTTTTGGAGAGCGTTTTACATTGACCAGGGATTTCCAAGTACGCGTTGGTTATCAGTGAGGCTTCTGATCAATGATGCAGCGCCCGCGGTCGCGTTCCAGACCTCTGCCACGTTCCACGACAGCTGCTTCAGGAGAAAATGGAACGGGGAATCGAACTCGGGTGTACGCGTTTCAAACTCAGTTCTTCTCGTTGTCATAACTATTAGGATTTGTGGGATTGTTCTTCGACAGTTTCCGTTTCTCTTACATATCGTCAGGCTTGAAATAAACAGGTCTCTTCTGGTACCAAGCTTCACTAGAAGCAGTGGAAGAACGTCGATGGCATTGTTAAGGTACATTTTGTCCTGTTTCCGGTTATTGACAACGCGTTTCATGCACAGACGGCAGTTGTTATCTACACTCTGCTTGCCATTTTCGTCTTTTTTTCGATAGATTCTCGGTGCGCCACTCGCAGTAGTGACACTTGAATGTAATCAGCATCCCATATGTCCATGATCACCGGTCCTCGTCCTCCTGGTACTCGTCGCGCTGTAACGCGTGAACGTTTGCATGATCGCTCGGTACATTCCGGTGACAAGGAGAGAGGCTGCCCGCGATGGCCTCGTGTGCGCCCGCGTCTAGTGTCGTATTCCACAGTAACCAAATTGCTCTGAGTGGCCCGTCGACGAGTACTGTATCCTGTGGAAACCCACGCGCACACTGGTACATCACATAGAGAAATCGTGGAACAATAGCATGTCCATGATATGACAAGTACTGGAAGGGCATCCAACCTAAAGAACCAGTGCGAAAATCTCGATCTTTCTAAACTCGCTTTAAGCACAATCGTGATGCGTTCCTCGCTAGACACAATCGCTGCGATTAATAAACTCCGGGTCCAAGAACCCCTGTTTTCATGCAAATAGACGAGATGTACACCTCTGCGTACGTTTCCCGCGCGAGATATCAAGAGGGTATAGCGTGCGGTTTCGTCGATAGGCATACCCAAAGGATGATCACGAATCCTAAAACCACGTATGAATCCGTAATTCCTGTCTTCTGTACATGGAGTGCTGCGAACGTGCATTCATAAATGTTCAGAAAAGAGATCGAACAGCAGGAACTCAGCGAGCAGTCCAGTACGCCACGTTCATCGGACACCGGACGAGGTGCCTGATCGATCTGTCGATTTGACCAATCGTGCACACAATGCTGACGCCTGGGGCGACGTGTTGCGACCTTGGTGATACCGCGGTCGCTGGGAAACGACTGAGCAGTATTGACGGGACCTGTGCAACCGTGAGCTCGAGCAGACCCGACTAACGCAAGGAAGCAAAGCCGCACACGGGTATTCCAGCTTTCGTCCGCCTGGACAGTGCCGTTCAGGTCAGGCGCTGTGAGAAAGACGTCACGTGGAGGTCGCGCTGCCCGCTCTACAGAAGTACCGTGGTATTTACACGCACACGAGACTTCAAAAGAGTTCGCGTTTACACGCAGCAAATACTTCTGCAACACCAGTGACTTGTTCCAAGAGTGCGCGTGCTTTCAGACGCTATGCAACGATACCCTCGTGGTACCTGCGGCACCGTGGACCGGACGTCCCAACGCGCAACACCTGCCTCGAGAGGCGTCCGAGTGAGCACATGGCCACCCGCATCAATTACATGCACTTGTATCTGTCGCAGCTGCCGCTGGTGTCGCTGCTAAAACGCCACGAGTGAGCTATCGCCGAGCGGCTTCGCCAGCCCTTCCATAGCAGCGCCCCGCGGGACTCGCTTGATTCAGCGTCGCGCGTGTGTCGCTCCCATGAAGTATAGATGCGCACGTGCGCCCTGTTCGAGCATGAGAAGCCCGCACACACATGCCACCATGCAACTGAGCAGCCCGCAAGCAGAAGCGTCTCAGTCGCTCAGTGCGCTTTTCTAGTCAATCATCTCAAGTATGTTCCAAGCTTAGGTGCGTGTCATCAAATACTTTTCCGCGGTTTACAGCAGCTGCGCTCCGAGCGCGTTCATTTGAAGATATTAAGAATCTAAGAGACAGGTCTGGAGATGCACGTCGAGGATCCTGAACGGCCGTCATTGCCGGATGCCAGAGAAGAACGAAACATGTTCGCGTCGTCGACTATCGAGCGAAGAAGAGCAATTGACATAGAAGAAGTAGAGGATAGATAGGCGAGGAAAGATGTTTGCCCGACAGGATAACGATGAGACTGCAGTGGCAGAGAGCGCACGAGTTCTAACATTTCTTGCACTGATGGATTCAACCTGCGTCAATCCACGGAAAGAGTTCGTGAGCCGAGACGTCAACGCCTCGATTAATATACAAGTCGATGCGCGGTGCCAAAGACAAGAGACCCGCGGAGTTGACGCGAGCCAACTTGGTGGTACAGCCTCTCAGGCTCGAAGTTTAGAAGGAAAAACTGAACTCGATAGCAGTCGGCGGGTCAAATAAGCCTAGGATGCGTCTGTGAAAGGGTATTTATATTTACCCGTCATGGTCGTAGAACGTTTGTCGTTTTGCTGATCACACACACACAGAAGGTGAATCCGGCTGGCACCTGAGCACGTTGCGCATTCCATGCGATCGCAGTTTACGCATGCGTGCGCTGAATGACGTGCGTTCATGCGTGCGTTCATGCGTGCGTTCATGCGTGCGCTAAATGACGTGTCTCCATCAGCGCACGCATCAGCGTCTATAATGCGTGCTGCGCTGCAGACTTTGTTTTGTATTCCATGCACGCATTTCTGGAGTGTGTACGCGCTCGTGTCATTGCAGGTCTTTGTGTCGGGTTGCTTTCACAAACACATCAAACTTCGCTGGGGTTTCTTCGATGGAAAGCCACTCGAACGAGTGCGAAAAGTTGCATCCAGGAGAGCCAAGTCGTTGGCTGATCTTGGAAAGAGCTGCACGTTCGCGCTCAAGATCGTTGGCGCCTGCACAGCCCTGTGTTGTGTGCTTCGTGCGTGTGCTCGCCGATGAGCATCACCGGGGTGCAGCGACAAGGCTGCAGTATGCCCTGGACTGGTTAGAGCTCCTCGAGTCGCCTGCTGGTTTGGATGGCACGTTGGGGATGTCGCAGGGTTCCATGGCTGCTGCTGCTGCTGCTGCTGCTACTGCCACGGCGCTTGGCGAGGCGCTGGCGTATCTGATTCATGGCATCGCAACTGCGGTAGCTGCTGGCAGTGCCGAGCTTGCACCAAATCCGCCGCCAATGGAGCAGGCCACGCAGCGAGCGTTGAAACCGAGCAGTCGCCAGAGGGCCCTGACCACGTCGCTTCTGCAGGTGCTCTGTCAGATCACGAGCCGGGCGTTTGACCTTCACAACGCCATGAGCGGATGCTGCGTCACGTCCAAATGCACACAGCAGATTTCGAGAGCGCGGCCTGAAGGTGACGCCTCCACCCTGGAAACCGTATACCTCGTTGGGGTTGCTCATCATTGTGCCAGCCTGGACGGCGTATGGCATGAGATGCGTGCTTTTCTGCAATTCTTTGTGGCAGTCGCCCAGTGCCGGGAGAAGGCTGGTCAGCCGCTAGTCGCAATGCAGCAGTGCCGTTTTGGTTATCGAGCGGCCGTCACCGGGCCCGTCTCTGATTCAGCTAGTTGGCGCGAGCGTCTCGGAACCGTTTGCCGTGATGCGTTTGAGGCGCTGCTCGCCTTCCTCGATCACGAGCTGCTTCTTCAGTGTAGCCAAGATCGGGAAACCGCCATCGAGGCGGCGAATGCGACGACGCGTGTCTTATACACCATGCGCCTGCTCATGCAAGCTCTGGGAGCGTATATGAGCCCCGAGACGGCGCTTTCATGTTGCACTCGACTGATGCAACTCGTGTCACATCGAGCGCTGCGGTGTGCCTGCTCAGCCGACGCCGCCAATGTGCTCTCCATGTCGAGCGTCATGTGTCAGCGCATAGCTAAGGTGCAACCTCGAATGCATTCCGAGAACCTATTCGTCGGGTGGCGACGGGTCGCCTTGTCGGCGCCATGGTCGGATTTTTTGAAACGATGCATCGCACAGCCGTACTTCCTCGAGCTGAATCTCCTCGCGTTGCGCTCCTTGCGTGGCATGCTGCAGGTGCTGGGGCGCGTCCTCGCAGCCGCAGTGCGCTCTGCCGACGAGAACGCCGTCCTTTGGGAAGACGCAGAGGCGTTGCGCATTTCCGGCTTCGCGGACTATGTGGTAGAATGCATTTGCTGTGACGGTGCAGTCCTGGAAAAGAAATCCGGTGACCGTCAGTTACCAGCGGATGCCGGGATCGCGGTCCAACCGGGCGCCTCGCTCGCGTACGGTGACGCAGCGCGCGGACCCGCCGGGCAAACCTGGGCATCGCCGCTGTCATCGCGACGCTGGACGCAAGACGCACCCCAGCCGGGGCGTCTCGTGACGAGCGATTCAAGTCAGTTGCGACTCCGCGCCTGCTTCCAGGTTTGCGCGGTACTCCCGTCGGAAGAACTCTCTAGTCGATCAACGCTCCTGTTCACACTGTGCTGCCATCATGCGAGCAAACTTCTTGACGAGCATGGCTGTCGAGCTCCAGGCTGGAGCATTTCCAGGGGCGTGCACCAACAGCAATCGCGATTTCTGCTCGAACTGCTGACCGTGCTCCGAAAACTGGTCAAGACTACAGGCATACCCTGTCACGAACAGGTCATTCGCCAGTTTGCGGCACTGGTGAGCGACTTGTCCCAACAGCGGCAGCGCGCCGGCATCGGATGCTCGGCGCCCATCAGGCACGCGCTGCGCGGGATGTTCGGAGCCTTGGCCCAGCGCCTGCGCATCGCCGAATGCACCAGGTGCCCGGCAGCCGACCAGGAAAGGGTTTTTGCGTCGTGCCTGCTCCAGCAACTGCAACGTGGTATCGGTGCTGATCAGGGGAGATCTTTGTTGGAGACCTTGTACGCATGCGACAAGTTCCGCGACCTGGTTGAGAGCGCAGCACAAGTTGCGTCCGCTGCTTCCGGGAGCGCTGCGCTTGCTCGCTCGTTTATCGTTGAGACGCTGCCGACTTGCGTGCTCCATCGCGCAGCCGTCGAAGCGAGTGGATTCGCGGACACTGGTACCGTGACTGCGCTCGACGCTAGCGGCGAGCAGGGCCCGTCTCCGGCAGCCAGCACGCGACACCGCGAGCACCAGCGTCGAGTCCGTGAACGCCACGCCACCGGTCGGATGCCAGCAGTCGACGACGACGACGACGACCAGCATGACGACATTGTTGATGATGATGGTGATGGTGGTGCTGGTGGTGATGTCGGCGGCGACGACGACGACAACAACAACAACCACGTATTTTCATGCGCACAGACGAGCGTCGCGCCGCGGCTCTGGTGCTGGTGGCTCATCCGGATCTGGCCAATCCTGCAACCGCTCGGAAAGAATCTCGAAGAATGCCATCGTCTGATTCGCGCTGCCCAGCATCCAATACTGCTGTGGCGCATCTCGTTCCTGGCGCTGCACACGGAGCCGTCCAGAACAGAGCTGCTGCCGGCCATTGCTTCCGTGCTGCATTCCTTGATGCGATGCCTTTGCAATCTGCCGTGCATTCGTTACGAAGCAGTGCTACCGGTGGTGTGCTCGGAAGACGAAGCAAGGACGCCAAGGCGTGTACTGCTACACGACGACGACGACGACGACGCGTCCACGGGCGACGCTGCCTCGTCATTCGTGACCGGCGAGGCGCTGGTCGAGTCGTTGGCAGCGATGCGGACCTTGCTGGGATACACTGCGGCGTCGAGTCCATCGGTTCCGTGCACACCACTTGCCTGGTATGCGCAGGTTCAGCGGACGCTTCTGGAGAAGCGCGCTCGCCAAGCTGTGCGTTCCGTCCTCGCGCAGCCAACAGGTAGCCAGCGCTTCCACAAATGCTTCGCTGGTCGGCAACCGGAACTCTTCGACTGGCTGGATGCGCTCAGCGTATCGCGAATGCCAGAGACCAGCGCAGATCTGTTTCCAGGTACAGAGGTGCGCGGACAGTCCGCGCAAACGACCTGGAAAGACAACGTCATTTTTCTGTGGATGCATTGGGCAGGTAGTCGCTTGCCGGTGAACCTTGTGTCGTGGCTGCTCGAGCAGGTGCCGCTGCACGAATGGATGATGGCAACGTCATCCGAGGCCACGGAAGCGGTCTCGGAAAGCTGGCGCGTTCACGCGATCGCTGCTGCGATTCGTCAGCGAGCGGCGCCATGGCGGCACTGGCGCCAGGTGCTGTTGCTGACGCTGCGTACCAACGATCGCGCTCGCTTCGTTCAGTTCGCCGATGCGTGGTTCAGGTCGCTGCCAGGCCAGTGCCCGAACGCCTCCGAAACACAAGCGCTCATGGATGCAATCCATCGAAGCCAAGTACTACCTTGGCTTCTCAGTGGGTTGCACGCGTCACTGGATAGACCGGGAGCACCGGACGCGAGACCGCTGCAGGTACCCGACACCCTGCATCGACAGGATTACGCGAGGCGTATGGCACTGGTTCGGGTTGCTGGTGCACTGCTCTGGGATGAGCTGCGGCAGCGCGTTCGCCGCGCTGCACACCCGGCGGGCACTTCTCAACTGGTATCGTCTCGAAGCGATCTTGCTGCGCATCTGTGCGAACTTGCTGCCAGCGAGTACGCACTCGGACCTGCAGACCTGCTATCCGCGCTCTCCGCGATGCAGGCGTTGGCGTTGACGCTGGTGCAGACCGACGCTGATGCTGGCGATGCTGCAGAACGCGCCAGTGCGTATCTAGGTCACATGGGACGCAGTGTCGCATCCTGGCTGCAGCAGGTCAGCGGACAGGATCACGATGCTCGCTCGCCGTGCCAGGAACTCGTGCTTGTCGGTTGCCTGGGTTTCGTAGCGATCATTGGCGCTGCGAGCACCGTCCGACGTGCGTCCACGCTCCACGCGCTGCGAGTCGTGACGGGTGCGGTGGCTGGCGGCGAGCCCGCCGCATCGCCGTGGTGTTTCTGGCTGCGAATCCTCTGGAACGCACCGCCGTTCAGTCGCGTGCAACTGCTGGCGCTTTGGATCCTGTATATTTTCCTTCGCTGGCGCGTCCTGTCAGTGGAGAACGCTCAAGATCTTGTGTTGCTCCACGGTTTGGGCTGCTGGCTGTACACTGAACGCGAAGCCGCAATGATGCACGTTCGCGATGCTGACTCCGAGTCGTCGCAGTCGACAGAGGAAGCGATTCCCTGGGCTGCGGAATTTTTGGCCCTTATCGGCGTATTGTCGGCGGCACTGGTTCAGGTTCTCGAGTCCGGCACCGGACGAGACGCGAACCTCGACGCTATGCAGCGTGCTAGTGCCACGAGCCTGCGCCTGCTCACAACATCCCCTGGAGACGAATCCGCTGCAAGCGCGGGTACCGGCGATGGATGGACAAAGCAGGAGCTCGCGAGCACCGTCTCGCATCGGTTACTCTGGCATGTTGCCGCTCTCGTCGAATCGCCGCTCCACGTCATACGCGATGCTGAGCGACGCAAATGATCCGTTGTACAGGCGCGGATGCACACCGGGATTCGAGATGCCTCCATCGATGCGGCTGCAGCTCAGCATTATGGAGGTAACGTTGTCGAGCGGCAGTGTGTGGTGCGTCCACAGGGAACGGCGCGCTGGTGTTTGCCAGCGATCACTGGCGCTTTCTCTGCGCCTACCGTCGCACGATATTGGAGGCGCACTGCACCGGATGACGAAGCGTGCAGTAGAGATGAGGCAAGGCGGCGCTTTGGAGCATCACTCGGGCGTATGGAGGCGGGTATGGCGCTCCAGGGTGTTGAAAGGGTGCATGCGCGCGTGCTTGCGCATACGAAAGCGAGTTGTCGGAAGCGTGGCGCCTTGCGGGAGCATCAGGCCGGCCGCTCGTATTCATCAGTGTCCCAGTTGCGCGTCATCTGCGGGAATCATGTGTCCATTTGGACACGTTGTACTCGATAGCATCGAAAACGGATGTACGCTCCGTTACCTAGACTTGGCCCTGATCGCGTCTTATATGCCAAGACGCAAACCTACCCGGAGAGAAACACGCGCCTGTGCTTGGCCGTCTGTCGGGGTACTGCGTTCGGGGGCGCGGCGTCGACGCACCGCATAGCTGCAGCATACCATCCTAAGAGATTGCTCGTGATTCGGTAAGCTGTACCAACTCGAAAGCATCAGGTGATATGGGTACGCTACCGAGGTACAGTTCGCTGGCTCGATCTCTACTGTAGATCGGATTCCTAGTCCTGCACCCCGTGTCCGCGTTGCGTGGAGATGCTCCTCTGACTCGAGCGTCGACGCTTAAGATTGCGTCTCGTCGTTCATTATCGTGGTGTACACCAGTGTTGGCATGCTTGATCTGAGACTGCGTCCTTGTCCTCACTCGTTTCTGCGGCTTTATATGTGCTGGTTGCTCTTGGCGCTCCAGCTTCGTGTGTCGCCACTTTGGGATGTTGTTCGAGCGTTTCACGCGCAGCGCGTCATGTCGATCTACGCTTCGCTTCCCCGGGGATCACGCTGTCTTTGTATGCAGGTTTAGCGCGCGTCTCAAAGCGGTGACATTTCACAGCGGTTACCGGTTCCCCGAATGAATATCACACCTCTTGGTCCGGTTGGAGCACTGCGGCGCGTCCATGCTTGCTTCATCGCTCGGTACATGCCCTTGACACATACAGGTGATACAATTTGATGCTGGTTTCCGTTGCTGCTGCACACAATGCCAGACACCGGGGGATCACAAGCTCGTGCTTGACGATTCCCAGTGCGAGTACGCTGTCTACCGGAGACGCATGTGCACGCTGTTCCATTCGACAAAGCAATCACGAAACGCGATGTTGTCCACGATGAAACGAGTACCGCACGTAAAATCCAGATTGGAGAAGCAATCGACGAATTCGATCCGTCTATGCCCCGTCATCCAGAGCGTTGACGAACGCTCCACGAAACACCGTTGCTGCGAAGATGAAACTCCAAGGCCCATTTCTATGCAACCAGAAGAGACGGGAGCCTCCGGATGCATGGTGTATGCAAAGTATCCCACTGCTGCTCCTGCTGCATGGCCACGAATACCGATTCATTGGCCTTTCGAGGCGGATCAATGATTCATCGTAACATGTTCAGTGATCCGCTGACATGATCGTATGAAGCAAGCCTCAGAAAATGACGTCGATCATGGATACTCGACGATCCAGCAGCGCTTGTGACTGCGCCTAAGCGTTGCTCTCGAACGGAACGATCGAAGATATGGAGAAAAACGTCAATGGAACCATGCAGAGTCGATTCAGAATCCTAGAAAAACACGTGAATCCGTGATACATTATCGCTGCACCTCGACTAGGCAATCTGTACATCGACACAAGCCCAAAACCCCGTGGCTAGGCAGGTACCGGGCGGGCTGTTTATTCTCCCATGTTCATCGGATACGAGTGTAACCCACGGGAGAAGACGCAAGAGCGGGCAGCAGCGCGCACTAGCCAAACGATACCAGACCGCAGTTGCTGGCCTCGATTCCGCGAGTATCATGCAGTGCGTTCATGGAGGGTTTTCTCGTGACTTGTCGCTGCTGCGTGAGCGACAAGTCAGCAGCGAGCGCACCACGTCCATCGCCGTGCATTGAGTCATCCGGAGTGTTCGCCCAGAACGCTCCGGACTCTCAGCTGGACGCATATTCAGGGTTGCGTCGCGGTGGCGGTGACGGCATCCAGGTTCCCATCCCATGAGGCAACATCGTTTCGATTCGAGGTGGTAAAGCGCTCAAACAGCTCCCGGTAGCGCTGCAGGTCCGTGGAACTCACTGAGCTGGTCGCTTGAAGCGCTGCTTCCAGCAAATCCTCCTGCCGTACGATCACCAGCGGTGTTACGGTCTCCGAGGAGGCGTCTGCGACGCTAGATACCGGCTCGCTACCGTTTGCGGACGTCGTAGACAACCTGGTCGATGTCGCAGCATCTCCAGTAGTTTCAGCAGCAGCAGCAGTGGCAGTGGTAGCACCATTCGATGCGGCCTCTGAACTACCGCGCTGGTCGCTGTCACCAACAAGTCGTTTCATGAGGTCCCTGTACGCATTTCCGAGCGTGCTTTCAGCAAGGGTTCGTTTTGCAGCACGTACCCACGCCTGCGCCGCAAGCCCGTACAGGTCTGCTCCAGTGAGCACGGGAGGTGCAGAAGCAAGAACCTGCTGGAGATCCACATCCGGTGCGAGCTGAAACTTCGAGGTGAGCGCTTCCAAGACCTGAAGCTTCTCCGCCATCGTCGACGGGGCACCGATATATACCAAGCGCTCGAAGCGACCAGGTCGTAAGAGCGCTGGATCCAACAAATCGGGTCGATTGGTAGCACCAAGGACAAATACCGCCGCTGTGGGCCGCGAAGCCGACGTATCCACTGCTGCTGCTGCTGCTGCTGCATCATCGACGGCTGCCCCAAGCACCGTTGCCACGGATGCAAGTCGACCTGGACGACTGCTCATCTGACAAGCATCGATTTCCGCGAGCAGCTGGGCAACCATGCGATCAGAGACGCCTCCCGAGTCACTGCCAGCACCCCGTCGAGGCGCAATGCTATCGAGTTCGTCAAAGAAAATGACACAAGGCGCGCTTTGTCGGGCTCTCGTGAAAATCTCCCGAATATTCCGCTCGCTTTCGCCAATATACATATTCATGAGTTCGGGTCCCTTGACACTAATAAATGCACATCCGCACGCGCTTGCTATCGCCTTGGCCAACAGCGTTTTACCCGTCCCCGGAGGTCCGTAAAACAGAATCCCTGATCGACGAGGTAGCCGTCTCCCCGCTGCTGCTGCTGCTGCTGACGACGACGACGACGAGAATCCCGGACCTGATCCCAAGAGGGTGCGGACTTCCTCCTTGGCGGCCTCGAGTCCACCGATATCGGTCCAGCGGACCTGTGGTACACTGGGAATCCCCACAGTAACCGCCATTCGCATCCGCTGGAAGAAGCGCGCACTATCAGCAACCAACGTAATGTACTGCTCGATATCGCCTGGCGCCGGGGTGCCGTTCACAGAGGCCACCTGCAAACGACCCGCCAAACGCCGAAGCAAGGCCAACGCTTCCGACTCTCTCCAGGTCTGGATATCGGCAAGCGCTGCCCCCAGTCTGCGGCGGAAAGCGTCGCCAAACGGAATGCTGGTGCCCAATTCATGCACCAGCGTACGCTCAAGCGCCCGTACAACTTCCAACCGCGTCACTGGAGGCGTCTCCAAAGCAGCGGTCAGTAAACCCCGCAAGGATGCAGGCAAATCCGCCGGCGTCAACGTCGTCGCTGAAACATCCACAAACACCAACCAGCGCCTAACCTGTCCACTTACCGTCTCTGAGCGCATTCCGTGATGCACCACTCCGGACACCGAACGGGTCAGCGGTGGCTTCGTCGAGCTGCTACCTACGCTTGCCGTGTCTATGTACCAGGTGCGATCGCCCAGCAGACGCCGCAGCGTTGCCAGCAGTGCGCGTTGCACCTCCACGTTGACGCCCTGCTCCAAAGCGCCCGGTGATACAAGTCGCACCAGAACGTCAAAGCGAGACAGAAACAGGACAGCAGGCCAGGCGTCTCGCCACCGCTCCTCTGCCAGTCGCAAATGAGCTAACAGCGTTTGCCACGGGTCCAGCGTTGCCGTCGCCCTCGAGTTGGAAGCGCTCGCGGGTGTCCGGTCTGCGACACCTGCCGGCATTAGCAGTGCGCAATCGATTTCACATAAATGCATACCCCAGGCATTCAGTTCCTGCAAACACGTCCACAACGTCTGAAGTGGCCGATTTCCATACACGAGCACCGCCAAAACGGAGAGCGGTGGGCCTGGGGCACCCCGCTTGCTGCTCGACTCGCTACCCGGTGAACGCATCCATGCGAGGCTCGCGTCCAGCACCTGTTTCAACTTGTTCAGCGGCTCCAGTGCCTGCTCGAAGAGCATTCTCTCCCAGGCTCGAGCTCGGAGATGCCAACGATTCCGCAGCGGATAGACAGTCTGTCCGGGAAGGTGCGCCTCCTGCAGCAGTCGAGTTCGATCGGCATCGACAGCTGCACCGAGGTCGCTGACGATCTTCTGCAGTGACGACGTCGATACCGAGGCAGCAGCGTCATCGTCAGCATCCACCGCCATAACCCGTGTATAGAATACCGGGCGATGAATGGACTCGAACCAGCTGGTAAGCGAGTGCTGCACGAATTCCGTGCCTGGTGCAGCGGCTCGACAGGGCACCTCACTGGAGTCCGCGCGAGTCTGCGCTTGCCGTTCGGGCTCAGCAAAGGCGGGCAACGGCACCGCCAGCACATCCCCGACCTTGAGCAAGAGCGGTCTATGAGGTGCTCGTTCGGTTATGAATCGACGAAATGCCGCTTGTACGAGCGCTGATGCGACCTCAGCGTCGAGGTCCCTGATCCTACCGTCGTTGATGACCGCCACGCGTACACGCTTTGCGCGAGGAACTGCTTCCGCAACGACCCGAGTCGCCGGCACGCTTCCTAGTCGCCAGCGGATCGGTTCATAACGCGCTGCTTGACGGAGACTCAACCAGCAACGACGAGTCGTTGGACACGGTACCTCATCGTCGTCGTCGCTGTGGTGCAGCGTCCACCAGAGCGGTTGCGTCAACCAGACCTGTGCCGGTTGCGTCGAATGCTGCACCTCGCTTTCTACGAGTTCCACATACGCCCAGTGTTTACCGTTTACCGAGACAAGGGTGTTTCGTGGCCAGCCCCAGAGCCGAGCACAAGCCTCGGGAACCAGTACAGCAAAGTCCAGCTCGACGTCCGCTGGAGCCAGGGTCTGGTACGGCTCCAGTGGTGACGCCTCGACCAGCACCGCTGGTTCATAGTCCGTTAACTTTTCAAAGCTACTCGTATGCTGGTAGAGAAAATAAAGCGCGTCATTCATGCACTCCAACAAACGAACAAACGAGTTCGGATTGTGAATTGAGTGGAACGGCTGTCCAGCAGCATCCAAGAAGAAGGAGAAGAAACAGGGGTTGTTGAGCGGTCGCTACGCACGCGCCCAAGCCTCTGAGGACAACAGCACCCGGTACGTTTCGCTTCCAGCAGCTCGAGTGTGCTTTCTTTGACTCAGTGCCACGATTCGTGACCAGAAGATGCGGATCGCTATGGAATCAGTGTCGTTTCTACGTCGGTAGTCCTTAGCAAACACGATGAGTTGGATGAATGGCTGAGTACGAGTGGGCTTGGGGACTGAAGCGCGCTTCGCTGCCGAGGTCGGTTGACGTGAAACGAGCGCTTTCAACGCGAGCACGAACATCATATAAAAACCCGAGCTGGGGTTTCTGAATGTTGACGCAACCGCTTGCACACGTGCGATCGTGACTATTCGAGTGTTGCTTGCTCGCTTGCTTGCTTATTTAACGCGTCTGGGGAAGCATGCGCACTATACTGCACAGCGAGTGACAGCGACGCAAAGCTGAACCAAGTTTAAGGGTACGCAAAAGTTGCTATCGTTCAGGATGCCCAAGTAGCCCCATACCCGTCAACTACGATAGCGAGTCGGGTGCTGGTACCGTGACCGGGTGGTCTGCGAGCCGGAACGCTGCCGCAGTCTTCTTTTTGACGGGTAAAAAGGCGTAGAGGATATCGTCCGGATAACGAGAGGCCTGTTGCACTCGAATGCGCAAATGTTCCAGATGATCGGGAAGCGAGTCGAGTGTCGGTGCAACGCTGGGGCCGGCACTACTGCCGGTGCTGGTGCTGCTGCTGATGCTGCTGCTGCTGCTGCTGGCTGAGTGATCGACCAGACATGCCAGCTGCTCGCGATAGTGTTGGTGCAGTAGCCATAGCTTCTTTCCAAAGCGCGCACTGTGCGGAGTCTCGGCAGCCGGGTCGCTCGGCAGGAATCCGCCGCCCTCGGGAGAGCTTTGCTTCGGCTGGAACGAGAGCCAGCTTCCCCTGGCTAGTGGGGACGCTCGCGGTGCAGCGATTTGCATCGACGATGAACTGGAGTAGGTATCTCCGGGTGTCGCATCTGTCGGTGCGCAGGTGACATAGATATTGCCCAGCAAAGAAGCCGACAAGCTCGCGGGCAAGGGGATTCTCAGGTGGACCGGATTCCCAGCGTTCGAATCACTCTCCGATGCCGATGCTAAATGTCCACGGGTAGCTCCGCGCTTACTGCCAGGTAGCTCGACGGAAGCACTATTCGGATGCTCCGGTGCTGCCGCTGCGGAACCCGCAGATGCGACCGTAGGCGAGCGCTCCGACTGACGCGTTGGCGACGACGGGCGCTCGTGCGACTCGATTCTCTCATTGCTCGATGTAGTCTCCGTTTCTTCCCAGTGATGCGTCACGAGACCCTGACCTGGGGAAGGCGCTCCTGGGTTACGTCCCACGCGCGCTGGTCCACGTGCACGCTTCGCTTCGTGTTCAGAACGCGCTGACTTCCTGGGACTCACTGGGGCACGCTCCACATGGACGCCAGTCGTTGCTGTTGTCATGGCGGTGCTTGAGTCGGTTGCGCTACCGCAACCGCTAGTGCCGCGGTTGCCTTCACCGGGGCTCCGCTCCACATGGACGTTGTGTTGCTCGGCCTCGCGACGGCGCCGACGTTCTTCCTCCGCCTCCATGCGCTGGAATTGCTGTAAGATATGCTGCAGTTTCCGCTCCTCCCGGCTAAGACTTCCGCCAGGCGACTGTGGAAACAACAAAGATGGTGTCTGCGGGTCTGTCCGTGACTGCACCGGAGGGCTCAACGCCGGTGTGGTCGTCTTCGGCGCTGTGTGGCGCGAGCGTCTCGGGGAGTTGTGCTCCGTTTCCAGCAGCGCACTCGTCTCTGTTTTTCCACTGCCGCTGTCGATATCATCGGGTTTCTTGCCGTCGACGGAGGACCATACTGCTGGTCTTCCATCATCCGCGCAATGGTTTGTCATCGACGACACGTCAGTGCTCTCTGACGTGCGTTGCATAACCGATGCAGCGCTGGTGTTCGTTTCCGGCTTGTCGTGATCATTCGCAGCGAATGAACCGGCTGGCGCTGTGGCGGCACTAGCCCCGCTACGACCACTTGTGCTCTTGCTGTCCGTACTGTTTGCTTTCTCTGTCGCCGGTCGCTTTCCCCGAGAGCTTTTCTTCTTCTTTGACGGTTCGGTCGCACTGCTTACGTAAATAACGCATTGCTGACGAACAAGATCCGGGCGACACAATTCGCAGAAATACTGATCAGGCGCATCTGCCGCGCGGCGAATACCCATGCATTTTCCGTGCTGCCAGACACCGCAAGACTCGCAGGCCAGCATAAAGCCCTGGTAAGCGCTGCTTCCGCAGGGACAGCGGGTGATTTCGCCGTCTTTGTCACGAAAGCCGAACGCTAGTGCAGCTTGCAGTGCCCGCTCACGGTTGCTCTGCATACATACTGCGGCGTTCGCGTCCCTCGGTGGCTCTTGCTTCACCTGCGCGAGGAAACTCTGCCCCGTACTATCAGCATCTGTCGTACATTGTTTTTCCGAATACGAGTGCTTCTGACGCGCGTAACTGTCTGAATCAAACTTCTGTATGGACTCGTTCCGCAACTGGCACAATGTTCCAATGATTTGCTGGTGTTGTTGCTGCTCTGCGTCCACGACTGTTCGCTCGGGTACGCGCGACGTCTCCCGCTGATTCAAGTCCGAGTTCACAGCGGTCGCAGTGCCGTCGCTGGAGGCAAGCCCTGAACCCCCGGTGGACGCTGCGTTCGACGTCGTGCACTCACGAGTCACATCGCTTGTTCGCTGGGGGTCCACCCAGACTACCGGCTTCTTGACATCCGACGAAACTGACGCGTTGTTGCTCTCTATAGATTGTAGTACTGCAGCCTCAGCGAGCGCATCGAGAGCTGACGGCATCAAGCGCCCGCGTACGGGACCCCAGGGTACCGGCAGTGAAACCGTGTCCCTCGAGAGGCCCTTGCGTGACGTACGTGCACCCTCGGTTTCCCACCAGGCCGGACCGCGTGGACTGAGACACAACAGCGCTGGCAAGCTTTACGCCTCAATCTTTAACCGCTGATCCGCTTGTGAGATAGATGAATAGTTTGACGGAGTGCTACTGTGAACACACACACACACACACCGTGTGAACAACGCCTTCAACGCCCGTTCAACGAAAACTTCAAATCGGTTGAAAGAAACAAAAGCGCTGGTCACAAATAGGTCGGCGTGACTGAGGGGACGCGTGACATCACGCATGCGTGACACGCCGCCGGCCGAGCGTCGACGTTCGTAAACATCCTGTCCATGATGATTCATATATGTTTAGTATGTACCCTGAAAGTACAAGAGAATCCAGATACATCCAGGGCGCGCGTGCGTGCGCAAATTGCGCCCGACTGCTGACCCGCGCGACTGAAACAGCCGCATTTTTTTCTACATGGAATCATGTGATGCGTTGCAGAAAGCATCCTGCAAAGAAACCAGTTTCGAGTAGCGCTTCGTCTGTAACTCCGGTCCTTCACTGAGTTAAACAGCGCGCCAACTATTCGGACCGCTGTGCTGGCGGAGTTGCAGGTTTTCGAGCAGATATTGCTGCCCGCGTCCGCTTCCGGGCAAGCGTACGCTCTGCTCGTAGAGCTTCCGGCAATCGATCCTGGAAGGCGTCTAAGTCTGCAATGAAGAGCACCTGGTGTGCCCAGCCGCAAAGCGGTCCGAAACGCTCTCGGAACAGCGCACCGATCTCCTCGTGCCGCTTCTCAGTCAGGGATTTCGTTCGCCAGTCCGGCGCGTAGTGGCGCAGCGTCAGTTGCCACACATGCGTGTCGACGGGCACCTCGTGCGCGCAGTCCAACGACAGCAGCGCGATGCACGAAGCGACCTTGCGCCCGACACCTGGCAATGTTACAAGTTCCCGAATAACCTCATCCTTGTTTTCCCGAGACCGCAAACCTCGCAGATACGAGTTGCCGCCGCGCGACTCCAGCTCCTTCGCAGTATTCACCACAAATTCCGCACGATACCCGAAACCGTTCGCCCGCAGTTCTGCAACACTCGCTTGAGCTGCGAGCTCGGCAACGCTCGGGAATGCGTAATATTCATCATCGGCCAAACCCGCGGGTACAGAGCCGATCGCCCGCCCGTAGCGTCGAGCGAGAAACTCGACCATGCCCGAGATGCGTCGAATATGGTTATTACTCGAACATAGGAACGAGAACAGACATTCGACCGGGTCCTGGCGAAGAACTCGCGTTCCCTGGAAGAAAGGTGCAACGCTACGAAAATGCGGATCACTGCTGCTCCAATCCTCATATAAACTGACTAGAGATGGTGCATCATCGGATAGCCGCAAAAAATCCTGTAGCACGAGGCGGGCGCGAACTGGATCAACGGTAGCCGGCGCGTAGCAGTAGCGCAGCGTGGTGGCATCGGGTCGGTAGAGGTTCCAAGCGAGTTCAGCATGTACGCCGCACCAAAGACCATTCTCGCGTTGTTTCCAGCGAAAAGTCTGTCCGGCTTCTAGACATAAAGGAAGATCCAGCTCCTCCACAGGTACGGCGATCGCGTACCACGGCGAGAAACAGGTCTTGTGCGGAGGCCCGGCCTCGCCCAGGCTAGCGACGCTGCCCCGTAGTGCGAGGGCAATCTTGCTAAGGCGTCGCTTCGCTCTAAGCTTACTTTCAGAGCGCACTACACTCGCACTGATTATGGTGGTTGCGAACCCCACAGTGGCTTCGACTCGTTTGCGGGTCATGGCGGCGACAAGTGGAGCCCATGCAATCTCCGCAATGACTGAAGCGGGAAACGCCGCCTGCGGGAAAATACTTCGCCCCGGAGCGCTTGACGCAGCCTGGCGGCTACGGTGGTAATGGGGGCACCGACTCCACAGGCTAATGGGCACCTTTTCTGGGCACGCGTAAAAGAGTCGGATTGCAGCGCGTGCTTCAGGTAACGTTGGAGGTTCTTGTGGGTGCAAGCGGCTGTTGTTACTTCGCAAAGCTGTGCACGCTGACGACGTAACGCTTGTAGTTGCCGAGGGTGCGCACCAGCGCTGCGGTAGCCCACGAACGGTTTGCGCTGCGGGGTGTGCGCTTCAGCCCTAAACCTGAAAAGGTATTGGCTTTTAAGAATAAAAGAAGCAGCAAGTCCGCGCTTTGTTCGTAAGGTTACCCAGAAGTAGCCCCAGCTGTTCGGAGCTGTGCGTGGCTCCGCTTCGCTGACGTGCTTATCGACAACGTCCAGCACGGAACAGCACGACGGTAATGCACTACCTGGTGAGGCGAAGCACGTAAGGATAGGTTAGGGTAACGAAGCGCTGCTGTGCACGCACCTGCAACAGCGCTCGGTACCGCTTCGACTGCAGATACGCGAAAGCTTCTTCGAAAGCACGCTGCGTATCCGATACAGTGCCAACCATGATAGACACTAGAGATGTGCCAGACAACAAAAGAGGCCTGTAAAATGCGCATCGCTTCAGTTTAGCGGGTGTTTGGCCAAGATCGCGCTTCCGCACCGAACCGCTGCCTCCATACCGTCTGACGCTGGTCGCTCTCCGGCCGAGTCCTCGGTTCGGTATAGGAACGTTCGAGCAAGCGGTTTCTGCGAGCGTCCGCTTGGCTACCCAGAACAATGCGAGGTTGCCGCGCACGTTCTCGACTCGTTAACTCGAAGGGTCTTGTGGTGCAACGCGAAAGAATCTCGGTTTTTTATCGATATTTTCAAAGAAATCACCGGTGCCGCTATGTTCCGCGAGAACTGCACGCCGCGACTCACGTTGCGTGCTATGCATGAGACGGGTCTGTGTTCTGCCTCGGTTGCGGAGCGCTTTTTCAACGAGACCGGAACAAGTCTGCCTGATTCGGTTGGAACTTGTATCGTGAGGGTGCTGAGCTCGTGGCTTCCTGCTGCGCTCTCATATTCATGGATCATCTTTTCTCTCCATTCGTAGAAGGCTTCAGCAACGCGAGAGAACGTCCGAAAGGCATGCCTGCCGGTGTGGTAAGCGCCTGCTCCTCAATGCTGGTGTTCGTGAATCAGACAATGCTCGTCTGGTGGTGGAAGCGCTTGCCAAACGCCGGCACGCTTCCCGCGTCTCGCGGCTTCGTTGAAGAGCACACCAACTTGGGGAATCGGCAGAGAAGGACACTAGAGTGCAACGTTTTAGCACCCTCTCAACGAGTTCCGAAATCGTTTTCTGCAGCATATGCAGCACACAGCAACCTCTGGACGGGGCATATGCAGGTATTGTCTGCGGTTCAGCGTGTCGCGCTCATACGCAAATCCCGTACACATCTGCCACCAGTGGACGGACACAACACAGAATCCACGCGCCGCGAATGCCAATATACGGTACCGCATCAGTGGCTTCTGAGTGAGAGAGAGTGATAGAAAAAGACACACAACACAACACAACACCGCATGCATGAACCGTGCATACCAATGTATGTCACCGGATCAGCGGCTTCTGCGCATGCAGTTATCGAGGCTGCGAGGAAGACATTGTGTAGGCTCCTGCGGCGGGTCACGGCGTCTCGAGTCAAGTGGACCCCGCCTAGATAGTCACTCACGCTTGGCTACCGAGGTCAGCTGCCAACCGAGGCAAAATAACGTCAGACGCTACACCACATTCGACACGGTCATCCGACCATGCCACGTTGTGTTTCACAGACTATCAACCATAAAAAGATGCATGCAAGTACAAATATCGACACTGGTTCTCAGCACTGGCAGGGAGTGCTCGTGGGTTGCTTGCCCGCTGTGCTTTGCACTCGAAAGCCTAGCCTTTGCCACCAGCAGTGCTGCCGCTGCTGCAACCGCTGACGTCACGTGTGCAGGCGCCGGTGCGTCATCTCTCTCGAGCATTCAGCGCACCGCGGATAGTCGTGATTCAACAAGTCGCTGAACGTACTTGCCGATGATATCCATCTCCAGATTCACGAGGTCACCAGGGCGTCGTCCCGGTAACGTCACATGTTCCTGAGTGTATGGAACAAGCATGAACGTGAACGTTCGCTCTCGATCGTTCACGTCACACACTGTCAAGCTGACCCCGTCCACAGCGATGAACCCCTTGGGCACAACATACAGAAAGCAGTCCGGCTGTAGCGCTGACCCCATGGACGCTGCTGAACGCGGCACCCGAACCGTATACCACAGCGCATCGCCTTCGAGGCGCACGTCGAGCACCTCACCGGTGGTGTCCACGTGTCCTTGCACGATGTGACCTCCGAACCTACCGTCAGCGGCCATGGAACGTTCCAGGTTCACTTGATCCCCGAGGCCGAGCTGCCCGAGACTCGTGCGTCTCAGTGTCTCCGGGGCGAGGGTCACCTGGAAAGCCGGTTGCGGCAAAAGCGACGCGACCGTCAGACATGCACCGTTCACCGCCACGCTATCGCCAAGCTTCAGACTTGGAAAGATACCCGGCGCACGGATGCTGAGCTCCACTGCGGGAGGCTCACGTTGTGTCTCCGTGCGCTGCACGATGGTGCCAAGCTCCTCAACAAGCCCGGTAAAGAGCGCCTGGACTTGTTTTCGGGTACGCTTCCTGATCGCTGTACAAGCTGCAGCGCTCTGTTTCCGTCCAGTGGCCCCTGCTCGGTGCACATCAAACAAATGTGGAACAAACCCCAACTTCTGAACGCAATGCATTTAGTACAACGCACTTTTCTGTAATATACCTTGCAAGTGCCGAAACAGTCGCTTCAACGTATGCCACAGCGGTCGGCAACGGCAGCCAAAGCCAAGAGTTCCGTTCTCGGTGCGTCCGCTCTTGGATGCGTTCACGGGATCGCAGTGCCACGTCCGCAGCACTAGTGCTGATTCTTTTTCGATGACAACACGTTTCCATTGATCATGGATCCCAGATTGCGGAATGCATGGATATTGGTAGTTGAAAAAGCGTCCATTATGCTGCCGCACCTACTTTCAGGATCCGCTAGCTAACTAGCTAGCAATCACCAATGCTTGCCTTCGGATTCATTGTTCATTGCATCACCAAGTCCTGGGGATGGTGCGATTATAGCGACCCAGACTTGTCTCCAGAGCTATTGGTTCGTGCACCGCCCAGTCTTGCGGTGTGTCGTTACGGCACGCAGGTGACGGCAGCAAGCATCCAACGCAGTAGCGAGGGTTAGAGGAGGCGCAGCGTCAGCGTCTATTGCAGGACCCCCAGTTCGACAACGGATCTGGACGCTATGCCAAGTAGCAAGCCGGTTCTAGGGTCAGTGGTACGCGTGGCGGTGCGTCTTTGATCATTATCCTCACTGTTTCTGGCAAGTGTCGCGCACTCGCGCGAGCGTCTCCTGATAGAGCGCAGCGTAGCGCCTCGGGACACGCCTGTGCGTGGCAGTCGCCGAGGCCAGCGCACCCTGCGCTCCTGAAGCGAGAAAGTTTCCCCGCGGGCAGGTGAACGCGTGAACAGCTCGTGAAAGCGTAGTAATACAGGCTACGAGTCTTGCGTGGTCGCTTGCTCTCGAGAAGCGCTCCTTCGTTGGGAACATGTTCATCGGTGTGGCAGTTGCAAGCATTGGCGGAGGCTAGTATTCATTGGTTTATGGCGACGAACGTTGAACTCGACCCGGAACAGCGCCTACCGATTGCGTACTTGGATGAGCGTTACCTCGGGCGGCAGTCTGGACTGGACTGCTTTCTGTTCTCACTGGAAACACCGGTTCGTTGGCAAGCTCGTTTGTCTCACGTACTCAGGGACCCGTCACAATTCGGCTACTTGTACCGAGCGACTGCAGTGCTCACGAACGTACGCATGGTGCTGCTGGCGCCAGCGCGTGCCCCAGGGGAGGTAAACTGGGGCGCACCTCAGCCCCTGTACAGTCTCGAGGTGCCTTTGCACGGCATTTGGAACGAGCGTTTTCAGCAGCCGCTTTTTGGTGCTTGTCGTCTGGAGCTGTTGGTGAACGCCTTTGCTGATCAGGTGGCGCTACCACGGAGTTTTCGGCTGCGCTTGGAGTTTGCACAGGGTCGGTTTGCACAGTTCGTACCCGTCTTTGTGGCCGCTCTGAACCGCGTTCGCCAAGTCCAACAGAACCTCGCCCGGATAGCTCAACGAGTTCAAACGAGCAGGACGACATTGGATGACGCGGATGCAGAAGAGGGTGCTGGCGGTGGTACGGCCAACGCTTTGGACTGGACGGTGTCGCCAGCAGCGATCCACGATCCAGCAGATACCTCGCAGTTGCTACTTCTCGAGCCTGATCTGGGTATGTACAGGAACGAAAAGCACCTTGCGCGTCCATCAGCCGTTTCGATTCGTACGTACATTGGGAGTGGCTGTGAGCGAGCAATCGCAAACCGATGATCCAAGTAGCATGGCAGCCGTGGTTGTCTTCGTCGGTAACCGCTGGACTCGTTTGCATGGGCGGCACCAGCGCCTCAGAGTTGCAATAGATGCTGCGCGAGCTTGCCCAGTGAAAGTTCCCCTTTACCCGTAAATATGCCCGTGAAAGGCGAACGTCTCGGAAGCAGTGCCGTCACCGTCCGGGATGCACGTGCCCCAGAATGCGGCACTGTCTCCGTGACGACAATGCTTCCCACACAAAACATAAAAAACCACCCTGCATATGAACGCAGGATCCAAACCCCAACGATGATACAACAGTGCGCTTTTCGCGACTTGTCCCAGTAACAGCCGTTCGTACTTGGCTACAGACCGCCGCTTCGCTATACATACATTGCAGTGAATGCGGACTCGTTTTGTATTCATGGTGCCGCGTTCAACGCTTCTAATCGTCCTCTATGCCATACGCATGCATCTATAGCATATTCTCCTGTGCAACAAGTGACAACAAATGAACGCCACAAGTATCTGGTACCGAGTTGAACGGCTGCCTACGCGTCTCGCGAGGATGCTCCTCGATCTCTCCAGGGACACTGGAGCCGTGCTCCTGGTTGCGTGCTCGGTAGTCTGATGGTGTCTCCTCAGTGTAACTGGTCGATGCTGCAGAGGCAGGCGCTTGGGCAGGCTCGCACGGCATTAACGCGTGCGGCTGCGCGCACGCTCCGCTGCAGCGAAGCTCGATGCCCGGCGCTGGCAGCTGCTCTGTGCTGCCAAAAGGCGCAGACGCGCCGTCGCCGCGGGAGGACGTAGCGGATGTCGCCGACTGCATCGAGGGTTGCACTGAGGTCCTGCGAGTGTCTTCGAGCCGCAGGGCTTCTCGAGTGAGGCGCATAAAGTACTTCTGAACATGAGTTCGTACCTGTGTCGGATTCCGCGTGCCAACATGAGCACTGATCGCTTTGAGATTGCGGTGGCCGTAGATCTTGAGCGCTTCCAGGAAGAGCTTGTGCTCAGCCTCCGTCCAGTATCTTGACGTACCCGGGACAGGACTTGACTGTCGATGACGACGACGACAACGACGACGACGACTTTGGTTCGAGCCACTCGTCTTCGGTGTCGTTGATGCAGCGGGCGGCAGCGATATTTGCTCCGTCGAATGTGCATCCGCAGTTGGATGCTGTGGATAGAACTTCTCCGATTCTGAAGCGGACGGGGTGTCGTGCTCACCAAATGTTCGACTGCTCGCAGTTGAGCAGTTGCAGGCATGCACCCCTGGTTTGGCTTCGCTTCCTTGGTACAAGCACGAGCTCGAATCTATGCTGTCACTTTGCAGGTTTGATCCACAGGGCAATGTGCGCGTCAGCGAACTCGTTGGTGCTGCGGACTGGAGAGGCACCGCAGGTGCGTCCGGAATGGTCAACCAGACACCATGACTTGCTGTTCGTGTGTCTGGAATCGTACCTATTGACGCATTCGCATGCATTCCCGTCGTAGAGAACAACTGTGCAGGCCCTGCCCCGGCTGGCACTGATGTTCGCGCTGGAACTTCCCAGCTGACGCCGGTCTCGGAAACACCCGTCACCAGCTCTAAACTGGCCGCATGACGTCGAGTCCAGACAGCTTGTAACCATTCTGTCTGGAGGCGCATCAGGTCAGACTTTGCGAGGGAGAGCTGCACCTCGAACTCGCGCGTGCGCTGCATAGCCTGTAACAGGCGCGTGTAGAGCGCAGACCAGGTTACACCGTCGGGAAAGTTGCGCCCGTCGCCACTAGCCCTGTCCACTGGTGCCTGCGGTATTTCTGGTGCCGAAAGCTCGGCCTCCCCTGCTCCGCTCGGTGGTATTCGCGCCTTCACCGCCACCATGGGACTGTGGTGGCGCTTTGATCCAACCGTTTTTGGAGGCGTAAGCGGTTCACAGCTTCCCCCAGTCTCAGCTGCGGTGCCAGCTGTCTTCGACTCTTTCTTATGGGTTCCTACGTCAGCATCTTGCACAGCTGCCCAAGAAACACCGCTAGTCTCCACTGGGTTCCTTGGGTTCCTTGCGTCTGCGGCAGTGCTTGGCTGCTCGCGCGGCGCTTCAGTTGCTCTGCTGGCCATTGAACCTGGTGAAGACTTCACCTGAGAAGCCTTCTCCGAAGAACACTTATCAACACCACTTCCCTGCAAAAGTATACGTCTATTCCTCTTAATATGGAGCTCCCAACGCCCATAACAAGCGTCACTTCCCATAGCGAGGCGCGCTCCGGAAGACCAACGGATAATTACGCGCCTCACACGCAAAGCAGCGGGTGTCGGGTGATTTTCCGTTCCCGCCTGCGACGGGTGAGCGATGTCGGCGGCACCCCGATTCCGGAGCCGCCGCAGTGTCGCCTCCATCACCTGGCGGCGGATGGACACGTGTCCTTGCACGCGTGCGCTGATCGACGCCGCTTTCCGACGCGCAACGAGCCTCGCGCGTGCAGGGCGTTATGCGTGCACTGGCGCTGCACTGTTTCCAGGTGCGGGCGCTGCTATCTGGACCGCCTTCGATCACTGGGGCGGCGGCGTTTCTGCACGTAGCGAGCGCCGCTCCCTGAGATCGTGGATGGTGATGCGCGCAGGACGTCAACGGAAAGCTTCCAGCAACTGAATTTATTTATACTCAATGGTATAAAACGGACGCGATGTTCGCGGGGTCTGTCGCTACGCACATGCCGCATGGAATGGCTGTGAAGCGGATATGGCGGCAGGTACAGCGACGCTGACGCCACTGCCGCGGGTATCGGTACCGCCTAGCATCACTCGCACACCTGGGGTCATCTGGCTTGTTTCATGCATTTTAAAACATAAAAAACCGATGATGGAATCCGTGGACAGCTAGACTGGCTCAGGTCACCAGTTACAGAAGCAGCGTTCTAGTTTCCTCGCCCGGTTTACTTATCGAGGCAAAATGCCTCGGCGGAGCACCCTGTGAATACCCATCATTCGTTTCGTGAGAACTCGGGAACGGTCGACGGACACTCGGCGGCCTTGCAGGGCGTTCTGCGGCGTCCGCGAGAGATGCGGCGCGCCCGCTTTACCGAAATGCTACGGGTAGCGCTGTTGAATGAGCGGCACGTGCCCCATATAACAGTGTCGTACCAGTTTTCTCGGAACTGTTTCTTCGCAGTAGAGTGAAGACGCTTCCAGTCCCAGTTTTGACGCGGGGAAGCTGCAGATGCCAGCGGATCCGCCAAGCATCCCGGTTCGCTTATCACCAGCATCGCCAACAGCGGTGCTACGTGGCTTGCGCTGCGGCAACTTTACAACCTATGTCGGTGATAGGGCTTTGTTTCGTATGCGCTTTGCACCTTCCGAAGAAAAAAGCAACATGCACGAGCATCCGATACGCTCCGAAGCAACCAACGTCTGGTCTAGTGACGCGGCACGATCTGCAATCGGCTTACCTGGCTCCGTTTCACGCAGGGATCGCAAAGCATGCTCTACTGCATCGGTAAACGAGAATCCATAGACACCTGTCTATGGACGCAGGCCAACAAGTCTCCTGGGAACGACACGGAGCTGACCTCGCGCATGAATGCAGCGACGCATATACTGAAGGATTGTCCCACCGGTCACAGCGGAGCAGCAAGTTGCTGGACACGTCCCATGTCACCGTGGTCCATCGCTCAAAGTGATTCCGCCAGCGATAGGAGCTGCGTTCAGCGTCAGGAGCAACCTACCACAAACGCGATCTACCGTATCAGAGAGGCCGCCAACCCGATGCGGAACAGGTAGCTCCTTCACGAACGATCACGCGGCGATCATGCCACTGAGCACAGAGCCGCAGGCACCTAACCAGGAGCAGTGCACTCGCTCACTGCACTCGTGAACACGCGAGACACTGGACCGACAACCGCGGCAGCACTCTGTTTTCTTGGGCAGGTGTTCCATGCACCAGAAGACGCTCTAATCCCTCTTCAAGATCTGATACTCATTCAAAATACCTTTTAACTAGCGACACCGCGGATACGCATCACGATCAACGCCAGGCGCGCCGCTGCCCGCGCTCACGCCGCACCTTCCCCGCAAGACCAGCTAGTCGACGACGATGATGATGATGCCCGCGTTCATGAATTCCCCTAAAACAGAATCATGAGAACACACACATAAACCCCTACTTAATAAATGTGGCGCAGGTTCCCAAAATCTTGAAAAACAGGAGGCAACAACGAGACTGCCTCCATATACGCTGATGATGACGGTGATGGGATGGAAGCGTTTGCCGCCCCGAGACTCACACACGGCTTTGGTGTCGGCGCTGCGTCCACTGCGGCGACCGCAACGATACGCCGCCAGCACGTCATCGCAGCGCTCGCGATCCGCTCCGCTGCTTCATGTTGCTGCTGTGCTCGGCAGGTGCGGGCTAGCCCAATGGAGAGCCAGAGATGCAACTCTTGGCAGTGTTGAAGCGGCAAGTACTGGACATCGTCTGGACTATTGAGACAGTGCTCGTGCGGTAGACCTCCATAGGTATCGAGCCACGAGTCTAGCACTTTGAGTGCAGCGCTAAAGTGCTCCGCAGCTGCTGGGTGCAGTCCTTCGATGAGCTCGATTGCACCGACCATACCGAGCGCGTCGGCATAGACGGGCGTGTGGGTAAAGCTGCCCTCGCGCAGCACGTCCAGCGCTCGATGGCACACGTCACGGGCGCGCATCAACTGCCCGCTTGTCAGGTAGGTTCCAGCGAGCGATAGCAGCGTCGCAGCCGCATGCGTGCTTCGTGAAAAGCCCAGCGCGTGGAGAATGTGCAGGCACATGTAGAGAAGATCGCAGGCCTCGGAACGAGAGCCCTCGAGACCGATTCGAAGACTCAGCAGCAGAAGCGACACAACGCAGCACTGGAGTAGCTCTCGCGGATTACTGGCGTTTTGCTGGTGTACCGCACACGCTGTATCCTCCTTCCAACGAGGGCTTGCTTCGGATGCAGCACTTGGTGATTGTGAGGCACTCACGGATCGCGGCTCTGATGTTACATACGACACGTCGCTCGTTTGATCCGCAGCTTTTCGCTGATACAACTCCAGCAGCATATCCAACCGTAAAAGCGCCATACGCGCTTGGCACTTGCGCGTTAGCTCGGTTGCCTGGGGCGCGGGTTTCTTTGATGGCGCGTTACCGCCGGCGCAGAAGCCGCTCTGAATGAGGGCGATCTCTTCATCGAGGCATAAATCATCAATTTTTTCAATGGTTGCATCGGACACGCCCAATTGACGCGCCAGAGCTCCGATGAAATAACGCAGCGCCTGGCAGAGTGGCTGCTCTGCTTCCTCCACGTGAAGCATGTCGACTAGGGACGCCCCTAAGAGTTGCAGCAAGAGAGCCTCCTCTTCGCTCTGTGGCATGTACTTGACCAGCATGCATTGCTGGCGCTCCGACGCCAATCCGCTCGAAGCCGCATCGCTCGACTCATAAATCGATTCCGAGTCCGGTGTTCGGTGAAGCAGCGCCAGCGCTTGTCTCAAATAGTTCACGCGCACTTCTGGAGAAATGCACATGCGCATCACCGAATAGCCTCGAATCAGAAGCTGCGAAAGCGCTCGACTTCGCTGTGCAGATGCAAACGCAAGCGCTGCCAACAGATTCTTCGATTCCGCAAACCATGCTTGAATACAGCTGCCTACTTGATCATCAAAATGCAGGCCATTCGGAAGTGCAGGCGCGTCGCGAATGAAGCGATCGAGTATCCATACCACAAAACGGCGCTGTGCATCGCAAGATTCGGCGCAGAATCGTTCACGAACTTCTCGCGAGACATGCGCAACTTGCTCTGGATCGTTTGCTACGACGCTTTGAACAAATTCTCGCCAGGAAGCGTTTGCAATATAGCAGGAACTAGCGCGACGCAACAATCCGTGATCGACGAACACACTCAATGCCGATGCTATGGCCCTTCGTTTTCCGGCTTCATGCTTGTGGCTCTGTTCCTGGCCGGTGGCGTTCTCTTCGAGATGCCGTCCCCCTGATCCCGAAGCGCTTTCATCCGATTCCTTCAATACGGATGGATTTTCCTCATCCGAAACCAATACTGCAACCAATTCTTCGTCTATACACGCAGGAGGCAGCGTAAGGCGCACGAAAAGACGTTGCTCAAAGTCCGATACGGAATGGTAAAGCTTCAACAATGCATCAGGTTGGAAAACACGCATGTCTGCGGTGGAGATATTCCGTAAGGTTCCCGCCGTGCGCACTCGCGATTCCAGCAGCCGAGGCGTGCTCACATCTCCCCAAACCTCTGCCTCTGCTTTAGTTCTGTGGAGTGTCTCCTGGTGTGCGCCCTGATGCCCAGCCTTCAATAGCATCCCATTCGCGTCGCATATATTCGTTCCCCGACCTTGGCCTTCAACAGAAATTTGATCGGTGCGCAAACCCTGGACAGTGGGTCTCGTAAGATAGCTCTGCCCGTGCCGCTCGTTGCTCCCTTTTGTTATCCATGCCTGGGAACTAGACATCTCCAAATGCTTCACATCCAGGTCGGGAGGCGTTACCGGCGACATGACCAGGACTGAGCCCGTCATCCCTGGAGTCTGTTGGGGCTCACGGATTCCTCGGCTTTCACCATAGGTTCCCGGAGATGCCGGCACCACAGAAGGAAGTGCAGCTTTCCCAATATGGACGGATGCCTTGCCCGCGATCGCTGGAGCGCCTTGCTTGATTCCCATGAGCGCTGCAGCCGGCATCACGTATGATGGCACCAGCTGGGCAGCCGTGATCTCACCATAGGCCGAAACATAGCCCGGGGCACCGGCCGACGTCAGTGCACATGATGTCACGGGGTGGATCCGAAGTGCCTCCCGGGATGGCCCTTCCCAAGCGCCGCGGTAGCACGGATAAGATCCCCCTTCAAGAGGCGTCGGTTGTGCGACGAATACCCCATCCTTGGCATGCTTCATCAAGGATGCGTCCGGATATCGCGAGTCGATATGCGCTCCGTCTGTGTCATGCGGTGCGTTGAGCGAGGGCTTGCTGCAAGCCAGTGCTCCCCGCATCGGCTCGAGACGAATGCCACTGGGCTTATTCCCATCTGGAAAGGCCCCTTCCCAGTTTCTTTTCTGTGTATCTGTGGTACGGAATCCCATGTGTCCCGGGGTCGGCAGCAGTTGTGGCCGCCCTGCAAAAATTTTCTGCCCCTCAAGGTTTTTGCGAGCCCCACTCGGTGCATTTGTATAGGACAGCTCTGCAGTCCAGGTGTCTTCAACGCCGGATTCAACGTTTGCCCGACCTGAAAATTGTCCCGAATCAGCAGACATAGAACGCGGTTCGCCGTCGATGCGCTCGGCTTGTGCCTGACTACGGCTGGCGGGAGGCGCACCAGCTGCGTGCTCGCAGGACGGCGGTATCACCGCTTTCTCCGACGGTGTCGAGACTATACCCGCCCTCAACAGTTTCCGGCGCTCATACAGACGTTGTTGTCTCGCCCTGCGCAGGAGTATCGCTCTTTTCTTTCGCTTCTGTTCTGGAGAGAGAAGCTCGTCGGGGAGGTCAACCCAAACGTGCACCGGAGGCCGACCAGGCCGCCGACGTGCCTCAAGTTCCAGCTGAACATGGTCGGTGTTCTCAGGAATCTGCATACTGACGGACTCAATTCCCTATATATAAGTACAGTAAAGTTGTTTTGGAAGATTTTGCCTTTGCGCAGCAGTCCGGTCCGCTCCTCGTCAAAAATATACCACACTAAACCCTCATTCCCGGGCGTCGATTCCCTGGCAAGTGCACGCGCTAAGACGTCGAAACTTCATTTGCGACGGCGCAGATGCAGCTACGCGCACGCGCAGCGCCATCATCTCCATCGGTGCGCATTGCCGGAAGCAATGTCACGTGACTGCAACAAGGTTCACGCGGGGCATCGCGTGATCGCCAACAGATACGTGGCGCAACGGACGGCGTCGTTGGAGGCGCATGCGTGCGTCAGGCATGGCACGGAGAACCTGCTCGTGTTATCATGACACCCGCGATTATCGGTATACTGGTTGTATTCGGGATCCCTTCAAAAGCGCGTTCGCCGGCGTTCAGTAGCGGGAATCACAGCGAAGCGCCCATGCGCAGGCAATGACGACCGCTTGCTCTCCGTACGGACGTGGCGCGTGGCGGCGTCTGCGATCGTTAGAGGTGTTGCTTCGGCGGGGAATATTCAGACCGACGGGTGCACCTGTGCTCGAGTGCTCTGGACGCTCTAAGCGTCCGTCACATGGAACTTATAGGATGCGTTAAAAGTGTTTTCTCTCCGCAGGACACTGCCGCTGAGTCTGATGTTGCGACCTCGTGGGCAGCAAACGGAGCATGGGGCTTCCCCGGTCAGCCTACGGGTATAAAGGCATTGCTCCCCGTAAAATTGGCTTCAACTGCTGGCTGTGTGCTGCTCAATGCTACCCGACACCGAGATTTTCCCGAGTTTAAATAACAATAGCGTTCATTCTGTACAGCGGAAGCATCGCCTGCAGCCTGTAATGCCAGTGCGACACTGTTCAGAAACCTTGATTCTTCACGTTAGAGGCATCTCCTGTTGCATGCAATCCCCATGCTACACCGGTTGAAAACGCTGACTGTCTATGCTAAAAGACTCGCTCGTTGCTTGTAATCACCGTATACTCTACTAGTTAAAAGCCTTGATTCTTTACGTCACAAACATCGCTTACAACTTGAAATGCTTGTACTATATTGCCTAAAATCATTGGCTCTTGACAATGCAAGCATCAGCGGTAGTCAGCGTTGGGCATATCCAGACGCACCGCTCGTTGCGCGGCGCTTGCGTGGTCGGCGCTGTGCCGTTGGCACCGTCGAACGGACGCCGACGCACGCCGGCCTCCGCGCCTGCACTCGATGGCGATCGTTAATGCCGCAACGCCTGTGACAGGAACGCTCGTGACATGGTGTGCATTCAGCAGCAGCAGCAGCAGCATCTCTCGTCTCGCGCGGTACTTCTACGCGTGTCACCGACGACAGGCTTCGTGCAACGATCAACAGAGAGAAGTGCAGTCACTTACATCGCTCGGTTTGAGAGAACTGATTAAAGATTTGACGGTTGTGACAAGTGTTTCGACTGTTTCAGGGCAGTTTCACGGCTGCGGGCTCACTTGGGACTCTGTTTGCGCACACGTTGACGCTTCCGATCGCGTTCGTTCTGTGTAGCCGCAGCTCTTTTACCTTGAGGAACTTGTCAAGATTCTATTCATTTTCCTCTACGTTTGTTGAATGGCTGCTACGGAGGATTCTCAGAACGAAACCCTCGCACTTTTCAAGAATATCGCCGCTCTGGATGATAACGAAGTTGCGAGAGCCATTTTGTCTGCGCACAACTGGAACATTGAAAGAGCCGTTGATGCTTTCCTGACTCGCGGTGTCGAGGGCGCACTGCAGCCGCCTAATCGAACTGGAAGTTTGGAATTCGCGTCAACATCTGACACCTCGGGCACTACACCAGATGCGTCCGAGCTGTCGAGTGCCCCGGTCTCTGGGCAGCTGCACGCGTCTAGGCTCAGTGAGTCGCAGCCGCTGACACCCGCACTCGCGGAAACGTCGACACCGGAGCGGGCGCTGCAGCCGGCACTGGCACAAGCAACACCTTCAGGTGTGCTGGGGCATCTGCGTCGGCTCCTGGCGCTCCCCTTCCAAGCATTACGCATGGTATTAGCATGGTGCGCATCTCTGGTGACTCGTATTATGGGCATAGATCGTTATTACCGATACGCTGGTCGCTCGCGAGCTGTGGGCGCAGCCGCAGTCGCCGAGCTAGAGGAGAACTTGCGCACTAGATACGGTATGACAATCCGCTATCCAACGATTTACCATGGAACATTCAAGGAAGCCCTGGAGCACTCAACGCAGAGGTGCAAATTGGTGCTGCTCTACTTGCATTCAGAAATTCACCACGCGACAGATCGTTTCGTCCGTGAGATACTTTCGGATGAGAGCTTCATTCAGTTTGTGAATGAGAACTTTGTTTTCTATGCAGCCTCGGTGAACCGTTCTCCTGAAGCAGTAGAGCTGGCCTCCTACTTCACACCTGCCGGATACCCGTACCTGGCGGTGGTCTTCGCTTCACGTCGATGGCCGCTCGGGCAGCTGATCGATCTTCGAGTACTAAGTGATTTGGATCGTTCGATGCGTGGTGGCAGAGACGCGCCAATCACTGCCACTGATGTGCTGTTATGGCTCCAGAATGTGCTTCTGGAGTACGGGGATGCGCTTCGAACTGCTCATACCATGCGTGAGCGACGCCGATCAGCGCAGCGACTGCGTGAGGAGCAAGATAGAGAGTTTCAAGAGGCGCTGGCGGCGGATCAAGCAGCGGAACGTGCCCGTCGAGAATTCGAGCAACGCGCTCGTGAGGAAGCAGCGGAGCAGGATCAACGAAGGCGCGAACGGATGGCGATGCTGGATCGTAAGCGGGCTGCCCTAGGCCCTGAGCCAGAACCGGGTGAGCATGTCGTCACAGTGCTACTACGCTTACCAGACGGAAAGAGTACTCAGCGTCGCTTCGAGTTATCACGGAGCTTCCGCGATCTTTTCGACTGGGCCGAGACCTCTGCCGATATCGACTTTGATCGCTTCGAGCTCACCACGAACTTTCCCAAGCGAGCGTATTCGCCAGCGAGCCACAGCGCGATGACGCTCGCTGAAGCCGGCTTCAAACAGCGAGTTGCCCTGCTCGTCACCGAGATCGGCTGGACTAGAGCTCTTCCGGACGCAAGCGGCAAAGCAGATGTATCCGATGGGAACGGCAACGTAGAGCAGAAGCATCTCGAGCAGGGAAATAGTAGCGAATCGAAAAAGCAGGTTTGACGATATCCGATTTATCACGGGTGTGCTGCGTGGTAGGCGGCAAGCATGGGAACCGTGCAGTTTCGCGACGATACGCATGTACTTTGATGCGTGTACCGAACACCCGTGTCAGATTACAATCGAACACAGAACTACTCGCTGTGCTCCTGCCTTGCGACTTGTTCGATACTCTTTTCAGATGTACATTCCGGACATTCAGCGAGCACCACCAAGGGTTTACGGATGCGTACGCAGTTTGAGAATTCTCGGACGTCTTTTCGGTGCGGCCTGTTCGACTTTCTGCCGCTGGCATTCGGTACATTACCGGACGGAAGATGGCTGGTGACGCTCTCGGAAACGGAGTCGTAAACTATCCGACATCATGATCGAACGCTCACGTACAAGTATTCATTCCTCAGTTTTCCTTACGTTTGGCATGCTCAGATTTCGTACGCTGGCCGTCTGTCTATCTTTTTTCTGTTTCAGCGAAACTTGTGCACATAGCAATTTGTGCAGCTGGATTGACGAGGGAAAAAACTCGATGGTAGCGCTTGGTGACTAATTCACAAGATCGTAGGTCCATGACAACGAACTGCAGCCCCCGGGAGTTGCGTCAAATAGAAAGATAGAGAAACAGAAAGCATGCACGATTTAACTATGCCACACGTAAGGAAAACTGAGGAATGAATATTTGTACGTGAGCGTTCGATCATGATGTCGGATAGTTTACGACTCCGTTTCCGAGAGCGTCACCAGCCATCTTCAGTCCGGTAATGTACCGAAAGCCAGCGGCAGAAAGTCGAACAGGCCACACCGAAAAGACGTCCGAGAATTCTCAAACTGCGTACGCATCCGTAAACCCTTGTAGCTGCGTTCCCAGCGCCGAGGCCGTATGTCTCAGAGAAAAAAGTCGGAGAAAAATCCCAGCCCAGAAATACAGAAAGCAGTTCAGTGCTTCATTCTAATCCAACACGACTAGAGCGCTGGAGCAGTGCCTTCAGCGTTGTCAGCGGCATGCCTGCATGATATCGCGACTGGACTGTTCGTGTCCGCCTGGATTCCAAACGACGGGTGCAAGGCTTCCGTGCACCGTCCAGCGGTTCGTGCACGTTCCCAGGCCAGTGGACGAGATGCTGCATGCAAACATTTCGCACGGTGCCACCACAGTTGACGAATGGTTGCTTGTTCCTGGTTTTTCAACCGGGAACAACTGAAGAAACGCGGTCTCCAGCATGTCTCGCCTCCTAAAGCTGCACACAACCTCGCTCCAGTAACAAACCAAGCTGCTTTTCCGGTACCTGCGCGCTTTTCATAGCTTGGCGTTCTGGGCCGGCGCTCTCAAACGGCAACCTCATGACGCGCTTATTCGATGCCGTCGATCGTACGCAGCATGCACAGCGTATGAGGCGTGCAAGCGGTAACCGTTAGTCGTGGGAGTCTGCTTTTCTGAGGTTTGTTTATGACCTGTCTCGGGAAACGGGGGACACAACGGCACCGGGCCTGTATGCCAGGGCGCGTGCTCGCGTGGCTATGGGTTTCTCGGGCGGCGTTGTCTGTCGTGTCCGGGAAAGCGGATACATGCCTGGTAGATGGGTGCGCTTGGCGCCTTGGCTCGACGTCGACATGCTCCAAGACCTCCAGGGAAAATCAACACCACGCTGTGTACATAGGTATAGACGGAGACTCGACTGATCCAGGTCGCAGTACCTGCTTCGGCCAGCTAAACTGCGCTACGTTCATAAGTGTAGAGAGAGTGCACGGCACCTTCGAGTTGGCCCGCGAGCGTGCGCACTTGAAACCGTAATCTTCCGTTGTACAGCCGGTTATGCAACTCTTCCAAACTGGGTACGCCCAGATCTTGAAAACCGTGTTTGATACCATTGATCAAATACGGGAGGTATCGTCGTAGTGAACCCTTGTCGACGACGGCGCCGCTGACCCCCTGCGCCACAAAAATCCGATCATCTTCGCTAAAATAGCGCACAGCGCTGCCTTTTTGCATTGCTTCAGCGCTACCCATTCCGCGGTACTTTTTCAGGCGAACACCGTCCTTGTAGAAATACTCGCCGGGTGCCTCCTCGGTACCAGCCAGCATGCTGCCCATCATGACACAGCTGGCGCCACATGCGAGACCCTTGATAATATGGCCGATGCTGCTCACACCGCCGTCGGCAATGGTCGGGACCCCGTGCTCGCGCGCAAACTTGCTTACCTGATACACTGCAGTGGCTTGTGGTCGACCACACGCCATGACCTCCTGGGTTGTGCAGATGCTGCCGCACCCCATACCGATGCGTAACCCGTCAGCGCCTGCTTTGAGCAAATGGTACGCCTGGGTCGTGGTCACAACGTTCCCACAGACGACCTCGAGGTGGCTGTACTTGTTCTTAATATACCGAAGCATCTCCAATTGAAATACCGAGTCGCCCTGGGACGAATCAAGGACAATGAGGTCAACCCCGACCTCCACGAGTGCATCCAGGCGTTCGCGATCCTCCAGGCGTGTACCGATCGCTGCGCCACAGAGAAGTTTCTTTCCCACCCGATCCTTTGTCGCGTTCGGAAAATCCCGGTTTTTCAAGATGTCCGTGCGTGCAACAAGTCCTACGAGTTCGTGGCGCTCATTCACAATCGGCAACTTGCCCTTCTTGCTCTCCTTCACGATCGCGTACGCTTCATCGAGGCCGATGCCTTCGGGGGCAGTCACCAGGTCTCGGGTCATGACGTCGCCGAGCTTGGTATTGGGGTCGCGGATGAACTCGATGTCACGATTCGTGACAATCCCCAGCAGCCGGCTATACATGGCGCCGTTCTCCGTGATCGGTATACCCATAAAGCCGTAGCGCGCTTTGATCGCTCTCGCGTCGGCGATTGTGTGTTCCGGAGAGAGCGTTTTGGGGTCCGTAATAAAGCCGTTTTCGAACCGCTTCACCCGATCAACCTCTTTCTTCTGTTCACGTATCGTGTTGTTGTAGTGGATGACTCCGAGACCCCCGTGCAGCGCCATGTGAATCGCCATCGCGGACTCGGTCACCGTATCCATCGGCGACGAGACAAGCGGGGTTTTCAGCGCGATGCGACGCGATATACGCGTTTCTAAGCTCACATCATCCGAAGAGAAGTAGATATGCCCAGGCAGGAGTATGATGTCGTTGTAAGCGTAGCCTACGGTGGAGTTCTCGAAAACTTCCGCAGCGGAGGCACCGTCGCTGCAGTAAAAAAGCTCCTGCTCGTTAAAAGGACACGGAGGCAGCGGCTTTGCTTTCTGCACGGGCGAAGACGCAAGCTTGCGTTCCACTGGCGACTTTGGGTTCCCGTTTAACAAGAAATCCCCCATGTCCTCGTCGATTGGAAAGCACGAGCGGGCACCCTGTAACCCCCAGTAGGATCGAGTGCGCTTCGTAGCAGGGCACACAATGGCACACCTGGAACGCGCCAGTGAAGCCGTCTATCGAGGCGCACAGCGCTGTCAGCACTTCCGCCTCGAATGAGATCAAACTAGACATTTATGACATGGAGCCGACGGCGGCCGCCTCGCCCCGCTCGAGAGGCGCAGCCATCGAGGTGCGCGTCTTTCCTCGGGGATGGTGGCGATGACGATTCCCCCCGGGTATCCTCCGTAGCGGCGGTATCCCATTCGTTACTCGAAGGGCGCGTCTGCGTGAGGCATGCTCTCGGCAACGCAGATACAACTTGGTCGCCACGTACGGTGCAGTCTCCGGGTTATGAGCAAGTTGTCCAAGTGAGCGCAGGGCATGCTGCTCCTGCTTCATTCACGCGGCGCACAGGCACGCGCAGCAGGCGTCTGTCAGTTGCTGTAGCCGTCAACAGCAGACATACACGGTCCGAAACGCGTTCCTCGCCAGGAAGGATGGTGAGCGTCTGCATGCTGCCCAGGGCGAACGAGTTCAAGCACTTTATACCAGTCCAAATACAATGGATCTCCATCCCCTCACCTCGCGTTTAAAATACACCAGTTTCATCTGTTGTGAAGATCGCAGACTAAGCTTTATGCCCATAACCGCTCCTGCTGATGCCTCTTAGTCTTCCTTTGTTTCAGCGCTGGTTGTCATGGACGACGATGTTGCGGCACTGGTTCCGGCTGAAAACGGCGGGCGGCTGCTGCTGCTTCGTGCACGGTCGGATGCGCCCGTCAGCGCGCGCAGCTGCGCTCGAAGCATCTCGGAGTACTCGTGGACCTTGGGCGGTATCTGGGAGAGCACGCTGCTGATATGATTCTTGATGAGCGCCTCGGCTTCATAGAGCTTGCTCTGGAGAACGGGTTGAATTTCCCGAATGAGATCGTCAATGTCACGCTGCTTCCATTCGTAAACCTTGGGTAACGTCATTACGCTGAGAAAGATGAGCCATCCCATGTACATATTCAGAAACAGCGGTCCCAGTTTGCCGATCAGATAGGAGCCAAGGAGCACCTTCACGGTGAGCTGCCAATCACGACAATGCGCTGCGTCGCGCAAAAGGTTCTCCAACCCGTTAACCGTTTTCATGGTGCTCTCCGTGAGCCGCTCCGCAGTTTCTCGGTTCAGCAAGCGACGCGTCGGTGCCGTCGTACCAACGGGTGATGCGCCAGGTACGGGGCTCGCTGACGTCAGGTACGCCAGTGCGCGGCTCAGGAGAACGAGACACGAACCCAGTAGCACGATCCAAAACACGATCATAGAGAATACGGTGATGATGCTCAGTTCCCCGAACGTGGTGAAATAGAAGAACAAGTTACCCAAGGCGAAAGCGAGCCCCGAGCGGTACTTGTTCCGCCACATAAGGATCTCATGCAGCTGACCCGGTAGATGCTGACGGGCCACCGTAAACCTCTGGCTCAATAGAGGTGGCCTTCCAGGTGGACCTTCCCGGAACGACGCGCTGCTATTACGTAATGCGGCGCTACTGCTGCTTGCGTTGTCGCTTTCGGAAGCAGCCACGGCACCGTTCACTGGCGCTGCTTTGCCGCCCGAAACGTCACCACCACGCCTCAAGGCAGAGTCTGATTCTTTCGATCCGGAACCCGCATCCCCCATGTTTAGTAGATCGTGTGTGTCATCCAACTGAGACATGTTTATGTACACGGTCTTGTGTCACCGCCCTTCGAAAGTCGAACGACGTCGCTGGCAGTGTACAGTAGTGGCGGCGAACGCGCGCTATACAAATCGTCATCAACTGACGTGCAGATGCGTCCCAGCCTTTCTGGACCGGCCACCTATTATTGCTTCCAACTTTTTCTCATATAGTTCGACTTTGAGAGGTTGTCCAACAAAGTTCTCTCTTGTCCACTCTGGAGGTCTCTTCTCCAGCACCGTGCATCTCCGTATATTCACAGCGGCATGAAAGTCACGGTTCACAAACTCCATACGTTTCGTGCCATCACTGGTTGTACTTACTAATGCAAGTAGCCCTCGAAATTTCGCTCTCCTTTCCATTTGCTCCTCCGTCAGCGGTCCGTACTTTTTCATATCCTCAGGGTTCGTCTGGCACTTTTCCATCTCGAACTCTCTGAAGTGTACACACCAGCTCATGGTGTGTATACGAGGTTCGGAACTCATCTACAGGTATCGTAACAAAACGCCGTGCACACTCCTTGTACGTTCTCGTCGTTGGAGCTGGCGTAGTTCCTTTTTGGGTCATCCAGCGCCCTGCTCCGTACGTCACTACCAACCTCTCACTTTGATTCTCCTTCAGGGCACTCAGTTGATTGAAAAAATTCGCGAATGCCCGCTGCTTCCCACAATACAAATTCATACGCCAACGAGCCCACCGGGGCTTGGTATACTCCTCCCACGGCGCCTCCCAATGAGCAACGCGAACTTCCGTGAATTTCCGAAAAGCTTCAAAGTCCGCTCCTCGGCTCGTCACCTCGCTCGAAGCTTCCAGGTGCTCTTTCATTCCTGAATTCCAAGTCTCGATTTTCTTCCTTGCATTTATGATTCCCGATTCTCGATAGTATCTGGCTCTCGAGAACCTCAACAGACGCATGTCTTTCTGACGTAAGTTACCATCAGTACCATCTTCCGCACGCTTGGGAGCAGCGATGTTTATGATACTCGTATTCCCAGGGTCCGCGCCAACGACAAAGTCGTTATCCTGCACTTTGTGGGTCGCAGGATCCGCCTCCTTCTTTTCTTCATGCTTCGTCGCGTCAACCATAAAGTCGTTATTCTCCACCTCCTGCGTCGCAGGACTCGCCTCCTTCTCATCTTCATCCTTCGTCACGCCAACGACAAAATCGTTATCCTGCTCCTCCTGCGTCACAGGATCCTCCTCTTTGTTTTCTTCATCCTTCGTCACGCCAACGACAAGGTCGTCATCCTGCTCCTCCTGCGTCACAGGAACCTCCTCTTTGTTTTCTTCATCCTTCATGACGGGCGCAGCCGAAGGCGGAGTTGGACGAACTTTCTTCAACCGCCGATAGTGTACACACAAGGCTACTCCATCTGTTTCGATCGACCCTGTGAATACCTTTTTCTTGCTCACTTTGGGACGTTTGAAATCGAAGATGCTCATCCAGTACGTCTCCCGGTTTTCACCGGAGAATTCCTCCCTGCTAACATCGAACTCGGGACTGATCTCCCTCATGATGCCATGAAGGACTGCGGAGTCGATAGTCACAAAATGTGACTTGATGTTGCCCAACGGAACCACATTGACGCGCTTCCCCGTTAGGAAAGCCTTCCGTCTCTCCCACTCTTCATTTGTCTCTTCACTCAGCTTCATCTCCGCTTCGCGTTCGAGTTCACGGTCCAACAACACAAAATAGCGCAGGATGAGGCGATAGTATCTCTCCTTATCTTTTTTGAGCTCTGATACCTTGCCTGTTGGATTCGCCAGCCCCAGTCGCGCACGATGCTCTTGTAAAACCGCGCGGATCGCAGAAGCTTCTTTCGTGCTCTCTTTTGACGCCTTCTTGTCGACAAATTCGATCTCATCTTCATACTTTCGATCATTCGTGATGCCATGGATAATCGCCCATTTTCCATTGCAAGAGATGCCTGGGTAGGGTGCAAACACGGCGCGTTTCATGAAGCGTTCCAGGTTCTTTGTCAAATGGTTCTTCAGGTTCGTAATGTACTTCATTGCCCCAGAGTCTTAAATACCCCAGTCACCCTTGATTCGAATACCCTCGAAGCGGAATTCCGCAAAATTTTCGTGGAGGGCATGCACTAGCTCATTTTCCTTCCGCGCTTCCTCTGTACCAAGCATCAGGCGACCAATAAACGTCTTGTCGAAAAACTCGTCTGGAATCTCGACTGTTTCCATGTGCGCGACGTATTCGTACATGTCCCTCGCTAAATGCATCAGTCCTGACGACGCCTTGACAATACTCTTCGAGTACGAGTCGACACGTGTTTCGATAGCGTCTCGCAACTTTTCCTTGTAGGGATCCTTCATATGTCCAAGAAGAAAGGTTTTCACAACCATCTCGTCGTACAGTCGTCTTTCTTGCCGCCTTCGACGTAGAGCCTCCCCTTTCAGTCCTCCTTCTCTTCATTTTCTTCTGGACTCGGCACTGTTTTTTGTTTTCTTCTGGTAGCCGGCGACACTGAGCCTCCAGGATCGTCGACTTACTTTTGCATAGTTTTCCTTTTATTAGTTTTTTTTGAACAAGAACGCTCTTTGAACCCTGCTGTTATATACTGCAAAAAAACACTTGACTGGACTTGTTTGAAGTTTGAAACAAAAATGAACCGAAAGACTGTACTTTGCTATGGCCTGAACCGATATCCGACGTTCACAGCTGAACAACACGTTACTGATCCCAATTGAGTTTCCCTTCAACAACGGCACGCGCATCGCGTCAGTTGACTGCCCGATCTCCGGGGTGCGCCCATTGAGCGCGATTTTTTTATTGACAAGACGTTTTCATTCACCATGGATCCTAGAATTCGGAACGGATAACGGCTTTCGGGAAAGCGTCCGTGATGAAGCACCTACCTCCAAGTTACATTACCTAGACTTCTTCTCGGATATTTTGGTCGTTTCATACGTCCTATCGTGTGTGCCTCGTACCTACCCTAATCATCCACCTTTGCGCTTGAACCGCTGGAGCAGATAGTTCATAGAGCTCGAACGGCTTTGCTATACCACAAAGGGCGTCGGCTCGAGGCGTGGTTCACCCGACGTAGAATCGGGTCTCGTCGTCAGTTTGTGCTCGGACAGTCTGCGGATGCAGGCTTGTCTTCGTTGCACGACACGCTGGAGAAACTTGGCTGTTAGAATATACCCTGGGGCGAGCATCTCGATGGGGCGCTCTCTCGCTGAGGCGATCTGCACGCAATGATCGCATCCTCGCGGAGCGCCTGCGCTAGGCAGCGATGTTCGTATGAACCATGGGATGGGTCCATTTCGTGAACTCGGACGTAAACACTAAGTTCTAGGTTTCTATCTTCATCAACAACACAAGTCTTTGCGGGTTTTTTGATGATTGCTCTTGTATATGCTCTTTTATCGCTGGCGTTCAATACGTCGGTTTCGCCGTTGCCCCCAGCTCCGTTGGAAGCAGTTGCGGGATGTTGATGGTGACGTGCATGTCGCGAGTGGGGGCTTCTGGGTGTTGTCGACGTTGTTTACGCAGAAGCAGTAGGTACGATGTACGCTTCGTTTGCGTTGTTTCTATTCGTTTTATACAGCCACAGTGCGTCTTTTGCAACGATGACGTTTGAATGTGCTTAGATGTTTCAGGAAGTCCACGAAACCCCGTCCTTCCTCGAGCGTAGATCTGTGGCGCGTGAACGCTTGCGTCATTGCCCGGTACTTGCCCTGGACGGGTTGAGAGCGGCGCGCCTCGATGCTTTCCTCCGTTTACGCGCCCTGTGCAATACCCTACGAAGAAGAGCTTCTTCTTCGCGATCCCGTCGATGAGCACTCTGTGCGCTGCACGCGCAACGGCACGCTGTCTTATTCGATAGAGGATTTGTGGAATGCGACATTGTCCGCTACGGAAACAGGATCAGGAGCGAGGCTCGGTATGCAAAACAAGTCGAGAAGTTTCGATCCGTCGATACTCCTTTCACGCGAAGCATTGGCGCACGTTCCACTCCAAGCGATCGTTGTGATGGCTCAGGTGCGAATCCGGCACCCGTTTCCGTGCAGACAGAAGAGGCGGGAGCCTGTTGGCGCGTCTCCCGTTACAGGAATCATGCTGCTGTCGCGTTTTGTTGTAGTTATGGCCACGAAGAGAGGAGGATTCGCGTTTGGAACGGAATCGATCCGTTGACATGAGAAACTCATAACATATTCTGCATGAGCCTGCGGAAACATCATCGAGGCACGCCGTCGAGTATATGTCCCGTCAATCCATAGGCGCCAACGAGTGCGCCCAGCAGATGACTTCAAATAGAAAGCTCGAAACCTCGACGGGTACGTGAATTAGAGCATACTGCACGTAAGGATCGGAGAAGGCTAAAACCTTGAACGTGTGAGCTGGATAATAATATCGGTTATTTCGGGCACGCGTGGTGACGTCGGTGGTGACGCACCTTCATCGTGATGACGTAACGAGGTCCAGCGGAAAAGCGTCGAAAGAGCCACTCCAAAAAACGACCAAGAATCCTTCATTTACGCATGATCTCTTCATCTCTCATTGCTGCACTTCGATCGCTCAGGTTGTACATTTAAGAAAAATCTATGAAATAAATGAAGTGTTGGGAAGAGATGGAAAGCTATTCTGTGCTCGATTTTTATCCGACTCGAGTGTAGCATCCGCAGCGGCAACGCCGGCGTGCTGCGCCCGCGAGACGCCACCGCCAAGCGACAACCAGCGCTGTCTGGGTTTGTCCGCAGCACGACGCAAAGTCCACGTTTGAGTTGACCAAAACCGCGACTTCTGAAGCTGGTTTGGTAGGGTCGGTTAGGCAACAAACTTCTCCAAAGGATGCAAAAGGTACTGTGTGGGGTCTGTCTCGAGCCGTTTACCCCGTCAGACCCGCCGCTGACTTGCGAAGCCTGTGGCCTCGTGGTACACGCGCCATGCTACGGCTATCCGGCGTTCCCCTTCCCAGGGAGATCAGTACCAAGCGTTTCTCAACACGTGCATCCAACCAACGAAAACCCACAGAAACGGCACCGGAAGGTCCATCGTAGCCCTCTCGTAGACCAGACACCGATAACGGGGGGAAGCTGCACGAAACCGGCTTGGCTCGGACTCGCGTGGAACTGCGCGGTCTGCTGGGACACTCGACGTTCTACAGCGGAACCGTCATCGGTTGATGCAGTGTTTCCGGACAACTACCAGGATGCACGCACGGAAAATAACTGCGATCTGGAATTTTCCAGTAGCCCCGTTGATTCACGAAAGAAAAGGGACCCGTCGACTGCTGTTGGTCCAGGCGTCGGTACGCACGGCGAATCGCCCCGGTGTCTCGCTGAGCCTCCATTTGAGTGTGTATTGTGTCCGATACGTGACTATAGACTAGCGATGAAACCTATCATCGAAGCAAACGCTCTGAACGCTGCAAGCGAGCTACCGCATGTTGAGCGCTACGTTCACGTTATCTGTGCCTTGGCGGATCCGCGATTAGAGCCTACGGAGCCGTGGGAATGCCTCGATGCATTTCGGTGCTGCCAGGACGCAGTCAAGAGCGAAGACAGAGCCTCACTCGGGAAGGAGACCTCAACGGCCGAGGGGATTGCGCTATCCGCGCACACACCGCAGCATGTGTCGCGGCAAGTGCTGGACGAGACACCTAACCACGACTCGTGCTTGAGCAAGCAATGTACGCTTTGTGAAACAGCGGGAGGACTTCGGTTCTGCTGCTGGGTACCGTTGCAGAAAAACTCCGAACCAGACGATGATCACCACGTTCCTTGCCCGGTTGTGTTTCATCCCATGTGTGCACTGCTGGCAGGCTGGTGGCGTCCAGAGCCGCGATTCGTTTCCCGCGGTCGTTTGCGTGTCTCTTGCCCCAGGCATGCAATTTTTGAGCAACGGACACCAGTTCCCTGGATGCGGGGATACCCATCGACCCCAAAACCTGGTGATGAACATCATCTGGCAGCATTCCGGGATCTCGTCGAGAGCTTGTACGTGCCAGCGGCTTCCAGCATGGACACGCGTACGCTCCTGCACAGCATTCAGGTGCACATGCTACCGCAGCCATTCGCCTGCTTGCAGGCTGCGATGACAGAGTCCAGCACGTCGCCTCTCACATCCGAGACCCAGTCCAGGATTCGAAAAGTCCTGCTTCCATACACAGACCAAATGCAAGTCGCCATTATTTTGCAAATTGCTGAAGATCTCGGTCTTGAGCCGCGCATCACGCTTCGATTCCTCGCAAGTCACATGAAGACTCCAGAGCTTCTGCAGTGGCTTTTATTGGATCCCGCTGTCTTGGCGTTGCACGCATCGGACGCGACGTCATCGTCGTCGACGTCGACGGCGTCACAGTCTCGCCAAGAACGTCCCGTGCGAGCGCATCAGTCTCCAGAGACTTTGATGACACCCGCACCTCTTGAGGATATGTATCTACGGATCTGGGCGCGGTTGTATCACTGGGAACCGCGCGAACCCTTTCCGCAACATTGTGGCTGGGTCCGGACCCTGCAGCGCCCTCTTTATTCTGAAGCGCAGCTGCTTCTAGAGCGCGTCCGTCCAGAGCAGTAAAAGTCGGATTTGAAGCTCGCAGCTTTGGAATCGAATACGAGCAGAGTCCCGACCACGGGTAGCGACGATAACGCGGGATTCATTTCCCTGGAGGTTCATCATGACGATCCGTTGACTAGCGAGGAGGGTTTGCGAGCGAACGTACACTTTTCGGGATAGCGAGCAAGCTTCGAGCGGCATGGAAACGCTGCACATGATTGGTTCATTGACCGAGCGTGCTCGCTGCTTGTTACAACAAGCGGTGCCCCGACGTGATATCGGTCCGCATGCGGGCACGAGCAGTCGGTGGATAGCACGCGATACGCTTCCGCTGAACAATGCCTTGGTGTGGCGCGAGGATTCATAGCCGAAACGGCAGTCACCCACGGCGCTCTGGAGCTCGCCTCTGCTGGCTCATGCGGCGAGAAAAAGGATGCAGCAACGCTTGGCTAATGTTGAAGATCCGCAAATGGAGCGTCCGAGCATGAAAACTGTAGCGGTCTGTGAAAGTCAGATGTTGATGCATGCTGGTCCCTAACTCTTGCCTGGTGGAGATGCGTACGGTGTTGGATATTTCAGCGCGTTCTTTGCGCACGGACGCTTTGACCGCGGCTGTGGCGCTGCAGAAAGGCGGCACGCTGGTCAAGCATAACCGCCGCTGCTGCCGCTGCTGCAGCAACAGCAACAACGACAGCGATGTGCTTTGACCAGTACTAGTCCAGTCGTCGCATTCACCGAGTCGGACGATACAATCCGGTCGTAAACTGGGGATTTGGCGTCGCCGTTGGGGCGCCTGCATGGATTCAGCTGACGATGGAAAACTAGACATGATCGTTCCACGCAGTTTACAGAGGAAAGTGCTATATTTGCCAGGCAGGCGAATTCCGACTTCGACACAGCCGTGGAGGTCGACTGTGACCATTGCTGTCCAGCATCGGTGAATGACGAACGCGCATGGTCGTCACGCCGCTCATCCGCAGATCCCTGAGCTAGCACACAACCCAAAGGCTTTTGGCCCCGGTTCTGTGGCAGTCCACGCGACCACTAGAGCACAGTGCTGCACCGGCCCTGCACTAGATCGAATACCAGACCAACACCGAACCTACCGGAACAGAAGATTGCCTCGCACCGCGGAGCAAAAGATTCAGAAGGATTGCTCATCCGACTCTCGGGAAGTTAGCAGAAAATACAGCGTATTCATGATCTCATCCCGCAGTACTGCGTCAACTTGCTCGCCACTCATCGTCGTAACGTGAAAAATGTCATGCCGATACTTGTTTTCATCCGCGTAGGTTGATAAGCAGGCGAACGTAATATTAAGCTCTAGCTCGTGCAAGACATCTATGATTTCGTTGAGAAGATTCGGCCGGTCGGGGGCATTCACCGTTATGGTCGTATAATGTTGCGATGCGTGATTATCCACGTAGACGTGGACGCCTCGGTTGTGGTCGACGAAACGCACCGGGGACTGCGGAGCCGGAAGGCGCCGTTCAGTGTTCTGCGGAACAGGGCACGTCGGACCCGAAGTACCCATAACCGGCTGTAGTGCTTGCTCCACTGCATCGAGGTCGGTGTCCGAAAGCTGCGATCCGTCCCGGGTAACAAAGAACTCATCGCTCGCGATGCCGTCCTTTGTACGCGCAACCGCCCGCCGAATCTGCAAACCAATCGACTTCAGCGCATCGGTGAGGTCACTCAGCAACCCTTTTCGGTCGCGACAAGTCACAACGAGACGCGTCGCATAGTACTGCGACTCGTTATCGGCCGTAATGGAAGGTGTGAAACCTTGTCCGCTGCCAGAGACACCGCCATCAGCAGTCTCGGTTCCAGCGCCCGCAGATCTCTCCAAAGACGCCGCACCTGCCGGTGTCGGTGGACTCGACTCTGCACAGAGTCGCACACCAGCAACACCAAAGCAGGTGCTTTTTCGGTAGGCGACGCTTGGCGCCTGCTGGCAGCCCGTGCAACGCCTTCGCCAGGTGCGCGTGACCAGCACGGCACTCGTCGTGAAATTCAACATATTTTAGCTATATTGAGCGGAGGCTTTCCGTAGCACCAGTTTCGTTCTCGTAGCAAACACTCGAGAGCGGCACGCGGTAAAAATAACGCTTGCCTCGAGTCGTAGTGATGACAGCGGAAACCGCATCCCTAGACTTTTGATCATGAACGCGATGGCGCGCGCGCGCGCATGCACTGCTGTGGTGCGACGCTGCCACAGGCGCCAGCGGCATCCCGAGCAGCAGCATATAGCGTGGTATCGAACACAGAGCGCTGGTGTATGTAGGGTGCTTGGGTATCCGAGCACTATGGTATGTGGGGCTCTGCTGAATGGCTGAGCAATGACGCGCATTCGGCCCAGTGCGGTGTTGATCAATCTTGATGTGTGAACCTATATATTCTTTTGACTCAGGTTTGTTTCACTCGACCGTGCCCTCCTCGTAGCGGTGTATCGTAGGCGGTCGAAATCACAATGCAATGTATTGTATAGATCGTAGACGAATCGTCTATAAGAACTATTGTTTACTGAACAGTGCAAGGAATACTGCATTCCTCCTTCAGGTCAGTCATACCACAGTCTTCAAATGGTTGCGGAACGCTGAAAGAGAGGAGTGTATGCGGTCCGCGTTAGAATCCGATATTCTTAAACACTGTTTGCGGCCAGTGGTACAAAACCGACTCTTTGTTCACCTTGCGGAAAATAAAAGCGATGATTGCAGCCACCACCGGAATCTCTGTTTCTCTACGGCTAGTTCATGTCCTACGAAACGCACAGGGGCACAGTCGCAAGAAGAGAGTCCTAGTTCACACTCGGCTATCTGCTGCCGAAATCCCAACGAGAGGGTTTATCGAGCGTCGCGATCTGTGAGAAGCACAGGATCGTCGGTTTCTTTTTTCTGTTGATAGGACTTTCTTCGGACGAAACGTGGGAGCGTATATGGGTATTCGTGGAGAGGGAGCCCGTCGTATGCACAGTCGAACCCGATGAGAACGACGACATCATCATCTGCTCTAGCTGCAGTGGATTCAAGTGGCGACATCAGTTTCCCCAGTGGAGAAGGCTCACATAATAGCACCCAGTTTATCAAAGGATTGACGACTTTACCCCTGACGTCTGGCGACGTTCCTCTATTGGACAGCGTGGCATCTCACTGTTTCCCTTGCATTCGAGCTTTTGAGGATTCTGTTGGGTGCTAGACCTCCTTGTGGTTCCTCCGTACGCTCCGTGGTTCATCCCCATCGAAGGCTTGTTCTCTGTTGTGACACATAATGATCGCTTCACTGGAGGAATCGCTGAAGCGTGCAGCCCGCGGGGACAAACCGCGAGCACAAGTCGTCTTTCTTCCGCAGGTCCTCCTGCCTCCGAAAAGGTCCTTATCTAAGGGCATTAACAAGTGCGTTTATTTTGAAGAAATACAAAATCCAAGTAATAGGTATGGACATGCAAGCAGAGGATCCTGGCGCGCCGTCACCCCCAGATGCCCGAAAAACCGGAAAATCCTCTTGTCTCCGATTATGGAGCAAAGAAGAGCATACGACCACGAAGAAGAAGATGGGAGACAAGCAAGAACATATATTCATCCGACGGGACGCTTTCGACTGCGTCCAGGCAGACGACTCTCACAGTGGTACGTCCGAGTGCTCGAGCGGCTGCGCTGCATCCCCGGTGTGCGCAAACGCAGAACGCAGTGATACGCGTTGTGCAGCTGGGTTTGCACTTGTGCTCGCAACGGGCGACAGCGTGCGTACCGAGCCGGTTCCTGGGGCGAAGGACGACGCACCCACTGTGCCTATACCGAGTCTTTAAGAGAACATGGCAAAAGTGGATGTCACTTCCGATGATCTCCAAGAAATCTGCACGTTCAATCGTTTGCTCCACGAACGCAACGAGCTTAGCGCACGGATCGCAGTCGAGGAGAGTGAGCTCCAGGGTCTGGACGACGCCGAAGAGGAGCTCATGCTCGGTCTCGGCGACGATATGGAGAACCCAGAAACAGACGCTTCAGAGGAAAGGGGCACTGAGGACACGCCAAGCGATTCGCTTGCGACCGCAGAGCTGCGTGTCGGTAGTGCGTTCTTTCGAGTCCCGCAAACGTTTGTGGAGCACCAGCTAACGATTCGGAGGAGTCGATTAAACGATTCCCTAGAAAAACATCGGGAGCAGCGGGCGTCGGTCATTAGAACCATGTCTGAACTCAAGAAGCGACTATACGGGAAGTTTGGGAGTGCAATCAACTTGGAGGAATCGTGAGCGAGACACGTCTTTGACAACGAGTTGGCGTTGAGCTTCGCGAGCGAACTCGCCTCAGGCCGCCTTGTGCTGCAAGCAGGCGTAGAAGCAGCGCTGTGGTGGTGCGTGTTTACCCAAGCGTCCGCGAGCGTTGGAAAGGCGCGGGTCGAGCGCCTCTGCCCAGATGCCAGCAGCGAGGCGCCACCCGCACCGGGCGCTCATACTGAAAACTTGTGACTTCGTGCCGGGCTGCGCACAGACCCGGCACTGCACCGCAGCCCGTTTCGTGTACAGACTTCAACGGCGACCGGTTGGAGCGAGCATGTCGTCGTCGTCACTTGCAGGATGCAGGGTGCCATAACCAGGCAAACGTTTGTATGTGCGGCTCGAAGAGGGATGCACCGCTGGCGTTCTCTGAAATCGCTTTACAATACATTGACGGCGATCGCAAAACAGACGCACGTTTTCTCGGATATGAGGGAGATACTGAGGCAGAGGCTGCCTACGCAACCTGCCCGGTGGTGCGGACTTCACGGCGCATTCGCCCTGACACCGTGCACGGGATCATTGGCGACTCTCTGCTCCCAAAAGATACGAACAGCCTTGTGCCTCGATTTGCTGTAGCACTAGTTGTCGGGGCTCGGCATCTGCCAGCAGTCGCATGCTCTGCTTCGCCCTGAGTGCTATTCAAGTTTGCCAGGGAACGCATCTGCATGGCGCCGCTACACACACAACCACAATCACAATCACAGCCGAGTAAAGTGCATCACTTTCCTCGATCATGGCACCCAGCATACGTCTTCTTACCGCGTCCGCAAGGTACCAGAGACCCAATCCTTACAGCCTGGAAAGCACAATCCAAAAACGCGCTCGCCCGAGTCGAGCGGGGCGTAAACCTCCATTAGGCGCAGGGCATGCCACGCTCCCGCAACCTCGAGCATCAACCCGAACGATGCCAACCACTGAGTCCTGCGTTGCTTCCCAGCACTCGTGAGGCATCTTCGCATGCGTGTCGACGCATCAGGGTATATATATATATGTGTGTGTGTGTGTACTACGCCCGTGCCCAGAGTCCGAATCGCTGGACGACCAGCGATGCCGAGATCACAGCGAGCGCGTGCTTCCAACAAAATACCATCATATCCCTAAATGTAGAGGTTCTTTTGTACCTCCCGCCGCAATCCTGATTTCAAACGGAATCCCCGAGGCGCATCCGTTGAGGGCGGATGATACTCCTGTTCTCGGAAGGCGTCGACACCTGACCCCGTCCAAGCGCCATGACCGGAACCTTTGACGCGGAAGCGCTTCGTATCATCGAAGACCCAGAATCTGCAAGTAACCAAGAGTTGCGTCAGGTCTGGGCAAGCGCGTTTCGAGCTGGCAATGTTGCAGCGTTGGAGCGTCTGGTCTATATCCGGCGCAAGGGCCTCGAATACGAGCGCCTCGCCAAGGTTGCTGACCTGTTAGCTGAGAAAAAGCGGTATGACGCCCTTTTCCAACTTTGCTACCAGTATCCTCATGTTTTGAAGGAAGTATCTCTCTCACGGACGATGCCTGTCTTATTACGGTACTGCACTGGATCCGCTGAGGCCAACCAGCCAGCGGCACAGCGTATGGATGTGTTGACGCAAGTGGTAGCGACAGCGTCGGAGCGTGCCCTAGCCCCCTCTGAGATTCCCCGCGACACATGGACTACCTGTATGACGCAGGCAATCGATATGGAAGAGCCGGGCGTAGTACGGATCCTGCGAAACGCGCCAGTAAAGCGGCTCCACGAGCCGCTGTTCCTGGCGGAGATGCTCCTTCGAGCCTATCATCGGACGATGCGGTACAAAGATACGGGAAATTTCGTGGCATCTGAAGCTCCCAGCGCCCGCGTCACCGATGAGGACATGGTGCGTGCACTGCTCGCTCCGGCAACACCGTCGGTGCCTAGCGACTCGCCAGCAACTGCAACGGATCTCGATACCTCTGCTTTGGATGACCAGGCGCATGATAAAGGTTTCCAAGAACGTGTACTGGATGCTCTGACATGCGTTCTGTGCCCGGTTCCGCCGCTGATGCTCGAATGGTTCGTCGAGGTCCACCATGAGCATGCCGCCGACTGGTTGTTCACGCACTACCACTTCGATATCCAGAGCTTGCCGTACACACAGTTTACCCTATCGACGCGAGTTTGGCTCTGGAACAGAGCAGCAGCTGCACGCTCCCCAGTGATGTTCGATGGTATCATTCGTGCTTGTACGCACGACGAGAAACAGGTTCGTCCAGAAGCAGCCAATGGCCTCTATGCGCTGTTGCTGCAGTTGCAGCATCGCGCTGATTTGCATTTGGTTGCGGACCTGCTTGCAAACGCGGGATATGTCTCCTCGCTCCTTGTTCTGTACGAAACAGTTCAAAAGATGGATCCAGCAATTCAACGCTCGATGGAATCTCAACTCGCGGATCAGACGCTGTTCTGTCTATTCGAGTCCAGCTGGAAAACCGGTGCTTCAGAATCTGTTCGAAATGTGTGTGCAGAGATCCTGGAGCGTTTCAGAGGGCGACAAGGGGCCTTGCAAATCGATCCGTCCCAGTTCGATACTGTGTGCGCTCAGTGCATGCGCTGGGCAGTCCAGCATCCTGCACCTTCATTGCTTCACGTGCTGCGCACTTTCCCGTTTGCGGCTGCGCACAATGCACATCTACTGGGCATGCTCTGCTGTGAGCTTTTGAAAACAGAAAAGAAGCTGGAGTTCAGTGCAATGCCCTTGAAACCAGATGCGCTAGATCAAAACCTAATCGTGCAGCTTGTGCAGCAACTCTTAGCGACGCCTTCAACATGCCTCCATGAGCAGGTCGTTACCAGCAGCGGCGAGCGGGAAGACGGTGTCAGCCTGCCCGCGGATGCATCCTTCGACAGCGCACTCCAGAAAGTGTTTCAGGAGTGTGCGCTCCAATCCGCAAACCTCCTTCAATGGGCTGCGCATCATCATGTTATCCGTTTAGGGCAGTTGCTCTTGCGCAACGAGCAGCATGCCTTGTTCCAGAGCGCCGAGCGCGGCGAGCCAACGCTGCTCCGTATCCTCCTGGCCCAGGAACGCAACCAGGAGCCGTACCGCAAGTATCCGCAACTCTGGGACTGGACACTGCAGGAGGCGCTGTGTCGAGTCATTCCCAGTGCCAACTTGAGCTGCGTACGCTTGCTCCTGGAACACGCCACCATCGATACGAGTCGCAAAGATCAGAGCGCTGCCCAGATACTTGCAGTACTCTCGGACGCCGATGCATTTCGCCTAGTCGATGCTTGCGCTGAGCAAGGCGATGAGGAGCTCGCGCGTCAACTGCTGCTCGTCAAGCAGCGACGACTAAGAAATATCACCGAGCTCAGTGTCAATCTGGCCAAAGCCGCCCGCCTAGGACAGTTTCCCTTGCTGTTTTCAGTGCATCGCCTGGTGTGCGAAGCACTTTATGACGACAAATATGGTACCGGACTAGAGACGACTGATCTAGCTCACACCTGTATGGAGCTGTTCCAGCAACTCAGCGACGTTGACCTGCGTGAGCTCGCTCGCATAGCGGCGATGCACGGCGATCTAGCAGTGCTCCATGACGCTATCCGGCTATTCTTTCGAGAGTTTGCAACGGATACTTCGAGTCGTGATGAGCTGCTCATCGAGCTTTTGCGGCTCGCTGTTCAGTACGGCCACGTTCAGCTCGTTGGGTTCCTTGGCGCGAGGTATCCATCGGTTCTTCATCGAGCACCGGAGGCATGCATTGGACAAAATACGGTCTTGATCTACCATAACCGGATGGAGGAAGGAATCACCCGCGACAAGGCCGCTGCCTTGCTTACTGAGCTACTGAACGTGCGTGCTCCGGTCGCGAACAGCACCAGGGAGCATGCAGGGACCGTAGCACCTAATGCAGGCAGTGCTACCGATGCAGTTGCTGGCCATGAACAGAAGCATGGCAGTCGTCGTGCATCCCAGGTCAGTCGAGGACGGTACGGCCTTGACGCCTCCAGCGTTTCATCCATGGATGACGACTCGAGTCGGGCATCGAAGCGGATTAGCGACGGTTTGCCAAGCCCAGCGACCTTCTTTCCAGGGGAGCGCATCAGAGCATTCGACGAGCGCAGCCCAGCTGGAGCTCCCAGCGATGACGCGTCCTTTGTACGGATCACCATCACGACGCCGCAGCACCAGCACCAGCACCAGCACCAGCACCAGCAGTCCCCGGCTCGTATGTTCGGCACTGAACCCCATCAACAGGAGGCATGTTCTGTCTCAGTGAATAGCGCTGGTGCAGCGTCCAGTGCGCGAATACAGCATGCCTCGCTGCAGAGGCAGTCGGCTGGCAACGCCTCCAACGAAGCGACACCGGCGTATCTCCTCAGAGGTCTGGGCTCTATCCGGCAACCGCTGCTGGTACAGATGCTGAACTGGTCTGTCCGCGAGCGCTACGCGATCTTGTTGCAACTGTTGCTCCAGCTCGGCCTCGCTATATCCCAAGCGAATCTCAACGAACTCCTTCTTTGTGCGGTCGAAGGAAACGATCTCAACACCATGGATGCATTCCTCGAAGCGGTTACCCGTAGTCAGCGGAACGAGAGCGTTCATCCGGTTGTTTTGGACCCGACAGCTGATATCCTCGTGCGAGCACTCGTCCTGGGGAACACGGAAATGGCCCTACGTTTGCTCCGTTTGAACCGCTCGATCAGCGTCTACCGCCGAAAACTGGCGATGAAAGAGCGAACTCAACTGCTTCTGTTGGCAGCCGCTGAGGGCAAGGCTGAACTCGTGAAGCTCTGCATTCGGGATCTGGACGTGGACGTGAACGCTACCGATAAGGACGGCTTCAGTGCGCTCCAGCTGGCACTGCGTCCGCTGCATCCCGAGCGATTATTGCCGCTCGATACAAGCGCTATTGGCGAACAAGTGCCGATGGCGTCGCTCCAGCGCATCCAGACGGTAATCGAGCTCATTGAACGGGGTGCCAAACTCCAGCTGCTCGACGAATTCGACCTGTTTCTGGTGCTTCGAGCACTGGCTCATGCACAGGACTCGGTTGTGGCCGCCCTGATGCGAATCACGGAGTTCCCTGATGATGATCATGATGATCATGATCATGAGCCCGGTTGCCTCCGGCGTTTCGTTCAGAGTCCATTAGGGGTGCGCATCCTGCGCGAGTCGATCTCTATGCTGCAACCGGTCGTGACGGGCATGTCGCCTACGTTCAGTGCTCGCAGTGGAACGCATGAGCAGCCCCGAAGCGACCGGTCCAAGTTCCAGAGAGAACCGGATATCCGAGGTATTCGGGGCAACGCCCGTCGTCGTGTCCCGCTGCATAGCGATGCTTCATTGGATCATGCAGCGCGTCACGAAGATGCTGCCTACGCTGTTGCACGCTTTCTCGTCATGTACGAGGAAACGCTTCTCTTGCACATGTCCGTGCGAGAGCAGTGGCAGTTCCTCTTTGCCGCTGTAGCTACGGGTGATCGTGCTGCACTGCAAAAGCTTCGCGGATCCGTTTTCGCCGAAGCATTTGATCCAACCGCCTGGAATGATGTGCACGGGCGCACGTTGCTCGATGTTGCTGCTACGCTGGAGGACGTTCAGGTTGCAGAGGCTGTCATGGTGGCGCTGACGGAGCCGTTCGTCGTAGCTCCGTCTGTGGAAATCCTGGTGGAATCGAGTGATAGCATTGCTCACACGAGTGCCAGTACTGGTGGCACATCCAAAGGTGACACCGACGCTGAAGCCGATGCTGATGCCGATGCTGATGCTGATGCTGGTGCTGGTAGCCTTAGCGCTGCCGTCGATCCATCGACACCAGCGATGAGGAACGGTACCCCGACTGGGTCGGCGGCGGCAGTGCATGCGGCTCGAGCACCTGCATTCACCGCTCCGCTGACGACACCTACGGAACGTCGTGTATTTTACCCCGAAGGCGACGCGGATACGTCGCAGGGCGCACATCTGAGCCCGGCACCTCGATCCACATGTTCCCGTAGCGACCTGGGAAGTGACCTGGACCAGGAACGGACCGCTCTGCCCGCATCTGTGCGACATCCTACAGAGGCGACTCGCCAGAGCGCCTCGCAAAAGGATAACGCCGAACGTGGTCCAGTAGTCGTCACGAACGCAAGCCCCGAGATACCTCCAGATACCACTTCCGAGACTAGCGACCTAGCGGCAGAGCAGGCACGACGCGAAGCCCTGTCCGCGCCGGGCTCGCCGCTTTCCCTCGCACCGCCAGACTCGTCCTTGTCGTCGTCATCGTTGTTGTTATCGTCTGCAGGTGTAGACGCGAGCGCTCCCATTGCAGGCGGAACGGGGAGCGGCACCTCCGCTGCTCGTACTGCATTCGCGCACAGCACCGCCACCAGCAATGTTGCGCCCAAAGCAATGGTACTAGAGCGCACAGGCAGGTCAGCTCACGAAGCGGGACCTCCAACTACGGAAACACAGCTAGCGTAAAGCGGCCCTGAAGAAGCACGGCTGGCGCTGCCTCCAACGCCAACGAGGAACTCTCTCGTTCAGGCAATGCCGCCACGACCGCTGATCCCTGAGCCAAAGCCGCTGCCCGCACTGCGCAGTGATTCGCTGCTTTCCGACGACCTGAAGATATTCGATGACGACGACGTAGAGCTCGGATCCATCACTATAACCGTTGTGAATACCGAGCCGCTCTCCCCGTCGTCGTCGTCGTCGTCGTCGTCGTTGTCGAGTCCTGGAGAATGGCGAGCGCAGCGAAAGCAGCCAACGAAACCGCCCTCGAGACGTTGCGGTCACTGGTGGCGCTTCCGTCGCTCCACGAGTCCATGAGCATACCGCTCACTCGATAGCAGAGACGTGGCGTATGACGTCTTGCCTGGCCCATGGGCTCATCAGCAGGCGCACAATACCTAGCACGAAAACGTAAAACATCAGGGATCGTAACGCACGTCGCTGTAGTGTTCTCGCGAATGCTTGTCGCAATTCGATACAGAGCAACGTTCCGTCTGTGCTGGTTGAGAAGAGGAGCCACGAGCGCGACTGTTCTGAAGCGACGAGGTCATCCACAGCGCTGCTTCGGTGTTCGGCGACAGGTAGCACCAGCAGCGCGCTCGCGGGCAGGCCGTGCACCAGGCGGGGCGCTGCTCCCGCTCGCAACCAGCGCCGCGAGAAGCGCTGCACTTGTCCTGTCATGCGTCCGCTATCGTGGATCCAACTCGAACACATCAGCGGTGCTCGTGTCGTGCATCCAAAGGGCACCTCCACAATCCACGCTTGAACGTGTCCGTTCACCAGCGCCACGGCGAGCACACCGATCTGGGCTGGTGTCGTGGACGATGGATTGGGTGCAAACCAGTCCATTGCCGTAACTGGCTGTGCTTGCGGCAACTTCCAAGTGCGGCGCAGGTTCCAGTCTTCCCGGTGGCGTGCGTCTCGGGACGAGGAACCGCATTGCCATAGTGCGAATGTCGTCGAAGCGTCGTCGCCGTCCCAGAATGTCGTGATCAAGGTGTGCGCATCCAGAAACACACATGGTCCAGGTGATGACGGAGGCGCTAGACGTGCACGAGGACGATGTCGACGCCCGCGTTGCAGTTGCGAACGGCATGCTTCGTAGCACCGGTGGTGGTGACGGTAACGTGCCTTGCTCGCGAGGATCAGCATGTTGCCACGAGGTGCGGGTGGATGCTCCCGCACTGGTTTCGGTGCGCTTGCACCCAGGGCGTCAGTGCACTCGGCACCGTACAGCGGTAAAATGACCAGTGCGAGCCGGGCGCTCGAACGGGCATCTCGAGGCGCTTGTCCCGAGATACGATGCGTCCTCTGGTCGCTCTTGGTTCCGTGCTGAAGGACGGCAGCAGCAGCAGCAGCAGCAGCATCTTCGGTATCCGCTGCAAGGCCTGTGATCGCAAGCCACGATCCGTCGCTTGACAAGGCGCCACTCGAGAGACGGTCCATACCGTCGATTCGAAAGTATGCCCAGAGCGGAGCATCAGCGTTGCTCGTATCAAACTGGAAACCAGCGGGAAGTCGAATGCTTTGGTACAAGGCCTGAAGCGACGGTGCATTGGGCGAGTCATTCAGGTGCTTCTGCTCTGCAAAGCGTCGTGCACTGGGCCAGTGCAGCAACCAGACGCGGGCCTCGTCGTCCTCGTCGATGCCAGCTAACCAGGGGCCTGCGGCACCGATCCATCGCCACACGAGTCCTGTTGACACATTACGGGTTTCAGAAGGCGAAATACGGTTTCTTGCGGGGGCAGCAATTCGACCGCGCTGCTGCGTGTGCGCTGTGGTGTCCGTTGATATGGTTACGAACTCTACACAGGCAGCCGCAACGATAATCACAAGCCAATATCCAGGTCCGGGCACAGCGTGTACATAGCATGGTGTCTCTTCCAGCGCGAGGTAGAGCAGGTTTTCGGTTTCCGAGTCGCACCCGAGCTGGTGCAAGGATACGAACCAGAGTCCGTTTGGCACGCCAGAGCGAGTCTGACTACCGCCACCGCCTGCAACAGCAACGCCTTGGAGCGCTTTCCGAGTAGAGTGCTCCTTGTAGAGTGCCGTAATCGTCAGCAAAGGGGCCCGGAACACCAAACGCCGGCCTGTAAAGGAATCGAGCTGAGGCATGTCAAGCGCGGCGAGCCAGCGTCCAGTTCATGTCTGTCTACTTGGCCGCCTACGAACTACGCTTGGTGCCGTGGAGCTTGAACTAAGGCGTAAGACACTCGATTTGGTCGTGTGTCAAAACAGGTACACCGCCAGTGACTGGTCTAGAGGAGAATAAGGGCTATGTTGTATCGACGTGCGGCGTTACACGGGGTGTCGACCACGAACGTGCCGTACACGATGATACATCCAGGGTAGCATAAAGTATGACATATTCTCAAATTCGACTGGAAACCTCAAAGTTTGACACGCTCTTCGGGATCATCCATACCAGATTTCGCGTGTATTTCATGTGAGTGCTCATTTCCCTCCAGTTCCGTTATCAACTGTCGAAGGTCGATACTGGCAGCATTGCAGTCCCGATGCAGCTGCTTCAGGCATTTTTGTTCAAAAAACGTTTACGTTGACCAGGGACCCAGGATTGCGAGCTGGGTACAAGCATTTGGGAAAGCGTCCATCATGATGCGCCCTACCTCCATGTTCCATTACCTGTTCTCGGATGCACTGGTCGTTTTGTGCATTCAAGGACGCTAGCGTCGATTCGCACAAAGTGCTACTTGCTGTTGCATAATGGAATGACGTTGAAGCGCTTACCCATTACGAAAGCCTTCCGCTTCTCCGAATCTTCACGTATTCCCCTAGTGAGCTCCATCTCCGCCTGGCGTTCGAGTTCTCGCTCCAAAAACACGGAATAGCGCTGGACGCGGGGATAAAATCTTTCGTCATCTTTTTCATCTCTGATACTTTATCCGCTGGGTTGACAAGCCCCGAGTCTGCACGGTGCTCCTGAATAGCCGCAGGGATTCCAGAAGGTTCATTCTTTCCTCTGCGTGATGTCTTCTTGTCGGCAAATTCGATCTCCTGTTCATTCCGACTATCGTTCTTGATGCCGTCGATGATGGCCCGTATCCCTATGCGAGACAGCTCCGGGTCGAGGGCAAAGACGGAGCGTATCATGAAGCCTTTGAGGTTCATGGTCACGTGGTTCTTCAGGTTCGTGAGGTACTTGATCGCCCCGTATTCGTAAATACGCGAGTCTCCCGTGTATCGAGTATCGTTGGAGCGGTATTTGGTGTAATTTTCGTGGAGGGCACGAACTCGCTCATTTCTCCTCGACGTTTCCCCTGTTCCAACCATCAGGTGACGAATGAAGGTCTTGCCGAAAATCTCGTCCGGAACCTCGACGGTTTGGATGTCCGTCACGTCGCGACACATCACCTTCACCACATGCATCATTCCTGAACAGGCCTTTCCAATACTCCTGGAGTACGAATCGACACGGTTTCTGATGCCCTCTTGCAACTTTGCCCTGCACGGATCCTTGACGCAGCGTAAAAGACAGGCTTTCACTTCCATCTCGTCGTACTGTCGTTTTCCCTGCAGGTTTTGGTGTCGGCCCTCGCCGCCTTGCTTCCTGGTCCTGTGTTGTTCCTCTTTGGTTGGCACTGTTCTTCGGTTTTTTTTTGCGGCAGCCGGCGATACGGGGCCCTCCAGGATCCTCCACTTCTACAACCATATTTTTCCCGATTTATCTCGACTATTTTTCAAAACAACGCACTTTGAAAGCTTCTGCTACAACCCGCGAAAAATCGCTCGAATACACTCACTTGAGAGCTGACACACAATTGAACTGAGAAAAACATACTCTCTTGTGCCTTGAACGCAAATACATCTTGTTAGTCAGAGCAATACGCTCATGATCAGGTTCGCGTTTCCCCTCAGCGGCGAGATGCACATGCTAGGTCGCATGCCTGCCAGATATGGGTGTGCGCATCTCGAGCGCACCATGTACAAAACGGATCATAAACCAAGGACTAACTACCAACTGGATAAAATGTTCTTTCCCCTCTACGGTAAACGTTCAAAGGGGGGAAATGTTTCCATATTTCGAACGTTTACCTTCCAGGCGGAATGTCCTGCGAGCCGGACAAGTCTGCCAGGCTGGTGCTCCATGCTGCACCCAGTGCCTAGTACTCTATTGAGATCTGAGTAACTCGTCGGCAACGCGGTTTATTCCGAGACCAGGTACACTTAGACTGCGTCTGGGCGTCGCCAATATGACGATTATCTCGTAGCATATCGCTTCGCGCTGCCGCAGCCAGTGCGTCTGTCTACGCAGATCGCTGGATCCCAGAATGATCATGAATCCTGATCCCTTATCAGATGGACCGCGCCTCGAGCCGAAGTCATCAGTGGTACAGCAACGCCGCGCTGTCTCCGCGCAGCATCTGCTCTGTCGGTGTAGACGCTTCAGCAGGGTGCAGCAAAGCAGACACTTAGCGCTCGATAGAACGTACGAAACGACCAGTGCATCCTAGCGGAAGCACAAGTAATGGAACTTGGAGGTATCGTGAAGCATCATGGACGCTTTTTCGATAACGAATACCTACCCATCCCGCAATCTGGGATCCCTGATCACTGGGCACTTTTTGACATCTGAGAAAAAATCCCAGATCGCAGATCGATGCGCAAAGTCGAGATCCCGCCGCCGCCGCCGCCGCCGCCGCAGTCACTCAGATGGCAAATCTGTCCCATTTCCCAATCTGTCCATCCCAGTGCCTCACGACAACCTGGACAATACCGTCGTGGCACTCGCAGGGCAGCTTGAAACGGGCCCATCTGGTACTCCTCGCGCACTGCGCTGCCAGCTCGAGACAGCGAACACCGAATACGCGGACGCTGTAACAGCTGGTATTGGCTGTGAACCCATTGGGGTCTCAGCAGCAGCACTCCAGAGAAACACGGGGGCCAGTGTCGTTTCCGGTGTGTTGCCATCGCCGGCGAGCGGGGCTTCTGCGGCGGCCACACCGTACGAAAAGCCGTGAGCAGGTGCTTGCTGTCACTATTTTGTGTGGAACCTGCGATCGTGGACGTCATCGCGTCTTTGGATGCGAGCAGGTGCGAACGAGAGCGAGCGTGCGCACGTTGATGAGCCGGTGCACGTCCCAGGTAGTGAGTGCGCTTGCGTAGACACAGGTGCGCAGGCAAGCGACGTGCCTGTCGCTGACCCGGTAAGCGATGCCGCCACCGAGCGCCAGGTTCAGTCGCTACAGAGCGCGCTGACCGCTGTCGGTGTAAGCGTTCCAGTTGAACGACCACAGACAACAGCGCAGCTCTTGGCGGAGCGCTACGCGCTCGACCTCAGACGGAACTCGGGCTGGAGCTCAGACTCGAGCGGCTTGGAAGGTTATCTCGCTGGCGCCGAAAGCCGCGAAGATAGTTGGATGCTCTCTAACGAGACAATAAAGCACGCGAGCTCGACTCCTGTAAGCGTTGACAACGTGGCAGCACTGCAGGCAGCGGTTGAAGCGGATGGGTTCCCAGCGGCGACCGGAGACGTTCCCGTTTTCGCTCGGCTGCAACAACTGGCTGATCACGATGGTGACGGTGATGATGATGATGATGATGATGACGAAGCGGAGTCTACTGGAAGGGCACGGATGAGCGATCAGACTACCCGGATCGAACGACGCAAAGCCTCTGGGGAAAGACGTCGATCGGAGGCGTTTGCCAAGTCACAGCGATTACTGGTGAGTGATGCACGCTGCGAAGCGCCCAGTAGCGACTCTGAGCCCGCTGACGCTCACATCGTGAGTGCATCGCTTCCGACCGAACTGCGCAGCAACCAAGACGTGATGCTCCTTCGGATGGAGCCACCCGAGTCAACGTCACTGGCGGGATGCGACCCGCATCGCCTACGCTATCGGTATTCGCACCGACGACAATATCGTGAGAGCGAGCATGATGCTCATCAGCACCATCAGTACCATTATCATCATCGGCAAGAGCATGAAAAAGTGCCGCAAAATCGATGGGAAATCCCAGTGGCATCCGCTTGGAGGCGAATGATCGGCGCTGGCGGCGTTGCGGCAACATCGTGGTCCACTGCCGGCACCGGATGGCTCGGTCCATCGGACCAGGCTACAACGCCGACGCTCCAGTGGCACCAGGTGCGTCTTATGGAGGGCCATACACAAGCGGGACGACGCACTACAAGACGCCTACACCGCACAGCGTCATGGGCGAGCCCGATCGGCACCGGTGCGGCACCTGCAACTGCGGCCGCCTCGGGGGGCAATGCGTATTCTGCCTTATTAGCGGGTGCTTTGGGTTATTTTGCTGTCTCTGGTAACGTGTCAACTATCCGTGGACGGTTACAGGCGATCAAGAAGGAGACTGATCACGAGCTGGCGCAGTTTATGGCACAATGCGAAGCAGAACTTCAGCAGGGGCAGGAGACACCCGAGCTCAGCAAAGCTGTTCGCCGTATGATGGATATTGCATCCGCCGTGTTGGCAACGTCCGCTGATGCGTTATTGGCGGAAACGTTTGTATCACGGGGCCATTCAACCGTAATAGCATTCAGCGGCAATCTGCATGAGTACGTGAATGAACTGCAACGAATGCGGATGCATGTAAGCTTTGTCTCGTGGACGCATCGCTCCTCGCCGGTGATTCACCTCCTCTTCACGCTATCGAGGCTGACGCGTTTCCTCGAAGCAGCCGCTGAGCGCATTGAATTTCGGGCGGAGAGCAACAGCCAGCGCGGGAGCGGCACCCGCCGAACGCGAATGTCTCAGTCGACTGGGAAGGGTTTCGGTTCGGAGCACATAGATCCGGCTGACGCTGCTCATGCCTCGTCGTGGTCATCGGGAACCGCGGATGAGCGTTTTATAGAGCCGGGCACGCAGCTGTCAACTGCTACAGTAGCGGCAGGCCGGATATCGCTCAAGTCGAGCCTGAGCAACCATGTCGCTGAACCTGCAGCAGGAGCACAGCGCGCAGTGGAAGACTCGTATGCTGCAGCGTATTACGAGCGAACGGAACCTACATCGGAAGCGCAGCGCGCACTGGAAGACTCGAATGCTGCAGCACGTGTTCATGAACCGGCGCCTTGGGCCAAACCGCAGCCTTCGATAGCGGTTGCACGAGATGCTTGGACGTTTCCGCCGCGTCGTTGTGTTTCCTCGGTATGCCTGTCATCCATGGAAACGAGGCCGCGCTCGCCACCGAACTTGGCGAATTCAGATGTGCATTTATTTACGAGCATACGTCCACGACAACATGCACGCGAGACAGGAGCACAAGGCGTTGCTCAAGCGACTACGATGCGTCTGGGAGTCGAACGAGACCCCAATAGAATCGCAGTGCTGGCGCCTGCGACGCATCTAGAAAAGTCGGAAGCAGACACGACGCAACTGCGCGCTGAACCCGACGACGACGACGACGACGACAAGTCGCGTCACACGCAACGCTTGACAGAACCGAGTTCTTCGCAGACTCTGGTACACTCGGGGAGCAGCAACGCCCCCGGGTTGCAAGCAGCAGCTTCGGAGGCGACGCAGCGTTCCACGCCCGCCGAGCGTCCATCGCTGCCTGCTGGGGTACTTGCGACCCTGCTGACTGGTAAGACACAAGCTCAGCGAGGCTACAGCTCTGATACGGTCGCGCTAGCTGCCCGGAATGAGGCGATTCATGTGCATCCAGTCCGAGCGATGAGAGCGCTGCAAACCACTGGTCGTGAGGGAAACCTTTCGCTCCGAGTCCATGGGCCATTCGACGTCTCTAACCTATCTGAAAAAGGAGCGCCCGCAGCAGAAAACAACACCAACAACAACAACAACAACAACGAAACCAATGAGCTAGCGAAAGTGCGAACAACAGAAGCCGACGCTGGCGGCTTGCACCGACCAGAGAACACCACCGCGAAACTGATCCAGCTACCTGCGGCTCGCTCACAAACCCCAGTTTCACTACAAACCGCGATGCCGCCATCCCCGTGTTCTGGAGCGGAATTCATTTCCAACGAAGACGAAGAGGCAATCGAGAAGGACGCGGACGCCGTGGAAGAAAACGAAGAAGTCACGGATCCGTATGCCTATCTCATTTGCCGCATCTGTGAGGAAGTCTACCCGTGTGAGATCTTCGAGGAGCACACCAAATGCTGTGCAGCGCGAGCGCGTGCAGCGGTGCTCATTGCTGCCTGCGATAAGCAGCTCGAGAAACTGGGACGACACGGGGCTCGCGCAGCGACCTCTTCAGCGTTCACCGAAGCACCCGCGGGCGACGTGTCTACTGCTTCTGTGGACAGTGCGCAGCAGGCGCTGCTATCGCGCGTGGCAAAACTCTGCCTCTACGCCGCAGCAGTTGAGCCGTCGGAGAGTTGCACGAGAATCAGCAGCTTTGTCCCCGCTGACCTGGATGATCTCGAGAATCAGAGCTATGAGCAAGTTCGCTCTTGTTTACGTCTGCGAACGGATTCAGATATGGCAAGCTTTCGTCCGAATCTAGAGGAGAATGTTGCACGCGCGAAACTGGAAGCCGTTCGTTCTCGGTTGGAACACGCCCTGCAAGCCTGCCAGGCAGCGACTGCCAATACGACTAGTTCGACGATTTCTCGCTGGTGTCTGGCACTGGTCGAACGAGCACACTGCCTGGTGAGCCAAAAGCTTGAAGCGCTTTCCATGATACCGGCAGTGTTTGAACCTGCCATTGTCGCCGCTGACGACGGCAGCCTCGAGTCGGGAGCATTGACCAGTGATCTTCGCAGAGCCCGCCCAGCGGAGGATGTCTCCTGCCGCACAAGCGAAGACGCTGCCGCGGATGATGATCATGCCGGTGCCGGTGCCAGTGCCGGTGCTGTTGTTGATGATGATAGCGCTCGTAATTGCGATATCGCTGCTGCTGCTGCTGCTGCTGCTACGGTTGAGCCTTGTGATCACGTTCACTGGAAAACACGTGATGCAGCCGATTCCGCCTCTCCATGCGATGCTGAGCGTGGCCTCGTCTCTGAGGATGTACATCGCGGTGGCGACATCCGCTTCGGCAACGCGGCGAAGACCGACACTGGTGTCGCGTTTGCGGAAGCAGCGCACTCCTCCGATACCGGTTCGAGTCGCCGTCGTCGTCGTCGTCATCATCTCCAGGATGCACTTTGTGAAGCGCACGGCGCGAGTCAAAGTCGGAAGCAGGGTCAGCATCGCTCGGATTCGTCTTCGAGTCGCTTGCGGTCTTCCGGGGGCGCTGAAGTGTCCCCGTCCCGGCAGTCGCTACGAGTGGGTGCGAGTCCGCATCTGCATCCGGCGGTACCCAGTATTCGCGACTTTGACATTCTTAAGCCAATCTCTCGCGGGGCATTCGGAAGAGTGTATTTGGCGTCCAAGAAAACCACTGGTGATCTCTACGCAATCAAGGTGTTTCAAAAGTCCGAACTCGTGCGCAAAAACCTCGTTCGACGCGTGCGTGCAGAAAGGGATATTCTGGCAACCATCCAGAACCCGTTTGTAGTCCGCTTTATTTGGTCGTTCGAGTCGGCACGCAAATTGTTTCTGGTGATGGAGTTTCTGCCCGGGGGTGACCTTTTCTCGCTCTTGAGCAATCTCGGCTATCTCGATGAAGATGTTGCTCGACAATACGTAGCCGAAATCGTACTCGCTTTGGAATATCTGCATCAAGCGGGTATCGTTCACCGTGATCTCAAGCCGGATAACATTCTCATCGATCGGGATGGACATATCAAATTGACCGACTTTGGTCTAAGCAAACAGGGGGCATTGGATCTTCCGCACAGCAGTCCTGCGAGCACGAGAGCGAGCCTGTCGCCGGGCACCGACACCCTGTGGCAACGGGCACTATCACCGGCGGGGTTCGTTGCTCGCTCCGCCAAGGCACCGGTCAGTGGTTTGAGCGCCATCTCCGGTGCAACTAAGCCGCGGTATGATACATCGGTTGGTGCGGGAGCGATTGCTGGTGCCGGTACTGGTCCTCAACAGATGCATGGAGCATCGGGAGTACCCTCCAGTCAGTTGTGCATGGATTCCATGAGCGTCAGCGTGATGTCTGGATCGGGTTCCGAGGTCAGGACCCAGCGAGGCTCGTCCACAGTACCCCTGCAGCGTGACGTGGATATGCGTCTTGTGGACACGACCACGAGTTCCGTACAAGCTGGCACACGCACAGCCGGGCGACAAAACACCCTAACAGCGTCGGATGCACGCGGTCAGTTTTCGGCTGCTGCGAGCACTGGCGGATCTGGGTATGCCGGTCCGTTTGAGAGCCACACAGGGCACTTGTGGGCGAATGGAGTCAGAGGTGTCCGTTCTCCGTCACCTCAGACGTTGGCAACCGAGAGTCAATCGGGTAGCCCGGTTGGCGGCACCACGGTGGTCGCACCTGTGGAGCCGCCGCTGGGCACTCCCGACTATTTGGCTCCCGAGCTGCTGCTGGGAACGGGTCACGGTTTCGCTGTGGACTGGTGGGCTCTCGGTGTTGTCCTCTTTGAGCTCCTCGTGGGCATCCCTGCCTTTCACGCGAGCTCTGTGCGTGGCATCTTCTCGAACATATTGTCGGGTCGAATCCAGTGGCCTGACGATGTCGATGAGGCCATGAGTGCCGAGGCACGTGACCTCATTCAGCGTCTTTTGGAGCCGGATCCCTCCAAAAGACTGGGTGCTCGTGGTGCAGCAGAGGTGAAAGCCCATCCCTTTTTCCGCGATGTTGATTTTGAGCATGTAAGGAATCAGCCACCGGCTTTCGTACCCCAGTTTGCTGCCGCCGATGACACCAGCTACTTTTCGTCGCGCAAAGCGGTCGGATCGCTCTCTCCTGACGACGAGAGCACCCAGAAACTAATGAGAACGCTTAGCGAGCACGGCCTGGGCGACGTAGAACGAGCAGAAGCATTGCCGTTGCTGGTGACGGCCTCGAAGTCGCATGTTGCGTCCGTGCCGTTGTCGTTGTCGTCGTCGTCACGGATGCGTGTCCCCGAGACACGCACCGCAGCGATCGCGTCATCCGAGGCTCTGCACGCTTCGGAGCCTCGCTGGAGTGACGTAGCAGCGCATCCTGAAATGCGACAGGGTGGACAGTCTGTGCACGCTTCGGAGCCTCGCTGGAGTGACGTAGCAGCGCATCTTGAAATGCGACAGGGTGGACAGAAGGTCATGATGCGCTGGTGCGCTACGGCGGATTGCTGGCCGCGGGAAAATCCCACGGATGGCGACTGGCGTAGCGCCGATGAGGGCACTGCGGCGTGCGGCATGCACTGTTCTACATATGGGAAAGTTTGTTCCACAGAGCCACTTGCGACCTCGAGCAGCGCGTGCTGCTACGGTGTCTCCAGAGCACCAGCGGCGCCTGGCGGCATACGAGAGCCGGCACCGCGCTCGTCGCCGTGTGCTGCATCGGGAGCGCTCGATCTGGGGATCCCGGCTTTGCCTGCCGTTTCACATGATGCCGAGCGCCCTGTATTATCTTCATCGTCTGTCCGAGAGCAAAGTGCTATAGATACGACATGCGAACACAACGAGTCGGTATTGGTTGCAGAGCGAGCGTGTCGCTGGAGCGATGGTACGGCGCTTGCAGGGGTATCCATGGAGCCTTTGTCCCGTTCGGGAGCGGAAACTATGCCGCAGCGGTTGCTGCATGCAGTGAACGCGGAGAACTCGTCCCTAAGCGACCAGATCGTGGTGAGCGGCATCACAACATCGAGCCAGGCAACAGATTCGGCAGAAGGCATTGAGGATCAGGTCCGAGATGCGCCATGCGCTGACGGGCTCTATCGGCACCGCCCGGGATGGTCTCTCTCGTACACGGTACCCGAGCATGAGCTCGATGCAGACAAGACGCAACGGATATCCGCCGATTGCTCCATCGCTCACACGACGCGCACTCAGGGGCAGGAGACGCTCTCAGAGGCGACGTCGATAGCAGGAACAGGCGACGTAAGCACTGACTCCGACGGCGCTTTGGGTAGAGCGACGCAAATCGTCGCGGTACCGGATTCGCCTCATGCCGTGGGAGTCTCGGGGAACACTGGTGCAGCGGCTTCGGCGATGCCTTCGGAGCCAGCTGGAACTCAGTCGGAAACTTCGCATCCGGAAATGGACTGGAAACAGACGGAAGTACCGAGCTGGTCATCGTCTGCGACTTGCTCGACGGAAACAGGGTGGCGACGCGTCGACATGCGGACCCTACGCAATCGACGGCAACGCTCCCGGGAGCAGCTCTTGCAGCATTGTTTGCGTCGACGAGCGCCTACACGCGGCTGGCTTTCGGAAACAGAACGGGATCCGTCGGTCAGCACGTCCGCCGATGAACAGAATCGAGAACGATCGGCATCGGTATGCACCAGTCCAAGCGTTCTACGTTCATCCAATGTGCGTTTGCGTGGTAGCGACGCGACGAGCGTAGCAGTTGTTGCGGCAACAACACCCACGCGCAATGTTTGGAATACCAGCGACGGTATGCTTTTATTCGAAGATTCAAGTAGCGACTCGAACCTGTGTAGTGAGGGCGATATCGAGAACGACGACGACGACGACGACGACGACGATTTCAACAACAACAACAACAACGCCGTGGATCCTTTTCGACGAGCTACGCTAGCGCGTTCCAATATAGGACGCGAGGGCAGCGCACCAGTTCAGGCGAGCGCTGGGGTTTCGTCTTCGGAAAGGCCACCAGAAGCGAGTTATAGCGATCCGAATGTGAACCTTGCCAAATCTGGCCGACGAGCACGCTACAAGGCAAACAGACCCTCATCGAGTGAATCGCAATGCGTGCTTACCTTGGCAGATCCCGCTTTTTCCGATTTCTCCTTTCGTAATCTGGACAGTCTCGAGGCGATGAACCTCGACATGGCTCGAGTTAGTCGAGCACGAAGCGCCACCAGCGGTCGGAGCAGTAGCGTCCCCAGCAGGCGTCACCCGGTGGCGTCGAGCTCGGACAGTGCGTCACAGACGTCGCGTTCTGGACTGTAGGACGTTCACGAACACTCAAAGCGCTTCACCGTTCAATCAGCTTCCATGAAGGCGCTCTTTTAAAGCGTGGACGATTTGAGTATCGACAATGGACGTCGCCACCTATGTGCAGCAGAGCAGAGGCTGCGACTCGGTTTCCTTGACGCAAGCGTTTGTTGCATGGTGTACCAGCGCTGTTCTTCGAGTCTCGTCTAGGTTTACTGGTACGGCACTTGGACGTATGGATCTTTTTCATGTCGAGTATTTAGACTGGGCAGCGTGCTGCAGTCGTGGGCATCAGTTTTGAGGTAAAACAGTTCATCCCTTCTAGCACGCTGACGTTTCGATGTGCGGCTTGTGTACACCCGCGCCTCGACGCGACCGGTTCACCTAGGGAGAAGCGATCCAAAGGGTTCAACATCTGTGCGAGATGTTCATTCTGTAGATATCTGCATATGATGAATACCACCGGACGCAACCGTTCCTTGCAGCGTGCGCGTTGATGCGGCCAGCACCGAGGTACACCGAACGATATCCCCGCTCGTTCAGCGTGGCGTTCCCAGAAAAGCGCTGCTCATATCCATACAGTTTCTCGTGTGCGTGTACGAATCGAGTCTGATGACGCCTTGACAATGCGAACGTCGTCATGAGGGTGCACTACCTGCTAACAGCGTCGCGCGCAAGCTCCTATGTGCACCCGCGGACGCACGTGCGTAGTTGCCCTTTCGCCGCTCTGTATGCGCTCGCCGGTCAAGATGCTGCTGGGTAACGTCCACACATAGGCGGAAAACGTAAATTCCTTCCCGCTTATTTCGTGCCTGGCCCAGAGGTTCTCGTCTCGCAACAAGAAAGCCAGATCTGACGAAAGCGAGTACGACAGTGCTCGTCGCTTCACGAAAGCCATCGCAACATACAACTGATCCACTCCAGTCCTGCTCATGAAACGGACGTAATCGCTAGTGCTGGCAGTCCGTTGCACGTCCCTGCCTGGTTATGCGCGGTTGAGGGCGCGAGCAGGGCGCCCAGCAGGGTCCGCAGTATCCCGTGCAACACCTGCTGGGTACCAGCGCTCCAGCCCATGAACTTGTACGGGGGTTGCTCAACGCAGCGGGCTTGGCTGTCACGATATCTGCGGCTGCCACCAGCTACCACGGTGTTTTCACGCTTGATCGGGCACGCCCCTCTCCAGCTTCGAGACTTGACTCAGGGAGCTGCAGTCAGCGGGCCGTTCCAGAAACGCGTGCTTGCCGGCGTGACTGCGGTTGTGCTCTCGAGCGCCGTCAAAGGCGGTGTGGGAAAGTCTACGGTAGCAGTGGGTCTTGCAAGCGCGTTGCAGCAGGGACTTGGACTACGTTGCGGGATCCTAGACGCGGACATTTACGGTCCATCGGTTCTACACTTGTTGCGGGCGAGCGTCACACAAGCAAGCCGCGATCGCAACCCCAAGACGAGTCGACCACTCGTTCCTCTTGTCACCGAGTCTGGGCTCAAAGTATTCGGGCTGGCCGCTTTGCAGAAACGAGCAACCGAAGCGTTGGTATGGCGAGGACCTGTGGCCACCAGAGCGGTCCAGCAACTGCTCTTCGACGTGGACTGGGCGCCTCTTGATATTCTGGTGGTGGATACCCCGCCGGGGACCGGCGACGTTCTCCTGACCTTGGCGCAACAGCTCAAGGTGCAGGGAGCGATTCTGGTCACCACACCGCCACAGCTGGTAGAGGTTCAGGTTCGCAGGGGCTTGGAGGCGCTTGCTCGCCTCTCGATACCGGTACTCGGCATCGTCGAGAACATGGCATATGTGGAGTGCTCGCGGTGTCAGCATAAAGAGGAGGTTTTCGGCGCGCCGGAACAGCGTGCCGCAGCGCTCGCACAAGCCGCTTCCGTACAAGTCCTCGCTCACTTGCCTTTGAACAAGACACTTTGTGAGGCCGCCGACCAAGGTCGCATGGCGCAGGACACTGCCGTGCAAACCATGTTCAGTGATTTAGCAGTTCAGGTCGCGACGCTGCTAGGCTTCCCAGTCTGAATTGCTTACAGGAGATGTTCGATAGGCCGATGGAGCCACGTCAAGCGCCACTGCGTCGTAGACTGGTCCGCGTCACCGGAGGATGCAATCCGCTCCGCTGGGCTCTGGATGGACATCGCTTGCGCTCGTCTGGAATCCGTGCAGTTTGTTTCACAGAATGTAGAAGAACGCAAGCCGGCATTATCATGTAACTGTGCATCATGTATTTACCCGTACAACAACAAAAAAATATTTAACGCGATGGATGACTGATCTGGATCAGAGGCGATGGACCCAGCATGCCTGGCTTGCCAGCAAAGTCGTCATTCGTGCGCGTCATGTCCAGGTCGTGACGCTTCACGCCCGCGCTTTCGCACTGCTGCTTTTCTGCAGGTCCTTTTCGCCGAGCGGGCATCGACAGGCTGTATACGCAGGAGCGCGAAAAGCTGATTCCACAGGATAGGAGTTGCAAATCATTGGAACTTGATTTCCTCGTATCCCGTTTGTTCCCTCTTATGTCGGATGTCTGTCTACACAGGCCGCTCGAGTCATCAATCATACCCATCACGGGTCATGAAGCACAGCTCCTGATCCGTTGCAATGTGTGCGCTAGCGTCGTGCTTCTAGCCAAGATTCCAATCGTCTTGCGTGTGTATGACTGGTGAACCGATCCAGCCGCCCGCGTAGCTGTTTCATCCAGTGCGAAGCGCGCGCTGTTGCGCTGCCGCAACACCGCTTGGGCGCTCCAGCGCTCCGCAGTTACCAGAGGCTAGTCACGTTTCGCTAGATTCCTTAGCATGCACCGTGAAAGGCTCCATAAACATGTCCTCCGTGCCACGCTGACAACCGGTAGGACGAGTTGCTCAAGTCTGTCTGGTGGCGCTGCTCTTGTTTCGCTTATCGAAAGCTCGAGTCGCGCGCGTTCATACCCAGTCCGGCTCGTCCACAGATTTCGTCTGCGTACCTCTCTGAATGGTTCTGGCTGCGCCTCGCCCCATCAGTCTCATGTCGGACTCGGTACTGCGTGCGATTCGATAGCCGAAACGCTCCCCGAACCGTTGCTGTCGCTGCGACTTGGGGTCCGATTCGTCAGATTCGGCACCCCCAGATCCTACAGGCAGGTACCAGAGCCAATCTCCGACATCTCTGTTGCCGGGATGCGGTATATCGGGCCAGCCGTCTGATTGGAACGGCACCGTATACGGCACGACGGTGAAGGTCGGCCTCCCAGAACGACGAGTCAGGCGGTCTGGAATCCCAACACGGCCTTCGACGTGACCATTACCCGCAAAAATACACAAGTGACCGCGGGGGTTCCGCTCTAGCCACAAGGCCGCCGATTCGCTCATGTATTCGTCCCAGAGCACCTGCGATTCATACATTCGCTGCAGTGCTGCCTCGTCGTTAATGAGTGGACCATGCGCTTCCACCCCCAACGCTTTCATCCTCTGAATAAAACGCTCACGGTGTGCAGCATTACCATGCACATCCATATCGCGAGGAAGCACTTCATACAAACGTTCTGGTAAGTGATCCAGGCCGTAGTGGGCAACCAGCTGCACCAATTCGAACGGAGTATTGAGACCAACAACCTGAATACGGTTTTCCCGTGCATACTCCAAAATATCCTGCCAAAGTTGCGCGCTATACCCAAAGGTAAGTTCGAAACGAGTAATAGCGAGTAACTGTCGTAGCTCAATCTTGCCCGCAATGTACCGATCCAGATGCACTTGATGCTGCCGATAGAAATGCTCCATGCCGATCGCAATTGGAGCTCCTGCAATCGACTCATTCCGCTGACCTCGAACATGCTTCACAAACGAGTCCAGCAACGCCAGTTGCACCCGATGGTGTTGTCGGTCCGTGTGTGTCTCCCCGACCAAGAGAACAGAGCGTGCTCCTTTATGCCGAATTCGCCTCGATAAGAGTCGCTCAGGTCGCGGTGGTAGAAAAGAGCCGATCATCGTGTCGAAGATAGCACCCAGTGGTGCCAAGCGCCCATTCACGGGCGCCGGTGGTGCCGAGTTTGAAGCCGCTGGCGCCACAGGTTTTTTCACACTGTGAAAGCCCAGCGTTGCCGCGCCCGCTGCGAGTTGCCACAGAAACTCTCGACGGCTGACGTATAGCATTTGTAGCCGACGCTCTGAAAGCGTCCGTCGACGAGCTCGAGGCTGTACCGTCTGCCAACGTGTTGCGCGTTGGCACGCGGCTGCGGAAAAGCCTCGTGGTTCTGGTGGCATAAAGGCAGTCGCGAGCGCTTGTCTCCAGTCAAAGCCGAGGGTATGAAAACATCCCGTCCGCCGTCGTTTTCGAGTTTGCTCCATGCAGCCAATAGCCATTCAAAAGTCGAACGTCGCCAGCGGTGCACAGTAGTAGCGGCAACGCGCCTTGGAGGAAACGTAGCCAACTGACGTGCAGATGCCTTGCAGTCTTTTGGGACAGGCCACCTTCTACTGCTTCAAATTTTTTCTCATATAGTTCGACTTTGGGAGGTTGTCCAACAAAACACCTTCTTGTCCACTCTGGAGGTCTATGCTCCACCACGGCACATCTCCTGATATTGATGGCGGCGTTAAAGTCTCGGTTCACGAACTCCATACGTTTCTTGCCATCATTCGTTGTACTCACTGGTGCAAGCAATCCACGAGCTTTCGCCCTCCTTTCCATTTGCTCTTCGGTCAGCGCTTCGTAGTTTTCTATAGCCGAAGCGCTCCACTGCCTCTGCTCAAACTCGACCTTTTGAAATGTACGTCCGAGCTCATCCCTTATTTTTCTAAAATGAACGCACTTATTTATGTGCCTGGGTGAGAACCATCCTAAAGGGAGAAGCACTTGCTGGTAAAAGACGGTATGTGTCAACGTGTCACCGTGTGATGTACGCTTCAACGATTCGCCTACTAGAGCGATCATTACGTTTCACGATGGAAACGCTCCGTCGATGGAGTTAAGGCACTAGGCGTACAGGGAAGAAAAGACCGGCTCTACCTCCGGCACGCGCAGCAAATGCAGTTACGTAAAGCGAAGAGTGAGATGCCTCGATATCCAATGGACGAACGTGATCAAACGTCAGAGGCAAATGTCTTCAATGATTTAAGCATGTAGATGCTGTTGTGTGAGCCTTGCCTACGAGCGAAACTGCGGCCGCCACTAGAATCCACTACATCTAGGACAGTTGATGTCATCGTCCTCATCGAATTTGATTGTACATAGAAGGGGGCGCCCCCGCCACGAATACCCATATACGCTCGGACCGTCTTTTTCCGAAGCGAGTCTCATCGACCGGTAAAACAAACCGATGATGCTCTGCTTCATACCGACCGCGACATTCTGAGAACGCTCTCGTTCCGATTTTGGTGGAAGATGTCCGTTCGTGAACCAGAAGTTTATTCCGACTGCATCCCAGTGTTTTCAGGATCACGCGAACAGGCAATTGAGAAAAGCGGCGCCCGTGCTGCCTACTATTGTTCATTTCGCTTTCCGGAACGTGTCCGGTGGGTTGGTTTATACCACTAACAGGTCGCAGTCTTCGAGAATATCGGTTGTTTTAATGCAGACCACGTGTACTTGCTTCGTTCAGTGTTCCTCAACCATATGGGTATTGTGGTATCACTGATCCGATGGAGAAATGAAACCCTCCGTGCACTGTTCAGCAAACAACATATTCTATTGGCGATTCGTCTACGATCGGTACAGTACATTCCATGGAGATTTCAACCGCCTACTGCACACCGCAGCAGACTTGCCACGAAACTGAGTTGAAAGACAAAAACTTCTGAGGCCGATCTCATAGCGCCCGTAGTGATCCGTTTCCCTGATGAGAATCGACGTTCGAGCGGGCGCCAGACGGGGACTCGTGAAACCGATCTGTCTGCATTCAGCGGCCCGCAGTGCTGCTGCTACGACTAGCGCCATTCTAGACACTCACAGTAGGACCTATACTTGGGAAGGTCGTGCGAACAAACCATTATTCACAAAGTGAAGTCTGGTCTATGGTTCGTAGAGCACTGGGGGCACTGGGCCCGCGCACTGTTTGCATCGATCGATACGCAGGAGCATCGCACTCGCTACAGATCCCTGGATCGATGCGTCGACCTCTCACCGCAGAAAAAAACATTCCGGTATCGTCCTGCATGCCGTACACTCATGTCGGAATACCGTGGGACGGGCGCTCTCACATAGCACGAGCGCACACACACACACACTGACGTATGGCTCGCTCAGCATTGTCATCAACACCAGCCATGGCAAGCTTTTTCTGCGACCGGTTCATTTTCCTCTCCCTTGTCTCGCGCTTCGAATACGCCGGTCCTACCTATCCCGCAAATTCTGTTGGAATCAGTCGTGGATACTGATCGCAGCATGAAAGCCCGTTTCCGCCGCTTCCGGTTGTTCTCTGGGGGTTCCTCGCACAGGCAAAAGTTCTGATCCAGGTTTCGTTCACCTGTTTCGCCTACTATGCAGACGGTCTCCATGCGCGCTTTCCAGCGGTGACAAGTGACTGCGATCAAGTGCTCCCAGGGATGCACTAGACCTTCTGCGGCTCCGAGCGCCGCCCAGAGTCGCACGACAGCGCGCTTCATCGCTCGGTACATGCGGTTGACGTGAACGCAAGGCTCCCAGCGCTGTTTTCCTCTGTATCCGCACAGAGTGCCGCGTCCTACGATCAAGGACTTCTTCGAGGCGATCCCCAAGGCAGGTGCCCGGTCCGCTGCATATGCGAAAGTGTGCGCATTTCCGTTCGATAGAGGATTTATGGAACACGATGTTATCCATGATTAAACACATATCGTAAGGAAAATTCAGGTTAGACATCAAGTCGAGGAGTTCCGATTCGTTTAGGCTCGTTTCAGGCGAAGCGACATGCACGCTCTACAGCCACTGACCGCTAGGCTCACTGAACTGCAATTCGAAGACCATTTTCCGTGCAAACCGAAGACAGACGATCCCAACCGACATACCCTGTGAGAGGCATGGTTATACTGCGCTCATTTCCGATTTCATCAATAACCAGACAGTGTAAAGCGTTTGTATTTCGAGCAGAATCGAGTATTCGGCATGAGACGTTCAGTACGCTATCAGCATGAGTAGGTCATAAAGTCGCTCACAGAAGAAGTCGAGCATTTTCGCTTTTCTCGTCTACTAGGCGGCGCAAGATGCTTCAGCCTCGAGTGGCCTTGCAACAGAAGGATCGAATTCCATACAATGCTTGATTTGGGCATGCTGCACCTACAGCCAGGACATGAGTCGACGCTAGTACGCAAGCATCGCATAACGATATCGGTTACTTTACGAATCCGGGTTCGAGTGCGACGCGAATCATGACGATTACGTAACAAATTCCGGTGGCAAAGCATCGTACACAATACTCCGAGAAAACATTCAAGAATTCTACATTTGCATAGTCGTCCATTCGAATTCATTCCTGAACTTCGAGTTTCTATGCCGTATTTCTAGACCAACTCTGGAAAAATTGAAAAGCGGGAACACAGCGAGTACTTCAGTGTTCTACTTTACGATAACTAGGGCATAGGGGAGCACGCGCGCCGCTTGCCTACTGTACCGTTCCCAGCGCGTTTCGCGGCTCGCTCGGCATCATTGCAACAGAGCCGTACCTTGCCTCGTTTTGCTGTGCTTTGCTGTACCTTGGCGCCGCTAAAAACCCTCTGTCCAGTTATGTCTTTGGGGAGCATGCAGGCCACGCGCAGCACAGCACCGTGTGCTGTACCTCATGGAAAGGTCCGTCTCATTGCCTATCGCTGCCGCTCTGTCTTGGTGCACTCATAGAAAGCGCTGAGATGACGTTGAGCGCGCTCGGTAGCAACGGTGCCGTTGACGAGGTCATGCTGGTACCGCGGCGATGAGACTGGAAGCGCAGCCCGTGTAGGCATGGCCACGCCTTCCTCTTACGGTATGTCGACGGCGACTGCACAGCTAGCGCAGCGCCGAGCGCCTGCAAGGGGCGCGGTTCTCAGCAAGTCGTCAGAGTGATCACACCTTTATGGTTCTGGGGAAGTTTTTGGCACGGAGCTGGTAAAAACGGAAGCATCGCCGAGCGCCTGCAAGGGGCGCGGTTCTCAGCAAGTCGTCAGAGTGATCACACCTTTATTGTTCTGGGGAAGTTTTTGGCACGGAGCTGGTAAAAACGGAAGCATCGACGGAAACAGTAAAGTCTCTTCCCTCTGGGCATCGATAGCGTTCTCTTCTCCATTCCGGTAACGCAGACGCTCTGAGCCGGCGGCTGCGTACAAAGCGAAGCCGCATCAAGCGCTTGCGACAAACCAGCGTGCCTGGAATTCCCCCTAGAACGAAAGCTTGCGCTGTGTTCTACTAGCGGTTTTAGATGGCGTCACGGGCTACCAGGTGTGTTTACATCACGGGGCTAAAAACATAGAAACAAGTTTGGATCGAGAGCGCTGCACAAGTCGATCACGCAGCTGCTTTCGAGTCAGCGGTGCGCACTCGGCTCAGGGGCGCTCCACCGGTTGCGGCAACCTCATACGTAAACATAAAGCCGGGAATGCTGCCGGCTCGGTTACGCCGTGCGGCACTTGGATCGCTCTGTTTGGTACTCACCTGTACTGCACTACCAACACCGAGCGGGTGCGAGGACTCATCGAATGAGCGGTTCAGGGCGGCGATGAGCGAGTCCATATCACTTTCAGTGAAGCGGCGATCAAAGTTACGCACAATCCATTCGACGCTGGACGGGTCGACGTTCGCCTTCTGTGCCGCGTCGGGGCCCAGTTGGAGCACATCCATAATCTCCTGGGGAACTGGCAATCTGCGCTGTTCCACCAGGTTCCAGTCGATTCCCGCAAAGAACGGGTGCCGTTTGATCTCGTCGAAATCGGTCGCAAACGCAGAACGGCAACCGATTCGCTTTCGTTCGTTCTTCTCCAGCAAACGCATGAGGAAGTCCGCGCTCGTCTCATCCACAAAGTCTGGGATACTCAGACGCGCCGTCATCGTAAGCGCAAAGCTGCGCTCCCGATCGCTGGAATAAAACGGTGGTCTGCCAACCAGCATGTCATAGAGGAGCACTCCATACGCCCAGATGTCGACGGAGAAGCCGTATCCATGCAGCAGACGAGCCCGTGTCTTGAGCATTTCCGGTGAGATATACGATTTGGTTCCACAGAACGACGACGCTCGTTGACGCACATATGCCGTCTCGTTGCCGTTGCCGCTGCTGGGGTGCTTACCTTCGGGTGCAGCATTGTCGTCGTCGTCGTCGTTGGCGGTGCCATCCAGGGCTGCTGCGAAAGAATTGTCCGGGCTTGCTGTTGTCGACGACGACGTCGATGAAGACGAAGACGATGGAGACGAGACGTCGGATATTGCGTGGCGACCCGGCTTGATATGGTGGGCGGCGTCCAGGTCACCGTCGCCGCTCAATGTAGCAGCAGAGCCAGCATGTGCTGGAACGGCTTCAAGAACGCGCGCCAGACCGAAATCCGTTAAACAAATGTGCCCTTGATTGTCGATTAGAACGTTCTCCGGTTTCAAGTCTCTGTACACGATATCCGCGCGATGCAGGAATTCCAGCGCGGCAAGGATCTCAGCTGCGATAAAGCGCGCTACCGGCAATGGCAACGATCGCCGAATGCGACGAAAGCGATCCCAGTCGATTTTTTCGCCCGCCTCTTCCCGCGCGCGGTACTGCCGTTCGCGATACACTGCAAACGCTGAAAGGAAGTGGAACAGGTCACCTCCCTCGCAAAAATCATTGACCATGCAAAGCGAGTCGCCAGTTTCAAAAGCGTACAAAAGTCGGACAAAATACGGTTTCCCTGTGACAGCTTGGAGGATGAGGCGCTCATCCACCATACGCCGCAGTTTGTCGCGGCTGCTAAAAATCATGCGTTTGTCGATAAACTTAATGCTGACTAACGCTCCCGAGCCGTGAAGGTCTCGAGCGAGGGCGACCCGTCCGAACGCACCCCGTCCTAACAGGCAAATGAGATCAAAGTCTGCACGTGTGACCACGCGATGTGACGAATATAGAGAGAGCACATGATGCCAGTGGAAGAGCTCCTCCACGGTCTGGAATCGCATTCGAATGGAACGGAATTGGGGATTGTGCGAGGTTTCGTTCGATCGATGGAGAAATTCGGAATTCGGCTCCAACTGGAGAACGAGCGGCCCATCGTCGTTCGTATCATTACCAGATTGGCCGGATTTTCCGGCTCGAGCATAGTACTGGGAGACCGCATCATATGCGGATCTGCATGGGCATTCACTCGCCACAGACGAATCTGTACCAGAGGAACTCGAAACGCCTGCACCGGCCTGATATGTAATCGCACAGGCACCCTGCTCCTTTTCTGAGCGGCACAGATCCACCGTTCGACTGTAAACTGTACATCCAAGCAGAGGAACAATGGCATATGGACAGGGCATTCCTCGTGATTTTGCCTTATCGCACTGGTAGAAGATGAGCAAACCGGCACGAACCTCAGCCCAAAGCAGTTGCCACGGCTCACGCTGAGGTTTCTTTCGTACCAGACCAAAGGTCATCTTCTTCGCAAGTGATTCCAGCGACAATTTCCGCGGGATCAGCAGTTTGGAAAACGTCTTTGCTACGCGGCCTTTGTCCCGTTCGGCACCCTTCTCCCTGTGCGAGGGTGCTGGCGGGGTCCCCCCGCGACCCGTTGACGCAGCGGGCTTGGTGCCCATTTTGGAAACCGCTTGCCGAGAAGTCTCATTTTTTGATGTTTTTGTTATGGCTTGGTCCCGCTGCGTATGGTCGAATTCATGCGGTCGACGCTCTGCTGGGCTCGGGGATGCTTCCTGCTCCGAGTGGCTCGCTGCATCGACGCTCGCCTGCGAGCCGTCCGACGTTGACGATTGTACGGACGCTATCGCTACCCCGCCGGAGTCTCCTTGCTGTCGCGCGCTTTGCAGCTTTCTGCTCCCCGCGTGTGCAAACTCGGGAAGCAGTGGTCGATGAGGCACACTCCGCTGTTCAACTGAGAGGTTATTGAACTCACCCAGATCTGGAGATGAAAACTCGCGTCGTAACTTGTGTCTATCTACCTTCTCGTCGTCTCCCTGTGAGGGAGTTCGCTCACTCACCGCCGAAGTCACTGAAAGCGAACCCGATGAATCCCGCGGTAACGGGCGTGTAGGCACCGGAACAGGCTCCGAACTTTTCTTAGCCTCGACCCAGCCACTGCAGAGCGCCACGTGCGACCGCAGAATACGAAGCTGAAGTGCCTCGCGGCAGAGGTCCATATTAGGCTTTGGTGGTTGTGCCGCTTGCGCCATACGACCCCCAGCAGCGGGACGCGATGCAGGCCCGACCCAGGGGTAACGCGCCGGGGAGTCACGGTGCTCTACAGGCGGTCTCGCATCCTGTCCAGGTTGCGGCACGGGAACACGACCGGCCGTGCCAGTTACAGGAACTACCTCTGCTCTACCTAAAGAATGAGGGGCTCGTTGATTCTTTCCAGCCGCACTAGCCATCAAAGCAAACTCGAGCAGCCCCAGTCCTCGCTGTAGAAGATAACGAACGCTTCACGCAGACGAGCTTCCAGAAGCGCATGCATGCATGCGCGCACGCACACGCATGAGGGCTTCTCGACACCGCTGGCGATCGAATGAACGGCGGCGAACATGCGCTGCATGGATGCGATCCGCGCACGCATGCGATCCGCGCACGCATGCTTCCGAGATCCCGCGGGCGGCGAGATCGCCCTGGTGCGGCAGGCACGCAGGCGGAACCCCATGTGCAGCGACTGGTGAGCGCGTCGTTCATCGACGATTTGTTTCCAGGAAACCTATTTTTCAATGCAACTGTTGCATATGCTGATGACAAAATGGATTTAGGGATAAGAAGCATAGCGAAGAATATGTATACGGTCATTGTTGGAGTGCTTGTTTCGCACGAGCTGAAACGCTGCGCCGAATAGGTTGAAGTTAGAGAAACGGACAGGTCGATGAATCCGATCGTACACACGCATACGTCGTGAATGAAACAAAAAATGTCTGCCTACCATGTCGGGTACATTAATATCCACCCAGAGGTGCCTCCGGACGTTTTTTATCCGGCCCCGCGCCACCGGTCTCAGCTTCTCCTTGGGTGTTTCGGGTCTGAGAGGCTGCCGCACAAGCGGACTTGCGTCAGCTCCTCAGGTCTTTTCTGGAGCACCGCACATGGTCTGGTATGAATACCAGCACCGGAGTCTCGGTTCACCGATTCCATGCGTTTATTGCCTCTGAATGAACTCATCATATCGAGGATTCCTCGAACTCTCTCTGCCATATGCTGGTGTGTCAGCTCTCCGTGCTTTTGTATCGCCGAAGCACTCCGCAGGCTTCGCACCATCTCGACCATGCTTTGGTGCGGTTGAACCATGGCGAATACGGAAGAGTGAAAAGTCGCTCTATCCCGATAGAATCCGCATACGCTTGAACATATGCTAAACGGTGAAATACTACATTGTCCTATAGAGGGAAGTCACCAGACCTTAGCAGAAATGTCTGTAATGGTTCGCAGAAGTGAATGCTGTTGTATGCGTCTTCTCTACGAGCGGAAATAAGACCACCAAAAATGAATCCACTCCAGTTAGGATAGATGACGATGTCGTCGTTCTCTACGAGTTCCATGGTCGGTACCGTTGGCTCCTCTCACCTCGAATGCTTAGATACGCTCGGACCGTTTCGTCCAAAGAAAGTCTCATCTACTGGAAAATAAAACCAACGTCCCTCTGCTTCATAGCGACCGCGACGTTCCAGGAACTCCCCAGGGGCAATATCGGTGGAACGTAACCGTCCGTGACCTAGAATTTGTTTGTGACTGTACCCCAGTGATTTCAGGAGCACATCAACAAGCTATTGAGAAACAGAGACGCCCGTGGTGGCTATGATCTTCTCATTTTGCTTTCCGTAAGATGACCAACACGTCATTTTCTACCATTGACCGCATGGGCGCTTTGAGCATATCGGTTTTGGCGCAGAGCGCATCTACTTTTTTTTCATTGTTCCCAAACTACGTGCGTACTGTACTATGACTGATCTGGAGGAAGAATGCAGCCCTCCATGTACTGTTCAGTAAAGATCATGTACTCCACACGCAGTTCATCCACGATCTCTACGATACTTTGCATCGTGATTTCGATCTCGTTCTATACACCCCAGCAGCGGGGCTGGTACAAAAGTGAAATACGACAACTTCCCCAATGCGACTCTTGATCCCGGTGACACGCTGCCGCTCATGCGCAGGCAGCGGCGCTTCTCCACGTGCAATACTGGCTCTGGTCTGGACAAGCAAGGTGCCTGATCAAGGAGGTACCAGGCAGCAGGGCTGGATTCAGTAGGAAAGATTTCTGTATAGCAGCACGCTATGTTCCTTGCCCAGAAAGCCCCAGGTTTTCGGATGGCGTGCCTGCAACGCACTCAGGGAGTCCAGCGCCGAGCACGCAGTGGACGCCTTCGTCGGGAACGGCAATCACGACCGGCAGTCCTAACCGTGCTTTCGTCAGCCGCTTCTCATCGAATTCTTGTAGTTGGTGGCAGTGGGCGTGTTGGCAGCGCTGTTACCGAGCACCTTGTGAAGAAAGCGTACCAGCTCGGTGTAGCACCGAGCGTGCGCATCGACCTCGGCAGCCGTGACCGCGAGCGTGGACAGGCGGCTGCCCAGCGTCTTCGGCAGCGTCTCGCATCGGATGTGGAGCGCTCCGCGGTCCAGGACCACGTCCAGCTTGACTGGTCCGAATATCGCCCTGAGACCCTGGTAGAGATACTCCGTCCATACGACCTGGTTATCCACACAGCAGGCCCGTTCCAGAATCGCGAGGAAAAGGCTGGCCGTCTCCTAGACGCGTGTATCCGGGCTGGAGTCGCCTACCAGGATGTGGCGGACGATATGCATCATGCCGAATGGTGCCGCAAGCGCTACGCGTCTGCGGCGAAGCAGTCGAAGATCAGTGCTTGGATAAGTACGGGTATCTATCCGGGTGTGAGCAATCTCATGGCAGCAGACTTGCTCGACCAAATGACCGACCTACTGGGAGAACGAGCCGCTCCAAGTAAATTCGGCATAGCATTCTCGTACTTCACTGCTGGCTCTGGTGGTGCCGGTGCCACGATTCTCAGTGCGACCTACCTGTTGCTGGCAGAGCCGGTGTACACTGTTGAAAACGGTGAGATTCGCTGGAGACCCGCATTCAGCGATCCCCAGCGCATTGACTTTGGCCCGGCATGCGGAGGTCATCGCACAGCCTACCTGTTGAACTTGCCGGAGGTGCGCTCTGCGCATATAGTGCACGGAGTTGGGCACGTGGAGGCTCGATTCGGGACCGCTCCCGCATTGTGGAACGGACTCATGTGGTGCATGGCTCGTTACCTGCGACCGGAAATTCTCCGGAAGCGAATGACTGGAATCACTGTGGCAAGCCTGCCGCTCGTACGCCTGGTAGATATGCTGGTCGGGGCACGCACTGCTGTACGCGTCGACTGTTGGTACCAGGATGTCGTATCGGGGCCGGCGTCGCGTACCCATTTTCTCTACGTACATGACCGTCTGACGGACGCTGTTGGTGAGTGCACTGCAGCGTTCTCGTTAGCGCGGCTCTTTCCCGATAGACTCGGTGTTGATGTACCATACGAGAGTGGAGTCTGGTATCCGGAAGAGGTCTTTCGAACTAGGGCCTCGAGGAGAGCCCTCTTTGGGCTAGTGCAACCGAGTGCGCTCAGCTGGATTCGCACGGGAATGTAGGATACCCATGGATGCAAATTGACCTCATGAATTCGTTCCAGGGATGCGTGCGGTTGCACTGCTGTGCGGTGCTCTGAACATTTCCGAAAAATGCCGCCTAGAGCGTGGATGACGGGAAAACGCGGACCTTTCCGAAGCGCATGGCACAGAATCCAGTAGCATACCCGGCGGATGCCAAGTCGATAACGATAGTCTGGACAAGGTGCCATCAACAGGTGCGCATGCGCCTTTCTGTAGTGGACACTGGAAGCCGACGGTGCTCTAGACAGAATACGTCAACAAAAGCGATTTGGTGTATCGCTGCGATCCCAGAACATGAACTTGGCGTTACAATGCCGTATCCCTCCCACTTTATCGATTCACAAATGTACATAACAGGATTTCGCGCCTGCGTTTTCCGACCACGGATGCACAAAGTTCTCAAAGGTGCCACGGGTACATCGTTTCTCCAAAGGAGCCCAGACGCTTCCATTGAATCTTCTGGGACCCCACTCCGAATGCCGTGCTGCTGATTAATCGGGTTGCGCGTCATCGCGTTCGCCATAGAAACACTCGTGAACAAGTTCACTGTGCCTCGACAGCAATGCGTATGGTTGTCCTGGGATTCTCTCCAGGTGCGCAGCACGGTTTCGGATAACTCTTCAAACCAGCAAAAAAGGTCTTTGCCATTGCACCGTTCAAGAGACGCTCCTTACGCGCGCTCGTTTGCTTCGAAATGGACCAGGGCGGCAAGCCAAGCAAGTGCCTCGCTATTGCATCGTTCACCAAAAAGCTCCCTCCCTGCACGAGTTTCCATCGTAATGGACTAGAGCGGCAAGCCGCGGAATAGGGTGCGTTTTCGAGGCTGTGGTCGCGACGTGTCCCAGCGTTCGAGGTTCCAGTGACTCGGGATCGCGATCTCCACGGTGCGGAAAACATCGCATGGTAGCGGCTCAGGGCGACCCAGCAGACTGCATATGCTATCATAGTAGGCGTGGTTCCAGACCCGCGCCACAATTCGTGCGATGCGTCCCGTCTCGTCCAGCTCGAAAACCGTGTAACGAGCCATGCGTTCGGGATGCTTCAGGTCAATGAGGGTGCCAGAGCCGCCCTCCAGCACGAGGGTGTTCGGTGCATCCTTCAGCCATCCGATGTACGGCACGTGGTTATGACCATGGACCACGAGATCAATATTGTACGCTTTCGCTATTGGCGGGATTTCCGCCCAATCCTTCAAATCATGACCGATGTCACGAATGAGGGGCAACCCACGAACATCTGGGTCCTGTGCCGGATGGTGCAGAACCATCACCCGTAGTTGTGCCCGGTCACGCAGCTTTCTGCCTAGAGGTGAATCCATCATGGTGCGCAACAGCTTCCATTGTGACGCACCTACTTCACCTTGTGCAGTACCCGGAAGCGCGGTGTTCAACCCAATGAAAAGAACATCGCCTCGAAGCTGGATGAATGGGAACTCGCCCCCCTTGTTATCTGCATTTTGCTCAGTCGTAGACGATGGTGTTGTATCACTTGGCGTAAACCTGGTCGTTTGCTGAGGAACATCTACATCCGTGGGTTCCTCCAGGACCGCCGTAGACAGGCGTCCGCCGTCCCACAGTGGCTCTCCGAGCCTCGCCAAGCGAGCGCGTTGTTTCATCATCTTGCGCTCGCCATAGAGCCGCCGCAGAAGGCCTTGTGAACGACCGCTCATCCCGTTTACCAGATTCCACGCGTACGATGGTCGGGGAACATCGCTCCGCGCATACTGCCCAAAGTATTTCGAGAAGAGTGTCGGGCGTCGCAGTGCCTCGAAATTGTTGTAGAGGTCGTGATTTCCCGGCACTGCAGTTATTCGCTGCGGATCGTTAGCGGCGAAGTGCGCAAAAGCGCCGGCAGCGCGAGAGAACTCACACTCCAGCGAGAGATTCGTGATATCGCCCGCTAGGATTAAATGGTCTACATGCATATGTTCTTGCATATCCCGCAGTGCTGCGCGCAGAATGCGCTCGGAGAAGCGCTCAGGTCCACGCAGCAGCCAAATGTTCAGCAGGCCCAGTAAGCGTAAGTTCATAAAGTTCGTGACCGATTCCTGTCCGATACCCTCAGGATCGAAGATATGCACATCTGATATGAGTGCTAGTCTACGTATCAGGCGTCCGGATCCACGAGGTCGTCTGGAGTTATCGCTTGCATCCGCGGTCGACGAGGCTGAAAGTTCAGTGAGGCCTGGACGCCACCGCTGCCGCTGCCTAACTAGTTTCGTTGATAGCCAGCTGTGCGCACTTCGTGAGCAACCCAAAAACCGACTACGGATAGCCCGAACCTCTGGAGAACTGGACGGACAGAGCTGGGACTCGGAACGTCCGCGCGCGTGCTTTCCGTTAGACGGCGAATGAGCATACGCCCACAGCAGGAGCCGCTGACGCCCGAACATGCGCTCGGAACAGACCCTTGTATCCTGAGTGAACAACTATCGATTACTGTATCTGTATGCTTCTCGTCGTGCAGTGACCACGTTAGAACCAACACCGGTACCTGAAAGGGACTCGCTCCCCGTGAACGTCGCGCCACCGTTAACCTGCGTGGTGGTGGTGGTGGTGGTGGTGGTGGTGTGGGCAGCCACCAGGTCTCCCCACTGACAGCACTTCTTCACACGAGCAGCGCACCTTGTCGGGCACTAACTTTTTCTTATACACTCGACAAACAGGACTAGTTGAAGTGTTGTCGACAAGCGTTGCCGTACACCCGCTGAGTACCGCGAACGAACAACCAAACAAACAAACAACGCTCACCCGTCCTTTCCGCAACACAGATACGATACAGAATACGGCATGCTGTGCGGAGCGCGAGGTGCGTTGTGTGCGCATCACAACGCAGGTGCGATTTGTCCCAGTTACATGCGTCATGCGCCATCAGTCTCTGACTTTTTCGGGTGTTCTCCGCAGCAGGGTCCACTTTCTCTCCCTTATCGGGGGCTTTAAATGAGCCGGTCGCTTCCTTGACTCGAGCTCCGTTGGTCGTAGTCGGAGGATGTAGATGGCAGCATTAGTATACAGATTCCGCTATTTCCGGTAGTTGTTTACGCATTTCGTGTACAGGCGGGAGTTGCGGTCTAGGCTCTGCTTGCCAGTATCTTCCTCTTTGTATCTAGCCTCAGTGTGCCTTTGTAGCGATGATATATGGCTGTATTCAGGTGTTTCCATATATCCACCGAACTTCGCAATGCTTCAAGCTTCGCCTTATGGCCCCGGACGGTTTCCTACAACGCTGGGTACATGTCCTTCATGAATGAAGGAGGCGCTCCTTGATGCCTCGCTCCGCTATCGCACCCAGTGCCGTGCCCGACAACTCCAGACATCTTTGAGGCGGTCTTCTGGGCAAGTATGCTGTGCGCGGCAAACGCAAGCGCTTGCTGTTTCACTCGATAAATCATTGTTGGAACGCGATGTTGTCCGTAATGGACCAAGTACCTACAGGAAAATTCTCGCTGACAAAGACGCAGAGCAAGTTCGCTAAGTCTACGCTCCCTTCCTGCAAAGCGATCACGCACGCTCCACTAGGCGCGATCGCTGCGATGATTGTAGTTCAAGTCTGAGACCCGTTCTCACGCAAACCAGAATCGAAGTGACGGGATCCCCCCTAAGCATATCCCATGAGCGATATCGTGGTGCTGTCGAATCTTTTCTTGTCAGTGGCCACTACGAAATGAGGAGTTGTTTCTCTACCGAAATCGGTTATTTTACGTAGCAAGTTCAGTGAAATTTCGACCTGAGCTTGCGATCGCGTCCTAAAGGGACGACGTCGTCTAAGATGCGGCGTGCATTGCTGCGCCTGCAACTTGCGTTGATAGAAAGGTTGAAGGCTGCCTTATTTGAACATAGTAGATGTCAAGAGAGGAGAAGAGTGGAGTTTTCTACGTATGAATTTACGATTGATATCTCTCATTTTGAAAAAAATTGTTGTTCAACTGCCTAGCGAATAAGTTAGACTTCGATAACAGAACGAAATCTAGCGGGAAAGAGTCCAAGGCGGCACTCCTAAAAGACGATCGAGAATCCAAAACCAGTACGGATGAGAACGCAAACCATTTTTATTTCTGCAGTTCTAACGTTGAGGCTGTGAGTCTAAAAAATTTCGGAAAACCCCGAAATAAGAAGCAGAGCGACCAATTCAAAGGTACGTGTTCGTCTGATACCGCTGTACTGCGAAGAGCAGGCTCGCTTCCAGCATCACCGGACTCGGCATTTTCAAGAAACAGCGGCAGCAGCTGCGAACGCTACCTTTAATAAAGACCCGGATGTTCAAGTTCTGCCGCACCACATTAAGATCAAAGAGCTTTGATCCCTTCTCTCACTCTGCGACCTGGAGTGGCGAACGACGCCCGCGTGGAATTTGCTCTACACGCTGGTGCACTCGGCCAGGAGTACAGACTCTTCTTCAACGAGCTTATTCGAGACGAGGTCGAGGTCTGTGGAGAGCTTTCCCCAAGAAAACGAGTCCTTGGATCAGGGAGCACTGCGCAGGTGCACTGCGTATGCTAACCCGCTGACGGGACAGCAGACGGTGCACGCGTCTACGGACGCCAAGAAGATAACGTATTCATCATATACGTCGCTTTGCAGGGCAGTGCTATTGCTCGCGAGCACCGAATACCAGGGCCACTGTTATGCCCTGTCCTAGAGGGTTCCTACTGATGTCAAGCTGCCTCTGGATTGATACATGCATCGTGTCCAGCGAATAGCGAGTAGCGTGCTCGGTTTGCACCAGCATTTGCTTCAACGTGCTGTTCGGAGGCTGGTTGCTTACTGACTAGCGTTGCTGCATAGACAAGGGTAACCGCTTCGACCATCCAGGCTGGCTCGTCACTGCTATCCTACGTAAAGATGCACAGAGCCCGGCGCCAGAATGTCGCGCAAGGCGAAGGCGCTACAAGTCTCCGCACCGCCTGGGCGGCAGTTTCGCCAGTTCCGTTTCGCTCAGGCTCCATTGCGTACTGTACACGACGAGTCTCAACAGCATCTGGTAATCTCGTTCGCGGGCTTGCAATCTGGATTCGTTTCTTCCAAGGCCAACCAAACGCATACGAGCATGGGCATCTAATCAGGTATACGTCACGTTCAGTGGCGCGTTCATCAAACAGAGGATGCATCGAGCATCAATCCCAAGGATTCGAACGCATACTGGGTAGCGATGCCCTGCGCTCCACCAGGGTGTTTGTTGTTTGGAATTCGAGAGCGCTAGACATTCCTGGGTTTCCATTTGCAGCAACTACGTGGTGTAAACCGGAATGCGGCGAGCGTTGCCCATTCTCTGCGGTGCATCTCGAATAGAGCTGCACTGCTGGGACCTCCATTGAACACGATGAAGCGGTTCAGTTGCCTGCTCAGATTCAAAAAAAAACCAGGGTAGGTGCTATTGCTCAGCTCGCGACGAGCACAGGCGTCCACACGAATACATCATACGAATCAGGATACGCAAGGCATAATCGGATGGGCGCCGACAGCAGCGATGCAACGATCAACAGAGACACAATTCGAAAATCCCGAGAATCACCTCCAGCTAGGCTGTGACTGTCATGAGGGCGCCTAGCGGATCGCTGTCACATTGCACCACTCTTTCGCACGAAGCCTGTCCAGCGCCCGTGTTTCCAGGATCCAGCAACGAGCACCAATACGCATTACAATTTCCATAGCCGATACCTCGACGCAGGGTCATGCCTGGAGCGCTATGGATAATACAGCCAAAGGGCATTCATTGACGCCTTAGAGTCGTGCGTTCAACAGCGCCGGACGCAACGGCGCACCCGACTGGTGAGTGCCCCTAGCGTCACACATGGCACTAGGAAGCTGCCCGACGATATCGATCAGAGCCTGTACGAAGGCGTTGATCGCCTCAGGTGTGTTGTGCGCGTGTAGCACCACTCGAATGCGCTCTGCTCCGCGCTCTACGGTTGGATACCGAATTGGACGGGCGTCGAAACCGCGCTGACGAAGTTCATTGGCCACGAAGACACAGTTTTCATTGCCGGGAATAATGATCGCCTGAATGGGACTCTCCCGATTCACTAAAGGCGGTGGCAACTGGGGGCAACGCGAACGCAGATCCCTCGTGAGGGAATGGAACATTCGAACCGCCTCCCAGAGCAGCTTCCGCCGATGTGCCGCGGTCTCTGTCGCCATGAGCCGGTACGCCGCGCTCACAGCACACAAGCTGTGCAGTGGTAGCGAGGTGCTATAAATGAGCGGTCGCGCATAGTTCAGCAGATACTGCAGGAGTGGTTGTGCGCCCAGGACCGCAGCCCCATGCAGACCAAATGCCTTACCAAACGTCACCACGCGCGCCAACAGCGCTGGGTGCGCTCTATATGGGTGCAGGAGACCGCGGCCATCCGGTCCGTGAACACCAACGGAATGCGCCTCATCGACGATAAGGAGCGCTCCAAAAGCACCACACATGTCGAGTAGCTCTCCTGGGCGAGCTAGTAGGTCGCCATCCATTGAATAACAGGATTCCACGCCCACGAAGATCCAGCACTCGTCGCCCAGCGCCTTGCGGAGTGTCGATAGACTTTCCCTCAGATCAGTGAGGTCGTTGTGTCGAAAGCGTCGAACAGTGCGGGCTCGACTCAAACGACATCCGTCGTGAATACTCGCGTGCACGCGCTCGTCAACGAGCACGACGTCCCGGCCGGCAGCTGCAATACAACTGAAAACACCGAGATTGCAGTCGTAACCAGAGTTGAAAAGCAGACAAGCCTCTGCCTCGTGGAAGTGCGCAATCTGCTTCTCGACGGCGTGCGCGAACCCCGAGTCACCTGTGAGTAACCGCGAGCCACCAGAGCCGTTCCTGAGACTCCCGCTCCATCGCGCCTCCTCAACCAGCTTTGCTGTGAGTTCTTCCAGCTCAGGGCTTCGTGCAAAGCTAAGATAGTCGTTTGATGCAAACTCGTAGGCCGGATCTTGAGCACCGGCCTCACCCGGTGAGCGAAGCGCTCTCCAGAGCCCCCGCCGTTTGCGTTCCTGTAGCCGCAGCTCGAGCTCCTCCAAAAGCTTCTGCCTGGTCATCTCATCTTAACCCGTGCGGAAAACGCGCTCCGGATAGCATCGGGCGTTCTAGCCCTGCAACCTGCAACAGCAACCCGGTGCTTGCTGTGTCCCAACAAAACCGCATGCCGCTGTCGAGCGAGCATGCGCTGTGGCGAAGCTTGCGAGAACTGTTGCCCGCCCGGGGTACACGCGGGTCCCTAGCCACGGCTGCTGGTACTGGTGACACGGAAAACTCCCTGTCTCTGTCATATTCAGAATAGAAAGGTTGGCAGGTTAGCACTGGATGAACCATGCAATCGAGTTACAGCGAGCAGGCTGCACGAAGGATGTCGTCGACGACCGACGTTGCCTCGCTGCGGAGACGCGGCGGAAACTGGAGCGGAGTGTCGGTGACAAACTCGGTATTGTCGACCTGAGTGGACTTTGCCTTGTAGACGTCGAGTTACTTGAGGTTTGGAGAGAGTTTCGGTGTTTAGAAAATGAAGTCTGCCCTGACACGCCTCCGTGTCCCGTTTGGTACCTGAACCTTGCCCACAACCGGCTGCAACACTTTCCCAGCTGGCTGATTGAGGAAGTCGGCGAAACACTTCGCGTACTAGACTTGTCAAATAATCATCTAGCGTCGCCGCTGGATGGTCTTGAGCTTGCTCGCTTACCTGAGTTGGAAGTCTTGTCGCTGGCACACAATCCCCAAGTCCAAGCGCTTCCTCAAACGCTGATCACCGGTTTGGCGTGCACCCATCCAATCCGTGTTATAGACCTCAGCTATACGGGTTTAAAGCGGATAATTGGGCTCTGCTCAATGCATACGAGCAACATCAGGGTAGTTAAACTGGAGTACTGCGATCTGGAGGAGCTGCCCGACTCCATTCGTCTCTGGCACCGGTTGTGGAGCCTCGACCTCCGTGGCAATGCTCGTCTGCGACAGCTGCCACTCGGGATCCAGGTCATCGCTCCGTCCTTGCGGCGTTTGGATGTTGAGGGTTGTGAATTCATGGAAAAACCTCTGCCTGCTCGTGTTCGTAGGGCGCTTGGCGGGAAGCACGGCGTGAGGACGCTGGTCGAGTGGCTCGGCGTTCAGGCATCATCATCATCACCATCGGACGCAATGCAGCGAGACGCTTCGTCTTGTGTTTGAAAAACACATACACATACACAGGCGCTGGTGGATGCGCGTGGACGCCCCGTACACGTGACGGCGGGAGCTTCGTCACGTGTGTCGCTTGCAGCTTGCCCGAAACGCTGCCGCAAGCATATCGAACGGTTTCTGGAAAGGCGCTGACTTGTACAAAATGCCCGCAAGATGAGCGTGAACATGCAGCTGTCCCGAGCGCTGCATCAGTTGCAGCGTCTCTTGTGACGCCGTCCCGGGATCGAGAAGCATGTGCCATACTGAAAGCCATGATGCAAACGGATACCCGTTTGCATCCGTGGGATCGTTGCAAGAACGCTGTGGTAGGGTATCTGACTGCGTGCTTCCTGTATCAGCAAATGCAAGGATTTGTGCGTAAGAGGATTTACGCACTGGTGCATGAATGATAGATCGATCGAGAGTATGCACCTAGGCGATCCGCTCTAAAGCGCCGCGATGCATGAATCAAAGCTATGGACCTTGTTTTTGCATCACCTGGTTGTGCCGACTCTTGTACTGTATCAAACAAGAGGGTTTAAGGCGCTAGACTTTGTCTCAGAGCCGCTCACGGCTTCATTTGGTTGAAATCTCTACCCCAGGGAAATTGCGAGTCTATGGAGGCGCGGGGGCAAGCGCCATCGTGTGCGGCTCAGAACCCGATGGAACCTCATCTTTATCGATACCAATTGCTCACAAGTCGCCCTCTTTCGTCGAAGGGAACACAAGCAGGCGCTCTGTTCCTGCCGAGGCCCAGCGATTGTGCCGAGCATTCGCTGTCCCCCGGACGGACTGCGCGCTGTTCGTGCGCTTCCTGCGCAGAGAATCGGACAGGATTTGCAGCGCACAGAGAAGCCTTCGGTGCTCATTCGAATATGGATCACTGGGTGCATTTCGTTGCCGCCGCGCACGCAGTGTACTTGGCGGTGGGTGCAATTCGCTGGGATTGGGCACTCTGTTCTGCAGGAGCGCTCGCCTTGTCATCCTGTGATGCAATGAGCGACAACCAGTGCATGCAAATCGGTGACAAGCCTACGGTGAGCATGTTGACTCGTGCCTTGGATTCCATCAATGGCACTCATTCGCCTTGACCCCGCTCCCTGGGAAAGGTAAAACGCTGCTGCGCACAAATCAACGCATTTACGCCAGGTTCAAACGGGCTTGTCATCAAACATCAACTCTTCACCGACGATGCGCCTGTAGAGATCGAGCACGTCCTCAGTTGTCGATTCAAAATGCGTCGTTGCGTCGTAGCTTCTGCTCACAAAGATACCGCATTCTCGACCGTCGTGTATCGGTTCGAAAACGTCGTCGACCGTGAGGAAACGGGCGAGAATATTGGCTTCACCACCGAGAATTGCTAGACCTGCCTCAATCTCCTGCTCCGCGTCCGCGGTTTCCATGACGGTACTCACCAAGGCGATATAGCGATCCGGCGCAGCGACGCGGTGTGCGCTGTTGAGTACCAGTACGTAGATGTCGTTGCGGCGCTCAGCGGCTACTGCTCGGTGCAGTACAATGACTTGGCAGGATGATGCTTCACGGATGTGTGCCGGTGCCGCCCGCAGGATACAGTAGCATCGGATGATACGCCCCACTCGATGCACCAAATCTGGAAAGTAGCTCGGATCGCCCACAACAAAGCGACAACGCGCTTCGCGGCCATCTGGGGTCCGAATTCCACATACACGTCCAGTTTCGGTGTCGGTTAGAATCGTTTCAACGTCGGTTCGGAGCATATAGACGCCCCCGTGAACAGCGCTGAGTCGAGCGAATGCCTGGGGTAATTCGCCCAGACCGTACATCGGATAGATATAAGGGGAACTGCCGTATCGGGCAACACTCTGTGCGTAAACTTTGATTCGCTCGATGGTTGGCAGCGCTGGCCATTCCAGATAGGCGTCGTTCGTGTAGAGCGCTATCGCATGTCCGATGAGTGTTCGCGTTGTCTCCTGGAGACCGAAATAGTCATAGAGCGCTCGCATGGTCATCGTTCTGGGATCGGGCCCCCGCTGGGTGACCTGCTCCGGATCGTACGATTGGACGAACCCAAAAAACTGACGGCAACGGTTCTTTTCCAGAAGGCTAAACAGGCTGGATCGCAGGGCGTCCATGGGTGTCGACGGTACGCGGTGCGGTCGGTCACCTGTGTGAACAAAGGATCCGTCAACCAGCTTGAAATCCAGGTAACGCGTCGCTCCCGTATAAACGAGAATCCGCACCAGCTTCCCAGTCGCAAGGATAAACTTGGGAATCAGGTCGATGTTGTACTCACGAGCACTCCCCAGTTCCTCGGGAATCGAACCCGACAAACAGAACTTTTTCCACATCTGCTGGAGATCCAACGAGGCGCACGCACCGCCATAGTATGGATTGCGATCGATATGCAACACTTTGAAACCTCGCTTGGAGAGCAGCCCTGAAAGGATGCACTCGGTGAGGCCGGTTCCAGTAATCACCACGTCGTACGTGCCGTCAGCAAGCACGCTGCTCTCTACAGCCTCTGCAGGATTCGATCCAGAGGTCATTCGCTGCTCTATTTCTGAAGCAAGCGAGCGCACTGCTCTATGCAGCCTGCGTACAGGCACGCTGCGTCGCGCTCCGGGCACGCCAGCTACCGGTTCCGGACGGAGTCCCTACAGTGCGCAGGAGCAGGCAGTAGTGGGCAGTATACAGTCCTCTGCTCTGCGACACACGCACACAAAAGAAACGCTTTTAAAGGTTCCAGATCTTTTCGATACTCGGACAGAGGTATTAGCTGCTGTTAATCGTGCTGGTCGCGGGAGATCGCTCTTGCAACTCGCTCAAAACTCAAAAATTTAATCCCTGAATCGTGCCGTACCAGGGGATTCGGTGCTGGGGGGGGGGGGGGGCGATCCTCGGGAGCGGCCCAGGGCAGCGCCCCGAGTACCCGTTAAAATTCCCCAGCACTGCATCTGGCAGGGGTTTGGATCCCGTTGCCAGTACCGCTGCCTCGTATCGACAGGGTGCCGGTGCGTACTGACCCAGACTGGGGCATGCAACTCGCATTTGCGAGCCGCTGCGTGCTCAGGTAATGCCTCCGGCGATAGAGACTTGAGGGCGGGACGGGGGCGTCCGCCACACCAGCTCACCGAATGGAGGCCATCTGCACAGGTGAGCTCGTGATGACGACGCCACCGTGTCTCCCTGAAATTGCACCAGAATTCGACCCTATATAACGAAGGAATTTCCGCATCACTCAGTCCCCTCTGGACTGCACCATACGCTCGTTGACGAGGGATCTCATGAAGGGGAATGTCCGGGGTTTCGCGTTGATGGCAGGGAAAACGCGCTGCTCTGGTGCGGAACGCTGGACGTCTTCCCGGTAGCCGATGAGCATCACGCAATCGAGAAGCCCCGTATAGCGTATATGATTTTATACACACACACACAAACCCAGAACCCGCAAATAAAAAGAGCAGGAGTCACGTTCATAGAAAAGGCATGATCCATCGCGCGTTCAGCAGGCGATGCAGTAACCCTTTCTAACTTGCAAGCACCATTTCACGCAGCACCGATACGGGGATCGTTCTGGACGGCATACCATCCAAGTTCAAAACTTGTCCCGTCAGCGTTCACGAGACCAGCTTCGAACGGGCAGTTTGCGCTGAGGCCCTGGTGGCCTGCAGCGCCAACGACCGCTCCAATAGCATTGCTGAAGGTGCGTCAAGCGACAGGCAGGTTGCTGGCAAAGTGAGCCTCTGGAACGCTACCGATTCGGACGGGATAGCGAGCGCGTCAGCTCTGTTACAGGTTCCTCGCGAAACTAGTTGTGGACAGAACGAGCAAGGACCCTTGTGTCGATGAGATGTTCCTCGGACGCTCTGGCCCACAGATGGGAAATTGCTGAGAGCATCTCCAATTCGTGCTGCATCTACAGCTACAGCAACAACATCTGCTACCACTACTAATCAGGAACACAGATAGCGGCTCTTGGGTGCTGAAGCGCTCCACCATGTATACCCGTGTTCAGGGCTTCGCATCGGCGTTAGACGACCTCTACTGCCGTGGAAGCGCGTGTGCCCCCACAGGGCCGGGTGACGACCCCAGCGTCGCGCCGCTGCAGCGCGTGACGCCCATCGTAACGGACGCAGATCGCCTCGCCAACAGGCAGGTTGCAGCCGCAGCCTCGGGTACTCGTCGCAGCTAGGTTTGCTTAGCACGCGTTCCATACGAGTGTGCAGGGGTTTTCCTTTCGTCCTATAGCGGGGTGCGTAAAACCATGGAGCTCGAAAGAGCCATGCTGGTCTTGCCAGCTGAGGCCTTTCAAGTGAACCTGCGTAATCACAAACGGCTCTGCGATCGCAAGGCGGAGCAGCTGCGAACGCTTCTCAGCCAGCTTGGTGACGCTGGTGACAGTGCCACTGTGGCGAGCGTCCTTGAAGAGCTTTCAAAAGAAATTGACGAGTTCCGTACTGCATTGGAGAGCTGGGATCGAAAAGACCAGGAGCAGATCAGTAACTTGAGGCAGCGTTTGAGGATTTTGCTGACGGAGGCTGGCCTCGATACCCAAATGCTTGACTTGGCGCAAGAGAGCGCCCAAACCCCGGCGTTTGCGAGATACCAGGTCACGGATTCTGATGCAAAAGATACAACCGAGCGTGCTAGGGAGCCGGCGATGGACAGCGGACAATGCGACCTGAGCCAAAGGGAGGTATCCACGGACGCCACCCAGCATCGCCTGCTTCGTTTCCTGGTCGATTTCATGCTCAGACAGGGGTATCTCGAAACTGCGCGACGCGCTATTGAGCGCTGGGGACTGGCACCCTTTGTTGACATGGGCGTATTTGAAGCCATAGTTCCAGTGGTGGTTGGGCTGCGAGCGAATCGCGCTACCGAGGCGCTTCAGTACTGTGCGGAAAATCGCCGTCGCTTGTCTCGACTGGGCTCCAGTCTAGAGCTGAACCTCAGAGTTCAAGAGTTTATAGAACTATGTCGGGCACGTGAGGTGAATGCGGCAGTGCTCTATGCTCGGAAACATTTCAATGGACTCCTTGCGAGCAAGCCTGACGCTGACGCCGATCCACGCGCGCTGGAGGAGTACGCTCTGGTGAAACGATGCGTCACGCTGCTGGCATATCCGCCGGAAACATCATGCGAACCCTACAGGCGGCTCTATGATCCGAAACGGTGGGATACTCTGATCGAAAAGTTCCTATCCACCCATTTTGAATTGAATATGCTACCATCCGTGCCGTTGCTCGATCTGCTCATTGAGCCGGGCCTCGCCGCCCTGAAGACCCGCAAGTGCAAGCCGTACACCTTGGAAACGAACCCTGCGACACGTGCAGGGAGAGCGAGCCAAGGCCCAACGTCAATAGAGGGCCCCGTCGGGCATGCGCGACACCAAGAAGTCAGCATGTCGACAGGCGACGCTGAGCGAGGCCAGCTCGCTTCCTCGGCTTTCGACGAGCATGTCAGTGCGCTGGGCGATCGCGCTCGACTGTGTCCGACCTGCGCTTATCCCTTTAACGCGCTTGCCAAGGACCTCCCATACAGCTCGCATACGCACTCCATTCTGCTATGCCGCGTTACCGGAAAACTGATGGATGAGCATAATCCGCCAATTGTCTTACCAAACGGCAACGTGTACAGTGCCGAAGCTGTGGACCTGCTTACCGAACAACGACCTGATGGACGCTTTGTGCGCGACCCTGCAACGGGTCACGAGTTTAGTCGCGATATATGCCGCAAGGTCTTTATTATGTGACTAGCTAGGATTCGGTCGTTCTGTATGCATCGAAACCGTCCCGCAATCCGAATAAATATCCGTAGTCAATGTGCATCATCGAAACTTGCCAGAAGAGATGCGCATACCCCAGCGGCTGCAGCAGACGGCAACACATCCGCTCTGGGCAACCGCCCCGGCGCTGCGTCTTTGACGATTACCCGTCTGCGTACACTCGCTTCGGTGCCTGCAGCTCACAACATCCAGACCAGTGCCTGGCATCATGCAGGTCTTGCGGCGGGTCGCCAGCGCCCACGCGCAACCACGCAAGCAGCCCGCTCCCGTCCAGACGCCCCGCAGCATCGCTGACAACACGCACGATGCGTCTATGGAGCCAGGAGACTAGCCATTCATGATTGGTCGCGTGCAAAACTATTTTCTGCATCGCGCTCTCTGCTTCCAAAGACCAGGAGCAGACTTAGTGGCAAGAGCCAGACGCAAATAAACATGATGTGTGCGGCAGTAAACGTGTTCCGCGCCAGCAAACCCTCGCGCCAACTTGCCACATCGCTTGTCATACGATGGCTGTATATCCACGGGTCGTAAAAGTGCCATAACGTTTGCGCCCACACTACGTTGGACACGAGAAACAGTACAACAGTGCTGATCAACAGGAGCTGCCGCACGCGCACACGAACAAAGTTGTCCTTCCAAGTCCATAAATAGTAGGTGTAGTGCGCGAGGCAGCCAACCGCCACTGGCACAGGAGGAAGGCCGTCGATCGCAAGGAGTAGCACTTGCAGAAGCAACACGAGCAGTGCCAGCGCCCGTAACAGTCGCTTGGACGAAGTTGGGAACTCCTCCGCGAGACCAGTGAGCGCCTGAATACCTACCAAAAGAGAAAAACCTAGAAACGCCAACGAGATACCCTCAGCGATGAGGACCACTACATGGAAAATCAAACCCATCGAGCACGGGGCATTCTGCGTCTTCGTCAACAAAAATAGAAGCACTCGCGGACGAAACAGTTCAGGATGGACAAAGCGCTGCGGGCCGGATCGCGGCAGGCGCTACGTACCGTCCACGAGTGATCCGGAGGTAAATCAGTATAAAATGGATTATTTTGGACATTGCCATGGTGTCCACCTAGAGCGTGCGCTGCTCGATACGCTGCGGCGCCCTACTGGACTGGGGAGTACCCGGATCTAGGGCGATTTCCCGAAAGTTGCCGTCAGTGCAAGAAAACAGCGTCCATCGCGCAACCCGGGATCTCTGGTTCATGTGCATCAGCCCAAACAAGGGACTCGGACGACGTTTGCTCTGCAAGCGTCACGAGGCTATCATTATGTTTTGTGCATATTGCTGAAGCATGGATCGCGTACCTGCAACCTGGACATTGCCCAGGGACGGATGCTGACGCCTGCAATGGATCTGCGTTGCCACCGAATCGCAATGAGGTGCTTCAGCGACAAGTCGGAGCGCCAAGGCAGCTGCTGTTCCACAAACGCGCAAACAGCTGTGGCGATCGGTGCGCGATGCGTGCTCACGCGTCGCATGCAGTCCGGGGGAGCTCGCGAAAGCCCACATTGTGTTCAGACGCGGATGCAAGCGCATCATCGCATTTCCAATGCCACTGGTAACAGCATTCTGATGATCCGCATGACCAGTGTACCGGAAACGTGACCCAGTCTGTTTCTGACATCGAATACGCCCTCACTATGCACATAGAAACAGTTTCGCTCGCGATCGTACGCCATCAGCATCAGCATCAGCATCAGCGTCGTCCGGTCGTACGCAGCCGTCGAGACGAGTCGCCCGAGGATCAAAGCAGCAGCGCATCAACGAGCGCACCCGCAGTGCTTCAAGCACCAGCTGCATTGCCCCAGCAGAGCCAGCATCAACGCATCCGTCGCACCGGTAACAACGACATGCCTTCCGAGCGGCGTACGCTACATAAGCGGGGTCCAATAGTGGCGAGCGGCGCGCCGCCCGCCATAGACTGGATGTCAATCCATCGATAAGGAGACAGCTCCCAGTCTTTGTCGACCGGTCGCCAACTACTGGCTTCACTTTCTCCTTATTCATCTCGACCCGGAGCGGTTTCCCGACAAAGTTAGATGGCGTCAGCTGCTCGGGTCTCCTCTCCAGCGCCGCAAATCATCGGATCTTGATAACGGCGTTAAAGTCACGGTTCACGAACTTCATGCGTTTCTTGCCACAAGTGGTACGAAGCAGTGCGACAAGTCCTCGTGCTCGTGCCCTCTGTGCAATTTCCTGTTCTGCAAGCTCTCCGTACCTTTCTATATCCTCAAGACTCCGCTGGCTTTTCGCCATCTCGACCCTCTGAAGTGTACATCCCAGCTCATGGTGTATGTAGGACGCTCAGAACTCATCTGTCGGTACTGTAACGGAACGATGTGCGCACTACGTGTACGCTCTTGTCGATGGAGCAGATATGCTCCCTGGTTTTGGAGGCTCAGCGACCTGCAACGTATGCTACTACAAGCCTTCGACTCTTGTCCTCTATGAGGGCGCTCAACTGATTAAGAAAGTTCGCGAATGCAGGTTGTTTTCCACAGTACAAAAGTTATATGCTGACGAACCCACCGGGGCTTGGTGTACTCTTTCCACAGCTCCTCTTGATGAGCAACGCAACTTTTCATGAATTCCAGAAATGCTCAGCGGTCCGCTCGACGACTAGTCACCTGGCTGACCGCTTCCAGGTGCTCTTTCACTCCAGCATTCCACGTCACAATTTGTTTCCTTGCATTCATTTTTCCCGAGTCTCGGTAATATCTCGCTCTCGAGAGCTTTAAAAGACGCATGTCTCTCTGACGTAAGTTACCGTCGATGCCATCTTCCGCAAAATTGGGTGCAGCGATGGTCACGATATTCGTGTTCCCGGTATCACACGCCGACGACAAAGTCGTTCTCCTGCACCTCCTGCGTCGTGGACCGACCTCCTTGTCCTTCTCATGCTCCGTCAAAGGCACCGACAAAGACAGAATAGGAAGATCCGCCATCAAGCACCCGTAGTGCACATTCATCAGAATCCCATCTCTTTCGATATTCCCCGTATACATCTTTCTTTGCTTGTATTCTGACATTTGAAATCGAAGATACTCTTCCAGTACGATTCCGGGTTTTCGCCGGCGAACTCCTTCCTGAAAAAACTGAACTCCGGACACATCTCCCCCGTGATGCCATGAAGGACGCTAGCGTCGATTCGCACAAAGTGCTACTTGCTGTTGCATAATGGAATGACGTTGAAGCGCTTACCCATTACGAAAGCCTTCCGCTTCTCCGAATCTTCACGTATTCCCCTAGTGAGCTCCATCTCCGCCTGGCGTTCGAGTTCTCGCTCCAAAAACACGGAATAGCGCTGGACGCGGGGATAAAATCTTTCGTCATCTTTTTCATCTCTGATACTTTATCCGCGGGGTTGACAAGCCCCAAGTCTGCACGGTGCTCCTGAATAGCCGCAGGGATTCCAGAAGGTTCATTCTTTCCTCTGCTTGATGTCTTCTTGTCGGCAAATTCGATCTCCTGTTCATTCCGACTATCGTTCTTGATGCCGTCGATGATGGCCCGTATCCCTATGCGAGACAGCTCCAGGTCGAGGGCAAAGACGGAGCGTATCATGAAGCCTTTGAGGTTCATGGTCACGTGGTTCTTCAGGTTCGTGAGGTACTTGATCGCCCCGTATTCGTAAATACGCGAGTCTCCCGTGTATCGAGTACCGTTGGAGCGGTATTTGATGTAATTTTCGTGGAGGGCACGAACTCGCTCATTTCTCCTCGACGTTTCCCCTGTTCCAACCATCAGGTGACGAATGAAGGTCTTGCCGAAAATCTCGTCCGGAACCTCGACGGTTTGGATGTCCGTCACGTCGCGACACATCACCTTCACCACATGCATCATTCCTGAACAGGCCTTTACAATACTCCTGGAGTACGAATCGACACGGTTTCTGATGCCCTCTTGCAACTTTTCCCTGCACGGATCCTTGACGCAGCGTAAAAGACAGGCTTTCACTTCCATCTCGTCGTACTGTCGTTTTCCCTGCAGGTTTTGGTGTCGGCCCTCGCCGCCTTGCTTCCTGGTCCTGTGTTGTTCCTCTTTGGTTGGCACTGTTCTTCGGTTTTTTTTTTGCGGCAGCCGGCGATACGGGGCCCTCCAGGATCCTCCACTTCTACAACCATATTTTTCCCGATTTATCTCGACTATTTTTCAAAACAACGCACTTTGAAAGCTTCTGCTACAACCCGCGAAAAATCGCTCGAATACACTCACTTGAGAGCTGACACACAATTGAACTGAGAAAAACATACTCTCTTGTGCCTTGAACGCAAATACATCTTGTAAGTCAGAGCAACACGCTCATGATCAGGTTCGCGTTTCCCCTCAGCGGCGAGATGCACATGCTAGGTCGCATGCCTGCCAGATATGGGTGTGCGCATATCGAGCGCACCATGTACAAAAAAGATCATAAACCAAGGACTAACTACCAAGTGGATAAAATGTTCTTTCCCCTCTACGGTAAACGTTCAAAGGGGGAAAATGTTTCCATATTTTCGAACGTTTACCTTCCAGGCGGAATGTCCTGCGAGCCGGACAAGTCTGCCAGGCTGGTGCTCCATGCTGCACCCAGTGCCTAGTACTCTATTGAGATCTGAGTAACTCGTCGGCAACGCGGTTTATTCCGAGACCAGGTACACTTAGACTGCGTCTGGGCGTCGCCAATATGACGATTATCTCGTAGCATATCGCTTCGCGCTGCCGCAGCCAGTGCGTCTGTCTACGCAGATCGCTGGATCCCAGAATGATCATGAATCCTGATCCCTTATCAGATGGACCGCGCCTCGAGCCGAAGTCATCAGTGGCACAGCAACGCCTACGCAGATCGCTGGATCCCAGAATGATCATGAATCCTGATCCCTTATCAGATGGACCGCGCCTCGAGCCGAAGTCATCAGTGGCACAGCAACGCCTACGCAGATCGCTGGATCCCAGAATGATCATGAATCCTGATCCCTTATCAGATGGACCGCGCCTCGAGCCGAAGTCATCAGTGGTACAGTAACGCCGCGCTGTCTCCGCGCAGCATCTGCTCTGTCGGTGTAGACGCTTCAGCAGGGTGCAGCAAAGCAGACACTCAGCGCTCGATAGAACGTACGAAACGACCAGTGCATCCTAACGGAGGCACAAGTAATGGAACTTGGAGGTATCGTGAAGCATCATGGACGCTTTTTCGATAACGAATACCTACCCATCCCGCAATCTGGGATCCCTGATCACTGGGCACTTTTCGTCATCTGAGAAAAAATCCCAGATCGCAGCGCGCGCGCGCGTCGATCATCCAACGCAACGGTCACACGTTACAACAGCAGCAGCGGCAGCTGCGGCGGGAGACGTCGCCGCCAGCCGCCTCCCGCCCATCCCCAGATATTTCTCGCTCTCTACCTTGCAGTAGTGACGCCCCTCGGCGGTATCGCTTGGAAACAGGTGCCCAGGCTGCCACGCTGTGTGGCAACGTCGCTTTCCTCCTGCAGTCAGATCAGCTGGGGGTCTGACATACCAAGCATAGCGGGGAACTCAATTGCAGGAGGCGACTTGGCGACACCGGCGCTCGAGGAAGCGTCCGCCACTGCTCGGGTACCTAAGCGAGCTGTGCAGTCTCCTGAACAGCGACGACGACGACGGCAGCAGCAGCAGCGACAGGGCCAAGTTTTCTGCTTTGGGCTACAGGAAAGCGTTCTGTCGTGGATCGAGTGGTCATGCTGGTTGAAACGAAGGGATCTGAATGGGACGACGCTGGGCTTGTGTTTTTCGAGCGAGAGCGCCGCGTTCGTTTTCTCTATGCCAATGTCGCTGAACGCTTCTGTTTTCCGCAGCAGTACGCGTTCTATCGCGGGCAAGTGGTCGAGTGGATGTTGGATGCCGGCGAGGTGCTGCGCCTCGAGAGAAGTACCGTGCATAGCGCCGTCAGTTGTTTCGACGAGTATTTCGCGCGAAACAAGGGCGTGTCGTGCAACGTGTGGCAACTGCTGGCGAGCGCGTGTATCCTAGTGGCGGCAAAGTGTGAAGAGACGGAGAGCGACCCGGCGGTCTTGCACAAGTTACATGCATTGAATGCGGGCTTCTACTCCAAGTCAGCTATCGTGCGCATGGAGCAGGAGCTGTTGCGTATACTCGAATGGGACGTCGTCCGAGTGTCTGCAATTCCATTTATCTATTATTTTATGGAAATCGACATGACGTCCACAATGGATACTCCGATGCATGATGGGTGGGTTTGCTTGTCGGGGAAGCAAGGCAGTGAGCCAGCGAGAAGCAAAGGCGTATCCACACAGGCGGATCGGCGTCAGGGTCGCAGTCCGCTCGCGTACGCCCTCCTTGCCGAGTCGTTGCGTTTCGCGGATATCGCCTTGCGAGCTTCCTCTATCGCGCTTTCGTATCGGCCATCAGTCGTCGCAGCAGCGAGCATTCTGTGTGCGAGCCATCAACTGCCCGGTTCGATCGAGGCGGGCCTCCGTTTGGGTCAGTTTCTATCCGATGCAGCGAGTGATGTGCAGGCATGCCTGGCAGGGATCGAGGATTTGTGTCAACACCAGGTTTCGCGACGCCCTATCCTGTCCTCAGTGAAATCGTCCCAGTCGCCTCGTTCTGTCATGGAGCTTGCGGCGTACCTCGAAAGGACTGCCGCATCCCAGGAGAACATCTCTGGAGACGCACATGAAGACTCGTATTTGCTCTCATCTGAAAGCTTGTTCTTTGATCGCACTTTCTATCCTTCTGGGGCCCCGAAGAAGCGTCCACGTCTCTGCATGCCGCCACCAGTTGTTCCGTTTCGTGGAGGTGGCGATGGTGATCATGAGACGTCAGGCCTCGGATTATCGTCATCGTCGTCGGCCCTTGTACCTGAAGAAGTTGATGTCATGTGCTCGGAGGAACTGGATGACGCGTTGTAGATGACAAGGATCGTGAACCAAGGCCCGTGACGCCTCCTTCAGCGCTTCGTAAAAACCTCGCACCCCCTATGGTAGTGTCGAGATGTTGGCGTGCCGGTGTCAAGGCGAATCGCCAGCTGCCTCTGCACCCGTGAACAAAATATGGCCTTGCTATTTCAGCGCTCGCTCTTGTCGCCCCGCCACCAGACCTCATCGAACTCGAACGCATGTGCTCGGATACTGGGCCTTGTTATCTGAGGGCTCCAAGCTCATCACCAGGCCACCAGAACTAGTCGAACTCCAATTCATGCGGACGGACGCGACGGCGGTTGCGAGCGCAAACCAGACAGCTTCCGGTAGGGTCACGACTGGGACACGGTTTCCTCATGTCGTAGGCGTCTTCGGAGTCAGCGTAGTAGCCAACTACAGTACGATAAATCGCGTATCCGAGTCTCTGGTACATGTCCACGGCGGTACGGTTGCTCACCCGTACGAACAAGTCGATAAAGAAAGCCCCCGCGTGCTGCTCCGAGACCTGTTCGAGAAACTGCAACAGTGCCCGTGCCACACCGAGGCGGCGGTACTCCGGTGCGACTGTGACCGCGGAAATGTGTCCGTGCAGCATGCGGCCACTTCCTTCCACTTTGCCAAGGATGTAGGCGGCCAGCGTGCCGTCGGGGGCCACCACGACCCGCTGCAACCAAGGCCAGCGCGTAAAGTAGTACCCATAAAAACCAAGATTATAGGTCTCTGTGAACCGGTCCAGATTGATCAAGTTGAAATTGAAAAGGTCTGTGGCGACGAACTTGCGAAGTGTTGTCATAAGCGACACCAGTCTCTGGTAAAGGAGCAGCGGCAGCGTGTGCTAGTGCGTCGACCCAGGAGCAACGCGTTCTATGACGAAATGGCTTCGACCTCGGGGCACTTTCGTAAACCTGGGGGTGTCGTTCGAAGACGCCGTCGACCTGGTGGAACTCCTACCTGTAACCGTGACTCTGGTTGTTTAGAAACAACCAGCATACGAACAGGTAGAGCGTTCGTCGTTCGTGCACCGTTGGACACGGCTTTTGGCTCCATAGTCGGCGTTGCTGGTGTTCGCCGAAGCCGCACCGCTCGACCCGAAAGCGAGCGGCACGCCTCGGGGCCTCGTTTGCGAGCACTCCTGCTTCGATGCAACGTGGGCTGGGCTCGACTGCGACGCTCTTGCGAGCACGCGAGCTTGGCATTCGAGCCCACTTTGAACCGTCACCCTCGGGCCGGTACTGCGAGCCCCTGTGGCCAGTTCGAGCGACGCACCCGGGAACAACCGAGGCTGCCGTCGGTGCGAGTCGAGCGTTCCTCTATCGGTTAGCGCTTTGCTCTGTCTGGGACGGGCACACCGGCTGTGTGAACGCGCTCTGCTGGAACGATAGCGGAACCCTGTGCCTGTCTGGCTCGGATGACACTCGCATCGCGCTCTGGAACCTGAACTACCAGCACCTCAACGAGGACGGGGAGTTGTGGCTGCCAAACGCTCGGAGTACGACACGTAGGGGACCTTTAGAGCCAAATGACTACGAGCGGTACCTGGCGGCGGAGGATGAGCCCAGAGCGGCTCCTGGTGTGTCGCCGGAGCGTTGGCGTCAGCGCCCGCTCCTCACCTTTCAAACTGGACACTCGGCAAATATCTTCGACGTTCGCTTCGTTCCGTTCACCGGCGATCGGGTGATTGTCAGCTGTGCGGGTGACCACGAGATCCGTGTCTGCGACCTCGAGAGGCGATGTATTCGCACTGTCTGCTGCCACACGGGGCGCGTCAAGAAGCTCGCTGTGGACCCGCAGAACCCGCAGGTGATATTAAGCTGCTCCGAGGACGGCACTGTGAGACAGTTTGATTTGCGTGAAGCGCATCGACACCGATGTCGTCCGACACTGAGACATAGCCGTGACACCCGCCGTTGTCAGAACATCCTCCTCGATGTGAATGAGATCGATTGGCGTCGTATTCATGCCTCCTTTCAGGAACAGGCGTTCGATAGCGAGCACGAGCGGACCTATCGCCTGCGGCAACTCTCGCCGCAGAGAAATCTGCTCATCACGGAACCTTCCATTGAACTTTACAGCCTCAAACTACATCCGTTGGATTCGAATCGGTTTGTTGTCGCTGGAACCAATGAATTTGTTCAGCTCTATGATCGACGAATGTTGAGTCAGTTGCGAGGGCCTGTTCGAGTGTATGCCCCACTAGAGAGGCGCACGGTCGCGGAGCAACATCGTCAAGAACGTGAGGCGTATCGCCAGGTGCTCCTTGAGAGAGAACGTCGTGCCGCCCGGGTCCGCCGGCGCAACTTGCGTCGACTTGTCAATCCAGCTGGGCATGTCTACGAAGATACTGACCCCGACGATGCGGGTGGCGGTCTGGTTGATACGGAACCGATCCTCGGTCGGCTCGGTCGTATGCTTCTCCAAGAGATGTATGAGAGCGTTTCGATTACCGGTGTGGCGTTCTCTCGGGACGGTTCTCAGCTTCTGGCAAGCTACGCACACGATGCCATCTATCTCTTCGATACCGAGCCGAAGAAAGGCTCTTTTCTCTGTGGTGGTGGTGGCGGTGGCGGTGGTAGTGGTGGTGATTATGAAGCGCCCTCTGAAAGGCCCGCGGAAACAATCGTCGATGCTATGGATCAGCGGAGCAGCAGGGTAGAGCTGCATCAACAGCAGCAGCAACAGCCTATTGTCGCAAGCAATGCACCCCTGTTCGCAGATGATAGCAGCGAGCGGACTTCGATACCTCATGATCTGCAGAGTGAGGGCGTTTCAAGGCCAATCACGCGGAGAAGGGCCCACTCGCTGCGCATCCAGACGCAGGCTAGTCACAGTGATCGAGTAATCCAGGCGGATTCCATGAGCGCACAGGCGCACACAGCATCACAACCTCAACCAATGACGTCCACAACGCTATCCGAACACTCGGAGGTGAGCATTTCGCATGCGATTCGGCCAACGGGTAGTGTGACGGGATCGCGAAGCCTACCTCCTGACTGCATTCGCGCAACTGCTACCTCGGGCGAACAAGCGGAAAGCAGTCTATCTCGTTTGGATGGCGCCACAGACCTCGGAGTGGGTCCGCCTGGACGCGATGCAGTACTCCAAGTCGCAGAGCGAAACATGCAGAGCTTTGCTGGTACCGCTGATGAGCCCGCGGGCTCTCGTCCGGAGACGCATTCGCTCGTGAGCCGCCTCAGTGCGCCTCCAGCAGCAATGGCATCGCATCCTTCGGTGCGCACCAGCGTCGACGTATCGAGCGCAAATCGTCCGAGGGTGTTGCGAAGGGGGTCATCTGAGCCGCAGGAATACGAAGCGGCTGAATCGATGCAGGTCCGGGGCCAGATGCGGAGCACTTTGGCGGTGGATGGCGCAACCTCGCCTGCCGACGAGGAGCTGGAGCCGCCCGGTGATTGGACGCGAGTACCTCGCTGGCTGACGACGCGCTGCTCGCCAGACGGTTCCTATGTGCGTTGCTTTCTGGGGCATCGCAACGCCATCACCATCAAGGAGGTGAACTTTTACGGTCCAAACGACGAGTACGTCATCTCGGGTAGCGATGATGGTCGCGTGTACATATGGGATCGCTACACCGGCGATTTGATCCAGGTTTTCCTCGCAGATCGCGACGTTGTCAACTGCGTCGAGAAACATCCCTACGAGCCGTACCTGGTGACTTGCGGCATTGATGCCACGATCAAGCTGTGGCGACCAGAAGCGCCCATGCCGCGCCGTATCCGCGACTTGAGTCGTATTGTACACGAAGCGAGCACGTATCACCGGCAGGAGGGAAGACCGCGGAACGAGCTGCGCGGTGCTTGGCTCGACATGTACGAACTCTTTTACATCAATTTGGAACCTATTGTAGGCGTCGCACCGCAAACCAGACCAAATGATCCAGCAGAGCAGGCGGGTTCCGTCCATTCTCTCTCCGAGGAGGAGGAGGAGGAGGACGAGGAGGAGGATTCTGCCAACTCTGGTAGCAGTGCGGATGAAATAGATGCGTCGGGAGAGAGCGATATCGAAGCATCGAGAGTGCGCAGAGCAGCCTCTAGCGCACCCGAGACTCGTCTGGAGCTGGAAATGACAGCACGAGACCCCCTTTTGGAGCGCCTTCTCCCCGCACGAGATAGGCAGTTCGAGCAGCCACGGCATGCGTCCCGCTTTCGCAACACCAACACCGATGAATCGGACGCTACCTGAAACAGCTCTACCCTGTCGTGCGGCACGAAGCAGATATCGTGAAAACAGCGCACAAGGCGCGCACCGCCTGTAAGCATGCTGTTTTTCGCCTGCATAGCTTGAGCGGCAACGAAGCAACCACTTCGCTGGACATGTTCCGTGAAATAATTCTATGCGCGCTCCTCGTGGTGGTGCTGGTGGTGGTGGTGGTGATGCGTACGGTTGGCGGGAAAAGCGACCGGTGCCTCGCGCGGTACCTCCGCGGCTGCCGAGCACGCGAACGGCCTAGAGACTCGCCAGGAGTATGCACCACGGACTAGGATATCCCGTGCCTGCAAACCGAAGACCCTCGCTAACGGATTGCTCGGAAAACCTCAGCTATCCATCGGCGCTTTATACGACATTGGTGTTCAGCAAAGCGCATCGAATCGTACGCAGAACTGCGGCCACTGCCTAGTCGATGCACCCGGTCCATTGCGCGGGTTTGAAGCTGTCCCAGCGCCAGGCTGTATGCATCGAATGGATCTCGGGTTCCCGTGGAAAACGTAAAGCACCTCGTTTGTCACTCGATGTCGCAGGTCGTATGCGGTACAGTGGCCATGTGACTCGCCAGCGGCTTACTCCCGCTCAGAGCGAATCCACGGAATGATCGGCAATGCTTGCAGCGCCAGCAATTCGCGCCTCGTTATTGAGGGTCTCTTCATAATCCGCACCAGGTCCGATTCCGGTGTGTGGAATTTTTGTGCAGCAGGTGCTCGATTCACGGAAACGGCGAAACAAATGGAAAAACTTGGCCGTCGCAGCAGCCGCGCCGAAGAGCTCCTGCGTTGCACCGCACAGCGGCAACACGCGAGAACCTTTCCGCTTCAGATAGCGATTCTGCAGGTCCTTTTCATCGGAGCGTTTGCCGCTTCCGAATCAACAACACGGACCAATGGGGCAGTAGCATTCATCATCTAGCAGGAAACAGTAATCGGTCTCCACTGTGCGCTGGGATCGCGCAGCGTCTCATTCCTATGGGAGACGCAAACGCTGTCCTATCGAATAATGGATTACCATGAGTGTCCAGCAATTGCCCAGAAGAGGCGTTCTCTGCGTATACATCCGGTCCTGTATGCTTTTTGCATTGCTACATCGTACCATACCAGTGCATTACTTCAGGCGGTAATCCAATGCGCTCTCCTGGCCACTCGTTTTTTTCTCTGCACGTCTACGGCATTTCTGCCCCGTGCTTACCCTGAGTACGAAAAGACTGCCGCGAAAACTCGCTGGACAAAAAACCGCTGAGTGCTCCATAGGCGCCAGTGCTTTCCGTAGGCTGATCGAGGGGTTCAAGTCCCAGTGCAGAAAGTGCTTGCGCGCATTGTTCCCAGCGGAATCGAGCGCAAGGAAGCATGTCACCTTCAACTGGCTCGCAATCTGATGTTCAGTCAGCTAACCAAATACCATCTCGTGCACCTTGCTCTGTTTCACGTTCTTCTTCTCGACGAGTTTCAGCTTGGATATGTATCCAAGATCCGCGTAAATCGTCCCTAATTCATGGATGCGAATCGTGCAGAATCGATTCTTTCACGCGTTGCCGCGTCATGTCGAAGGCGCAGGAAACCAGCCCCCGTGCGTTACAGTATGTCCAGCGTCATAGGCTCCGATTAAACGACGCGCCTTCTCTGTCTTTTGCTTTTCCGACTCACTGCACAAGTTGGCGAATTCACGCTTTGTACTTATGCACAACCGAAACCGCTGGCGAGTCTGGCGCAATCGCATGCTAACCAGCCAAAGGGGGTCCTTACGTGCTATCTGCACGCTCAACGACTCTCCAACTGAAACACACAAAGCAACGCCCCTGCTTCAACGCAACATGATTCTCAGAACATGCAGGTGGATCCGTATGCCGACATTCCACCTATTGCTATGCTTCCTGGAGTCCATTATGATCGACACCCGATAATACCAAGCCCCAGAAAACTTCAGCGGCTTCCTCTGCTTTCTCTTCACGTCTTTGGCTCCGTCCTCTTGAATAAGTGGAATGGTAACGGCTGCGATGCCCTTGAACCTGGTATCCATGCTCAACATGAAGTCTTTCTCTTCGTCTACCTTGACTGGTCGGAAATGAGCCTCGATGCTCGATAGGATCGAATCTGCCGACTGCCCGGTCGACGTTCCGCACGCCAAGGTGGCGCTGCGATGCGTCAAGGTATTCCGAGAAGCACATACACTGAACCCCGAATCCAAAGATCAGGCGCAATTACAGCTTTTGTCCTGAGCCTCAGCTCTGCCGTCGTAGGAAGCTTTGAACGAATAATTCAAGTAGTACGTAGGCAACTGACAGCCCAGAGTCGGGGACTCTAACGATCAGTTGCCTGAAGAGCCGTGTCATCGTGGGAGCGGCAAGATGAGACTTACTCAAGTGAGAAGCAGCCATGCGATCCCTAGCAGGTCCTACTTATTACTATTTGGAAGACCCCCCCTGTTGATTTGTTTTCCAAGGGCGGCGTGGAAAACGGTTCCAGACTGATCTATAAGCTCGGTCAGTTTTTCTCCAGTCCATCGTTAACCTCTTTCGGGGCAAGATCTTCGACATCTATGTCCGTTGATTGCTTCTCCTTCTTATCTTCAGCCTTCTTCTTTACGCTGCTGAGTTCGGTAGCTTCTAGATCCGTTGTTTATCGCGTGATACGGACGAAAAGTGTGCACTGTGGCGCCGAAGCCCGTCCCTTCTGTTTCTGTTTCTTCGACTCCCCAAGTACCTTTTTATCACCGTGTCCATCGCGAGCGCGTCCACCGACTCAAGCGAGCGTTTCAGCGTCCTCACGCGCTCGAGAAGACGAGCATCACAGCACTTTGTAGCTAGTAGCGTATAGAGAGAGACCTGTTGATCAAGAACGGCCGTACGCGCTTCACAATCGCGGATGCAAACGACTCGTGTATTTATTCGTGATCATAGAAATGGGGTCTGATGAGATACGCGACACCTTCGATTGGTTGAAACCCTAGAGGATAAGCTTGCATGAAGAGTCTCTCAACGTTAGCCTCTGCCGCGTTCTCCTGGGCGGCTTTTCTTTTCGTGACGGAGAGCGACGTTGTCTAAGATCAAGACGGAATAAGCTGCGGGGGACGAGCCAGGAGGTGCTGCCTGGAAGGATGAACTGCCGAACGATCCTGTCCGTTAGATACTTTTTAGCCGAACAAACAATTGAAACGCCGCGAGGGCTCACGCTCTCGGAATACCCGACTGTCTCTTCTTTACGAACAGAGGTTTGCGCCTCTTTGCGTACCCATACACGGGTCTGCTGTTTATCCCGAACGAAGTCTCAACGAGTGAGACGAACGCCCATCTCGACTGGAAGACGCGTCCACGTCTTACTACGAAATCGATGCTGTGTTGTTGGACATGTGACGGCCTCCAAGAGAAACGTGCTTTCTTGTGGGTCCATCAGCGAAGCATTATCACCGTTCGTATCAATCGAATAGAATCTTCTCATCCGGTGGGGTCATTGATTCTATACGTCTGAGTGCGTACAGAGTCGATTGAGTTGACGAGGGCACAGCCGGGTAGATAGCGTTTGGTAAGCGCTGTTCTCTGGAGCACCGCGTACACGATAAGAACGACGAGAAGGGTGGCTCGTCCATCTGTTGACCATAGAATCACTGATCTGCACAAGTAACGTCGTTTTCCGTAACGTGCCAGTGATGGCATCAAGTCCTCCCGCGATCTTTATCCAACCTACAGGATGAACCGCTTTTGTTGAATAGATGCGAGAGAAGCAAACATCAACAAAAAGGGTGCAATGGCACGGTTTTTCTGCAACTCACTGCTTGGTGCACAACGCACGGCGCTCGAAAACGCAACCTGCAACACCAGTATCGGTGGCGTCCAGCGTCGATCCCGGCGATCTCGCTCGTATCCAACCAGAGCGCTGCACAAGTCCGTGTTTCGCATTTTTGCCGCTATTTTCGGCACCATAGAGCCTGCACGCGCCCGGTACGGCGCTCGGAACGAACCGTCCCGCAGCCGGCGGTCGACGACTCCGAACGCTCGCTCCTTGCACCGAATCAGTGCCCTGAAAGCACACGAGCAGCCTCTGAGCGACTCAGTGTCCGCACTAAAACCTCGAGCTGGGCATTTTCGAGAAGCGGCTTGCCATTTGTTTGGTGCGCTCGATGGGAAGCCCCGCACAAACGGTTTCGCATGAGAGTCATCAGGCACGGTTTAGCACATGTAATCCTGATTCATGCCCATTCATTCAATTTCAATCTGTACTCCATGTCGCGATGAGACTACTGCAAAACTGCGCCCACCTTTGTCAACCGAGATCATGGGTTAGCATGCGATGCAAGCTCTGCCAACAATACCGTCACGGACTTGTCTGCTGCTGGATTCCCACAACAGCCGCCAGATGGAAACGGCGCCAACACGTGAACCGTCATCGGAGAAAACGCCAAATACGCATCAGAACTCGATACCCAATGACGAGTATCGTCGACCACAAAATCGTCTGCGTGACTGCAACTTCGCTCGGTTCGAGAACCACCCACAAGGTAAATACCTTGTAGCGATACCACCAAACCGATAAACGGTAGCGCCAGGATCGACGTGCTGGCTGCGAACCAGCAGAGCCGGCATCCGCGGTGTGCGCTGCCGGCGGACACGTCACAGGCTCCTGCACTGTCGCAGCCAGTAAGAGCCGCACGCGCGCCGCCTCATCCTCTGTCGCCCCGAGAGCGTCTCCAAGCTCCCTAGAACTATTCAACCCATAATTTTCCTCGCCTGCATGGTGAGCAGCTGTCATAGATTCGTCTTGTTCCACGCACATCTGAAAGCACCAGGAGGCTGCTCCACCTTCAAGCTGTCCACAAAAGAGCAAAGAGCACTCACACAGCTATTTGCGCACACCAAACGCCCAGCAGCTTCATATGCTCCGTGATCTTTCCGGTAGAACGTGCGCTCTGATGCTGCACGCACGACGCCCGCTACGTTTCGTCGACACGATGACGACACCGGTGTCCCGGTATGTAGGTCGGTCGGCTGGTCGGTAAGCGTAGAGCAAGCAGACGTCTCCGCAGCTCCGTGGCTCGCCAGCATCGTGCACTGCAGATGACGTCGACGCCGCGCTGTTGCGTCGCGCATCGAGCGCAGTGCAGCGTTTATGAGTGCCACCGCTCATTCTCTTCTCCAGTGTTTCAACTCTATTACTTTCATCCCGCTGTATGGAATCGGATGCTTTTTCACAATATACATCAGGCGGTCGACATCATGATGCAATGTATTCGATAGATCGTAGACGAATTTCCGGTAGGATATATACTCTTTACTGTAGAGCGCTGGGAGTGCTGCTTTGCCTCCTTCAGATTCGTCACGCTCCAGCACGCTGATGCTTGATGAACACTGAAAGAAACAAGTATATGTGCTCCGTGCCGAAAACCGACAATCTTGAAGACTGCTTGCGATGAATTGTACAAAAAATTAACTCCTTGATTACCTCACGGAAAGCAAAGCAGAGGATTATAGTCGTCACGTGCATCTCTGATTCTCGGCGGCTAGTTCGTGTGATCCTGAAAACACTGGGATACAGTAACAAAAAAGACGACCAATGTCATGTACGGCCATCTTCCACCGAAATCACACCCACAGCAAAGTTCCTGGAACGTTGCGATCCGAATGAAGCACATGGACGTCGATTTGTTTTGCCAGTCGATGAGACTTGCTTCGGATAAAGCGCTCGGAGCGTACATGGGTATTCGCGGGGCAGGGCGCCCGTTGTGCCTACCATCGAACGCGAAGAGACCAACGGCATCATCATCTGTTCTAGCTTTAGTGGACTCATTTGGCGGACTCAGTTTCGCCCGTAGAGAAAGGCCATACAACAGCACCAACCACTTTGTCGAATCATTGAACACTTGTCTCGAGAACCGTGACGACGTCATTCTATTGGGCGACGTCGCATCTAACCGTTCCAATCGCGTTCGAGCTTTTGCCGAATCTATCCGAGAATAGAGCTGCTTTACGTTCGTCTATACACTCCGTGGTTCAACCGCATCTAATGAGCATTGTCTTTATGAAACGTGACGATCGCTCCACTGGGCGAATCGCTGAAGCGTTCAACACACGGAGACACGCGATTACACCGAGACACATGCGGTCTCTCTTCCGCAAGTCCTGCTTCCTTCGGGAACGTCCTCACCGAAGGGCATGAAGAAGTAGTTCATGCAAAAAAACAGGGAATGAGCTGATATGTATGCTATAGAAGTTCGAGTTCGAGAGAGGGCAGCGGAGCGCTTTCGCGATAGAAAAGCGCGTATAGCTGCCACCGCACAAAATGGCACGAGTTCGAGGACTCTTTCCACTGATAGGTTCTCCCAGAGAAAATACCCGCATGGAGTTCGTGAACTGAGACTTTACCACCGTCATCAATATCAAACGATTTGTGGTGTTGCAGAAAAGAGCCGCAGAGCTGACACGAGGCAAACCTGTGGGGCAGCCTCTCACGCTCGATGTGTACAAGCAGAAACTGAAACTAATTGCAGGCGGCCGGTCAGAAAAAGCTGTGAGGCGTGTGCGCTTGTGGTACTCATTTACAATAAGTGGTCGTGGGACATTTCTTGTTTCACTGACATGTGTGCAAATGCAGATGTCGCATCGTTCACGGGAACCTGGGCATCCTCGATTGTGCTCCATGGCCATCGACGTCCAGGAGAACGTCAGTTATGGCTCACTTGATCGTAAAGCTCTTCACCAGCAACCACCCATACTTTCCTTTAAGGATCATGGTTCATTCCTATGATCCTCCAGGTGCTGAAGTTGCCGTGAGTACCTGCTGCGGGCGCAGACGGAAGCGGAACGGCTTTGCCGCATCACGGATGACCTCGGTTTTCGAGACGTCGTACACCAGACGCTGGAATGGGTCTCTTCGGCGCTGGTGGCATGATTTGGTGCATAGAATACAGCCTGTCTGCCGTCGACGGGACTCTGCTATGCCAGACGGTGTCCGTATTGGCGTTGCAAGTAAAGTGACTTGAGCTCGATGGATCGAACCAGCATCTCCCGGATGCGATTTTGCTTTCTTGTGCTTCGAGAGATTCCGAATGCGGTGACATTTACGGATACGTCAATGAGTATGGCTTGAACTTTTTCTTGTCGATCGGCACTCATCCATGAACTGCGACACACGCTGAAGCTCATTGATTGGCAAGATCAAGAACGCGGTCCATGCACGCCATTGCGCGGAGGCGGGTCTCCGGGGTGCCGCCACTTGCCCTATCGAATGCATCGTCAACGTTGAACAACATGGGGAATCTGTGTTGTATGTCAGAGCAGCGACTAATGCGCCCATTCGATGAACAAGCATTGAGACGCGTCCGTCAACGTTTCCGCAGCAGAATCAGCAACGGAGCAAAAGCAAAGCGCTGCTGCTTCACAGCGCCAGTCGATCAATATAGCTGCCGATGCGGCGCTCGCCACTGCTGTGCGCGTTGCGCTACCGGCTCCAACTGCAGGGGATCTGCGACACGCTCTCTATGACTGTACTGGGTTTTATAACGACGTCTGCACTTCTCTCAACTCAGAGTTTTCCGCATAAATGTCTTGTGGTCCCAGTGGGTTACCGCACCAGAAGGCAGATCCTAACTCCGCGCGGGGCACAGCGAGTGTCACGTGCTTCCTCCCTGTCGCTGGCTTGCAGGGATACAAAGGGCACTGTGCACGCACTTCCGGGCGGAAAACGCCACTTTCTCGCCATCACTGACTGGATTCCAGAAGAAATCATGAGCACTCTTCAACTTGCGCGCGATCTCAAGGAAGGCAAGGTTTTCTCTGGTGCGAAACCGCTCGCCGGTTTGACGCTTGCTATGATCTTTGCGAAACCCTCCGCACGCACACGCATCTCTTTCGAGACCGGTTTCTACCGGTTGGGAGGCCACGCTTTGCTGCTGGGCGATGAGATCGGTATCGGCAAAAGGGAAGCAACCAAAGACATCGCACGAGTTGTCTCCAGGTTTAATGACATTATCATGGCGCGGCTGTATGCGCATGAGGACTTGCTTGAGCTGGCAGCCTACGCATCAGTGCCAGTCATCAATGGACTCACTGACTGGAACCATCCGTGCCAGATCATGGCGGACGCTTTGACAATCATGGAGTGTCGCGGGTCGCTGGAGAACCAGCGCGTTGTGTATATTGGCGACGGGAACAATATTGTCCATAGTTGGCTAGAAATGGCCTGCTGCATTCCGTTTGAATTCATTTGTTGTTGCCCGCCGGGCTTTGAGCCCAACGCGGACCTGGTGCGCCGCGCGCGAGCAGCCGGACGCAGTCGGGTAGAGATCATACACGATCCGCAGATTGCGGTGTTAGGAGCGAATGTGATTTACACGGATGTCTGGGCGAGCATGGGCCAAAAGGATCAGATCGCTGAGCGTGAGCGGGCGTTTGCTGGTTATCAAATTTCGATGGAGCTCCTGGAGGCCACTGGCGTAAGCGATACGATTTTCATGCACTGCCTACCAGCCGAGCGAGGCCGTGAAGTAACCGATCAAGTCATGGAGTGCGCACAGTCCGTTGTCTTCCAGCAGGCAGAAAATCGAATGCACGCACAGAATGCTATTATGCTCAGGTGTCTTGGTGTGGTCTAGGGGCAAGTTTTGATTCTGGACTAGATTAAAAATGAGTGATGCGCCATGCACACGCTCCGTGTACTAGGGTTCGGGATCGCTCGGCTTCTGTCGAACGTTCGACTTTGGAAATTGGTGATGAGGCGGCCCAGACAGGGCGTACCAATGCCGTCCCTTGGGCTGCGAATTCTAGTTCAAGTGGATGCGTAGTGCCGAAATCGGATCGAAGACTTGACGACATGTAGGGCAGAGGTGCTCCTCAAGTGTTGTCGTTAAGGTGACGAAGCAGCTTTTGCAGAGCACGTGCCCACATGGAACCAGCGCCGACGGGGCGTGTAGGCGTTCGAAACAGACCGGACACTGAGTGCTTTGTTCGAGTTCACGTTTCGCGGCATCAGCTTCGTCAAGCAATTTGCGTAGAATTTCCAGCTCCGCTGCTTTCTGTATTCGCAAGCGCTCGTATCGCCATGCAGCATCTGTTGCCTTGCGGGCCTCGATAACGATCTCTTCGGCCAATAGGCCGTGCAACGTATTGAGCGCAGCGTAAACGTCTGCCGGCGAACATGAAAAGTCAGAAGCGTGCGAGGCATCGGCGAAATGCGGTGCAGCGTCTTGATATTCCCGAGCATACACGCTCAAAGCTGCCGTCCACGCCCACGATGCCATGGATGGGCGCGTCGCCTCCGAGACCGACGAGATGGAGACGCATCCGGCACCCGCTTCGCCTTGCTTCATGATCGCGCTCGCGGTGCAGGCACTGCGGACTCCTTGCTCCACAGCAGAAGCAGCAGCGTGCAGGGCGCTTCGAATCTGTGGAAAGGCTTCATTGTATTCTGGTACAGGCTCCTCAGCGAAGAGCGATTCGAGTCGCTCTCGAGTCTGGCCGAGCGCTGCTTGCACCTGAGCGGCGATATGCTGTTCATCTCGCAGAACAGACACCGCGAAAGCGTCGCGGATATTGATTTCACCGCCAGTTCCGAGAAATCTGATCATCGCTTTCGAGCACCTGTAGTGTAGCATGTTGAAAAGCAGTACGGGTCGCAGCTGCGTATCGCCGAACACCGAAACAAGAGCGCTCAGCAACAAATCGCCGTACTGATGTCTCCAGTTCTCGCCTTGAACCGTTGTTCTATCTTCGAGCCCATTCGTTGCCGCGACAGACCGGCTTTGGTGCACTCCGGGGTAATTTCTGGCGTCGCTCAGCATAAGGCATGCCACGAATATACACAACGCAAAGTCGCAAGCTTCTAAATTCTTCACGACGACGCTGGAGCTTAGTAGCAGAAGGAGAATGCGTGCGGCTGCTTCGCAGGCTTCTGCCTGCCGCAGCAAATGTCGTAACGTGATCGTGCGTACCAGGCATCTCATCTGCGTCTGACTGACCAAAAGCATCGCGCTTGTATCCGGATTGTCGTCCTCGAAGCCACATAATTTCGACAGGATTAAGCAGACCAGCTGGGGCTCATCGACAAGCCGCGTGGTCAGCGCTTCGAAGAACCATTCGGATGCGTATGGTATCGAAGAGACTGGGGCGACGTGAAAGCTATCTCTGGCCGCACGCAGCTCCTGTATCATCGAGTGAATTCGGTACAGGAGTCGTCGCTGCGCATCCGCCGCCAGTTTCATATCGCTCAACAGAGCGGCGAGAACAGCATGTACAGAGGCCGTAGCCATGTCGCACTGCCGCTCCAAGCACGGAGCCGATGACGCCCAAAAGGCATCTGTTATCGATGAGGGTGCTTCCAGCATCCACGGAAGCGGGGCATTCCAGCCGGAAGGCTCTGTAGCAACAGACCTCCAAATCGCACAGACGTGATCCAACAGGACATCCAGAGATGCCTGATCCACCTCATACGCAAAGCATACCAGGGAATATATCAGTTGACTGAGTCGAGAGCTTAGGGAAATCTGCGAATGCTGCGCATCTTGTGTGCCGCAATTCGTACTGAGACAGGAGAAAACGGCATTCTGGAGCAGCGTGCATGCTTCCGAGTTTGCAGCTGGAGCGTCGAGCACAGCTCGAAAAAGGCGGCGTATGAGCACCGGCAAGGTAAGAACGCGGGTGCGCGCAAATGCTGCAAGCCTTGTGAGACGCTCGCTTCGTTCTGCGACGAGAATGGGTGTGGTCAAAGCTCGTCCAGGAGGCTGCTCGTGGAGAGCGCCGTGCACTGCGAGCAACCGGCGATTCGTGCGACTGAGCACACTCGCGCCCCGTGCAGCTACCTCTAACGGAGCGTTCCAAATAATGTCATTTAAAGCGAAAATTACCATGTCCCAGTCGCCTTTACGAAAGAGCATCTCAACATCCGCCGCCTCCACGGCGTCCATAAAGCTCTCCAGTGCCTTCAGGCGGTTAGCGTCGCAAACACTTTCCGACCTCTGTAGACTACGCAGCCGTCGAACTTGGTCTCGAATGCTTCGTCTCAAAGTCGGCAACTTGACCATTTTCCTTTGATCCTGCTGTTATACTGACACCAGCAAAGTGGCGACTGGAGAAGCGCCTGATCCGTGAGCTCCCCCTGCGAGCTGCTGCTTGCTCCAGCACTCGTCTGGCGACCGCACCACGCGCCTGTATTTGGCGGCAAATGAGCGCGCGGTTGACACCTGCGATTTCGATCTCAATGAGCCTGTGCACAAATGGCTGACCATGTCTGCCAAGAAACCTAATGATGTATTCAGCGCTGAGCTTGGGGCGTCACGCAAATGCACTAGCGCACGACTCGATCGCTGCAGTCGGTGGCCTTTCAGTCACGGAAGCGCAGCTGCATCCTTCGTCGAGGCGTCACCCAGCGTGTGAGCAAGCAGTTCAGTGCAGATGCGCCGCGGCAGCTGCCCAGCAGAGAGAGCGACGGTCATCGCGCTGCCCGCACTACATCCGAAAGACTAGTACAGAAAGCACGCCTGCATAAACTTTTCGATTTCGTATATTCTTGCCGTTTCCTGGTGAACTGCACAGCTCGATGGTTTCACGACGCGCATGGATAGAAAACCGGCAACGCTGCTCTCAAGAGTTGCCTCCAACGAGTACCGCCGCTGCCAACACGTTGCTGCCGCGTTTCGTGGCGCAATACTGAGTCATCCACCCAGGTTTCTTCGGAGGTTCACCAGGCCACCGGACACGACAGAAGCGCCCGCCGTCACTCGGGGTTGCCTAATTCGTATATCTGGATTGACCGCGGTGTTTCTCCATGGAAACGGGGCTTCAATTTGTTCAGCGTTCCTGCGGATGCTGAGCCTAAGCCTTCAGCACAGTATTTGCCTGCGGAAACGGGGCTTCAATTTGTTCAGCGTTCCTGCGGATACTGAGCCCACGGCAGACGCCTGCCTCGGTGGTGCATCCCGCTCCCTGTACTTCGAGCCCACGCCTTCAGCAGTATGACAAAGCCGTTCCGTTTACGTACTGTATTCGCGCTTGCGCTATACAGGCTATCGAGGCCGCTCACGACGGGCACTTGACGCACGATATAAGGTGGAAAATCACCAGCACCTCTGAGGGCGACTGTCGGTAGTGGAATTTGGAAGTAGGGCGAGGAACGATGGATGCTACTCCGAGCGCTGATATCAAGCGACCAAACGGAAACATCCCTTCTGGGTGTCAACAAACTGCGAAACAGGGAAATCCGGTGCCCTGGAGAGATGCACCCGCTTTGCAGCGCCTGAACGGCCGCCGGGTCGACACACGTAAAGGGGTACCGGGCGGCGCCGGGCACAGCACCGCAGAACGGAATCTCGGAGCGTTTCAATTCGAAATCGGGCGCACGAGCTGCGCATATCTGTTGAACTCGTGAGCCTTATGGAGAACGATAACCGCTCGCAAGCACAGAAAGAGCCAGACAACGCTGCTGCTGCTGCTGCCGCTGGGACAAGTACACATAGGGCAAGGAAACGGAAACAACGGCGCGGAGGTCAGGAAAGTTCAGAGCGGGGACAGTCGACGGGGCCCAGCCGCCAAAGACAACGCGGAAGCTTCACGAGTGTAGTGGGGTTTCTCGCTGTTGTCTGGTTACTCCGGGAGGCCAGACGGTGGGACCGTAACCGCCGCGAGCGTCGGCGCAGCGAAGCCGTTTCTGACGACCAGGCCTCGGCTAACGTTAGCTCAGCGAGCCAGGACGTTTCTGCTGCGTATCCGAGTGATTCGAGCGAGCTGCTGGCGACCTCATCTGAGTCGCTTTCGGGCTCTGCAGGTCAGCCTCGTCCTTCCTGGAGGGAAACAATAGCACTTCAAAGTGATGCTCTTGTTGGTGAGAGACGACCTTCGGTGCCAGAGTCGGATGCTTCCACCGCAGGAAAGGAGCTCGTTCCTGAGACATTTCCAGAGCGTTCTACGGGCCTTCAGGTTGACGCATCAGGTTCAGCGCTTCGGCATAGCGCAGCTGTTGAGAACGAGTCACAGGATACTGGATTTGGATCCCAAGGAAAAGAGGAAACTTGGGAGTCGACGTCAAAAAGTCGACTTGTTTCAGTTATAGAGTCAGAGCAGCAGTCTATTTCTCTCCTGAGGCAGGGCGATGGCGATGCCAGCGTAACGCTGACGGAGGTAGAGCAGCGCTCCATGGCCCTGGAATGGACCAAACATGGCACAAGCGACAGTCTTGATGAAAGTACCAGGGCATCGAATCTTCTGTCAGCTTCTTTGTTTAGTAGCTCCGCTTGGCAAGAACCCCCTGCAGCGAACGTCTCGGCTGGAAGGGATGCTGCGTTAGAGGCTAGTCGCGAGCGCGTCATTGTAACGAACGAGTTCAATGAACCGCTTCGGGTCGTGACCAGGGCTGAAATGCGGCGAGAGAATCTATGGCATCGTGCCACCTACGTCCTGGTGTTGAATCCGGAGAGAGATAGAATCTACATTCAGAAGCGCACACCAACCAAAGACATTCATCCCGGCATGTATGATGCAGCAGCAGGCGGTGTTGTTCAGGCAGGTGAGAGCTACGAAGAGTCAGCCCGACGAGAGCTCGCCGAGGAGCTCGGCCTTGATTTGGCGCTCGAGCCGGTCGGACCAATCCGATATGAGTCGGACCTGACGCGAGTGTTTGGCCAGGTCTACGTGGCCATTTTTGATCCTTTCGAAGAGCCGCGACAGCGAATCAGGCCGCAAGCTGAAGAGGTCGAGTTCGTTGAACTCGTCAGTATTGACGATGTCATGTCTCAAAGTGGCGGGCGAATCTTCACCGAAGATACGCTGATCGCATTACGCACATTCATCGAAAAGCAAGAAGCCAACAACAGCTCAAAGATGATAGCAGCGGCATCTGAAACCTCAGAAAGCAGGTTGCCTGCGAATGCGGAATCCACCGTGCGACAGGAAGTCAACGACGGCGAATCCGTGCATTCTAGTGAAAATCGCACCTGGTCGAGCTCCCCAGATCCATCCGGCAACGTCACAAGCGCCTCAACAACGGAGAGCCCGCATGCCTCGGTGGGCGACACCGCCAATCCGTTACGTCTGCCCGATATCAGCGTCAATCGTTCCACGTCACCTCCGATAGAGAGCTTTATCAACGATTTGGACTCGACGACGTTTGAGGAATCAGCACTCCGTCAAAGAATGGCATCGCATCAGTAATGGAAGCGGCCTGCCTGCCGCCCATCGCGAACGCCTCGCGGACGCCTCGCGGACGCCTCGCGGACGCTGCCACTGCATGGACTCGTTCCAGCTGTGCTGCAGCGACGTACACCTTGTATAACCCTCAAACTAGAATTGAATCTCTGTTCATTGCATTGAGCAGCATTGCCGGGTCGGCCTACGGAAAACGACCGGCAAGCAGCTCTCGCCGTAAACCTCTGGAACATCTCGAGGGCCGCGTTGTTTACGACACCAGCGGGCGACGCACTCCGGGTTCTGTATTGCCGGGGATCCCACAAGGTCTACAGAACCAGTGCTTTTCGCGCGACCGCTTCGCTCCTGCGAGCCGTTCTTGCCCAACAGGATAGCGGTTGTTGTATTCAGAGCATCTTTAAGTGCACCTACTGGCTTAGGGAAATCTGCGGCTTCGCAGAGGACGGTATTCGTCGTGTTTCAACGAACGGTGGTTTTCCCTCAAAACCGAGGCGTCTGAACATAGCGTCATCCTCTGTAAGATCATTGTTCGGGGTGGTGAGCAGTTTCTCGCCCGTGAAAATGCTATTCGCACCCGCCATGAAGCAAATCATTTGCTCCGCTTCTGATAGCGAAATACGACCCGCACTGAGGCGTACCATGCTCGCTGGCATAAGGATACGAGCTGTAGCGATCATACGACACAAGTCCCAGAACGGAATCGGTTGCGAACTTTCCAGTGGCGTGCCCTTGCTCGGCACAAGCATATTCACCGGAACAGACTCGGGATGGGGTTGCATCGTCGCCAGCGTTTGCAGGAGCGAGATGCGATCGGCGTGGGATTCACCGAGGCCAAGAATTCCGCCGCAGCAGACCTGAATGCCAGCGGCTCGAACATGCCTAATAGTTGCAAGCCTGTCCTCAAACGACCGTGAGGAGATGATGGTGCTGTAGAATTCTCGGCTTGTGTCCAGGTTATGATTGTAAGCCGTCAAGCCTGCCTCTTTCAGCGCCTTTGCTTGCTCAGCGTTCAGCAACCCGAGTGTGGCGCATACTTCAAGGCCCAGCGCCCGCACGCCCTGGACCATGTCGAGCACCCGCTGGAACTGACGGGGACCCACCTGTGCTGGGCCTCGCCACGCTGCTCCCATACAGAAACGCGTCGAGCCTCGCTCCTTCGCAAGGCGCGCCTCGCGAAGCACCTCTTCGACCTGCATAAGCGGCTCTGCCTTCACGTCCGTTTTGTACGCCGCAGACTGGGAGCAGTACTTGCAGGTTTCCGGGCATCCTCCGGTCTTGATGGACAGCAGTGTGCACTTTTGCACCTGGTTAGCCTTGAAAGCAACACGATGAACTGCGGCTGCCTGGAAGATCAATTGGTGCAACGGCTGCCAATAGGTTTCCTCTACGTCTCTTCTACTCCAGTCTGAGCGAACCTGAACATGAGGATCCAGGGCGTCCGTAACAACTTTTTCCCAGTTTGGCACGGTGCTAGCTGTAGACCCCACCGGTGACGTCACGGTTGTGCAGAACTTGCGATATATTCGCAATAATCCTTTGGGCTGCATACTGCTTCAAAGCGAGCGCTAGGCACACCTCAGCGGCTTGCGAGGGAAGTACACTCGCAGCGTCCGCCTGTGAGCCTGGATGTTTGATCGCACTCCGAGGGTGGCATATCGCGCCCGCCGGATCGTTTGATCAACAGCTAGGCGTTGCCGATGGACACATCGCCTGTGCGATGACGCGATATGGCTGTTGCAATATGTGTGAGCATTGAAACGGTAAACGTTTCAAGACCACAGAGAGTAAATATAGATACCCGCATGTAGACGCCTCCGGGCATTTTCTGACCCCCCGCCCGCCTGCAATCGGTTTCAGTTTATTCAGGTATTTCTTCGAAGTTGAGGGGCTGCCCACGAAGTTGGATCGCATTAGCTCCGTGGGTCTCGTTTTCAGCACCAAAAATCGTCTGATACTGATGGCGACGTTGAATTCTCGGTTCACGAGCTCTTTGCGTGCATTGACGCCGGTTGAACTCACCAATGCAAGGATTGCTAGAAGTCGTGCTCGCTGTGGCGCCACAATCTCGTCATCGCCTGGTTAGGCAAGCATTTCTCTGGTCTATCTCCTGCCTTCTTCTTCTTTTTCTCCTTTCTCAGTCGTTCTTCTTCGCTTGATGTTTGGCGAGAAGAGGATTTTTTTGTCGAACTCGGCGATGATGCCTCTCTAGGATCTTCGATTTCCATTTACATGACTTTCCCTTGGATTTTTTATTTCTTCAAATGAACGCACTTGTCTATGCTCGTCGGTGAGGACATCACCGGAGGAGGTAGGACTTGTGCAAGAGAGGCCACATGTGTCCCCGCGTCGCCGTGCGCTGAGAACGCGTCAGCAATTCGCCCGATGGAGCGATCATTACGTTTCACAGCAGAAAACACTCCTTCGATGGGTTGAAGCATGGAGCGTACTCGGGTGTGAAAACCAGCTCTACACTTCGAGAGTACGGGCAAATACTCGGACGCAAGTGGAATGGTAAAATTCCATGTTGTTTAATAGAATGACGTCGCCGGACGTCAGGGAAAAGTCTTCAATGATTCGGCAAAGAGTTTGGTGCTGTTAGATGGAGCTTCTCTAGCAGCGAAAGTGAGGCTGCCAAATGAGTCCACTGCTGCTAGAAAAGTCGATGATGTCGTTAGTCTCTTCGAGTTTGATGGTGCGCACAATAGGTGCCCTGCTCCACGAATATCCTTATACGCTTCGATGGTATCTTCCGAGGGATGTCTCATCGACTGGGACCCATCGACGTCCCTGTACTCTACACAGATCGCAACGCTCCCGTAACGCTGTCGTTCAGCTTTCGGTGGATGGTGGTAGTGAGTGAGCTGGGATTCTTCTAGGCGACTGTATCCCGGTGTTTCCAGGAGCACGCAAACAAGCCTTTGAGAAACAGAGACGCCCGTGGCGACTACGATCGGCACTTTTACGTTCCCTAAAGTGATCAACGGGTCGTTTCCTAGCATTGATCGCAAGCACGCCGTGGGCATATTGGTTCTTGTCCCAGAGCGCATGCACTTCTTTCGTTCAGTGTTCCTCAACCATCAGAGTACTGTAGTATCACTGATCTTAAAGAGGAATCCAGTGCTCCGTGTACTGGTCAGCATAGAATACATATCCTATACTGAATTCGTCTGCGATCTATAGGGTGCATTGCATCTTGACGTCGATCTCGTGCTATCCACTACCAAATAGCATTCTATTCCATTCAGCGTGCGCGGACCAAAACTGAGTTAAAAGACTAGAAGAGTTGTCTATTTCGTCCCAAAAGATAAAGGAGAAGAGCTTCTGAACCCGGTATTCCGCGAAGGCGCATGCGCGGATGCGATGGTGCGAACAGACATATCGTTTGCTCTGAAATACGCAAGAAAAGAATACATATTGTACCAGTTACCTCCAAAGGGCCCCGCGCACAAACGAACTGCACTCGTTGTGCACACTTGCGGTCTTTCATCTGAATTGTGTTCCATCCCTCAGATGCGCGTCACCAAGTTCTTTGTCGCGGTTTATAACAGATGCTCTCGAAGTGCGTTCATTTAAAAAGAATAAATAATCTAAGTGAAAGTTACAAATATAAAAGTCAAAGATCATGGAGGCCCGGTGGCGCCGGGTTCGATTAAAAAACCGAAAAATCCTCTACTCGCCGACCATAGAGCCAAGGAGAGCAAGTGACAAACAAGAAGAAGAACAGTGGAGGTACAGGAGACTGTAGTGGCACAGAGGGCACATGTCCTCGCAACCCTTGCAATAGTGAGTTCAACTAACAGAACTGCACGCAAGGACTTCGTGAACGTAGAGCAGTCAACGCCGCAATCGGTATCAGAGGATGTGTGATTCTGTAGACGAGACCCAAGGAGCTGGGTCCATCCAACTCCATGGTGTAGCCTCTCAGGCGCGAAGTGTGTCTGCATAGACTGAAGCGGATAACAGGAGACCGGTCGCAAAAGGCCGGGGGGCGTCTAGGGGCGGGTCTACACATATATAGACATACTCCACGATCGTAAAACGTTTGTCGCGTTACTGATCGCATCTGCCTTTGACAAGGCGCAGCGCGTGACGACGCTCTCGTGAACATCGCGCTTCCCATGCGCGTCCATTTCATGCAGTTTCGTTACTGCACTGCGACTGGCATGTTCAAGCGAAAGATGCGCCTGGGAATGCGCTCGATCCCGAGAAGAAATGATGGCGAACAAGTGCGCAGCGCAGCGGTGATGCATCGATGCACAGGATTCTGGGAGCAGGGTCAACTGTCGTGCTCGTGTGTTCAGCCGTCGGCTCAGCCTGGTGCCGAAAACCACGATAGCAACTCAGGGAAATGCGCGTTATTGTCTATTACTCGTTTCTTGGCACTGAGAAACAGGAAAAGCAGTGTCAATGTCCGGTACAGCCAGCGAGCTACTTTTTCTTAACGTGTCCGCCTTCGGGAGTCTCCCGTCCAGTACAAACTCAGTTTCGAGAGCTGCCAAGAACCCAGGATACTCTAGCGCGGCACCGCGTGCAAGCTAGACCGCAGCTTGTCGATTCCAGGTTCATCCAGCTGCAGCGCGCTCTCGGTGCCACGCATGATCAGCCACTCATGCACGATATGTTTACAGATATCTTGATCGCAGAGCATTCAGCAGCTCATGAGGACGAACGCTCCAAGCCTAAGCACCAGCGACGCTGTTCAACGCATACGAAATCCATCCGTACGCCCGATCGTTTCCAGTTTGGAACCAGGGACTGGGTAAAAGGGCACGCGCTCGCTCCTAGTTACCAAGGTGACTTGCCAGTCTCGTCGATCAAGAAGATGATACTTTTGAAATACATACGCTCTGCGCTCACGTCATTATGCGGCCACTGCTTCAACCTGTTCACCGACCTCACCAGTCGTACGACCGGACTCAAACGTCTCGAGAAACTCCATTGCCTCCTTCATTTCCGTCTGCAAGCGGGTGCGACTCCAGCCGTGGATCTCAGCGAGAATCTCAGCGATGCGGGGAAGCGCCTCTTTCGCCGCCCGGGCGTTCAGAAACGCAAGACGCGAGCGTCTCGCCAAAAAGTCCTGGGCTGTCTCACAGTATTCGTTTTCAGCTGCGTACACGACCTCTGCTTCAATATACGGGTAGCCATGCGCAATGCGTTTGCCGTAACCAGCATCTTCCCTGCTCGCAATATCGCAGATCTTGTAAGCTTGATCTCCGTAGGCTCGAGCAAGATGTTGCGCTATGTCTACGTCCAGCGTCGTGGTCTGGAGTTTGGCACCCTTACTGACAGAGTATTTCACTCTTTCATAGTGCTGCGTGAGAAAAGCGAAATACGACGGGTCATAAGTATGACCTCCGGTGAGGATGACCTTCTCTGTCAAGCACTTGTGCTTCACGCGAGACTCCAACATTGCAACTTTGATAGCAGTATCCACAGTGTCCTGTGCCATTTTTCGGTAAGTCGTCCATTTGCCACCCGCGATGGTCAGCAGACCCGAGCCAGAGACGTGGACTGTGTGCTCACGAAGGATATTCTGTGTGTCCTTCGCTTTGGGGTCTATTGCAAGCGGTCGAATACCACTCCATGCGCTCTGAACATCCTTTCGACGCACTTCCACGTTCAGATAATCACGAAGCGCGTCTAAGATAAACTCAATCTCCGCCTCATGCGGACGTGGCATGTCCGTAATCTCCGTGCTTGAATCCGTGGTGCCGGCAATTGTCGATCCCAACCATGGCAACATGAAGACAACCCGACCGTCGCGCGTTTTTGGTACAATCAAACCCATGCCTTCCGGAGAATAGTAACTGGGCAGAGTAACGTGCACCCCAGATGACGGAACTATCATGCGTTGGGGACCGAGCGCCTCAGGTCCCTCGTCCATCGCTCGTATCCGATCCGCAAACGGGCCGGTTGCGTTCACAATCACTCGCGCGTAGACCGGAAATTCTTCTCCGGTGAAACGATCACGAACTGTTGCGCCAATGACCTTTCCAGTTGAGGCATCCTTGATCAAGCCCGAAACTTCAGTGTGATTTGCAATCACTGCCCCGTGTAGCGCCGCCGTCACTGCAAGCGTCACATTGAATCGCGCGTCATCCATCTGGCCATCGTAGTACACAATACTGCCTTTGAGGGTGGCGCCGTCCCGGCCACGGCGCGCTGAAAGGGTCGGAAACTGACGCCGCGCTTCCGCCGCCGAGAGGAACTTGCTCATATAGAGCGCGCCATTGCCTGCGATGGCCAGAAAGTCGTAGGCCTTGAGCCCAGCCCAATAGAATGGGATCTCCCACCATTTGTAACACGGCAGGATCGTCGGCAGCGGTTGTGTCAAGTGAGGCGCTTGACGGAGCATGATCGCTCGCTCATGCAAAGCTTCGAAGACGAGCTTTAGTTGCGCAGGGTCAGCACGAAAGAACGCCTTTTCCAAGTACCGGACACCACCATGAATGAGTTTCGTCGAACGAGACGACGTGCCAGACGCGAAATCGTTCCGCTCTACTAGAGCAACTCGGAGTCCACGGAGCGTTGCGTCGAGTGCAACGCCGGAGCCGGTCGCGCCGCCACCAACGACGAGAATATCGAAGAGGCCGTCTTCCGGCAAAGCGCTCGGTACCACTGCACTCATAGCCTCTTTTGATGAGCCGTCGCCTCCAGCTTCGGCTTTCCGTTTTTGGACAGATTCATAACGCATGCCGCTCTCTTTTAACACTCGCAGCTGCGCGTGACGACGCGGTGGCGTCTCGAGCACCGGCAACGGCCCGTGGTCCACAGACGCCACGCTAGCCGAGTGCGCTCTCGCAACCAAAGGGGTGTACCATCGCGAGTCATACCCGCCAAGCAACAGCACCGTTGCAGACGAAACAAAAGCCGCAGCGGAACACAGCGCTATTTTCGAAAACGAACGCCTCATACGAACGCAGGGCATCATCAACGCCGTTCGAAAGTCGAAAGACGCCAACGGCGTGCAGTAGTAGCGGCCGGCGCCATAGACAAATCGTCGCCAACTGACGTGCAGACGCCTCCTCGTTTTTCTCGACCGGCCACACACCACTTCTTCAAACTTTTTCGCATATAGTTCCACTTTGAGAGGTTGTCCAATAAAGTTCTCTCTTGTCCACTCTGGAGGTCTATTCTCCAGCACCGCACATTTCCTTATATTGATAGCGGCATTAAAATCTCGGTTCACAAACTCCATACGTTTCTTACCATCACTGGTTCTACTTATTAATGCAAGTAGTCCACGAACTTTCGACATCCTTTCCATTTTGCTCTACCGTCAGCGGTCCATACTTTTTTATATCCTCAAGGCTCCGCGGGCACTTTTCTAACTCCACGCTCTGAAGTGTACACCCCAAGTCGTGGTGTGTATACGATGTTCGGAACTCATCTACAGGTATTGTAACAAAACGCCTTGCGCACTCCTTGTACACCCTCGTCGTTGGAGCTGGCGTAGTTCCTTTTTGGGTCTTCCATTGCCCTGCCCCGTACGCTACTACGAGCCTCTGACTTTCATCATCCTTCAGGGCACTCAATTGATTGAAAAAATTCGCGAACGCCCGCTGCTTCCCAAAATACAAATTCATACGCAAACGAGCCCACCGGGGGCTTGGTATACTCCTCCCCCAGTGCATCCCAATGGGCAACGCGAACTTTCATGAACTCCCGAAAAGCTTTAAAGTCCGCTCCTCGACTCGTCACCTCGCTCAAAGCTTCCAGGTGATCTTTCATTCCTGAATTCCATTTGACGATTTTCTTCCTCGCATTCATTATACAGGATTCTCGATAGTATCTTGCTCTCGAGAACCTCAACAGACGCATGTCTTTCTGACGCAAGTTACCGTCAGCACCATCTTCCGCACGCTTGGGTACAGCGACGGCTATAATATTCGTATTCCCAGGGTCCGCGCCAACGACAAAGTCGTTACCCTGCACTTTCTGTGTCACAGGACCTGCCTTCTTGGTTTCTTCATGCTTCTCCGCGTTAACGACAAGGTCGTTATCCTCTACTTCCTGCGTCGCAGAATCCTCCTCTTTGTTTTCCTCATGCTCCGCCGCATCAACGATAAGGTCGTTATCCTCCACATTCTGCATCGCAGGTTCCGCCTCCTTCTCATCTTCATACTTCGTGACGTCAACGACAAGGTCCTTCTCATGCACTTCCTGCATCGCAAGACCCGCTTCCTTCTGATCCTCATCCTTCGCCGCGTCAACGACAAGGACATTATCCTCCACCTCCTGTGTCGCAGGACCAGCCTCCTCCTTTTCTCCATCCTTCGTAACGGGCGGTGCTGGACGATCTGTCTTCAAGCGCCGATAGTGTACACACAAGGCTACTCCATCTGTTTCGATCAACCCTGTAAATACCCTTTGTTTGCTTACTTAGAGGCGTTTGAAATCGAAGATATTCTTCCAGTGCGTCTCCCGGTTTTCACCGGAGAATTCCTCCCTGCTGACACTGAACTCCGGACTGATCTCCTTCATGATGCCATGAAGGACTGCGGAGTCGATAGTCACAAAATGTGACTTGATCTTGCACATTGGAACGCCGTTGAAGCGCTTCCCCATTAGGAAAGCCTTCCGTCTCTCCCACTCTTCATTTGTCTCTTCACTCAGCTTCATCTCCGCTTAGCGTTCGAGTTAACGATCCAGAAACACGAAATACCGCAGGACGAGGCGATAGTATCTTTCCTTATCTTTTTTCAACTCTGATATCTTGTCTGTTGGATTCGCCAGCCCCAGTAGCGCACGATGCTCTTGTAAAACCGCGCGGATCGCAGAAGCTTCTTTCGCGCTCACTCTCGGCGCCTTCCTGTCGACAAATTCGATCTCATCTTCATACTTTCGATCGTTCGTGATGCCATTGATAATCGCCCATTTTCCATTGCAAGAGATGCCTGGGTAGAGTGCAAACACGACGCGTTTCATGAAACGTTCGAGGTTCTCTGTCAAATGGTTCTTCAGGTTCGTAATGTACTTCATTGCCCCATATGTGTACATATCCGAGTCACCCTTGTACCGAGTGCCCTCGAAGCGGAATTCCGCGAAGTTTTCGTGGAGGGCATGCACTAGCTCATTTTCCTTCCGTGCTTCCTCTGTACCAAGCATCACATGACGAATAAAGGTCTTGTCGAAAAACTCGTCCGGAATCTCGACCGTTCCGATGTGCGTCACGTCTTCATACATCTCCCTCGTCACATGCATCAGTCCTGACGACGCCTTGACAATACTCTTGGAGTACGAATCGAGACGTTTTTTGATAGCGTCTCGCAACTTTTCCCTGTACGGATCCTTGATATGTTCAAGAAGACCGGCTTTCACCACCATCTCGTCGTACAGTTGTCTTTCTTGCCGCCTTCGACGTAGAGCCTCCCCTTTCAGTCCTCCTTCTCTTCATTTTCTTCTGGACTCGGCAGTGTTTTTGTTTTTTTCTAGCAGCCTGCGGCCCTGGACCTCCAGGATCGTCGACTTGCTTTTTCATAGGTTTCCTTTTTTTTAGTTTTTTGAAAAAGAACGCTCTTTGAACCCTTATATAATATACTGCGAACAAACACTTGACTAGACTTGTTTGAGGGTTGAAACACAAATGAATTGAAAAACTGTATTTTGCTACGACTTTAACGCAAATAAAATTTTGTACAGTAGAGCAGTACGCTCCTGATCAGGATCGCGTTTCCCTTCAATGGCGACATGCACGTCGTGTCAGGTGACCGCCTGATCTCCCAGGTGCGCTTAACGAGTGCGATTTTTAGAATGAACAAAACGTTTCCTTGTGCCAGCGTTCTCCGATTGTGCGCATTTTTCTTTTCTTTCTCTCTTTTTGTGTTTTTTCAGTGCGCGGTGAGGTATCCATCAACCCCTTACACTCAAGTTACATTACCTGTACTTCGTTTTGGATATTCTGGTCGTTTCATACGTCCTATCGTGTGCCGAGCCTGCCGAAAGCGACAGCAATGGCGCCTAAAGCGCCGGTGCGGTCGCTGCACGGAGACAGAACGGCTTTTCCATACCACAGAGGGCGTCGGCTCGAGGCATGGTTCACCCGACGTAGAATCCGGTCTCATCGTCAGTTTGTGCTTGGATAGTCTGCGGATGCAGGCTTGTCTTCGCCGCACGACACGCTGGAGAAACTTGACTGTTAGAATGAATCCTGGGAGCCGCCTCTCTCCTTCGTGATCATGCATGGAATGCGTTGTTGTCGGTTGGCAATGCGGGTTTCTGCTTGACACCCACCAGTAGGTAGGCGCAGAGAGCACTGGGCCCGTGTGCGCATCCGATTCGCTGGACCTTCCGCCTAGAAGGTAGAGTGTGAGTTTGTTCGCAACTAATGAGCGCTGAGGCTCCGTTAACAGACCATCAGTTGCCAGTGCTACACTCAAAGTGAGTGTCCGGCCTTTGAATATCACGGTGACGTCCAGCTCCTGTTTCCAGCGCGGGCACTGTAAGCCTAAATATGTCATCGTCTCGGGGATCTCGTCTCCACAGCAGGGACAGTGTGATTCCCAGTGCGATTCCGGTGTTCCTATACGGCTTAGAGCCGGTGCCAGCCAGAAGCCACCAACGCGGATTTTGGCGAGCCACTGGCTGCCGCGAGCAAGTCCCGGGAACCCCAGCGCCTCCCACCAGTACTTGCATGTGTATGCTAGGTTGTAGTTCCAGTATAGAGTCAAGCCGGCGTCACTCGCGCGACTGACTGCATGTCTACATTCCCGTACTGTTGTTTGGACCGTTCGCTTCAGGAGACGGGAGAATTCTATATTTCTGGGGAACGATTGGAGCGTGTTGTCTCCTAAGAGGCGCTTCAGCCAAATCTGCGTTGATTTCATCCAAGTGTTTTTGCGGTGCGTTGGGGTCTGCATGAAACTCCGACTGAACCAGGTGTACATGGTGGGCCCTTTTGGCCCATATGCGTGCCCGGCAGCCTGCCGCTATCGCTTCTATCGAGGCTATTTGGAGTTCAAGTCCGAGTGCCAGCGGGTTGGTTGCTCTGCTCTGCATTGAGCATCCAACTACAACGAGTCGCATTGCCCTGTTGGCGGCTGTCTGCAGACGCGAGGCATTTGGGTGCTTCATGCCGCACCATTCAGCACCCCAGGTCGCAGGCTGGATGATACACATCCTTAGTGCCCTGGTACGGATTGCTAAGGGGATAGGTCGGATAGGACTGGGCGTGCGATCGCTGTACGTCTATGCATCTTGGCGATCATCTCGTCAACGTGTGCCTTTTCGTCGAGCGTCGGCGTGAGACAGACCCCCAGGTAGCGATATTTTTCCCCGATCGGAATTTCCTGATTCTGCAACCGCCACGAGCGATTGCGAATGCTCTGCGAGTCTCCATGGATGACCATGACGCCGCACTTCGATGCTCCTATGCTCATCTCCCAGCGATCGGCCCAGGCGCTGACTTGTTCCATGCTAGCCGCAAGCGTTCCCGGGGCGGGTGCCAACAGCACGACATCGTCCGCAAATAGACGGCCTGCGAGGCGGTTCCTATGTGAGGGCTCCTCATCGGGCATCTCCACAGTCTATCCACGGCACCTCAAGCCCGTATTGTCTGCAGATGTTCAGCAGATCGTTGATGAAGATTTTGAAAAGGAGCGGGGATGTGGGGTCGCCCCGTCGCAGTCCACGGTGGATTCTTATGGAAGGGGTTCTTGAGCAGTCGCCCAGTTGGATGCGCATCCACGAGTCTGCATAGAGCGCACGGAAGAACGCTAAGCACTTTCCGGAGACTCCGGCTCGTTGCATCTTCAGAAATAGAGCCTCATGCGGGACCGGGTCCAAGGCCTTTTGGAAGTCGATGAAGCATACGTAAGCTGGTTGTTGGTCGCTAATGAAGCGACGTTGCGCCACTTCAATGAGGGTCAGGGCATGGCTCATGCACTCCTCGCGGCTCCGGAATCCAGCCTGTTCTGGGGCGAAGAACTTGCGTTCCTCGAGGCGCCTCTGGATCCGGTTCGTGAGCATGGCGCAAAGTAGCTTCATGATTGACGGGATGAGGCGCATAGTCCGGTAGATGTTCATGTCTGTGTATGTGTGGGAGTCCTTTTTGAGGATCGGTACGACCTCGGCAGTCCTCCATACATCCGGGATGTACGCCTCTTCAAACATGCGTTGAATGAGCTCCAAAAGGCGTTTGCCTAAGCTTGTGTCAAGTTCATCTGGTATCGATGGTGTCCCTGTTGTCCCGTCTTCTGGGGTCACCAGTATCATCCACTCCGCAGAGATACCGTCGATGCCAGGTGTTTTGCGGTTGCTTGAGCATAGCAGGGTCCGAACAGATTCAGGCCAGAAGATTGGGTCGTTCCATTCCGGTACCGGTTCGAGGCGCTGTAGTTTGGCAGCACATTGGTGCCAATAGATTCTGTCTTGGCAGTGCCCAGTTGCGTCTTCATGTAATTCTGTGCCGTGGTCCGTCCAGGCCTCATTCACTGAGGCACTCTCCGTCCTCAGCGCTTTCTTATAAACGATTGGTGTGAGCCCCAAGCACTTTTTGGTGGGTCCAGTCTCGATCGAATGTAGCGCCAGGTCTCATCTTCGTTGGTGCTCTCCAACATAGATTTCGCCAGGGAGGCGATTCTGCGGTTTCGATCCTCTCGTTTGTCTTCTCTGGAAAGTTTCTTCTTTCTTTTGATAGCTTCTTCATGTTGCGCCTGTGGCACCGGTAGCGCTGCCTTCGCTTCCTTGTCTCCGGCGTTGGCGCGTATGGCGGTGCGGTTGACGATTTTATAGAGTCGGTGGCATTCATCAATCCGAGTTTTGGTACGTCGTTTCAGGTACTGAGGTTTGCAACTGTTACGTTCTGGTGCAAGCAGTCCCAGCTCTCTGGCAATCTTCTGATTCCCATCTACATACTCGCGTGCCAATTGGTCTAAAGATTTGTATGCACGGCTTTTCGCATCTTCAGCGCTGTGAGTAGGTGACTTGGTTTGGCGGCAGCTTTCTTGAGTTCCTGCTGGGGTGCTCTTTCGGGGAACAAGTTGTGATGGGCTCGTTCGGGAGTTCTTTTTTCTATTCATCTATTTTTTCTCGTTGGCCTTCTTCTTCTTCGGGCTCTTTCCTGAGCTGCTTTCTCTGGTTATTTTGCATCTAGGTGGATCATGAGGCCTTTGTGCCTCCCTCTCCGTATCTGGTTGGGTCTCTTTTCCTATTGTAGAGTCCTCTATTGGTGTTGCTTCTTCGTTAATGTACCGTTAATTCGTTATCTTTTCTCGGAAGGCCGCAAGTGACTTGTTGGTTAGTCTCCGGGCTTGGTGCAATGATGGATACAAGACCTGCGGAGCTGACCAGAGAGAATTTTGTCGGACAATCACTCAAAGTGGAACTATATGAGAAAAAGTTGGAGGCAGTAGTAGGTGGCCGGTCGAGAAAGACGAGGAGGCGTCTGCACCTAAGCTGGAGACGTATTGTCCAGGGCGCGGTTGCCGCCACTACTCTACACCGCTGGCGTCGTTCGCTTTCTGAAAGGCGTTTGCTGGTGCGCGCATCGTTCCTCTGCACTGCATCCGTGTGCAACGGGATCCGGATGACGACTACTGTCTGCGGAGACGTTGTGATGTGCATGGCGGTGTGTTGCAGTCGCTAAAAGTATGGCACTGTTCAGGAGCGGGAACGCGGGCGAAATTTTGGGAGCCGGCGCTATTATAGCTCCGAAGCAAGTGATTTTCGCAGATCTGGACACTCTGGTTAGGATCATCGAGCCAATACGCTACAGGAGAACGAACAAAGCATAGGACGATCGCAACAAGTGCTGTGCGTGGCCACTGCACTGTCTGGAGAGTGGGCGGTCGCAGAGGCGGCTGCCTAGCATGGCACCGCACGCCGCGGGACGTGGCGGTGCTCTTGGCACAGCGTCGTTGTGCTCGCCAGCAGTGGCACTGCGCGTCGTGTCTCGAGTTCAATAACGCTCCTGTTTATGTTTCAAGTCTTGAGGACCGCTTACGCTCGAAACTAGTCGAAAAGAACCGAGCGTGCACTGCGGTATCGCCGCAACGTCGTGCAAATGGACTGCCTCCAGGCTCTGGGCCAGGAACGCCGCCGCATGCCGAACAGTAGCGCTGTACCCAGTGCTGAGATCTGGGATAAAATGAACGTACACGCGTTTGCCGCACGGTTTTACGAACCTCCCTTGCCTTGCTGCTTCTTCTCGTCACTGTCCTGGTTCACATCCTTGAATTCTGCCTCGGGGGTCTCGCTTTGAGACTGTTGCGCCTGCTGAGTAGATTGCGAGGCCTGCGAGGCTCGGTAGATTGCCTCGCCGATGCGCATGGCCGCTTGCTGCAATACCTTCGTCTTTTCGCGTATCGTATCTGCAGCGGTAGCGTCTTTCTCGAGGACTGCACGCAGGTCTTGTGCAGCCTTTTCGACGGTCTCCACGTCAGTAGCACTGAGTTTGGCCCGGTGCTCGCTCAGCGTTCGTTCTGTAGTGTACAAAAGTGAATCTGCCTCGTTCTTCGCCTCCACAGCTGCTTGGCGCCGCCGATCCTCTTCAGCGTGCATTTCAGCGTCCTTAATCATCTTCTCAATCTCTTCATTCGACAAGCCGCCGGAGCTCGTGATTACCACCTCATTCCGTTTTCCAGTACCCTTATCAACAGCGCTGACATGGAGGATACCATTCGCATCGATATCGAAAATCACTTCAATCTGGGGAACACCACGCGGCGCCGGGGGAATGCCGACCAAATCGAACTGTCCCAGGAGTTTGTTCTCGGCGGCCATAGGTCGCTCGCCCTGGAGAACCTTGATACCAACCTGAGTCTGGTTATCAGCTGCGGTGCTGAACACTTGACTTTTCTTCGTTGGAATCGTCGAGTTTCTCGGAATCAGCTTCGTGAAAACCCCACCAAGAGTCTCGATGCCCAGCGAGAGTGGAGTTACATCCAAGAGCAAGATATCTTTGACGTCACCGCGCAGAACGCCTCCCTGGATTGCCGCACCCATCGCCACGACCTCGTCGGGATTGACGCTCTTGTTCGGAGCTCTACCGAAAAAGTCTTGAACCAGCCGTTGCACAGCAGGCACGCGAGTCATACCGCCAACGAGTAGCACATCAGAAATATCTTTCGCAGACATTCCCGCATCTTTCAGGCAGAGCTTCATGGGCTCCAGTGTGCGCTGCACAAGATGGTCCACTAAAGACTCAAACTTCGCTCTGGTGAGCTTCATGTTCATATGTTTCGGTCCACTGGCGTCCGCTGTTATGAAAGGCAAGTTGATCTCAGTCTGCATGGTACTGCTCAACTCGACCTTGGCCTTCTCCGCCGCTTCGCGCAAGCGTTGCAGGGCCAGCCGGTCTCGCGACAAATCGATGCCCTGATCCTTCTTGAACTCGCTCACCAGATGGTTCAGCAGCACGTTATCAAAATCCTCGCCACCGAGGTGCGTATCACCGTTCGTCGCTTTCACCTCAAAGACACCGCCCGAGATTTCTAGGATCGATACATCAAATGTGCCACCACCGAGGTCGTACACTGCTACAACTCTGCCTTCATCCGCTTTGTCCAAACCGTACGCCAACGCCGCCGCTGTTGGTTCGTTTATAATGCGCAAAACATTGAGCCCTGCAATACGACCAGCATCCTTCGTCGCTTGCCGTTGTGCGTCATTGAAGTAGGCTGGCACAGTGATCACTGCATTATTCACTGTGCGGCCCAGGAAGGACTCCGCTGTTTCCTTCATTTTTTGCAGTACGAATGCACCGATCTGTGCTGGCGAATACCGATTGCCTTGGGCCTCCACCCAGGCGTCCCCGTTGTCGGCACGAACGATTTTATAGGGCATGATTTTCACATCGCGTTGAACCTCCGGGTCTTCGTAGCGCCGGCCGATCAAACGCTTGGCGGCAAATATCGTATTCTCTGGGTTCGTTACTGCCTGGCGTTTCGCTGCAATGCCTACGAGCCTCTCACCGCTGGACGTGAACGCCACCACCGATGGTGTCGTGCGCTGTCCTTCGGCATTCTCGATGACTCGTGGCGCCTTACCCTCCATGATCGCAACGCACGAGTTGGTTGTGCCGAGGTCGATTCCAACGACATCGCCTTGTACAGCGCCTGTTGAGCGAAGGCGTCGCTGCGGAAGGAGCGACGGCTGACGGAGTTCCACCACCGGTTCGGGAACCTTCAGCGTAGCCAACGCCGGCGCCCTGTGCAGGGCACGAGCGCCTGCACGTAGCAGGAAACGCAACATACGCAGTGTTCACGCGTAAAGCACAACGTCAGAATTGACTTTGCTTCTGCTCCGGACGCCGCCGACAAACCCGGGTACCACCCCAAGGATTTTGATCGACGCCGCCGCCGCCGCGGTGTCCGCTTCCCAGCAAAGCGGACAGAGAGTCCATGGAAGCCGCCGCCCCAGCGTCCAGCGACTGGCGTGAAGCGTCGCGGCGGTGCGCAGCGGTACGCGATTCTCGGAAGGCGTCGAATGTGCGTGTCGTGCGTCGACTGAACCCGGCACCCGAGGTGGCGCGAATACGGCGTCCCAACAGGTATTGCAGTTTCTCCACAGCGCGTTCTACGTTCAACTAGCACCAGATGAGTCTCCTTTTGATAGGCTGAGGCTTCCTTTGTCCGATAACCCAACAGGTGCAGCGTCTATCGCGGGCATTGCATGAATTCAGTGCAGTTTCACAGCAACGTGGCCTTGCTTGCGGCGCCTAGAGGTCGCACGAAAGCTGGATGCGTGCTGCTTGTCGAGGTGCTCCAATCGACAGCACGCAATGTGCTTGTGGCATGCTTTACGTCGGAGGCTATGGAGGACCTTGGATGGCTTTTCAGGTTCGAGACTTGCGATGGGCTTTCTGTGATATGCTTTTACGCAAAATGTATCGGTGGCCGTAGACGAATTTCTCCGCCGAAAAGGCATCTACATGAGCATGGACGCGTTGGTGTTGCTGTTGTTGTGAGCGCGACACAGTGCTTATATACGGCCGCGCTGTCGGCAACAACGTAAGAGGTCGCGCTGGACGCTGAGAATCGCCATGGATTCTGTGCCAAGGGCCCGCGTATTAGCGTAAGGACGTCCCTACGTGCAGTGCAACTGGACACGGGCGGTTGGGGCGGAGGGAACCCCTGGTCATCGGGGCCAGCGATCAAACCGAGGAGCAGCGGACGTGGCCGCTCTTGCTCATTCGCGTTTGAGCGATGAAGCGTGTCTGAAGCTGTGCAAGTTTTCGGCCAAGAATCGATATCGCGAACGCTGCACCGGATCAGGACGCTGTAGCGGAGAAGACGCATGGCTTTTGCGTGCATCCGCTGCGTTCCACAAGTTCAATGCGAGTCCTTCGCCGAGAACTAGGCGATGCATTACTCGGCCAAATGACGCCGGTAACTCCCCAGTACCCTGATGAAAGTCGTAATCTCTGCGAGGTGGTTAAGCGCGTTATTCGTTTTGGTATCCGCGAGGCTGGCAGATATGTCCAGGTAAAAAAGGTACTCCCATCGACGCCGATCTGGAACGTTCTCCACGTCGGCGTTGTCCGATACTCCCCTGCTGGCAATGGACGCAAGCGTATCCGACCTACCGTTCGTCGAACTTGCACGGAGCTGCGCGCTCTCCCGGGAACGCAGATGTCGAAGGGACCTCAAATGGCGGGACTCAATTTTGGTAAGATCAATATCTCGGAGAGCAAAGACCGAGAGCGCCTTGAATAGGGCTCCCGGCGTGTTGATCAGCGAGAAGGCGATCGATGTCTTGGCCGGTACCCCAAGCGGTGGCGCTGCGCAAGGCGTTCGCGCCAGAATCAGGAAACGCGTGAAGTTCTCAGGTTCATCCTCTATATCTTCACGCAAGATATTCAGAGCGTAGATTTGCGCGGCACGAGCCCCTGCGATAGCCGCACGATCCCGATAGCCCTTATCGCGCAGGAGACGTGCACTGCCTGCAGTATCCAGCGCTACTTCGCGGGTAAGTCCGTTTTCGGACAGGAACTTTTCACACTGCGCAAGCGCCATCGGATGACTCTGGACAACGCGCACATCTTTCAACTCGACGCCCTCAAGTGCCAGCAAGTAGTGTCGCACGCAAAAGTCGACCTCACCGACAATATGGAGTTGATGCTGGAGCAACAAGTCATAGTTGCGGTGGATCGTTCCGGCCAATGAGTTCTCAATCGGAAGAACAGCTCGATCAGCGCCGTCTTTCTCAACAAGCTCAAAAACCTTTTCGAACGTCTCACAGGGCACCAGCTGGAGATTTTCCCCAAAGTACTCGATTGCAGCTGATTCCGAGTACGCCCCAGGCTCGCCCTGATATGCAACGCGGAGCGGAACCTCTCCAGCGTTCCAGTCCGGTGAAGACACTCCATCCGAGTGAACGACAAGTTCAATCATTAAGTCTTACCGATACGGCAGTTCCAGGCACAGTTTCGCACGCAGGCCAAGAGAAACTGCACCTGGAGGCGTCCAGTGCACAGCGTGCAGCGCCCGGCGGCGCGTGCACGGTGGCGTACGGCGCAGAGCCCGCAGATCGCGCACGCAGCGAATCGTGCGTGCAGCCGTACGGGCAGGCTGCGGGGCGCGCGGCGCTGGAAACGACCGTTGCGAACGCAGCGCTCTGCGTCTCTCGAGGTATTGGTCCGCTCTGTGCTTTCGCGGTGAACGAAGCCATGGACTATTCGAAGAAAGCGTTGGAAATCAAGAATATTGAACGGGAAGTCGAACTTTGTTGTTCAGAGATTCAGAAAGCGGTTGAAGATGCTGTACTACTCGTTAGGAACAGCTTCCACTCGCAGTTGATTCGAATGCCTCGCAAACTGAGAGCGACGCGATTATGTGCTCTTTTCACCGCTGAGGAGCTACAGACGATAGGCTACGTCCTAGAGGGGACCGATCGAGGGAGTACTGTCGAAACTTGTGTTACGCAGCCCACGGCTTCCCAGTCTTCGTCTAGTGGCACGCGGAAACATGCGAAGCAGAGCTCGCGAGCCGCACGTGCGCTGCGTATTGCGGCACCTGGAACAACCTCGCTGAGTAGCCGACGGCGAGCTGTTCAAGCATCCGCAGTCACTGAAGCGACACGTCATACAGACTCTGAGCATGGAGAGTCACAAGGAGCGGCCGTGTCGGCTCCACAGGCACCAGCGGAGCTGGAGACTGCACTGCGCCACATGTTAGAGCAGCTCCTGGCCAAACAGAAGCAAGTCATTGGAGATGGGGCTGACCATGTACCCAACTTGTTGCTGGATATGTTGCGCGAGAAGGTCTTTCGCGATGCTGAGCGAGCAGAACAAGTATCTCCTCGATGGACACCAGATCTGGCCTCGGCACCAGCGCGATAGGCACATAGCTGACTCGCGAGTTTCGTCTCCGGCGTAATTTTTAAGGAAACGGGTATTTACGCCATTGCACTTACATGGATTAGTACATTTACGCGATCGCTCGAGGCCTTTCCTTCACCAATCGTGCATGGGAAGTTGTACCCGCTGCTCTTCCATGTTTTGTAAATACAAAGATCATTGCAGCGGCATATAAAGCGTTGTGGGCTAGGTCGCAAGCTCGGATCGAGTCCTCCAGTTTTCCATCTCTGATCATGAAAATTTCGTTCGGCTCTGCACTCTGACTAGAAATAATGTGGGTAACGTTCTTTCGCCCAGGGCAAATGCGTTATATGATGCATACGGAAGCCTTCTCATGATTTGAGCGACAATGCGGCTAATGTGTTGGTGTTCATCGCTGTCGCACTTACTAGAGCGTGCCCAAATGTACGGGAAGGTGCGCCAAAATGCCACGATGGTAGGGCGATAGAATATTGCAGGTACGGTGGCGAGGCGGAGCGTATGCGCTTCGGCTTCGGTGCGAAACCATGTATCGTGGTTGCAGATGCACCATTGCCCTCGAGGTCGCTCGCCACAAAGCGTGCAATTCCAGGGTTCGCACTGCGAGGTCACACGAGGAAGCAGAATGCTGGGGAAGCCACAATACAGCACGTACCTCCGCAGGTATGTTTTCTTCGTCGATGTCAGCACAGTCGAAGCAGTTATAACAGTGCATTATGCATAGATCTGCAAAGCGCATCAGTTGGAACATTTTTGATGGCGAGCAACGAACGAAGCATGCTCTGCAGAGGAGACAGGTTCTTGAGCCATAAAGGCTCCCTGCCGAGCGGGCACGAAACCAGGGTGCCCGAGAAGTTTCGAGTCACAAGCGTGTGTTGGGATCGCACGAGAGGCGTTCGCGACGCGGGAGCGCTGGCGTTTGCCAGCTCCGTTTCTTCTCTGTAGCCCCGCAGAGCGAATTTCCCTGAGCCAGATTCCGGAGAACGCAAATGTACAATCTTGAAGCAGCGGACACGAACGAATCTCAGGCATCGTCGGAAAAATTCGCTCCATCTGTCATGGAGACCGTTTCTGTGCAGCCCAGATGCACTACCGTGAACCAGCAGACACGTGCAGATTTTGAGCATCATATGCAGGGGTCGCTCGACTGGTCACGGAAACGCGAGGAAGAGGATTCCACTAGGCGGCTAACAGAGAATCGGTGAACGCTTTGCCGAGCTCTATCTATGCGATTTTCGATGCATCGGCGACCTTGTCAGCAGGTCAAAAAGCGAGTGCTGGACGGACGCGTTTAGCATCCCCTTGAGATGGATTCCAAATGTCTTCCCGTTACACTGAACTGTTCAAGTGCAGCAAACGAGCACGCCTCGCATTGAAAAACAGGGGCGCGCACTCTTCAGTGTATCCTCTCTGCACAGTACAAATACCGCTTAAAGGACGGCGCATACTCTAGAACGTGCAAAAGCGCATGAACGAGCTGCAAATGGCAGCAACATTTGCCCTTGACGAAAGCACGATCATGAAATACACCTCCATTAGTTGTTCGCTCGACGTGTTCGTTTCCCTCAAACAGAAACTGCACCTTGATGGAGCAACATGTGCGGTGAGGGTGATGCCCATCATACATGCGCGTGTCCTGGCACTCCTGTAAGCTGTCGCTTGCGATACACCCTGCAAACTCAACAGAATTACCCCAACCCCCCATGAGGAGGTTATCTCCTGCGGCTCGAGTGAAAATTCTCCAAACGTCGACCATTGCTCTTTATGAAACGGCTTCAACATGTATCCACTTGTCTAGTTTTGAAAGTGCATGCAAAACGCCCGAACCATGACGTTTTCACCCATGGTGGCTTTCCTAAACTGCTTGTGACGGATTTTCCTCAGCAAACCCATACGAAGTTTCTAATCATTTTTCTACGAAGCGGTGGCAATATCACCCGCTTGTCCTGGACTGCGCGCGGCATTCGTTGCTTACGTATTCCCGCCTTCAAAACTACGTGACCTCGGTCTACGCCGACGGGTGCTTCTTCCGTCACTTCTCCTGGGGCGTCTACTTTGTCCCCTTCGACCGTCACTGGCCCCAGCGTGTTGTGAGACCGGGCCCTCACCGCGCTCGTACTCGGCTCGTTTCACCGCAATGATGCGCTCACGCATGGTGGATCCGTCTAACGCCGCGATCGCTGCCTCCGCTTGTTCGAGCGTTTGCAACCGAACGAAAGCGAAACCGCGGATCCGCCTAAGCTGTCGATCCCAGGGAATGAATATGTCTATGACATCACCATATGGGCGAAAGAGCTCGAGTAAGTCCTCCTGTCTCGTTCCAAAGGGAATATTTCGCACCATGAGGCCTACGGAGTTTTGCAGCTCACTTTCGCTCGGTCTATTCGGGAACGGCCTACTTGATTTGGGTTTCGCGGCGCCCTGCTCTGTCGTTTCTCCTATTAAGGTCGCTCCGCTCGGGGAATCCTTTGCAGTGTGGCTGAGGGAGTCTCCCCCGTGGGCACCGTCGCCTGTCGAGCTCGGTGGAGCTGACGAAAGTGCCTCGTTACCACTCATAGCCGTAAACTCGCGAACAAAAGTCGATGATTTTGAAGGCTTACGGCCCTAGTTCCACGCTGAGAAACGCGAAAACCCCAACAACACCGAACGGGCTGCCCAAGCCAATAGAACTCCTCCGAGTGCGTTCGCGGCGCGACGAACTCTAGTGCAAGCGGCCAGCACTACTCTTTAGTCGACTGTTGACACCTCTACGTGCCAAGGCTGCTAGTGCAAAGAGGGTGAATCTTTCAAGAGAGTCGCCCAAACTCGCTGGAGCCGCGCGTCAAACTGCCAAAGAAAAGTGTATATTGCTTTTCGCGCTCGTGCGCTTGCACTCTGAATTCTGAACCTGGGTTGGCACCGAGGCCGCCGCGCGTCTCGCCGGGCATTCAATCGCGTCTCGGCAGCAGCGAGCGTGCGGCTCAGGCATGCGCGATTTCTACCCTCGAGCTCCCGGCAGAGGCATTTTGCGGCCATAACCGATTTCCTGCCGCCGCGCAAACATGCCGCCGCCCCAACGCGCATGTAATTACGTGGGGCAGCTATGTCTAAGTGTCGCGAATCCGTATGGCGCTGCTCGGGCCCGCTCGTCGTCACGTAACGAAAGGGCGCGCAATGCCATCTGCGTTCGCGTTGCGCAGCAAGCGGTATGCGCCTACTTCGGCACGAAGCACTAAGCTTGTACAGAGAAAGCCTCCGCACTTGTAAAGCTTTCACCTGGCAACATCCATCGGGCAAGGCGTGGCGAGAGATCCTTGCGGAGACGCTCCGTAAGGAGTTTGAAGCGGGTCGTCTTGAAACGCAACCGGATAGAATCCTGGAGTTGCTTGTCAACGGCCGGGAGGCCCTTCGAAAAACACAGGAGCTTTTAGTTCAAAAACAGCGTGAACTACAGAAACGGCAGTCGCTCAGTTCAAACTAGCCAAGGGACACTTTCACTGTGTACCTGAGTGGTCCGGCATGATGCTGCTTGTGAGGCCCTCGCGTTGTAGTCCCTGGCAGTACTCTTCTGCGAGTTGTTTCCAGGTCGTTGTAACCGTTGCGACGCCGGCTTTGTGAGCATGCACTGTAATACGGTGGGCCTTGTAGCGGGTCAACGTCTTCACCACTTTGACGAGCGTATGTGTAACATAGTCGAACGTGTGAATATTATCGTTGTGCAGTAAAACACGCCACATCGGCTCTTTTGCCGTCTTTTCTTTTTCTCGAACGGCTGGCTTCGTCTTTGTGATGACAGCAACGCCCCCACCTTCTCGTTCTCGTTCCCCGGACTCGTCACCGCCGGGAGCACCTGCTCCCGTGCCCGGGGCGAACTCTGCTGGCTTGCCTCCAATCTTGCCGGGTCCTTTACGGCCAATGTCAGCCATTTTCAGAGACCTCAGCGTCCTCTCCCTTTGGGCGTGTTCTGCGGAGATGGAGACACCACCTGCGGAAAAACGGGGCCAGCGCTGACATCCGACTCGCAGGTCGCGCTGCGTCCCGGCCGCACTCCGGTTTCGAGGCCACGGCGCAAACACACAGAACGCCGTGCTGTGACTTTGTGGTTGCAAACCTTGGTTATCCCGACTCATTCTCAAAGGCAACAAGAGGCTGCTGCGAAAACTTTCGGAAAGAACGATAGTGAGGTGAACACCTTCAGAGAGAAGCAATAGAACGCAGAGAGCTCCAACGTGTTCGCAAAGCGTCGTGCAGACTCCGTCGCGCACGCACTTGCAGTACGCGCAGTGGTAACGCGCAAACCGCTGCGGCCTTGACGTATGTCCGTAGTCGTGGAGCGGGGACGGCATCCCGTGAGGTTTGTTCAGCTTGTTCTGCAAAACGATAAACGTTCTACAATCATGGAGTATATTTAGACACGCCCACTCAAAGACGATTTCCGGCCATTTTTGACAAGGCGCTTGCGATCGGTTCCTGCTTCTCCTTGTACCATCTTGAGACTAAGAGGGTGCCCCACAGAGTTGGATCGCGCGTGTCAGCCCTACGGGTCTCGTCTTTAACACCGAACATCGTCTTAAATTGATAGCAGCATGAAAGTCACGGTTCACGAACTCCTTGATTTAATTGCTGCTGGTTGAACGCGCCGTTGGAAGGAGACCTCGAACTCGGGTCCTCGGTGCAGTTTCCTGCTCCGTCAGCTCTTCGTACTTTTCTATCGCTCTCGTGCACTGCTGCTTGCGCTCCATCCCTAAGCTCTGAAGTATGCACCCCCAACTCGTAGTGTGGGTCGGATTTTCGAAAGTCATCCATCGGTACTGGGAAAAAACGGCGTGCGCACTTCACGTAGGCACGCGTCGACGAAGTGGGTATGCTACCTTTGTTGGGTGCCCAGCGCCCTGCTAGATATGCTACTACGAGCTTTTGACTCTCGTCTTCCTTGAGGGCGCTCAACTGACTCATGATCTTGGCGAATGCATGCTGCCCCCTCTATACAGGTTCATACGCTGACGAGCCCGCCGGTGCTCTGTACACTCTTTCCACAGCTCCTCGTCATGAGCAGCACGAGTTTCCATGAACTCTAGAAAAGCTTGAAAGTCCGCTCCGTTGAGAGGTACCGGGCTGAGCGCCTCCAAGTGCTCATTCCCTCCTGCATTTCACGTCTCAGTCTTTTTCCTCGTATTCATTATTCCCGAATCTCGGTAATATCTCGCTCTTGAGAGCTTTAACAGACGCATGTCTTTCTAACGTATGTTGCCGTCGATTCCATCTTCCGCACACTTGGGTGCAGCGGTGGTTATGATATTCATGTTCCTAGGGCCCGCGCCTCCAACAAAGTCGTTCTCCTGCACCTCCTGCGTCGCCAGATTCGCCTCCTTCCTATCCTCATGCTTCGTCACGGGCGATATCGAGGGTGGAATAGGACAATCTGTCTTCAAGCGCCGAAAGGGTACGCATATGGATACTCCATCGCTGTCGATCGTCCCTGTGAATATCTTTTTCGTATTTTTTTCAGACGTTTGAAATCAAAGATATTCTTACAGTACGTCTCCCGGTTTTCACCGGTGAATTCTATCTTCCTCACATCGAACTCCGGACTGATCTCCTTCATGGTGACGTAAAGGGCTGCGGAGTCGATTGTCACAAAATGTGACTTGATGTTGAACAACGGAACGACACTGAGGCGCTTCCTCAGAAGCGCAACCTTCCGTTTCTCTGCTTCTTCCTTTTTACCCACACCCAGCTCCATCTCCGCCTTGCGTTCGATTTCTCGGTCCAAAAACACGAAAAAGCAGAGGATGAGGGGACGACATCCTTCTCCATCTTTTCTCATATCTGATACCTTTTCTATTTGGTTGACCAGCCAAAGAACCGCACGGTGCTCTTGAACAGCCCCACGGATAACAGAATCTTCATTCCTGATAATGTGCAATGTCTGCTTGCTGAAGAATTCGATCTCATCTTCATGCTGGCAACCGTTTGTGATGGCATTGGTAGTGTTCCATATCCCGTTACGAGGGAGGCCCGGGTACAGCGCAAAGATGGAGCGAATCACGAAACGTTCGAGGTTCATAATCATTTGGTGCCTCAGGTTCGTAGCGCACTGCATTGCTCCCTATTCGTGAATACGCGAATCACCCCTGTATCGAATACCGTTGAAGCGGTACTCAGCGTGGTTTTCGTAGAGGGCATGCACTCGCTCATTTCTCGTCGACGCCTACTCTGTGCCAAACATGGGGTGGCGAGCAAATGTCTTGTTGAAAAATTCCTCCGGAACCTCGACTATTTTGATGCCCGTAACGTCATGGTACATCTTACTCACCTTACGCATTAGCCAAGACGAAGCCTTGATAATACTCATGGAGTACGACTCGACACGGTTTCTGATAGCCTCTCGCAACTTTTGTTCGTACGGATCATTTATTTGACGTAGAAGAAAGGCTTCCATTGCCATCTCGTCATACTGTCGCTTCTCATGCAGCTTTTGACGCCTGGCCTCCTGCATCTGCTTCTTCGTCTTCTCCTGTTCCTCTGGACTCAGCATTGTTTTTCATTTCGTGTCGAACCTGGCGACACTGGGCCTCCAGGATCCTGGACTTGTATGTCCGTAACTTTTCCTTGAATTTTGATTTTTGAAAGTGAGCGCACTTCGAACGCGTATGCTAAAAAAACGAAAAAACTCTTGGACACGCTCGCATGTGGGCTGAAGCAGAATTCCGAACAAACACTATATTTTGCTAGGACTTGAACGCAAATAGAAAGCATGCGTTAGAGCAACACGCTTAATATCGGTAGACCATGATGTTGTCGTACATGGACCTCGTCCCCAGCAACAGTGCATGCTCCACATGCTGCTTCGCGTGTTTCCGGTGCGAGTCTACATCTGAGAGGGGTCGCGTTTCCCATCAGCGGTGAGATATGCGTCGTGTCTAATGCCTGCGAGATATGGATGTGCACGTATCGAGCGCATTATAGAAAAAAGAACAGAAACTAGGCACAAACTAGCGACGAGATAACAATCCCCACCTCTTCGGTAAAAGTGAGAAGAGGAAAAAGTTTGCCGCATTCGCGAAAGTATACCTTCCAGTAGGGAGATCCCGCAACCCGGACGAGGCTGCCTGGCTCGCGCTACAGTGAGACTCGGCAGTGGCTTGCGCTATAGTGAGACCTGAGCAGCTCGTCTGCGAAGCCGTTTATACTGGGGCAAGGAGCGGATGTGCTGCGTCTGGGCGTCGCCCACGATGCAGTCATCTCCTAGTATATCGCTTCGCGCTGTCGCAGGCAGGACGTCTATCAGCGCAGATTGCAGGCTCCCAGAATGATTATGAATCCCGACCTTGTGTCAAGAGCAGCACGCCTCGAGCCGACGACCTCAGTTGTAAGGCAAAGCCGTACTGTCCCGATGCTGCATCCGCACTAGCGGTTTAGGCCATACAGCGGATGTTCACGGCATGCACTTGGCGCACATAGAACGTACAAAACGACCATTACCTCCGAGAGAAAATATGGGTAATGGAACCTTAGGGTAGAGTGCAGCATAATGGACGCTTTCTCGAAAGCAACTGGGTGCATAGCTGCATACAATCCGAAAGTGCTGCACCGAGTTTTTGGCATCGATGACCCGGGTTCTATCAAAATGGAAGAGAGCACTGCTCGCTCTCTTCATGGTTTTCGATTTCTCGAACTCTGTTCGGATGTAAGGCCTCGGCATTCGAAGTGAAGCCATGCGTGCTTACGAATTCAATAATAGTTTTGGGATTCTCGGAGGCGTTTTTGGGTGGCTCCCTGGACTTGTAGCCGCCGGAACTCTTTCATTTGCGGGATCCGAGATGATTTGCGATGCCCCCAAAGGAGGGCTCGTCGAATGACCGAAATCGAGCATTCAATGCTTACGTACAAGTCTCCACGCTTCTCCTTTTCTCAGGTTTGGCATGCTTAAATCAAATACGTTTCAAGTTTTGGATCTTTCTCTTTCAATGTGATCCACGGACGCAGCAATGCACGTCACTGGATTGACGAGGAAAAACTTCGACCTGCTCCATTGGGGACATATTCAAGAACTCTTACTGAAAGTTCTCTAAAACTATCGCGTCAAATAATCGATTCTGCTCAGAAGGACCAAGATTTGTTTATTTTTGGCCACCAAGGAGACGGCATTCAACGGCAGCACGATGCCTGTCTTGAGATACGCTTCCAAAGGCATCCGCCTCCTCTGTTTGAAAGCAAACAGGTCCCGCGCTCGGAGTTGAGTTATCGCAGCGCTGGCTTCCTGTGGATAATGCGCAACCGTTTTGTCTGATACGGGCGCAGACGGATCGAGATATGTCGACTTGATCTCCAGCCTATGGCTTCCTTCCGGTGCTTTTTCATTTTGGGCAACATCGAGTTCCACAAATTCCGTATCAAATGCGAAACCATGCTCTTTACGGTGCCTCCGACAGAGTACTCGCCAAATGGCTCGCGCGAAGAAGCCGGTGATTGGAGCGTACAATACTGGGCATGAAACAGAGGAGCGCATCACAGGAAGCCCATTGCACCAGTCAACTACTTTTGCTGAGCGATGAGGTGAGCGTTTATGCACCACAAGGAAGCCCCCGGGGTGTAGGAAATGGGGTGGAAGTACGGGAACGTCTGAACTGAGCCAAGTGTACCCGCTGCGAAAGGCAAACGTATGCTATATAACAAGGCGATCAAACGGGCAAGCGAAGCGTAGATGGCGACCACCATCTGCGCATCAAACCTGTGAAAAACAGCAGGAAAGAACCAAGTTGAAACTTCAAACTCACCACCGACATCCTTTGAATGCCGATAACGATGCCGCGGCGAGAGGAGAGAGCGGCGATGGAAACTCGGATATGAGCGAGAGAAAAAGATATCTGCTTCCAAAACTGTCCCAAAATGTCTGGCTTGCGATAATTGAATGAAAGCGAACGTTTCTCCTGGACACCCGAGTAAGGAGCGCGTCCCATTTTAATCTAAAATGGGTAGAATGACGCTGGAGCATCGTCTGTATTCCAGTTTGAATTCGATATGAAAAACTGCCGCGTCAAAACATTCCACCGGCAGAACGCGAATCGTGGACACTTACTTCGTGCTACGCGAGAAGTGTGCTCGATTCAGCCGCAAAATCTTTCGCTGTTCCCACGCGCATTTTCGAGCGTTCCCGCTTGAAAATACACATTAAGGTGCAACTTGTCACAAAACCGCCTTTACACAAGCTTAGAATATGATTGCGACTGGTTTGGCGCGAGGACGGGGTTCGGTCCAGGCGCGCTCACGGCCGCCGGCTTGTGCCGTGGCTCTCATTTGCCACCAAGTATCAGCTATTCACTCGTGCGGGTGAGCTCAGAACATTTAATTACATGCGCTTTCAGTCTCAATGAGCCATACGTGGTCGTGAACAGGAAACACTGCGGCGCACTGGCGAGCCGTTCCAGAACACTGAGCCAGTCAAACGTTCACAGGCTAAACGTGCGCACTTCTGTCAGACAGAGCACTCGCATGGATCCCGGATGCGCACCCTGACCGGTGTGCCACGAGCCGATGCCTCTCAAGGCAATCCAAAGCTGTTCTGTGTCTGCACGAGGGCAGCAGCGCCAACAGCGGCGCATGGAGCGTACCCGCAAGCGTTCGACTTGAGCGTCGCGCTCGGGACATTGCTAGGTCGATCTGGCCTCTATCCAATGCAGAGACTGGTTTGGAGTCGGTAGAGCATGGGGGAATCTATGGGCGAGAGGTGATCACTGCTCTGGTTGCCAACAGCAATGACGCGTTTTGGAAATCCCTGTTCAATGACGCCCATTCAACGCTGCGACAAGCTGATCAGAGCTTCGTGCAGTTCGCATCAAAACGCCTCGAGGTCCGACGCGACAATTGCTGGAATTTTTGAAGCGGTTCGCACCTGTCTGCATACCAGACAAACTTACTAAATATGAGGCAGCTCGATGTTGAGCCTGCTGCACAAAACACTTACGAGTGAAGTTTTTCGTCCACGTCTCCAATCTATGAGACACATCCACGTCTCGTATGCGTCAAAGGCGGTCGGCCAGCGATAGACCTTGTGTTCACGATATTTACCACATGAGATCGATGAGTCTTACCAGGAATCCCGGGCATGCGCGAAGTTTATCTGCTTCCAGGGAAGCGGCTTGCATGCACGATGTCGCTTGCCGCTTGACCCCAATCCATTCCCACTGATCGAGTTCGAAGCAGATCGTACCCCGAATGCCACTCTGGACGCTGAGCGCGTAGAGCGTCTCTCGTTCCAGTCTACACGTAGCATCGCGCATCGTAGGCAAGGCATTTAAGGATGCTCTACCTCACCCGAAAAATCTAACCACGCAGGGCTTTCCGCCTCGATATAAATTTTCCTGCCTTCTGAAGTGGTGAATGCGAGCGCGACTGCATGCAAATGGTGACAGTTTGTTCCCTGTAAATCACTCAGAGAGCCGTAACGAACGTCGCCGTGAACAGGCATACCCAGAGCATGTGCATGGAGACGGATCTGGTGTGTCCGCCCCGTGACAGGTGCACACAGAACACGGTACAACATCGCTGGATGTGCTTCCAAGTCACCGACAAGACTATTCTCGGATTTAAGCGGCGTCCTGTTTTCGATGCGAAACCAAGTCTCTGCAATACGAACTGGACGGCGCATTCGATCGTGCAGACGTTGCCCGACGCATTCAAGAGGGTAGAGACGGTGCAGTCCCCGCCTTGTGGTGCCGTGCCCACTTATGACCCGTAGCACACACCCAACTTGAAACATGGGTGGCATTTGATCATCATGCTGCATATGTTTCCATTGCACTTGGTGCAAGTTTGCGATATAGAGCTTCTCTAGGCTGCCTGAGCGTCTTGTGGTCAGGGCATTACAGACTTGATTCGCCAAAGGCGTTTTTCCAAAGAGTAAGATGCCGCTCGTATCCCGGTCGAGTCGGTTCGCTAGGCGCCAGGCCTGTGCACTTTGTCGGTGCTCTGGCGACTCAGACATCATGGCCATGTACAGAACTGTCGATGACAGGACCCCAGCGGGTTTAGAGTACGCGATAAATTCATCGTCCTCAAACAACTTTCGCGGTGGTTGTACTTGCCAGTCTGCGGGCAGACTGGCTGCATGGGCGCAAGGCAATCCGTCCCGCTGCGTTGAGAACTCCGGCCCTTCAGCCACATGCAGATGTTTCGCACCGCTCCATTCCCAGTGTTTCGTGTAGTACGACTCCAGGGTAGTGGCCCTTTGGCCGCGCTCGACCTCGACCGCCCTGCGGAGCTCGGGTTCGTCAGCAAGATAGGTTTCCGATGCGTCTAGACAGTCGAGTTTCAATAAAGTCGAATCGCTGCAGGCGTTGGAAAAGGCAGCAAGCTTGGCTGCTGACGCGCTTGCATCGCGCTCAGCGCTGAGGACAACGGTGTACGTGGCTCGCCAGAGCTTCGACGAAGTGTACGCTTGCACACGTGGTAAGTCGCCAGCCAGGCTCATACACTGGTTCGAGGAGCGTCTATTCTGTTCGGAAAACAACTTTTTACGATCGATTGAGTTTCCCCAGTGACCTGCACCAGGGCGTGATCGGTAACTTCGTTTCCAGTGCCTTGCGGCGCTGTGCACGTTTACCTTGGTGCGCCCAGCTTGGTGTAACACAACGCGCATGAGGCGCTACAGAGCGCAACAGGGAACAGACTCGTAACAAATCATTCAGCTTACCTCTAAAGCGCTCATTCAGTAGCACGTTCCAGGGCGGCCTCCGAGCTTATAGGTATTTGGAACGCAGTCGCAGCTGCAACAGCTTAGACCATAGCCGCTGGTTATCCCCGTCCCAGAACTGGAGACTGTCAACTCGATTCTGTTTCACTCCTGGTGCGTTGCATCGCAGCAGATCGGGATCCCTATGTAATATACTCTGCAGATTCTAGACGAATTGCCTGTGGGGTATGTTCGTTACTGAAGTGTCCATGGAGGACAGCATTCCTCCTTCAGGTCCGTCATACCACAGGACTCTGATGATTGAGGAACAATGGAAGAAACAAGTATGTGCGCTCTGTGGCAAATACAGATATTTTTAGAGACTGCTTGCCGTCAATGGTAGAAAACGACACGTTGATCATCTTAAGAAAAGCAAAGGATATGGTCATAGCCGTCACAGGTGTCTCCGTTTTCTCAACAGCTTGTTCCTATGGTCCTGGAAACCCTGGGACACTGTCGCAGAAGAGTCCTAACTCACCCAAGGGCATCGTCCATCGTGATTGCATCGACAGCGTTCCTGAAACGTCGCTATCCGTATAAAGCAGAGAGACGTCAGTTCGTGCGTTTTAGTCGATGAGACGTGCGTCGGACGGAACGGCCGGTGCATGTTTGGGCATTCGCGGAGAGGGAGATCGTTCTAGGTCCGATCGAGCACGATGAGAACGACAACATCATCCTCTGTTCGAGCTGCGGTGGATTGATTTGGCTCCTTCAGCTTCACCCGTAGAGCAGGCACGTACAACAGCACCCACTTTGTCGAATCATAGAAGACTTTCCTCTGACCTTTGGCGGCGTCCCTCTACGGTCAGACGCAGCATTTCACCATTCCTCTTGCGTTCGAGCTTTCGACGAATGTGTTGGGGTAGAGCTGCTTTTCATTTCTCCGTACTCTACGTGATTAAACCTCATCAGATAAGTCTTTCATATCGAGAAAGGTAAAGATCGCTCAACTGTGCGAATCGCTGAAGCTTTCAGCACACGGCGACAGCGGGCTATAATTCATCTTTCTTCCGCAAAAGCCACCCCCCTCCAGAAATGTCCCCACCTAAAGGCGTAGGGAATTGCATTCATTTGCAGTAAGAAAAAATGCAAGGGAAAGGAATGGATATGGAATTCGAGGACCCTGGAGGGCCGGTATCGCCCGCTGCCGAAAACAAACGGAAAAATCCTCTTCTCATCACCCATCGAAGGCAAAAAGTAGCAAGTGACGAAAAGCACGAAGGAGAGGAAGGCAGTAGATAGGCGAGAAAAAGCGTTTGCCCGACGGGTCGATGACGAGACCCTAGTCGCACAGAGGGCATGCGTTCGAGGACTCCTTGCACTGATGAGTTCCACCAGAGGCCATGAGTGCACAGAGTTCGTGAACCGAGACCTCAACGCCACCATCGATTTCAGCCGATGAAGACGAGACCTACGGCGCTGACGCGATCCGATGCTGTGAGGCAGCGACTCAGGCTCAGGATCTACGAGGCCAGGCTGAAGCCGATATAACAGTCGAGAGGTAAAAAGGCTGGGAGGCGTCTGCGGGTAGGTATATATATACTCGATGGTTATGAAACATTTTCGTACCAGTGACGTGCCAAGTGACTCTGGTTATGCTTTTGTTACCCCTGCAGCAAGCCCGACACCGGGGCCGGCGCCTATGCGATCGCTCAGCAGCAACCTTCACCTGGGCGTGCAGGGAAATTGCGAACAGCACGGCAATGACACGCTTGCGTCGCTGTGGTTGCAGCCCAGGGCACAGAACACGTTCCAGACGCCTCAGGGCTCAGCGTCTAGGTCGTACAACATGGCGCATCGGGTAACTCGTGAGCGAACGTTAGGCAAGGTTGAAGATTCGAAGAAGCCGAATAATGCAGCTCCATTCCTTGCAGGAATCTTCACGCAGAATCCTGAAGGGTCTCCAAGCGACTCGTTCCTTTCTCCCGGTTTACAGGGAGAGCAGCCCCCACAACTCGCGCTTACTCAAGAGGAGACTAGAACGAAAACCTTATTGAACCTTTTTTTCGATAATGCTCATGGGATTCGGAGAAACTGTGCGGATTCTGCTGCCCTGGCATCGAAAGAAGGCGACGGATGGGTATCCATCTCGTGGAAGGAGTACGGTAGACTGGTTTGTCAAATCGCTAACGGCCTGAGGCAATGCGGGTTCGAGGCCGGCGACCACGCTGCCATCTTGGGTTCGAACTCACCCAGATGGCTTATCGCGGACCTGGCGGTCATGTGTCTTGCAGGCTGTACCACCGGTCTATATCCGAACGATCTAGCGGAGCAAGTTGCGTTTGTCTGTGAGAATTTTCGAGCGAAAGTTGTTTTCGTGGACTCTGAAATGCAGTACGCAAAGCTGCTAGATACTGCGGAAATGCTTGGGGAGCTTCAGCTCGTCGTGCTCATGAATGATACCACACGAGAAGTTTCGCCTCGATGCGGTCGGAAACCACACTGGAAAAATATTTCGTGGAGCGAACTATTGAAAAAAGGCCGACGGCACTTTGAGAGCGCAGCAACGAACATTGAACGCCAAGCGAGAGCCATTTTGCCGTCGGCAATCTGCATGACCGTATACACTTCGGGGACAACGGGAAAACCCAAGGGAGCATGCTATCGACATCGCAACCTTTATTTCATTGCAGAGGAAATATCCCGTTGTGTAGGTTCAAACGGCGGCGATATTACACTGTCGTTTCTCCCACTCTGCCATATCGCGGAGCGCATTCAAGGTGAATTGCTTGCTATCTATGATGCGAATGCCGTCTATTTTGCGGAGAGCTTTGCTACAGTGAAGAACAACCTGGCGGAGGTGCGTCCGACCCTGTTCCTGTGCGTGCCAAGGGTATGGGAAAAGTTTGCGTCCGCGCTCAAGCAACGCTTCGCCTCGGAGGCGCTCCTTCGACGCGCCGTCATCAGCCAGGCACTCCGAAACGGCGCATCCATTGGTGAGTGTCGCAACAGCATACGCGGACAACGGCCAGCCATCTGGACCACCGTCCAGTGGCGCCTCTACCAGAAGCACATCATTGGCAAAATCCTGACGCTGCTTGGGCTCGATCGATGTCATACGTTCGCCTCGGGAGCAGCGCCGCTGAATCCAGAGATCTCACGCTTCTTCCGGAGCATAGGTATCGACATCGCGGAGCTGTATGGCCAGAGCGAGAGCACGGGTGTCATCGCGCTGACGCCAAAAGGCGCCATCAAGCCGGGGACCGCGGGCCTGCCCCTCCGTGGGATTCAAGTAGTTCTTGGTGCGGATGGAGAAATCCTCGCGAAAGGCGATAACGTCTTCGCTGGTTACTACAATGATGCACGAGGTACTGCCCAAGTTATTGACAATGCTGGGTTCTTGCACACCGGTGATGTTGGGAGTTTCGATGAGGACGGCTATCTTGTTGTCACCGATCGCCTGAAAGATCTGATTAAAACATCAGGCGGGAAATTCATCGCGCCTCAGCCAACAGAAGCGCGGCTTAAAACGTTCGACGGCATAGCCCAAGTAGTGGTTATTGGCGACGGAAAACCGTACTGCACTGCACTGATTACGCTAGATGAGGGTGCGCTCCCGGCGTTGACCTCTAAGATTGGCATAGAATCTACGGAGTCTCGCCCCGATATACTCTCCAGAGATAAGCGAATCATTGATGTGATTCAGCATTACATCGATGAAGTGAACGCGACACTGCCGTCGTATGCAACGATCAAGTACTTTCGAATCCTTCCCACCGAGCTTACCGTGGAAGGCGGCGAGCTCACCCCAACCCTGAAAGTTAAGCGCCGTGTCGTACAAGAAAAGTACGCCCATGTCATCGATGAAATGTACGTCTCAGGTGAGAGGGCAACCGCTAAAGCATCCGGGAACGCCCTTCGAGTGGCACCATAAAGGAATAAGGTAGAAGCTTTTCGTGCAGAGCGTGCGTTCGCAAGGGCACTGACACGTTCCTGTCGTCATGGGCAAATCGACTGAATCATGAATGCATATGCATATGGAAGCGTCTATGACATTTCGCTGTTCAGAATACATGCACCAAACGACACCCGTAGCAGAATAAGATTGAATATATCCAGTTACTCGGGCATACACGCCAAACTTTGGGCCTCTTCTCACAATTGTCAACACCAGCCCCTGGCGGCTTTGTCGGCGGCTGCCCCAACTCCCTCTCTCATATCTTCGGCTCTGAACGCGCTAGACGCCTGTTTTGCTGAAGCTCTATTGTCAGTAGTCCACGGTTGTTCGCACCTGCCTCAGAGTCTCGATCTCGCCGCATCCGACTGCTGTTTACGCTTCACCTGCACAGACGAAAGTTGTTACTGCCTTTTCACTTGCTATTTCCCTCTTCTTTGTATACAGCGTCGGAATGCCTTTCACAACGGGGACACTTGACTGTATTCAGGTGTTCCAATAGGCCCGCAATACGTGCTTCTCCTCCGAGAGCTCCCCATGCCACGTCAAGACTCGCTTCAGAGGTCAATGTATGCCCTTGAACGGCACGGAAGGTTCACCTCGATATCCTCCTCCGTTTCCGTGCCCAGAGGCATAAGGTCTGATCACCGACTTCCTCTGGACGATGCGTTCCAAGAGTGCATTATCCGCTGCACTCAAAAGCGTACGATGTCCCATTCGATAGAAGCTTTTTCTACCCGATACTGTTCACGATGAAAAAAAGTACCGCAGACAAAATCAAGGCTGGAGACCAACTCGGATATAATCATCTGTCTGCACTCGCTACTTACAAAACTGTGATGCACTCTCCATTGGAAGCGATCGCTGCTATAACTCAAGTACGAGTCCCAGAGCGCTTTCGACGCAAACAGATGAGACGAGAGCGTCCGAGGGCAGTTTTTGTGAAGGACCACATGCTCTTGTAGAACGCTGTTTCGTCGCATGCCGCAAAAATTGGAGGATTCATTTTTCAAGTAGAAAGGATTACTTTGCAAGACAAGTCCAGAGAGCTTTCGGCATGAGCTTGTGAACAAGGCATCGAGGATCGACGTCGAGTTTTCTCTTTGTCAATCCAGTGGCGAGCATTCGTACACCAATGAGCTGCTTTGAAACAGAAGGATCGAAATCCTGAATAATGCACGTTTTGCATATGGTATACGTAAGGAAATTAGAAGAGTGGAAGCTTCCAGTATGGATTTTATAAGGATACCGGTTATTTAAGGAAATCTTGTTCGAGCGTTGCTATTTCTTGTCGATTCCTGTGACATCAAGGTTTCCAGCGGCGAAGAGGCAAACAAGCCGTTCCGTAATAACGACCTAGGATCGTAAACCCACATCTTGAATCCGTAAGCCGCCACAGCTGTATATCGAATATCGAGGCCGTAAATTTAACGAGAGGGGTCGAAAACGTATCTCAAGGTAGGAATAATGCGAGTAGTTCATGTTGTTCCGTTTATTCGTACTCGGATGAAAAAGGGCTTCTAGCGCAGCATCCCAAACGATATGCCTTTGCAAATCATGGTGACGGACGCGCATTACAAAACGAGATGGTGCAGAAGCCCCCGATCGAAAATTTGTTCGGAAAAAGCACTAGCTAGCACCATTTGTCGAGCCAGCAACCGCTGGATGCCGGAATCCGGTGTGCCTTGGCGTGCAAAGCAAGACTGCATCGCGGGACAGTCTTCAGAGTAGCTTCGGCACGACGCTCAAAAAGTGCGAAAACGAATGCAACAAAACCCACAAATGGGGCACGATGTTTCCGACCCAGTCGATGACCGCCGAGGGCGCTCTGGCGTATGCTTTCGGACGCACGAGCACGAATAAACAGGAATGGCGCGCGTGCTCCGTTTCGAGACCTTGGTGATCACAGCGTCAGGACATGTGTACAAGCTATTGGGCGAATGCGCTGGTAACGACCCCGATAAAGTTCCTTCTGTTAAGGCAGATAAAGAACGCATGGATCCAGAAGCTACTTCGGGTGCCTGCCAGTGTACCAGCAATTTTGAGGTCGACGCTTCCTATCAGGCACCTGCCGGATCGGCTACGGCCGCCTCCGTTGTGCGCCATGTGCCGATCCATGAAACCATAATGTCAAGATATGTACCAAAGTCAATCGGCGGGGAATCGTCGCTACCCGGACTCGTGCGGCGTTAGTATACTCCTGTGTTGTAAGCGTACGCTTTAGCATACCGCTCCTACTGTTATCAAGATGGTAAACCCAAAGAAGCTGGAGAACCCGATGCGGGAGTTGAGAGTGGATAAGCTTGTTATCAACTGCTGCGTCGGCTCAAGTGGTGATCCTCTGACCAAAGCCTGCAGAGTGCTCCAGCAACTGACCGCAACTGAGGAGAACCCTGACGGCCAGGCTGTGGTCACCTCTCGAGCACGCCTGACTATAAGGCAGTTTGGGATCCGTCGCGGCGAGCGCATTTCTGCGCACGTTACAATTCGAGGGCAGAAGGCTTTAGATCTGTTGGAACGTGGTCTTCGGGTGCGAGAGTATGAGTTGCACGAATCAAACTTCTCGGATACAGGTTGCTTTGGGTTTGGCATCCAAGAACACATCGACCTCGGTTTGAAATATGATCCAGCCACTGGTATCTTTGGGATGGACTTTGTTGTTGTGTTGAAGCGACGGGGGGCACGTGTTGCTCGCCGAAGGCGCTGCCGCTCGACGGTCGGGCCGCTCCAGCGGGTATCAAAGGAAGACGCCATCCGTTTCTTCCAGGCCCAGTACGATGGGATCGTTCATCGCTGATCGCCAACGTTACGAGCGCGAATAGACGCGAAGTTATGTTACACCTTTAGCTACTACATGTGCTTTGGTTTGAGGCGGGCTTCAAGGTTCGCGTCCGTGTTGTGGTCTTTGGATGGGCATCGCACATCGCTGCGCCCGAGCGACCCACTATGGAGCTTCCGCGAGCAATGAACTTCAGAGCGCCGGTCATCTTATTTTCGGTAGGAGCTCGAATTGCGATATTTTTCCGATAAAAGCGTCAGCAGCATGTAATCCCTTTTAAACTCGGCCTTATCTGGATCGACCTACGCGAGCGCACAGCCCTTGTCTCATGCAACGCTGGAAGCACGTCCACGGATGGATCGTCGCTTCGTGTTCTGGCCTTCGATGCATACGGCTGAGATGCTGACTGTCAAAAATCGCACACAGGGCGCACGCGTGAAAGCTATGCCTTTCCTTGTTCAGCGAGTGCGCTTATTGACGCCAATGCTTCCCTGCCAGGAGCAGGGCTACCTGTCCGTCAACCAGATGCTCGAGCGTCGGCCTTGCGACCCTTCGCTTCGTGTTCCAATCAGTTCAAGGCAAGGGCCTACAACAGCCCCCCTGCTTGAATGCATCCAGAGGAGTCGACACGCTGCACGGCTCTGCGCAATGCCACTCGCTTCTGCAACGTGTGCTGGGCTTGTGCAAACAGTCCCAGGGACGTTATCCAAGATGATGCGCTGCTCGAACGTGCCGCGGATTCTGGCGACAGCTTTAGCAACGTACTTAAAACGATACCAGGATGATCGACAGAGCTTAATGCCGTTTCCAGCGCTACCCAGCGACCACGATTCGGGCTCATTACAAAAAAACCTTCTGGAAACGCCGTTTGTATCTGCATCGTATAGAAGATAGAGTCGAAAATCTGCTCTTCGAATGCCGCTGTTTGAGACTGCACGCCGTCGACACTATGTTCATGAGTTTTGCATGCCATCGAGCACATAAGCGGTTTTACGATGCTGCAACTTGTGCGAGTGTCTGTGCATCCGGCTCATAAAAGGGACTCTAGACTCGTAGGCTCAGCGTGAGGCCGTTGATGAATCGCTCATAATATCATGTTTACGAACGTGCTGCAGCGTTTCAGGTGCAAGGGTCCTTTTCAATTGCGCTAGATTCTCTATCCTGGTTACTGTTGGCGTTCAAGCAAACTGAAAAGTCTGGCTAGGTACACTAAATTTATACACCACAAAATAACTTGGAGCCGGACCCTGTTCGACAGTTTCTCTCGCAAGAAAGCGTCTGTGGAGGAGCCGAGGTCCAGTCGCCGGCTACTGTGAGCGTTGGCGCAGACAGGCGTGTCTGGCTGGACTTGCCAGTCCTGTCCGGTAACCCACCGGCTCGGAAGAACTTGCTGTTCGTAGGCGTGGTGCAAGTTGCTGAAACTATCTCCCGAAAGAATTACCAGTCCTGGTAATACCTTGGCCTCTTTGAGTTCCAAGAGTGCCTGGACGCTAAACCCGTGGAACCATGAACCGAAGCGACGCTGTCGAACAGCAAGCGTCGCTTGAGTTCTTTGACTCTCTAAGATGCTTGGAACAGGATGCCATCGTCCAAGGTGTTAGGAACGTGCACGCAAAACTACGGGAACTGGCTTTCGAAAGCGCCTGGCAAGATGGGCATCAACTAGGCCGCAATCTAGCGTTCCAGGTGGGCTTCTATCGAAACATGCACACGCTCTTACAACGCGAGATTCAGAATTGCGGCTCGATTCGGGATTTTAGAGAGACCAGTTTTCAAGCGCCTGAGCCTGAAGACAATGCAGTAACCACCGTTCCCAAAGTATGGCGAAACTTCCAAGCGAGCTACAGAAAGCTGGAATCTGCGTACGCGCGACTTGTGCACGACCTTGAGAATGGACTCAGAGAGGCAGACAACATCCAAAACATACCATTGGACGATACAACAGTTGCCGTCAACACAAATGACCTAGAGCGTTTATGCTTGCAGACCCGAGTGGCGCTTTTGCGCGTACTGCGCGCAGCGCGTATGAGTATCGAGCCTCCGAGCGTCTCGACGGAAGCGCGCAGCCATGCGGAAGATGACGCCCTCACGGAATGGTGAGGACCAAGTCCTTGAAATGCATCTCAGTGTAAAAAGTGTCGAATACCGGTAAAGACCATCGCAATCCCTCGTTCATCGGCAGCAGCGATAACCTCCGCATCACGCTTGGACCCGCCTGGTTGAATCACGGCGGTTGCGCCGGCATCCGCCGCGGCAACAAGCCCATCCACGAAAGGAAAGAAGGCATCAGAGGCGACGACAGATCCAGCCGTGCGACTAGTATCCTCCTCGGCCTGGCGCGAGGCTTCCTGCGCTTTCCAGGCTGCAATTCTCGATGCATCTACGCGACTCATTTGTCCCGCGCCAATGCCGACAGTGGCTCCATCTCTAGCATAAACAATTGCGTTCGATTTGACGTGCTTGCAAACTTTCCAGGCAAAAAGCAAATCGCGCATTTCGTTTTCCGTGGGGGTGCGTTTGGTAACAATCTTGAGCTCCTCCGTTGTAACCATCTTCGTATCCAGAGCCTGGACAAGAAAGCCTCCCATGACTGATCGAAAACTCTGCAGTTGCGCCCGCGGATCCGGCATAGCTCCCGTGAGAAGAACTCTGGTCGCCTTCTTCTCAGAAAGAACCTCCAAAGCTTCCGCGGATGCATCTGGCGCGATCACCACCTCAGTGAACGCCTTGGTGATCTGCTCTGCAACTGCTTTATCAATCTTTCTGTTCAACGCAACGATACCGCCAAAAGCAGAAATCGGGTCACAGGCAAGAGCCCTCAGGTAGGCATCTTCGGTCGAGACACCAGTGGCGCAACCGCAGGGATTAGAATGCTTAATAATCGCACATGCGGGCTCTGTAAACTCGCTCACGAGACGGAACGCCGCATCCGTATCCAGGATGTTATTGTAGCTAAGCTCTTTGCCCTGAACCTGTTCGGCCGTTGCAACGCCTGGACAGATCGTTCCTCTCATGTCCATATAAAACGCAGCTGGCTGATGAGGATTCTCTCCATAACGCAGTCGCTGCTTCAAACGTCCGCTTATCGTAATTCGGTCCGGAAACGGCTTCCCGAGACCCTCCATGAACCACGCCGCAATCGAGCTGTCATACGACGCACAGAGAGAGAACGCAACAGCCGCAAGGCGTTTCCGAAGGGACAAAGTTGTACACCCATCATGATCATTCATATCAGCCATAACGTCTGAGTACTGGTGGACGTCAGTGACGACGGTTACGCTCGCGTGGTTCTTCGCAGCAGCTCGGATGAGCGTTGGTCCCCCAATGTCAATATTCTCGATGCATGCTTCATAGCTCCCGTCGTTTCGCACCGTCTCTTCGAAAGGGTACAGATTCACCACAACAAGATCAATGTACTCGATGCTGTGGAGCTTCATCGCTTCTTCGTGTGAGGCGTTACCGCGAACACCCAGGATACCTCCGTGAATTTTAGGAACCAGGGTCTTCACGCGCCCGTCAAGAATCTCTGGAAAGCTAGTATACTCACTGACATCTATTACGGGCACATCATAGCCGCGGAGTTTCTCTGCCGTACCGCCCGTGGATATGATTTCAACATTGTGGCCAACCAGAAACTGCGCAAACTCTCGCAAAGATGCCTTGTCCGATACAGAAACTAAAGCCCTACGGATCTTTTGTAGTCCTTTCTCCGCCTTATCTTTCCCTAATGAGTCCTCGGTCTTCGTGTCTGAGGGTTGCCCCAAGTCCATGCTGGCATGCCGTCCAAAGCTGGGTGCACGCGTCCGTGCCGCGCGAGGCGACAGCGAGCAACGCCGCCGCCGGTGGTCTGCAGGCCCGCTGAGCCGCGCGCAAGCTAAGCCCGAACGCAACTTTGGCGCGGTATGGTCTGCAGCGAAAAGATGGTTGACAGTGGTCACGAAGGGAAGAGCAAGTCCTGCATCATGACGCATTACTCGTGGCTTTTCTGAAGTTTACTTGCACCTCGCGCAAAAAACGTCGCACGCGAATTTAGGCGACTCCGATAAGCTTCGAGCTGCGAAATTGCACCGCGGCGGCAGGTAAGGGATCAAAATGTTCAAAAATGTCCCAAGAACAATGAGGATAAATGTATATATTTACTCACAGACGCGTTCCGGCCTTCTTTGACCGGGTCCCTGCTATCGGCTTCAGCTTTTCCTTGCACACTTCGAGTCTGAGAGGCTGTCCCAGAAAGTTGGCTCGCTCTTGTCAGCCCCGCGGGTCTCGTCTTCAGCACCGCATATCTCCTGATATTCGTAGCAGCTTTCGAGTCTCGGTTCATGAACTCCATGCGGTTCTAGCCGCTGGTTGAACGCATCTTTGCGAGGACTCCTCAAACTCATGCCCTTTGTGTGCCTACAGCCTCGTCATCGTCCCGCTGGGCAAACACCATTTCTCGCATATCTCCCTTTTCCATCTTCGTTATTTGCTCTTCTTCGCTCAATGGTCGGCGAGGAGAGGATTTTTTCGTTTTTGGTCGAAGCCGGCGACACACGGCTTCCAGGATCCTCGCCTTCCATGTCCATAGCTTTCTCTTGGATTTTTTACTTCTTCGAATGAATGCACTTGTTGATGTCCTGGCGTGAAGACCTTTCCGGAGGGAAAAGGACTTGTGGAAGAAAGACAAATAGCCGCGGTGTTACCGTGTGCTGAACACTTCAGCGATCCACCCAGCGAAACGGTCATTCCGTTTCACGATAGAAAACACTCCTCCGATGGAGATGAGCCACGGGGTAAATGGCGGAATGAAAAACAGCTCCACCCCGATAGATTCTGCAAAAGCTCGAACGCAAGTGGAATGGCGCAATGCCACGTTTTCCAATACAATAACGTCGCAAGATGTCAGGGAAGAGTCTTCTATGATTCGGCGTATTGCGTGCTATTATTTGAGCCTTGTCTAAGGGCGGGACTGAGGCCGCCAAGTATATGCACTGCAGTTAGAACAGATAATGATATCCGAGTTCTCTTCGGGTTCCGTCGGGTATACAACGGGCTCGCTTCTCCGCGAATACTCAAATATGTACTGTCCATTTCGCCCGAAAAAAGTCTCGTCGACTGTAAAACCAAAACCGAAATCCCTACGCTTTAAACGGATAGCGACGTTCCAGGAACACTGTCGTTGCGATTCCGGTGGAAGATGGCAGTGCGTTTAGCAAGACTTTTTGTGATTCTGTCCCAGTGTTTTACAGACTACACGAACATGCTGTTGAGAAACATAGACACCTAGGGCGGCTACTGTCATCATACTTGCATTCCTTAAGGTGATCAGCGGGTTGTTTCCGTGCCGTTGATCGCAAGCAGTCTTTGAGAATATCGGAGTTCGCACAGAGCGCATATACTTGCTACTTTCAGTTTTCCTCGAGCATCAGAGTACTGTGGTATGACTGAGCCGCTGGAGGAATCCAAGCCTCCTTGCACCATATGGTAAAGCATATATCCTACAAGCGATTCGTATAAGACCTATAGGGTACATTGCACAGAGATTTCGATCTCCTGCTGCAAAACACTACGGAGGTGAAACAGGATCGAGTTGAAAAATTGTAAGACCCCTGTATACGATTGTATCAAAAAGATCGATTGTTCTAGTTCAAACGGGGCACCCACGAGGGCACCGCTAAAACCCGTATTTTCATGTACACCTGTTTGCAGCAGACAGCACTTGCTGCGTCCAGCGATTGTCGGGGGCGTGTGTGCGTAAGTACTTGTGCAGTGCAGCTCTGCCGGCTGTGTATGGAAGCAGCTTCCGGGAACATTGTGGCCTTGGAGCTGATAGACCAGCGACGTCCCGCAGCTGCAACTGAGAACGGTGAGCGACCGGTAACGCCCCGAAAACTGGCGGGACCGTCACCTCAAAGTCTGCCCCCGGAGGAACAGGCTGGTTCTTGTGCAGAACGCTTCCTGCACCGAGTCCACGAACGTTCCGTTGAGGTTGTCCGGAAGTTGCTGGATGCTGAGGAAAGTTTCGCGGCGCTGCCAAGGAACGTGCAGTTGGACGACGCACGCGTGCCCTCTTTGTACGGCGTCCGGTATCCAAACGGCGGCACTGGTGCGGCGGAGAGCACCGGGTTTCGTCATGTACGACATAGTGAAGTTGCAAAGGACATCCTGCAAGCGCGATTGAGTAAGCTTCTAATGATCGGAGAGTACGGTGGTCAACCGGAGAACCAAGATACTACAGAATTTTCCGATGAAAAGTCTCACCATCGACCTGAGAAAAGAGCTCGAGGAGCACCGGAAGCAGCAAGCGCTCCGAGTCACGAAAACTATACATTAAAAACACCTGAATTGGAGTCTAGAGGGACAAGAAGATCACAGCGTCGCGGGTGGTTACTGGATCATCTTCTGCGAAGGCGCAGCAATAGGTACCCGTAAATTCCCCGCAGAAAACACATTAATCGGAGCTCAGAGGGACGGAAAGATCACAGCGCCGCGACTAGGTAATGGATCATCTCGGGCGTAGGCTCCGTGAGAACCAGTTTCATCGCTTGTGTATGGGCTCGCTGCTATACGCGATTCCGTCAAAGCGCAGAAATGCGCCATCTCGGGCGATTCAATTTCTCACTGTTTTACAACTACTTCACCATCCACAAGAACGGAGAAAAGATTCAAGCCAGGGACTCAGTTGAGCCCATACGTGCATTGAGCATCCTTAGACTCCCTGATGCTTTTCTTGCCAGACCATTTCGGATACACACACTCATAGCTTGTTCTAAATAGCCCATCCATGAGATTTGAGCTACCGACGCCGTCGCTAAAGCTGCAGTTGTATCGCGTATGGTGCATGCCATGCGCCATTGTGCTGAGTCCAGGAAAATAGGGGCAAAAATTGTAGCCCGAATGCTCGTACATACCCCCGAGGCTACCCAGAGCAATGGCAACGAAATGGAAAGCAGCATCTGCCTTGAGCATGCACAAAGGCACCAGATACGGCACGCAAATTTCCAGGACATAGTCGCTCGGGGCCATGTACATGCTACTGAGAGCGATACTTGCTTTGGTAGAATGATGCAGATCGTGCTGCAGAAGCTGGTAACCCCAGCTGGAATGGAGCAAGAATCGGTGTCCGAGGTAAAAGAATATATCGTGTCCTATGGTCATCCAGACCGCGTAAAAGAGGTAGTGCCAGATAGTCTGACGGAGTTGCTGCTGTCTCGAGTCAATGCTGTCGAACGCAACTCCAAGTTTCTCGCATAGGTACATCGACGGGAGCAGAATAAAAAATTGGTTAAAACACACCTGGGGCAAAAGTGCCCAGTACCGCCGTTGGTCTCCTCGAAACTCCTTATAATCAAGGAGCCAGCCACTTTGATCCATTACTTCGAACAGGAAACACCCCAGATGAAAAACAAAAAGGTGCCCCAGGAAGCAGATGACCGAAAGAGGTAACCCCGTCGTCTCCATAAGGTAAACAACTTGGTCACTGACGTGAACCATTGCCCACAGCGACTTGCGAAGGTCCTCTAATTGCAAGAATCAGTATGTATCCCGCCTGAAAAAGCAGCCGCACGCTTCAAGTACTTACGAGGCTCGCAGTAAGCGTCACCCTAGGGACGTGAGGCAGCCTCACTGGGCCGCTGTGACCTCCACACACTGCTTCGAAAAATATGAATCGCGACTGCCCAATGACGCTGTCTCACCGCGCATCGAAAGAAATCGGCTGTCGACGCACGTCATCATCAGCGGCCGGCAAATGCCGGCAAACAGCTACTGGGCATCCTCGTTCTATGACAATAATATACTCTAGGGATTAAAATTAGCTTATATGGGCTTAAATAGCCCACAAGTTTTGGAGCGCTTTCTTGCGCAGTGCCCCCCACAGCAGAACTACGTACTCTTCAAGTGCGTAGAACAGTCTTACGCTACCGTGACTGAAACGAGCCGCTTCGCACGAAAATTCGACGTTCTGGACGCAAATAGCAAAATTTAAGCGTTCGACGTCCGGTGTGTGAACCTTGGACATGCGGCGAGGACGCTCCATGTCCTACTGTGGGTTCGGCGCTTACTGGCACGCACGCTAGGGCCTGTACGCAGTTTCGGACAAACTCGCCGCTGCGCGGCACGCCTGCAGCTCAAGTTGGGGCGTGATTAGAAGTCAACTTACACAAAGTCTTCGTGATTCGTTCTCAAAGACATCATTGGAACTCGTTTAGCTTGCTCGGGGACTGCGATCTAGTGCCCGCTTTCTGCGAACGCAGAGGCGTAGCGGTTCACATATTCGGGACCCCGGCGCAAACGCTCCAGACAGCCTGCACAAGCCGGCAAGCTTCAGCTGTTATTCGACTCTTGCCAAACGCTCCCTTGTGGAAACTTTGCTGGAGGCGAACAGAATGCCTCAGGAACCTGAACTAGCAAGTATCGAGGTGTCGCCCCCGACTCCCGGCGAAAGCTCACATTTCATGGAGGCTATACTCCAAGACACTCCAGAATACCGCGTTATATGTGCTGCAGCCGTGCGACGAAAGGCGGCTTTGCCTGTTGTTAGCGCCGACTTGTTCAGCGGTACATGCTCTGAACAGTCTGCGGCGCGGAGCGCTCTTGGTCAGGTCGGTGACGCTTCCGAGTGGAGCGAAATGATCATTCAAAGGCCGGAGACAACTGAAAGTGCGCTATTGAATGATCGTTCATTTGCTGTCGATGATCTAGCGGGTTACATGAAACCTGCCTTTCAGCATATAGCAAGCCTGAATCCTGTCCAGTCCAGCGTTCTTGCTCGGGCGTTACGGATGCATGGAAACGTTCTGGTCTGCGCACCAACAGGGTCCGGCAAGACGGATATTGCCGTTGCCCTGATTCTTCGCACCCTATTCGAGGAATGCGGTGGCGAGCTGCAAGAGTTCAAATGTGTTTATATTGCTCCAATGCGGGCGCTCGTGGGGGAGCTTCAGCGTTCGCTGAGCGCTCGCCTGCGAACCTATGGAATCTTGGTAACGGAGTGTACCGGGGAGCAGCGTCTGAGTCATCGCGACTTGTGGCGCTCCCATATCCTGGTGACAACTCCTGAAAAATGGGATGTTCTCACTAGAAGAGCCAACGAACGTCCTTTGCTACGTTTTCTGAAGATTGTCATCATTGATGAGATCCACGTTCTCGATGATCCAAAGAGAGGGCCCGTCCTTGAGAGATGCGTAGCTCGTCTACACCATGAAACAGCGTTATTCGGCTATCGAGTACGGCTTGTTGGCCTGAGCGCAACGCTTCCAAACTACGATGACGTGGCGGTCTTCATTCGCGCCAGGCTTCACGAGGGCGTGTTCGTCTTCTCTGAGAGAGAACGTCCATGCCCCCTGGAGCTGCGCCTGGTGGCACTTCGCCATCGCGTTGGCCTTCTAAGTAAGACCCGGTTCGATCAACTTATGAACCATGCTTTGTGGTTCCAGGTCAAAAAATTTGCCGTACAGCAGATGGAGCAGGTTTTGGTTTTCGTTCACGAGCGAGCAGATACGCTGAAGACCGCGCACTGGTTGCTTAACGCTGCAGACGGCGAAAACGCTCCCATCCTACAAAGGCGGGAAACGGAATGGCTTTCGCCTTCAATCCGTGAGCATTTCAAAAACTTTGGTGAGATTCTCGCCACGGTGAAGAAAGGCATTGGAGTCCATCACGCCGGTTTACCGCGAGAAATCCGCCATCTCATGGAGCAATTGTTTCTGCAGGGCAGCCTCCGTATTATGATATCTACCGCAACGCTAGCATGGGGAGTCAATCTGCCGGCGAACGTGGTCGTCATCAAAGGCACGCAGTACTACGACAGTGAGGAGGGTCAGACTGTCCAACTCGCCCCGCTGCACGTCCTGCAGATGCTCGGCAGAGCGGGCCGCTACCCCTTCCACCAGCGTGGTGTAGGCGTGATCATCACAACCGAACCGGAAGCGCCGCTGTATGCTGCTGTCGTAGCGCACAAGGCCCCCATAGAATCGCATCTCATACCGCAGTTGGCAGATAGCTTGTTGGCCGAAGTTGCGGGCGGCTCCCTCAGCACCGTCGAAGAGGCAGCAGAGTGGCTCAAATACACATTCCTCTTCGTTCGAATGCTGCGGAATCCATCTCTCGAGTGGATGCCGCATTTCGCGAGCAAGCGGCCTGCCGATGGAGAAGATGTTTCCCTCTGGGGCGTTCGGCTCCGACTTTGCCATTCGGTGGCGAAAGAGCTCGCCCGGAATGAGCTGTTGCGCTACGGCGAAAATCTAGAGATGACTGTAACAGCTCGCGGTAACGTGGCTTCTGCGTTTATGCTTCCCTACGACACGCTGCGGACAATAGAGGCATACCTTCACCCAACAGGCGCTCTCCCAGAGTTGATCCATCTGCTCGCAGTTGCCTCACCTGCACTTCGGAACCTCAGTCTACCACGGGAAAGCGAAAGCCGAGAGTTGCGCAGGTTCTCTTGGCGCCTACTGATACCGCTTTGGGATCCTGACAGAGACCTCAAAATCTCGGCATTGTTGCAGGCCGCAGTCCTGCCAACGGGCCTAAGCTCTTCGCCCGCATTATCGCAGGACTGCTCTTCGATACTGGAAGAGTCTCAGCGGATGCTGCGTGCGGTGCATGCGCTTTCTGCAACCTTGGGAATGGCTGTACCCATGCGTTTGAGCTTGCTACTCGCCAAGAAACTTGAGCATCAACAAACGCGTATTCTGCAAGGCGCCCTCAGGGGCGGAAGCAGCAACGATCAGAGCGGTAGCACAAGCTCCGGCATGCAACCCCGTAAGACGCACAACAGCAAAGGCCAGCCAGAGCAACACAGCGAAACCGAGGCGCTGCGTTGCTTTTCGCCTTCAGTCGGCGACTGGATGCCTCCCGCGGTGTTATGCAGCGCTCTGGGGCGTCAGCAGTGTGCCGTTCGTTCCTGGATAGCCTTCGAGAGCGCGCTTCTACCCGTTTCAGCAGACACGTTGCGTTTCGAATGTCGCATCGCGCTGCAGGATAGCTCCTGTATCGACAGTACGGAAGCGCTCTGGGTATCCCTCGAGGATGCCACTGGTGAAAGAGCCTTTTTCGCTGCTCGCCTGGTCCTCCGTGAAGCGAAATATCACCTTGTCGGATGCTGTTCGGTTCCACCGTGGCAGCGAACCTCAGTCGCTTTCTGGAGAATTGCCGCCGAAGAGCATCTGGTTGACGACTTTCTGCAAGCTGAGTGTTTGCGCGACCTCCCGTGGCCAGTTGACGATAACCGAATTGCCCCCGAGATCGGCCGCTTTGTATTTCACGACTTTAGTCGTCTAGCGGCGGCCTGTGAGACCCTGATTCCAGGCTATCTCAAAATGGTGATGGACTGCGCTCCGGGACAGCGACCTGGGGTATTGTTTGCGATACCGTTCCGGCCCGAACGGATCCGGTGCCTCGCGGCTTGCCTCACGGTAGCGCGTGAAAAACGCCTCGTGTGCTATGTGTCTCCACATCGCTCGCATCGTGAAGTTTTTCGCCAACTCGTACAAAGCTGCAAGTTGCGCTGTGCGGAGCTAAGCATTGATCCGCAGTGGCATAGAAAACTTTCATGCGCTGACGACGATGAGCACGAAGCGCGCTTCCTGATCGGTGACCCCAAACACTTTGCCTCGCTCGTGCATAGCATGCAGTCGGAACAGCTCCGTGTGCAAGCACCACTGTGGCTTCTGGACGACCTCGAGTCTGTATCATGGGATCCAAGCTACGAGTTTTTGCTCATGAATCTGGCAAGAGCTGAGCAGGTTCTTTTTTCGGAGCATTTCCAGAATGTCGACCAAGTATTGCGCTGGCTTGGACTGGATCCGTCTCGAATGCTCCAGTTTGAGTGGCAACCTCCGGGTGAGGCTTCGCCGCTCATTACCACTGCGGACGAGGCACTTCTGAACCGGCCTCGGCTGGTGGCGAAGCGCTTCTGGCGTGCATTTCGTCGGATAGCGCCTCCTCGAGGACCACAATTCGTCGCTGTTTGCGCGGTCATGCGCGATGCGCTCTTACTTGGGGCAGAGCTAGCGCGACAGAGTCCGTACCGCAGTGAGTGCCCTGCACGTTTGGCAGCGTCGTTAACCGCCGCGGAGCGAGCGCTCCTCGAGCGTGGCATCTGGTTACCCACGAGGAGTACCAGCTACGAGACAGGTGCACCCCCGGGGCACACCAATGTCCGCGTCGTAGTCATCGAGATCGGAGAATTACTCCTGCTCCCGAGCGATGGCAATGAATACGCCTTCGCATTCATGGTGGGCAACGGCTTTGCGCAGGCATCGTCGCGCCCACGGGAGAACCTGTTCCGTTGGAGTTGTCGCTACTTTGCCAGGATATGCAGAGGTCCGGTTTCGGTCCTAGTGCCACCGCATCTTGAGGGACTGATGCAGCTGCCGGCGAATTGGCCTCCAGTCATAGACTCTGTCGCTGATCTATTCTGGGAGTTATTTATTGTTCATCAGGTAGCACGGGGCACACTGCAGACTGCCGAGCAGGTTGCTGAGCTCATGAGCCGCACTCTCTACCGCTACCGTTACCTGCAGCATACGGCTGCGAGGCCGCTGTGCGAAGTGATATCGCTGGGCAGCGAGCTCGACAGAATAGCTCTAATGACCAGACTCGTCACAGAAAAACTTATCAGCGAATGCAACTTGCTCCGAATTCGCAATGACGGGCGCTTTGATTGTCGCGATGTCGTCGCTCCCCGGCTGGCATTCTGTTTCGGTATCGAAGTGCAGACAGCGCGTACGATTTTAGATCGGTTTTCAGGTAGGGTGATAACCAGGAGTGCGCTTTTGGACATGTTCGCTGAAACACTGGTTAGCGAACTCGGTCCTGGTTGGTTGCCGCGCGACCTCGCATCGAGCGATGAAGCTGGACGCCCTCATTCGCTGTGGCCCATTCGAGGACCAAAAGCGCGTCCTAAGAAAGTGCAGCCCGTTCTCTTTGTACGCACACTGCTGATATGGTTGCTGAGATCGCCACCGACGTCACAGTTTTGCTGGCGGAGGCTTTTGGAGGAGCTCAGTGGCGCTTGGGAGCGACTACTACCGGCACTGGTGTTTACGGGTCTCGCCCGTCTTTGTTGGAGCGCTTTCCGCCAGTTCCACAAGATCACTCGAACGCTTTCGTTCGAGCTTATGGTTAGTGGCTCGCCGTTGCGATCACGAGAGCAGAGCCACCTCACTAAGCCTGCAGACGATTTGGATGATGCTGTTGGCGAGGAGCCCGATGGCCGCATAGCACAGATTGAGCATCACATGGGTGCCGAATACCGGGAGCGCTGTACGAGTTACCTGCATCAGATGGATCACGAGCAGCATGAGCAGCATGAGCAGCATGAGCAGCATGAGCGCCAAGCGGATCTCGGAAACGAGCCGCACCGGATAGAACGTCGCGCACGTGGACGTCACCTGCAAGCAAAACTGGCGGCAGCGGCGGGGATGGTGGATTCTGGCGGGAGCATTCAATCCAGAAACGATGCTTGCTTTCATCTTCATCCTCGGCAAGGAGGTTCCCTTCGGGTCCAGCAAGCAATACAGCAAGGGACAAGACGGAAACGCGTCATAGACGTTCACTGTATTGACATAGCATTGGGGCAGCGAACCGAGAAACCCGTGGATGAGCATATGTACAGGAAGCGACATGCTTGGCTCGTCGTCCGTGATGCCGGCTCCGATACGGTTGTCTACGCGAACCGCGTTTTCTATCGATTTGGACTGCAAAGATTTTGCTTGAAGATCCCCGAGGTCGCCGCATGCAAGCCAACAAAACTCTCCGTTCATGCTTTCGACGAGTTCAGCACGGACGAGGAAATGGAGCGCTGCGTGTTGGTAACATCTGCACAAACGACCGCGGATCCGAGTATCTGACGGCTCAGCGCCTGCAGAAATATCTCATTGAACTTTTGCGGATTATCTATAAATAGATAATGACCCGCATTCGGTACGATTTGAAGGCACATATTTCCGTTTCCAAGTTCCCGCGCCTTGTCAATCAGGGTCCTGGCAGCATCCGGATCCATCCAATCGTTTGCTCCGTAGAGAAAGACCACTGGTACCGTCGGTGAGAGCGCTGTCAAGCGATCCATCAAGGGTGCACGGGCCCAGGCTCCGGGATGCATCAGCGTCTTGATCGCATACTCCGCAGAGCCTGGGGCAACTGAAATCGCGTACAAATAATCGGCAAGGAGTTGGCGCTCTCGTACACTGGTGATCGAAGATGCGAATCGACGCGAGATGTACTTGGATATCAGGTCATGGCTCCAGGAGGTCGAAGCAGTGGACGTCCATCGCAGAATTCTCTGAGGCGTTACATTCAATTTCCAAAACGTGCGAAGCACGCCTCGCAAGACTCGGTATTTCGTTGGCAAGCGATCCGCCGAGGCAGTAGGGTGGCTATCGTTCGCAGGTTCGCTTTGCAAGTTATTCGGTGTCGCCTCAGACGCTGTGGCGATCATCGTCAGACGAGGGGCCTGTGCTCCCGTCGGATGGGAGCTAACAGTTGTCGTTGATCGCTTCTGTGACTCTTTCCCATCCGGAACTCCGAACGGACTGATGAGCGCCAAGCCACGCAGACGCTCTGGGTGCTGGAGCGCGTAGACGGCGGCGAGGTAGCCGCCAAGCGAGTGACCCGCGAGAATGAACTTTTCGTTCTCCAGACCGACTCGCTTCGTCCACTCATCAAAGCGTCGCAAGAAGAAATCCTCGGACTCGGCCACGTTCATGCTTGTGTCGAACTTGGGACGTGACGAACCTCCGCTTCCAATCCAATCAAAACAGTAAATGCGGTATGCACCAGCGAGCGCGTCAAGGTTCTTGGCGAAGAAACCCAAGCCAGAGCCCCAGCCGTGCGCAAGAACAAGTACTGGTTTCTCAGTCTGGTGCTCGTTTAGCACCAGCGTGTTGATGAAAGCGCCGTCCCGTAGAGACACAAGCCGCTTTTCGAAAGGAGACTTGACGAGCGCCTTCAGCAGAGCCACTTCAGCACTGAGAATGGTGCGGAGCCGTTTCAAGAACGACCGCGGCCCAGAGACTGCTCTACAGGCCTCGTCTACCGTCAAAAAACTTCCCATATCTTCCATGGAAAACTACTCTCACCTTCAAAGGAACTTCGTGGCAAGTTATGTAGCAGTGCGAGCCACGAAATGCACAAACGTAATAAGCGTCGTGGCCTGACATTTGGCGGGACAAGTACGCTTGCGCCGTAGGGCGGTGCAAGTGCTCTGACCCAGCGTTGACGCAAACTAGTCACTACGCACAGAACATTTGCAACCGCTGGACCGAGTGTGACGGCCTTTATGACATCGGAGGTCGATGTTGCGCTTGCTGTGCTCCGCCAGGTCCACACTGAGCAGAAATATAGGGAGCTCAAAGAAGCGCTGCGGGAGAGCCTCGATCGAGGCCTCGTGCTTTCAGCGCGGTGGCTAGGGGAGTTGGTTGCAAGCTTGGGCCGGAAGCTCGAACCGCAGCTGTTAGATAACGATGCGGAAACCGTTGGAACGAAGCGTGGAGAAAGCGATCTGTTTTTTTATGGAAAAGCGCTGTTCGATGCTCGCGAATACCTGCGAGCAGCCTCTATCCTTGAGGCTTGCACTTCGAAGCTCGGTCGTTTCCTGCGTTGGTACTCGCTATTCCTCCATGGAGAAAAGCGCAAGGAGGAAATGCTTTTAGAAGTGTCTCCTGCGGGGTGTGCTGCCCCCTGCAAGCCACAGAACACGCTGGCGGCCTCTATCGTCCAGGAGATGGATAAAGCTGTGCAGTCCGATGCGAGCCTTCCCGAGGACGCTTATATTTGCTGGTTACGCGGGACTGCGTTGAAGGCCTGTGGTTGTCGAAAAGAGGCACTTTGTGCTTTTATCGAAGCGCTGCAGCGGAAACCACATCTCTGGGCAGCATGGACGGCGTTGCATGAACTCGGAGAGGACTACAGCTCTATCATTTCGGCGCTGCGTACGTTACTGGAGACCGGTAAGGCCTGGATGTTTGCATTCTTCCTCGTCATGCAGTCCGGAACCTTTTCGGGGGAAACTTCGATCATTCCAGTGCTGCAGGCGTTATCATCTGAGTTTCCCGACTCGGTAACTTTACTGCATCTGTTGGCCCATGCTCACTTCAGTGCGCATGATTTTGAAACTGCAGCAGAACTGTGCAGGCGCCTTCGCGAGTTAGACCCGTACTTTCTCGACGCTGTTGACCTTTATTCGAACATCCTCTTCGTGCAGGAGGATCAGGCAACATTAAGCACCCTTGCTCGTGATTGCGTGCAGATCGACAAGTATCGGGCGGAAACATGCTGCGTTGTGGGCAATTATTTTGCTTTACGTCAAAACCATGAAAAAGCGGTGCAGTACTTTCGAAGAGCGCTGACCCTTAACCGTTCGTACACCACCGCTTGGATCCTGATGGGTCACGAGTTCCTCGAGATGCGCAACACATCCGCAGCTGTGGAGGCCTATCGACGCGCTATCGATCTCGACCCAGCGGACTTTCGTCCTTATTATGGTTTGGGGCAGACCTACGAACTGCTCCACATGCCTCACTATGCACTCTATTACTTTGAGAAAGCGGCAACTCTGCGACCATGTGACGATCGCATGTGGGCGGCAGTCTCCCAGGCACTCCAAGACATTGGTCGGCTTGATGACGCCGTTCGCTGTCTAGAAAAAGCATTGACCTGGAATCCTGATAATTGGAGCTATGCAAAGAGAGCTGGAGATCTGTTCTGGGAAACTGGACAATACGACTCGGCAGCAAAACATTACGCAACGTACCTGGAGATCCGCAGGGCGCTTAGAGCGCCACATGCGACAATTGACACCGACGAGGCCGACGTCGTTGTCCGTATGATGACCTATCTGAGGCAGCGAGGTGAGCTCAAACTTGCGAACGAGTATCTCGAGTACATGACGGCCGTTGAAAGCGCTGAAAAGCGGGAGACGATGCGAAAATTAGCATGTGATGCCTCCGACCCTGCACTCTGATGGTAGCGTCCATTCTCTGATGGGATTTGGCTAGTTCAGCGCTTCATCCTTGCATTGATGCTGCGGGACTAGTGCTGCAGGAGTTCGGGCTCGGGCTCGGGTTGCTGCCCCGGTGCACAAGTTCACTAGAGGGTGCATCACAATGCACGAAGAGTCAGTCTATTTTCATCGGGCTGTCTCTATTCCGCGAGCTCTTGCCATCACGACGAGGACCAATAAAGCTTGGCAAATTTCGAAGCTGGGCAACTGGATTAATATCTGCCGCGCTTTTCGAGATTCAGGATTGTGAGCGCCTTTCATCCGTTGGAAGAAACGCTCTATCTGGGCACCAAGTAGGTGCGTCTTCTCGCGCAGATGTAGTGCGCTTTGTACGCAGACTCGACCTTTGCTTGGAGCAACTCTGCAGAGGCTTGTGACTCGGCCCCTGTAGCGCGTCTTTTGGTTACAAGAGCGAGCCATGCGCGGACACGTCGAGTACAGGGGACGAAATTTTAAAGATGCACTGAGCGTAAGGAATCTGCAGATGCCGCAACGATTGCAGGAGTCCTACAGCTGCATTCGCTGGAGCAGCAGTCGATTATCGCGGAATAGCTATATATCATTACACCCATGTCAGAATGAACTGGAACAGATCTGCAAACTCGGACGCACACTCTAAACTTTAGGTTTCTTCCCAGCGTTAACATCTTCATCCTTTTTAGGCTTTTTCCCATTGCTTCCTTTTACCCTATCTCATCCCCGGTCTTCAAATATGGCAGTCTCTCTTCTCCCTCCGGCACCGTTGTCAGCTGTCGAAGTATGTTGATGGCTGCGTTAGAGTCTCATCTTCTGCGCCTCCGTCTTTTTGTGACGCACTTCTTTTACAGGCGGAAGTTGCAATTTAAGCTTCGCTCGCCGATTTCATCTTCCCTGTATGGTGCTTCTACGCGTCTTTCGCAACGGTGACACTCGGCTGTTGGCAGGCGTAATCATACATGCACCGCCTCTCTTCCTCCGAGCACAGCACTATGGTGGATCAACACGTGCTTCATCGCTCGGCGCATACGCTTGACGGGTATAGAAGGCTTCTTCGAATACGCTCCTTCGTATCTAAGCACGGCGCAGTACACTATGATCAAGAGCTTCTTGCATACAATGACATCGACGAGTACTCTATCAGCAGCATGCGCATGTGCACACTGTACCAGTCGATCGAGGATTTGTGGAACGCAATGTCGTCCATGATGAAACATGGAACAGAAGGAATATCCAGGTTGCAAAACAATTCGAGAAAATTCGATCTGTCTAAGCTCTCTTCGTGGAAAGCAGTGGCGCACGCTCCTCTGGAAGCGATCCTCGCGATGATTGAAGAGCGAGTCTGAGGCTCTATTCCATGCAAGCGGAACGGATGAGAGCCTCCGGGAGCATATCCCGTCAGACCTATCAACCTGATGGGGAATCCGGTTTCGTCGACGACCAAATAGAGAGGCGGATTTGCATTGCGAACAGAATCGATTGTTTAATGTGACAAATTCAGTAAAACTCCTGGCATGAGCGCGTGAGGAGCGTGTCAAGGGGCGACGTCAAGTTTTTTCAGTAGTGGATCTGGCAGCGCGAACCACTGCACATACCAGTTGGCCTCAAACAGAACGACCTAATACTTGAAGAATGTGTGATTTGAGATTGCTGTACATGAAAAAAGCGAAGAGTGATGCAGTGTGCGTTCGACTCGGTTCATGATATATATTGTTTTACGAACTCTTGTTCGAACACATCACGACTCATTTTTATTCTGGTGACGTAAAGTTACCATCTGCAAAGAGACGAAGGAGCCACAACGAAAACAACGCCGAGAGCTCGAAAAATGCGTATAATCACATATGCAAATGTTGTCGCACATCGAATGTCGAGACTACATCTAAACAATTTCGGAAAATTGACACGCAAGACCGGGAAACGGTTGAACCACTGAATATATATAGATAGCAAATTCGATCGTGGTGTCGCCTTACACGGTGTGGTCGGCTGATTTCTCCAAACACCGTTCGTTATATCTCTCTTCTTGGACTGTATAGTGACTCAAATATCGAATGTGGAGTCTTCCTGTCCCGTTAGCAAGCAATTCACGTCTTGCTGAGCGAAGAAAGCTGGCCTCACACGCAACTGTTACGGAAGCGACGCGCGAACTGTTCCTCGTTCGCAAGCGAAAGGCCCACGGTTTCGAAGCCGTCCGGGGGAAAGGCCCTGCCATTGTGCGGTCTGCAGCGCAGCACAAGCGCTCCTTCTATCTGCGTAGTAGCTTCGATTTGCCTAAGCTAAGTACTTTTCAGTTTGATGAAAGCAACGGCATAGAACTTGTGCTTGAGCGGTCAGAGACACTTACGCTTCCAGGGACACCTGAGGTCTACGTACTGTACCTCGCCCTGCTAGATTCGAAACAGGCCACCTCAGGCAAGCGCTTTCAGGGCTGGAATAAGCGACAAGACCATAACTTCGATAAGGACTTGATTTCTACAGAATCACGCCGGGCCACGGGTCGGGCGGATGAGTTCTCGGCGCCGGCCACGGAAAGGCTTCTCCCTTTATTCCTTGAGGACAAGCTGGAGCGGGATATGATTGTCCTGAGCATAGTGCACACTGAGCCACCTGCTGCTTTCGCTGAGCGAGAGCCTCGAAGTCGAATGTCTGCGGGATCCTTCTCCATTCAGATGCGGCTCAAGCTCTTACAATATCTGTGGAGAAGTAGAGACGTATTCACCGAAGTGAAGAGCATTTACAAGCTTATGCAGGCTCGAGAGAGCTCAGAAATACGAGAGTCGAACTTGCTCTTTTCTGCCCTGCTGAATGCCATCCGATCCAAAAGGCTGCAGGGCGCTCACGCGCTGTTTCTGGACTTAATTCGTCAACGGCTTCAAAGCGACATACTCCAGGTGGTTCTCGCGCCCGTATCGCGAAGGAACCCTGAGCAGCTCCGTGCATACGTGTGTCTTGAGCTGCGTAGCTCACAGAGACAGCCCTGGTTTGTGCGGATGAGAGGCAGCGACGGTGCGGTTTTTGCATTTCTCGCTGGCTGTCCGCTGAAAATCGACAGAGACGTCTGGGAATATGCCTCCATCAGCACCAGATCAATACCTCTTGGCGACTCTGTGGTGTTTCCCATGAATAGAAACGCCCCTGCGCGATAGACCCGGAGCTTATTCGGCACATGCCACCAGCCTATACCCGTCACGCACACTGCCTGTACATTTAATGTAAAAGACCATCAAAGCTGCGAGTCAGTATGTCGCTGTAGTTCAGCATGGCATTGGACAAGAAACCAAACAGGCAGACAGGCTGACAGGCAGACAGACACGTACACAAGCAAGCACACCCAAAGACAACCAGTCGCGAAGCGCTTAATCACGTCCGACGAGTACTCATTCGCACAGGAATACAGCAGACGAAAGGGAGCCTTGGCTTCCTAGTGCTGCTCACGACGCAGCACTCACTTCGTCGACTGCGGGGAGGGCCCCCCTCTGAACGCGCCCACTGAAGCAGCCAAAATGAGCAACGTCGCGCCTTGCGCTGCAACACGTGCCCGCATCATCCTTTGACTCCAGATAACGTTTCCCCTCTGGAAAGCAGTAATTCCACCGGCAAGCACTATAGCAGTAAGGAGGGCGCCGGCGGGCACCAAGGGGTTCTTCTTGAACTTGTCTAGAGTTGGTCTGTTTGGAGTGTAGTTCTCCAGTGGACTCTCACCAGCATCTTCGCTTTCACGTGAATCAACCATGTCTCGAAAAACAGCTCGCTCCCAGTATAGTTAGGGAGGTGCTCAGCGTTATACTCAGAGTACTAAATTCTTGAACAAGTCTACCGGCAGGTTATTTTTGTGTTTGGTTGTTTTTCCCACAGGTATTGAACAATAAGGTTGTCCGTTGGTGAGAGAATGGCGGTGGATAGAGTTCATGCCATCGCCGCTAGCATACCGACACGGATCTTACTTGTACAAGTCAGTCATTTTACATTCAGCAGGTGCACCAGCGACCCTTGTGGCAGTGCTTGTTCTGAACATTGCGTACCCAAAATACAACGTACTACAATGTATATATTCGACAATCTTCTGATTCGCTCATTGTATCACATAGATCCTCTGAGAAATACCATCTGCGAAGCCACATGATGTGGGGCTTTCACATCTTTCATACTAGCGGTGATAAACAGACACCGATGAACAGAAAAGTGCGCTGCGATGCACGACGATTGCGTGTTGCCAGCAGATTGTCGAATTCGTAGCGCAAGGCGAAGGCCCCCTGCAGGACTGACTGGCGTTCGTGTCAGTCGGTGATGCTCCATTTTGCAGAAACGATCAACTCGTATATATGTCCTCACATAGGGGCGACACGAAGTTCTTAAAGAGGCGACAAGCGACATTGAAGGCGGCATGAGCCCTAGCGGTGATTTCTTCTGGTGATCTCTTACAAATCGCCGAACGAAAGGACATTCCAATACCTCATCCTCCGGCGAGGCACCTCCTGGATTCCTTCACCCACATTCCTTGGTAATGCCCTTAGACAGTATTGCTTTCCCTCGCTAAACAGCGCTCAGGCAGTATGCAGCTGTATCTGTCGTTGAGCTGCCCTACTTTTCCAGAGATCGGCAGTGTCGGGAGTCGGGCCCCAGAGACGCCAAGAGGCGTACCGACCAATGAAATGACAGCGTCCGGACCCGTCACGACGCTCTGAGACTCGTGTCGAACGGAGTGGATGCTGTGTGAGATCCATTCATAGACACGTGCGCGTCCACGTGGCTCGTGGGGACGCTCCCTCGCAGATGCACTTGAGACGTCGCTGTGGTCATCAACAGCTTGGCTCTCCGGAGGCAGGAAGCGTGCATTCTCCAGCATATTCAATGAGTTAGCAACGTATCGGACCGATAACTCGCAACGCGTGGAGGTAGCGAATGGCGCTGGACGTGCACTCGCGAGCAACGGCTGCACTCATGCTCGGTCGGCGAGAGCGTGCAACCACAGCAGGAATCGATTCTTCACGGCTCCCGTGGATGCGTTCAGAGCGACAAACACGCGTGACCAGCGCGAGTGCGCACAGTGACCGGTAGAGAAGAAGAGTGTGAAACAGAGCTGCATGCACGTGGTGGTGTACGGTGAGCTGATTGAGCGCCGGATGGCGAGAGAATCGAGCGAGACGTGCTTGCTGTGATGCGCTTCAACAATCCAAAATGCGCTCAGGCACGTCCTGCACCGAGACTCGAACGCCCAATCGGTATCTGGAAATGTTTCGTGCGTTCGGAGCGTCCAGCGGTTTGTGTCATACGTACATTCGAGGCAACTGTTTCATACTGAGTGTGGGGATTGTGCTGGAATGCTGGAGACTTGCGCTGAGAAAATCAGAGGCTGGCAGCAATAGGAGCGGATTCCGGCATGTAGCAGGGCAATAGTATGGTACGGTTAGGAATCCAGACAGGATGTGGCACAGCGTATATAGAGAGGAACCTGTTTCCCATGGTAGTTGGTAGACGATGCTAGTGTTTCTCTCTTTAAGATGCTATTGAGTGTAGGATATGTATCAGACGCTTTTGATAGCAACAGTATATGCGTTCGAATCCGCAGGTGTTTATAACGCTTGTAAAAGCTTCACATCGAATGAAGACCTTCATAATTCAAATTCTGTGATAGATTTGCTCTATCTCTTGTTGTTATTAGGCATGTTGGTTGGGAATCTCGTGTTCATACGATCTTAAGTGGAAAAACTGGGATAAAATTTTTCGTCCGCGAGCAACCACCAAAAGTGCCTTGATGCGCAACGCTTCGGTCTATTGTTGTCGAGGCTACCTACTGCGTCTGTGGTTGCATCAGGATGCAGGGCGGCCAGCCGCATGCTCTGCTCTAGTGTGTAGTCCGCGCGCAATGTCTGAGGTCGCGAACTGCGGACTGCTGCCGAAATAGACCGGTTTTCCGAGCAACCTTGCCCGGATGCGCGGCTACAGATTGGAAATCGAGCATCCAGCGCCTCTTTGGATATTCGGCCCGGATTCCAATACGCCACTAAAAATTCATTGCATCAGTCCCTGTTACCTGTAGAAGAATAGAGACAAGGCAAGTGGACGTCCTATTTGACAGTTTGTAGATATGTTGCAGTTTGATTCGAGGTTCTGAAGTTTCGTGCCCTCATACTTTTCCGTCCATAAAATGCTCCATACGGCACACCGATGTAGCGCAAACTCCTCAGGAATGTGCTCAGACTCTTATCACGTATTCTCTACGAAACCTCCTCGGTGTCATGAATCTATTATGAACAAGATGCTGGCAGTGTAGTATTCCTCAATGCAAAATGTTTGCTTTGAACGGCTCGCACCGGCATTTGAGACATAAAACCGCCTCACGCTGTTGAGAGGCTCTGCGCCCGATGTAAATCCTGCCGGTGTCGCACACCAGAGGAACGCTCGTTGTAGCAGCTGCTGCTGTTGCGGTTTTTCTATGCAACAGCAGCTCGTGAACACGAATATATTGGATGAGTGTCGGCGCTCACAGGCCACGTCGGACAGTGTGATAATGCTCTCACTTCATCCGATGGTGTTCTTCAGAGTTTCGGGTCGAGCCTCTTGCTAGAAATACCGCTCTTCTGTGGCTCGGTGCAACCAGCTTCGCAATAGAGCGATGTTCCGATGTTCACGATCAAGTGTTCGCGATGAACCAAACCCTGGGCAAGTGGTGCCCCTTTGTTTTCTTATAAAACCAAGCAATGACGTTCGAGAAATCGCACTGACTCAGATCCGACATAAAGCTTGTGTGTGCCACAGCGGGGAAGTGACCCGAAGGGGATACATCATTGGACTAAAAGATTCTTCCTCGAAACCCTCTGAAGAGCAAAGGATTTGTTCCGCAGCGGCATGCGATGGTTGAGTGAGAATAGAGTCAATAACTTATACAAAACTTCTTCCTCCGAGTCGCTCACAGAGGCTCGAGCACATCCGTTACCATCGCATCGTACGTATGGCACAAAGTTTGATTTTCTGGAAGCTGCACAATACGTTCCTCTGGAAGTCGGGGATAGCGAGCGAATCTTGCTTTCGAGTAAGCCGTTCCAGGGCTCGGAGTTGTTGGCGAGGATAGGGAGGCTTCCGTGGTCCTCGAATCACTGCAAGGTGCACTGGCTCCAAGGCTCGGCAGAATCGTTGAACCATTCAGAGGCAGCTCTATCTCATGCAATTCGGGCGTTGAGTTGAGATCTCCGGATAAAGTTACAAACGATCTTTCCGTACACGGCGCAAACTCCACCGACCGTGTCACGCAATCTGCTGCGTGAACGGCCTTCACATCAGAGTCATACGTGTCCCAGAGCAAGTAGGTTGTTCCAAGCACAAACAAAAGTCCTGTCTCACTATAGCGAAGAGCTATCACAATTCCAATATTTCTCCAAACGAAACGACTGTTTTCGGAGTACGTGTCCACGTGCGTATCGTGGCACCAGTCGAGTCAAAGCAGAAGCTTTCACTGGGCACCGCGTACTGCAACAAAACAACCGTCAGCCTCTCTCCCGGGGCGCTTCGAAATACGCTAACATACACAGTCTTTGAGAGGAATTCTTCCAGATCATGTTCGTGAAAGTCAACATCTTACAGAAAAAGGAGGTCCGTCTCAAAATGAGGGCGCTGGTTGAACAAAACCTGTGTGCACATATGTGCACGAAGTGTACAGCAGGGACAACATGGGAATAGATCGGGCCGAATATTGGTTGTGAAGAGCACATTATACCTCACGTGGCGGAACACCTGATGAACTCTGTGACGCACAGGGCGAGCAGCAACCCAGGGCGGCTCGAACAGCCCATGCTGGTGTTCGAGAAGTCTGCGACACAAGGATAGCATTTGTTGCTCTGCGACGGGTTACAGCAGCTCTTTCTCGGATGCGCTATAGTGGGGAAGCGCTCGGCCACTCAAAAGCTTCCGCGACAAGCACACAAGTATGTTTGGATGCTTTACGGCGAGCAGAGGCACCACGAGCAGCCATGTCGTCGCTAAATGGTGGAACCGGTGCAGGTGGACGCTTCACCACAGTCGAGGAGCTCAGTACCGTCCTCCGTTCACAGGAAGCTATGTGCGGTGCGAAGTTGCACGAGTTCCTGGAAGAGCAGTGCACTCGGAAACGAAATGATCTTGAACATAATTTGGCCAAACTGAAGGTCTTAGACCTTGGGAGGGCTGCCAGCGACCTCGTGAGTGCCTTAGGCGTGAGCGAGGAACGAGGTATGCCACTAGTAGCTCTACTGCTTTGCGTGGACGAGCATGAATCACATCTTGAACGGAGTTGCGCACTTTGCCAGGAACTTGCCTCTTTCTCTGAACTTACGGCTCTCTTCAGTGAACGGCTCCTGTTGTGGTTAGTTGGTGTGCGAAGTGCCAAGCAATGCAGTCAACTTCACGAACTGCTCGCTGCGCACGCTCTTCCAGTCATGCTATGTTTTGCAAGCAGGGATCAAAAAGTCGCTCTAGTGGAAACGGTTGCATATACTGATGGATTACCTGCAAGATTCTCCGAGAGCCTGTATGAGTTTTGTGATCTATACGTTCCTTTGCTGCGGCAGGCCCAGTCGGGACGTTCTGCTCCAGACCTTTTCAGTTTTATGGATCATGAAGGCTTTTGGATACGTCAGTGTCCTACTCCAGATCTCTTGACAGAAAGCATCCTGGCTGAAGAGCAGCGGATTGCTCGGATGGACCAGAGCAGCCTATGAACGCGAAGTGGATCCGAACGTTTTGCACGAGAGAATGGTGTAGAAAATTTTACGATCCGCAAGGATGAACATTGTTGAGGCTCCTCCAAACGCTCTCACACGAGCGAAGTAATATACGGGAGCCTAAGTGCCGAGGCGCGATATCCAATCAGTTTCATCTGCACGTATTAGTGAAAGCCGTGATTGGCAAAACACCTATGACGCTTTTGCTTTAGGGAATTGAGAATCTTCGATGGCGGGGCATGGGCACTATGCCGGGAGGTGCCTCCTGCCCCTCCTCCGGTGACAGTTTCTTCTCTTCTTCTAACCTAAACTGCGTCATGTCTGCCGTCCGGATACTGATATCGATCGTCTTTCCATCGACGCCGCGAAGGACCCGTATTTTCAACTCCTGACCGACCCTCGAGCTGTCGACGATTTTTTGAATATCTCTCGCATTTGATATCGCATTGCCGTTCACCGCGAGAATGACATCGAATCGGCGAAGTCCCGATTCTGCAGCGGGGGTTTTGGGCAAGACTTTCAGGACAAGTACACCCGAAACCTCCGGAATAAGAGCGAGCGCATTAGGGTCTTGGTTGTTCTGTTTGGCAAGTTCCGGCGTGAGCGTTACCATCTGAATCCCAATGAATGGGTGTTGAACTTTTTCGCCCTTCGCGAGCATGTCGAGGACAGCTTTCGCTGTGTCAATTGGTATCGCGAAACCGATGCCCTCCGCGTTTGGCCTAATCGCTGTGCTGATCCCGACGACTTCACCGAATTCATTGACGAGCGGACCACCACTGTTACCAGGGTTTATTGCAGCGTCAGTCTGAATAAAGTTGATTTTCTTATCCGGAATGCCAACTTCCGCGCTCGACCTATTAAGGCTACTCACGATGCCCAACGTGACTGTATTGTCAAGACCGACTGGATTGCCCAGTGCAATGACCCAGTCTCCCACCTGGAGCTCTCCGGATGAGCCCAAGGGAGCAGTTGGGACCTTCTCCGAATGTGTATCGATCCGGATGACAGCCAAGTCGAGTAGATCATCGGTGCCCACGACTTTTCCTGGATACGAGCGCCCGTCGATTAAGGTGACGGTTACCTTCGATGCTTTTGCAACAACATGGGCATTCGTTAGAAGCAGACCATCGGAGGAAATGAAGAACCCAGACCCCTGGCCTCGCTCCGTGCGCTCCTTCGGCAACTGTCGCTGAAACTCATCGCCAAAGAAGTATCGGAAAAGCGGATCTTCCAGCACTGGATCTGCAGGTAGCTGCACGACCCGTTCCGTATCTATTCGAACCACTGCGGGACCTACGAGTTTGACAGCCTTGGTAACGAAAGAGCTGCTGAGACGTCGGTTCTGAGCTGTAAAGTCACTGGCGGTGGCCTCAGGTTTCTGTTCCTGCTGCTGCGTGGGCAGCTTTTGCAGTGGTTGCTGCGACGGCGGCTCCACGTGTTGTTGTTTATTCTCTTTCGCTTTCCCAAATATTCTAACAGAGACCGCCCGTTCCCCACCGTCTGAAGTCCTGTACTTAACGATCCTTTGAGCAACCTCGCCCTGCCGGAATTCGCTACCAACGTGTGGTGCAGCTTGGCAGTTGTGGTAGTTGAACGCAAGCGCCACCACCACTCTTGAACCAGGCGCCTCCCGTTTCACAATTTGAACACTAGCGCATTGCTGAAAAGAAGTGCACTTACGCGAAAACCGAAACAGTTTCTGCACGAAACAAGGTGGAGTAGCGTTTCGGGAACGCATCCCTCCGGGGAACACCAATACCACTACACTGAGCGCTCGCGATGCCACAGAGCGACGCTGCTGCGCAACCTGAAGATTCTTTTAAGCATGCTCGTTATCGGTGTGGTAAAAACCTTCCACAATGAACACAGAGGAACGAGCCTCAAACGCAAACGGTCATAAGCTTATCGAAAGTGTTTACCTGGCAATAAGGCTAGCGTTAGACGACGCAGCTTTTTCGGCGAGAGAGGTTTTTGTGAATGATTCCGAGCTGAGTTCCGCACTCGAAACGCTCCGAGTAGCTCGGACTCAACTTGGTTGTCATGGTGAATACTCCGCTTTGGAGGATGTTCCGACTTGGAGACTACAGAGTTTTATTCTTTTTCCCTTTTACATCGCAATTCTTGCGGATAAGTTGCTTGAAAGAAAAGGTTTCGGTGAGCTTTCAGAACGAAACACTTATGCAGAGAGAAGAGGCGCCTGCGCCGAAGTTCGGCAGCTGTACCAGCAATACCTGAAGCTGGTGCAGGGCTGCCTGTGGCTAGGGCCGTTTGGTCTGGATAGCCCATTTCTGGAGTCAATCCGTAATTTAACTTCAGAAGAACTCGGGGCGGAATTGCCAATGGGCGTGCGGGAAGCAAAAATCAACTTCACGAGGAATCTGCGGAGACTGTGCGATCTTGTTCGCAATTTTTCGAAACGGATATGTATGAAAGGTAGCATGCACGAAAAAACAGCTTTTGAAGCGCTTCCGTTCCCTTTACTGCCTACGGACGTGCATTCGGATACTGAAGAGGAACAGCGAAACCTTGTTCTGCGCTTTATAGCGGTTGCAGCTGAGTGGGCTTTTATCCGCGGGTATGAACTCGGTCGCGAGATGTCAGCTCTCGAGGCCCTGGCTTCTCAGTACGAGCAATCCGTCAAAGAGGTAAGGGCAGACGAAAAGCATGCTTGTGATGCGGAGACGCTAGGTCGAAGAAAGCCGAAAATTGTATATATAGACAACCATTGCTCGCGAACGAGGTACTTTGAGAACGCGCATGCGTTTCGACGATTTCTGCAGGGGCGCACGATTACTTCAGAGGAGCCACCTACAAAGCTTCCTTTCGGTGACTGCTGCCTTGCTCACATACATCGTGATGAGCATAATTCGCAACCTGAGCCGCAAAAGAAGCCACTGGAGACGGATTTGAATGATACACATGGCGCCCGGGATACGCAGCTTGAGGACCAGATTATAGCTGCAAAGCGGAAATGGGATCTTTTCAAAGACGACCATCGCCGCGGGGAAGGCAATCGGTATCGAAGGGGGTAGACTTTTTCTCAAGTCGTTTCGCTCCAAACAATAATTGTTTATCCATGCTAGAATGCGCTAGTTTTCAGTATGCTTCCCTGGTTTTTAATGGGCATCGTTGACTGAATTAGAAAACATGAACTTCTTGTGTATAAAGCACCGGTTACCGAGCAAAGAAGAAGGGAAGCATCGGACACAGCTTGACAAGGCATGCTTTTCGTCATGGGACTCTACGAAGTACTCCGCTTCTTTAGTTGTTTCGAGAGCTCACAGACGATTTCACTGGGACAGCTGCATACCCAATAACACCCATGAGCAACTAGCCGATCAAACACCTGAAATACTCTCGCGAGACTTTCTCCTGAATGACGTTTTAGAACGGGTATTGAATCGGATCACACCAACCCTCGCCGCCAGGGGTACTTCGAAAATGAAATCAGATACCTCCAAAAGTGCCCACGGTCTTGGAGTTCCATTGTATGCAGAAGTACATGAATAGTGTACTAGACCTCGCATCTTGAAAGCACTATGCTATGTTTCGTCTTGAAGAAGTATCGATTCATTTAGCACAGCACTCGAAGAGCTCGTTGGAGTCGACAAGACAATTAATGAACAAATCAACGTGAGAATTTCAGAACCCAAGCTTTGTAAACTGTTCTATAATCAATAGCATCTTAAAGAGAGAAACACTAGCATCGTCTACCAACTACCATGGGAAACAGGTTCCTCTCTATATACGCTGTGCCACATCCTGTCTGGATTCCTAACCGTACCATACTATTGCCCTGCTACATGCCGGAATCCGCTCCTATTGCTGCCAGCCTCTGATTTTCTCAGCGCAAGTCTCCAGCATTCCAGCACAATCCCCACACTCAGTATGAAACAGTTGCCTCGAATGTACGTATGACACAAACCGCTGGACGCTCCGAACGCACGAAACATTTCCAGATACCGATTGGGCGTTCGAGTCTCGGTGCAGGACGTGCCTGAGCGCATTTTGGATTGTTGAAGCGCATCACAGCAAGCACGTCTCGCTCGATTCTCTCGCCATCCGGCGCTCAATCAGCTCACCGTACACCACCACGTGCATGCAGCTCTGTTTCACACTCTTCTTCTCTACCGGTCACTGTGCGCACTCGCGCTGGTCACGCGTGTTTGTCGCTCTGAACGCATCCACGGGAGCCGTGAAGAATCGATTCCTGCTGTGGTTGCACGCTCTCGCCGACCGAGCATGAGTGCAGCCGTTGCTCGCGAGTGCACGTCCAGCGCCATTCGCTACCTCCACGCGTTGCGAGTTATCGGTCCGATACGTTGCTAACTCATTGAATATGCTGGAGAATGCACGCTTCCTGCCTCCGGAGAGCCAAGCTGTTGATGACCACAGCGACGTCTCAAGTGCATCTGCGAGGGAGCGTCCCCACGAGCCACGTGGACGCGCACGTGTCTATGAATGGATCTCACACAGCATCCACTCCGTTCGACACGAGTCTCAGAGCGTCGTGACGGGTCCGGACGCTGTCATTTCATTGGTCGGTACGCCTCTTGGCGTCTCTGGGGCCCGACTCCCGACACTGCCGATCTCTGGAAAAGTAGGGCAGCTCAACGACAGATACAGCTGCATACTGCCTGAGCGCTGTTTAGCGAGGGAAAGCAATACTGTCTAAGGGCATTACCAAGGAATGTGGGTGAAGGAATCCAGGAGGTGCCTCGCCGGAGGATGAGGTATTGGAATGTCCTTTCGTTCGGCGATTTGTAAGAGATCACCAGAAGAAATCACCGCTAGGGCTCATGCCGCCTTCAATGTCGCTTGTCGCCTCTTTAAGAACTTCGTGTCGCCCCTATGTGAGGACATATATACGAGTTGATCGTTTCTGCAAAATGGAGCATCACCGACTGACACGAACGCCAGTCAGTCCTGCAGCGGGCCTTCGCCTTGCGCTGCGAATTCGACAATCTGCTGGCAACACGCAATCGTCGTGCATCGCAGCGCACTTTTCTGTTCATCGGTGTCTGTTTATCACCGCTAGTATGAAAGATGTGAAAGCCCCACATCATGTGGCTTCGCAGATGGTATTTCTCAGAGGATCTATGTGATACAATGAGCGAATCAGAAGATTGTCGAATATATACATTGTAGTACGTTGTATTTTGGGTACGCAATGTTCAGAACAAGCACTGCCACAAGGGTCGCTGGTGCACCTGCTGAATGTAAAATGACTGACTTGTACAAGTAAGATCCGTGTCGGTATGCTAGCGGCGATGGCATGAACTCTATCCACCGCCATTCTCTCACCAACGGACAACCTTATTGTTCAATACCTGTGGGAAAAACAACCAAACACAAAAATAACCTGCCGGTAGACTTGTTCAAGAATTTAGTACTCTGAATGTAAACTAAATACTAGTTCTCATATTTGACTCTTTCAAATATAGCAAGCACGAAGAGATGTCTTCAAGCGCTCTTTTATATCCTTTTGGACCTGAAAGATCCACGGTGAATATCTCCAGTTCGAAAGAGCTTAACTCTTGTAGCCCTTCTCGCAACCTTCACGCGAACCCAGTGTTGGGTGGAAATATTACTCAAATTTAATTGCAATCGGCACCAGACAACGATCTTATTAGTCTTTCAAATCAAATATATTTCACCCCCGCTATGCGTAATCTATGCTTTTTCCCAGTGTAAAGCAGATGATCGAAATCATGATGCAGTGTACAGCATAGATCGTTGACGAGTTGCCCATAGGATATACTCTTTACTGAGAAGTGCAAGGAGGACTACATTCATCCTTCAGGGCAGTCACACTGCAGGACTCGAGTGATTGTCAAACACTGTAAGAAAGAAGTATACACGCTCTGCGCCAGAAAACGACGTGCTCAAATCGTGCTGGGGGTCAACTGTAGAAAACGGCTCGTTGATCACCTTAGAGAAGGCAAAAGCGAAGACCGTATCCAACGCAAACACCTCTGTTTCTCAAAAGGCCTTTTCGTGTGGTCCTGAGAACATTCGGACACAGTCGCATAAAAAGTCCAATTTCAATGACGGTGATCTCCACAGATATGCCAACTACTGAATTCCGCGAACGTCCCTATTCGTATAATGCGCATGGATTTCGGTTTCTTTTTCCAGCCCATGAGACTCTCTTCGGGAGAAACGGTCGGAGCGCAGATGGGTATTCTGGGAGCAGGCCCGTTGTATGTACGATCGAACTCGATGAGAACGAAGTCATTATCTATTCTAGCTGCAGTGGGTATATTTTGCGGCGTCAGTCTCGCTCGTAGACAAGGCCCATACAGCAGCACCCAATTCGTCGAATCATAGATGACTCTTCCCTGACATCTTGGGACTTCCCTCTATTGGAAACTGTGATGTTACACCATATCCTTTACGTTCGAGCTCTTGCCAGTTCTATAGGTCTTGGCCTGCTTTGCATTCCTCCGTACGCTCTATGCTTCATCTCCTCGAGCAGTGTCTCCTATCTTAATCTTTACGATCGCTCTACTGGGTGAATCGCTGACGCGTTCATCACGGTGATACCGGGGCGTATTTGTCTTTCTTCCATAAGTCCTTATCCATCCGAGAAGGTCCCTACCCAACGGCATAAACGAGTGCGTTCATTTTCGAAAATAAGGAATGCAATGGGTTATACACTTCACGAGTTCGAGATCGAGAGAAGCCAGCGGAGCACTTGGACGATAGGAAAGCACGGCGAGCTGAAAGAGCAGCGAATGGCACAGAGGGCGCGAGTTCGAGGACTCCTTGCACAAGTCCGTTCCACCAGTGGCAATAAACGCTTGGAGTTCCTGAACCGGGCCATCATCGCCGCCAACAATTTCAGACGATGTTTGGTTATGAGGACGAGACCTGAAGAGCTGACAAGATCCGACTTTGCGGGTCAGCCTACCATTCCAGAGGTGTACAAGGAGCAGCTGGAACTGATAGCAAGCACCCTGTCAAAAATGGTTGGGAGGCGTCTGGACATGTGCGTTCTCATGCACCCTAATGTGGTAGATCGTTTTTCGTTGTGCTAACAATAATTAGCATGTAACGGAGAACCAAATCTGTCTGCGAAGTAAGCACCCAAGAGCCCACAAACGGCGGACGTCGATGTCGCCGAACATTTGCGCCTACAAACCATTGGAAGAGAGCCAAGACCGAGCGTGCGTGGAGATCGGGGATCTGTAGCTCTGAATTGAAAATACAGAACGCGTGTCAGAAATCATGCGCAGGGGCGCCATGAAAACTGGCGCGCAATTTGGATTTCACTCTTCTCGATTAACGCACCACACTCTGTCAGACAAGATTTTTACGGGTCCATCGATTTTCCTCCAGCGCCCGCTTCCGAGTTGGGGTTTCTTCGCACAATCATCGATACCTGCTGTTGGCGGCTTGTTCCGAGACTGCCTACCTTTCCCTTATCTTGTCTCTGGCTATGAGTACACCGGTCTCTCGTGCCTCATCAACTCCCAGATCTGATGTCGATGGATGCTGATGGCAGTGCAAGTCCCGATTACACCGCACGGGGATATTGTCGACGCATTTCGTGCATTGGCAAATGTTGCAATGTATGCTTCATTTGCCATATTCACCTTCTTTGTATACAGCCCCTGTGCTCGCTTCGTAACGGCAACACAAGGCTATGCGTAGATGAGACCTTATCCTCACCACAACTCATCCTCCAAGCGCCACCGCGTGGCGCGTGAGCACTTGATTCAGCGCTCGATACATGCCCCCGAAGGGCACAGAGTCCTCCCTGGATGCTCTTCGCGACATCTGCAACCAGTGCTGCACCGCACGACGACGGGTTTCTTCTAGGCGACAAACTCGGCGAGTACGCTGTCCAACGGGCGCGTAGGCGCACATTGTCCCATTCGATAGCGGATTTGTGGAGAGCGATGTCGTCTAGTGTGAAACAAGGACCAGAAGAAATATCGACGCTGGAGATCGAGTCCAGAATATTCTCTCCATCCGCGCTCCCTTCGTGCAATAGAGTTGCATAGTACCCATTGGAAGCGATCATTGAGATGAGCAAAGTCCGAGTCCGAGACCATTTTGGATGCAAAGCGAAGCGACGGGAGCCTCCAGGAGCATATCCCATGAAAGGTATCAGGCTGTTGTGGAATCCCGCGACATCGATGGACACAAGGCAACATGGTTTGTCTTTCTGACGGACATTATCATCGGATATGACACAATCTGTGAACTTTTGGCATGAGCTCCTGATCAAGTCGTCAAGGAACCTGGTCGAGTACTTATCATCGTCAATGCAGCGGAGCGCGTCCCTGTGCCCGCGAGCTGCCTTGAAACAGTCAGACCGAAAGCTTGGGGAACTCATGATTTGGATATGCTTGATGCAGGAAAAGCGGAGGAATGGAGGCCTTTGGATAAGAACTGCATAATGGTATCGGTTATTTTACTGACGTGGGGTTGAGGGCGTCGCGAATCATCGTGGTTTCGACGAATTAACGGATTCTAGCGACAGGAAGGGACTGCTCCGAAAAGATGACCAGTATCGTAAACCAAGGAAAGAGTGCGTAAGTCCGCATTGATGTGCTTCGAAGGTCAAGGCTGTTCATCTAGAAAAAGCTGGGGAAAGAACGGAAATACAGGAGGAGAGCGAAGAATTCCGTGTTCTGTTTTGATCTGACATGGAAGTAGCTTCCCTGAAGCGCGTGAACAAACGTCAAATTTTTCTTAACCCTGCACAGGTGTACACTTTATCTTTCGTGTGTGAACAGAGCGCATAGCCACGTCCGATTTGTTGGACTGGATAAAGAATGTTGTCTTTCTTTTGCTTGTTGGCTCTGCCAAATCAGCAGCGACCGCTTTTGCACGCGCCTGCTTTTGCTGGAGCATGTCCTCGTGTCTCGAGCTTCGTAGGTGACTGGTGCAAACAAGAGCCTAGAAACTGTCTTCAATCGTCAAATCGCTGTGCTCGACGGGCTTTCAAAAATAGTCTACGCATTGAGGCATCCGATACTAGGGCGAAAACCGTGCTTGTGAGTGGCGGCTCAGGCTTTGTTGGCCGGGCGCTTGTGCGCAAACTTCTCGGTTCGGGGAAGGCGGTGACGCTTTTGGCGCGTGATACTGAGAAAGCCCGCAAAACCTTTAACTATAAGGTGGAAGCAATATACTTTGAAGCGACTGCTGCCGATGCGCCGGCAAAGGAGGTCGTGGAGGCAGTGGCTGGAAGTGATGCTATAATTAATCTAGCTGGCGAACCCATTTCAGAAGGTAGGTGGACGGCAGAGCGCAAGAGGCGCATTCTGGAGAGCCGCGTGAACGGGACCCTTCAGCTCGTCCGAGCTGTTCATCATGCTGATAGGAAACCAAAGGTTCTCATCTCCACATCTGCTGTTGGCTACTACGGTACATCTGAAGTAGAAACGTTCGACGAGGATTCGCCTTCGATAGGGACGGACTTTTTAGCATCAGTCGCAAAGAAGTGGGAAGCAGCTGCTCAAGATGCGGGAATCCGGACAGTCATCAATCGATTTGGCATAGTACTCGGCCCGGATGGGGGGGCTTTGAGCCGAATGCTTCCGCTCTTTAACTTGTTCATAGGTGGAACGATTGGATCTGGACGCCAGTGGATATCGTGGATACACATTCAAGATCTGGTGAACATTATCATGCACGAGCTGGAATCACCCGATTTTCAAGGTGTGTACAACGTCACGGCGCCAACCCCAGTTCAGTTTCAAAAGTTTTGCGATTCACTTGCAAGAGCGCTCAAACGCCCGAACTGGCTACCGGTACCCAGTTTCACACTTCAACTGATTCTTGGCGAAGCGGCGGAACTTGTGCTCCAGGGCCAACGCGTGCTCCCAAAGCGTCTGTTGCAAAGCGGTCTTAAGTTTCAGTATCAAGAAATTCAGCCTGCGCTCGATGAAATCGCCGCGTCATGGAAATTGCCCGTTCGAAGCGCTTAGAGAAGCGTCATTTCAGCAGCCGTGCTGCTTCACCTCCTGTATGCAGCCTGGAACAGTCGAACGCCTCCCCAGTCCTATACATGCGGCCGCCTCGCGCAGCAACATGCACTATGCTCTATGAGAAATTCTATCGGAACATGAATTTTCCATCTTTGGGTTTGGAATATGACGGTCCGTCTTACTCGTTCGTTAACCGCAAAGCACTAGCGTCCGCCGCTGGCGTCTCCGAAGCGTTATCTTCCCCTGTGACCCTGTTCTCGCTCGGAAGCGTCAAGTCCTGCTCGCATACGAAACCTTCCCCACGCATGAGGCGCCGAAACTGGTTCGCAAAAATGTGAGCGTTTCTTTCCGATCCAACGGGGATGCGTAGAATGTCCAAATCTCGATTCTTTTCCTGACCTCTGCGGATGACACATTCGCATCCGCGTTGCGGTCGGACGATGATATCGAGTAGACATACAATTCTTGGTTCGCCCGATCTCGATGCAGGTCGGGCGTTTCGATCAGACGCAGTAGGGGTATCCAACTGTCCAGAGGGTTCGTCCGCATTCGTCACAGCTGGGGCTTCGTTGGACTTTGGCTGGATCGTGGTTGCACTCGCTCGATGCAACACGAAACGAAGCTGCCGAAGCAAACGCCCGATGACGTTTGAGAAACTAGGTCTTCGAAGAGGTTGGGCGCCCGCAATGTCTGCCGGCGTCTTCAGCTCTAGGGAAGAAGTCTGCCTTGGAAGACCGGTGACGCTGCGCATTCGCGTACGACGATAACGGTTAAGGTTTTCGTTGCCAGCCACGAGAAGCAGCATCTGTGATGCAAGATCGATGTTTGCTTTTCCTCTGGATCGACGATTTCTGTTCATACGTTTCGTCAGAAACAGCCGCAAAAGCGGAAGTGATCTAGTGAATGTAACCTCCACATGCTGCCTTGCAGTTCTAGCAAAGTTAAGAACCTGCGCGGATTCTGTATGAGACGACAGCGTTTGATGGTCAAGTCGAGGCTCCAAGTCATCCAAAACGTGCAAAAGCTTAAGTAGCTCTGCTTCCAACTGCAGCACTCTATCTGCTTGTCTTAGTTCCCGAGCGTATGGACTTTCTGCAATTGCGAGGCATATATTCAAATAGTCAGGCCTCAAAGTAATGTGGAATTTCTTTGGCTTCGGCCGCGTATAATCCAGTATGACCGCGTCACGAACGTTATTGATGCTGTCAGCCCGTTTCGGAGCGCGAAATTCAAAACTAGAGGGCAGGACACCCTGATCTAAGCAAAAGAGTATTCGATCAGAGTTTCCATCGAAACTGAACCTAGGGTACCCTGTTTCTGAAAATGAATAACCATCGGGGTAAAGATAGACGTAGATCGTTGAGCACTCCGCATTCTCGGCGCTTTTGTTCAGCTCCAACTGCAGCGCTTCTGAGCTATGCGTCCGTGCCCCTGGGAAGCTAATTTCATCAGATAAGGCAGCCCTTGAGTTCGGGCCTAGGGAGCTATCCAGTGAAAAATGCTTCTGGTTCGAATCATCTTCGAGCTTGAGAGAGTCTCCGGATACGGCGCTCAGTCTGTTCGCATCAGCTCCCAAACAAATGCTTTCCCGAAACGCAGGAACGACGTCGCACGAGTCTCTCGTCTTGTGCAAAGCGGCTCCGTTTCCCCTTTCTGAACAGCTTTCAAGGGAGGCGGGTTTTGGAGTGTCCGCGGAGGGCGAATCGGCCATAGCACCTCTCGTCTCTGGTGCGTCAGACAGAGCTGGAAACAAAGCATCCTGAAAGAACGCGTACTGCCTTCTCTCACCAAAAATGATTCTTCGCCTGAAACGAGGTTTCACTTCCACAGTCGGGCATTCTCTCTCGGGAAAACTCAGGTCTCCATTCGCCCACTGGCTCGAACGCGATCTCTTTTCATACTCTCGCTCTGTTTCAGGTAAGCGAAGTGAGTCACGTTGTATATTGGTTTGCGGCTTAATTCCGGTTGAAACTTCAGCTAACGAAGGCTTTGATGACGTTCCCAACGTCGAAGCCGTAGCACCAGCGCGACTCTCTGACAGCAACAGCTCGTCTTGAGGCTGCGATTCACTCGATTGCACTGAAACCACGGAATTGATAGCGTCCCGGTGAAGTGCTACGTCATCCGTCCGTCTTAACCAGTGAAGACTCACAGGGTGAGCCATGTTTGTTCCCAAACGTGTAGCTGCAGGAAACTGGGGAGAGAAATGAGCGCGCAAATCAAAAACCAAGCTACGCTTCCTTCTCATGTCAGATCAAAACAGAACACGGAATTCTTCGCTCTCCTCCTGTATTTCCGTTCTTTCCCCAGCTTTTTCTAGATGAACAGCCTTGACCTTCGAAGCACATCAATGCGGACTTACGCACTCTTTCCTTGGTTTACGATACTGGTCATCTTTTCGGAGCAGTCCCTTCCTGTCGCTAGAATCCGTTAATTCGTCGAAACCACGATGATTCGCGACGCCCTCAACCCCACGTCAGTAAAATAACCGATACCATTATGCAGTTCTTATCCAAAGGCCTCCATTCCTCCGCTTTTCCTGCATCAAGCATATCCAAATCATGAGTTCCCCAAGCTTTCGGTCTGACTGTTTCAAGGCAGCTCGCGGGCACAGGGACGCGCTCCGCTGCATTGACGATGATAAGTACTCGACCAGGTTCCTTGACGACTTGATCAGGAGCTCATGCCAAAAGTTCACAGATTGTGTCATATCCGATGATAATGTCCGTCAGAAAGACAAACCATGTTGCCTTGTGTCCATCGATGTCGCGGGATTCCACACAGCCTGATACCTTTCATGGTATATGCTCCTGGAGGCTCCCGTCGCTTCGCTTTGCATCCAAAATGGTCTCGGACTCGCCTTTGCTATCTAATGATCGCTTCCAATGGGTACTATGCAACTCTATTGCACGAAGGGAGCGCGGATGGAGAGAATATTCTGGACTCGATCTCCAGCGTCGATATTTCTTCTGGTCCTTGTTTCACACTAGACGACATCGCTCTCCACAAATCCGCTATCGAATGGGACAATGTGCGCCTACGCGCCCGTTGGACAGCGTACTCGCCGAGTTTGTCGCCTAGAAGAAACCCGTCGTCGTGCGGTGCAGCACTGGTTGCAGATGTCGCGAAGAGCATCCAGGGAGGACTCTGTGCCCTTCGGGGGCATGTATCGAGCGCTGAATCAAGTGCTCACGCGCCACGCGGTGGCGCTTGGAGGATGAGTTGTGGTGAGGATAAGGTCTCATCTACGCATAGCCTTGTGTTGCCGTTACGAAGCGAGCACAGGGGCTGTATACAAAGAAGGTGAATATGGCAAATGAAGCATACATTGCAACATTTGCCAATGCACGAAATGCGTCGACAATATCCCCGTGCGGTGTAATCGGGACTTGCACTGCCATCAGCATCCATCGACATCAGATCTGGGAGTTGATGAGGCACGAGAGACCGGTGTACTCATAGCCAGAGACAAGATAAGGGAAAGGTAGGCAGTCTCGGAACAAGCCGCCAACAGCAGGTATCGATGATTGTGCGAAGAAACCCCAACTCGGAAGCGGGCGCTGGAGGAAAATCGATGGACCCGTAAAAATCTTGTCTGACAAAGTGTGGTGCGTTAATCGGAAAAAGTGAGGCCCTTCAAAGCCGCCATTGTGGTCAAAATAACGAGCATGATTTCGTCAAAGCGGACGGCTTTCTTCCTGAGGCGAAATCGGTACATGTAACCATATTCCAGGATGCGCGGTTCGCAAGAAAATTGGGAAAACGACTGCCGCTGCAATCCAAGCTCGTGTGCATTCCAACGACGCCAGGTAATTATTTGCCTAAGAAAAAAGGATAGATTTATTCGAGGATTCTCTGGGCATCGAGACAAAGGAGGGCACGTGCGGCTATGCCGGACGCATCCTGCTTTGATCGCCTCGCGGAGACTGAGCTGCTTTGCTGTACCCATATCGGGATCGGCTGCGATTGTGGTTAACCAGACGAGCGCCAGAAAGTTTCGAGTTCCACGCCCCGCGCCAGATCCGTTACTAACCAAAAAGTGCACCAATTGATGCACGCTGTCCGCTTCGGGATCCCTTTTCGGTTTGGACTCAGAAGAGAAACCATGAGGGCACTATTATCCCGAAGTTTGCTCAGTGGCAACAGCAATGAAGCCAATCATCATGCACGTTTCTAGACGAGCACCTGTCAAGGTGTCCTGGCAGGAAACATCAGTCCCGAAATGCTGCAAATTATTTGGTAGATTGGATTACACGACGCTTGAGCGCTTATCGCGAATCGGCGCTGCAATCTCTTCAAATCCCGCCCTAAGATCGACAGTCAAGGTTGAAGCGTGAATGTGAAAACCGTGATAAACACTCAGGTTTCCGTCCATGCCAGCAAGCTCTACACGCGAGGAGCATCCACATTTATCGCTAGCGATGACCATCTACACTCTGAGGGCAACATCCGAACGGTAGGCCGCTCTCAACGGTGAACTTTCAAAATCTTCCGTGCGAAGGGCCCCACACAAGAAGCAAAACGTAATTGTGCTCCATCTCGTACTCGGAAGCCACCGCTCGCACTCCCCTGCATGATCGAGCAACGAATAAACACCGCTCCGCGTAGACGCACCCGCCTGAGCGATGAGGAATCGCGTTGAACTACGCACATGAACAGTTGCCGCGCACGATTACGCTGATAACCCGCGTTGCCGTCGAGGCGCTGCGCGGCATCGAAATCGCAACTCCGGTCGCAGCGCTCTGTTTTCGCGCGCGTACAGAGGCGGGTGATTCTCGGACGTCGCAGGGGCGCGCTCTACCTGCCAATGTGCTCTGAGGGTAGTTTGCAGTGCCGCAAGACCAGCCAGCGCAGCTTCTTATTGGACTGCTGTCGCCAAGGTACGGTTGCGGAAGCATCCGCCCCTTGAAAAGGTGTCTTTATCGCTTTTCAGACACCGTAGCCAACGAGACGCAGCATCCGTAATCGTTACCTGTAGAGGTTACAGTGCCTCGCTCAGGAACGCCATGGATAATCGAACGGTTCGTGCCACTCAAAGCACACCTCTTGTGCGTCAGCGGGGTTGTTTGGCTGAAAAGCCGACACCTTCTCGCTCCTCCAAGGGACTTCGGTTACTGAGCGTTTCTTTCTGCCGGAAGCTTCGTTTGCTTGGTTTCGCGACGTACGCTAGGATCGCTGACGAGCTCGTGGAAGAATTTCTTGGTTCTGACGTTGTGCAAGGGCAAACATTAGAGCGAACTAGCGCTGCAAACCTGGAAGGCATACTCCATGAGGTGTCGCCCGCGCGCAAAGATAGGTTAGCGTGCGTAGTGGCCCACGAGGCCTCACCATTGCGGAATGGACGCACCATTGCAAGCCCCAGGTACGGCGAAGACGGTTACACTGATGAGCGAAATTGTGCTGAACGGACTCTTAGGCGCCGCATATATGATATATTCAACGTACTTCTTGCCACTGGAACTATAGAAAAAGGTGAAAATGGTAGCGTGCACTGGCGTGGGATTCCAGGCGAGCGCATCGACCCTCGGTACACCGAAATACGGCGTTTGCGACTCCGCGTCGAGGAACTGAGGGCCTCCATTCAAACAAAACAGGAAATCGCCAGAGATTTGGCAGAGCAGCAGGCTGCATTTATGAATCTCATCACACGAAACAGCCAAGAAAAGTCTTGCGAGACGCTCGACAAAGACATATGCCCTGATGGCCTTCCGTCGCACAAGAGATTTCCCGCCGGCAATGGTGCCTCAGCGTTTGGACAAGAGGAGACCACGAGTTTGGACCAAAATCACGAGGCACAGCACGAGCTCATGGAATCTGAATTACATGCTGGATATACACTATGGGACGAAAATTCCAATACGAGTGGCACGAAACGCGTAAGAGCCTTGCGCCTTTCTGAGAATCGCATGGTTCCAGAAGATGCATCCGTTTCAAAGGGGACGGACGGCATTCGGGTTCAGTACCCATTTGTGGTGCTTCGTACAGGCGTTAAGGCGAACATCGGGCTAGAGACGAACGAAACTCGCTCCTCATTGACACTAGGGATGAGCGAGCCATTCTCTGTGTTCAGTGATGGCGATTCCGTGACGCTCCTGAAATTGCATGAGAGAGGCCCATATTCAACCAACCAGATGCTTCGCATATCACGGGAATCAGCAGCGCGGAACATCTCCTTGCGCACTGCCTCCGTGTGAGCGTCATGCCTTTGCAAAACCTGGTAATGGGTATGACTTGCTTCGATTCTGATGTAAACAGTAAAACAAGAAACTTTTTTGAAAAGAGGCTGGGGGTTTTCGAAAATCTAGATTCGATTCCAAACGTTGTTCGCTTTGCCTGTAACTTAGCAAACAACTGGCCGCTAACGCGTCGATCTCGTCGACAAGTGTGCCTTCGATGCTGCCAAAATGTACTGGCACTCGCAGCCTCCGCGCCCAACGCTGTGAGCGAAGATCGTTTCCGTCGTTTCAGTCACTCCATTCCATTGGAAAAGGTCGCTTTCATAGTGACGAGGACCGTTGGAACTCCTCTCACGAGCCCGATCCTCCTGCTCACTGCAACAGCAAGCGGATATAAGACTAGAGTTTTTCTCTTCCACGACAGCGTAAAAGTTGCCAGACCCCGGGACGTTATCGCCGAATTAAAAAAGGCATCGATGCCACGCGAAGGTAATAGTGCTTCTGCTCTAGATCTGAGAGCACGACCGCTGCAATAAGGTCGCCCGGTTGCAAATGGTCGTAGACGCGCACCGAGTCCCAGTTATCCTCCTGAATATCCTGTTGACGGACAACACCTATAAATTCGCTTTTCGCTGGAACTGTCCCCACATGAAGAATCAGTGCAGTCGCCTGGCGTCTGTTGACCCTCAAAACAACAGCAATGACGCGTTTTCCTGGTCTCGGTATAAGTGCGCTAGCTTTTTGGTCACCCCTGGGGTTTTCGAGGTCACACTGCACTGTTGCTAGTCGTTGCGCAGCCTTTGCAGAAGTTGCGCACTGCTCGGAGCAGGTTAAGACTCCAGCGTAGAGCGAACGCAGCTCCAAGTCCCACTTGTAGAACACGCCAGAAGCATTATAAGCAAGTTCTTCGGCGTTTCCAGTCACCTCACCGGGGAGCACAAAGAACGCACTCCGATGTGACATGTAAGCGCTGCTATACTGAGTCTTGCAGAGCACTGTGAAGCCACGCGCTTTGCGCAAGGCGATACGAGTACCGAGATGCGATTGTATCGTTTCATGGTTCCGACAAGTTAACCTCTCCTGAGCGCTCATTCACGTTTGTTTTAGGCTAGGATCGAAGATAAATACTAGATGAATTCAAAAAATCCATAACTTATTGTTATGTATTTCTTCATTTTGTAGCACTTTTCAATCAAACCCAATGCCCACCGCTTTGGAAACAGAAGAGCGTACAGCAAATGTGATGTGGTTCACACCGTCGTTAGCTCGCCAGTAGCGTGCATATTTTCGGGAAATCTCGTTCATATTCAGGTAGTTTAAGGCATGAAGAAAGGGAATCGTTCCTTCAGGTCGATTCTGGGAGCTTAATCTCGCGGGCCGCTCCGAGAGACCTAATTTAAGATAAAAGCAGAGATTGCTATGAACAAGAGTACTAAGCCTTCGAGCGTGCGGGTGCCATTATTAGGCTTACCGAGCCAACTCCAAAGATTCGAGATCCAGCTAGGCGACAGGTGAGGGTCTCTGCGATAAATTCTCTTGATACTGTCGTTCCGCCTCAGCAACTGTGCCTGACCCAATATTTTTCTCCCAGGAGGTGCTTCCCCTGGAGGCGCTTTGTTTGTGCTCTTTCCGGAACAAAGACTCTATGAAAAATTCACCTGCTCTATACGAAGAACGGACAAGTGGGCCCGATGCTACGTAAAGAAAGCCGAGTTTCTCACCTTCGTGTTTCCATTCCTCGAATTCATCAGGATGAATCCATTCTTCAACTTTCATATTTTTTCGAGACGGTCGCAGATATTGTCCCAATGTAAGAATCTGGACCCCAGCATTTAAAAGATCCATCATACTCTGCTTGACTTCTGCTCGGGTCTCTCCGACGCCCAGCATGATGCTGGACTTGGTCACTATCTCCTTGCCACGCTGTGGATGCGCCTTGGCTTGTTCCAGAACATACAGGCTCTGCTTGTAACCGGCTCTCCGGTCACGAACAACATGTTGAAGTCGCTCAACAGTCTCAATGTTATGCGCGAAAACATCGACTCCGGACTCAACGACCGTGTGAACAGCCGACGTAGACCCGCCGAAATCCGGAGTAAGCGTCTCCACCAAAATAGAAGGCACTCTCTGTTTCAAAAGCTTCACGGTTGAGGCAATGTGCGCAGCGCCCCCGTCAGTAAGGTCGTCTCTATCGACGCTCGTGAGAACAACGTAGCGGAGACCCCATCGAGAAATAGTAGAGCTCACATTCTCCGGTTCGGCTGGGTCGAGTGGTGGCGGGCTTCGAGAAGTTTTAATGCTGCAAAATCGACAACCTCGGGTACAAGTGTCTCCCATAAGCATTATTGTCGCAGTTCCACCGCCCCAACACTCGCCAATGTTAGGACACCGGGCCTCCTCACATACGGTGTGCAAGTTCAAGTCACGCACTGCACGGTAGAGCCGCCTGTACTCAGCCACGGACTTGTGGTCACCAGCAGGACGCACCTGCAGCCATTCAGGCTTTTTCTGCACTGCGTATGCGTCGACGCGGTGAGGCTTGGAGCACTCGAGCTGGTCGCTTGCTTGAGCAGGCACATCGGTAGCTAACTCAAAAGCCGGGGTTTCAGACTGGAGCAGCGCTCGCAGCGCCTCGAGGCGAGGACGCTGCGGAGGCAGTCCTGAAAGTTTCCTGCTCAGAATGAACCATCTGGTTCCCACAGCCATGATTGATGACGCTATGCAATCAGCACAGCGCGTGCGGAACTACACAAGGTCTTCTAGTAGCAATGATAGCACGGGAAGCGCGTCCTCAATCGCTCCGATTGAAACAGCAATCACCGCCCGAGGCTACTAACCTACCGGTGAGCTTTGCGGCAGCACCGGTTCGCCATCGAGAACATTCTCCCGATTGCCGACATTATTCGCCAGTTCGCAGTTATGTAATTGGAACCAAAGGTCCTCCTATCAAAACAATCGGTGATGTTGTCTGCTCGGCGAGAGCGATGGAGCTCACCGGAGGCATCCTCCCGCCGTGCCGCAGCTCTCTACAACCAGGGCGGAGATTTCGGCTCCGCTTTGCATGTCCCCAGCTTCGAGTGCTTGCGGAGCAGCCACCCCGTGAAGTGAAAGCGTTTGATCGTTTCATCCATGCCCATGGTGTAGAGCCTGGCTCAATCGTTCTTTGCGAAACTGGAGGCACCGCTGCGGGTTCTGTTCGGAGCGATTGCTGCGTCTCGTCGCCTGCGCTGTGCTCTGCGGGAGAACCCGCGTTGCACGGCCCTTGCACAACTATTAAGGCTTCGTCGGTCCATTAAGAGGCGATAGGAGACGCACATCAGCCTAGAGGCGTCCTCGCTTGGGGGTACGGAAAAAATTGTATCCGAGACCGCTATTTCCCGCAATTCATGCTATCGAATTTCACAGAGCCCCAGATCGATGCATTGCACCGAATATTAAGCCCCAGAAACAGAACAAGTGTTCGACACCTGTACCGGTGGACGTCACGGACTCTCTTTCTTTGATTGTCAGCGAGCAATTTTCAACTTCGGTCATCGCCATCCTGCGAGGCTCTCGAGGTTGCGCAATGCGCCCGCGTGCAGTTCCAGCGCACACTTTACTGGCATAGCATTAAAATTTGATATGGAATTGCGCGCTCTGCTCCCGTCTTTCAATTTATTCCAAACACTCTTTACATACGCAACCTCAACACCACAAGTGCAGCAATAAGGGACCAAGATTCATATGCGCTTTAGGATTCTCGGTTGTCATTTCGTTGCGGATCCTTCGACTCCTTCCCGCCGGAACTCTTGATGTTAGCGGAATCGTGATGGTTCGTGAAGCCTTCAATCAAGGCTTCGTAAATTAATCGACGTCATGACCCAAATCATAACTAAACGCCTCCTCGCTTGGCCTTTCCTTACGTATAGCATGCTCACATCGCGCACACTCCAGGCTTTCTATGCCTCTGTTTCAAGGTCAATGGTGCGCGCAGCAATTTGCACCGCTGGGTTGACGACGGAAAATACCTGACGATGACTGCTGCAGACTTGTTTACGAGCTCGAGCCAAAAGTTCACTGATCGTCTCATGTCATATAATCGATTACTTCCGCAACACGACTCCTCCTCTTTTCGTTTCCATCAACGAAACGGCATCCGGCTGTGTCGAGATATCTCCAATGGGTATGCCCCCGGAAACTCTCGTATCCTCTGTTTGCATCGGGAAGAGCCGTGGAATCCAACTTCGGTCACTGCAGCGGTCGCTGCCAGTGGAGACAGCGCCACGCTTTGCACGAAGGGAGCGTAGATGGGTTCAAATTTCTCGACTGGCTCTCCAGCTTGGATCTTCCTTCCGATACGTGTTTCCTTGGAGACGATATAATGTACCAGAAATCCTCCATCGAACGGATAGGCGCCCTCTTCATAGTGCAGCGGACAGCGCCTTCGACGAGTTATCGCTCAGAAGACGCCCGTGATCTTTTTCGGACCGCACCGGGCGCGGAAACGGTGACGGGCACTGCGGAGGGCGTCCTTTGCTCTCCGAGGGCGCGTGCCGAGCGCTGGTGCGAGCGTTCACGTGACGCATGGCAGGCCTCGGAGAACAATTTGAGATGGAGCTATATGAACACGAGGCCACAGCGAATTGTCATCGATGCGCAAGGCGCAGCGTGGATAGGCACGAAGAAGATGAAAGAGCCAAGCGAAGCGTCGATCGCGAATAGCGCCGGTGCACGCGATGTGTTGACACCACCCGGAAGGAGCGGGATTGGGACGTGAGCGCGGCCACATGCATCCTTCGACTGCTGAAAGTGAGGCTGGCAGCATATGAGGGACCGGCGCTTCAAATGCTGGAGGTAAGATATAGGAGAATGATGCAGTCGCGGAAAAATCCCACAAAGGCTGGTGTTGATGCCAGTCGGAAGAGGCCAAAATTTTAGAGCGTGCGTCTGAGTTAGAGGGCCAGGTGTATGTCATTCTGACGTGGTGTAGACTGCTTCTTCTTTTCGAACTAGCGTAAACGTTTTCGCATCTGAGCGAGCGTGCCTACTGATCCCTGTTCGAAGGCGAACGGCACGCATCCAGAACGGTCTAGATGGACCACTCCACTTCATACGCGCATGCGGTAAAAGAACATATTCTAGGGCTTAGATCTACAATTTCAAGCAAACCAACCCTGAATGCGCGAGAGCCGTCTGCAATCAGGGAAGACGAAAGCGCAGGCCGCCTGCGTTGCAGACAGTGAGATTTGCTAGACTGGCTCATAGCCAGGTATTCGGTGATAGCGTCTACAGCAGCGCCGACTTCTCATATTGGGCCACGTAGGTGCTGTATGTGGGTACGATTCGAAAACTACCGATGTTTATTGTTTCTTTGGTGACAGCCTAGGCTACTATTGCTCAAAGTTCAGCCGCGGTTCTCATGAGAACTCTACGAGAGAGCATTCGTTCGCGGGGCACGGGGTCTCGGGCCGTAGCTCTTGAACGAGCACCTCAGCCTATCGCAACGCGATCATCTCAAACCTTCAGTTTCGTGGCTGACTTCGATCCTTTGTATGTCTCAATATAGAATTTGATGAAAAGCAGGAGATACGAAAAGAGAATTCCGATCCCCATGTAAGCCCCCGTGACGGTTCCGTAACAGGACCCCCAACCGTAGACCACATAGTAGCCGTATGCGTAGCCGCAGGCAGTCAAGTCGATCACGAACTGAGATATTTGCAGTTTGGTCAGATAACGTCGCCACCAGGGCTTGATTCCAAGCGCAGATACCGCATAGTAGTAGTACATGATGATGTGCACAAATAAATTCAGATCAATGACGACCCACTGAACAGCGGAGTGCTCCACTAGCTGAGACCAGCACAGCACCAGCGTCGCAGCATGATGGTACGAGTGCAGGAATATTATTTTGCGCTTTCTAATTGCGAGAAAAAGCGTATCAGCTAGCTCAATATACTTAAAGAAGTAGTTCATCCAGTACAGAAGCTGCACTCTACCGTCCTCGTGCATCTGCTTCGAGCATATCATATCGTGGAAGGAGAGCGACTGCCAACGAGACCACAGCAGTTTGGTAAGAGCCGCAAAAAGAGCAGCCGAGCCGAAACTCATCGTCATATTATAGACAAACAAAAGCTGTTTCAGCTTTGGAGCAGTCCTTTCTTTCATATATTGTTGTATTCCTCTCTGAAAAACATAGTATAGAACGCAAGTCAGGATCGGCACGTACCAAACGCTGAGCGCGCTCTCGCCATAGCGAAAACGAAAGTCGCGCGCTCCGTCAAGCGTGCCGCTCGCGAGTACGGAGCGCAACGCTCTAGCAACCGAATAGTATTCTTCTTGAACCATGTAGAAGAAAGTATTCGGCTGGAGCAAGGCCAAACTTGAACAGCGAAGCGCTTTCGCTCTTGAGGAAGCCGCACTCTGCGAATCTTGAACGATGTGGCGCTTCGACTGCATCGACCGCCGTCCGCGGGCGGTGGCGGGACATGTCTGCGCCGCACGTCCTTCACCGCATCATTCCAGGGGCATTTTTGTCTCGAATTGAATGCCGCTCAGTAGTAGCTGTCCCACGGAGCAGCGAATCTGTGGCACTACTCTGTAGGATTGTTGTGTGCTGGCATGATAACCCACCAAGAGTTGTTGGCTGTTTCATGAACTGCCAGGCATATGGCGTATACCTGACGCCCAAAGAGTTGGAAGGACAAAACTTGATCGTTCGTGAGCGCTGCCTCCAGTTGCCGTCAGCACGGAAAGCTGCACAAGGAGCGCGATTCCGAGTATGTCTGTGGGAGGTTCGGCTAGACGATAAAGTCGACAAGCCGTGGAGGCTTTTCGGACTTTATCGAGCTGAGCTGGGGAAAGGCAGCTGGTTGCTTGTTTGCAGTCGTCAGGCAGAGCGAATAGAGTCCTCGAATGCTCTTGATGGCAAGGCCGGACTCAACGCTGCCGCTGGGTATACCGTTCTAGATGGCTCCTTACAACTCTTGGTTCCACAAGATCCGGTCCTGTTACTGTTTTCTTCGATAGAGGACTTCTTTAGTGAGGATACGCCTCAGCCCTGGTCTCAATTTGTCGACGCGCTACAGCATTCGAGCTGGCTCTTCGAATATCTACACGAAGACGTCGTCGCGCGGCTGCTCCTCGACAATGGGGCGACGAATCAACGCGAGGATAGCGACGGCAAACGACTACCTAAATTGTACTATTTTTCGGAGAAGAAAGCGCTTGCATTTTTACTGAAAAAGTTTAGCTCCGTGTGTGCTGTTCTCGGTGGTTTGGGTGAAACGGAGAAGCTGCAGAATGCGCTACAGATTGTAACCCACATGGCCGGTAGCAACTGGGCCGAGCGCTTAGCAAGTATTGTCGGACGTGAAGTTTGAGCTACCGGACTCGAGCGCTCCTCGGCAGTAATGAAAAAGTCATTAGCGCTACGCGCACGACAAGCTTTTTCAACGATGAGATATTTTGAACTTCCATTGATCGCACGAGAACGAAAAACGTGAACAAGCTGGATGCGGTAGCCTGCCTTCAATGAAGGAGTTTTTGAGTTTTGCGGTCGAAGAGGTTACGCACGGAAGAGGAAACTTCAGCCACTAGATTTTATTTCGGTACCTAACGAACGCGGCGTTTTCACCCGCTGAAATCCTGGAGCGCTGCATATGGGCTCAAGCGCTTTTGCGCTCCGCGGGTAGCCGAAGCAATGTAGAAAGCAACGTAGATCTGTTCGTACGCTGAAAAAGAAGGCACTAGGTTCCGCCGATGGATACGCTCTCTAGTTAAGCAGCTTGGTAGCGGGCGATTCAATACTGACGGTCAGCAAGCTCATAAGGTTTCTGCTTGACGTCCAGATCCATAACAACATAGGCGGGGGCTTTGATCGAAACTCCATTTCCTGGCGGCATTCGAATACTCTGCACTATCGGATTACGGTGCGCCATTATCAATCGCCAATTGCCCATGAAAAGGGCTCCTGATGTATGTGTATAAGGCGCTCGAGCCATGCCGGATTGCTGACCCGTACCACACTAGTGCCTTCGTCGAGTCGAGAATCGAATGCTCTCTCTTGGCCATACACTTTCCCATCGCTAGTCTACAACGTCCCTGCTCAGTGTCCGCACCGAGCACTAGAAGATTCCATCGGCAGTTCGCTCAACATAAAGCTACTGGACGCTCCAGAAGCACGAAACATTTTCGGATCGTGATCGAGTCGTTGATGTCTCTGCGCAAAACGCGCTTGAGCGCATTGCTGCTGGTGGAACTACAGCAGCGAATGCCTCCGACCTTTTATTTGCTCTTCGTCTTACATTTGTTCGACCTACCATGCGACATATAATGGAACCATCTCTGATTCACGCTGTGCAATTCTATCTGTGTCATCGAGCACACATGCTCAGGATCCGTGTAGCTCGTCCTGAACCTGTCGACGAGAAGCGTACAAAATCGATTTAGGCACTCGCTCTACGCTCCCTCTGAAGTAGCAGGAGTGCAGTCCAAGCGCGGTACTGCATATCTAGCGGTATAGGCTTGTACGAGTCGACGCGACTTATCGATCATTTCCTTCTCCAGCTGACTGCACTGGGAGACGAATATACCGTTCTGGCCTCGGTACATCTGAACGCGTAGGCGTCACCAGCTTGGTCTCATTTTTTTCCTGTCAAGACGCACCCGCATGGTATATTGACCGCTCATCCACGCTCGGAATGAACTGCGCTAAGCACCCTCTTCTCCTCCATACAATGCTCAGAGCGTCGAGATCATTCCCGACGCCATCATTTAACCCACCGCTCTCCATTCTGGAGTGAATGATTCCCGAATGTCGATCGTACCGAGCCCTGGGAAATGAAGTAGCGTCATCTGCATTCCGGTACGGTCTTTGGTCCCGTCCTCTTTATTTTGAGGCACGGCGACGGCCATGACGCCCTTCAACTCGGAATCCACGCTCACCTTGGAGTGTTTCTCTTCGTCTGCCTTGAACGGTTGCAGCTGAGTCTCATTACTCGACTCAGACCTCGGTTCCATGAAGTGAATGCAGACTACGTTTTCGTCGGTCTTCTCTGTGCCTGTAATTCGCTTTCCATCTCCTCGGTGCAACGGAGAAACCATGAAGGAGCTCCGCCGCTGCTCTTCGAGTAGTTGAATGGATGCTTCATAATTGCTCTCAGGGACCAACTCTTTCTTAGCGTTCCAATTTATTTTGCGGTGTGGCATGGTTTTGGTCGCTTCGCCCAGTATCTGTTTGTTTTGCTCTGGGATTCAGAAGAACTGAGCAGACAGTGGGATCGAAACTCGCCTTTTCCATATTTACATCTCCAAGTCTTGACGTAAGATTTCGACACTTTTTGCATCGCGAGCGGGCCTAACTACCAGAGCGCACCTTTCGCTCAGTCCCGCTCAGGAGCAGAGAAGCAACCCGGAAGCTCATGGCTGGTTTAGGCAGAGACTAACCTCTCGAAGAACGATTCGTCGAAGCGAACTGTCACGGATGAGTTAGACTTGTGCATTCAATCATGGGCGATGTATTAGCACGCGACAACTAAGAAGGCACCAACGGCCAGACTGAAAATAGAAAAATAGGCTGGCACAAGGAGCAGCTTAACACCAATAGTGGCTGCTTACTTCTTGGCCGGTGGTAAGTTATAGACAGGGATATTACCTAAGAATGTGGGAGAACAATCTGGAATGGAGAACCCATGACATGTGCTTCGAAAAAGGAGGATGAGTTGGTCGATCATAACAATTACGAGCTTTTTTTTTCGCGACTACACAACTGAATCGCCATTTCGACTGATGATGTCACCTTAATCGATTGTCTCTTCATAATTAAAGGCGGGTTGCCCTCAGGATTACCAATTCACATTTCTACTGACTCTCCCGAACAAAGTATTCGTCAATGAGTCGAGCAACAGAGTCTGCTGCAATAAACATTATCGTTTCAGAATGACACCAGTACAAAGATATTAAACGCGAGAAGATGTTCCTGAAAAGCGATCCTGTCTCTTTACGCATCCGTATCTCTTAATCATCCTTAGTACCAGTAGTGTTCAAATTTCATATCCTTTGGCTACTCTACCAATATTCTTAGAGAACATGTAGAATGGACTAGATTGATCTGTAGGAGGCCATATATAAGGAGCTTGCTGAGCTCTATCTTGGGTGCACATCTTATAGGATAAGGACTGCGAATAACATGTTTTGTGCACATGCTGAACACAGAGTGACTAGCTTGTATAAGTGAGGTCGTCCACTAGTAGCCTGCGTGGTGGTACAAATTCTTCGAGCGAGCGCCCTCCAATCTAGAGAGTACATTCTTTTCATCGGTTGCCTCCGAGGAAAAACAATAATAAAGAACGTTTACTGGTATGCATGTTCTAAAAAACTGCTCTGAGCAAAACATCGGTACACGTGTGTTGGAATGAAGTGGAACTGACGAACTCACCTATGTCAGGCGCACCCTCTAAAGTTTGAGTCTCTTTCCAATGCCATCAACACCTGCCTGGCGAGCTCTCTCTGCTAATGCTTCCTTTTCGCCTCTCTTGGTTTGGGCGTGAAATACGCAGGTCTCTCTATTTCCTCCAGCTCCTTCTAAACAGCGGAGGAAAATTGATTGCAGCGCTATTGCCTCGATTTCGCTACTTCCAGCTTAAGTGAACGCTTTTCATGTTCATGCGGAGACCGCGATCAGTGCCTCACTTGCCGTTGTCACATTCTTTGCACTGAGCCCACGAGCGCCATTTGCAGCGATCACGCTTGACGGTGCGCAGGTGCTCCGATCTCTCCTCCACACGTCAGCTTCCGAGCGCCGCCCTGTCGCATATGAGCTCTTGATTCAGCGCTCAGTCAATGCCCATCACGGGAGCAGCATGGTCACCTCGATATCGAGCGCCGTTTTCGCGCCGACTGCAGTACCCAAGACTTACGAGCCTGTTCAAGGAGGTGCCATCGGCGAGTTCTCTGTCCGCGGCATGGCAGGTCCGCCCGTCCCGTTTGATACGGGATTCGTGGAAAGCGATGTTGTCTATGGTGAAAAAGAACCGGGAGGAATAGTCAGACAGGAGATCAATTCGAGCAAGGACGATTCGTCTTCGCTCTCTTCCTGCGAATCCGTGATGCGCGTTCTTGAAGAAGCGATCGCTGCAATGACCATCGTCCGAGTCCAAGACCCTTTGGCATGGAACCAGAATACACAAGAGCCCTGGGGTGCAGTTCCATTGAGCCACGTCATGCTGCTGCCGAGTGCCGCTTCGAGGATGTCCACAAAGAGAGGGAGATTTTCCTTTCGAACGGAATCGACTCTTCGGCGTGAGTAGTTCAGTGCACTTCCGGCCTCAGCTATTGAACAAGTCGTCAAGGGTCGACATCGATTTCTTGCCCCCGTCAGTCTTGCGGCACCGATTGCTGCACCTGCGAGATATTCCGAGACAGAAACACCGAAAACTTGAGGAAAGCGTGATTTGAGCTTGCCGTTTGCAAGGAAAACGGAAGAATGGATTCCTGTGCCTGAGAAGTAGGTAATGCTGTGGAGAAGTGTACGAACTTCTCCTCGTGTGTGTCATGGAGCAACTTGATACCGGTGACGTAATGAACTCCGGCGGCAACGTATCGAAGAGACAGTTCCGAAAAAGGGTGACAGCGAATCCAAAAGTTACATAAGAATCCGTAATCGCTTGATGGTGCAATTTGGATACCGAGGCAGTACACCGAGAAAGAAAGTTCGGAGGGAATCGAAAGGCTGGACCAGGATGCGAAATACATCGTTCCACCTTAATCCGATGTGGGAGCACCACGCAGAGTTTCTTCCTTTTTGCCCATGTATATCCCAACACGACCAGTCGTTATCAGAGGTAAACAAGCACAGTATTCGCCTCCATGACGCGCTGCGAGGCCGCCGACAATCCATGCAGGTTGCGTGCATGCGGGCCCTCGTCTTCGCCGATCGGACCCGTTTCTCAAACGCCATCTGACATGTATGCTTGAATATATTCATGAGGTGCACAAGCTGACAAAAGAGCTGCTGTGTTAGACATATGTGTGAAATGATGCAACATTTATCTGCACACTTCCCAGTTTCGAGGCTAGTCAGCGTAGCGCGCAAACTGGTTCGACGAGTCTGTCCAACGTGCTTGAGCTGGTGCATGATCAACAAGGTGTCCAGCAACTGACAACGTATTAGAGGCCTATAATCGACCTTTATCCTGCTAAAAGTATTGGAAAGTCATTTGTGTTCGTGATCTTTGTTGCGTGGAATCCAAACAACCCATAGTTCTGCCGTTCTCGCGACTGCATCAGAAACGGGAGCCTCGACTCTAAGGAGTGCGGGCATTTGCGATCTTGACAAAGTGACTGCTCGCGAACATGGAGCGATTCTCGCTCTGTCAAAACGCATTCTGGCAAAATTCGCTGATAACTGGGGTATTGCACACAAATCGGTCGGTAAGCGTACATAGATTCTGCAGCGGATGACGGCCACTTCGGTCATCCTGGTCTCGCGTTTACGTGTTCCCCAGGAGACTTCTACGGATTGCTTCAATTAGCAGCAGCTCCTCATAAGTAATGTCAGTTTCCTCGGCCCAGTCCAAGAGCCCTCTGGCCTCCATATCATGCAGAAGAGCAAGTTCCTCTTGTTCCCAGGCAAAGTAGAGGTCTCGGCTGGATCCAGTCCATCGACGCAAAAACGCACTGGCGGGAAGCTCGCACGTATCGCTCTGTTCATTTCTGCGATTCCTTCCTGTTGCACCGGATTCGGAGGTATTGTGGCACATCAAATTCACAGTCAAAAGAAGTTCCGCGCTCGAGGAGACGCTCACGCAACGTGCTGATCTTCGACGTTTGTAGTTCCATCTTTCTGGATCAGTGCTGATCGCGACTTGCCCAGGTGAAGCATCCGGAGCGAAACGCCTCATCTGCTGCGTAAGCACGTCGGAATCTTGGGCACGAGACGAATCAGGTACCGTATTAAGAGAAGAGGAAGCGTAGACCCCTGGAGAAGACAGCGAAGGTCGTCGCGAACTCGTGTACTGGTTCGGTACCGTTTCCAGGGGAAGAATTTGCAGTTCAGAATGGTTGCATGTAGCTGGTTGGGTCTCGCTATTAGGTTCACCTCGCGGCTGTTCAGATTTGAACGTTCCAGTCCGATTGTGCAGGGGGTCCTTTCCTCGCCATCCGTGAGCTTGCGCAAGTGCTAGATGGCGCTCATAGGAGTGTTCTATATGATCCGAAATACCCGTCCGACTCGTTATAACCGGGCTGGATTTTGTTCGACGCAAAGATGTACATATTTTTTTCCGCGCAGTCGATATGTTCATAAAGTCTTGCAAGTCTTCCGGTGGTTCTGGAAGAGACGCTCTCCAATCTGCGTCTGATTGCGGACGGCTCGCTTCATGCAAAGAATCGCCACCGAAATTGAGCCATTGTGCGAATCGTTCATGGACTGCGGCAGCCACAACGGCCCGCAGCGTTGATATACAGTGCTCTACTCGCATTCTCCTGAGCTCCAGCCTCCGTTCCGCTGCTTCGGCTTCCTGGCGAGCCCGTGCCTGTTCCATTGCTTCTCTTACGCGACTCTCTTCTTCGTAAAGCTGATCCATTTCCTTCTCCGATCGTGCACCATGGAAAACGATCTCCATCAGCTCGTGCTTGCAGAACGGACACGACGACGTTGTCGTGTGGGCAACGACTCGCTGTGGGCGAAGCTGAAGGAAACATTCCGTACATATTCCCCTGTGGCAGCAGAGTGTTGTGTTCAAGCACGGGTAGTACAAGAAGCATATCGGGCACTCTTCCAGCGCACTAACCATTTCGTGTTGAATATATTCAGGACATAGACCCTTACCCTCCATATTGATGCGCTTGACTCCGTCTTCTACGACCACTCGAACAGGGAACTCTGCACCCGGGAAACGTGGTGCTAAGCGATTGTGCAAGATCAGCCGCCGGACCTTCCGCTCGTCCCATAGCTCCCGAGAGTAAAGGCCCGTAGGCGAGGTGAACTTGCCAACAAGACGCCGCTCAATCTTTGTGCCGTCTGCAAATCTGGGTGTAGAGGAGCCGGCCCCGCATTCTTGTCCAGGCGAGTGGCCCAACGAACTACGTGTCTCGAGTCCGAGGCAAGCCGCGAACAGCGAACCACAAACAGTAGCCTGGGACTCGTGGCTGCCAGCAAGAATACCGGCGGCTGTTCTCCTGCGTTGCCTGGCAGAGCTCCCGACGTTTCCCATCCAGCAGTTGGAGAAGGTGCCCAGTCTCTTGTGCGACAGCGTCGTAGGTTGGCAGGTTTTGGCGGTTCGAGATCGTCGTGCTGGCGGCTGCCACGAATCCACCTGAACAATCTGTACAAGTAGGGATAAATATGATTCATCTTAGTGACCCACGATCCGCCACCAGAAACCGCGCTTCTACTGTTATCGCGTTCCCAGGCATTGCGTTTTAGGCCTGGTGTTCACAAATCTGGCGCTTCTTTCACGAGCGCAGTGACTTGAGAATGCCTAGAGTAGGATCCAAAAAGCTTCCTAAGAGATTATCCAACGTAGTCCATTTCGTATGCCACAGCACCAGTGATTCGACCCCGAACTGCTTTTCCACTTTTATGGGGAGACTCGGCGTTGTTTGCAGGAATTTATTCAAATAATGGACCATCGCACGCAGGGGCATTTCTCAACTTCAGGTTCAGCCGCGAAGAGTCAAGCGGCTTGTCTTCGAACCTCGACAATTGCAGAGAACGGGCAGCGAGCATGTAAATCTCTCCAAAACAACAGAATCCTTCCCAGCCGCGTCTCGGGCACTGGGTCGTGGACAAGCCCCGTTCGACTTTGAGGGTTTGTTCCAAAATACTGAGCGCGCTTCGCTGTACGTCGCGGAATCAACAGAGAATATCGTATTTAACCAACATAGCAGCGCACTTTCGATGGAAGAGGGCCCCTCTGTTGTCATCTATCGGATTCCATCCGCTAAGCGGGCCACATCGTCATGCAGCTTCGTTGCGCCGGCTCACCCCGATGCGATATTCTTGTACAGTACACTCATGTAAAAATACAATGGAACAGGTCCACTAAAGCTGGCATACACTCTAAAATTTTGGCCTCTTCCAACTGGCATCAACACCAGCCTTTGTGGGATTTTTCCGCGACTGCATCATTCTCCTATATCTTACCTCCAGCATTTGAAGCGCCGGTCCCTCATATGCTGCCAGCCTCACTTTCAGCAGTCGAAGGATGCATGTGGCCGCGCTCACGTCCCAATCCCGCTCCTTCCGGGTGGTGTCAACACATCGCGTGCACCGGCGCTATTCGCGATCGACGCATCGCTTGGCTCTTTCATCTTCTTCGTGCCTATCCACGCTGCGCCTTGCGCATCGATGACAATTCGCTGTGGCCTCGTGTTCATATAGCTCCATCTCAAATTGTCCTCCGAGGCCTGCCATGCGTCACGTGAACGCTCGCACCAGCGCTCGGCACGCGCCCTCGGAGAGCAAAGGACGCCCTCCGCAGTGCCCGTCACCGTTTCCGCGCCCGGTGCGGTCCGAAAAAGATCACGGGCGTCTTCTGAGCGATACCTCGTCGAAGGCGCTGTCCGCTGCACTATGAAGAGGGCGCCTATCCGTTCGATGGAGGATTTCTGGTACATTATATCGTCTCCAAGGAAACACGTATCGGAAGGAAGATCCAAGCTGGAGAGCCAGTCGAGAAATTTGAACCCATCTACGCTCCCTTCGTGCAAAGCGTGGCGCTGTCTCCACTGGCAGCGACCGCTGCAGTGACCGAAGTTGGATTCCACGGCTCTTCCCGATGCAAACAGAGGATACGAGAGTTTCCGGGGGCATACCCATTGGAGATATCTCGACACAGCCGGATGCCGTTTCGTTGATGGAAACGAAAAGAGGAGGAGTCGTGTTGCGGAAGTAATCGATTATATGACATGAGACGATCAGTGAACTTTTGGCTCGAGCTCGTAAACAAGTCTGCAGCAGTCATCGTCAGGTATTTTCCGTCGTCAACCCAGCGGTGCGAATTGCTGCGCGCACCATTGACCTTGAAACAGAGGCATAGAAAGCCTGGAGTGTGCGCGATGTGAGCATGCTATACGTAAGGAAAGGCCAAGCGAGGAGGCGTTTAGTTATGATTTGGGTCATGACGTCGATTAATTTACGAAGCCTTGATTGAAGGCTTCACGAACCATCACGATTCCGCTAACATCAAGAGTTCCGGCGGGAAGGAGTCGAAGGATCCGCAACGAAATGACAACCGAGAATCCTAAAGCGCATATGAATCTTGGTCCCTTATTGCTGCACTTGTGGTGTTGAGGTTGCGTATGTAAAGAGTGTTTGGAATAAATTGAAAGACGGGAGCAGAGCGCGCAATTCCATACTACATTTTAATTTACATGGGTTTCGCAGATATCCTGCAGGGGTGCCCTATGAGTGTTGTTTACGGAGGTACTCCTGGATGCGGAAAGAAATATGGGCTCAGGGAAGGAAGCTCAACGCAATGAGGTGCAGGGACCTGTTTTTTGGAGCGAGGTTGACCTCGGCGAGGAGCCGATTCCTGTCCCGGAACAAGCGTTGGATCCTGAGTGCTCGCGGAGTTCGGGCTTCACGGTGGTGAACGCCACAGACTTTTTCCGAAATGACGCCTGCTCAAACGTTGAAACTGAGGAAGTGGGGTGGATCAGTGCGTCTAGACGGCTGCGCTCTCGCTCAGGTTCCGTTTGGAGGCGCCTGCGCAATCGCCTATGGCAAAGCGAGGACGGCGAGTTGCAGTTCAGGGGAGGCGAGCCTGCCGAGCCCCTTGCGGAGCGGACAGCGACTCCCGGTAGTGCAAAGCAGTCGCAGAACAGTGCACATCACTCACGCTGGCATGTTTTGAGGACCTTCAAGTCTTCCGGAGAGCTACTGGACTGGGAAGAGTACCAGGGAAAACTAGCACAAGAATGGGAACAAGATATCATCCCCAACTGGGAAAAGCGATTGAAATCGAAACGCATTCGGAGCCTGATCTTTGAAGGAATACCTTCGAACGTCCGCGGACAAGCCTGGCCTCGGTTGATTGGAAATGCTATGCAAATCGCTCCGGGTCTGTTCGATGTCCTTTGCGAACAAGCGAAAAGGACTCGACGTGCGTTGCATCACCAGGACGCTACAATCGGCCAAGCAGATGGGGATTTGGGCGGCGCTGGTGGTGAGGCAGAGACATTACTTACACACCAAAAGGAGCGAATGGACGGAGGCATTTGTCCAGCTGCCCAGAAAGCGATCGTTCTCGATCTGCCTCGCACTTTCCCACAGCTGGGGTTTTTCCACGCGGAAGGCTCGCCGTTTCAGAGCGAGCTTCGGCGCCTTTTAGAGGCATACGCCCATTTTCGTCCAGAATTCGGGTATTCGCAGGGCATGTCCTACCTGGCTGCTGCGCTATTGCTGTATCTAGATGCTCCGACTGCGTTTTGTTGCTTTGCGAACATTCTCTCCAAGTCCCGCTGCCTGTCCTCATTTTACAAAATGCAGAATCCCGAAGTGCAGGCTTATCTTTTGCTGCAACAGAGACTAGTTTTTTCGGAGAATCCCGTACTGGCAGCTCACTTTGATGCCATAGGAATTGAGTCCGACATGTATATCATCAGCTGGATCATGTCCCTCTACTGTCGAGTGCTTCCCTTGGATGATGCTCTTCGCATATGGGATGCGTTTTTTCTTCTCGGTGATGCTTTTCTGTTCAAGGCCGCCCTTGCTATCCTTAGAGTGCTGCAGGATTGTCTTTTGCGCGGCAATTTTGAGGACTGTGCGTACACTCTGTCGCATCTTCCAGAAACTGTAACTGCTACTTCCATATTTGCAGAAGTGCGTCAGGTGCGGTTCTCTCGCAAGCGTTTCGCTGAAATATTCGAGGAATGTCTCGTCGTTGCTGCGCAGAATAGCGCGAAGACTCCTTCAAAGCAGCGCACCCCCAGCCGCATCCGGCATCAGAACGACCCTGATGACGGCGCCGGGGAGTGCGCTACCCCACGCCTACCTGACGCAGCACCCCGATGAGCGCCTCACGTATGGGGCGCGTCTCGTAGCCGCCTCGCACGAGCACTTGGTATCGAAGGGGAGTATGGCGAATTCGGGAGCGGCTCTGCATGAGGCCAGCCTGGCTCTGTGACCTCGTCTTTGTCAGGCGAGACATATTTTTCATGACCTCGACCTCTAGACCCACGTCAGAATGACATACAACTGGCCCTCTAACTCAGATGCACGCTCTAAAATTTTGGCCTCTTCCAACTGGCATCAACACCAGCCTTTGTGGGATTTTTCCGCGACTGCATCATTCTCCTATATCTTACCTCCAGCATTTGAAGCGCCGGTCCCTCATATGGTGCCAGCCTCACTTTCAGCAGTCGAAGGATGCATGTGGCCGCGCTCACGTCCCAATCCCGCTCCTTCCGGGTGTTGTCAACGCATCGCGTGCACCGGCGCTATTCGCGATCCACGCTTCGCTTGGCTCTTTCATCTTCTTCGTGCCTATCCACGCTGCGCCTTGCGCATCGATGACAATTCGCTGTGGCCTCGTGTTCATATAGCTCCATCTCAAATTGTCCTCCGAGGCCTGCCATGCGTCACGTGAACGCTCGCACCAGCGCTCGGCACGCGCCCTCGGAGAGCAAAGGACGCCCTCCGCAGTGCCCGTCACCGTTTCCGCGCCCGGTGCGGTCCAAAAAAGATCACGGGCGTCTTCTGAGCGATACCTCGTCGAAGGCGCTGTTCGCTGCACTATGAAGAGGGCGCCTATCCGTTCGATGGAGGATTTCTGGTACATTATATCGTCTCCAAGGAAACACGTATCGGAAGGAAGATCCAAGCTGGAGAGCGATTCGGGAACGTTACTATCCACCCACGGACGCTTCCCAGCCTTTTTGGACAGGACTGTGCTCCGGGCTTCAGCTTCTCCCTGCACACTTCGAGCGTAAGAGGCTCCTAACAAAGTCGGATCACGTCAACTGCTCGGGTCTCGTCTTCAGAACAGCATATCGTCGGATACTGATGGCAGCGTTGGAATCTCGTTTCACGAAGTCCATGCCTGCTGTGCCGCTGATTGTACTCACCACTGCAAGGAGTCCTCGAAGTCGTGCCCTCCGTTCAACCGAAGTCTTGTCATCATCCCGTCGTCCAGGCACGATTTCTCGCCTATATCCCCTCATCACCATCTTCTTCTTCATTCGCTTGTCTTTGCTCGAGTAACATCGAGGAGAGGATTTTTTCATTGTTTGCCGGCAGCCGGTGATGACAAATCTCTAGGATTCCTGATTTCCGTGTGCATACCTCTTCCATGGTTTTATATTCTTTTTAGATGAACGCACTTTGAATGCATCTGGTACAAATCGCTAAAAAGCATTTGATGACACACGGCTGGGGATGGAACGCAATTGAGGTGAAAGACTAAAACAAGGTGCATGCGCTCGTACCGAATGCGTGCATCCACCTATGAGTCATATAGCTTAGACGATTCGAGACAGAAACGCACGCGGAGAACCCACCTACCATCTGGCATACAATTGATAGTTGCATACGTCTTGACGGGGACTGTACCTGCGCTCTTTTACTGTACCAGATTGAGTTCCTGGACAGCAAATGCGAAGCAGACGAATATAGCTAGCGCTACGCGAAAACATCTGTCAACCTTTACGTCGAATCTGCGAGAGGCTTGACAACATCGGTATTCAGCTCTTAGAATGAAAATGGAAAGCGCGCAGATTTTTTATACTGGCGGAAAGCAACAGATCTGCAACCGCACACATAACTAATCCTGTGATTGCACATCCAAAAAAAGGACGACCACTTATATCGGGCACGAGCCATCGCACTAGACATGCAGTGAATTCAGCGCAAGATATGATGCCTCGCGACCATCTGAGCACAGCAGTAAAGGATCGAAGTGAACGGAGTATGTCACAGCGACACACTCTGGAACAGATCTATCCCTTACGCCATAGAGAAAACACTTGCCCAAGGTTAATGGCACACATTAAAGTTTGAGGAAGGGCATTGGCCTAGTTCAGGGTTGCGGCAGCAATCGCACATCCGGGGTGACTCTGGTTCAAAGCACCGATCTTGCACCATCAAAGGAGCTGGAGCATATAAATGAATCTTTGACGGTCCTTTTCCGGGCCCATGATCCCGCAAGAAGCCGCTATGAACAGTACGTAGTACGCTCGCGAAGCCAAGAAAAGTATTCATGAAGATGCTGGAGAGTTCTCAGCGATATTCAAGGGGATGCGAATGCTTGGCACGCCTAATACTGTTGGTCGTCTCTTCTTTTGTCGACTAGGAACGCCTCTGCGGTTATCCCTTGAGAGTCCGTCTCCAGCAAGGCCTACCGCATTCGGATGACGAACTCCGTGAGCTCTGCCAACAGGAGAGGTTGCCGAAGAGCGCGAAAAGATTCGATCGTTGTCCAGGATCTTCCGGGTTCGCGGATGCGAAGCTGCGGAACCTCGTGCGCTTGCATCAGCTCCATCTCGCAAACGCGATCCTTTGCGCATAAGTGTTTCCCAGCCGCGGGCAACGTTTCCATGTATCCAAGTATCCTCCAAGTAGGAGGTTTCCATATCATAAATCTGACGCTCAATTCGCGCAAGCTTCTCCTCTAGCTCCCGTTTGCCCTTCTCGAGCATATGTAGCTCGCTCAGTGGTGCTCCTTGCTCACCCTTGCTCGAGGACCGCACGCTCGAGTTGCGAAAACGCTTTCTCTTGATTGGAGGAGCCTCTCGTTGCTCGTGAGCTCCGAATGCAGACTGAGCTGGCGTTTGCGGGCTCACCGCTGAAGGTGTGTCATCCTTTGTTTGCGAGTCGAGCGGTGCAGGCTGCAGCTCCCCGGTGACGCGCATTTAAGACCCAGTGCACGAGCTTCGAAGGCAGCGAAGCAAACTGAGGGAACGCAAAGCACCCCCGGAAACTAGACCGCGCAAGTTCAAGTTGGTTACTGCGGGTGCTCCACGCCAAATAGGTTTCCACCTGGAAACAGCGGTTGAGTTGCGTAAATGTATTCTGGAAATTGAGCGCGCCACGATAGAGGCGCAATATTAAAATGTAACACCAAACTGCTTGCACTGTTCCTGCCTTGAGATTTTTCCGAAATACTTTTACGTTTACAGCTTCGGCATACTACGCATGTCAGTGACACAGAAAAATGTTCCAACCTCACCTAGGATAAATAAATATCCACGCGCGGACGCCTCCCATACTTTTGTGACTGATCCTATGCTATCGTTTTCAGTTTCTCCTTGCACACTTCGAGCTTTAGAGGATGCCTCACAGAGTTCGATCGGTTCAGCTCCGCGGGTCTCTTCTTCAGAACCGCGCAACGTTTGATACTAATAACAGTGTTGAAGTATCAATCCACGAACTGCTTGCATTTATCGCGGCTGGTGGAACTCATCATCGCAAGGATTGCTGGAACTCGCGCCCTCTGTGCCATTAGTCTCGTCATCGTCCCGTCGGGCGAACACTTTTTCTCGTCTGGCTCACCTTTGTTTCTTCTTTTTTCCTTCGTCACTTGCTCTTATTTCCTCGATGGCTGGCGGGAAGAGGAATTTTTGCCATTTTCTTGTCGAAACTGACAAAGAAGGCACTCCAGGATCCCCGACTTCTATATCAATTCCGTTCACTTGGGTTTTTATTTCTTCAAAAGAATGCAGTTTGAACGCGTCTGCTCTAAACAGCGAAAAAGCATTTGATGACACGCACCTGGGGGTAGAGTGCAAATGGCGTAACTAAAAGCCCTTGTCTCCGCGAGCGCGTTTCTATGCAGAGCAAAGATTTGCTGCTTCAGTGGTGACTGGGATCAGCGGGCATCTGTTTTGAACTGCAGCGGAAGTTCTTGACGTATCTCTAGAGACTATTGCCGTGGCCGGTGTGAAAGCAAGCTGTTATCCTGCTACGCACCCACGCCGAGACCGTTTGAACGGGAACAAAGGTTGACAGTTAAGGACAGCTGCATCGCAACAGAAGCTGAGATCCTTAGAGTGACTCGCGCAGCCTGGATAAAAGGCCTGTGCAGTAAACAAGTTTGAACTGTAAAACTGTGGTCTGCGTTGTAGCTTTAAGCACGTGAAGCACGAGTCAGCGCTGCCCCGGAGGACAGCGTTCGACGGAGCTGAACTCGAATGCTTGGTTTTCGCCTGGGTTCGCTCCGACTCTTCCTTGGATTGATTTTACTCCTCCAGCTTTATGGATTTTTGGGAAATATTTTCGAGAAACACCTCGCGCTTGCGCATGATCAGCAAAAGACTGCAGCAGAGCATCGCTTCACGGAGAATGCGTCTCGAAGCTCCGCCGCATCGCTGCCAGCGCAAGTTCGAGACAGTTTCTTCACCGTTCTGCAGATAAGCGATATTCACCTCGATTACCAGAACGTGGACGCGCTGGATAATTTCAAGACAATTGTGTTTGATGCGATACCGTTCGTAGCGCCGGATGTTGTTATCGTTACCGGTGATATCACGAATGCGAAGCGGCGGAGAGGCCTTGGCCACTTCTCCGAGCAGCGCGTAGACGAATGGTCGCAGTACTCCGAAATCGTCCAAAGAGCTCGGGTGGAAGGGATCATTCCAGCGGAAACCGCTTGGATTGATCTACCGGGAAACCACGACATGTTTGGTGTGCCATCGCGACTCGCGGGAACAAACCGCTACTACGGCCAACATTGCCAGTTGTACCATTCACTAGCGAATGTCTCGTGCCTTCAGCCGCGATTCAGTTGGTTTAGCTTCCATAACGGCAGCTACGCTGTTATGCGGGTAGATGCAGTGCCAGAACCAAGCCTGCACCGACCTCTAAACTTTTTCGGGGATCTTTCTCGTCTACGTGGAGATCAACGAGAAGATCTGGAGTTGGGCGCGTTGAATCAAGGTATTGATTCCGCTTTTGTGTTCGTTGCTGCTCACTATCCATCATCATTTATTAACACTGAGTTAGACCTGCATTCAACGCTGGGGAAGGCAGCAAAAAACCGGCCGCTCGTGTACCTGTCAGGGCACCTGCATACGCTCATGGGCCTCTGTCCGCGACTCTATTCTGTTGTTCCAAGAAAACGTCTCCTTGATCTGGAGCTTGCCGACTTGCGATACGAGCGCCGTTTCCGAGTTATCATCGCGAGCTCCACCATGGGAGCCCTGGGGTTCCGGGATTTCTCCTTACGAACTGGCACAAAGCCTGAGCGAAACGAGGTACCACCGTGGCTCCTAGTGTGGATGCGGGCTCCAGTGTTCTTTGCGGATTCAGAGATTAGCAGAAAACCTCACGACTATGCTAATTCCGAGCTTTATTTTGTGATTTGGTTCCGGTCTAGAGCGTGTTCTTCTCCGGATTTTGAGGTCACAGTGGATGGAGTTCCTGTCGGAAGAGCAAGTCGGTATTGCCCGCCGTCTCGACGTTTTTGCCTGTACACTATAGGAAAGAATCTGATGCGTGAGGTAGCCGGCAGAGACGTACGAGTTAGCCTGCAGCGAATCAATAACAGTCCTGATGAACTGCTTTGTGGACCGGACACAGTGACGGAGATCCTTTCGTTTCTAGACGATGCCCAGAGCATAGTGAACGTCCCCCAAGAGGGCCGTGCCTCGAATCTGTGCCGCTTGATTCTTTTCCTCAATATGCCTCACTTTTTTCGAGTAATGACGTTGTTGATCGGCTGTGCAGCGCTTGTGGTTTTATCCGCGGCCCTCGTTCTCATGAGAAAGTGCGGACTGCACCCAGAGCCAAGCTATGGTGCTGTGCATCAGCATCCTTCCCAGGTGCGTCACGGTGAGACCCTCCGGCGGATGAAGCTTTGCGCAAAACAACTTGCCATCTCACTGACGCTTGCCCTATTTTGGTTCTTCCTAGGGCCATGGATTTTGAGCAATCGAATGACGGACAACTTTGGAGGAATCGTCTTTCTCTGGACAGTTTATTTGCCACGACATGGCCGGATTGGCCCGAACGCTGACCTCTTCTGGTTGTACGGCATTCAGGCGGCCGCGCTGATGTTGATGCTAACGCTCAACTACCTCCTTTTGTTGTGGAGAATGGAAGGAATCATTGGGCGACCACCAAACAAAGTGCCAATATTATCGCGCCGTGCGTCAGGGTTGGCAATCGCCGTAACCAGTGTGACTGCGTTGCTGGTTCACTTGCACAACCTGCTTTCCCTTCATGGAGCTTTTGGAGTACTTGCATCGATCGTATCCCCTGTGGGTGCTCCTTTTTCGGCTCTATCAAGCAATGCACTGAGCCGCCTCGCGCATCTGCACCGCCTGATGCAACGACACGCCTCCTTAAGCATTGGAAATAAATGAGGTATCATAGATAGTCCAGATGGCGATAGCGGAGTCGTCAGCACCGGTCGCGAAGACTGAACCAAAGTCAGCAAACCGTAAGCATCGAACGGCACCGCGGTGTTTTCGCAACAGTGCGAGTTTTCTGTACGGCGACTTGGCCGAAAGTACCCGAACACCGTGATCTGAGCATCCTCCAACGAGTATGCGGGTATCACTCGGACGATAGGCGAGTTCGGAGATCGCCGCGTTGGCCACAGTGAGCTGTGCAGTGGTCTCAAAGCAGGCTGTCGCTGGTGCATAGCGCATCATAGCAACTTGTCCATGAAAACCGCTCGTCGCGAGAGTATAGAACCGCTCCGAGCCGTCTACGGCGAGCGGACGGATGCTGTCCAGCGCTAGGAGCGGTTGAGCGTGCCGGAACACGGGAACCTCCGCAACCGGTAAATCGGAACGTCCGCGATAGTCCCAGGCACACATGTGATTATCTTCGTAGCCTGCGAGAAGTGTGCGCTCTGCAGGCAAGGCTTTCATACATAAACAAAGCGCGGAAATCCCATCGCCACCAGCTGTGGTCGAAGATGATCGCCTCGCTTCCAGAGTCCCTTCACGACAGAGCTTACCAACGGGTTTCTCGCTGCTGACCCGCGCATCCCACAGGTAGATGGATTCATGATTTTTACCGCCACTGGTGGCTATAAGGATGCGATCGGATGCTGCGAACTCGATGATCCCTGGGCGGCAGAAGCCGTGCGGTTCGCCCCGAAATAGCACTCGTCCTCTGGACATCGGAAAAGGCTCCAGCATCTCACCAGCCGCATGCCTCATGTCCGCCACGGAACTCGATAACTGGTCCATCTGGATGACTCTGACGCAACCATCGCGACTGTGGGTTATGAGAAGGTTCGGCTCATCGGTTGCTGCCTCAATGGAGAGCAGTGGCGCCTCAGTGCTCTGTTTCTGGTTAGCGATGACCTGCTCGAGGTCTAGATCCCAAACCAGCAGGTTACCTCGCGAGTCTCCTGAGACGACAATACGGGGCCAGTTTATTGTGGGAGCGTCTTCCCATACACCGGAGCGTGGCTTAGCTGACTTGAGAGCGCGTTCGCTATGCCCCAGCAGACAGAGCGCTGTCACTGGGCTCGTGTGACCCCGAAGGATTGCCTGCGGCGCCGGTTCCGAGTCCGAAACGGTGCTCCCCATCTCGGGCGGCAAACGTGTTGAAGACCACCTATTAGGACAGATAATGACGTGCCTGCAGCAGGAAATCGGGAACGAAACCTACGCAACTTGACAACCGGCTCGCTGGAATTCGGCCCCAGCAATCGAAGAGTGTCGGTGACAGCGGTTTCGTTCAGGAAAGCGCGCAAGTCTTCTGGAGCATCTTTCGGCGAACGCTGCAAAGAGAGCGTTCACGAGCTGTCCCAACAATTTGACCCCAATAATCGCACGAGCACCCCAGATTTGCGAACGTCAGCAAAGCAACACTGCAGAATCGTGAAACTTGAAACGAAACGAGTCCGTGGGTGCCGCAGACTGGCGGCAGCGAAGGCAGAAGCATTCAAATATCCAGCACTCGCCGTGTCGGCGTAGCGAAGTGTTTCTCGAGCGCCAACTCGTCCAGGGAAAGTTCTTACCACAATCGGAAGTTTATGAATGGTTATATTCCATTGGAAGTACCGGATATTGAGGCATAGGCTCAACAGTAAAAAAGCGCACACGGGCTCGTTCCAACGAACAGCCCATGCACGTGAGCACCGCTCATCCCCCCGCGCACGGGGGCACGCTGCTCGATGCTTCACCAGCAAGGCCTTGTTCGTGTATGTGCTCCATGAGCCACTGCATACCGGCATCCACGCATGCAAGTGTTGCTTGAATTATCCGGTCGAACTGCTCGTCGCCGCATGATGTACGCGATTGGTAGTAGTTCCGCAGCAGCCGGGCGTTTTCCGCTGCAGTCAGTGTTGCGGAAACGGTTGCGTTCGCCGGCGACGACGTCTTCACTCGCTCGACTGAAGGCTGTACTTTCAACTCGATTTGCTCATAAGTGTGATCCGCCCGACGAGCACAACAGGCAAGCTCGATAAAGTTCGAGTCCGGGGCGATTGAGAGCGTCCCTTCGATGCCCTTGCGAATGATGATTGCACCGGAGAGCCCAAGTCCCATGGAAACCTCGATCATGCGCTTGGTGTATGGCGGATGGAAAGCGGAGGCGATAAGTACACTGCACTGCTCGGGAGCGCAGCCTACAAATTTCTCAACCGTTGACCAGCCCGGGCGTTTGACGATGCTGCGTCGTAACGGCAGAAGATCGTACAGTGCTGGACAAATAACTGCTTGGTCAACGAGGTTGAAGCATCTGCTGCCTGCTCTGCTCCCCTTGAAGATATCATCGAGATTCTGGGCAAAATTCACCGCAGTGGAATGCGGCCCGAGCGCTCGGGAAAGCTCCAGTGCCACCGACTTGAGGTTCGGACCATATTTTGGCCCAGGCGAGTCGCCCATAGCGCCTACAACGTTCGCGATTCCCCAGCGCTCTTGCAAGTGCCAGGCAATAATAGGTGTAGTTAACAGGCATCCCGGACGTTCGAAGCCATCGAAGGGTTCGGCCAGTTGCACATAGCGTTGAGGAGGTCGACTTTGTGTGCTGCTCTGGTGAGGGCGAAACGAAGGGCTCATCGCGCTGTTCGCTGCCTCCGCCATTCCGAGTAGTTCGTCCGAGGTTTCATGGCGTACCCGCATGGTATGCATCGTGAGCGCGCGAAACGAAACCACATCCGTTATATCGACTGCCGGAGACTCCATCGTGTTTGCATTACAGGACAAAACGATGGATGCGAGCTCCATAGCTTCTTCACGCGACAAGACTTGAGCGCTCAGTAACTTGACGCCAAGGCGAAACGCTTTGGACTCGGGGAGCAGGTTCGTGCACAGCGTTTGAAGCACGTCACTTGCAAAGCAGTCACAGCGCTCTCGGCCCAAACGCAAGGACGCCGTGCTTTTCGGTATACAATGCTGCAGTAGTTGCGCCTCCGCTGGCAGCAACTCGTATTTCAAAAATAACGATGCCAGGAAGGAGGCTCGTCGCGCGACTTGCTCAATATTCAGAGAGCTTGCGGGGTCATCCGCTGCCATATTGGGTCCCTGCCGCTTAAAGACCTGCAATTGATGCTCAACACGTTCCAGCTCTACTTTTAATGGTTCCAGAATCGATTCCGGCACCGGTTTGGCGCCGTGTTTACCGATCGCCACTGCTTTAATGCCCTCCTGAAGAGCGGACCCGCGAACACAGCATTGGAGTGGCCTAGCAGCTTCCCTCGCTCGTTTTTTCACCGCAAGAAGCTCTGCTCCACTCCAAAACGCCCACATGAACTGCGCAATTGCAGCTTCTCGTGCTATTTATCGTTCGTAGCGCAAGCTCGGGGATTACCTTGTCCGCAGCTGCCTCGGAGACTCAGTTTGCTATTGTTTGGCGTAGCTCCAGCAAAGCGAATACTGAGAACCCCACGAAAAGAACTTTGTATTAGTTGCTCTATTCAAAATTCTCAGGGTCTAGTAAAGTCCCCGTTGGGCAGTGCCGTTTACTGCAGCGAACACCGCAGCGCTTTTCGGAACAATCACATGCAACGATGTGTGCGAGCGCATCTAGTTTGCGCTAAGCCATAGCTGCCCCTCAAGCGTTTTGGATTCTGGTACGCTGATCGCTTAACGAGCAAGTTAAGGTATTTGCTTCAGGGTGAAGCGCGAGCGCTTTTAAAGCGCCGAGAGTATGCAGTGTCTCACGAGGAGAATCATTCGCACGCTATGCAAGAGGCCGTCAGTCCTAGAGCTTTCCGTGGAAGATGAGGCGAAAATTAGAGCGTTGGAGAAGGGTATTATTCCTGCTACAGGGGAGCCAGTAGAGGTCCTTCGTGCCCAGGTATTCCACGAGTCCAGGTTCTCGGGCGCTTCTCCTGGACGATCGGGTGTGCCCGTACTCAAAAAGCAGTATCGTGGACCACTGTTGCTCTCGTGGTACCCGGAGCGTCTCGAGAAAAATCCTTACTGTGAGATTAAGCTTTCAGAGAAACAGGAGCGCTGGTGGCGGAAACTGCAAGTCTGGCGAGCGCAGGGGCGGGGCCCTCCACGTAAAGGCAGTGGCAAACGTGGAGGCAAAAAGTCTGGGAAGTAGGCTGATCCCAGCTGAGCTCGGGGCTCCTGCCAGGGCTCGAACCTCGGCAAGGCGACTTTGCAGAGGCTGCAGCTCGAGTACTGCGAGACGCGTTTGCTACAGCGCACAAGCCAACAAATGGTGCGAGTGACATGGATCCAGCGATCGAGTCGGATACCTCGCACGTATGACATACAGAGCAAGAAATGAAGAGAGTCCGCCATGACCAGGTCTGTCGTCCATGCGGCAGCATTTCGCGATGCATCCTCGCCTCTTGGGGGCTAGTGCGCAGCATTTCAAAGACCTTGCCGAACGCGCATAAACTGTAGCCTTTTGAGTTTCTCGCGGGCGCTTGTTGCTCGGTGATTGCTTCGCATTTGGAGACTGCATTACTTTGCTGACGGCGATATCGCAGGGCACTGGTTCGGAATGAAGTTGTTCTCCAAGGCGCGCTTTGGTTTGCTCTTCGTGAAAGAGTTTTTTCCGTGCAAATCCTTAGCGAGGATGAAACAATGAGGTCTAATTCGTCGTTAGCGCCGTTCGATGGAGATCTATGCAGCTTTCAGTAATTCAGGCAATCTCGAATGCACTGCACAACTTTTTCTGCGGATGGCAAATAGTTCTTCTCGTGGACAAGAGGGAAAGGCATATCATAGCCACATACGCGCATGACCGGACTCTCCAGGTCGAGGAAACATTCCTCCTGGATTCGAGCGGCAACTTCGGCACCGACTCCACCAGTAAGCGGCGCCTCATGGCTGACGATGCATCGCCCGGTGCGCGCAACGGATTCGCACACTGTCGCTTCATCCCACGGCAGAATCGTTTGAATATCTATGACCTCTGCCTCGATCTTGTCTTCTCTGGCGACGACTTGGGCTGCTTCGAGAAGCACGCGGACTTGCGCTCCGTATGCCACCAAGGTGATGTCCGTCCCGGGGCGAACGATCTCAGCCCGGCCAAGTGGCAACACATACTTGCTGAGAGGTACCTCTGCCTGGGCTGCTCGATAAAGTGCCTTGGGCTCGAAGAAGATGACCGGATCATCCTCAGCGATCGACTGCAACAAAAGGCCTTTTGCGGTGAACGGATCGCGGGGTATAACGACCTTGATACCGGCCGTGTGCAAAAAATAAGCCTCAGGAGATTGCGAATGGTAGTGCCCTCCATGGCCGACCGCGCCGTAAGGCGCTCTGATAACCACTCCACCACAATTAAACTGTCCTCCAGATCGGTAGCGATATTTCGCGATCTCATTCACTATCTGATCGAAAGCGGGATATATATAGTCTGCGAACTGGATCTCCGCTACCGGGCGATAACCCATCGCTGCCAGTCCGGCCGCAAAACCTACGATGCCCTGCTCTGTCAGAGGCGTATTGAAGACTCTCTGTCTGCCGAATCGCTTCTGAAGCTGACTTGTACAACGAAATACACCACCAAAAGCAACATCTTCTCCAAATACGAGAACTTTGGGGTTACTCTCAAGTGCACACGACAGCGCCGAGTTAATCGCAGTAAACAGGTTCATCTGCCGCAGGGTTTCCTCAGTGGCTTTCACGACGCCTGCAGAATTGGAGACGCTCCCTGAGAGCTTGTCTCCACCTCCAGGATAGAGCGAGGGCGTCGTGCTGCGTTGTGCTCGGTCTCCAACTGCAGGCCCCGGAGCAACGTCAGTCGTGCTCGGCGAGCTCTCGTTCTCCGTTGAAAACGTGCGCTTGCGGATAGTCGAGCTCCACACTCGGTCTCCACGGGTTGCAAATGACGCGCATGGAAGACCAATTTGGAGAGGTGTGAAAGTAACCGTAAGCGGCAAGCTGCGTCGAACTCGAGCATACTGTCTCCACGCAACAGTGTGGTCGAGTAGCCAATCGCGGAGACACAACACCCGAAGGTATCGCAGCATGAAACGCTGGTTCAACAATACTGGCAGTAGTCAAGCAGCGTTTTTGGTGTATATTTCAACCCGTTCCCCGTGCAGAAAGAGCAATAGCAAACCCTCAATCAGGTAGCCTGGTGGGTATAGGATGCTTGCAGGGAGATCGGAACTCGCGCGATGTCGCGATTGCCGCGAATTTCATGAGAGTGGACGATGCAGGAGACTCGAGTCCTTCGGACGTCTGCGCTCTCCCTGACAGCACAAAGAGACCCAAGTGCAAGCACGAACGCTAGCCTAGAAGCTTTCTTTAAGTTAGAGGATCATCACAGTTTACTAAAGTCTTTTGGATGCATAGATCCTATCTTGCAGCAGGAGGCGGCCCCATTGCCGACTTGGACACTTCCGTGTTCTTCCAAACAGCGAACAGTGTTCACTGATAGAACAGGGGCCTGATCCAGAACGCCTCAAGACATAATCTAGAAAGGACACCTTGCATATGTCCCGATGGTGGTCGGCTCGAGGAGGACGAAAGATTTCCGATAACAGCCATCGGATGGACCGCTGTCTGCATTTGCGAAGGAAACATCGCTACGCAGAATCCTCTGAGTCCACCAGCGATTTTGGAATAAATTGGGAGCGATCCTCCTCTGCGGGCGCACACTCTAAAGTTTGAGTCTCTTTCCAATGCCATCAACACCTGCCTGGCGAGCTCTCTCTGCTAATGCTTCCTTTTCGCCTCTCTTGGTTTGGGCGTGAAATACGCAGGTCTCTCTATTTCCTCCAGCTCCTTCTAAACAGCGGAGGAAAATTGATTGCAGCGCTATTGCCTCGATTTCGCTACTTCCAGCTTAAGTGAACGCTTTTCATGTTCATGCGGAGACCGCGATCAGTGCCTCACTTGCCGTTGTCACATTCTTTGCACTGAGCCCACGAGCGCCATTTGCAGCGATCACGCTTGACGGTGCGCAGGTGCTCCGATCTCTCCTCCACACGTCAGCTTCCGAGCGCCGCCCTGTCGCATATGAGCTCTTGATTCAGCGCTCAGTCAATGCCCATCACGGGAGCAGCATGGTCACCTCGATATCGAGCGCCGTTTCCGCGCCGACTGCAGTACCCAAGACTTACGAGCCTGTTCAAGGAGGTGCCATCGGCGAGTTCTCTGTCCGCGGCATGCGCAGGTCCGCGCCGTCCCGTTTGATACGGGATTCGTGGAAAGCGATGTTGTCTATGGTGAAAAAGAACCGGGAGGAATAGTCAGACAGGAGATCAATTCGAGCAAGGACGATTCGTCTTCGCTCTCTTCCTGCGAATCCGTGATGCGCGTTCTTGAAGAAGCGATCGCTGCAATGACCATCGTCCGAGTCCAAGACCCTTTGGCATGGAACCAGAATACACAAGAGCCCTGGGGTGCAGTTCCATTGAGCCACGTCATGCTGCTGCCGAGTGCCGCTTCGAGGATGTCCACAAAGAGAGGGAGATTTTCCTTTCGAACGGAATCGACTCTTCGGCGTGAGTAGTTCAGTGCACTTCCGGCCTCAGCTATTGAACAAGTCGTCAAGGGTCGACATCGATTTCTTGCTCCCGTCAGTCTTGCGGCACCGATTGCTGCACCTGCGAGATATTCCGAGACAGAAACACCGAAAACTTGAGGAAAGCGTGATTTGAGCTTGCCGTTTGCAAGGAAAACGGAAGAATGGATTCCTGTGCCTGAGAAGTAGGTAATGCTGTGGAGAAGTGTACGAACTTCTCCTCGTGTGTGTCATGGAGCAACTTGATACCGGTGACGTAATGAACTCCGGCGGCAACGTATCGAAGAGACAGTTCCGAAAAAGGGTGACAGCGAATCCAAAAGTTACATAAGAATCCGTAATCGCTTGATGGTGCAATTTGGATACCGAGGCAGTACACCGAGAAAGAAAGTTCGGAGGGAATCGAAAGGCTGGACCAGGATGCGAAATACATCGTTCCACCTTAATCCGATGTGGGTGCACCACGCAGACGCCGAGAAACGCAGGAACGCAACGACAACTGTACCGCGGGTGCAGCTTGAACACCCACACTTCTGAACATTCGTATGACAGAGCCGTTGGAGAACTCGATCCACGCGGGGCACGATCTACTCGTGGTCCTCGACTTTGGGAGCCAGTACGCGCATCTGATTGTGAGGCGCCTTCGGGACATCGGGTTTTACTCGGAGCTTCACCCTTACGATGTTGGACCAGAGCGCCTGATGGAACTGAAACCGAAGGGTTTGATTCTGTCTGGTGGCCCTGCGTCTGTTTACGAGTCTGATTCACCGCACCTCGACGCGCGCATATTCTCCCTTGGTATTCCTATACTGGGAATTTGCTACGGTATGCAGGAGATTGCGTACCAGCTCGGAGGGAAGGTGGAGTGCGGCGATAAGAGAGAATACGGACATGCCACTCTCCAGGTAGTCGAAGATCCTGCTGACGGTGGCGCGCTATTTCACGGCCTCAAGACTTCCTGCTCGGTCTGGATGAGTCATGGTGACCGGGTGATTTCGCTGCCCGAGGGCTTTTACCCCATTGCCCGCACGGAAAACTGCAACTACGCTGCCGTGTACGGGCAGCCGAACGCGCATGCATCGGTGCTTGCACCTATATATGGACTACAGTTTCATCCGGAGGTGAGTCATTCTGAGCACGGTACGGAAGTGCTGGCTAATTTTTGCCGGGCAGTATGCGGCTGCAGAGGTGACTGGTACATGGAAGCGTTTCTCGAAGAAGCGATTCGGACAATCCGCGAGCAAACAGGAGAGCATGCGCTCGTTGTCGGTGCGCTGAGCGGTGGCGTCGACTCCACGGTCGCAGCGCTGCTCGTGTCCAGGGCGATTGGAGATCGATTTCGCGGAATCTTTGTGGACAACGGGCTTTTGCGCAAAAATGAAGCGACTGACGTGATGGCGATGCTGAGAGACCAAATGCATGTTCAGGTTGATTGTATTAATGCATCTACGCACTTTTTGGATGCGCTAGCAGGGGTTACCGATCCGGAAGAGAAACGCAAGACCATCGGCAATCAGTTCATCAAGGTCTTCGAGGAGCAGGCGCGAAAAATCTCAGCCGATTTTTTGCTCCAAGGCACGTTGTATCCGGATGTGATCGAATCCATATCGCACAAGGGCCCGAGTGCCACGATCAAAACGCATCACAACGTCGGGGGTCTGCCACAACGAATGCGGCTCAAACTCATTGAACCGCTTCGATATCTGTTTAAGGATGAGGTTCGTAAGCTTGGCTTAGTGCTCGGCTTACCGGCGGAGGTTGTCTATCGTCACCCCTTCCCTGGACCGGGATTGGCCATACGTGTTCTCGGTGAGATTACTTCCGAACGTTTGAACAAACTGCGCGAAGCAGATGCTATTTTTCTGCATGAATTGCGCCGTGCAGGGCTGTATGAACAGATTGGACAAGCATTCGCTGTGCTCCTTTCCAGCAAAGCTGTAGGAGTCATGGGAGATTTTCGGACATACGAAGAGGTCATTGCGCTGAGAGCGGTTGCTACCTCGGATTACATGACTGCCGACTGGTATCCTCTTCCTTTCGAGGTGCTGCGGCGAATTTCACTGCGAATTGTGAACGAGGTCAGTGGCGTGAATCGCATTGTTTATGACGTCACGAGTAAGCCGCCCGGAACAATAGAATGGGAGTGAACGCAACCGATTCCATTTCTGGTCGACATTGGTCCCCTGTAGGCCAAATCAGCGTTGCCCGACTGGTTGATTTTCACGAAAAAGCCCGTGCGCATCCATCACCTACACTCTACCTTTCTTGTCGGGTGACACGAATCATGACAAGGCCATCACCAGAAGAACGATGACGATAAAACTCCACCATATGATCACAAGTCCCGAACTTGCAGCACCTGCGCACTTTTCGAACGGTGATAACGCGCATGCGACGGGAGCCGCACGATCCTTAATCGGCAAATGTACGCATATGTGGAGCGCCTTTCGCCTCTGTACCGGAAATTGAAAGCATGCGATGAGTGCCTTTCCCAGCGAGGCACATGCATCCTCAAGCGCAGAGTGGCATGCGCAGGAGAGCCACTAGTTTCGTCGGCTCGGTCCGCAAGGCGATGATATCCTCTGATAAGTTGCAGGCGCGCCCGGACAAGCGAGCTTCTGGGATCGTTGCACTCCAGCCCAAGATCCGTACTTTCCTGATCAGTTCAAGCATACGTGCTGGAGCATCTCCCAGACCGGCATTCGTCTCCATCGATGTCGCGTCAATAGCTTCAGACACCATGTAGGATGAAGAGCTGCTCGGTTGCGGCGGACGGAAAGTCGGCAAGGTTCTCGGTCATCCCAAGTTCTGCTGCAAGCCTCCACGCTCAACCCCGCAAGATGGTCCCTCCGGAGCGAACGACTAAGTGCGCGTTCGATTTTTCCTCTTGATCGAGTTTGATCCAGGGAGAGCAAAGCTTTGTGCGCTCTTAAGTTCGAGTACAGCGCGCGCTGGCAGAGCGACGGTCAGCCACAGAAGCCGCCGTTCAAAGAGATATCGATTGATGCACCAACGTTATGCAGCGGGTTCAACAGACCTTCACACATTCGTCGGGGATACTGCGTCTTGATTGGTGGCGGAACGATATAGGTGCTGATCTAGAAGGCTCGCAGCAGTTGCGCGTCTTCGGGCGGAATCATCCCGTTGTTCAGTGGATCCATCTTCTAAAGAGGTTGTCCCGGGGTCCCCGCATGCGCCTCGCATGATTCCAACACGCTGGAGGATGTGCATGACGAATTCTGGCAGCAACATGTACAGTGGGAATTCGGCGGGAGCCCCGGCGACCTCCGGGGTTGGCAACTGAAACTTTTTCGCGAATCGGAAGTATCCCCAGCTACCGACAAAGGCGCAAATGGTCACCAATCCCGAGAGCCATAGGGTCGGTACCAACGGAACGAGGGATACGATCGTGTTCACATACATCAGAGGAAACGTACGGACTGGAACGAAACGAGCGAGAGTGCCCAGGCTCGGAAACGTCTGCTCCGGTCGGTATCGAGCATACGCGACAAGTAAAGCTACATTTCCTGCATAGAAACCAGCGCTACTTGCAAACAAGTACTCAGGACGGAGTTTCCACCACAAAAACGCGCCAAAAGTGATAACGAACGACAGCACGCTCGCGAAAGCTGTGATGAAAAGCACGTACATAGCAAGCTCCAACAAGCGCTCCGTTGAGCCGCCGGGAGACTCCGATCCTCGCCAAACTTCTTCTAAAGATCGTCCTACGGTGACGAGTACCAAGAGCGTCAAAAAGAGGTGTAGCGCGTGAACCTCAACGAATCCGTACGTGACCACGTTCCAGATCCGCAGCCCTGCTAGTGTCTCAGCCGGCGTAAACGAGAAAAACTGCGTGAACGGCGGGTACCAACTCAGACAATAGGTGGAAACAAGAGCAATGAGAAGTAAACGAGTGAAATCTGGAAGATTCTGCCATCTTCCAGCGTGCCAAATGCGGCTGACTTGCTGTACGGCAACCTTCCTCAGACGGGCAACTCCGAGAACGGTTTGGCTCGTACGACCCCCTTCACTACCAACGGACGAGCTCCTAGCTCTTACGGCATTCTCTGAAATATCTTCTCGGGAGTTTTGCAAAACAGAGCTCTGGAAACTCATGGTTTCAAAAACGCACAAGCGCCACTAGGTAGTACGGCCCGCTCTGCAGCGTTGAAGTTGACGCCGCCATATGAATCCACAGTAGCTTGAACAGATAATATCTACGTTCTCTTCGAGTTCGATCATACATACAACGAGCCCGTTCTCTGCGAAGACCTACATATGCTTCGACCGTGTTTTCGGAAGGAAGTCTCATCGACTCGGAAAACTGGTCGGTGTCCCTGTTCTTCATAACGATCGCAACGTTCCAGGAACTCTTTCGTCGCAACTTCGATAAAAGATAGTTGTGTGTGAACTAAGTTATTTTGCGACTGTATCCCAGTGATTCAGGATAACACGAACAAGCTTTTGAGAACAGGGACGGTCATAGTGGTTACTATAGTCGCCTTCGCTTTTCGTAAAAGGTGATCAACGGGTCATTTTCTACCATTGAACCCAATCAGTCTTTAAGAATATCGATTTTTGGCGCGGAGCCCATACACTTCTTCCTTTCAGTATTCCTCAGGCATCTGAGCACTGCGATGTGACTGCCCTGAAGGAGGTACGCAGCCATCCATGCACACTGCAGTGAAGCATATATCCTTAAGGCAATTCGTCTACGATCTAGAGAGTGCGTCGAATAGAGATTTTCGATCCCCTGCTATACACCGCAACAGCGATGAAACCAAATTGAGTTGAAAGACTATATGGACAAGACTCATTAACCCTGTATCTATCTTCTCATGATGCGGAACGCATGAACAGTAACCTGGAACATCCGACTTTGCCCCCCGAGAAATGGACCCGCATAATCAGCGGTTCTATCGTGCTGCCCAGGGTACACAACCGGGATAGGCCATCGCATTGCGAGCAGAGAACCGACTCTCCGTGATAAAGGCAAGGCGTTTTTCATGACCTGTGAAATACAGAATAATTTAAAGCAGGTGCGCTACCATTTATGACATCTTTGGTTTTATTTGGAGCTTAGCTTAACGACCATGAGCGAGGTCTCGAAAGTAGCGGGAGCGGAAACGAGACCAGTTGCTGCTGCTGCACTGTCTTTCGATATGCCTGCCACTGAACATACGAAAGAAAGCTCCTGGCCAGGCGATGACGTCCATGTGAAGCACGGGTGGAGGCCTGGCCCGTCTTGAGCTCGTAATGCTTCCACAGAGAGCGCGCTCGACTATTCGACCTCATTTCCAAGATTTCTGCGCAAAACGCGTGCTTCGAAAAAGTCGCCCCCTCTGACATTGCTCTTGCACTGGATCGCTCACCTATCGCCCCTGGCTGTCCCAGTTTCGTAAAGCCCTACGAACGTGACTGCAAAATTCTTCTCTCGCATCGTGGAAAACTCACTAAATTGTTCGACTAAGAAAAGCTTCTGAGCACCGCAAAACATCGGAAAGCGCACATCCGAATCACTTGATGTGAGACGGGTCTAGCACAAGTGAAACCTGATTGTTGAGAACGTTTTTGCTCAGTCTGGTTGCGAGCAACGTCACACAAAGGTTTGATGCATATTCCTCGAACGAGTTACTCGTTTGCCTCGAACGTGGCGGTTGGGCGCAAGCGTGGGAAACGTTCGGGTCACAAAGCACTGTATGCAACCTTTCCAAGAACTCTGATTGCCAAGAAGGGTTCTCCTCTAACCAGGCGCGCAACAGTGCGTCCAACTCAGGGTACCCGTGCTCACTGCCAGTCCGCCCTGCCTCATTCGCTGCAAGCAGCGCCCAGGAAACCGCTTTACGGATTTCCGTGTCCGGCCATTTTGCCAAACTCTTCTCACGAGCCAAGCGTAGTACGGAGTCGAACAACGCTGTGCCTGTGGCAGGCGTTCGAGAGCCCATCGCAAACGAGGCGTTGTAAGCTCAACCTGGAGGTGCAGTGCGTCTTGTGGAGTTCCGCGGTATTTTGTAGCGACCGCTCTTCGTTGCTGTTATTTCAGAGCTTTTCTGGTACAAACAGACATAACAGAATTCGTCAACAGTGTCTGAAAAGTGTGTTTTTCGATGGCGTCGCTAGCGCCTCGGCGGGACTGATCAATCTTCTCAACGCGCTGCGATTGAATTACTTCTGTGGAGCAGCACTTCTGCAGCGTGATATGGTGAATCCTCGTCTACTGAGATTTTGTTTCTGATTTTTTCGAGTCATGTACATAGTTGAGAGCTCTAGTGTAATCAGCGCTCGGAATTGGAACCAAACGTCCAGCACTGGGGTCTCTTACTGCCAAAGCTGCCAGGCGCTGGATGCAGTCGAGAACAGACGTGCGAAGCTCCGTGCTTCGTTTACGCTTCTGAAAACAAGGTTCTGCGCTAGTGCCCGTATACGCGGTTATGTGGCCGGCTCGATCTACAGCTTCAGCAAGCTTCATGTCCGGTGCAGTTCAGTTGACTCTGGAGAGCACGGTGTTTCTCAAGAGCGAGTGCACGCGCGGCCGAATGCTGCCTTCTTGGCGGACGTAGATAGCGTTCCGGCAGCAGCAACAACAGCTGGCGCTGCTATGGGTGTAACTGGAGAAAACCTGGGCCAGACGGTGGTTTCACGAGAGTCAAATACTGCTTCTCTCGGGATGGAGCAGGTCGAGCAGGTTTCCCTAGTTATGGAGAGTACAGCCGAACTTTTGGAGTTTGGCCGAGTGCTTGAGTGCTTGTCGAGTTTAGCGCTTACGCAAACGGGCAGGCAACGTCTCCTGAGTAGAGGGCTAATGATTCATCTTCTATCATTAACGAAACAGCAAAGCGAAAGACTTATGCAACTAACAGCTGAAGTTGTGACTATTGAGAGGCGGACGCCAACCTCGCCGTTTGAGGTTCTGAAACGGCTCCCGGATGTCGAGGGACTTATTCAAAGGCTCCACAAAAAAGGTAATCTCGAAGGAGAAGAGCTGCTTCGCATTGCCAATTTCGTGCAGGTAGCGGCGAACTTGAAAAAGGCTTCCGCGGAATGCCTCATGGATTCGAGTTCGGCCTCCCCGGACGCATACATGTCTTCACCAGCATTTGACAGCACTAGCTGTACGAATCAGATGCACACAGAACCTCTTGCTGTGCAGAAGTGCTCAGCAGAATTGCAAAGTATTCTAGATCGGGTTCAGCCCGTCAGTGCGGCAGCATCAGAGATATTTGCGACACTCGACGAAACTGGTCGTCCGCGCGAAACTGCATCCGATGAACTTCGAGTAGTTCGAACGCAGTTGCAGCGAATTAAAGAGCGAATAAAAGACGAACTACAGCGAATCATTCAGAGCAAAGGAGATGCTCTACAGGATCGGACGCCAACGACGCGCTACGATCGCCAGGTGCTTGCAGTGAAGGCGACCCACAAGCGGAGAATACCAGGAATCGTGCACGATTACAGTAACACTGGGAGCACTGTTTTCGTTGAGCCGCATGCGATTGTGGAGTTGAATAGCGAATTACGTCGCCTCAGTCGCAGGGAATCCGCAATCGAACGCGACATTTGGAATCAGCTGAGTAAGCGACTGCATGCTGCGAGCGTCCGGCTCAGTAGCACATTTGAGGCCCTGATTGACATTGATTTCTCGGTGGCCCGAGCCCGTTACGCACGGCATATCGGCGCTTCGTTGGTGCGCTTCGCTGCAGATAGTGAGATGCCAGTGGACATTCGCGGTGCATGCCATCCGCTACTTTTGTGGCGCTCGCTCAAATCGATGGAGAGCGTGGTACCGATTGACTTTCATTTACGGGGAATTGCTTCCGCCGCCATCCTGACTGGAGCGAATGCCGGAGGAAAAACCCTAGCGGCGAAGACCCTCGGTCTCATAGTGCTCATGGCAAAGAGCGGCATTCCGATTCCTCGGCGACACGCTGATCCGAATATGTCGCCGACCACGCTACTCGATGAAGATGTCACTGTGCCGTACTTTGACAGAGTACTTGCAGACATTGGAGATGAACAGTCGTTAGAGCAAAATTTGTCAACATTCAGCGGCCATATAAGACGAATAGGTGAGATTCTTCAGTGTGCGACTGCGGACTCGCTGGTGCTTCTGGATGAGCTTGGTGCTGGAACGGATCCGGCTGAGGGAGCTGCGCTTGGCATCGCCCTTGTTCGCTACCTGGTCGAGAAGAAAAACGTTCGCTTCGTCTTTGTGACAACGCATCATAGTGAACTGAAGACTCTCTTTTTTATGGAACCCTCTAGATACGAAAACGTCTCCGTTGAATTTGACACGGACCGGTTGGAACCTACGTACCGACTTCTCTGGGGTGTAGCGGGGAGGTCGTATGCGCTGCTGGTTGCCCGCAGACTCGGGCTCGATCACGACATTTTGCAAGAAGCGGAAAACCTACTCGAACGATCGGTCGGTGTAGGCTCGAGCCCGGACTCTTTGCCACTGAGTCCTGGGAGCGGATCGAGCTCTCCGCAGAATATGAGCCGCCTCATGGAGCAGGTTGAAAAGATTCGCGTGGAGCAGCTTCAGAACCTGGAACGAGCACGCCAAGAAGCACGGGAAATGGAGCGAATGCGACAGGAGCACGAGAAGCGACTTGCAGGACTAGAGCGACATCGCAAGGAGGCAATCGAAGAAGTTAAGCGGGCATTAGAAGCGGAATTAGAACAAGTGCGTCAGGAGCTTCGGGAAGCACTGCAGCGCCTTCGACGCAATGAAATGGCATCGTCGGAAGGTAACACCCTTGCAAATACCCTGGAAGCAAAAGTCGCGGAAGCAACAATGGCCCTAGCGGGATTGGAACGAGACGATGATCGGGAAATCAACCCGGAAACGGTGGACACGAATGATTATGTCATGGTACCGAAGCTCGGATCATCTCCCTTGCGGGTGACCCAGAAACTTCCCGATGGACGTATACGTGTTGCACTGGGGAACCTGACAGCAACAATTGCTGTCCAGGAAGTCGTGTCTGTTCAGCGCCCGACTGAAGCATCGACCACAATGGCCACGGAACGATCGCCACGGCGTCGTGTCGAAGCTGAGAAGCCGGCCAGCGGGCTCTCCTCGCCAGTGCTGGTGCGCACTGACCGAAACACCGTGGACCTCAGGGGTATGCGGGCACACGAAGTAGAATCTGCTCTGGATTCTGCGATAGATCGCAGTGTGCAGATGGGATCGCTCTGGATCATTCATGGACACGGTTCTGGACGGCTGAAGAGCGTTGTGCGAGAGTACCTGCGTGGCCATCCGCATGTGGACAGTTTCCAGGAAGCGAGCCCTTCAGATGGGGGATCTGGAGTGACGGTCGCGGTGCTTCGATGAAGGTTTCGGTAGACGCCAGGACGAATGTATCATCTAGTCACGCCCTTACACGGACAGGTCGCGATGCCTGCGGAGTCGACACTCAAGCATAAAGTCGAGGAAATGAAGTGGAAGACAGAAAACCTTTCTTGGTCATGATCCTTAGCCGCGTTGGGCTCTTTTTCTTATGTTTTCAACTGCGATTTGCAACTCGCAGGGTTAACTTATGTGGCTACATAATATTCCTTCGCTCTTGTTGCGAACGTGCAGTCATGTGAGTTGCGATCGCACCCGGTGTATATGTGACTTTTCGACGAATCTTAGCCCCTGATGTGGTGTTTTCTGGCCTAGTAATTGATTCCAAACAATGTACATTTGGAAACACTGTGCAGGCTAGAAAGATTCTTATTTCGGGGACCAGCGATATATCGCGCGCTCGGACAACGGCCCAGGCGGATATCTCCGAGCAGCTATTCCGGGCGCTCACGGCAGGCCCCCGGCCTTCGATGAACTCACGAACGACTCACTACATCGAAAGGGGATTACGGTTTGTAGCAGCTGGAACTTGGTCCAGGATGAAGAATCATAGACGCTTTCCCGGTTGACGATAATTCTCGTGTAGTTGCATATCCCTGATCAGCACGAACGTTCTCTCAAGCAGAAGAATCCGCGTTGCTGCGCGCACGCGAACAACCATCGTCTTCCGCGTTCATTTGCAAACGTTTCCAAATGGGTTGTGTAGCTCTCTGGAGACGCAGACTCTGCTTCGGTTTTTCGTTTGCTGTTGTGTAACAGTGTCGTGAACTGGAGGCTCCGCATTCGAAGCGCTACTTACTTCGATGGACGTATCCGCGCACCTTGCGGAACCGGGGGGACAGTGCGAACTGCCAGAGTCCAGAACAGAACGGCCCCGCACCGAGCCACAGACAGGAGGACACTCGAACAGCATCGCGACTGCTGAAAACCAAAAAAGCCCGAACGCAGACAGGCAGGAAGCACCTCGTTGCACGAAAGCGTTCGCTGGAACTGAAACTAGTTCAGGCAACCTGGACGGGGAGGCGCCCGTGGACAGTTGGGTTTCCGTGGAAGCCCCGACTAGCGAGGTCGACGAAAAGCCCGCGCTGATAAGGCGAACAGTTGAGCAGTCGCCGGTTTTATGCGTAAAAATGGCAGGACATGAAAACGTTGAAACCCCTCTTTATTTGCATTCAAGTTCGTCGCAACCAAAACTGTCCAGTGCAGAGACTACAAGAGTGGGGCTATATCGCACACGCTTCCCGAACATGAATAGAGTTCGTGTGCATGCCTCCAAAGCTCTCGGTCGCTGGTCAAAGTTCATTGCGGAAGAGCTCCGCTCGGGTTCGTTGGTTAACGAATACAGCGCATGGGTGACGACTGTCCTCGTGTGTACCTTGCTGGTATACTTGCTAACGATAACTATTAGCATTCTGTACGCTGTCCTTTGTGCAGCCCTTACTGTACTCGTTTCGTGTGCAGGCGCGATAACTGCGGCATTTGTTTGGATTGCTCTTTTGTTGATGGTCAGTATTCCGATTTTCGTAATCGTTCTAGTATCCTTGCTGGCAGCTACTACAGGCATATTTGCATTGAAAGTCGGTTTGGATGGCATCAAGTCCAACACAGACCAGATTGAAGACGACGACGATCCACAGGACTTGTAAAAGCATTCGAGCAACCATCACGGGGGGGGGGCACCAGGTGGCAGCTGAGTAAGTGAGCCTCCTGAACTCCGAGCTGTCTCCGTCTAAAGATACTGTGCCATTCAGTAGCGCTGAGCAGGCTCGACTTCCATTGTATAGGGACTAAACTGCTGTTCATCTCGTCACCCACGTTCCTTAGCATCGTAAAGCAGCATTGGTTCCCGTTGTGGCTAGTTGCGAATATCAGGAGACACCGAAACGGCTGACCTGTTCGTCAGTGCTTGTCTCACTGCCTTTGCGCGAAAATGCCCCGTGGTCGCTCATCGCGAGATAGATATGCTCCTTACATGTCGGACACGGACATTTCTTCGTACCGCGGCACATGCCGCACTGTCCAGCACTTACGGTGCCGAGAATCTCAAGAGCGTAGTAACCCTTGCCCTCACACACCGGGCATAAAATTTCGCCTGCTCCGCGGCATTGCTCGCATTCCGGTCTCCCCTTCGGCAGGTTTAACCAGTGTGAATAACTCGGAAACGATTCCGGAAGCTCAACGCTATCCAAGAAGGTCAAGTACTCCGAACTGAAGCCCAGGTCCAGTGACGGCTGCAAGTTGTTTCTTCCTTGCGGTTTCCCGACACCAGACGCTGCCTCCTCGTTGGAGCCAAAAGAGCCACGGTCCCCCGCTTTACCTGTATCTTTATCCTCCTGCGAAGATGCTCGTACGAGAAACTTGGGTACTCGACGTTCTGAGGGCGAGCGTCGCAACCACACACGGGCCTCGCTCGAGTTCCGCCGCGGTGCAGCTTGCTTCGGTCCCGCCACCGCGAAAGTCCCGAAATTCCGCAGGCTACCAAGGGAGGCCACGAAAGTCACAGTGCCAGCTCGCATGTTTGTTGCCGTGTAAATGAAAAGTGCAAGGTTCAGAGCCGCACTGCTGCCTCGCTGAATGCGTTGACGGTTCAAACACCGCCAGCGACAAAATCTATCATGCGCACTAACCGGCATTCGAGAACAGTATCCGCCGCGTCACGCTTGGCGTGACTATTGCTCGGCGAGCGAGCTCCTGTTCATTTATGGACAGAACTGTATATGCACGTAACGAGCTCTAGGGCTTGGTGTCCCAATTAGGCTGCGCTGGCGCATTCGTGACCCCTGCAGCGACCGTTCAGCAGGAGCATGCACTGCAGGCGCGGCGAAGCATTGGCCCCGCGTGCGCAATCTCGAGAGCGCTTCGATTTTCAGAGAAACCGGACAGAATCGCCTGAAACTATATATTTTTGATAACTATGTCCCACTCCCAAGTGAATATCGTCAGGTGCTTTTCGGGGTTCATGGCTGACGTGTTCGATGTATGTCTCTTTTTAAAGAATAAAAAATCTAAAGGAAAGGTTTGGACATGAAAGCCGGGGATCCTAGAGGATCATCATCGCCGGCTGCCGGAAAACAAACGAATAGTATCCTCCTCTCGCCGACCATAGAGCGAAGAAGCGTATGTTACGACGAAGAAGGAGACGAAGATGGGAGATAGGCGAGAAAAAAGGTGTTTCCCGGCCAGGATGATGACGAGACTTTGCTGGCACAGAGGGCACGAGTTCGAGAACTCCTTGCAATGAAGAGCTCTAATAGATGTAAGAAACACATAAAGTTCCTGAACCGAAACCTCAACGCCGCCGTCATTGTCAGACGATGTACAGTACTGAATATGAGACCCGCGGAGCTGGAAAGAGCGAACTTTATGGGGAAACCTCTTAGGCTCGAATTGCGCAAGGAGAAGCAGAAGCTGATACCAGTGGCCGGTCGTAAAAGATGGGGAGGCGTCTGCGTCTGAACATCAATTTACCCTGCGTGGTCGTAGCATGTTCATCGTTCTACTAAACACTGTGTGTCTACGCGCACCGTTCTTGGTGCAGCGTTACGTTACGCCTCATTTGATTCCTCCGGTCGATGGCTCCTGTTCCTGGTTTCCCTGACGATCTTATCAGTCTCTGTCGACACGTGGAACGCGAAATCATCTGCTATCTGGTTGCGCAACACCGTTTTACGCCTTGCACAGCTGCAGAGTGGCTCGTGGCCGTTGCAAGCTGTGGTGCGCTCCTTGGCACCGCTCTTGGCTTGATCACGCCGAACAAAACTTTTCTTGCAGAACAAGGTAAATCGATTCTGTTTCTGACGCTGGTGACCGGATGTACAGTATTTGCGTGGCTCGTCGTCCTGTTCCGGATTGAACGCTGGTCGTTCCGGGGTTGCAAGACGTCCCGGCCACCACGCTCTGACCGTATGAGCCTGTTTTTTCGTTTCGATCGAGTGCCACAGTACGCGACAGAGTTTCGAGTTCGATTTAGGATGATCGTCTCGGGACGAGCACCTAGGGAAACGGTATGGACAAGCGATATCACGCGCTTCTTCTCGAATGAAGGAAAATTCTTAGAAGAGTGCTTTTACATGGAGCTCGAGCAAGCAACGTCTTCTTTTCTTAGCAAGTCGAGCAACGGCACTGAACCCGAATGCACCCGATAGCGCTTTGAGATCCACTCGAGCACTAGCTGCGATTGTTCGACGGAAAAGAATCTCACATTCCTGCCAATATCGCGGAGAATCGCGCTTGGGGGATGCAGCACCAGCGAGGACTGGCAATGATAAACAAGTCACACGTTGTATACCCTGATTGGGACCAAATACCGCAAACTGCCTCATATGGTATGAACGCAAAGCGCGGCCTCCAATAAGCTCTTGAATCGCTGGATATGTCACTGGATCCACTGCGTTGCGAAAAGTACCTGATTCCTACGCCGAGGTTTGGATCTCGCGAAACTGCTGTACTAGAGTACCGAAAGACATGGTGTATCGTATGCAGATGAGTCTGTATATGATGCACGCATGCCAGCGTATGCTTTACATTTGAACAGAGCTCAAGTCGGCAAACTTGGTATGCGTTGCGCGGGGATCTGAATCGTTTCCATTGCTATTCCCAGAGACACCATTCCACATATACTCTTTATAGCTGCCTGCAGATGTGGATCTCTATTGCCTTACACATAAACGGAATCTGTACCGCTTCAATGGAGCAACGCAGAAACGCGCAAGCGCATGCCTGCCTACCATGGCTGCACTCGAGAGCGCTCCGCGCCCAAGCATAGACCTCTGGAGTCTTTACAGGTGCAGGATCGCTGTATCTAATCAAGGATCTCTGAGTCCACGACGGTGACAGCAACCAGGGAAACGACCGGCACTATATTCCAAACTCCCTCAAGTCCTCTGGCCACAACCCGGACTTCCCTCTGAAAATGTTCGTTCGTTCGTTCGTTCGTTCGTTCAAACGATCCTGCGGGATCCGAGCCTATCGTCAGCTTCTGCTGCAGCGTCGAAAGCACTGAGGCAGAATTCGCACGGAGGCAGAGCGGCTTTGCTGTACCCTTGCGGGCATCGGCGATAGTAGGCCGTTGGATCCTGGAAAAGGCTTCGACAATGCGGTTCATGGGAGCGGCATACAACCCCTGACCATAGAGCTAAGCTGCGCATTTTCGAGTGCGGCAAGCACTCTCTCCTTATCATTCAACTGTTTTGTGATTTCTTGCCAATGCACATGGGTATCGGGCGTTACGAGCACTTTTAGTCGCAGGGCATACGGCGATTTTCCCACTTCGGGCAGTGCAGAGACGCAGGTCGGCGAAAGTCCGAGGTCAACAAGCCGCTGGCGTATGCAAAGACCAATAAGGGCAGCTAGACTGCAGTGCGGGACCGTTGGTGTAAACGATACCAGAAGAAACCGTCGCCGAGAGCTCTCCGAAACGGACTCGGGAGTCACTACAGCGAGCTCCTCGAGCGTGTTTGGGTGCTCTGGGTCTCGAATGTCACGAATCGCTTCAAAAACTTGTGCTGTAAAGGGAGTCCCTGGTGCAGGTGGCCATTTCCGTGTGGAGCGATCCACTTGATGAACGGTCGGCGCCGCGTTATCTAGTGGCATCCGCGCGTTACCTGTTTTGCTTAAAAGAAGCTTTCGACGGTAGTGAAACAAGAACCTAATTTCTGGCTGAGGATGAAGACAGGAAAAGACCACTTATGTCTATCGAGCGAGTGGGCACAATGGCGCACGTGCGTACACAGAAACTGCAGGTTTTTCAGACGAACGAACACCAGTGCTCCACGAGATTGGGAATATGTGTAGAGCGCGTTCCTGCCGCTCGCTAGTTGCGCCCGGGTGCAAGCGGCGCGACGAAGTTTGTAGCCTGCGCACTGGAAAAAGGCCATGGAAAGAGGGAGGCTTGTCACGTCTAGCTTTCAAAATACGGCCTTGCTACTATACGATCGTCATTCTACGGTTAAAATATTGATGAACAGCTCGTCTTCAAGTATTTGTTATTAACGTCGTGCAGCCAAACCAGATATTCGCAGGCTCTACCTACGTGGATGTCGCTTAGAAAATTTGCGCCACTCCATAGGTATGCTAGGAAATGCTGCCACTGCAACCACAGGTTGGACATTTTCGGTACCATTGATAAGAATGTTGATGGAAAGAAACAGCTGGACAAAGAAAACAGCATGTATCTGTGGGAGATCTTCGCGTGTTCAATAACGCACTGTGTGTTTCGTAAAGAAACGCGAACTTGGACCACAGGAACGAACTGCGATCGTCTCACTCGATGAAACTTCATTCGGGAGAAATGGAAGACCCGAATTTGGGAACTCGAAGGCGGGAAATCCGGTGTTCGTGAAGAAGACGCTAGTGATCATCAAGAAAACATCAGCCCTGGTTGCGATCCAGGCGTCTCGTTGCCTACAGGTATGCAAACAGACAGAATGGTCCAGCAGCATATACTCGTTTTAGACACCGTCGCTTTTCGTTGCTCTAAGGCGTCAAAAGAGCACGCGACTGAGCTTCGAGTTGAGTACCGCTTCATATCAGTCTGTGGTCCCGCGCTCAATCCAGAAAAATTTCTGTTCGCTGCTGTTATACGCCGCGTTTTCGCTCATGGAGCAATGGACCAGCGGTTGACATTCATGGCACCGCTCTTCGCTAAGACATGCCCTAACTTCGCCAGCGCTGATCTGCCATGGTTCTCCACTGTTTGTGCGCGGGATGGAGTAGGGAGGCGTGCATCGCTGCGCTGGTGCGCCTGCAACCGAGACAGTGACGGAAAGGTACGTAAGGAATAGCAGATACATGTATAGAAGAGACGCGCCACTGTGCCACCGTCCATCAGGTGCGTCTGAATCCCGAAGACAGGAACGGCTGAAGATCATAGCGACCTTATGCATGGTATCCCCAGGGTCAAATATGGGAAACGATACCGACTTGCAAGAAGAGGAAGATCCGCTTGAACAGAGGAGAACGAGCAGCGTGAAGGGGAAGCGTTCGGGGGAGAAACATAAATCTGAAATCGTGCTCTGCGTCTCCCCACGATAAAACTTCAACTGCGAGAATCTTCCAAAGTATAAAATTCAGGGCGCCATCGGGGCTCGAAATGCTTCGCATTCGAAGAAGGCTTACCTGGCCTCCCCCGCGTGAACAAAATTCGCAAATCAAGTGTCTTTTGGGGAGCTCCAGAAGCACTGCTGCTGGAAATCCACATTCCACTAGAGCTTTTCAGTCAAACTCTCATGCGACATCGCAACTGGCGCGTGTGGCTGAAGATGCAACACGGCCTGACTGTCAAACCCGCGATTTGTTCATACATGTTGTCCGGTCGATGTTCATGCGTCGCCATGCCTCGTCGGCGATCGAAAAAAACCTACAGCGCACGTGCCCAGAAATATCAGACCAACCTCGAAAACCGAAACCGTGCGCGGGACAAGGTCAAAATGGAGCGCTCCGTGGACGTTGGACCCTCAGGTTCCTGGTTGAGAAAAGTCGGGACACATGGAGAGAATGCTTCGCATATCGAAGAAGGTCAATGAGGAGCTTCTGGTGCCGAAAGCGATCGAGGTGGTCGCGAGTTCCGAGGAAACGTCACTGAGAGCGCACAAGTCGATCCCGATCCTCAAAGCTCATCGTATTGCTGGCAGCCTGATACCGACGGACATCGTACCCACGGGTTGGTCGAAACGTGGTACGTGCCCTCCTCGCACCTTGTGCTACAGCCTCAGCATGAACAGGTTCCGCGAGAGAAAAGCGCCCTTGCTCTCCGAATGCGAGCGCCCCAGCCTCCTCTAGCGACCACCTGGGACAGCCACCATATGCGTCGCCGAGAGTTCCTCTGCGTCGCGGTCGACAATCTTGCAGTGTACTGCATAGTCTGCGCAGAGAGCGACCGCTGGTCTCTGTGGACAACGCTGCTAAGAGCACGAACGAAGCATGTTCAGGGTTGCCTGCTCACAGTGAGGAAACGGAAAGCAGGTTCCTGGTACCATGGAGACCGACGGAATACCAGTCTACGTGCATATTGCCAGTCTGAGCCCTGAATCGAGCAGCGAGACTCGCGGCGAAGCGTTCATCGTGGTTGGAGAGAGAGCCTTTGGCATGCGCATGGGTCTCACACCGAAGGCACTCGTGGCCGTCGCGGTGCTTCCACATCGACGGGACGTATCCAAAGACCTGCACAGAACGCATATCAAGCTGCGCAGCGATTCCAGTGCTCGGTGCTATGTGCGGCGGGGCAATACGTGTGCCAGAGGGCCTACGAGCCAGCATCACGAAGGCGCCAGCGCGCGTCTCGATGCGCCCCGCACCGTATCAAGGCGGGGGTCACGCTTTGTAGGCTTCATTCGGAGAGCCAGTGCAGGCCCGAGTCCCACATGCGGGAGACCGGTGGCGGGCGTACCTGGGACCGCGCTCGCGTCGTCCACGACGCTTTTGTACGGCGGCACGCAGCGTGTATTCAGCTGCTCGTGCAGTGCGCTCGAAATGGAAGCGACCGATCATGCGCGTCACTTCGGTGCTTCCTATAGCGCTGGATGTGCTGTTGTGTGCAGAGGCCGCACTCGTGCCCTGTGGACGAGAGCGCAGTGTGAGTGCATGTCTCGGTTCTGTGCGGTATCCATCGACGCGTTTAGGATGACGCACGCGCACCACGAGCACTGGTGCACGCTGGAACAGGGAGTAAAGACGAGCATAGAAGTGAGCTGGGTGCCCGAAACGGGGCAAGCCGAGTTTACCAGACTATGGCAGACGCCGCAGTGCGAGGCGATCGGACTGTGACGGATTGATTCTTCTGCCGGGAGCGATGCGTGCGATCCTTTTTTGCTGCTCTGAGACATCAACGCCTTTATCAGCATCCGGAGATGTGCCGAGCTGCCGAAGCGTCCAGCAGGCTTGGGTCGCGCGAAACTATGTGAAAATCGTTCAGCATACCGTGTGAGCGTTGTCCCCGAGCGCTGGCGAATCAGACTTGGGAAGAATCGGCTGTCATGCGTGGCGTGATTGAATGATTCTCATCCAGAGGCGGGACAGGCGTGGTGCTGTTCAGCACTCCCGGACGGTTGATGCGCCATATCTGTAGAAAACGCGTATGATTTTGCTGAGCGATTCATGAGTGATACTGGTGTCGAAATAGTCAATATTAGAGAGCATACGATCCTTTCTGGCTCATGACCGGCGCTCTCACCTACAATGGGGCACTAAGGGCGTCAGCGGTGCACAATATCCTATGACGTTTCTTAAAAGCCTGTTTCTCAGCTTCTCGAACAATCTCTGGATTGGACTGTAGCAGTGGTCCTCTTCGAATCGTGTGTACAAGCATACTATTGGTGACCGTCGCTTCGTTTCCGTGTACGCAGTTGGGAATGCAGCACTGCTGATATTCTTAGGTGATGCTCCAGTCGCAGCTGTGATGCGGCTGCCTGCATCACGCTGGAGGCGGCAGTGGCGGCGACCTGCTCTGATCGCTATGCCATAGGGGGCGCGCGCTAGCCGATCACCAGAAAAATGATGGATAAATAGGCATGAAATGGACAATATGGTGGACAAACGTAGAATCGCGTCCAAGCGGATTGACTGTAAGCGTCTATTGTCGTTGGAGGTCAGGGTACGAAACTCGCTCTTCAGGCAGAGGAAGCGACGCGTTATGTCTCTTGCCGAGCACCAATTCTTGGGGCGGTCAAGTAGTCTAGATAATGCGAATTTTTCTCGAAGCAGCTCGTCTCTTGGCTTTATAAACGCTCTAGTACGTCGAGATGCGGGGCAGGGGAGCTGTCCACACTGGCAGTCGAAGGCACTGGGGCTGGGCGGGGAAAACGGTTTCACACCTGCTTCCTGTGTTCCTCGAACGTGTCGGCGAAAGATTAGTTTCCCTATTTTGGGGCGTTTCTGCCGGCGCAGTTCCCTGTTGCTTGCCGCTGGTCCCGTCACAGCGGTGAACGACGCGGCGCACCCCGACTTGGACGCTAGCGGTGAAGCGGGACCCGCGGCCAGCTCTCAGCCACTCGTGCGAGCGGAGTTAACGCTGCAGCCTGTTGCGCCATCAAGGGAAAGTATAACCGTCGCGAGGAAGCTGGAATCGAGTCGGCTCGTCAGCGAGGCTCTGGCAGCGGAACGATCTGGTCACTGGCAGGTCGCTGTAGCACGCTATGAACAAGCGCTTGTTCTGTGCCCGTCAGAAGGGAAGGTTTGGATGCTTCTCGCACGTGGCTGGGAGCGTCAGCGTCACTTTGATCAGGCTCGAAATACGCTTCGCAGAGGTATTCAGTCCAATCCTGGTAACCCTTTTCTGATCCAGGCCCTAGCAGACCTCGAAAAGTTGTTACGGAACTGGGAACGCGCTCGAAAGCTTTTCGCACAGACCCTGGAGGTTGAACCGAAATTTCTCTCTGCATACAACTCCTGGGCGATGATGGAGGATGAACTGGGCAACGTCCAACGGGCATACGAATTGCTCGTTCGGGGACTTCGCCTCGACCCGAGCTCCACTCGCCTCCTGAGATCGCTCGCTGTCCTTGAAGACAAATATGGACGGAGCAAGTTCGCGCGCAACCTCTTAGACAAAGCCCTGGAAAATGAGCACGAGAATGTACATCTGCTACACGCAGTAGGTGTTCTCGAGTTTAAGCAGGGAAATCCGGCCAAGGCAAGGGCTTCGTTCCTCAAGGCAATCTCGGCAGATCCCTCGTTTATGCAGGCGTATCTCTCGCTCGCACAAATGGAGGAATACCTCGGTAATATTAGTGCGGCGAGACAAGCCTACATCAAGGGCCTCGCTGAGGCACGAGCTCGACCGCAGCCCAGTAACATCCAGCTTGACGGCGTCGGTGGCCCCGTTGCGCTGTGGCAGGCCTATGCACGCCTCGAAGAAAAGTGCAAGAACTTACGCAGCGCGAGACGCGTTTACGCAGAGGCAGTGGCACGCTTCCCGAGCGATGTTCGTCTTCATTGCGAATATGCAAAACTCGAACTTCGTCTGGGAAATCTGAAGACTGCACGGAATCTGCTGTCCCGGGCTATCGAGGTGGACGATGGATACCCCTACGCCTACCAGTATCTGGGTTTGGTAGAGCAGGCCGACATGCGCATAGACGCTGCTCGCAACATCTACTCGAGGGGGATCGAACGCTGCAGTGCAGCCAACAGTGAGAGTCGATACCCAATAGACACTGCTTCTCTGTATCACAGCTGGGCCTTGATGGAATGGAAATGCGGTGACGTTACAAGTGCGCGCAATCTTTTTGAGCGTGGCCTCAAAGTTGACCGCTCAGCTGGGTGGCTTTGGGCTTCATACGCGCGGTTTGAGGCCGATCTCGGTAACGACGACCTCGCTCAACACTACTACGCGCGAGCGGTGAACGCTTCTCCCAAGGATCCAGCCATCTGGAATTCATGGGCTGCATTCGAACGACGTCGCTGTAATCAGGAACGTGCCGACACCTACGCGAAACGTGCCCTCGAGCTACGACGCTTTGATCAGACGCGCGGTATGGATCCCATTCGACCGCTTGCTCGCCGTCGTTTCAAGGCTTAAAAGCGGCAAGCACAGAACGAAGCACACTCTCTCATGTGTAAATGCGTCCTTGTCCTATTTGTTATATGCCAGTGAGTCCCCGCGGTATTCGCGACGCGCGTGGTTGCGGCTCTGGTCGCCTGTAGTCCGCATTGCCTTGTCAGTATCTCGCTGGAAGTATAATGCGCGAAGCTGTCTACATCCTTGCCAGAATAAAATGGAACGGGTCCACTTTCCTAACTCGTGCGTGCAATCTCAAGTTTGAGTCCATACCCACTGTCACCAACATCAGCCTTTTCAGCTTTTATCAGAGACTGCTTCATTTCCTCTTTGTTATATCCGGCGTTCAATACGTCGGTCTCTCGTTTCCCTCCAGCTGGGTTATCGACAGCCGAATGATGTTGATGGCTGCGTTGCAGTCCCGAGTTAGCTGCTTCCAGCTGTTGTCGACGTATTTCATGCGCAGACGGCAGATGTGATTTACCCTACACCTCATATTTCCATCATCTTTGTGCGCTGCCTTGACGTGCCCTTTCCAACGGCAGGATATGACTCTGGTCAGGCATTCCCGGACATCCATCGCTTCTCCTGTTTTGAGCGTTGCCCTTTCATGCCAGAAGGCCCACTTCAATGCTCGGTGTATGCCAATGGCAGCTATGAAGCGCTACTTGCCAGGACCTTCTCGGTTTCCGCGCCCGATGTCGTACCCAATGATAACGGGCTTCTTGAAGGTGATCCCCTCGACGAGTCCTCTGTCCGCTACGCACGGAATAGTGCATTGCTCCATTCGAAATAAGCGTCTCGGAACGCGATTTCCTCCATTACGAAACACGCAACGGAAGGCAGATATAAGCTGGAGAACAAGTCGAGAGATTTCGATTCGTCTACGCTCCCTCCGTACAAACAGGTGACGGAATTTCCACGAAAAGCGGTTGCCGCGAGGATGCAAATCCGAGTCCTTGACCCTTTCTGATGCAGAGAGAAAATACGAGAGCCCCCAGGAACATATCTCGTGAAAGATATCACGTTGTTACGGAATGCAGTTTGTTCTATGTCCACATAAAGAGGACGAGTCCTCATCCGGCTGAGATCGTTTATTTGTCGTGAGACGTTCAGAAAACCTTCGGCATAAGCTTGTCAAAATACTCATCGAGAAGCGACTTTGACTCTTTCGTCGTCTATCTAGCGGCGCAAATTGCCACGCATATGACCTGCCCTGAAACAGAAACATAGATAAATAGAAGATTTCCGGATTTGAGCATAGTATACGTGCGGAAAGGAGAGCACCGGAAGCTTTTTGGAATGAAGTCGATAATGATATCGGGCAATTTGCGGACCCTTCTTAACAGGCGTCGTGGATCATCTTGATTCCAACGACCGAAGAAATGACAGTTTAACAGAGGAGAAAAAGCCGTTCCACCGAGACGTCGGAGCATCTTAAAGCTACGTATGAATCCCCGATTTCCTATTGCTGCACTTTGAATGCCGAGGCTGCGCAACTAAAAACGTTTAGGAAAAAAGGTCAACGACGGAACAGAGCGCTCTGTTCAGAGTTCCATTTTATTCTAACCACGCATCGTGCCTGACGCTCGCGCAGCAAACATCGACTGTTGACGCCGGTGGTGCCCATGAAGAAGCGGGAATCACTGTACCCTAAGACACACCACAAGTCAGTGATGCAAAAGAGCTGCACGACCATGGAGTGCAAATTAATATCTATCCGCAGACGCCGCCTCCCAGCCTTTTTGCGACCGGCCCCCTACCGTCGGTTTCAGCCTCCCCTTGCACACTTCGAGCCTGGGATGCTGCCCTGCAAAGTTTGCGCGAGTCAGCTCCGCTGGTCTCGTCTTCAGCACCGCGTATCTTCTGATTTTGATGGGGGCGTTGAGGTTTCCGTTCATGAGCTTGTTGCCTGTATTGACGCTGGTGGTGCTCATCAATGCAGGGATTCTCCGAGCTCGCAGCCTCTGTGCAACGACAGGCTCGTCATCGTCCCGTGGGACAAACATCTTTTCTGGCATATTGCCCCTCTTCAGCTTCTTCATTTGCGCTTCTTCGCTTGATGGTTGGCGAAAAGGGGATATTTTCGCATTTATGTCGAACCGGGCGATGACGGTCCTCCAGGATTCCCGACTACAACGTCCATACCTATCTCATGGCCTTTTCTTTCTACAAAATGAACGCACTTCGAACACATCTGCTGTAAATGGCGAAAATGCATTTGATGACACGCACCTGGGGGTCGAGTCTAGTAGAGGTAAACGGCAGTTAGCGGTCCACGAGTTCACTTTGGCGGCCCAGAACGTGCACCAGGCCCAGGACGTGCACCAGGTCCAGGACGTGCACCAGGTCCAGAACGTGCACCAGGTCCAGGACGTGCACCAGGCCCAGGACGTGCACCAGGTCCAGGACGTGCACCAGGTCCAGGACGTGTACGTGATCCAGGGCGAGTACCGGAGCGGGGCGCGTTGGACGCGTTCACGTTCGTGGGTTTTTCGTCTCGTTTCACGGCTTCACGCATTTTGGTCTCGCAGTACTGCACGAGGTCTACACCTACGATGCGAGTTGCGTCCTCAATGAAGCTCGCTAGTGGCAAATCTTTTTTTGTTACGAGAGAGGTAACGGTGCCGGTTCCCGAGGGACCCCGAGCGGTGCGCCCGGCCCGATGCAAGTAGTCTATGGCAGTGCGCGGAAAATCGAAGAGTATCACTTGATCTATCTTGTGGTCGTAGTCGAGTCCCCGTGCCGCAATGTCAGTGCAAACGAGAATCTGCCGTTCGCCTCGTACAAAAGCTTGAAATTCTTCTTCGCGCCTGTCTTTCGGGATGTCACCATGGTAATTCGCTGTAGTGAAGCCGTGCTCCTGCAGAAAATAGTCCAGAAATCTACAACTGTCGACCGTATTGCAGAACACCATAACTCGTCCTCCGGAGAGCAAACGGGTTTTCTTATGAGTCTCCTCCTTGAGAAGCGCGAGGATTTCATCGGTCTTGCCGTTCGCACCGCTCACACGAATAAACCTCTGACGCAGGTTCGATGGTGTCTGGTGGAGATCCACAGTGATGGGTTTTGCACCTGGACAGAACTCTCTGTAGAGCTTCTGCGCTGCAGTGGGGTGCGTCGCTCCGACGGCGATGAACTGCTGCGTATTGCGGGCTTTTCCCATGATTTGTCGAATATCGTCGTGGAATCCTCCCTCATCCAGCAGCAGTGTATCTACTTCGTCGAGAACGACAGTTTGCACAGATCGCAGTCGAATGAGTTGCTCGTCCAGGAGCTGCAGTAGACGTCCACTTGTCGTGATCAGGATGTCGACAGGCTGCTCTTCCAACTGCGCGCGAACTATGCGACGGACGCCCAGACCCGAAGCCGCACGAATTTTGATATAGTGCGATAGGTGCTTGCAGACTCCAAGCACTTGCTCTGCAAGCTCTCGAGTCGGCGTAATGACTAACGCTCGCGGTGCACCTGGTCTGCGCAGGGGATGCCGCCCACGCCGCATCATTTCAGCCGCTTCCTCTGTCTGCATTTCCGAGACGACCTGCTGTTCTTCGCTTTTGAGTCTTTGTACTATTGGGAGCAAGTAGGCAAGGGTCTTGCCTGAACCTGTCGCAGATCCGATGATAACGCTGGCTCCTCCGAGAATCGCAGGAACGGCGCGGGTCTGAATGGCAGTTGGGGTCTGGATGCCCACCGCATCGAGTGCTGTAACGAGTTCCGGGAAAACACCCAGGGAGGCGAATGAGGATGTCAGATTCAGAGGCGCTGACCTCTCACTGCGCCGGCAGCTGCGCCGCTTAGCATACCACAGAGACGGAGCAGGATTTATGAGACCTGGTACCCGCACAAGGGCCGCACGGCGCAGCCTGGAACAGTGAGCGCCCCCCGTATGCAACGAATTGCAGCTGCCAGCACCTATCGTCTTATGATGATCGCACCTCCAAGCCGGCAGGGGTGCCAGGAAACCGAGAAAAGCCCAAGTCATGATTTGGCACCTACTTCTCTGGGAGCGCGTATCTAGGCTGCGGCGCACGGTTGGCAGTCCAGAGTTATCACGGCTCTGGTACACAATGCAGGTGCTGTGCCCAAGCTCCCAATAAGCTCAAAGCGCCCGCCGAACACTGCGTCGCTTGCTTCACAAGTTCAGACCGTACCTTTCCTGGTTACGGCCGTAGTGTTCGTTGACCAGGTAACGTGAGCCAGAGCTGGACGGAGTTCTGTACTATATCGTTTGTTGAAATGTTCGTTTGGCTGTCGTCCTGCCCGCTGTGGTTGCCAATCGATGGCCTTTCCAAGTAAAACGAGGAACTTGCTGATCAAAGTATGTAGAACAGCAATATTGTTAGTCGTGCCTCCAGAACTTTGCAGTTCAGGCCGAAGTACAGACCGCGCGACCCGATCCGCGGTTATAGTCTTTCAACTCAGTTCTGTTCCAGCCCGCCGCTGCGTGGAATCGAATGCTTGTTAGGACTGTATAGCAGGACATCGAAATCACGATGCATTGTACTGCATGGATCGTGGACGGATTTCCTCTCGGATATGTTCTTTACTGAACAGTGCAAGGAGGACTGCATTCATCGTTCAGATCAGTCATACCACAGTGCTCAGACGGTTGCGGCACACTGAAAGAAACAAGTACGTGTGCTCCGCGCCAATCACCGATTTTCTCAAAGGCAATTAGCGGTCACAGGTAGAAAATCGACCCGTTGATCAGCGTACGGAGAGCAAAAGCGAAGACAGTAGACACCAGGGGCGTCTCCGTTTCTCAACAGCTGGTTCGTGTGATTCTGAAAAGACCGGGAAACAATCGCCAAAACAGAGTGCTGGTCTAGTCACGGACATGTTCCACTGAAATCGCAACGATAAAGTTCCTGGGACGCTGCGATCGGTAAAAGGTACAGGGACACCGCGGTTTGTTCTTTCAGTCGATGTGACCTCCTTGAGACGAAACCGTCGGAGCCGACATGGATATTCGCGGCGGGGTCCTGCAGTATGTTTGATCGAGCTCGAGGAGAGCGACGTCATCATCATCATCTAATCTTGCTGCCGCGGACTCAACCGGCAGCCTCGCTTTCGCTCGTAGAGAGGTTGCATACAACAGCACCAACCACCTTGTCAAACCATCGAAGGCTATTCCTTCACGTCTTGCAACGTTCTCAGAGTGGACGATGTGGTATTTCACCATTCCGTTTGCGTTCGAGCCGTTGCCGATTCTGTAGGTCTAGGCCTGCTTCCCATTCATCCGTAGCGCCCGTGGTTCAACCTCATCCAAGGAGTGATTTCTATCGCGAAACGTAACGATCGCTCCACTGGGCGAATCGGTGCAGCGTTCAGCACACAGTGACACATCGGGGCGCATGTCGTCTTTCGCCCGCAAGTACGTGTTCCTCTGGGAGGGTTGTCACCGAGGGACACGAAGAGGTGTGCTCATTTTGAAAAGGTCAGGAATGAGCTGGGACGTCCATTTCAGACAGTCGAGCTGGAAATAAGGCGGCGGAGCGCTTCGGCGACAGAAAAGTACCGAGAGCTGACAGAACGACGAATGGCACTGAGGGCACGAGAGCGAGGACTCCTTGCATACGTGAGTCCATCCAGAGGAAATAAAGGCATGGAATTTGTGAACCGAAAGTATAGCGCTGCTGTCTATACCAGACGATATGTTGTGCTGAAGGCGAGAGGCGAGGTGCTGAAGCGATCCAACTTCGTGGAGCAGCTTGTTTGACCCGAATCGTCCAGGAAAGAGCTGGAGCCGATATCAGTGGGCGGGTCGAAAGGGCTAGGAGGCGTCTGCATGCGAGTAGATACATATACCCTCTATGGCTGTCAAGCGTCTATCGTTTTGCTGACATCTACGAGAAAACATCGACACAGAGGCATCAGGGATGATGACCGAAACAGTGCACAGCGATCTCTTTAGGGCACCATCGCTCACACGCAATCGCAGTGATGGGCGCTGCGCTCTGTAATGACACCGCCGCTGCCGCCGCTACCGCCGCCGCCGCACGTTGATGCACTCCCCGAATGTCATATCATGCTGCTGGCGAGGAGGGTGTGAAAGATCCACGAGCTGTGGGGATAAAGCATTTGGCAGCGTTTGTTCGTGTGGGTTGTTCACGGAAGCACGCACACGGAATGACTTCTCTAGGTTTCGCGACCCCGCCGTTCGTGGGGAAGTATGGTGGTCGTCAAAGCGGTTATGAAGGCTGGCATAATCGGAGCTTCTTGCACGGAGGTGAACGGAGTTGTGCGAAGCGGACTTTCCGTGTTCGGGAAAGTCGCAGTTCCAGCGCCCGGATCTACATGATGCCAGTCGGAGTGCCGAAAGTCGCTTTTCGTGTTCCGGGAGGAACTCAGGCTGAGTGGGTGGATATTTACAACCGTATGTACCGAGAACGTATCATTTTTCTAGGGAGCGAGTTAGACGACGAGCTTGCGAACCAAATTATCGCCGTGATGCTCTATCTTGACTCCGAGGACAATACAAAGCCTATCTATCTCTACATCAACTCACCCGGAGGCTCCGTAGTAGCGGGTCTTGCAGTGTACGACACGATGCGACATATCAAGTCCGAGGTCGTGACAATAAACGTTGGCCTTGCTGCGTCTATGTCGAGCTTTCTGCTTGCTGCCGGGGAGAAGGGCAAGCGTTTTGCCCTGCCGCACTCTCGGGTCATGATTCACCAACCGCTCGGCGGAGCGCAAGGGCAGGCGTCAGACCTCAAAGTTGAGGCAGAGCAGATTTTGCGCATTCGAGATGCACTTACGTACGAATACTCGAAGATGACTGGACAACCGTACGAAAAACTGATCCGGGATATGAGCAGAGACAATTTCATGTCAGCGCAGGAGGCCGTCGAGTATGGTCTGATTGATCGCGTCATCGAAGGTAAGGCACAGTAGATGAGCGGCCGACAGTGCGGATCCCTTCGTTTCACGGGAAGCAAGCAGGAGATTGTCATCAGATCAGTCACGCCGGGTACTGGACAGCTCGCGCGGGGTTTTGTTGGCGTGTTCTGCGAATGGTGCAACGCTTGGCGCCCAGTGGATGCTATAGTTGCGCATGCAGTCCCCGCGAAGGTGGCTTTTGGGACTGTGCTCTGCCAGATCGTCAAAGAACTGCTGCTTTGGAGGCATGGCCCTGATGTCGATCCCGCAGAATGACTTGGTATGGAAGAACACGAGCAGGTTTGGCAAAGGCAAATTAAACGATCTGTTCTTCGTGACATTGTATGCGATAGAGAGAAGCCTCGGAATTCAATGGTGAAACTCTAACACGGAAGCGCTCACAGCAGCGACTTGCGTGAGTTTGTAGCCCATTCAATGGTTGGGCACTGGTTTTGCGCGACATAAAGCAGGCGTATGTATGTAGAGGACCCGGAATCATCCATAAGCTTTCGTCTGTTAGAGCGTTCCGCTCTTGCCTGTAGCACACGGTGCGATCAGACCGGCGTAAAAAGTAGAAGAATTTTGTGTTGGATCCCGCGCTGAATTATATGACTGTTTCACCTTGGTATTGCCGCAAAAAGACACCAGCAGCGTGTCCATCGAGCAAATATGCAATAGAAGCAACGCGCAGCCGGCGCGATAAACCCTCAGGTTCCTGGTTGAGAAAAGTCGGGACACATGGAGAGAATGCTTCGCATATCGAAGAAGGTCAATGAGGAGCTTCTGGTGCCGAAAGCGATCGAGGTGGTCGCGAGTTCCGAGGAAACGTCACTGAGAGCGCACAAGTCGATCCCGATCCTCAAAGCTCATCGTATTGCTGGCAGCCTGATACCGACGGACATCGTACCCACGGGTTGGTTGAAACGTGGTACGTGCCCTCCTCGCACCTTGTGCTACAGCCTCAGCATGAACAGGTTCCGCGAGAGAAAAGCGCCCTTGCTCTCCGAATGCGAGCGCCCCAGCCTCCTCTAGCGACCACCTGGGACAGCCACCATATGCGTCGCCGAGAGTTCCTCTGCGTCGCGGTCGACAATCTTGCAGTGTACTGCATAGTCTGCGCAGAGAGCGACCGCTGGTCTCTGTGGACAACGCTGCTAAGAGCACGAACGAAGCATGTTCAGGGTTGCCTGCTCACAGTGAGGAAACGGAAAGCAGGTTCCTGGTACCATGGAGACCGACGGAATACCAGTCTACGTGCATATTGCCAGTCTGAGCCCTGAATCGAGCAGCGAGACTCGCGGCGAAGCGTTCATCGTGGTTGGAGAGAGAGCCTTTGGCATGCGCATGGGTCTCACACCGAAGGCACTCGTGGCCGTCGCGGTGCTTCCACATCGACGGGACGTATCCAAAGACCTGCACAGAACGCATATCAAGCTGCGCAGCGATTCCAGTGCTCGGTGCTATGTGCGGCTGGGCAATACGTGTGCCAGAGGGCCTACGAGCCAGCGTCACGAAGGCGCCAGCGCGCGTCTCGATGCGCCCCGCACCGTATCAAGGCGGGGGTCACGCTTTGTAGGCTTCATTCGGAGAGCCAGTGCAGGCCCGAGTCCCACATGCGGGAGACCGGTGGCGGGCGTACCTGGGACCGCGCTCGCGTCGTCCACGACGCTTTTGTACGGCGGCACGCAGCGTGTATTCAGCTGCTCGTGCAGTGCGCTCGAAATGGAAGCGACCGATCATGCGCGTCACTTCGGTGCTTCCTATAGCGCTGGATGTGCTGTTGTGTGCAGAGGCCGCACTCGTGCCCTGTGGACGAGAGCGCAGTGTGAGTGCATGTCTCGGTTCTGTGCGGTATCCATCGACGCGTTTAGGATGACGCACGCGCACCACGAGCACTGGTGCACGCTGGAACAGGGAGTAAAGACGAGCATAGAAGTGAGCTGGGTGCCCGAAACGGGGCAAGCCGAGTTTACCAGACTATGGCAGACGCCGCAGTGCGAGGCGATCGGACTGTGACGGATTGATTCTTCTGCCGGGAGCGATGCGTGCGATCCTTTTTTGCTGCTCTGAGACATCAACGCCTTTATCAGCATCCGGAGATGTGCCGAGCTGCCGAAGCGTCCAGCAGGCTTGGGTCGCGCGAAACTATGTGAAAATCGTTCAGCATACCGTGTGAGCGTTGTCCCCGAGCGCTGGCGAATCAGACTTGGGAAGAATCGGCTGTCATGCGTGGCGTGATTGAATGATTCTCATCCAGAGGCGGGACAGGCGTGGTGCTGTTCAGCACTCCCGGACGGTTGATGCGCCATATCTGTAGAAAACGCGTATGATTTTGCTGAGCGATTCATGAGTGATACTGGTGTCGAAATAGTCAATATGAGTATGATCTCAAAACGAAAACGTTCGTCGACAAGGAAGGGTAAACATTTATACGACCGCTCGCATACGCCTCCCAGCCTTTTTGCGACCGGTTCCCTATCGTCGGTTTCAGCCTCCCCCTGCACACTTCGAGCCTGGGATGCTGCCTTACAAAGTTTGCGCGAGTCAGCTCCGATGGTCTCGTCTTCGGCACCGCATATCTTTTGATACTGATGGGGGCATTGAGGTTTCCGTTCATGAGCTTGTTGCCTGTATTGACGCTGATGGTGCTCATCAATGCAGGGATTCTCCGAGCTCGCAGCCTCTGTGCAACGACAGGCTCGTCATCATCCCGTGGGACGAACATCTCATCTGGCATATGCCCCCTTTTCTTCTCCGTAGTCGTCGTAAAATGCTCCCCGTCGCTCGATGGTCGGCAAGGACAGGATTTTTTTGTTTTCTCAGGCAATCGGCAATAGCGACCAATTGAAATCCCTGAGATCCGTATTCTTATCTTTCCGTTACAGTTTCTTTTCGTAGAAATGAACGTATATCGAACGCATCTGCTAAAAAGTGCGAGCAAGCATTTAATGACATGAGCTTAGAGCTGGCACACAATTCAGGTGAAAGGATATACATGAACACAGCTTGCATTGCTAGGAAGACGTCGAGCATTTTTACCGAGAATCATCACCGGAGGTTCATGGGAATTCATCATCATCATCATCATCATCATGATCATCATCATCACTGTCACTGCTGCATGGTATCGTGAAGCAAGATGCACTCCAACTGTACCGAAAAAATGGATCACACCCGTGATAGTGAACAGGAAACTGCCTCACGAGTGATTTATGCGGATTGCGCACGGCACGTTACAGATCTCAGGTGCTGTCTGTTTTGGCCGCATAGCCGAGACACGCACGCGTGCGCGCACTTCTGCCTTCAGCTCGACAGCAGTAGCACTTGTCGCTTATACTCTCGGCGGTAACAAACATTGTTCGATATGTTCTGGAAAAAGAAGGCACCTCCTATAACACAAGAGGAATACCAGAGTCGTCTGAATAGCCGCAGCGAGCTGGTTCGAGGCAAGCTGGAGACGATAGAGAAGGAGCTCTTTCGTTGTCGGCAGCAGATGCGGACGGCACCAAAGGGAAGCGCTGCCTACCGCACGGCCGAAGCACGCGCCCTGCTCTGCTTGAAACATCGGAAAATGCTCGAAAACCAAATGGGGGTCTACACAAACCAAACGCTAACAATGGATCAGGTACAGTTTGCGAACGAAAACCTCCGTATGGCGCGAGAGTCTGAGCAGCAAATGCGAGTCTCGCGGAAGCAGCTTGCAAAGCAGCTCAAACATACGAACGTGGACCGTCTTGAGGACGCTGCATATGAGCTTGCAGACGTGCTTCAGGATACAGACGAGGTGCAAGAGGTTCTCGGACGTTCCTACCACGTTGACGCCGAATTTGACGATGTGGAGCTTTTAGCTGAGCTTGACTCCCTCGAGTCGGAAATGGCACAGGACCAAATGATGCGTACAGAAAAAGGTTCCGTTCCCGTGTATCTCCAGGATCATGAAGAACCTGTGGAGGAATCCTCTAGGAATGCGCCTTGGCTTGGTGAATCGAAGTGGTCTCCTGAAATGGAACTGGCAACACGCGCGCCACCTGTACCACGTGATCCGCTACCGCGTTCCACAGTAGCTGGGGAAGCAGCTTCCGGACGGTCTCATGCACCTCAAGCAAACGAGGATGAACTTGCTTCCCTGAGACGCAGCATGGCGGTCTAAATGCGACGCTGCAGGTATTCAATAGCTCTATGTGCGAATGCACTAGCTTATATGCTCATTCATGAGATGCGCTCATGCCTTTGCGCAAAATTTGCCTTGGCCCATTAGAATTTACGAAAACGCTTTCACATGTCGGCATCCTCCTTTGACGGGCTTGTAGATCAACAGACTGAATGACCTGTGTCAATTTATGTCGCAGCCAATACGTGATGAATCGGGGATTCATTGTCTACAAGTACCTCATCTCTGCCGCCCTATCTTTTTACAGGGCTTTCTTCAAAGCAAAGAGATAGATCGCTGATGGCAGTCATTGAAGATCTCGAGATCATGATTCCGAATCGCGCAGTTTCTATTCAACATTTTCCACTCTCGAGCGAATTCCCAAGCGTATCCCCCGCCAGCTGATCGCCAATGAGCTTCAGTCTCCGGGGCAAGGGCCAATCGTGCGTCGATATTGTTGGAAAGCGATGGTTAAAGGACACGCATACCAAACAAGGGGTATCTTTTACAGTGGCAAAGCCTTCGCTCGTCACGAGTATTCAGTTCTGCCACACGTTTGTCTCCGACCTTGTCAAAGTCTTCTAAACCGGGCAAAACATCGAACGTAAAGCTATCTCTGGTGCGAATAATGGAACGAGGCATCGTGGCGAGCGGCAAATCTCGCTCTGTCGCGTGGCTTTGCGAGGCCTCTCGGGTCGTACATGACGAGCGCGTCCGCGATATTCCTAGAAATCTTAACAAGTGTTTCTAAGCGACAGGGCAGAAGCCCGGTTACCCATCTAATGCTCGACGACAAGCCGCAGTTCGTGTTCCGCGCGTGTCGGAAGAAGAATTCGCTGCCATCGCGAATACAACTTATAGTAGTACTATTGCGAATTGACAGAAGCCTCTGTCTGCGCAGTGGCGGACTGTTTCTACTTCTCAACTCAGTTCTGTTCCAACCCCCCGCTGCGTGGAATCGAATGCTTGTTAGGACTGTATAGCAGGACATCGAAATCACGATGCATTGTACTGCATGGATCGTGGACGGATTTCCTCTCGGATATGTTCTTTACTGAACAGTGCAAGGAGGACTGCATTCATCGTTCAGATCAGTCATACCACAGTGCTCAGACGGTTGCGGCACACTGAAAGAAACAAGTACGTGTGCTCCGCGCCAATCACCGATTTTCTCAAAGGCAATTAGCGGTCACAGGTAGAAAATCGACCCGTTGATCAGCGTACGGAGAGCAAAAGCGAAGACAGTAGACACCAGGGGCGTCTCCGTTTCTCAACAGCTGGTTCGTGTGATTCTGAAAAGACCGGGAAACAATCGCCAAAACAGAGTGCTGGTCTAGTCACGGACATGTTCCACTGAAATCGCAACGATAAAGTTCCTGGAACGCTGCGATCGGTAAAAAAAAGTACAGGGACACCGCGGTTTGTTCTTTCAGTCGATGTGACCTCCTTGAGACGAAACCGTCGGAGCCGACATGGATATTCGCGGCGGGGTCCTGCAGTATGTTTGATCGAGCTCGAGGAGAGCGACGTCATCATCATCATCTAATCTTGCTGCCGCGGACTCAACAGGCTGCCTCGCTTTCGCTCGTAGAGAGGTTGCATACAACAGCACCAACCACCTTGTCAAACCATCGAAGGCTATTCCTTCACGTCTTGCAACGTTCTCAGAGTGGACGATGTGGTATTTCACCATTCCGTTTGCGTTCGAGCCGTTGCCGATTCTGTAGGTCTAGGCCTGCTTCCCATTCATCCGTAGCGCCCGTGGTTCAACCTCATCCAAGGAGTGATTTCTATCGCGAAACGTAACGATCGCTCCACTGGGCGAATCGGTGCAGCGTTCAGCACACAGTGACACATCGGGGCGCATGTCGTCTTTCGCCCGCAAGTACGTGTTCCTCTGGGAGGGTTGTCACCGAGGGACACGAAGAGGTGTGCTCATTTTGAAAAGGTCAGGAATGAGCTGGGACGTCCATTTCAGACAGTCGAGCTGGAAATAAGGCGGCGGAGCGCTTCGGCGACAGAAAAGTACCGAGAGCTGACAGAACGACGAATGGCACTGAGGGCACGAGAGCGAGGACTCCTTGCATACGTGAGTCCATCCAGAGGAAATAAAGGCATGGAATTTGTGAACCGAAAGTATAGCGCTGCTGTCTATACCAGACGATATGTTGTGCTGAAGGCGAGAGGCGAGGTGCTGAAGCGATCCAACTTCGTGGAGCAGCTTGTTTGACCCGAATCGTCCAGGAAAGAGCTGGAGCCGATATCAGTGGGCGGGTCGAAAGGGCTAGGAGGCGTCTGCGGGTGGATATCAATTCGCCCATCATGCTCGTGAAACGGTTTGGTTCCACTGAGTCCGGAGCGAGCAGTTGGCGCCTCTCTGCTGGCTATATCGCGTATACGTCCCCGCGCGGAATGCTAAACACCACTCTAAAGAGTCTCAGAGGATATTGATGCACCATCATCTGTGAATCTCCTAGAATGCAATGTCGCGCACGCTGGAAAAGCCTTTCCACATAGCACTCCGCTCTCAGGCCCGATTAGAATGGATTCCTCAACTGCTCGGACTGCTCGGATCTTTCGAGTTTTTGCCGGTACCTTTTTAGGTGTACAGCGTCGCCGTTCAGAGAACGGCAATAAGGGATTACAAATTCATGTGTAGGTTGAGGATTCTCGGTCGTCTGTGCGGAATAAATTCTTCGACTCTTGGCTGCTGAAATCGGATCATCATCGGAATGAATATGGTTCGCTGTACCGTCGAGCAGGTGTAAGTAAAATAACCGCCATCATTATCCATTTCATTTGCGCGAGCGTCCACTCTCCTTTTCTTTTTACGTTTAGCACGCTAAAATCACGCATTGTCCATGTACTCGATCTTTCTGTTTCAAGGCAACTTGTGGGCGCAGTAATTCGCGCCTCTGGCTTGGCGAAGGAAGAAAATGCACGACGAGTCTTTCATACTTGTTCAAAACCTCCTGCCGAAACTTCACTGAACTGCTCACGTCAAATAATCGATGCCGCACGAATGACAAATCCGATTCTCCTTGTAGCCGTAGACGACTCGGCATGCGACAGGAGCTGGTACATGCAACAGGAATCGCTCGCACAGGCTCTTTTGACTTCTATTTGGGTGGCAAAGTGTCTTGGACGCTGACTTTCGTCCCTAAAACGATCGCTTCTGGAAGAAAGCACGTCACCACTCTGCAGGAAGGGAGCGTAGACCCATGGAAATTGCTCGGCTTGATCTCGAGTCTATATTCTCCTTCTTGTGCTTTTCTCATCATGGACAATTTCATATTATACGAATATTCTATCGAATTGAACAGCGTCCACTTTCGATGCTAACGGACAGAGTACTAACCGAAATCATTGTGACGACAAAGTCCATGATCTTATGGTGCGGCACCGGGCGAAGTAACTGTAGGATACATCGAGGGGTACCTTCTGTGCCCGTTAAGGGCAAGTACCGAGCTGTGAGGCAAGCATTCATTCGCTACAGAGCAGGGCTTTGAATACAAGATATGGTGGACATTTGGGAACATATGAGCATCATCACATATTAACGTTGTTAAGGGCGCACATTGGCTGCATCCAATGAAGGCGAAAATGGCAAGCGAAGCGGAGACGGCAATTTCGCTTGTGCATGACAGACGAAAGAAACAGCCGGAAGCAGCGTAATCAGTACTGAAGCACTGTTGTCAAAATGCTTCAACCGCATATTCCATAATAGGAGTCAAAGGAGAAACCTGTGTATGTAAATCATCAGCTATGAGGGAGGAAAAAGAGGCAGTCGCAGAAGAATCCTCTAGAGACAAGCGTCGACAATAATGGAGGAGACCCATAATTTAGAGTGCACGCCCGCGTTCGTGCACTTGTTCCGTTTCAGTCTGACCTGAGAGTAGAACGAAGCAAGTCCTGCCGGTTTGCGCAATGGCTGCTCTGGTGCAAGAGTTCCACAGTCCCGTCGACCCGCTCTGGTGCCGTACTTCAGCCGTCTAACTGCCTGTAGCGGGTGCACTGGATTCTACCAAGCATCCCTCAAACGGGATCATTGCTCCAGGCCTCGGTTACGATCTGCAGGTGGGCGCCTCTTCAATCGACTAGCCGGTCCAGCTGCACCAGAGTCCAGTGATCATCTCTCGCTTGGAAGGCTTGCTTCTGGACCCGCTGACGGGGAGCAGGACTAGTGCAGCTTCCAAGGAGCACCCGCCGCCGCTGGCGAGTTTCCTGGTACCGCAATAGCAGCGGCCGCTGCTTCGCTCGCGGATTCTCGCGGGTTACTGCCAGCCACAGCCGTTCAACGCTGCTCGACAAGCGCTTTGGCGTTGTGGTCAGTCCGAAGCAGACGATGCCCAGATTGTAACTGCATAGCGCCAAAATAATGCTAACGCGATACCACAACGCTCGGCGGCATCGCTATCATCTGGAACCTAGCCAGCGTGCGTTGCAGCAAAGTAAAGGTCTCGGCATCTAGCGCACTGGACGGCTCGTTTCCGAACAAGTATCGCTTGCCAGGGGAGCACGCTTTCCCTAAGTATTGCCTGGGTAGCTTCGCGTACTAGCGTCCAGTGCCGGTACGTATCATTTCCTAGCAAGCCAGATCGCGCTCTCCTAAACCTGAGCGGCAGCCATTCGCTCGCATTCCTCCAGATACTGAGCAAGTGACCAATCCACATCGACTGGTTCAATGTTATGATACCAGACCGCACCAGAAGCTTGAGATTGCATTCCAGCGGAAATCCGGAAACAGCTCCGACCGCCTGGATGCCATAAAAACCTTTGCGCTTGTATTTCTGGGACATTTTTCGCGAGATACTCCTGCAACGTGGCTACTGGACCATACACCTGGAGCTGACCTCTCTCACCACGCTCCACACGCAGTGTCTGCTCCGACTCGCAATAGAGTTCCAGGAAGCGATCATCGGGAACGTGTGCAATGCTCGCGGGTCCGTTCACGACGTGTACACGCCTCTGCTGATCTAAGAGCGTGAAACCCGCGTTCACGATCCTCCATATGCGATGGTACGAACCTGGCTGGCCAATAGCAGTGTTCAACAAAGCGCGAATACTCTGTTGAAGCGCGATCACGACCCAGTGGTTCGCGGGCGACGCTGCGGATACACTTGCCGAGTCTCGAGCTTCCCAGAACTTTTGGGCCCTTGCATAGAGCTCCGCAAAATGTGGACAGTTCTCGGGCTCCTTGCGATGAGTACGATACGCTTCAGCGTATTTGTCGTCAATGTCGCCCTGCTGTTGACTCTGCCAGGGCACGGAAACCTCCCAGAGCAGTTCGGCGTCCCAACGTGTCCAGTTCCTCCGTTTCGCTGCAAACGTGTCGAAGCACTTGGCAGTCTCCTGTGCTCGACTGAGCGTTGCCACCGCCAGTGTGTGAATTCTGTCTGCAGCACTCGCGGTAACCCACTTGGCCGTCTGTGCTGCCTGCCGAGGCCCTAGGGCTTTTCTGATCCCCGCAATCTGCTCGGTAATGCGTTGCAACGAGGCAGCACGGCGATGCTCAACCGCATCCATCGCCTGTTGTTCGTCGAGCGCGCTGGCGTAGGGTCCCCCGCTGATCCAACCGCTGCACGAGGCTGCTTGACAGAGGCACCGAATCGGAACAGAAGCGTCGCTCTCATTAAGATCCAGGTCGCGACGCGGTGATACCCGCTGCAGCAGCGACGTCTCCTCGGGGGCGGCAGCAGCAGCAGCGCGTCTCTCCATTCGGTAGTCGAAGGTGAGCTCCTCGCCAGCCGCGATATCACGACTGGCAAAGATACCGACGCGAACTTTGCCAAGCACGAGCCATTTCTGCGTGTGGCAGTTCGGCTCGCACGAGTGGTTCAGAAACCGACCCCAGGTTCCTTTGCGACTTGCATCGAGAAACGTGCTCTGGTCAAGCGTCATGAAATAGACATGTCGTTCGAGGGCGTGATCGCGCTTCCGGCGAGCAAGTTCCGTCGGGCCAATCACTTCACCCATGTACTCCACGATAAAGTCACTTTCTTGAGCGGCGCTCGGCTGCGGATACCACAACCTCGGCCGTTTGGACTGAAGAAGAGCTCCACAGGAGCATAGGCTTGTCGCTGGAATCGCATGTTGCCACATTGCGGATCCGTACTGCTCCGCGACCGAGCAACTGGGCATGTCGCCGGATTGCATTCCACGCACACAGTGCTGTTCAGGCAGACACCGGGTACACATGCTCCAATGCACTGACACACATCGGCATGTGCTGGTGCAACCGACGGTGGAACCAGATACTCGTTCGCCGTTAAATGGATAAACGGTGACGGTTTCCCGTTATCCGTATCCAGCATCCGCTGCTTCCTGTCCTCGAGAATGGCCAGTCGGTAGGAGAGCAGCGTATACCAGCTACGCTCGCCAAAGTCTCCAGCGGACAAACGGGACCAGTCCCAGTCTGGCAGTCGGAGACAAGTGGAAGGCTCAGCGGCGTCAGGTGCTGTCGACGGCCTTTCCTGCGACACGTCCACTGCTTCTACACTGGTGTGGAGAGGGTGCAAGCCCGCTGCAACCGACGCCTCCCGTCGCCGATTCTCCAATCCGTGGAGGAGCACCATGTAGGCAGCGCGATCGTCGGTATTGGTCAGGCGTCCAGCGACAAGCGGCAGTCGCCGGAGAACCGCCAGTAGTCGATCGAGTCCGCGGCGACTGGAGAAGCCCAAGGCATTGCAGACTCGTTGCAGAAACAGCTCGGACGATTCGCGCAAACAGGCTATGTGGCAGCTGGCCAGAAAGCGCATCACCGCTGGGAAGAAGGCATCTCGAACAACGCGCATCGTCTGTTGTGCAAGGGCGTCTTCGGTGAGAGTCTCGTCGCTGGACGAATCCTCGATGTCGTCTTCGCGCAGGCCCTCTGTCAGCAGTTCCCAGAGACGCCTCAGCAGGTCTGCCCAGGTCGATACTGCACTCGCTTCGCTGAGCGCTCGAAGCACGAGCTTGGAATCCGCACAACACAGACGGGTGAAGGTCTCCAAAAGTTGATGCCTGAGGGTGCTTGCGCCGTAGCGCTCCAGCTGCCGGGCCGAACTGGTGCCCCAGGCCTCCTTGCAGATCTTCTGGCAGTGCAGAAGCAGCGTGTACCCGCTGTTTGGCAACCAACACAGCTCCTGGGCAGCTACAAGATCAGGCCAGATGCGCACCATCGCCCAGAGCGCCGGATCGACCTCATCTGTCTCACCTCGGAGTCGTTCTTGATCGCTGCGGCTCAGCGAGTCAAGTAATCTCTCCACTGAGTAGAGACGGAAGAAGTGTTGCGCAATCCGCAGATCCGAGACCACAACCGAAAGCGCCGCCAGGTCGGAGTCGGTCATGAGCATCCAGCCACCCAGCAATAGCCGCAGATGCTCGTCGAGTTCCTCCGCGAGTCGCTCTCCCATGACGCTTTTCGGACTCGTGGAGGACTCCTGCTGGAGCAGGTCAACCCAATCGAGTACGGTCACGAGATGCTTTTGCATGAACGCAGGCGACGGGAGGAGCGCCTCCAGAACGCCACGAGCCAGGGACGCGTTCCGCTCTTGCCCAGAGGTCGCAGGTGGAAGCGCTCGTTGCTCCTTCGCCAGGTCACGGATTGCAGTATCGAGAAGATTTGATGCAGTAATGAACAAATTCAAAGCGATGAAAGAGGGATCGCCCAGGGTCTGCGGTACTTTCAGATGCTCCGCAGCGCCACTGGATGCATCGGTTACCAGCCTCGACGATTTCTCTGGGCTCGTCATCCGTTCCTCTTGCGGTGCGCGTGCGGCTTTTCGGTCAGCACCAACCAAGTCATGCAAGCGCTCGCAGATGTATGCCTGCAGCGTCGCAAGCAGTTCTCCGCGCCTCTGCAGGCAGGCAAGCAAGTGCTTTGTCTCTGGGTGCTCGCCATCACAGAGAAAAGTGACTGTCGAGAGCAGCTCTGCGAATACAGCTTCTGGCAATGCGGGCTGTTGCACAGTTACCCCAGCGGACGGCAATGATATCGCGTTGAGGCGCTGTGAGCGCTGCGCCCGACACTCGTGGACAATGAGTTCCAGCACGTCAACGCGGTCGAGACACGGTGATACTTGAAAGCAGACCGCATCTGTTGTCAAGTCGATCTTCAGCAGTGAGGCATAGAGCGTGAAGTCATTGAGCGCGAACAACTCCACTAGTTTTTTTGCAGCTTCTTGCCAGTCCGAGCGCTGCAGCAGCACCTCGTCGAGGCTTTGGGTATTCGGTGCCAGCACGGGGATGCTTTCAGCGTTAGGGCCAGGAGAGCGCCTCTGGGACAAAAGTTCAGCTGCAAAACAAGGACGTGTCGGTTTCTGTGGCGAACTCGACACCGAGCCCGTACACTCTGGAGCGTGAGCATTGGTTACCGAAACCGTGCCGTTTTTGCACCCTAGGGTTTCAGTCTTTTTCCGTTCGTCCTCGATAGGTGTGGGAAACTCCTGGGAACCACAGCGCAAGTGAACGTTACGAAGCGGATAACTTGCTTCTTTCCCAAAAAGCCGCAGCTTAATCCAGGTCTCACCGTCACGTTCTCGAATGGATTGGACGGTGCCGCTCTCCCAGAGTCCTTCTGCGGTGCGTACCTCGACGCAGCGACCTCGCTTCAGCCAAACTGGAAGCGCTACGGCAGCGTCAGTCGGGGTTGACGTTTTGCGCCCCAGCATCAGGTGGGCCCCCGAGCATGAAGCAACCCACGAATACGTATACACAAACCGCTACTCTGGAGAGCGTCTCGTTGATCAGGACGCTGCAAAGGCACCGCAGGGATCTGCCGAGTCGATATTCGAAAAGCCAAGGATAGAAGGGATTCCCGCGAGGCCGACGTACGCCTTAGCGGGTCGGGGCGTGGCGGAGCGTAGCCACGTTTGGCGCCACTGCCATGGAATGAAGCCAAAATCCAGCTCCTCCATGTGTCTCAGATTCGAGGAGATCATTGAACTGTTCGTTCTGTTTCCGATTTTGTATTTTTCAGCTCTTGTTTTAGTTGTACAGCCTTGGCATTCAAAGCGTGGCAATGAGAGGTTAGGGATGCATACGTCGTTCTAGGATTCGTGGTTGCATTTGTTTTCCAGAATGGCACAGATGACCCTCGATCACTGGAATCGGTTACGTCATGCGAATCGTGGTGATTCGCGGAAGCTCGCAAAGAATGGTTCGTAAAATGAGCGACAAAATTAATGGATTCATCAATAAGGGTCTCTATGAGGCTTTCCTTCGTACGTGTAGCATGTTCAAATCACGCATTCTTCAAGTTTTTTACGGTCTTCCTGGTCGACGGCAACTCGCGGGTGCAGCTGCTCGCGCGTCGCTCCGGATTACCGCGGATCAAATCGTACAGTCTTGCATTGACGACCGCTGTTCAAGCCTATCCCGAAAGTTGATGGAACTTGGCGGGTCGAATAATCGATGCTGTCGAAAAACAAATTCTCCAGTCTTTCTGAATACCCACGAAACTGCATTCTATAGCAGTAGGATACCAGTCGCGGGATCTGCTCGCAGCGGCTTCTGTCACTTCTCTTTGCACGAAAAAGCGCCCTGGACTCGCGCTTGCGTCATCGGGGCGATCGCTTCTGGCGGAGAATGCGTCAGCGCTTTGCGTGAAGGCAGCGCTGTCGGATCGGAGTTTCTCGACTTGATTTCCATCCCGAATTTTCGTCCCGTTCATTGTTTCATCATGAACAACATCGCGTTCCGACAATCCTCCATGGAATGGAACAGCGTGCGCTTGCGTGCGCAGCTGACGGAAGACTCGCCGAGGGTATCTCGCAGATAGAGCTTGTGATCCTGGGGTACAGCACCGAGCGCGGAAACGGAGTAAAGCATGTAGGGAAACCTTCTCTACCCGTCCAGGGCACGTACCGTGCAGTGAAACATGCGCTCATGTGCCAGAGAACGGCCGTTGGTAGAGAAAGTATTGCGGATACATTTGGGCACTTGACCTCCACCGAGTGTCACTGCTGCGCAGGACACACCGAGGGTACCATGCAAAGAAGAAGGCGATGGGAAAAGGATCGCAGATCTCAGCTTCCGTCCGCGCAAGCGATGCATTCCTACCAACCGAACATGGCGAAACTGGGGCTTGATCGCTGCGATCAAGCCTCAGTTTCTGCTGCTCTGCAAGGATGAAAAATAGCTTGAACGTTGCGGTCGGCTACAAAGTGCCAAGTTGCTTCCTGCAGGCACAGCATCTAAAACTTTGCATAGAGTACTGACCAGCGCGCTGAACCCGGCAAATGTTCCTGCAGCAGCGCTCCGCGCGGAATCGATACACAGCCGCACGCCATTCGCCTGCTACTGCGCCCAACCTTCGACCAGAGCAGTGTGTCTATTGTTCGCATGCGAATCACTGCTCGCAGACGGAGAACCTGGTGCAGCATCCCTACTGGAATCGACAGTCGGACTGCGCGGTGCTGAACCTGCGGGTACAATTTTGTCCGTACATACAGTCCATGGACAAAGCGCGTGTCATGGAGCGTGCGAGCGCCTTGACGCCGTCGTGCGCTGGCGAATCAACGTATCCGTTCGTAGGGCTCGGTTGGCCCAGTTCGAGAGTGTTCACTACAAGAGGCGAATCGCAGTCTCGGACCAGCCGCTGCGTTCGCCAACGTTCGGCCTGGGAATCCGCAGCGACACTGCGACGCCATGCTGTCGCTGGAACGGAGGATCGTGTGGACGGACCGCTATCCCCGAATCAATGCTTGGATAACGGTAAAGAGGACTGGGAGGATTCGGTGCGCCATGTAGGCTTGCTTCCCGGATGCCGATAACCATCACATCATTGGGGATCAGAGGTTAGATTCCAAAATCCTACACCATTAGGAATCACACTCGCGGTCCTGAGCACTTGGTAACCATCCGACACTCGGGGATTCTTCGTTAGATTCAACAATGCTCTACCATGACGTCTTCCTCTTGCTGGGTTGCGCCTGCGTTCGCCCGGGCGCCTCGCCGTGCTCCAGATGATCGATCATGGCGGAGCGTGCCAGCTGGAATCATCGCGAGGTATCGTGCCAGGCCCCAATATTACCTTGTATGTCAAGGGCGGCACCGCGACGCGCACCAGCGACAGAGCCTATAGCAAGAGATTACTCTACGTGAGTTTCCGAGCTACGACACCTGATTTTCGCTCCAGCGCGATGCGAACACGCACGTGCCAAGGCGGGGTGTCGGACACGTGTCCTTCATCGATCGGTGAGGCGTCTCGCGCGGTGCACGCAGTGCGCTAAGTGAGCGTTCCTGGGAGATCAGGCAGGCATACGACACGACGCGCGTGCCGCCGCTGAAGGGAAACGCGATCCTGATCTCTGGTGTGTTGTTCAGCTGTAAAAGTTGTATTCGCGTTGGAGTCGAACAAAAATATAGTTTTCAGTTCGTTTTTGTTTCAAACTTTTAACAAGTCTAGTCAAATGTTTTTTCGCAGTATATAACAGAAGGGTTTAAAGAGCGTTCAAGAAATACAAAAATAAAAAAACGAAAAAAGGAACGCTATGAAAAAGCAATTGCACGATCCTGGAGGCCCAGGTTCGCCGGCTGCCAGAAAAAAATAGTGCCGAGTCCAGAAGAAAAGGAAGAGAAGAAGGACCGAAAGGCGGAGCTCCTACGTCGAAGGCGGCACGAGAGACAACTGTGCGACGAGGTGGTGGTGAAAACCTTTCTTCTTGGACATATCAAGGATCCGTACAGGGAAAAGTTGCGAGACGCTATCGAAAAACGTGTTGCGTCATACTCCAAGAATATTATAAAGGCGTCGTCAGGACTGATGCATTTAGCAAGGGAGATGTACGAAGACGTCGCGAACATGGAAACGGTCGAGATTCCAGACAAGTTTTTCGACAAACCTTTATTCGTCAGCTGATGCTCGGCACAGGGGAAGTGCGGAGGGAAAATGAGCGGGTGCGCGCCCTCCACGAAAAATATCCCCTTTACAGCTTCAATGGTACTCGATACAAGGGTGACCGGGATATTTACACGTACGGGGCGATGAAGTACCCCACGAACCTGAAGAACCATTTGACAGAGAACTTCGAACGTTTCATGGTACGCGCCGTGTTTGCGTTGTCTCCGGACATCTCTCGCAATGGAAAATGGGCGATGATCAACGGCATCACGAGCGATCGCAAGCATGAAGATGAGGTCGAATTTGTCGACAAGAAGGCGCCAAACGAGAACACGGATGCAGCTTCTGCGATCCGTGCGGCTATAAAAGAGCATCGTGCGGTACTGGGGCTGGCGTATCCAACAGACAAGATATCAGCGTTGAAAAAGATAAGGAAAGATACTATCGCCTCATCCTGCGATATTTCGTGTTTCTGGACCGAGAGCTCGAACGCAAGGCAGAAACGAAGGTGAGTGAGAAAAAAAATGAAGAGTGGGAGAGACGGAAGGCTTTCCTAATGGGGAAGCGCTTCGACGTGGTTCCAATGTGCAACATCAAGTCACGTTTTGTGACTATCGACTCCGGCGTCCTCTACGGCATCATGAGGGACATCAGTCCGGAGTTCAGTGTCAGCAGGGAGAACTTCACCGGCGAAAACCGGGAGACGTACTTGAAGAACGTCTCCAATTTCAAACGTCTGAGAGTGAACAAGCAAAAGTTGTTCACTGGGATGATCGAAATCGATGGAGTAGCCTTGTGTGTACACTATCGGCGGTTGAAGAAAGATCGGCCAGTTCCGCCCTCGGCGAACCATGAAGATGAGAAGGAGGCGGATCTTGCGACGCAGGAGGTGGAGGATAACGACTTTGTCGTTGACGTGACGAAGGATGAAGATGAGAAGGAGGCGGGTCCTGCGACGCAGGAGGTGGAGGATAACGACCTTGTCGTTGGCGCGGCGAACCATGAAGATGAGAATGAGGCCGAACCTGCGATTCAGGAGGTGGAGGATGACGACCTTGTCGTTGGCGCGGTGAAGCACGAAGAAAAGAAGGAGGCGGATCCTGCGATGCAGAAAGTGCACGATGACGACTTTGTCGTTGGCGCGGACCCTGGGAACACGAATATCATCACCATCGCAATACCCAAGCTTGCGGAAGATGGTACTGATGGTAACGTACGTCAGAAAGACATGCGTCTTTTGAGGTTCTCGAGAGCGAGATGCTATCGAGAATCTGGTATAATGAATGCGAGGAAGAAAATCGAGACTTGGAATTCAGGAATGAAGGATCACCTGGAAGCTATGAGCGAGGTGACGAGCCGCGGAGCGGACTTTGAAGTTTTTCGGAAATTCATGGAAGTTCGTGTTGCGCATTGGGATGCTCTGTGGGAGGAGTATACAAAGCCCCGGTGGGCTCGTCTGCGAATGAATCTACACGGTGGGAGGCAGCGCGCGTTCGCGAATTTTTTCAATCAGTTGAGTGCCCTCAAGGAGGATGAAAATCAGAGGCTCGTAGTGGCTTATGGAGCAGGGCGCTGGAAGACCCAAAAAGGAACAACGCCAGCTCCAACGACAAGAACGTACAAAGAGTGTGCACGGCGTTTCGTTACGATACCTGTAGATGAGTTCCGAACGTCCTATACACACCATGAGCTGGGTCGTACACTTCAGGGAGTGGAGATGGAAAAGTGCCAGAGGAGCCCTGAGGATATAAAAAAGTACGGACCGCTGACGGAGGAGCAAATGGAAAGGAGGGCGAAAGTTCGTGGACTACTCGCATTGATTAGCACAACTAATGATGGCAAGAAACGGATGGAGTTGTGAACCGTGACTTAAACGCCGCTATCAATATAAGGAGATGTGCGATGCTGGAGAACAGACCTCCGTACTTGCCAAGAGCGAACTTTATTGGACAACCTCTCAAAGTGGAACTATATGAGAAGAAGTTGGAAGCAGCCGTAGGTGGCCGGTCCAAAAATACTGGGGGGCGTCTGCACGTCGGTTGGCGACGCCCCGTCTGGGACGGCTTTCTCGCCACTACTGTGCACGGTTGGCGTCGCTCGACCTAGAACGGCGTTGATGGTGTCCGCGGCGGTGCAGTGTACGTAAAGCGCACGTAGATACTGTCATGGAACCGGATATAGAGATGCCTGTGGCCGTCAAGGGCGGTAAAAAGGCGAAGAAGAAGAAGTCTGGAGCGCCCGCTTTACCAGCACTAGACGGAGAGGACTCCACTTTTAACGTAACTGATCACCGACAATCTTTAGGGAACGAGGGAGTCACTACTCTTTCTCTTGACGCCTCTAGGGGGAAACGAAATAAGGAAAGCTTGTCAGACCTTAAGACGGAGACAGTTCACCGTCCGGAACGCGGTCGACGCGGGGTCTCGCGGGAGCTTCCGAGACCCGCCGACGTCGACGAAGACCTTGGGATAGGCGAAAGCGCTCCAGGAAATTCCATATTTGCAGCTTTCTCAGCACTTGGCCTCTCGGACGAGGGTAACTCCGACGCTGATGACGCCCAGAGCAGCGATTCGACCCGGTCGAGTCACAGGCGAAGTGGTAGGACCGGTGATAATACCTCGTTGAACGGTTCACGAAGCCCTGCCTCGGGGGCACTTGCGGTTCCGCAAGATTTTCGTAACGCGATCGGCACTAGTTCGGGAACAGAGATTTCAGGGACAACTTCGAAAGAGAAGAATTATGCGCGGGCCGGTGCGGTGCCCAGTACCTGGACACCCACAGATGCTCTCCGCAACACGACAACCAAACGTTCCTCCTCCGCTAAGAAAGGGAATACGGGGGTGTCGCACGAGGAAGATGCCGAAATTGAGGCCATTCTCGCGGAGCTCGAAGCAGTTGAGGAGGAATCCACAAAGACGAAATCGAGCAAGAAACAGAAACGGAAGGCCAAAAAAGCTACTCAGAAGGAAATCGACGATCAAGACGCATCGTTCGAAGAGCTGCTTGCAGCAGAAGCTGCAGAAAGGCACGATGCGTCAGACCTTGCCAGTCGCCAGGCTGATGAAGCCCAGCACGGGGAGCAGGTGGTATCTGCAGGTGGCGATGCACCTCGGGTGCAAGAGAGACCTGCTGCGCAAGAATCACCCGGGGCGTCTCCCGTCTCGGATCCGAAAAATCGGCATACGTCGCAAGCTGGCACAGTTGTAGATCAAACTCAGTCTTTGTCGGATCAATCAGCAGCTGAGGAGCGTATTGCGGAAGCGCAGATAGAGGACCGGAATCATGTCGGAGAGGCACAGAGTCAGCAACTGACGGCTGCACAAAAGAAGCGGCTGAAGAAGAAGCAGAAGGAAGCTTCAAAAAAAGCTGAGGCAGTAGCCGAATCCAGTGAGCTGCCATCCAGTGCTCCTTCCAATGCGAGTAAGGCGATCGTTCGTCGTATCTTGGCAGAGCAGCAGCGACGAGCAGAGGAAGAGGAACGGCGCCGTCAAGAAGAGGAGGACCGCCTGGCCCGCGAGCGCGAGCGTCAGCAACGGGAAGAGGAAGAGGCGCGACAACGAGAAGAGGAACGACGTCAGAAGAAGGAGGCCGAACGAGCCCGTCGCGAGCAGCTCCGTCGCGAGGGTAAGCTCTTGTCGAAGAGTGAACGTCAACGAAAGCAACGCGTAGAAGCATTCATTCAACTGAGCATGGCAAGCGGTGCAATCGCTGCAGCGACGCTCCCGCAAGAAGCGACCAAACGATCAAAAAGAGTCTATGACGACCGCAAGAAGAAACCCAGGCCCAAGGACCCGACTGGCACGGACTCGGAGCAGACGACCTCTACAGGTGTCAAGGCGGCAGCGCAGGTTGCTGCAACGGCCTCCGACTCGACTAAAACAGTCGCAGCTGCCAGCGATGCCCGAGTGGCGGCTGTGCCTGATAGCTTCGAAGCGCACTTGACGGATGCATTCAGTGATTCGGGTTCTGGAGAAGACGAGCACGTGCTATCGCTTGCTTCAGAAAGCGGTGTCGACGACGACGCTGAGCAGAAAGAAGCCATTTCGGGCAAGGTGCGCTTCAGTGAGCCAGCTCGGGTGCAGCCCTCAGGCCCTGCCCTTAGCGCAGAAGAGCGCCGACAGCTCGCTGTGCGTCAACGCCTTGCTGATGAGGCTGCTGCACGGACAGCTGCGTCCGCTGATCGACTGCGCTCACCAATTATTTGCATCCTGGGACACGTGGATACTGGGAAAACCAAGTTACTGGACAAAATAAGGCACACCCATGTTCAAGAGGGTGAGGCTGGCGGCATTACGCAGCAAATTGGTGCTACCTATTTCCCTATTGAAGCGGTTCGTCAGGAAGCAGCGAAAGTGAACCCCGAGCTGACGTACCGAATTCCGTCGTTGCTGATCATCGACACCCCCGGGCATGAGTCGTTCACGAATTTGCGCTCTCGGGGCTCGTCGTTGTGCGATATCGCCATCCTCGTTGTGGACATCATGCATGGGCTCGAACAGCAGACGCTTGAATCGATTGAGCTCTTGAAGATGCGGAAGACTCCTTTTATCGTGGCATTGAACAAGGTGGATCGCTTATACGGTTGGAAGCCTTGCCCGATGGCCCCCATTCGGCAGGCTTTGGAAGAGAATCCGTCGACTGCTGCTGAGTTTGAGCGCCGGGTAAGGGAAACGAAGACCGCCTTCGCGGAAATCGGCTTTAATGCGGAGCTATACTGGGAGAACACTGACTATCGGCGGAATTTATCCCTGGTGCCCACTTCGGCAATCAGCGGCGAGGGCATTCCCGATTTGCTGATGCTGCTTGTTCAGCTTCCACAGCGGCTGCTTGTAGAGCGTCTCAAGTTCATAGACTTTGTGTACTGCACGGTTCTGGAGGTGAAAGTCATTGACGGCCTCGGAACGACAATCGATGTGGTGCTCACTGGGGGCGCTCTCCACGAGGCCGACACGATTGTGGTGTGCGGGCTGGATGGACCCATCGTCACAACCATTCGAGCTTTACTGACGCCGCATCCAATGAAGGAATTGCGAGTCAAGGGGCAATATATCCACCATAAGCGCATTGAGGCAGCACAGGGCGTCAAGATCAGTGCCGAGGGCCTCGAGAAAGCCGTCGCTGGGACGCAGATGTTTGTGGCTCGGAACCCTGATGAAATTGAGTATCTCAAAGAAGAAGTAATGGCTGATTTGAGCACAACCCTTGCTGCCGTGGACACCTCGGGCGTGGGCGTGTATGTGCAGGCGAGCACGCTCGGTTCGCTAGAGGCACTACTGGAGTTTCTCCGCAAGGATGCAAAGATTCCTGTCAGCGGTGTGAATATCGGTCCAGTCCACAAACGTGATGTAGTTCGAGCCTCAACCATGCTGGAACACAGACCTGAGTATGCCGTTATTTTAGCTTTTGATGTGAAAGTGGAACGGGAAGCGCGCGAGGAGGCGGAGAACCTCGGAGTCCAGATTTTCACCGCGGACATCATCTATCACTTGTTCGATCACTTCCGAAAGTATATGGAGCAAGTGAAAGAGCGGAAGAAACGAGATGCAGAGGTGGATATTGTCTTTCCCGTTTGTGCAACGATCCTGCCAGACAGCATATTCAACAAACGGGATCCACTGATTCTGGGTGTGCGCATCGACGAGGGCATCCTTCGCTGTGGCTCGAGTCTCGTTGCTGTGCACGAGGAAACGAGTCGCATGGTTGACATTGGACGGGTGCTGAGCATCGAATCCAACAAGAAATCCGTTACGCAAGCTCGCCGGGGAGATCTGGTGGCCATCAAAGTAAGCAGTCGCCAAACAAGCCATGTGATGTACGGCCGACAATTCGATCACACCTTCAAACTATATAGCCGAATCACACGGAAAGCGATTGATTTGCTGAAAGAGCTCTACAGAGACGAGCTTACGAAAGATGACTGGCAGCTCGTCTTGAAACTGAAGAAAATGTTTGGCGTTTTGTGAGGTCCCCAACTGGTACGACGCTGAATCTCGCGCGCGACTAACGTCGATATGGAACAACGCGTATCCGACGTAAATCATAGTGAGCACGTAAAGAGCGTTTCGGCATGCCAAGCTGCTTCCTGCTCGAAAATTAAACACCACAACCGAGCCGTGTGTTCTAGAGATGAGGCGACGGCGGAACGCCATTTTTCTGACGACGGCGTTGAGCTGCCTCCGCAGCGGCGACGCGTTCGAGTTCCACCAAATGGATGAGTTTGCGAACCGCTCCCCATGTAACGGGGCCGTCCTCATGCAATACCGTCTGGTTGATTCGTCGAAGACCGAGCGCCTCCAAAATACGACGTTGTCGCTCTGGGACGCCTCGCAGCGACCTACGCAACGTTACGAGCAGCTTCGTATCAGGTAGACTGCGCATGAAATCCTCTGAGAATAAAAGGTTTTTCACGAAGGCCACGAAGTACTCCAAACGAAGGCCGTTCTAGTGATGTACGGGTTCCTGTCGAGTGCCCAGGAGCGCAATCAACCCGCGAATACCGCGACGATCGAAGGGCAGCAAGCCGCACCGCGTTCCGGGCTAGTATATGCGCTCTTGCGCAGGTAGCTTCCCGCCGCCGGGTATCCACAGAGACACCAAATTTTCGCGTTCAACGAAATATGCGGTGCGTTACCTCAATTCTAAAAGGAGCGACGCGCGCAAGTAACTACGGTTGAGTTTCGGATGCAGCACGCCTGCACTCTAGACGCAGGTGAAATCCCAGCAAGTACTCACTGTGCAGAATCGAGCCCCGAAATCCCTTTGAACCTAACTTAAAACCTAGGCAAACAACTCAAAGATGCAGTGGTACGTGTCCCCTATGTTTCACGTGAAGTCCGACGGTGATGCAACTTTCTCGCGGTGTTCTTCAGCCCGCAGTTGCGTAGGCGACGAGAGCTTCAGAATTCTGGTACAGTACGAACCTACAACAGCTGCTCGCGACGGTTAGCGCAGTCCAAATCAACTTTCTCGCAATCTTGCTCCGGATTCGGTTGCAGCAGTGAAATAAAAGGAGCGCTTCTGCAGGTGTTTCGTGACTTGCCTGAACGCCTTCAGCGAAGCGCTCTCGTATCGAAAGTGCGGCGATGTTGCGCGTCGATGCTGGCGGGAAATGAGCGGCAAACTTTTCTGCTGTGCTGGGTTGACTGCGTGCTGTCGCTTTTTACAAGGTGCACCCAGGGCTCTCTACGGGATACCTGTGGAGCTTCTACACGACTCGAAGGTTCTGTTAAGGCGTATCGATCGTCGAGTGCAAATATATAAGTGTCTGCTCGGGGCACGAAGGACGCTGGGCCGAACACGTGTTGGGCTCCCGCGCGCCCGGAAAGGTCTGCGTGTTGACGCCTTTGTCCTATACTATATTACACATTACAAACCTGCTCTAACACGGCTGCCTGGTTGCTCAACGCTCGTACACCGGCATATCCGGTTTCTAATCGCAGGCACTTGAGAACGTTGCGTTGCTGGCGATCGGCAACGTAAGCGTTTCACGGTTGACCGAGCGATTCAAGGCTGTTTCCGGGACTGGTAGACAATTTGAAATCTTTACCAGGTGCTGATGGAATGGGACTGCTGGGAGCAGGTTCCAAAGCACCGTGCTGAGCAGTTTCAAAACATCTGTGCTGCCCTGGGGCTGGTTATTGCGAACCATGAGGGGCCGGAGTGCCCCACGGTCCAGCTCTTCCCCACGTGTACCTGGATCCACCTGCACGGTAGGGCGTGCACCGGGAAGACCAAGACTTTGGCCGCTGTGCGTGCGATGCTAGAGCGTTCTGAGCCGTCCGTAGGCTGGCTTCACGTAGACTGCCGAACACTTGTGAGCGGCGAGCAGTTCATGGCTGCAGTTGCTCGTGAGGTTTACGCGATCGCAGGTGCCCGGGAGCTGTCTGTTCCGGAGCCACCAGCGAGGTGGAACCTGCCACTTTTCATGCATACTTTATTAGAACTGCTGGAGCGGCTCGAAGAGCGAGATGTTTTCCTCGTTTTGCACCTGGAAGGTATAGAGTGGCTTCGTGGTTTGGACGACTTTTCCCGCATTCTGGCATCACTCAGACGCTTGTCATTTTTCGCGGATCGGTGCCGTGGTGCCACAACCACTGGCGCATTGTTACGCTGGAGCGTGCTCGTAGAGTCTCGCCTTCCACCCTCACGTCTATTCGATCCTGTTGAGTCTTCCTATGCACCAGATTGGACGCTTTACTTCCCGCCCTATGATCGAGCGGCATTGCGGGATATCTTGCTGCAACATTGTGCCTTTGCAAATGCCGTCCAGCCTCGTGAAGCGGAACGGCCGCAGACACCCGAGAGCTCTGGTCGAGATTTGTGTGCAGATGCTTTCGTGGATACACTACTGGATGTTTGTCACGACCTCACAAACGATTTGAATGAGTTGTCCTACTGGAGCGATGTCTTGTATCCAAAATACGCAAAAGCCTGGCGCCCACGTCCCGGACACGCCGCTTCGCTCGCAGGTGCGTACTCGGCTTGCTTACCATATTTTCGACAAGCGGTCGCAGGAGTCTATGCACGTTCGACAAAGCAATCGAAAGAATGTATCGAGAAGATGAACGCTCTTCATGGACAGCGTACTTGGCGGGAAATGCTTGCTACAGAGTCCCGCCTCTCGAATGCTTTAGTGCTCGCCGGATACCTTGCTGCTCATATCCCGCCAAGTCATGATCGAAAACTGTTTGAAAAAGCAGCAGGTGGCGTTGCGGGGCGTAAAAGGCGGCGCGGCCCACGCGTCCATGAGGAAACCGGCCGCAAGACCAGGTCATTCTCATTAGAGCGTCTGCAACGCCTCCTGGAGGCCATATCAGAACGCAGCATGGATGCCGAGCTCAGAGAATCCGACAGCCTTATTCGATGGAGTACAACACCGCCGACCGGTGCTGTACTCGCGGGTCTTATTGGTCAGGGTTTCTTTTCTTCCGTAACGCAGGCACGTTCAGCGGAGCGCCAGCGACTCCGATGCTACGTGAGCCGCGAACTCGCGGAACACGTTGCCCGCAAGTTTGATATGAACCTATCGGAATATATAAGTGAAACCTAAATAAGGCGGACGCTGAATCGTCGCACTCCTCGTCCAGGTCTGCGAGACCGCTGGGGGCTACCTCACGGCGCCGTGCCAAGAAGCTTAGCTATAGTCAATGCTTACGCCTGTGTCAGAGTGGAATCAAGAGGGTCCGCTAACTCGGACGTACCTAATAAAGTTTGGTATTTTGCCTAGTGGAATCAGCTCCAGCCTTTCGGGGATTTTTCAGCGACAGCTCCCTATTCTTCTCTCTTCTAGATTTGGAGGTACAGCGAACTCCGTGAAGCCATGAACCCAGGGCCCTCGATAACCTCGGACTGTTTTTTCTCCAACTAGCTTGATCGGATGAAAATAAGTCTCTCTGCACGAGTAAGCCATAGGCTTTATGAAGTGCACATATATCGATAATCCTTCGGTTTTCATCGTCCGCGAAAAATGCGTCCCGTACCCTTACTGGAGAACACAAGTCTTGGACGCGCTCCGTCATTGCTCTTCGCGAACTTGTTCAAATGATTCGAACTTGCTCGCGATGACCAGCCCCTTCGCCTTCAGCTTCACCAAGAGGAACGGCATTGATGTTGTTGCCCTACTCCGTATCCGTACATCTTCGTCGGGATTCATGCGCCCTGCGTGAACGCTGGACGGATACCCGCCTTATCTATGAATGCTTCTACTATTTTCCAAATGCTTTTCGTCACCGTCTCCGTTGCGAGAACGGCCACGGGCGAAGGTACGCTTTTCCACTCGCTCCAACGCACGAGCATTAAACCAGCGGAGCTGTCGAGCGCTGGTAAAGTCAGAGAATAGCTGTTTCAGAACAGCGACATGGCTACCAACGATCCGTCTAAGGATTCGTTAGCGTAGGAATGCCGTTCGACAGCAGAGCGGACGCATTGACACGGTCCAACTCGGTAGAATACGCAGGCATGAGCTGCAGCTCTGCACCAATCTCAACAGCATTCTCTTCGACCGGTTTTGAGTGATGGAAAACGACATCGTCCACAAGCATGACCGAAGAATGTGAGAAGAGAAGCCACGCGCAGGGCTTCTACGAAGCATGGTGTGTTCAAGGATCCCCTCCGCTTGATTGTCTGTGGGCGCTCAGTCGGTTAGATTATCGCTAGGACGGGTGTTGTGAGGATGTACCCTTGCCGATTCTCTACGAACAGCGGTTTGCCTCTGATTGCGCACCCGCAGACAGATCTGCCAATTTCTCCATAAAAAGCTGTACCGAGTGAGACGAAGACTCGGGTTTCCTGTAAAGAGCGTTCGTGTTCCAGTGCTAAATCGAAAGTATGTTGTTCAAAGCGCGACGCTCTCCCATAGCATCGTTCCTTTTTTACCCAGATGTGTCCCGTTCTCAGCGCTCGTATTAGTAGCGCGAAAACCTCATATCAGGTACCTTCTTTGGCCGTAATTTTTAGCTATTGTATGGAGTTGAAGTGATTGACGAAGAGACCGTCATGTAGATATAATTTGAGAAGATCTGTTCTGTATGCATGATGTTCGAGACATGATCCCCCAGAAGACTGTGTCATTCACTTGCTGTCCGCAGAATGACTGTCTTGGACTATTACAGTCGTTCTTCGCCAGCTACCTGTGACAGCATGAGGTCTGCCCGCAACTTTTCCTGTCATTGTGGGATGCATTCCTTTCGTTGGATATCTGCGAGAAAAATGAACAGAAATATAAAGGATGAGCTATCGCAGAAATTCCACGATGTACTCCTCCACGTGTAATCCGTCTGCACTTGTGAAGGTTGCATTCACGTCCGAAGGAGAATGGCTTTACGAGATAGCCAGTACAGGAGGAATGTGCATTTCAGTTGTTTTTCCACTGGAAGGAGTCCGACAATCGAACACATGAAAGCTGGTATCCTGGTGCAGTCGATCTCGATACATAAGTATGCATCCCGAATCCCGAGCGTCTGGAGTACCCTGTGTTCTGGGTGGAACGGGACTCGTTCAGCAATTACGCGGACACATGTGCACTAAGTAGGTACCGGTTCTAGACAAGGCCCGCACGCCTCAACGACTTGGTCACAGTTTCTCCGCGTACAGTAACGGGGTTGCAAGTTTGTTTCTGGTATTGCTGTGGCGAGCAAGTTGCAGCAGCGCTGCGAGCATATGCAGTGGGGTCGAAGATGGTCGCTACGACTTGTAGAGGCTTTCCAGAGTCGCCGCGGCCTGGCCCTTTTCTGGCTAACCATTCTTGGTGGTGGTATTCTCAAGTTCAAGTGGAGTCACGCCTGGTACCAACAAGAGATTGATCGTGTTCGCAGAGATATCATCCGGTTAGAGGGAGAGCTTGCAGCGATCACAGGAGCTCATTCGCAACCAGCTGTAGTGGAACGCGTACTAGCCGAAACTAGCAGCTTTGAGGAGCCCGTGGAACCAGCACGCTCCCCACAGGCCTCTACGGATACCGCTGCTCAGGCAGGTCCACCATCGAAGGCGATAACGGACTCTAACGGTCAAGGAGACGCTCCGTATTCGTTTTCATGAAGTAGCCCGAGGATTTGTGGCTTTCTTCGGTTTACCGCTTTCGTGTCGCAGCGCTTCCGTGTGCGCGGCCTGGGACGGCAGCTGGACCCCGTCGCGGCTGCTGAGCCCGCATATCTCCGAATACGATTATGGGCCGTTTCCGAGAAGTAAAGCTGTGGGCGACTCGATTGCCAGCTTCCAGCGAGCGCAAAAATTGGCCACAGTCGCACCGTCGATGATACGGTGATCAGCCGCAACGACGATGGTCATTACATGAGCCGGGTAGACCACCAAAGACCCAGGGGTGTAGCGCTCATTCATTGCCGTTGGCTGGTCGCTCGCAAAACGAGGAACCCGTCGAATCCGTCCAAGGGCGCTGATGGCCACCTGGGGAACCATAATGACGGGACTGGCATGTATACCACCGATACTTCCGATGTTGCTGAGGGCGAATGTGCCCCCCGAGAGGTCGTCTTGGTTGAGTTTGCCTGCGTGGGCGAGTTCCTGCAGACGGCGCAGCTCTTGAGCGATATCAAAGACACTCAACTGCTGCACTTTCTTGATATTCGGAACAATCAGACCATCGGGCGTATCAATCGCAATACTGATATTATGGTCACGTTGGTAGAGGATGTTCTTTGGGTCTTGAACATTATCCAAGGTTGCGTTGAGGATGGGGAAGCCCTCCAGGGCCACCGACGTTGCCTTGATAAAGAATGGCATGTACGTGAGTTTGCCTCCAAGTCGATGCTCTCCGAATGATGTTAACTCTCGTCGTAGATCAATGAGTCGATCCACCGTGGCCTCCTCGCCGTACACGAGATGCGGAACGACAGCCGCAGCGGCCAAGGACTTTGCCATTGCTCTACGCAGTCCGCGAATAGGCACTGCAGTAACATGTTCACCCAGGGTAGGTCGATCCCGCTGCATGAGGGCCTTTCGCCACCCCGCTGACCCAGAACCGACCGCTGTACCGCCAACCTCAGGTTTCGTGGTTGCATTCGAGAGGCCTAGCGCTGCCGGAGTATTTTGTTCGGAGAGCGCCGGAGCGCCTCGTTCCTGCTGAGCCCCGAGAAACAACTCTATGTCACTTGGTAGGATTCGTCGCCCGGGGCCTGACGGGGTAACCTTCGCGAGGTCAATGCCGCGCTCGCGTGCGAGGCCTCGTAGCGCCGGTGTGGTCCGAACTCGCTTTCGATATGGTGTTTGTGAGCTAGAGACCTCATCGTGATTCAGCTCGCCAGGTGTACGGACAGCAGGCTCCGCAGACGCGCCAGCATTGGTGCCAGCAGTAGTCACACTTTCAACGCCAGTGTTGGCCAGCTTGTCGGGCGCCTGTGTGAGCGTCTCTGCCGACGGTGCATCGTCCGAAACTTCGATGAAGCACAACGCTTCCCCAACTTTGGCCAGTTCACCTACTCGATGAGGAATATGACGCACGACGCCTTGGAATCTGCTGGTAATTTCAACGGTCGCTTTATCGGACTGAACGTCGACAAGGGCGTCGAATGGTCGCACGTAGTCGCCCTCTTGGACGTGCCAACGTAGAATCTCGACTTCGACGATCCCTTCACCGATATCTGTGAGCACGAAAGGTGTCCATCTGGGGTCTATGGAAACTCCTCTATCTCGCTCTCCAGCAGGACACGAACAGTATCGGGAAAGAATCCTATCTTTGTCGAGTACTGACTTTGGAGTGGTAGCCACGGATGAAGGCAATAAGATCGACACTGGGAGCGGGCCCATACTTCTGAATACCCTCAGAGCGGCTAGGTAAGCGGGTTCGAGTGCCCGTGGTGCGACGCTGCGTCCTCGGAGCGCGCCCTGCAGTTCGTCTACTGGGAACAGCTGACGCTGGCGGGGCGACTTTGCACGCACGGATACGTTCCACAACGCATTCACAGGTCTTCTGAACGTTCCGCAGCGCCAGAACGTCGTCATTGCCAGTGAGCAGTCGGTTCCGTTGTCTGTTACGGATATCGGAGGGCGTTTCCACGAGAATGCTTTCGTAAAGGCGCGAAAGCACGGCCGGGAGATTGCTGCTGCGTTCTGACCGCCCGGCGGGCAGGCGGAGCGCAGCCTACGCTTGCTTGAAGTACTTTACCGTCGAGTACACGGTGTAGTTGACACGCCCCTTTCTTGACGAATGTGTGAACGCTGCTTGTAACTAGAGTATAGAAGCTGCGAGTTGACGGGAAGCTCCCATTTCTGACAACTTAATTCTAGGATTCTTCGAGGAAATGGAGGGTTCACTCAGCCAGCAACTCGAACGGTATCGTGTCATTTACGGCCGCCTGGCCATGACCATACGTTTCGCATTGCTTTGGGGGAATATGCACTTAAACCCAAGACTCGTCGTCGTCGTCGTCGTCGTCGTCGTCGGTCTGTGTTCCGGCAGGCAATGCGGGTAGGCCTGCAGCCGCTGTGGAACGAAGCGCTCGAGCAACTGAGCGACTCGGGCTAAGCCAGGACGCAGAGTACCCCACTCTTTTGCGTGAACAAGAAGTAGAGAACGTAGAATGTTGCACTTGCGGAACTGAGCAGCTGTAGCGAAGCTGGGGCACAGGGCATCTCGCTGCGTAGTAGACGCACGACTACAGAGGGAGAGTGCTCCAGCTGCTCGGGCCTGTCGCCCGCAGTTAGCACAGGACGGAGCGTGCGGGACATTGGACCAGAGATCGCGTTCAGTTCGTGCAGCCTGTGTCTGTTCGTTGTTCTGGTGTCTAATATGCTTGCAGTTGTCAACAAGAGTCCCGATGACGTCACTGCGGTGTCATATCAAGCATGTCACCTGCCGCCTAGAGGCTACTGTATTCGTGGACGGATGCGCTGCACTCGATGCTATTCCTCTGGAACGAAGACACTGCTGATCGCGAAGGCGTGTTGGGGCGCATATTGCGGATGTCTGGGACAGTTGTGGCTGGACCCGATACCAGCCAAAGAAATCGAGCAAGTCGCTGACCGTGAAGACTTGTTTGGGTGCATATCGGCGATGATTGGCATGGAAGTGCAGAGCATGATTCGTGTCTACTAATGGTGAGGAATATGCCATGGTTTCTAACGGAAACAGGGTCTTCAATATTTTGCGACATAAACAGACATCTGGGCTGTTCCAGTGAACGTTTCGCGATCCGTCGAGCTTTTGAGGTACGAACCATTTTCGCGCGAGGCATGTCGCCAAAACAGTGGCGTCGCATAGCAGTACAAATGAACAGCTGCTGATGCGACAGCGTCGAGTGCGACGGGTCTGGAGAGATATTCGGGCTGAGCTCCATTTCCCTGTGCGCAAATGTGTCGAAGAACTTGGATGCCAAGCGATCATCGTATCAGCTATGTCGTCATGCACGCGAATGAGTTTTCCTGTCGGCATACAGCTGCTAAGTATCGCTAGCGACGTGATCGATGCAAACCCCCGAAGAGACCAAGGAAGCGGCGTTTGCCTGGCCTCATGGCACCCCTGTCGGTTCGCGAGCCGACTGTAGACGTCAAGCTTGCCGCTGCTGCAGCTGCTGCTTCGAGGCGGCATGCACGACGCATAATGTGGTGCATGCTCAGCTAGAAAATCGGCTGCTCATCTGACGCTGTAACGCAGAAGCGACTTTCGCAGTAGCTTTTTATATGACAGGATCGAATGGATGAAGCTACCCAGCTTTCCTAGGATGCCTGGGCGGTGTCGTTATTCACGAAGCTGACCACCACTATTCCACAGATATTTACGTATGCCTTGAGTTCTTGATCACTCTTACCGTCGGACAACGAGGTTCGATTTGGAAACCTTCCGGGGTTGCCACTAGAGCCCCTCATCCACGCAGACCCCCTGCAGCGCAGTGCGCATTCGACTCGCCTGCGAAATCGCCTTTGAGGCTTTGGAAGCCAGCCACGCCAGACAGGAAGTTTTTCAAAGTTTCTGGCGACCCATATGAAAGCACTCATACTGGTAGGGGGTTATGGCACAAGGCTGCGCCCGCTAACGCTTTCGCATCCCAAGCCGCTCGTAGAGTTCTGTAATAAAGCGATGGTGATGCACCAAATTGAGGCACTTGCCAAGGTCTCCGTAACGGAAGTTATACTCGCAGTGAGCTACCAGCCACACGTGATGGACGATTTTCTACAAAGAGAACAAAAGAAGCTTGGCATAAAAATAACTGTATCGCGGGAAACGGAGCCTATGGGCACCGCTGGTCCACTCAAGCTCGCACAACCGCTGCTCGGCGATAGCGAGCCGTTCTTTGTGTTCAACTCTGACGTAACGTGTGACTACCCGCTTGCCGCGATGATTGCTGCACATCAAAGACACGGTGGAAAAGCCACTATTTTGTTGACCAAAGTAGACGAGCCCAGTAAGTTCGGCATCGTACTGTACGACGCAGAAACGATGCAGGTTAAAGCGTTTCGGGAAAAACCGACGGAATGGGTCGGCAATATGGCAAATGCCGGCGTTTACCTCCTATCGCCATCTGTTCTCGAATATATAGAGCTGCGGCCAATGAGCATTGAACGGGAGGTATTTCCGGCTTTGGCAGCGGATGGCGCTCTGTACGCGCACGAGCTATCCGGCTACTGGGCCGATATCGGTCAGCCGAAAGACTATCTCCGAGGCATGTCGTTGCATCTGCAGTCACTTCGTTTGCGAGGCTCACCGGAGCTTGCCGCGGGCCCCATGTTCATCGGAAATGTGCTGGTAGATACCACAGCGCAAATAGGAAAGGATTGTCGTATCGGACCGGATGTAGTGATCGGCGCTGGCTGCATCATCGAGGAGGGCGTTCGCATCAAGTCGAGCACTCTCTTACCGGGTTCGCGGGTCAAGTCACACACCTGGATAGCGAATTCTATTATTGGTTGGGGATCAACGATTGGTTCCTGGGTCAGGATAGAGAACACGAGTGTCCTGGGGGAAGACGTCGCTGTGAAGGATGAGGTTTGTGTGAACGGAGGTGTTATCCTTCCTCACAAATCCGTTACGGAACATATTTTGGAACCTCGCATCGTGATGTGACTGCTGTGAGGTTTCACGTGTATCGATCCCCAGCTCTTTTTCTTCGACGCGTGGGCGGCGATGCCACGGATGTACTCGTCAATGCGGTTTTCAGCTACACAGGCACTTGCTGTTTTGAAACATATGGGCTGCTGAGAGCCTCTTCAGTCAGGGGCTGTTTCGGTGGAAACGCCGCGTACATGAATCGCCCAAGGTGATAGCGACCCTCGACTGAGACCTGTGAATCATAGGCTGGATCGGTTACTCGCTGCGTATCGCTGCTGCGATGTGGTGTGCGTTCGTTTTTCCGAGAGCATTCCTGGCGGGCTCTTGAAAACCTCATCGTGAGGATCATGCATCATCGTGCACTGTGATGCTGTTGGAGGTATGCGGTTTTGCTCAGAGGCGTGACTCGGTTCAAATAGTTGATGGAATGTGCCTCGGGACGCCTCTGTCATCGGCTTTCACGCGAGCATCAAAAAGCGAGGCGAATCAAGTGACTTTGTGGCGTAAGTTCCGCTGCGAATGCGATATCGCTCCGCTGGCAGCGCTTTTGGTCGGTGATTTCCGTGAACAGCAGGACTTTGATTGCAAAGTGCTTATGCACAACACGACTGGGTTCTATTGGCACCGGAATACTGTGCACACGGAGCGGCTACATCGCTGTTGTCGCAGCTGAACAACCAGTGCGTTTTGCTGCTGATGTCTGGCCCACTGTACGGATCTCGCCTTCAAGACGTTGCGATAGCGACTGCGTAGGTGCGCTGTGCTTCGAGCACGCCTCCGAGCGCCAGTCGTGTCGTTCAAATCAGCCTCGCGGTCATGCAAACGCATTTGTGAAAAATCTTCCCCAGTTTTCCTCCTAGCCGTGTTCTTTTGGCGGTGCGAGAATACAGTTTAGTATCCACTGATGCGCTTCTATGCCAACAAGTGCGACTGCGGAGCGGCGCTTGTCATTGGGGGCCTGGTGTTACGGCTCGCAGGTTCATGCGTGATGCAAGCGCTTTCCACGGCGAAGGTACCCAGCAATGCACTCAGCTGTATCTGGTTTTGCCGCCCAGGGGACCGCGCGACATAGAGAGAACTCTGCGATGATGCGCTCTATATAGGGCCTCGTATATAAACTTGAGTAAAATGCCGGTATTCCTCGGAGCTCGATTCCACTGAGGTTTCAGGTGGCATTCAGCGCGTGCCGTTAAGCTCGAACACCCAGCAGCATCCGGACAAGGACTTGGGGATTGTGAAAGATGTCGCTTCAACTGCATCCGTCAAAATATTCAGTTTCACTGTTTTGCACTGTCGTATTCCGGAGAGGGATCTGCAAGCGCGCGTTCCAGCCTTGGAGCGCGGGTTTGATACGAATGCTATCATCGTCAACGAGAAATTCGACAGGGATTTACTGCAGGATTTTGTTGCTGCTACTTGCGGCACTACTGCGCAAGCTCCGCGAGTGGCTTCGGGCATTCCCTAAAAATTATTTCTGCACATTCCTTCACTGATTTGCCCAGGAGTAGCGCCTCGGCGATCTGCTCTAACTCCGCGCGATGCATGTTACAGATACGAAGTGCGGCCAACATGGCCCATCGCACAGACGCTTGCGTATCTGCGTTCAAAAAGGGCTCTGTACGACGAAAATATCGAGACAAGGTGGCCAGATCTTCCATGCCACCCTCGGCATCCCCGAAGAAAATTGCCTCAGCAGCAATGCCTGCTACTGACAGAAGCGCAAACGACTCACTCGCTGACACCGGGCCTGACGTCGGCGCTCGTAGGCCTTCGGTAAGTACAACACCCGTCTTTCCAGCCAGCAGATTCGTGCGGTCTTGCCCCAGTGAATAGTTTTCTAACTCGTATCCGAGAACGTGTGACAATAGCACGTGTCCAGCCTCGTGCACGGCGATTCGTTTTGGGTCAGTGAGCCAGCGCTTCTGCAGCCAGGCGGCAACTCGCCCTTGGAGCGCGAGCGTGTCGAATGCCCAGGCACCCATACCGCCTAGAGAAACCACAGCGGCGACGTTCTGGAGCTGTTGGGCGCCCTGCACGGAACTGGCTTGTGCCAGAGCCGGGGCAAATGCAGCGAGAGTAACGACGCCAATGAGCACACCGAAAATCGATTCGTTTCGCGACTCTTGACGCAGACCGACCAGTACACGTAAGTCCATATCTGGGCGCCCCAGCTCCCGCTTAAGCTCCCAGTCGCCAACAAGACGACGCGGTGGCAACGCACGCTCCCAGTCAGTCGCCAGTCGCGCACAGACGACTCCAAGTGACGAATGGCTGGTAGAGAAACGGCGAAGACGGTAGCGATATTGATGCGTAGCAAACGAACGACAATTTTCTCTTGTTCGAGCAGAAAAAATACTCGCAGAGAGTGCTACAAACATGGTTTCGTACCTTTCTGAATGCAAGTATAAAATAAGATGACAAGCGAAACCGATTACGTATGGGTTGGACGCTGCGAAGCCCTCGTGAACCGAGCCCGCGAAAATCACACGATGATCAGACGCGCTCGCGACCGCACATCTGCGGGCTTCTGGACGAAATCGTTCTCGCAACAGCCTCAGATTGAAGCCTTTCAACTCCATTTCGTTTCACTCTCTGCTTTGTGGAATTGAATGCTTCTTTGCAGTGTATAGCAGGAGATCGCCATCACGATGCAATATACCATCTAGATCGAAGACGAACTGCCTGTAGGATATATATGCTTTACTGAACAGTGCAAGGAGCACTGCGTTCGACACTCAAGTCACTCATACCACGATACTCTGATGGTTCGGGAGCACCAAAACAAAGCAATACATGTGCCCCGCGCGCCATACTCTGGGATTCTCGAAGACTGCTTGCGCTCGATGGTGCAAAAGCAGGTCTTTGATCACCGCACCAAGAGCAAAAGCGACGATAATAGCCACCACAGGCGTCTCTGTTACGCACCAGTTTTTCCGTCTGGGCCTGAAAACACTGGGGAACTGTCTCAAAACAGCGGAAAGATGTCCTGCCAGCAGATGGGGCATGCGGTGGCATGCCTGGCGCTGCGATGGATACCCGCCGTGAGCTCGACACCCCCGAGGTCAACTCATTGATATTCGATGCTGCTAAACGAGTAGCACTGGTCAGTCGATGCTGGGTATCAGGATCTGAAAGCGAGGACGATTTTTCAGATAGCTGCTCTGCTCCAGGCGACGATAGTTGCATGGCACCGCGAGTGAATTCTTCAGCCGAGTAAGGTTGCAGTATCCAGACGGAGTAGATACGTTGCGCTATCATCCTCACGGATGCCGTCGTTTGCTCGTCTACCGGGCAGCGTTGTCTATCACAGGTGGCTTCTCGTGGACCTGGAAACACAGACAATCCGCTGGATGTTTCGAAACCTCTTAATGAGGAGCGCAGAACAGGTGCACGCGAAACTGGCGCATCGTAGCGGCGGCGCCCCGCGATCCGCTCCACGGTGCGCCTAGGGGCAGGGTCGTGCTTCGCGTCTGCACCGCTTCGCCTCAGCGTGGCGCTCGGATGCCTCAAAAGCCGCGTCTAGGCAAGCATAGCTCACGTACGCGACGCTTTCGTGGTCTGCTGCTGCTTCTGGCTGTCGCATGTGCTGGTCTGTGCGGTAGGTTACTTTGGCCCTGGCCCAAAGCCGAGCACTGGGACGCGCTTTGTCATCACAGGCCGTCGGTCTTACTGGAGCCTTACGCTTTTGCAAACTTGGCAATCTGCATCGTGACCTGTACTTCAGACAATCGTCACTATTGCGATGATCCTAAGCGCCACGTCGCGCTCGTTGAAAGTCAACTTCGCACGTGGGCGGCGGACGCGCTTCGCTTTGGAGCGAACGTTCTCATCGCTAGCGACGCACCGTGGCCAGCATGGGCGACGCCGCTCCCAGCCAGTGTGGACTACCAATGGTTTTCGGTGCCGAAACCCAGCTGTCTTCGGCTTGGATTCGAACGGGGTCGACCACGTGAGGGTGTCTTTCGACCCGAGTCGAATCGCACGCGACAGGTGCTCGGCTATGCCTGGAAGGAACTGCCGTCGACTATACAGTTCTTCTTGAAAATCGACGATGATGCGTACTTGCGGCCTCATCGGATCTTTCCACTGCTTCAGCACTTGGATCCAGCGCGGCCGCTCTATTTGGGAAGTGTACGAACGTTCTGGGGAGCGCTCGATCCTGTCCACGCTGAAGCGGCGAATGCCTCGCAAGATCGCCGCGCTGCACCGAGCATCCTTGAGTATGCCATGGGCGGTGCTGGTTACGTGCTCAGCCGGGCGCTCGTAGCCACGCTCGTATCCCGATTCCAGTCATGTCGTCTGTATAATGGTGAGGACAAGGACTTGGCTGCGTGTGTGCGGGCTTGCCCTGACGCGGAAATACTGAATGTGGCGGGTTTTTGGTACGGCCCGCCGGAGACAGCTCCACCACAACAGCGCGACTCTATGATCTCGTTTCACAAATTGAACCGCGCAGCGGATATGGTGCGTATTCACAAAAGTTTCGGTATGCATGCGAATTGCGCTCGAGTGGACTCTGGAGGCGATTTTGTGTGAGCTTGCTTGCTCTGCTGTTGTCATGATGGTTGCCGAGCATCGTTGCTGCATGATTCGCGGAAAGCATGCGCTGGCGACTACAAGGCGGGCAACGAGGCCGTCGACGATTGGGTCTGCATAGCCGTTCGATGTCTTCGACGCTGCGGATCGATGCTCTTGTCTGCCGCACTCAATTCATGAGCTGATGATTCCAGAAGATGATTTTATACCGGCTTTTGGTGCGGTGGGCGTCCGCCATGTGATCGAGTGTGGCATCGAGAACAATGAAGTGGGACCCATCGACATCACGATGCACGACCCGAAATCGAAGGACGGCGCTGTTCATGTCAGCGATGCTATTCGGCATGCCTCCGGGGAGAGGCTCCAAGCCCAGCAACAGTGGCAACGGCAGCGGTAGCGAACATCCCGTGCCGAGCCCCGCCACTTCAGCGTCATTTCGTCTGCACGTGCACGTTCAGTTTAAGGCAACAATGGATCGAGAGACAGCACAGCATCATTGCATGCGTGTTGCTGCATGCATTCGGGACAGCACAGCATCATCACATGCGTGTTGCTGCATGCATTCGGGACAGCACAGCATCATCACATGCGTGTAGCTGCATGCATTCGGGACAGCACAGCATCATTGCATGCGTGTAGCTGCATGCATTCGGGACAGCACAGCATCATTGCATGCGTGTCTCTACGCAATAATATCAGCGTCCGAGCTTGTTACTTGGTAAACAGCTTTCCTGTTTTTCATGTCATTCGCAATCGCCAATGAAAAAAATTCACACCAGTGATGCGTTTATCGAACATATACAGGATTCCTTACATGGGGTCGGCATCTTCGAGTGCCAGTGGTGCGTCTAAATAGCCGTCCTCAGAGTCACTGTGAACCTCGGCAGCAACGCGGATGGTGCAACCCTCCGGAGCCCGCGCGTTTGCTTCATCTGCTTCTGTTTCTTCTACAGCTGCTGTCGCTTGTAGTGCGCGGTCACACTGTCGCTGGAGGTCTGGCTCACGCTCGCCGACACCCTTTTCGTAATTCAGTGCCGTGCAGTCCGGGGATGCTGCTGTGGTCAACGCCTGTGACGCCGTCAGCGAAAGGCCGGCGGTCGCAGTCCCCTCACGAGCCGATTGGGTATTTGCGAGCTTATCCAACCGGCTAGGGACAGTGGCTGAGGCTCCAGCAGCGCCGCGCCGTCTCAGCCATGATCGGAGGCGCTCTCCGGGGCGCGAGTGGCTGCGCGAACGCGGCCTTGACGCCTCGGGCTCGCGACTTGCAGGCGCGGGCAACACCGGGTCGTCAGACGCGGCCACTCGAGTGGCCATGCTGTGCGACTCGGGCGGCCCCATAATCGTGCTGGGTTCATAGCTCTCGAGGACACTCCTCTCCACATCAATGTCGTCGGAATCAGACGAAGTCGACGACAAGACTGAAGCAGCGTCGTGATGGCTCTGAACCGCCGCCTCCGATGCAACTATTCGGGCATTTTGCAGCCTCTCTCTCCGAGCCGCAGGGCTGCGTTTTCGCCAACGGAGACTCCGTTCCGAGCTCGTTGAAGCACGTCCTGCGGCGTCAGCAGCTGATGAGCTCAGCGCCCCTGACGTCGGCAATGACGCTGTCGAGCGATCCGTTTTCGTTGGCGTCTCCATTGCCTCAAGCACGCACAGCATTTGCAGCGCACTCGCCGCTCGCTGGAATAGCAGCGTCGAGACCATGGGCGGTGGACAGCGCACATGCGCGCGCGGCACCGCACGACGCGAAACGCCAAACTCGAGCGTTATCCAGCGACGCTCATCGTAGATCGCTTGCTGGTCATCGGGATCTGCCAATGCGTACAGGATAATGCCAGAGAGCTTTCGCAGGCCCAGCTGGTCGCGACGCCGCTGCCGCTGCACCTGACGAGCACGCAAATGCTGCTCAGGAACGAGCGCCGTATCTGAGCTTCGAGGCATGTCCGGCGCTACGTCGCTGGAACCGCGCACTGCACCGGGCGCTGCGAACGCTCCAGTGGCAATGGCAGCGGACTCGAACGACGTTGCTGGCAGATGTTGCTCCAGCTGACGTTGCCGCTGCCGCCGCAACGGTGACCGTCTTTTGGGCGGTTGTGCCGCGCGGTAGATCACAAATTTCGCTCGTGATTGCGCATAGATCGTTGGCGGCGCTTCCTGCAGGAAGAATCCTCCATCAAGATACTGCCAAACCAGAACAAAGGTTGTGTCGGACCGGTTCTCAATCACGCATCCCATTGTGTTCGCGACGGGGACTCCAACAACACCAGAAGCGACCCCCGTCCCGCCAGTCGATTCCGCTAATGGAAGCGGCGGCTGGGAGCTGTCCAGCGCGTACCAGGTTGGTGTCTCAATTGGCGGCTGTGCGGAGCATTCGGCTGCAACGCCCCGCTCTGGCCCCGCAACGGAAGCAGTAGCGCACGCTGACACGCGCACCACTGGACTGAGGCTCTCACCATCCGACCTGCCACTGCTCGCGGACAGTCCGTGGGCGTTTTCCGAGCTCATAACGTCGGCAATGCCGGCAGAAATCGAGCCCGGTTCCGGTGCATCTGGCTCTGACTCTACCCGGCCTGAGCGCACCAGTGGCGGTGCCGATGTACTGGCCACCGGCGGCAGCCCGCTCTTAAAATTGGATACATTCGTATTCGCGGCACGAGGCTTTGCCGATCCGCTGGAGTAGAGCGTGCTCCGTTCATGCTGATCAGCTACGGTTGCTATCGATAGAGCGTCCGTAGAAGGACGCGATTCGGTTTCGCGCTTTCCGGCAGCGTCCAGACGGAACGTGCAACCGGGCGACGGTGGCGCCATTGACGCCTGACTCGTCAACAGTCGGCCACGGGCAACCGTACAGAACACTTGCCGCAACATCTGAAGCAATTCATCCCGCTGAGCAATGGACGCGCACTCGATGCGCAGTTGCTGCACCGCTGCACTGCGCTGACTGCGCGCCAGAGCCGCTGTCCGTGGAGTGGCTGGCGTCGCGGCAGCTTTTGTAGCTTTGACGCGTTCCTGGCGTTTTTCGAGCTCTTCGCTGAGCCGCTGAACCCGCTCCATCGCATAACGATTGCGAATGCGCTGCCAAAAACGATGGTATGATGGTGCTGCTGAATGAAGTACCTTGACCACGGCGGGACTCGCGGGCAGGCTCTCGACAACCTGCACCACTTCCGACCAGGGAACCTGCCAGATGGACTGAAATTTGCTCGGACGCTCGGAATGAACCACGAGACCGTAAATGGACTCGGTGGATACGAGCACCACACCGTAACGCGGCCCCAATGGGAGCCGCTCCAGTGCAAAGGCGCGAGTGGCTGCTGCAGTCGAGCTCTGCGGAGGTGCTGCTTCGTAGATCGCTGACGCGCTTACGCGGACCATACCCACGTAGAACTCGAGGTTCGGGTACGGGTCGCTCGCCGATGAGGTCGCTTTGCGCACCAACAGACGCCACAATAGATCGTTGCCTTGTGCATCCTCGAAGCAGTAGGGCACAAGTCGAAGGCCAGGTCCAAAGCAGCGCGGCGGCCGGACCCGTCTCCCGGCCGGCAGACGCTGGTAATGTGGACGAGCACCAAGGCTCGCTGCTGGATGCATGATGAGGTCCAGGAAACCATTCGCAGGGCGGATTACTGCCTGCACGAGAGCGCGGCGAATGCCTCGCGAAACCGAGCCCGCCTGTGCGCCACGGTACGGCTCGCGTACCAGCCCGGTTACCGCGGTTCGCATTTCATAGCCGAAAGAGACGAGTCCTTTGCGCAGACCACCGGCTACAGAACTCGGCGCATCCCGTCGGCGTTCCTCGCGTTTCTGAATATATTGCGAGTCACCGGTCATGGCAGTGAGGCCGCGTGACAACGACGCAGAGACCGCCGACACAGTCCGAAAGAGACCCCGCACCGAGTTGGTGAAGAGGCCCATGTTCGCGCGACTGAGGCGCAGCAACAGGTCGTAACTGGAGGTTGCTTGGCGCGGTGTCTCGAAGATCTCGCTAACTCCCTCTGCTACCGAATCAAGCAAACGCGTCGGATTGCCCAGCAGATCACTGGATGCTAGCAGTTGCAATTGCGACGCCCTGAACTGCAGCAGATAGAATTCCTGGATGAACTCTAGCCAGTGACCCACCGAATCCAGATAATGTTCCAGGAGGAGCGCACGCGCACTGAGCGATGCATCTTCGACGGTTCCCAGTGCTGCAAGTAATGGACGTAGAATGGTGCGGTACCCGCGAACGCTACGATTTCCGCCGCCACCCAGGCGAACGCTCTGCTCCGAGCCTGTGTGCAAGACATGGCCCCCAGCGAGCGCACCTGTTCCAGAGCCAATTCGACGACTCAGCGAGTGCTGCACCGCTGCCGAGGCAGATGCCGAAAACGTGTCACTGGCGTCCCGTCCTCGGTCGAGTGCACGACTGTGCTGTCTGGAACGCTCTGGCGACGCCTGTCGGTTTCCAGCAGGAGCCGTCTCTACGGAGCTTCGCTCAGGTGCCAGTACCAATGCACCATCGCTCGCCGGATGTGACGGGGCCGGTTGTGCGCGCTGCTGCTGCTGCTGCTGCTGCTGCTGCTGCTGCTGCTGCTGCTGCTGCGTTGCGTCTCTCGTGCTTGGAGAGTTTGCGTCAGGGGTATCGAATTCCAGCCCAGCGCCTGTCGTTGCGTTACCGGCGCGGAAGCGTGATCCATGGATTTCGTTCAAGGGCGTCAACTGCACACTCGGCACGGAGCGTGCATATGGAGGGACGTCTTGTTCAGCAGATTGCGATGCGATAGGGCTGATGAAGAAGCTCACACGCAGCGTCAGCGGGTTCACCAACAGGTATTCGAAATAGATCTGACGGCCGGGCTCGGATGCGGACGCTGGCGGCACCGTCGAGATGTCTCTAGTGACAGCGTGCTCGGGCTCGTCGACGTCATTGGCGACAAGCAACTGGAGAAAGGGCCAGGCTGCACGAATGAAACCCTCCTCGAGGCATAATTCGATGGTCTGAAGCGCCACATAACCGAAGCGAACATTCCATACGTCGCCGCTGTAGGGCGCTCCAAGCTCGAAGGATAGATAGAGCGCTGGGTAGAGAGCTTCCTCTGCAGCAGACACGCGGCCACGCGAGAGCGATGGACGCGCGTCTGCTGGTTCCCTAGGCACTGCAGTTCTTGTCCCTGCTGCTGCTGCTGCTGCTGCTGCTGCTGCTGCTGCTGCTGGTCTCGTTGATGCCGCTGCGCTATCGTCCTTCGCGCTGGTTGTCGATTCAGCGGCATGTGAGGGTCTCAGGCGCTGTGGCTGCACACGCAAAACCTTGGGATGTACACAGCTGCTGCGCTGATCATCCAATTCGATGCGTTCGATGCCGACTTCCAGCGCACATCCTTTGTAATCCGTAGTATAGCCGCCACGTAAGCGATGACAGGTCAAATACGCTAATTCGGCCGGTTCCATGGTCAGAAACGACACCCCGATCCGCTCAAGCTCAAAGAAGAAATCCAAGTGCTGGAAGGCATCTGAGTCAACCTCATTCTCTTCGGGCCAACTGGGTCGCACAAAGCCGTAGCGGCGAAACCAACGCAAAGAGCTGCGCCTCTGTTGCCGCATCAGCCAAGGGCGGCGGTGCGACAGCGCGACCGGTACCGGCGCTGTTGCCGCTTGTGCACGTCCAGTCGCTTGGGCCGCTGCGCGTGCTACCAAAAGTGCATCCGCTACGATACCTTGACGAAAGAGATGAAAAATCTCGCGATCATCGTACAGTGTAATGACCTTGGTCGGACCATCCAAGGATATGGCAACCTGCAACGACGGACAGTGCGGCCCAAGGGGTAGGACAGCGACGCATTCCCCGAGTCCATCTAGAGCCAAGGCGAATCGCGTCTCTTCGACTTCCAGTAATAGTCGACGGGACTTGGGAAACGTGAAGGGATTATCCCAGGCGTAGCGTGCTGCGTAACCAGGACGCAGCAGCCAAAAGCGCCGACTCGCGTCCAGTTGACGGTATGCAACAGCGTAGCGGGTGCAGATATTCTGGAGACGCATCGGCGGGTGCTCGGGATCCTCGGGATCCAAAATCACCATCCAAACACCGTCAGGACTGGGTTGCAAACTCAGCTTCGCGATGTACTGGTGCAGCGTATCGGGACGGTACAGTTTCAGTGCGTAATGCCCTGTCATGCCGATGGGAATCCCGCAGCTCCATAGCCACGGCGAGGGTGCTCGTCCAGATGCCGCTGCTGGCGAGTCGGCATCCTCAGGGACGCGCGCTGCTGCTGGAGAATGGCGACGTCGACGCTGCTGCTGCTGCTGCTGCTGTGAACAGGTTGCTGCGTCGGCAGCGGCAGATGCGCTCGGCGTGTGCGCCTTCACGCGCGCGCTTGTCCGCTGGAGCAGGCCGCCAGCTGCGTCACCAGCGCTGACTCGCGTGCCAGCCTTCGCCACTGCAGGCAGCGCATCGCCAGCGGGTCGGATGCGTAATACGCCATGCCGCTCCATATCCGCCAGTTCCCAGTGTAGTGCGGCACTTGCACCAGGATCTAGCGAGTGTACCTGGCCAACGGTGGCGGACGGGCGACCTTCCAGAAGCGTCTCTACGTGCAAATGCTGCAGCGTCTGGACGTATTCAAAGGGAAGTGGCGTGCGATTCACAATCCGCGCCACATTATGAATGCTCAGAACAAGGCTGTTCCCAAAAGGATCACTCACCGGGCGGCTACTCAGGACGAGAACTCGTTCCGGCAGGTTCAGCACCTGTACCTGATCCAGGTCTCGAACGAAGATCGGATCTGACCAAGTTCCCAGCTGCTGCTCAATGACGGCAAGACGAAAGCTCTGCACAGCGAGCGGAAGATACGGCTCCGGCACCTGGCCTTCGATCCAGGCATTGAGGAGGATGAAGCGCTCGTCCGGGGCGCACGCTGCCGCTGTGGATTCGCTGTCGATGCTCGCCTTGGCGGACATGATCGAGTCGGCGCCAGAACTGCGCTCCCGGGCGTGCTGACGCAGGGCGCTTGCTTTTCGCCGCTGAGTGAGACCTCTAGTGGGCAGACGATCCCCGACAAACCCCGGATCAATGCAGAGCGCACAGTCAGAGCGATTTTGTAACCAGCAGCTCGCGGAGAGCTGGAGGCGCTGGCTCGCCACCGGCACCGTAACCGCATGCGGATCCAGAGCTGGTGTCTCCCAGGTACCCTCGAACGTTAGCATGGTCCAGTCGAACACGCGCGGGCAGAGAAAAGAGCCCTCGCAGGGCCATTTCGGTGGCAAACGTATAGGCTCCGACCAGATGCATTCAGCGTCGACTCGCTCCGAGTCCGTGGAATAGCGTGAGTCCGCTGTCTCGTCCGGAGCGTCGTCGCATTCTCGGGAAATGGGCGCATTCCGCTGTACGGCCAAATCAGATGCCAAGGCACTATTCGTGTTGATGAGATGCACCAGAGCTACCGAGAAAAATAGTCCGTTCAGACTACGGGTTATATGGACGGCAGCGGACTGACCGGCCGCGAGTATCCCGCTCGTCCACAGTGGTGTACTGCTTCCAGCACGATGCAGCCGAATCACGACCGCTATTGGCAACAGATTGGCAAGCACCAGCGGCGCTCGAAAGCACAAATCCACCCAGTCGTGCTGCATTGGCGAGAAGCGTGCATACGAGCTGATACGGGGAATCAAGTCCACATGAAACGGCAGTGAACCGAGCCGCGCGCCCTGTAACGTCAACAAACTCGAGCGTTGCTGCGCCATGAGCACTTCCGCCGCACCTCCAGCGGTCGAAGCTGAGGCAGCGGCACCGACGGTACGCATGCGCTTGCGTCGCTGGTAGGACTCGGCAACCAGCATCCGGAGCGTGCTCACGTCTGGCAACGGTGCCGACCAGGTCGCTTCCGAGTCACCAAAGGAACTTGTGATGGAGGTATCGAGCGACTGATCAGCTGACAGGTGGCCACTGGTCTCGATTCTGGGGTCGTCAGCTGCCCCCTGGGAAGCGCTCGACTGCGTCGCGGGTACCGGCAAGCACCACCGGCGACACCAGGGCCGCACCTGCAGCCGATCCAGGCGCGCCAGCAGCGGTGGTGACCACGACTCGCCGGGTGCCAAAAGCGCCACCCGTGGACTATCCGCAACTGCTCCCGGATGCAGGCTCCGCGACCAATCGATAAGCGCTGCCGCTGGCGTGGCCATTTCGTAGCGAATCTGTAGCGGGACCTGAAGCTGGTTCGTGAAACGAAGCAGGGAACGTGCCACCCCCGTGATGGCTCCATTCAGGACACCAAGTTCCCATATCAGGGTACATGAGCGCAAGCACTCTGCGGAGGCAGCGGTCAACTCGAGGCCCGATGCACTCGTGTCCGGTTCCAGCGTGTAGGTCTGTGTGCCGAAATGACAAGTGTTCACGCGAACCGGATGAAAGCCAGCGATCCGCAGTACACAATCCGCAAGACCCGCAGCAAGCGGTCGAAATAGGCCAGTGCCCATCGGCTCGGGAGCGGCGTTCCGGTTCACGCGCATGTCGGGGGAACGCTTTCGTGTTGCGCGTGCTCCGTCGCCCGAAGCGGTGCTCTTTGCTAGTTCGTCAGAGCTGGCGCTGCCGGGAAACAAAACGTTCTTTGCTGCGGAAGCGCGCAATGTATCGAGCATTTTTGTCAAATGCGAGCGCCAGGCCTGGAAGTGCTCCGACGACTCGAGATTCGTATCCGTGTAGAGATCGGTGAGCCGCACCTCGACAGCCATAGAGCTCAGTGCAAGCTTACGTGTTCGCAACGCTTTCGATTCTATCAGCAAAGGTAGACCGGTACAGTTGTGAATCACCAGGGCTGCCAACGTTGGACGCGGGTGACGACGCACACCAGGTCCGGCATTCGGCTGCTGCCTGGTCTCCGGCAGCCAGACGCTGTGAGATGAGGATTCGGCAGCCGCTTCCGTTCTGTCAGGGGCATCGCCGTTGTCGCGTGATGTTTTGTTTCTTCCGGATGCTGCAGCGTATTCACCGGCTTCCTGTACATCGATTTTCCTTGGCGCTGCTGCTGACGTTGTTGTTGTTGTTGCTGCTGCTGCTGCTATTCCAACGTCTTCAGGTGCTTCCTGATGATCCATCTCGCTGGATACGCACCTTGTCACCAGCGCTGCTTCGGATACTGGTAGCAGTGCCATCGATGGCGAGTGCACCGTGCTGGTTGGCGTCTCGGGACCTGCTTTCGGTTGCGTCGCCAATGCACGCCAGTCGTGTACGATCTGTTCCACTGCCTTTGCCAGTCTATCGAGCGCCGGTAGAAAGGCCTCACTGATATTCATCTCGAGGGCGTCAGCGACAACCAGATGCCATAGTCGATGTCGAGGACGCAGACCGGCACTTGGTGCAGCAGTGCCGGTGTCCGCGCTGGCACCTGTCGAGCGCACTGCAGCGCCGAGCTCTGACACTTCCCCGGTGAGCGGCAGCTCCTGCTCATTCCATTGCAGACAGCCAGCACAGTGTTCCACGAGAGGCTCCCACGCTCCCAAATAGTCATTGAAGATATCGATACAGAGAGCGCCTTGTGCATCGCTAACTGCCGGCTCCCGACTCTGTACCGAGAATGCGCCATAGAGCACGACCGTGGGTAGGTAGCTGACCATAGGCGACTCGCTTGCGTTGACCTCATTCGCTATCACTGCCTGATACCAGGAGCGGCCCCCGGGCCTCATCGATGCACTCGGTGGCTGGCTCCAAGCGTCCTCGTGTAGCAGCATACAAACCAGGGTATCAACCTGAATGGTAATCCGCAGCGAACGCACTCTGGTTGCTGGTGCTGATGTTGATGATGAAGTAGCACCAGCAGCGGCACGAGGCGTGCTCGACGCCTGCGCTGCCTCGCCAAGCCGTTCGGCAGACGAGCGGGCCTCGATCCGCGTCTTTGTCTTCGTCGTCGACGAAGACTTGTCAGTGGTGTTGCTTGTATGCTTGGTAGCCGATTCAGGGTGTATTGCTGAAGTCGCACCAGTGGTGGTCGTTGTTGTTGTTGTTGTTGTTGCTGTTGCTGCTGCTGCAGGCATCGCGCCGCTTATCGTCTCCAGTCGTCGGTGCATGCGTCCAGCACGACGTCGCCAAGTCGCTTGCAAGGTGCTAGCAGCATCCGTGCCGCTGGGTGCTTCGGCGGAACGCAGTGCGGCCTCGATCACCTCTGGGGATATGGTAGGCAATGAACGCGTCCGTCCACTGACCCAGCGATGCCATGCAGATGCCGTTTCGAGATTCGTCGCCTCTGGCAACGTCGAAGCTGGCACCTTGGAGGGATTCTCGGTTGCTTCTGTGGATCGCCTGCTCGTACCAGGTGTCGATCCATGTTCGTCGTCGTCGTCGTCGTCGTCGTCGTTGCGCCCTGGATGCCGGCCAGTGCCAGAAGCAGCAACATTCAGCGCAGTCAGCGGCTGCGATGCGGCCTCATTTCCAACCGCAGGACCTGGTGTCGACTCCAGCGCTAGTGCCGACAATACCCGGCCCTCCGTATGCGACATACTAGACGCGAGTCGAGTTTGAAGTGGCGTCGCATGCTCGATAGCCCCTGGCTCGACAGCAGCGTGAGCGCTCCCTGTTCTCGGAGGGCGCGCCCCTGCAGCCCCGGCCGCTTCATCGTGCCAGAGAAGGCGTTCCCAGTCGGTAACCTCGTGCGGGTGCTGGCGATATGCCTCCACAATCTGGGCAATCAGCACGAGATCCTGTTGACTGAAGCGCATCAGCAACATCGCCGCCGAGAGGTCGAACTGGGGTGGAATTTCCGGATCACCCGTATCGATGTACATCATCCGAATGGCGCACGGGTAGACGAGCTCCACTGAGGGCGCAAGCGTTCCGCCACCAACACCAGTACCAGTTTCGGCACCGACAGCGTCCGGCACTGCACTTGTATTGCTGTTGGCACTGGTACTGGTGAGTGTAGCAGCCTGCAGCACGCAACCGTCCGCGTTCGTCTCCGAGTCTGAAGCGCCTGGAGTCGATGTCGTGCGGACACCAGAGACGAGGCGGTTGTCGTGTGGCGGAATTCGGCTTTGACACGGGTCGTATCGCTTCATGCAGAGTCGAAAGTGATCCAGAAACATTTCGTAATGAAACTGCGAGGGATTCGTTTGCCAGGTGCAGGTCAACATCACATCACCTTGTGCTTCCATGACATCCTGTTCTTGACTGGTAAGTGCCGCCAGTGTTGCCGGAAACACGACGCTACAGTCCGAACAGGTGACGACGGCCTGGGTTCGTTCGACTCGCCGACGACAAGACGCAAGTGTCGGCACTGGGCTGCTCATCGCTTCGAATTTCCCGAAGGGTGTCGCCAGGAACGAAAGCGATCGCAATACCTGCGCAACCGGTAGCATCTCGAGGTATCGTAGATCCATGGCGATATGTGTGAGCTGGTCACCCCTCTGGTCTGGTGCCTGGCGTCGATAGCGCAGGAGCAGTCGCGAACAGCGCGCACGCGCCTCCTCGCTCATGTCGGGTACCGGGGATAGCGAACTCTGCCTGGCGCTCTGGCGGTGCTTGTCGCTCGTTCTGGATGCTTCGATCAAACCGGGTGCATCACGTACCAAAGGCCACAACGGGGAAACAGCCTTCATCAAAGATCGCGCGTCTTCGATGCGTAGCGACGTTGCGGAGAAAAACGTCGCATAGGCGCCAGAGCCCCACAGATCGGCACTGAGGTGCACCTCATTCAGCTGGAACCACACCAGACGCGTCGATTCGTCACTCGGGTTATCGCCGTGACTGCAGAATCCCTGCCAACAAGGGAGGAAAACCTCCAAACGATACAGCAACGGATCGAGAAGCTCGGCGGCGTTTGTCCAGGTGCTCTCAAATGCGTTGCCATTCGATGTTGTGGAATGCGGTAGCTGCGACGCAGGCGACGACGATAATGAGGGCTCACCGCGTTCGGCTGTGCCTGATGGAACAAAACCCGCTCCTGCTGGATTCCGCATGCCCCATTCCTGACAGGGAACGTCGCTGTTCAGGTTATTCCAGACGATGTACCAAAACGGGCCATAGTCTGCTTCGCAGATACAAGTTTCCACATCGCCTGTGCACTGGAGTGCGAAGCGCGAACAGCCCGTGTCCTCGTCTTCCGTGATCCACAGCCGGCAGTGCTCCACCGATCCGATCTGGTGCAGGTCTCCGCCCAGGTGCACGGTGACCAGTTCCAGGTCCGTGAAGGACTCCAGGTGCCACGGAACGCTGTCATCGTCGTTGTCGTCGTCGTTGTCGATATTGTCGGATGCTACCAAAGCGCCCGCGTCAGCGCCGCGTTGATTCGGCTCCTGCTGCGCTAGCGGCTGTTGTACAGTGTCGACCAACATAGACGACGACGACGACGACGACGAGTGCACAAGCGGTTGCTCAACCTCGACGACGCCAGCTGAACAAGTAGCCTCGGTCGCAGCTGGTGCTCGGTTCCCTTGCGTCTCTTTCGGACAAGTGCGTCGGCGGAAGGTCAACGTACCACCGCAGCGGAGATGAAGGGCATTCGCTTCGTCAGCGCTGCACGCAAGACCTGCAGGAAAGCGCAACAGTGGTCGATGGAGGCGAACCTCAATGATCGAGGGCATGCTCGGTGGCCCGTCCGGTACAAAAGATTGCAGAAAAGCATCCACTTCGGGGATGAGTCGCTTCCAATAGCCGTGGAGATAGACACCGTCCAACTTACCCAAATGGACTAATGCCGTCCGAGCACCGGTCTGCTGGACAAAGCGCCAAGACAAGGAAGGTACCAGGTGCTCCGTCTCCATGAACTGATGCTCCAAGTCAGCGGCAATTGTGAGCATGCCGGTGCTCGTTGCAGGTGCATTGCCCTGGTGTAGGTCAGTCTGCTCCAGGCGATGCACAGATTCGGCCTCGGCATCTGTCGCGCTGCAGGGCGAAGGTGCCGTCGCGAAAGCAGCTGCAGAACCGGGTTCGGCGTCACGAGCCGGCATACTGCGCGCTCTAGTCCATAGAGCGGTGGAGTCCCGGTCAGCTGGCGAATTCGGGATTTTCAAGTCGCGACTTGCCCCAGCAGCTGCAGCTTCCGGAGCATTTGGATGTGGTGGCGTTCCCGCTGCGTCCTCGGGATCATCATCGCACGGGAGAGGCGCGTTCGCCAGCCACAGCTCCTGTGCTTGCCAGCGATCATCCCAAGATGAATCGGATGATGCCTTGGGCTGAAAACGCCCCAGAACAAGTGTCTGGTTCGCATCTTTGCCCATATAAATAAGGTCTGCGCCCTGTAGACAACCGGCTACGCGCACAAGTGCCGGCATTGAAGGAGCTAGCGCAAGGTTCATTTGCATTCGCGTGAAGCCACGAGCCTCGAGTCGCACGACCGGAGCCTCTTGTTTGCTTCCGTGAACACGCACCATATCTGTGACGTCACAACGTATCTGGATAAAGCGAAAGAGAGAGGAACCCGCAACGTCCGTGTCTTGATATTCTCCATCTTCTACTTCATCTTCTCTTGGGATGGTGTCGGCATACGCGCCCGGTGTCGTCGATGAACTACCGATCGAGGCAGCCGCTCCGCTGCTGGCACCACGAGCGGCCATCGACACCTTCTGTGGACTGGAATAAAGTTCACGAGTAGCACCTAGAGCTGCAACCGATGCACTTGTCAGTGACGCCTCGGATCCATGCATCGGCTGACGCTCCAGTTGGCGACGCGGAGCGCGCTTGTTCGCCAACACCTGCCCAGACGCTGATCGTTGCAGGTCTTGCTGCTGCTGCTGCTGCTGCTGCTGACTCCAGTTTGCTTCCGTTGGGAAAGCTTCCACGGTATCCGAACGCTCCAGTCCGCAACGACGCCGGAAAGCACCCGCGAGGCGATACCCATCTTCGCCGTTCATATTGGTTGCAAGCGTCCGCAGCTGGATGCCGACCTCCAAGACTCCCGATCCGGGATGCTCACGCGAGTCTCGCCATGCGCCTGAACAGTGCATGCCCTCGAGCCGCAAATAACCGCTCCGAACTGGACCCAGGAAGCACAATCCTGCAGTGTCGAGTTCCCAATACACATGAAGCTTGTGGTCGCTCTCACGGACCCTGGCTACCCGGTTCAGTGCACCGGTATGCTGGCCACTGAGCCAGGTCGACTCGGGAATGGCAACGTCCAAGTCAGCTCGAAGCCGCACCGGTTCCAGAATACACTCATACGCGGATATCGTCGTCGCTTGGTTGTCCAAAAGATGCAGGTACACTTTGCCCCGAGCGAGCTGCGCATTTATATGCGTCCGGCGACGTCTCCGTTGCGTGCCGCTGAGCGCGTTCAACGAGAGCCCAGTCCGTTGTGCTGAAGCGCGCCATCCTCGGCTGTGAATGGAACGGGACGTCTGCGACTCGGCCTGCTTCTCCGGATGCTCAGCAGCGTGCCGGGCTGCAGTGCTCGTGGGCGTTTGCGAGATCGTTGTCATGGCGCATCCACTTGTGGATACTGACTGAGCGCAACGTAGCGACAGAGCAGTGGTCTCGAGTGCCTCCAGAGCGGCTGGTGTCAAGTGAATCTGCCACGTTTCCAGCACCAGGAAGCAGGTATCGACAATGCCACCGTCGACGTCGGTACCGGATCGACCGGAGACTCTCCAAGACGACGGTGACGACGAAAACATCGGCAGTGAAAACGAGCCGAACGGGTGAGTCGTGCGCGTTGCCGCGGTGTGCGCACCTCGGTTAAGCCAACTGACTGCGACGCGAGTCAGCGTCAACAGCGACTGGTCTGGATGCTGGTGTCGATGTTGCAACAGAAGCGCTTCGAAAACGCAACGCCATTCTTGCCGCCGCGATCCCAGTCCAGTCGCTGCAGAGGACAGTGCTGCTTCCTGGCAATTCAGTGGTGCTGCAGAGCTATTTTCCATGGACTTTGCCGCAATCTTCGATGTAGCTTGTGCCGATGCACCGCTCTCAAGCGTCACGCTCTCGATGCTGAGGCGCAGCAGTGGTTTCTCCGGCAGCGCCGCCCGCGGTTTCGCTTCCCAAACCGAGAGCGATGGCCTCTCTATCCGGCAGGTAACGTCAATCCAAGGCTTCATTTCCACATGAGGCTGCACTCGACTTGCACGCCTGCACCTAAAACGACGTCTGGACGTCTCCTCGAGCGACACCAAGGACCTGCCCAAAAGTCGCCAACGTTGTATCCATTCGACGAGCGGTGCCTGTCCATAGAGACGGAGTTCTGGGGCTTGGAGCACCACCTGGAACAACCAGCTACTTTTTGGAGTCAACATCGCGGACTCGGCCCAGCCGCCTGCGACACGTAGGTCGGGCTCCTCGAGCAGCTCCGCTGCGAAGATACCCCGTGAGACCTGCAAAGCGCGTTTCCAAGACTCGTTAGTTGTTGGCGTTGCATCGTTTGGTGTCTCGGCAGAAGACGACGACGACGACGAAGAGCTGAAGTTTTCACCTCCGTCCTGTACAGATGAGCCACCAAGAACCCCTGACTCTCGAAATGCGTCCAGAGGCGGCAACCGGCGTCGTTGCATCCGCACCTGCAGAACCGGTCCAGCGTCGGTGCGAGCAGTGCTTAACGCTTCCGCTTCCGCTGCTGCAGAAGATGCTGTTTCAGCTTCGGGCTCTGGACCTAGTGAGCCTACTGGTGCTGCACTTGTTGTCGCTGCCGCTTTGACTCCTCTTGGAGCAGGTTCTACCGCCGCATGTGATCGATTCGAATACAAACTCTCCAGCGTGCTGCAAGTCGATTGCTGCCATTGAAGCAGCACCCAGCGCTCCTTGCCCTGGATAAAGTCCAGGTGACAGGTTTGCAGTCTAAGATTGCCGGTATCCGGTGCCCGGAAGGTGCCCTCCAGGCCCTGTGCTGTCAAAATGAGGCCTGTTCCGTTCGCAGCGGCCTCCCAGAGCTCGCCCTGAAACATTTCTAGACGAATGGTTAGCTCCCAAAGGCGACCAGTCGTCGATGCCGTTTCCGTTGCGGACGGCTCGGCGCCCTCCTCTGCAGTCGCCGGTGGCAACGAGTACTCGTTTGACGCGCGTCGAGCTGCTGCTAAAGCCCCTGGCATGTCGCTCCGGTCCGTGCACATCCCATGCGAACCGCTCAACGGCCACATTGCCGTGCTGCACGCAAACGTCAAAACGTCCGCACTCGTCACTGGCGGGTAGTCGTATCCACAGAGCTCCGCCCAGCGCGCAACATGCCACGGACTCACAGACGGCATCCAGAGCGTCGAGGTGCTTCGATTCACAGCCACCATGCCGACACACGCCCGCGTAGCAACATCGCTGGGCAGCGCGCCTGTAGCCTTTGCTGCCGTCGCCGAGGAAAAGTGCGCTGTGCAATCCGCATTCCCTCCCGAACGATGCTCTGCATCAGTGCTGGCCTCGACATCGGAGATTCTCGAATGGATTGTATCGCGGACGACCGTCCCTGAAGCCGGTGGACGTGCAGTCGAAGCCCAGGCTAAGCGCAGACGCTTCATCAGCCGAAGCGGCCAGCGAGACGATTCATCGGGCCGATCACTAGCCGCGCTTCTGGGATGAACCCCAGCTGCACCATCGCTCCCAGAGCCGGCCACCGTTGAAAGGCCTGCTGGTGCGGCGGCGGCGGCGGCGGCGGCGGCGGCGGCGGCGTTGCGCGTGCCTTGTGCGCGCGCATCCGCAGCAGCGATCGCAGCTGGTACGTGATGCAGCGCGTCGCCCAGCATGCGTGTCGAGTCAACGGGACACGTCACCTGGGTGAGCGCCTCTCCGCGGCGATCACGCATCGGGTGCGTGCTCGTATCGGGGGGCGCTCCCGGATACGCCGCCGCCGCCGGGGCGGTGCTCGCAGGCCATGCGCTGCGCAGTCGCCATAGCACCTGCAGATCAGCCAGATGGCGGTAAAATAGAATCGTTTCGAGATTGAGTTTGTGCTCGAGGAGCGTCAACAGCTCCGGGTTGGTCTCTTTGCGCTCGATGTGTGCCCATAGTGGATCTGAAGGACTCAGAAGGCGATTCAGGAGCGACTGATACCGAGTGGTGACGTACTGTTCGCGTTCTTTTCTTCGTCGACGGACGATTTCGGGCCTTCTCATCTTAGATGATCGCTGACGGAGCCAAAAACCGGGTCGAATTGCTTCGAGGGTATCGTACCAGCGAGTACGAGGGCTCGATGCTCCTCGGGATCTGTTCAGGGGGGCGCAGCGAGTCCACCGGTGGATCACTTGGCTAAGCTGCTCAAGGAGCTCGCGCTCCAGATGCCACTTGACGGCGGAAATGTGGATGTTCAGCTGCGATACCGATCTGGGATCGCTATTGGTGAGCGAGAGCAACCCGCCAGTGAGACGCAAGTGCATGGTTATCTCCAGGGGCGCCAGAACCAGCGACAGCATTGCAGACGCTTCCGCCGATTGCGACTGCGTCCGAACCTGTTCGAAGAGGCCCCAGACGTCAGAGAGTTGCGATGACGTCGGCGGTTCGTGACTCAAGAGCGGCCGATTCAGCTCGTTCAGACCACACGCAGCCAACAGCATAAGACCAGAAAATGCAACGCGTTTCGCGAGAACGTCCGAGTCTACGGTCGACGTGTCTGGGGCTCCCGACGCATCTACGATCGGAGCTATTTCGAATGCTTTGAGGTACAGGTGCAGTGCGATGATATGTTCTTGGGACTGGTGCGGGTGCACCGCCTGGGCGCCGGCAGCTGCTCGGCAACTTGCCGGTGTTGTTCGCGCATCCTGAGCGACAGCTGAGAACGCGTCCAAGAAGTCGTCTGGACGAGCGTCCGGCTCCGGAGGTACCGCGTAAGACAGGTTCCGCGCTACAGGATGCAAGGCATCGCACCGTCCCTGTTCAGTGCTAGAACTGTGCGCTTCGGGAGTCACCGCTCTCGTCGTAGCGTCTGGCGAGTATTCTACATCGAGAAGCGCGCTGGCAAGCTCCAGCAGCTCGTCGCTACGCTGGTCTGGTCTTCGCGCGGCACCACGGACGCTCTTGCCGTCTGTTCTGTCAACATGGATGTTTTCAGAGCGTTGTCCGCCTATTGGCGTGCTTCCCGCCTTGGCTTCGATATCCAGGACGTTCGTGAACGAGTCTTCCGATGCCTCATGGGTAATTTCTGGTGCACATTCGTTACACTGTACGGAAAATGGTGCGTCCGTCTCTGCGGCAGCGTTCGATTGTTTCGACTCTGGTGCTGGTGCGTTCACCCCCCGAGTCCCTGCATCCACCTCTCTGGGTTCCAGCACCGTTCCCAATCGTGAACGCGCTGGGTCCTCGCTGGCCGCTGCCGCAGAGGCACCGCTGCCGTTCGTGCAGCGGTTGTCGGCGTCACCGGTTGCAGAACGCTGCACGCCTCGCGAGGTGCACGAGCCGCTCTCAGACGCGTCCATACCGAAAATAACCCATATATTCCCAACTTGCACCTGCATGTTTGCAACGACTTGACGAAGGAGTCTTTTCCGCCAACCGGAGATGTTGGTGTTATTCGATTTCGGATCAACCGCGAGCGCTCGCGCAGCCGAGGCTAACCTAGCGGCTATTTCGTTCTCAGCCTCTGAAGCTGCCTCGCGCAATACCATGAGCCAAGCTCGGAGCTGCGCTTCCCGCAAGGATGCGTCTGTTGCTAGCTCTGCCAACTGCATCCGTTGGCTCCGAGTAGCTGCTTCGGTCGAGCAGGAATCCGGCGGTAGCGCCGCAAGCTGAACGCACACGTCTTCAATTTGAATGCGCAGGGGTTGCGACCAACTCAGGGTTTTCCAAGGCACTTCAACGCATACTCGACCAATATAACCAGAACGGACATGGAAGGGAGCGCTCCCACAAGCCCGTTCGAAGAGCACCTGTACAGCTTCAGGTACCAGCTGGAGCTCGTGAAGCTCCAGCTGACCGGACCATATACCCACAGAGATTTGGCGTTCATCGATCTTTACATACTGACCCAGCGTTCCAGATAGAAGCTCGGCTACAAAGTGAGCCAGCATCAAACGTTATAACCCGGTGGTATGCCTCACCTCTGAGCCAACACACCTCAATCGTCGCGTTCGTGTATGCCGTATCTGGTTACGAGTGGCGATCGCCGGTGGCGCGCGCCGCCCAGAACAGCGCGCATCGTTGGCATCGCCGAGGCGGCGCTGCGCGCGTCAGTATCGTTCGTACGCATCGACCGTTGGCGGAAGCGCGACAATGCAGCTCAGTGTTCACGAATGCCAGTATTCGTGGTACATTCTGGGGTGCATGATCACAGGAAACGTTCTGCTGAGCGCAAGCGGCAGTCTCTTGGTATTTCGGGGAGCATGTCGGAGTCATGGAACCTTGTAGGTAGGGTACAACATGATGGACGCTCTGCCGAATGCCAGTCTTCATGGTACATTCTGGGATGCATGATCACAGGAAACGTTCTGGTGAGCGATATAAACATCTCACTGCTACAGCGAACTCACACAGCGTCTTTCAGAACATGCATTAATGTTCAACAGTTTCGAAGATTAGAACTTGCAGGCGGGCGTGGATGCGTTTTCATTCGTGATGGCGGTGGAGTTGGCGCTTTGACGGGGTATCGCGAAGCTGCTCCATCTGGGTGCGCTATTTGCAAGGGGTGTCGCAGACGGCGTGTTTGTGGATCGAGCTCGGAGCAGGTCGACCAGTCTAGACTATCTGGTACGAACTAGCGCTCGAACAGGAATTGTGGTGCACGCTTTGGTTACATACAGCGTTGATGGATCATGATGGAATCCGGCACAATGTACGGGCCGAATAGCATCCAACTTGGGAACATATTATGGACGTGGACGATCACAGAGCGTTCGGTGCTGCTGCTGATGTGCTGCGACGCTGGGACCTAAGCACCCATCGATTCCGGTTCCGCTTGTCGTAGAAAAAAACAAGCGGCGAACTTTATTTTGAAGATACGGAAATATGGATGCTTCAGGCTCGCTGCAGCAGCGAGCGTCGATTCCTCATAATCCAAAAGGACGTGCGGTTTCCGCTCATGAGCCGGTGAGCAGAGAATTCGGCAGACTGACTGCGTTTGGGTCGCTTGTTGCGAGCCCGAGAGATACCCAGCCTGAAACGCAAAATCCACATGACGTAGTATTCGTGGCTAAGGTGGTCCGGAAATACACCAAGGGTTTACTTGGCAGGGCAAGCATCGCGCTTCGTTCCAGGCGAGTAAAAGCGCGCTTGCACAGCCAGGCTCACCCGGAATGTCGCATCTTCCCCACAAATCTCATGTGGCTAGCATGTTGCGATGCGCTCTCGAGGACGCCCGGAACGAACTGGTGACTCTATTGTTCCTACATCGGCTAGAGTGCGAGGCCGCGATAGGCGCCCACCGAGTGCCGGGCAGGCGTTCCGAGTTTGCATCCTTCCCAGTGCCAGCCACGGTTGTGGTATTGCTCATGGTAATCGTGGCACAGCAGCTACTGCACAATATAGACTTGAGCAGTACCCCAGCCCGCTCTTTCCGTTGAGAACTCCTCGCGTCGGCGCCTAGTTTGGTTCGTACCTCGGGGTTTCATATTCGAACGTGCAAAATGTGTGCCAGCAACTTGAGGATGCAGACAGCATCCTGGCACTCGATGCCGACGTTTCATCGAATAAAGTTTCATCGCAACCATAGGAGTTTTGCCTCCGTGCAGCTCGAATTTGCAAGCGTTGCCCCGGTACTTGAAGCCGAAGTACCGTCCAATAAAGTCTAGTCGCAAGCATGGCAGTTGCGTAGCGGAACCCTAAAGAGAGCGCGTGAGCCGCGAACCCCTGCATTTATTTTTGCTCGGAAGTGGTAACAGGTTCCGGAACTTTACGCCAATCGGGTATCGCGCTCAAACTGGATAGGTGTTCAGTGATCAAGCACTCGTACAAAGAAGATGAGAAAAGGCCTCTGCAGAAAGGTCCGATGATTTCTGTTACTAGGGTAGGAAATGCAACAATCCGGAAACACGTTCCATGTAGATATGTGTGTGTTAAAAAACGATCGTTTCGGACACGATAACAGAAGGCTCCTCCAGAGCCGCACTACGTTGCTCCCATTGCATCAAGGCAAAAACGCGCTCGCATTAAAAGCGCAGTAGCTCAAAGACTACCAATACAGGTAAAACGAGAAAAGGTCTCTGCACAGAGACCCCGCAGTCCTCCTCCCACGTCGAGTGAAGGAAGCGCTTCAAGTTCCAGGCAGTCTCGTGCTCCGAACTCGCGCCTGTTTCGACGCTTTCACCGTTCTTAAACACCCGTATAAAACTTCGTCAGTTTTCATTCCAAACCCTGAACGCTGCGTATCTTGCGTCACGCCTTGCAAAATCAATGATCTCTGTGTGCTGGACGTGAACATTTGAAGTTTCCGGTGCTCTGCGCCACGTGACCTGCAACCGAGCCCTAGTACTTTCAAGCAGATTTGGGAAGCTACACGCACTAAAACGCTCCAACGGACGCAATCATTCGTTTATAAACGCGACTCTAGCCGGAAACACTCTGTCTTGGTCACACGTACCCCAGTTTCAAAGTTGCGGTCAAGGAGACCGGTTCCTCCGGCATACGCACCAGGGCAGTACCAGGCGAATGGCCGGCACTCGCGTCGCAGCCTTCGCCAAAGTCCAGCTATTCTGTGAAACGCTTTGGCATTTTTACGGACAGTTGCCTCTGAGAAAGCTAGCTTCATAGAGGACTACTGCCTCGTTCTTTTGTCTTAGTTTTGGGAAAAGATACGCCAGCACGTTTCACAAACTATTTACAGTCACGATTCATGCAGCGTACGGCAGCACCAGGCTGGGTAGTTGAGCAACTCAGAGGACCTGAGACGCGCGCGGGGTCCCAGCAACTACCGAGCGGGGCGGCTGCTCCCGTTGGGGTCGTCCCGCCCGGTGAACAACGCATTATGCATCCCCAAACTCGGCAGTTTGTGGGACTTGGTGGTGGTGTTGGCCCCGCAGCGGCGCCTTCGCAGGTCGAGGACTGGCGCCGTAACCTCCAGGCTCCGCCCAAGGACACGCGTTATCGCACGGAGGATGTGACGGCTACGAGAGGAAACAGTTTCGAGGACTATTATTTACGTCGAGAGTTGCTGATGGGGCTTTTTGAAATGGGCTGGGAGCGGCCTTCTCCGGTCCAAGAAGCGGCGGTGCCGGTAGCGTTGGCCGGGCGCGATGTACTCGCCCGCGCCAAAAACGGCACTGGTAAAACAGGAGCTTTTCTTATCCCGATCCTAGAGCGACTGGACACGAAAAAGAACGCGATACAAGCACTTGTTTTGGTGCCGACGCGTGAGCTCGCCCTTCAGACGGCTGCAGTTGCGAAAGCGCTCGGCAAACGTCTCGATGGCCTGCAGGTCATGACGACAACCGGGGGCACCTCCCTGCGGGATGACATCCTGCGGCTAGAGCAAATCGTACATATTCTGATCGGCACGCCTGGTAGAGTCCTGGATCTAGCCGAGAAAGGCATAGCCAAATTAAATGAGTGCAAGATGTGTGCTTTGGACGAGGGCGACAAGCTGCTCTCGCCGGAGTTCACGCCCGTCATCGAACAGATCGTGACCAAGCAACTGCCTCCCGATCGGCAGTTAATGCTGTTTTCAGCAACGTTTCCGATTTCCGTGAAGGGCTTCCGAGACAGACACCTTCGGAAACCCTACGAACTGAATCTCATGGAAGAATTGACGTTGCGGGGAATCACGCAATATTACGCATTCGTGGATGAGGGTCGCAAAATTCACTGTTTGAACACGCTTTTCAGCAAACTGCGAATCAACCAAAGCATCATATTCTGCAACTCGGTTTCGCGGGTGGAACTTCTCGCCAAGAAAATAACCGAACTGGGCTATTCCTGTTATTATATCCACGCCAAGATGCCGCAGTATCAACGAGCTCGTGTTTTTCATGACTTTCGCAACGGCGCCTGCCGAAACCTCGTTTCGAGTGACCTCTTCACACGCGGCATCGACGTACAAGCGGTGAACGTGGTCGTGAACTTCGACTTCCCGAAGAACGCAGAAACATACCTGCACCGAGTCGGGCGCTCTGGACGGTACGGACACCGCGGTCTGGCGATCAGTCTCGTAACGCAAGACGATCGCTTGAACCTGTACCGAATCGAACACGAGCTGGGGACCAAGATCGCTCCGATCCCACCTGCAGTTGATGAGTCTTTGTACTGTGCGTGAGCCTAGGCTGAGCGACAAACCAAAAACCAAAACCAAACCAAAAAATGTAAAAATTTGAGCCACTGTGCTCTGCAAAAACAGACCGGACGATCGCACCTTCAAGTCCCTGTCAAGCGTAGATGAAGCACGGGAAGCGACGTGCACAACTGCGGGTATGGTCGGGGGACGTGCGTTCAGGCACACAGGCGTCCGTGGTTAGGGTTGGATTTCCGTCGGTTGGCATGCGGAGATTCCACCAGTTCAGGACCCTGCTTTGAGATGCGTGACTCCAAGTTCGCACAGCCTGGCCTCTAAGAAACAAGACCGTCCTCATCAATAGAGTCCCAGATGTGTTTCGACCAGGCCCGTCGAGTGCATTACCCGCATAACACCGAGAATAGTGAAGCACCTGGCGGGAAAAGCCGCTCGTCTCGCTGCGAGTGCGCGTTCGAAGACCCGGAGCCTATTGGGTGACAGTGCCGAGCGCTTGGTGCCACGGAAAGTAGACGGCGTTGCCGTAGCCGAAAACCTTTTATCGTTGGAACAGCTTGCGCACTACAGCACCGGCAGCACGCCCTCAGGTTTTATGCGGATACTCGGAAAAAAGCCGCAAAAAAGGGTTACGGGGGCAAAGACTACTTCGATACGTCTGACGTGCTACATCCGTGCCAGAGTCAGATCCAATTCTGAACTGCTCGCTCGGTTCATGGATTTTATTCGGAAGTAGGTTTCATTGCACAGACTCTGCTTTCCAAGTCCAGCAGTATGGGCTTACGTATTCACTGGTAGTTTTAGGATGTTCTGCTGAGTATTCTGGGTGGATCCGAGGACGCTTTCCCGATGGAATTCATGACTTCATCGGAATCAACGTGATTCCCGATGCACTCGAAACATAGTTCGTATTGTTCCAGAGATCGCCAGCCAATGCTTACCAATGAGCTTCCAGTCGCTTGCTTTCCTTACATGTCGCATGCTGAAATGCCGTATTGTATATCTTTTCGATCCGCCGGTTTCGAGGCAACTCGTTGCCACAGTAATTCACGCGGCTCGATTGACGAGGAAGAAACTGGCCGTCGCCGCTTGACAGTATCTTCACTTGTTTATGCCGAAGGTTCACTGAACTTGCTGCTTCAAATTGCAGATTCTGTTCGAAATATGAATTCTCATCTCTTTGTGGTCATCGATCAAGCGGGATTCGACAGCAGTATGATAAATATCTGACGGGATATGCTCCTGGCGGTTTCCGACTCTTCATGTTGCATGGAAGAGGTCATGGACTCGTACCTGAATCATCGCAGCGATCGCTTCCTGTGAAGCGTGCGTCACTGACTGGCACGATGCTAGCTTAGACGGATCCGTCGTTTGCGGCATCATCGCTAGCATGGATTTTCTTTCCGGTACTTGATTCATCAAGCGCACGATCACAATCGACAAATCCTCTACGGAATGGAAGCGCTCGCGCCCTCGTGTTCGGACGGCAGCGTACTCGTCGACGAAATCGTCTGGAAGAAGCCCGTGCTCGCAGGGTACGGCATCGAGCGCAGAAACGGAACTGGGCGTAGACGCGAGCCTTCTGTACCCGTCAAGCGCTTGCACAGAGCGATGATGGAAGCGTCCACGCACCACAGAGTAGCATTCGGAGCAGTGGGATATGTGGTGGATACACGGGAACATCAAACCGCTCGCAGGTGTCACCGCTGCGAGGGATGCACCGTGCCTACCTGCAGAGCAGCGTAAAAATGCGAGTGACGCCCAGATCGCAACTTCCGCCTGTGAAGCAAATATGTCCACAACAGTCGGTTGCAAGGAAATCGGGCATTGAACGCAACAGCCAATATCTTTCGACACCTGACAACGGAGCTCGAGCTAAACTAAACCCCAGTATGCAAAGCGTGAGATAACAGAGACAGGAAAAGCAGCAGATGTATAACAATCTCATACAGGCTGGTGGTATTGGAAATGGAAACAGGCCGCAAGGTTTGCATGTGCGACACAGTCCATAGACCGGTTCTGTTTCATTCTGATATAGTTGTAAGTTAGGCAAGAGCGTCAGCATCGATTTACGCGGACGCAACCCGTGTGTTCAGGCACCAGTCCCTTGCGCGGGAACTCGCTTCCGTGAGCGCCCTTGCGTTCCTAAGCGCCAAAATGTGCAGAAACGCAACACGTATATCGCGAGTGCGAAAGGCAGCACCCCAAAAAAAGACTGGCCACCAGCTGCGGCCACCGTGGAAAACGGCGAGCCTCCACACCAACATTCGTTCCGAATCTCATGCCATGCACGCTTGGGCTCTGGCAGCGAGTCTGGGCGACATTCGGAACGAGCATTCCCTTGTTGGGGAGTTCCCGTGACACGAGCACACCTGCAAGATTTACACAGAGAATCGTAAATTCTGGTGCAACTAACAATACGCCCTGTTTTGTTTTCGTGCATTTTCCCGAGGTATGCCTCAAAAGGTACGTACGCTGTGAACCGGAGAGCGGTCTCGTGGACAGACTTTATACTGTCATAGGTAGATTGCGAAAAACGATTTTATTTCTATAGTCGAGTCATTCAGATGTCAGCAGGCGGATAAACCACCAGTGTTCCAGTTCTTATCCAGAATATCGTGTACGCTGAACAGAACGTTTCAAACGCTATCTACAGGACTGGATGGTGGTCCACCCATTCCACTCTGTACGCTGTCGAAGAAATACGAAGCATGTACCAGATGTGAATTTTTCATACCGTTGGTACGAGCCATGTCGAAGAGAAACGCATTTACGAAGAAAAATCGGGCCTCTATTCGAGACCTGTATGCGGTGCACAACGCAATATCGGTTTCCTGGAGGAACGCAAATGCTGATGACACTTGGTGCGGGTGCTCGTCAAGTTCGATGAAACTGCCTCCGGAACGAGTGCGAGAGCCGCGTATGGGCACTCAAGGTAAGAAAAACCGCTGTTCGCACGAAAGAGTCAAGCGGGCATTTCGATGTGGGGGCTCCTGCGGCACCTCAGCCGTACGGTCGCGGACAAAAATCCGGAACCCGACAGGGCCACTCACCAGCTCATCATCCTTCGACAAAGGACACTTCGTATTGTATCCGAAGAGGATTCCTCCGTCTCAATGTTCGACAACGTCGCTTTCCATCACCTGAACAAGGGCATGCTGCACGTAACTCAGAGTAGAGCTGAGCTACCCTTCATGCTAGCCTATGGTCTCCGTTTCAGTCGAGTCGAAGGCGTCTTCTCTGCTGTCAAACGTCATGATTACGCTCAACAACGCACATTCGAGTCGTTCGAATCATTGATGACGTCATTCGACGAATCGTTCCCTGCGACGCCGCGCGCTCTCCCCTCACCAGCCCAGAACTACTGTTTGCTGCTCCGCTCGGGCGTTGGACAGCACTGAATGGTGCGTTTGGGTTCATGCACATGCGCGCGTCGGGCAAGGCGACGAAAAGATGCACGCGGAATAGTAGATAGATGCATAGATGGGAAACGCGGACTTGATTCCCATCGTCCATCCAGTTCGTCTGAGTCACTGGGAAAACGTACCTGGTGCATCGCACCCGAACCCTTTCCGTCCCGCAAAAGTAACGGGCAAGGCGAAGGTACCGCTCAGCAAAGAAGGGAATCATCCTCGCGAAAAGAAGACGACGAGGGGCCGGATAGAAAAATTTCTGTGGGGCGAATATCAGTCTTCAAACGTTGTCAAGGATTCTCGATTGAAACAAACCAACGGGAGAATCTCGCAAGAGGCGATATGCAGAACGCTAGGAATGATCGAGCAGCTTCGTACTCGAGGGAGGCTCATCTGGCATTCCTCGCCTCGACGTAGATCGCTCAGCAAATATCCGCAGGAGCTCTGGACGCAGCTCTGCAAGCTGTCCAGATTCTTACGGAATTTATCCATCAAACTTTCGTGCTTGAACACAACTCATGTTCGAGACAGAAGATGCAGCACGGCCTGACCGTTGGACCAGAGATTTGCATATGCGCTTCGCGGAAAATTCTTGACGCTCCGCAGTGCGACGTTGCCGGTCGAAGCGTCTCCAGCACAGGTGTCAAAAAGGTTCAAACACGCCTGAAAATCCTAAACTGTATATTGTTCAATGTCGAGGGCATCATGAATTTCGCCTCGTGGGCGTTGCACCCGCAGCACACTGACCCAGATATATGGGCTCTGGAGGAAGGAACTCTTGGCGTGACAACGGACGCGAATGACGAGCTGTTGCCAAAAGAGATCAAAGAGGTAGCGAGCATCGACGAGATGTTGCAGCCAGAGCGAGCGTCGCTTCAGATCATCGGATCTTATTGTGTTGCTCTTGATCTCGGAACGATGGACGTCGTATGCAAAGGACGCTTCAAACATGAGGTCTGCCTTAGGAACATCTCGTGCCATTGCGCTTTGCTGGACAGTACCTTTAAGACCGGAAAGGAATCCCTCGGAGGATCCTATCGCCCAAGACGCTGCAAGCTTGTATTCGATTCGGTCCCTGTTTCGAACATCAAGGCCCATTATATTCTTTCAAATCAAATGTGTTTGATTCCTCCGCAGCAGTGTATATCCGGAGATCGAAATCACCATGCAGTATACCGTATGGACCGTGGATAAATCGTCTGTAGGATATATATAGTCCTTCATGAAAAGTGCTGCGAAGTTTGCATCCCTCGTTCAGGTCAGTCACACGACAGTAGGCAGATGGTTGAGGAGCACTGAACAGAAGCAGTATTTGCGCTCCGCGCCAGTAACCGATAGTTCCAGAGACTGCTTGCGTTCAATGTTTGAAAATGACCCGTTGATCTAATTTAACGGAAACCAAAAGCGACAACAGGAGACGCCATGTGGGTCTCTGTTTCTCTACAGCTTGTGCCTATGGTCCGGAAAAAACCGGAACACCATCGCACGTAGAGTTCAGTTTCAATCACGGCCATCTTTTACTCGTATCGCAACGAAAGAATTCCTGGAACGTCTCGATCGGTATGAAATAGACCGACGTCGATTTGTTTCTTCAGTCGATGAGACTTGCTTCGGATGAAACGGTCGGAGCGTATCTGGATACTCGAGGTGAAAGAGCCAATTTTATGTACGATCAAATTCGAAGAGAACGATGACATCAGCAGCTCTCCTAGCTGCAGTGGATTCATTCGGCAGCTCCAGTTTCCTCTGTACCGAAGTCTCATATACCAGCACCAACCACTATGTCGCATCACAGAAGACTTTTCCCTGACGTCTGGCGACGTACTTCCATTAGACAACACGGTATTTTACCAATCCACTCGCGTTCGAGCTTTTGCTGAATCTGTCGAGGACTAGAGCTGCTTTTGTTTCCTACGTAAGCTCTGCGAGTTTCAACGTCATCGAAGGAGTTTCTAGTGTCGAGAATACGAATGCTTGCTCCACTGGGCGAATCGCTGAAGCATTCAACTCACCTTGATACCGGGACAGATTTCGTGTGTCTGCATCGAGTCCACCTCCATCCGGGAAGGTCCTCAATCAAGAGCATATAGGAGTGCGTTCATGTAGAAGGAAAAATCCAGGGAATAGGTACCGAAATGCAAGTAGAGGATCCCGGAAGCCCGCTGTGTCTGCGTTCGACGCAAAGGAAAAAACCTCTGCTTGCCGAACATCCAGCGAAGAAGCGCAAGTGTCAAAGAAGAAGGAGAAGAATGCTGATTGGCGAGAAAATCTGGTTGCACGGCGGGAAGTTGACGAGACTGTAGTCGCTCATGGGGGTCGGGCACGAATCCGAGACCCCATTGCACTAATGAGATCTACCAGACGCAATAAACGCATGGAGTTCGTGAACCGGGACGTCAACGCCGCCATCAATTTCAGCAGATATGCGGTGCCGCAGAAGAGACCTGCAGAGCTGACGAGATACAAATTTTTGCTGCAGCCTCTCCGACTCGACGTGTGCAAGGAGAAACTGAAAGCCTATAGCAGTCATTCTTTCATAAAAGGCTGAAAGGCGGCTGCGAATGGGTGTATGTGTGCACGATACGGTCGTGAAACGTTTATCGTTTCACAGATCCGATAAACGGGAAAGCGAATGAACCTGCTGAACTTTTCGAGGGCTCGGTACCAACAGGCGCCGGTCGTTTTAGACGCCAGGAGGCGTACGAGCAACAGGGATGACGTCCCCAGGGTTCGTTTAAACGCTCTGAGTACCGTGTCGAGCATTGGATGTACTGTAAACGCTCGATTGGGAGAACACCAGAGTATCCAGATGGCTCAGGCCGACGATTCTTTGCTTGAGTACATGAGACAGCGCTGGGAGAGCGACCGGTTTCGGTTGTACGGACCCATGAATCATGCATTCGCCAGGTTCTTTAGTGATTTCGCAACGCATATGGCAGAATTCGTCGAGTCGTTGTGTACAAGTCCATAGCGCTGGACGCGCCGCAGTGCACAAGGGCTGTACTCGTACACCGCCGACGAGAGCATACAACAACTGCGGGAATCGATCCCCATCAGTGTGCTCAGGACAGCACAAACGCTTCATGGGCTTATATTCACGCTGGTACAGGCTCGGGAGAGATGCGCGGAACACATCGGAACGCAGGGCATAGTGTGCGGCAGGGTGAGCAAATATCAGACGACGTAGCCATCGGAGATGACAGACGTGCTATGTTGAGATGGCATGAGCAAAAACGCACAAAAGCTAGTTTCGCACCTCGAATTCACCGCCTAAAATCGACTTCCGGCAACATGTCGTGCCTCTGGAGCCCCCAATACATTCATGTCAAATGAACTTTGCAGGGAATCATTTCGGCCTCAGTACGCGCCTGGTTGTGAGACGCTGCAGACACCCGATGTAAAAAAGTCATTGACCTGGAAAAGAGGATTAGATTCTCGGCTGGAGCAGGAAACAGGCACGGTGCCGCTGTGCACCCCAGAAAGGATCGAGCTTCATCTGTATACGTCGAGAACACTATCCATGGGCAACTGAGGATCGATAGTCGCGTTCCGCTGTTCAATATAACTCAGAACACTCGCTTCTCTGACCATGATTTCCACGAACACATAGAGCTCAGGGTCGATGATGATCGTACCCAAGCCAAGTATCGCTCGAATACGAAGCGGGTCGCAGCGGTAACACGACGTGTGTTGCAACAAAGTCTTGGCGGCGGCGAGCGCGGCCACAAAGGCAAACCGATGCCGCAGCGTCCGCGGTTCATAGTCAGTTTGACAATCTGCTGCAGAGCGGTGTTCGTTCGTTTTCAGGCTCGCACACTTGGGTTGAAACGCTTCCATCAAGCAGCGCTAGAAGCGCTGTCATGAGGATACGTGGCGTGGAACGTGTCCAGCGCGCTCGGGATCGGATCGCTGACGCTGGCCTGGAACCGGTCCTCCAACTGAACCCCGCGGACTATACTGCCTGGGAGATCGCACGGGAGCTCGGCGAGGACGATTTGGCCAAAGCGGATCAGTGGTGCCGCAGGTTTCCCAAGAACTACCAGGTTTGGCACCACCGGCGTGTGCTTTTGATCAGGCGTCTCACCGAGTGTGAAGCGCTTGAGGCCTCAGCCCTGTCAGCGCTCGGCGCAGAGGAGCTGGATCGGCTCGATGCGCTGCTCACGGACCCGGAAAACGCGAAAAACTATCACTTGTACAGTCATCGGCAGTGGTTGATTCGAAATCCGCAACTTATAAACGAAGATCTGCTCTGGCGAGAGTGGAACAGCACCACTGTTCGCGAACTCGAACGTGACCCGCTGAACAACTCGGCTTGGCAGCACCGCTGGGCGGTGCTCACGGAACTGCGTCGACGGGGATGTTTTCATTTAGAGCGAGATGCATTCGCTGAAGATCTCGTTGAGCGCGTTCGCTGCCAACCGGCAGCAGATTACGTTAGCGCCTGCAGGGCGTGTCTCGCTGAAAAGTGTGCTTCAGCTAGCTTTCCGGAACGGTGCGGATGATGCGCATCTTTAGACGTCTTGCGCGCTTCGACTTGATGTGAAGGACGTTTGCGCGTTTTGCTCGCGCGAGCATCCCGGTAGGTACAAGCAAAACTGGTTACATTCCAATGACCGCGGGCGCGACGCTGAACGGCAACCGCTTGCTTCCGAACGTTTTCTTGAACGAGAACTGCTGCTGGTCACGAGTGACCAGAGCGTAGTGGCATGGATAGAGGCGTTGGACGTGCTCCACGAACATCAGCGCATGCGTTGAATCCGTTGCATGCAGAGTCCTGGACAAATGAACTGCTCGAAGGAAAATAGGAGCGCCGAGAACACCATCGGATAGCCATCCTGCTTCAACGTCCACTGGATGGATGCAGCATCGTGCTGAAGCCAACAAGAGATTCGTAGCGCAAAATCGCCTCTTATGAACCTGCAGCCGATGGTGCAGTGCATTGCAGTGCTTCACGATAGAGACGAGCACTTACTGGCAAAAGCGTTTCCTCTGTGAACCTGCAGACCGAGACGACAATGTCGCAATTGCACAACATTTGAAAGTGACATGTGCATGGTTTTGGGTGTTGCGTGGAATGCCCCAGAGCAGGTCGTCGATCTGGGGACCTTTCCGCGCTTTTACGGACGACAGCTTGGATCAACCGCTCCGTGTTCGGATCAAAGGCGCGCTTCGATGACGGCACGCAAGGTATCGGGCATGTTTATCCTTGGTGCTTGCAGAAAACATTGGTCAGATCAGCGGCTCGATGACGTTGTTCCTGTATGCGTCATGGCAGGGATGCAGCTCGGCACCGTGGCACACAACCCCACGCGCAGGTACGCGCCGCATGCGGGAGATATACCTGCCATGATGCCGCTTCCTGTCGACTTATGAACAGAGACGTCGGCGCTCACACGGATGACCCCGTTCACTGCTTTGAGTGACGCCTTCGGCAGGCATAAGCGCTGCTGACTACTCTCATGTACCACGCTTTCGGGCATGCTTTCCAGAGACGATGCGCAAAGTGCATATTCGACACCCTGACAGTTGCCAATATATGCTACGAGAGCGTCCCGCCAAGAGTGGACCTACCAGCTCCTGCGTTCGCATACACGCTAGCGACGGATGCGCACCGCCTGACACCAAGGCGTCGCAACATCTTCGGATTGGACTGCACTGGAGGTTTCGCGTTGCATAGGTGCGCACGGGTGCTGATGCCCGAGCGTTAAGCGCTCCAAGCTATTCCATGGATCACAGTGTTTCTACGAAAGACGCTGCGCAGAGGTGGTGGCAACAATTTCAATAGATGCGGAAATGCATGCTCAAGCATGTACAATAGACCGACTGGTTTCCCGCGCTATGGCGGACTCCAAAAATGGTACCAAAAGCACCACGTACCCGCCTTCGTTACGGAAGCGCCATGTTGTTGTGTCCGTTCTCAGCGGTAACAATGGCAATCGGTGCTAGGTCCTTGCGCTGTCGGAGAATCGTTGCGACTAGGCCGGCACCACCTCCAATCATGAAAACCCAACACCACCATAGGAGCCCAGCTGGTAAACCGAAGCTAGCCCAACACGCTATGACATGAAATGCGAGGAGCGATGTCGTGTAGTCCACGCACTGTCGAGCTCGATCCACAACATAGTAAGTGAGAACGCCGCTCCAAAGTAAAGCCAGGCTGAGTGCCAACGCGTGCGCGATAGCCGGAACGCTCTCCAAACCCAGACTCGCAGCGTTGAAGATGCGCTCGAATACAGAACCTTGGTCTCCTGCGTTACCCAGTACAAACCAGTCCAACAGGTTTAGAACGAGAGCATATCCTACGTAGAAGCCAGACACGACGAAAACGAGCTGAGCGAGCCTCCCCAGCGGCTCAGTGAGCCAGCCTCGGGAACGTATGGAGCTTGCGCAGACTAGACGCGCAGGCATCGCAGCCGCATGAGAAAAGCCGGACAAGCCGATCCACTCAGTTCGAAACGCAAGTCGCGGGCAGCTCGTTCACCCCGAAAAAGCACGACTTGACGCGTCTGCGTACCAGGGCGGGGTCTTTCATTGACGCAGCAGAAGCAGGCGTCGCACGGCCCGTTCCGAGCAGACGCTCCGTAGCGACTGACAATACCGTATAGCTGGTGTGCGGGCAAACGTTCGCTGAACACTGGAAAGGTCGCTGGATACGCTCCTTGTACCCGTTGATCATGAACATGGAACGCTGGTCTGTACGTTCTGTTCCTGTCTTGAGATTTCTCGCGAACCAGTGTTAGATATTCAGGTTCGAGGGTCGACGTGCCGCAATACGAGCATGCGTATTCATGGGTAATTCAAGATTTTCAGTGGGGGTTTTTTTTCGAGATGACTCGTATCAGCTCTAGCTGCTGGAATCCGTTACGTCACCGTAATGAAGATGATTCGAAAGTACCTGAAGAAGAGTTCGACTATGAACCGATATCCTTAGCCAATTCACATGCACAAGTCGCTAATCGCGTACTTTTGTTCCATATAGTATGCTCACATCACGCATTCTTCAAGAATCTATCATTTTCAGGGCGACTACTGCGCGGTGTCATTAGCGCCGCTGAATGGACGAGAAATATACGCGACTTGTTCCCGTGACGGTATGCTCGTACGCTCAAGTCGAGCTTTCACTAAACTTGCCATGTCCAGTGATCGATTCTGTTCGAAAGAAGAATCCTCCTCGCTTTGTGGCTCTCGACAAAACAGACGATTGCGCTCACGTCGTGCCCAGGTATGCGCCGGAATCCGTTCCGCCCGGGGATTCCCCGAAAGCAAGCATCGATCCCGAGAGCGTTATTCGCGAACACGTGCGGGTATTCTCAAGGTACGAGGTAAGCAGCAGTCGCAGACGTGGACGAAGCGCCCGCTCAAGGATATGCCTGCACAAAAGTCGCGGATGCCTCGAGTCGCCCAGCTGATCCCTGGGCATGACGTGCGCTTTAGCAGAGGAGCCGATAATCGGCAGGCAGCGGGACGCACGATTGTTCGCCGACTGGATTCTGTTTGTGTACCATGAGGCAACCTGACGCCGCCGGACTTTGCACGAAGACTCAAAGCAGGCGCAGAGGCCTCAAGCATGCATCATGATAGCGGATGCTCAGTGATTTTACATACACATTGAAAATACATCTAGATCGATGACTTTTAGACGCAAGCATATGAACGATCACGGATACTGGACTAGGAGTAAATTTCCGATTGGCCGAACTTTTCCCATCATGCCTTGCGAGTCGTGAACATGCACGAACTGAGATGCTGCGCTCATCAAGGTACTGGATGTGCTGCGTGCCCCTGGAGTCATTCCTCCAGGAATTTCGTGGTCGTTTGGGCTGGCAAATTACCAGACCGACGCAAAGCGACTTGTAGCTTGCACTTCTTCGCACGAACCGGTGGCAAGCGATAATGGGTACGGCTGAATCGGGTTCTTGTTCACGTGCCTGCGTGATCCCGATCCTAGTGTTGGCTTTCAATGCATAGGAATGACGGCTGAGCGCGGATCGATGCATACCTCCGCCCACGTGCTTGCGGATGCCATTTCACTGCAGGCGTCGCGAAACCGGGCCGAGTTCTTCTCGAATTGCATATGCGTTCACATTCCAAAGTAATATTGCAATGGATACGTCAAAGCTGATATGTGCATTGCACTCAGCAGATGCCGCCGCTTCGCCAAACGATAATCATCGCGTGGCTCGAGCTAGACACCTAATAATGCTTCAACATTGATGCAGCATGGGGAAACATACCACAGTTGCGGTAGAGCACGCTCCCCCCCAAAAAGAAAACAACCACCAACCATATGACATCACAGCAGTAGCCTGTGCATTCGACGACGCTGCCGAGTACGTGTGCCCTATGCGAAGGTTTCGGACTTGTCGCACCAATTCTGAAGTGCGATGATGCTCAGCGCGCGCTTCATTCGCTTCACGGATTTTCCCGCGCGCATCTCCGTCACCTCATTCACAGGCTCATCAACAACCTGCTCGCGAACATACGCACTAATCACAAGACTCAATGGTTGATGTGGTGCCACCAGGGCCTGTTGCTCAAGCTCAAGTATCAATGCGGTACCACGAAGGATATGCTCGACACCGAAACCAAAAGGTTCGCGTCTCAAATCAGGGACAATATGCTCTGCACGAATGATTCCGAGGTCCTTCTGGGTATCGTTGCGCACCCGTGCAATGATTTCAGACTGAAAATACCCCACTTGGTTTCGCAAAAGAAACGTTAAGGCAGTTCCGGGTCGACCTGCCCGTGCGACGCGTCCAACTCGATGAAGATAAGTTGTTGGATGTGCTGGTACATCGAAATTCACGACATGCGATGCCTCCGCAATGTCCATGCCCCGAGCCATGACATCGGAACAGATCAACCACTGCGTCGTGCCGCGTTGGAAGCGCTCCAACGTCGCCGCACGTGCTGATTCGGAGACCTGTTTGCTTATCTCTTCTGCGAGCAGCCGCGGACCCCGGTCCCGAGTAGATACTGGACTCGGGTAATGCCTCAGCCATAACCAGTTCGAGGCGAGCTGTACGAATCGACAAAGTCGATGGGTCGTTTCAACAGATTTCACAAAAATCAACATACGGTTATGATCTGGGCGACTCGATTGGTCAGACGGATCCCTCAGCGTGGCGAGGATGTCCGGGCCACACACAATGAGACGAAGGAGGAAGCGCAGCTTATCCTCCTCGGAGAGAAACCGCAGCGAGCACAGGGTCAGTCCTGCAGGTACTTGGTCCATGAGCCCCCTGCGCAACTTCGATGGTTGGCGAGCGCCTTCGGTCGACGCGTGACACAGGAGGTAAACCGGGTGATGAAGGCGCAGCGCAGCCAAATGGGTTGCATCCCTCGTTTGCGTGGCGGAGAAAAGCAGCTTTCTGAGACGCCTTAACGGTGGATCTAGCACCCGCCGTGCACAGTCTATTCGTTGGAGTAGCCGCTCTAACCAGTTTTGGTACGACTGACGAAATAGCCGATCAGCCTCGTCGATGACCAGCCATCGCAAGTCGGCAAGAAGGAGCTCATGCCGATCCAACGCTTCCACAAGCCGCCCTGGTGTTGTAATGCATACTGCTTGCCTGTTCAAGAGATCGCTCCGAGGGACACGCTCCCTCAGAAGTGATAAAACGGCCACGCGAGCGGACAGTTTTGCAGAAGCCGTCAAAGTCCTAAAGATGCCTTCAACTTGGCGGGCGAGTTCCCGCGTAGGTAAGACCACCAGTGCCCGCACGCAGAACAGCGATGCAGAGCTATACAAGTCCAGAAGAACTGCGAGTGCGTAGATAAGTGTCTTGCCACTGCCAGTGGGAGCGCCAAGCAGCACGTCCCCCGAGTGCGTCAGCGCGGTGCTTCGGATATACGCAAGCACCTCTTTCTGAAATGGAAAGAGGTGCGTGATGGCGTAATCGCGCTCCAAGGTGTCAGCAAGTTCTTGGGGCACTCCAGGAACACTTTGAATGCGTAAGTCCGCGGTTGCGAAGCGAGCCTGATCATCCGTTGCGAGGTAAACCACAGGTATGCCGTGCAACTGAGCGGACGTCGCTGACTCGTTACCACCAACCGCAGCTGAGCTATCCTGTTCCATGATGTGACCGTCATTCTCTTCTGAGGTGGCACCGCTACACATGACATACACTAAAGTTATGAATCGTCGCCGAGCAGTATCCAAGGAAACGCCACAGTGCGAAACTTTCACAACGACGACGATGCATGGTAATCCAGGGGCGCCCGTTGGCTTTTCGATTTTCCATTGACAAAACGTTTACTTAGGCCAGCGTTCTCCGATTATGCGCATTTTTCTTTTCTTATATGTTGGCTTTTCGATGAATCGCGCGTCCTTGTACAGAAGGCGCCATGGCGTGCACCTGGTTTCCTGTGGGGTTGCACTTTTGCTCAGCTGGTACATGCGGCACCCATGAAGGTGTCGGAATCGACAGCGTTGCGTATGCAGCAACATCCTTTCGAGGAGTATGGCTAGAAAGGGGTCTGCTATGGACGCCTGACATGCTGGTGCTGCACTTGATCGCACTGCAGTACTCGTTTCGGATGAAAACGAAACGCTAAACTGCTGGCTCTGTTCATGCCTTGAGAATAAAATCCGACGTTTTTCTAGATGTACGGACTTGACATGCCAAGGACAGGAAGAAAGGCTTACGGATTCATTTGTAGGTGAACAATACTCGGTGTTGTGTTCGGATTGACGTTTTGGACGCGGTGTTGCTGACATGCTTTACGTCATGGGAATCGAAACGAAATGTGACGCCCTGTAGCGAAGGATTTGTAAAGTAATATATATCACTGTACAGTACTTGTGTGCGAACCTCCAAAGTTCAGCTTCCCTTACTTGTGGCATGCTCGAATCACGTTCACCCCACGATTTCGATCATTGTATTCGGGGGCAACTCGAGGACGCTGCGATTCGCTCCGTTGGATGAACGACAAAAAATTCTCAACATTGGCGGTTGACCAATTGCTCACAACCTCATTCAGCTAATTTATTGAACCTTTCACTCCAAACAATCGCTTGCTTTGGAAACACGCGTCGTTTTCTCGTGGCGCGCATCGACAAAATGACGTGTGGCGGCAGCATGACTCGACGCAGCGGCGATGCTCCCGGACGCTCTCAAGTCCTCATTTTGCGTCGATGTGGCCTCGGATTCGGACGTGAGTCATCACAGCGACCGCCGCCGGTGCAGCGTCTGACTCTGCATTGCAGGAGTGGAGTCCAGACGAATCGGTAGTGCTGGACTGGATCCCGAACCTGGTTTCTCCTCCCGATACCTGTTGCATGATGGACAACGATGCGTTCCACAAGTCACGTCATAAAAATGCGACTACACGTGTTTGCATATGCAGTGCACCGAGGACGTAAGTGGAGCACAAATCACCCAGAGGCAGCCCGTGATCGCTTGGAACGGCCACCGGGTGCAGACGCTAAGCGACGCTTCCATACAATCCTCCTACATCCGTCAAAGGCATGTACCGAGCGATGAAACGGGCGTTCACGCGCCATGTAGTGGTGCTCGGAGGGCCAGCGGGGAACCATGGGATACCCCTGACCATATTCAAGTTTCGCAGCCGTGAAGGGCGCACTGTTTCCGTATACTAGGGAGATGCAAGTGGCATGCGAACCGTGGATCGCAACTCCCGGGTGTGCATGGCATAGTTGCACAACAGATCGGGGCTGCGAAGTTGGGGCTCCAATCTCACGATCAACATCCTTCGTCTTCGTACAACGAAGCTGTAAGGAAAGGAGACACCAGCGTATTTAAAGTCAGAGATAGGGATAGGAAAGCGGGAGCAGTTGCATAAAATACCCGCAAGTGCTGGTATTCATGACCAGGGAACGAGGCCCGCACGCTAGAGTGTGCGACAGAGCTAGAAGACCTGTTCCGTTATCGTCTGAGACTGCTGGAATACGTTAGGAGCGAACAGAAACAACGTTTTTTGGCTTCGCACTGCATCTAACTAGGCCTTGCGTTCTTATCCAGGTTGCGAACGTGCTTCGTACCGGATCCCGGTTCGGATCTGTTTCGGGCGATGGAAACAGGAGCTGGTTGGTAAGGTTTTGATCTTCGGCGAAATCCCTGACACTGCTTTGCCACAGCGACAGGAAAAGCGTTCCGCTATGCGCAACAAGTTTCCGAAACTTGAAAGGTATTACCTTGTGCCCTAACGGGTGTCAACGAAAGCAGAGCCTATGAGGTTTACGCAGACTGAACTGGGGCGCAGACCAGAGCAAACCGAAGGCTTTTGCGTCTTGAACCTGCGAAACACCGAGCAGAAAAAACTGCTGCGGCGTCCGTCATGCCCGCGAGGTACTGCACTGTTTCCAGATACAGAAATTGGAAATAGTGAATAACGCGGAAAATGCATAGAGCAAAACAGCAGGCAGAAGGAAAAGCAGTCCCCAACCCGGTCTGGTGCAAGCTCGCACTCACGAGCGATGCGTCTGGCGCCATGGGGAGGAATGGCATCGGCACCGCAGCTTGCTGCTGGCAGTGCCGAAGCGCCACCGGACTCGTCGCCGCTGCCTACAAAGCTGTGTCCCAGACACGCGTGAATTCGAATGAAGCTAACGGGTGCAAGGCGGGTGCCACAGGCTGACATCGCGACGCCGCACGATGCACCGACATCGACGACAGTTGACGCCAACGCGCAGCCTAGAACGACGTCGAGTGGAGCATAACGCGCAGCGCCGTTTGCGCTGAGACCTGCTAGCCTAAAGCACTGCTGCGGATGCGAAGACTGACGAGCTTCATGGCCTGCTGGGAACGATCTCACAGCTGCGGTGTGCACTGGAGAAACGAAATCGAGTCCGGATGCTTCCGTTCGGGCATGTCAATGAGCAGAACACGTCTCAGGTGCGACGACGACAACGGATACCGCGAATTCGCAGCCTGTTGGTAACTCCATCTGGTGCTTCTCCAGCGTGTTATTTCCGTGCAGGTGGGCGTTGTATTCGACCAGCGCCGCTGCGAACGGCTGTGCGCGTGTTCGCTATGGTGCATTCCCGGAGCAGCAGCGACCGCCTCTGCGTCACCAGGTATCCAGGATGCTGTGCAGCATGGTCATTACCGGAGTCTTTGCGAGGCGCAGGCCTGCATCGCTGCTTCCGCCTCACCACGGAGGACGGCTTGAGATCGCTAGACATGTCGTCTACGATCGGACGCTGCTGCTGCTGCTGCTGCTGCTACTGCTGCTGCTACTGCTGCTGCTACTGCTGCTGCTACTGCTGTGGGTAGAGCATTGCCCGCACAAGGCCGCTTGCGCGTAGTCCACGGTGTCGAGCCGCAGCTGCCGCTTGTGAATACCGCTGTTGCCGGCTAGGCGTCGACCGCTGAGCCTTGGAATCTGCTAGGTTTGAAAAAGTCAAATACTTCTGCATGCTCATTACTCACCCAAATCAGTCCATAGTGACGCATCAAGAGGCGCAGCTCTTCGACTTCATCGAGTGCGACGATGCGCTCGAGCCTGCTCCGTTCGCAAGCGTCGTCCCGGAGTCGCTGGTAGACCTCCATCATATCCATGCCGCGGCCCGGATGCTTCGATGCCGCTCCAGGTGCAAACAACGACTCAAGGTTGCGAACAGCCTCATCCAGGGTCGCGCGGCAATTCAGACCTTGCAGCGGAGCACCGCGTTCTTCTAGGCGTTGTTGCATGTGGCGACCGAACGCGTCGTCCAGGCCGATCGGATCGTAGCACACCAGCAGTGCCGGGTGGTTCGCGAACTGCTCGCGCAATGCCTCTAGGACATTCACGGTATCCGCCGGCGACAGGTACGCCAGAACGCACTCCAGGAGAATGAGCGTGAAGCTCGGTTCGCGCCGCATGCCTCCATGTCGCCGCAGGCGCTCCAGAGCAGCACCGAGAACGGAGCGGCCGCTGCAGAGGTCCGCTGCGATCAGCGCATACACCGGGGTTTCCAGCACCACCTGCACGTTGGCTGCAACATCGGGTGCCTGCGCGCCAGCGACGGCGACTCCCGCGTATGCGTCCGCGCTTCCCGCACCGCGTGCCTGCACGTCGGCGACAGGTGCTTGGATGGCGCGAGCGAGCGCTGCCTGCCGTCGAATGCACAACGCCTTGAGCGACGCCACCTGCTCGGTATCCAGTTCATGGTAGCGAACCTGCGGCAGCGGCACTTCTCGGTGTGATGAAGACGCCGCCACGCTTGCCTGACGCGACCGCTCTAGTAACCAGAATGGCATACTATCGAGTCCAGCGCCGAGCGAGAGCAACTGCAGCATCGGTGGCTGGTGGCTCGCGCCCGCTTTCAACCGCAGGCGCTCGAGGACTGTGTCCATGATGTGACGCAGCGCCATGACCCGAGCGTACGTGCCGTGCAGGAGCACCGCGTCCAAGCCACTGCTATTTACACGCAACGACCGCGGTACTCGTTGGCCTAGGCTCAGCAGTTGCGCAGTCCCAGCGCCGTTATGCCCGTTTCGCTGGCCTCCTACCAGCGTTTGATGCCCCGCGGCATTCAAACACGTGCCCTCGCCGTCGTCTACATCGCCGCACGCTGAATATGGCGATGACGCGAAATCTGGGCCAGCAGCTTCTCGGAACGCCTTGCCACGGCCTGGGTGCGGCGCGCTGCTTCCGCTTGGCTTGCCACCTCGGTCGACAGTGGGTATCGATGCGTGCCGCTGGCTGCCGTCCGAAATCGCTGCTGACAAACCGCCGTGCTGACACGGCAACCGCTGCCGCTCTCCACGCCCTTGCGGGCACGATGTTGCCGAATCAGCTGCCAGCCTCTGGATCGGATCCAGTAGCGCGATGTAGGCGTCCTCGAAGAAGCCGCACCGCGCAGCAAGGCATTTGGACAGCCATGCGTCGTAACAGGTACGTTGCACCGGTCCCAGGAGTCGTTCCAAACCTACATCCTCATCGGTGCTAGCTCGGGAACCTGCAGAGGTCATTGAGCACACCCGCTTGCCGCGTCCCGCTCGCTATAAACGCCTTGGCGCTTATCGGGACCGGAACGCACCCCGAAGCTCTAGGCAATGGATGTGCCTTTGATACGAGATCAAAAGTCACTCAAACCGACCATCAGAGTGTTTTTAGCAAGCTGCAGGCCCAGTAGCTCGCAAACGTCCGGCAAGTGTGGACGTGCGAGGCCGTCTATTTCTCGCTTGCTGACTACGCACTGAACAGCAATCCCAGCGGCGGGGCGCGAACGCAGGCTCCGCACGGGCAGTGCGGCGCACGCTGCAGAGGTCGCTGCCGAGTCGCTGCCACCAGCGTGACTATTTCGTCGTCAGCACACGGTTTATAGCTATACGCGGCAGGTGCGCACAAACGGTACGTTAGAGTGTGCGGACGTTCGTCATGCTTGACGAGCGCCGAAACTACGACGAAGAAGCGCGCCGTTGCTGTACACGCTGCACAAAGCGCGCTTCCGACTCGATGGAACACCAAGCATTCGTTATGTCGTACTTGGCCAGAGCATAAAACCGTCTCTCGAAGCGACATAGAAAAACCCAGATGCCCAGAATGGTTACCTTGGTAGAGTTTCTCTAAGCGAGCAGCTCCTAACGTAAAAGAGCATACCCAGGTGCTACAAGCTCAACGCAGTTCATAAGCGGCACTGCAGCATGCGGATGCGTGCTGTCCATGCGTGCTGTCTGTGCACGCATGGAAACGTATCCATCCGTGCATGCGTGCAGCACCGGATGAAAGTGTCCATGCAGATTCATCAAGATGCAGATTGGTGCCCTGGAATCTGGAAGAATCTCGAATGCGTGGAAGCACCGGGCATTCATACACGAGTGCAGTGTCTCGAAGTAGAAGCGGAGGCATGTGAAATCAGCGAGGCATCTCTGTACTGATTGGTTGCAGAGTCGCGTTGTGCCGCAGCTGGGTGCTCGGCAGTGCCCGGCACCCGCTGCCGGTGCTGCATATTCGCCAATGGGTATATCGTTGGTGCACAAGGAGGACGGCGGGCGCTCCAAGCTCGAAAAGAGTCCATTTGATGTAGACTGGAAGACGAGATACGAATTACGTGGTATCGGGGCATTCAGCTGCAGGGAGAGCTGTGTCTAGCGAGCAATGCCGCATCGCGTATGGTAGCTAGTTTGGAAAGGCGCAGGATGAACGCAGTCGTCGCCATTCGGGACGGTGCTGACCTTTTTCTAACACACCGATTTGGTATTGACCAAGGGCTTGAATACTTTCGTCAGTCTTTATCCTCCGGTTTCTTCCGTATCGGGCGATTTCCTCCCATACGGATTTGCAGAAACATGCTCGTTGCACTTCTCCCAACACAGACTCATTGGGTCACGGTCCAGAATTTCACCAGCTGCGGCCGACCTAAAATATTTTCCAAACCACATGTATCCTGCATCGCGAACACACAGCAGCTCATCTCATGCTTGATGATGCAGCCGTATCCGTACCATGTCAAGCCATGCTCAAGACTTGATGCGACGTTTTCGAACCTGCGACGCCCTACGCTCTCTCCAGAGAGCAACCCGAATATCCTCTGAACGAAACAGCGTCGCGTCATTCGAATTCAACGGCGCATCGGTTGCACAAAAGTCACAAGTGACGTCGCTGCTCCTCGAACGATTACACGCACGGTCGATGTGTAAACCTCTGGACAAAAGTTTTCAAATGCCGCGTCATTTCATTGAAGCGAGGTCATCATTGCTGCGATGGAAACACCCGCGTTTCGCGCACTCCGTCCACATGGCGAAAAACATTCCATGCCGTCCAGTGATGCTTCATGTCCTGCGAAGCGCTGACTACGCTGGACGCGTTTCGTCGACAAGTGCCCCGCTCGCGCAATCTCGACGATCCAGCGCAACCATGCGCGAAACAAAACTGCAGAATCGACTGCTTTGTCCATTTAAGTGCCATAGTCTTCAAACGGATGCTTGCCGCCCATACGCGCTCGCTAACATCGTACCGTGTCGAGGCACTGGACTTTTCGGTCTGCAAGTCGCGGTTGCAGCTTTTGCACTGGACGCAACGGACTAGAGAGTGGCGCTGTGGTAGGAGCTGGTGCCTCGGCTCTCGCTAGTTTTATATGAATATCGGTGGAGTTCTTCGTCTTCAAGGAGGTCCGTGCTATGGCAACAAACAGAAAACTTCAAGCGGAAATCGACCGCACGCTCAAGAAAGTCGAAGAAGGTCTGGACCTGTTCAACGAGATCTGGGATAAGGTGTACGCTGCGCAAAACCTTGCACAAAGGGATAAGTTTGAAGCGGACTTGAAGTCGCAGATCAAAAAACTGCAACGTCTTCGCGATCAAATCAAAGTGTGGCAAGCGGACCCCTCAATCAAAGACAAAAGCAAAATCGATGTTGCCCGGAAGAAGATTGAAGAGAAAATGGAAGCTTTTAAAGTCTGTGAGAGAGAAACGAAAACGAAGGCGTTCAGCAAGGAAGGTCTGGCACAGGACCGGGCAGACCCCCTTGAAAAGTCGAAGAACGAGGTTCGCGAATGGGTCAGAGACTGCATCGAGAAGCTCAAAGTTCAAATCGAAGAACGCGAAGCGGATATTGAGGCTTCCGTCAGTAGCGCGAAGAAGAAGAAGATTGATCATATGGCTGTGGATGCTCTGCGAGCGAAAATCGCGCGACACCAGTATCATATAGAGATGCTCGAGCGAATTCTTAGGGCGCTCGATAACGATGCGGCCGATTGTGACGACGTGAATGAAATCAGAGACAGTGTTGAGTACTATGTCGAGGCGAATACGGAAGATGGATTTCTGGAGGATGAGGGTATATACGACGCGCTTACGCTCGAGGTCCCGGTTGAGATTCAGGTTTCTCATATTCCAAAGCCAAAGGAGGATACGGAGCATGCGCCGGAGAGCAAGCCCAGTGAAGCAGAAAACGCTGAAAGAAAAGAAAGTGAGGCGAAGCGCAAATCTGAGGACGATGGACGGCGACCTCGAGATTCATCGACACCAGGAGCCGCAGGTGTAGCGCAGACACCCGTAGAGGATTCGCGACGAAAAAACAGCGACGTATCCGAGTCGAAACGACCTCCATCGGAACAGGAGAACAACAAAGCGGCAGCATCCAAAGAAGACCTTTCCATTGGCGGAGCTTTGGGCTCGGATGGTGGCGCATCCGGAGGTCCTGGTCGACCGCGCAGCACCGCCGGACCAGTGACTTCGGCCTGGGCAAACCAGCAACAGCCTGTTACGGTACTGTTATCGAAGCAGAGCGCTGCACCCCAGACGCCAACACCCACGGATCCAAGCACTTTGCTTGGTTCTTTCGGGTTGCAGAGCACTCCCCAGATGCCAACGAGTGTTCAACGATTGCCACCTGGAAGAGACACACATGCTAACGCTCTAGCGGCGGTGATGGTCTCTAAGGTCGACAACGCTGATCGCGGGTCCTTGGAGTCGAACTCTCGGACGAGTGCAGGAGCTACGGTGGCAACCGCCGCAACGCCTTTCCGGTCCCCGTACCCATCGAAATCTGGAGACCAGATGAACTCGCGAACCTGTGCACCCGAGGGATCCGCAGTGTCTATGAATGTGTCTTCCCTGGCAGCTGGACTCGGAGCAAGCGTCCCATTGGCACAGCAGTTTGGCCATCTGCAGGGCTCCCGTGGTGACGCATTTGCAACAGCGGCTACAGCATCGATGGCGCCCGAAGACCCCGGTCGGGATGCATCTGAACGTAGCGGACTTGAAGCAGCGCTTCTCGCAGGCGATGCCGCACTGGTGGACTCGGACCCTATCGCCTCGCGAACCCTGCTGACAGCACTGCGCCAACTAGAAGAAGGTGCACTCTATCTAACAGCGCCTTCAGCCAACGGTACCAACCCGGGAATAGGAGCATCCCGCCAGAACAAATCTGCTGCAGCGCCCCTGCAACGAGAACAAGTTCGGTATGAGCCTAGAAATCCGTTTCCGGTTCACGGGTCGTTTCCGCAGTCACCTCTGGCAGCTTTGGACAGTCCAGAGCTGTACGAGCGTCTCGATCCAGACACACTGTTCTTCATATTCTTCTTCCCACAGAATCCACGGCATCAGTTGTTCGCTGCTCTTGAGTTGAAACGCCATGCTTGGCGTTTCCACAAACGATACTTGACGTGGTTCCAGCGCCATGAAGAGCCCCGGTTCACGACCGATGACTATGAATCAGGGTCATATGTCTACTTTGATCACCAAATGTGGTGTCAAAGAGTGAGGCAAGACTTTTTGTTCTCGTACGCCGATCTAGAGGATGAGCTACCCGTTGTGTGAACGCGAACCTATCGTGGTTTCGATGCACGCTTCGGACGGTCGTTGCCTTCGTAGTGTCCAAACTGCCTGCCTGCCGCGTACAGCGTCGGAACCTACCTGGACTGGACAGCGTGCCAGTTTGCATGTGCAATGGATCATAGACGCTGGCGGCAATGGAGATGAGCGCCCTCTACCGGCGCCCAGCTGCGTTCGATGCAGATCCGGCGATAAAGCTTTCCACGCGAAACCGGAGCGCGTTGTGTACAAGCGAACCTCATGGCGAGTTCGGTACTGTTTTAAGCGTACTCACGCTCAACGCCACACGAATAAAGAGACCTAGTACAGCATGACTCTGCAACAAGAAGCGCTTGTCGCTGGCGAGCTCACAGAAAGCGCTCCGCAATCCGCGGAGACTTTTTGGCGCGGGGCATGTCCAGGTCCTGGTGGACGCGCTTTACATGCATCTATGAAAACAACGTTTAGCGGATCACGTGTATGCAGAGACCTCACTAAGCGCGGATGAGCAGTGAAGCTCGCTTCGGCTGCTCGATTCGTGCCATCAAGAAGCATCCGAAGGCGGCAGCGACTGTTGATCGTTGCAAGATACCACGGGTGTTTGTGTAGGGCGCGCTTGCAGTTACAGCTCTGCACTGCTTAGAGGCATGCTCTGGATATGGAACCGGGTGGGTATATGGGAAGGGTTTCGCAACAGATGTTCGCAAGACGATCCTGAGCACACAAACGTCGTTCGAAACGATCATTTGCGTCTTTCGTGCGACACCATGTGCGTTTATCGTTCTGCGGTGGACGCTGCTGCTTCCACCATTCTGTCAGGGTCGGGTTCTCGTGGGTGTAAGACGATACCCGCAGAGCACGAGTGCTTCCAATCTGGTTCGTGGAGGCGAGAGCATTAGAAGCGATGCGTCGCTCATGAATGCTGCACAGGGCCGGCAGCGCACGAGTGCTTTCCGCACGCCATCCATGAGCGTATGTACTCAAAGCGATGGGTTCCACTCGACGACCAGTTTCGTGGACGCTCGGTCCTTGCACGCTAAGTAGTATGGCAGAACGGATTCGGATTGTCGTTCACCAGTCGCTCGGGAAACTCGTTCCCCGAATATAGAGAGACGGCGTCCAGGCCTTGCTGGATTGCTGACCAGGTTCATACCAGTGCCCGGATACAGTCGGGCAAGGAATCGCCCCTCTAATGGCTGATACTTTTGTTTCTCATTGAAAGTCTTACCCATTTCAACAGAACGCCTGTAAGGAGCCCGAGAAGATTCCATCGAAAGTTTTATCGACACAGTGCCGTTTGAGGCTCCTGCAGCACGACACATTTCGCAATGTTGATCGAGGCGTTCAGGTCTCGATGCAGCATATGCTTGTGCGCTTGGTTGCTTGCGCAATCACATTTTAACAGGGCAGTAAACTCAAATTGTCTCGATACCTGGAGTTAGCTCAAATGAGAGTCGACCGTTTCGTGACTGCGGTTCGGTTTCGACTCTGCTTCTGTACCAGTTTCAGCGTGGTCATATGCTCCGGTCATGGGAGGTATCCGGCGCCCTGTACTTATCGACAGAGATCGTACAGAATCGATTCCTGCAAACGTTTGTCGCTGTCGTCGGTAGAGTCGGGGTGCGGCTTTCGTGGAATACAGCACGGGCAGCGCCATTCGCTGCCAATAAGAGCGACGCGGCTTATCGGTCATTTCCATTTCGAGAATATTGAACAAGTTGGCGAGTGCGCACCTCCTGGAAAGAGACTCGGTTCCGAATCCCCCCTCGTAAACGAGGAACTTGGATCGTCTCCGCCAATGCTGCTTGCGAATTTGTTCGAAAGCTTTATATTTGCTTCAAGAGAGTAGCCGTGCCGCATTGAACAGGTCATTCCGTACAATACAGAAGTGTCTACACTGATCCGCAGGGTCTTGAAGTGCCACATAGATACCAGATTAAATAAACGCCTGAGCAAGATCCGAGCGCTCGGCATCGGGGCGAACATCCTGTTTGCTCTCGAGGGCTTTGTTCAGGAAAACGTCATAGTACGGCTTGTCAATGGAAGGCAGACCTCATGTTTGAAGCGTCCTTTGCATACGACGCCCATCGTTCCGAGATCAAGAGCAACACGATAAGATCCGATGATCTGAAGCGACGCTCGCTCTGGCTGCAACATCTCGTCGATGCTCGCTACCTCTTTGATCTCTTTTGGCAACAGCTCGTCATTCGCGCCCGTTGTCACGCCAAGAGTTCCTTCCTCCAGAGCCCATATGTCTGGGTCAGTGTGCTGCGGGTGCAACGCCCACGAGGCGAAATTCACGACGCCCTCGACATTGAACAATATACAGTTTAGGATTTTCAGGCGTGTTTGAACCTTTTTGACACCTGTGCTGGAGACGCTTCGACCGGCAACGTCGCACTGCGGAGCGTCGAGAATTTTCCGCGAAGCGCATGTGCAAATCTCTGGTCCAACGGTCAGGCCGTGCTGCATCTTCTGTCTCGAACATGCGTTGTGTTCAAGCACGAAAGTTTGATGGATAAATTCCGTAAGAATCTGGACAGCTTGCAGAGCTGCGTCCAGAGCTCCTGCGGATATTTGCTGAGCGAGCTACGTCGAGGCGAGGAATGCCAGATGAGCCTCCCTCGAGTACGAAGCTGCTCGATCATTCCTAGCGTCCCGTAGCTTTCGCTTTCGATAAAATGCGAAATACCCGTCTATTGATTCTTCAGCATAGAAAGGACGTTCGGCATAGGAGGACTCGCCTTCGACCGGTGTGCTCCATCGCGAATAGCCTGGCACAGAGATCAGCTGAGCACCAATCTAACCAGCATAGTCCTCAAATACTTCTGGGTTGCGGAATGATACGCACTCTGAGAGCAGACTAGCGGAGTATGCGAAGATAATGTCGCACAAAGCGTCGATGAAGCATGCGCTATAGAACGATCGTATCCTTTTGGCGACTTGTTGACGACCATAGGATAGCATCGCCACTGGTGCTGATGGTTTCGGAATGCTCGTTTGCCTCTTCTTTGCGAACATCGGATTTGTCTTTAGTTCAGTACACATATGCAGGTCTACCACTTTTCCCGGATAAACTCTCGCCACGTAAGACAAAGACTAGTGCCTCCTGTGGTACGCGGTTCCGTTCTTACTACGAAATCGGTCATATGTTGTTCAGATCTCGTCGATCATCAAGAGAAAAGTACTTTCTTTCTTGTCCGTCCACACCATTTCATCATCGTTTGGGACCAACGGCACGGAAGTATCACAAACTATGCGTTCTGTTGTGGTGTTTCCCAGATTACGTATGCAATGGAATGGATTGATCAGCAGATAACCATGTGTTTACTGGGTTCCGTTTGCCCCGTTTTCGGCACGCAACGTTCAGAATAGGCACCAAGAGCACATTGGTTCATCCAGTTGCTGACCGTAAAATGTCTGGCTTGAGCAAGTCAGGCCATTTCTCGCCAGCTAGCAATGACACCCTAAAAGCTTTCCGCCAGTTTTCTCCACTCTAAAAGATAGATTTCTCTTCCGAAAGCCCGTCAAAAAACCAAGCCAACAAAAACGCGCGACTGCAGCTGTGCTCCAGACCGCATTGCTCTGAATATAGGCGTGCGGTCAACGCCGAAGTCACCATGCATTTCGCACGGCATGGATGCAGGACCCTCTGGTGTGCTTCTCGAATACCATGCGAAATCATTTATACGTCATAGCTGAGCACTATTAGAGGATATCATCGGTATCGTCCTCGTCGCCGGGTTCTGCTCCTTCAGCGAGCGCCTGCTCGATCTTGGCCTCATCGCGTTGCATCTCGCGCAAGATCTCGAGGTTGGCTTCGTTTCTTTTGTCGTCTGGGAAGCGCATCGCGCGAAGTACCTCTTCATGGAGGTCCATACAAAACTGAATCCGTTCATGGAACATACGTGCCGGCTCGCGACCTTGGTACTGGTCAGTTTGGCTCGCCGACACGAGACACTGTTGATCCCGATCAATATTTGCCCGAATGACCCGATCACGAATGGCCTTCGCCACCACATTCTCGGTGCTGGAGCTATCATCCAGGCCCAGAATCTCCTGAACTTCCTTCAGAGGAATGCGGGCGTAGGCAGCCACGATGCGAGCAAGTCCAGTCTTGATGACATTGTGGCGAAGTCGCCGAACGAGATAGCCATTGCCGTCCTGTTCATAGCAGGTGGCATTCTCCTCAAGTACTTGCTGAAAACGTTGGAGATCACCGCGACGTACTGCGTTTGCAATCTGCAAGTAAGGGTACATGGCTCGCCGAAATACAGCAGCATCAGGAGCGTAGCGCTCTCCAAGAAATACTTGGAGCTCTGGAATTTCGCCCATGAGCAACTGGACCAGTACCAGCAATCGCAGAATCGTTATCCGGAACGCAGTCGCCATGTGCTGAGGCGCTTTGCGCAGCGCGTTATTCAAGCAACGAAATGCCTCTGTGTAATCCAGTTGTATAGCTTTCACTCGTCCGATGTAGTAGAAATAGCGAGCCAGCTGACTGTTGCTCCGAATGTCGGGAAATGGAGCGCGATTGTACAATTGATCCGCTTGCGCGTAGCGCCGTTCCAGAACATAGGAGCGAAGCAGCTGATTCAAGAGCACGGCTTGACCAGCGTGATCGCGACGAACGCAAGCAGTGCGATAAGCCTTCAGCAAGCGCGGTTGGCATTCCGAAAGACGTCCAACGCATTCGTAGGCCAGCGTAAAAGCATAGTAGCAGCGTGCTGCGATTTCGTCCATGGTATGTCGCCGAGGACTTCGATCCAAGAGCGAAATCAGGCGATCCGCGCAGTCCACGGCACGGAGCTGCAGCTTATGGTCACCATGTGCGTCGAGCAGGTAGTAGACGACAAGCAGATGCAAAAGCACGAGGCTCTCCGGTTGAAGCGCATGCCACGATACTCCAGACATTTGGCGAGCGTTTGCATTTTGCTTCGTTAGTCCAGCAGCAGCTGTTTCGTTTGGCTGCGAATCCGTCGAAACCCCGTTCGACAAGATCATACTAGCCTCGGACCGCGTAGCAGCCAAAGGCTGCACCACGCCAAGGCCCTTCGCCGCAGCGGCGGCGCGTTGGTTACGTGACAAGAGCGGTTCTAGTGCCGCATCTACATCTTCGAGCAAGACTGCGTTGTGTGCGCTCGGGTCGCCTTGCTCCAACCGCTCCAGTAGCCGGCGAAGTGCGGCATGCGCGTGCTGTGCAGCGAGCACCGGGTCCTTCACCGCGTACTCGAAACGCTGAACAGCGCCAAGCTCTCGTTCGGATTTACCGTTAGTCTCTTCGACTGGTGTCTCTGATGCTTCGTCGGGCGTTCCTGTTTTCTGACCCGTCTTCGTCGAGTCGGTGCCGGTCTGCTCAGCGCCGGTACTGGACGTTTGACGTGCCCGCTGCTTCTTTCTTTGCTCCTCTTTCAGCGCCTCGGCGTCCTCTGGAAAGAGATCAACCGCAATGATTTCAGATGCAACAAGGGCCTCAAGTTTCTTGGTACGATGCTCAAAGAGTCTTCCGTTCCAGCACCGTCTTAGCTTCCCCAGCGAGCGCAGGACACGGGCGATGAGGCGCGGCTCCCGCGTCAGCACTGCCCGTTCGGTAAGAGCCACCGCTCTCGCAATTTCCTCCTCGAAAACGTTCATGAATTCTGCTTACCCAACCTTCACTCTTTCCTAACCGGAACAGGAACCCTATTTCGGGTAGGTAGGAGCCACGGACCTGCTTCGCTGCACTGCGTCTCAGCGGGGAGGCTACGCAACGCTGCGAATCAAGTGCTTCGTCAGCGCTTCAGACAGGAGCGATCCAGCGGCAGGTTCCATTTAGTATCTTTATTGATAAATTTGTACTGACTTGTCCTGAGGATTTTTTGCTGAATTTTTGGTTTGGCGATTCGTTTCCGTAGACTACGGAGCCCAGCGTGCGGGATGGATACTGGCATTCGGGAGCGTCCATAAAGCTGCGTCCCACCTCGAGGTTCTATCATCCGTAGTTCCTCTCGGATATACTGGTTGTTTTGTATGATCTATCGTGCACCGAATACCCGCTTTCCTGCACCCGCTATAGCGCTTATTCCGGTGCTGCGGTGCTGCACGGATACAGATCGGCATTGCTGTACCACTGAAGGCCTCGGCTCAAGATGTGGTTCATTAGTCACAGAATCGTGATCCATCATCAAGATGAGAGCCTCCAATTTGTGCAAATAGACGTACTCTATGCAGCGGTGCAAAGCCATGTGATAGGAGACCACTGAGACCTGAACGATGCCCAGACACGGCATAACCGCTCATAGCCCCAGAATGAATTGCGTTTCGGATGAGCTGCCCAGGTCTAACTACAGCATCCGCCACTGGGGATCATGATGCACTAGCCCGGCAGAATCGTCCAACTCGCGGGACCCTCGTCTAGAAGGAAGACTTTCGAAAATACAGAAAATGCTCCCAATTATAATGGGTATCTCAGTGCTGGAACGAAGTTTTTATCGAGTTTCTAGTTGGTAGTCAGTTTCTGTTCTTTTTTCGATAAAGCGCGGTATATACTCGCACCTTCATACCTGGCCGGCATGAGAGACGAAGCGCATTTCCCCGTTGAAGAGAAACCCGATCCATATTATCAGTATGTTGCTCTGGCGTACAACATATATTTGCGTTACACCCATAGCAAAGTATCGTTTTTCAATGCAGTTGTGTTCCATTCTCAGATTAGGGCATCAAAGTGATTTTCGCGATTTATAGCAGAAGCATTCAAAGAGCGTTCGTTTTCAGAAATAATTAAAGGAAAGTTAAGGACATGGAAGCTGAGGATCCAGGTAGTCTGATGTCACCAGTTGCCGGAGACGAAAAAACAGTGCCGAGGAAAGCGGAACAGGAGAAGACGAAGGATCGGAGGCAGGAGGCCGGCCTTCGAAAGCTAGACGGCAGACGACAATACGACGAGGTGGTGGTCAAAGCTTTTCGTGGAGGTTACATCAAGGATCCCTATAAGCAAAAGATGCAAGAGTGGATCATAAACATGTGACGTCTTACTCGATTTGAACTTGGAAAGCGTCTACTGGATCAATGTATTTGGTGAAGGAGCTGGAAGAGGATGTAACGGACATAAAAACAGTCGAGAATCCGAAACAATTTTTCAACAAGAGCTTTCTCAGCCACCTGATGCTTGGTACAAGGGACCTGTTGTGGAGAGATGAGCGAGTGCATGCCCTGCGCGAAAATTACGCCGAATACCGCGTCAACGACACTCGATACAAAGCTGACTCGCCTATTTACGAATACGGGGCGATGAAGGACCTCACGAACCGGAATAGCCATATGATTGTGAATCTCAAACGCTTCATGATACGCTGCGTCTTGACACGCTACCCGGGCCTCTCTTGCAAATGGATACGGGCCATCATCGATGGCATCACGAACGATTGCCAGCATGAATAGGAGATCGAATTAGTTGACAAGAGGATATCACGCAGAAGCAAGAATGAAGCTTCTGTAATCCGTGCGGCTATGAAAGAGCACGGTGCAATCTTGGGGCGTGTCAACCCTGCAGAAAAGGCATCAGATATGAAGAAAGATGGAAAAAGATGCTATCCCCTCATCCTGTGCTATTTCTTTTTTCTTCGGAGCGAGAACTTGAACGCAAGGCGGGGATGCAGCTGGGTTTGAGAAAAAAGCAGGTTCATTGGAACGGATATCTTTCCTAATGGAGAAGCGCTTCACTGTCGTTCCGTTATGCAACATCAAGTCACATTTTGTGACCATCGACTCCAGCGCCATTTACAGCATCATGAAGGAGATCTGTCCGGAGTTCGATGTAAGGAAAACAGAGTTACCGGCGGAAACCGAGAGACGGACTGGAAGAATATCTTCGATTTCAAACGTCTCAATACGAGCAAGAAAAAGGTATTTACTGGGATGATCGAAACCGATGGAACAGCCATATGTGTACACGATCGGCTGTTGAAGGCGGATCGTCCTGTTGTGTTTTCGATATCGCCCTCGGCAAAGCACGATGAAAAAAAGCAGGCGGGTCCTGTGACGCAGGAGATAGACAAGAACGCCTTTGTCGTAATCGGCCCGTACCCCGGGAACACGACTATCATGACCATCGCAGCATCCAAGCATGGGGAATATCGTATCGACGGCAGCTTACCCCAAAAGACGTACGTTTCCTTAAAGTCCGAAAGAGCGAGATACGATAGAGACTAGGGAGTAATGAATGCGACGATGGAAAGTGAGACGTTGAGTTCAGCAGTGAAGGAGCACCTGGAAGTGATCAGCCAGGTGGCGAGCAGAGGAGCGGACTTTGAAGCTTTTCTAGAATTCATAGAAACTCAAGCTGCTCATGACGAGGAGTTGTGGCAAGAGTACGCAAAGCCCCGGTGGACTCGTCTGCGCATGAAACTGTACGGAGGAAAGAGGGTGCATTCACGAAATTTTTCAGTGAGTTTAGCGCCCTCAAGGCGGACAAGGATCAAAGGCTCGAAGTAGCATACGGAGTAGGGCGCTGGATGTCGAAAAAAGGGTGTACACCAGCTCCAACGACAAGAACGTATAAGAAGTGCGCACACGGTTTTGTCACAATACCCATTGATGAATTTCCGAACGTTCTATATGCACCATGAGCTGGGGTGTACACATCAGGAGGTCTAGATGGAAAAGTGCCAGCGGAGCCCGGAGGATTTACAAGAGTACAGAGATCTGACAGGAGAACAAATGGCAATGAGGGCACGAGTTCGAGGACTCATTGAATTGGTGTGTTACACCAACAGAAAGAAACGCGTTGAGTTTGTGAACCGGGACTTTGACGCGGCCTTCAATATCAGACGGTGTGCGGTGCTGGAGACGAGCCCGCAGAGCTGACGCGAGCCAACATCGTAGGGCAGCCTCTCAGGCTCGATGATTACCAGGAGAAGCGCAAACCAATAGCAGCGGGCCTACCGAAAAGGCTGAGAAGCATCTCCCTGCCGGAATTCATTTATCTTACATGAACTTTTGTTTCATCGACGAGCTATTTCAAATGAAAATTGTCCATTGTACTGGGCGCTCTGTTTCTGCACTTCGTTCTTTTCGCTCACTCTTACATGTGCATTCTCATGATCCGATGTGCGACCAGTTGGTGTTTACTGATTTATACGAGTTTTAGGACGCTCTGTCGTCGATTTGAAGTGTCGTGTCCGACTCCGTGTTGCTGGGACGCGTTTGGTGACAGGAACTGAGATGATTCGCGACGCCTCTCGGGTAAGAGTTCGTAAGATAACGGAGATCACAATAGAATTTTTATACAAGAGCCTCCACTCGACTTCTCCCCTTACTTGTGGCATGCTCGAATCACGTTCACCCCACGATTTTGATCATTGTATTCCGGGGCAACTCGAGGACGCTGCGATTCGCTCCGTTGGATGAACGACAAAAAATTCTCGACATTGGCGGTTGACGAATTGCTCACAACCTCATTCAGCTAATTTATTGAACCTTTCACTCCAACCAATCGCTTGCTTTGGAAACACGCGTCGTTTTCTCGTGGCGCGCATCGACAAAATGACGTGTGGCGGCAGCATGACTCGACGCAGCGGCGATGCTCCCGGACGCTCTCAAGTCCTCATTTTGCGTCGATGTGGCCTCGGACTCGGACGTGAGTCATCACAGCGACCGCCGCCGGTGCAGCGTCTGACTCTGCATTGCAGGAGTGGAGTCCAGACGAATCGGTAGTGCTGGACTGGATCCCGAACCTGGATTCTCCTCCCGATACCTGTTGCATGATGGACAACGATGCGTTCCACAAGTCACGTCATAAAAATGCGACTACACGTGTTTGCATATGCAGTGCACCGAGGACGTAAGTGGAGCACGTATCACCCAGAGGCAGCCCGTGATCGCTTGGAACGGCCACCGGGTGCAGACGCTAAGCGACGCTTCCATACAATCCTCCTACATCCGTCAAGGGCATGTACCGAGCGATGAAACGGGCGTTCACGCGCCATGTAGTGGTGCTCGGAGGGCCAGCGGGGAACCATGGGATACCCCTGACCATATTCAAGTTTCGCAGCCGTGAAGGGCGCACTGTTTCCGTATACTAGGGAGATGCAAGTGGCATGCGAACCGTAGATCGCAACTCCCGGGTGTGCATGGCATAGTTGCACAACAGATCGGGGCTGCGAAGTTGGGGCTCCAATCTCACGATCAACATCCTTCGTCTTCGTACAACGAAGCTGTAAGGAAAGGAGACACCAGCGTATTTAAAGTCAGAGATAGGGATAGGAAAGCGGGAGCAGTTGCATAAAATACCCGCAAGTGCTGGTATTCATGACCAGGGAACGAGGCCCAAACGCTAGAGTGTGCGACAGAGTTAATGGATCCGTTCTATATGAATCCGACATGAGTCGATGCGCGAGAATGCCCAGAACTGATCCGCAGCCGACGGGATACACCACGACGACGACGACGACGACCACCACCACCAGCTCGACAAGTGCTCAGGCGCGATGCGTACTGCCGGACCGAAAACGTCTCAGACCTGATCCACTGCCTGTGGAGTGTACCGACAGTTCGGCATATGAATGTACTGTGCCGCATCAGAACTTGGACCATCACAGAGTCCTGGGCGAGGTGCGCGACCAGAGCTCGCTCCTGGATACGAACGCTCGCTGCGGAGTTCTAGTGCTGCCAGGTACGCGTTAACGTCGGGAAGGCTGTTGCGAGCATGTTCGCCGCGAATAATCCCCGCTGCCCAAAGGCGCTCTGCAGCCAAACAACTGTCGTGGATCGCGCGCGGCGAAAAGCCCTCCGTGGCGGCCGCTAATTTTCGAACATCATCAGGTTTCAGCTGCTTGGCGTACATTTCATAGATGGACAGGCGGGTCTCAAAGTCAGGAAGAGGGAACTCCAGCACCACATCGAATCGGCTCAAGAGCGCAGGGTCAAGATCCTGCATACGATTTGTGGCTGCGACAACGACAAACCAGCCGTCAGCATCTGTGGCTGCGTACTCGGTTGAGCCCAGTGGCGGTGGAGCCAACGACGTCGGCGGACCGAACGGCTGCTCATCATACAAAGAACTGCGCATGCGCAAACGCTTCCCAGTATCTTGATGCAGACCGTCTAGTCGTCGCAAGAGGACGGACAGCGTTCGACGCGTCGCTTCGTGCATGTCGCTGCGATCTCGAGAAGTACCCAGAGCGTCGACTTCGTCTATGAAAAGGATGGCGCCACCACCGAGCTCGAGGGCCAGGTCGAAAATGCTTGAAAGCTGCTTCTCCGAGGCACCGTAATAGCGCGATACAACGGCTTCGAGGGTCACATGGATAAAAGGGACTCCTGCTTGCTCCGCAATGATTCGCGCTGTGGAGGTCTTCCCACAGCCCGGAGGCCCAGCAAAAAGCACTGCACGAGGCCGATTCGGGCTGAATATCCGCCGCGTACCCTTGGCGACTGCGTCATAGACCTCGTGGTGTCGCAGCGGGAGCACCAGCGATGCCTCGATGTGCTGTTTGATGTCATCGTAGCCGGCAAGTGTCGTCCAGTCGATTGCGGCGGGCGGCTCCTCATCGGCACCTTCTCTGGGCCGGAATGCGCTCGGTAAGTAAACATCCACGCCCATCGCTTCCAATTTTTCCTGTACAATCCGCACACTAACGTCATCCCGTGAGCGTCTCCAGGGTCGTTTTGATGGAGGCGCGCCTCCAGAGGCTGCCGATGATGCCCTGTCTCCATTACCGGTAGCGAACTCGAGTCCAGCACTGCTGAGTCCTCGTGCGACGATGCGATACGCCTCGACCAGTGCGGTAATCTCCTGATCACTGAGTGCGCCCTGATCCGCTGGTTTCGAGTAGCAAAGCTCTGCGGCAAAGCTGCCCACGTGCGGCAGAAAGACATGCAGCATCTGACCCTCTGGACATCGTGCGGTTACGGTCGTCGACGTTGCAGAGCTCTGAGCACTCACAGAGACCGCATAGGCAGGTGTCTCATCCTTACCTGGCTGTTTGTCTGTCGTTGACTTTTGGAGTTCCTGTAGAGCTTCTAGCACGGTAGCAAACGCCGCAAGCAAGTCATCACCGGGAGCAGCACGGCGAACATGCGGTTGTTGCGGTTTCGGGTCGTCAAGGCGCAATGTGAACGTGACGCTCCTCTTACCATCAGCAGCAGTGTATATCTGAAACGTTGGAGAAGGTCCATGAAGTCGCTGCTCCTCACGTCGCAGTTTTTCTTCGAGCAGACGCCAAGAGTGCACTGCGGCTGCGTTTGTGTCGGGACCCTCACTCCAACTAGCTCGCACGGGGTACCCAATTTTTGCACTTGGAACATCAACGAGGTTTGTAAGGAACCACTGACGACTCACGAGACGTTCCCGCTGCACCCAGTAGTAGGACAGGCTCAGCGTGGTTACGGTTGCAGCCAGCACCGGCAAGCGAGAAGCGGCAACTTTACCGGTTTTACCCGAAACACTTCCGAACCTCCTCGAGAATGCGCTATGGACTAGCCGCTGCCAACCTGACGACAACCACCGCATCGTCAGAATGCAGCTCAAGGCACGCAACAGCGAAGCGTAAAGAATAGACAACGTATGTTCAGCAGCAGATACCGTTGAAAATGGCCGTTCGCCTGGTACGCTGGCGGGCAGCGCTCCGTTTCGCCGAGCGCCGGCTCCGTCAAGCCATAGCAGCGTTCGCTGGACCTTTGAGGCGGTTCGGGTGCCGACACGTGCCAGCGTTCAAGAACTCTGGCTGTGGATCAAGTGGAGCGATCCACAGTGCAGTTGACGTTGACTTGGACGCTGCACACACACGCACACACTGACTGTGGTGGTGGTTGGTATCACTCAGGGCACTCGAGTACCGCCGAGCGCGGGTGTGGCGAGGCGTCTCTCGAGCTTCCGGGGCTTCAGGAAGGAACCGCACTCCACAGAACCCTACTTGGGCCGTCAATCTCATCAGCTGTATACTGATCGCTGTAGATTAAGCGGCTGACGCCGATGACGCAGTTGACCCGCACCCCACTACCCGGAGACGGCGATATCAACCCGCCTGCTGCGGGCGAAGTCGTTGCGGGTCCCTTTTCAAGTGAACCGCTCGGTGCGCAGCTCCACAAGGTTTTACGGTATCTAAAAAAAGAGCTCAGACCAGTTTCACCTGAAGAGATAGAGGAAGCCCTGCAGATACGCTTGCAACGAGACTCGGAGCTGTGGGTGAACTTGGTCGGGAACCCCCGCGTCTTACTGGAGTCGGACGGGCGCTGGCGCTGGCGCTCGAAATACTATTTGCGTAACCGCGATGATCTGCTGAACTTGCTCAAAACTTCGGTAGAAGGTATTCCAGTTTCGGAACTGCAGGACTCATACCGGGACGCCTTGCGAGATATTCGAGAACTGGCATATGAGCGGAACCCGCCGCTGATACTCGCGTTTCGTCCCAGCGAACACACGAAGGAAGTGATTCTGTTCCCAAATGATCCGACGCTGTACGTCCGCATAAGTGAACAAGTGCGCAAACTCTGGCAAAGTATTCCAATCCCAGATTCCAGCGTTGTGTACGATTACTTGCTCCAGCGCGGTCTGAAGCAAGGAAGCAATCATGAGGCTGTGCGAGCTGCTCTGGCACCGACCGGTGCACAGCGACCACCCCAGCTGAAACGGCGCGCTCGACCCGGTGCGAGGTCATCTGGGTCATCATCCACGAGACGAATACGCTTGACGAATGTGCATCTGGAGGGTACGGGCATAGACCTCTCGCGAGACTATGAACCGTCATCTTGATGCAGCTTTTGGTGCGTGCCTGCAGGGAGCACCGAGGTTGGCGCTCATCTCCAGGACGCAATCCTGACTGGTTGTCGTTCCGATCGGTGAAGCGTACGCGCTGTGAAATGCAGTCTTTGGGCTCTCTTGGAATTCCTGTTGAAGGAGCAAAGGTGTGCGTTCTACAGAGCACAGTCCAATGAGCAAGCGGCGGCGTCGCTGCATCTGCAGAGCCTCGCCCGGGGAGCATGGACACCACCGATCACCGAGGTACCGACCTCATCGCGCTTGCGATGGCTACCCATTAAGCCGCCGTTGAGGAGCAAGCAGCGTTTCGCCGGTGGCGGGATTGCTGATTCTGCCTAGCCTCGCAGCGGTGCGTCAGCGCAACCGATCATCGAGGCATGAACTTCACGAACGAAACTCTGAGCATGACCTGCGTAGCGTATCCAGTACAACGGCTCGTTTCCATGATGATCTTGCGCACTGTACATAGCAAAGCGCTGTTCCTGATATCCCAGAGACTGATGATGGTTTTTTGAAAGAATGCTTCGGCACGATACCAGTCTATGTAACACACCTGATCCGGTTTGAATTCGAGCGTGAAGCTGATGCCTGTCGAGTGACCTGGACGCTGTACTATTCGAGGCTTTCGCAGTGATCGATCATGCGTTCAGATCGGATGATCCAGTTCACGATGCCTCACGTGCTGCTTCGCCGGAAACCCTTGTAGCGTTCGGACGACCCAAAACTTTTATCGTGAATTGGCGAGTAGCAGTTCGTACTGCCGATCTACGGGAATTATGGCCCGGCTCAGGTGCAACCGCCGGAAAGCCGCTGCGTCGCCTCTGGTGCAACAGAGGGAGACTGGTCCACTACGCCGTGAGAAACGCATATGAAGTGTGTGGAATCTTCAGCTGCAGTCGCGGAGCCGGCTGGCTACTGCGTAGCGTCTCTGAGGGGGGGATTGCGTCCCTGACGTCATTGTAGACGCTACCAGAGACTTGCTACGAAAGAGCTGTGATTGAAGCTTTTTCGCACGAAACAACTCATACTTTTATTTGTGCACAGCGCGCATCCGGATGCAGTTCTCAACTCGGCTGTTGACGCTTTCGGACAGTTGCGAGATACGACTTTCCTGAGCACGTTCCATTCTTGCAGCTGTAGCGGATTTGGATACGCCATAACAACATGGTCGTTCCGAGGTGTTCATCGCTGGGCAAGTCAGTGGACACCTCCCAGGAGTAGATTCTTACAGACGCAAGCTCGCCCGCTTGCGTCGTCATGGGATGCCCGCATGCGCTCCGACAAGGGACATGCTCCTTCTGCACGAAACTGGTCATAAGATGCTTCGCAGCGCGCACCTCGATAGCGAACAGACGTCCCTGGTAAAGAGCATACTTCAAAAGACGCATGCTCATCTATATTGGAAACGATTGAAATACAAGTGCTGCTGCTCGCGCTGCGAGTGCCGCTCATTCTCCGGCAACAGATTCCCTATGCAGGGCTCGCACACATGCATCTCATACCGGGGATGCAGCTACAGTTTGCGTTTTGCACCACGGCATCATAAGGACCGAGTACACAGGCACGGCAGCGCCATGCGCGTATATACTTCCACAAAGCGACGAGGCCAATCCTTCCGAGCAGCTCTCGAGTCTCGACGTGTCAAACAATTCGGGCGCTTTTGCAGTCCACTGCCACAGCGCTGTTGCGCTCGTGCGCGTAATGGGCCGACAGCGCATACTTGGAAGAAAACACAGCTTCTAGCAGGAATCAACGCGAGAAACGGGCAAGCGTCGATCCTGTGCAGATTTTGCGGTTTCGGAAAGAGCATGCCGCTCAACGGCATTCCTCGGAGAAGAAGGCCAGTGACCTGCAAGCATCATTGCCGGTCTATTCTAGGTGAGGTTCATACGGCGCTCACCTTCAGCAAACCATGATGCGTATTCTGCTCATTCTTCGAAACCAGCTGCACCTACGACAGGTTGCAACAGCTATTCTGTTTCCGTGCCGTGCGATAAAACATCTTGCTCTGCAATGAAAGATCGTTACTCTTGTCCACCAACTGATCGAGCTTGACGCCGCGCTCCAGTATACTGTCGATAGTTTGATGCAGGGTGGATTTCGTCTCATCGAGATCTTTCTCGATCCGCATTAGAGGATCCGCTTCCACGGGATTTTGGTACCTCTGGAGACGATCCGCGAGGTACGGAAACTCTCGTACTTGGATCGCTTCTGCAGGTACCTGGAGATACTGCGACTCGGGAAAGGTTCGGCGAAACTCATCCAGGACCTGCCCCAGGAGACTAAATGCAACGCGTTGTGGATATTCCGCATCGCATAGCGCAACTGCGATCACGCCATTCACACGAGCGTAAGCGTAACATACGTAGTTCTCGTGATCCACAGATAGGCGCTCTCCGAGTGTGACTCGCTTCGCAATCAGTTTTGCAAAGAAGGCAGCAAACTCGCGTACGCTACTCCGCTGGAAGTAGTTAAAGTCGCTTAGTTCGTAGGCAGCGCTCAGAAGCGTCGGCTCGGTTTCATCACTGCGTCTTCGCAGTATCGTTAGGGCATACAGACGCATCTGGTAGCGTCGCGTTACGGGTGGCCCAACAGGACCAGAAAATAATGTGCAACAGAGGACAGTGACAGGTACGAACTAGTCGCAGCGCGCTAACGCAGATGTTATCCCCAACCGAGCGGCTCGTTCAACGTACCCAGTGCGTACGAGCGAGCAGACCTCAAAAGTATCTGCTGCTGCGCAACCGAGTCGTTCGTGAAAGCGTTGTGCGAGTAATACGCCCAATAGCAAGCGTAACTCGGAGGCTGCAAGCGCACTGCCTGACGGGAAACTTATTTGGAGCTTGGTCTGCAGTACACTTCGGTGTAAAGTCCGGGGGAATGAAGCAAAACGGTCGCAAAGCTCCTTTCTTTCTAAAACTCTGTGTTCAGAGAGAGGTTGTGTTTCCTCGTGACCGAGTACGAATGTGCTTGACAAGTTCCGCGCTTAAGAAGCCTTTTATTCGTGTCAAAAGGTCTACGTGCTCGTGAACGATCCCAAGGGTGCCTGAAACGTCCAGTGCTCAAAACGTCCGTTTGTCCAGGCGTTGAAAGCCAACGGTGGATGTCGCGGCTGGAAACGGGTCAAGGCCAACGGCTCGAATGCCGTCAAGAGTTCCCTGTGCTCTGCTGTTCTCTGGGCTTGTTTGGGCCGGCAGTCGGGCTAGTTCGTGAGCAATTTGAATGCACTCTGCTCTGGGTAGAGCGTTGCAACGTTTGGAAAGCGGCACAGATAGCAGCGGTTCCAGAGGGAGACTGGCCCGAGCGATTATTCAACGAGCACAAACACCTCTGGCTCTGCAGCAGGCCAGTGGAAACAGCGTTTGGACGAGCCCCAAGAGAGGCGTGTCTCGGTTCACGGAAACGCTGACCTCTCAGTTGGTCCCCCGGCGACCTGAAACACCTTTGAATCCTCAGCAGGTGAGCGGAAACATCTCTTGGCCGAGAACCAAACATAGCGAGTACCGCTCTGAGGAGACACACGCAGTGGCTACGACTCGTGTGCTGCGTGGCTTACCCACCCGAGTCGTTCCGTTCATTTCAAGCGTTTCACTACGAAACGCACAGCACCAGCACCACCGCCAGCACCAGCAGCAGCATCAGCAGCGGCAGGTGCTGTCGCTACCGAAGCAAACGCCACGAGTCGTGGCGTGGGTCTTCCGTGATACCGCTTTTAGCATACCAGTTCATCGCGAGACGCATACGACGCAGTGCTGCTTCCTCATACCGGGGTTCCGCAACTTGTCTCTCCACAATCTTCCACGAAAGCGTCTCCTGTGTAGTTCCATAGCAACCAGAAGCGCTCATCGGTTCCGGAAGACCTGGTTGCAACTGCGGTGTCTCGCTGCGTTCGAAAACCAAACCCGCCCAATGCAACGTGTTTCAGGAACTGAACGGAACTTGAACCGTCCGTTGCTCGTGCAGATCGAGCTCAGTTCTATTGAACAACAAATCTTCTCTCTGCTGCTCGAAGTGAATACATCCTATCGCCTTGGCTGCACGCTGCGAGTCGCCGGAGGCTGGGTTCGCGACAAGTTGCTCGGTATCTGCGCAGACCAGATAGACCTTGATATCGCACTCGACAACATGCTCGGAAGGGAGTTTGCAGAGCGCGTAGACGCTTTCCTCGCTGAGCGCGGTCAGAAGCAAGGGTCCGTTCACGTGATCCGCGTGAACCCTGCGCAAAGCAAGCACCTAGAGACTGCCCGTATGCGTCTCTTTGATCACTGGATCGACTTTGTGAACCTGCGGAAGGAATCGTATGCTGCCGACTCGCGTATTCCCTCGATGGCGATCGGCACCCCCGAGGAGGACGCCTTTCGCAGGGACCTCACGATCAATACCCTCTTCTACAACATCAACACGAAGCAGGTGGAAGACTGGACTCGGATGGGGCTTACGGATCTGGCTGCCGGGCTGATCCGTACACCCCTGCCACCGTTGACGACTTTCTTGGAGGACCCTTTGCGAGCCTTGCGAGCAGTTCGCTTTGCAAGTCGATTCGGCTTCACCGTCGTACCGGAGGTTCTGGAGGCGGCCTCTAGCCCCCGGGTTCGAGAGGCGCTCCTCAGCAAGGTGAGTCGCGAGCGTATCGCAACGGAGCTGGAACTGATGTTGGGAGGCCCGCAACCCGTGATGGCACTTTCGCTGTTGTTTGACATGGGCCTGGCAAAGTGCCTCTTTCCGCTGCCGCCGTCGATTCCTGAATCCGCCTATCCCGACCGTTGGACAGAGCTTGCACTCACGCGAGTGCAGCGACTGGAGCGCTTCGGTAGCGTTTGGCTCAAGGAGGGTATTGAACTTTGGCAGCAGGACGGAACTCGACAGATGCTACTTCTGGGAGCCTGCCTCAGTCCCTTGTTCGATATCTCCTATGTAATCAAAAGGGATCAACGCTGCTCTGTTGTGTTTTACATACTGCATGATGCGCTGCGCGTACAACAACAGAAGAAGAAAGCGATTCTCAGCATGCTATCCGCGTGCAGCAAGATTAGGACACTCGTGCTGCAGCCGCTCGCTTGGAATGAGCGATCCTGTCGGGTTGAAGTAGGACTCCTGATTCGATCGCTTGGTTCCTGGTGGCAAGCAGCGCTGCTCCTTCAGCTGGCTTTGGACGAGCGGCTCGATTCTGGCGCATCAATGGCTAGCGCAGCTGCTTCGACAGAGTCCACCGCTTCAGAGACACCCATCGTGCAGCAGTATCTCGTGTTTCGTGACAAGATCAAGGAGACCGGCTTGGATCGAGCTTGCGAGCTGCAACCACTTCTTGATGGTCACGCAGTACGTCGTTTACTTCCTGGACTGCCCGTCGGACCTCTGCTTGGGGAAATCATGGAATTCCAGATCGAGGAGCAGCTAGCAAATCCGGCACTGACGCCAACGGAATGTGCATCGCTTCTTCAGAAGCGCTATCAAGCATACAGGGAAAACAAGCGGAATTGAGTGTTTTCGGACACAGTGTCCGGTTCCGGAGCATTGTACAGCATACAGGGAGAAGAACAGACTTAATCTTGATATGCTAGGATAGAGATTTTTCGTCAGCAGCGCTTTCCAGTATTTAGGGGAAAAAAGTGGACTAGAACGTGAATGTTCTCGGATACATATTCGTCGTCGGCTGCACGCTGAAGCGTATAAGGGAAAAGAACGCGACGTGATTGGTGTTGGTTATAGAAAACACCTCAGCAGGATGATGCTCTCAACATAGCAAAGCGGCACTCTTGCTCCGGAGTATCTATGTGTCTGTTGCCAGAAAAGCAATTGGTGAGGCTTGAGTTATTTTCTTCATGGATCGTTTCGCAGAGAGCAGGGCGCATCGTGTTGTAGCGTCGCAGCGTGCTGCAGTCACGAGAGCGCTTCTGGAAGCTTGCCACTTTTTTCTTAATATCAGCGTGCTTTCTACCCGCGGTGATGTCTTGCGCCTGGCGAGCTGCAATGGAGCACAACTGACGTCACAGGTGTCGAACGATGCGTACGATAGTGAAACGAGTCTCGTTTCGTTATCGCCCGCAACGGACGTGTGCCTTTGAAGAGCCACAATGAACAACGCTGCTTCGCGAATGTGGTGCCACAGGTTCTTCTAAGAGAGACCTGCCTGCACTATCTGTGCAGCACTCCTTGTCATTCGTACCTCGCCGGAATCCCAGCGCCCAGGAAGATACCTGGATTCGAGGCGGAATACTCATGAGGCACTCAAGCGCCGGTGGACACAAGTTCGGAACGTCAGCTCGCGTCACCCGAGGACAACAACAATGACCGAACGTTAAACTTGTGGTCGTTCGTCTCGAAATGGGCACACCCGGTGCTCATACAACCGTCGGTGGACCTGCACCCATCGAGGTCGGTGCACAGGACTCGGTATCCCGTATCCGAGTCGTTGTCCCGCGCAGGGTATCCAAGAAGGCACTGCATCTCGCGACAAGGATGGACGAGGGTAGCTCATACGCAGAACGCAAGAACAAACGAACTCACTTAGGCAAGCAGCCCGCGAAGTGCACCTCTTCGATGGCTTTCGTCTCGACGTTTTTTTTCTGGATGGAGAACCTGCGGCCTTGAGGTATTCTTTACAGGCTCGGTGGCTGCGCTAGGTTTCGCTCGAGCGAGTGCAGGTTTGCGCTCGAGCCGCACACCACTATGCAAACAACGTCCCAGACTGGGTTCAGAGACCGTATCCCCAGCCTTTGGAGCAGTCTCGGGTAATCCGATTCGTTTGCCGAGCGCGTGCTGTTCCCAGAAGGACCCGTGTCTGATGCAACTGAACCTGACCGTCGATGTGCTCTGCTCGTACCAGTGCAAGCTTTAGACAGTCATGGTATGCCAGTGCGCGAACGGTGCCAAGATACGCGCAACCTGGTATCTCCAAGACACCGCAAAACTAGAGCGCTTGCTGAAGCGCCCCTAGCAATGCGCTCATACTTGGTTCATCAAACTTGCGCAGTGCAAGCAGGTATGGCTCCTGGTAATGAGGATGGCTTTGGAGTACCAGGTAAATTCGCTGCCCATGCAGCAAAAGAGTATCAAGAATGAGCCCGAGACTGGGATAGTCCACGTCGTACGCGGCCTGCGCGAGTCGTTTCAGGTAGATCAGCGATGGAATGCTTATCGCCAAGGCAGTTGCTGCGTCAGCGGCAAAGTCATGGCGACAACGCATACCAGTGGTGTGATCAGTGCCAGTGCCAACATCATTTCCATGGTCATCGCGATCATTCCTACAATGATCAACAGCAGCGGCAGTTTTCTGCACGTTCTTGGCTGCATGTTCCAGACTCGGGTTGAGAGCTTGCAGTCTTCGCCGGGTCGCCTCGAGTTCCGATAACAGGACATGTTGCTTTTCTCGTGCATGCTGGATATCCAGTATGGCGCGCTGGACGGCTGCTGATGATGGCGTACCAACCCGGAACTGTTGCCGTGCTGAAGTGATACCCAGGTACAAGTCGCGAAACTCCCGGTGACTGGTGGAGTTGCGACGCAACCACTCGGTCAGCGAGAAACCCAACCGCTCAGCAAGCACACACAGCCGATAGAGCTCGAATCGCCAGAGCAGTTCCGTTGCGTACGTAAACAACGACGTTTCCGCCATTCGGAAAAACTGGTGATCCACTCCCGATTCTACGAGTTGACCGGAGACTTTCCCAGCACGCGAGGCGCTCTGCCCTGCGGTGTGGTCTCGTTTCTCGGAACGGGCAGCTCCGCCTTGCGGAATGTGTGCTGAGGCATGTTCGCGAGCGGAACAACTCCCGGATGACATGACTTCATCAGCGGATATCCTAGCCAGGTAACCCATCAGTTCCCTGGCGAGTGCGTCATCCTCACAACTCAATGCAGCCTGGAACAGTCGCAGCGCTTGAAAGGCACTCGCTTGCAATCCGTGAAGCTCCTGAAGCACAATGAGCAGACAAGCTGCCGTACGCAGGCGGCCACTAAGGAAGCACTGTTCAAGAAGGGCAGTGGGTTCGCCAACCAGCGCAAAAAGCGACGGCCACTTGTATGCCTCGGTTTTGCGAGCGCAGTGCACCACAATGTCCTCGTATTCACCGAACTTGCGAAGCATACGCACGACACGCAGGGAAAGCTGTTCTTGGTCGTCCCCTTTTGGTTTCGACTCCGCTACTGCTGTGCGATACAGGAGCCATTCCAGCGCATCCATGAACTGCGGCTGCTGGGCGTTTCGCAAAGCAACGTGTGTGACGCCGAGATCGTCAGCACCATCTTCTAACAGCAATTTCAGGATCATCGGGAGTACGGGCCACGCTTTCAGGGATGCCTCGTAGAGAAACGGTTGCCCGTCAAGGTCGGCAAGGTCCCAGTAGCGCACACGAGTTGCCGTGACCCCGACCAGGGCATCGATGGAGCTCATCATACCACATAGAAAGGTTTCCGCATCAAACTCGATGCAATGTCGCAGTGTGAAACGTGCGCTGCTCATGGCATAGACTCCGTTTGCTGTGCTGACCCAAAGCGCAGGCTGAGGCACCGAGTGTCGTTTCCGCAAGTCAGCGGTGAACCAGTAACGGATGACCGCGCTCGCAAGCACGTCCTCTGCTTGGGTCAGGGGATCCACAATAAACAGTGTCCCACGACTGCCTAGGACTAGGAGCATGCTTCGGGGAATGCCGTCCGGAGCCTGAGACAGTGCGCTGTGTTCGCGACTCGCGTCCAAAGGACTCGTCATGCTGCCCGAGTCAGCAGACGGTGGCGAATGCTGCGTCGAAAACGGCTGGTCAGCTCGCGAGCTCGCCAGCGATTCTGCGGTTTCTGTAGCCGCTCTGTGAGGCTTACTCAGCAGAATCGAGCCAGGCCATGCACCGAATGGAAGCAGAAAAGCGTGCTCTGTTTCTCCGCCCTGCGACAGGACCCGTGAAGGTAGCACTCGAAAGGATTCGAGCCACTCTCCGTCAACACTGGTCTGCTGGATGCCGTAGTCCACACGAAGAGGCAGAGAATGGACAAAGCGCCAGTCTACGGAACTGCTCCAAGGCCGCCGCTGCTCCCAGCTGAACCTGTAGACTCGCATCACAGAGTCGCTATTGTATACCCATACGATTCCGGACTCTAGGACATCAATCTTCAAAGGACGGTGGCGGAAACGCAGCGGTTTCGATAACCGCTCTTCACCTAGCTTACTGCGATGGAAAACACGAAGCGTATAAGAACTCGTCTTCCGTGCCGACATTCTCGAGTCGGCATCATCGATTTGCGCAAGCACGTTAGTAGGTGCATAGTACCTGAAACGTTCTTCTTTGAGAAGCTCATAGGGTGCATCTTCTCGCCAAATTGTTAGCAGGAACGGCCCCAGCCAAGCGAGGCCGATGCAGATGCCCGCTGCACCGCGTACAGTTGGCTCCGTCCAGCGCCAGCGTCGACGCTGAGGGTTCCAGAGCGCTACCCCACTTGTTCCAGAAACCGCGAGAAACGATGACGCAGCCTGCCAGGCAACATGGCGAATCGGCCAGGCTCGTCGCAAATACGCTTCGTCAAGCGTCATCCAGTGCCACCCGGTAGCCGTGGAGCGACGCCCATGCACAACACCTTCAGCGCACTGTTGGAGCAATAGTTGTGCGACCTGTGCACCTAAGGTTCGGTAATCTGCACACTCCCGCTGGATAGAGACGATACCCACCGCATCGTCCGTGACAGCACATGCGGTTGGATAGATGCGGTTACCTTCCCAGACACTGGAGCCTCCAAACTCTCCCGTCAGGCGCAGCAGAGGAAGTACGCCAAAGAGCGCTGCGTTCGCGTTCGGAGCCTCTCCTGCAAACTGTACAAAAATCGATAATCCTGTAGGATGCCAGTGCACTGAACGGACACGTAGCGGGTCCTGCTCGGGAGTAGCGGGAACCGCAACTGCAGACAGGCGTTTCTGCGACTGCGACTGCGACTGCGGTCCTATCCAGCTGCTGGAGCTGAACAGTCGACAGCCGTGGCGACTCCATATCGCCAGGCCTCGCTCATCCCAGGCGAGTGCGAAAGCCTCACCGTCTGGGGCCCAGGAAAGTGACCTGACGCGTCGAGTGACTTGGGCAGCGTGCTGCTGCCCCGGAGCGCCCGAGCAAACCGACTCGAGCGCCATGGACTCCAGGTGGTGCACACGAACACTGCCGTCTGCCATGCCTAAGCCAACGAGTCCGTGCCGCGGCTCCAAGGCGACGCAACATAAACCAGGATATCGATAGAAACGAACGCTCGGGGCTGCACAATGTGGTCGACAGTATCCTCCACAATCGAGCTGGAGGAGCACCAACCATTGTTGCTGGAAACACAGGACTCCTAAACGCAGCTGTTGATCGTAGTGCACGTGTACCTCTCTGGAGGAAATGGAAATATCCTCGAGGAGTAGCTGCTCGTCTGTGAGGGTCTCCCCAAAGATTTCGACCTTCCATATGGTGCTCGCGTTCCAGCTGATGCACTCGACCCAGCCGCTTGCGCTGGCTACGATCACCCCCGCTGGACATGCTGTCATCGCTAGTGCATGTGACGTCAAAGAGGCGTCCTCCTTGGCAACCGACAATGCCACCGATGCGACATGTTCCAAAGCAAGCGTCCAAGTGCACCGAATATGATCAGTGTGCAGGGACTCGTCCAGAGGCTGCGCCTGTGACGTGTTCCGCGCCTCGGCACTTGGCTGGATGCCGCTGATAGCACCCCCGTCAGCTTTATCTGGACGCCAATCGTCTACCTCTACAGCTGCGTCGTCGTCAGCGAGTTTCCACCATGGGCGCAGTGCTTCCTCGGGGCTCGCTGGGGCGTCCTTCGCCGACAGGGTCAGCAGCAGCACAATGCCCTTCTCCGTGAGCAGTGCAACACTGGCACTAAGGCCGATTCCAGAGAGCCGAGATGGGCACGATGGGCCCCACAGAGCCTGTCGAATTCGACCATATCGTGAAAGTTGTAATTCTTGATCCGTAAAGTGGCTAACCGGCTGAAGTATGCGCTCAGCGAGCCAGATGGACATTGCATCGGTGCTGGCAACCAGCAGCAACGTTTCAGAAAATAGTGCCAGTGCCGCTGCGGACTGCCACGGTGTTCGCTGGTCGCTTCCGCTTGCGAGGAACGCTCCGAATACGCTTCCGCTAGTTTCCTCGCCTGTGCGACGTCTTGTCGCTGTGGTTGGCGCTTTCCATAGCAGACGACTCCAAATAGAATCAGGAACCGCGTCCGTTGCATGCGTTGGCGCTGACTGCTCTGAACAAACTGCACCTGCTTCATTTCGTCGGTGGACGGGGCAGTTGTCTTCCCCGTTCTGTCCCCGATACGCATGCCACGAACGTGGTCCCAAGTCAAGACTTACCGGAGAGCCAGCAGTAGAGGCCGGTGTTCCGGTCCCGCTGGTGGCTACCGCGACGTACGTTCGCGCACTCCCTTGCACAAAGTACGGCATCTACCGCATAGGCCACCAGCCTACCAGACGTACAGATACAAACTCTCCTGTTTTCAGAGGTTCTGTGAACGTTCTACAAGCGAGACGGAAAGCGGGATCCACGGCTCCTGAAAAGCGCACTGGAAACGCGACAGACGCTCTCCTCGCTCCAGCTGTGGGCGTCATGCTCGCCACGAGGCGCCTGGCTTGACGCGTTTCATTGCAGAACGAAACGACCCGGTCGCACGCTTGTGTGGGACCTGACAAGCGAACGCGCTTCCTTGCTACATTGTAACGGGTATTTTATGTCGCTCAAGAGCGTATGACTGTGCACGCAGCCTCATGAACACCTTACAACACCGAGCCTCACCTGCTTTTGCGGTTACCAGCGCTGGTCTGGTCGGAGCTCGGCCTGCCCGGAAAGCACACCGACACTGCGTAACGCTGTGTCCAACAGACCCCAAAGGTGTCGGAGCGTGTTTTCGGATACGATTCCATAAGCGAACTTGTTCTTTGCGAGCTGGACAAGAGCGAGGCACCCTCATGATGACAGAGCCCCTTGCGGCGCAACAGGAGGAGCTAGTGGACTGGCTGCCTGCTGGTGCGCTCGAAAAGGACGTCATGCGCAAGTTCGAGTACGTGCGCGATGAACTGAGCAATAGAGAGCCCCTGTCGTTTCGATTAAGCTACATGTCAGAGGCACCGTCGCGAGATATCCGTGCCAAGTTGCGAAGACGTCGCGGTCGTCTCTCCGTGGTGGTCGACCTCAAGCGACGTTCAGCAACCTCTGAACCTGCGCGAGAGTTTCACGCCTTGAATATGTACGCCGCTGCCGAGATACTTTCGGATCTAAGAGCGGAAATACCACTTGGAAGCAAATTTGGACTCGACGGGATTATGGTTAGCGTCGATTCGGAACTCTACGATCAAGACTGTGCAAGTCTATCAGACTTTGCGCGCCACTGGAGGTATTTTCACCGAGAGGACCCGAGCACAGCACCCCCTATCATCTACAAGGACATTATCGTCCACGAACTGCAGCTGGCGGAGGCCGCAGAGGCCGGTGCCAAGGCCGCCTGTTTGGTCGCCGGTGCATGCCTGCCGGACCTCGAGAAACTCCTGAACGCGGCATACATTCTCGGGATGGAGGTGCTCGTAGAGGTCCATACGGAAGAGGAGCTGCAGTACGCTTTCGAGGCAGGAGCCGGTATCTACGTGTTTACGGATGTGGATCGCGCTCGTCGACGAGTTGTTAAGGGTCGCGCTGTTGACTTGATGGACAAGTACCGGGTAGATTTGCGCAACGCTGGAGCAGTGTGCCTCGGCAGTGGACGCATTGAGACGCTTGAACAAGTTGAACAGTTACGTGACGTTGGCGCCGACGGCATCGTTATCGGTGGCAAGCTCATGGCTTCGATCGCAAGAGGCGATGTGGAAGCGCTCGCCAGTGTCCTGCACTCGCTCCTCGTTGCGGATCTGTAAAGATTCGATGCGCTCTGAAGCGCTGGGAATTCGATCACATGCCCATATCTGTTGCGAATAAGGCACGTTGACAGTAAGCGAGATGATGGGCATTTCCATTCACTCGTTCCATGTGTGATGGTGCCGGGTACATTGTTCCATGCGAGCGGTTACTGATGTGCGGGTGTATGTGTGTGTGGCACGTGTGCCTGCCGGGTTTTCGACGAGAGCGTCGTCGCAGATACGCGATGCAATGTATTCCAGTCGAGGCCGCAGCTCGATGCGTCCTCACATTGGACAGTGTCTCGGAGTGTGTGTGTGTGTGTGTGTGTGCGCATGTCTTCACGATTCAGTCTGCGTTCTGCAGTAGTCGCCATTCGGAAACTCGCGTTTACTGAATAGGTATCTCGGTTACAAGTCCGCGTCACTGGCTTCTTGGTATTCGATGCCTGTAAGCGCGTCTTGATGGCGACCTGGCCCAGCGAGCTGGACTTGCAATGGACTCCTTGTGCCGGTTCCGAAAAATCCATACAATCAGATTCATAACCATTGCATCAAGGTCAATGTCTCTGTGTGCGGACGTGCTATCTCTCGGCGCCTTGGCTCATGCTTGCTGTGTATGATTCATTCTCCTCGGCATTTAGCGCGGCTCTTCCAAATTTTCAATGTCTCTCTAGCGGGAACCAAGAGACTTTCCATCGATCACCTCAAATGGGAGAAATGTTCTCAGGGCGAAATCATATCCAGCAGCAGGATTGCGATATCAGCGAACATTTCCGGGATCGCGCGGCACCCTTGCAAACACAATGCAAGCGCCCTGATCTAGACCGGCTCTACAGGGACTCGGCACATACATGGTTGCTCATATTGCTAGGGTTCAAAGCGTCTCAATCTTGTCTCGATGCACATTCTAGTGCCCAAGCTGTATACAGAGCGTCCTGCAATAAATCCTTTTTCTTTCTGCCTAAGAGTGGAAGGAAATATTCTAGTTGAGATTCCAAATGCTCAGCGCACAAGAACATCGTTGCGTATCAGGCTGCGCCTTTCTCCGCCGCATACGAAGGACGTGCTTGGGTGATTGCTCTGGCTTCGACGCGTTGTGGCGGGCCCGAATCCTCACCATACCCTTCGCCCTCGCTGTTGATACATACCCGGGGCAGTCAATCGAGCTGGAGAGCACACGAACTATCGATTGTGCTGGTACTTGATGCTGTAGGACTTTCAGGGCCGAAAAAAAACATACGAACCAAGGTCCAGATTCTGTTCCGAAGCGCATCCGCAGCGTCTGCATGGCACGACGCATCCACACCAGCGATACGCGGCACTGCGAGGCGCCTTGGTAGCGCGTGCTCACGTCTCTCGCGAGCCCTGACGCTTGTACATCGCTTGCGCTACCTGCAGCGAGAGATGCGGCTGCACATGTGCACCCACGAGCGTCTGATGATACGCAAGGAGCTCATTCCATCAATAAAAGAGCACACAGGACGTTCATACATGTGCATTGTCGCGCGTGCTGTGTTCTTGCTCCGGTTAGAGAACGATATCCAGAATACGAGTGATAAAGTTTGAACTGTGCAGTTTATCGATGAAATCCGGCGCTGCACCATTCGAGTTGTTTGCGCAGCAACGTATTCGCATTTTCCGTAATAATAGATGGTGAGAACCACCCAGGCCTCCCGAAATTCCCCTCTTCTACGGACAGCAAGGAAGAAGCCCCAGTTACTCTGTATATGCTCCTACGTTTATCCTGTAACCTTTACACGCTTTCCATGGACACAACGTCGATGACACTGACGAGACCTCCCCAGTCGCCCGTCTTCAACATATAGTAGAAAAAGGTACCCCAATGCCTCCATGAACGCTTTATCTTTCCCCTGTATCCGCGTAAAGACCCGAACTCCTCTGTTTCTCTACCGCCGATATATCGCTTTCTGGTGCTGCTCACGGGGGCGGGCGGGACCGCCGCGCACCCGCACGCTTCGCGCGCGCCATTCGCGTAACGAGGTAGCGTCGCCGCTGCCGCAAGACGCAAATGCGATGGAAGATTTCGCGCCCTCCAACGCCAATGCCGTTACGCAGTTCCCAGCACCGCCTTCTTGCGTACAGGCTGTTGGCATAGTTTCATGCTTGCGCCAGCCGTTCCCTTGCCCCGCGAGACGACTGGAATCAGTAGCGGTGGCGGCGCTTTCCAAAGTCGCACAGGATTTGGGGGTTTGGGTCCACCTCGAGACGCTGCTCGCGCTGGGCTAGACCTCCCGGGTGCCGGTCGCAGCACCACGTACAACAACGCACAGCAGGAGCAGCAGCAGCAGCAGCAGCAGCAACCTTCCTGGCGCATCATCAATCGACTGTTAGGTCAAGCGGGGTTCCAAGCTTTGCCTTTAAGCGGAGGTCTGCAGGACGCGCCATCAGATGCTGCCGTGCGTGCTGCTTTCGCTCAAGTGCTTGCTGAGTACGAGCGGCGAGGAATGCTGCTTCAGAGTCTGCTCAGCGAGTCGCCGCCTGCAGACAGCCGAACTCGAGTTGCTGAGGCTGCACTAATGGAAATGGAGCAAGCCCTTCTGAAAAGCAATCGACAGGTTGCCTGGCTCAAGTCTAAACTGCTCAAATATCGTGCATATATCGAACGTAAGCGAAGAGAACGCCGAGAACAACAACAACAACAACAAGAGCAGCAGCAGCAGCAGCAGCAGCGGCAGCGAGAACAGCCCGAACGGCAGTCGCAACAGGAGCAGCGAGTCGGTGGATCATTACAGCCGCAAGCTCGGGCGCCCCAACGAGAAGGCACTATTGATTCGCAGATTGACTGGCACCAGGAGCTCCGACAACTCGTCACCGACTTGCAAATCATGCTTCAAGTACCTGATTACCGTTTACTCCCGGAACGCATACGCCAATTGCAGCGAGAAGCAGAGAACGCCATTTGGCTTGCGGAGTTTGCCGATTGTGTGCGCAGCATTGTTGAGGAGGTGCTCGGACCTGAATCGCACCTTTCAGAGGAACAAGTGCTCGATGAGCTCGAAAAGTGGGCAGTAGAACGCGTTAGTGCTGCTTCGGAACCAGCTTGACCACACCACGTACTTCGATGCGAGCAGAATGGAACTGGAAAGCCGGCCGAACCCATTCACCACACGAGCAGGGCATGCCGCTCCAGCAGAAACGGCCAACGCAAAACGTACACCGCTGACAGTAGATGCGACCTTGATTTCTTCCGACCGCATCGACCCAGTCCAAGGGCTCTGTAAAAAGCGATGTGCACGTTCCGCTCTGCTGGTCACGACCGTTGCTGTGCCCCACGAGGTCCTTGGCGCTGAAGAGCACTTCACCGCAGCGTTTGCAGTAGTACAGACCCATAGGGTGTACAGGCCTCGTTGGTACTGCAGATGAGGGGCGGGCTCTGGGACCGTTCTTCCCCTGCTGGGGAGCGAGCACGGTAACACGCCCCAGTCGATATGTGTTCCTCAAAACCGGAGTCAGCTTGAACAGCTGCAGGTGCAGAAGCAGTTAGTGCGTGTCTGGGCAGCAAATGCCCTCCACCGTGTTCACCAGCTTCGGCTGGTTTGCGAGCTGTCTCGCAAGACCCGTCACCGCACGCAGCGCGCGAAAAACACTCAGACCCGTTTCCAAAGTTCTTGAAGCAAAGTTATTGCAAGTAGAAAGCGTCCCAGATTCAAGGGTCTAACCAAGTCGCCAACAGTGGTGCGATCTTCGTGTCGCCGCGCTTCCTCTCTGTCTCCCGTTACTGCACTGGGGCGAATAAGAGAAAACTTCTGGATCGAAGTCGGACCCCTCGAGGAACTGAGTCGTTGTTGTGGACGCTCGTAGAGGGCCGCTAGATCCAGCCTTTCAGGCCGAAGCGGTCCTCGCGCTCTGCGCTCACGCGAGCCTGACCGAAGGACAAAGCTATGGTTTCGATTAGTGACCGATGCACCGAATCTGAACAGACTCGCTGAATCCGCACTGGACGCGCTTGTGCAAGCCTCGTGCCTCCTTCGAATCGAACGCACTTTACAGGTAAATAACGCCTTTTCGCTGCTGCAAGTACCAAGCTCAGCAGCAGTGCTTGAACCACTGTTCGCTAAAGCAGTATGCTTAGAGGAGTGCATTCTCGAACACGTGAATAAGAATGTGCTTTTTGTTTTGGTTTGGTTTCCTGGCAAATATTCAGCAGAAAAAATATCCAATGGATTGGAGAAAGTCAGCGGAAAGACCTGATCCTGTCGTTGCAGGCACGCGAAAAACGGTATTACTCGTTGCGGCCAGTCATTGTGCGGTCAGCAAGTGGTTGAAGCGCCCCTCTGATGGTTCTCGTTCCAAACGTCGTGTATCCGCGAAAGAACAAGTTAAACTCCATGAACATTACTGCCTTGTCCTCTATCCATTCCAATGCATGTGTTCTCGAACAATTACAACCAGAGCAGCCGCAGAATATGCAGTGTCCGTACCGTTAACTCGAGCGGTGAAGAAGAGACATCGACGGACGAAGAAAAATGCTCGCCTCTATTGCGACACGGTCGTGCGCTGGCAAATGCACTACAGATTTCACACACTGATCTGCGACCGCTTATAACTCATAAGACGAATGATGGTCTCATTCAATGAGAATTCATTCTGGGGAAAAAGCAGACCTCAATATGTGTATTGAAAGAAGGGAAGGCTGCTGATCGTGAAGAAGCAACAAGCGAGTATCCGACAACATCCGCGCCAGCGGCGATGCCAGTCTGTGATCATCTGCCAGTCGCCAAATAGATAGGATCGTTCAAAACCGCATGTTTCGTCGAGGCACACTTTGTGACTTCCGCTTCGCACACTCCTCCGCCCTTATTCTGGACAACGTGGCGTTCCATGACTAAAAGCGCTCATGGCGTATGCAGCGCATACTGGCAGTGAGCTGCTCTTCGCGCAGACACATTCGCCCAGTTTGCATCCAGTCGAAGGTATGCGCTCTGTTGCCGAACTCTGTTTTAGAGCTCACAGTTGAATTCACGAGCCGTTCGCAACCATGACACGGAATTTCTTCGACATTTCGTTCTCTTCATCGATTAGCCTTAATATGCTGTGTTGCGCTACTGCTCATGGTGCGCGGGAGGGTACCGAATAAGGCGCTTCGATCCTTGGGCGTGTTCACGACGGGGAAGGTTACGAACAAGGATTTGAGGATTTGTCCATATACGTGAATACACAGATAGACGAGCCAGGTTCCAATCCAACGTTCCACTCAGTGCGTATTTTTCCAGGAGACAAAGATCGATTATGGAGTAGAGTGACCACAACCCTGCCACCTCGCCGAGTAAAGCACACTGCGAAGCAAGATCGTCCCTCTGCGACAAAGCGTGAAGCATCCGAAAAACTTTACGAGGAGCTTTGACGGCGCTCGTTCAACGCTGCTCGATTACATGGCAGAAATGAAAAGAGGCTCGCAGAAACGATGGAGACTGACGGAACGTCATACTGCATTCAGTCTCTAAAAAATCAGGTCTGAGTCGAGCAACGAAAGTCATGATCAACCGCTAAAGGTAGACGACAAGAGAGACTTCGACGAGGGTGTAGATCTCGGGTTGACGGGCATCACAGCTGTCGCCATATCGCCAGGGCTGGGGCACGGAGGCAGGCAACGATGTAAACGAGAAGCAGATGAAGCTGCTCAACTTTTCCTGGGCTCGATATTTACGACATTCGCACATAATCGGCGCCAGGAGGCATACAAGCAAGGGGAATGACTTTGAACAGAGTCTTGCCGACGCTCCGTGGACCCTACTGCGCAGAGCGAATTGCTATGTACGCTTCGTCTAGAGAGTACTTGTGCGTCCAGAGGACGCTCGGAGACGATCTTTGGCTGGAATACCTGGGAGAGCGCTGGGGTCGCCAACGCTATCTGTTATATGGAGACAGAAAGCATGCATTCGCCAACGAGCATGATGCGTTGGAAAACCAAGTGACCGACGAATCGTTCCGTTTGATGGTAGCCCACAGGGCTGGACGTGTTGCAGTGCGAAAAGGCTGGAATGCGGTACCGTCGACGAGGTCGTAGAACAGGTCCTGGATTCGATTCTGTCTGATTCCCTTCGAGGCGTTCAGGATAACATAAAAGCATCAGTGAGCACGGGTGCTCACTGAAACAGATAGAGAACAAGAGAACAGAATGGAGCAATATACCTGATATGGTATCCTGTTCGAAGACTGAAATTCATATTGCGAGACAATCGAAGCGCTTAGACGCTTGGTATGGTGTGCTTGCACTGACAACGGTACGCTCGAGCGCTTTCGTCATTGGAACCTGAACGCCTCGGTCGGCATCGAGAACGCCTCGTGCTTGCAAAGCGCCCAGCGACTTTGGGGCGACCGAACTTGAGAAAGATTCGTTCAGTACTCATTTCGGGGATTGTGCTGAAATTTGGAAGGCTTGTGATACAGAAAATCAGTGGCCAGGAGAGCGTGTATTCGGTGCCTGCTGGGAGCAAGGCACCGGTCAGGTACGCGTTTCAGCCTTCCAGCAAGACTTGAATGCCGTGCACATACACGCAGACGATTTTTTTCAGGGAATTCATGATATCTCATAGTGATCTGTAGTTCGATATTACTGAGCATTTCCAAAAGTTTAACGGAGCGAAAACATGCCACCACCGTAGGGTAAACTGAAACCTACTCACAGGCGCTTCCCTGTGGTTTCTGACCGGCGCCTGCTATCGGCCTCAGTTTCTACTTGCTCACTGTGGCCTTGAGAGGCTGCCATACAAAGTTCGATTTCGTCAGCTCCTCGGGTCTTGACTTTAACACCGCGTATCATCTGGTATTGATGGCGGCGTTGAAGTCACGATTCATGGACTCCTCGCGTGCATTGCCGCTGGTTGAACGCACCAAAGCGAGAATTGCTAGAACTCGCACCCTCTGTGCCACTACATTCGCGTCATTGTCCCGTCGGACAAACACCTTTTCTCGCTCATATCCGCTCTTGTTCTTTTCTTCTTGCTCTTCATCACTTGCTCTTGCTCGCTTGGTGGTTGGCGTGAAGAGGATTTTTTTCCTAATTTTCGCCAAAACCGGCGATGAGTAACTTTCAGCACCCTCGACTTCCAGATGCATAGCATTCACGTAAATTTTTTCATTTTTCAAATGAGCGAACTTCTTTATGCCCTTAGGTAAGGAGTTTTCCGGATGGGGAAGGGCTTCCAGAAGAAAGAAAACGTGTACTCCCGATGCGTTACCGTATGCTGAACGCTTCTGCGTTTCGCCGAGTGGAGCGATCAATTTTGGTCCACAATGGAAAACACTCTATCGATGGGGCTGAACTACGGAGAGCACCTTGGAATGAAAAGCAGCTCTACCCCCGATAGAATCAGCAACAGTTCGTACGCACGGGAACGGTGAAATACCATTTTTTCCAATAGAGGGACGTCACCAGGTGCCTGGGAAAAGACCTCAATGATTCGAGACAGCGATCGTATGAGCCTTCTCTACAAATGAAACTGAGACATCCAAAAGAATCCAACATCCCTAGAATACCTGACGTCATCGTTCTCTAACAGTTCCCTTGAACACAACACAGGCTCCCTCTCCGCGAGTACTCGTGTGATTACCGACCCTCTGGTCCGAATGACGTCTCATCCACTGAAACAAACAAAGCGACGTCCCGGTGCTGCATACCGACAATGACGTCCCAGGAACGTTGACTTTCTGATTAATGGAAGATAGTCATGCGTAAACTAGGACTCGACTTTTCGCGACTGTATCCCAGTGTTTTCGAACAACTCGAAGAAGCTGGTGAGGAATAGAGACCCCGTGGCGTCTCCTATTGTCGCTTTTGCTTTCCGAAAAAGACAATCAACGGGTCGTTTTCTGCCGTTGACCACGAGCAGTCTTTCATACTATCGGTTTTTGCTCTGAAGCCTATACACGTCTTTCTTGCAGTGTTCCTCAACCGTAAGAGTACTGCAGTATGACTGACCTGAGTGAAGAACGCAGTCCTCCTTGCTCAGTTCAGTCAAGAATCAATGTCCTTCATTCAATTTCCCTTCTCTCTATACAACACGTTGCATGGTGATTACGATCTCCTGCCATGCACTACGAAAAAGCGCTCGATGATACGCGACGAGAATGGAACAAACTTGAGCTGAAAGTCCCTAAACAAACCCATAATCCTCGCTGGTTGCAGCTAGGCAGCAGGGATGTCGAAACGACGCCACCCAACGCCGCCAAGCGCTCAAAACCGTACCCGGGATTCTTCACGCAACTTGCCAATACAGCCTGTGAGCGGCAACCGCAGTGGGCTCCCAGGTGCTTAGTCGCGGTGGGCGCCGGTTTGGTGCTATGGACTCCACAGTCAGAGTCCCGGTCGATGACGTCAGGACTCGGGGACATAGTCGGAGTCTTGAGCGTTTCTTGACTGCGAGCGACTGGCGCGAAGTCTTGGCCGCCTTGGAGGCGGACGGCAACCTACTCGACAGCAGCGACAGTGGCGAGGAGCTGACTGCCGAGACACTAGAAACCGAAGATTTGTCTCAGACACTGACGGAGTTTCTGGATGCAGCCGACGAACCGCTGTCAGACAGTGATTTGGCGAATCTTTCGGGTGCGGGTGCCTTCATAGCAAGTCCGTTCCCGAGACCTGGCTCGTGTTCCCCCGATGCCGATGCCGATGCCAGTGTTTCTGATGCCGATAGACTGCCGCTTGTGACCCAGACACCAGAGACGCCTGCAGAGGTTTCGGAGTCGTGGAGCGCCACCGAGCGAGCGCTCTACGAACGGGGCTTTCGACGAGACGAGCGCATCACGACGAGCCTTAGCGCAACCGTCGAACAAACGCCTATCTCCATTGTCCAGATAGCCAAACAGGTTCTCCGGAACCTCAAAGCTGGCGAACTCTTGCCAAGCATCTCATTACCGGCATGGTTGCTGGAGCCGCTCTCAGCGACAGAGAAGGTAGCACTCGCGATGCGCTACGGAGAGCTGCTCGCAGCCTGGGCCACCGAGCCCGATCCTTTCGAGCGTTTTCTGAAGGGCATGCAGTACTTTCTATCCGGGCTTCCGAACCAGTGCTCGCTGCGGAAACCATTTAACCCCGTCCTCGGCGAGACGTTCATGTGTGCGTTTCCCCACCGAGAGGCGTCGCATGGCATTACGTCATTGTTTTGCGAACAGGTATCGCACCATCCACCGCGAACCGCCATGCACATGCGGAATAGTCGACTTGGCGTTCGTATCCATACGGTTATGGAGCCGCGCCCGAGTTTCGGCGGAAACTCTCTCAAGATTGAAATGGCTGGGCACGCGCTCATGGAGCTCACCCACGCCCAAGACGTTGAACAATACATTCTGACGCGCCCGGCGATGGTATTCTCGGGCATTCTGGGTGTAGGCAAACAGCAGCTAGAGTGCATCGGAAAGTGCATCTTTCATTGCCCCAAGCTCGGTTTTCTCGCCAAATTCGATTTCAGCGGAGTGTCTCTTGCTGGACTCCGTGGCAGCGAACACGCTGTAGAAGGCAAGTTGTACGTCCATGAGCAAAAACGCTACCGCTTCTACGGACGTTGGGACGATTGTATTTATTTGAAGGATCTTACCAATGGTGAGACTCGATTGCTCTACAATGCAGGTGATGTTTATGAACGGTGTCGCATCCAGGTCTGGATACCACCGGAACCCCAGCAACCTCCCAAGTTTGCGCGAACGGTATGGCGGGCCACAGCCGATGCGCTTCTACGAAATGACTTTGAACGAGCGACGGTCGAGAAACGTCGAGTTGAGGCGTGTGAGCGTGAGCTTCGAAGCCTTCGCGAACAGACCGGAGAGACGTGGCAACCTCAATTTTTTGAGCTCGACCCCTTGACTGGCATCTATATATTCAACGACAAACACCGACATTTCGTAGAAATGGATCCAGAAGACCTCGATGCGATTTGACTGGCGCTGAGCATTTGCACCCAGCGCTGGTCCAGTGCAGCGATCAAGCCTGGTGGTGAGTCGCTCCTTGGGAAAGGCGCCTTTTGAGGTGATCCTAGTGAAGCTCACCCAGCACCATGACTTTGACACCGTACTGTTGATGGCATGCGAGCAGCAGTGCACTGCTCGTGACGCATCCTATCCATCTAGCTCTCTATCTATTGTAGCGCATGATTTCTAAACACCGACGGTGTCTCTATGTGCACGTTGACCATTCCGAGGCAGCGCAAGCACTTGTCAAGCTGAACGCTATCACCATGCGATAGACTGATCGATCGCCAAGTGCGCCAGCCGGTTCGAGCTTAGCGTATGATCTCAACAACAACAACAACAACAACAACAACAACAGCGTGCACGGTATGGACTCGGCACAAGTTGTTGCGTCGTTCATATTCGTCACGAGTAGGTGCGTGATCGCTCAGTTCGTGTTCATGCTTCACATACTACAAAACGCTGCAGATCAGAATCAGTACAAGCGAAGCTTACTCGGAACACCGACCGATCACTCCATTGCACGAAACGAACGCTCGTACCGCATGCCTGTCAGGGAAACGAGTCCTCTCGACTCGTTGCCGTCTTTGTGGATCCATGGACAACGCAGATGGGTTCACGCAGCTCGGATTCAGCGCGCTCCGGACGCGTTTCAGAGAAGAATCGTGCAGCACGGACAGCGCTTCGGAGCTGCTGCACGAGGCGACAGCGCTCTGCTTGGATGTCAGCGAGTTGCCGCGCTTGCTGGGCATGCTCCCGACGCAGCGCCTGATTGGCTGCAGCAACTGTCTCCAGGGCCTCGTTGAGTTCCCGCATCCGATTTCGGAGTGCTTCGTTCTCCAGGAGTAATTCCTGGAAGAGTTCATCATGTTCATGCTGCAAATGACGGCTCTGCTGTAACGGCAAAAGCAGGCTACGCTCAAGTTGCAATACGGTCGATTCGCTTTGACCCAACGCCTCTGTTGGGGAACGAGCACCACTCACAGGCACCGAGTTCGGGCCGGCGATGCTATTGCCCGATCTGAGCGCATCGATAGATCGATACACCGTTTGACACTGGGCTTCGTATTGGATGCGCAGTTCCGTGAGCGTTAGGCGCAAATCACGGATTACCAGCGCCATGGCGTTCCACGACAGCGAGTATTCGTCACTTGGACCGCAGCACGCTCCGGGAAGTTGCTCGGACTGCTGTGCAGACGCGGCGGCGTCCGCAGCGGTACTTGCTCTTGGATGACGTTGTAGACGGGGCGCGCCCTCCAGTTGCTGAAGGCGCCGGTCCAATGTTGCGAGCGATGTGCTGATGGCTGCCCGCTGGGTATCCAGAATTGTTGCGAGCTCCTGAAGGCATTGGAAAGGCTCCGGCGAGAGGGTGCAGCCGCTTCGCGGGCTGGCCTCCGCAGCACTCGCCAGCTGGCGTGTGTCATGGCGTTCGCGTTCCGATCCGGTGTGCATTGGTGGCGTGCTTCTTTCATCGGCACCGGATCCAGTCTCGTGCGTATGGTGCATGCTCGTGCGACGCCAGTCCGAAGCAGTCACGACCTTGGATGCAGATACAACGAAATCGGTCGGCATTCGCTGACGCTGCGACTCGAACGCACTCATCGTCGTCGTTTCTCGGCTAGCGGCCACTGAAGAACCGTCCCGAGCACCATGCGAAGCCACAACCGGCAGACAGCTGGCGTTCCAGCAGAGTAGAATGGCAGCGCCCGGACACCAGGCCCAGATTCTGGTTTGCTGGCGATCCACGCGCAGCATCTGGACCGGTTCTTGGCGCCAGGACCAGTAGGCTCCAGCACGCTCGCCTTGTAACTCGACATCGAATGCCTCGCTCCGCAATTCGCACGTACCGTCGCTGAAACCAGCGAGGACGAATCCTCGTGCGCCACAGAAATCGCTCAGCAGCCTGGTCGATGTATCGGCCAGAGTACCTGCACCGCTTTCCCTGTTACAAATCACCCTAGATGCCAGTTCAAGGCCGTTCATTGAATCGGATACGTTATGCGCATCGAGGCTGTTGCTGCGGGTCAACATTACCGAACAACAGAGTATCGAGCCTGTGGCAGAGCCCAGAACAAGTCGCTGAGACGGTGTGTCAGGGCGCATGCGATCCCAGGGCGCTGCACTCGGCAGTTCGAAGCGTTTGCAAATTCGCAGCTGCTGGTCTAGGACAAGCAGATAACCGTCTGCGCACAGCAGCCAGGTGTATCCGTCGTCGACGCCCAGAAATCCGTCGAGTATGGGTGCCTCTCGCCAACGTTGCCACACTTGCGTCTGCGGCCTGCCACGCGCAGTCGGAACGTCCCAATGGGCGGCGTAGATGACTGGATCAGGGGCACCACTCACATAGAGAAGTGCTAGGCGAAGGTTCCCAGTACGAGGCTGCTGTGGGCAAACTGCAACGCTGAGAACCTGGGGCGTCCGACCGTTCTCGACAACCATACAGCATGCCTTTACCAGTTTTTTGGCCTTGATTGCATCGGCAACGTCCAATACATAGGCTGCAACTCTACCAGAGCGCTCAGCAACAAAGCAGCCGTTGGGGAACGCCGCTAAACGGCAACCCTGGGTCACAAGCTTTGCGTCTAAATGAAGCCGAGGCACTGGTAGACCAGAGTCCTTCTGGACTAACGCCAGAGAGAGACTGCCGTCTGCAAAAATACACCAGAGTCCATGACCATCCCAGTCGGGTTCAAAGGTTTCGAGTTTGCAGGCTGCCATAAGATGCCTGTCGTCCAAATCGGAGGATGACAGAAACGGGTGATGACGCCTTTCGATCAAATCGAAAAACAGTATGAAACGGTATATTCAGAACTTTTAGGATTATAAATGGATATATCTCACCATGCTCGCCAGCATCGTGCGCCTCATCGACATCGGCTCGCCGCCTATCGCTGCGACGTCGAGCCGCGTGGCGGCAGCAGCACGAATCGGCAGGAGTCCGCACTGGACGCCACCCATGCAACGGCGCTTCTGTGAAGGAGATCGACATTTGCATCTCGCTCGTAACAGGAACAGGGACGGGGTATACGCGGCAGGATTGGCATGGACCCGGTCGAGTCGCTTGATTCGGAAACGTGTGTGCGGCAACGAGGCTCACCGAACAATGATGTGAACAATTGGGCAGTTATGGGTCATGATGGCCATGCACGCGTGGCGCCCCTGTCCCACGCCAGAGACAGGGCTCGAACGCGAGTCCTCGGAAACGCCCACGAGGCCTGCGATTGCTTTGGTATCGCTTGCCGATGATACTGTTATCTGGTTGGACGGGAGGCCAGCGCAAAGCTGCTCGGACTGTTGGCGTCCGTCCGCGCAAGGCAACTCGAGGAACTGCTTTCGCAACAAGCGAGTCTGGCACCTGCAGCGCAGCGGAGCGCCAGGGCAGGGCGTCTGCACCCCAGCAATATGCGCAGTGGGTGCATGCAAATCACGCCGAAATGCGAGCACGTTTCGCGAGCAGTTCGCTTGTGAGGATGAACTGTGCCGCACAGTGTTCCGTTTTTTAGGGCGCAGTACTCAAGATGCACCGGGTCCGTCCACACATACGGCGGTTGGATGCAACCCAGGATCGGGGTCGGAGCAGGCCTCGCATAGAGCACCGTGCGCGCGTACTCGCGCAGCACCAACACGTCGAGGCGTGAGAGCGACCAGAGGCCTCAATGCACGAAACGGAAGAAGGCTCGGGGGCTCGGCGCTCAGTATCGCTTCTTCAGCTAGACGAAGCCTCGCGTGCATTCCAAGAGCGTATCCTGCTGGATCAAATCTTGATGTTCCGAGACGAATAGCGCGAGTAAAGAAGTTGGTATCCCATTCAATATTGTGCCCGCAACTGCTTTTCGAAAACGGGGTATTCGTTCCAGAATGGCTCGCGTTCAGGCAAGTACGAGATCTCTGGCAAGTCATGCACGAAGCCTCTTCGATTAGATGTCGAGTAGAAACATGGATCTTGATCAGAGCGTTCGTTCCTGAATGATTCAGGTACGCGCAGACACACAGGAAATACGCCCAGTCATGCAGTGCTCCTCTTCGTACAGAGATCGAGTAGGGATAGGAAGCTCCCGCCAAAGCAATCCGTGTCATACTTGCAGTGCACCAGAGGTGCCAAGGGCGAGCTCTCCTTCGATGCTACATCATTTCGAAAGGCCTCTCGTGAGCTCCATATGTACCGCCAATAACAGAAAAAAAGCTGAGGAGTGCTTGCGTTCGCCTAGGAGACTCGGGTTTGCGGGCCACGTACATGCTCCTGATACAGCTTCCGGATCGCGGCACGAACGCGCTGACTCGTATCGTTGGCGCGCGTTCTGGACGCGAGACTTCGGAATTGCTCCGAGGATGTTCGCGACGCAATGGTCTTGCCTGTGTGCATGAGTCCTGCGAAGCCGCGACCCAAGGCTTGCCAACCGGCACGGGCCAGTTCCATGGAACGACCTTCTCGACGCATCTCTGGGTCGTCTCGGCTGATTCGCAGCATGGGCGCATCCCAGAGGCCACTCGACTCAAAACTGGGGCAGGGTTCCGAGTCGGAGTCCTCGGCATCGCTCTGCCGAATAACTTGCGGCGCTTGTTTTTGTGGTTGTTGTGGCTGGTGTTGACGTCGCATAGGGCTACTCGCTGTAAGGCGTTGAGCAGCTTCTGCTGCCTGTAAAGCAAAACGGGCGATTCCTGCTGGTGGCATCATGACGTGCACCGAAGGCGCAGCGGTTCGCACCAGTTGCTGGATGATGCAAATCAACACGTTGCGCTCAGCAAAGGAGCGCGCTGCCAGCACCAAATATATATGATGCGTGAGGTCCGCAACGAGCAGAAGTGGTCCTGATGCAGGCACGAACACATCAGAGCTGGTATACAGCGCTCGATAGGGGAAACGCAACAGGCAAGGTCCGGCCACGTCCGCTCCAGTGGACACCGATAATGGTCGCTGGCAGCTGTTCTCCGCAGAATCTCGTGATTCACGCTCGGGTTCCTGAGGATACAGACAGATATCATCCGAGCGGAGAACCATTAGATATGTCTCGTTGTCCTTCAACGTTGTCGATTGCTGGTCGCCGAGCTGATGGTAGACGCAGCGCACTCGGCATTGTGGCAGTTGGAACAAGCGCTGGAGCAGGAGCCCCTCTTTGCTCGAAGCGGAGATCGTCACCGGCCTTGTCTGCACCTCAAATTGGTCTATGGTTTCCCCAGTTCGGGGGCTGCACACGATCCACCGTGCAATGAGGGCGTGCGAGAGGTCCTCCCCGCTGCATGTGTAGACCCTGCCGTTGGCGCCGGGTATGGGATCCGCACGATTAGATGAGTCTGGGCCTGAATCGCAATGTCCAGCGCGGAGCCACTGGACTTGAGCGCGCCCCGCTTTGAGCCAGGCTTTCGTAACCAGCGAAGCGCCAACGTGACATTGTCCTTCAATGCGAACATTCATGCCCTTCTGGCGAGCAACCTGCCATGCCACTGCCAGACGCGCTCTGAGCTTTCTCGCCTGGACCGCGCGATAGAGCGCTTGGAAACGCTCCGCCACTACCACAGCGGGCATCGGTTTGGTCGACGTGGCGAACGAACGATCCCTACGACCCCGGAATCTCTCGAAGCGAACTGCAGAAGCATCCACGAGCGTTCGCCAGCGATACCGAAGCCACAGGCACTCCACGAAGCGAACAGCGCTGTGATAGAGTTGGACGCATCGCATGGCGGCCCGCTTCTTTGCATCGAATTCCGCGGCAAATCGCGAGCGCTCTGCTTCACAGGAAAACTGTAGCACCAAACCGAGGAACGGAGTCTCGAGAACCAGAATCGGTGACCCGGATGCCTTTTTTTCATCTTCTAATTCAGTGCTGGCCCCGATAAAGTCCTCGTGCAGGCTCCCTGGCCCAGCTTGGTCCGAAATGAGCTGACAGACGCTCAGCGGCAGCGTGCGAAGGCGGCCATCGGCGTCGCGGCCGGAATCGAACTGGCCCCAGTCAAGAGCCGGGGCAACCACAGGCATCGCTAGAATGATGGAATCTACACCCTCCATGACCAAAAGAGAGGTGTCCCAGATGGCTACAAGGCAGATTCTCCACAAAGTCGACGGCCATAGCGACCTTTGTACGTGCGATCCGGCGTCTCCGCCGTCGACGTCCTTGGAGCCAACGCGGAGCGCCTGGAACAGGGGCGGTGGCACACTGCGTCCCTCAAGTGGTTCAAGACGCAATACACGTACCTTGTAGAGAATGCACATACCAACTTGTTGCTCTTTGAGGCTGCATTTGCTCCATAAGTCACGAAAACGCTCGAACAGCGACAGTTTTGTGGTTCGCTTCGGAGCGAGTTCGCCCTCTGGCTGAGACGGTGGCTCGTCTGTCTTGTGCAAAAGAGCCTTCGGATACCAACGCACACCTTTTCTAAGAGTCATATGCAGCAGCTTCTCCGAGATTGATGACCTTGTCTGCGCACTCTCTGACTGAAGCACCCGGGCTCTCGTCGTACCGTCGGAGGGCAATAGATCCTGCTGAGCAGCATTCGTGCTCCGTGCGACCGCCTCACCCATGATCCAGTACTCGTCAACGAATGAGCTGACACGGACAAACTATTCGCTAACGAATCGTTTAGAATGAGATATTCGGCAACGCGTTGTAGGCCTCGGGGGCGTGTCGCAGCGATGGACGCGATTCGAATCATCGAAGGGAAAATGGATCGCGCGCAATTTCCCGCGTTTTTTCCGCAGCGGCACGTGAGGCTTCCGTGTGGATACTGCCGAAGCAGTGCATCTGTGATGGTATGCTTTGCGGAACTACATGCGGTTCTAAGCTGGTACATGGCGATATCACGAATCCGTATCTCTGAGGTAACACCTGTTGTGCCGTTTTCATGCGCACTCCATACGAGTCCAGAAGAGGCACAGGATTCATCCAGGCAACGTCGGTTATGCTGGTTTAACTGCGCGCTCACTGGTGCGTTCTATCACGAGATGGGCTGGACTCGGCGATCCACTGTATACGCGGTGCGTATCCCGTGCGAGAACTGTCTGCGGGCGTGATTGCAGCAGCGCCATCGGGTGATTGCTCCGGCATCTCCAGCTTCGTATCGGTCGAGATGCTCACGAGCTGTCGCTTCCAGTGATGTGGCAATGCCGCTCTGTCTCTGTGGCGCATCCACACCAGCGCTGTGGGCGCCATGGCGGACCATCGCCTCAGACTCGACGCGTAACAGAACGTACGAAACGACGAGCACATTCAAGGTTAAATATGGCTAATGGGACTTGGACGTAGCGTACAGCATGACGGACGCTATTTCGATGACCAATATGCATCACGCAATCTGGGATCCACGGTCCACGTAAACGCTCTGTTGAATAGGAAATCAGAGAACGCTGATCTGCGTCAACGTTCTGTCGAGTGGAAACCCTTGCGTTCGCGATCTGGGTGTCGCTCGCCTGGGAGCGCTCCTTTCGACGAGACAACGTGTGTTGCGTTGCTTTGAAAATGTGGGTCGCGAACTTCTGGCAGTGGGTGTGCCAGTCAGCACCCAGAGCAGACGGTAGGCGGCAATCGTTCACCCAGCTCGAAGACGTGGCGACAGCGCTTACGCGACGTGACCGGACACCGCGGGTGCTGGTTATCCTTGGAGCTGGCGTATCGACTGCAGCGGGAATCCCGGATTTCCGCTCACCGACCACGGGTCTATACGCTCGTTTGGAAACAAAGGGACAGCTGGACGCTTCTCGTGTTTTCGATATTGACTATTTTCGGACACAGCCGCAGGCGTTTTATTCACTAGCACACGAGCTCTTGCGGGAGACCGGCGGCTGTTTACAGCCCACTCGAGCACACTGGTTCGTGCGATGCCTCGCAGAACGTGGTTATCTGGTGCGATGTTATACGCAGAACGTTGATGGCCTCGAGCGTTTGGCTGGCATCCCAGAATCGTTGCTTGTTGAGGCGCACGGCACGATGCAACGGGCACACTGCACAGCTCCCGGTTGTGGTGCCGCTTATGATGCGAAGCTGCTTCTACGCCAGGTTGTTTCGGGAGAGGCTGTAGCAGCTCCTCCGCGTTGCTCGCGTTGCCAGGCTGGTTATGTCAAACTGGCCATTATTTTCTTCGGGGAGAAGCTGCCGTGGCGTGTATTTCGATCGCTCATGACAGACCTGTGGCGCTGCAACCTGTGCCTAATTATGGGAACATCTCTCACGGTCGCACCTGTTCGATGGATCCCGGAACAGCTCCCGAAGCGAACACCGCGTATATTGTTGAACCGCTCGCCTTCGGGATCTATCGGAAGACGTCCACTGGATTTGTGGATCGCCGATGATGCGCAACATTCAGTGGAGCGCCTCGTGGATCTTTGCGGTTGGCGAGAACAGATGGACACCCTCGCTGCATCTCCTGCATCGCTGTCTGATTTGCTGCCAGTGCGTTTCGGTGAGCGCTCTTGAAATTACAGACAAACTGTACACCAGCGGGTGTGTCGGCTACGCGTTGCCGGAGGTATGGTCTCCACGGGGACACGACAGCTACCACCGTTGCTGCTGCTGCTGATGATGATCGTGATGCTGATGACGATCGTGATGCTGTCCTGAACGATGCTGAAACAAGCCGCATTCCGTGGAATCGGGTTCAGGTTGCTGAACAGAGAAAAGCGACGGGATCCGTCCGCGGAGATGGAAGACACCACCAATGTTGCGTGCTGCACGTGACGCATGCTTCGTAACAGATATAGGAGGTTTTTATCACATCTCCTGTACAAAAAGCTGCGCTCCATTCTTGCAGGGTACAACATGGACGAGAATCCGAGCGATGGCAATCGCTGCTCCTGTCTCATAGGCGACTCTCAAAGCGAACATGAACAGATCGGCGACGGCGATGGATGTACGCTCCGCACCCGTAGGCCGACGCAGTGCCATCAACAACGCTCAAGCGCTGCTTGTGTTTCGGCAAGACGCCGACTGGGTTGTCATGAAATCATGGACGTTGTGTTCGTGGCGACTTGTGTGGACAGCTTCGTCGAAAAGGGACCGGGAAGCTCTCGAAGTCGTTCCGCAATGATCCGCTCAGAATCCGAATCCTGCTTGTTGATGGTCGCAACGGGAACAAAGATCAGATCTGAAAGTTCTTCTGATGATAGCTCGGTTAAAGGACGACTGAAGATCTGTCTCAAATTCGGTTCCATCAGGCTCGCCGTATTCTGCAGGACAGGCGTTCCGGGCTGCAACGAACTGAACCCGATCGAGCGACCCAATACATCAGAAGCCACTCGTTTCATACCAAGTAGCGTGCCTGCCACGTCGGTGCGGTCACAAACGCTACCTCGAAGCAAAAGATGCAGGCCGCGATGGTCCATGCAGAAAAAACTCGGATCCGGCTGGAGCATTTCACCCGAAAGATGAATGAATGAGAACAGCAGCCCAACTTGTTTCGTGCGAAGGTGTTCTTCCAAAGAAACTATCCACTGGTCGTTGCTGCTCCAGACACCTACAGGTCCGCGCGCATGTTGTGTGATGAAGACAAAAAAATTGTATGCTAAATATCGGCTGTTCGTGCGCAAAATCGTGAGGCCTTGCATGCAAAGACTGTTCAACGAACTACGGATTTCGGAGACGATACGCACGTTCGGAAGCCTATCCACACGTTTTTCTCGAACGCGTGCAGCGACCTGGCCATCGCGAATAACCAACAGGTAGTCTATGCTGTCCGAGAGCCGTATACTTGCAAGCAAGTGCTCGATATTTTCCCACTCAACCGACGAATTGGGCGTATCCCAGATCACCAGAACGAGCTTCTTATCGCCGATCAGGGGCGAGGCGACTCGTGGAGGTTCAATTGGATGCACCTGATCATCATGCTGAAAGTGGTAGTACCTATGAATATCTGGAAGCTCCGGTGCATCCGGATGATCCATCCACTCTGAGTACAGTAGCACGTACGGGTAGCTCATCATCCATTGTGTTTTCATGAATAGTGTCTCATAGGGGTGAAGATCGACGCCATCGACCGCTCCGTGGCGACTAGGGAACACGTTACGGTTGCAGGTTACCAGCTCATTGGATGCGTTCCATATTCGCTGGTATTTGGTCATGAGCGTGTCCACAGAGAGACCGGCTTGGAAAAGGGCTCGCGTCAAGCCAAATTCACCGTATAGTATAGCGTCCCTTTTGCTAGGGTACGATCGGAAGACACCTGCTCGTCGAGCGGCCAGCATGCCCTCTGCGCTCAACGCGAAAGCAAAACCTTCAAGCCGCGCCCCTGGGCCACCAGCATCCTGTTTTGGCAGACAGACGAGCGAGGCTCCAACAGCTGCTACATTTCCTCGCATGAGGCTGTCAAACGCAGCAGTCCATGGCCGATCACGAAAGAATTTGGGCAGGAACGGACCCCGCACAGAAGCGTTGATGCAGTAGAGGCGCTTCAGACGTTGCAGCTGTCCCTGAATCTCAAGCTGGTTCAGTAGGTGTCCGTGTGCACCAAAATCATAGCCGTAGTTTTCTCTTCTTAGTACGTGCACGTTTGGCCGCTTGGCGTCAGCGGACTCACAGGGTGTGCAAGTCCCACCGTTTACTATGATGAAAAAGAGACTCTTCGGGTCAGCATAGACTCCATGTCGAAGGAAGAACTCCAGGTTCCGAAGTTCATGTGGCGAGCTTTCTCGGTACGCGTACGAAATGATCCTCAAGTCCTGATGATCATCCAAAAGGTTTCCAATTTTATAGGAGGGACACCACCGCACACAGAGTAGGGCCAGTCCCAGAAGAGGCAGTCCCAGCCAAACGTACCACCTGCGCACAGGACGCAGAAACCTCGTACGTGATTGCTGCCGAGTATCAAGCCTCACGGGTGAAACTTCTCCTCCATGCCGTCTTATACTATGCAAAGAATTTTTTCTAGGATCGTGATTCATAAACAAGAACAAAAGTGCCGAGAACCCTTTGTAAGACCCGTGAGGAGGCCCCAGCCACGCACGAACCCGGGTGGCGTTGGAGCGCGCAACCGCTGCCGAGAATCCCGCGCTTGAGCCGCCACGCCCCGCTGGAGTGTCCACGTACGGGTGATCCGCCTGCTGTTCGTACTGCGTACATTGATGCTGCCTCCTAATGCACGATATCTCAAACAGATGATGCGTGATGCTGCAATTGTCAGTTGTCGAGCATACGTATCATGAATCGAGGTGCGAGTATCTTCGATGAGGACTTTTGTTGCCCAGTACCGCAATTGTTGTTCGCCAGGCATACGTATCATGAATCGAGGTGCGAGTATCTTCGATGAGGACTATTGTTGTTGCAAAATGCTACAATCGTTAGTGGTTCCGTATTCGTTTTATGAATCAAGGGACAGATGGATTCGGCACAGCCGTATGTTCAGGGATTGATCGATCGTCTCGGTACGCGATTGCCATGGTTTGGGTTGTGATTCCATTCCAGAGCGATTAGGTTCAGAAACAGGGCTACTTTGAAGTGTCTGGAGTCACACGTGTGCGTATCCATCCACGCTGGGACACGTACGCAGCGCACGAAGCCATGAACGCTTGCGTTTCCCAGAATATTGCCATGATCCTCTACTCGACCGTGCAGAATCACCATACGTATTTCGCCCCTGGGAAGAGAGGCTCCATCTGCGCACGCAACGTCGCAGTGTTTTCCCCGAGATACTCCAGCCACACACGTGTGCTGACTGCATCGATTGAAAGCGCTCCGCTATCGCAACGATGCAGGTAGATTCAGCGTCTACATCCATGAATCTTCATTCCTGCAATCAATGGGTGCGAATGTGTTTGACTAGTGACAGAAGAACCGCGGATGTGCATCGACCTTGAACCAGGTTGCATCGCGAGATCCTGCATCTTGCTGTTGACCTGCACTCAGGGCGCTACCGTGTCCGGCCGTTTGCACTCGAGATATTCCCATTCAGATCATAACGACTAGGAAGACTTGACATCCGTGCGTATGGATTCCCCTACATGCTTCACTGCTTGTTCAGCGGGCTTCTGCTTCCGGAAATCAAACATGCCCATCAGCAGCAGACCCGACAGGTACGGCAGCGAGGGCATTCAAAGCCAGAAAAACAGACCCGATGAATGCCACTCAATCATGCCGTATTCCTGGTGGCAATCATCTATGTTTGTTTTCTCTGGCGTTCATGATCCTGTCAGCAGTACACGTCGACGCGTAATCCGCGTTTCCCGCAACGCTCTGCACGTAAGTAACGAACAGGCGACCAGCACTACCCATCGATCGCATCACGCCGCTCGGAATCGAGGCACCAGTCGCTGGCAGTGTAGGCATGGTGCGTTGAGCCGGTGATCTCGCGAATGCGCAACACTTATGGCTATTTCGGGAAGTGTTGATGCTTATGATTCGAATGCCCTCGGCGACGATGTTTCAGGTCGTACGAAATGCTTTTGGCGTGTGCGAACGAGCGCCCTGCTTGCCATCGACGTGACTATGCGGATTTTCCACCATATTTGCTGCTTTTTCGATGGATACATACAGCTGATTCGAGATGCTCTACTGCGTGTATCTCCAGATGACGCGGCAACCGCTCCCAGGTCGGTGCACAGGCCTGTGCGTCGCTCGCAATGCGAAGCTCGGATGCAATGCTTCCATGAGCACTGGTTTCCAGCGTATGTATATATCAGGACTCCGCGGAGCACCGGCTCGGCGTCGCAGAGCATGGAAGCATCCGTTGTGCGAGCATCATGCGCAGCCTTGCAATTGCTCCGACAGTGGTGCCCCCAGACTGCATCGAAATTTGTGGAGAACGAGCAATACTGCGCACCAGCAGGCATCCGAAACGAGCACATCTCGTGTTGCTGCGGAATATTCGCCAGGTACCTGAAATGGGCGCTCGTTTCTCATTGGATCAAGATACAGCCAAACATACCAGCAAACGTCATGAGCTTCGAACATCCCAGCGAGCGGGACCTGCCCCAGGAATCCCGGGTCGAGGCTTTGCACCCACGCGCGCCTGCCTGCCTGACAGGATACCGGCACCGGGAGCCGCATCGTTTCACCGGATGCAACGCTGGCCGACGAGCTCGACGAACGAACCTCGGGTGCAATAACAGTCGTGGGCTCCATAAAATCGCTTTCGTGGGACTTTCTGGGTTTCATTGGCCTAAGAAACCAGTTCTATGAGAAGTAACGCGCTACCGTTCGCTAACTCGCTTTCTTTCCCGCCAGCTCGGCAGACACTGAGCTCGGCTGACTGGGCAGCTTCATCGTGGCGGGCGCTCGCGTTCCAGCCAGTGCGCATGGTTGCCCCGAACGGCAACACAGACCGGCCTCGCAACGTTTTAGGGGGGCCGCTCGCGCCCTGCTGCTTCCAGCCTCGGACAGGGTTCTATCGCGACGGTTACTGTGCAACAGGTCCAGAGGACATCGGGTCCCACACGGTGTGCGCTCGCGTTACGGCGGAGTTTCTGGCTTTCACTGCGTCGCGCGGGAACGACTTGTCGACGCCTGCCCTGCAATTTGGCTTTCCCGGACTTCGACCAGGGGACAAGTGGTGTCTATGCGCATCGCGATGGAAGGAAGCGTATGACGCAGGGGTCGCACCGCCGGTCATCCTCGAGGCTTGTCACGAGAACGCGTTGCGTGTGGTGTCGCTTGCGCTCCTCCGCGAGCACGCAATGGACCAGAGGCACCAGTAGTGACGCTTAGCACTCGATTTCGATGGCGCTCTTCACGAGCGACGAATGCGTCCCGGTAATTGCTTTAGAAACCAGTTAGATGAGGCAACATGTTGTTCAGATGCACTAGCACAATCCACTGCGTACGCATGCAATCAGGCGACGCTCCTGAGCGACACGGAGCGTATCAGAAAGATTCATGCTGGGTGAATACCACGTTTCCATGTCAATAAACGTACGAAATCGTGAAGGATGATATCAAACCACGCACACTGGCGACGAATGGATGTTGTCGGAAGATGCTCTCGAATAGCGTGCCAGAAGCGCCGCGGCGAGAGGCAACCCAGCTCCATGGCGACCCCAAGGATGCCCTGGCTCCGTGTTTGAATCGTATCATCAGCAATCATGACGAGCGGCGTCTCGGATTTGGCATACGCTTCAAGCGCTTCGAGAACGAATTGCTCATGAAAGGGTTGGTGTGCATCAGGGGAATCGACCATCGGGGGTTTTCCGGATACGATTTCGGGATTGTAGTAAAAAGGAGAATCCAGTGCTTCGCGGGGCAGAGGCGGTAATGAGACCGGTGCATGCTGGCTTGGCTCGGGCTCTCCCAGTGTGTCCAGGGCCTGCGCAAACGCATCGCAATCATCGGGCATCTTTGCAATCGAGAACGGGAGCCGCGCCAACGCGAACAGCGTATTCGCAGTATCCTGAACGCTGACGAGCCGAATCGCGCGACACATAGCACGGCGTTGCAGAGCATTCGCTGCTGCGTCAGCATCTGTGCTGGAGCCAAGGCGCTGAACGAGTATCTCCTCTTCGAGACCCTGTAATCGGGTCCCGCCGCAAGGATACGTCACCGCAGTCAGAGAGTGAAGCTCAAGGGATGCAAGGGTCTCCACGAGCGCAGCAGTCCTCAAATTGGCCATATCCTCGAGACGCGTCAGGTGTGTGTCAGAGACGCGAACCCACACAAGTCCACTGCCGGTTTGGTGGAGCGCCTCCCCAAGGAACTGAACGCATTCCCTAACTTGTTTCTGCTGTCGCCAGGTGCGCAGTCGTCCATGCTTGTCCCAGGGCGTTTCGATAAATATGGGCAACAAACGTGTCGGCAACCACGAAGACTGGTCGGGACCTGACGATCTGCCCGCATCGGGGGTACTGGCTCCCTCTCTGGAGAGTGCTAGTGCCTTTTCTATGACTGGATTGTCGTGGAGCCTTAGATTTTCACCTTCTCGAAGCCACACGACCACAGTCTGGTACTGCGAACCGGCAAACGAGGGTGGTACCCCGACGCCGCCCGCGTGCACGGGTCTTCTGGCACCCGCTGTTACGAGGCGCCCTTCTAAACGGCGCTCAAGCTCGCGGAACCCGTAAGCTGCCCAAGACGATGCGAAGAGAAGCTGCGCTAGGCTGTTGATTTTGAGCACGCACCGGCGTCTTCGAATAGGACGGCGCGTGAGCTGCGCTCGCTCCAGCTGAACGCTCTGGCTCACCAGCGAGCATCGCGGGTTGCTAAGTACGAATGCAAACTTCGATCCATCATTCAATACAGACTCAAGTCCGTCAACAGTGAATGACTGCATTTGTTTGGCGCAACGTTCGAGACCACAGTTCAACAACCACGTTTTCAGTGCTAGCAAGCAACTCCTCTGTGCTGCAGGCCACAGCACATCGCCCAGATCTCGTCAGCGCCCGCGAGCGTCGCATCGTAGCCGTCGCTGCCCGAGCGCAAGCTGAACGAAAGCGTAACACCCATGATGTCTCTGCTTCTAAAGTGATCGAGAGTATCAAAGGATCGCGGAGTATCCGGAGCAATGCGATACCCATCATGTCCATGCTTCGAAATTGATCGAGAGTATCAAAGGATCGCGGAGTATCCGGAGCAATGCGATACCCATCATGTCCATGCTTCGAAAGTGATCGAGAGTATCAAAGGATCGCGGAGTATCCGGAGCAATGCGATACCCATCATGTCCATGCTTCGAAAGTGATCGGGGGGTATCAAAGGATCGCGGAGTATCCGGAGCAATGCGATACCCATCATGTCCATGCTTCGAAAGTGATCGGGGGGTATCAAAGGATCGCGGAGTATCCGGAGCAATGCGATACCCATCATGTCCATGCCTCGAAAGTGATCGAGAGTATCAAAGGATCGCGGAGTATCCGGAGCAATGCGATACCCATCATGTCCATGCGTTTAGGGTACCGAGCATTCCAGAGGGCATTGCATCGCGCGGTGCGAGGTCCACCAGCTAATCGTCGGGGATCCCGACACCGCTACGCCTCAGCGTTTCGTTGCTCAGACACGATCCCTGGTATGCGTATGCACCGCTGTTGAGTACTCCAGGGACTCTTCTTCACTCGGCAAGGGCTTTCTTTGCAAACCCTGGTCGTTCATGGAAGTTTGTACTTCTTACATATAATCTCGAAGCGAAACAGTGAATGTTTTTAGTACATGGGCGGCTCAGGGCGAAAAGTCGCGGGCTGTGTCCCCACGAGGCCCGTGGCTTCGAGCGCTGTTGCCGAGCCAGTTGCCGGAGCCAGTGCGCGACCCTGTGACCGGTATGAGGTTTTGCTGGTTCGCTCCAAGTACGACCCGCGAGTGTGGCTGTTTCCGAAAGGAGGAGTGAAGCGAAAAGAGAGCCCCAAAGAAGCTGCGGTTCGCGAAACGCGCGAGGAAGCCGGTGTCGAGGGTACAGTACTCGCTAAACTTGGCACATGGCGACCTTGGAGCGGGGAACAACATACTATGTTTCTGATGCTCGTGGAACTGGAACGCAGACCCGGTGATCCCCTGTGGCAAGAGTCCAGGGAACGGCCGAGGCGTTGGTTCTCGTTTGCGGACGCAGAGCGGCAACTTGAAGCAACAAGGGGCAAACGGCCAGAGCTCTTGGACATGCTACGAACCGCTCGAAAGGCTCTTGCCGATTATGAAGAGGAGCAAGCTAGAGCGCGCGAGAAAGAGCAGAAGAAACTACTGAAAAGGGAACAGAAAAGACTTGGTAAGCTTGTCGAGGCAGCATTAGCAGATACTTGCGATGATCCAGGCTGCACGTCGACGTGACTCGGGTAGCGAGGTTTCCAATCAGCCTGGTCCACATGGGTGAGCTGCAAACAATTGATCTGACGCAGGTCCATCTTTCTGGTATTGAAATTGGTGTTTGCGGGCAACGATGTTCTAGCTTCGACACCAAGACAGCGACTGCCGCCGCCGCCGCCACCACCACATCAGCGAGCACTCAAGTTGCATGGCGTGCGGCTGCCGAGTCGCAGCTTTCGCGTTTGTCGATGCAAACACCGGCTGCGACCCTCGCTTCGCAGTGCTGCTCGCGGTCGCAGCGATGCCCCCTGGAGAAGCGGACTGGAGTCGCCACCCGCGCTTTCCACGACAACCTCGGAGAGCCGTCTGTCTCAGAGCAATTGGTGCATACGCTACAAACACACACACACACTTATCAGAATAAAATGGCCCTCTGAAGTGCTCGCTCTGCGCCAGCGTTTCGAGTTTGTTCTGGCCTAGTTTAAGACGTGCGGACTCGACATTCGAAGCGCAGCTGTGAGCGCCATGGTTTTCATACGGAGTCTTGGGATGCTCAGTGGAGTTTTCGGAGAAGCTCCTTCGTCTCGGAGCCGCTGGAATTTATCAAGTCACCGTGCTCAAGATGATTCACGACGTCGTCGAACAAGGCATCGTAAAATAACCGATATGATCATCCAATTCATACGTACAAGCATTCGAGCTTCTACGTTTCTTACGTCTACCATGCTAAGATCATGCATTCCTCAAGTTCTCGATATCTCTTTGCCAAGTCAACTCGTGTGTGCAGCAATTGGATTCTCTGGATGGACCAATGGAAAACTGAGCGTCGTCTCTTGACGATTGATTCACGTGCTCATGTCGAAAGTTCAAGGACTCGTTCATGCCCATGAATAATTTCCCTTTGAAAGGCGAATCTTTTTCTCTGTGTGGCTATCGACGCAACGCCTTTTAACGGCAGCAGCATGATGCGTCTCACTGATATGATCCTAGAGGCTCGCATCTCGCCTGTTAGAATGGTGCATGGTTTTGGACTCGGACTTGAGCCGTCGTAACGATCGGTTCCATGAGACGGTGTTGCAGCGATTTGCTTGAAGGGACCGTAGACGAATCGAAATTTGTCTCTTTTTTCTTCAGCTTGGATTTGTCTACCGGCACTTGTTTCATCATGGACGACATCGCGTTCTGCAAATCCTTCATCGAATAGTGCATCGTTCGCTTGCGTGTGCAGCAGACTGGAAACGAGCCAAGCGCATCGCCCAGAAGAAGCCCGTGAGCGTGGGATGCGGTACATGGCGCGGAAAAGGAGGAGCGCATGACGGTGGGTCTTTCAGTGCCCGTCAAGCGCATGTGCCGAGCGATGGTGCAGGCGCTCACGTACCACAGTGCAGCCTCTGGATGAGGAAGTGCGGTGAACAAACCGAAATACCTGACCACATTCAAATGGCACGGCTGCAAAGCGCACACTGAATCTTTACATAAAAACGATGAACCTGGCGAGCGATGCGTCAGTCGCAACTACGATCTGTGCCTGACCTGCATCGACAAGCGCTGCAAACAGCGTCATCAAGAATGTACCGTTTCCGTCAACATCATTCGTTTACCGACCAATGAGCCAGAGGGAAATAAGAGACAAGTGTATTGGAAGCGAAAAAAAGAGAGAAAATAAGGAAGCAGTCGCAGAAATATCCAGCAATGGTCGGTGATCATAACAGTTGAAAAAAAGAACAGTTGCGTGTATGCCTATGTTCGAGGACCTGTTCCGGTTTATTCGAATATGAATATATCTACCAGCATGAATCTCTGTCGAGACTGCCAGGATCATCTGCGATAACGCCCCCACTGTCGAGTACTCGAACCTATACACAGAATATTCTTGAACTTGTGGTGTACGACGAGAGAAACCCGTCCCCGGGTTAAGGATATCGAGATCGACGTCAAACGCTGCCGTTGTTGCGCTGCGAAGATGTCGCTCCGACGATGACGACACCGCCGCCGGCGCTTCGCCCCGAATCGACAGATACGTTCTTTGTCTCGCACTTGAGCAACGGCGTTTTCCTGCTGCAGTGCTCAGACACCGTGAACAGCATGTTTGTCTTCGCAACAACAAGCGCTCATCGTAGGACGTATCAACCACTTCCTACGGGTTTTCACGGGAGCTTCCTTTGGACCCGGAACTGCGTTTTCACGACAGCACCTTTACGGCTGGCTAGCCAGCAGCTACGCCCCGATCTCTTACGTATTCGGGCTAGTGCTGCAGCGCCGTCGAGTCCAGCTCCGTCTCCAGCACCGGATGCGAGCCAGGATAACCAGGAGCGTCCTGATTCGACCGCGTTTGTCGACCAGAGAATTCCAGTCAGCATCCTGACTGGTTTTCTGGGATCCGGGAAGTCGACGCTTCTCAACCGCATCCTGGCAAACCAGCAAGGCAAACGATACGCGGTTATTGAAAACGAGTTTGGTGAGGTCGGTATCGACGATGAGCTCGTGAAAAGCCATATCCTCTTAGAGGGCGGAGATGAAATCTTCGAAATGAATAACGGTTGTCTCTGCTGCACAGTTCGGAGCGACCTTGTTCGGATTCTGCGTCGTTTGTTGACCCGGAGTACAAAGTACGATGGAATTCTCATCGAGACGACGGGAATGGCGGACCCCACGCCCGTCGTCCAGACGTTCTTTCTGGACGAAACGCTTGCCGACTTTCTGCGCCTGGACGGCGTCATCACCGTCGTGGACGGCAAGCATCTGGCAATGCATCTGGATCCAAGACATGGGGTACGACGGGAAACTGTCGAGCAAATCGCCTTTGCGGATCGTTTGCTCTTGAACAAAATCGACCTGGTGACGCCGGCTCAACTCCGAGAAGCCGAAGAAACGCTGCGCGCACTGAATAGGACGGCCCCAATCATCCGCTGCGTCCGCGCAGAGGTACCCATTGACGAACTCCTTAACATGCGAGCCTTTGATCTGGAAAGAATTACCGAGCGAGATCCCTTTTTCCTGGCAATGGAAAAGACCTCTTCTGAGGACGACCATGATCACCATGATCACCATGATCACCATGATCACCATGATGATCACGGAGAGGCAGCACCAGTGAACGGTCATGCTTCGCATGTCCACGACCATACAATTCGCTCCGTTGGTATCTGTGAACCTGGCGACCTCGACGTGGACCGTTTGAACGAATGGCTCGGTGGGTTTCTCAGCGAGCGCGGCGAGGATATCTTTCGAATGAAAGGGATTTTAAGCATCGCTGGAACGGATCGGCGGTTCATATTCCAGGGCGTCCACATGCTCTTCGAGAGTATGGCCTCGGAACCCTGGGGAACCGATCCTCGAATCAATCGATTGGTCTTCATTGGACGCAATTTGGATCGGCAAGCCATTCAAGAGGCGTTTCGGGCCTGTCTCGTTCCTCCAAGCTGAGCGATCGGATCAAGTTACCTGTCTGCGTATACCAGGTAGGCTGACAGGCTGCGCGTCTCCGAGCTTGATTCGTGATCACTTGGCGAACGTTTCGCGCTTGACAGTGGCATCACGAGTCCGCGAGACGGGTTATCGGCTGGAGACTTACTCGGGTCCATGCTTGTCTGTTCCGAGAGCTCGCCGCTGGATTCAGCATCACACACCGTTGAGAACGTTGCTAGAGCGTAGCAAGAAACCAACGTCGCATGCAGCATCACCCAGGGGTCGATCCACCATCACCACCATCACCACCTCTTTTGCGCTCCGAGAACGGAGAAGCATGCTTCAGCATTTGTTGTTTCAGAGACCTCATCTAAAACAAGATGCCCGTATGGATCTTGTCGTGCATCCAGTGACCTTGGCCTTCCATCGAGCCGACACACAGATGAACCGCACAGTGTCACGTAGGGTCTGTCGTCGACAGCGCCCTGCGATTCACTACGAAGGTTGCGCATTGCCCAGACAGTTGAATGGAGTGTCCAGTGATCGCCAGGATTCACGCTGGATTCTGGATCCAGCACCAGGGCATCAGGTGGTGCAACATTCGATAGGGTTCTCGCACTGCTGCCGCTTGTGCTCTGCGGTATCCGTCTCTAGGATGCGCTGAAACTGCCCGCGGCTCGTTGAATGCTCGTATTGCTTCGCCAGCTTCACAGGCACGGCGCTTATCGCTGGTCGCTTCTTTTGCTCCAGGCTGTATCGGTTTGCATTGCAGTCGCAGCGGGAAACGCTACACCCGATGCGTTCTCATTCGCCATCAAGCAGCATGGGCTCGTCATTCGCAGTGTCCTTTGCACCTGATTCAGAACTACCTCCGAATTTGATCTCCGCGATTGGGTGCATCTCAGGCGAGTTAGGACTCGGCACCTCGCTTTGACTCGAAACTCGTGGGCAGCGTCCACTGCTGGACACTGACGCGGCGACGTGTTCGGGCAGCTGCCGGTGGGCATCGTCGAAGCCGGAAACTGCAGTCTCGGATCGTAAACCGAATCCCAGTGCATCCGGTGCTGAAGCAATGTTGAGCTCCTCTACACCTGCAGCGATCCGAGCGTTGCCTGTGGTAGTTCTTTCGGACAGCTGGGCAGAGGTTTCGCCAGTTTCAGCTATATCAACGTCGCCACCAACGGTAGACGACACCGACGACGAGAGACTCTGCTCGCGTCTTGCAGGGCCACCGACGCCACTGGACTGTTCCAGCATATCTCGGTGTCGTTTTTGTGATGTATACGCAACATTCGCAGTCATAACGCTTTCTGCTGCACGTGCCTGCGGGTTATCGTCCATGGGTGTTGCTTCCGATGACGCTTGTTCGTCGGCTGTCTCGCGCTCAGAGCCGTTTTCTTCGGGTTTCGTCGTTTCCTCCTCAGTTATGTGCACCCAGGCGTAACAGCGCACGTTACCGATTGTCACCCACTCTTTCCGCCAACGACGAAGCTCACCGTAACGAGCTGCTCGCTCAACTTCCCGCATGAGGCGACGTGTCTCCCCGCGGGTTCCGAGGCTAGCCTGGGGCCGAACCACGGTAGAACTCATGGTGGACGTATCTGCGTCGAAGGATGCGGTCTGTAAAGCTTTCCACGAGTACGCGCTTGCTACTCCTGAAGCAAGTGTTCCTACCTTTCCACCTCTGGAACGTGCCTGGAATATACCCAGGAAGAGAGGTCCGGTTCGCGCCGTCGTCGAACGTCAACGGGAGGCGTCCATGATTGCGGGGTTGTCTCACCGGGCGTCTGCACCTGCTGCAACTCGATATCCTTTCAACTTGACTGCGTTTTTATCTGGGGAATGAGTCGGCAGAGATCGAATAAAAGAGCTCGGAAAAGACGTGAACGCGGTCCGGAGTTGGACGTGATCCACAAAGAACTCCGCGAACGGGGCCCGTTTGCCGCAGAGACGGAAGCAGACTGGGACCTACCCGGGCTCGGTCAGTTTCGCTGCGTCGTCTGTAGTCGTTACTTTATTAGCAGGAATGCTCTTGATGAGCACTCGGTCTCGAAACCACACAAACGAAGAGAGAAGCTTCTGGAACTCGAGGCACCCTACACCGTGGGGGAAGCGCGCTGGGCTGCCGGCCTCGGTCCAGCTCCGTTTTAGACGGGCGTCATCTGGCGATTCTGCGTCGCAAGGAACGCGTGCGGGAGCGTCAAGCACAAGAAACTGTTTTACTTGAGTCGAGCGCTGCTTCAGACGCGGGGGCACTGCTTTCCCGGAAGTTCACTATGGCACGGAGCGCGCTTGGCGACTGGTGGTTGAAGCGAGGCAAGCGGAGTGCGAGCTCCGCTTACGTTCTGCAGCGCTCGGATGCACGCATAAGAAAAGCACATTTTGCCTTGACTTGTTGCACGCAAACTATGGGCATCGTATGCACGCTTTTCCTATGGGGTCGTCCGGGTCGCCGCACAACTCCGCGTCTACATCTTGTCCGGGGACCGCGGCCTCGCACAAAAGCGTGCGCTGCCAACCGAGCGACGGTTACCAGCGCACCATGCCTTCGGTGGAGCCGTACACCTCTGGGTCAGGAAAGTGAGCGACTCCTTAGTTTGCTGGCCAATGACCACGACAGCTGCAGCCGAGTGGCGGCGAATACGAACGTCCGTTGCGAATGAGCCTCGTCTGTCGTCTGGGTACCGCCTTCCATGGTGCGCTGATGACGAGCCCCCCTATGCCAAGGGCGTAGAGCGCGTCCTGCAATCTCGAACTCGGGGCCGGCTTTTCTTCGGGATACCTGCGCGTGAAGTTGCATGGTATCGCACGGGCTTAACGAGCGCCCAGTTTGGGTCCCAGACGCACACGCTGGCTTGTCCGTTGTGCTTTATGGTTCAGAATCGATGCATCGAACTGCGTTTCTCCGGTACGCGCATGCTAGCGCTGCACCATGCAAGCGACTTTGGGTCTTCGTTAGACGCAAGCACCATGGACGAGCCCTGGACTCAAGGTCCTTCATAGCGCACAAGCTTTATCGATTCGAGGAGCCACAGACTATGGAGCACATCGTCGCCCTTGTACGAATACCATACGACTTTGCGACACCTCGAAGCGCGTCGGGTCGACGCCTAGAATGGCTGGTGTGAGCGTATCCTGCGCTTGTACCGCCGCAGCGCCTCGGCACATTCGATACCGGCACCAGGCGAGAGGGAGTGATCTCCTTTGAGCAGGTTCAGTTTGCATACTGTTCGTTTCAAGGGGTCCGCGGAGCCTACGCAATGCACACGGTCTCACGGACGCGTCATGGGCATTGTCAAACGCCAAGTTTACGTACGCTAATGAAGTTCAGAGCGCCAGCACTCTTGCGGGCAAACGCAGGTATCCAGCATAAAGCAGCCGTTCCTTTGACTGGCGCACGCTGGTGCCGTAAACCGTGACATCCATCTTGTCGAGCTATTCGTGGACGTTCTACTAGCCTACAGGTGCTGTCCTAGGATTTGAGCGGTTCGCACCTAATCCTTTACCTGCCCGGGCAACAAGCGCCAGCGAAAAAGCCTGGCAGCCGCTGCTCCCAGACCGAGCCACGTCTAAGAAACGTTCTCGTAGACCCAGCCCAGGTCACACGGCACATAGTGCACCAGTTCTTCAGGTTTGAACCAGAGTGCGATCTCCCTTTTCGCACTCTCCACGCTATCTGAGGCGTGAATGACGTTTCGCCCTACGTCGTTGCAAAAGTCGCCACGGATCGTCCCAGGTGCAGACTCCTTCGGGTTGGTTGCACCGACGATCGCCCTACCCAGCGCCGCAGCAGCTTTACCTTTCCAAACCATTGCAATAACCGGACCGCTGAGCATGTACTGCTTCAGCCCTGGATAAAATGGTTTATTCACCAGTTCCGCGTAGTGTTGATCGATCAGGGCCTCGCTGGTGTTCACCATTTTGATCGCAACAAGCGTTAGTCCACGGTTCTCAAAACGCGCTATGATGGGTGCCACCAAACGTCGTTGTACGCCATCTGGCTTGATCATGATGAAAGTCGTCTCCTCCATGGGTAGAAACAGCACGAATCCAAAACACAGACACACACACACACAGACTTGAAAGTCTGGGCGGCGTGCTCGACGGTCTATGGAGGCGTCGCATCGCCGTGCAGGCGCTCAGCACCTGCACAGCGACGATGGACGACTTTCCTGAGAATGCAGCCTGAGCCAAATACCCTGGTACCTTGAAGCAGCGCTGCCTGCTGGGGCACGCGATACGATGCGGACTTGAGTGCGCTGACGTGTTGCAGTCGCTATCAACTGGAGTATCGAGTGCCCCGCTGTGGGGTTGCGGGACTTGATCTATCAGGGGCTGCTGCAGCGCCCGCTTGTGTCCGCGCACAAGACTGGTCCACAGGATCGTTCACGGGCGATGGAACGGCGTATGCCTGGTGTGGCCGCAGAGTAGCGCCTCGGATGCTGTACGCATGCACGTTCGGTAGCCTGCAGAAGCGCTGGACTCTGTGCAGAGCCTGCTGGCGTGCAAGTACGAGAACGTGAGGCTCGTTCACGTCTGTTTTTCTCGCAGACACAAAACAGAAGGAATGCACCATTTTGATTGGAGAACGCTCGCTGAGAAACTTGATGCAGTCATTGGTAGCTTACGAAGAACGGCCTTGTTTCTAAAGGTCAGTCATTCTCCGGTCAACTGGCGGACGAAGAGCGCTCCTCGTCGGTCCTATGCTGGACGTAGAGCACCTGGCATACGAGGTATCAAGCTCTCGCTAGACGCCTGTGTTTTCTTCAATGTGTGACAATCCATATGTTCTCTAAGCTGCAGTACCAAAGACGCTACGGGATGTAATGTCTCTGTGCTGTTCATCTGACTGGTGATGAAGCAATGCGCATAGGCAACGAAAAACGTACGTCTCTAGAGGAAAACCTCGTGCACTGAAGAGCAGTTGGATCGATTTCGCTCTGAAACGTGAACGCGCATGATAGGATGGATGAACGCGATCTCGTCTCAATCGATGAGACTTGATTCGGCAGGGACGGTAGACCTGGATATGGGTATCCGGGGCGCTCCAAAACTATGATCGTAGCGAGAGAAAACAAGCGTGCATTCCGAAAACACCAGCGCTAGCGGCGATATAATTTTGTGTCGTTTTCCGGGAATCGCGAAATCGACAGCGTGGTTGAACACTCCATGCTTCGTCGGAGTCATCTTGGATGGCTTCTGTTTCCGGTATGCTTCTGGGCGGGTTTCGGACACTGTCGCTTTTGATCGCGCAAAAGCAGTCGAGGTGTGCGCAACCGAATCTGGTATCGAGCTGCTCTTCGTACCAGCGTATTCTTCCTTATTGTCTCCCGTGGAAGGCGGCTCCTCTGTTGTGGAATGGTATTGTTACGCTTACAGATCAATAGACGAGTCGTTCGCTTCCATGACACCGAAGCGAAAAGAGCGTAGTTCGACGAGACATTGCCTATAGCGGTACTGGCGCATCTCGTCAAGCAAGCGGTTGGTACGGGTTCCGGAAGCAGGGCCACTGACTGTCCACATTCCTCTGCAATGTTTCCAATCCATTGCTCTAGCGACGATCCAGTTGATGCTCGGTGCAGGAGATGGAACGTGGTTTCATCCAAGCGTCAGAGGTCTGCACACACGCCTTTTCAGAATACCTTGCCGCTTCGCTGCTTCATACCGGCGATCGGAACAGCTACTGTGCAGTTGCCGAACGTACCGAATAAACCTCAAAGGCATGCGCGGGTCAATATCGATCGCTTCAAGAGGCACAGTATGCGGTCGTCGTGCCCAGACGTTACGGACCCCTGAAAGCAAGGGACTGATGGACGACATCCTTTGTGTGACTATGAGTACAGAAGAGCGCGATGTGGTTGCAAGCACCAAATCGATTTCCGAACGAGAGCAAGTGTCGCTGCACGTCGTCCAAGCGGATTGAGTTCCCATCGGGCTGAGACCGACGACCGTTGTACGTCATCGCTGGTTGAAACCTGGTGATGCGTATCTTCCTTGCATCCTGCACTATGAATCTGTGTTCCTGAACAAAGCCCTCGAGTGCGAAGCAGACGTCCGCACCGTATCCAAGCGGATTCAGCCTCCACGAGCGCTTCGTGTGTTTGATCCCTCAAATTCATGACATGGTCGATTATATCACCGTAGATACATATGGACTGGACTGTATGGGCACCACAGCGAGCCACAAATGTCTCTACGAGCAGCTGTAACGCATTCGACAAACTTTTCCGAAGAGCATCCCCTGAACGTGTCCAAGGGATATCTCAGTTTACCTAGAGGTAATGGAAAAGTTTCCAGGGACCATCTCGATCGATACAATATCAGTCTTCGTGGGCTTGATAAAACCTATGCCAGAGTCGACCAATACGACTCATTTTCACCTGTTCAAGGTCTATGAAGAGACAGCGTTCGTCATGGGCATGGATCCAAGCTCCCGAGACGTCATTGCCGTCATCGTCCATCTGGGTCACGACGAGGGAGTCAGCATGATCGAAGGCTGGATATTACCAGCGGACCCGGCTAACATGGACTCAGGTCAACACCTTCATCGACGCTCTGAATACCGTATCGAATAGAGGAAGTTTCCTCGAACGCTTCATCCGTAGATGACACGAGCGTTGAAACGGCTGATGCGGACGATTGTTGACACGAGTCTGTGTGGCTGCGTTCCGGTCGACGAGTGCATCGATTCTCTGGAGGCAAGATACGTGCATTCTCCAACTTTTTCAAGGAACTCTAGATAGAAATGATCAACAAGTCGCGTTGTATTGTGTCAGTCTGTGCAACGTGACATGATTCAGCGCGCAGTCGCAGCACTCCTGGCCCATCGACGCGAGCGATGACGACAAGTGCAGGGGTCGATGCTGCGTGACACCCTTCGACGACTCGATAAAAAGACCACAACACACCACGGGTACGAGTGTGCGCGCTTTGACTGGTAAGGAAGAAGAGCGTGAAACAGAGACGCATGCTCGAGACGGTCTCGAGTGGGGTAACGGAACAGCTGCCATCAGTGCAGTGCAAAGTCACAGTCTCGCTATGATGTTCGTGTACCAGTGAAAATGCGGGCAAGCGCTATCTGAACCGAGACTTGAACACCTGCATCAATATCCGGATATGTTTCGTGTTTCCGGAGCGTTCAGCGAAGATGCATCGAGCCAGGTTTCGAACGAATCGTCTCGTACTCCGCGGAGGCATTCGGCTGAAACGCTACAGACTTTTGATGAAGACATCATTGGCAAACGCACATGCCACGAGAAGCCTAGCATAGGGTACGACACGAATGGCGTACCAGTCAGCAATGCAGCAGGCCTAGATTCCACTATAAATCGCACCAAGTACGGATGTGGTGGATAATTGCTAGGCAATTACGAAATGACATCATTCGTTGTTCCTGTGTGTTTATCCCCGACACGCCAGTGCTCAGGCAAGTTGCTCTGATGACCAAGAAACGAAAAGAGAGGCATTTTCGCCATCGAATGCAAACGGATCCGCGATCCTGCCGATCCTTCACTCCTTGATGCACTGGCGTCCAGGAATGGGCCTGCTCGTCACCAAGCCACTTGCGGGCGACACCGTGCACTAATCTGCATACGAAGACGACGAGAGATCAGGCTGGTCTTGGCTTGAGAATGCAGACCCCGGCTCCATCACTGCGAGCGACAGATTTTCATGGATTGCTGCATGGTTTTGCACTTGCCAAAGCATCCCCGATAGCTCGATTATAATCGGTTCCCGGGAGCGTGTCCATTGTGCTGTACGAGAGCTCCTGGTGCCAGCGGAGCAGCGATGTCCGGTGGTGCATTCCAGGCGCAAACAACGAAGCACCGGGACATCATCCACATTCTCCGCGCGTAGTGTCGTCCGCTCGACCTACGCAATGCGTTATCGCATGACAACAACACGCTTCCGATGAAGCGTCGTGCGAAAAGATGAAGAACGCAGCATGCGCTTCATTTTATGATGCGCACCAGTGCAACGCCGAAAGCAGGCCCTTGCGCCTCAGCGTAAGCTCGTCAAGCTGAACGACGCATGTTCCAGATAACTAGGGCGCGTACTACTCACCGGCTTATGTGCTCAACGAGTATCGTTCGGATGGCGCCAGAAAAAAGCGCTTCACACGTGCTCGTGGCAGATCCTGCAGTATCTCGTTTCGAACGAGTACCGACCGTGCCCGCTTCAGTTCATGACATCAGTCTGTAGACGGAGGCTCAATGCTCAGGACGACGTTGCCGGTTCCCGGGTCCAGAGCGCCGACCCGCACCACTGCCGGTCTGCATGCCTCGGAGTATGCCTCCGTTTCATGAGGACAAGACGCCAACATGCGCTGGTCGCTAACGAGAGCGTCTTACCCTTGGTACTGGGCAGAAGCGTTCATGCATGCATCGTGGACATGGAAGCCTGGTTACCAATCGCTCAGGCTCCACATCGATTTGCTCGCAACACTGGCAGGGTATCGGACGGCGAACGCGTTCAGACGCTTGGTCGTGTGCTCCTCGCCCTGATCGACTCGGTTCTGCATCGCCTGAGGCATGACGATCAGCGTGGCTTCGATACCGACGTTCGCCTCGCGATGCGTACGACATGACGCTTGGGGAGCGTTGCTCGTGCAGGGCGGCGGCGGCGGCGGCGGCCATGGTCCACTGGGTAATCTTCACGGGCTCCAGGTCGGCAACGCTGGCGATGCGTCCGTCGCAGCGTGAGCTCCAGTCCAGGGCGGTCACCTCCCCGGTGCAGGCTATGCGAACGAACCTATCGTCTCGATCGGGCGACGCATCGCTGCCAGCGACTTGCGCTGGAAGTTCCCAGTGTGCTGCGGGCAGGTTCCCCAGATCCGCAACAATAAGGTCGCAACCGGACCCAAAGGCAACGTACGCACCATCGGGACTTGGGCGCACCCGAGTATAATGAGACCACAGCGGTGCCTGAATGCTCTGTACAACTCCATTCGAGAGACGAGCATTTCCGAGCTGCAACGGGTCCAGAATGAAGACTGTGCCACGTTCGGGTGCACCTGGACGCAGTGTGGCCACCGCAAGGCGCCGACAGCTGTGCTGCAGGTGCGCATGTGCGATGCCGTTACCTGGGGCAAGCTGCACCGTTGTCACCGGTTTGGCGAGGCGTCTGTGTGCTCTGAGCGAGCCACCTTCGAATTCAGGGCTGAGCAACGGACAAGTCGACCATGTTTGACGCAAATCCCACACCTTCAGCAATCCATCCGTTGCACCTGCCGATAACAGCGCACTGGGATCAGGTCCAAGCCAGACAACGCTTGCGATCGCTCGATCAGGTGAGGGTGCCAGGAGATCAGCCCGGGAAGCTACGCCCCGCTCCACGAGTCGACGAGCCGCAGGGTTCCGAAAATGCCCCAGCTGCACAGCGCGCACAGGAAGGAGCGCGTTACGTGTCTTATTATCTCCGGAAAGCGCCGTACTGGAGCTCGACGCAAGTCGCCTGCAGCTGCGCAGATCGTAGACGAAGATGTTCCCGTCTCGTCCACAGGTGCTGATGATGCGACCTCCATCCTCCGGGAGCGGAGCAATGCTTCGCACTGCGCCATGGTGTCCGCACAGCCGTGCAACGCGTACCGGTGGCGAAGGCGCCTCGCTTCCTCCGTAATCCTGAAAATAACGCCAGTCTCGATTCCAGCCTCGCTGACGATTCTTATGACCTAATGCGCTGCACGTGGAGACGTCCACGATATCGACAACTCCTGAGGCGTAAGCTGCAGCCAGTCCGGATGCGTTGGTCGTCGCCCCCGGTAGCCAAGCGACGTCAAACACTGCCCGGTTGCTCTCGCAACTATTCCAGAAAGCAACCAGGTTCTCAGATTCCACGTACAGAGCTCGCTCTCGGGACACTCCAATAGGACCGTTTTCTTCCGATGCGATCTGCACGGTACGGTCTACGTCGATCAGCCGCACGCGACCGCCCTGGTCGCCAACGGCAACAACCTCGGTGCCCGGGTGATAGGCAAGCGCGTACGCCAGCGTTGCATCAGTTGCCTGCTGCGCGCTGTCACTGCTGACAGCCCGCTCAGCAGCGCTCTGCAGCGGCAAATTCCGGAGCCAGCGAACTCTACGCCGCTCCCGCACAGCACGCGCTTCAGCATCCAGTGGCTCGCTTGTGGCGGCACTGCGTCCACAGAGACACTGGTCGAGCAGGCGAGCCCACCCGACTTGCTCCATGTAGTCAGCAAAGAGGACCGACCCCTGCCGTTGCAGCTGATGCCTCCACGGTCGCCGTGCTTCGTACGCCTCGTCCCGATCAGGCCACGTGTGAGCAGTAGCGTCCAGTTCAGCGAGCTCGAGTCCCTGTGTAGGTAGCAGGTAGCCGCTGCCAGCGACATATCGGCAGAGGGAACGTGCACGCTTTCGCCGTAGCGTTTGCGTCACCTGTGCAGCATCGAGTGCTCTACAGTTCCGTTCTAGATCGGACACCAAACGCACGATAGACTTGGACATTTCCGGTTTCATCGACTGAATAGACGCTGAAAACACCCCCGAGTGGCGAGGCGTACAGCGCGCCGCGTCACGCCGTTGCCGCTGCGTCGTTCGCGCCATTTCGGCAAAGCGTCCACGCAAGTACCGCTTTCTTTCCCTCGGTGAAAGACGTGCTCGAGACGCTCTGTTTTGTGGTGCAAACCAGGAGCTCAGACTGGAAACAAGGAGTAACGGGGGCTTCATGCAAGACGCTATGGTTACTGGGAGAGGTTTTGCTCGAGAAAGTGCCCCGGGGGAGCCCAACGCCCTGTCTGAGGGCACTGCGTTCGCCCGAGGCTCGACGTGCACCAGACACGCTGAGCGTTTATGCTGCGGACGCGAATGCCGGCGCGGGCGAGCTACTAGGCATCGTCGGAAGTGCGGGCAGATTGGTATCCCTCGACGGATGCGGACTATTGCGTCCGGGAAGGTTGCGACCAAGTTGAGGTGCATCGAAGCGAAGCTGGAGCGTGTATATGCTATTGTGCAGTCCCTAAAGACGCTCTTTTTGAGGGAGCAGCGCGAAGATCCGCTCTACAGCGCAGCGTCTCGCGGATGCCAGCGGCAGTATCGTCGTTCAGTCGCCTGCTCAGAACAGCACTCGATAACCTGCACGGACTCACCTGGCAGTGGTACGCGTGGCGACTCCGCTGCGGCAGCGACGGATGCAGCGGTGCCACAATGTCGTCGGTCTGAGGCGGACCCAGTACGCCACAGCACTGAAGAGGAAGAGGAACGTTTGACTCTGGAGTGCGCAGCACGGCCGTTCGGATGCACCGGCCGTTACCGGCGACGTGTGCATCCCTTGAAGGCAACGTATGAAAGTGAGTATCGAGTACCCGGGGTGACGGCATGCTCCCTGCCAGATGCGGACGCTTTGTGCTGCGACAAAATAGATTCTGTGCAATTCGGCGAGATGAATGGAGAATGTCTACGAGAATTTACCGCACACGGTGATGACGTCTCGAAGCACACGCCCCTTCCATCGCTCCGAGCCGCAGCGCCAAGCAGTACATGGTTTACGGTGGCTCCGATGGCAGATAGTTCGCCGAGAGCGACTCCTGATCCTCCATCTGCGTCTGCAGGCTCCAGATCATGCTTGGAGCATGTTGCACAAGCTGAGCGCCAGCTCTGCGCTACTGCTTATCAGACGCCAGCTAGATTAGGGACTGCGAATACGAGAGCAATCGGAATTCGTCAACCCCAAATGCATTTCACTGAACTGGGCGGGGAGCGCGTGCCCAGGGCGATTCCAGCAGAGGACCAGCCGCAGCCTGCTGACGTTGGCAGACCGGACGCACAGCTCACGAAGCGTGAACTTGCTCAGCAGCAAACAACTTACCAACGCGCCGAAGCTGCACCTACCACGTCACCGAACGCCCGCAAGTCCGCTGACGAAGATTCCACTTGTCGATGCCCGTCGTGCAAAGCGTTCTTTACGACACTTGCTGGGAGTTATCCCCCAGATATGCAGAGAGAGATTCAGCGCTGCTCCAGACGGGCACGCAAGATAACAACGACGAAAGGTCCGCGCACACCGCCCACGCCCAAGTTCTGGCGTCAGATCGAGTTCAGCTCCTCGGAAGAGTCGCCGACGCGCCTTTGACGTGCACCGACCCGTGGTGAACGTTCAGCGCCTCCGTAACGCGTCTGCGAGCTCCGAGATCTTCCTCTTGGCCCTGGTCTGGGTACCAAGGCGTCTCTTCGCAAACTTGAGTGCCCTTTTGTCTTTGCCGATCCGTAATAGCTCCATGATTCGTCGCTCGTAGGGCGCGAACCCAACAACCTCCCTGATGAGCGCCCGCACAAACTGCGTCCTCTTTGACAGTTGACCCTTTCGCTGTGCAGGCCGCACTGGGAGCACCCGTTTCGTCACTTGGTGCCCCTTCTGTTTGCCAACAGCGACCCCTTCCGACACAAGAGACATGTTCCACAGCAACCAAGGCACCAGCGCTGAGGAGTATCCATCCCGACGAAGACGCTGTGGTAGCGAGCGAGTGCGCCGCGACGCCGCCGCCGCTCCGTGTCACGTGACGCCTGCATGCGTGACACGCCTTACGGCGGTGGACGCGTTCCAGCCAGTCACATCAATTGTGTTCCACTTTTAGGTGCATGGCATTACATGCTTTTTTTCCGAGGGTTATACGGGATTTGTTCAGATCGGGTGCATTTGAAGAAAGAAAAATCCAAGGGAAATGTATCGGTGTGCAAGTCGGGGATCCTGGAGGCGCGGTGTCGCTGGCTGGTGGAAAAAACGGAAAAAATGCACTTCTCGCCAACCAGTAAGAGAAGAATTAGAAGAAGAATAGGAGGGCGTATAAGCGGGAAAAGGTGTTTTACCCGACGGGACGGTGCCGAGACCCCAGGGACACAGACGTCACGAACTCTATGCGATGATCGGCTCTGGTTCAACTCATGAATGCAAGGATTCCTCGAACTCGTGCCTTGTGCGCTATCTCCTACTATGTCAGGTTTCCGCGCTTTTCCATCGCCGAGGCACCCTGCTAGTTTGTCTCCATCTCCACACTCTGAGGCGTGCACTCCAGCTCATCTCTTAAAAAGTTTTTTAAAAAGAACGCGCTTCTTTATGCCCTTAGGTGAGGACCTTCTGGGATCGAGAAAGACCTGCGCAAGAAAGACGCGATATGCCCCGGCGTGTCGCCGTGTGCCGAAGGTCTCAGCGATTCACCCAGTGGCGGGATCGTTGCGTTTCCCGATAGCAGAAACGCTCCCTCGATGACGATGAACCTCGCAGCGTGCGGAGGAGCCAAAAGCGGCTCTACTCCGATGGAATCGGGAAGGCCTTGAACGCAACAGGAATGGTGAAATGCCACGTTGTCGAAAAGAAGGATGTCGCCAGACATCAGGGGAAGCAGCAAGTCTCATCGACTGAAAAAATGGATCGACGTCCCTGTGCTCTATACGGATCGCTGAGTTCCACGGACGCTGTCGTTGCAATTTCGGTAGAAGATGGCCGTGAGTGTACTAGGACTTTGCGATTGTATCCCAGTGTTCTCAGGGCCACAGGAGCAAGCCTTTCGGAAGCCGAGACGCCCGTCCCGTCTAGTATAATCGTGTTTGCTTCCCCCAAGGTAACGAAGGGGTCGATTTCTACCATGGACCGCAAGCTCACTTTGAAAATATCGGTTTTTGGCGCGCAACGCATATAGCGCTCTCTTTCAGTATTCCTCGACCACCTCAGTAATGCGGTACTTCTGACCTCAGGGGGAAATATGCATTCTTGCTTAGATTCTTCAGCAAAGAATATACACCTATCCTACAGGCAATGCGACTACGATCTACGTGGTTCTTTGCATAGCGATTTCGATCCTCGATTACACTGTGCAGCGGGAGTGCAACACCAGAGAGGTTGTCAGAGTGGAAAGACCACCTTATTCGCGTGTCTCCATTGCCTGTTTCACGCTGCGACCTTGCCCTGTGCAAATGCTTCCATAAACTGTTTCACGCTTCAGTATTCCCGAGTACAACTACCATGATTGTCCTCTTTGCTGGGTAGGCTTGTCCGGGGGCCTCGCACTGTCGCGGTTTCCGAGAGGCACCCGCGCCCGCGCGCATAGAAACGTACCCGTCTCTTATCGACACGTTTCGCTTGCGAGGTGCTGCAGCGCTTTCTTGGAACAGGAAACTCAACCGCGCTTTGCCCGGAGACCTGAACCAGAGTGCACCAGACAGATGCTTTGATGCCCAGGGACACACAACAATCACGCTTCTCGACGGGCTTGCGCGTTACAGACCTTGACGATTTTCTCCCGAGCTCTACGGCGTGCGTCCTGCCGCTCCAGGGTGGGCTACCACCTCCCGGCTCTGTTGCCGCACCAGTTTACTCGCACAACGCTCACGATGCGAACGGCGAGACGAACACACCGGTTGCTCGAGTGACGCTATCCGACTGTCTGTCCTGCAGCGGTTGCATTACCTCCGCAGAAACCGTTCTCTTGGCAACGCACTCGGTGGACAACTTTGTGACGGCCTGCAGCCAGAGCGCGGACGCGTTTGGTGCTGTCGTTGTCGCACCGGCAGTTGTGGCTTCGCTGGCATCGGTGTGGAAGCTAGCCGAAATCGAGTCTGTACTTGAGAGGATCCAAACTATCTTTGACAAGTTCGGCGCCTTCGCCGTCGTTCTGAATAGCGTTGGGCGTTGCCTCTCGGTTCTGGAGACCTGCGCTCAAGCTGTCGAGCGGCTGCAACCTGACCAGAACGATGGTTCAGGAGCACAGCAACCGCTTTTTGCAAGTGCTTGTCCAGGATGGACATTCTATGTAGAGAAAACACAACCCCATTTGGTATCGTGTTTGGCGACCGCAAAGTCACCACAAGCGATGATGCAGCTCTTGGTCCGTCATGAACTCGGGGAGCATGCCTGGACTGTAAGCATCGCACCATGTTATGACAAGAAGCTGGAGAGTCAGCGAGATGCAAAGGACTCGGAGCACGTTTTCGTGCTGACGGCGACAGAGGTGCTCGAGCTGGCGGAGCGCGCCCCGCCGCATATGCCGAACGATGCTCGACGCCAGCTTCGTATATCGCAACAGGTGTCGGCTTTGACAAAGTTTCGAGGCGCGTGGTGGGCTACTTTTGGAGGCCTCTCCGGGGGTTACGCCGTCGAAGTATTTCGCTATGTTGCGCAGTACGTGTTCAAGCACAGGGTGAGCGACGCCGTGCTCGAACCAGCCGCTGTCCGCGAAAGAAACCCCGACCTACGGCAGCTGCTGCTCTACCAGCATCGGAGCTCGGGAGATTTCGTCGTGAATTTCCGGCCAGTCATCGCAGACGACGACCTGCAATTGAGGTACTCGGTAGCAACTGCGTACGGCTTTCGAAACATCCAGAACATCGTTCGCCAATATAAGCATACCGGCCGGTGTAACTGGAATTTTGTGGAAGTCATGGCGTGTCCGGGTGGTTGTGGCAACGGTAACGGCCTTTGGGTCGTTCAGGATACACCAACATCGACACCGGTGTCGGCGGAGAGCGTGGCACCAGTTGCTAACCGCGTATTCGCCCAGCGCACCCGTCAGGAGCGAATCCAGGAAATGGAACGCTCGCTACAACGTCTGCCTTGTTATCACGTAGACGAGCTGCCGCAGTTGCGAGAACTATGGGCTACTCTACGAGAAGCAGAGCCTCAGTCGCTGCGATTCGAGTTCTGTGGATTCAATGATCGCCAGCAACAAGAGGCGACTTACCGACAGCAGGACGGCGACATAAAGTCCCAGGTCACTGTCTCCGAGAGACATCGACTGGTGCATCAGTGGTGACGACGTTTCTGTGACAAGTTCTGCGAATGAGCCTCCGGTCGAAATCCGATCGCGACGCAGTACGCTGGACCTCATTGCTGGAGTGCTTGTTGGTTACAAGCTCCAGACGATACGAGTGCTTTCCGTATGCTAGAGGCGCTCAGGGTGAATAGGTGATCTTGCGGATTGTGCGATTTGCGGCACGTCCAGTTTATGTGTATCTGATGTTCGCAGCGGGCTGGATTTACCTGAGGTACGCGTTCCCATGGACACGGATCTGTCAAGCCAGCACGCTGCCTAATATCGTAATTCGCAGAATACCCAACCGCAGCTGCTGCATCATTTCCGGACGTGAATCGATAGGACCCGCTTCGACGCCGAGCGCTTCGCAAGGATGCTTGAGTCGCTCCCAGCGAATGCGTATTCATTACGTTGATTCCATGCCTATCAGAAGAGTTCAGGGATCTGTTCTGGGTTCGTCCGGGCGCAAATGCAAAACATTTCCACCAGCGATTCTCCGACAGTAGCCGGACCATCGACGTAGACGAATGGCTGCATCGAAATCCGTCCAAGAGCTTTCGTCGGATTCACTGCCGCGATCCCGTCATCCATGCTGGGCACTGGACGTGCACCAGGTGCCTGACGCGGTACCAGCATGACCGCGTCCATGCAAATCGCTAGGAAACCGGCATTACGTCGCATGCAACGGAGCCGCCTGAACCTCGTGTCCAAGCGGCCACAGCACCCGTGCATACAGTCGATGCAACGTGCTGAGCAGGAGCGTCAGCGCTCGCTGTTCTTCGCTTGGTGTCGACGGTTCCTGGAGACCCAACACACGTGCCGCAATGCTCCGCTGTGTCTCAGGATCCAAGAGGGCAAATAATCCACACAAGTGCCCGTTGACAACATGGCGTGTCGGTTCGATCCTTCCTTGAAAGCGCAGCACGGACGCGTGCAGCAGGTTCCGGGTATGCGTTGCATCCATTGTGTGCCCGGGTGCACAGCATTTCGCCCAGAACAAGTGCAGCTCTCGTTCGAGGCGCTGCACAATATCCCATTCGGCTCGCGTTCGAAAAGGAATCAACATCCCGAATCCTCCACTCACGGTACCGTAGAGGATTGCTTCCGCTTCTGTCCATGATCGGGGTGCGGATGCTGGGGTTGCATCTGGATCGGTGGCGGCTCCGTAGCCGAAAACATGGAGACTCGTCACCACGCTACCGACATGGACCGAGCATTCGGGCATGAGACGCGCCACAAAAGAACGCGCTGACTCGGGACTGGCTCCGTACCGCTCAGCCAGACGCCCGTAACTGGGATCACCCTCAATCGCTGCACTGGACTCAACCGGCAGACGCAGCACCGCGATGGAGCCGAACTTGTCAGCGGCAACAACGGTATCTGCATCGAGTAGCTGGAGCCGATGGATCCAGCGCCGCTGCATGTCCTCAGCCACTAGAACAAGTCGATTCTCTTGTACATAGTACTTGAATAAACTAATGCCGTGATGTAAACTAGCGACGAAAATACGACACAGTGCTTCGTGAGCGGTCAGTGCGACGATAGGAGAGGCAAGTGCGCGCTTACTCACGGTCAACGGGCGCCAGCCGCAACGCGTGTGCGTATAGAGTGCCAGACGATTGCCGTGGGCAACCACGAGGTGCCGCCCAACCCTAGATAGGTCACCAATGGATTCGGGAAACGATAAGCGCTCAGTCAGGACGAGTTTCCAGGGCGCATCGCTCGCTGCCTGCCGCTCCACCAGATACGTCAGGAGGAACGCCCGCGCTACATCGCCGCTTTCCGGCGCGGTTTCCGCTTCAGCAGCTGGGGGTGCAACGGCAACCAGCAGGGCAACAGGCATTCGACCGGCAGCGTGAAGCTGCTGTTCGTTCTTTGTATCTGACGATGGTAATGATAATGACGGTAAATCGACGCTGATCATACTGGTGACGCGTATACCGCCCCAGGCGGGTGCACCGGCGATACGCACACCTCCGTCAAGCCGCAAATGCTGCCAGAAAGCATGCGACTCCATGTCGCTCGATGACAAGTGCTGCGACGCTACCCGTTCTGATCCGGGGACCTGTACCAGCTGCAACTGAACCTGGGGTCCGCGTTCGCCTTCTGTACTTATCGCAATGGCGGCAAGTTCATTGGGAAAGATCCAGCAGAGTTTGCGGACAACCTTCCGTGACACAGTGGTTCCTGATGCAGCAGCATCTGCTGGCTGCGGCTTCGACACTGGGCGAATGGTGAGCAGGTTAGAGCTCGAGTCGTCGGCGGCAAAGCTGAGAAACTCGAGCGTGCGACCCTGTTCGCTGAGCGCTGCGATCGCTGTTGCCGCTGGAAACACCGCAACAGCCTCTGAGTGCGTCTCGGGATCCACGGTGGAGCACATCTGCGGCAGGGGAAAACTGGCGGCATCGAGTAGCTGCCCAGCGTGAATGGGGTACGGATGCGTCCATAACGACGACGACGACGACGACGAGAGTGGTATCAACCAGGAACTCGAGCCCAACACCAGCAACGCTTCTGTGCCGAGCGCTGGTGGCACCAGCACGCGACGCAGGCGCAGACCGGCTGCCGCTCCGAGGTGATACCTGTGCAGACGTGGTGTGCCTCGCTCTGTTGTCATCTGGAGCTCGGCCACATCTACCGCCTCAACGCGCAGCAAGGTACCGTCTTCGAGGCCTGCCCAGAGGTCGACAAGCGACGCTGTGCCTGCGGTGTGCACTGCAGCTATCCCGGTTGGCAGCTGCGGCAGAAGCACGCTGTACAGGCACTGCACGGGAGCGTGCGTCGCTCGCTCCGGCACCTGACAGATGCGCAGCACTGGAGATGCACCCGCTTCGACGTAAACCAAATACGAGGACCATGATGGATTATCCAGCGGCACCAGGCAGCAGGCCACAGCACGACTCGTTGGCGACGGTGGTATTCGTGGAGGAGCTTCGGTGGGCGCATTAGCCGCCGCAGCGCTTTGTAAAGCACTCCGGGGCCCGAATCCGAGCTCCATGGCCGGCGGAGAAGCGTTACCTCTGACTTTGGATTGCTTGTCAGAATCCGAATCGGTGTCGGAAGCTACCAGGTAGACCAGTTGACCGTCGGCGAGGAGCAGCAGCACTTGGGATAGAGTGCTATCGGCCGCTACAATGGGCTGCTGCGTGCTGGCGGTGTACACGTCGACCACAGAGGCGCTTCTTGAGTCCGAGGACGCCGCACCGATCAAGCGCACCCCATGGCTGTGAACCTGAACCCAGCAGCAAGCGCTACGCGACCAGTCACTGCAGAGCAGTGCTGCATGAACGGTGCTCGTGTTGTGCTCGAAACCGAGCGTGTGTTCCTCGTGAAGCGCCAGGGACTGGAAGCGAAACACTCGCGTCTGCTGGGTAAACGAGAGCACCAGGAGAGCAACAGTTGCGGTATCGGAGACTGATTCAGGCGGCAACGTTGCAGCCGGTTCCGTGGTAGAACGCTGGAGCAGCGGCGGCAGGGCGAAGACCCGCTGTGCTCGACCGTCCACCGGTGACTGTGCCAGTGCTACTGTATCCCGCATTGGTACGAAGATACGGAGGGGGGTTTCATTGGGATCAGCGGTAGCTGACGCTCCCAGTAACTGCCAGGTCGGCAGGCAGCCAGTTTGTGCTGCTTCAGCTTGGCAGCAGCGATCCGTCCGCAACAGCAAACTCATGATCACCGGATGGTGACCAGGTATCGTATCGACAATGCTCAGCGTGTTGTTGCTGTTGCTCATGGCGTCGTCAAGGCCCGCCAGGTGCTCCGTTCTGGACGCAGAGGTGCCGTCGCTGCTCGTATCCGGCAGCGCGGATGCGACCGGAAGCGAGTCGCGCTTCCCAGCTTGCAGCTGCGGCCTATCGAGGAGCACAACGGCATGATCCCCTTGCTCCAGGGTCACAAAGACCGCGGCTGCTGCAATGTCATCACCGCCCAGGAAACAGAGAGCGCTAACGGGTGCGTGGAAGCGTCCCAACATCCGCACGGAAAGTGCTTCGCTTTGGATGCCGTCCTCGACGGGCCTGAGCACAATCGTCAACCGGAATAGATAGCCATCTTCGTCGCCAAGGAGCACGCAAAGCTGTTCCCTTGAGCAAGCTGCCTCCCAGAGCGCGGCTGCTGTTATGAGAACGCTCCCCGAAGGTTCCCCGTTTGCCTGGAGGTGTGCGCTGTCGAACAAGGCGTTACGCACCGTGATATCATGAGCGCCGTCTCTCGTCGAGGACCTCCTGGTAAGCAGCGCTCGGTGTGGAAGCTTCGCGAGGCAGGAGAACGTCCCCGCATTTGCCGAAAACCCTGACGATGGCTCTTCATTCGCGTTCGCTTCCGGGGTACCGCGAAAGCACCAGACTTCAACGGTGGAGCGCGATACAATGAGAAGCATTCCGTCAGAGAGCGCATAGATGCCATATGCACTGGGGTCCAGCGGGCTGCTCATCGCCTTGGCGTGTACGGTTTGAGCGTTACGGTCGACCAGCAGGAGCAGCAAGCGACGATCAGGTCCGGGCGCCACTGTTGCTGTCGATAGTGAGCGATCCATGAGCATGACAAACAGCGACTCGTTCTCTGCACGAGACCACGGTAGCGCGACAAGTCCGAAGCATGTGCCTACACCGAGCGCCATTCGATCTTCGGTCGACCACTCGATGGGGGCGGAGAAGCCTCTCGTCGTTCGACCGGGATCCTCATGGCCGTCTTCGTCTGCGTCACCAGATGGAGCACCGTCTCCGAGCCGGGCATTCGTATCATCGTCATGATCATCATCATCATCATCATCATCACTATCATCGTCATCGTCGTCGTCGTCGTCGTCGTCGTCGTCGTTATCATCAGTGAAATGGGTGCTGGTACCTTCCGTCAGCTTGTCTCGACGCGAGGCACGCCTGTCGCTAGCCGCACGCTGACTGCCGGGGTGCATCGCCCCAGCTTCCACACTCGATACGCTGGAGGCTGCGTCCGCACCGAGTGGGCGTTTACGGCGTCGAGATGAACGACGGACAGGATTCTCGCGACTCGTCTGCACAGACGTCGCTGATCGAGAAAGTACGGTTCCCGCTGGATTCCGTTTCTTGCCCGAGTATCGATGACCAGCCTTTGATGCAGTCGAGGCTTCCGAGGTGTGCTGCGGAAGCGCAAATGCACAGATCGATCCGTCCAACGAAGCCAGTGCACAGGCTTGACTTTGTTCATCGATTGCTAGGAAAGCACCGGGGCGACTCGCTCGTGCTCCCGGTTTGCTGAAGACAGCGCTGCTGACGCATTTCCAGCCAATGTCGTATGTGACATCGGCATCAGCGGCAGCAGCCTGCTCGACGCACCACGGCCTCAATGAAGCACGAATGCTACCCGCGGATACGGCCTCCGAGCCGCACCATTTCAGCAAGCTCAGCGTGCCAGAGTCTGAAACCACAAGCAAGTGATCAGGTCCACTCCAGCTGCGTACCGGAGCAACGTGCCAAATATGCGCGAACGTGACCCCGTTGGAAGCCTCGGCGAAAGCGGCACTCGTCGCCTGAACTCGCTGTAGTTTTCCCAGTTCCGCGTTATAAGCCCAGCACTCAATTGTCGCACCGTAGCTCCCACTCTGGCGGACCAGCACCAAGTCCCGCGTACCAGTTGGTTCCTCTTGCGTGAAATAACCTGAGGTTGCGGCTACCAAGGCGCTTGGCTGCTGCAGATCCAGCGCAAACAGAGCCAGCGGCTCCGCCATGGCACCTCAGCGTCCTATACAACACACGAGATGCACGAGACAGAAGCGCGTGCAGCACGCCTTGAATGGACTAGGGCCAGGAGCTGGCCTCGTTGTCCGCAAGTTGCTCCCGATTGACGCTGTTCCGGTACCAGGAGAGGGGTCGTCGCTGCAACCAACCGCTGGAGAAGCGGCACTGCGTTGTCGAAGGTGCCTGCGGCTCGCGCAACGTCGCCTCCATCGACGCCAGTGCGAAAGCGCGTTGACGGGGCTGGGGCGGCAGGGCCCGAAGCGGCGCTTCCGTCTCTTCACGCTACACAACTCGAGTAGAGTAGCTCGGAACCGTCCAGACTGTGCGGTAAAATAGAGAAATCGAGCTAAACTGAGTTTTGGCTGGAAACACTCTTGCGGGAGAAGGCGTCGGACGTCGAGTCGAGCAGCATGGCGGGGTCCGTTACCGACGATCGCTCACGTGTCCTCGAAGAGAACGGACTCTGGGAGACATTTGAGACGCTAAGGCGCGCTCGTCTACCGAGTTCGTGTCTCGGGCACGTTGCAGATCTCACGGAGGTGTTGGCACTGCCGTTCCGTCCGCACTGTCGAGCCGGCTCACTTCTGGAAGTTGCGCTGCAGCTGGAGGCACACGCTGGTGTACCGCTTGCCGCCTTCGATCCGCAGCTACTGCAGTCGATCCGTCTGAGCGAGTTGCTGCCAGAAGGTTCCCTCTCCGGTGCAGATAAGCCCAGCACTGGCAGTGACACGACGGAGCTGGCTAGTCTTGCGGTTTGGCAACCGGCGTGGCTCGAGGAGCGCCAGCAACCAGAGTATGCACCACTACTGAAAACCAGACGACGGCGACTTCGCCAGCTCGAGCGACATACGCAGGCATAGGGTGGAAACAACGGGCAGTCGCTTGGTGCATCTGCGGACTGTTGCTGGTTCCAGGGGTCGCTGGTTCGTCGCCCTGTCTCCGAATGTATGGAGACGCTGAAGCGCACCACCGCGGGCGCCACCGAACAAGCCTGAGACCCGCTCCCGAGCTCGGTATATTGTGCTATGAACCCGCTTTCCTGTTGTGGCGGATTGGTGGTCTTCGCTTTCAGGTGTCGTATGCGAGCAGTTCATAGTGGGGGATACTCGGCAACACACCACCGCACTGCGGCATTGTTGCACACGAGCCGATACCGCAGCGACGCTCCTAGATACCGGCATATTCGCGGTGATACCAGCATGCGGCGCTCAGAGCTTTTTACGTTTTGGAACGGTGTCTAGACTGGAGCCTTATTCGCGGAACAAAGGCGCCGTGCAGTGCACGCGGGTATCTATGGTGCATACCAAACGGTATCGATACACCCGCGCAGCAGCGAGGCATCATCTTGCCACGTCGCTGGTATGTGTGTTGCGCTTCTTCCGCGCACTTTCCGATAAACGCCCGTCTCATCATCGATACACCGTCTGTCTGCGTTGCCGAATACCAATCGGAAAGGACTCATGATTTGCGCCGCTTGCGCTCGACTGGTGGCGACCAACGAAGATACTGAGGATCGAAGGGCATACCACGGTTACCGAGATCCATGTGCTCGACACGCCTCAAATCGATGACGTGTTGGCCCTCGTGGTAGTGCACGAGATCCAGTGCTCGGAGTGTGCCAATGATATCTTCGGTTTTCATCATTGTGCGATCGGCAATATCCTCTATGCTCAGCGGACCAGTCGCTTTCATCAGTAGATCAATGAGGATCTGACTCCAGTAGCTGCGGTAGCCGAGCAATCCGAGGTCGCTGAGCGGTTTCTCGGGCGAACCACGGATACCCTCGCGTCGACTCAGTTCATAGCTGAGCGCAATGAGGAATTTGCCGTACCCTTTGCGCTGGTAGGGTGGCAACGTGAGAATGCAGGCAACGTTGTAGTTCTCCTCGCTGGCCTTTTCTTTGGAGAAATAGCCGACAAAGTGGTATCCCCAATCATCAATCTCACATAGTACGTAGAACAGGAACGGATCCACGTCGTAGTAGAGGGTCTTGTGGTCCAGGAACAGCTTGGATATGTAGCAGATGTTCTGGCAGTAGAAATGATTCCGGGCGCCATCGACCTCGAAGACCGCGAGATGGTCCTTGCGATAGATCTCCCGTCCAGGTGGGCACCATCGCGTGTTTCGTGCGAGATGTCGCTCAAGCCCATCTCGGGTACGGAAGAATTTGAGTGTGAATTCGCACACGTAGAGTGTTCGCAAATTGCGGTATTCTGGTGGAAGAGGCGAATAGTACCAGGTCTCCATCTCCCAGCGTCCGATGACGATGCTGTGGAGGTTTTTCACCCGAGTGACCACATCCGCAGGCAGGTCTGCGCCAGCACTAGTGCCTGAAGCAGCCTTTTGTTGTTGATCTGCACGAGACTCGTTACCCAAAGCGGCAGCAGCAGCAGCAGCAGCAGTGGAAGAAGCAACGTCGGCGGCGGTGGCATGCTCCGCTTTGCGCAAACGTTTGCCACTGCTCGCCGTAGCGCTAGAACGCGAGCGGCGCCTCGCCTGGGATGCTCGCTCGCGACGATAATGCTCCCTGAGACGCTCTGACAAATCCGAAAGGTCGAAATGCTCGATCGTTAGCCATTCATCCAGCCGTTTATTCCATCCATCGAAATGGATGTAGTATTCATGCTGCTGAAGTTCATCATTATAGCGCACGTCGACGATGGAGCCCAGGTGCGGCTCATGCAGTATTTGTGACTGCGCTATGAGCTGCAAGTTTCGCGGCAGCGGAATTCGACCCAGGTCCACGTGCTTACTCAGGTCGGCGTCCAGAGCCTCGTCGCTGACGCTCGACGCACTCGCCTGAGGCGACAGGGTTGAACGTGGTGTGTTTCCGGCCTTGCCACCCACTGCGTCGTATTCAGTAGCCACTAGAGAAGAAGAAACGGCATGACTTCGTTGTATCCGATGTCGTTCGGAGCGCTCTCGGCGAAGTGCGCTCTCGTCAGACGTATCCGAGGCGAGCTCAAGGTCACTGGCTGCGGTGGGCGTCGCACGCTCCAGGCTGGAGTCGCTTGACCGCTGACCAGGTTCACGCAGCGTCCCGTGCTCGAAGCTCGTTTCGCCTGGTATGCTGCACTCGCTGAGTGCGTTTGCAGACTCGGCAGTCCCGGTCGAGTTGGTCGCAACGCCGGCCGTTGCACTACGACGCAGCGCTCGCCTCGTGACCCTGGCTACGCCGCCTCGGTTTCCCTCTGGCTGGTTTCCAACGGTTTCGTTCTCTGTGACCAACGAGTTTGGACTCGATTCCGAGCGAGTGCGCCCTAGAGGCATGGCGTCATACCGGTGCAGGGGTCGGGTTTTTCAAATGAACACGTTCGAAGCGACAGTTACGCGTGCAAGTTCGAAAGCGCACGAGGACGCAGGGCTAGTGCTGGTGCCGGTGCTGGCGAGTGCTTCTGCTGGTGTCGACATGGAACAAGACGTAACGTTTATGAATATTAATCAACAAAAACGTACAAATCAGCACATCAAGGCACAGAACGGTCACCACCCCGCGATCTCGCCTCTGCCGCTGGCGCGCCGATGCACGGGCGTACCAGGGCAAGCTGGTCGTCGCTGGTACCAGAGTCCCCGAATCCTGTCCAGCAACGCCAAGAACACGGTACCGCAACGCCCTGCTCGAGACCTGATAGGCGTCGCGGCTGTCGCCGCTTGCCGTCTGACATCGAATGGTCGGAATCAGGGAAACGGCAGCGACGATGACTCGGCTGCAACGTTTGTAGACGGGGAGCTTTGTTTCAAAACAATCGGTTTTCGCAGCAGTACCACATGAGAACCTGCTGGCATCGCCTCCTCGGGTACCATGAAAACGAGCGGAACGAGTTCATCGTCAGAGGCAGCATCCACAACAGACGACTCCTCTCTGGCGGTTGCAGTCTCCGATGCCTCCTCTAGATGCTTATGTTTCCAGTCCTGTATACATTTTTGGACACTGCGACGCATGTTTGATGCGATTCTTTTCGTGGGCAGCTGCTCGGCGTGCTCCCTAACGAATGCGTCCAGGTGCGAACGCAGCTGCGCCTCCATGCGGGTTGCCTCGGCGTCCAGCAGTTTCCTCCGCTGCGCTGCTGTCCGCCGAGCATCCCGCTCTGCTCGATGCTGCTGAGCCTGCCGCTGACGGGCCAGCTCCAGGTGGATCGCGTGCGGATCGCGCATGTCGTGAATGCTTCGTTTGCGAGAGGTCCTCGACGGAGCGCACAGCGTCGTTCCGAGGCACGAAGCACCGCTATCTGTTTGAGACCCCAGCTGCACGAACGCACGATCATAAAACTTTTGCGCGTGGCTCTGACACTGGGCTGCGCTGCGGGTACCCACGTACGCGGCGATATCCTTCCATTTCCCCTTACCATAGATGCGTAGAGCCTCGAGAAACCGAGCGTGCTCTTGCAAGCTCCATGCTCGTTTAAAACGAGCCCGCTTTAGAGACGGTTCAGCGTGGCTCGTTGCCCGCCACGCTTCCCAGAAGCGCAGCGCCGCCGGTCCGCAGAGCTCCTCCTCGCGTCCTTCTCTGCCACCTGCGATCAAAATGACTGCTGCCCCGCTCTTCAGCGCGCACCTACGTGCGTCCTCTGACAAGTAGTCGGCACCTCGCCCTTGCGATAAGCTATATTCGCCGACTGTCGGCCGCGCAGATGTTTCCGCAGCGCTGCCCCGGGACCCGGGGGCACCGGCGAGCTCGCCTTTGTCGCTTTGACGTAGAGTTCCGACCGCTGTACTCGCTGTTGCGCCAGAACGGCACACCAGCTGCTCACGTGGCGCAACAGCAACCGCATCAACAGCTTCTGGTCCTTGTGCCGCCCGCGGCTCGCTCAAGTCCAGCTGGTCACGTTGCCAGTCGTCTGCAGCAAGAAACTGCGCAGCGTGGAAAGGACAACGCCCCAGACGACCACAAAAAAGCTGCTTACAGTTGCGCGCTCCACACACTCGGAACCCGTGCAGGTTAAACACCTTGTCGGTACCGTCCTTCAAAACAAGCACGGCTGAAAGCGTCCCACTTGTTGCCCCCGTGGACTTGCCTGGGTCCATACCTTCACCGCAACCCAAACTGCAGGGCGAAAGCCGGTATCCGTCGCAGTGGATGCGCCGCAGATGATTGCATTTGATATGTCCTTATTGTACAGATATATCCCGCACCCAACTGCTCGCTGGCGCGCACCTGCCGCTGTCTCTGCTGTTGCTAGGCAACTGCGTTCGTTTGTGAGCTGCTGTTGGGAAGCTTTCGAACACTTTCGTGGAAAACTCTACTTTCTTTGGGGCACAAGCTTCATATCCGCAGAGGGGCTCGGACAGGGACGCCCGACGCCGGGTTGCACACCTCGGCATGTCGAACACTATCACGTCCGAGGAGGTCAACTACCTAGTCTTTCGCTACCTATTGGAGAGTGGTTACACCCACTCGGCCTTTACTTTTGGTCACGAGGCGCTTGTGCTGGAAAACGACTTTGATGCTACTGGAGTTCCACCAGGGGCTCTTTTGGGTTTTCTGCAGCGAGGCGTCAGCTACGCTGAGATTGAAGCGCACGTTGCGCGCTTGCACGCAGAGCGCGTCAAACGTAGCACAAGCTGCGAGGAAAACGGTGCGCTTGCCCCCGAGACCGTCAGTTCTGCGGATAAAAAAGATGCAAGGACTCCGGTAGTTGTCAACCTTGCTGACGTACATCGGGCGCTGGTCAACAGGCCCAAACGACGTCGAAACGTGGTTGCAGTGGAGGCTCCGGCTCGGCGCAGCGCGACCGGTCCCGATACCGCAGCAGCGCCCGAGACACTTTACACCGTTCACGACAGCGAAGTCACCGTTCTTTACGGGCACACTGCGGAAGTTTTCGCCATAGCCTGGAACCCCGTCCACGAGTACCTGCTCGCAAGTGGGAGCGGCGATGCGACTGCTCGTATCTGGGCAGTTCCTGCTGGGCCTTCGGGACGAACCGCTGTCGCGCCGCCGCTCGAGCTTCGTCATCAGAGTTCGGAGGAACGTCAACCACGGGGTAGTCCCACGTTGTCCAGTGGAACAGATGAGGTCACTGTCAACAGCACGAGTGGAGCGCCGCTCGCTCCGGGCAATGCGCGTCAACGTCGCGCTCCATCCCGTGACGTTACCGCTCTGGACTGGTCGTCCGATGGTCATCACCTGGCGACCGCGTCGTACGACGGAGCCGCCCGCGTCTGGAGCAGCACGGGCGCACTGGAACGAATGTTTACGGTTCATGTTGGCCCGGTCCTTTCGTTGAAGTGGAACTCCACAGGGAAGCGACTGGCGACATCTAGCGTGGATCACAGCGTCGCCATTTGGGACACTTTCTCTGGTCGAATGGAACAACAGGTACAGCTTCATCGAGCACCAGTTCTCGACGTGGACTGGCAGAGCGAGGACACGCTCGCGTCATCCGGCAGCGACAAAATGATTTATGTGTGGCGCGTTGGCGAGCCAAAGCCGCTTCGAGTCTTCTGCGGGCACCAAGACGAAGTCAATAGTATCAAATGGGACCCGACGGGTACCCTGCTCGCAAGCGCCTCTGACGACTGCACCGTCAAAATCTGGCGACCTATTCGTCAGAGCGGAACAAGCGTATCGCTTGCGTCGAGAACATCCAACGGCCAGAATGTCAGTTCAAGTAGTGATTACCTCGTTCAGGACTACACTGACCATACCAAAGAGGTCTACACCGTGCGATGGAGCCCGGGCACCAATCACTACCTCGCATCTGCGTCTTTCGACAGCACAGTGCGTATCTGGGAGCCTGCGCACGGAGCTGCCAAAGCGACGCTTACTTTGGCACGTCACTTTGGGCCCGTGTTCTCCATTGCATTCTCACCGTGTGGCCAGTACCTCGCGTCCGGTTCCTCCGATCGCAACATGCTGATATGGAGCCTGCGAGAGGGCGGCAAGCTCATTCGAGTCCTGCGCTGCCAAGGCGGTATCTTCGAGGTGGCATGGAATGCAACCGGATCAAAAGTCGCAGCTGCATTGAGCAATGGCACCGTCGCTATTACCGACCTCCGCATGTAGTGACATGCGCAGCGTCCGGCGCTTACGCATACCCTCCGCAGCCGTGCTTGCACTTGGCATTTTTAGCAACGAACGCGTCCGCTGGGAGGCAATCGAGTCCAGAACGAATAGACGCTCGCAGCCACGCTAAGATCGAGTCGTTTTGTTCAGATCGCGTATCATGCAGCCTTTGAACGTATCGAAACGTGAAGAAGGGCATCATGACTTGTGCGCGGCATCCAAATGAGTTGGAACTCAGCTTTCGAGAGGCATCCTGTTCGTGAGCGGCAGCGATACGGCGTGTAGATCGGGTGCACCACTCGGGGTCGTCACTGGAGGCGCGTAACCTCAACGATATCGCTGTGATCGCTCATTGTTGAATCAAAGCCTGGCTAGGAGCCACGTCCACGTGTTTGCTATCGAGTCACCATGGTTTGCAACTATGTAGAGCCTACTTGGCGGTATGGCTCTATATCTCTCTGGCCGGTGCAGGTGTGGCGCTGTGCATGGATACTGAAGTTGTAAACGCACTCTACAGCTCATGATGGCGTATGGATCCCTCGCCTATGAATGCAATGGAGTGCCAAGAAACGTGACTGTGCGAATGCCAGCACTCGGTGCCAGGCGCCTCGGTGCCCCCTGACGCAAGTTACAGGTGTGCGTTTGCTGCTGCTCGGTGTAGCGGGTTCGTTGTGTCTTGGACGCAGCGTCTGCGAACGCTGCACTACTCGCGTCGAGCCTGTCAACGAATACCGTTCGTGACCCAGGAGCAGCACCAGTCCTAAGAGTACGGGCTAAGGTCACGAGTGTAATGCACCGAGCCTGTATCCGTTCAGGGCCCAAACTGGTCTCGAGCTGCTTCCGGTGAGCGGTGTCCAAGCGCCCGCTGCGAGTTCATAAGAACGATAAAGGGCGCTTAAGCCTTTTCCTCTTGCACAGCTCCATCCGCAGCGAGATACGACCGCCTTGTGCACAGCACCGAGCTCGCCTCGCAGAGGTCTGGCTTCAACAGTATCTTGGTCGTGCGTGTGCCTAGTAAGGGATAGTACCAGGTCAGCATCGCTTGCGAACAGAAGCTGCGGGCAACGTCGATGCGGAGCACGTTGTTGGTCGTTACCAACAACACGTTGCACGGTACGCGCAGTGCAACTTGCAAAACTCGACGAAATCACCGCACCGCATCAAAAGCACAGACGTTAACAAGTACTCGTTCAAGTGCTGATCGCCTCGGGAGAACAGCTCGTTACTATGAACGATTTGCGCGCGCAGCTGCCAACTACCCCAAGTACAAGGTTTGAAACGAACACAATGATGTCGTATGGAGATGGGATTCTTGAAGCGCTATATGGGCATGTAGATGAACCAAGGAGGCCCAACGTGGTCTCCTGATGATGCAGGCGCACAGCGCGTACCTCGTGAACCTGGATACCGCGGAGACGATCGCTGGCCTTGTCCAGGGATTCAAGCTGGACGCTCTCGGGAACGCAATCGACTTTTGAGGGACACCGTTTATCGAAAAAAAGACTCATTTACTAAACGTTTCTTTTAAACGCAGTACTATCGAATAATGGTACATGGTTATCAGCCACTGAGCGGCCACGATGACCGTTTCCAATATACATCAATATGTGGCGCACCAGCTTTGCAGCAATGCTGAACCGTTCAGTACTAGTACGGTGCTCCAGGCGAGAATCTCATTCCGCCTCTCGTGGTCACGGAGTTTTTCATCCAAAGTCCAGAGCCTCCCTGCGCACACGCATACATGTCCAGATTCCACCAAACGCAGAACAATGCGCTCCACAGAGGTATCGAGGCCTGATCGACGCAACGATGCTGCTAGCGCCGCACCAGGACAGCACGACTTTGCCTCATCGTAACACACAATAGTTCGCGAGAAAAGCCAAGCAGCCAGCATCGACGCTGACGAGAAATGATGCAAAAGAAAGCACGCGGTCGTAGATGATGATGGTCGTCATCATTATCTTCTTCTTGTTCATCTTGTTTATCATCACCGTTGACTACCTGCTCCCAGTTGTTGCGCTTACGTCGCTCTCTGCACAACCTCCACGACTGCACACAGCACAGGGGCGATCACGAGCGCCCCATTCACTCGCGATATCGACCAGCAAACGCACCGCATAGTCTGGAACGCCCACACACGCACACGCACAGCACGCACGCATAGATGTACACACATACGTGCATAGACGCGTCGCATACGTGCCTAGATGCATCGCATACGTGCATAGATGCACAGCACGCACGTGCATAGATGCATCGCACGCATGCATAGACGCGCCGCATACGTGCATAGAAGCACACACATACGTGCATAGATGCATCGCATACGTGCATAGATGCACAGCACGCATGCATAGACGCACACACATACGTGCATAGATGCATCGCATACGTGCATAGACGCGTCGCATGCTGCGCCGCCGCCGTGCCGTTCCTCCGCCCGATCGCCATCGCGACGGCAGGGCAATGTTCGCTCGAACGTCAGTCGTGAGCATTCCACATAGATACACAGAGCACCCCCTGAGACTTTGGTAGACCAGCACGGACTGCGACGAAACCTTGTAAGCTGTTCCGACGTCGTGGGCTTTCAACGGTGCTGTTCGCAGTGGTAAGCTGTTTCGAATAGAGGACACGCCAGCATGCAACGGTTCTTGGTGTGCGGTGGCTTGGATGCGCTCTTAAGGCGCACATTAGCGCGCGCAACGAGCACGAGCACGCGTTGGCGCAACCTTGAGATCCTTGACGTACCCGTACATAAGGATAAGACATTTCCGCAAGGGTATTGGTTCTGGTGGCGTAGCAGTGGACTTTTAGTTCCTGGTGGGCGTACGAGGCGGTCAGCGCTACAGCCGAGCGTGCCCTGCTGCGCGAGCATCGCGACCAAAGCCAGCGGTTCGAGTGCCTCGCTGTCGCCGCCGCGTGCCTCGGCAGCTATGGACACATCAAATGATGAAGCCACGGACTTGCAGCCGCCGGTTCGGGGAGCGCCGCCTGGAGCGATGCCCACCGCGGAGGATCAAGCAACCGGACTGGAGCGTTTGGAGCTGGAGTACCCCGACCTTTTCAAACACAACGAAGTTATCCGCGGGCCTTTCGGGACCATGGATGCTCCGGTTATGGTCGAGAGCGCCTACAACAGCCGTATCGTGGGTTGCACGGGTCCCGCTGCACCCAATGATCACGACCTCTACTGGCTCGAAGTGCGGAAAGATCAACCCGCAGTTTGCCCACTTTGCGAACAGGTATTTACGCTTAAACAAGTGACGTAAAATGGCATGCACCATACGCTCGCGAGGACAGGCGCCCAGGTCTCTTGTATGGATTCGTATGTCCGTACCTGCTGTGGATTTTGGTGCACGCCCAGTATGCGTTTTCGTCTACGAAAGCCGGCAGGCAACACGCCCGGCCAGACGCGCTACTGAACGGTGGACGCATGGCGCGCAAGCACCAGGAAAAGCAACGGATTCCCGTTGATGAGAGCACGTGCTCTGATTCAGCGGCTCCAGACCGATGGTGAGCGCGATCATCAGGACTCACTAGACGCTTTCCAATCGATATGTCTCTGTCAGTAAACCGCAATGTTCGTCTGCCTAAAGCTGTTTTGCGCGAAACCAAGCCGCGAACGGTAAATATTCATATCTGTGAGGTTGCGAAGCATGCGCGTAGTGAACAGCACTCGTCAACGCGCTTCGTGGACATCCTCCGGGGGTACGCTGCAGGCGCACTGACCGGCAGTTGTGCCGAACTTAGCGTCACCTTTGCATGCTAGCATACGGGCCTTTATGCATACAAGTGTGGCGGTTTGCTTACGTGGTTATGTGCTTGCATTGTGAATTCGCAAGGAACATTGCATCCGCCTACACGAGTATCCGACGAAAATGGAATACGGAAATACGCGATTTGGTCCTGATTTTCAGTTCTTGCAACGTTTCCCGGGATGCCCAGCCGCGACAGTCGATGACAAGCACCCACGCCTCTCGTTTCCTCACATGCAGCGTGCGCACATCACGCATTCGTCATGTTTTTGATCTGTGTATTTCAGGGTGACAAGTGGGCTTCCCGATTTGCACCGCCGGACTGACGACGAAGAAAAGTTGATCGTCGTCTCCGGATGACCTGTTAACAAGCGCACGCCGAATGTTCCCTGAATATGTAAATTCAAGGAATCAGTGACATTCGAAACGCAAGTCGTCCTCAGTTTGTATCCGTCGACGAAGCAGCATTCGATAGGACCAGCATGAGACCCCTTCATACGATATGGTATCACGAGCGTCCGTCTCTTCTGTTTGGATGGAAGAGCGTTTTGGACTCGGAATTCACTTGTCGTGGCAACTGCTATGAGGGTAGCTTGCGTCAAAACTTTATAGGAAAAGAGCGTTGGCTGATCGAAATTTGTCTCGACTTGATCTCGAGCCTGAATACTCCATCGATGCTCTGGCGGTTCACAAATCCGCTGGCGAACGGGACTGCTTTCGCTTGCGTGTGCTTTCGTCCGCGTATGTGTCACGTGGAACGTCCATAACATGCCCGACATCTTTATAAAACGGTAGTGGGCGCGGCGTTGAGCTAGGGCATGGACGGGAGCTCGCTGCACCCGTCGAGGGCATGTACCAAGCGTTGAAGCAAACGCTCGCGTGCCGCAGAGCAGCGCTCGGAACAGGAGGCTCGGACTACATAGATGCAAACGCCTGACCACAATCAAGTGTCACTGCTGGTGCGGAGGTCGCACCGAGGTTCTCTACACACCTGATGACTATGGCAAACGAGGCGTCGATCGCAAGTTTTGCATCTCCATGAAATGCCTCGAGAATAGCTTAATTGTGGAATCGGATCATTTACATTGCTATGCACATCCAATTTCTGTTTGCAAAGCAGCTTGAAACAAAGGAGAGACTCACGTATTCAAATCCGAAGACTATCGAGAAGAGAACGGAAGCATACGCAAAAAAATCAGCCTGCAGAGGATGCTTTTGCTGGCACTGGGAACAATAGCATGTGCACCAAAATGAGCGTTCACGTTCTATTTGATGCTGACTAACTTGGGCCAGGGCCATTCACAAAACCCATGGTACAGAAACTCTTACGCTCAATGCATCCATCGTACAGCATAAAAAACTCGAACCCTTCTGGCCGGAAAGCACGTTTCTCGCGTACGCCTTGCGACGCACGCGTTCCTGGCATCTGTCGTGAACCGGACGCTCGACAAACCGTGCGTTCCGCAAACGCCGCTCCGTTTCGAACGATCCCAATGATCACAACAGAGACTCGTAGGTGACGCAGAGACCACAGAGTGCACACTGCTTGCGCCCGAGAGCATCCTGGGAATTCGAAGCGCCCACAAAGACCCACTCGTGTTCATGGGCGGCACGCTGATCAGCGTCGTCGTCTGCTCCTGCAGCGGTTGCGGCAGGCACGCGTTCTCGTTTCGCGGGTTCCGCGGCAGACGATGAAGACGTCTGCTTGCCCGCTTTGCGACTGGAGAACGTTGCATTCGTGTCCTGGACCTGAAATCCGCCATATCGTTTCCTCAAACGCTCTTTCGCTACAATAGTCCGAATGAGTTGTCGCCAGCGTCGCAGCGCGTCCTCTCGCATCCTTTTTTCGGCTCGTTCTCGTCGCCGCTTGATCTCTGCTTCACATGCATCCGTAAGCGCTGCAGCGTTTTCGGTGCAGACGACGACACCGCGAATAGCTGGAACGAAGCCGCATGCTCGTACCTCAAAACCGACCATCGCTGGTACGAAGTCAAAGCCGAGACGGCGCGCAAACATGGCAGCGAAAGGCAAGTCGACATGCGTTGTTCCCAGAGGCAGGTGATTCGGCGTCCAGAGCTCGATATTGCCCCGCAGGCCACATCGAGGGACAATACCATTTTCAGCTCGAGGTCGCGGCATGGGGTCCGTCTGCCAAATACCGAATAGTTCCGTCGGACCTGCGGTGGCAGTCGACGAATCCTCGAGCTCTTCAGGTGCTTGCTGGCGCCGTTCTCTACGTCGTTCTTCACGACGTTGTCGAAAACGGGACATGAACGATTGCACGATTTTGTAGGGCAGCTCGCTCTCCCGAACGATTCGGCATTCACGAAACCAGCGCTCCCGGGTATGCAACAGGTGAACATCTCGTCGACGGTAGACAGGTATAGTTTGAATCCGTCCGTTTGGCTGGATGCGTTGGATGTTTCCGATGGCAAGCTTCGGATGAATCGCCTCATACTTTTTCAAATGTTCCTCAAGCACAAAAGCGGGGTGATTTTTCAGCGCAGAAATGGATCGAGGAATGGGTTCCGCTTCATGTAATCCCCAAAATTCATTTTGCTCCAAATTGTCCAGTGCATTCCAGAGCGTGCTGCGTTCCCTGAACGCGTCGTCGTCGATAGCGTCGTGCTCTGTTTCAATCAGGTGTGTGCGTGGCTGAAAGGGGCTCAGCATTGGGAGCACCTCCTCGGTCCAGTAGCGATGACCGTCAAGACTGCGAGCCTCGAGTACAGGTTGGAACCGGGTTGTGTAGCGGCGGGTGACGTCACGTCCAAATCCATGCTCCAGCGCGAAGATATACGGGACAACTCGTTCGGCACGCTCCCGTTTCCATCGATTCGTGGGGAGCTCGGGAGTCTCGAGCTCGCTCGACGCCGTGTCGCTCTCGCTCTGTGAGCGATCTCCACTGCGCCCATCCATCTCATTGTATGTTGCATCGGGACGCAGCCTTGATGAGCGTCGCTTCGGTCGTTGGATACGATTACCGTCACCGTCGTCTTCTTCCCGTGGTTCGTTGGAAACGTCTCCTTTCAGGGATCTTGTCTTAGACGGATTCAGGTGCCGATCCCGCTGGCCAGTTGCCGCGGACCGGGGCAGAGGCCGCGTCGTACGGGTCCACCAAGGCAGCACCGTGACGGCTAGCGGGTCGTCGACCAAGCATCGCATCGGATCGAGATGGATCCAGTGCTGTTGAGTCGGATCCCATACCTCCAGCCAGTATTGCGGCACTCGGTAAGGATCCGCGTTCGTGAGATTCCATCGACCAGGAACAGACAAGGACCATAATCTACCCGTCTTTCTGGCCTGCGAGCTCCGATCGCTCGACTCGGCTGTGCGACGATGGGCAACCTGCGGAGATATGTTCACGCCCACTCTCCACGGCGCGAGAAAAGCCGATTGAATCTGATACGCCCATAAGTATGTCGAACGCGTATTGCCTCTTGGATTGGAGTAGCGCTCAGCGGACTCGAGCGCACTTGCGGTACGTTTGCTGTCGCGCGTAAGCCAGTTCTGGCGCGTTCTTTGGGTTTTGCTTGTCGAGAGGCCGCGTCCAGCTTGCTGCTGCTGATGATGAACGTCACGTTGCCGCACTTGCGGCGATTCAAGGGCGCGTCGCGGCAACGAGGCTTCTCCAGTGTCTGCATCCAAAGTCGACGCCTTCGAGTGTACCGCGGGCGGCTGCGCTTCGACTCCATGTGCCTGCATCGCATGCTTCTGCTGTAGACCGTGCGACGATCGAGAGTTCCGCAGTGGCTTACCGGGTCGTTTCCGATTGAGTGGTGGTTCCAATGGACATTGCTTTTTCGATGGAGGCACATCGGCTGGAGCTGGAGGAAACCAATGCTCCAGGATGGCCGAAAGTCGTGCTTGCCAAGTCGGTAAACCAGATCCCTGATCGACAAGTTCCAAGTGCTCGGGTTTGCGGCCAATTATATTTGGGCCTGCAACGAATCGCACGAGTCCGTATCTCTTCAGCAGCACAGTGCTGCCATCGGGAACTGGGGCGGACTGCACGCGCTTGCCCTCAGGCCGCGCTTGCGACTGAAAGTTCAAACGACCGAGCAACGCTCGTAGCATGGCGCATGCAAGAGCAACCAGCTCTTGTTCACCACCCAAGCCATGCAGCATAGCGTGCTCTAGACGGGTATGTGGTGTGCGTGGAACTGGCACTGAATATCCTGATTCGTCGGGGCAGCATACCTCACAGGGGAACGATGACTGCCGGTAGTTCGACGCAAACCAGACCACAAAATACGTCAAAGCCTCTGCAAGACTAGACGAAGTCTCCCTAAGGGCATCTTCAGGGATTCGGTCAAAACGCTCGATTACCTCGCATGGAACTAGGGAGAGTGCGCGGGCCTGGATAGTTGCCGCACTGGAAAGTCGATCGAAAGTGAGCGACGACGCCAGCATACATAGAAGATGTATGCGATGTATGCGTAAAGCATTGGCACGCTCTGCAGCGGAAAATGTCTTGGTCATTTTTCGCTTGGTTGCAAGTGATCCTCGCCGGCGCTTCGCAGCCCTATGATCAGCGTCTGAGCCAGTGGAGTCAGCTTGCGAACGGGACACCCCGCTCGCGCTATCTGTACCCTCTTCGTCGAGCTCGAGAACAACTTCTAGCTGGTCTTTTGTTTGCACAGGAGATGGCTGCTCTGCCGCACCCTCTGTCCAAGCAGACTCCCACTCTATATCCTTCTCGAGGTCCGCTGCGGGCGAGAGTGCGCGCGGATTCTCCTGCAGGGCTGTGGTTGGAACAGTGCGACGCGGAGGCTTCGTGTCTGGGCTTTCTTCAGCGACCTCAACATCCGCCACGTTCAATCGCTTCAGAGCTTCCAGTGCTGCACGACGAGCTTCCCGCACTATGCGAGTGGGTGCTTGCGGTGCTGCAGCGGCGTTTGCGGCGTCCGTCCTACGAGTTCGCTTTGTTGCTCGATCCAGCGTTCTCTGAACCGCATCGTTCGATGCGGTTTGCAGCGTTCCGACAACCGAAGACTCTTCCGGTGTAGCTGAACCGCCCCCGCCCTGACCGCTGGTCATGGTAAATCGAAGTTCGAACTGGGTTAAACGGATCTACGAAAACTTGGTGAAAAGCGCAGAGGCCTGTGTGAAGTGGCGTACGAGGTGGATATGTCTTTCTGTCTCATAATGTCTAGTTACAACAGCGCTGCACTCGTGGCGACACCCACCGTCTGCAACTGCTGCACCGTTTCTGCAGATATGCGCTGGAAGATTATGTGTCATTTCTCGGATCGCTAGGAAGCCTCAATCGGAGCACACTTTGAAAGGACTTGGGCGTCACGGGGCTCTTGTGTAACCGCGTTGAGCTCCGCGCGGACAAGCGCTAAACTGGGTAACGCAAAACGTTCGCAGCTCAAGTTCGAGAATGAGAAAGTGTTTCTAGCCTCGCGGAACCAGCGACACGCAGCTAGGTAGACAAGTGAGTTCGCGGAACGCGAGTTCTTGCTGGCCTTGCGTCTAGCGTCGAAGTGAAGCTCAACGTTGCACAGCGCTGGGTCTTTCCAAGTTACCGTGAGAGCACCTGGGGTGAACCGCAGCTGCCGACACGTTGAGATTGTGGAATCGCACGAATTCCATGGAGCAGTACGGGCCTGTTTGACTTGTACTTGAAAGTTCACCATGCTTGCAACCTTTCTTGCGAAGAAGCGAGTTACGGAAAGAGGTTCTGGTTTTGGAGGACGTGAGCGCCGCGCGGAAGGCCAATGCGCGCTCCCCGCAACAAGCATAGTTCCATGGGCTCTGGACGCGAAAGTTTATGCCCGCGACGTTGAGTGCTGAGCTTGAGGTTTCTAGTCTTGCTCAGTGAATAACGCGGAAAATGCATAGAGCAAAACAGCAGGCAGAAGGAAAAGCAGTCCCCAACCCGGTCTGGTGCAAGCTCGCACTCACGAGCGATGCGTCTGGCGCCATGGGGAGGAATGGCATCGGCACCGCAGCTTGCTGCTGGCAGTGCCGAAGCGCCACCGGACTCGTCGCCGCTGCCTACAAAGCTGTGTCCCAGACACGCGTGAATTCGAATGAAGCTAACGGGTGCAAGGCGGGTGCCACAGGCTGACATCGCGACGCCGCACGATGCACCGACATCGACGACAGTTGACGCCAACGCGCAGCCTAGAACGACGCCGAGTGGAGCATAACGCGCAGCGCCTTTTGCGCTGAGACCTGCTAGCCTAAAGCACTGCTGCGGATGCGAAGACTGACGAGCTTCATGGACTGCTGGGAACGATCTCACAGCTGCGGTGTGCACTGGAGAAACGAAATCGAGTCCGGATGCTTCCGTTCGGGCATGCCAATGAGCAGAACACGTCTCAGGTGCGACGACGACAACGGATACCGCGAATTCGCAGCCTGTTGGTAACTCCATCTGGTGCTTCTCCAGCGTGTTATTTCCGTGCAGGTGGGCGTTGTATTCGACCAGCGCCGCTGCGAACGGCTGTGCGCGTGTTCGCTATGGTGCATTCCCGGAGCAGCAGCGACCGCCTCTGCGTCACCAGGTATCCAGGATGCTGTGCAGCATGGTCATTACCGGAGTCTTTGCGAGGCGCAGGCCTGCATCGCTGCTTCCGCCTCACCACGGAGGACGGCTTGAGATCGCTAGACATGTCGTCTACGATCGGACGCTGCTGCTGCTGCTGCTGCTGCTGCTGCTGCTGCTGCTGCTGCTGCTACTGCTGCTGCTGCTGCTACTGCTGCTGCTACTGCTGTGGGTAGAGCATTGCCCGCACAAGGCCGCTTGCGCGTAGTCCACGGTGTCGAGCCGCAGCTGCCGCTTGTGAATACCGCTGTTGCCGGCTAGGCGTCGACCGCTGAGCCTTGGAATCTGCTAGGTTTGAAAAAGTCAAATACTTCTGCATGCTCATTACTCACCCAAATCAGTCCATAGTGACGCATCAAGAGGCGCAGCTCTTCGACTTCATCGAGTGCAACGATGCGCTCGATCCTGCTCCGTTCGCAAGCGTCGTCCCGGAGTCGCTGGTAGACCTCCATCATATCCATGCCGCGGCCCGGATGCTTCGATGCCGCTCCAGGTGCAAACAACGACTCAAGGTTGCGAACAGCCTCATCCAGGGTCGCGCGGCAATTCAGACCTTGCAGCGGAGCACCGCGTTCTTCTAGGCGTTGTTGCATGTGGCGACCGAACGCGTCGTCCAGGCCGATCGGATCGTAGCACACCAGCAGTGCCGGGTGGTTCGCGAACTGCTCGCGCAATGCCTCTAGGACATTCACGGTATCCGCCGGCGACAGGTACGCCAGAACGCACTCCAGGAGAATGAGCGTGAAGCTCGGTTCGCGCCGCATGCCTCCATGTCGCTGCAGGCGCTCGAGAGCAGCACCGAGAACGGAGCGGCCGCTGCAGAGGTCCGCCGCGATCAGCGCATACACCGGGGTTTCGAGCACCACCTGCACCTTGGATGCAACATCGGGTGCCTGCGCGCCAGCGACGGCGACTCCCGCGTATGCGTCCGCGCTTCCCGCACCGCGTGCCTGCACGTCGGCGACAGGTGCTTGGATGGCGCGAGCGAGCGCTGCCTGCCGTCGAATGCACAACGCCTTGAGCGACGCCACCTGCTCGGTATCCAGTTCATGGTAGCGAACCTGCGGCAGCGGCACTTCTCGGTGTGATGAAGACGCCGCCACGCTTGCCTGACGCGACCGCTCTAGTAACCAGAATGGCATACTATCGAGTCCAGCGCCGAGCGAGAGCAACTGCAGCATCGGTGGCTGGTGGCTCGCGCCCGCTTTCAACCGCAGGCGCTCGAGGACTGTGTCCATGATGTGACGCAGCGCCATGACCCGAGCGTACGTGCCGTGCAGGAGCACCGCGTCCAAGCCACTGCTATTTACACGCAACGACCGCGGTACTCGTTGGCCTAGGCTCAGCAGTTGCGCAGTCCCAGCGCCGTTATGCCCGTTTCGCTGGCCTCCTACCAGCGTTTGATGCCCCGCGGCATTCAAATGCGTGCCCTCGCCGTCGTCTACATCGCCGCACGCTGAATATGACGATGACGCGAAATCTGGGCCAGCAGCTTCTCGGAACGCCTTGCCACGGCCTGGGTGCGGCGCGCTGCTTCCGCTTGGCTTGCCACCTCGGTCGACAGTGGGTATCGATGCGTGCCGCTGGCTGCCGTCCGAAATCGCTGCTGACAAACCGCCGTGCTGACACGGCAACCGCTGCCGCTCTCCACGCCGTTGCGGGCACGATGTTGCCGAATCAGCTGCCAGCCTCTGGATCGGATCCAGTAGCGCGATGTAGGCGTCCTCGAAGAAGCCGCACCGCGCAGCAAGGCATTTGGACAGCCATGCGTCGTAACAGGTACGTTGCACCGGTCCCAGGAGTCGCTCCAAACCTACATCCTCATCGGTGCTAGCTCGGGAACCTGCAGAGGTCATTGAGCACACCCGCTTGCCGCGTCCCGCTCGCTGTAAACGCCTTGGCGCTTATCGGGGCCGGAACGCACCCCAAAGCTCTAGGCAATGGATGTGCCTTTGGTACGAGATCAAAAGTCACTCAAACCGACCATCAGAGTGTTTTTAGCAAGCTGCAGGCCCAGTAGCTCGCAAACGTCCGGCAAGTGTGGACGTGCGAGGCCGTCTATTTCTTGCTTGCTGACTACGCACTGAACAGCAATCCCAGCGGCGGGGCGCGAACGCAGGCTCCGCACGGGCAGTGCGGCGCACGCTGCAGAGGTCGCTGCCGAGTCGCTGCCACCAGCGGGACTATTTCGTCGTCAGCACACGGTTTATAGCTATACGCGGCAGATGCGCGCAAACGGTACGTTAGAGTGTGCGGACGTTCGTCATGCTTGACGAGCGCCGAAACTACGACGAAGAAGCGCGCCGTTGCTGTACACGCTGCACAAAGCGCGCTTCCCACTCGATGGAACACCAAGCATTCGTCATGTCGTACTTGGCCAGAGCATAAAACCGTCTCTCGAAGCGACATAAAAAAACCCAGATGCCCAGAATGGTTACCTTGGTAGAGTTTCTCTAAGCGAGCAGCTCCTAACGTAAAAGAGCATACCCAGGTGCTACAAGCTCAACGCAGTTCATAAGCGGCACTGCAGCATGCGGATGCGTGCTGTCCATGCGTGCTGTCTGTGCACGCATGGACACGTGTCCATTCGTGCATGCGTGCAGCACCGGATGAAAGTGTCCATTCAGATTCATCAAGATGCAGATTGGTGCCCTGGAATCTAGAAGAATCTCGAATGCCTGGAAGCACCGGGCATTCATACACAAGTGCAGTGTCTCGAAGTAGAAGCGGAGGCATGTGAAATCAGCGAGGCATCTCTGTACTGATTGGTTGCAGAGTCGCGTTGTGCCGCAGCTGGGTGCTCGGCAGTGCCCGGCACCCGCTGCCGGTGCTGCATATTCGCCAATGGGTATATCGTTGGTGCTCAAGGAGGACGGCGGTCGCTCCAAGCTCGAAAAGAGTCTATTTGATGTAGACTGGAAGACAAAATACGAATCACGTGGTATCGGGGCATTCAGCTGCAGGGAGAGCTGTGTCTAGCGAGCAATGCCGCATCGCGTATGGTAGCTAGTTTGGAAAGGCGCAGGATGAACGCAGTCGTCGCCATTCGGGACGGTGCTCAATCTGCACAGTCGAAAGCGCGCAGAGGACCGGCGGTAAAATAAAAAAGATAATGAACAAGTCGCGCGTTACGTCCACTAGGTAAATCGGCGGGGAACAGCGCATATAATGAACAAAATAGCGAACCGGCCATATTGTGCACGTGAACGCACGACGGCCAGACCAGAAACACTGCGTTCATGCTCGCGTCAAAGGTTCATGATCAAGAACCTCGAAGCTCCCTCGCCTGTCCAAACGTTGCATCCTATTTCGGTCTCACGTAGCGCTTACCGAGAAGATGGACTATGCCCCGAATGATCCCAGAGCGAAACTCCATGTCGCCGCACTGCGCCAAGCCTGGGAACCAAGCGGTCATCCGACGCTCGCCACAGTCTCCAGAAGGGTATCACAATGGTAAGCATTACGAACGGGCGCGATCACCTGCCACAGGACTCACACGTCTATACTCAGTTGCGGCTGCGGGGACTACCGATGCGGCGGTCTCTCTCGACACGTCCGCGTTGTGCACACTGCGCTCTGCAGCAGGGATGCTCTCTCTCGATCCACAAGTTCCTCTGTTCCAAAGGTTATCGATTCTCTAAGTATGAGAGAATCTGGAAGCGCCCGAACATAAACACAGTGCTCTCCGCTGATTCCAGTAGCCTATGCGCAACCAGAAAAATTTGCTTTGTGGCGCCTACTTCCCATATTTTAGCGTGAATGTCGAGAACGCGTACGCCGCTGGCATCCAACATCGACGTTGCCGTCATCGCCGTCGTTATCGACGTTGCCGTCATCGACGCTGCCGCCGTGTGCATCGTTACAGATCGATGTATCCGCGGGATCACCGTAGATGTCACGTCTCATCCAAATGGTCACGTTTTTGAAGGGCGATTTCGACGCTCTCGTAAGATGGCGCGCGTCAAGGCATCGCGGGTGCGAAGATTGCGCGCCGCGCGGCAGCGTTCGCCTCGCGGTGAATCGAGCGCTGCGTTCCATGTGTATCCAGCTCGCATGTAACAGTTGAAGCGTTGCTCACTGGAGACTTTTGGGAAAGGTCCTTTTTGGGACGTACAACGAAAAGCGCTTGTTGTTCTGTATCATCTATATTGATACCGACAGTGGTGCTGAGGTTTGACTTTACACTGGAGCAGTGGCTTAACTTCTATTCGTACAGTAGAGGTGTGGAAACGGAGCGTTCTTGAAGCGGACGCTGGCGTGCACTGTTTTGCGCGCGGTGCGTACCCGGAAGTTTGCGAGCGTGTGCGCCAGGTTTTGGGGACGGCAGCACGCAGAGCGTGTTTGCTCTCTTTGTTTTGGTAGGAAATCGACAGCTGAGGGGAGCAGGAGGTCATCTTCGCCTGGGAGCGTTTGCGGACTGGGAGCACCGGTGCAGGTTGCTTGCGTGCTGCAACGTGTTTGCACTCGCAGCACTCTGTTGAAGCGCTGTGATTATACCGCTTTTGAAATTCTTCACAAAAAGTTGCGAAGACGGTTTTATGCTCATAGACTTGACTGTTCCTTGTCTCTGAAAAAGAATCTGTGAAGTTTTCGCGACTCGAAGTTGGAGACTTTATCTGGCGACTCGACTCGAAGGAGCTGTATACTTTTGTCACTTCTGGGTTGCGTGCGCTGCCAGAGCGCATATTGTGGGAGCTTTGTTGCATCAGCTTGGCTGCAGGGCCGTTGTAGCGACAGCGCTCGGTGTTTCGGAGGGTTCCATCGGGTTTCGTAGAGGTGCTTTTGGTGCGGAACGATTCCAGCATTCCAGCGACTGAACATGGACGCACCTAAGCCGGGAGAGTGGTCGAATACGATTCCGTCTCTGAACAGGGTATCTCCGGAACTGGGGAGCGCGAGTGAACGGGAGCCCACGAGCACTGGTACCGCTGCCACAGGCCGGAATTTCTGGAACAGGTCCTGTTATCCGTCGCGGCTTGAAAACAACCAGTTTGTTTTCTTGGATACAGGGTTGCTTTTCGAATGCCTTGGTGATTTTGAGAAAGCTCGAGTAATGTACAGTCAGATCGCGAAGCCGATCCTTTCGGGCACGTCTCCAGAACGACTGAGAATGCTGGAAACCGACATTGGGGCCCAGCTTGCCCTGGTTCGTCTCTGTCTCATTGATTACCGGCGCGGTCATCTGGAGGAAACCCAGCAACGACTAGAGCTCCTCCTGGAAACCTGCCCACGCTTTCGTCTGGGCTGGTTGGCTCTCGCAAAAGCGCTCCTTCTGCGCCACAAGATTCCGGGTGCATTTGCGGCCTACCAACGCTGCATGGAGCTTGATCCCGAAAGCGCCAAGGATCCCCTCGTGTGGACTGGCATAGGCATTCTGTATCAGCTATACGGGCAGCTCGAAGAAGCCGCTGAGGCATACAAAGTCACCCAAAGACTTTTGCCCGTTAATGACGAATTCCGAGATGTTGCTTTATTCTACCTGGCGACCTTGAAATGTGCGGCTCGAGATTATGATGCAGCCTTGGCCCTGTTCACACAGGCTCTTGAATACCGCGTCGAAGAACGTAGCGCAGCGCTTCTTATGACGAAGAAAACTCGGCACAGTGGCAACGCTGTCGAAAATGATCAACCGAGTACACTGCGTATCGGCAACGAGACCGCACCACTGAGCACTGCCAATCGACGAGCAACTTCCTTCACTACGGATACGAGCGCAGCTCGTGGCAATGGACCGCTGCTACCATCAGGGTCAAACAATGGGCGACAGCGTGAATCTGCTGCCACAAAAATGGTGCTCGGAATGGCTCAGAAAGAGTACGAAACCCTGGAGAGACAGCGCCTCTTCCGCGCTCGCCGCGCGCTCCTCGACCTGGTTCTCGACGAAGAACTATCCGCGTTATCAGATGGGCGAACCTGGTGCGAGATTGGCCACGTATACATGCTTTGCCAAAATTTAGCAGAAGCGCGTAAGGCCTTCGAAAATGCGCTCATCGCAGACCCCGGAGATGTCGATGCACTGCAGCAGCTCTCTTGGACGCTCATCTTGCTGAATGAGGTACCCATTGCGCTTGAGCATCTTCGGCGCTGCGTTCAACTCGATCCGAATCGGGCACATAGTTGGTATTTGTTGGGTCGCGCCTATGCCCTCAGTGAGCAGCATTTAGAGGCCTGCAACGCGTACCAGCAAGCAGTATTACGGGAGCCGAATAACGCAAGTTACTGGTGCTCAATTGGTGTGCTCTACTACCAGGCTCAACAGTATTCGGATGCTGCTGATGCGTATATGCGGGCTATTCGCTTGAATCCTGGACTTGCGGAGGTCTGGTTTGACCTCGGCATCCTCTACGAGAACTATGGACAATTTGCTGATGCGTGCAGTGCTTACCATCGCGCCATGAGTCTGAATCCCCATAATATCAGCTACCTGGAACGATATCGGGCTATGTGTTCAACGCTTCAGGCTGGTGAGGCAGTCACCAGTGCCCCCGGGCGGAGCGCTCCCAAAACAACCGGCCAGGCGATACTGCCGTCAGCGCCGGCTGCGCAAGGCCTGTCTTATCCACCGGATAGCCGCCGTCAGGATACTTTCCCGCCGCTGCATCGCACGTATCCGGCTCATGCTCAGATACCTGCGCAGGTGACGTCGCGACGAGACGCAGCCTACCCTGAAACACGTACTCTTGGTGAGCGTGCCTTTTCGGGGCAGGCTCCGGGCGTAATGGGCATGGTGCCGACGCAACCTGAACCGTGGGCAGAAACATTGCACCGATTAGATGCTGGAGGAGGAGGAGGAGGAGGATCTGCGGAAGCAGCAGTCCCCGGCACTGAGCAGATCAGTGCAGGAATGTCACGGGCTCATCAGTTGCCAAGCGTAGCCTCGAAACTAATGACCAAAGATCCCGGGCCTCCGAACCAGGTGAATCCTCTGCTGCGATCCGCAGCCGGGCTGGACCGTCGAGAGGGCATTGCCGATGCGGACACCTTGGCTGCTGCTACAACTGCTGCTGATGCTTCATGGGCACCGTCGCTGTCGGTTGCAGCGACGGTGCAGCAGCCATCAACAGGGCCACAAGCTATAGCAGGTGCTTACCGCCTGGAGACCGGTCAGCCACGAGGCACACCAGCCGTTCAGGTAACTGTAACAGCATCGAACGAACCTGTGGAGACGAATCGATCGCTTCCCAAAATCAGTTTGGAAAAATGTCCGATCGAGAACACCATTGAGCGCAATAAGCGCTTGATCATTCTCTCGGAGAAAAAGAGTCGCACAATTTCGCACGAGGAGGCTACAAACCCCCCGAGTGGCGACCAGAACCTGGCACCTGAATCGGCAGGTTCCACCACGAAAGTTGCGCTTGTCCAACGACAGCCAACGCCCGACTCGACGGATACCGAACCGACGGATGCGGAGACCAGTTCCTGAACGCTAAGACAGATTCGCATATGCAAGGGTTTGCGGGTTGTTCGGTGTTCTCGCTGCACTCGATCACGATGCGCCCGGTTTCCCGAACGCTAAAACTTTTTAGCAGACGCAAAACGTTTTCCGTCACAACGTGTGTGTCTCCCCTGCACCTTCTCAATGAATGCCCAGTCGCCAAGGACACCAGCCAAGTGTTCGCCCAGCGCTGGACCCTTGTCGACACCCCACCACGATCGCAAACCGCAGTGCAGCAAGCGCCAGTGCTCGTGCACCCTGCGAAGCGACACTCGAAAACGTGGAAACGCTTCCATCCGCGTCTGACGCTTTTTCTTGTCGTTTCTGGTGTCGTCGCTCTTGTTGACAACGCTTGGAGCACACCGAAACCTGGTTCCAGCATCGAGCCCACTTTTTTCGCCACGTAAACGGACGTCCACACACCTCGCAGACTTTGGTGGGTAAGTGTTCCTTATCGACACCACGAGGCATCTTGCGTGCAAGTGGCAGCCTTCGGTTCAACGAATACGGTTTCCTGTTTTATTCGGTGCACTGACTGTAACGTCTATTTTGGTCGTGGCGTCGGAGCGCTCTCCCTAGAGAACGCTTTCACGAGCGACTCCTCGAGTGTTCCTGCGTCCTCTGCATTCGATGCTCAAGGCGAGCAACCAGCACCTGTTCGATGGAATCGTACAGCAGCAGTATTCAGGGCGTTTCCGGGACCAGCGTCGCTTTTTTTTTGTGGAAACCAGGTGGAGCCTTCAGGTACGTCTCTTCAACGCATCTTTCACGAAACGCAGTACTGAAACAGAGCACATAGGATCTAGGTTCTAGAGCTGAGGCACTGCGCTTTTGTCGCTCAGCGTGCGAAGCTTGTGCTGGTTGTTGAGAGCGCGATACCGCGGGGCCTCAGCAGCGAATCCTCACCGACCGAGTCGACGACAACACCGGGTGCGCAGCGCACGATGTCGCCTGCTGGAGTCGCTCGTTGGCCTCATCCGAATACGAACGTACCCTGCAATCGCATACAACTGGACCAGGGGTTTATGAACATATTCATGAGTAACGTATCGTTCGCATAGTGACCCTCCCGTGTCTGACAAAAAAGCCTCTCGGTACGTTCACGTAACCAGGGCCCGCAACTGGTGCCGCTGGACCCCATGGAGGCATGCCGTACAAGCGGCGACTCACGGACATTTCAGAGTTTCGAAGCGATACGCCACGCTCTTCTCGGAATGTCTGCGAGCTGGACGGTAACCTCACGAACCCGAAGCCCTTTCCACTTTTCCCGAATGGCCTCTTCCTCCGAAGGCGATGGATGCGCTCGGTTCATTGCCGGTGGCAACTTGTCTGACCATGCTTGGGTACCGCCCTGCAGCGCGAGTATCTCAGATGCATTCGCCACAGCGAGTTTCACTGTGTCACCAACGCGTTTCTGTTGCAGGATGCGCATCACATCAACGGCGTCGTTCACCGGATGGTTATCGACGCTGAGAATCACATCACCGAGATAGAGTCGCTCTAGCCGCCTGGTGGGCCGCAGCCCCGCCCTTGCAGCTGGTCCATCTGGGAGCACGTTTAAAATGAGCACACCGCGACGAATACCCAGTCGACGCGTGAGTGCAGTCGGCGCGAAAGTGACGCCCAGACCCGGGCGAGAAGCGCGGCCACGCGTCAGGATCTCCTCTGCAACTCGTCGAACGGTATGAATCGGTATCGCGAACCCGACACCCGCAAAGGCTCCACTAGGACTCGCAATCGCACAGTTCATCCCAATGACACAGCCATTTGAGTCGAGCAGTGGACCACCCGAGTTACCGGCATTGAGCGCAGCATCGGTCTGCAAGAGTCCAAACATGGGAATACCTCCAGATCGGCGGGAGGCAACCTCACGACCGACACCCGACAAGATGCCGGCAGTCAGCGTGTGTTCTAGGGAAAACGGGTTTCCGATCGCGAATACGCGCTGACCCACGAGTAACTTGGTAGAGTCACCGAAACGGAGCGGTTGAATGGTTTCGAGGAGGCGCTTGCGCACTGTAAGGTTCGCACCCTGCGACCAGCGGCTAGCCACCGCGTTGGAAAGCGTTCGTGGTGCATCGGATGGTAGCGCCGCTAGCTCACGGAGTGGGGCACTCTGGTCGCTGGATGCGCCCTCCCAGCGCGGTTGCAAAACCGCAATATCATGCTCTGAGTCGAGGCCCAGCACCTGTGCTGGAACCTGATCACCGCTGATGAACCGTACCCAGTACCGTGAGGCGCCCGCAACGACGTGCGCATTGGTGACGATGTGGAGGTCAGCGTCGAAACAGAACCCTGTTCCAGTTCCCCGAAGGATCCATTCCTCCTCCGGACGTTCGTGTGGACTAGCGAGAGGCGGCTCTGGGAGTCCACGCTTTGGCTCAGGTTCAGAGGGTTCGGCAGCACGTGCTGCCGACGCATCCTCGTCCTCGGTATCGTCCTCGTCGTCCGGTGACTCGGGGCCGTAGGGAAACGGTGGCCATAGTTTCCGGAATCCTCGACGAGCCGCTGCTCGCAACGACTCCATGGAACTGATGTGCACCACTGCGCTTCTCGCAGCGTAGTAGACGCGGCTTGCAGTGACATCTTCCCGTTTTGCTAGCTGCTCCAGCTGACTCTCCACAGACGCCTCAATGGGCGCCTCCTGGAGCACAGGGTGCCCGACGAGAACCCCTTGCGCTTCCGTGGGACCGTTCTGGCTGGAGCTCAGAGCGGCCGCTGCTTGCATTTTCACCAGTGGGAAGCTTCGGAGGCAGAAACACGGGTGCAGGCAGTTTCACACCGTCCCAATCGCCAAAGTAGCGTCTACAGTGAACTGAACTCCGTCTTGCTCCGCGTGCACGAAACGTGCAGACTGTGAATGGAACGCTCCAGTCCCAGCGAAAGCGTCGTGAGCGCTGCACACCAGGAGCTCTTGAACCCCAAGCGCACTATAATGCCTGCGTCAGATTAGAACGGAACACCGAACGAGTCGCGCTGCTCCTGCCTTGCGATCCTTTTTCCGAATTTGTTGCGATGAACTGCCTTGACATTCGACATGCAGTAATGAGAATTCGTGGATGCGTATGTAGACTTTGGATGCTAGGTCGTCGTTTTGGAGTGACTCGAATGACGCTATGCCGCTGGAATGCGCGCCGTCACCGGCATCCAGATGATTCCCGACGCAAGCGAACAAAAGCGCTTAGAAGAACTGGTGTCGTTTTCCAGCGCTTACGTGCAAGCCTCCAGTGCTCCCCTTTTCGTATACGTAGCATGTTCGAATCCCGCATTGTACCAGTTTTCGATCGTTCTGCTTCAAGGCAATGCTTGGACGCAGCGATTCGTGCCACTGGATCGGGGACGAAAACTTCTGGAAGTCGATGCTGGACAGCTTCTTCATAGGCTCATGAGGAATGTTCACTAGATATCTTACTTGCAATGATCGGTTCCGTTCGGATCCTAAATCATCCTCACTTGGAAGCTATTCACGGAACTACATTCGACAGCACCCTGATCCGTATCACCGTGAATACTCCAAGATACTCACGTCTCATTCGTTGACATGGAAGATGAATTTGGACTCGGGCCGCAGTCATCGCAGGGATCGCGAACAAGAAAGCGTGCGTCACCGCTTAGCACGAAGGGAGCGTAGACGAATCAATTATCTTGCGTTGCTGTCCTGACTGGATTTTTTATCGGTTACTCGTTTTATCAGAGGCAACATCGGGTTCCGCAAATTCTCTATCGACAAGAACAGCAACTTGTACACCGAGTTCGAAGACGCGTTCTATTTGATTCGGATACCGGTTTCGCTCGACGCTCTGAGGAGTATTGCTCCGGGATCTGCCACCGGGTGCACGGGACCGTCACTCGCGGGCATCCGCTGGTGAGCGATAACCTGCCAGCCTCCGTTTAATGCACAATGTGACGAAGCGCTGGGGATGCTTTGTTTCGGTTTCTCCTGCTCGTGGGCAGCCTGGCGTAGAGACTGGACTCGCGAGCTTGTGCCCCGCAAAATCTTGAAGATATGGGAGATTTCGGCGGAGGCCTCGACCGTGTCCAGGTACCAACTTTTGCAGGCTGGACTTTCTGCGTCCCGGCACAGTGACATCGCGTTCCCAGTAGACGAAGTGCTCTACAAGACAATGCGCGATGTACGCAGGAGTCAGCGACTGCCGGGTACGCTGCTCCTGTATTCGTCAGTGACTCGAAGCGCACCTTTCATGGATTCATGCAGCGGGCCATGTACGCTCGCAGGTACTGGTCACATCGGCCACGACTGCAGGCGTCAGGGCGATTCATGAGCTTGAAGGCTGATTTCCTGCGATACAACTGTCGGATCATCGATGTCAAAGCGTGCTCCACGCACTTGTCGTATCAATCCCTGTACGACAACCGCATGACTGAGCGAGAGCGAGAGAGAAAGCGGACGCCCGCCATATCCGCGAGCGCATAAGCACATATCGGGTTGCCCAGCAAGACTGGTGCTTGTCTACGACTCGACAAATCGTACGGTATACGCATATTTGGACCATGTAGTTTGATGAATGGTGCACGTAGCATACAAAACCATTCAGGCGTCTCGGCGAAGTGAAACTGCGTCAACATGAAAGCGCCTGAACAGCGCAAACGGTCGCAGAGCCCTCAGAGGCGCAAGTACAGTGCAACCCGGCAGATAGCATCGTGATGCACCTATTCACACAATAGATGCTTGCTCCTGAACGGATGTGTTTACAAGTGAGTCCATTGCACGCAGCTCTTGAGCGACGGACACCAACCAACAGAACAACAGTGAACCTTCATCGTCGTGCGTGCCAGTGGAACAGTTTCAAGTGCTTTCAAGCACTCTGGCTAAAGCATGCGTCTTTCATCTATATATGTGGCAACTCTAGATGCCACAAACAACCTGCATGGTGTCAAACTTTGCCTTGCGACAAAACTCCAAATTTCTCGTAACGTTGATCCAAATCTGCCATCGCCTCTTCGACTCCAAAATGCTTCCAACGCGATCCATCGTTACTCCTGGCACCACTGCCCGCGATCTGTACATATCACAACGATTCCAACTGGAGAACTCTTTGTGACGCACATTTTTCAGCAATCGCCCTCTATGCCTGCCGCTTCATCCGGGACGCACCGCTGCAGTCGTCGTCATCGGAGCCGCGGCGAAAAAAGTCATAGAACGTCGCTCATGTCCTTGTCCGCTTACTGCTCCGCACTGCAGTGTTTCTTCAGCAGCGCTAAGGTCTAAACTGCCATATACGGCATGATATGCCCGTCCGAGTAGCGCTCACCTCCCTGCTCTGACCGGATACCAGCGAGACGCCTCGACAGCAGCAGCAGCAGCAGCAACAGCAGCAGCAACAGCAGCAGCAACAGCAGCAGCAGCGCTGGTGACCGTCGCGAGGAGCGGCCGCGGCGTCCGGATCGCCTCCTTTATAGTCGAAGCGCATCGAAAGCGTCTCGTAAAGCCAGGTGATCCTCTGCTACGGTGTGCTGAAAACTGACCTCGAAGAGCATACCAGAGAACTGGAAGTCTAAACTGTGCGGCTTGACTCGTGGCTTTCGGAGTTTGGTGCGTTTCGCGGAGGATGCTTGGACAGCGTTCGAGGTTCGCTGTGGCGCTCATCGGGCGCCTCGGCAGCGTGCGAACGCGGCGTGGCTCGGCACTAGGGTTCGAGCACCGTTCTGGTACTGTTCATTGGCGGAGGATTTGTTCGGATTCTCGTAAATCCACTGCGGATCAAGTTTTCGGTTACGATGAAACGGCAAAAGGCGGATCAGCAGCCGGCACGAACGGTGCTGACACCGGGTCGCAGGGCCCGGCGACGGCAAAGCCGACCCCTGGCGCTTCCGGAGATCAAAACACGCAACAAAGCACTGGAACTCCCGATGCACAAGAACGAGTGCAGAGACTCGAAGGTCTGTTACAGGAGAAGGAACAGGAGATTGCGACACTACGGGATCGTGCGATTCGGCTGCTCGCCGAGATGGAGAACGTGCGTATGATTGCTCGGCGGGACGTCGAAGCAGCCCGGAAATACAGTATCTCTTCGTTTGCGAAAGAGCTACTGGATGTTGCGGATAACTTGAATCGAGCATTGGCAGCGGTCCCGCGGCAGCAGTTGGAAGTGAGTTCATCATCGAATAGCACTGGCGCAGGCGGTGCGGTTTCGGCAGCAGAATCAGCGAAATTAGCGAGTCTTCTTACAGCTTTGTATGAGGGAGTATCGGCGACAGAACGGGAATTGCAGAGAACCCTGCAAAAATTTGGTATTGAGCGGTACGGTGAAATTGGTGAGCCCTTCAATCCCGAGGTTCACCAAGCGGTGTTCGAGGCACCTGCCCCGGTAGCTGATTCCGCTACCTCAGAGCAGTCTGGAGCGGCGAAACCGTCACCGTCGCTACCCGACGGGGCCATTTTGCATGTGCTCAAAGCCGGCTATCGCATTCATGATCGGGTGCTTCGGCCTGCCGAAGTCGGTGTCGTGAAAAATGTATCGCCGTCGACGTAGGAAGCGTTGCTGGCGTTTACGATTTGGGCAGTTTGCGCAACAAACGGATCATCACTTGTCGCTCGTCGATGTCTAATGAGCACACTAAACGATTGTGAAAAGGTACACCGTGAACTGATGCAATCCATTGTACGACATTGGGCATTCTGACGTTGAGCTTTCAAAACAGCGTGTTGGTTCGGGAGAGCATCACTTTTCATCAAGCGGCTGCGCTTGCGTCGACCGCTGTCCGTCATTCATGATCGTTCGAGGTTGCTGCAAACTCCTGCGTTAACCGGCAATGCGCGCAGGAAATTCTGTTCGATAGGGCTCGCGGAAAGCAGCGCAAACGTTGGACTGCGTCGCGGAAAAGGGGTACTCTACGGGCACCAGCAACTTGGTTCCAGCTCGAACGACTCGGCCTGCATGTTGTGCCGAAAACTGGTGAGCCTGCGCTCGTATGCAATCCTGTGTTTGTCGAGGATTCCGCGACGCTTTCTCAAGGGCGTCTCCGGGGATGGTATTTGTTGGACGTCCAGCTGTCGAGGGTTTTACCTGATGAACTCGCCTGAGAGCTAAGGAAAACTGGCGGCATGCTTCCTCGAATCAGCAAAGCCACCGGCATTCGCACGGGCACCATTCGATTCCGATATTGAAAGCAGAAACGCATCAACGCCACTTGGTAAAAGTCGTGTTGCTTGCGTCGAGTCTTCGTCTCCGATTCCGTTCTAGAGCTTCAAAAATCCTCTCACTAGAGCAATTGGTACCCAGCTGGTACGAATTCGGAGCGATTGCATACTTGTCCTGGCGATGGATGCCTCGCTGCGCACCCCGGATCGAATCTGCATACTAGAGCGGTTTGATATCCGCCATGAACCAGTCGGTAACGATTCGATACCCTTGATCGAATCTGCATACTAGAGCGGTTTGATATCCGGCAGGAACCATTCGGTAACGATTCGATACCCTTGATCGAATCTTCATACTAGAGCGGTTTGATATCCGGCAGGAACCATTCGGTAACGATTCGATACCCTTGATCGAATCTTCATACTAGAGGGTTTTGATAGCCGACAGGAACCAGTCGGTAACGATTCGATACCCTTGATCGAATCTGCATACTAGAGGGTTTTGATATCCGACAGGAACCAGTCGGTAACGATTCGATACCCTTGATCGAATCTGCATACTAGAGGGTTTTGATATCCGACAGGAACCAGTCGGTAACGATTCGATACCCTTGATCGAATCTGCATACTAGAGCGGTTTGATATCCGACAGGAACCAGTCGGTAACGATTCGATACCCTTGATCGAATCTGCATACTAGAGCGGTTTTGATATCCGGCAGGAACCAGTCGGTAACGATTCGATACCCTTCGAGGCGACGCGTACCTTGACGCTCGTACGCTCCGCAGCGTCACTCTGCGGCACACTGAGGTGTCAGGCATGCGAACGCCCCAGGGCGTTGCCCGACGCAATCGCTCCTCGCTTCCGATTCCGCGTTTTTCAGCTCTAGTTTTCGATACACATTTACCATTTGGGATGCCGCTGACCAGCGACGAAAGCCTTCAGGTATACGGCACTCATTAGACGGGAACAAGCTCGTATCCATGACCGTTCGGAACCGAGGAAACATGCGGTTCAGATGTTGTACAGCTGACAGCAGTACCTTGCAAGAAGAGGCAATCACTCCCGCCACTGTTGGATCGCTCGTTTGGATCAGCGGCTCCCGATACACAAAGATCCAACCGAGAGCACGGTCCTCGCCTTTGTATTGGCCTATCCAGAGCCAGTCCACAGAGATCGCACCCTTCTCGAGTGCTTCGGGCGGTAAGCACCAGTAGTAAAGTGGAACACAGAGCCGGTGTCGGGTGAGCGCCTCAAAGGCACTGGCCGGACTGGGTACCGTTTCCCAGAACGACTCGGGTTGCATAGAGACCCTCTGATCTGTGGATGCGTCGATGATGCAGGGTTCAGAGGATTCCTCTGCAGGCGTTTCCCAGCGGGTAGCCTTCAGCATTGTTGCAAACGTCTCACGAACATGGTTCGGTGCTGAGGCGATGCGTTCATCGATCCTCCGGAGGATTTGCATGAACGTGGGACTCGGCCACAGCCAACACCTCTGGAACTCGACAAAACCAAGTTTTCGAAAGATGCGACGCATCGGCTTGTTGTCCGTTATCGTACAGGACCAGAGGTGTAGCGTCTGTTGCGAGTTCTTGCCAAGTTGTTCCAGTGCTCGCACCACAGCCGACGTGATCCCCAGACCGAGTCCCTTGCCCCGCTGCGCCGCTGCAACGCGAACGCCTTGGATCCAGTAGTGTCCAGGAGAGAGCAGAAAGTACCCACCTACCGCTGCAACAAGAGGTGCATCGACTCGATCAATGGTGTCTTCAGCGTCGGCAACAGCCTCTCTGTGGACGGCGCTCGGTTTCGACCTGCACAACACGTAGTACCGCTCCACACATGGGTCGTTGCTTGCGACAGACGAGCCTTCCGAGCCATATCTTTCCGCTAGAAGCGTAGGGAGATAGTCCTGGCCACCGTAAACGTCACGGCATATGGCCTGTACGCCAGTTGCATGTAGCTTATACTGGAAAAACTCCAAATTGTACTGGTATTCATTCGAAAGCATACGTTCAGGTTGCAGAGCGCGATGATCGCAGGCGCTGCGACCTGGCAACTCGTCTCCATGGCCGCGGCGTTGCGACCGGAGCGCCTCTGCGGAGAACGCTGCTGCTACTGCTGCTGTGTATGCGTTGCTCCTCAGCAGGCAACAAGTGCACCTTCTCGTACTGAAGGGAAAACGATCATGCAGTCCGAGACTGGACCACTACCGGAGACCAAGTCTCGTCGTCTACGCGGGAGCGGCAGCTCGGAGCGGAAACGTCAGCAGACCGCGCGGAGTGGTGTCAAGCGAGTTGCTCCAGTGCCCGCGCTGCGGAAAAACAAAGATCTCGTGGGAGCGAGTCAGCAGCCAGAGCACGGGAGAGGTCTGCAAGGCGCCTGGGCGATCCTGTGGTACCTGCACCGGGTACAAGAACGGCACGGCGGCGAGCTGAGCGACTATTGCGGTTACGCCCAGTACTGCACGAGGCGACTGCGAAGCCTCCGCGTACGCTTGGCATATACCTGCTCACTCTCTCGTCGTTCGTCACAGTACGCACAAGCGCGTATCGACGTAAACATCATTCGCGACTATGCGGGTAACGATCGGCGGTTCATAGAGATAGGCGTTTTGGAAGCGGAACGTGCCTGGGCACAAGCCATGGATGCGAAAGAGCAGCTGCTTGCCATGGTGTCGCGTTTAGATACCGCTGCTGACACCAATCGCCCTATTGCAACGGAGCTGCCGTCCTTGGTGGATACCAAGCAGCGTCGAGCACAGCGACTTCGGCGCTACTATCGACGTCGCCTTCGACGAGCAGCGCTGTTGGCTGAACGTCTTGCCTATGCTGCTGTTGCTGCGCGAAGTCAGCTCTCGAGCTGGACACTGACGGAGCTCGTTGCATATGCTTGCTGGTTATGGAGTCTCTTCTATGGTGAGCGGCATCGTCTGGGGCCGGGGGCACTCCACCGGATCGGGACTGCAGCGCAACTGTATCGGACGCTTTACGATTGCATGGCTGGTATCGAGGCGACGCTTTCGGCGCCGTTGACCCAACGGATCCAGCAGGTGTACCGACAACGCGCCCAGGAACTGGAAAGGACCGCACGAGCCTGCGAAACCAGAGTGGACAGCGAAAACGTGCCGCACCCACACGCCTGGCCTGATATCGCGCTGGTTCAGCGGCTCCAGGCACAGCTCCTGTCTACGAGAACGAAACTGGAAAACATGCCGCCGGAACTCGTCCACGAAAGGTATTCGATATCGACGCTGTCGGCAGGAGAGACGACAACACTACTGCCGATGCCGACGCAAACAGTCGACTGGTGCGGGCACCAGGTACGCGTTCCGCACCTCACCCTGGCGTGGCTCGAAAGCGGCCGACCAGCGCAGCGCACCTTGACCGGGGACGGCACCTCCGGGTCCGCGTCCGTTGCCACGACCGGGGCGATACCTACTTCGACATCGAAGCAGCAGGCAGTCTCGCTTCTGGAGCTGTTGGCCAAGGCGGAGCATTACGAAGCGAAACGGACACAAAAGGCGGTGCGCCTGCTCGAAAGTGTGCAACGGCACCTCGAGTCGCTGGTGGCGGAGCGTCCAACAGATGACGAACTGCGACTCGTGACCGCATTCTGGCGATACCGAAAGGCGCTCTTGCTGCTGAAGAGATGCTATCGACGACAGCAATATGACAAGGCGCTCGTCTGGGTTCAGGAAATCAGCGATCTCTTTGGGATCGATGAGCAATTGCTTGAGGCGACGCAGGTTGCTGCCGCTTTCCTGCAACTAGCCCAGAAGCAGCACCAAATGGAACGCTGCTGGAGCGAATGGGAAGCAAGTTCAAGTCAGCTGCAAGGCGATACAGGCGCACAACAAGGCCTGGTTCAAGTTTACGGTCTCGCTGTGCAGCTACTGGGCCTGGTAGCCGAGCTGCGGGCGCGTGTTGCAGTGACTGCACCAGCGCCATCACGTGAGCGACGCGAGCTGTTGAGCGCGGTCGCTCTCGATGATAACGCGCTTACCGAGACGGATACGAAGGCTCGGGCGCTCAAAGTCCGGGCGAGTGTGTTCTATTCGCTGGCGGAGGCAGGCATCGCAGAGCGTCTCGAGCGCACAACGATAGCGGAAAAACCGTTATCATCGCGATGCTACCTGGAGGAACACCCGATCGACTTGCTAACGCCAGATGAGATCGCCAGAATGCCGCCAGCGTTCCGAGCGATGGTATGCAAACCATTTGTGCTGGACTTGGCGTTCCAGCAGATTAAGTATCCAGAGCTTCCCGAGCGGCGAGATGCTCGCCGCGGCCTCCTGAATCGTCTCTTTGGGCGCTAAACGACACCGTGCCCCGCGCGCTCGGACCAGCATCATGAGGTATTTCACGCTCGATGCTGCTGGTGCGAGTGCTGGGATGCGAACGCCCGCTGCAGCCACCTGGATCGCCAGGTCCGTTCAACGAACCGGGTCGACGTACTCCATCCGATTACCTTGCCGGGCGCAGCGGTGCTCGCGGGCACCTCTGCTGCCGGATTCGTGCGACTGCTGGTACCGGAAATGCGCGCTCCTATACGGGATAGAGAGGCTGCGAGCTTGCGATATCGTGTAGAGACTGCGTTTCATGATCGACAACCGCAGCGCAGGTCGCGAGCCCTCTTCGAGGCACAGCCTGTCGCGCAGTGCGTCTGCGCATTCGTGCATACACCACCCGTAAAACAATGACGCAGCGCTGCTGTCGGGTCGAAAATGATGCACGATGCGCACTTTGTTGCACATACGCAACGATCACAACGCCCATGGAAGCACCAAACACGGCTCATAACGAGATGGTCACCTCAGGGACCTGAACGTTTGAAGGCGAATGTGCAGTGCGCTCTCGGCGTTGCATCGACTGGAGCGCGATTCACGAGCAAGCGCCTGTGCATTGCAGTGCGGATCCAGTGCCCGGTGCAGCGAAAGCACTGGTTATCCATTTTAAACACATCAACTTGAACTGTTTGGGCGCCTAGATCGAGTCCAGATATCGAAGAGCACATTCACGTTGTCGACAACGCCTCTGGTGGCACAGCGGGTTACTCGATCCCCGACGTTCCTCAGCTGCTGATCCACCGCCATCGCCACCGCCACCGCCTGCGACGACTCGAAATGCGCATTCGTTGGACTAATGTGCTAGTGCTCTGCACTCTTGCGCAGTCTGGGGTAGAGCAACCGCGGCAACGTGGAAGGCCTTACTTTCCTCGCTCGCGGGTCCGTTATCGTTATCGAGGGGTGCTGCAGCAGGTTTCGTCGCTCGTCGCGACATCTGCTGTGTGTAACTCTTCAGGTATAGAGCACTGAACACGATCGCAGCTCCGCACCACTGCTGAACAGTAAGTCCGTGCGCAAAAAATAGGTTGCTTAGGAGGATGGTCAAGATTTGTCGGGTCGTCATGACGGTCGCGTAGACCAGGGCACCGAATTCTTTGATCGTGTAGGTGATGAAAAACTGAGCAATGACTGCTGCTGCACTCAAAACGCTTGCATCGATGAACAGTCGTGGATACTGCCAGCAGAGCTGCAGGTCCGCAGCGAGTCGGCCACTGCTTGCAACACCCAAAAAACTAATGCAGGCAGAGGTTAAGTTGACGAACAGCATCTGGTTATACGTCGACATAGGGTACCCCCTGAAAAGTTTCTCCTGAAACGTCGACGTGAACCCGTCAAACGCCAAGTACACAACCATAAGCACTAGCCCATAGAGCGAGTTCTGCTCTGCACTGTATTTCGCTTGAATGTTTCCAGCCAGTAGAAAAAGCGTGCATCCCGCAGCGACTGCTGCTGCGACCCCGTAGTCGCTCAGCGTATACCGTTTCCCGCTCATTATAGAGCCCCAAACGAGTACTGGAATCATTTTCGCGCACTTGCCCAGCGTCTGTGTAGGCATCGACACCCAAGCCAGCGCAGAGTACTGGGCCCAGGTCGCAACCACGTTGCTCAACGAGACAGAGGCGTATTTGTAGAGGGGCGCTTGCGGCCGCATGCCACTGCGGTCGCCCTGCCACAAAAGCACAAAGACCGCTGCTAGTGCAGCGTAGAGACGGTTCTGCAGTACCAAGAACAACGAGTCCCTAAAGAACACCGGCTGGCCGGCGGCGTCCGTGGTCAACGGCAACGCCATGATGCGTTCTTGCAAGTACGCGTACACCAGAAGCGAACTAATAATTCCTACAACGCAAGTCGCAAGACGCACTGAGTACACAGCGGTAGTAGCGGGAGGTGCGGGTACGTTGAGCATTTTCCGACGCCAGTGCTCCCTCCGGAACGCACTACGCAATTGTCTACCTTTGGCGTTTGCCCAGCCTGTTACCGCGTGCGAGAGACCACCTCTCACGAGTTCAGTTGTCAGCAGCACGCGTAAAAGGAAACCTAAAATGGTAGCCTTCCGAAGATGCTGCCCTTGCAGGGATAGAGCAGCGCTCACTACACCCCAAATCGTTGAAGAAACATTCTCCAGGTCTCTAGCAGCGCCTTGCATTGATGGAGGCGCCCTGGAGCGGCGCGTTTGCACGATAACGGATCGCGGACGTTTCGCGTTGTAGCGGTAGGTGTGCGCGTGTCTCGACCGCGCGACACCGCGATGTGGCTTTGCCTCCAGATCGGGCGACGAATCGAGTGATCGGCTTCGGCACTGGACGCGAACGCAACGGATGCCCGATCGACGTCGATCGATGATCACGGTAGAGGGTGTGCGGGTGCGAGTGCGGGTGCGAGTGCGGGTGCGAATGTGTACACCGATAGATAGATAGATAGATAGATAGATAAACGCTTGTCTGGTTTGTATGTCGACGTGTTAGGGTGAAGGTTTTGGCTTCTGCTTCTGGTGTTGGAGCGTTAGAGGCTGCCCTATTGCGGTAGATCGCCTCAACGCTGTAGGTCTCGTCTTGATCAGCGTATATCGTCTGGTATAGAGAGCAGCGTTCAAGTGTCGGATGACAAGCGCCTTGTGTTTATTGCCTCTGATTGAACTCAGCAATTCAACTTGGCCTCGAACTCGTGCCCTGAGTACGACTGCACTATCGTCATCGTTCGGTCGGGTAAACACCTCTTCCCGTCTATTCCGGTGTTTTTCTTCGCTAAAAGGTCGGCGAGAAGAGGATTGCTTCCGTTGACTCGGCACCCGGCGGTGACGGGCCTCCAGGATCCCCTACTTCCATGTTCACAGTTTTCCCCTGGACTGAGCATGTTTGGAAATGAACGCACTCCGAATGGATGTGCTACTAAACGCGAGAAGCGTAACCGAATACGCGCACCTGGAATTGAGACACCTTTAAGATGAAAGACTCCATGTACACTCTACGACTCGTATTCTGAGTGGTGTTCTGTAGTGCGTGAGCGCTTGTTTCATTGCTCGGTACATGCTCGTGACGAGTCCAGAATGCTCCCGTCGATGCCTTCCTCCGTTTCCGCTACTCTATGCTAAGGGGCATCATCGCAGGGGATGCAATGTGCGAGTACGCTGTCCGCTGCACGTGCGAGCGCATGCTGTTCCACTCGACAAGGGATGTGTGGAACACGACGCTGACGCTCGGTGCAACATGTACCGTACGAGAGCTCTAGGCTGGAGATCGAGTCGAGAGATTCTGATCCGTCTGCGTTCGCTCGCATTGGAAGCGATCGTTGTGAGGACTCAAGTCCGAGCCCGTGACCTCTCCCTTCGAACAGAAGAGGCAAGGACATCGGGGAGCATACCCCGGAAGACGTGTCACGCTGGTGTGGCATTTCGCTTCGTTGCTAGTCACACAGCGATGAGGAGTTCTCTTCCACACGGAATCGATCACTGTACATGACGATTTCAGTGCAGTTTGGGCATGAACTTGTGAACGAGTCGGCGAGGTGCGACGTCGAGTTGTTGTTCGCGGTTGGCCTGTGGCGCGACTTGCTGCGCCCGCTACTTACGTTGAAACACAATGATCGAAAACTTGAAGTATGTGTGAATCGAATGTGCTTCACGTACCGAAAAGGGCAGCGTGCAAGCTTGTACGTCTGAACTGGATCATCATACGGGCTGTTTGTCGAATCCTTGTTCAGGGGGCGTCGCGAATCATCTTGATCCCGGCGACATAAGGCACGCCAGCCGAGCATCCCACAACCACCTATGCATCCGAAAGCACCTACGGCTGCACTTCAAATGTTGACGCTGTACATCTAAATAGTTTTGGAAGAAATAGATCATTGTAGCAAGTGCGCGAGCAGTTCAGTGTTGCGTTTTCGTCGGAACTTTCCAGTTTGCTCCCGATATGGTAACGCGTGCCGCAAGGCGCCTCTACAAAAGCGGCTGTTCGTTCGGATCGGCAAGTCTGCGCACAGCAACAGTTACTTTATGTTTGATACAACGTTGACGTAAACCAGGGATCCTTGGTTACACGATCGGTCCCAGCAATCGGGGAAGCGTCCACCATTCCATGCCCTGCGTGCATTGACGATTAGCCACTGTTGGGACATTCCCTGGAGCATGCTGATCATGTCATATGCTCCATCGTGCGTCGAGTCTGTTGAGCGCGTCCGCAGTAGCGTCGCTAGCGACGGTGCAGACGCAGTACGCAGGCAGAACAACTTTGCCATAGAGCGACGGTCGTCGCTTCGAGGCGTGTTGCACGCGTCGCCAGAGCGTGTCGGGTGGTCTCGTCTACACGTTGGGCTCGGATAGTCTGCGTATGCAGGCCTGCCTGTGTCTGCAGCACGACGCGTTGAAGAAAACTGGCCGGTAGAATGAATCCCGGGTAACGAGTTTCTGCTTCACACTTGTGTGTGGAACGCGCCGCGGGTCATCGACACGGGCATTTGCTCGGCATTCACCAGCGGGCAGGTACAGGATTCGGTGTGTTAGACGGCTCCTTCGGTTCGCTGGGCCTTTCGCCTACACGCTAGCATGTGCGTCTGGTGACCACGAGCCTGGGATGTTGCACAGATACAGGGTCACCAGGCGCCAGCGCTGTGCTCCATGCGAGCGATCGCCTCCCATCAACTCCAGTTCCTCAGGCAGCTGCTCTACCGCAAAGAGGCAGCCACAGACCTGTTCTCCACTTGGACGCTGAGAGAGTAGGTGTATCGGGATTCCGGGAACTGCGTCGCCACAATGACTGCAGTGTGATTCACAGTGAGCAGCTCGTGTTCTGATACGAACCAGGGTCAGGTTTTCACCGCAGTTCGCGAACAAGCGCTTTACCGTGCCAGCGGGTGCCGCACGTGAACGCCGGGGACCTTACAATCTCCCACTAGTATTCGAATGTGAATGATAGGTTGCATTCCCTACATGGTGACGAGCTAACGTGGACACTCGACGGTTGCTTCGGTGACCAGTCGACGCTTTCTCCTGAACTACGCTTTGGAGGTGTCCGAAGCCGTGCCCGTTCCTGGAGAACACTTGGTGTGTAGCGGCACCAAGGAACCTCTTGAACCAGATCTGCGCCGACTTGATCCAAAATGCTTTTTCAGTGCTTTCGGGTGGATATGCCAATCTGGATGATCCAGGTGCGCATGCTGAGCGCCTTGGCCAACATGCGTCTCTGCATTGCATTGTTCCACAACTGGTGTGGGCACACGCTCCACCATGAGCGATACTGCCACCCTGAGGGCATCGTTGCGCACGTAACGCCATCCCACTCAAGTTCGGAACAAGAGCACCACCATGAGTGGGAACGGCATCGCTGGGCAGCCTGGGTGCCGGCGACGACTCGGTGTCGGCCTTGTCGAGATTCATGGCTCTGGAGCCGCGACCTGCGCCCTGGTGTGCCCAGTGGCGCCTCGGAGTTCGCTCGCGCTTATCCGCAGTCATTCCTTGTCTCCGTGAGCAGACGCATCGCCCGCGCTCACCGGTAACGCTATCAGCGTATCCAGTACCGTACAGCGTATGGAGGCGAGTTTTGGAAACCGCTGTCCGTGTGGGTCATGGCGGTGCAGACGGTCGTCGGCTGCGGATAATACGCAATATCCGTGGGGCATACTCCCAACGGTCACGACCCGTACAGCACGGAGTACTGCCCAGATCGAGACGCGGTTTTGGAATCAAATAACTGTGTCATGCAGTGCGCCCGAGCGAAAGCCACAGCCTCTCCGCTGGTATGCAGTTTCCACGACTCAGAGGCCAGCGGTGTACCCACCATCCGGAGCAATACACTGCCCGTTCACCACACAGTTTTCAGGACTGGCGAGAAAGAGCACCACCCGAGCAATTTCTGGCGGGTTGGCAAAACGTCCGATCGGTACCCGCGCCAGTACCGGGCCGTGTTTCTCGGGATCTTCCCAAACTTGGCGTCCCATGTCCGTCATAATGATTGACGGGCATACGACATTGCATTGAATTCCGTATGGACCCCATTCTACGGCCATGGTCTTTGTCAGCGAGTTGAGCGCTGCCTTGGATGCACAATAGGCCGCGTGCTCTGGTACACCGCCGAATGCCGCTACCGAACTGATATGGATGATCTTGCCTCCTGCGCCTCGCGGGATCATTGACTCCCGAACGAATATCCGCGAGAGCAGAAAAGGCGCACGCACATTCACGGTCATGGTGAGATCCCAGTCCACGGTGCTCAGCTCTGTCAAGGGGTTCAGGAGCGCTATCCCCGCGTTGTTCACAAGAATGTCAACGTGTTCCCAGTCCTGTACGATCTGTCGCGCTGTTCGCTCCACGGCTTCCGTGTCGGCCAGGTTCAGTGAATAGAAACCCACTTTTGTGCCGCGAGATTCCGCTCGTTTCCGCAACTGAGTCACAAACTCGCTTGGCGTACGACTAATGAGCGCCAAACCCTGGACACCGGCCTCGAGGAAGCACTCGGCGATGGCGGCACCGATGCCGCGGCTCGCACCAGTTATCACTGCCACTTTTCCCTGTAGAGCGTCACTACGAAAGTCCATGGAAACCAGCTGCGGACACTGTAGCCGAAAACTTCAAAAAGTCTCTAAGCAGCGCAAACCCCAAACAGCAAAAATGCCTCGTAAAAAACCGCTGCTGGCTCGCCGCAGCGTCATGGGCGATTCTTTTTCAGAGCACGAGACGTGTAGATAGACCATAGATCCTAGCATTCGGAATGTATGCGTCATGGGCGATTCTTTTTCAGAGCACGAAACGTGTAGATTGACCATAGATCCTAGCATTCGGAATGGATGCGTCATGGGCGATTCTTTTTCAGAGGACGAAACGTGTAGATTGACCATAGATCCTAGCATTCGGAATGGATGCGTCATGGGCGATGCGCTCCAGTACCTGCATGCGACTAGTCGGGGAGACGGATGCGTACTGCCGCGACGCTCCAGCCTCTGCACCTGAGGCACCCTGTTCCGTTTGTGGCGGTTTGTTGACGGGAATGCAGGTACGCAGACTGCACTGACGAGGAACAAGTCATCGTGATCGTCTTTTTGCGTGCACGCTTGTTCAGCGTTCTGCCCAGTGCAGCGCACCGTGCAGCGTTTATGGGAATGCCACGCTTCCGAAACGGAGCACATGGGCCGGATTCGGGTACGCTGACTGGAAACCGACTGATGTAGACGCAGTGACTGCGTGCGACGTTCTCGACCTGTGGATGCAAGTATAGATGGTGTCAAGTAGCACGCCCCGTGCTGAGCACAGGGTCGTCCACGGGCGCGTTATCTCGAAACGCGCAGAGATAACAAACGTGACTGCTCCCAACCTGCGTGACATCTGCCAACATGTTCACAAAATGTTACGTTATCTTGTTTACTGCTACGAGTCTAGCGCTCGAGTCGGCACGAGAGGCGTGTACGAAACGCCACGAGCGTTCCGGGGCTTTGCACAACCCGTTCCCTGTACCGCCGTCCATTCCTGTTCCCCGACAACGTTAAGAAAAGCAGCAGGCAGCAGCGACAGGACGCACGCGATGGAGCAGCAGCGTTACCACAGCGCTCATCATACCTTGCCAGAGACCGAGGTTCTGTGCGCTTTCAGGGGCTCGTTCATCACTGCGTGGAACAAGAAATGGCAACGGGTTAGCTGGCGCACTGGCTATGGTGCCTGAAGGTCATTTCCGCTAATAACATCGTTGGCGACGCAACTAAGTATCATCCGCATCTTGTCTCGCTCGTGCATTCCGGTCTGAAACCTGGGACAAATCGACCCTGGTTCCGAACGGATGCTAACAAGCCTGCACGGACGCACAAGCGCATAAAGGATTCTCTGGATCCAGCTCCGCATCACCATCTATTCCGTTTGCGTGATCAGACCTGGGCAGGGAGTTTGGAGATAGGCCTGCATGGGTGTGATTGGTGGAGCCTTCACCAAGGCGCGGCTGCAAATCAGCCGCAGCTGCGAAGACCGGCCCTTGACCGTTCAGCCACGCACGATCGAACGCAATCATCGCTTCCGCAACCTGTTCAGAACCGAGTAAATGAAATTGCCAGAGAGCGCGTAAATGCATGAGAAACGCGGTGCGAAGCGCCTCGTACGGATGACAAGCCGAGCTGGAGGCGTTCACCCGCAGCCGCGCTACAAACCACGGTGCGAAACGCCTGACAGCGTCCCGCACGGAACGGTCACCTAAGATTGGGTATACCTCTTTCAAAAATGCATTCCAGGCTTTCATCAACACCTTTTCGACGGGTAGCACATCAAGAAACTGGTCAATGCGGTGATCCGAGAGCTGAACAAGCCACGCGTCGTCGACTTCTTCCAGCTCAGAGTCGTAGGCGGCGAGCACCTCATCCGGACTCATTGGCGCAAACGTGAACGAATGGTAGTACGTACGATCAAACAGACGCGAATCGCTACTTGCTGCAGCTTTTCCGGGCCGCTCTCTTGGCGTTTCTCTGGAAGCAGGCGCTGTGGCACCGTTCGCAGCGGCGGTCATCGGTACTGTCTCGCTTGTAGACGTTCTCCAGGCGCATCGTTGTCGCAGGCGTCCGGAGTGGAGCGTTCGCGCTTGGCGCAGAGCTGGCGCCGACCGCGTTCTCTTCTGGCGCCTGTCTGTCGCGTTGCCTTGACGCCGGCCTCGCGTCGATCGATCACATGGCTGCACGTCCGGCAGGTTCGCATATACGGCGCCTTGGCCAGGCGAAGCAGCCACAACGGATATTCTCGACCTGGAAATAAGCTTTGCGCCGGTGCCAGCGGCGGTGGTTGTCGCCCCAGCGAAATCATGCGCAGAACGTCCGCTAGCTCTGGATGCTCGTGAAGAGCCCCTCATCGGTCGTTCGCGCTTCGTTCCATACGTGTCCAGGAGCGGGCGTTGCTGACGTTGAACGCTTACACTGCCAGCATAGCGATCCGTGGAGGCCAGGATGCGCGTCGTCCGAAGCGTCTCTGGATTCGCTTTCGTTTCAGGTGCTGCTCTTGCCGCACGCCGTTTCCTCGTTGCAGGGCCTGCAGGAACGTCCGTTTGATGCTTGTCCAAGTTTGTCCCGCCTGCATCGAATCCCCCCGAGCTCGCCACGTGCTCCTCCGACGCCGTCAAGCGACCACTCGTGCTGCGCTGTCCGCGAGCCGCCCGCACCGGCTGGTCTCTACGCAGCAGGTTTCCGCTCGCGCGAGTGAGTTGTTCGCTGAGAAACAGCCAGCACTGGCGACGCACATCCGATGAATCATCCCGATCCCATAACGTAGAGAGTGCGCGCAGGTAGCAGCGCCGTCCACCGTCGCCGGGCAACTGCTGCGCACCTTCGCGCAGATCGCTCTGCAGCGCTGGCCGGGCGGAGGCATGGGCATCATCGCTGGTCCGTGCAGCGGCGTGCCGGTGCGGATCGCGATGCGTGCACGCGCCCCGCTTTCCCGCGCACGCACAACCTACGGCGGGTGCTCGCTCCGGCGGCGTCCATGCCAGTGCATCCGCGGCATCCGTGCGCTTGCAGACGCGACCACCGCGCACCTTGCGGTGTGCGCGATCTACCCCTGGATGCCGTACGGCGACGGCAGCGCTGCTGTCCTCGACTCGCAGCGCGTCTGATGCGCAGTGCACGCGCATCGCACGCATCCATACGTGCGTGGGCGCGCGTCGCGGGCACCTGCGCGCCATTGTTTGCACGGCGTCTGCGAGGCAGCGCATTGCGTGCTGCGTTTGGCGATCTGGAGCAGGCGCTGGAGCCACATGGATGATGGATGCGGGATACTGGGTATCGCTCGATTCTGAGCCACCCGTGAATAGCGTTAGATTGATCCCTGGGTGACGGGATTCTGATGCCTCGTCATTCTCTGCTGAGAGCGGGGGTACCAGATCTTCAAACGATGGCCAGTATATCGCCAAGTCATGTGACGCTTCCAGGTGTGTAGCATAAGTGCCAGCAGGTGCCGGACTCGAATCCCGCACCAAATGCACGTCAGGGTGGAGCGGTCAACTGTGATCAATGCCTGATGGGATCGTGCGCCTTTGTAGCCGTTCCGCATCGAGACTCCTGTACAGTGCGCGGGTGGCGAGCGCCAAATACGGTAGCGCAGCAGAGGAGCCGCCTTTGCTGGCTCCACGAGCCCGTTCGTGTCAGCGGAGTTCGACTGCCATCCATTGTACTTCGCCTGGACCTTGTCGGATTCCCAGGGACGCATGGGGAGCTCGCGAACGGCGGGTGCTTGCAGCATCTCGGCGCGTTTTGGTATCTTAAGGCGCTGGTTCGTGCCCGTGCTCCACGCCGCTCCATACCCGGGATGCTGTTCTCGATGGGGCCGCCACTCGATTCCCAACGCGAGTTGAGGCGCGTGCCCTGGAACCCATACTGCACCAGAGGCATCGGCCTGGAGCTCCAGCAAGTATATTTGGTTCGGCATCCAATGCCCTGTTGCAGGATCACACAGTTTTAGTGCTTTTCGCCACACCTGCCCACAGGGCACATCCGACGACGTAGCTGCCAACCCGTCGGGTAACCCATTCGTTGAATAAGCATCTCGCTCCGGAATTAGAAGCGGCAATTCCGCCCGTATTTCTAAAATCGGATATTCCGTGGGAGTTATCGCTCCCAAAAGGCCTAGAAGCTCGCTCCGTAAGTCGAAACAGAGTGTTACAAACGAGCACTCCGGTATGCTAATTGCAGCGGGCCAGTGTTCCGGATGCAGCGGAGCTCTGGGCTCCACGGGCACACGAAACGATCGCTGCACGATCGTTCGCATCCGAGCCATCTCGGTTGTGATACCCTTGTGTGATTTCAAGTCCGCTGGAGGAACCGAAGTTTCAAAATCGAGCATAGTTTCCTGATTGAGTGCGATCATGCCCATACCCACGGTAACTCGCATCAGGGCGCTTCTGGGCATACGCGCTGCGATGCCGTTCGTTGTCAGCGCTGAGAACTTGTTCGCACTGGGATCAACGAATACTGGCCCTAGGTGGAGTACGAGCTCCTCAGACTCACTTCGAAAAGCCAGTTTCAGACGCTCAATGAACGCATCCTCGGTGAGGTTCGGCCAACAGGTACGATCTGCTCCGGTGAGTTGTCGGTCTCGAGTAGAATCCGGTCTCCACAATCCCAAGGAGCATAGTAATTTTCCGCGCAGAATCCGCTCTAGCAGGCGACCTGGATGACCAGGTTCATCCCGTCGTTTTTGCGTCCGTTTTCGGGACCGCTCTTGAGGAGCCACCAGGTGTCGTGCCCAGCGGTGCAGACCCGCGTGTACAGAGCGCTGCAAAAGGTACTTGTTGCGACGTCGTCTCTCTTCTAAAAGCCTATAAAAAGCAGCAATATGCGCCCAGTCTTCTGCTCCGTGGACGAGTTCCTGTTCCGAGAGCGGAGCTGAGCCTTGCCCATCAGCGTAGAGCGCAACTTCTGGAAGTGTCTGCGACGGTGACGTGCACCTGGGCTCACTCGCGAACGCGCTCATTCAAGTTGGCCAGCTCGGAAGAGTCTCCTGGTGCATCCACCGCTCGGACTCGAGTCAGGCGCACAAGCAACACTAGCGGTGTGCCTGTGTCGCGCTCGAAGCCGCCAGACCCTGAAGGTTCCGTTTCCGCGCTGCACGTCCAACGGCAGGGTGCTCGTGACGCGAAACGACACCTTGCCTGCCCAGGAGCGTCTGCGACTTTGCACTACCCCGTGAGTGACCACTGCTGGTCGTGGATGCGCGCACTTGCAAGTGACGTCACCAGCGGAGCGGAAAACGCAACGTAAAATACCACCCTAGCGAAAACGTTGGAGAAACGCTTGCCTGGAAACGGTGGCTACAGAAGCGCGCGTTCGAAAGAGCGCGCGTTGCACGAAGGCGTTGCAGTGCCGGTTGCCTCAACGGAAGCGGATATCGCTCCCAGTGGCGAGGTTCCCGTTGTTCATAGTCCAATCGTTTTGATTTGGAGTATGTGGAATCCGAGCCACGAGACGGCGAGTGAGCGCTTAGGTGCTCGTCGAGGTACCCACGCAGACGCTGTTGGCGGCTCTCGCTGAAAAGGCACACCGGGCTGGCGACTCGCTGCGCGACTCTGGCGAAGCATCGAAAGAAGTCGACTTTGGTTATTTTGCAGAGAAAAGCTATAAACAGGTTTACTCACGGTTGCTGTGCGACTGCCGGACGAGGACGTTGTGTTTGCGTTAGCATTGACCAGAGGAACTGGTCAACATCGGACGCTTTGACCAGCGCACAACCGATGTTTCGATTGGCCCAAGCGGCATAACTAGACCGTCGTGCGCGTAGTTCTTGATGAAATGGTTCCCTCGTATGCGTATTTTCTCGATGCAAACCTCGTGTGCCTCCGGCATGATCTGCAGAAGTTCGTTCATCGTAGAAGAACTGCGGCCATGCAACTTTGGTCGCAGACGCTCGAGGTCTCTTGCATCGTCGATTGCTATGAATCATGACGGGTGTGGTGCGTTGCGGAAAGGAATCGGAAAATCGTTGCTAATTGCATGTTTTCCGTTCCTTCGTAAATTTTGCCGATGACTGCATCCCGATAGAACTTTTCAGGAAGCGTTTGCCGAATAAAACCCATGCCGCCCATCCACTCGATACAACGCCGCGTCAACCGGCAGGCAGTCTGCGCAGCCAGGAGTTTTGCCGATGCCGCCTGACGAGCTATCTCAGCGAGATGTGCAGCTGCCGATGTACCCTGGTGCTCATCAACGAGTCGAGCAGCCTGAAATGTTAGGGCGCGAACGGCTTCAAGCTCTGCTGCCGCCTGTGCGATCTGGAACTGCAGGCCCTGATTATCGATCAGCGGACGGCCAAACTGGCAACGTGTCTCCAGATACGGAAGCGTAGCGTCCAGAGCACCTTGGGCGAGGCCGATCATCTGGGCCGCGATGCCGATGCGTCCTTCGTTGAGCGCTCGCATTGCGACCCGATAGCCTTGGCCTAGTCCACCGAGGACTTGGCGATCGGCATCGATGACGCACCGGTGAAAGTGCACCGGACAACAGGAGGTCGCGCGGATACCGAGTTTGTCTTCTTTGGGGCCGATCTGGAGCTGGCCCAGAGCCTTGGCTTCGTCTACGTTGTCGATCACAAACGCAGTGATGCCTCGGTGCTTCTGAGCTGGATCTACTGTGGCGAAAACCAGCATCCATTGTGCTTCTGCTGCGCTGCTGATCCACAATTTTGAGCCGCTGATAACGTACCGTCTGGATGTTGTTGATGTAGCTTGCTCTAGGTCGGCATGTGTGCGCAAAGAAAACGCGTCGGAGCCTGCTTCTGGTTCACTCAGTGCGAACGAACCCACTGTATCTCGTGCGAGACGCGGCAACCACAGTGCCTGCTGTTCGCGGGTGCCAAAGTGCAGCACGGCACGATTCAGCAACGTGTTCTGGATATCGACAACGAGCGCAACAGCGGGATCGACCTTCGATAGCTGCTCGATGGAGGCGCAGGTTTCGACAAAGCTGAGTCCACTACCGCCAAAGTCGGACGGAATTTCCATGCCCATGAGCCCTTGCTCAAAAAGAGCTCGCCAAAGACTAGGTTCAATGCACCCCTGCTGCTCTCGAGAGAAAATCGCCGGTGCGATTTGCTCTCGGGCAAACCGCGCGACTGTCGCCTGGAGCACAGACAAGTGCGCCGCGGTTTGAGCCCCCGCGACTCCGGCAGGCGTCGCAAGCGAGCGAGTTTGCCCGTAGACTTCCACAGAGTAACGCGGCACGCTTCGGTCCAGTCTCCGCTGAAAATGCCCCCACCCGAAAAGTCTCAGTCTAAATACCCGAAGCATAGCTGGCAACGGCCGTGTCTAGTGCCGGACTGGTGCTGGATACGCTCAAGGTTCAAGTCTATTGTGCTAGAGGAGGATGCAGGCGTGCAAAACTCCAAGCACCGCTCTCAGGCAGCCGTATACGTCGCTTGACCAGCACGCGCTGCTGTATCGACGGTGTGCTATTCCGTTCAGCTTGAGAGCTGCCGATTCGTAGTGAAGCAGCTCATCCAGTGCGTCGCCCGGAAACGTTGACCGGAGGCGGGTGCGCTGAAGCATACACTGCACCCTCCCGTGCACATCTCGGAGTCGCGCACGCGCACGCAGGTCGCGAGATTGCGCGCCACAGCTGGCTGTTTCTTTTTTCGCTTGACAGAACGTTTCGCCTGATAGGCATACTCTTGTTTTTTGTGCGATGGATATCGGCATTCGGGAAAGCGTCCATCGTTGCAGGCGTTACGTCCAAGTTCCACTATCCATATTTTCCATCGGAGATACAGGCCATTGCCCGTGCTCTGTCGTGCACTGTACCTGCTGTGAGCGTCTGCGATAGCACCTGTTGCGTTGGTGCTGACGCAGTTCCGAGACGCATGAGCTTTGCGATACAGCGGAGGGCGTCGGCTCGAGCAATAGCTGACTGCTGGATATATGCTTCGCTTCATCGTTCGCATCACGTCTGTGGTACGGCGGACGATGTCGCAGGGAGTCGGTGCTCGTGCGCCTTCGCTAGTCAGGGAGGCGGTGCGAGCATCGCGCTTTCCCGATGATACGAATGCGCATGTGAGGTATCTACTCGAGCTTGACTTGCTCCAGAAGATGCAGTTCTGCGCGGCATGTCGAAGTGAGTGCGAAACCGTAAGGGCGCATGCGATGCGTCCTCGAGAGCAGTTGAGGATTTTCCCGGCAAGTCATGGTGCCGGGCAAACGCGCAGAAACGTACACTCTGTAGCCAGCGTATATAACGACCTGGTTCACGTCAGTCGCAGCGCGGTGCTAAAGCGCAGGTGCGTGTGCAAAAAGTTATCCAGCCGTTTTTCCGATCGACGGATCATCAGCACTGACCAGCGATACCCGGTTGCGTGATGCAGATCGGCACTGAAGCGAGCATCCGTCGTATTGCATGATCACGTTCAGTTCCGAGCAAACCAACAACGCCCACCCCTTCCACGGAGTTCATGGTCCATTCGCAGGCCCTATGGCGACATCACGCAACCCCTGGGGTGCGGTGCGTCCAGGGCGACGCTTCAGCAAGGCTCCATTGCGAGATTAGCGTTTGAAAAAAAAACGCCCGCCACAGCGTTGACCACGTGCTCTGGAATGCGGGATGGGATGTGTGCCAGCTCGCAGGTACTCGGATATATACCCATAATGGCTGCGTCTGACACGGTACGTTCGATTGCGGGAAGCTAAGCCTACGCTCTGTCTGCATTCTTCGCAGAAAAACGCAAACTGGAGAAAACGCATGGTCTCTGTGCTGGTCTGAGGATGCAACTCGCGTTACGATTGCGCGTTGTGCATATCAAGTATACCGTAACGTGAACGAGCCCACACACGGGCATAGAAACGAGTATCGTAGAACCATGTCAGGGATGAGGTCTCTTCGATGCACGCGGACGAATGCTCAAGGTGTGCGCTTGGTCAGAACCGAGCTTCAGTGAGGATACCCATCGGCATTGACGGATACGACGCATGCTTTGCTCTCCGACGCATGGGCAAGAACCGGCAGAGAAAACACCGCATCGCTGGCATTTCCGAAGGATTCTTGCTCAATCCTGAACGCGGATGCAAACAAGCTCATGTGTTTCTTGCATCGGACGCGATTGTCTGACGACTTGGTGTTGCCTCCGAGAGTACCATTGTATGCAATTTGATACTATGGCAAAAAATCAAATCCGCACATGCACTCAAGTCCCGCTCAATGCGTAGAGTATTAGAACAACGACATCTTTATTGTTCCCCGCATCCAAGCTAGTGCGCGACGGCGCGATATCTATGGCCCAGAACGGATACCCGTTCAGTCCTGCCAGTCCTCCTTGGTCCAGCATTTCTACACTCCGAACAAGATGCGTCGCTTGCGGGACAAGTGCTGTACTTTCATTCGTCTATGGTTCGGCCCTAGTGGCTTGTTCGCGACGCTAGTCGCAAGCACTCGACGCTCGGTTGTCGGTGCAGCGTCCGACCCAGTGTCCATCTCACGACGCTGCCGTCGGCAATGTACCCATGTGCGACTGTGACCGTTCTTTTGCGTACGATGCACCTGGTACAAGCCGCCACTGAGGGCGCTCGGCGTTACCGCGTCCACTGTTCCAAATTTGAGCCGTCCAGCACCCAGTCCGGTGCGACGATCACGCACAGCAACGACTGGATCCATCAAACGCATTCACATATTGGTCATCAGCCGGAACCAAGGCCAGTGTATCCGATACCTCAGCTAGTGTCCTTTTCCGATGCAAGCGTGAAGCTCCAGTCCGTGCGCCAATCCAAGCGGAACCACATGGATTTGGATCGGGGCTTTGCGGGGAACCCCAGCGTCTTTTGCTCAAGGACTCCCCGTCAGAGCAGCGCCTGATCGACGAGATTCGGTGATGGCGTCCGCCAGGCCCCCAAACAAAACGCCTCGATACAGCAGCTCAGGCACGATATCTCTGTGACATACTGGAGCATACATCAACTCCGCAAGTCCCCTACATCCATGCCGATGACCCATGACCAAAGCATCAGACGCCTCGAGCAAACTCCAGTCTTCCTGAAAAGTTGCCCTGGCGCCGCACATGCCAACGACTCTGTTGCTTGACGCATTACTGTTCAGATCGCTGGACCGTGGCGTCTTTGCGAATACGCAGCGAGTGCCTCTACGAGGCGTTTTGCACCCTCGGCCAACTCATGTGGCTCCAGCCAGGAGAAGCTCAGGCGTAAGGCACTGCGATGATGGCTCGTGTCCGTGGTGAAACGTATGCCCTCAAAGAAACTCACGCCGTGCTCATGAACACAATACTCGAGGAACGCAGCTGCGTCAATTTCGGATGGCAGCTCTATCCAGACAAAGAAACCACCCCTGGGTCGCTGGTACTTGATTCTCAACTTCGGATGCTTTGCCAGATGATCATCAAGACTGTCGCAGAGCTGTTTGCACGCTGCAGCATAAGCTGCTCGCAGACGATGGATGTGCTCTCGTTGGAACCCCGATCGTAACAACTCCGTGGCGATCGCAGACATGAAGGGGTTGAGTCCACCACCGCTCAGCAACAGACCGGTTTGCAGAAACCGCTCTATATACCGTGGATGAGCGTCGATCCATCCAAGGCGCACGCCAGGTCCCAGTATTTTGCTGAACGAGTTCATGGCGATCACAGTGGGTTGGTTTGCATCGTCAAAAGCGCGCAGAGATAGCGGCTGTTCGTCGCTATTAAAGCTGAGGAGCAGATACACTTCATCGCTAGCGATCTTGAAGCAATACTGACGCGAGAGCTCCACCAGGCGCCGCATTCGGTCTCTGGACATGGTCATGCCGGTGGGATTCTGACAGATAGGTATCGTGTATACGAGCGCTGGTCGAAACGTGGGATCTTCCGACAGTCGCTGCTCCAGTAAAGCGACTTGCATGCCGAATGCATCCACCGGAATGCCGACAACGTTCAGACGGTAGTCCCGGAACGTATAGAACGCCAAAAAGTAGGACGGGTCTTCGACAACGACCAAATCTCCCGGTGATAAAAGCACGGAGCAGACCATATCGAGAGCCTGTCCGCTGCCGTTGGTGATCATCAGGTTCTCCGGGGTAGCGGTGCTCGAGCCTGTCTCGCTGTGCAGCAGGAGAGCGATCTGCTCACGCAGTGCGAGCGGACCCTGCGGGGCACCGTACTGAAGATGGCTCACTTCAGCGTCTGGCCGTACGCGAGACTGACCAAACGCCTCGTATACAGCGCTCAGTGGCAAAAGGCGCGGGTTCGGGTGACCTTTCGACAGCTGGATCGTCGAGCTGCCGCCCAAGCCGTACAAAGTGGCTGACACTGAATCGGAGCCCGGCATCGTTATGTGCAGGGAAGCCTTCTCTACAAACAAAAAAGACTTTGCTTTCGTTCGTGAGTGAATTTAAGCAAGTGATCCCGTCTATGCACCACCGCGTTTCACGGGTGCCGGATACGCTGCGGTGTTGTAGCATCGCATTGCACTGAGCGCAACACATGCAGCGATCTGCTGCGCTGCAGCGCCGCCTCTACTTGTCAGAAACGCTTCCAATGCATACTCGGAATGATGGAATAATCGAACATAGTGATTGTCCACGTATTGCGCAGAAGAAACGTTCCCGGGGGATATTCACGGCAATCCAGCTTTTCATGGTTGCTGCACTGCACCATATGAGTTCCTTGCTCGAGTCGAGAATCCGATCCCACGTCTCCAGGCCACGGCGTTTCTTTCAGCGAAAGTCTTCAGCATTTCACCACAGTGCTCACACTTAGTACAAGACATTCCTTCGAAATTTCGCTCGGTAGAAAACCACTGGATGCTTCTGAAGTACGAGCTACTTCCAAATATTCGTCAAGGTGTTCAGGTCTCTTTTGTAGGAAGTGCTTGCTCGCGGTATTGCAGGTGGCATCGCACCGTGCGGAGAATCCCAGGTTTCATTGCCTCGCGATCGTACGTTCATTCAGCTTCTTGTACACCATCTTGTGCATGCAGGTCGGTTTCACCGGCTTCTCCTCTACCAGTTTCAGTGTGCACCCGTGCTGGTGTTGCGTTCATGTCGTGCTGAACGCATCGATAGGAATCTGGCAGAATCGATTCCCGCAGTCGTTCCACGCTCTCGTCTAGGAAGCAGAAATGCGGCCTCGGCGCCCTAAATATCGGTCAGCACCACGGACCGCCGCCAAATAACGCCGCTTGTCAGTCATTTCTTTCCAAAACGCATTGAAGATGGCGAAAGCATGCTTCTTGCTTCGGTGCAGTGGAAAGCATCGGCAGCGCCAGCGCTGTCTCATGTACTTGTGCCAAGGATCGTCTGCATGAGCCATTTGGACGCACATGTGCGCTCGGAATGAAGCGTACATTGCATTCCCTCTGGTCGATACGTTTCTCAGAGCGTCGAAATGGGTCATGACACCAGAATTTTCGTTGCTAGCATGCCTCCGGGCGTTTATCACGCTCGTCTATCCATGATACTCGAGCGCTGGGAAAAGCTGAACATCTTCATCCGCGTTCGGTTCAGGCCTTTTGATAGAGTCCACTTGCTCTCGGGGCACGGCGACGGTCGCGATATTCTTCAGCCCAGGATCGACGGACCGCCACGCTGTCCTTTTCGTCATCTACCTTGCACGGTTCACAATGAGTCTCATTGCTCGACTCAGAGCGAGGTTTCACGAGGTGTATGCCGATGGATATAGCGCCCGTCTCCATGAATGCTCTAACCTGCTTTCAATTTTCCTCTGGAAGCGAGAAAGCTTGAAAAAGCGCCGCCAATGCTCTGTGCAGAGTTCTTCGAATGGTCCACAATTGCTCGCAGAGACCAGCCGTGTATCATTTAGGAAGCGGTTCAGTGCAGTACAGACGTGTCTATCGTGATAAACCAGGCCTTGAGGCATGATATGGAGATCACATTGCCTAGGCCGCTGACGAGGCTCGCGGCGCTCAGATTCAACGAGGGTGTCTGCTTTGCCCTGGAAGGCACTGTTCTGGGTAACCGCATGGATACAACATGCAAGCAAGGCAGGCATCAGATTTCCACCATCCTCTGGATGCAGTGCTCAGAGTTCCTCGGTTGCCGGCAACACCCTGTGCTCGGATGATCTGAAGTGCCGTCCTGCTTTCGTGGCGGCTAACGCGCCTCCGAACTCGCTGCCGCCTCGATGTCTTCTGCAGACAGGTCGTCGTCGTTTACCTCCATGGACGCCCCGAGAATCACCACGAGCGGACCGCACTTTTCTGGGCCAGTGAGATTAGGGCGCAACGCCAACAGCGTGCATTCATTGACGTGTTCGACATTGACCTGCACAGGAACTCGGGTTCTGCGGTTCGTTTCATGCGTTCTGGCACCTGTGCTGGATATCATCCGATCGCTGAAGTGGCGAGGCGACGTGTCAAAATACGCTGGGAAGCGTATGTGCAAGTCTCGGATCCAGTAATCCGGTCGTATCGCATCTTCTGTCCCGAGCATCGGCTGTGTTATCGTATGACCGTTTGCTTGATAAAAATTCATGAAAAATCTTGACAGCTGACAGCGTTCCTATGGACGTCTTACGAACAGTTGCTGGACGAGGTGCGACATCGCGGGAGAGGCTGGTCGAGACTTTTGTTTCCAGAGAGAAGCTTCATGATCCCTCATGGTGTTTCGCATGTTTCGGTGGCACGGATGCGAATGACTCGTCTATGGATTTGTGAGCGTAAACATGGTGTTTGACAACAGAGAAGACGCCTGAGACTGGAATGAACATGGCAGAATGGGTTCGTCCGAAGAGCTGCTCAGCTTCAGTCGCAGCTTCGTGCTCCTTGACCTCTGTCGAGCGATGGAAAGTGATGTTATGTAAGAGCAGGAGACAGGAGTAGGAGAAGGAGGTCACTTGAAGTGGTTTGATGAAGCATGGGTTGTTGAAGGATCCCGTACTGTTTTGGCGATGTTTGGGCGACCACGAGATTGCGTCGCCGCCAGCGCTGATGTACTCGTGATTCGGGCATGTTTCTCTTCTTTCTAGACAGAATCTTGCCTACTCTTGATGACCAGTATTCAGGTCGACCATGCCGCCCGAATTCGGTCTCATCGAGTGCGAAGAACACCCGTCGCTTTTGAAGTAGGCGTTCGCGTTTCTGTACGAAATCGATTGTAAGGAGTTCAATCCGAGTCGGTTCTCCATACGTGCATACCGGTTTCTTTGTCCGTGCGTCTCGCTTCACTGCCGCTGATATCAACAGTACGAAGACTTTTCATCCTATGCATCCCACGACAGCATTTCTTCGAGATAATATGCAGTGCAATGCATTGACAAGCAGACGGTTGAGCGGATGGCGTTTGATGAAGTTCAGTTCTTAGTGCACGACGGTCGTCAGACGGACTGGGAGAACGCTAGTTCATCCCCGCTCGCTCACTGTCGAATGAGATTGCGCTGTACTTGGAAGATAGTTCATTTCGCCAGATACAAGTGCCGGCACAAAGCCTTTCCCCAAGCTTTCTCCAGTCTACAGAAAACATTCCTGTTATCGAGTACTGACGAGAGAAATATACGGAAAGCAAAAAAGGCGTGTTGGTGCACTTGTTCGGGACTCACAGCTCCGGGTATTGCCGGACATGCTAGTGACCAGAAAACGAGCTTCGGGGGTATATCATCCGGGGATACAATCCAAGATCTTTTGCAGACTTCGAGTCGGGGTCGTGTTGCGGTTGCTGGCCTCGTCTGCCTTGACGTCGGGACGCTCATGAGTGTTGACGCCACCTAGGCTGCCCGTCATAGGGGCGAACGCGTCTCTGGGTGTAAACAAGTCAGAGCGACATAGTTGCTCCTGAGCAGCCAAGAACCTCGCTTCCCAGCTTGTTCAAAACTGGACCAGATAACGTACGTGTTCGGACGCTGCGCTCCCCTGACCAAGGTCGGCTCTGTGTGTCGGAACATATGGCTCGCACCAGTACGGAACTCTTGCCCTGCTCTTTGGGGTAGACAGCTTTGTCGGCTGACGTGGCGAAATACGGAGTACAGCGGTCTGCTCTACAGGGGATGGTGCTGTTATATGGCAATTTTGTTTGAAGGAATTGTCACATGCGAAGCGTTGATATCGCCGAGCATTGTGTGTTTGCTCCTCGCTGGAGACGAACTCGTGGCATGCTCGGCCTCCGCGGCGTGACTACAGATCCGTGTTGTTTCTCGGCCATGCTCAGGATGAAAACGGATGCCTGCTTATTCAGCAGTTTGTGTTGGATCGTTTTTATTGCGAGAGTTGGATGCGCACAATAGCATGCTGGAGGACGGGAGCGACTCGCGCGAACGCTCCGGTGAACTTTCCGGACGGAGCAATGTCAGATCGTCTTTCGAGATGCACGCAGCAAAGCTTACCTCGCTTGGCAAGACATCGTTGTGCGCATTCGGTATGCACGTCGTTTAGGACGTATAGTTGCAGAGAACAAAAAATGCTCTCTATATCTGCTGCTTGATGTTCAAAGCAGCTACATTGTTTCGCCCACTCAGGGAAATGATTCCAAAGCAGTAGCTGCTACTGATCATCGCTTCATTATCCACATCCTCCATAGCATCAGGTACTAAGCGGCGTTGCAGACGACCTCAATGCATAGAGAGGGAAACCATCGCATATTTTGGCGGTTGCAAAATCTGAGCTTCATGGTCGTGCCCGAGGCTGCCCTGCATCAATCCCTCCACCACCGCTCTTGTCAATCGAAAACAAACGTTGAAGGGCGCATCAGCAACGCAGAAAAAAGCCCCGCTTGGTCTCAAGCTGTAGTTCTAGTCCCAGGAACATACGCTCTATATGATCGAGGCAGATCTCGATTCAAAACTCGATTGTGTCATCGCCAGCGCTGGTACCTTGTGCTCGCCGCCGTAGCCGCGCGAGGAAAATCCACGTGAATTTCGAATCAATGTTTCCGTTGTATTCCATACGGATACATGCGGACCAATTGCTTCGTGGTCGGAGCGGTTTGGCTCCAAGTTCCTGTTCCCAAAAGATTCACTGGTCCCAAATAGGTTTGGAAACGGAATCGCGACCTTTTGCAGCTGCATAGGTTTTGTTCCGAGCGTGCGAGGCTGATCCGCCTCGATCACCGGGTCCAAGCAGACAGTCTCCGCATCCGTGGATTCCTTCGAATCACGCAACGCTCGGCACATAAAACCATTCGAGTCAGGCGCGAACAAAGACCAGTTCATAGTGCCATAGACTCGCAGAAAAGCACGCTTCGCGCTGAATCGGGGTTGCATCCAGTACCACGAAGCAACGCAGTCGATCGTGAGATGCTCGACGGACCTCCGATGACCTGGTGCGTTTCCGCACAGAATCAGTGGCTTCCCTGACGTGGACGTTTCGATGACACCGTTGGTGCCGACTGTTCATGAATTAGCTCGTTCCCCGTGGGATCTTGTCGCTCAGACGAAGACGTCGGAAGCTCTGGCTCAAGCCTCGACGGGAAGCGACGGACCCAGTCCGGGGGCAGCAGACCCCGATCCCGGTACTGCCGAATTCGACTCGCAACCGTCTTCACAACACCCTCTGTTATACCTGAAACTTCAGCGATTCGGTTCACGAGCGCTTCATCGCTCACTCGCAACGTTGCTGGAATGCTCTGTGGGCACGTCTCCCGCCATAACAACAGGACGAAATAGATGGCACCAGCCGCAATCGATACCAGTGTTCGACCATGAATGCCATCTTTTTCAGCTGCTGCCCGTGCGACCTGATTCACGAGGGAGCGCACGATGTTCGGGATCTCTAAATAGGAGCAGAAACGGGAGACAAAGTCGTCTGTGGTGCGAATCCGACTGATTTTGGCTGCCTCGCCAATCGACATCTCCATTGCCTTCACGTATGCCGCAACGCGAGACTTGGCGACAGATACGATGACCGAGATTTCATTGAAGGTGCGTGGAAAGCCTTCATTGCGACAGGCGATAAACAGTGCTGCAGAGATAATTGAGGCGGTTTCGTCCTCACGAAAACGAGCACGAGCTCGCACCCCGTCTGCACCTAACGTCAGGTGATCGTAGTAGAGTCTGAGGAGCTCGCAAGCACGATCCTTCACGAGCTGCGGTAGGCCAGAGCGCTCGCACAGGTAAGAGATTCGGTTATAACACTCCGTGACATAGCGGTCGTTCGCATCAAGCACGTTTCGTGACTGCGCTCGAGCTAGACGCTCGTTCAGGGCATTGGCACCGGCCGGTCCTTGTGAGATTGAGGTGGCGAGGCCACTGTCTAGCAGGGGATTTATGCTCCCACCGACTCGATTCGGATCGTATGCCGAATCGTCGTTTTCGAAAGTTCGCCACTCGTGGCCCAGGTCGATGAGCAGCTCGGCAGCGACAACACCGCACTGGGCGCAGACGAGGTCCCCGTTCTTGGTGTCCTCGACGAGATCCGTACTTCCGCACTCTCCGCACACGTCAGGCACATCGCGTTCCATCGTCGGTGCAGACATTCTCTAGACAATTGGGCGACGTGCTGCTAGTGCTTTGGGCAAGAGCCTCGAACTCGCCAACTGACTTGGGGCGAGTCGGCGTCTAGCCGACTTGTGGGCTTCCGACCCTGAACAGTCGTTCTGCTTGGAGTTGCTCTCGCGTCTGTACTTGCTCCAGCTTACCCTCAGATAAAGCACGCAAACGAACAAAAGTCTTTGTTTCGGAACGAGCGGCCGCGTAAACTGCTGCGTCAAAAGTCCATACGCCGTTTTTCAAGCGCACAGCGACGAGGCGAGCTTCGGATATGAGGCAGCGGCCTTCGGCAGGTCGTCGAAGAGCGTTCGCTTCTTCTCGGCGTGCTTCTCGCAACCGAAAGGATGCAATAGGTGCCTCGTGCGTGCCTGAAACCTGGTCATGCAAGCAGTACCTCAGAGTCACAGTTAACAATATCCATAGCGTTTGGTTGTGTCCAGAGGCACGGAACGCTGACTGGCTGGCTGTCAACATCCAAAGTATCCCCCAAGCGAGCACTCTTCTCCGTGCATCTGCTGCTGCTGTAGCTGCGAATGGGAGTCAGGAACCATCCATCAGGGAAATATCCATCATAGTGTTCCGTCCAAAAGACTGACGTGAATCTACGAACTTTACAGCACACAGATTCTGTTCATCTTGACGTTATCGAGGCAGCCCATCCGAAATACCGTATTTCTAGAAGCTGCACACCATGAGCTGTTGTCGGGAAGGAACCAGGTAAACGGTGATGCCTGGTGCGCGACTAGGGTATCGCCCAGGATGAACTGCAGGCTGCAGTTGCTCGGGCGTCGCCGAGATAGCGGTTGGTTTCATTGCTCTCAGTATGCCTTGACCGGAGCCGCAGCAAGCGTCGAACGTCGGCAAATACGAACGATGCAGCGGTCACATGGCCTCTGACGTCACACGATTTCCTTCACTGATATCATTCACGTCAACGTTCGTGTACGATTCCAAGCCGGGACCCGCCATCGCCAGGGATTTCTCTGCTCGTGTGGGAAACACACAGTGCGTGTCTTCGTTTCGGGAAGGACACGGTCCATGGCCGCATACTGCAGCCTCTGGGACGGAATAGCGAGGATCCATGGACATGTCGCTACAGCCCGGTCCAGATGAGGCCTAAACGTGAATTCAATCCATGCGGGAATGGTTTGCGCCAACTGCTCATCGAGATGATCCGTTTGCACTGACGAAGGCGGCGCCTCGAGTGCTTTCAACCATTTTTCAGCTACGATAGAGATATTCTGTTTCGTCTGTGGAGGTATCTTTGCTTAACGGATGCTTCGGGTCAAGCCGCTCCGTCTGTGCATCTTCCGGCGCACTTATCGACTGCAGACCCTGCCCTGTGAGTTGCTCAAATAATCGTCCGAAACGCTCCCATTCTGCATCAGGAAGCTGATAAGGCGCGTACGAAGCAGTTGGAAAACGACGCTGCTTCACCGCTGTTCGATAGTCGACTAACCCACGATGAATCTCCGCACCAGCTTCCGCGAAGCGTTTGCAAAACTTGGGCGTTACTTTGGCATGATGTGGGTGGGTCATCATCCCACATAAATCATGATACACCAAAACTTGGCCACTGGTACCGCCACCTGCGCCAATGCCAATGGTTGGAATACGCAACGCCGTTGTTACTGCAGTCGCGAGACGCGCAGGCACGCACTCCAGCACCAGGGCAAAAGCGCCTGCTTCCTGCAATGCCAGTGCATCTTCCAGAAGCTCCGCTGCTTCGCTAGCGTTCGTACCAAAGGCTCGAAATCCACCCCGAGCGCTGTAGCTCTGCGGCCGCAGCCCAACGTGACCCATTACCGCAACACCTAGTGAATGCACACAGGCCTCAATGACGGGTGCCATGCGCTTACCTCCTTCTATTTTTACCCCGTGCGCGTGTCCTTCTTGAATCATTCTGGTAACGTTGCGGAGTGCATCCGCAGTGGACGTCTCACAGGTTCCAAAAGGCATATCCGCGAGGAGAAGCGCCCGTCGGCATCCTCGCGCAACCGCTCGACAGTGGTGCAGCATGTCGTCCAGGGTCACAAACTGAGTCGTATCATGTCCCAGTTCGACCATGGCTAAAGAGTCACCGACCAGAACGATGTCCACCGCCGCGAGATCCGCATGCAGTGCCTGTGGATAGCTGTATGCCGTCACCATGCAGATAGGGACGCGCTCCTCATGCATTCTCTGAATGTCGCGTATGGTTATCCGTCGCAGATGATTCTCCGAGTTTCCCGCTTGTTTTGTGCAGTATACCCGATTTGGACTAAAATGATTAGGCGACTGTCCCCGAATGAGGTACCTGAACTGGTTTCGGCCCGGTTGCCAGTCACGAGGCGCAGCAGCGCGCTCGCCGAGACCTCGCAGGTACCGCCAGTGCTCCAGCAGCTGCCACCGCGAGCACACCCTGCGCATCGTTGTGTCCATTGAGACTAGACGTGTCAGTATATGGTGGCACCAAAGGCGTCTATGGGTTCAGAAGGTTGCTGCTTTTGTTGGCGGTGGCGCTGCGCCTGGGACGTCAAGGTCGGCAGCGCTGCAGCTTCCCAACGCGGGCAAGTGTTCTTGTGAGTCAGGGTTGAAGCTGGTAGAAAGAAGCCTCCGGCTCTGAACGTGCTACGGGTCCGCAAGTGCAAATACGTAGCTTGCCAAAGAGGCGCACACGTTCCACCTATTCCAAAAAACGTGCAACCTTCGGGTGCGGAGCTCCGGTGACCCGCAAGACGCCACCCTCTGCTCCGCATAACACGGCAGCATGCGCTTTGCTGCTCGCTGTGCCGGGCAAGCGGTTTCCGGAGACCTAGGTCCGTTCGAGTATGTCGTGCCTGTTGCTGTAATGTAAGAAAGATTTCGTCTATAATAGGGAGAGGGATACTGTTAAGCACGCAGCGTATGGACAAGCTCTTTGTTATTCGTACCCTGCAACAACCGGGTGTTCAAGAGGAGCTCGCAGAGCGCGGAGCCCTCTGTGCGGGTGCGGGTGCCGTCTCTGGACTCGTAACTGCAGCGGTTCGAGGGTACCGTGTATCAACAGCTGCCGTCATCGGCAGTGCTGGATTTGTACTAGCGGGAGTGCCGTTTTTTGCCTTGCAACGCGTGTTCCAGGAACGGCGGCAGGGCGTTCAAGATCCGTGGAACTCGGTGCTCGCTGGAGCTTTTGTTGGGTGGTTCGTTGGCCTCGGTATTAGTGGTCCAGGGCGATGTCCTCAGAGTGCGCTCACTTTGGCTGCACTCTGCGGTGCTGTGCACTGGTCCTTGTCCACGGTGGGGCACTGGCGGCAGCGAACGCCCGCGTCAAGTTCAGCAGCTGTGCGTAACGAGACTGAAAGCTTCCAGTGGCCCGAGTGGCTACCTATTCAACCGGTGAGACCGGGGTATCGGCCACCTCATGTTGAACTCGCGGAGCTTGTAGCGAAGCGGGCGAGCCTAGAGGAGGAACTGCGGGAACGCAGGGCCCGTCTGGAGCACGAACGAGGTGCCGAGCCGGCGAGTCCTTGCGACTGCTCCCCAAAGTGATGCCTGGAGCGCAGTGCACACCGGTATTCGCGGCAGCTGTGGGGACATTCCGGCACGAGCATCCAGGATTGTGAGGATACTCGACGCGTCGCGTAACGATCGCCTGGTGATTGCGCCTGACGCAAACTTGCCTGGTGCGAGGTCGGTGCTGTTCACAGGTCATCCACGTCGCTCGTCGGAATTCGCCGGAGAAACCCATCATACAGTCAAGTTAGTTTAAATGCGGTAAAAAGTTGCAGCGCAAATTGTATCAGATCGATGACGGCGCTGAGAGTCGGCATTTCCGATGGGATTCGAATCCTCGCGCAAAGAGACTGAAGCGGATCTTGTATTTCGCATGCTCGATGGATACTCAAGAGCGCGTTTCGCTGTCGAAATGAAACACGTGCCGTCCGTACGTTGCCCGCAAAGCAGCTACTTTCGTTGAAAAAGAGACTTCTTAGACGACTGGTGTATTGGATATGTTGCTATTCAGAGAGCAACATCATTCAAACGGAAAGACACCGGATAGACTGCTGTCTGGGATCTGGTGTCGTGCGTCTAGCGCCTCCGGGGCCGCTGCCGAAGCAACCGCTTCCAGAGCACCTACCATGGACCTTTGGATCGGCGCCCTCCAGGAATCAGATGCTCTCGAATGTTGCCGAGCACAAGCCTCGTCCGAGTCTATTTGACGGGTTGGTGCGCCACTTGCAGGCATGGTGCATTGACGCATGCACTTGTTCTGTTCTGGTCTGCTCTGCGAGAAAATCCAACACGCGTGCACTGTATGAGACAGTCCATTTCGTTGTTGCTCAGGGTCTGAAATCAGACCCTGAGCAACAACGACAATCAATAGGGTATCCATTCCCGCTTGACTCGGTTTTCGATTATCAGTATTGTTTCGTTTCTGGCGTCTCAGTGATGAAAGCTCTCCTCTTTCGTTTGACATGCTTTCCGACTGTTAGTATCGTTTCATGTCTGGCGCATTGTTGACAACAGCACTCCATTCCGGTTGATGCGGTTCACAGACAGGGGCATTGTGTTGTGACTGGCGCTTCAGTAACAAGAGCGTTGCTCAATAGAGTTCGCGCAGCGCAGTGCTTCCTCAGACGCTGCTTCATAAAGATCTACCTCAATAAAGCGCGCCAATTGCGCTTTCTTTTGCCGCAGTGCTGAGGACGCTGCATGCCTTCAACGCAGAGCTCGAATCATACTAAACGAACAGAGCTCACCGTTCCAGACAGAATCAAAGCTCGATGTCCTGTTCTCGACATGAATCGTTGCGTTACTTTCACAGAGTAGAGACTAGCTATTCGTACCAGAAGCACATTGCAAGCAAAGCTGCGACCTGTCGTGGGAGGTCACGTTTTCGATGATTTCCATGGCCATCGTGCGCACAACATCCTGTAGATCGTATCTGGACGAAGAAGCGGGATTGCTCTCGTCTTCTGGTCGTGTATAGTTTGTTCTTTTCTGTTCGCTGCACAGCGCTACAGCCATGTATCCTAGAACGTAAAGTAGGGTACTCGCTGTGAGAGGTCTTGGCCCAGAAAACGTCCAGTCTAAGCTGCCAATGCGCTGTGCCTCCCTGCTACGCTTCTAGTGTCTCTATTGTGCTGATTCCCGGGACATACGGACCAGTGTGACCGTCGTCAGACCTAAATGTCGCAGAGTCCGCGTTTGCTTCCGGGGTCAACGTCCACGGTGGCGGCGTTGACTCGCAAAAACCTCGACAGCCTGGGGGAATGCTCGTGCGGAAAGGTTCCGCTCCAAAGTTGGCTCGACATCTGGCTCCCATGTACAGAGAAATCATCGGATAGTATACAGCAGGTATTAGGTTCCGGAATGCGATACCCTGCGAGACACCGTTCTTGAAAAATTCAATATAGGTACCAGTGGCGACATGGCTTGACTCTCTGTCCGTGGTATAGAGGAGCTCTGTTGGCGGTGGCATTTTCGGTTTGCTCCCGAGACCCATGTTCATGCCTTTGAAATCAAACCAGGCATCATCGAGTCGTCGAATAAGAGCCTCTTCGCGAGCGTCAAGACTCGGTGGCAGGCAGATTCGACAACCGATCACGTCACCGAGCTGGCCCCAACAGGAACCGTATGCCTCCGGGATGCAGTCGTGAACCTTGTCGCCAGTCTTATCCCGATACGCATAGCCGTGAACTTCCCAACCGACCGGGAAGGATACCTCAGCCCGGCAGGAGCCGAACCCGACTCTTATATGAGGCTGGACTCCATCGCGATCGACGACGCTCTCGTGGCAGGGCAGCGGTGGCGGTTCCCCTGCCAGCACCTGGATCTCAAAGAACCAGTCACCAGTCGCAACGCCATGAATACCGCGTATACTGCGGAAGCCGCGCTCTCCAGTCACCGTTAAGAGGTCCGACGATAACTGAAGCTTTGGATCTCGCTGGTGCTCGCTTAGGGTGTAGGGCACCCCACGCGGCGGTTTCCTCCATTCCAGAATTGCGGCATCATCGATGAGCTCTAAGGGATCGATTTCCTCTACGGGCACACCGGCTTTTAAACGAGCCAGCACAGATTCACTGAACTGGGCGACAAGTCCACCTCGTCGAATGGTACGTTGTCCACCATCGGTTGCAGCGGAGCGGGCCGAATGCCCCCCGTGTCGTGTTCTGGTGTTTCCTTCGGTGCGCGGCACGCCCGCCGGACCAGACGCAGACCTCTCTTCTGCTCGATTCGACACAGCAGAAGTGCGACCAGTGGATGATTCGATGTCTGCCAAAGTCGCGACGCGTTGTGGTTCAGTTGGGGTTTCTGGCGACCCCGATGCAGTTGTTCCAGGTGCTGGCGCTAACAGCAGTGAAGCGGTGCTCTTCGTTTCCGCGGACGTAGAGCGAGCCCGCTTGGGCGCAGGCTCTAGGTCCAGATCATCGGCGAGGCGGCTTGCATGTTCCTCGGTTATCAGGCTCCAGTCATAGGAGTCCACACCCAGCCGAAGCTTCCAATATGCCTCGTGCGTCTGCTCAGCGTCAAGCGCACTTGGGTTCCTGTCCAACTCGACGAGAGCACTGTCTGGTTGAAGTCTTCTTGTGAGTTCCACACTGAACTTGCGACGGAACTCTGCACCCTGTGCAACTTGATCCCAGTGTGCGTCGACGTAGTCGATGATTTCCCTCGCAGTAAAAGAACTCCTGTTCGAGTTGGCCTGCTCGAGTGCCTTTAGCGCTCGGAAGAGAATCGCACACCACACAGAACGCAGTGACTCGGGAGGTGGATCCATTACCTCCCAAGATCTGTGTTAATAGTGTCCAGTGAGGCGTTCGCGAATGAACGAAGACGCTTCACCGAGCAGAACCTCGGATACCTGCCGCGTATGTGCGCGTTTCGAAGCGATCCGCTGCAGGTGCACTTACGCCCGTGTTCCAGTCTTTCAACTCGATTTTTTTACACGCCTGCTGCGGTGTACAGCAGCTGATCGAAATCATGCTGGAGTGCACAGTACAGACTGTAGACGAATTGCTCGTGGGATATGCATTCTTTACTGAACAGTGCAAGTAGGGCTGCATGCCTCCTTCCGGTCGGTCATACCATAGAACGCAGATGGCTGAGGAAGATTAAAGAACAAGCACAGGCGCTCCGCATCAAAAACTGGTACTCTCACAGCGTGTGCTCGCGGTCAACTGTAGAATGTGATCCATGGATCACCGTATGGGAAGCAATAGCGCCGATAAGACACGCCACGGGCGTTTCTGTTTATCACCAGCTTGTTCGTATGGCCCTGGAAACACTGGGGACCAATCGCAGCAGAGTCCTAATGCAGGCACGGCCATCCGCGACAGAAATCGCGACTGCAACAAAGTTACTGGACCGTTGCGATCGGTATGAAGCAGAGTGGCGTCGATTTGTTTTTCTCAGTCGATGAGACTTGCTTCGGACGAAATTTTCAGAGCGTAAATGGATATTCGCGCAGAGGGGGCCCATTGTATGTACAATTGAACACGAAGAAAACTAAGACATCATCATCATCGTTTCCAGCTGCAGTGGATTCATCTCGCGGTCTCAGTTTCGCAAGTAGAGAATTTACATTCAAAAGGACCAATCACTTTGTCGAAGCGTGGACGACTTTGCCCAGACCTCTGGCGATGTCCTTCTATTGGGAAACGTGGTATTTCACCGTTCCCGATATGTCCGAGTTTGTGCAGATTCTGTCGGGGAGTAGAGCTGTTTTTCATTCCTCCGCATACTCCGTGGCTCAACCGCATCGGGGGAATGTTTTCTATCGTGATACGCAATGATCGCTCCATTGAGCGGATCGCTGGAGTATTCAGCAAGATGACACACCGGCGCACATGTCATCGTTCTCGGGCAAGTTTTTTCCCGCTGGGAAGGTCCTCTCGTAAGCGCATAAGCAAGTGCGTTCGTTTTTCCAAAATATAAGAAAAGAGTTGGAATGTACAGTTCGGAAGGTTGAGATGGAGAGAAGGCAGCGGAGCACTTCGTCGAAAGAAAAGCGCTGAGAATTGACAGAGCACCAAGTAGAACTGAGGGCACGAGTTCGGGGACGCCTTGCATCGGCAAGTTCGACAAGCGGCAGGTCACGTAAGGAGTTCGTGAACCGAGACTCTAATGCCGCCATTAATATCAGGAGATGTGCGGTGCTGAAGACGATATCCGAGGAGCTGACGCGATCCAAATTTCTGGGGCAAACTCTCAGTGTCGTGGTGAGCAAGGAGAAGCTGAAACAGATTGCAAGGGGCCAGTCGAAAAAGGTTGGGAGGCATGCGCGAGTGGGTATTCATTTACCCTATGTTCGCAGAGCGTTTCTGCTCAACTGAACATACATTTGGTGCCGGATACACAAATGCCAGTATACGATGGAATGGGTCCACTTATCGAAACCGGACATTCGTGCAAACCTTTGGATTCCTCCCCGTCACTATCAGTACCAGCATTAGCGGGCTTCTTCTGCGAATGGTTCCTTTTCCTCTCGCATATCCCCGGCTCTATATATGCCGGTTGTTCCTGTTCCTCCAGCTCAGTCTTCAGGTGTCGAGGGATGTCGATGGCAGCGTTCAAGTTCCGATTTCGCTCTCTTCGGATTAGCTCTTCGCATTTCATGCAATTTTGGAAATTCCGATCTACCCTTCACTTGCCTTTTCCATGTTTATTGTACATGGCCTTGGGGCGTTTGTCGCGGCTGTGAGACACTTGGCAGTGGGCGGGTTTTCCCATATGTCTACCAAACACACACACACACACCCACAGACACCGCCCTCCGAGACCTCCCTTTGTTATCCAAACACATGCCTTATTGCTCACGAATTATACCTGTAACGAGTAACGAATGCTCAAGGCGACGCCTACCTCGGTTTCTGGGCCCAGTGTGGCGACCTAGGATCGCGGGCTTCTTCGACACAATCCCCACGGCGAGTGCTCTGTCCGCAGCAGACGCAAACGCACGCTGTTTCATTTAATACAGGTTTTGTGGAACGCTATGATGTCTGGGATGGAAAAAATACCGGATGGAAAGTCTCGGCTAGAGTGCAAGCCGGGAAATTTAGGCCCGTATATGCTCCCTTCGTGCTAAGCGGTGACGCACGCTTTCTTGTTCGCGATCCCTGCGATGACTGCGGCCCGAGTCCAAGATCATCTTCCATGCCAACAAACGAGACGTGAGTATCTTGGAGTATTCACGGTGATACGGATCAGGGTGCTGTCGAATGTAGTTCCGTGAATAGCTTCCAAGTGAGGATGATTTAGGATCCGAACGGAACCGATCATTGCAAGTAAGATATCTAGTGAACATTCCTCATGAGCCTATGAAGAAGCTGTCCAGCATCGACTTCCAGAAGTTTTCGTCCCCGATCCAGTGGCACGAATCGCTGCGTCCAAGCATTGCCTTGAAGCAGAACGATCGAAAACTGGTACAATGCGGGATTCGAACATGCTACGTATACGAAAAGGGGAGCACTGGAGGCTTGCACGTAAGCGCTGGAAAACGACACCAGTTCTTCTAAGCGCTTTTGTTCGCTTGCGTCGGGAATCATCGGGATGCTGGTGACGGCGCGCATTCCAGCGGCATAGCGTCATTCGAGTCACTCCAAAACGACGACCTAGCATCCAAAGTCTACATACGCATCCACGAATTCTCATTACTGCATGTCGAATGTCAAGGCAGTTCATCGCAACAAATTCGGAAAAAGGATCGCAAGGCAGGAGCAGCGCGACTCGTTCGGTGTTCCGTTTTAATCTAATACGTGTGTAGTGCACATCGCACCTGCCCGCGAGTGACTTTCATCGTGTCTGGATTACAAGGCAGAACGCAGGAACTAGCGTGCACCTGTACAGTGGACTGGCTCGTACCAGAAACAGCTAAGGAGTTTGTGAAATGCGTATGTTTTGGAGAAAGCAAAAAATTCACACGTATTCGTTCTCGGCTCGTGGTTTCGTCTGCTCAAACTCTGCAATGGCGCACGTGGAAGCGGCGAGATCCGCTTCATTCTTCTAGGCAGGTTTAAAAAATTGCCCATGCTCATGGGTTGCATAAAAATTCTAGACCAGAGCGCTCGCGGCCCGCGTTTCCACCTTGAGGAAACGTCGCCTCCTTATATACCGAGATACCTCTTTCTGAATTGCCGCGTTGACTTCCCCGTTTCAGGAACTAGGACCGGAAGCGATCTCCTATTCCATGGATGGAATCATCATGCAGCGCGTTCAAATTTTCGTCGTCCTTATTCAAGGCACAGCTCACGTCACCCATGATCCACTACAACAAGAAAACTGTGGACCCATGAAAGAGCTTTCATGGATCACGTGCAGATCCTCTACGTCACGTGGGTGCGTTTCTCTGTAGCTGCCACGTACTCGAACTCATCGCATCGTATCTTTTCGCAGAATGCAGAGCGGCCCATGTTCGTTATAATCTTGCTTCGTGACCCACAACTGCTGAAACATCGTTATGGAGGCAAGAATCGATCCCCCACGCCAAGCGACGGTCGAAGGGTCATGCGCAACAGCGACATTCGGATGCATAGACGACGGCAATACGTCAACGAGCTCACTACGAAGACGTTCTGCGAGTCCTTTGAGCGCAGCGCCACCTCCATATAACATTATATTCGCGGCAAGTTCTCGCCGAATATCCGGCTCGCATTGCATAAGCGCTAGATGAACCCTCTCCGTGAATGTGCTCCTGTTTTTCCCATCGGGAGAGGTCGCCGGCGTGAAAAGCATCTCGGTGCAGCCGAGGTACTGGTCCGGGGTGACGAGGATGCTGCGCCCCTCGACCACTGCATATTGCTTGGCAGTGAACGTTGACGTTTCGCCGTCTACGCCTTGCTTCGGCCGGACTTCTGAAACGGCCTCTTTTAGTACGCGCCAGTCAAGCGTGTCTAACGCTCGTGTCGTGGTCGCATCCCCGATGTGCGTTTCAAGAACGAGCGTTCTGAGCCTTGCTTCGATATCGATTCCACCGATCGGCAGCGTGGTCGTCGCGTATCCAAACTGGAAACCCTCGTACACAGGCGCGATCCGCAAACTCGTATGCCCTACGTCAATAGATAAGCCCGTTGTTCGGTTGACAGCGTATAGTGCGAGAACTGCAGGTGCTGCGAGGTAAAGCGCCGGCACGCCCAGTGTTTCGAAAGCGACTTGTGCCAGAAGCTCCCTGGAGAACTTCGTTGACTCTGCCCAATCAACGACCAAGAGTGGCTGATTCTCTGCCCTGGTCCCAAGACTCTCCGTCAGAACCGAGTCCCAGAAACCAGCGAGCCTCTCCCAGTCCGGAATCGCACCGGCGCTGCGACCGGGATCGGTCTCCACGCTGACGCCGTTTACAGGCGTTTCAGACGCCGTTCGCACTGTTACACTTGGCACATCATTACCAGCGAAATCTACACGTGTGTAAAGTGCTCCGGAATCGATCACAACTGGTCTGCCGTCCTCGGTCATGAGAAAGACGGAGCCGAAGCTCCGCGGGCCGTCTACACCTTTCGATGAGGGTTACAGGGCGCGCAGAGGTGCCTATGCGCGGCAAGAGTGGATGGATATGATATTAAAATGTACCTATCGAACTTTAATGCATATTTTAGAACTCAACGTTCATAACCGAGGTCCGTCGTCGCATGCCGTCCGCACTGTGATCGACGTCGTGTTACTACCTGAAAAATATTCAGGCCGCGGGACCTAAACCTCGAGTACTCGAGCTTGCTGCCTCCGAGCCTTCGCGGACGCTTCTCGAACGGCTTCACCTAGCTCGTCGTCAACTTTAAAACTGTCGGTTGTGAGCATAAGATGACGACAGTCGGCGCCCGCCCCGTGCTTCTACTGGAACTGGCAAAGTACGCGCTTCGATCTGACGTGGAGTACGTCCTCAAGCGCTATGGGGACGTTTGGCAAAAGGCTGCAGTAGCGCAGATCTTTCGAGGATCAAATCGGCGTAACTCGGATCGCGCTCGTTGGCTGGTACAGTTCCGGGATCCTGAAGAGGCTGCACGAGTTGCACAGCGCCTTCTGGACTACCAGCAGCGAGGCCGCGGCTCGCGTTCCAGCAACGGTGGCGGCGCTGCGGGCGAGCAGGGTGCTCAACCGTTCGGTCGTGGTCGACGAGCTCGCTCTGTGTTTTCTGCGGTCTCGCTGGCGCCCGAGTCTTTTCTGGAGAGGGAACTCCACCGACCGGCGCTGTCTCGAGTGTCCGACGTTGGCCGAGCAGTTGTTTGCTCGAACCTCGCAAGAGGGGTAGAAGCTGCTGACGTTTGGCGCTTGTTTGTAAACGCTTACGACGTTGAGGAGGTGCGCCTTCATGATAGCGCAGCTGAGGTCGAAGCGGATGCGGATACGCACACAGAGGACACTTCAGGGAGCACCGCGGAGCAGACGGATGCCGCGGCGCAACTGGCCGCTGAAGGAACCGAGGTTGCAGATGCCGTACCTGTACGCAAAGCTCGGCCTCTAGCGTGTGTTGTTTTCCGCTCGGAGGACGACGCTTGGAGAGCGATCGTGGAACGCCAGGGTGCGTACGTAAAACGTCGCCCCGTGGAGCTGTCGATTGTGCAGTAATTTTAAAGAATCTTATTTTTCGAATCAGTGCATGCTTGTCGGAAGAGAAAAGCTAGCACGCAAGCGCTTCATGCGCAGCGAGGGCCTTTTGTCCAAAAGAATCATGTGACATCTTGCTGAAGGAGACACTGCAGTACAGTTTCCGATAGTTGTGCAAATCGCATACCGAGTTTCGAATGAGACAGCGTGCGCTTGCTCGTGCAGCGGACAGCATACTCGAAGAAGCATTGCCCAGAAGAATGACGTTATCGAAGGGGACGGCATTGGGCGTGAACGTGGAAGAAGGCATCGAATGAAGCCTACGGTACCCGTCACGGGCATAACGGAGCGATCGAGTAAGCATTTGTGCGTCACTGTGCGGCTCTCGGAGGCGGGCGTATCGTAAACATTTGAGAACGCCTGAGCGCAGCCGAGGTTCACCAATTGGAAATGGTGGATCGCGGCTGTGTATGAAAAAGATGAAAATTGCAAGCGAACCGTAGATCAAAATCAGCCTCTGTGCATCAAATGCGTAGACAGCAGTCCGAATCGGCGTAATCTGTCGATGATCGCTGACATCAACATCCTGCGACTGCTGACAACGGAGTTGGAAATTGAGTAGACACCCGCTTATTTGCAGGCGGAGATAACAGAGAAGATAAGGAAGCAGTCGTAGAAAAAGCCTGCAAAAGCTGGTGCTGATGAAAATGGGAAGAGTCACAAACTATAACGTGCGCGCCCCAGCTGGAGGATCCGTTGCATTTTATTCGGATATGGGCATCGTCCTGCAAGCACTTTGAATCAGGTAGGGGAAATACGCGCAAAAGATGTCGCGTTCAGTGGGTTTGCGTTTCCTCTCAAATCGCGGGCAATGTACATCCATCCGCTGTAAACATAGAATGGATGGCTACGCTTTCAGTGAACGGTACGAACAGCGCTGATGCAGGCGGGTTGAGAAACAGGCGACATTGCCAGGGCACGCTTCGTGCTCAAAAGCGTTTTCCGTCCGACCGCTCCGGAACTCTGGGCACCGCAGTTGGCGCTGGCGGCCGACATGCGCCATCCGCATTGTCGGACAAACGGACGACGGTCTCCAACGAGAAGTATCGGTGATGGATGCTTGAAGTTATGGCGCGAAACGATGAACACTCTGCCGGATGTTGATGGCCGTTGCGCTATCGGGGATTCCTTGGATAGCGCGAAAGATCCTGAATATAAGAGAACATCTGTCTGGATGACTTGCTTGGAAGCCGGTGCCGCTCTGCTCACATAAAGCGCTACCAGATGAATATATGCGGCAAGGCATGCAATCCCGCTGCTGATTTTACGCCTGGTTGCCGAACCGCCTGAATTGCGCATGAGCGATCACCGCAGGGCGCCATTTGGCATAAACCGTGACTTGCTTGCCCGGTAGCGCTAGAGTAACTTGCGCAGTTGATCTAGAAGAGCAGTACGACACCGCCGCCCAAGCGACCCGGCAGATGCGCATATCTTTGAGCCGACTTGTGCAAGTGCCTTTCTGGTGCGAGTACGAAGCCGTTCCTCCGTGCCCGGGAATACGATGAAGAGCGCAGTGCTCGTCAAGCCTATACTGAACACGACGAGCGACAAATACGCGTCTATAAAGAGAAGCAAGAATGAAAGCAGACTTACACGGCCTAGACGCTGGAGACATGACACCAGATCGGACCGCAGATCCCGGTCCCTGGCAGGCAGCAGGTTCGGAACCCGATGCAACAGGTCCGACAGTGCACCTTTCAATCCAGCGGCTGGCGTTTTTTGGCGGTTGAGGCTTCGGCGCTCCCCGCTCTGGAATGCGTCTGGAAAGTTTCGCTCGTGTTTCGCAAATAAAGCAAACCGGCATCTGTTTGCCTTCCATGGGCGCCTGCCCAGCCACGATACCAGAAAGGAACCGCATTCCACAAGAGAAAAGCCCGAAGAGCGCACTGGAAGTGCAGACGTACCAGCAAAAAAAGCTGCGCGTGGACAGCACTGACCTGGGCGCCGTGCACACCTGGGCAATGGCCGCAATGCGCAGAAAGAAGCGTTGCTCCGCAATGACACTTGTCCCGCGAAAGCTTCGCTTCTATCACCCGTGCCCCGATCGCATACTGAAACAATAGGTGTCTTGTTGCTCGACATGCTGAAGTACTCGACCCATGATATCTCGTCCCGATCCATCTTTGCAAGCCCCAGTTGGCCTTCGCAGCTCAAAAGGGTGCCAGATGCGTCGTTCAAGGTCACGAACTGTGCTCCAAGTGCTGCTTCATTCCAAGCGCTCGGGCGCCAGTAGCTGCAAACACGCTCGTTCCGATCCGCTTCGGTATCGTGCGGCGCACAGCCGACTGAACCTGTTCATACACTTTGGTATTCGCCACGACAACGCTGCCCAGCACCTCTAACCTGACCTCGTCTGGGTGTGGGTGAGAGGGTCCGCAAGCCTATACAGCCTTCCAAAACACGCAAAAGCAACCCGTAACACCGGAAGAGCTCAATGGTTCTCTGCCGGTGCTGCCAGACGCTCCTGACCCTCAGACGTTGTTCCCCAACCGCTAGTACCAGACTTTTCCGGACGTCAGATCGCTGAAACGAACCGCGATTCCACGGGTATAGCGCAAAGCAACTGAAGAATAGGGAAACGATCACAGCACCTCGAACACCAGTCTGTATGTCCCTTGATCCGTGGTACAAGCTTCCAGTAGCGCTAACACCTGGATCTGCGTCAACGTACGTTATAATCCGCGATAATCTCCCACCTTTCGTAAGCTCCAGAACAAATTGAAGCCCCGTTGAGCCTTCAGAGATGCATTCGTCTAGCGCAAACGTCAACGCAGCGTCTCCGTGGTGCACTGCGCGCGCACGCGCCCTCAAGCAAGTCGCTGTGCCGAAACTGCCTTGGCGTTCATAAAGGATGGAGGAGCTTCTTAGAGAGCAAGTATTCAATGCTATTGTTTCATTCCTTCAGAGAGAAAGGTTACCTGCAAGCGCAAATCTTTTGCGATTTGAAGCTTGCCAGGTAACTGCACCAAGTACCGACAAGCTAACAGGCAGCAGGTCGGGTGGTGTTGCGGCAGCAGTTGCGGGTTCCCGGTCACTTCCCAGTCAGGATGAAGGTGGTGGCGGAACCGCTTTGGAAGGTGTTTCTGGTCGAAGTACGTTGCGATTCGCAGCGGGTACTGCGAACAGTCCTGAGCCGTTGGAACTTGATCCATTTCTTGTCGGGAGCGCGGTTCTCTACGGGGTGGAGGAGGCGCTGGCGCTCGAGCTCTCCGCTGAGCGTCTCTTACAGGCGCTAGATGAAGCCAGCGCGGTGCGCAAACGAAGGCGTCGCTTCTTTACGAGCGAGGTAAGCACGAGCACTGCTGCTGTTGACCACGCCCGGGACGAACACATGCGCCCAGCTTGCTGTGCAGTTCATGCGGCGCTAGCGAGAGCTCCTGGGTCCCTTGGGAGTGCACGAGAAGCGGCACTGGAGTCACGGGGCTCTTTGTTGGCTGCAAACTTGCAAGTTGCCGAAGCTACATCTTCTGATGAAGTTCGATATGAAGTCGGATCTGGCGCTTGCGCCTCACCCGAATCAGGAAGAGTGCATGCGGACCCCGCGCAACCGCATCAAGAGCGTACGTCGCAGCGCGGTTGTACCGGTCGACTGGAGAACGACGGGAGGCGAGGAAAGCCCCAAATGGCCGTACCAGCCTCAAATCTCCATAGCAACTCAGAGGATAGGCGCTCGACATTCCGTGTTTCCGAAACCTGTCAACTTGGTGAGGCACCATGCGAGCCCGCGGGCGCCACGGCATCATTGCGGCAGCTCGCTGAACGAAGGCAATCCTTCACTCGTGAACGACCGGATTGTGGAGGGATGCATGAAACATCGCCCCGATGCGTCTGCTCGAATGCAGACGGGGCTCAATCGTCTGAAACGCCGCAAAGCGCGGTAAATGAAGCGCACCATGCGGCAGTCGAAAGCGTTGCAGTGACGACAAGGGCAGCACATGCATCGCCAAGGGCGACCTCGGACACCACCGTTGCCGCTGCGGCTGTGGTCGATCATCCCGTTGCTGCTGTGCGCTTGCAGCAGAACGAGTCCGTTGCGGCAGAAGCCGCCAGAAGGCCGCCGAATGCAACCACCACCAGCACCAGCACCATCCCAGCAACCCTAACGACACAAGATAACGAGAGCAACGCTGGAAAAGCTATCGGGGATGCAAGCGTCGCACAGACGCGTTTGTGGCCGGGTCCCGGTACATTACACTTCATGCGACACAGCGATATGTCGAGTACAAGCTCAGCTGAAGCTACGCCGACCGAGCCGCCGCCCGGACGTCTGCGGGCGAGTCCGTGCTCAGACGCACGTGCTACCGCGTCGACACTGCAAGCTTCTGTAGTTCCGCCCGACAATACCAGACGCGGGCGCGATACCCCAGCGATTGTGACACCGCCCGCAAGAAACGGGTCCGGAACGCGTCCCTCACCTGTCACTCCGGTGCTGCAAGGTGCCACGACGTCTCGTGAGCGCGCTGGGAGCTCGGCGCTTGCGGACGATCAGCAGTCCGAAACGCGAACAAGACCGGAACTCCCCGCAACACGTTTCGAAACGGGATTCAGCAAGGACAAACTGCGCAAGCTCCAGGATCTGGATATTGATGCATTTCTCACGAACAAGGTGTACGCACGACAGCGCAACGATCGTTCCCGCGTTTCCTAAGTACAAGTCAACTGTCCGATTGCTGGGTTCAAGGAAGCGCTGGGATCCAGGTCGCGTCTGATTTTGCGTAAGGACACTCTGCAGCTCGACTTGCTTGGGTCACGTTGTATGTACGGAGCCGTCCTGGTGCGGTTTGCATGAGATTTCGTTTCCTCGAGCCCCTGGAGACGCAATGATGCGTCGTTGCTCGCAGCCTGCGGATCGGATCCCAGGCACATAAAGCTGCACAATAGTCACTCACATTTGGTGATGATGGGCATCGTCAGGGCATTCGCCTTCGTACCCAGGGAACACGGACCTAGTAATAAACGAAATGCGTCGGATCTGATACAACTCCGAATGGAGTAGTTTAGGCGCGATGCTCGAAGGCACGGCAATGCCAATGTGTTCGCCGTAGCGCCGTAGATCAAGTCGGGCTACAAGTCGCCGTCTCTCGGAGATCGCCCAGTCGCCCGCTTGGTGCGGAACCAAGACTCGGTCACCGAGCAGCTCGTTGAAGTGACCTATCATGCAGATTGTCGGACGCGTTCGTAAGAAATCCCAGCACAGCTGCGTCTTCAGTACTAGATGAGGGCGCGCTCGGGAGCAGCCTGCTCCGAGCATTTTCCTATGCCGCTCACCCGCAGGGCATAGCTGCGATTGCTGGACCCCTTTTTTTCAATGCATCTGAGGAGCAATCGCGCATATCGAACGCTACTGTGACTGGGGCGCTCGCTCCAAAACCGTACAAGCAACCTCGGTCCTGAATAGGAGCCCTTCACACCGGCGCCCGCAAGGAGATGCCAAAGCCGTTCTGGCTCAGCGGTCGTCCGCAGCTGCGCTTTGGGCGCGTCTACAGGCACTCGGCTCCCGGAGTATCGCACGAACGAGCCCTTCTCTTCAACGCAACGTACACGTACTGGACACGAGTAGATTCTGGAGGTCTGGTACGACGCCTGAGAAAAAATACACGTACAAAACGCATTCGCTCCCAAGCGGTGCCGTATCAAGCCGCTTCATGTGCTGTACTCAGACGACGGTAGTGCGGATTCGGTGACCCCGCCGCTTTCCGCAAGAATGCGCTCAGCCTTGTCGGAAACTTCTTGATTCGAAGGTCGAATACGGGCTGTGACAATTTCGCTTTCCAGTGGCTCTCGCGCTGATAACGTCCGCGATCCTACTGCTGCATGTACTTGCTGTCGGCTTTCAGGCCGCATATCTATGGCTTTGGTGACATCGCGCCCAACCGTGGGTAACTGAAGGTATGGATTCTCGATAGGTCGGTACCCGGTAGCCCGAGCACGCGCTAATGCGTTCTCCACTTGTAATCGCTGTTCATTGAGCCTGCGCAACTTGTCCACTTCCGATTCGTTTTCCGGAGCGGCGTAGACTGGCGTATCCATATAGGTGTGCAGCGGTGGGAACGGCGGCATCCATCGTTCGATGCATGCACCATGTACTCGAGCCTGTTCAGGGTTCTGTTGTGCATCAGCATTATCTCCAGCACTCTTGGAGGGTAGCGTCGCATCTGCGATTCGGCTTCTCTCGTCTGATGAAGCGTCTGACGCTGTGACGGTTCCGGATTCCTTCACGACGCCGCTGCCGGGCTCGTTGGCACTCTCTGGCTTGAATTTTATCGCCTCAGAATCACCTCTCTCTTCACCGTCACCTGCAAGGCGTTTGTCCCACATCAGTCTGTTGAGATCCAGAAGACAGTCGTCGGTAGCGAGCTCATCTTCACGAGCGTCCGCGTCCGCGCTCCATGCTGCTTCGAGAGCACTGGGCTCCTGGGTCTTGCGCTCCACATTCCGCGGCAAACGCCGTCGCGGGAACGGTTCTAAATCACGAGGTGGTAGCAGTTCTTCGATTGCGGCGTACTGTACGAGGCTCGACACGCGAAAGCTGTCACCTCCGCACGGTGCGATCCAGTCGTCCAGTGTTTGGAGCACGTCCAGAATAGTAACCTGCGATCGTCCGCTGTGCTCGGCCAGCCTTGCGGCAATATATCCGATGCGTTGAATAAATGACTCACAGACGTCAACGATGACTTCGCAGCTCTCTCTGGTTATATAGAAGAGCGCTTTCCGGCGCAGTCGGGGCTGGGTTAGCGCGCGTGCACGTACGCCCACGATGGCGGCGCAAGAAAGACGCAACGCGGCTCGGGCGAACTCATCCGGTGTCGCGCTAGGAGAACTCAGTTTTTGCGCACGAGCGCCGGGTATTTCATGCGAGCGCATAGCCCTAGACCTGCAACACCCGTGAAGCCAGAGAACACCGCATCGTAGACTAAAAACGATGATAGTGGAATCTCGGTGACGCAAACGCGTCAGTGCGCAAGCAATCAACGTCCGCTATCTGTACAAACCAGTACAAGAAGGACATAGATCGTGCGCCAATGCCCGAGACTTGTTCAGCGTACGAGTGTTCTTGGACGGAACGTTGACATGGTGGTGGTCAGGGAGCCCGCGTTGAACGATAGGTGTCGGCATGCTTTAGCGCGCGGTAGCGGCTCTCTGAGGCGACGCTGCGAAGGTCGCTTTGGAGCGGGGCCTCGTTCATGGAATCACGAGCATCGCGATGCAGCATGTGCAATCAACGCGGCACCTAGTGGTAGAGCACAATGATGCACCGCGGGTGCCTCGAGTATAGTCGGTGTGGTTCCATAATCGAGCAAGATAATTATCGTTCGGCAATGCCCTAAAAGAATGGGTCCTGGAGTGTATATAAGATGCTTTAGACTTGGTGGATTGCTGACTCGGCCCGTACCAGCGCCCTGCTCCCGATGGGTCATTCCGTGCTCTCTCTGTTGGCAATCGATTTCTCCTCATCGATAGACTTGAGCGTTTCAGCACAATGTCTAGACTGTGTACGGAACGATCACCTCAAAGAATGGTTCCACACATCGCCGCTGGACGCGCAGGAAGCACGTGACTCGTCCATATGCTGATCGAGGCGTTCGGGTCTCGGTGCAGCGAGCGCCTGCCTGCGTTGTTGCTCGTCGACTCGCACTGTACAGGGAGGCCCGCCTTTGATTCCCTCGCAGTCTGGCGCCCGCCCAGCGTACCGTGCACCATCTCGTGCAGCTGGCTCTGTTTCACGATTGGCTTCTCGGCGAGCATCGCTGCGCACACCCGCTCGTGATGCTTCCGTATCGTCGCGAACGCGTGCAGGGAAATCGCCCAGCTGCGATCCCTGTGTACTCGCTGGACGCTCCCGTCGAGGGCGCTGGTGTGCGACACGCGGACGCACCAGCACGTCCGTTTGCGTAGGCAAGCACCAATCGACGCGACTCCTCGGTCAATCGCTTCTCCAGCTTATCGAGCAAGTTGGCGACTGCTCGCTTCTAGCCTCCGTCGAGTCAAAGTCAGAGGCGACAGCAGCGCGGTATCGTGTGCACCTGCCACGAGATCATCCGCGAGCGCTATTTCGACGCTTCTTTACGATCTAGAGTGTAGCGTCCCTTTTAGCTTTCCGCATTGTTTCGGGCCAGTGAGGCCCGGGTGCAACGAGGACATCGGCGGCAGGGTGCGCCTCATGAAGCGCCCCGCAGCGATCTGCACACGATTGCTGGGCTAGGCTCGATACGTTTTGGCATGTGCGTTGCAGACGTATGGATTCCTGAAGCAGCGATGCGACGCAGCAACTAGCCAACGCGTCCACTCGTCAGCAGACGCTGGGAGGCGACTGTGCAACCCTCAGGTTCCACGACCAGGGCTCATCGCATCTGCTGCAACGAGCATCACTTGTGCTGTCGCGTGCAGGTTTGATCGAGACGCTGAAGAGAAACATGAACAGCTGGCATCCCTGCGTCCACAGCTCGTACGAATCGTTGCGTGACGAGATGTGTCAGGGCACGGGAAGCGGAGCGAGCGTTCCTCGCGTAACAGGCTGCACGTTCCGTCATGACGTCCCGCATTTCGTGTCCTGGAGGATACTCCCGTTGATGCGGTTTTGTAGTGCGGCAATAACAACAGTTTCAGACTGGTCATTCCGCTCCAGCAGTTTTCCCTGGTTGTTCTTTAGCGTCCTCTTTCCGGAAGCGTTTTTTCGTCCTTGTCCAGTGCAGTTGTATAGTGTTCCATTCTTGCCCGCTTTTTTCCTGCTGCGATGTAATAGTATTGGTAGCTATTTTATATCTCCGTTTTCCCCCAGGGATTCAGATGCATCTGCTGGGCGGTAAGAGCGATGCTTGCGCTTTCGAACATTCCCTCCCGGGCACAAGCAGAACAGCAACAGAGCATTTCAGGGTTACGGGAGGTACAGAGCGACTGGTCGAAGACAGACGTGACGGATACGAACAACTCATCCATGGGTTCATGAGAGCAGAAACTGCGTTTGGCAACAGAGTAGGCAACTTTGACTGGCGGGAACGATGGGAAGCGGCTGCCAGGAAGAGCAGTTTGCCACGAGGTCCAGCTGCGTACTCCTTGGCCGCTCGCAAGGGATGAAAATCGACGTTGTCGGCGAAGCGCAGAAGAAAAGAAAGCGGGAAGAAGTAGCCACGAAGAATGCCTCAACAAAGGATAAGTTGTTGAATAAACCCGAACGTCTGGCGATTTACAGGATATTTTCGGAGATCACACAATTGCATCGCCGCATGTTTTCGAAATACTCGCCCATGTCCTCAACGAGAACAACCGTATGCAGCTCTTCGAATACCGATGTGCAGGTATACCATTGGCCCCGAATGACGTCTCTTCGAGTGAGACGAACCAAGCTCCCTCATATCACAAGCGTTCGCACTTCAATGCAAGGTCCATAGTGCATCGTTCAAGGCGCGATGGTCTTCCATAGAAGCGGGCTTTTTCATTGTCCATCCGTGTCGCTTCATTATCGGACATATCAACGGGAAGAATCGTCCACATCCTGTCGCTTCGCTGATAGCGTTTCCTAGAGATCCTTCAGAACGGAATGGAGTCGACTAACGAGGAGAATATCGCGTACATAGTGTTCGATACTTGCTGGATTTAGAGCCCGGCGTTCATCATAGGGACTACGAGACGGGTCTGTTATCCACCTGCTGAGCGTGGAATGATTCCCTTGTAGAAGTATGGACGTTTTCCGAAGGTAGCAGTGACTGCATGAAGCCGTTCTGCAATCTGCCTCCAATGCTCGGGATATCCCGTTCGTCGAATACCGGCTTGAAAAGAAACAAATTCTGATGAATGCGTATTTGTGCGGGCATTCCAGAATTCGCCGGGCTGAGTATACATCCGACTGCGGCATCGATGATAAACCACACACAAGCTTGCCACTCGTCAGAATCCCCAGCGACGCACAGCAGCGTTCTATCCGCTTACACGGTGATAGCCGGCAAATGTTCAGAGTACTTTGTCTTGAACGCGTTCCCTGACTTGCCGAGGCCTGCTCGTCTAGCTGATATACCGCCTGGTTGCTCATTACACGCCCTTCATGATCGGCGCCCAGGTTCATGCGCCCGCCACGACACTAGCGTCGTCTTTCATGTCGAGAAATTCGCGGTAAGCAAGGCGACACGAGCGTTCCAAGTTGATTCTCAGAGCATGTTTCACGATTTCCAAATCTGGGACGTCATCGAAACCGTAGGGCACCGATCCGCGATCCCAGTCCTACTCTTCGATCCCGGCCTGCGTGCCTAGGAGACGTGGTTCCTGCGCCCTCCCCGTCGTTAGCGCGGAAAGTTCCGTGCCATTCGCAGCTGGCAGTCGACCAGTTCAGGCTGTCGTTCTCTCCCGAAGGCATGAACGGCTTAAAGCCCGCCCTGTGTCGCTCCATTATGTGCGCACAGATAAACTCCCGATATATACATTTATACACGAGGATACAACGAGCAGCTACGAACGCACCCAATCACATACAGGTCGCGCTTGGAAGAGCATCCTTCAAGGATCCCGCCTCTAATTCGCAGTATTGCTGGCTATTTCAGCATTGCGTGCTTCAGATCATGTTGATCGGAGACTCACTGTAAAACCCACTGGGTGTCATCCGGAATACCGCTCATGTAAACGGTTTCTCGCCCTAGTCTCGCACCGCATGGCACTTCGCTCTTCAAGCGCGAGAACGCTACATGAATACGCCTCACAGATCTATTTGTAGTGGTGCACCGCTATCCGTGCCGTGCCCTCGGTTCTTTCCAGGCACGAATGATCGCACATTGACGAATCACCTCAATTTCTACCCGCTCGAAACCAGCGCTCTTCACAAGCCACTCAAGTTCTTTTGCATCGAAGAAGCGATACCCGGCGCTCGGGCTAAGCAGACGACCTTCACGGACCGCGAGTCCAAACGGCGACGTCGACCACAGGAATGTCGTTGCCAGAAAACGACCGGAGCCTGGCCCCTTGCTGGGCCGCAAAATCCGATACACTTCATGGAGTCCGTCCTGGACGCAGGGCCAGCAGTGCAACGCAGCACCAGCGTGAATACAGTCGATAGACTCATTGGCGAAAGGTAAACGCTCCACGTCAGCGCGAATGATGCCAGTGATACGATCAGACACAAAGCCGCCACCGATGCGTTCAGGTAGCGGCTCGCGCTCCGCTCGTTCGACCAACTCGCGCAGCATTGCCTCTGAGTAGTCCACAGCGATGACGTGGTCAAAATCCCCGCTAGCCGCAAGGCGACGAGTAAAAAGTCCGGAACCACAGCTTAGATCCATAACGCAGTTTGCGCCCTTGAAAAAGCTCTGAACGATGCGAAACTCAGCATCGGGGCCGGGAAATCCCGAAGATCGGAACTGGTCTCGCCACCCACGCTCGTACAAAAAGGCGACGAAAGGGCTCTGGAAGAGGTCTCGACGAAGTTCCACAGAAGGTCCTCGAGGACGTTCATCTACGTTGTAGCGGAACCTTTGCGGTGTCAGGTCCCAAAAGCCGCCACCTCTGCTCTTTTCGCTGACCTGAATCCAGCTCGCCTCGCCGTGACCGTTCGGGCAGCGCAAACGATTAGCGCTATCTAGTTCCAGCGGCGCTCTGCACTGCACACACGCAAGTTTAACCTTTTCAGTTAGTGTTTTAAGCTTTGCTTCTATGCTAGGTTGGTAGACGCCGGTACGGGCCTCGTTCGCGTCTCGTGCAGTCGCAGCCTGCCCATACTGCATAGACACGTGGCCACCTGGAACAGCACTGTTCAACGCAGGGTAGCGGCTGTGCAACGAAGTCTCGAGTGCACGTGCACTCCCAGATAGAAACGGGCTTCCCCTTGCGGCACTGAAACGACACTTGCGCCAGTTGTCCGCGCTCAATGCGGGACGCCACGGACGCGGCCAGTGGCGCTGCCTAGTGTACGACTCTCTGCGCTGGACAGCGCCAGTTGCTCGTTCACCACCGGGTGCGGTCGACCACACGAAAGCTTCATTGGCTCGTTGTAGGTCTGGATCACTCGCTCCGTCTAGCGTGCAGGGTTTCATGGACCGAGCCTCAAGTCTCATCATCGTTACTGCAAGAGCGCGTGATGTCAATGATGCGGATTGAGGCGCAGGCGCAGTGAACGGGTCATTCGATTCTGTATATATCTGGTACAAACGGTCACAGCTTTCCATACTGCGCGCGGCGACAACGTGCGCCGCTCCCCGGTATGCGTCATGGTGCGCGTCGGTGAACGTTGCAAGTTACCACGGTATTGACGCTCGCAGCCGCCTTCAATGGCCTAAAATATGATTCTGTTCAAAAGGTCTGCGAGCTCTATGAGGTCCAGAATGATCACCACGTCGGAATTCAGCGAGCATATGAATCAATGAGGTGCGCTGGCCAGACTCCGAACACACCATGCTAGATACGGGGTCCGCCCTAGCCTTTGGTACTCGAAAGGGCCGCGTCTTCAGGAACAAGATGCATGACGTATTCGATGGAGGTTTCTTTGCGCAGAGTCGTCAATCACAGGGTGCGCACTGGTTATCGACGTCGCCAGAAACAGCCATCGTGCCGCACCGGACACCCAAGATCCGCAAAACACCACCAATACATAGCACTGCCTAGGGGCATCGTATTTCACTCACCGCGCGTTCCTCGTGGTGAAGCGCCCTCGTACATCACGCTATGCACAACGCCGGGAGCGCACGCAACGGACTTGCAGCGTGTTGTGGCTGGCGAGCGCGCAACGTCATGCGAATGTCCTTGATGTACAGGTTCATAATCCAGGCGCGAAGATGCGAAGCTCGTCACCCGACAGTGGTCCATGCGCGCGCTTCAGCGATTCGTTGCCGAGGCTTGTGTGTGTGTGTGTGCTCCTCTTGAAGTAGGGTACGCACGTTGCACGCCTGCCCGCTGCGGGCACGCAGACTTCTTCTTGCAGTATAGAAGCACTTTAGAAGCTTTGTCTTTTGGCAGTGAGCCTCAGTAACTGCGGAATTGAAAAGCGTGCTCGTGCGAAGGCACAACGATGGCTCGACCGCTGATTGCGTACAGCTGCACGAGCGTACACGGAGGTCAAGCGGTGCCGTTCCGAAGTACAAGCCCGCTTCCAGGTCGGGGCCTCCGCAGCCGAACCCGGCACTCCTGTCGCACATTCACGCGTCCTGGACACGTGTACGCCTCGTCTGGTCGAGGCGGTGGTCCCCGCGATATGCGCTACATCGGTCGTGCAGTTGCGCTGCACGGCGTGGTTCCGGTTGGCTCTGGGGTCGGGTTCGGTGGCATTGTACAGCAGTACCGTGAACGTTCGGCACGAAAACGCGGACCAGAAGCAGCAGAAGATGTCGCCTCCGCTAGCGCAAACGGGGAGCAAGGGATGCATCGAACACCGCCGATTCTCCTCGGGCGCCGGCTCTACGTCCTGGATACGAACGTTATTCTGCACGACTCTTCATGCCTGTGGCGGTTTGGTCATCACGATATTTGTTTGCCAATCACCGTTCTAGAAGAGCTGGATAAGTTTAAGCGTGGGAACGAGGAGATTCATTTTCACGCTCGAGAGTTTCTGCGGATGCTCGACGAAATGACTATACTTCACAGCCGTGCTGCGCGGAACGACCAGCCTGCCGCAGAATCGAAAGACTGCGCAAGCGCGCACCTGCGGGGGAGCAAATTTTCCGCGCGAGATGGTTCCGGGACTGGAGACTGGAATCTTACGGCCGCTTCACCGTCTTCTCGAGACTGGTTAGTTCAGGGCGTCCCGCTGAACAAGGAGAATGCCGAGCACGGATCGGTGCGTATTTCGCTCCATTGCAGAGATGCTCGCATGGAGCGCCTTTTTTTCTACGACAGCCCCGACATGCGGATACTGGCTTCTGTCCACGCGCTTGCTGTTGCAGAGTCGGCTGAGCCACCAACGTGGACGCCGCCTCCGGAGGAAGGCGAGCTCACCGATTCCGTGTATGGATCGGTGTTGCAAACAAACCATGCGGGCCAGCGGTTGCTTTACGAGCGTGTGGTCCTAGTCACCAAGGATGTGAACCTGCGCATGAAGGCTCGTGCGTTGGGCCTCCATGCCGAAGACTACGAACAGGATCGGGTTGAGAGCATTAGCAAGCTATATTTAGGCCAGCGACTTATCGAAAACGTACCGAACGAACTGATCGAAGCGCTAGTTGGGCGAGCAGAAGGACTGACCGCAGCGGAGTTCACTTCGCTCATGCGATCACACGCCAGTGCATGTTGTGCTGAGAAATCCACCAACGATGTCGGATTTGTTCCATCAGAGACCGCGCGGAGCGCTATACATTGGCTCGGACAACAAATCATGCACAAGCGGAGCCTCGCGAACCCAGCAGCGTCAAAAGAGAATGATGTCGCACCCGACGGAACTTGCGCACCGCAAGCAGCAAGTGCTGCTGCTCCTGCTGCTACTGCTGAAGATTCGTTCGCAATGAAGCCCCTTCCGAACGAGCATTTCATCCTTCGAAATGCGTCGAGCTCGGTGCTTGCTACATTCGCGATGTCCAAGGATTGCGGTGATTTCACATTTCAGCGAGTTGATCGAGTCTCAGCATACGGAATCATGCCGCGTAACGCGGAGCAAACCTTCGCGCTGCGCGTCCTATTAGACCCATCGATACCGCTGGTCACCATATGCGGCGTCGCTGGCACCGGGAAAACCCTGCTCTGTCTGGCTGCCGCTCTGGAAATGACGAGTCGCGGCTTTTACGAGCAGATATTCGTCTCGCGACCTATTGTCCCATTGGGCAACCGCGATGTCGGCTTCCTCCCAGGCGACTTGGACGAAAAACTCGCGCCCTACATGCAGCCACTCTACGACAATCTCGGCGTCATCAAAGCTGCGCATTTGCACACCAAAGATAATGGCAAAGTTGTGCCCACCGCGCGCAGCCGCGAGATCGATGATATGATGGCAAGCGAGCGGATCAAAATCGCGGCCCTGGCGTACATCCGAGGACGATCGCTCAGTCGTACGTTTCTGATCGTGGACGAGAGCCAAAACCTAACCCCACATGAGGTCAAAACGATCATAACCCGAGCTGGCGAAGGGACCAAAGTGGTTCTCTGCGGCGATCTTCATCAGATCGACAACCCCTATGTTGATGGACATAGCAATGGTCTCTCTTATTTGATCGAACGAATGAAGGGACAATCACTTTATGCACACGTAACATTAGAAAAAGGCGAACGTAGCGAGCTCAGCAAATTGGCAAGCGAGCTGCTCTAGGAAAACACCTGCCTTGGCGGAAGGTATATGATTCGTTCCAAGAAGCTGGGAGGAACCATTGCGGCCAAGCGCTGCAGAGCCGCACGGATTCGCTCCCTGAGCTCGACGGTTTCCACGCTCGACAACGGCTGTGGTGCCAATGCCGCGGAGCAACCCGAAGCGTCCAGCAGCCAAACCAAGACTTTCTCGAGTCGGGCGTCGGCGGCTCGTGAATGACGCTCCTCCACACCACGAACGCCAACACCAGGAGCACCGTTCGCATCATCCGTAGCCGTAGCTGCTCTGGATCTATTGCAGAAGCCAACGCAATGCTCGTCCCGATCGAGAGCGTCACGAGCAACATTCGCGAACGGTTGCCATCGAAAGCAGTGACCACAAAGAAGTTGCGCCTTGCGAAAGGAGACCTTGTACCGCATTTTGCTACAGCTATGGATGTAGTACCCAAGGTAATAATGACTGGCGCCCAGGTGTGTCCATGCCAGTTGGATTTCACATAACGCGGCAAATATGCCAGGCGATAAACGAGACGGAAGGTCAGGATCGTAGAAACAGTACTTGCTCGATAAATAACCCGGTAGCATGTCGAGAACGCTCACAATGACAAGCACATCATCGATGTAAAAATGGAGATGGGAGACACCGAGTCGCCGACCTTTTCCGTCGTCGTGAAAAGGATGCTCGACGAGAAAACGACTATATCGATCTGGCTTGAGCTCTTCGTCTGTGTCGCCGTGGACCCGCCGTTGATATTTGCAATATAAATGAAAAGCATCCTCGCGATACGCTGCTGGGAGCAACTCCATCCGGAGTACCGGTTTCGAGCGAATGGGTTTATCGGGCAGTTCCGCACGAGCGCATGGATTCCTGGAGCTTCGGCATTCCGTCTCTGTAGCGCTCTGCGTCAGACTATCGTAAAGGTTCACGTGTCCGTTGGAGACCTCCATCCTGGTGATCCCCAACTGAGCTGCACCTCGATCCCAGAGACGGGCTGCGAGTTGCTCTGCTTCTTGCGTCACAAAAGTTCGATGCTCGTAAGCGAGTTTCCAGGCGATGGCGGTGGTGAAATGGGCGCCTCCACTCACTTGCCGTCTTTTCACCGGGACTCGCTGCAGAGACGGTTCCAGGTGTATTCGCAACTGCTCCAGACGGTCATCAACGGGTTTTGGGGCCACAGGCTGCAGTTCGGTCTTGTTCAGCTTTGCGCTAGGTAATGGTTTCGCGCTCTCCAAATTGGAGCTAATGGTCAAACCGTAGAAAATGAAACAACGTTCTGCGAGGTCGCCTTGCACCGAGACAAAGTTTTGCCAGCGTCGCAGCACGCGTCGTTGAGAGCGAGTCAGTTCAAAATCCCATAGCGGCACTCGAACAGCGTACTGTGGACAGCACCCATGATCGTTATCTGGATAATACAAGAAGCAACCAGAACGGCGCCAACCATGGTCCATGAGCACGCGGTAGTCCTCGAGGCGAAGGCGATGCGCCCACAGCGCTCCCCGGAGACGCCGCCTTCGACGCTCGGTATGCGCTGCGAGACTCCCGCAGCGCTCTCCTTCAGTATTATCTGTACATTGCTCATTGTCACCACAATACCCACAACGACTTGAATCAAGAACGTTACCAAAGTCTTCCAGGACACTCGACATAGCGGCGCCCAGAACACTGACCGAACATTTTCCAGCGCTACGGTACGCGCACGTGTGTGGAGATTGCAGCTCGAGCCGATGGCGGCGCTTGCGCAGCTGGCAGGAACGCGCGGTGGACAGCGCCCAGCCTGCTGTCCGCATTGCAGTCCTTCGTGCTTTGCACGTGAGGCGCCATCTTGAGCTCTCGCTGGATGCCGTTCCGATGCTTGCATGGATTGAAGGCCAAAGGCACTATCCAAGCGTGCAGTTTTACGGTATATGCATGAATGTCGAATACTGGGACACGATGATCGTTCACGGATAGGGTAGGATATTGTTCCAGGTATGTATATGTCCATGTTGGTCCAGGTTTGATGCATGGTCGACGCGTACCGTACCAGCGCCCTGCCCCCGATGGGTCATTCCGTGCTCTCTCTGTTGGCAATCGATTTCTCCTCATCGATAGACTTGAGCGTTTCAGCACAATGTCTAGACTGTGTACGGAACGATCACCTCAAAGAATGGTTCCACACAACGCCGCTGGACGCGCAGGAAGCACGTGACTCGTCCATATGCTGATCGAGGCGTTCGGGTCTCGGTGCAGCGAGCGCCTGTCTGCGTTGTTGCTCGTCGACTCGCACTGTACAGGGAGGCCCGCCTTTGATTCCCTCGCAGTCTGGCGCCCGCCCAGCGTACCGTGCACCATCTCGTGCAGCTGGCTCTGTTTCACGATTGGCTTCTCGGCGAGCATCGCTGCGCACACCCGCTCGTGATGCTTCCGTATCGTCGCGAACGCTTGCAGGGAAATCGCCCAGCTGCGATCCCTGTGTACTCGCTGGACGCTCCCGTCGAGGGCGCTGGTGTGCGACACGCGGACGCACCAGCACGTCCGTTTGCGTAGGCAAGCAACAATCGACGCGACTCCTCGGTCGTTCGCTTCTCCAGCTTATCGAGCAAGTTGGCGACTGCTCGCTTCTAGCCTCCGTCGAGTCAAAGTCAGAGGCGACAGCAGCGCGGTATCGTGTGCACCTGCCACGAGATCATCCGCGAGCGCTATTTCGACGCTTCTTTACGATCTAGAGTGTAGCGTCCCTTTTAGCTTTCCGCATTGTTTCGGGCCAGTGAGGCCCGGGTGCAACGAGGACATCGGCGGCAGGGTGCGCCTCATGAAGCGCCCCGCAGCGATCTGCACACGATTGCTGGGCTAGGCTCGATACGTTTTGGCATGTGCGTTGCAGACGTATGGATTCCTGAAGCAGCGATGCGACGCAGCAACTAGCCAACGCGTCCACTCGTCAGCAGACGCTGGGAGGCGACTGTGCAACCCTCAGGTTCCACGACCAGGGCTCATCGCATCTGCTGCAACGAGCATCACTTGTGCTGTCGCGTGCAGGTTTGATCGAGACGCTGAAGAGAAACATGAGCAGCTGGCATCCCTTCGTCCACAGCTCGTACGAATCGTTGCGTGACGAGATGTGTCAAGGCGCGGGAAGCGGAGCGAGCGTTCCTCGCGTAACAGGCTACCTTTGTTTGTACGGATGTTTTGTATGACCAGGAAGGCAGACGTTCACTACAGGCTCGTCGTAGTCTCCCCTTTTGGGCAAGTTTTGAGGTCTGGTCTCCTGCTCGTGCTTTCGTGGTTCTCTCCTGTTCCTGTGAGCATGGAAATGGGTTCCTTTTGTTTCCAGCAGTCAGGCACCCCAGACAGCCAGGATCCCCGGCTTACATTTCTATACATTTTCCTTGAGTTTTTACTTTTGAAAATGAATGCTCTCGTTTATGCCAAGAGGTGCGGAGGTTCCCGGAGGAAAAAGGACTTGCGGAAGAAAGATGACATATGCCTTGTTGTCACAATTTGCGAAACGCTTCAGCGATTCGCAGGATGTAGCGATTATTACGCTTCACAATAGAAAACGCTCTTTCGATGGAGTTGAACCTCGGAGCGTACGGACGAATGGAAAGCAGCTCGGCCTCAACAGAAACGGCAAAAGTCCGAACCCAAGGCTAGAGGCCATATACCATGTTGCCTAATTGAAGGACGTCACTAGATGACAGGGGCAAGTCTTCAACGATTCGACAGAGTGTTTGGTACTGTTGTATGAGCCTTCGTTACGAGCGAAATCGAGGCAGGCGAATGAATCCACCACAGTTAGAACAGATGAAATCCTCGTTCTCTTCGAGGTCAATCGTATATAGAATGGGATATCTGCTTCGCGAATACCCGTATACGCTCTAACCATTTCACCCGAGGAAAGTCTAATCGACTAAAATAAACCGACGTTGCTCTGCTTCATACCGATCACAACGTTCCAGGGTTGCTGTAGGCGCGATTTCAGTGAAAGTTGATCTTGATCGAACTAGGACTTTTTTTGCGACGTTATTCCAGTGTTTGCAGGACTACACGAACAAGCTGTTGAGAGACAGAGACATCCGAGGTGGCTGCTATCGTTGATTTTGCTTTCCGTCAGGTGTTCAATGGTTTGTTTTATACCACTGACCATAAGCACTCTTTGAGAACAACGGTTTTGGTACGAAGCGCATGCACTTCTCCCTTTCAGTATTCCTCGTCCATCTGAGTGCTGTTGTATGACTGACCTGAAGAAGGAATGTAGTCCCCCTTGCACTGTTCAGTAACGAATAGATGCTACAGGCAATTCGTCTTCGACCTATACAGCATTGTGCATCGTGGTTTCGATCTCCTGCCATACAATGCGGAATAGCATTCGGTTCCATCTCCCTGGGGTGTCACAGAACCGAGTTGAAAGACTAGAACGCGTGCGCGCAACAACGCTTACAGAACGGTTGTATTCACCGTGGCTTCAAATAGGATCCAGTTCCAGCATTGCTGTCCCTTCTCTGACTCGTCGACTGCGCTTCGCACCACTGAGTACTGCTCGCTTCGTAGAGGTGCAGTCAGCAAGGAAGCCGTGTCAGGTCGCTGAGGGCTAGGGCTTTAGATGCGTTTCGCTGGCATAGACGCGGTTCGGGTGACGGAACTTTGCGTGCACTAGGGCACACGGTCTGCTCTGTAATGGTTGTTGGAGCGAATCCATGGAATATGGTGACGACCGCTTCGACTATCGAGAGTGGGTTCGGGCAGTCGAGGCCGCCACGTCGTGCGAGGAGCGTCGTTGGCGTCGCGTTTTGCGCTGGTATCTGAAGCCTTCCTGGGAGACCGTCGACGCGCACGGCAACCGCCTCTCGTGTCGGTTTAGTAGCTCTGATTCGAGCTCGCTTACTGAGGATAACTTTGAGAGCGTTGGGTCATCTTCAAGTACACCTTCCGACAGAGCGTCGACTGAAAGTCGCGCAGGCGACACAGTTTCGGATACCGAGGCGAATGAGACAGACTACGAGCTCCATGGGCCAGACGTGCCAACAGAGGCTCAGCTCGAACACGCCATTAAGGTTCTTTTGGACTCGGATAACATCATGCGAGAGCCCGCGAGCTCACGGGCCGTGCGTCACTGCTGTACGAACATCCTTGGGGATGCCGTTCGAATTGCCAGTATGTACGTGCCGCCGCCGCGGCCGTCGGCTGACGACTCGGAAAGTGGTGCTGGGGTCGACGACACGATGCTGTTGTTGAGAGGAGCGGGGCCAATGATGGACCCGTCGGAAGCAACGCCAGAGCACGAGACCTTGCGTCCGTGCAGCGGCCATGAGCCGTTCCCGTCGTATCAGCCTGGTGCTGCCTCGAGGCCTACGGACGCACCAGATGTGCCTACAGTTTCGGATCATCATCGCAACAGCGGCGGTGATTCTGGCTGGAGTGCATATGCCTCTGGACGAGAGCAGCAGTTTCGCTTATGGAGCGAGGAGATCACCGCATTCCGCGACGCAGCGGAACTAGCCGACCTAACGATGGCTGAGGGCGAAGCGCTCGCGCTTGCGCTCGAGAGGTACGAGGAGCGTATGCACCGCCTGTTAGAAGCGCTGCAAGAGCATGATAGCGGGCAGGCGGCATCTTTAGCAGGTGAATGACAGCGACGACGGGAGTGCATTTCTTAATGTCGCGTTGTTTCGGTTTGACTGGTAACCTCTGAAGTTGCAGCACCTGGGGCAAAGCGGATGCGTCCGCGCTGGAGATGCAACATCCCGCGTGGCGCTTCAACGCATCGCATGGTACAACAAATTTGGCATTGCTGGAATGGTCAAGAGGTCGACTCGACGGTCTCACGTATCTTTATTTCAGTTAGCCGTGTACTCCCAGTACAGCCTCCGGCCAGGGATTTGAAAACTTACGTTAAAAATCGAAACGTTTCTTCAGACCAAACTCTGACTGGTTGAGCGTGTCACGCAGTTTTGAGTTCTCATCCACCATTCCCTTAAGGGTGAAGATATAGGGCCCGCCATCCTCCGCCCCGATTTTGTATTCCACCTGATAGGCCTTGCTCCGAAAGTTGCCTCCGATTTTCAGGCTCTTGTCGTCCGAGATCCGGCGAATGAGATTCGCGCTGAACGACTCGTTCTTGTAGTGATACGTGGCATCCCAGCTCCATTTGTCATCCACACGATGAGTCAACTTGACATCGACATCGTTGTCCGAAGCGAAAGAGTACTTGATTTGTAGCGCATCGATATCGTCAAGGGTTGCGTCCCATTTGATATGGGCCCTGCGTTCCTCTTCCTTTTTAAAGACGCCGAGCGGGCCACCATTTGCAGAAACAGCCAGAGAGTACTTGTTCTTGTCGTCAACAACCGTCTGGTACGTGTAAGTTGTTCGGCGGTCCTCATCTTTAACGTCGACAACCATATCAAGCACACCGCTTCGCACTTTCTTCACGTTACGGAGCGAGACCGCCCCACCTACTTTCGACGCTTGGAAGTTCTTCACAGACGCCGTTGCGAAAACCTTCAAATCATTGCTCAGTTTATAAACCAGCGTGAGAATGGGTGACCCAGAGGCTGGTTTTTCTAGCGTCACCGACCCTTTCTTGCCGGTTTTCAAGTCGTCCGAGATATAGTGCGCATAAGCAAGCACAGGCCGCTGCTGAGTTTTCATGGTGCAGAACTCTCTCAAATATCTTTTCGTATACGAAGCTATGCAGCAAGAACTTTTTCACAAACTGACGTTTTGCGAGTACAAACTTGAGCGGATATCGGGCCTAACAATGTCGAGACTCCTACGAAACCACTCGACGAAACCAAGCACACAACAAGCCAACTTCAAGGTTCGTAGGCAGCGTTTGCGACGGCGCAGCGCTGATGCACGACGACGGCCAGCAGCGTACGCAGAGCCTCCGCTGCTGCTATTTGAATTTTGATAACGCGCTCCAGCACGCCGGTGGCGGCTGCGCGCTGCGATCTCGCGGAGCGCATCAGATCCGCAGCAGTGCACGGAGGTGAAACAGATGCGATGCATCGAAACGCTGCGGCCAGTAGCGCAGGGACGCGATTGCTGGGCAGGAGCCTGCCTGGCGGCCGGCGCGATGCGATGACAAAACGCAGGCCAGCGTTCCCCGATGGAGCGCATTTTTCTTTTCTTACTTTTTCGTGTGTTTTTTTTTCAGTGCACGGTGAAGTATCCATCAAACCCCCTACATCCAAGTTACATTACCTACATTTCTTCTCGGATATTCTGGTCGTTTCCTATGTCCTATCGTGTGCCTAGTGCCTGCCTTTCCGTATCCGCCTTTGCGCCTGAACAGCTGGAGCAGATAGTTCTTAGAGCCAGAACGGCTTTTTTATACCACAGAGGGCATCGGCTCGAGGCGTGCTCCATCTGCTACGGAATCAGGGCTAAATATCATTTTGAGAGGCTGATACCTGGGCAGACAGACCCTCTGCCTGCGGCAGCGTGAAGCAGCGTATTAGGAGCCCTCTGCGACCAGGGCGACACGCCCAGAAGCATTCTGCCGACTTGTAATTCCACAATGAATGGCGTTGCGGACGCGCTGCTCGGAGTTCACGAAAGCGCCTGCCGCTGGGGGAGCAGGAAGCACCAGCCTGGTAGACTTGTCCGGCTCGCGGGACCGTCCGCCTATGAGGAATATTTTGGACAATATGGAAATCTTTTCCCCATTTTTGACGTTGATCGTAGACAGGGAAAGAACTCGTTATCTCGTTGCTAGTTACAAGTGAGTCTCTGTTCTTTGTTCTATATAGCGCGCTCGATACGCGCATCTCCAAACCTGGCAGCCTCGAGACACGACGCGCATGTCGCCTTTGAAGGGAAATGCATTCGTGACCATTCGTTGTCTTGTTGCTCTACCGGTCAAGTTGTATTTGCATTAAAGTTGTGGAAACGTATAGTTTTTCAATTCAATTGTGTTCTAATCCTAATGTCAGTGAACGAAAGTGATTTTTCGCGGTTTCTACCAGACGCGTTTAACGAGCGTTATTTTTCATAAAAAATTAAAAAGGAAAGGTATGGAAAAGCAAGTGGAGGATCCCGGAGGCACAGTGTCGCCGACTTACGGAGAGAATGAAAAATAGTGCTAAGCAAAGAAGAACAGGACGAGAAGAAGGAGCAAAAGAAGGAAGCCCGACATCAAAGGCTGCAAGAAAGGCGACAGTACGAAGAGTCGGTGGTGAGAGTCTGTCCTCTTGGACATACCAAGAATGCGTACAAGGCAAAGATGCGAGAGGCCATCAGAAACCGTGTCGTGTCATACTCCGTGAGTAATGTAAAGGCTCTTTCAGGACTAATGCATTTGGTGAAATAGATGTATCGCGACCTGACAGACATCAAAACAGTCGCGGTTCCGGAGGATTTTTTTCAGCAGGACCTTTATTTGCCACTTGATCGTTGGTAGAGGGGAAACGTCGGCGAAAATGAGCGAGTGCATGCCCTCAACGAGAATTACCCCAAATACCGCTGCAGCGGTTCTAGATACAGAGGTGACTCGCGTAGGTCTACGCCTACGGGGCAATGAAGTACCTCACGAACCTGAGGAAGCAGATGACCATGAACGCCAAACGCTTCATGGTACGCGCCGTCTTTGCGCTGTACCCGGGTCTCGCTCGGAAAGGGAGATGAGCCATGATCAATGGCGTCGCGAACGAGAGTAAGAATGCACAAGAGATCGAACTCGTCGACGGGAAGATGTCACGCAGGAGAAGGAATGAAGCTTCTGTGATCCGCGCGGCTATTCGAAAGCACCTTGCGGTACTGGGGTTGGCGAATTCACAAGAAAAAATATCAAATATGGAAAAATATGGTAAAGGATCCTATACCCTAATCCTGCACTATCTCGTGTTTTTGGACCGAGACCTCGAACGCAAGACTGGAAAGGACGTAGGCGCGGGAAAAAATGAAGAGTCGGAGAAACGGAAGGCTGCGCTTCTGGGAAAGCACTTCAACGTCCTGCCGTTGTGCAACATCAAGTCACGCGTTGTGACGATCGACTCCAGAATCCTGTACGGCATCATGAAGGAGATCTGTCCGGAGTTCGATGTAAGGAAGACAGAGTTCACCGGTACAAAGCAGGAGACGTACTTGGAAGAATATCTTCGATTTCAAACGTCACAAAAAGGACAAGCGAAATGTACTCACGGGGATGATCGAACGCGATGGAGTAGCCATATATGTACACAATCGGCGCTTGGAGACAGATCGTACTGGTCCGTCTTCGATATCGCCCATGACGAAGCATGAAGAAAAGAAGCAGGTGTATCCTACGACGCAGGAAGTGCATGAGAACGACATTGTCGATGGCGCGGACCCTGGGAATACGAATATCATAACCATCGCAGTACCCAAGCTTGCGGAGGATGGTATTGAAGGCAATTTATGCCAGAAAGACATGCATCAGTTAAACCTCTCACGAGCGGGATATCACCGAGAGTCGGGAATACTGAATGCGAGGGAAAAATGAGACGTGAAATGCAGGAATGCAAGAGCACCTTGAAGCTATGAACCAGATGACGAGCCGCGGAGCAGACTTTCAAGCTTGTCAGGAATTCATGGAAGTTCGCGTTGCTCATTGGGATGCACTGTGGAATGAGTATGCAAAGCCCCGGTGGGCTCGTTTGCGTATGAACTTGTATTGTGGGAAACCGCGTGCATTCGCGAATTTTTTCAATGAGTTGAGTGCCTTCAAAGAGGATGAAAGTCAGAGGCTCGTAGTAGCGTGCGGAACAGGGCGCTGGATGACCCAAAAAGGATGTCCACCAGCTCCGACGACAAGAGCGTACAAGGAGTGCGCAAGGCGTCTCGTTACGATACCTGTAGATGAGTTCCGAACATCGTATACACACCATGAGCTGGGTTGCACACTCCAGAGCGTGCAGATCGAAAAGTGCCAGAGGAGCCCTGTGGATATATCAAAGTACGGAGCGCTGACGAAGCAGTCACCGGAAGGGATGGCGAAAGATCGTGGACTAATCACATCGGATAGTACAACCAATGATGGCAAGAAACGTATGGAGTTTGTGAACCGAGACTTTAATGTCGCTATCAATATCAGGAGATGTGCGGTGATGGAAAGAAGGCCTCCAGAGTTGACAAGAGCCAACTTTGTGGGGGAACCTCTCCAGGTGGAATTTTACGGAAACAAGTTGAAACCAGTAGTAGATGGCCGGTCCAAAAAAGACAGGGAGGCATCTGCGCATCAGTTGGAGACGTATGATCTAGGGCGCGCAGCTCGCCACTACTGTATACTGATATTCAAGCTATCGACTATTGAAAGTCTTTCGGTGGAGCTAGTAACTCTGTGACGTGTTTTTCATGGTTCCCCCGCGGAAGAGACGCTCCCGCACCGCGCGAGAGCAGCAAGGCAACGGAACACACATCCCGGACGGGAACAAGTCGACGTCTACCCCGTCTGAAGAAGTGCGCACAGGAGCTGCAGCGGATGCGCGGGAAGACACTGCTTTTCCGTCAGCTGAAGGTCAGAGACCTGCGGATTCGCGGCGGAAGCGGGTAAAGTCCTGTAATATATCCATGAAAGACTACGAGGATCCTCATCAAATTGCGAAGTTCGAGGCAATCTCGGCACAGCTAAACGCTGAACCGCCGGAACAACTGGGGTTTCGACCCGGCGACTCTGTGGACGTCTCCCCGCGCGCGCTGAGCCTCCTGACCGGTAACCTGCTTCAGTTTCAAGAGCGGGTTCTCGGACGGAACTCCGTCGAGCCGCCAGAAATTCGGGGTTTCATGACGAAACTGCCGAATCGTCTCTTTCACGACTATTCGGCACACGGCTCATTGCGTACGATTCTCGAGTGCTGTTTTCGGTTCAGGGTTGCTCGTGGAATACGGCGTTTTGATCTCCACAAACCCGATATGACTGGAGTTTTTTTAGAGATGCTCCAAGAAGTTGAGCGGGAACTGATAAAACGGAAACAGCTCCAGATGCCGCGGTTGTTTTTCGCACCGGCATTGGGTTCGGCGGAGATTGACCGCCTCAGCGCCATTGCAAGGAAGCATGGTGCGTCCGTCGTTTCGTCGCCTCGCGAGGCAACACATATTGTGTACCCCGATCCACCCGGCACGACAGAGGCTGAGACCGAGGCAGAGGACTACTGCGTGAGTCTGAAAAGGAAAGGGAATCAAGTACTGACGCACTGGTGGTACTTTCCCGATTCGTACGATTCATGGATTCCCGCTCAGGAGGTAGAAGATCCCGACGGCGAACTGCACGGAGAGGAGGAGAATCTCTCCGGAGTGATTGAGGGCAAAATATGGCATGTGCAGAAAAGATTTCTCGAGGATTGCGAAAAGTTCAATGAGTGGTGCAATGAAAACGACTATGAGGTAATACCCGAAGAGGAGAAGCTCAATGTCGATGAGTGGAAACCGCCATCGGCCTCGCGCATCGATGGCCACCTGCGAGGATCCGAGTCGAAGACCGCAGCACCGACGCCGTCGAAACGAAAATCCGCTGAACCGAGTCCCGTGAAGCCGGAGCCAGACGGCACGCCAGAACGGGTGACGGTGCGCGCCGTCCGAGAGGAATCCGCAGAGCCGATGAAGATCAAGGTTCGCTTGGCACCGCCGATAGCGAGCCAGGACGCGGGAAGCTCGAGCAATGCACCCGCGGAGCAAGTTCCGGCACCGAATATTGCTGGCCCGATCACGTTCACAACGGAGACTGGCGCTGCGGTCGATGCGGAGCAGCCAAGCGCTGCGGCCGGCGCTGCACCGCGCATTTCACGCCCAGCGGTGCGTCCGCTAGTTCCAGATGACGCGACACTGCGCATGCGCAATGTAACTGCATCTTCGCGGGATGAGCAGCTACAGAAGAGGTTAGCACAGCAGCGAGAAGCATTACGCGAACGACGAAAAGAGCGGAATGACGCTGCGGCAGCCGAAGAGGATGCGCTTCCGGGGCCGGCAGCACACGCGCCACGTGATCGAGAATCGCTTGCACCGCGTCGCGTCGCCGAGGCACTCGGTGGCCTCGCGGAGCGGGAAACGCTTCCGGCTGCGGCTGCTGCCACGGCGATTGGTGAAAAGTCGCCGATTCGTGTTCCCGCGCACAGCCGATGGTTTCGCATCGATGCGATTCACGACATTGAGCGACGCGCGTTGCCGGAGTTTTTCTCTGGGAAATTTGCTTCGAAAACGCCCGAAGTATACATGCTTTACCGAAATTTTATGATTGACACGTGGCGGCAGGATCCGACCCGCTACCTAACAGGCACAGCTGTTCGGAGGCATCTCGCTGGCGATGTGGGTGCCGTCATGCGTGTGCACGCCTTTCTGGAGCAGTGGGGCCTGATTAACTACGGAGTGGCACCCGAGACGCGCCCACAGACTGTTAGCGGCGGGTTTTCGGGTTCCGGTGCGACGCTTATCTCCACCAGCTCGGGAAGCCTGGCAGCAAGCTCAGCTGGTCTTGAGGGCGGACTTCCTCGCATATTCTTGTTTGACGACGGGTCGCGTATTCCGAAATCGCGCATGCATCTGGCGCCCATGGCAACGCGCCGTGAATTATATGCCGCAGCGGCAGCCATTGAGTACCAGTGTGACGTGTGCGGGAGAGACTGCTCCCAACGCCGGTACCACTGTTTGCTCAAGGCCGATATGGACCTGTGCCCCGAATGCTACCATCAGGGCAAGTTTCCCGAGGACTTCAATGGAAAAGATTTCATCGAATTAAGACCTGTTCTATCGCTGGGGTCGGCGGCTAGCGCCACTGGAACCCTCACAGCTCCGAGCACGGACGACTGGACTGATGTTGAGGTGCTGCAGCTTCTCGAAGGAATCGAGGCATACGGTGATGACTGGGATGCGGTTGCTCAGCACGTTGGCACTCGTTCCCGCGATGCGTGCATCACCAAATTCATTCGTCTACCCATTGAAGATCCGTTTCTCGAGGATGATTTGAGTCGTTTAGCGGTACCCGCTGTAGCTGGCGAGACGGCGCAGACCGAACGAAACGAGCCGCCGCTCTTCGCCGACGCCGGAAACCCCTTGATGGCGCATATTGCGTTTCTCGCGAACAGCGTCTCGCCGGATGTCGCTGCTGCTGCTGCCCGGGCCGCGTTGGCAGCGATCATGAAAAGCGACGCACCACCGGAAGCGCTTGCGGATGCGAATGCAATCCAGGCCGTTGCGGCAACGGCGCTTGGCGCTGCGGCCACTCGGGCCGCGGAGCTCGCCGCCATTGAGCATCTAGAGCTGCACCGGGCTACTGAACAGGCGATCGAGACTCAGGTGAGGAAACTCGAAGAAAAGATGAAAGTACTTGAGCAGCTCGAAGAGGAGTTCCTTCGGGAGCGGGAGCAGGTAGAGATTTACCGGAAGGAGCTTTTCGCAGAGCGCTTGAATTTAGTTGCACGACGCGAGGCGCTCTCGAGCACGGCGACTCTGGGCGCATCCCCGGCGACGGCGTTGAATGCCTCGATCCCGGAATGGACCGTGGCGCGAGATACTCGCAAACAATGCTGATGCGGATTCGTGGCGAGTTCGTTGGTGCTATACGCGGCCTTGTCACCGGCGTCTGTGATGGACACGATGTGTTTTTCTGTGTCAGAGGGAAGGTTGCTGCGCATTCGCGACGAACGGAGGCAGTTGTGTTCGGTACACGGCGGCTTAGGGGTCGATGCGACGGGCACGCGTGCGCACGCGCGATGCTCGCATCGATGGAGTCGTGGCTGGCGTGGTGGCAACTTTCCTGTCTAGTTCCGTATGACGTAAAGCGAAGGCGGTACAGTGCGCTGCACGGTAGCATGCTGGCTTATGATCTTTTCCAGTGCTCCTGTTGCTGTGCGACGGACTAGAACGCGACGCACATGAACGTGACGCGCTAGTTTGTCTGCAATACGCGTTCGGGGCGACAGCCCCTGCCCTGCCGCCCTTTTTAGCATTCATGGTGTAGCGCGGGTGCGTACTCCCTCTGGGTGCTACGGGGTTCGTCGTGCGGGGGCGATCGCACCTCCTCCAGAATATCGGCAGGTGTTGCGGTTCGTAGCGCTGCAAGATCGCTCTGTGCAACCAGGCCTCCGCAGTTACCCACTCGTTATCGTCGTCGATCTGGACCACCGGTTGCAAGTGTATTCCGGAGCAAGCCGGCCTCACAGTGCTTCCCCGCCAGACTACCCGGCTCGCGTCTGCTGATGCGCGCTTTAGAACAGGTCAGCGCGACGTGGTGGCAAAAGCGAACTTGCGTCACTCCCGTTTCCCGTGCGATCCCTCATCACAGTACTCAGAGAGCCCAATGCTGCTTAACTTCGCGATTCGAGATGGGACGCGGTGTTTCCAGCTATGGTTTGAACGCAAGTGATGATTAAGGTTCCATATTCATATATATACCCGTGCGCATTCGATCCGCCTGCGTTGCTGCGGCGGCCGTCAGCGCAGGATAGCGCTTGACGGTGCGTCGCGCGCTGTGCGTAGCGCTGCGGCCTCGTGGCGGCTGTCTGCGATCCGTTCCGTACTCGTGCTGGAGCTGCAGTTGCGAGCTACTGAGCGAGCCGCTCATTCGTCGCTGACTGCGGCTGTTTGTGGACCGAGTACGTTGCGTTGCTTGCTGCTGCTGCTGCTGCTGTTATTGTCGGTGGTATTCGTGCTACTGCGAGAACTCGTGACGCGGACTGCATCGATCTGCAGCACCCCCGTGCATCGCGGATCGGTTTTGTTTTCCGCTGTGCTCAGCTTTTGAGCGTGCGTGTTGTCGTAGTGACCGTGAGAGACTTGAGCGAGCACCAGACGTCAAGTCGCCGAGTGCTCGCGCCGGGGCACAGGATCGGCAGCTGAGGAGTCCCGGAAGCAGCACCAGACGGCCAGTCGCTGCGCGCTGTCCCGTCTAGAGCGCGGCAGACCGAGGAGGCGCACCCGGTGAACAGGCCGGCCGCCCTCGGTCACGCAAACCACCTGTGGATCGCCTCAAGGATGGCGACGACAGCGGGCACTCGCCGGAGTCCCAGTGGCGGTGCGCTGTGCTGGGCCGCCGCACCTGTCGCTGCGGTGCGCTTCGGACGCTGGGCGCCTCCGCGTGCGCACTCCTGGACACCCAGGCGTACGTACCCGACATGGAGCCTGAGCTTGGTCCGAAGCGCTCGCTGGTGCCTGCTCCGAGGCCGCCGCGCACAAGCATGTGGTGCTGCCGTCATGTCTGCGGCGGAGGGCTCGTCTCCGTCGAGTGCTGTCCGGGAAAGCGCGTCGTCACATCCTGCAGGTCGCGCAATATCGGACGCGGGTGTCATTGGCCTTGCGGTCATGGGTCAGAACTTTGCACTGAACCTAGCGTCGCACGGCTGGCGAGTCTCTGTGTACAATCGAACGTATGCGCGGACGGCGGAGACTGTTGAGCGGGCGCAGCGGGAGCTCGCGGCAGATGACACGACAGCCAGCGGGAGCGTTACCGGCTTTGCGGACCTGCGGTCGTTTGTGGTTTCGCTGAAGCGTCCGCGGCGGGTATTCCTGCTGGTGAAGGCGGGGAGCGCAGTCGACGCAACCGTCGAGGCGCTGGCTGAGGTTCTGGAGCCGGGCGACATCATCGTGGACGGCGGCAACGAGTGGTACGAGAATACGGAGCGACGTGCTGCGTCTGTCGCGGCACGCGGCCTCCTGTACGTAGGCATGGGCGTAAGCGGTGGCGAGGAGGGTGCGCGCTACGGGCCTTCCCTGATGCCGGGCGGTTCACGGGAGGCGTACCAGCAGCTTGCGCCGCTGCTGGAGCAGGTTGCGGCGCAGGTGCCCGGCTCTGGGCCGTGCGTTACCTACATTGGGCCGGGCGGCTCGGGGAACTATGTGAAGATGGTGCACAACGGGATCGAGTACGGCGATATGCAGCTGATCGGCGAGGCATACGACCTGCTTCGGGGTGCCGTTGGCTTGGATGCGATGGCGGCTGCGGAAGTATTTGCCTCGTGGAACGCGGGCGCCCTGCAAAGCTTCCTCGTGGAGATTACCGCGCGCATTCTACGCGTGCCTGACACGTCTTCGTCGGCAGCGTCGGCGCCAGCGCTCGTAGACCAAATCCTCGACCGGAGTGAGAGCAAGGGCACTGGCCTGTGGACGATGACGGAGGCACTGCGGCGGGGCGTGGCGGTGCCGACCATCGCTGCCGCGCTCGACGGGCGCTTCCTCTCAGCGCGGAAGGACGAGCGCGAGCGTGCGTCGCGGGTGCTCCGCGGACCCGAGCGGCTCTCGGGTACGGGGCACGCCTCCGAGTTGGCGGCCGCCGGTGCCTCACCCGGAGCCGCTGGCGGTGTAGCTGAAACTGGACCGGACACAGCTCCCGAGCGTGTCGCCGCCCTAGCGTCTGGCTCTGTACGAGCGTCGGCGTCGACGTCGCGTTCGGATGCATCGGCGGAGCGAGCGTTGATCGCTGCTATTGAGGACGCACTCTTCTGCAGCAAGCTCTGTAGCTACGCGCAGGGTCTCAGTCTGCTGCAGCGAGCGAGCGGCGAGCAGGGCTGGTCGCTGGATCTCGGGGAGCTTGCGCGCATCTGGAAGGGCGGCTGCATTATTCGGGCACAGCTGCTTGAGCGGATCGAGGGCGCTTTTCGACGAGACCCCAGCCTGCCGAATCTGCTGCTGGACGCTGACCTGGCTGCGGAGATTGGACGTCGCCACGAGAGCTGGAGGCGTGTTGTCGGGCTGGCGGCATCGCTGGGTGTGCCGGCGCCGGCGCTGACCGCGAGCCTTTCGTACTACGACACGTATCGACAGGCGGTGCTGCGCTCAAGCCAGCTGGTTCAGGCCCAGCGGGATTGCTTCGGCTCGCACGGCTACGAGCGTCTGGACGATCCGGGGCGGCGGTGGCACACGCGCTGGCTCAGCGGTGGCGACTCGGCGGAGGTCTCGAGCTAGGGCCTTGGGCGGGACGCAGGTCTGTGTGTATGATCTGGATGTGTGTACGTCCAGTTTTCCTGGTTGCCGCCCAGAGTATCTGCGAAATGTTTGCTTGCATGGATCTTTCGGGTGGTGTACTGTAAATGCTCCTGGTTGCTCGCCGAAATCCATGCTTTATAGGTGTGCATTTGCATCTCTCCGTCAGTGCATTCTGACTAGGCCAGCCCACTGCCAGAGTCCAATGTCGCACACGTGTCCGTAGGCGTGTCTCCATCGATGCACCGCGTACACTCCTGCACGTCGCAAGCTCGATGCTGGTGAGGCGTTACTACTTGCTCCCTGAGCCACGTGCCTGTCGCTGGACCCGGCTGCAGTGCCAGAAAGAGCGCCCGCCAATGCACACGCCTCAATACCGCCATACGTCCGCATGCGTGCATGCGTGCGTGCGTGACGGCGATAGCGACTGCACGCATTCAGCAACGGACACGTGGCAAAGCGTTGGAGCACCTGTCGCATTGAAGGCGAGCGGATCGCGCGATCCGAGCATGCGCGACGATCCACACACAGCGACGCTGGCTGGGGCGATCTGCATGCCGCCGTTGTGGATGCAGGGCGATGCGGCAGCACCGGGGTGCCTCTCTGTGGAGGCCGAGTCAGGGCGCACCGTCCGAAGTGGCTGTCGTCGAGTGGACGTGCCAGCGCTCCGCGGTGCCGTGGATCGGTCAGGGATTCGGAAATCGCTGGTGGCAGATCGATTGGCGAACACAATGTTCGTGGCGATGCATTTCTTCAAATATCTGAAGAAAGTATTTAAGACACTTGAGCTCGAATTCACGCAGCATGCGTTCCTAGTTTCCAGTCGTTTCATGCAGATACTCATGAATGCGCTGAGCCAACTTCTCTCCGATCCGAGGAATCGCTGCCAATTGCTGGTAACCAGCTCCGAAAATTCCCTCGAACGAACCAAAATGATTCAGTAAGATTTGAATACGCACAGGTCCTAAACCAGGAATGCGTTCCAGGACGGAAGCCATAGTGCCCCTGTTTCGCAGTTGGCGGTGGTATTGCAGGGCAAAGTTGTGCGCCTCGTCACGAATATGGCGAAGCAGGCGCAACGCCATCGAGTCCACGGATCCATCCCGAAAATGCTGTAGAGGGCTCGTTGAATGCAGGGTGAAGACCTCTTCATCTCGCTTCGCCAGGGCGATGAGATTAGGCGCTCCTGTCCGTGGACTGAGTCCGCATGCTTCGAGGGCGCTGCATGCGGCTTTCAGTTGCTCAATGCCACCATCGATCAGCACGAGATCCGGCAAGTCGACAGGCGCCGATTCTGCGGCACGTCGAAAACGACGTCGCAGAACCTGTTGCATATTCAGGAGATCGTTCGCGCCCTTCGCAGGGTCAGAATCGTTTTGATTCAGGCGATAGCGACGATAGGCATGCGGTGCAGGTACACCATCTAAAAAGACGGACTGCGAAGCGACTACGCACGTCCCACTGAGATGACTGATATCGAAGCATTCGATTCGAAATGGACGTTGCGCAAGGCCAAGGCGCATGGCCAGATCTTCGAGCGGACCCACCGCGTTCGTGATCTGGTTGTAGGCATCCTTTAGATGCGCCTCCGCGTTCTCTTTCGCCAGTTGTACGAGCTCTGCCCGTAATCCTGTTCGAGGTGTTTCGACACGCACTCGACGGGAGCGCCACCGCTCCTGAAATAACTTTTCCAAGATCGAATGATCCTGTAAAGCAGGATAAACCAGAATCCCATCCGGATTCTCATTAGCATCCGTAAGGTTTGCATAATGCTCAATCAGCGTTTGCTGTAATACGGCAGCTGCGATGTGATCCAACTGCTCCCGCGAACCCTGCGCGTGGGTCATTTCGGTGTCCCGTACCAGAGGTGAAACGCGAAGGCTGAAGTGTAATCGATTCATCACCATACCATCCCGCATTTGGATAAGTTCAATCGATACAATCTTTCCATCTTGCGTGATGGCCGCTGCGGCGACATCGGCAGAAAAATCGGCATTCATGAGCAGAACCCGTTGTGTCAGGTTCGAAACGACGCCGACCGTTGACTCGACGGCTATCCGCTGCAGCGCCCGCATCGCGTCGCGTAGACTTGCAGCGCGTTCGTAATCCTCTTTCTTAACTGCGTGCTGCATATCTGCTTGTAATTCGCTCAAGACCTGTGTTACGCGGCCTTGCAAACAGAGCTCGGCCCTGCGAACAGCCTCTCGATATGTCGTTGTGTCTACCTGTTTCTGGCAGACTCCCGGACATACACCAATGTCATAATTCAGACAAGGTCGATCCCGAAAAAGAGGCTGCGCCCGCTGTCGCATCGGAAAAGTGCGCTGAATAAAGCGAAGCACATGGTTGAGGAGCTTTGAATCGACGAAAGGCCCATATACGCGATCTCGACCGCGAGTGTTCTGATTGACGCGGGGCCTCTGGCGAGTCACCACCAAGCGCGGATACATTTCGCTCCAAGTGACGCGCACAAAAGGAAAACGTTTGTCATCTTTGCGTAGTGTATTGTAGGGGGGCTGGTGCTCACGGATGAAGTTGGACTCGACGGCGAGCGCCTCCACTTCGTTCCCAGTCACGAAGTATTCCACTCGATCAACGCTGTCTAGAGCAGCGATTACTTGTCTACCTCGTTGTTCGACGGAAGAGGTTCGGAAATATGAGGCCACACGCTCCTGAATGCATAGCGACTTGCCAACGTACAGGAGACGACCTTTGCGGTCCCGAAAAAAGTAGACACCGCACGAACGAGGCAGCGCAAGTATTTGCGGCCGCAGTCGCTGCCAGCGATCCGAACTTGCCCCAGTTTCACCTTTTTCCGGTAAACTCGGGACCTGTGGGCCGGGCGTTGTCCCCGACGCCTGAAACGCACGGCTTTTGTAGGTACTTTGCGGTAGCTGCTGCTGCGGACACAGCTGCTGGCTCGCTTTTTTCACGAGGTGCGGCCTGAGGAACGCACGCGTTTCACGCCGCGTATGAAACGGCGCTATAAAGTAGACGTAATGTCTACAGAAGGTCATAGCCACAACCAGCCCTGCTTGGTGGCGACTTTCCCACCAGCGACGCGTTCGCAGCCCCAGAACTCGAGCTCTACAAGGCCTGGCCTCAGCGGTGCTCGAAATGAAGATGCGCTCGCTTGCCGGATTCGGTTAGCGATGCGGTGAATCTCGCGCGTACCCGACACCGGTGTGACAGGCTTTTCGCGGTTCATTGCAGATGCATTCGAAGTGCGTTCGTTTGAAGAAATGGAAAACCCAAGTGAAAGGCATGGATCTAAAACTCAAGCATCCTGGAGGGCCTCCATCGCCGGCGGCAGGAATAAGACGAGAGATTCCTCCTCTCGTCGAGCATCGAGCGAAGAGGAGCAAATGAAGAAGAAGAAGAGTCAGAGGCGAGGTAGGGGAGAAAAGGACTATAGACCGATCAAGACGTGTCGACTTGTTCTCCAGTCTGGACTGGATTTCCGATCACCTCTTTGATCATGGACAATATCGCAGTACACGAATTGTCTATCGAATCGAACACCGTGCGCTTGCACCTGTAGCGGATAGAGTACGCACGTAGCAGATCGCCCAGAGGAGGCCTGTACTTGTAGTGTGTGCAGCTCTGGGCGCTGATATCGAGGTGTGTATCGAGCTGAGCATTCTACACTCGTGAACGGCGTGTGCCGAGCGACGAAGCGAGCGTTCACGCGCCACAGGGTGGTCTTCGACGCAGGTCGACGTGCAGAGAACGAATGAGTGCAGGGAACCACAGCGCGGTGTCGGCGCTGTGAAGCGCGTACCGAGGCTGTATGCAACCAAGCTGGAAATGACACGGCTAGCGTAGATCTCCGTATTTGTGTGTGTATGCGATGTGCCGGAAGCAGCGGTGAACGGCGAAATCGGAGCGCGGACGCTGTTTTCAGCATCCTTCGACTGTTGAGAATAGAGGCGGGCGGACTGGCGCGACCGGCGTCGTCAAAGCCGGTGATGCGCAATACAGGAACAGGAAGCAGTCGCGGACATAGTTTCCAGATGCTGGTGTTCATGGCAGTGAGTAGAAAATTGAAGTCTAGAGTCTACATCAGAGAATACTGCTCGGAACGGTCTCTTTCTAGTCGGACATGGGTGCAACGGAATCTCCAGTAAGCGCTGGAGCGACGCCAACGCAGTTCGTGCCAGAAAATGTGCACGCGTTGGCGACAATGCTGCACCAGGAGTGATACGGCGACGAGCTACACAGTTTAGGGAGTCGTCTTGGAAATGCAGTAAAACAGCGGGCAGCCTATGAGACTCCCTATTTTACATGAGCAGCTGCGGTGCTTCGAGATGGGTTCTGTAAGGGTCACTCGGCCGAATGGCAGTCTATGATGAGCAGAGTGCAGGGAACTGCGGATGTTCGTGGAGAACCAGCCATGGGCGCATCATTGGCTACATGGAGACGTTTCAGGAGATTTCTGCCGCCAACTTGTAGGCACGACCGCTGCCGCATCCAGTCAAAAAATGGGGATGCTGTGTTTCCACAGATCTTTCTCAGTGCAATGGCAGGTTGAACGCATTTCTGGTCGTTGCAAGTATTCAATATACATTGACGGAACCTTGTCTGATGCGTAAACGTTGCATTCGTATAGGTCTATTCCGGGATGCTGGAATCGCACGACATCGAAGCGGAAGCTGCGTCTCTGCCATATCAATTGCATGCAGCGGGTGGAAAGATTGCGGAAGCACTGAAACATCTGGCCTGTACCAACCCGAAATGTACCCATTGGGGACTGCAGCGCTTTCTTCGATGAGTACGGCGCTCGTGGAGTCGGTACGGTGCGACCAAGAGATCAGTATATTGCACGAGCCTGGATCGCCAGGCCTTTTCTGTATTTTCCTCTGCCAGCTTCTCTCTAATGCGTCCTTGGCCACGTCATGTCAGCAGACTAGGAAAGATCAAGGCCGCAATCTGTACTTGCAATTCTACATTCAAAATGAAATGAAAGCGAGATCGGAAAGTAAGCTACATATTCTGGTACGCTTCCCAAGGCCTCTACCTGCGAATCCGGATGTTTCCTAAAGGTGATCCATGCGGGCAGCGCGCGGCAGGGCATCGCAGCGACCGTATTCAGAAAGCGTACCTGCTTGTGGCATATCTGCTGTGGAGCGCACTTCGAGCACAATAGGAACTCGCGCTGGGGGGGTCTAGACCCTGGCTAAAACCGGACAGGTTGTGCCTCTTTGTAAGTGCCTAGGTCGATCAATATGTTGATTGACTCGGCTCACGAGCGGTTGCTTCCTTGTTTCAACAGTGAAGACAGTGCTATGGCGCATGCAACTCGTTCACTGAGTAGTCACTCGCGTCGGTTTTATCTGCTTTTCGTCCAGTTCAGCGGCATCCAGCGGCTATTTTTGCCGACAGGAACGTCGCCTGGGGCGCATTGCGAGCTTGGACGTCGACTTTATCAAGAGCGACCGTACAGTCAGTCAGGTCTAGGCAACTGTCACCGAAGAGTCTACAATTCGCGTCGACTGTATATGATTGCAACGGAACGCGCGAGCGTAGCAGGGCCCACATCCCCAGGTGCAGGCAGTTCGAGCTCCAACCACGTGCCCGAGCACAACGCAGACACGGTGCCTACTGGCTCCTGGCGCCTGTTGGAGGCGCAGCGTGCCCTCCAGCTCGTGCGTGAAACCGCGAGACAGTCGAGCACCGCCTTGACAGGCAGGGCGTCTGTTGCGGCTCCTCTTCAGACGGCGGATTTTGAACGGTCTATCATAAAACGTGTCGAAGAGCGGGCCAGCATGCATATGGACGCTCGTGGGAACGACGCAAGCGCCTGGAACTACGAGACCATCGTCAAGTCAGCGGCGCCTGCGGTTCGATACGACCCAGAGCGGTTGCGCGAGAAGTATGCTCGGCAGACGTTGCTTGTCCGCACAAGGCAGGCGCGAATCGCGGCACCACTTTTCGTGTTCATAGGTCGAGTGGTTCTAGACATCCAGATGGGAAAAGAGCAGGAGAGAAGAAAGATTCGTGCTGCGGAATTTTTGCAGATTTTTTCAAACTTGGGACCTGCGTTCATCAAGGCCGGACAAGCGCTGGCGTCCCGCCCCGATCTCCTGCCTCCCGAATATCTCGATGAGATGCAAAAGTTGCAAGATCGCCTGCCACCTTTCAAGAATGAGGATGCATATCGAATCATAGAGGAAGAGTTGCAGGCACCTGTTCATGAGATATTTTCTCGAATCGAACCTGAACCGGTTGCTGCGGCATCCATAGGACAGGTGTACAAGGCATATCTACGAGATGGAAAGGATACGCCGGTTGCGGTGAAAGTCCAGAGACCGGATTGTGAGAAAATCATATCGCTGGATATCTACATTCTCCGCGAATTGAGCGGCATCCTAAGTCGTATGCTGACATTCCTGCGGCGAGATATCAATCTCGTCTCCATCATCGACGAACTGGGCAAGTTGATTTTCGAAGAGATCGATTACCTGAACGAAGCACGGAATGCGGAACGTTTCCGGGAATTATACGGCTCGCTCCCGGATGTTGTCGTGCCCAAGATCTACTGGCAGTACACCCGTCGCCGCGTCGTAACCCTGTCTTGGGTGGACGGAGTTCGCCTGAACTCGCCCTGTTTGAGCGACGCCCAAGCGCAGAAACTCGTAGAGATCATGGTTCAGTGTTCTCTGCGCCAGATGCTTGAGAACGGTTTCTTTCACGCCGATCCGCACGGGGGTAATTTACTCGCCACGAGAGATGGCAAGCTGTGCTGGCTTGACTTTGGCATGGTCAGTGAAGTAGAACCAGCGCAACGCTATGGCATCATTGAGGCCGTGATGCATATGGTGAATCGAGATTTCGAATCACTCGCCCGATTGTACGTGAGATTAGGCTTCATTCCACCTGATACTGATCTTGCACCACTGGTAGCTGCCCTGAATCGGGCTCTACCGGACGTACTGGATGCCTCGGTATCCGAATTGAACTTCAAGTCGGTAATCAACAAGCTTGGTTCAGTGATGTACAAGTTTCCATTCCGCCTTCCTCCGTATTACACAGCAATTATTCGTTGCCTCGGCGTTTTGGAGGGACTCGCTATCCAAGTCCGCCGAGATTTCAAGATCATCAACAATGCGTATCCGTATATTGCATCGCGATTGCTGACGGATCCCGCACCAGAGCTTCAGAACGCTCTGTCCGTGCTTCTTTTCAAGGACGGCCGTATTCGATGGAGTCGCCTCGAGAGCCTGCTGGATTCAGCATCGCTGACCTCTGAATACGACTTCAGCGTTGTTGCAAGCCAACTTCTCGAATTCATCCTGAGTCCGCGCGGTGATATTATCCGTCGACATTTGGCCGAAGACCTGGTCAACGAGTTTGATCAGCTTATTTTAGACACCGTCAGCTACAACACGCAGTTACTGCAAGGCAAACGACCGGTACCGACCAAGTCGATGATATATTTTCAAAAGGCGCTTTCGCTGGCGCTTGCGAATTCGGCTCTGGCACGCAGCATTCGCGGTGTCTCAGAGACCCCGAGCATCCAATCGCTCCTCCTGCCCTATGCAGTAGACAGTCGCAAATTCCTTCCCATTCTGCAATTGATTGGATCCAAACGAGAGGGCAAGCGCTTGCTCATGGACATTGTCACGAATCTGATGGAACGCGCTACGCTGCGAGGCATTCGAGCCATCTTTGGGATCGAACAAGACAGGGTTTCTGCGCCGCGCTAGCGCATGAGGCGGATTGCTTGTGGCAGAGCTCGTCGAACGACTTGGCTGAAAGCGGTTGCGTGCGGCCCTCTGGGGATCGAGCATCGACGGCATCTCCAGCATTGGGCAATCGACGTTCTGTGGCCAAGCTCTGGCGGCGCCTCAGAGTTTCAGGTGATACCGGCTGCGACTCGTAAGCTGATCGTTGCTTTGTTTTTCGATCGCACGCAGGGCCATATGCATAGATGGCGATTCTGATACACGAATCGCGTTCTGTATCGATCGTAGCATCAGACCGACAAGGATCGTTGCTTTTCCGGATTGCTGCAAAGGTCGCCGGCTCGCGGAACGCATTCCGGGTACTCGGATCGCACTTTGTATCGATCGTCGCACCTGATCAGCGGTGCAGATCGAGACATGATTCTTTTTGCGTAGATGCGAATATCTTCCATGAACCTGATTGCATTGTTGTGTTGCTGCACATTCATGTACGAGTGCGGGAAACGCCTGTTTGGACATGCTTGTTTTCGAATGGTGGACATTCATTCAGTTGCTATCGCACAGAGCGTGAAGCGTAAAGCTGAGTATTCGATGTCGACAAGGGTCCGTTACTCGAAGCCAGCGCTTGCGACAAAGAAATTTTACGATATACGCTCTGCGTTCGAGTCGTGCTCAGTGAAACGTTGGCGCCGTTGCGAAAGCATTGTTCTGTGGCGAATGCCCGAGCGCATCGCGTCCGCGGGCGGATTTCCATCAGCCTTTTCCGCCTGTTTTCGAACGCATTAGAGCTTTTCATACGACTCCGGGACTGATGTGCGTCATACTCAAAATATAGCGCACAGATCGCCCTGAATAGAGTACGCTTTCCAGTCTGTGGCACCCGTCCATGTATTCGGAACGTGATCCAGCCCTATACGCACAGGAACAGAAATGCATTCGGACGAGCATCGAGCTTGCATCCGCGGTGACATCGAGCCTAGCTGTTGTCGCGGACACATCACCAATAGGTGCACATGGGCGACAGCGTCTGCTGCACGAGGTTCGGGCTCACGGGCGCGCTTGCAGTATGAGTACGGGGTTCTGACGGAAAGCATCCGGCATGTGGGGGCATCCAAGTCTGCCCAATGATCCATGGGTCCGAAAGGGGCTCGCGGGCGGCACCCAGGCATGCAACGTGCCGCTTCGCATCGCTGCGCAGCGGCTGCGGGGAAGCGCAGCACTTTCGATCGTGCAAAGTAGATGTGTCGGGGCATTCGACGTCGCACTGAGCTTCAAGCTTGCATCACTATCAACGCCATGCAGGAGCATTGCATGAAAAAGACGGGGGCGGCTTCGACGACTGCCGCTCCCGCAGACCGGGGGTTCGCGCAAAGCAGACGTGTCGGGGCATTCGACGTCGCACTGAGCTTCAAGCTTGCATCACTATCAAAGCCATGCAGGAGCATTGCATGAAAAAGACGGGGGCGGCTTCGACGACTGACGGTCCCGAAGACCGGGGGTCGGAGCGCGCTCTCCACTGCAGGCCTTGAAACGACGTGCTTTGGCCCTGGTTACGGGGCCGACGCATGGCCTCGTTCAGGTAAGCACGTTTCCGACAACCTCGATCGAACTGGCGCCCACGGAGGAAATCGGATCTCTTCCCTGGTCATCGCTTGAATGGACACTTGTTGTCAAGTCTTTGCTTATTTCATGGTCCTGGGTCAGAACTTCACCCGCCGGCATATTGCAACTCGTCTAACATGGAATTGATGCGTAGGATTGGAGCTCCCCCTCGGCGCAAGTACGCCCGCAAATGCTGAGCAGTTCAACTACGTTCCATCCGCTCAGACGGGGGATCGTAAGTACACCTGGATAAAAATCCAAGCCATTTTCCGCGAATTCCGTCCCTCTCAGGTCAGCACAACGGTTGTCGTCAACGTGCTCCATACAATTCTATGAAAACGTATTCCTGCATAGCTTACACGATACAAGTCTTCGCTAAAAAATGGATTCTTGACCCCAAGCAACAGATGTGATCATTAAAACGAATCACGTTTCACGATCGTAGAGGGTAAATATGTACATCCTCTCGTGGACGCCTCCCTAACTTTTCGGACTGGCTGCCTGCTATAAGCTTCAGTTTCGGCCTATATACTTCGATCCTGAAAGGCTGTCCACGAGGTTCGATCGCGTCAGCTCCTCGGGTCTTTTCTTCCGCACCACGCGTCGTCCGGTGTTGATGGCGGGGTTGTGGTCTCGCTTTCCAACTCTATGCGTCTATTGCCTCTGGTTGCACTCACCAACGCGAGGATTCCTAGAGCTCGTGCCCACATTGTCACTACTGCCTCCAAATCGTCTCGTCGGGCAAACTCTTTTTCTCTCATATCTCCGTTCTGCTTGTTCTTCCGTTGCATCGCTCGATAGTCGGCGAGCGTAGGAATTTTTGCGTGTTTTTCCTGCAGCCGGCGTGACCGGGTCCCAGGATCTCCGATTTTCATGTCCATCGTTTTCCCTTGGATTTTTTAGGTCTTCACATGAACGAACATCGAACACGTTTGCTATAAACAGCGAAAGAGCATCTGATAACACACACCGGCGGGTGGAACGCAATGGAATTGAAAAACGAGAAACAGCGCATGCAGATCCGAAAGCTCATTGGAGCGCGCGCTGGGCATCCACGGGCGTATCGACGCTGCCGAAACGCCGCCGTCGCCCTAGATCGTCCGGCACTTCATTCGCAACACAACGGCGCAATTGCGACAAATGAGACTCGCTGCTGTGGTAGACGCCAGTGGCCTCATCGCGCAGCCAACCGTTGGTCATGGAAAACCTTCTGTTGAGAACAGTTCGTTCAGACTCGCCGCTGACAGACTGAAGCGGTACTTCAGGAGTTTGGTTTCCGATCTGTGGTCTGATGCAAACGATCAACTGCAGCAGTGCCCGTAAGAACCGCTTCTTGTTCGTTGTTCCGGGAGAAGCGGATGGAAAGCGGGCGTCTCCCTCGCAACGGTCGGTGGCCTTTGTGCAACACCAAACCGGTGTCGTATCCATAGACAGAAGGGCCGCAACGGCTCACGGGCGATGCGGGTCAGCTTCCAGAAAAGCGAGGCCCACGGGTCAAAGGGGAAGGCGCCTCTATGTCGCAGCACCGGGCGCTACAAGTTTCAGCGGCGAGAACTTGTTCTTCGGAGCCTCTACGTTTGCACCGGTGCCGCAATTCAAAAAACGCTCACGAGCCGGTCCCACTGGTTCATACGGGTTGCGCATGGAGGGTGTCGATGGTCACAAACGCTGGATGAACGTCGGACCTCCAACACCGCCGTGGTTGGACGTCCTCCCTCCGAAAGACAGAGAACGGGACTTTGACAAAGTGCTTGTCATTGGTTCTGGAGCGATCCGTATAGGGCAAGCATGCGAGTTTGATTACTCAGGGACGCAAGCATGCAAGGCGCTGCGTTCTCTTGGATACGAAGTTGTGCTCGTGAACAGCAATCCGGCGTCGATTATGACTGATCCGGAAACCGCTGACCGAACTTACATCGAGCCGATCACGGTGGAGGCTTTGGAAATGATCATCGAGCGAGAGCGCCCGCAGGTGCTTCTCCCAACCATGGGTGGCCAAACCGGCCTCAATATGGCGATGCAACTTGCCAAAAAAGGCATCCTCGAGAAGTACAATGTGCGTCTAATCGGTGCGAATCTGGAGGCGATCCGGAAAGGCGAAGATCGCTTAGCATTTCGTGAAGCCATGGAACGGATCGATGTACCGTGCTGCCCCAGTGGCATCGCAAACAACATGGAGGAGGCCAGGGCTGTTGCTGCACAGATAGGTCGTTTCCCGCTTATCATCCGACCAGCGTACACACTGGGCGGCACTGGCGGTGGCATCGCCTACAATCGCGAGGAGTTCGAGGAAATTGCCGCTGGCGGTCTCGAGGCCTCTCCCGTCTCGCAGATATTAGTCGAACAGTCTCTCTTGGGTTGGAAAGAATTCGAGCTTGAAGTTGTTCGGGATAAGATGGATAACGTCGTTATAATCTGCAGCATTGAGAACGTCGATCCCATGGGTATTCACACGGGGGATAGCTTCACGGTGGCGCCAACGATGACGCTCACCGACAAGGAGTATCAGCGCCTGCGCGACATGTCAATCGCAATCATTCGCGAGATTGGTGTCGAGACCGGCGGCAGCAACATCCAGTTTGCGGTCTGTCCGCGTACCACGAATGTAATCGTGATCGAAATGAATCCTCGAGTGAGCCGCTCCTCGGCCCTAGCATCCAAAGCAACCGGGTATCCGATTGCGAAGGTCGCTGCAAAGTTGGCAACTGGCCTCTCTTTACCGGAAATCAAAAATGACATAACGCGAGACACCGTTGCAGCTTTTGAACCAGCTCTGGATTATATAGTGTGCAAATTTCCGCGCTTTGCGTTCGAAAAGTTCCCCGGAACGAGCGACGTCCTGACAACGCAGATGAAATCCGTTGGGGAAGCCATGTCGATCGGGCGTAGCTTTAAGGAGTCATTTCAGAAAGGTCTTCGCTCCCTCGAGATTGGGCGACACGGCTGGGGCCTTGACGCCAAAGACGAAGAGGTTCTATCTCGAACTGAGCTCGAGGCAGCGCTGCGCATACCGCGGCCGAATCGCATCTTTCGAGTTCGGCAGGCCTTCCAGGCTGGCATGACCGTAGACGAGATCAACGCGCTTTCCAGCTACGATCACTGGTTCCTGCAGAACATGAAGGAACTCTTTGATTTGGGCGAATCGCTGCGCAGCAAAAAATCGCTTCAAGATATCGATCGGCTCACCATGTTCACGTTGAAGCGGAACGGCTTCAGTGATCGACAAATAGCCTTTGCACTTCGCAAGCTGGGCGTTACAGAGACTGAGGTCCGTCGCTATCGCAAATCTCTGGGTATCCGCCCTGTCTACAAACGGGTCGATACCTGCAGTGCAGAGTTTGAGGCCTACACGCCGTACCTGTACTCAACGTACGAGTCCTGCAACGCCTGGGACGATGACGCTGTCGGGGGCAATGGCGATGGCAGTACCACCGGGGGCAGTGTCCTCGATCTGCGCAGCGACGGCACCACAGGCGATGGATCCAGCTTCCATGGAAGTTTTATCGCTGCTGGGATGGAATCCGAGGTTCCACCCTCGGACCCGAGCAAGCCGAAAATCATAATCCTCGGAGGTGGTCCGAATCGCATCGGGCAAGGCATCGAGTTCGATTATGTGTGTTGTCAGGCTTGCTTTGCGCTCCGCGATGCAGGTTTTGAAACCATTATGGTGAACTCGAATCCCGAGACCGTATCGACCGACTACGATACCAGCGATCGCCTCTACTTTGAGCCGCTCACACTGGAGGATGTTATCTCGATCCTTGAAGCGGAGAAGCCGGATGGCATCATTCTTACGTTCGGCGGGCAGACTCCACTGAGGCTCGCTGTTCCTCTGCAAGAATACCTGAACAGCGACGAAGCGAAAGCTGCAGGTGTGTACACGCGGGTTCTGGGCACCAGTCCGGACTCGATCGACGCAGCCGAGGATCGGGATCGGTTCCAGGCGATACTGCGCGAGCTGCGCATTCGCCAGCCAGAGAATGGCATTGCCCGCAGCTACCAGGATGCCAAGCGCGTTGCTGAGGAAATCGGGTACCCGGTTGTGGTGCGGCCTTCCTATGTTCTCGGCGGTCGAGGAATGGAGATCGTTTATTCCGCAAGTGAGCTCGAACGGTACATGGCCGAAGAGGTCGTCGTGGAATCCGAGCATCCTGTCCTGATCGACAAATTCCTCCTTAATGCGACAGAGGTGGATGTCGATGCGCTCGCAGACTCCACCGGACGCGTGGTTATCGGCGGTATCATGGAGCACATTGAGCAGGCGGGAATCCACAGTGGGGACAGCGCGTGCAGCATACCCACCGTGTCCCTGCCGTATGAGGTGCTGGTGCAGATTCGTCAGTGGACTGCAGCGCTCGCTCGTCGCCTCCAGGTCGTGGGTTTGATCAATATCCAGTGGGCAGTCCAGGGCAGCGACGTCTATATTTTGGAGGCGAATCCCCGGGCCTCGCGCACCGTACCCTTCGTGAGCAAAGCGATCGGCGTACCGATTGCCAAGATCGCCAGTATGCTGATGGCGGGTGCGAACCTCGACGAACTCGGGTACACGACGGAGATTCTCCCGCGAGCGATATCTGTGAAAGAGAGCGTGCTACCATTCGACAAATTTGCTGGCGCCGATACCCTTCTGAGTCCAGAGATGCGCTCGACTGGTGAAGTCATGGGCACCGACTACTCTTTTGGAGCGGCTTATGCAAAGTCCCAGGCTGCTGCCGGAACGCCGCTACCCAAGTCTGGCACGGTGCTGCTATCGTTGAAGGACGCAGACAAAGCAGCAGCTCCGGCGCTCGTTCGCGACTTGCTGGATATGGGCTTTCGAGTTCTGGCCACCCGAGGCACACACGCTGCGCTAGTCGCTGCTGGTATCGATGACGCTCGAGTAGAGATGATTCACAAGGCCGGCGAAGGGCGTCCCGATGTTCTCGACGCCATCAAGAACGGCGATATCGATCTGTTCATCATCACGCCGTCGGTGCCTGCGGACTCTGCTCGGAACGTTCGTCGCGCGGCGCTGATGACCAAGGTACCCATCATCACAACCATCGCAGCGGCACGAGCGGCAGCTGCGGCAATTCGCACCATGCAGAGTCAGACGCTGGAAGTGAAATCCCTCCAAGAGTACCATCCCAAGTACAAGGAGATCTCGGAGCAAATCCGTCGAGGCATGGAACGTGCTGCCAATAAACTGCGTCGCGTTGCACCGGCCGCGAGTCGAGATGTCAAAGAACCGATCTCGTCTTAAGGTTCTGATAATCGTTTGTAAACAATGGATATGGTGACAGCAATGGACCCGCATTCGAGATTGACTTCACAGCGGATGACCGGTCATGGAGATGAGCGGGAGCGCTGGGCGTCGCACCAGTGCGTCTTCACCAGCATCAGATGATATGGGAGAGTGCAATGGTTAGGCTCTTTCTGGATTTCGCTTTTTCCGAACCTGTGTTTTTTTTGGAGGCATTCGGCATCGGCATTCAACACGCAATGCTAAGGGCGTATAGATTCATAGGTGTTAGAAGGAGTCTCGGTCGTCTCGTCGAAATGACTGTGTTTTGTCTCTGCCACTGGAATTCCCGACTTCATCAGAATCGAGATGATTTCGCAACGCACTCGAACAGCGCTTCGTAACCTAAACGATATCATTATCAAATGCATACGTACCAGTACAGACGCTTCGCCCTTTGCTGGCATGTGGCATGCTGAAATGGCGCATTTTTCAGGTTCTCGATATTTCGGTTTCAAGGCAACTTGTGGGTGCAGCAAATCGTTCCGCTGGATGGACGACAGAAACAAAAAATCGACGTCGTCCGTTGGCGCCTCGTTCACAAGCTCATGCTGAACGGTCTCTATGCTCGTCTCGCCAAATTATCGAGTCCACTCGAATGACATATCCTCCGATTGATGTGACCATCAACGAAACGGCAAGCGGAAGCAGCAGCAGCAGCAGCAGCGGCAGCTTCGTAGCTCCCGGGGGATACGCTGCCCCCTCGAGGATCCCGTCGCGTGCGTTTGCGCGGAAAAAGGGCCCTGGGCTCGGACGTGAGCCATCCTTGCGACTCATTCCAGTGAAACGTCCGTCACCGTGATCCACAGAAGGACTATAGACCGATCGAAACGTGTCGACTTGTTCTCCAGTCTGGACTGGATTTCCGATCACCTCTTTGATCATGGACAATATCGCAGTACACGAATTGTCTATCGAATCGAACACCGTGCGCTTGCACCTGTAGCGGATAGAGTACGCACGTAGCAGATCGCCCAGAGGAGGCCTGTACTTGTAGTGTGTGCAGCTCTGGGCGCTGCTATCGAGGTGTGTATCGAGCTGAGCGTTCTACACTCGTGAGCGGCGTGTGCCGAGCGATGAAGCGAGCGTTCACGCGCCACAGGGTGGTCTTCGACGCAGGTCGACGTGCAGAGAACGAATGAGTGCAGGTAACCACAGCGCGGTGTCGGCGCTGTGAAGCGCGTACCGAGGCTGTATGCAACCAAGATGGAAATGACACGGCTAGCGTAGATCTCCGTATTTGTGTGTGTATGCGATGTGCCGGAAGCAGCGGTGAACGGCGAAATCGGAACGCGGACGCTGTTTTCAGCATCCTTCGACTGTTGAGAATAGAGGCGGGCGGACTGGCGCGACCGGCGTCGTCAAAGCCGGTGATGCGCAATACAGGAACAGGAAGCAGTCGCGGACATAGTTTCCAGATGCTGGTGTTCATGGCAGTGAAAATAGACACAAACTTGAGCGTCTATACACGAGTTAGCTCAGTGGACCTGTTCCATTTTACTCTGAGCTGGGGCTTGCTCATGATCCGTGTACGCACACCACGGACTGCTCGTCGCGACGTCAGTGAGTGAAGGCAGTTTCGCGCACGACACACCACAGCGGGGTACAAGTTATGCTCAGGCTGTGTTGCATTCCGCGTGAAGCGTGATGCATGACTCACCATCGCTTTGGAGACGACGAAACTGCTGCATGCGAGGCGCGTGGGCGCTGCGTAAACGGCACGCGATTCCGTTCTTGAAAGAGAAACGAGTTTCACGCGATTGCACTCATTTCCGACGGTGTCACCACAACAGGTGACGCACACGGGAGATCACGGTTTGGCAACGATTTCGTTTCAGTGCATGGCTTGCGCCAGAGCATCTGCTCTCGATAACAAATGTATCTGGATGCTGGCACGACGCGCCTAACCAGCAACCTTGCATCGACTCAGCGCAAAGCATAAACTTGTATGCATGCCCTCCTTTCTGCAGCACAATCATTGCACGCTGCACCGAGAGTGCCTTGGCGACTGACCCGCACACGTTGTAGCTGCTGTCTTTTTCTGTGAGGTTGGTTTTAGCGCTTTTGGCGTCCAAGTTCCCGCTGAGGCGTCCGGTTTCTGGCGTGGCGGCGAAAAAGCACGCATCGCTGGGTCTTTTGCATACCGCTCGCCTGCGACAGGGCCGGTCTGAGTCCGATGCGCTGCAGAGCGGTTCGCTGCTGAGGCGCTTTCGAGAGCGTCTGGCATGCATCGTGCTGCATTCGCCGGCTCCCAGTTCTCATCGACAAACACCGTATCCCCATCCAGGTCATCGAATCGTTCCCAAAACACCCCTCGAGTCATGGCCAGGCCCTCGTCGGTCACGAGCACGTAGAGGACACCGTCGTGCTTCGTTATGGTGGAAAAGTGATTGTTTCGGAAGAACACTGCATACTCGCCCTCGCGCAGAATTTCATGCAGGCGAATCAACCCCCGATACGTAAGCTGCGTCGGCGAGTTCTCTATGAAGCGGCGTATATGAGCTGCTTCCGCTCCTCGTTCGGATTCTTCAGCTTCTTGAGCCTCCTTAGTTGGAGACATCGTTGCGGCAGTGCGCCTCGTCTGGCAAGAGGGATTGCTCTCGACCGTTGAACGTGTTCCCGCGGCACGATCTGTGGATATTGCGGCGCGAGCAGTTTTCGCGAAGATCTCGGTTCGCACTTGCGCCGAAGCAATTTCTGGCGACGAGCGAAGCACATCCAGGTTTGCCGATGCTCCCGGCTCCGATTCCGAGCACATCTGCGATAACGCGTCTGTCGGGTGCTGCAAGAGCACTTCCAGCGCTGCGTTATAGCGCCGTCTTGACACCGCTTCGTAGGCGTCTTGGTCCGAGGGGTCAGCGAGCCATCCGTGAAGCAGAAGGACCCCAAAAACGTCAAAAAGGGTCGTCTCTGCAGTTAGCTCGTAATCCGTGCAGTCCCTGAACCCGACATTCACATCCATGCCGTGCTGAAGCACCGGGAGAAGCTGGACAACGTCCGCAACGCCATATTCAAGGTCAGCGACCCGGTCAGCGTTCGCGCTCAAAGCCGGTATTTGCTTTTCGAAAAGGTATTCAGCGAGAACGTTGCAGAGCCAGTCGCTCGAAACGTACTCCATGTCCGCAGGAAAAGGGGCCAGGCTTCCCCGTAAAAGGAGGGTGTTCGTCAGTGCTACCAGCGGACACGGCCCGTTCTTATCCTGGAGCACGACGCAACATCGACGGCTGCCACGAGAAAAGTGTTTTATCCGGTGGATTGTGTCACTCATAGAAAACGGAGCGTAAACTGCGACACTGCGCTCATTCGACAAGGGGTGAAATATAACGCAGCTTTTGCAATCGTTGTGGACGTTTTCGCTCGGTGCCAGTACACGTTGAATGGCTCACGCTGCGAGTGCTAGTTGTTGACCAAACAAACTGCAGCTTCTCGCTGCGCAGGCCGTGGACACGCCTCTTGAAACGCAGTGCTATTGCGACCGGTCTTCAACGAGTGCATAAGCCGTCCCCGCGCCAACGCTTGTACAAAAACGTTCAGAGCGTGCGGAAATGTTAGAAAGCGCTCATTCATTGGTGCATAGCGATCGTGCGCGCCTGGACGGATGGCTCTGCACGGAACGCTAGCGCATACGTGTCCGCGTGCTATAGGCGCGATCAGTAGCTGGCTGGCGCATCGGAAGATCGCGTGCACACACTGCCGCATGTCCGGAGTGTCCAGTATGCATGATTCCTGCAGCGACATTCATGCACGCGTTCCTCCGATCCAGCGTTGCAGCGCATCGAGTCGCCGAAGCCTTCAAGTGCAACACGAAGCTGCCGATCTGCGCACGAATGAACAGGCAATAGCGAGTGCGTGCTCACTACAGCGCTGGATGCTTGACGCACCGCTGATCCCACAGGCCGATTATTTCAACAGCGGAATGCATGAAGAGTATAGGTAAGGAGCTTGCGGGCGTGCGATATTGATCAGCAGTCAGGGAAGCGACCACCACTCCGTTCCAGAGCGCTAATCTATTACCCATATACCGAACTTTTCTTCAACACGACCGGTACGTTCACGCGACCCGGTGCGTGCCGAGTCTTCCGTTCGCGCCTGCAACGGCGCTGCGCACGCGACAGTGCCGACTGCGCAGGGCCCAGCGTGGGGCGTTCCCGTGGGTTTCGCGTCTATGTGGCGCTATATGCGGCATGCGGTTCTCTGAGAGCGCTTCATCGGGGGACGGCTTCGTCGCTCATCACAGCGGAGAAACGACGCTGCTGACCGAGGGAACGAACCTCTCAGCCGCACACGAGTTTCCGTGCTTTTCGAGTCTCACCCGAACGGGTGCGCGCAGCGGCGGCAGCGATATTTGGAACTTGCCGACTTGCATGGGTGCTTGGTTTCCGCAGACGTACGCCGATTGTGACATGCGTTCGGGGACACGCAACATTGACTCATTCTGCGTTTTACGGACGAGGCAACAGCTCGAGAAGCTGGGCAGAGGAGCGGAACTCATTTTTGGAAACAGTCGCTAGCTCGAGAACTGCACCTATCATGGGGTACAAGCGTGTCGCTTGGATGTCGATTCTATCTGAGTAGCACAGAAGATGCAGATGTTTGCAGATGGACGCATAAATCCGAAATCTCGTACATGATACGCACCATTCAGAAGGGCTCTGGGTGCGAAGGAGCGTTCGCCGCCCGTTTCTACAACAACGAACGTCGAGTATAGAACCAGACCAAAGTCGAATGGTTCGCCCTCGAGTGTCGTACCGTTCGAAGCCTCGATCGCAGGCTCGTAGGTGAGTCAATGCTCGATAGATCGGTTCACGGGCGCTTCCTCTAGAATGTGGTACCAGTGGGGCTCAAAATTCTATGTCGAGCGCGAAGACGTTGTCTGTTGCGCTGGTGGTAACGTTGGCCTTCTGGTACTCACCGACTCTCTTTTCGAAAAAGTTGGTCTTTCCCTGGAGCGAGATAAGCTCCATCCAGTCGAATGGGTTGGGTGTGTTCCACAAACGATCGTATCCGAGCTCTACCAGCAGGCGGTCTGCGACAAACTCAATGTATGCGCTCATCAGTTGCTGATTCATGCCGATTAGGCTCACTGGCAGTGCGTCGCAGACGAATTCCTTCTCGCATTCGACCGCGTCTCGAATCATAGAGTGGATACGCTCCGCTGGGACGCGCTCTTCTGCAGGCAGCATACTGTAGAGGTGGCAAGCAAAATCACAGTGCAGACCCTCGTCGCGACTGATGAGTTCGTTACTAAAAGTAAGACCCGGCATCAGTCCACGTTTCTTCAACCAAAAGATGGCGCAGAACGAACCGCTGAAGAAGATACCCTCCACCGCCGCGAAGGCGACCAGGCGCTCCTGGAAGCTAGCATCGCTGCCGATCCACCGAATTGCCCAGTATGCTTTGCGCCGTACGCAAGGCATCGTCTCCATCGCACGAAAGAGGTGCGTTCGCTCCTCTGGGTCCTTCACGTAGGCATCGATGAGCAGACTATACGTCTCCGAGTGGATGTTTTCCATAGCGATTTGAAATCCATAAAAGCAGCGAGCTTCAGGAATTTCAACATCGCGCATGAAACGCTCCGCGAGGTTTTCAAGGACGATTCCATCTGAAGCTGCAAAGAACGCCAGCACGTGTGAAACGAAATAGCGCTCAGCCTCCGTGAGACGGTTCCGCCAGTGATCCATATCCGCCGCTAGATCAATCTCTTCTGCTGTCCAAAACGATGCCACGTGCCTCTTATAAAATTCGAAAATCTTCGGATGCTTGATGGGGAAGAGCGTATAACGGTCAGCTTCCTCCGCTTTAAAAATAGCAGGTACGTGAGAACGCACCCTAGTGTCGCCACGCTCGCTGCCGTCAAGCCCGACGATCACTGCGCTCGTGCCGCCTTTCTCTTTGATTTCAGGAGAGAAAGTTTCTCCGAATGCAATATCTTCGAACCCATTTTCGTGAGGAGCTCCAACTCTTTTCGTACCGTGCATTACTTGTGAGTTCATGGACGTCAATTCTCGATCACGCTGCGGAAAGCGCCAAGAAAAAGCCGCAGACATCGTCTTTCGAATTCCTGATCGCATCTGCGCGCGCGCGCCATGCCGCTGCAGACTCGCATCTCGCTCGACTTCCGGTTCGGATTGTCCCATTTGTCGCCTCCATCTCCATGATCGATTTGAGGCGCAGGCCGCTGTCGACACCTGTTGGCGCCGGTGCCCATCGCTGCGCAGCATGTGCTGAACGACGTGACGCGGAAAGCGTGGATGAGCGGGGTATCTGGAGTTCCAACCCGAAGCACGCTTGCGTCGAGGCGGGACCTGATGTGGAAATTTGGCTGCTTGCCCAGATGCCAATGGCAACCACACTCTCGGGGATACGTGGATAGCATATCTGCCTCTACAGAATAAAGAAAGCATCGCTGTATCGGTTCACGCCGCCGCAGCGGGCGGTGGTCGTGCATCCTGCAGCATCCGGTTCGAATCGCCTTCCCAGGGTCACGATGGGCGAGCTTCTTGTGAAGGTACAGATTTCGTTCAGGACAGCCCGAACCTGAGGACAGTATGCATGCACCGCGGCTACGCTTTGGATGCCGACGGTTCAAGGGATAGTGCAGCCACGAGCGGCTGGTAAGTATCGTGGCGTCAGTCTGCGTCTACACCATCGCTGCGCTACCCGAGATGTTCGATACAATTTCGTGCACCTGTTTTCACGGAGAAGGATTGGTCATTCGAACCAGAATCAACCAGGCTGCGCGAATGTTGCAAACAAACAAAGTTGAACCTCGACTGTTCTAAATATACTGTCATGAGCACACACATTTGGTATTGAGTTTCGGAAAGGGAAAGAAGGTCGATCGATCCGGGAATCCTCCAGATGCGCAGCATAGCTGGTTCTGCCTGGTCAGCACAAGCTTCACGGTGTTTCGACAGCGCTTTTAAGCATCGACTTATGGAGAGCGAGAAACTTTCTTCCGGGACACGCTGGGCAGCGCTGCAGCGCACCGCGGGTCGCGAGCGTCGCACGGAATCCAGGCTGCGATGCGCTGAAAATGCTCGTCTCCCGGGATTTTACCGAACACGTCGCAACTGTTACGAGCACCGGAGAGCCGGTCCATAGGGTAGGCCCATATCCCTGCGCCGTAGCACAGCAGCACACATGATAGGCAACCTTGCAATGAACGCGCTCTGTCTCTTGAATAGGCGAATGCGGCTCGCATGGTGCTCTGATTCGAATTCGCAGCGTTGCTTTCTCTCTCGCGCGCGGGTTAGCCAGGCCACTCGCGGATGCACGCAGCACATCGATGAACATGAGCGTGTGTTGCCCCCATACGAGAAGATTGCGTATGCACCGTGTGCTGAAAATACGTCTATCTCCATATCCAGAACAGAGCCTTGTTTAAGACTTCTTCGAAATATTTGAGGAAAATTTCATCCGTAGCGTACGTTTTCTGGATTGAAACTAATTTCGCCGTAAACAAATTCTCGGTTTGAGCCACGTTTTTACGATTACTAAGAAATTTACGGGAAAATTCCAGAGGTAGCATACTGATTCCGGGTTGCAATCATCCGTTCCCACATTGGTTAGTTTTGTTCTGTGCACTTGGCTTGACTGCCACCAGCTCCTAAGCTGCCGATCGCTTTGAAACATCTGCGGGGCACAGCAGAGGAGCCGCGTTCTCCACCAACTTACATCTAAAGCGATCTTGCGTATGGCATTGCAGTACGCTGCGAGTCGCAGATCGCAGTTCATTTCTCTTGCCGTATTCCAAGTCTCTTCGACAGCAGCACATATGGTGTCTTCGAGCCCACTTCGAACAAGTGTAGCCTCGTCGGCACCAGCCTCGAGCTCCTTGAGGTCGCGCTCTTCCAGCTTCATGCCATGCCGTTCCAACACGTTCGCGATCGCTCGCATGGATTTTTCCTCTACGCGGCGCGTCATTCTCCCGAAACGAAGATGACCAAGATTTTTCACCCACTCAAAGTAGGAGACTGTTACGCCTCCGGCGTTCAGAAGCAAATCGGGAATGATGAGCGGGCAGTCGACACCCAGTTTGCGACTCGTTTTGAAATAGCGATCTGCTGCATAGGTGACAGGACCGTTGGCCGCTTCCGCAATGACGGCCGCCTGGATCCGCGATGCATTTCCGCCATGGATGACGCTTTCCAATGCCGCGGGAATGAGAATATCGCATTCGAGTTCAAGCGCCTGGCAAGGATCCCCCGGAACGTACTCCACCTGGCCCTGGCCAACGTTCAGAGGACCCTCGTAGCCGCGCAAGTGGCCGTGCATCGCGAAATGTCGCTTCACGTCAGTCGGATCGAGGCCATTCGGCGATCGGGAGACGAGGAATCCGTCACGCTCTGCGATCGCCACGATTCGGGCACGGCCTAGCTCGCACATGAAACGCGAGCTCCAGTACCCGACGTTTCCCAGACCCTGGACCACGACATCTTTTCCCTCAATTCCTGGTCCTTTCCGGATACCGTATCGTTCGACCACATCTGTGCGGGCGAGGAACTCACGGATTCCGAAGAAAACACCGAGGCCCGTGGCGTTATCGCGGCCGCGGATTCCGCCCAAGTTTATTGGCTTCCCGGTGACGCAGGCAATACGATCAATATCATTCGGATTGAATGCCTCGTAGGTGTCCTTCATCCAGCCCATTTCCCTCGGCCCGGTTCCATAGTCGGGCGCTGGAACGTCGACCGCGGGCCCAATTGCGTTGCGCTTGATAAGTTCCACTGTGAAGCGACGCGTGATGCGCTCCAGTTCCATGTCATCGTATTTGGTTCGATCGATGACGACGCCGCCTTTGGCGCCACCGAACGGAACATCTACCGTTGCGCACTTGAAAGTCATTAACGCAGCCAGCGCCTTCACCTCATCTTCCGACACGCGCACGTCATACCGAATTCCGCCTTTTGTAGGCAAACGATGATGCGAGTGCTGGGCTCGATACCCTCTGATCAGTTCAATCTGTCCGTTTGTGCGTAGAATAGGAAACGTGAACTCAAGCAGGTTGTTGCATTCCTTGATATGTCCCAAGAGGGCCGGCGATACCGTGGTAAGCTTCGCGGCTTCATCGAAAAACAAGTCCACAGACTCCAGAAAAGTCAACTCGCGCGTCGGTGTCTTTGGCAGTGGAGCCGCCGCTGTCTCGCTCAGCAGTGCATCCAGAGCAGCGGCGGCTGCTTTCGCTGCCGAAGCCGGCGGGTCGTTCGCTACCGACAGCGGCTGTTTCGTTGGAGACGGCGGCGCGTTCAACGCGTCATAGTGTACGTTGAGGGCGTGCGGAAACTCTAGCGATGTTTCGTCGTCACTTGGTTGTTTGACTCCCGTTTCTTTGTCAGTATCACTACTAAAGCGACGAATTGTACCGCGTGAACCTTCGCGAGAGATCTGCGGCGCTGCAGCGCTCGACTTGGCGAGGTATGCCCCGGCCGGAAACCTGGTACCCGTTGTAGACAGCACCCCAAACAAACGGTTTCCGGTCACGATGGACCACATCGTTCGGCGATGCTCAGGGAAACGCTTCCAGTCTACTGTATAAAGGAAAGCGAATTTCGGAATACCTGTATCAGGAAGACCTTTTTGTTTTCGTTTTGTTTGTCTCGCAGGTATCCAGTATCAGAAATGTGTGCGTTGTATTGGACAGCCGTGGAGGAGAGGCTTTCAGCTGCCACTGGGAGCTTGAACAATACGGTCTAAAGTGTACAAGTCAGTTCTGCTACCGGAAGCAGGTGGATGAACCACGCCTGTCGAATACTACATCTTGAGCGTCTTGCATCGGAAACAGAACGTATCTATCTATATCAACAAGAATTTCTTCTTGCCCATGAATTCCATTGCATATATTCTATTAGAAACGCTAGCAAAAAATCACAGGTTGTGAAAATTCTGCACCTTTGATACGAATGGTAATGAGGAGCGGCGGATAGACAAAGAACCCACGATTCTCTTGGAGGCCGTCGATGTTCACGAACATCCCATCAGTTTTGTTGTGAACCAGGAACGTGCATCGTAGGAGGAATGAGTTTCCGTCCCACTCAATAAGACTTCTTTTGGGTGAATCGTAAACCTGCATGTATGCTTTCATGCATGGTTAACCATAAGTCGAAGGTAGGAGTAATCGAAAAGGATGACAAGATCAGACCAGGAAATGATTCAGCTGTGCGGCGGCCCGGAAAAATCGCGAGACGGACGAGGTCGCTCGACGATTCATCCTTTGCGGAAATGATTGATGACTTCCCCTTCCCATGTTTCTCTATCCTCTTGCAGCACAAGGTTACTGCCCATCATTGATAAGCGGTCAAGGGGTTCGCCGCTGTGATTGGTGTTAAGCTGCGCTTCGAACCAACCTATGGTGCATGGTCAAGTCGTGCGCAAGACGCCTTCGTTGTCGTCAAAAGCGACTTTTTCGCGGGCTGATCAATAGATAGCTGGTTCAAATCATTTGCGCCGAAGCTATTTGACAGATCGGTTCTCAACAAGTAGTTCTCTAACTTCACTAGACAATGATAGTTGCGCTGCTCCTCTGCTCGTGCGCAGGATCGAGCAGAAAAGCGCATTCCATCCGTGGGCGTGCTCGCCACGGAGGAGGAGACGAAAAGTACTTTCGCAATAGATGACTGTTCCATACGCAGCAAAGGCGACCTCTAATCTTACCGTCTACCCAGTGCCTGTGCATCCCCTGGAAAAAACTGATATAGAGCCTAGCGACAAAAAGAATGCGACGCCAAGGGTAAACAAGAAAGCGAACCAAAGGGAAGGAGAAGGAATCACCACAAAATAGAGAGAAGCATCGTCCTGCAAATAGCCCGGACTGGGACAGAAGAGAGTAATCTTCGTCCACGAGAGACTAGTTTGAATACACTTTAATGGTCATCTGAAAAAATTCATCAACGGGGAGCATATTCGACAGTATACAATGGAGGCGACCATTCGGAATCGAGTAAATTCTCATTCTATAACGGATCACATAGCTTCCTTCGCCCTGACGTATCCAGGAAAGCAACTGTTCGAAAGCGCTGTGTACACAGGGCGGGCAATGTCCAGATTCTCCCGATACTTTTCGAATAAAAATTCATTCGACAGCACAAGTGATACTCCGTCCAGCAGATGCATTACAGCCTGAGCGCAGGATTCGGGACTTGTACATCCGCGTCCCCGACTTCTCTGACACGCCGGCGACCGGAGCACCTTCATCGCAGGTGCCGAAAGGTATCAGACCAACCGCAAACATCAAATGCGAGTCAGTATCAAGCGCTCCGCGAGAAATACCTTGAGGCTGTTCTAGCCTCGCTTGCCCCGAAAATTGGGGACTGTATTAAAATATTCGTGGTGTGTCCATGATGGCAAATGGAGAGCTTGAGGCGGATGCGCTTGTGTCGGTAGCGAGTCCAGAAGCGATGTCGCACCGAGAACGAGACGGGCTGTAGAGCGTCCAAGCTCATGGAGTTGCTCTCGGCCTGGGAGCAATGGACGTCACATCCAATGCATGGACGGAACGTGATGAGTTCCTCGCTTTCAGTTTACGCTACGTGGTTTCCCTGACCAGAACTCTCCAATGCAAAGCAGAATTTCTCCTCGGATCTGAGCACGCCCTCTGCTTCCAAAAGCTCCTACTGGATGTGACCCCTGTGTGTCAAGCCATATTCCGTAATCGTAGCTACCTGTTTACTCTGTGTTACCACCTACTCAGTGGTCTGCGGGCAGTCGTTGCGAGCAACCACGAAACATTCGTACGAATTCGCCAGCATCACTGGCGGAGCTCGTTCAATGTTCCACATTTGAAGCGAAGCAATGAACAGAAGTGAACAGATACCATGAAGAGTGTCGAGATATCAATATGCATGCACTTTCTGACACCCAGGGCTGAGTCGCGCATCGATTTCCATTTTCAACAGTTCAAGTTTCGTGAGGCGAAGGGCTATGTGGTGCGCGTGGATCCACGTTTGAAGAATCTCACTTCTGTGCCCGCATATGCGAGTCAAGAAGACAGAGTCAATGACCTGAATGGGAAATACATGAGGTTACCCAGTTTCTCAAAGGCTCAGTATCATTGAGAATCGGGTACGATGGACGCCAGGCGGCACACAGGCAAATGGAGTGACGGCATCATGATGCATTGCGACGCTGTGTGCAATGTATCGAGCGGCGTGGGATACTTTTGAGGTCCCACGGAGAGAGAATATGAACCTCCAAATAGCTGACGGGAATGATCGTCGATAGGCGTGCATGACTCCGCACCTGACTCGCCAACAGTTTCGATTCCACGGACGCAAAATCGTGCATTCACGAACTAGCTCAGTGAGTTGGAATATGTGGGAAATGACCGATAAGCTGCGTTGTTTGGTTGTAGCCGACAACTGTTAAAGTGCGTGAATGCTTCGATCAACATCTGGCAATGTTTTTTGTACATGGAGAATCCAGCGGCTTTCCGTCGATCGAGCTTTCGAGGAAATCGTTCCATAGTCAAGTTGGGCTCTGCGCTGAAATCCCGAGGATTTCCGATGAGTACAAACTGCTAGCCATGAGAAGAGGTCGTGTATCCTTGGTTGCGTCTATGCACGATTGCGGCGCAGCGATCCAGCAAGGCTGCAACGCCCTATGCAAATGCCTAGAAGATTTTCCTGAAGATTTCATGAACAATAACAGTATTCCATTGTTCGAAACTACTGAGCATATCTTTACGTCTGTGAACACTATCTACCAACTAGTTTCGATCTCGTGCGTCGCTGGCAGGAGCACACCCGCGTCGTCGTTTCCAAATGTGCGCACACCGCCTCGGTGGCGGCATCGTACCAGCCAGAGCTCACGGAATCGAGTACTTTCCAGACCCGAAGACCGCTTTATTTAAAAGCACCATAATCTCCCTCTTGCGTGTCTAATTCTCATCTTCAGCGTTTCGCGCCATCTGGTCATTCGCACCAGCATGCCTTGTGGTTCGCACAAACTTGTGCAATGTGCATGCACCTCGACGGATCCGATGGAACACAGAGCGAATCGTACGCATGGCGAACAAAGCAGATGCGCGAACGGTCCCGAACTCCAGCCAGCGTTGGCAGTTCCAGTTGGAGCCCTTGATGCGTGCGGCTTTGGGGCTTGCCGAGACACACACACACACACACACACACGATGTGGATCACACCTGCATTCTCGGTCGTCGCTAAGAATGCAATGAGTCCACGAACAACGTTGCCTCCGTAGAATACGCAGTCTTCGGCGTCCTTCATTGGAAAGATAATCTTGCCGGTTTGGGAGCGTGCATACGATGCATGAGTAAGCGCGGTGCTCGTTGTTTCCATCATGAGATTGCTGTGTCGACTACAAGCCTCGCATAGATCGGTGCAACGCATCCTTTCGCGTGTGCCGCCGGATTCGCGGATCTCATACGGCTCGGTGACCCCGGTGAATTACATGTCATAGATATTTGGATACGGCAGCCGCCTCGCACGAAATCCTCGTCTGCCCGGAATCATGCCGCTTCGCTTAGAATTCCTTTTCTAAAACCCCATTAGGGTCTTCGCCCTTACTTCGCTGCGGCCGCTTTCGCAGCTGCTCCCACACTGCGCGCGATTCGATCATCGTTGGTTAAATCGACGCGACGCTCGTGCAGTCCGAGTTCAAGATACTCCTCGTACATTTCCTGCAGATCATTTTGCAGCGTGCGGTCGTGACGCGGCTGCCAAGCGAGCAAACGCATCGCTTTGCCAGGATCTGCGATAAATGGATACGAAACCCGGAACGGTAGACCTGTTGCCTCCTTGGGGTCAATGCCAAGCTTCACCGGATCGTAATAGATGATCTCCGGTTTCGACTTGTCGCCGTGAACGACGCGGTGACACATCTCTGCGAGTCCCTTGAGCGTCACATACCGCGGCGACACTGCGTTGAATACTTGGCCAGACACCTCGTCCGGTCGCGCTAGTACAGCACAAGCAAGCATGCTGGCAACATCCTCAGCATGCGTCAGACTGACAAATGCATTGCCTTTTCCGGGTAAAGGTATGGGTCGTTTCCTCGTGATTCGGTCGAGGAAGAAATTTGTATAGTCAAGTTTCGCCGCGTGTTTGCCAATGATATACATCGGACGAAAGGCTGCAAATGGGATCACACTGTCCCGCAAAAAACGTGATTCCACCTGCGCCTGACCCGCGCTTTGCCTCACCTGGTCTGTCTCGATGAATGGCGCGTAGTCACCCGGCTCGTAGATGCCGCAGGAGCTCACGTAGAGATACCGTTCCGCGTTGAGTCCCATGGCAAATTTATGCAGCAGAAGGGCCTCATCCAACGTCTGCGATCGATTATCTATGAAGGCTGCGATTGGTCCCGCCGATGGGCGGCGTGTCTGGACCATATTCATGAGTATCGAGGGATCGTCGGCGTCACCGAACGAGATATGGAAAGACGCTGCGTGGGGTTCCGCTTCGCGAAGACCCAAGAGGGCGCTGTTCGGCTGCTTGGAGCGGTATTTGTCTTCTTGGCCCGCCACAAGCAGATACACTTCTAAATCAAGAGATAACAGCTGCCGCGCGAGGTAGAGACCGATGGAGGCGTGTCCACCCGACGGAGGATTCACGATTATCGCTGCGCTCCGGCACTGGAGGCCCTGGATTCCATGACGCTGCCCCATGCTCCTCAGCGCTTGCCGTCGACCAAGTGGATGTGCCCCCGAGAACTCAGATGCACGAGCTCCAACAAGCGGAAACCCGGCGAACGCGTGCAAGCGCCGGGTTCGCAGCGAGCTCGCCCGTGAATTAGCCACCGAGCTGCGCTGCATCTTGGTGCCGGAGAAGCCGATCGAAATTGCGAAAGCCATGTCAAGTTTGCGTATCACTCGGTGCTAAGTTTCTACAAAAAGTCTCTTTTCAAGCTCAGGTTTCCTCGAACCTGTTTGTTCAAGCAAACGATGCACGGCTCACAGCACCTGAGCTGCAAACCTGGAATCCGCAATATTGCGTTGGCACGCGACGAGCGTTCATGGCGACGGCTCGGCACGCCGGCATCGGCGCCACCTGGGCAGTGGACAACGTTCCGGCCTCAGCGGATGTATCGCATGCCGCAGGCGGTATGCCGTTCTCGATGCACCTGCATCGATGCGAATGACTAGATTCCATTCGATGCGGGATTGCAGTTGCCATCTACGCCGATATCGGAATGAGACAGATGTAGCGCTTTCCCTGAAATCGGGCATCCACGTGCTAAAGTTTGGGTATCTTCCGATTGACATGAACCGTAGCCCTTGCACGCATGCGCTGCAAGGGCTACGGTTCATGTCAATCGGAAGATACCCAAACTTTAGCGCTTGCGCGGAGATAGTCTAGTGGAGACGTTCGACTCTCTTCTGACATGGGCATAAGATACCCGATTCGCGGTCACCTCAATCGCCACCGATAGACATACAAGTGCTCCGCTCGGTCTCGCGCACGTCGACAAGGATGCACAGCCTCGACACACGCGTGCGATGTGCGATCCACAGGCTGCAAGCGCGCCGGTGAGCGCTCCAAGCGAGCGAACCTTGGTTTGGACCTGTGTCCGCTGTTCGCTTCCATGGGCAGAAAGCGGCGTCTCGAGAGCGGCTTTACGAGAGTTTTGAATCCAAAGGATGAGCGGATTATTCAGAAGGAAAAATCTAAAGAAAAGCTGGCACCACTTGTTCAGCGACCTCGCGATGAGGAGCGCCTGGGCGCAGTGCCTCCAGAGCTGTTCTTTCAGTACAACACGGCGCTCGGGCCACCCTTTCGAGTGCTTATCGACACAAACTTCATCAATTTTTCTATTCAGAACCGAATCGATCTTCAAAAGGGTCTAATGGATTGCCTGTTTGCCCCCGCGAAAGCTTGTGTGACGGACTGTGTTGTTGCAGAACTCGAGAAGCTCGGACGCAAGTACCGCGTAGCACTGCGTATTGTCAGAGACGCTTCGCTGGTGCAGCGCCTCAAGTGCACACACAAAGGGACTTATGCAGATGATTGCATAGTTGAGCGGGTTATGGCCCATCGTGTATTCATCGTCGCCACCTGCGATCGGGATTTGCGGCGACGGTTGCGGAAAATTCCCGGTGTGCCTATTATGTACATCGCGCAGCACAAGTACACCGTGGAACGAATGCCGGATGCGTTTATGGCCCCGCGGGTGTAATGCGCAAACGTAACCCCGAGCGAATACGTTTTCGTGGCATGCGACTCTCCGGTTCATTGCAGTCGGCAGAGTCGTGGTGAAGCGGAATAGCTTCCAACAGGGATTTCGTGAGCATTTTCGCCTTAGCTTAGCAGAATGCGCCACGATTTGGGACAAGAACTTTGGGACATGGCGCCTTCAACCCGTATGGAACGCATGCGTCGGGGATATCGATCCTGGACTGCCCCTGGCCTTCTCGGGGAACTTGTGAAATCGCGTTACGTTCGCAGAGGCCCAGGTGGAGAGGCGGGGCACTATATCGTGTTGAGCACACTCGCCTGCAGGTCTGCGAAGCGCTCACATGTTGCAATGAACGCGTTTCCTCTGCGACCTCGCTTCGAGTTGTACTAGTGACATGATACTTGCTGACACGGCCTACGGAGAAACCGCCTCTAATGTCGCGTTTCACTAGGGCACGAATCGCTGCGTGAGACGCTGGACTCGCAGATAAACATGGCATCTGTAAATTCCAAAGCAGTATTTGAGTCTCCGCAGATTTCATCAGGACGTCCGCTTTGGAATGTCTGCGTACATTCCGAGCGATCAAAGAGTCCTGCCCCATATCATTTTCAGCATTCCATGAAATACGATTCGAGCTCTTCATGGCTCTCTGGGGAAAAAATCAAAGCGTATCGGTTTCAGCGGATACCCGACGCGGATACAAGTCCATCGTGAGCACAGACGCTCCGTCTGAAGCGGCTTACGTACACGACGTCAAATGTGCAAGAAAGATATTGTTCCAGAACAGGTCGCATTCGTCTTGAGCAGGAGCTTTTGTTTTAAAGCATCTTGTACAGTATCTCGGTTGGTCCAATATGCAGCGAGTGTCCAGCGTTGCTTGCTATGGTGGCGCGAACAAGTCCGAACCCGCTCTCCCTCACTCGCACCAACTTCACCTCTACCACAACTCCGTGATCGACTACAGCTGCGGGGAGGTCTCGCGGCCACTTGAAGCCACTGATTCGAGCCACGACGCTCGTTCCGGAGACGCGCTGCGAGCTCGCGTGGAGCAGAGCGAGCCCACTTTGCCCCATGGCCTCGAGAATAAAAGCACCGACCGACGCAACAGGAAAATCCCCCGGAATTGGGGCAACGCTCTGGGCAACGAGATGATTTCGGGGCTCTAGACGAAGAATTTTCGCGAGCACTCTCCACGGCGGCCGCTGAAAGAGCAGCCCATCTACATCCCTCAGCACAGTTCGCACGTCTGAGGCGTGCATAGAGTCAGCTCTGGAGCCAACGCCTCGCCTTGCCGAGGCCTGCTTCCGCTGACCGGCGGTCGGGCAGCCCTAGACGCCCGCGAGCGAATCCCTAGAAGCGTAAACGCTCTAGGCAGCTTTCAAAACTACCAGAGGCGCAAGCGCCCCAGTGGCTCCACGTTTACTCGAGAAGACTGTCGCGTTTCCGTTGCAGCAGGCGCTGAAAATGCCAGCCAAAAGCATTGATGGTAGAAGCCCTCCCCCCAAAACAATGAATTCCTGAGCACAGAGACGAGTATGAATCAACGATGATTTTCGCTGGTTGCGGCGGAACTTTGTCGTTCCTGTGAGAAAAAAAGCAAATATGGAATCGTCGGTGTCTAACGACGTGCCCAAAGTTGCGCTGATGTGGCGAAAACAATGGAGGTTACCATCGGCAATCCTTGACCTAAGGTCTACGCATGCGTCTGTTTGGATAGCGCTTTTCATTGGCCAGGCTGTCCACGGGGTGCATCCGTGTTTCGTGCGCTCATGGAGTAGCACCGCATGCTACGGACTTTTCCGTCAGAGGCGGAATGATCCTCGATGGTATCCTGTCAATTGCGGAGGCTGTTAAAAGCTGGACGGTCTTCTCTGGGTACAGACGCCGAATGCGATGCTCTATCACTCGTGCGCAAGCTGTCTCTCCAGTATATCTGCTTGCATGCTGCCCCAGTAACTGCCGATATACCATTTAGAATCACATGAACACCCGTGCTCGAAGAGCACTGAATCCCTTCTGCATTCGAGCCCAGAGCGCGGGGTTGCGAACCGCGCCACAGATACCCGACCTGCTCGCTCATGAGACGACGTGCGATGCACGCTCATTCCGAGCGAAAGCTTACTCGTCTGTGTGCGTTAAGACGGCCATCGCCACCTCCAGACGGCACGCACACCGACTGGAATCGGCATAAGTTAGCGCACACCACGCTGGCTCCCTCGAGTGTCTCAGACTCCAACAGGACCGATCACTATTCTCCAAATAAACCGTTTCAGAGGCTCATGACCAAGTCATGAGCGGCGCTAGAATTGTAGCCCCAACCGAGGTGCTTTCTGGGGACGTGCAGGATACGCAACGCCAAGCAGATCACTTGCCTTCTCCGCACGATAAGCGCGCAATCGTCCTCTTCTGTGCTTGGTCACCAGCAATGTCGGGTGCGTATGCAGAACCTGCGGTGCGAGCGCCTTCGAATAGCGATTTGTCTGCAGCCAATCTTGACAAGTACGGGCATCCATTCGCGCATGAAGCTTCAAGACAGCGACATTCAGCAAGCTTAAAACGAGTCGTCTCGAACGTTTGCTGCTGGGCCTACGTAACGAAATGCCGTGCGGGGTCGTCATTCGCCCGTTGGAGCCACGCATTGTCCCAAGCTAGGGCACAAACTGCGATCGCGTCGACGCTTCAGCAATACCCTCGGCACTTTACAGACACTTTCGCAAGACACTTCACGCGCGCGCACAGGCAGACTAGTCTCGAGTGCTGGTACCAACAACGCCCCCAAAGCCCGGCTTCCTGGTTTTCAAGCAGCCTCCCGTCCGGCTACATATGCTTCCAGAGAACGCACTTCTTGTGCTGTTGCACCATTAATTAAAAAGTGGCCGGCCCAACGATCACGGATTAGGGTTCGTGCCAGCTCCAGGTCGCCCACATGACTCGTAACCTCTAGAAAGCGAGCGTAGAAGCGGCCATCTATTGGTGCCCCTAGAGGCCGCAAACGATTCCATACTTGAGACAGGAATCGAAACTGCTTTTGCTGGTCGACGAGACAGACACAAGTCAAATCTTGAAAAGTCTGCTCGTTCACGCCTGGACTCTTCTCGATAAGTTCATCGAGTGCCGATAGCGCGAGATCGTCTCGACCACTAAGCATCGCTGCTTCTATGAGCGCGTTATAGACCTCGGTTCGAACAGTGTAATACTTGGTCTTCACCAGTGAAAAAATCTGATAAGCGCTGTCAACATCTGCTCGCAGACCATTCGCTCGAATAAGCAGCGTGTATATGACCTGATCGGGCACAAAAGACGGATCCTCGCGCATCACTCGAAGAAAGACGCTGAGCGCAAGCGCCGGCTCTCGTGCCTGCAGACAAGCGCTCATCTGCGCTGAAACGGTTCGAACGTTCTCATGAACCCCATCATTACGCATTTCCTTCGCGAGGCGCAGGGCACTCCAGAGGCGACCACTATCACCGTAACCGCTGATCATCATCGAATAGATTTGCAAAGGCAACGGCCGTGGCATGCGTTCTACGATTTTCTCTGCCAGATCAAAGCGGCCGGCTTGTATGCAAACCTTCACAAGCTGCGTATTGGTGTAGCCATCCGGCATGGTACCATGCTGTCGCATTGTATCCGCGAGCTTAAGCGCCTTTTTCCAATCATTTGCTCGCACATAGCCTTCGAGAAGACAGTTGAAGAGGTGACTGTCCGGCTCCAGGCGTTTCTTGTACAATATATCGTTCAAAACTTCCTCTGCTTTTTCGAGCTTGTTAGCGGTCACGTAGCCTTTGACTAAAGTGGTATAGGTCACAAGCGACGGCGCGCAGCCCGCTGCACGCATCTGGTCAAGTACCAGCTGCATTGCCTCCACGCGACCGCGCCTCGCATGAGACTTGAGGAGGATGTTATAGCTGACTTCATTCGGTGCAATGCCCTGAGCATCAACCATCTCCCCGAACACTTGATGAGCTTTGTCAACGTCCCCAGCGGCCACGCATGCATTCATTACCGCATTATAGGTGCGTAGCGACGGGCACAATGCCAGGTTGTCGCTCTGCTCCTCGTTGTTTAATGTTCGGCACCGAGCTTGCAGCTCGTTGAGTATTTCGACAGCCTTGTCGGCCTGACGAAGGCGACCGTATGCCACAATCAGCGTCGTGTAGCATTCGATATTCGGAGAGCCCAAAACCAAAGGCTCCAGTTCATGGAAAATGCGAATTGCAACATCCGGCTTCTTCCGCCTAATGCATGCCATCATTAGGGTATTCAGCTGGCCGTTCTCAATCGGAGTTTGCGCCTCTCGCAGCGCACGAATATCTCTCCAAAGACGCTTGTAGTCGCCCGTTTCACGGAATTCGACCAAAGCGTCTTCGTAGCTGACTGCGTGTGTATCGGGATCGCCCAGGGTGGCGGCCCCCTCCACAGGCGCCACTGGGGCATCGGATTCCGCGAGCTTCGACACCCTGCCCCTGTGAGATATCCCATGCTCTGAACACGCTCGCAACGTTTTAGCATGCAGCTGAGTCACTTCTAAAAACAATCTATTATCAGTTACGTTACTGAAAGTTAGAAACGCTCGTTCAGAAACAGAAAGTCTCTGGCGTACGTCACTATGCGCGTACCGAACTCCCTGTCCGTACAAGATGCTGAAGGTGTAACAGCGAGACTTCACGTTTATCGTCGTTTGTCGTCGTTCGTTGCCTAGCTCTTTCTTCGACAATAAACGGAATAATGCTTGCGATGGTACAGTAATAAAGGAGCTTTCGAGGCCACGAACTTGGTGGTGACTCGGTTCGTGGCACTTGCAGGCCGCCTCCATCACAAGGTCAGAGGATGCTGAACTTGACAATTCCTTTCGCATTGCTAATTCATTTTATCAGCTCCAGAGTGCTGTCGCACGTCAGACCTCTTTCTGCTTCCAGTAAACAGACACAATCAAACAAGGACCCGTGACAAGGTGTACAGCGTGAATCCGCGACTCCTTTCACCTTTGCAGCTCCAAATGAAGTTGCGAAGTATGGCGCGGAAAAGGCGCGCGCTGTGGACGACGCCCCCACCACCCCATGCTGGCTGGGACAGCGTGCAGGCCACCGCATCAATATCCTGGAAAACTGTTCTGTTTCCAGCTACGAAGCGAACCCAGCGAAACGATGCTGGTTAAAGTCAAGACTTTAACAGGCAAGGAGGTCGAGTTAGATATTGAACCGCATGACCCTATACAGAGGATCAAGGAGCGCATAGAGGAAAAGGAAGGCATACCGCCGCAGCAGCAACGATTGATCTTTGGAGGAAAACAGCTCGCCGACGATCGTTCCGCAAGAGAGTATAACATAGAGGGAGGCTCGGTCCTTCATCTGGTTCTGGCGCTCCGTGGCGGTCACGTTTGCTAGGCTCGTCAGCTGATCGCTTTTGTGGAACCTACTTGACAGGGATTCGATGAGTAACCGTTGGTTTCACGGAGTAACCCGAGTTGCCGCAGCACAATGCAGCAACGCGTCCTTCAGTCGTCGCTGGCGGAAGACGCGAGCGTATGCCTGTAAGTCTTGGTCCTAGGATATTGGCAAAAGGTTTCAAGGCACCAGCTCTGTGTGACATCTAATGTTTGGAAAACGGGCAGGTGGCACTCGTCCGACATAGAACCTGGCGCACGATGGCTCGAAGTAAGGTCTGCCTGTGGCAGGAGTTGACGTTCAGTGGTATTGAATGATGGAACACCATTATTGCTCAGGAATTGCCCAGAGAAATCGTTGCTGTTGTGTATAGAAGGTGCTCTAGCATTGGTGGATCGCCCGGCCGTGCGCTACCACTGCACTACCCGAGGCAAGTCTTTCTCCGTTCCTCTCCTGGCAACTGGTTTTTTTGGTTAGATACCTTCAGTGTTTCAGCACAATGCGTACGCTGAGTACGAAACCATTTTCTCGAGAAATCGCTTGACTCAAAGCCGCTGGACGCTTGGGAAGCACGATACATTACCGGTTGCTGATCAGGGCATGCGAGTCTGGTTGCAAAAAGTTCTTGCGCGCATGGTTACAGGTTGATTTACAACATAGCAAGCCATTCGCTTTCCTATTCCTTGCCATATGACTTTTGCTTAGCTTTCTGGAAACCATCTAGCGCGTCGCTCTGTATTGCAGTTTCCTTTTCTCTGGCATTTTCCGACGTGCACCTGTGCTCGTGGTGCATGAATGTCGCCGTCAACGCATTGATGGGAATCCTACAGCATCGATTCCTGCACTCGCTGTATGCTTCCGTCGCGGGGTCGCCGGAATACAGCGACCGCACGCTACAGCACGTCTAGCGCCATAGGCTACCATCAAACGACGCAGCTTATCGGTCATTTCCGTCTCCAACTGACCAAACAAGTTGTCGAATGCACGCTTATTGCATTTGTACATCCGAGACCGTTTGCAACCTCAGCGCAGTCTCATGCACGCCCATCAAAGATCGTTTCTGTGTGCCAGTCAGGCGCTCATTTTCTCTCTGAACGAAGCGTACAAAGTATCTCTCCCCGACTGATGCGGTGCTCCGAAAGTCGAGCTGCGTCCTGGCCCAGACATTTCATTCGCTGATATCCCTTCTGAAGTCCATCATGCCTGGTTCTTGTTGCTATCCAGCTCGGGGAAAGTTGAGCAGCTTCATCAGCTTTATGCTTAGGCAGCAGGCACTAGCCTTGTGATTCAAAGCTTTGACGACGGCCATGGATTTCTTCTATTCGAGATTTCCGCCCGTTACATGCCTCTCTTTTCAACTACTGTAAACGGATAAGAATGCATCTCGTTGCTCGATTCGGGCATAGTTCTACAAAATTGCATGCAGATCGATATTCCATCGGTCTCCATAGAACCTGTAAACCTCTCTGTGTTCCCTTCCTGTAAACCAGAAAAATTGAACGAGCACCCTGTGTGCTCTTCTTGACACCGGCTGAGTGCTCGTATTTGCTCACAGGCACCAGCCACGGCTCACTGAGGACGCCATTTGGTACCGAACAGAAGCGCCCACGGTTATCTAATGGTCCTGATGCCACGTACAGGGACCATGTCGAAAAGCAGCTCGAGACGGGCGGGGCATTCGGGTTCCATGAGGAAGTCTGCTTTGCACTGCAGGGCTGCGTTCATGAAAACCATGTAGCGAAGTATACATGCAAAGAAGACATCGTGTATCGTCCATCCGTTGAATACGACGTGCATTGCTCCGAGGCCGAGGGTAACATCCTGAGCTTGGACCATATGAAGAGAGCCTCGTTTTCGTGGAACTGTTGCTTCTGAACTCGGTAACAACGCATGCACTCCCGCGAAGCCCTATTCGTCATTTGCCTCCATAGACGCCCGAAGAATGCGTTGGATCAGTCACCATCTTTCTGGTTCAGTGAGGTATGGGTACTTCATTCACAGGTTGCGCATCATGAGGCGCTCGACAGCGACCCGCATACGGTTTTCGTTTTGGCGGTTCGTTTGATACTCCCTGGCGCCGGCGCTGTCTCGATGTTCCCGTCGTCGACGTCGTGCGGCGACGTGTCAAAATCTATTGGAAAGCGTTCGTGCTCTTCACTGAGTATACACTCTCGTCTTACTGCATCTTATGCCCGGGGACACAGTTATGTTGTCGCGCGAAAGGTTCGATTGAAAAATCTTATAGTAATATGGACAGCTGGCAGCCCTGTGTCCAGAACTCGTGCGAACAGTTTCTTAACGAGCTGTTTAAAGGCGAGGTAAGCTAGGCGAGGCTTTCTCGAGTACGGATCGACGCAATCCCCAATGACGCCCTGCATGTTGCGTTTCTGAGACCTTGGCCCCGTTGACGTGTTTTACTAGGAGCGCTTTGACAAGTTTCCAGACTGGTATTTCTGCTCCGACTCGTTCTACTTACTGTACATGCACGTTTCCTTTGGAAGGATCTTTCTTTTCTACGTCCGGCGGTCTCTTCTCCTTCTCGTGTACGGTCTAGGATTGCATGAAGATGGCCGCTATACGCCATTCCATTTTCCCTCAGGATTCTGACGCATCATACTGATGATTTGACCGAGATTCCTTTTCAGTATGTCTGTCTACTACTCATTGAGTACCTTTTCGTTACCGTCTCCATTGCGCGACCCCCATGGCCTGAATCTCATCTTTCCGCTCTCATCCGTGCACGAGCTGAGGAGGAGCGGATGGATTCAGGGCTGATGAACGTAGAGACCGACTTATCGAAGAAATTCCGTGTCAGAAGCGCGAAGGACTCTGCTATTTATCAATACGCGTCGAATGACTTTTGGCAACAGAGACGATACGCTCAAAGAGAGCTGGGCAGGGAAAACTGGCCGACACGGAGAGCATCTCAATATTCCTTTCAGCTTCGTACTCCACAGCTGTATTTGAGCAATCGAATGCGACGTGGTTTACAAGCAAGGCAGAGGAATGCGGAACGGAGGAGCCACATCGTGCGTCCACGAAGTATGCGCTGCTGAAGGATCCTATCTGTTCAGCGATTCGCAGGCGATCATATGACTGAATCGCCGCTAGGCGGGATGTTGTTGTTCTGCTCGCCTGTCTCTTCTTTACGAACAGCCGTTCGCCTCGCTTAGCGTACCCATATACTGGTCTACAGTTTTCCACGAGTGAAATCTCATCGAGTGCGACGAACACCCTTCCCTCTTGATCTAAGTGCTCGCATTTCAGCGCGAAATCGATGTGTGTTGTTTAACGCGCAAAGGTCTCCTAAACAAGTGTGCATTTTCTTTGTCCACCGGTGTCTCGTCATCAAAGCACATATCAATGATAGGGAAACTTCGGAAGCTATGGATTCTTTCGAAGTGTTTCCAAGGGAACGCATGGAGTGGGATGGATTGACTAGAGGATCGTCTTGTCGTCGACATAGTTTGATCCGTACTGTTTTGGGCGCATGATGTTCCGCATAAACACAAAGACAAAGTTCGTCCATCCCCCTGCTAAAAAATAGCATTGTCCACGCGTACGAGTCAGGTCTTTCTTCGCAATCTCGCAGTGACTTCAAAAACATATTCCACAACCTTTCTCCAATCTGCAGAACACATCCCTTTTGCTGAATACGCGGTAGAGAACAAAAAAATAAAAAGGCCGTGCCTATACACGTATTCTAGAATGCGCTGCTCTGAGAATAACGCGCATCCAGATCATCTGCTTGCGTCGGAAAACCATACACGCCAACCGGTCAGTGTGCGCGCCATCCATCGTACCTTGCATGACTTTTCATGTGCCAAGGTTGCACGCTATCCAACGGTTGATGCTCGCAGTCCGACCGGCGTCGTGGCGCACTACGCGGAACTTTATCCTCGAGTCTCAGTGCGCTTCTGTTCAAATACTCGCACGAGCGTATCCACCCAGGCCTCTAAACCCGGATCAGACGGTGCGTACACCTCGCTGAATCCGACCTCTTTCGCTGCATCTGCTGAGGTCTTTCCGATGCACACAGCTGGCTGCTTGGTTCCAACCCGCTGGGCCCAAACCTTTACAGCTGAAGGCGAAGCCAATGTGACAAGGTCGACACTGTTTCGTGCAGTGTCAATGTCCTCTGTTGTCCATTTCGCCTCGATGGTATCGTACATATCTATGCGAATGAATTCTACCGCGGGAACTCGCGAGCGGAGACGTTTCTCAATTTCATCGCTCGCGCTCGCAGAGGTCGGATACAGAATACGCACCTTGGGCAACTTCTCAACGGGTAACTCGTCGCCTAAACATGCACCAATCGCACGCGATGGTATGAAGTTCGCTTGCAAGGAATATTTCAAAAGCGCCGTATTCGTAGCTGCACCCACAGACGCTATCGGTGGCAGCCGTTGAAGTCCACGCTCCTGTGCAGACCGGACGACCTGGGCGAAAACTTCAGCCGCGGTCGGTGACGTTATGAGAATCCAGTCTATGGAATCGGCGTCGGATGCCAGCAGCTGAACGATGCGGTCTGCATCTGTCCGAACCTTATGAGCGATGCACGGCAGCTCGTATATGCGAGCTTCTGGGAGCCGGCGCCGCACAAGCGTCGCAAGTTTAGAGTTCTTCCCTCGTTCCCTAGTGAGCGCAATACCCAGCGTTGCTCCCAAAGAATCTATGCTTCCAAGGGACGAAACTCTCCTCCTGTTTGCTCCACAGGTCAGCGAGCGACTCTTCCCCAGAGGGAACGCTCCACGTCCGATTACCAAGCACGGGCTCGAAGCCCACAGAAACATTGTTTGCTGGATAGTTTAGCTCTGTGTTACGGTGTTGGGCAAATCTTTTCGGCCGCGGCTTGCGCGCAGACGAGATCCGCCAACTCTAGTGCGATCCTGAAGCTTCAGAGCTGCTTGGGGTGCAAGGGCAAGAGATTTTGCTTTCGCCAACAGGTACCCGCACCTTATAGCGATGTTTCCCGGGAATTGATGGAGCCAACCAGGAAGTGCGCGTTCTTGCTCACGTTATGGAGTAGGTTGTAGCAAAAACGTTGCTCATTGCGAGCTAGCCTGGTCAACTACGATTCTGAAAGAGCGGAGGATGTTACTTTATACTCTGCAGACTGCGCTGCACAGGCCGAGTCATTTTTTGTAAAAGCCCTAATTCCCCAGGGACATGTTAATGAATTGTATGAAATCTTAAAGTGGAGGTTTCGCACTCTCTGGGTCCGTTTATACACCCATCTCAGACCACAATAGAACGGGTTCAAAAACCTAACTCGGGTGTACACTGGCAGGTTTGGGTCCTTTCCCGCTTTCATCAATGCCAGCCATTGCGAGCTTTTCATGCAGCTGCTTCCTTTTCCTCCCTCTTGGCCTCGGCTTTTAATACGCTGGTCTCTCCTCTTCCGCCAGCTCTGTTGTCAGCGGCCGAGGGTTGTTGATGGCAGCTTTGGGGTCCCGTTTTCGCTGTTTAAGGTCTTTGTCAAGGCATTTCATGTGCACGCAAAAGGTGCGATCTACGGATCACTTGGCGTTTACACGCTCTTTTAATCCAGACTCGATGTGTCCTGTGGAAGAGTGATTCGTGGCTGTTGTCGAGTGTTCCCATCTGTCTACCGATCCTTCGCCTCAGGACGCTGCCCTGTGGCGGGTGAACGCTTGCTTTACCGCTCGGTAGATGCCTTCGACGGGCACCAGAGGCTCTGCACCATGCGATTCTCTGTTTCCAGGCCAGGTCTCGTACCCGAAGATCATCGGCTTCTTCTGAGCGATCCTCCAAGACGATTGTTATATTCGCTGTACGACCAAACGCACGCTATTCGATTCTACAGAGGGTTTGTGGAACTCGATTCTGTTCATGATGAAACAAGTACCAGATGGAGGATCTAGGCCGGATAGGAGACCGGGAAATTTCGATTCGTCGACACTCCTTCCGCGCAAAGCAGAGACGTCTCGCCGTTGGAAGCGATCGTTGCAAGGACAAGAGCCCGAGGCCAATACCCATTTCCATGCAAAAATAAGAAACAGAAGTCACCGGAAGCGTATCCCTTGAGAGGTATCACACGGTTGTTGTATACAATTTCATCGATGACCGGAAAGAAAGGACGATTCCTCGCCCGAACGAAATCAACTATTGACGTGTGAGGTTCCGTGAGGTTTCGACATGATTTCGTGAACAATGTGTCGGGGTATTACTTTTATGGCCCTTTCTCATCGATCCAACGGTAAGAATTGCTACGCGCACAAGTTGACGAGATACGGAAAGATCGCAACGTAAAAGAGTTCGGGATTTGGGCTTGCTACAAGTAAAGCATGGAGAGCAGCGGAGCCATGGACGCACGGAATGGATAATGAAAACGATTATTTTAGGAGCCCTTTGTCCGTAGCGTGGCGAAGCATCTTGATATAGCTTCCGTAACGAACAATAGAGAGAGGGATCGAACAAGTCGTTTTGAAAAGACGACCCAGACTCCAGGAAAGCCGTGTAAATCAGTACGCAAGCATTCCTGCGCTTGGAATGTCGAAGCTATATATCGAATCCAAAAGTGGAAAGGCAGAAACCGAACGACCAATTCAGTGTTTCATTCCAATCTGACACTACCATAGGGAAGAATGCGTGTCGAGCACCATGAATACGTACGGCACCCGAGTTTGCGTGCATGTGACGCACCGGAACGTGACGCGCTAGTTTGTCTGCAATACGCGTTCGGGGCGACAGCCCCTGCCCTGCCGCCCTTTTTAGCATTCATGGTGTAGCGCGGGTGCGTACTCCCTCTGGGTGCTACGGGGTTCGTCGTGCGGGGGCGATCGCACCTCCTCCAGAATATCGGCAGGTGTTGCGGTCCGTAGCGCTGCAAGATCGCTCTATGCAACCAGGCCTCCGCAGTTACCCACTCGTTATCGTCGTCGATCTGGACCACCGGTTGCAAGTGTATTCCGGAGCAAGCCGGCCTCACAGTGCTTCCCCGCCAGACTACCCGGCTCGCGTCTGCTGCTGCGCGCTTTAGAACAGGTCAGCGCGACGTGGTGGCAAAAGCGAACTAGCGTCACTCCCGTTTCCCGTGCGATCCCTCATCACAGTACTCAGAGAGCCCAATGCTGCTTAACTTCGCGATTCGAGATGGGACGCGGTGTTTCCAGCTATGGTTTGAACGCAAGTGATGATTGAGGTTCCATATTCATATATATACCCGTGCGCATTCGATCCGCCTGCGTTGCTGCGGCGACGGCCGCCAGCGCAGGATAGCGCTTGACGGTGCGTCGCGCGCTGTGCGTAGCGCTGCGGCCTCGTGGCGGCTGTCTGCGATCCGTTGCGTACTCGTGCTGGAGCTGCAGTTGCGAGCTACTGAGCGAGCCGCTCATTCGTCGCTGACTGCGGCTGTTTGTGGACCGAGTACGTTGCGTTGCTTGCTGCTGCTGCTGCTGCTGCTGCTGCTGCTGCTGCTGTTATTGTCGGTGGTATTCGTGCTACTGCGAGAACTCGTGACGCGGACTGCATCGATCTGCAGCACCCCCGTGCATCGCGGATCGGTTTTGTTTTTCGCTGTGCTCAGCTTTTGAGCGTGCGTGTTGTCGTAGTGACCGTGAGAGACTTGAGCGAGCACCAGACGTCAAGTTGCCGAGTGCTCGCGCCGGGGCACAGGATCGGCAGCTGAGGAGTCCCGGAAGCAGCACCAGACGGCCAGTCGCTGCGCGCTGCCCCGTCTAGAGCGCGGCAGACCGAGGAGGCGCACCCGGTGAACAGGCCGGCCGCCCTCGGTCACGCAAACCACCTGTGGATCGTCTCAAGGATGGCGACGACAGCGGGCACTCGCCGGAGTCCCAGTGGCGGTGCGCTGTGCTGGGCCGCTGCACCTGTCGCTGCGGTGCGCTTCGGACGCTGGGCGCCTCCGCGTGCGCACTCCTGGACACCCAGACGTACGTACCCGACATGGAGCCTGAGCTTGGTCCGAAGCGCTCGCTGGTGCCTGCTCCGAGGCCGCCGCGCACAAGCATGTGGTGCTGCCGTCATGTCTGCGACGGAGGGCTCGTCTCCGTCGAGTGCTGTCCGGGAAAGCGCGTCGTCACATCCTGCAGGTCGCGCAATATCGGACGCGGGTGTCATTGGCCTTGCGGTCATGGGTCAGAACTTTGCACTGAACCTAGCGTCGCACGGCTGGCGAGTCTCTGTGTACAATCGAACGTATGCGCGGACGGCGGAGACTGTTGAGCGGGCGCAGCGGGAGCTCGCGGCAGATGACACGACAGCCAGCGGGAGCGTTACCGGCTTTGCGGACCTGCGGTCGTTTGCGCTTTCGCTGAAGCGTCCGCGGCGGGTATTCCTGCTGGTGAAGGCGGGGAGCGCAGTCGACGCAACCGTCGAGGCGCTGGCTGAGGTTCTGGAGCCGGGCGACATCATCGTGGACGGCGGCAACGAGTGGTACGAGAATACGGAGCGACGTGCTGCGTCTGTCGCGGCACGCGGCCTCCTGTACGTAGGCATGGGCTGTAAGCGGTGGCGAGGAGGGTGCGCGCTACGGGCCTTCCCTGATGCCGGGCGGTTCACGGGAGGCGTACCAGCAGCTTGCGCCGCTGCTGGAGCAGGTTGCGGCGCAGGTACCCGGCTCTGGGCCGTGCGTTACCTACATTGGGCCGGGCGGCTCGGGGAACTATGTGAAGATGGTGCACAACGGGATCGAGTACGGCGATATGCAGCTGATCGGCGAGGCATACGACCTGCTTCGGGGTGCCGTTGGCTTGGATGCGATGGCGGCTGCGGAAGTATTTGCCTCGTGGAACGCGGGCGCCCTGCAAAGCTTCCTCGTGGAGATTACCGCGCGCATTCTACGCGTGCCTGACACGTCTTCGTCGGCAGCGTCGGCGCCAGCGCTCGTAGACCAAATCCTCGACCGGAGTGAGAGCAAGGGCACTGGCCTGTGGACGATGACGGAGGCACTGCGGCGGGGCGTGGCGGTGCCGACCATCGCTGCCGCGCTCGACGGGCGCTTCCTCTCAGCGCGGAAGGACGAGCGCGAGCGTGCGTCGCGGGTGCTCCGCGGACCCGAGCGGCTCTCGGGTACGGGGCACGCCTCCGAGTTGGCGGCCGCCGGTGCCTCACCCGGAGCCGCTGGCGCTGTAGCTGAAACTGGACCGGACACAGCTCCCGAGCGTGTCGCCGCCCTAGCGTCTGGCTCTGTACGAGCGTCGGCGTCGACGTCGCGTTCGGATGCATCGGCGGAGCGAGCGTTGATCGCTGCTATTGAGGACGCACTCTTCTGCAGCAAGCTCTGTAGCTACGCGCAGGGTCTCAGTCTGCTGCATCGAGCGAGCTGCGAGCAGGGCTGGTCGCTGGATCTCGGGGAGCTTGCGCGCATCTGGAAGGGCGGCTGCATTATTCGGGCACAGCTGCTTGAGCGGATCGAGGGCGCTTTTCGACGAGACCCCAGCCTGCCGAATCTGCTGCTGGACGCTGACCTGGCTGCGGAGATTGGACGTCGCCACGAGAGCTGGAGGCGTGTTGTCGGGCTGGCGGCATCGCTGGGTGTGCCGGCGCCGGCGCTGACCGCGAGCCTTTCGTACTACGACACGTATCGACAGGCGGTGCTGCGCTCAAGCCAGCTGGTTCAGGCCCAGCGGGATTGCTTCGGCTCGCACGGCTACGAGCGTCTGGACGATCCGGGGCGGCGGTGGCACACGCGCTGGCTCAGCGGTGGCGACTCGGCGGGGGTCTCGAGCTAGGGCCTTGGGCGGGACGCAGGTCTGTGTGTATGATCTGGATGTGTGTACGTCCAGTTTTCCTGGTTGCCGCCCAGAGTATCTGCGAAATGTTTGCTTGCATGGATCTTTCGGGTGGTGTACTGTAAATGCTCCTGGTTGCTCGCCGAAATCCATGCTTTATAGGTGTGCATTTGCATCTCTCCGTCAGTGCATTCTGACTAGGCCAGCTCACTGCCAGAGTCCAATGTCGCACACGTGTCCGTAGGCGTGTCTCCATCGATGCACCGCGTACACTCCTGCACGTCGCAAGCTCGATGCTGGTGAGGCGTTACTACTTGCTCCCTGAGCCACGTGCCTGTCGCTGGACCCGGCTGCAGTGCCAGAAAGAGCGCCCGCCAATGCAAACGCCTCAATACCGCCATACGCCCGCGTGTGTGCATGCGTGCGTGCGTGACGGCGATCGCGACTGCACGCATTCAGCAACGGACACGTGGCAAAGCGTTGGAGCACCTGTCGCATTGAAGGCGAGCGGATCGCGCGATCCGAGCATGCGCGACGATCCACACACAGCGACGCTGGCTGGGGCGATCTGCATGCCGCCGTTGTGGATGCAGGGCGATGCGGCAGCACCGGGGTGCCTCTCTGTGGAGGCCGAGTCAGGGCGCACCGTCCGAAGTGGCGGTCGTCAAGTGGACGTGCCAGTGCTCCGCGGTGCCGTGACCCCATCACGTCATATGGCCTTTCGAAGCGCAATGCGAGCACCCAGGATGATGTCTGGTCCAAGACAGTCAGTGAAACGGAAACATTTCCACGAACACAAAGTGAATAAACATACCCACTCACAGACGCCACCCAGCCTTTTTATGACAGACCGCCTGCAATCCGTTTCAGTTTCTGCTCACACACTACGAGCCTGAGAGGCTGCCCCACAAAGATGGATCGTGGCAGGTCCTAGGGTCTCGTCTTTAGCACCATACATCGTCTGATACCAATAGCATCGTTGAAGTGTCGGGTCACAAACTCCATGCGTGCATTGACGCTGACTGAATTCACAGGTGCAAAAATTCCTAATACTCGTGCCATATATGCCACTACAATCTCGTCATCATCTCGTTGGGCAAACACCTTCCCTCGAGTATCGTCGCTCTTGTTGCTGTTCTTTTTCGCCCCATGGTCAGCGAAAAGAGGATTTCTTCGTGTTTTCCTGCAGCCGGCGATGCCGACCCTAGCAGATCCCCGACTTCTTCGCCCATATCTCTCCTATGGATTTTTTATTTCTTAGAGTGAACCCACCTCGAACGCGTCTGCTATACACCGCGAAAACGCACTTGATGAAACTCACCTGAAGGTGGAACAATTTTGTGGTCGAAGGCCGTAATTTTGTGCCGAGGGTGTCCCTCGCATATCACACCGGCTGATTCTTGCTATCGTTTACTACGAACCGTACTTTCGATGATTCCCATATGTCACGGCCCGCAGATTACGTATCATAGCTATCCATGGTTTGCACCAGAACCTGGACAAAAGCTGTTCATAAGGAAAACCTGGTCCAACACGTTGAAGCTGTTCGAACGAGTCTCGCAGCGAGAACGCTGCCTTCTGTGTCTGCATTGCCGGTGCCGATCAGCGGGTCTTTCTCAGCGCGCACCGCCTGGAAGTCGCTACGCGTGAGAATCTCACGCGCAAGCGCTGCGGAGCTCATTGAAGTGCAACTCCCGTTCCTGTGCTTGTTCGTTACCTATGTTGAGAACAGAGCATTATGCGTTTTTGCCGTGTATCTCTAGGGCTTTGGAAGAGCGAGATTCGCTAGGCATTCGAAGAGAGCTACGGGCTCGCCAGCAACGTTTGTCTATGCAACAGTCGCGCAGCAAACTCGGACGAGTTTGCGTCACAGGCGCGAATTCGCCGCTTGGTCAAGAGCTCGTCGGTGCATTGACCCGTACACCTGATCCATCTCTTCGGCCAGATGCTATCGGTGTTATCGGTGCGCGTGACCCGATAGAGAGCCACAGCGCTGGAGCTGGTTTGCACTTTCCGGGTCCAGGTGTAGATTTTCTGGAGTGCGCTGCAACAGATCTGGAACACTACAACCCGAGAACGCTCTTTTCGATAAACGATGACGATCTAGGACTGAGGAGACGAAGCATCTTTCGCGAAAACCAGGTCGTGATCGACCTTCTACGAGCGCAAGGGGAGACGAACGAGCCCCGATCGAAAACGCGACTGGTTCTCGTGACTTTACTCGGTTGCGGTGACTCTGAAGACGCTATACCGTCGCAGGCATTTGATGTACTAAGGCCGCTTCTCCTGGAACTATCTCGAGTCGAACAGTATGTCCGTGAGAGTGGTCTGCCGTATACGATTGTGCGCCCCGGCGCGCTCGAGCATGGTGACGCCGACAGCCGTGCTATTGTCAGTGAAAGCAAGGTCGGTTTTGGAACCATACATCGAAGCACTTTGGCGCATCTGCTTCTGAACGTAGCTGCTTCCGAAAAAGCAGTGAATAAGACCCTCATGGCACTCGATATGAATCGGCTGCTTGTTGCAGCACCGTATGTACGACCATTTGAGGTTTGGGAGTCTCCGCCTTTTGAAGTATTTGATCTCTGAATGTATAGATGACTGAACATCTCGGAATGCGCGCTTTTCGAGCACATTTCTTAGCCGCTTCGGAAACGCACGCGCATTCACTGTAACCTGGCATCGTCATGTTCATCGTGTGTCCGTCGATCTGGGGGAAACCGCTTCCAGTAGAGAGCGACATTTTGCCGGCCTCCGCAGCAGTCGTCGGACACGGGTCCGGACGGTGCATGAATCCTAGAAATACAATGTTTGCCAATTTAGACCCCATGCGTGGGTATTTCCGGAGGTCCACAGCGCTGAGCAAACCGAAATACCACAGAGCGCGTACCGTTCATAGAATCGTGTCAGAATGGAATGGAAGTTCTCTAACTCAGATGTACATGTTAGAGTTTGGGCCTCGTCCAATTGTCATCAACACCAGCCGTTGCAGGACTTTTCTGCGACTGCATCCTGCTCCTTTTATCTTTGGCTTCAAACACGCTGATCTCTCCTTTCACTACAGCTCTCTTGTCAGCAACGGAAGGATGTTTTTGGCAAAGTTAAGCCCCGATTTTGCCGCTTCAGACTGGAGTCGAAACGGTGCATACACAGACGGTAGTTGCGATGCAAGCTGCTCTTGAAGTTTCCATCTTCTTTCCATATAGCCTCGGTGCGTCCATCGCAGCGATGACACTTGAGCGTAATCAGGTGCGCCCGTACGCCCACCATACCTCCTCATCAGGGCTCCGGCCTGTGGTATGCGAACGCCTGCTTCATGGATCGGTGCATGCCCCTGACAGGCACAGAAGGCTTCCCAGGATATGCTGCTCCGCTTCCGCGCCCAGTGCCGTACCCTACGATTACGGGCATCGTCTGGAAGTTGGCCCCGGCGGCTGCTTTGTCTGCTGCAGGTGGAGGCGCACGCTGCCCCATTCGACAGAGGATTCATGGAGCGCGATGCTGTCCATACTGAAACATGTACCGGAATGAAAATCCAGGCTGGAGATCATGTCGCGAAGTTTCGGTCCATCTAAGCTCCCGTCTTCCGAAGTAGTGACGCGGTCGCCACTGAAGGCGAACGCTGGGATGACTGGAGACCGAGTTCATGATTTTTTTCCATGGAAACAGACAGGGCGGGATCCTCTGGGGCCTATCCGATGAGGGATATCACGCTGATACCGAATACCGTTTCTTTAATGGGCGCGAAGAGAAGAGGATTTGTCTTTTGAATGGTATCGACTCTTTGACTTAATAAGCTCAGTTAACTTTTAGTATGTGATTATGAACAAGTAATCAAGTGAGGACTTTGGGCGTTTTTCTTTGCACATGGAGCGGCACGAATTGCAGCACTCATTATTTGCCCTGAAACAGAAAAATGCATAAGCTTTAGAATTCAGGATTTGGGCGTGCTACGCGTAAAGAAAGGAGATTAGCGGAGACGTTCACGCATGCATTGATGATGATATCGGTTATTTCACGCATCCTTCCTTGAGGGAGTCGCAAATCATCTTGATTCCTGGGACGTACCGAATTCCAAAGGCAAAGAATCGAAGCTGCCACCATGCAAAGACGACCGCGAATTCTAAATCGACGTGGAAGTTCGCAAGTCCCAATTGCTGCACTTCGAGTGTATATGCTATAGATCTATAAAAAAAATTCGGAGAAAAAACGCAAATCTGGAACGGAACGAGCAGTTTAGTGATGCATTTCAATCCGACGCGAGTAAGGACCACGTCGCTCGTGCGAAACCCGGTGCTTCTTTCACGGTGAGCCTGTGCTTCGTTGCCAATATTTCAGTTCCTTCGCGTTTCAAGGTTAGGAGAAACTTTTCCACCGCTTGCTGCTTGTATGAAAGTTGCAGAGGATACCTTCGCGCGGTGGGAGTCTCTTGATGCCGTCTACGACGGGGACCCCGCACTACGCGAGACTCAAGAGCAACTGTTCCTGAGGGCGCGTGAGCTCTTCAGCAGGGCCGATTTCTTCGAAACAGTCGCAGAAGATGATCAGGAATCAAGCGTTTTCCGAGCGGATACATCCGGAGACTTTACGCCTGAACAAGAATCGGCTCTCGGCACCGAACTCGACGTGATTGATCTACAGCTAGAGGACGTACGACGCAGCGCTCTCGAACGCATTCAGCACGACATAGAAGTGGATCTGGAGAGAGTGCGGAACGCCCTCGAGCAAGTACAAAGTTTCCTAACCACTCTTGAGGAAATGGAGACTCGCTGCACGCAAGCACAAAAAGATCTCTCGATGTTTCGAGCTACACTCAAGGACGCGTACACAAAGAAGACGGTGCTGGAACGAAAAGCACAAAGCATGCGTGAGCGCTTGGAGTTATGGGAAGAATTGGAGCGCTTAAGTCAGAAGCTGGATACGGTCGAGATGGCCTCGCTTCGAACCTCTTCGTTGGATGCGGACGGTGTAGGTAACGATATTCACGACGTGCTCGTTGCGTTGGGTATGTGCCAGGAGCGTATGCAGCACAGCGGTGCTCTCGCACACTCAGCGGAACTGGCTGCAGCACACGGGAGCAGCAACAGCAGCAACAGCGTTTGGAGCGCCACGGAACATGACCGGCTCGAAAAAATCCTGCAGCGAGCGCGAGAGCTCACTTGTTCGCATCTTGGAGTCCTGGTGAGACACCTAACGTCAGGCCTTGCTATGGAGCTTTCCCGATTACCTGCCGACCAGCGACGGCTACAAGCTCCTGATCGCGAAGATGCAATCGTCAACCTTCGCTTCCGGCAGCTAAGCAAGCAGACTCGCCAGTTCATGGATGCCATCTGTAACCTGGCACCCGCCGATTCTCCTGAGACCATGCAGTTCTTCGCAAAATGCGAGATGCTTTTTGTGGAGCAACGACGACGACTCGTGCTTCCGCTGGCCCAAGAGCAGGCACGACTTGCTGCAAGCGCTGAAGAGCTGGATCTCGCAGCACGTTCGACAACGACGATGCTGCTTAAAGTTTGTACCATGGAGCTCCAGCTCTTTCAGGCTCTGATGCTGCCCTCATCCGAGACTACCCAGGATATGCTGCTTCGTGTATCTCTTGGGGCAAAAGCGCAACCCTTATCTGCGCTCCGTCAGTGGCTGCGATCAATCGCTGACCTTATCTCGATCTACATTCTGCCGCGAGTGCTGCAGGAAAGTGATCTTGACGCGCTCGTTCGATGCATTGATTTTCTGCAGAAAGAAGCGATGGAAACTGAGCTTTCGCGTTCGACTTCAGATCTGGTTGCGTCATGCTTTACAGAGCCGGTTACTTCGTTATTGGCGGACACCCGTGAGCGCACAATCTATCGAGCGCAGTTATTCATTCGTGATCAAATTCTCCGTTTTCAGCCATCAGACGGAGACCTGCAGGCTCTCTACGCTCATTTCCAACGTCCTAATCGGGGACATGGGCCACAGCAGTTGTCACTGGAGGGCCCTAACACGCAGCCAGTGACTAGTACACCGTCGTCGGCGGTCTATCGAGCAACACTGCTTACGCTTCAGGTTTTGGCACTTCTCCATGGTCGCATTGACGCCCTGGTGTTCGCGGGTCTCGCCCGAGAGGCCATCGAAGCTTGTATTCGAAATCTGCAAACGGCAGCTAGGAGGCTTGCATTGCTAGAGCCGCCGGCTTCTAGAGAGAGCCTTGAACCCGACAAGAGTTCCGTGTTAGCGCTAGCGAGTTTGCGAAAAGCCTCGGCGCCTGGTCAAACACAGGGCAGTGTCCAACGCAGCCCGCTGAGTTCGCCTCGTCTGGATCCGCATGCCGCCACCAGTGACAGTGCGGAGCTTTTCTATCTCAAGCAGCTGCTGATTTTGCACCAAAATCTTATGCTCTTTGAGCAACTCGATATCGTGGATCAAGAGCGACAACTCCGATATTTATCGTTTGACGAATTCCGCGCAGGGGTTTCCCGTATCATTCGAGGTCAGGTGAGTCTTCGTCATCTGTTCGGCTCTGTGCGAGACCTCATTCCAAAACGTATGGACCTCAACTCGAAGGAAACTTTAAGAGACGAGCTCCGAGCTGCATACGAAGCTGTGGTATTTCGTGCACTTCGAGAACTTTTACAGCCTCTACTTGTTTTTCTCGCTGAGGTGGCGGCATCCAGCAATGTTGCCGCTCTGAAGGGGGAAGCTGGCACTACTGCAACGGTCGATTGCGTTCGAGAGATCTGGGCTACCGTTCTGCTGCGTTTTGACCGCGTCCCCATCGATCCGAACCTCGAAACGCAACCTGTTGCTTTACGGCAAATCCTGGATTTTTGGCAACGTCTCTTTGGACCACATGGAAGTCGAGTCCTGACCGAGATCTTGCGGGAAAACGTACAAGAAGTGCTAAGCGAATTTGTTGCTGTCCTCCATCGCCACTACTCCGTGGAGGAACGCCGTGCGGTCGGTGTCGATGCTGAACGCGTCCGCGCCCTAATGGAGGCATTCGCGCCAGACGCACCGTCTCAGTGACGGTAGATGCTGAGGCGAGGCAGGTGCAGGTCGACCACGGCACCGTTCTTTTGGAACGATGCAGGCTAGCGCGGCCTACGTCGAGGCTTCGCTTTGGCTGCCGAGCTCCTTCAGCGTGCCATCCAGCACCGCTCCCGGCAGCAGGCTCGCCTGCGCATCCATTTTAGAGCCCAAACCGACGACGAGACTTCGGTCCGCGTCGGATAAACTTTGCGCCAAGCCAACGCCCGCAATGGCAATCCAAAACCGGTCTTTATCTGGAGGGCAACAGCAGCGCCAACGCTGGTTGCGCCGCAGGAGGCGCCCACTGTAGGTCAAGCGCCCGCAGTGCCTCTGTCGCCACAGCGCTCTGACCTCTGTCGTCGACGACAACTTTCCTCCGAGGCCATTTGAATCTGAGCTGATCTCTACAAGTTCCGGGGTCTCTTTCCTGATCTTCTATAGAAATCCCTTGTACTAGGGAGTCTGGTTCGGTGCACCTGACTCCATACGTAGCTTCAGCGAGTACGCAACTGCCGTACCGAACAACGGTGTTTGGATACAAAAATGGACACAAGCGGTGCTGCGCCTGCGCCGGCGGCATCGCTTCAAGTGCCCGGAACGCCTGACGCAGGTACGAAAGGTACACTACCTTGACGTTGGTTCGGTTTGGTAGCGATGCCACGCTACAGCTTACATTTAGGTGAGTTAAGTTTCTTAACAACTTGTGCTGGCTACTCTAGGATTTGGTCACCCGCGACTCGATGGTCAGGCCGCACCAACCCAGTGGGCAAGTCGCTGCGGCAGGGCGTCCCGCGGCAGCAACCAGTCGCAGCGCTGCCGGCTCCTCTGCGACTGCGTGGATGTCAGTTTGGTAGCAGTGATCGAGACGACATGCAAAAGCTCCAGGCGAAATCCTCTCTATCAGGGTCTGGTGCGGCGGGGTCACCGCTCGGATCGGCTGCCGGTGGTAGCGCACTCGCGCCCTCAACAACACTGGAAAGCTCCAGTCCGGTGCGCGCGTCGCTATGGGAGCGCTTTGTTCGGTACTCGACGCTGGCGACAAATCTTTTTCCTCTCTGGACGCTCATTTCAGCTGTCATTGCTCTGCGGCGCCCAGAGACTTTCCTCTGGGTGTCTACTTCGTATTTTACGCTAGGCCTCGCCATACTCATGCTTTCCATGGGCATTACGTTGACGCCGCGTGACTTTGCTCGAGTCCTCCGACGCCCTGGTGCGATCGGCGTCGGCTTCCTTGGATGCTACGCCCTTATGCCTTTACTGGCGCTGCTGCTAGGGCACTTGATGGGGCTCTCCCCGGAGCTAATCGCCGGCCTTGTGCTCGTCGGTTCCATCAATGGTGGCCAAGCGAGCAATCTCTGCACCTATATTGCTAATGGAAATGTCGCGCTTAGCGTGATGATGACAACGTGCTCCACGATAGGTGCCATCTTCATGACACCGTTCCTTTGCAAGGTCCTCATCGGTGCCGTCGTTTCCGTGGATGCCCTGGGGATCGCCCTCTCTACGCTGCAGGTGGTGCTTGCTCCGATCGCTACGGGCATGCTATTGAATCGCTATGCGAATCGCATTGTACAGCGGATTTTACCTTTCTCTCCCTTGATAGGCGTGATTTCAACGTGTCTTCTGGTAGGCAGTGCAGTTGCACAGGTGGCTCAACCTATTCTCGCAGCGGGCCTCTCGCTCCAGATCCCTGTATTTCTACTGCACTTACTCGGCGGTGGCCTTGGTTACTTTATCCCCCGTTTTCTCGGGTACAATGAAGTCGTTTGTCGAACAATTGCTATCGAAACTGCGATGAAGAGCTCTGCCTTTGGGTTTCTGCTCGCGAAACTCCATTTCAAAGAATTTGCTGTTCGGGTGCCCTCAGCGGTGAGCGTGGTGTGGATGGCGCTTATGGGCAGCTCGATGGCAGTGCTGTGGCGGTATATACCGGTGAAGCGCACCACGAGGTTCGACCGCACCCTCCTTAGACGCAAACTGTTTAAATGAGATGCGGGTTGGTCTCCACGTCGCCCGACTCATGAACCTGCGTACGGCCGTGCCCTATGAAAGCGCGCTGACCGCCTCCGAAGCGCTTGATGATCAAAGTACGCGAGAAAGGTCAAGATGCCGTCGCGAGACCGAAAGGCACGCCTGACACGTAAGTGTTCGTTCTGGAGCGTGATGACAGGTGCAAACGCTCTTGCTTACTCAGCAGCGGAGAAGGCGGCGCCAGACCCTGGCACTTTCGAGGCTGCTTGCCGCTCTGAATTCTTTTAAAAACGAAAACGACTTGTTTTCCGCAATGTGATACATGAATTGAAACAAATGCGGTCGACGAAAGCTGATAAATCTTGAACACATCGTGCTCTACATCTTTAAAGCGTACCGTTGATTCAAACTTTGAGACTGTTGTCGTGTGATGCCTCATCTATGCCGTACATTTGCCGCTGAAACGTATTGAAAAGATGGCGAGATGAGGAACAAACTACGAGAGAGAGCGGCGCCGGGCTTTCTGTCCGTCCAGCGAGCTGGAGATTCTCCGACGCGACCGCACGGAACCTGGCTACTGTGGTGACATTGGACGAGCAGGTAGCAAATGCACAAGCTGCAGACGCAGTACGGATTATATTCGGCAAATGTGCTCACAACTCGACGCAACCGATCGCAACGAAATGCGAGGATGTGCAAGTGAAAAGGAGCGAACTTAAGCCGCCTGAAGCGCATTCCCGAGGGATACTGGTCGATCGCAAACGCCAGGGCAGGCGCATTGGTTCAACCACTCGTGGAACTCGAGTATTCTACCGTCTGGCTCGTTAACTGCGGCGCCAGGGAACGAAAAACTAGCGTGAAGCAGTTTTCACAGGCATCTTGGGCAGCGGTTTGGACGTTACGCGCAGCAGCTAAACATGATTGCCCTCATTCTGTGCACTGTATACATGGTTCGGATGCAGGTTTTGGGGCGAAATCGACACAAAAACAGGAACGGAGCATTTCGTGGAACCTGATCGAGATCTGAGATCACGTGTACACATCCCGTCCATCAACACGGTTTTCAGCGCGTCTCTGGCATTGACTTTGGCGTTTTTCATCCACCATTCGGAAGCTGCTGCTCCTGGATTTGAGTATTGACCTGTGGATGCAACCTCCGGTGCATGCAATTGCAACCGCTGGTCATGCAGATGGACATGCCCTGCGTCTCTTTCTCGAAGACCAAGCGAAACGAAATGCTTTAGCGGCCTGCTGCATTGACACCTAGGGACACTCATCTGACTCTAGCGTCATTTTTCGGCAGGTACCCGCGCCTGCACCTAGAATATGCTGGCTTCATGATGTTGCTATCCACCAGGCAGGATAAGCAATGTTTACATGGAACGAGCACTCGTTGACCATTGCACCGGAAATCATTGCCAAAAAACCGTAGAGGCAAGAGGTAACCGCTCAACGCGTGCTTACACATCGTTGCAACGTCGTGCCAGCTCGTTGGGTTCGCGACCTGTACCTCCAACTTACTGTTTGATTTTTACCGGTTTTATGACGAATCGACATGACAACGTTTCACAAGTCTTTTGGAAAATTTGAACAACATGGAAACAAGTCGGCCTTTCCCAAGCAGGCGATCGGGTGAGATTGCAGTCTGCAGTGGATGCAGCGCTCCAACAGCCACTGAAGAACTCTGTTACTTACAAGACAACCATACTCTGCAACGCTGCGAATCACCTATCCCGTGTCCCAGAGAAAGCGTCTCGAACTCACCAGCATGACCCATGTTATTATGTTTACCTCTTATCAACACACATTGTGGGCAGTTTTGTTCCTATATGCATTATGAACTTTTTGCGCGCGCTTCTGCAGCACGCATTCCCGGCTGAACTCTCCGAGCGCCGATAGCAAGCGCACAAGCGGGAATTCCTTTCAATGCGAACGTTCCGTCAAACGAACGAAGAGCCCCCTCAATGCGTACACCGGGCGTACAGGCATTAATCGACGTGTTTTCGTACCGTACGTCTGTCGCGTGTATTTATATACACCGACCTGCAGACGCCTCCCAGCCTTTTTCGACCGGCCGATTGCTGTAAGCTTCAGTTTCTCCTTGTGCGCTTCGACCCTGAGAAGCTGCCCACAAAGTTCGCTCGTGTCAGCTCCTCGGGTCTCCGCGCCAGCACCTCATATCCCCTGATATCAATACCAGCGTTGAAGTCCAGGTCCACAAACTGCATGCGTTCCATGCCACCGCTTGTACTCACCAGTGCAAGGAGTCCTCGAACTCGCGCTCACTGTGTCATTTTGTGCTCTGTCCGCTCTCCGTACTTTTCTGTATCCTCAGCGTTCGGTTGGCACCATCCATCTCGACTGGCAGGAGTGTAAACCCCCGTTCATGATGCACGTAGGCCGTTCGGAACTCATCCACCAATTCAGTGACAAAACGCTCTGCGCACTCCTTGTACGCTCTTGTCGATGGAGCCGGTATGCTTCCATTTTCTGGACGCCCAGCGCCCTGCTCCGCTAGCCACTACGAGCCTTTGACTCGTGTCCTTCTTGAGGGCGTACAATCATTGAAGGAGTTGGTGAATGTACGCTGTCTCCCTCCGTACAAGTTCATACGCTGACGAACCCACCGGGGCTTTGTATACTCTTTCCACTGCTTCTCCTGATGAGCAGCTTGAGTTTCTATCAAATCCCGAAAAGCTTGACAGTTTGCTTCGCGGCTCGCTATGCTACCGATCGCTTCTAGGTGCTTCTTCACTCCTGCGTTCCGCTTCTCATTCTATATCCTTGGATTCATTAACCCAAACTCTCGGCAGTACCCAGCTCTTGAGAACTTCCAAAGCCGTATGTCTTTCTGACGCAACTTGCCTTTGATACCATCTTCCTCTCGCGTGGGTCCTGCGATTGTAACGATATTCGTGTTCCCGGGGTCAAGGCCGACAACGAAAGTCGTTCTCCTGCATCTGCTGCGTCGAAGGATCCACCTTCTTCTTTATTTCATGCTTCGTCACGGGCGATATCGAAGACGGACCAGGACGATCTGCCATCAACATCCGATAGTGTCCACAAATGGTTACCCCATCGGTTTCGATCAACCCAGTGAATACCTTTTGCTTACTCGTTTTGAGACGTTTGAAATCGAGGATATTCTTCCAGTACGTCTCCCGGTTTTCACCGGAGTTCTCCTTCCTGCTAACATCGAACTCCGGACAGATCTCCCTGATCATGCCATGAAGGACGCTGGAGTCTATAGCCACAAATTGTGACTTGATGTTGCATAACGGAACGACATTGAAGCGGTTCTCCATTAGGACAGCCTTCCATTTCTGCGACTCTTCATTTTCTTCCTCATTCAGCGTCATCTCCAGCATGCGTTCGAGTTCTCGCTCCAGAAACACGAAATAGCGCAGGATTAGGGGATAACATCTTTCATCATCTTTTTTCATATTTCTTAGCTTCTCTGCTGGGTTGACAAGGCCCAAGACTGCACGGTGCTCTTTAATTGCCGCACGGATTACAGAAGCCTCGTTCTTTCTCCTGTGTGATGTCTTATCGTCGACGAATTCGATCTTCTGTTCATTCTTACTATCGTTCGCGATGCCGTCGATGATGGCCTGTGTCCCTCTGCGAGACAGGCCCGGGTACAGCGCAAAGATGGAGCGTATCATGAAGCCTTTCATGTTCATGGTGAATTGGTTCTTCAAATTCGTGAGGTACTTCATTGTCCCGTGGCGGTAAATATCTGCGTCGCCCCTGTATCTAGTACCGTTGAAGCGGTATTCGGCGTGATTTTCGTGTAAGGCGTGTACTCGTTCATTTCTCCTCGACGTTTCCCCGGTGCCAAGCATCATGTGACGAATAAAGGTCTTGTTGAAAATTTCACCCGGAATATCGACTGCTATGATATCCGTCACGTCCTCTTCCATCCCATTAACCAAATGCATTAGTCCGAAAAGATGCGTTACAAACATTGCTGGAGTACGACTCGGCACGGTTTCTGATAGCCTCTTGCTACTTTTGCTCGTAGGAATCCTTGATTAGGCGTAGAGGAAACGCTTTCATATCCATCTCGTCGTACTGTCGTCTCTCGGGCAGCTTCTGATGTCTGGCTCACCCTCCTGCTTCTTCGTCATCACCTGTTGCTCTTTGCTCGGCACTGTTTTTCGTTTTGTTTTTCGGCGGCCGGCTACAGCCACCCTCCAGGATCCTCTACTTCCTTTTCCAGAACTTTCTATCTTTAGTTTTGATGAAGAACCCACTTTGAACGCGTATGTTATAAACTCGTAATGATCACTTGAACATAGCCACTTGAAGGCTGAAACAAAACTGAGATGAGACACTATACTTGGCTACGACTGTAACGCAAATACATCTTGTACGATAGACTAGCACGCTAACTATGAGCATCGCGTTTCGCTTCAAAGGCGAGATGCGCGTCGTGTCTCGTTACAGCCAGATCTCCCAGGTGCGCGTATCGAGCGCCCTATTAAGAATAAGGAACAGAGACTCTCGATGCACCAGCATGTATATACATATTTCTTTCCCCCTCTACGGTAAACTTTAAAACAGGGGAAAAGGTTTCCATATTGTCGAAAGTTTGCCTCCTAGGCGGAAGGTCCCGCGGGCCGGACGAGTCCGCCAGGCGCTTGCTTCATGTTCCACCCATTCGCGGGTGCCGTGCCGAGATCTGAACAACTCGTCCGGAACGCAGTTTATTCCGGGATTAGGGGCAGTTAGGCTGCGTCTTAGCGTCGCTCTGATTCTAGTGGACTCCTAGTCTATCGCTTCGCGCTGCCGCGGGCAGCAGGTCAGTCTGCGCAGGTTGCTGGCCCCCAGCATGATTATGTACTCCGGACCCGTATCGCGCAAACCACGCCTTGAGCCGACGCCCTCAGTTGTAGGTCAAAGCCGTTCTGTCCCCGTGATGCATTTGCTTCAACGGCACAGGCGCTATTGCGGGTGCTCAAGACAGCTTAGGCGCACAGTGGAACCTGCGAGAATAACCAGTACACCCGGGAACAGGTAACGGATATCGGAGATAGGGTGCAGCAGCATGATGGACGCTTTTCCGTAAGTCAGTGTGTATCCCGCTTTCGAAGATGATCCATAGTCCACTGAAATGCTTTGCGATCGTCGCATCGCGCATCAAACGTCGACGATTCCAGAATGCGCCGGTGGGCGCTCAGTGGCAGTGGCGCCAGCAGCGGCGGCGGCGGCGGCGGTCATATTCGTGGCGGCGGCAGCAGCAGTTGCTCGAACATTGCTGGGTTCTGTGGGCTTCTACCGTACGGACACCCTCGAGTGCGTTTCGTTGAAGAAAAGCTGCTACTTTCGTGGCAAGCCCTTAAGAACGAAACAGAAAAGAAACTTTAAAAAATGTTTGGTCGTTTGTCCGGTAGGGGGCAAGTGAATAACACCGCTTACTACGAACTGCTCGGGGTAAGCCGTGACGCTACCACAGAGGAAATCAAGAAAGCGTACAAGCGGATGGCCCTGCGACTGCACCCGGACAAGAATCCTGATGCCGATACTCAAGAGAAGTTTAAAGAGCTAACAGTCGCATATGAGGTGCTTTCGGATCCTGAAAAGCGCAGAATTTACGATGAGCTCGGTGAAGAAGGCCTCAAAGAAGGCGGCGGTATGCCCGGCTTCCGTGACCCCATGGACATATTCGAAGCATTATTCGGTGGTGGTCTCGCAGGTCGCTCGCGCGGACCACGCAAGGCTGAAGACGTTGTCCATCCGCTGCGTGTAAGCCTGGAAGACTTGTATAACGGCAAAACGACAAAACTCGCGATTCAGCGCAAACGCGTGTGCACTGCGTGCAAAGGCTCGGGTGCCAGTCCAGATGCCCCGCGCAACGTGTCATTTACCTGCAGTGGATGCCGGGGCACCGGAATGGAGGTTAGAATACGGCAGCTTGCTCCGGGAATGGTGCAGCAAATTCAGTCCGTTTGCTCTGAATGTAGTGGCTCTGGACGTTCCGTACCACGCAAGTACCAGTGCCCAACCTGCAAGGGTGAGCGCGTTATTGAAGACCGCGCCGTGATTGAAGTTCATATCGACAAAGGCATGTCGCATGGACAAAAGATTGTTCTCAGAGGCGAGGCCGACGAGGAACCCGGTGTGGAGCCTGGTGATATCGTTGTCGTTCTGCAGCAGAAATCTCACCCGGTGTTTCAGCGCCAAGGCTCCACGCTGCTGATGGAACAACCCATCAAGCTGGTCGAGGCACTATGCGGTGTCTGTTTTACGATACGGACGCTCGATGATCGCACGCTTGTGGTGCGGTCGCGTCCCGGTGAGGTCATTGATGGATCGATGCCGCTCAAAACCATTGCCGGAGAAGGTATGCCAATTTATCGGAGACCAACCCAGCATGGCGTCCTTGTAGTCAAATTCAAGATTGAATTTCCGCGTACTATCGAACTGAAGTATCGACCAGCACTTGAAGAGGCACTCGGCCAACGGTGCGCAGAACCGGAGCTCGATGGCGTCGACGGCAGCGAAAAGGAAGACGTTGAGCTCATCGACTTTGATGAATCGCAACTGCGAGCAGGTATGGATGAAGGCCCTCGTGACATTTACGAAACCGACGATGATCATGGCGCGAATGGGATCCCCGGTGGTGCCCAGCGAGTGAGCTGTGCGCAGCAATGATCTGCGTTTGTACATTTCCAATGGACTGAACCAAATTTGCGCGCGGATACACGACGCCACGCTCCCCTGCAGGCACCGTTGAAACAACTGGTGAAAGGCCGATGATCAGTCGTCACATGCAAAATAGAATGACGCTGCCGGGGTGTGCTTATCGCGCACCATGCTAGCAGCGAGAAACCCGTGCACTGCACGAAATCCTGTGGATTTTTGTCGCTTTTTCGCTCGTACTGGTGACAGGTTTCGTACGCTCCCACCGAGTGCAAAAGACCTGTCGCGTGAACGTCATTTTTAAATATCTGCCTAGCATGCATCGTAATCCGTTACTTTTGAAGCGCAGAGGCCCCGGCAACAATTTCAACAAGCTCTGTCGTAATGACAGCTTGACGTTCGCGGTTGTACTGAAGGGTTAATTTGTCGAGCATTTCCGCAGCATTCGTCGAGGCGTTGTCCATCGCCGACATTCGCGCTGCTTGCTCGCTGGTCGCGTTCTCAAGTAAAGCCCCGTAAAGCTGTGTGGCTACTTCGAACTCGAAAAGATCCACCATTACCTGCGACGAATCCATGTCTGAGTCGAACTCGTAGCCATCAAAGACGCTGGCGTTGTCCATGAGCAGTTGCAGGCCCAGTAAGGGCTGCTGCGTTGGCACCTGGCTAATCGCGGACTTGAAACGGTTGTAGAAAATGACGACCTCATCAGGACTTTGCGCTAGAATTTCCTCGGCAATGATCACGGCTTGTGGGAAAGATACTGGAGCTTTGAAAACGTCCCGGAACGTGGTCGTGAAGAAAGCTGCACTCGTGCGTTGGAGCGCGTCCCGGCCCTTGTCGCCTATCACCATGATGTTGGTCTCGACACCATCGGAGACGGGGCTTGCTGCGCCATGCGGGAGCATTTGGCGCGCCAGACGGCAGACGTTGGTGTTGACTGAACCACACAAGCCGCGATCCGAAGTAATAACGACCAAGAGACGTCGTTTCGGCTCCGCCACACCGGCCTTTGTCTCAGAACCGAGCTTCTCAAGTGGTAGCAAGTCAAAGAACTGACGCACGCTTGCCGCGAAAGGTCTGCTTAGATCCTGACGGGCCTGTGTACCGCGAAGCTTCGCAGCAGCCACCATTTTCATGGCTTTTGTGATCTTGCCGATCGATGCTATGGAACGCATGCGGTTCCTCACGGCTTTTAAACTTGCAAAGCGCACACCTCCGAGCGCCTTTTCATTGCTTGAGGACAGGAAGTTTCCAACACCACCACCACCACCACCACCACCACCAGGTGTGCTCGACTGCACGTGTGCACGCGCCGCTGCGTACACACGTCGCACGCTGCTGAGGCCGACCGCGCGGACACCCTGCATCCTGCAGCGTCTAGAGCGAAGCAAAAGCACTCTGAACTGAGTGAAATACTGAAGTTTCTGCCAAAGAGCTGCAGCCAGCGTTTGCTCGACAATCAACACGAGTCGAGACGCTGCACCCGAGGACGTGCCCTGTATGCGTGCCTGATATACAGGAATCAAGCGTGCGTGCGTGCGTGCGTGCGTGCCGCAGCCCACACGGAGCAATGCGCCAATCCGGACGGCATTCGCGCCGCGCTGCCGAGCGATCGCGCAGGCACCTGCATCCGCGCGCCTCGAGCTGACGTCCTCTGTGTGGTACGGCAACGCCGTTCTGTCTCTATGAACTATCCGCCCCAGCGGTTCAAGCGCAAAGGCGGATGATTAGGGCAGGTACTAGGCACAAAACAGAACGTATGAAACGACCTGAAAATCCGAGAAGAAGTATGGGTAGTGTAACTTGGAGGTAGGGCGTTTGATGGATACTTCACCGTGCACTGAACCCCCACAAAAAGAGAGGAAAAAGCACATAATCGGAGAACGCTGGCCTATGTAAACGTTTTGTCCACTAAAAAATACCTGCATCCGCGCAAGCGCACACGCCGCAGTCGATCTGGCCATGATCCGTGCAGTACCAGTGGCGCACTGCATGCATGTGGACATCATCATATGTATACATAGGATGAAAGACAGATACAGACAGCATGCACCTATGTGAGATTGGAATGGGACAGGTTCACTGACCGAAAGCAGGTGTATATGTTCATGATTGGAAAGCTCCTCACAAGGAAATTCAACCTCAGATTTGGCAGGCTTCATGGTCGACTGCTTCCTCTTTTCGCTTTTTTGTATCCGGTTTTGAATCCACCGGTCTGTCCTCCCGTCCAGCTTCGTTTCCAGCAGTCGAAGCACGTTCCCGCCGTATTTTATGCACAAGTGGACTTTGGCATCGACGTTTCGCTTGCCAGTTTCATCGTCTATGTCGATAGCTTCAGTGGACGCTTCGCAGCGGTGACGCGCTGCTTTGGTCAGGTGTTCCCGTATGTCCATTATACGGCGTCCTTCGCAGGCTGCCCTGTGGCGCCTGAACGCTTCCGTCATCGCTCGCTACATGTCCATGACTAGTAGAGCAGGCTCAAGTCGATTCGCACCTCCATTCCTGTGCAGTGCCGTGCAATACGATGATGGGCTTGTTTCCGGGCGCCCAGTCTGTGGGTAAACTGTCCGCTGCGCACGCAAGCGCACACTGTCCCGTTTGGTAGAGGATTTTGGGAACGCATTCTTGTGCATGATGAAACAGGTATCGGAAGCAGGGTCCAGGCTGGAGAACGAGTCGATACATGCCGTTGTGTCGACGCTTTCATGGAACAGAGCGATGACGCTCGCTCCACTGGGAGCGGTCGCTGCGATGGCTCAAATCCGAGTCAAAGATCCGTTTCCAAGCGAACAGAAGAGCAAGGATCCGCTGAGAGCGTGGACTCTGAAAGGCATCATGCTGGAACTGAGTATCGGGTCGTTGATGGCCAAAAAGAGATGAGGGCTTTTTTCTAACGGAATGAATTGTTTGACGTAAAAAGTTTAGTGAACATTCGGCATGAGCTTGTGAACAAGTCGTCAAAGGGTGACGTCGATTCTTGTTTGTCGTCAATCCAGGGGCGCGATTCGCTTCGCCCACGAGCTGCCGTGGAACTGCGAGATCGATAATTTGAAGAATGCGTGATTTGAGCATAGTGCACATAAGGGAAGGGAGAAGAGTTTAGACCTGTACATTTGCATTGGTTTATGAGGTCGCTTCTTTCATAAATCCTTGTACGATTCTGTCTCGAAACATCTTGATTTCGGTAACGTAACGATTTCCCTTAATATAGCGTTGAACAAGATGCATCGAAGAAATCAAAGACTAAGAATGCTCAAGCTACCTGTGAAAACGCAAGTCCTTTTTGCTTCACTCTGAGTGGCAATTCTATGTATCTAAAAAAAGTTGGGCAAGAAATCTCAACGCAGGGAGAGAGTAAGGAATGCATTGTTCCATTGGAATCCAAGAAGGGTGCAGTCGTTCCGCACCTCGTCTACCGTACTTGGTCGGTCCATGCCATCGGCATGCAGCCGAGGCAGAAATGATGCCTGTCTTTTACCGTATCAGATGCGTCGTTCGAAACAGAATACACCGGCTATGCGATTCCTACCGGCACCAGACGCTGGGATTGGTGTTCCTCTCCAGACGTCACGAGGCTCGACAAGTCTCATGCGAATGTGCCCATGAGGTACGGAGGAAAGATTGACGCAGCAACAGGGGTCGCGCTGGCGCCGTGCCCAGCGCTGCCAGTTGTTTTGACGCTGCGTACGCCATCGTTCTCAAGGTGCAGTAATTGTACGGCTGCGCAACGACGCACGTGCGTGGGAAGAGGCTCGAGGCCGTTGTGCACATGCGCGCCCACGATGCGTCTCATCTGTTGCGACTCGCACTCCGCGTGTACGGGTCAAAAATCATAGACTGCTGTCCATCTGTAGAAACCGGATATGCATCGGCGGCTGCAGGCACGCCCATGTTATGGTATGAAGAATCGCGATACGGTCACTAGCTAAGCGAGCGTACCGAATAAGGATTTTTTCCTTGAAAGGGCGGCGAACGTTCTCGCGCGGTTCAATGACGGAGCGGATCTTTGAGAATCGTTGGATCACATAGATAACACTGTGACGCGAGCGTCTAGCCAGGATCGCGCGTCGGCGTTCAAGTCTCTTAACAAGAGCCAGAGTTTCCGTCCTCGTGAGGTTGTCTCAAACAATAACCAGGGGACCTCGTTCTGAGAGAATTGAACAGGAGAACAACGCGTCAATTTTGTGGTTGCTCGCCTTCATTACTCGAAAGACAGCACGAGGAAAGCAGGTTCAGCTGGAGATTTTTTCGATCCTTTGCGATCGCGTTGTCATCGCAGAGACAAAAAGCGAGCAAAATTCTCATCCACAGAGATCAGACAAAGAAAGACAAGCTGAATGGGATCGTGCAATTGCTGTGTGTATCGCTTGCAGAGCGCCAACCGATTCGTGCACCCTTGAAGTCTCTATTGGATTGCGCATCACGCAACCGGTTCGAATTTATACCACAAGATAATCTGGCTTTGTCTATGCATGCACGTCGATATATAGAATCCTGCAAGTACAGAGGCCTCGACTCTGCAGGCCGCGTCGAGTAACACCGGCCCAGACGGCTATGCATGCGTACGAGCTGGCGATCCTGTGGATCGGGTGTGCGTCCTGGTTGCATGCACACGGCTCCCACGTGTCAACCAGGAACAGTCCCAGATATGCACACTTATCCGGGGAATGACATCTGCAGTCCGCTCTCTGTTACCGACAGCAGCTGAGCCCCATCCATAATGATTCACGCTCCTTGAGATCGGGGCGCTGGGGTTTCTGTCAGGTGCTCCAGCCGGTATCGTGCCGTTCGACCCGGGATCACGCTCTACCCGACGCTGGCACGGGAGTCGACATGCAAAGTGACATGAGGTTTTTCCTGGAGAGCGTTGCATCGGGGTAGATTCTGTCGTGGTTGCTCGTGCTCTCCGGTAGCATGCATCGCACTGTTCCATGGATCAAATCGTCATTTGCTTGTCGCCGGGCGTGCATCTGCGTCAGTGAGCTGTAAGGCATTGGAACGTTCCCTGAAAGCTGTGGCTCCGCACGGGTGTGCAGTCGTCGCTGGGTTCTTGCACAGGTACTGCGTTCACGAATGGACCAGTTAGGAGATCACGATGTGAGCGCAGCGTCCCAGTTGCAGGCAAGTGCGTCCACTAAGGAAGCTACGCGTGTTTGCGAACTCGGCGATGTGCAATACTGGGAAGCGTTCTACGCGAACGAACTGGAGCAGTTCGAAGAGAACCCTGAGGTTCTCGAGGATTGGTTCCAACGCTGGACACGACCGCATCTCGGTCGTTGGCTTCAACAGACAGCTGGGTGTGACGTCGAGCGGTTGCGGCTGCTCGACGTCGGCTGTGGTAACGGTGAGTTTCTACGCGAACTTGCGCACAAGTACGGTTTTCGACGCCTCTATGGCTTTGACGCTTCCATCTACGGCGTTCGGGTCGCGAAACGAAGTTTTGTCCAGCTCTGGGATGAGTCAGTCCGAAAAGAGGTTCAGCTGGACCTCCAGGTTAGTGACGTGCTTACGTATTCGCCGCCGACGAGCGACGGCCATGTGGAAATCGTGCACGACAAGGGCACTCTGGACGCCATCCTTCTCAGCGGCGACATGGCGAAAGTACATGCGTACATTGGTCGATGCATATTCGAATGGCTGAACCCAATTAAAAACAAGTCGATGCTCGTGATAACGAGTTGCAACTGCACCGCTGCAGAACTCGAACATCTCGTCATGTCCGTGTTCAAGTCGCACTGGCGAGATGCCTCCGATCAAGGCGGATCACCTGGCTGTGTCTTGCGGTGCCTAGAAGAAGTGCCTCGTTATCGCGAGCTGCAATATGGCGGACAACGCGGCAGCGCTGTTGTAACAAGTGCGTGGACCTGGCAGAGCCCAGGCGACATCATTATCAAATCGCCAACAAGCGTCTGAGTCTGTACTCGTGAACCGCTTGCGGCATGCAATCTGGCTGCAAATTTGCGGCTAATAGAGTATGCTACAACGACAGGTATTTTGAATTCATGCACGACGGCGGGCGTTGCGCCGATATGTGCAGGCTGAACCGCATGAAAAGATCACGAAAGAGGTTTTGCCTGCCGGATATCGCTGTACGCGGAATGCTGAGTTCTGCACTATTCATACCAGCATGTATATTTTGTTTTTGATTCTTTTTGTCGCAGGTGTTCAACAAAAAGAATGTTTCCTGCAGGTTGTCGAAAGGTTGCGGAATGACTTTATGCTGTCACCGACATTACGAGAAAATGGACCTGTCTCTACAAGTTAAGAATTCTGCTCTCAGCAGCTTAATGAACCACTCATCGCGTAGGCGTTGTCTTGAACGATGTGCACCTATATCAGACATTATCAGACTCCATTTACGCGGCTGTCTCCTTGTCAATCCACTCCAATCTGTAGACTGTCTAAGAAACACTGCCGAAGAAGCGATTGGGTATGAATTTTCCGTAGTGTTGATATGGGCGGTGATGAAGAGCCACGGATGGACGCAGAAAGAAGCGCGATTCTGTACGAGACCGTCATGCATTGCATCGTACATGATTGGTTTTGGATCGAAACGCAGAGGCTTATTACGGGAGCGATGAGTGCTCGCCTCACTCAACAAAAGGAAACGTTTCAGAGTTGAAGTAGTACCTGTCACGCTGAATCGTTGTGAGCTGTCCAGAGACCGAATTCGTGGATTCTCGAGTGTCCATTACCCTTGCAACATGTGCGCGCCAGAGACTAAGTGCTAACCGAGGATCCGTTCGTTCCTCTGGAAAAGATACAAGCTGAGCGTCTACTCATTTACCCTGATCGCTCAAATTGGTAACAGGATTCGTTGTTCATCGAGGCAGGCAAGCTGCGCGACACAAGTCGAGCTAGCGCTGCGAGAGATGCGAGTCTTGCGCGCCTGCTTGGCGCCGTTGCCTGGAAATGCTTTCACGAACTTTTGGGAAAGCGTCTCTCGGAGCATCGCTTCGTCGAACGACTACGGCAACAAATGGAAGCAAAACCTACCCCAATGAGGTGATCGATCAATAGGACGTTGTATTGTACCGTGGCAGTCTAGTCGACTTTCTGAAGGCTGTTTCCGACCCGGGTGCCGCCGGGTGCGTTCGCTTTCCCAATAGTTCGTGCCAGAGCACGATTCTCCGCTCGGATTCTACATGTGCTGGCTGTCCATATATAAGGATGAATAAAGATGGCGGAGTATCTTTGGTGCTCCTCAAAACGAGCTGGTAAATGAAACAGTCCGCTTCAGGATGCTCTTGGAAATACGTGACCAGCGATCGACCACTGAGCGTCGAGAAGGGTTGTCGAGCGCCAGTTTCCCTCCATAGAAGGCTCAATCCCCCCATGGGTGCACTGAACAACGAGATTCTCTTCACTAGGTGTGTCGCCATTGGTATCTTGCATTGCAAAGGCGAAAATCGAGAACCAATGGAGCAATATTCGGAAGATGTGGGAGCATCTACTCCAAGGTAATCTGCTCTGTTCCCGACACCCATCCTTTCGCTTCAAATACCAGAGCACATACCGTAGCATACGGAGAATCTGATTGCTCGCACTGACAAAAGTCTTTCTCAGACAAAAAATCATAGATGCCCTTTGTTGGCGAGACTCCTGCAACCGAGACTCTTTGCGTTACCGTCAGATCCAAGAGTATGGATTCATTCCCGGGTCCCGAACCGAACATGGTTCCCGGACGATGAGTGGTTCCATGTCTTGTCGGCGGTGAGTTATTCGAAGCGGACATCAGCTTAACGGTTTGCATATTAATCACCGTTGGGAGCCCCGATTGCAATCTCGCAATCACCTAAAGCTCAGTGCCGATGTAAATCGAGAACGCTGTCTTGATGCGCTTTCCTGTACCCGTGTCAGTATAGAATGGAGTGCTGAGCTGCATGCTCCATGCATGCCTGGCGATGTAGTTCCGAACGTTTCTAGATGCCCAGCATCGAGAGCCCAGGTACAGCAATGGGGGATCACGGATTCATTCGTACTTCTAGGATGATCGCTGGTCTGGTCGCGGGGGTCTCTTCGACGCCCGGCTGCTGGATTTCCTGGCGTCACCGATATCAAGATGCTTCACGACGCTTTCGTACGTGCGTTCGTCAACCAACCGATACAGTGACACCATGATACACTTCATTCGCACGTATCTCGACTCTTCTCCATTTCTGACATGCAGTATGTTTAAATCACGAAGTCTCTACATGATCGATCTTATATTTTGGGGCTCAAGGCAACTCGTGTGCGCACTGCGAGACGTTCAGCGGGGCTCGCAACGCGAGAAACCCCGACGTGTCGTCCTCTGACGCATTGTTCACGAGCGCTTGCTGAACGTCCACTGGCCTTGTCACGTCAAATGATCGATTCATTTCGGAAAACAAATCCTCCTTTCGTGATGACCAGTGAAGAATCGACATTCAGTACCAGCGTGATGCCTCTCAGGGCGCGTTGGTGCTGCTGCTGCTGCTGCTGCTGCTGGTGCCAGAAGCGCTCGTCTCTCCTGTTCTCGCATGGAAAAGTGGACTGAAGCGGACTGGGGTCATCGCAGCACTCGGTACCAGTAGGGCATGCGCCACCGCTACGTACGAGACAAGCGTCGACGGATCGGAGTCTATCGGCTTGTTCTCCGGTTTGAACGTACGTTTCTGTACACGTTTCATGGCGGACTAGATTGCATTCCATAACTCCTCCGCCGAATCGAACAGCGTGCGCTTGCGCCCACAGCCGATACAACACTCGCTGAGGATATCGCTCAGCTGAAGCGGATGATCCCAGTGTAGGGTACGGGGCTCGGGAACGGAAGCGAGCGCCTCGCTGGGTGCTTTCAGTATGCGTCAAGGGCATCCATCGAGTGATGCCGCGAGCGTTCACGCGCTGCAGGACAGCTCGTGGGGGCGGCGTTGTCGAGGACGTATTCGATCGCCTGCTGACCACAGCCGAGTGTCACTGGTGTGAAGGACGCACTCAGATGTGTACGAAGAAGACATGGGAACTGTGACTTGCGTCTATGCATGCAATACGTGAAAAACTGCAGGATGCTGTGAACTCTGGACTTGAGCGCTGCCGTCATCACCCTTTGACTGCTGTAAACGATTTTAGAGGACAAGAGACGTCCAAGGTATTGCAATCCGCTCGTAAGAGAACGGTGGAGAATCTAATTACAGAACAAACCCCATATAGGCTGGAGTTGATGATCGTGTCAAGATACATAAACCCCGAGTGCGTGCAACCTAGTACGGTCAGAGCACCGTCCATTTCCATTCTGAAAAGTACCTAATCCATATATTCCATATTTTATACAATTGTACCAACTTGATAACGGGCGTCCATGTCGACCTCCATGGCGAATCGAAATGCGCGGCGCCATTCGCGCGCGCGGGTACGATATTGGCGCGGAGCACTCGGGTGTGCCCTGCACCGAGTCCTCGTTAGTTCCAGAGGCGCTATCGCGGGCCCTTTCACAACTGCCCGGCAGAGGACAAGGCTCATGCACATCCACTCGATCCGAATCTGTGGATGGAAGTCATATAAGGACGAAACGTTTATCGGTCCGTTTCACGAAGGGTTAAACGTCGTTGTCGGGCGCAATGGTTCAGGAAAATCGAACCTGCTCGAAGCCGTGCGTCTGCTACTTGGGGACGCGGGACCCGGTCTCAACGCCGAGCAGCGGTCTGCTCTTCTACATGAAGGCCCATCTGGGCGTGTGCTATCTGCGTTCATAGAAGTCACTTTCGATAACAGTGACGGGCGTCTGCCAATCGAACGTTCCCGGGTTGTGCTCAGGCGAATGTTTGGGTTGCAAAAAGACGAGTATCTGCTTGATCGTCGGAGTGTCTCCCGAGCTGAGGTTACGGCTCTCTTTGAGAGTGCCGGATTCTCTCGTTCAAATCCGTACTATATCGTGCAACAGGGAAAGGTCGCTGCTCTCTGTACGATGAAGGACGATCAGCGACTTGAGCTCCTGAAGGAAATCGCTGGCACACGCACCTATGAGGAGAAGCGTGCCGAATCCCTCCGCATCCTTGAAGAGAGCATCGGAAAGCGAGCAAAGATCCGCGAGATTCTGGAGTATATTGAGAAACGGCTGCAGGAACTTGAAAATGAGAAGGAGCAATTGGTTGCTTATCAGCAAGTTGACCGCGAAAGGCGCTCGCTGGAGAGAGCTATATACGAGCGCGAGCTCACCGAACTGAAAACCCAGCTGGAGTCTTTGGAGCATGAGCGACAGCATGAAGGCGTTCAACTCGGTAAGATGCATCAGGAGTGCCGGCGTCTTGAGGTAGAGCTTGAGGAAATTGAGCAGCGTATAGCCGAGATAGAAAGGGAACGAGCGCGTCTCGAGGTGGACCAAAGCTCGGTGAAGCTGGAGTTAGTCAAAGCGGCAGAGCAGCGCAGTGCGCTGGAAACTGAATTGGCGCTCGTAACGCAGCAGCTAGAAAATGAGACGATCGAGCTGGATCGAGTGGAGCAAAAAATCCAGACACTGCGGCAAGCAGCACAGCAGCGCCGCGCTGAACGTGATCGCATTCTTCCAGAGTATGAACGTCTTCGAGAACAGGAACAGCATCTGCGGACCGCGATGGCTATGACGCAACAGGAGCTTGTGCAGCTCCAGGCACGAGAAACACGAGACGTCCAATTTAGAACAGTCGATGAATGTAACGCATGGTTCCATAACGAGATTGCACGGAACGAAGAGCTGCGACATGAAACGCGATCCCAGTTGCAGGAAACGGAACGAGAAATTCATCGTCTTGAATTTGAGCTATCGAGTATAGCCGAGCGTCGCAAAACTAATGAAACCCAATTTGCCTCGGATCGTGAACAGTTGAACGCGTTGAATGCGCGTCTAGCCGAGTTAAAACGTGAGCGCAACGAAGCGCATCGAGCACGTCAGGAACTATGGCGTCGAGAAGCAGAACTCGAGAGCTCGCGTGCTACGTTGCTATCCGAACTCACGGAGAGCGAGCGCCGCAAACGCATGTCGGTCGGAAGCAAGTTTCTCAACGCGTATCAGTATATCTGCAACCTGCAGTACAGCGGTACGATCTACGGCCCACTCTATACGCTCTTCGAGACGGATGAAAAGTTTTACGTCGCCGTCGAGGCTGCAATGGGGTCGGCGCTCTGCTACATCGTTGTAGATACCGATGAAACCGCGGCATATCTCATTCAAAGGCTACGCGAAGCCAATGCAGGCCGGTTAACCTTCATTCCTCTGAACCGGGTACGAGACGATGCATCAGACGCCGCGAAGCGCAACTCTATGAGCCCGCCACCCACCGAAGAGGCTGTTCCGTTGGTTTCGCGGCTGCGCCTACGCGATGAGCGCTTCAGCCCTGTATTTGAGCGCGTGGTGGCTGGAACGCTCATTGCTCGCTCCATATTAATCGCATCGAAACTGGCTCGCGGGTACAATGTGCCTTGCGTGACCCTAGAGGGCGACCTTGTGAACAAACGCGGGGCAATGCACGGTGGATACACGGATCGGCGCCAGTCTCGACTTGCCTCGCTGCTGCGTTACGACAAGATCCGCATCCAAATTCAACAGATTGAGTCCGAGCGTGAGCAAATCCGAGCACAACTTGCCGCACTGGAATCGCAGATTCAGCGGACGATGAACGAACTCCAGAAATCCGAAGCTGAAAAGCGCAACCTATTCAATCAGTTGCGCGACCATCAACGTGCGCTCACCCAACTGGATCGTGAGAAGCTCTCCATTGAGGCTGCGCTCGAGACTGAACGGCAGCGCATGCAAACCCTGCAGCGACATGTTCACGAATATGAACTGGTGCTCAGCAGCTTGCGCGATGAGTTTTCGGAACGGACCGCAGCACTCTCATCCTCATCGTCATCACCTACACCGCAGACAGCGATTTCTGCAGATGCCTTCGTTGCCCGGCTTGCTGCACTCGAAAAAGAGCTAGAATCAGTCGCTGCAGCACGTGCTACCCTCGAGCAGCGTCTCGTCGAGATTGAAAGCGAGTTGGAAACGTGCATCGAGCGTCAGTTGCGGGAGCTGGAGAAACGTTTTCTTCGCGAGACTTTCGAGGATGCACCGGAGCTCTTCGATTCAGCGTCCGGCATCTCTGTGCCAGTCGCGTTGCAGAGCGATCCGGATGAAGCGCCTCCGTCTATAGCGGAGCTACAAACACGTCAGACGAGCTTGCGTAGAGAGCTCGAGACGCTTGGCAGCGTGCTCCAGGCCCAGCGAGTCTCGCAGGATCGCATCGCTGAGGCGCTTCAGCGCACAGCCACCGAACTTGACGCCCTCGCTCGAAAGCGTGACTCACTGGAGGCACAACTTCCCGTAGCCAAGGAGGCCCTCGCCACCGAAAGCCAGCGCCTACAAATCCACGTCGCACGTCATACGCATCTCCAGCAACGCAAAGCGGAGACCGAGCGCAAACTGCGGGAACTCGGACCTGCTCCCGCCCAACATCACGAGCTCGCCCATGTGCCGCTGACAACGCTCATGCAACGTCTGGAGGCGACAAATACCCGCCTCAGCCAGTTGGGCCAGGTTAACCAGAAAGCGCTCGAACAATATCTGGTGTTTGCGAACCAACGCGAGGAGCTGCGCACCCGCCTTGAGGAACTCGATCGTGGCGACGACTCGATCCGAACGCTCATCCATACCCTGGACCATCGACGAGCCAACGACTTGCAACGCACTTTCAAAGGAATCGCCAGACTCTTCTCTGCTGTATTCGCTGAGCTGGTCCCCGGTGGTACGGCCCAGCTCGTCATGCAACGAGGTCCGCATCCGACTGCGTCCGATACCACCGACACGAACGTGGACTTTGCCGGGGTCGCTATTCGTGTGCGCTTTCCATCGGAGGATCACTTCAGCTTGATGGCGGCGCTGAGCGGTGGCCAGAAAACCCTGGTAGCCCTGGCTTTGATCCTGGCCATTCAACGTCTGGACCCTGCCCCTTTTTATCTCTTCGATGAAATAGACGCCAGTCTCGACGCTGCCTCGCGCGAACGCATCGCAGCGCTTTTGCAGCAACGACAACCAGGCCCTGATGCTGGTCATGGAACCGAAGCGTCTGCAGCACGTTCATCCGTCTCGCGTCCACAGTTGATTCTCACCACATTTCGCCCGGAACTCGTTCGTGTTGCGGATCGCTGCTACGGCGTTACGATTCGTGGACGTGTATCGTGTGTTGAGCCCGTCTCCGTGGCGGAGGCTTTAGCTTTCGTCACTGGACCAGCGTCGTTGCCCATCGACGCCACGAACGAGCAAGTTGCGATACTCGCACCTACCGGGGATACGGAATCGGGTACCGCACCAGATATGCAACCAGTTGCAGGCGGCGAACGCACATCGCTTCTCCAGGCCAGTTATGAATGAATGAACGAACGAACGAACGAATGAATCACACGCACTCACACAAACGATCAAGGATGTGCTGAGGTTTCCCACTGTTTGTACAGGGTATCGCGGATGCCTGCTCCGTTCATGGCGTGCGTGGTTTGCGCGCCCTCGATCCAGGTAAAGGTACTTGCAGTACCACGCTCCATACCAATGAAAACGCATCGCCACGACATAATTTCGTTTCCTCTCGCCTGCCTTTTAGACAGCATCGTCGTTTTCTGAGGGAATACGCTGCGCTCCACTATTCGTCGTCGGCGACTGCGCTTGACTCGGGGTACCACGTCGACTCGCGGCACTCGACAGATGCAAACGATACAAAAGTCGTCGAACTGGACGCGAGAAGCGCGACGGATTCAAGCGGGACTCGAGCGAGCCCCGTCCACCGGCAATACCGACTGCAGCACCAGCAGGTGCCTCGTTGGTCTCCGGCGATACCTCCACGCCAACTGGTAGCGTTTTCTGGTCCGAGGTGTCAAGCTTCCAGCGGTTTGGTGTCTGCAGCAAACGTCGGTATCGCTGATAGAAACGATCCGCGATTTTGCAAACTGCACGCATAAAGAGGAGGCTACCGCCACCGCGCCGGCGAAAAGAGAGCGTATAAACCAGCGGTGGTCGTTGTGCGCGACTCGCAAACGCACGTCGATGATACTGGAACTCGCCGCCACAGCAACAGAGGTAGCCATCATCGTCACGTGGTGGCCCCGCTACCAGTGCAACACTGAACTTGATGTCATGTTCGGGCCAGTAACAGCGCAGCGTCCACCGATACCGGCGATGCAGTTCTACACAGAGACCCGGATGAAAATGGATGTCGCCATCGCTCAGCACACTGGACATGGTCTGTAGGGCCAGCGAACCCCCGTCCGCTTCGATGCTTTGGAGAATGGAGGCGTCACAGAGGGCGAAATCGCGGACATCCATCTGGAGAGGCCGCTCCCATGCTGGATCGCTCCCACGGACTCTGGAATAGCCTAGCGCATTCGCCGCATTTGCAGTACTTGTACCGGCGACAGTACCGTCTGGAGCCGCGGCAGACATTCCCCCAGCAGCAGCAGCAGACGCTGTCGTTGGCTTGGGCGTTGTGTCCGCAGCGGCCGGCGAGTCGGCTTCGACACCAGTGAAAAAGGGATGCGCGAGCAGCGCTGCCGCTTCAGGACGCTCAGCTGGCGGTACCAGAATCCTGCGAATAAGGTCCTGGGCCAAGGGCGACGCCAGGCGCATCGGCGCATATCGACACTGCACAATCGCCGGAATGAGTCGGTTGAGATCCTCCTCGGGGAACGGCGGATGACCCTCGAGTAACCAGTAGAGGATCACACCACAGGACCAGACGTCGACCTTGGTGCTCTGATAGACTTGTCCTTGTACCAGTTCTGGGGCGAGGTTATAAAGCGAGCCAACTAGGTTCGTCTCGAACATATCCCAACCGGCACTGAACAGTCCAACTTGTCCGAAATCAGCAATTTTCAATTCACCACTATCCAGGAGCATGAGGTTGTTCAACCGCAGATCCCGATGACTGACCCCATGTGCATGACAGAATGCCACCGTTTCAACAAGTCGACGCACGAGGAAGCGCACTTCCGCCTCATCTAGTAGCGGTTCTGGTTTGTTGCGATCCAGCTGCTCCGACGTACGACACAGGCGGGCGTAAGCGAACTCGTACACGCTGCCACCTCCGCACAGCTCCATGACGAGGTAGACGTTGCGGCGGGATTCGAGTACCTCGTGCAGATGGATCACGTTGGGATGGCGGGCAACGACCTGCATTGCTTGCACCTCACGATCGATACGCGCAAACTCCACAAACTTGCCTCGACGGATCATTTTGATGGCGTACCGGCGCCCGGTGTAGATATCACGAGCGACGTGAACGCGCCCCTCGGAGCCTCGTCCTAGTAGCCGACCAATCTCGTAGCGTCCAACGCATTCCATTCGATTCTTTTGGCGAACATACATACGGGTTAGGAGATCAGCGAGGCTCATGAATTCCTCCGTCGTCAAAAAGTGGCGACTATCCCGATGCGATACCGACAGGCTCGCTGCCGGCGAGAACGAGTCCACAATGTTATCCAAGAGGCGTCGAAACGCTTCCGTAGTTTCATCGTTCGGGAAAGCGAGATCATCGTGGCGCCGGTTCGCGAAATCTGCCTCGAAGACGTCGATGCAGTCCTCCCAGAGCATTCGCAAAACCGCCGCTATGCCGTGCATGTCCACGATGTTGCCGCTCTGGATTTCATCTTCTGCGGAACGCATCGTGCTACGCTCGTCGAGACATGCACCTGGGGGCACGGCAGCGGGCATAAGCTGCCGCGTGCTCGCACCCACAAGGCTAGCGCTAGCCATAGGCGTCGAGGTAGGCGCACGCCCATTCTGTGTGTGCGTGTGAAGCGTACACTGCTCCGCACTCGATACCGAGGGATTCGCACATCGCAGCCCCTGAAGCGTCTCAGGCGTCTGGAGCTCATTCCGAATCCGACCACCAGTCGCCAAGCGCAAGAGCCATACGCTAAAGTTCTTGCGCTCTTCGTCGTTGTCCTCCATGATCTCTGCGAGTTTCACAATGTCGTGGCGAAGCATGCGCGCAGCTGCTTCGAGACTGATCGCCGCCTCGGTCAGGTCGAAATGCTCAAATCCAGCTGCTGTTTGACGTTCAATGAAGGTTCCCGCCATCAACGCCGTATGATCCACGTGTGCGGAGGCGTCGTGCGGGTCCATCGTTGGCCACGAGCGCGTGCGGCGGATGGCCCCTAGATCGAATTGATCAAATTTGTCACAGATTCGATCTTCGCCCCAGGGCAGCAGCTTGTGGATGGTGTAGAGTTGCCAGCGGTTTGCGCGGCGCTCGAGTCGCTCGACCTCTTTGACTTGAGCCTGTATCCAATCGCTTTGGGCTAATTCCCGCGAGCGTCCGGTTGCAGAGGACCGTTGCGCTCTAGCAGTGGTCGACGACGCTGTCGTCGTGGCAGACGTGGTGCTCGTTTGGGCGCTCGCGCTCGTCTGCATCTGTCGGTACGCTTCGCTGCTGCTCGCTTGCGGTGTCCGTTCGGCGAGCAGGTTGTTCGGGGCGGACGCTGAGTCCGCTGCTTGGGCGATGGGTGCCTCAGAAGCTGGCGCAGAGCGCTGATCACGAGCTGCTACACCATGAGAGGCGTGATTCGCGGGCGTCCGCCGTAGCACAACGCTCGAGTCGTTCGAGGTCGAGTCCGAATCCTCGAAGGAGCTACGTTCATCATCGCTCTCGTCAAAGTCTTCGTCCTCGTCACTTTCATCATCACTCATTCTCGTATCCTGGTCATCCTGATGACTATCGCAGGCGCCCACACGATCCGCGGCAGGTACCGCGCTGCTCGATGCGCTGGCGTGCTGCATTGAGCCTGGCAGATCCTGCATAACACGCCCAGCAGCATACGCTGCAGCGTTTTCGCTGGACTGCTGCTGCTGTTGCTGTTGCTGCTGCGGTGGATTCTCCTCATCATCATCCTCCGCTGTTTCATCTTCGGCGTTCGCCTGATTGTCGCTGCTTGCAGAATCTGCGTCCGGATCCCCCTCGGTGTCGTTCCATGTGTCAAAATCGAGCGATGTGGCCGCCTCTGGCCCGATCTGTGCTCTGTTGTTCGTTTGCCCCAGATAAATGCGGCGCACGTCGACATGTTCCACGCAACGTCGAACACTCTTCAGCGTGAGGATGCCACGGCTTTTCACGACGGAAGTTGAGAACAGAGCGGCCGCTTTCAATGCTCGTAGACGCGTTCGGCTGCGAAGCGTTAAATCTCGTCGGCACTCTTCGCGGAACCGCTGCCACTTGTGGAGAATCGATGCCAGGCTCTTTTCATAGAAAATTCCTCTCTTGTCGGGGTCTGCAAAATACAAGGTCGCCACCGATACCGGAATTGCCGTGGCGAAGCTGAAGGTCGCATCAGGTGCGTATGCGGCATAATTCCCGAACAGCGCGTGATCTTGCGCAGTGTGAACCTCGGGGGCATATCCATCACCAGACGCACCAACACGAAGCTCTTTTGATTCCGTTGCAGTGTCCGCTGGACGCCAAGGCGCTGAACGCGGCGGTGACCCTAGGCTCGTTTTGGGAGGCGCAGATTCTAGCTGCGCTGAAATCGCGGCGCTTTGCTCTGCTTGGATACTGGGATCCATGCTCGTCTTCGCTTCCAAAATAGTTGCCATCCCAGTTGCGTTATTGGAAAGAGCCGCACGCATACCTTTCTCGGATACGGTCCGAGGACCGGCGAAACTTTCCTCCTCGGATCTGACCTGAAAGCAAGTCTGTGACTGGCTAGGTGTTCCGGTTTCTAGAAGCGACGGCTCCCGTGCTGCTTCATCATCCATCGTATCCGCCCTTCCGAGGGATCGAAGACTCAGACTCGATGACTGGTGCCTCATTGATCTGGAGTAGCGCACTCCGTCTTTCATGAAGCGGTGATCTCGCGGCTGCGATTTGCGCCAGCTACTAATGCGTGATAGTTGAGGCGAGCTAGGAAGCGAAACCGAGAGTGCCCCCGCCTCTTCCGACGACTCTGGTGAAGCGCTCGATCTCGAGTCGTCTGCTGCTTCCTGGCGGGCGTGAGCACGTAGCCGGGCAATCTGAACCCCCGCGCTCTGCGCTATTCCAGCCTTGGCATCTGACTCAGCGTACTGAACTGGTACAGACTCATGAACAGTGGTGGCCGAGTTGGAAACAACCCTCCCGTGCAAGGGCTGGAAGCCAGCGACCGGCTCTGACGACTCATCGAGCACGAGTACGGGAGGCTCCACAGCCGGCAGCGCAGCGTTGAACGTGTTTGGATACGAAGTCGGCTGCAAAGTGGAAAGGTTCATGTTCGCTTCACCTACAGTTAAACTGGACGCAGTCCTTGCTTCCGAAAGCTCGGGCGGCGCTGGTGCTCCGAGCCCGACCATTCTGCCGTAGACTGTTTCCACTATGGTCACGGCATCAAGTGGTCGACCTGCTGCGATCTGCATCAAATGAAAACGGCTATATGTGAGCCCTGGTGACCCTATGGTTCCCTGGACACCCTCACCAGGGCCTCCGGGCTCGCTTGCGCCCCCGCGAGGGTTCCCCGTCGCCAACGCAGCAGCAGCACTCGTAGCCCGGAGCAACGGGGTGGTGTGGTGACTTCTCCCCACCGTCGCTCCACCAGAGCCTTCGCTCGGTCCTGCAGCGTCGCGCAAGGTCTCGGCTCCTTGAGCCTCACCGGAATCCAGCGTTTGGCTCAAACGCGGACAACAATTAGTCTTGGGACTGTCGGTAACGGCTCCCGTTTCCTCGTCTCTACTGGCATCCTGAAGGTGCCCTGACGGGTTCCGCAGCGTACGACTTTGCTGCTGGCCCATTTGCGGGTTCCTGTGACCAGTCGTAGGACGCCAACGTGCAGGTTCCAAGTACCGACTTGGACGCCCCGTAATAGCGTAAGCTTAGCATCCACAGTTACGGTACGGTGCGATGCCGGCGCCCGGTTTGTGCACTGCATCATGTGTCCTTTATATACATATTAGATTATAAATATACATCTATTTCAGCATGAACAGAGTCGCCTGGGTCGCGCGCAACGCCTACCGCCCCGAACGTGTCAGGCGCCGAGGTCCGCTCGAGCGCGCAAGGAGCGCTGATCCATCATGACTGGAATGACCCATTTATGGATATTATGGCACAAAAAGTCGCTGTATCTATACAACATCGCTTGGATGCGCGATCGTGATTCTCGGGCCTGCGGATGCAGCTGCGTACATCTCGAGACGTGCCTTATTCGCACCAGACTAAAGCCAATTTTTTATTTGGACGTCGAGGAAAGACCCGATGAGCCGCAGCGACTCGTCGACTCGAATCACACGCTCGTGCGGATTGCGTGGGCGATGGAGCGGCTCTGGGAACCGCATCGATCCTGCCTTGAGACGAAGGCATGTTCTGTCCGCAGCGACATGCGACACGAGGTACGGGTCTGCTTGTCGCAAGGCAGACGCCGGACAGCGCCCCGTCGCAAGATCCTGAATGCACCCTGCTAATCTCTTGATGTTGTGGAATCAGTAGATCTAATCAGATGCCTCTCAGTGCGCGAGCGCGGTCGGTAACCAGGAAAGCGATCACCATGTGACACAGGAGGCTTCCATGCACCATACGCTTGGGAAGTGCAGCAATCCGATGGATGCACGTATGGCCAAGTTCCATCTCTTAAGCCCCCGGTGTGTTTCGTGGCGTTTAACCCGAGTGCCATTGTTTCACGACGGGTCTTCACTGAGGCGAATCCATTGGGAACCGACGCGCCCTGGGCGAGCGATGAGCACGAGTCGCCCATGCAGCTGCATCGTTGCTGAACAGCACCGCTGAGAACAGTAGAAACAGAGGACGGCATGCGTTCTACAGCCGTCCGGAGTGAGCGTCGGGCTTGATCGTTACTAAACGATGCGATATATAAACATTTTCTCGGATGGTTTTCCGTTGCTACGGAAAGATCGCAAATGCTTATGTGTTCAGTGGAAAGAACACGTCCCGCGACCATAGCGTGCATAAATGAATCGATGCAGAGACGCCTTCCAGCCGTTTTCGACCGGCCGACTCCGATCGGGTTCATTTTCTCCCTGTAGATTTCGAACTTAAGAGGCTGCCCCACAAATTTGGATCTTCTCAGCTCCTCGAGTCCCGTCTCCAACACCACACATCGTCTGATATTGATGGCGGCGTTGAAGTCTCGGTTCACGAACTCCTGGCGTGCGTTGTCTCTGACTGAACTAATCATTTCAAGGATGCTGCGGCCTCGTGCCCTCAGTACCATTTGGTGCTGTGTCAGCTCAACGTCTTTTCCGGTCACTAGAGCGCTCCCGCTGGCTTCTCTCCATTTCAACCTTCTGACATGTAGACCCCAGCTCATCCCATAATATATTTCTGAGGGGTTTTCCTTAGGCTCTAAGATGAGCAGCCTCCCGCAAGCATAAGCACTTGCTCACGAGCGACGATACGTTCCCCCGTGTCACCGTGCGCTGAACGCTTCCGCGATTCGCCTAGTGAAGCTATCATAATGTTTCACGATACAAAACGCACCTTCGATGGCGTTCAACCACGGAGCGTACGGAGGAATCAAAAGCAGTTCTACCTCCGATACCATCGGCAAAAATCGAATTCGAGGAAATTGGAGAAAATCCACGTTGTCGAATAGAAGGTCGTCGCCAGACCTCAGCGAAAAGTATTCAATGATTCGACAAAGTGGTTGGTGCCTTTGCACGAGCCCTCACTGGGAGCAAAACTGAGGCCGCCAAATGAATCCACCACATCAAGAATAGATGGTGATGTCATCTTGCTTTTCGAGTTCGATTCTACATACAACGGTCTCCGTGTTCCGCGAATGCCCATACACACTCCGACGGTTTCGTTCGAAGAAAGTCTCATCGGATGAAAGAAACAACCGACGTTACTGTGCTTCATACTGATCGCGACGATCCATGAACGCTGCCGTTGCGATTTCGGTGGAAGATGGCCGTATGTGAACTAGAACATTTTTTGCAGCTGCGTCCCATTGTATTCAGGACCATACGAACAAGCTGTTAGGATCAGAGATGTGCGTGGTGGCTACGATCGTCGCTTTTGCTTTCCTTAACGTGATCAACGGGTGGTTCGCCACCATTGACCACAAGCAATCTTTAAAACTATCGGTTTTTGGTGCGGTCCGTATATGCGTCGCTCTTTCAAAGTTCCTCAACCACTTGAATACTGTGGTACGACTGACCGGGAGGATGAATTTTGTCCTCGTCGCACTGTTCATTACGGAATACGTATCCTGCAGACGACTTGCCTACGATCTCTGTGCTACATTCCATCGTCTGTTCGGTCCCCTGCGATGCACCGCACCAGGGGTGTCACAGAATTGATATGAAAGACATGCCGAATGAGCCTGATCGGCATTTTTGCAAGACAAGCTGCGCTGATCACTGATATACTTTTTATACCTACGCGTGCGATCATATACTTTTCCTGTCGATGTACGAGGACTCCGTATTCATGTGATGCACTCGTTGTACAGAGTACCGACTCGAGCCGCACGCAAAGTTGCCGGAGCATACCTGCTTCATGCATGTATCCATACAAAGCGCACGCACACACGCACGCACACACGCACACACGCACGCCTGCTGAATCGCGTGCGGGCAGCATTCGCGTTGTGAAGCGCTCGACCGCTTGTAACGGTAACTGGGCAAAGGTATGACGCCGTCTGAGCACGATACAGGCAAGGATCCCGCTTTGGGAACTGATGCTGCTGGTCCATCTACGGAAAAGAAAAAGCCTGGTGACTACCTTACGGCGATTCTGGACCGGAAGAAGGCTCCGAACCGGCTGATTGTCGACGAGGCTACGCAAGATGACAACTCAATCGTGTGTCTGTCGCCGGCGAAAATGGAAGAACTGCAGCTGTTTCGTGGGGATACGGTGCTACTGAAAGGGAAAAAGCGTCGTGATACTGTATGCATCGTCCTGGCCGACGAGGAGTGCGAAGACGCCAAGATTCGTATGAATCGGGTGGTGCGCAACAACCTGCGCGTGCGCCTTGGCGACCTGGTAAGCGTGCATACGCTGCCTGACGTGAAGTACGGGCGGCGTATCCACGTGCTTCCGTTTGCGGACACCGTCGAAGGGGTGACTGGAAACCTCTTCGACGTCTACCTGAAACCTTATTTCTTGGATGCGTACCGCCCTGTTCGTAAGGGCGACACGTTCCTCGTGCGAGGATTTCGCTCGGTCGAGTTCAAGGTCGTGGAGACGGATCCTGATGAATACTGCATAGTAGCTCCAGATACAGTGATCCACTGTGAGGGTGAACCCATTAACCGAGAGGACGAGGAGCGTCTGGACGACGTCGGGTACGATGATATCGGAGGTGTTCGCAAGCAACTTGCGCAGATCAGAGAGCTAGTGGAGCTGCCGCTGCGCCATCCGCAGTTGTTCAAGAGCGTTGGGATCAAGCCACCGCGGGGAGTGCTAATGTACGGGCCGCCTGGCTGCGGAAAAACGCTCATTGCCCGCGCAGTCGCCAATGAGACAGGAGCATTCTTTTTTCTCATCAACGGGCCAGAAATCATGAGCAAACTGGCTGGTGAGTCGGAATCGAATTTACGCAAGGCATTCGAAGAGGCCGAGAAGAACGCCCCCTCCATCATCTTTATCGACGAAATCGATTCTATTGCACCGAAAAGGGAAAAGTCGCACGGCGAGGTGGAACGGCGCATCGTATCACAGCTCTTGACGCTGATGGACGGCTTGAAAAGCCGCTCCCATGTGATCGTCATCGCAGCTACGAACCGGCCGAATTCAGTGGATCCTGCACTGAGGCGTTTCGGACGTTTTGACCGCGAGATCGACATTGGTGTTCCCGATGAGAACGGACGGCTGGAGATTCTGCGTATCCACACGAAGAACATGAAACTGGACCCGGATGTTGATTTAGAACGCATCGCACACGAGACTCAAGGCTTTGTGGGCGCGGATATCGCGCAGTTGTGCACAGAGGCCGCCATGCAATGCATCCGAGAGAAGATGGACATAATCGACCTGGAAGATGAGAAGATTGATGCTGAAGTGCTCGACTCGCTTGCAGTGACGCAGGAGCACTTCAATTTTGCTCTGGGCACCACGAATCCGAGCGCTTTACGCGAGACTGCAGTTGAGGTGCCCAATGTGACCTGGGAGGATATCGGTGGACTGGAGAATGTCAAGCGGGAGCTACAGGAGACTGTGCAGTTCCCGATTGAGTATCCGCATTTGTTCGAGGCATATGGTCTGTCTCCGAGCCGCGGGGTCCTTCTTTACGGACCACCAGGTTGTGGTAAGACGCTGCTAGCAAAGGCGATTGCGAACGAGTGCCAGGCTAATTTCATTTCAGTGAAAGGACCCGAACTGCTGACCATGTGGTTCGGTGAGAGTGAGAGCAACGTTCGCGACGTCTTCGACAAAGCACGACAGGCAGCACCCTGCGTGCTCTTCTTCGACGAGCTGGACGCCATTGCTCGCTCCCGGGGTGGCAGCCTGGGCGACGCTGGAGGTGCCGGTGATCGCGTCATCAACCAGCTCTTGACAGAAATGGACGGTGTTGGCGCGCGAAAGAACGTTTTCGTAATCGGCGCCACCAACCGCCCGGATACCTTGGATTCCGCAATCATGCGGCCGGGTCGTTTGGATCAGCTCGTTTACGTGCCGTTACCCGACCACAAATCTAGAGTGGCTATCTTCAAGGCGAATCTGCGGCGATCACCTGTCGCCGAAAACGTGGACTTTGATGAGCTGGCCACCGCGACTCAGGGCTTCTCCGGCGCCGACATCACCGAAATCTGTCAACGCGCCTGCAAACTCGCGATTCGCGAGACTATCAGTAAGCAGATCGAGAAAAAGCGTGCAGATGCCGACATTCAGGCCATGGAAACTGACAGCGGCCCGACTGCCGTCCCGGTGCTCGACGAGGAGCCCGTCGATGCCTTGCTGACTCGGGCACATTTCGAGGAGGCGATGCGCCATGCACGGCGCTCGGTGAACGATGCCGATATCCGCAAATACGAGATGTTCGCGCAACAAATCCAACAGAGTCGAGGTTTCGGTGAGTTCAAGTTCAGCGATGCTTCTGGAACCGGGTCCGGTCCAGGTCTATCGTCGGAGACAGCAGCACGGTTTGGTAGCGGTGGCGGTGGCGCTCCGGGCTCGGCACCAGGCGCTGGTGGTGGTGGTGGTAGCGGTGGCCTCGCGGGCACTGGTAACAACAACAACAATGCACCGGACGATGATCTCTATAGCTGAAAAAAGGCGTGGAAGGTGGATGGAACGGAGTGTGCGTACCGCGAATGCGACCCAGGGCTGATGACGTAAACCATACCTGTTTGCACATACCGTGTCGGAGCTATGCAAGCGCCATGCAATGTTTGTTTCCTGGTCAAGCGTCCGTGGATTGAACCAGACTTGTCCGGATACACGAATGGTGTCGTTCATCACCAAGGCATGGGTCTGGCGTCTTCGAAAGCTGCATTCGTGTTCCATCAGCGCTATACCAGCGTTCGCATCGGACTTCGAGGCAAGATCCTATGCACATCGGAAAGCGGTGCGAATCGTGGACATCGTCCACCGAAATGGCGGCTTGGTGATGCCCGTACGAGCATCTACGCGACGCAATCCAATGCCATGGTCCGTTGCTTTGGATGCCTTGCTGGTGACCTTGGAAGTTGTGGAAGTACGTGCACTGGTTCCTCCCGCTGGGCGATACGTCCGCTGCTCCAGGTCGGTCGAGTCTAGCGCAAGGCCGCAAGCTGCTTCCAGAGACAACAAGCCCTGACCTCACTTTGATCGCATTTACTTGTTCCGGGGCTTGGTTTTGTCGAGTCGGTGCCTGGCGACGCGCGAGCAAAGCTTATGGAGGGGCACCAGCTCGTTCACGACTGCCAACCTCGAACGAGCTCCTCTTGATGGCGCTGCTCGGCCGGTGACAATGGTTCCCGAGGTCCGCGCATCTGCTTCCGCTCAACTCCCGCAGACTTGTCTCTTGTCTTATGATACTTCTGGGTCCGCGATTCGGCGGCTTTCGCGAGCACCTCTCGTCGCTCGGTGGGCGCTGGCGCGTCTGCACCCGCTGCTGCACTACCGAGGACGCGGCCAGACTGAGGCGTTCGTCGAACGGTTGACGACGTGGACTCCGTCCGGTAGCTGCTTTCTGGGTGCACGCGGTGCTTTGTCCGCTGCTCTGTTCCAAAACAGTTGCCCATAAAGAGGTCCAGACCCGAAAGGCCAGTGCCGCGCACCAACGTCCGGTACGCTTGACGCTTCCGCACTAGCGCTACTGTACCTGTTGACGGAACGCTGCGTCAAACCAGTGGTGTCTACAATCCACGAATACGAACGGTAACCAGAGACGTGACCACAGTTCCCCCGCAGGTGCTGCTGTGTTCTAGAAGTTTCAGACAGACCCGTGCTTCTGTACGAGTGGGAAGCCGGATCAAGAGACCACCGTGCGGCTGTAGAGCTCTCCGCGGCTTTCGTGCCGAGGTCCGATACGCTCCACAACCGTGCCTCTGGGCAGGTGTTTGTACACACTTGTTGCAGTTCGGCGGGGAGTAGTTTCCTCTGATCACGACGAATGCATCGAGCTGGATACTGTCTTTCGGAAGATCGGCTCCAGTACATGGAATTCGGAGCAGCTTGTCCCTAAGCGAAGTTGGATGCATCGGGCAAGCATCTCCCTGATAGGGCACTGATCAAAACAGATATCTCGGAAAAAGATTGCAGTGCTTCCGTGGATGCTATAACGTTCCAGGGTCTCCAAAGCAGTATGTCCCAAAGCACGAGATTCGTGGTGGAACCAGGAACCCAGGTGACGTTCTCTAGACAACAGCACGCAACCGGGATTGCTAGCCTGCATCGTTTCCGAGGCAAAGTCAACCTTGCCACTGGACAATGCTTCTAAGACCGAGGCGCGGCTACTTGTAGAAATGATGAACACCGCTCGGCGGCAGTACGGATATCTGGAGGACAGCAGCTTGCAACTCGTGCCAGTCTACGAATCACAAGTGGACAAATGGATACATCCTTGCTTCTACGAACAGGGCGTCGTGCCTCTAAACAACGTCTATTCGGAGGGCGTCCCACTACAATATGCGCTGCTCCGATGTGAAGACGCCTGTCTGCGTTTCCGATTCAAGACTTTGGGGTTGGTGGTGGTAACTGAAGTAGCAGCCGTAGTGGTGGTGCATGCGATGGGCAAACGTACACGTCAACGGACAGCATGCAGCGCTGCTACAGATGTGTCAGTATAGAATGGAGTGCTGAGCTGCACGCTCCATGCATGCCTGGCGACGTAGTTCCGAACGTTTCTAGATGCCCAGCATCGAGAGCCCAGGTACAGCAATGGGGGATCACGGATTCATTCGTACTTCTAGGATGATCGGTGGTCTGGTCGCGGGGGTCTCTTCGACGCCCGGCTGCTGGATTTCCTGGCGTCACCGATATCACGATGCTTCACGACGCTTTCGTACGTGCGTTCGTCAACCAACCGATACAGTGACACCATGATATACTTCATTCGCACGTATCTCGACGCTTCTCCATTTCTGACATGCAGTATGTTCAAATCACGAAGTCTCTACATGATCGATCTTATCTTTTGGGGCTCAAGGCAACTCGTGTGCGCACTGCGAGTCGTTCAGCGGGGCTCGCAACGCGAGAAACCCCGACGTGTCGTCCTCTGACGCATTGTTCACGAGCGCTTGCTGAACGTCCACTGGCCTTGTCACGTCAAATGATCGATTCATTTCGGAAAACAAATCCTCCTTTCGTGATGACCAGTGAAGAATCGACATTCAGTACCAGCGTGATGCTTCTCAGGGCACTATGGTGCTGCTGGTGCTGCTGCCAGAAGCGCTCGTCTCTCCTGTTCTCGCATGGAAAAGTGGACTGAAGCGGACTGGGGTCATCGCAGCACTCGGTACCAGTAGGGCATGCGCCACCGCTACGTACGAGACAAGCGTCGACGGATCGGAGTCTATCGGCTTGTTCTCCGGTTTGAACGTACGTTTCTGTACACGTTTCATGGCGGACTAGATTGCATTCCATAACTCCTCCGCCGAATGGAACAGCGTGCGCTTGCGCCCACAGCCGATACAACACTCGCTGAGGATATCGCTCAGCTGAAGCGGATGATCCCAGTGTAGGGTACGGGGCTCGGGAACGGAAGCGAGCGCCTCGCTGGGTGCTTTCAGTATGCGTCAAGGGCATCCACCGAGTGATGCCCCGAGCGTTCACGCGCTGCAGGACAGCTCGTGGGGGCGGCGTTGTCGAGCACGTATTCGATCGCCTGCTGACCACAGCCGAGTGTCACTGGTGTGAAGGACGCACTCAGATGTGTACGAAGAAGACATGGGAACTGTGACTTGCGTCTATGCATGCAATACGTGAAAAACTGCAGGATGCTGTGAACTCTGGACTTGAGCGCTGCCGTCATCACCCTTTGACTGCTGTAAACGATTTTAGAGGACAAGAGACGTCCAAGGTATTGCAATCCGCTCGTAAGAGAACGGTGGAGAATCTAATTACAGAACAAACCCCATATAGGCTGGAGTTGATGATCGTGGACGGAATTCCAAACTCAAGCTTGTTCCTTTGTGTTGGATGAAACGACCTGCTCCACTTTATTCTGCCACGGGTGTAACATGTGCGTTGTCACTTGTGCAACTGCACATGTAATGCCAAAAAACAAACGACTCCACTAGACGATTCCCTCCAAGAGCACCTGGAAAGCGGTAGAATTCATATCAGAATCGAGTTCTCTTCTCTGGTTCCTGGTAGCACGCACATAGCAAAGGGCTAAGATATAGACGCAACGACGTTGCTCGTTGGAAGACTCCAGGTGCAGCGCATAACTACGAAGAGCTCGTAGCGCCTCAGTGGGCGATACACTCCTCGAGGACTGGGGAGTCTCCTTTGCACTGACTGATAAGTGATTTTGCCTCGATCTTAGAAACCGCTGAGGATCTATTCGGATAGGTCTACCGGCCTCGGGGGGCAGTGCATCACCAAAGTCCTCGACGCCTGCGGCCAGTTCGACGAGAATCGGCTTTCCCTGACGCTTCGCGCTCTGGCCAACAGCGTACGGAGGCAAGAGCGTGCCGATGCTCTGCGCAGGCTTCCTGAATGGCTCGTTTTCCGCAAATATGCCCCTGGAAAGCAAAGGCTCGGGCGCGAATCCGTCGGCATAAGGTTCGATTGCCAAGAACATGGGTAGCACATAGCTGAATTCGGGCATATTCAGCAAAAGGAGCTGATCCACGAATTTGATAGCGCCAAGAGCAGCAATGGGTTCTCCCGTTGCACCACGTAATATGCGTAAGGTTTCTGACAAGAGTGTCGCCCGCGAGCCAAGCAGATGCTCGGGCGGAAAGCGCAGAAGCATGACACGAAGGAGCAGGAAACAGGCCGCGGACACCTTCGCGTCATTTTTGCGCCAGTCGGATTCAATTCTGCGCAGTAGAGACCGGCTTTGGGACGTAAATTCACCCACGCGACTATGAAAGAGCATGAAAGCGATGCGCCGCAGGGAGCGCGCTTCATCGGCGGATACGTCTCGCGCCTGGAACAGTGCCGCTGTGGTTACCGACTGGCTTTGGTTGCGGGTGCTGCTTTCACCGATGAGAGCGATCTGGAGCGAGTCACTATGTCGAAAAATTGCCCCCAGGCTTTGACCAAGCAGAAGCAGCATCATTCGATTCTTAAAGCGAAAAAAGGCGATGTCTTCAAACGCGGAAACGAGTCGCTCCTGCAAGTCCTTCACTCGCCATTGGGAGCGCCCACCAGATTCACTGGATTCAGTGACTTCATTTCCGAAATCATCCAACATGGACGGTTCTAAAAGTTTGTAGATGAGCAGAGCGGCCCTGGTTTTGTACGCGACCTGCAGGTCTCCCTCGAAACAAGGTCTCCAGCCCGCTGCTACATCCGCATAAATTTGAATGTCACAGTCGTAGGCCATAGCGTCAAGTCCCCGACCTAAGCTGTGCAGCCTCGGGTCCAATGCCGCCGTCAGCTCCCTGACGATTGCCGGCGGCGTGTTTTCGGGGTCTTCCGGCGATGGAGCCTTGAGAATGCGCAATGCTACTACGCTTATTGCACTGATGAGCTTCCTCCGCATTGTCTTGTCCTCGCGAAAGACGGCCTCGACGAGAGGAATCGCATACGCAGTCAGGAACTCCAACCCGAGGCTGGAAAACGCGAATCGCACGCTGCGCTCATGTTGCGTCTGCTGTGGATCGCGGGCGCCCAGCGGTTGCCAGTCCTCACCGGCAATTCCGATGACCGTCTCAATTGCCGCGCGAATACGATCAAGAAAAGTTAGAGGATACTTGGCCCTCTCTGAAGAACAGCGATACACGAAACTTTGCACTGCTTGCAGAAGCAGCAGCGGGCACACTGGCTCTCGATAGTACCGAATCGTAGCATCCATGAGCATGGAGAATGCTGAGAGCATTTCATCCGCGGCCAAGTCACTGGGCTTGATGTGATCAATCCACAACTGCAGCACGATGAGCGCATGTCCATGGAGGTTCTGTAGGCGTTTCAAATTTTCGGCGCTAACGCCAGCGAGAAACACAGCGAGCACACGACGCTGCTCGCGACTCTGGAGCGCACTTTGCCTGTGCTCAGCTGCTAGCGCCTTCGAATTAGCCATGGGAGCGTTCGATGCCTTCCCGCTCGCCACCTCAGATAGCGCTAGTCCAGCACGAGGCAACGTTGATAGCGAAGGATCCGTAAGTATTGACTGGCTCGCTCCAGCGTTCCGGGACGATGCTTGTCCCTGTTGCGCTTGCTCAAGCGCAATCGCAGTCGTCAGCTTACTGATACAAGCGCAGAGAACAGCTGGAGGCACAGTATCGGATCCGGTGCTCAGCTTGATGATGCTTTCGAGAAAACCGAGCGAAGCTGACGTTGGAAGAACATTTCCTTCCGAAATATCCGCACTAGCGATACATAAAGCACAACTATACGCGGTGAGGTGTTCCGCTAGAAAACTATTCACAAAGGACTTGCAGCGGCGGTAGAGCGCGGGATTTGCACGGTAGCCGTCGGCAACGAGCTGTAACAAGCACGGCAACTTGTGTAGAAGGACATGCAACGCGCTTTCGCTGGGCGCGTCACTGGTGGCAGGCCCCACGCGGGAATCGTCTGCAGAGAAGAGGCCGCTCAAGAGCCTCAGCGCAGTGGATGCCGTTGAACGAACGGCACTAGCGTGTTTTCCAGCAGCTTTTGACGCGGCTGATCGATCCGACGCCTCGCTTGTTCCGTGGTCTCTTGGCATTTCGAGAGCTGCATTTTTCAGAACCGACTTGGCAATGAGATCGAGGCTTGATAGCAGCAACTCTAGAGCGAGCGGCCCAGCCGTTTCCCCAGCGCTATCGTAAATATCACCCTCTGGCAGTTGCGCCTCTCTATTCTCTTCAACGGCATTTGCTATACATCGTCGTAGCGTTTCCAGCGTATCATCGAGAAACCTTGGCTCGGGGTACTCAGTAGTTCGGTAGTGTGCGACAAGAAGCGAGAGCCACTCTCGCAGCTCAGAGTCGGTGCAGCGCTGCTCTAGGCTCTTCAGCGCGGGTTCCGCCAAAAGTAAAGAGAATTCGTCTCTGGAGAAGGCGGTGTCCCGTTGATCCAGTTCAGAGTTCATGACAGTGGGACCGACGAGGAACTAGGTGGGCCTTTGTAACAGCAGCAGCAGCAGCAGCAGCAGCAGATGCGAGCGAAGCGCAACCGTGTAGTGCGATGAACTCCTTGGATAGTGCATCTTGCAACCACAAACCGGTGATCTTTTGAGGTCACTCTCTCGGCGGGGCTCTGGCAAGCATCGCTGCCCTCGATATGACGTGTTTTGAGAATTCACAGTCGTTGCGTCTGTCATCGGATCTGGTGATGTGTGTGACTTTTGGGTCGCCTCGAGTCGGGAATCGCGCTTTCGCCGCAGCGTTCCAGCGACATGTGCCGTTTTCATTCCGATGGGCAGCGGTCGGCGATATCGGGACGAAACTGCCTTTCTGGGGTTATGAGCATGTTCCGGTCAAGGTGATGCTGGATCCGTTGTCGGGGAGCATTCTCATGGATCCCTCGATCATCGAGGAGTCCATGGTGGCGTTCCGGAACGCTTTGGATGCGCACCTGCGACCCGCATATATCCAGGGGTTTGAGCGCTGGTGTCGGCGCTACCAACCCCGCTGGAATGTGCAGTTCTGGGATTTCCACGACGTGTTTGATGACCACGCCCTGGGTGCTGCTTTGGAAAGCAGCACATGATGAATGCATGACCTATGCAAGCGCATGGCTGCTGGAGCGTGCCATTTGTCCTCAAGGTCCGCTACGCTTCGCAAACGGGCGCAAGTGCGCTACCCATAGAAGCACACCAGCATCACGAAGGTGAGCAGCGACATGTCGGGTACGCGAGGCACGCTTGAGCATCAGCCGAATGGTGTCTTGGATCACGCCCGGTGCGAGGTCGCTCAAATATGTGGCTCTCGCCACACGCTCTACCTCGACGACCTGCAAAAAAGTACACCTCTGCGAATCATGCTCCAGAGGTATGCATCAAAGGTTCCGCCCGATGTTCTTCGAATCGTCATGCAGACTGGTCGGTGGATGGATGCAGCACCTTCATCACCAAAGTGAAACGCGTTGACGTCCGAGTGGAGAGCGTGAACCGTCCCCGGTCGACTGGACGCGGAATCCGTCCGAATTCCCGGTAGCGAAATAGACGCGATCCGCCACTGGCTACCCTGAAAAGCGTCTCTGGCGGGTACTTCTGCGAGATCCAGAATGAGGCATGCTGCGCTCTGTCCACTAGTCTGCAGGTCTGGCTCTGACGCGGCCGCATCGATGCTGGAGTTTAAGCTGCGCCCCAGTGATCGGCGAGTGCTGCGGTTGCTGAGACTGGTCTCTCGATAGTCAGTCGTAGTGCCTCAACCAGCGCCAATATTCCTGCTGAATTCATGCTTGTCGCGAGTACGCCTTTGAGCGCGTTTGCCGACAGAGGCCGGCGCCGTGGTGCTCGCAGCACAGCACGCGATCATGTGCTCTTTGTGGAGCTGCAGACAAGCACCACTTTTGCAGCACATGGTACACGCGATGGACGCGAGCGTAGCTTCCAACGATCCGCGATCTAGTCCTGAGGTATTCCGGCGGCGATAATCACCACCCAGGATCATGGGTGAACCGCTGTAAACGAGGCATCATGCGATATCCACTGGGCCAGGGCACGGCGATGATTCGGCGGCACTCTCGCTCAAATGCTGGCTCACTGAGGATTCTCCCCGGTTTCGTTTTTGTTGGATGATCGTCGCCGATGATGTCGTCTTTTCTTCCTCACGGACGACGCGTTCTTGGCCGCTGGGTGCACGTCGTCCCCGTGCTCTGGATCTAACGACGACGACGACGACGAAACGGATGCAGACCTCCCGTGGTCGCGCTTTGCAGAGGCGCCATCCTGCGCTCCACCAGGTGCCCTCTTCCTCGAGCGCATGCGTTCGGGTTCAAGTCTCGCATCAGAGGTATCCAATGCTAGCATCAAACGCCGCTCCTCGGGTGTGCAGAGCTCCTCACCAAGCTCTAGTTTCGTGAGCAAGAGTCCAAACCGACTTTCTGGGCGACGCAAGATACGTGACATCGACCGCGACTGCGAACCGAATACACCATCTGCAGTCGCCGCGTCTGCAAGCTCTTCCAGATGCTCCCAGGCAACGACCTGGCGGTATCCCGGAGTCTTGGATGCCTGGTCCGCGATCTTCGCGACTTGCCTCACAAAAGGACTGCCTTCAGCCTGCAGTTCATGCTCGCATTTCCGCCAGTAAGACATAGCGACTGATGCGACGCCAAATACTGAGTTGGGTGAGTCGACGCGTGCTGCCAGTTTGCTTTAGCTGTTCGAGATCGGCAAGGAATCGTCTCGCAACACGGTCCACAGCAGCGTCCGATCTTATTTCCCAGTCACACGACTCGTTCTCTATGTCTTGCTCTAAAGATGTAAGCGACTTGTCGAGTACCTCAAGTGCCTTGGCTGCCAGCCCTGCACACTGCATCCCAAAACGCACTTGCTCCTCGGGTGTCAGTTTCGCTTGGACGAGTGCTCGCAGCTCTGCAGGTGATGCAAGCTTGCTCAGATGACCGGCTCCCTTGGCTTTGCGCCACCTTTGATGCAGCTTTCCACTCTCTCGATGCCCGGGTTCAGCTTTGGCTGCCATGAGAGCTGCTGCGCGTGCCGTTGCAACAGAGATCCGAGCGTGGTGGTTAGGAGGAGGTCAGAAAACTGAAACCATCGATATGATGGTCTCTCTAAAGCGTCTAAGTCTTCAAGGCAGTAACCGGACTCGTCGCTTCCGCTGTCAATCAGCAGAAAAGCGCATAGCGTACGCCCCGTGCCGCACAGAGGAAGCAGCACGTTGGTTTCGAAGATCGATAGAAGACGTTTTTGGTAAACAATTCGTCTCTGGAAACACCACCAAACGCCTTGCAAAAGAGAAACGCTGGAAAGCCAGTGTACAATGGTGGCACTTGGCACACCGTCTGCCGTAGACCGATTGTCTACCCATCGATGTGCAGACGCCTGTGCCGGCGTTCCGCAACTGGCCACCTGCTACTGGTTTCAACTTCATCTCGTATAACTCCATTTTGGGAGGTTGCCCCGCAAAGTTGGCTCTCGCCAACTCCGAGGGTCTTCTTTCCAGTACTGCACACCTCCTTACACTGATGGCGGCGTTAAAATCTCAATTCACGAACTCTATTCGTTTCTTGCCATCATTAGTTTTACTAACCAAAGCGAGTAGTCCTCGAAGGTTCGCCCTCCTTGCCATTTGCATTTCCGTCAGCGAGCCGCTGGCTTTTCTCCATCGCGACCCTCTGAAGTGTACAACACAGCTCGTGGTGTGTAGAAGATGTTCGAAACTCATCTAAAGGTATTTTTACATAACGGTGTGCGCACTCCTTGTACGTTCTTGTCGTTGGAGCTGGTATACACCCTTTGTGGGTCATCCATCGACCTGCCCCGTATGCTACTACGAGCCTTTGGCTCCCGTCCTCCTTGAGGGCGCTCAACTGATTGAAAAAGCCGGCGTATGCTCGCTGCTTCCAACAGTACAGGTTCATACGCAAACGAGCCCACCTGAACTTTGTGCATTCTTTCCAAAGGCTTTCGTCATGAGCTGCGTGAATGCTCATAGCCTCTCGAAACGCTTCAATATCGGCTCCGCGGCTCGTCACCCGGCTGATCGCTTCCAAATTCCCTTCACTCTTGAGTTCGATGTCTCACTTTTCTTCGTCGCATTCATTATACCGGATTCTTGGTAATATCTCGCTCATGAGAGCTTCAATAGACTTATGTCTTTCTGACGTAAGTTGCCGTCAGAGCCATCTTCCTCACGCTTGGGTGCTGCGATGGTAACGATGTTCGTGTTCGCAGAGTCCACGCCAACGACAACCTCGTTCTTCTGCACCTCCAGCGCCGTCGGGCTCGCCTCCTGGTCCGTCCTCGGCTTCGCCCGTGGCGAAGAATATAGATGAGAAGGATGCGGATCCTGCGACGAAGGAAGTGGAGGATGACGACCTTGTCGTTGACGTGGCGAAGCATGTAGATGAGAAGGGTGCGGATCTTGCGATGCAGGAGATGCAGGATCACGACTTTGTCGTTGGCGTGGACCCTGGGAATACGAACATCATAACCATCGCTGTACCAAAGTGTGCGGAAGATGGGACTGATGGTAACTTACGTCAGAAAGATATGCGTCTTTTTGAGGTTCTCGAGAGCAAGATACTATCGAGGATCCGGTATAATGAATGCGAGGTAGAAAATTTGTACGTGGAATTCAGGAATGAAAGATCCCCTGGAAGCTTCGAGCGAGGTGACGAGCCGAGGAGCGGACTTTAAAGCTTTTCGGAAATTCATAGAAGTTCGTGTTGCTCACTGGGAGGCGCTATGGGAGGAGTATACCAAGCCCCGGTGGGCTCGTTTGCGTATGAATCTATACGGTGGGAGGTAGCGGGCGTTTGCCAACTTTTTCATTGGGTTGAGTGCCCTGAAGGAGAATGAAATCAAAGGCTCGTAGTCGCGTACGGAGCAGGGCGATGGAAGACCCAAAAAGGGTGTACACCAGCTCCAACGACAAGAACGTACAAAGAGTGTGCACGGCGTTTCGTTACGATACCGATAGATGAGTTCCGAACGTCCTATACACACCACGAGTTGGGATGTACACTTCAGACAGTGGAGATGGAAAAGTGTCAGCGGAGCCCTGAAGATATAAAAAAGTACGGACCACTGACGGAGGAGCAAATGGAGAGGAGGGCGAAAGTTCGTAGACCCCTTGCATTGGTAAGTACAACCAATGATGACACGAAACGCATGGAATTCGTGAATCGTGACTTTAATGCCGCGATCAATATTAGGAGATGTGCAGCGCTGGAGACGAGACCTCCAGAGCTGACAAGAATGAACTTTATTGGACAATCTCTCAAAGTCGAGCTATTTGAGACATGATTGGAAGCAGCAGTAGGTGGCCTGTCGAAAAAAAACTGGGAGGCGTCTGCCCCTCGGCTGGAGACGCTATGTCTAGGGCGCGTTTGCCGCCACTATTGTACACCGCTGTCGTTCGACTTAGAACGGCGGTGGGTATCGAGCCACTCATACGAGGCATGGCCTCTAGTACCCGAGCGGCAGTCAACCCGGATACCGCACGCCTCCTGGTGAGCGCGCGCAGACAGAAGCAAGCTTCGTTTCCACTTGTACCACTAGCGATGGCTGGCGAGGGTGAAAGGAAACGACGCAAAACAGTGCAGCGCTCTCCGAAAGATGAAAAAAAAGCTGAAAAAGGAAACGCTGTTCAAAACGCTGGTCGCGGCGAATTGAGAGACACCGGGAAGGAAAGTCCTGCAGATGTACCGATCAGTTCGAGCGGACGCCCCTGGGGTGCGCCGCAAGACCCGAAAGTCGCAAAGCTCGCCTCCTACAACATTGCTTCACTGCGAAGTGCGCTCTCAAGATCGAAACACCTTTTCGACGCGTTCATTGTGCACGAGTGCCCGGACCTGCTCACTGTTCAGGAGATAAAAGTGTCAGAACCTATTCCTGAAGCGATCAAGTCCGCGCTCCAAGAGCACTATGAGACTTGCCTTTTCCATCCGTGTCGAAGCAAGCGTGGGTACTCTGGGACGGCACTCTTTCTGCGAAAAGGCTCTTGCCTTGGCGAGCCCGTTCGAGTCCAATACGGGTTCGATCCCGAGCTCGGCGTAGAAGATTCTGAGGGGCGGGTCATCATTGTCGAGTTTTCAAGCTGTGTGGTGTGTAGCATGTACGTACCGAATAGCGGCGAGGGCCTCAAGCGCCTTGATTATCGCATTCGCGTATGGGACGAAGCAGTTCGGGCACAGCTGAAACGCCTTGGACAAGGCACTGGGAAACCCATCATCTGGTGCGGTGACCTGAACTGCGCCCACCAGGAAATCGATATCTGGAACCCGGAGGGCAATCGTCGCAGCGCGGGCTTTACTGATGAGGAGCGGGCGAGTTTTTCGCAAACCCTGCAGGAATGCGCACTCCTGGACACGTTCCGCTGGCTGCATCCATCTGTCCGCGCCTACTCCTACATCGGGTATCGGCATGTCCAGAACTACTTCCAGAATCGAGGATGGCGCTTAGACTACTTCTGTTGTAGCGCCAGTGCTGCCGCACACATCGTCGACAGCTATATTCGCTTTGATATAGAGATCTACGGCGCAGCGTTTCAGCAAACGCAAGTAAAGCGCGAAGAGGTGCGGCGACTGTCAGATCATTGTCCAGTCGTACTGCTTTTTCGCACGGTCTGAATGGCAGCCGTTCGCGGTAGGCTACAGAAGCTCCTGCAACCTTTTGGTAAAGAAGAAGGGGGCCGGTTCCTTGGAACGCGGCGCTGGCGCTCTGCAGACCGTGGCGTATTTTCGGTGATACGTCCGAAACAAATGCGGCTTCTCGTGTTTCCTCGATATCTATTTCACACACGTGGTGCGTCAGAGAACAAAGCGAGCTCCCGTGGAACCCTTGCCGCATTCACCAGCGATTTTCGCAGCGCCTAGTCTTCCTCTGGGATGAGGCCGCCCCAGCGTTTGCCGCCGCTCTCGAAAGTTGTTGCCCACTGCTGCTCGTAGACCTCGTCCTCGCTCTGAAGGACCAGCACGAGTGCGGAACGCGGATAGCTTACACACAGTAGACAATAGCCCTTGTCACGGAACTCTCGTGTGAGTCCGAGCGCCTCGGGCTGCTCTAGACTGCCGCGAACGATCTTGGCGGCGCACGTGGTGCAGCACCCGTTCAGGCACGATGACGGCAGCTCATAACCATTTTCCCGGAAATACCACCATATGTAGCGGTCCTCGGGAACAGCGAGCGTCAGAGACTCATCATCGCGGTAGTTTAGAATCGTGACGTTGTGTTTGGGTGCAGCGGGGTCACCGGGCAGCGCACCTCCACGTCTCTTGCGCGTTGCGATACCCCTGACTGGTGCCGCGCCGTTGGACGCAGTAGTGCCTGCCACGAGTGGTCGCTGTGCAGGTTTACGCGCCGTACCAGCTCCCGTTGCACGCGGCGCTGTCCTCACAAGTCTTCTTCGGTTCAGCGGCAAACCAGGTGCGAACGCAGTTCGTTTCATCCTGGCAGAACAAGTTGTGCCGAGTCCGCCGTGGTTACGCCACTCACTGACCTATTGGGAACGACGAAGTTGTTGATATTGGTGCTTGTACCAGCGGGCGGGGACCTGTCCAGCAAAAGAGTGCCCAGAACACAGCTCGAAATACCTTGGTGTTTCGTTAGGCGGATTCCCAGGTAAACGGTTTTGTTGCAAAGAAGGCCTCGCGCTCTAGTTCTTACGCTAGAGAGCCAACAGTACATAGTTGAACATTTAGTCTCTTTCATGTACATATGAAGGATCACAGCTGCAGATCACTCGCGTACGCCCGGCGGATCACCGGCTGGCGTACCTCCATCGATGCCAACATGTTTCAGCTGCGCAGGCGCCCATGCGTATGTTGGTTCAGAAAAGCTCGGAATTCTGTGAATGCTTTCGGTGGCTAGCGCTGTAGATGTGATCCGACGTCGCTGTCAACGCTGTAGCGCCAAAGCCGGATGCATGTCACAAATGGTTCTGGATGCATCGATCCGACCCTACGACTTGATCTGCCAAGTCTACCCAGAGGCCTGGCGCTTACTGCGGCCATAAGCGCCAACAAATCAGCAGCGTTGCAAAGCCGGGCTTTTTTTTGCAGCACATAAACCACGTTTCTTCGGGGTGCCACGCTCCAGCGACAACGAGATTGCCAGACAAGTGCCTGATTAGCTTCCTAACGCTGGCGCAGGTGTACTCGCGTCATCGTCTTCTCTGCCGCAATTGCACCTGGCATGAACCCAAATCGTGTCGTGTTTTTGCATCTACAGAACAAGCGACTGGGCATCGCTATCGACAGTCGAGTTCCTAAGATGGCGGCAGCGTTCGAAACAGGATAGCGTTCATCGCTGTTATCAAGTCCCTGATCGCGAATCTGTTCCCGACGCCGCCGAAGGTGCGTAAGGTTTCAGTGCAACATCGAACAGTTCACTAAAGTGCGTGGCAAGTGAGTTGCGCACCTGCTCTGTGGAACAGGTGTTCGGATGCGGCAGCAGATCCTGCATGCAAGTCACGGTGTTGCCATCGAGACCGCATGCAACGATACGTCGGAACGGTGGGAGCACCTCCCGGTTGACATTCAGGGCAAACCCATGGCAGGTGACCCAACGGCTAACGCTCACGCCAATAAAGGCAATTTTGCGGGTTCCCCCGGCAACCCAGACCCCATGATGATCACTGCGTCGCTCGCCGGGTATTCCAAAGTCGCGCAGACACCGAATCACAACCTCCTCGAGCAAGGAAACGTACCACCGCAGGTCACAGCGATATCGTCTCAGGTTCATAATAGCGTAACCAGTGACCTGACCCGGTCCGTGGTAAGTAACTTTGCCGCCGCGCTCCGTACGAACAACTGCGCAGCTTGCTTCCTGCAGCGCAGAACCGAGGTCACCCGGGCTTGCAGCCGTCCCTAGCGTGTACACTGGCGTGTGCGTGAGCAACATGAAAGCGTCCGGAAACCGCAACGTCGTTGCCGGTGCTTCGCCGCTCCGCCCCAGTCGGATCGCACGCAGCTGCTGTTGCCACCGGTGCACCGGCTCGTACGGAAGGAGTCGATCGCCAAAGTCATAGAACCAGCACTCCCGCAGCCCATACTTTGGTACTGCCTGCACTGTCGCCGCCTGTAGTGTTCGTAGGATGCATTTGCTGCGCATAACACGCAAACGGCATCGCAAGCCGGCAAGTACCAGGTTGGCGAATAAGTTCGAGGACAATGGCGCACGAACGGCTACGAGGCGTTTTCGCAGATATGCAGGCGAGGTTTGGGTAGGTGCGCCACGTTTCCGCTGTGTCAATGTAACGAAATTTACTCAGGAGTAAGACAAGGACGGTTTTGTGGAAAGCTTACGCGAGGCTGCTAAGTTCGGTATGGCATAGCCGAAGGCTCGTACCAAGAGACAAGTCCTGAATCGGAAATTGTAGCGGTTCGTATGCTAGGGCGCAGCGTGCACGCCCTAGACCAACGGAGAGCAAGCGTTGCACGCATCAGTCGAGTATAGTGGGAGATCCCGGCGTGCATACTAACTGTTCAGGTTGCATTTTCTCATGGTGTACGAGCGGTGAATCTCATGAAAGTATCCCGACTGTGCGCTTGCGACAACCGACGATAGAGAGAATCCAATCTCGACGCCAAGTGCGCCAGACCAGAGGAACTTCTGGTAACCGTCGGCGCGGCAAGGTTCTCCTTTCAATAGTTTATCTTCACAGCATTGGAAACATAACTTTCTACGGGTAGGGATTCTCGCTCTGTGGTACCCGTATCAGGGCCTCGAATATCGGAAGAGCGGATCAAGGCGAAAGCACTATCCTTGGACTTTCCATTGGTGCAAAGCATGCGCCAGCGCTAATACATGAGCATGTTCGTGCCGATCCCGGAATATCTTGTCCCCGTATAAAAATATGTGGCCTTGCTGCCGTCTACCGGTACAAAACCTATCCGCCACGTGCCTCCCAATGCCCATAGATACGAGCACGGCATTCCAGATGCTTCGAAGCTGCACCTTGAAATACCTTATTCCTCCGCTGACGGATCTGTACACTTCGCTTCCTCCGAGTCTTCAGTCGGAAGCATACCTGCAGGCCAAATCGCACAATGTTCCATAGACTAAGTCACCGCTTAGGTCTGGCGTGTTGTGACCTGCGGAGGGAGCGCCGCTGTGCGAAAGGCGCTTTCAAAGCGCCCAGAGACAAATCGAACCTCGCGCCGTTACATTTCCGCTCTGGCGGTTAGCGATCCAGCGCGGCCAACAGAGGCATCCGAGCCGCCGGCTACCTGCAGAACCGGGATGCCTTGGGTGCCTCGCGAGTGTAGCAGGGGCCAGCAGTGCTTCGTTTCCCTTCAGTGTAGAAGATGATCACACGCTCCAGGAGCAAAAGATACCAGACCGAGGACGGGTGTCCAGTATCGAGCCAGGATACCCTGGAGTTGGGGTCAGCTGACAGACTAACCGTGGAAATACAAACACCCGGGAGAGGCCAGCGTGAACGGCGTGGAGCACACAGCCGGGGCGACCCTACAGGAACGTCGTCCGCTTGTGTCACTCCGCAGCAAACAATAAAAGTTCTTGCGCTGGAATCGCCTGGACTCCCGTCTGTAGAGTTCGGACTGGGTGTTCATTCGGGTCCGACCTGTGCCGGCGGCGTTGAGTCGGTGCCCTTGACGGCGCGGGCGGCACGCGAGCTCCGTCGACTAGGATTTGATGTGCCGAGCCCGCTTCCGTCTCGAACATCAAAAGGCACGCCACATGTTCGTGCAACGAAGGCGTGCCACATGGACTCGGAGCTGACACCGGCTTCACTCCAGAAGCCGATAGCCACCGCGATGCCGGCTGTTACCTTGGACACACCTGACAGCGCTCGCTCGCTTTGCGCAGAGCGAAGTTCGGAGAACGCAGGTACAAGTGCGGCGTGTACTGGGGCTGCATCAGAGAGAATCACGGAACTGGAAAGGAAACTTTGGCAAGCAGCGAAACGGAACGACGAACAACGCTCTCCGCTGTGTACTCGGTATGCAGGGTGCCCATCTGACGATATCGAGAAGCTGGAAAAGCCTCGAATCGGTGCATCGAGCGTGGTAGTTGCGATGAATGCGCAAGAAAGTCACGAGGCGACCGAGGAGACGCATTCAGTGCAGCCGGCTCGCAGCGTATCTTCGCACGACGCCTTCGAAGATGATGCGGCTCTTGCGAGGCCTGCTCAGGAAAACGAACCCTCAAGATCTGAGGCAAGAGAGCCCGATGCTCGCCACCAGCGCCAGGGATCACCACAACAGAATAAGACCAAAATAAGCGCGGGGCGGATTTCCGTTAACGGTGGTGCCTGTAATTCTCCAAACGTTAGCGAGTTTACGCATGTCTGCCCGCCGTCTGTATCGCCACTCAAGTCCGGCATCGCGGACAGTACACAGCGTTCTCGATCGAAGCGTGTGCGGAAAATGAACGGCCTCCGCCAAGAGAGCGCTTTCGCATGTGGCAAGTCTCCTGGAACTTCGATCACGTTGGTGCTACACCACCAGTTCCGTGCTAGCGCGTATGCTCCGTGGCGCCTTCGTTGGAGGCGACGTTTCGGTAGGCGTCGTCGCTACCACGGTCGCTGGCTCATTGTCTACTGAACATCGCCCACGAATGCCTCGAAATGTGTGTAAGCGGCTCCTGAGCGGCACTTGCCTGGACTGATACCATGCGCTCCGTGCTGCTCATGTGGAGCAGCGCAGACCTCCCCCGCCACCAGACGATAGAGACGCATAAAACGACCACGTCACCAGTGAACGCTACCGAAGCGACGCTCCGGTCGCTACGCGAACGTCTTCTAGGCCCGTCATGTCACAGCGTCCTACTCGTTGTGCCCAGTATCCGCGTGCTTGTCTAGGGTGTCTCGACTTTACTCGAACGGTTCCACGATTTGACCGCGTTCGGGTGTGCTTTGGCGTACTCGATTCTTTGCAATCGATATTGTTCTGCACCCGTGTATTGTTGGACGCACTCGTTCAACGACTTCAGCAGTGTTCGGCACGCCCAAACAACGGAAACCGTGCGTTCACGGCTGCAGGCAACGTATGCCCGGACTTGATCGTCACACTTGGCAAACGCTGCCTTTCGGACTTGCTCGTGTACTTGAAGTTCAGCAAGCTTTGTGAGTTCAGGTTCCTGATCCGAATCGAGTTGCTGCGCTTTCGTGTCCATGAAATATCGCAGCGCCACTGGTTCCTTGACCGCACGAAAAGCTCCTGTGTTTTTCTGATTGCACTCGAATTTTAGATTAGGATCGAGCAAAGCGTTGCTTCCGTATGTGGAGCTATCGAGGCATTCATCTTTCTGGATATAAGTCTGTGTGTAATCTTGCATATATAGATATCTATGCATGTGGCTGCACGTATGCAATGTAGTGAATACGCTTGGATGTTCGTATGGCATACGAGTGTCAAGGGATAGGTTCCCAGGAACGCATGCGCGTCTCGTTCCGCATGTCGCTTGTCTGTGCATTCTAAGCTGATGCATGTGCATGACTACTCGTAAGTGCGCAGACTTCCGTACTAATAGCGGCGAATCCAGTTCAACAGCTCTTCATATGTGCTCGTATGCCGCTGCATCGTGCGTACCTGAACCTGAAAGGTCTTGCCGTAGGCGTCTTGTCGACGTCGCGCCCTGCAATGTCCATCGACATGCAATGATCAAGAGCCGCTGATATCTGTTGAAATCCGGTCAGTCTCTGCACAACCCGACCGAAGGCTCGGCAGGGCAGCGCCTAGCGCTCAGTGTTCGCGTTGATCAAGTATTGATGGCCTCGGCTAGTCCTGACGCTATCCGATTGTGATCGCACCGGACGCATTGCTGGGTCCCGTCGGGCACGTTCTTGTAGGCGCCTGGGGAATGCAAAAAAAAACCGGTGCGGCAGCGTCCAACTGGGCAGGTGGATGCGTAAGCAGAGCACTCACCCTTCGAGACGCACAGCGTTAGCGAATGCGGGCCGTCATGCGAACACTGGCACCTGTTCGTGAACGAATTGAATCGAAGCTTCGGAGTGCCCTGCAGCCCCAGGTACTTCGGGTGGTCGACGAGTCGGACCTGCACGAGGGCCACGCCAGCAAGCCGGCGCACGGGGAGACGCACTTTCGCGTTGCTATTGTTTCCGCACAGTTTGTGGGCCTCTCTCTGCGCGAGCGTCACCGACGTGTCTACCAGATTTTGGACCAGGAGCTTGCTGAATCGGTGCACGCACTACAACTGGAAACGAGGACACCAGCGGAAGCCTCGGACCTCTTGGCTTCGAAATAGAGGCGCTCGTACTGAAAGGAGTAGTCGCAGCGGTACGCGCAGCGCACACATCATAGCCCAAGTGATTTTCTAAGCTCTTCCTGCCTCGTTTCCAGGATCAAGCGCGGCAAAAAATCACGCGCGAAACCCCCTGGTCCCAGGAGCAGCACCAGGGTATGCAAGTCATGGGTACCGATACCATCCCCAGCGGCACCGGGGCAACCGTCAATCCAGGGCAGGTTCCTGGCCAGTTTCAGCATCGATGGATCGGTATACAGCTGCGAGCCAATCATGTTGTGCAGCTCCTCGGCAACGAGCGAATCGCCCTGAAGGACTGCCTCGGCAAAGATGTTTCGTGCGAGTACCAGTGCCCGCTGGGATGGCATCGGACCGCGCATGAGTGGAGATTGGTCTGCCTCGGACTTGGCGCGGAGTAACTCGCAGTTCGCACGACTTGATCGGGCTCGGAATAGGTGGCAGGCGCGTGGGCCTATCCAGCGTGGCAGACGGGTGAACTTCGAATCAGCAGTGAACTGCGGCAGCGCTGCAGCCAGAGATCGGCGATACTGGCGAGCAATGCAGAGGCCGTATGGATCGTAGTCTGTGATGACGTAGATGTCGAACCGGGGATACGTATGCGGGGCGTTCGTGCTCCTAAAAGCAGCATGGTGCGCTTCCAAGCATCGCGCTATCTGGGCCACCAGTGCACGCGTTGCCAGCGACGGCTGGCCCCCGCCAGTGACAAGGATCGTGAGTACCGGCAGGATCGAGGCAAATCCTTCATCCACGAGACAGCGGAATACGCCGAACTTTTCCACGATGAGGATGACGACAACTAGATCTTGGCGGGGCTCCACCACCAGCTGATACGCCCCAGGGTCCAGCACGATGTCATCTGGAATCGGCATGAGACCGCGATGGGGCGTGCACAGCCTTGCATTGGCGGCTTCTGATTGAACATATCGAGGTCGCTCGTTTTCGATAGACCGTTTTTGCAGCTGGATCCCGCTACCGAAAAACACCCATCCGCGTGACTCGGCAATGATACCCAATGAGAAACGAGAGATTCGTGCAGCGGCAAGTAAACGATCCAGGTATTGCGTCAATTCCTGCTGGCTATCGAAAACAGGAACGAGCCGATAGAAGAGCTCTCGCAAGTAAGTGCTTTCACGCGATCCCGCGTGCCAGCTGCTGTGATAAAGGCGCACCAACAACATGGTGAGTTTCCAAAGCGGCACCGCTTCGGTCGAGAAGCGCAGCCGGTGCTCATACCGAGCCTCACGTACCTGTTTCGCTCCAGGTGCGGCAAGACTCGCTACAATCCACACGGCCATGCGCTCCAGCTGGCGCTGGCGTTGCCAGCAGGTCCACTTCGTGACTGCTGCCGCGCTAATCTGCGGTCCAGTTCGCATATACCTCGACTTGAGCGTATTCCAGCCCAGAAGAGTATGTTTGCCGTGCTGAATCCCAGAGACGTGTGTCAAGAGCGACACGTGTCCCGTGCAGCACGCATCCGAGCACACATGCGTGTCATGGATGCAGCATGGCGGATGCTGCGGTGCGGGCGACGCACTTCGCACTCAGAGACGGAACCGAACCGCAGTTGAGCCTCGACAATGGACGTGTATCTATGTGCTCATGTAGCTGTGCTGCAAGTCCAGGCCTCGATGGATGGAGTCTCGTACGCGATACGGTGCAAATGATCGACAAGCACCACCCGAGAACGGATCCTTGGCAAGCACGTTGCATTGCAGACAGGAGCGGATCGTCGAAAGAAGTTTCATGAGATTGGACGGTCTCTATCCGCCATAGGAGCACATTATATGATTGAAAGAGATTGAACATGCTAAAAAGTCGGTTCAGATTGCTCGCTCTTCATTCATTACGGGAGCACCATATATGGATGACAGGGACCAGACAGACCGAGAAGCCTGCTCATATTTATTGCTCCTCTGCTGTCAAGGTCCTATATATCATATCGCTGATGACTGCTTCTTTCCTGTTGCTCGTGAACGTCGAGTCGCTCCCGAGAGCAGCAGGTGCTCTCGACTGTGGCGGGATCGCCGCCGCAGCAATCCCAGCGTACGCACAGACTCATGGAGGCGTTGACGGCAGGCGGCTGCCTCCTTGCCTGCTACCTGCTGGTAGTCAACCTCAAAAGGCCACGATGCTAACGCGAGCAGAGCCGAGTCGTCACTCGGACCTCGCCACGCAGCTCAAATCATTGGCGAAAACGTGGTTCTCGTTGCGGGATCGGCAGAAAGCTGTTCTCTGCGAGGCGCTCAGTAACCCGCTCCGCGGCGCTGAGGCCGCTACCGGACACAGCGCTGCCAACGGTGCACTGCATGGACAACTGAACCCCGGTTACGATGCTGCCGCGGCGACCGTAGACGACTTGGACGCGGAAGACGTGTACAGAGACTTTTGGAAGGTGCTCGTCATCGACCAAACGGCGCGCGAGGTGCTTGCTCCTGTGCTGAAGGTGCCAACACTACGAACGTGCGGCGTTACGTTACACCTGAACTTAGAGAGCTCGCGCCAAGTCATACCCGAGGTCCCAGCTGTCTACCTGATCCAGCCGAATCACGAGAATATTCAGACGATTGTCCGAGACTGTGCTGCGGATCGATACGCACACTGCAGTATATATTTTCTTTCGGCTATCAGCCGCGACGAGCTTGAGCGTCTGGCCGAGGCGCTGGCTCGAGCTCGGCGCATCGAGTCCGTTACTCGCGTCGTGGACCTGTACTGCGGCTTTGTTTGTCTGAAGCGCAACCTCTTCAGCATGCCGCCAAGCATAGCGCGGCGCTCTTTCCAGCGTCTGTTCAGTGCACAGGCCGATGAGCAGGCGATTCAGGAAACGATCGCGACTATTGTGGATAGTTTATTTGCTGTTTGCGTGACCCTAAGATGTGTGCCGTATATACGTTGCCTGCGACGCGGCGCATCGGAGCGAGTCGCACTGCAACTGTGCGCCAAAATCTGGGAGTATATGCATACGCCAGGCGGGGCGGCGTTGTTCCGCGAACACAGTGAAGCCGGCCTGCCGCCACTGCGAAGGCCGCTGCTGGCGCTGCTCGACCGTGACGTCGACCTGGCCATCATGCTGCACCACGGATGGACCTATGAGGCGCTAATCCACGAGCTCTTGCCATTCGAGCTGAGCCGAGTCAGCATGCCGGCAACCAAGCCCGGCACAGAGCGGACGCAGTACGACCTCGATGACGAGGCCGATCCGTTCTGGGCCGAAAATGCTTCGTTGCCGTTCCCGCAAGTGGCGGAGCATATCGAAACAGCGTTGACAGCGTACCGTGCGCAGGTTCAGGAGATCAATGCACGGACTGGCGGAGGCAGCAATGTCCAGAAGCTGCTCGCGGAGACGGCAGACGAGACGCAGCTCGAGGCCTATATGCAGGCAACCGGCACAAGCACTCGGGAGATTGCTGACGCCGTCGCCGAGCTTCCGCGACTAACTCGATGGAAGCGGCAGCTCGATATGCATACGAACATCGCATCCGCACTGTTGGAGCAGATCAAGGCACGGAAGTTGGACCTGTTGTTTCAGCTCGAGGATTCACTGCTGGAAAGGCCTTCGAGTGTGCAATCGAACTCGCTAGACCGATTCATTGGGGAAGCCGATCTTCTAGCGAAACCGCATTCCAGTACGGCCTCCGCGGACGCCTCGTCGTTGAGTCAGCGAGCCCGCGACTGCCTGCGGCTGCTGCTTATGTACCAGATCCTCTCGCCGTCAGGAATTCCGCAGACCAAGCTCGCAGAATACCGTCATGTACTCGATATCTGTGGCTGTCAGACGAGCGCTCTGAGCTACGTGATGCGCCAGCGCGCAGCGACACCGCGCCAGCTCGACCCCGCTGCAACGCACAGGGACGGCAACAGTCCGTCGCCGGCACGCAAAAGCAGCAGCCGCATGATCGATCGCCTCACGACAGCGACAGGTGGAGGCAGGGAAATCTTCGAGTCGCTGGTCACTCGAATCTATGAGCACGGCCACAAAGGCCTGACGCAGCTGGCGAGCACCGTGAAGGGCCTGATTCCCACGACGCGGAGCGGAATCGTTGCCAGTATTGTCGACTCGTGGATGCGGAACGCCTCGCCCGACGATGACTTGGATTCGGCCTCGCGGGGCGCGGAACATGAGCACCCAGGTGCAGCTGCAGAACGTGCAGCCTCATTACTGCTGGATCCACTTGCTGCACGAGACGGGCACTGCACAAACAAAGCCTCATCCCTGCCGCGTGGATCGTTTACCGAAGCGATCGTTTTTATGGTCGGAGGTGGCAATTTTATTGAGTGGGAGAATCTCACCACTCGCATCCACGACGATCGCCAGATTATCTACGGAACAACCGAGATGCTCTCGCCCGAGGCGTTTCTCGACGACCTGACCGCTGCCGCCGCAGCAGCCACAAACGCATCTGAGGACCCCAAGCCACCGCAGCCCTCGAATGGGTTATGAAAAATCCTTTCAGAGAGGTTTTCGAATGCAGCAGACTTTGATATTTGTCGTCGACGAGCTGAAAGGTGCATCAAGTGCACATGCTTCGTGAAGGATCGAAAGCGAACTGCATGTTCTGATAAGGGGTATTGTTGGTAATATGGTTGTGTGTAATTTTTCTCTGAAATAGGTGAGCGGCATCACTATCAGATGCACATGTTTTCAAAGCTTGTGGTATACTTATGAACAGAGAATGCACTTGGGAAAATAGCCACTCAGAGGAGTGACGTGTTTTGCAGAGAATGCTTGATGCACGTTCAGTATCTCGAGATTTGTAAACGATTCATAAAATGCTGCCTCGAAGGCTTTATTTCTGAATTCTTCATTTCCGTCGTGTATAATGCATGAAGATGTGGTAGTATGCCAAACCCATGAATGCTCTTTTTGCCGGTGTCATGGCGGTTGTGAAGTCGCAGTTTAGCCGCATTCTTTTCGCGAGGGAGTCGATTTCTTGGTGTGATAATTAGCGGGTCATGCAAAAGACGAGAACGGAGCTGAAACTCGGAATTCCTGCCTTTCGTTCTCAGCGTTGAAGGGCAAGCAACGTGACTGAGCGTTCAAATAAAATCTCATGGTCCGAGCGAGGTAGTCATCGTCCAAGGGCGGTGGATCCGCGGGGGCACCACGCGCCCGCGCGACGGCGCTCCTAAGCAGGTTGGGCACGTTGCCGGGGGAGAGACGCTCGAGGCTTCGCCTCAGTCGGCCGAGCATCCAGCGCTGTAGCGCATTCAGCCGCAGCGGCCGCTCATCAGGTCGTACACGCACTGTCTGGGTCGGCTGGTCGCCACTGGACGGTGACGCTGGTGACGGCTCTGACACAGCACAGCGTGCCGGTGTGCGGCTAGTTCTTGACGCGGAACGCTTCACCCGCCGCACCCGTAACAACGCGCTTCCAGACGCAAACTCGACGAAAGCATACCTCTGCAAACCGCGTGGCATGGGACATAGGCGTCTTGCAGGTTATTGGAGCACAGCCTCAGTACACGTTTATGCAACAGAAGCGCGTCAAGCGCAGAGCGTATCGGTGCAACCGAGGCCGCCCAGAGCTCGCTGTACCTGCCGCGCGCGAACCTGTGCTGCGTCAACTGCCCTGCTGCTGTCGTGTGTTGTAACATACGCTCTGCAACCGGCACAAGATCATGAGGTCGCAAGCCCACGACCCTCGGTCGATAGAGTATGCGCGCTTTCGTCGGTGCGCATCGCTTCAGATGCGTCCTGTGTTGCAGGCGACACGAAAGCGCCTCGTATTACAGACTTGTCGAGAAAGGCGCACCTGAGACACGCTTGTAACCGTCATACATGTACAAAAGGCGCATCCGCTGGCGATCCTATGCCACGCTGCTCTGCGGATCGCCGTCTGTGATGCACAGACCAGCGGCAGTGTCGCTCGAAATCTCGCCTGCCGCATGCACAGTGCGTACGCGATGAATGCCGTCCTAGTGCTTCTCCTCGGTGAGACTCGGATGCGGTACGAGGCCACTGAGATAATTCGGCCAGCGCTTCAGGTTATTCGGATCGCAGTACCAGGTCTTGGTTCGGCGCAGGCCCTCTTCCCAGGACACCTGCGGCCTCCAGCCAAGCGCATGCAGCTTCGACGAGTCGATCCTGTAGCGCATATCGTTGAGGGTGCGATCTTTGACAAACTCGATGTGGCGGTTCGCCTCGGCAGACAGGCCGAAGAGATCGATAATGTCGTGCACAACGTCAATGTTGCGTTTCTCGATCTCAGAGCCTACATTGTAGACCTCATCGGTCTCGCCACAATGCAGGATGGTGTCAAAGGCGCTCGCCGCGTCCTCGACGTACAAAAAGTTGCGTGCATGCTCACCAGAGCCGTGTACAAAGCAGGGCCGGCGTTGCGCCAGCAGACAGATACTCTTGGGAATGAGCTTGTCGGGGAACTGGTGCGGCCCGTACACGTTGTTGCCGCGTGTGATGATCACCGGCAATCCGAACGACTTGACGTAGCCGCGGCAAATGAATTCGGCGGCGGCCTTGCTACATGCGTACGGGTTCGTGGGTGCCAGGATCGATGACTCTGTCTCCATGTTGCTCTCGCCGCCGTACACCTCATCGGTGCTGACGTGAATGAAGCGCCGCACTTTGCCGTACTGGCGTGCGCACTCCAGGAGAACGTGCGTTCCCAGCACGTTGTTCTCCGTAAACAGGATCGAGGACGTGAACGAGTTATCGACGTGCGTGCACGCCGCAAAGTGGAGCACTGTATCGATGCACTCCTCCTGGAGCACGTAGAGCACCAGGTCATGCGAGCGGATATCGCCGCGAATAAACTTGAAGTTTGGTCGGTTTGCCACCTGCGCGAGGTTGCTCAGCGACGAGCAGTAGTCGAGCTTGTCCAGTACCGTCACGCGGTAATGGGGATATCGACTCACGAGCCGTTCGACAACGTGCGAGGCAATAAAGCCGGCACCGCCAGTCACAAGGATATTCCGCGGCACGAAGCGCAGACGGTCGCCGTAGACGACCCGCGCGTCCGAGTTCCCGTCGGGCTGTCCACCGGTTACCGACTTGGCACCGTTCGAAAGCGCCGTGCTCTGCGAGGACATTTATCTTGCCAACGTGCGCCTTTCGACTCGGACGCACACAACCACACGCACCGGCTACTTCCGAGCTCTGCCTGCACAGACGGTAAACGCCACGATCGTAGCGCGCGTTTCTGTTTCAACAGGATCCATCTCTAGCGAGACACGTGTCCCAGGTATGCGACCGATGATGGCGGCAGCAGCGTCGCCACCGCGCACGCATCGCTGATGCGACGGGCGGCGATTGCGCGCGCACTCTGTGGATCGCGCGCTTCCATCATGGTGTAGGGCAGAAGGATCAACACAGAGGCTGGCGGCATGAATCCAAGGAGATATGTGTGCATCATTCGCGCTGTGGGCAGCAGCGCGATAGCGACCGACAGTGATGTTGCTGGCAGGTACGGAGTGTGGGCGCTTTCGGGGATCTGTTGAAACTCGCCTTGCCACTAGGACTTGTTTGTGTGTTCGTTCCTGTGTTCGCGCACGTGAATCCGCTCCACTATGCAATTCATGAGCGCTGTCTCGAGCGTGTCGGCCTTGACGGACTCTGCTTATGTGGCAGCATCGACAGCACGTTCCCGTCGCTCAGACATCCCAGCCAGAGCGTGGCGAGAACGCTGTGTTCCCATGCTGCAGCGTGCGCGCGTGCACATATTCGCGCAGTGCTCACCAGCATTCACACGTTTTTACGTATGGAAGCATGCACGAATGCAGTAATGCACGTATGCACGTATCGAGTCCCTTGGATCCCTGTAATCCTGACCGCTGCTAGCAGGCAGTCGTCCAGCCAATGCCTGCAGGCCCCTGGATGCTGCATTCGAAGGCACACATGAACGCCAGGAACAAATGCCTGCGCCACTTTGATGCACTCTCTTCAGAGGCTTGCGTCATTTACACGGATCACTATTAGAAGGGCGCTGCAGTTGGATCATCCCGGTATCCGATTTCGCCTGTAGCGGATGCCACAGCGGAGCTAGCCTATCGGAGCAAGTCTTTCCAGAACGCCTCGCAGTCAGCCTTGAGGTCCGCGTCGAAAGGTGCCTTACACGGCAGTAAGTGCCCTGGTGCCAATGACGCTTCCGTTCCTTTCGCCCAGTACAGGATTGTGCTAGCGCGCCTGCAGTCGCAGTCGCTTCCCTGCACGCAAAGCGAGTCGTCCCTGGGAGCGCACGCCATCGACCCGTCACTCGGTGCGTAACCGTTTTGCCGCAAAGTACGCCACCTGCGGTGCTATACTAGGGCGCCACCAGCGGCTTGACACCCTTCGCCTGCATGCGCCGAAAGACCTCCTCCATGGCGGCGTGGACCTCGCGGATCTGGGCACCGGGATTGTCCCGCAGCAGTTTGCGGACGTCGAGCTCGCAGTTGGAGCGGCCGGCCTTGAGGATTTTTGCCTGCTCCTCGAGCGTAAAGTTCTTCCATTGGAACTTTGGATCGATATATTTTCTGTAAAGCTCCAGGACCTCGTTATGCGAGATGCTACCCGGATTGGTAAAGTTGTACACGCCCGTAAGGCCGCGCTCGCTCATATCCAGTGCCACTGGCAGCAGCTCCGTCAAAACCGTCATGCTGTTGGGGATATTCACAACCTTTTCGTAGCGTGCGATTTTCGTGACAAAGCTGCGCGGCGACAGGTCGTCGCTCACGGGCATGCGCAGTCGCAGGATGAGCACATTGTCAAAAGCGCTGCGCAGCAGCTCCTCCACCATGGCCTTGGTGCGACTGTAGTAGCTACCGAAAAAGTTCGGCGGATCGTCCTCCGTGAAGGGCCTGCCGCCCTCAGCCGTCGGCCGGTGCTCGCCGTCGTCGTAGTGGTATAGACAGCCGGTAGCAAAGTTGGTGAGGTGGATCCCGCGCGACGCGCAGCAGTCCGCCAGGTTCAGCACGCCCAGTACGTTACTGCGGACGGTCTCGCGCCGGTGGTCCTCGCACCAGTCGACGTTCGGACGCCCAGTGACCCCAGCACAGTTCAGGACCCGCTGTGGGCACAGCGCGTCCAGTTCGCGCTCACAGGCCTCGCGCTGCTCGAGACGGAAGCTCGCAAACGCGTACCGCTCACCGCGCTGCTCAAGTAGCTCTGCAACCATGTTGGCGATCCAACCGGTGCGTCCGACTATCAGAAAACGAACTTGAGCGCTCTCGTCTGGCATACTTGAAGCGACCTGTTGGCACTCGTGTCCAGGCTGCGGGAAGTTCTGGATATCACTTGAGTGCACCCTCCTACTTGCAGGCGAAACAGTACTGCCCCAGGTTTCCCGCGCATGGCGTGTCTCGGGTATTTGATCGGGGCGCGCCCCAGGCGTTTCGTCGGGCAATCGTGCAGGGCGCTGGAGCCGCTGCGCTGCTTGATGAGAGCGTCTCGACTCCTGCATGCTGAGATATTGTGTGCTCGAGGAGCCGTTGTCTTTCAGGATAGCGAGAAACGGGATACGCATTGCACGAGCGTTCTTTACTGTACGGTAGCAGTGCATGCTAGACGAGTCATCGGTATGCGGTACAGCGGTGCGCAAAGTATTCGACGTGAACTTGTCTATGATCGCACCAGAGCAGCGCTCGACGCATGATCCATTCGCTGGTACGCAACGCTGTGGCAACCAGGGGCGCGTTCTTGGCAAAGCACCATAGCGCCACGGAGTGGGTGTCAGGTGATGCCGACGCTATCACCATGCGAACGGCTCCGCGACGGGTAACCACAGGCGCTGTCATTCTCTTTGAATCGGCAAGTGCGATACGTCGCGTTGCACATGGATTGCGCTCGCTGTTATGAGTACCGCCTAGTCGTCGGCGGTGACCTGGTGCCGCGCTGCGCCCTGATTCAATCCGCCAGCATCCGTCTCGCCGAGATCTCGATCTGCGACGCGTGCTGCGGAGGCTGCGTCGAATCGAGCGCTTCCCAGGTAAGCTCATCGATCGAGGAGTCATCGAGCGGCGTGGATTTCCCGCCTTCCAGATCCGACGATGTATTCGCCTCTTTGGCGAGAGCCGCTGGCGCTTGTCCAGCACGCTGCATCGCCAGCGCCGAACGCTTCCACTCGTAGAAGCCGACCAGGCCCTGTCCGAGGCAGAACAGCATCGTGAAGCATATCGACACGGTAAGCACCGCGAGCGCGTGGAAGCTGTTATCGTCCCGTGTCTTTGCGATCCAGTCCGGGGAGAAGATGACGAACCAATAGTAGAAATCGGGGATAGAGCAGTACTGAGACGCGCCAATCTGCGGCGAGCAGATCGCCTGTGCAACCTGCAGCGCCAGCGCCAGGCACGCTACCAGCACGAGGCCTATCCAGCAGGAGCCCTGGAGGGCGAAACGCGCACGCGGCGGTAGCGCTGCATGGGGCGCGCTGGCGGCACCTACACCGATGATCGCCAGCACCTGAGTCAGGCACGTCACCAGGATGCCGTTCCATGTCGGGCTGCGAGCGGCGACGACGAGCCCCACCATGGCAGCTACCGCCAGGAACGCAGTCGATACGAGGTACCCGGTGTGCATTTGGCAGAGTTTGCGCTCCAGGGTTCGTCGCTCAACGATGATCCAGAGCACGCCAGCCAGGGTCCAGTAACCGAAGTAGACGACAGTGGAGACGAAGGTCGGCGCATCCACGTATCCGAAGAGCTCGTGCAGCAGGTTGAAGAACTCGTTCCCGTCGTCCGCGCAGCAGGCCTCGGTGGACCAGAGCGCGGCATTCCACCACGGCCGCTCCGTGGATGGAATCGACTCGTCCTCGTTGCCGTTGCGCGTGAATGCCCCGAACAGGTTCGCTTTCTGGAGGTCCAGGAAGGCCGTCGACAGGAAGCCCGCAGCGAATGCGATCAGCAGCAGCGACGACAGCGCGAAGAAGAGGCGCAGATCGAAGGCGAGCGCCCCGCGGTAGATTGCCCAGGCAACGACCAGCGCAACGGCCACGCCGACGGCTGCGGCGATGGGAATCGAGCTCCACGAGACACCGCCCGTGATTCCGAACAGGAATACGATGAGCTCGACGCCCTCACGCAGCACGGACGTGAAGACGAGCAGCGCAACGCCCCATCGGCCGCGCCTCGACAGCGCCCGCGCTATCCCGCCCTCGAGGTCGCGGCGCATGTGCGCGGCCGTGCTGAGCATCCAGAAGATCATCCACGTGATGAGCACTACCGCCACCAGTCGGACAATGGCCTCGAAGAGCAGCTCAGTGAGACCCGTATACAGCTTCTGGCCGCGCGTCCAGAAAACGATGCCGAATGCGATTCCAATGACGATGAGCACACCGACGCCGGCTGCAACGCCCAGCCAGACGTCTCTGAGGTAGCGCTCATTCTTGGTGCGCCGCAGGTATGCCAGACAGATCGAAACCACGATGCAGGCCTCGAGGATCTCGCGAAACGTAATGATAAAGCCTGCCAGTGAGAAGAGCTGTACCATGATAAAGCAAGGACTAGCACGGTCGGGGATGGTATGCAAAAGCCCGTGAGAGTACTTTAAGAACACCGAGTGCGTTCTTTTGCAGAAAACGACCTAAAAGTGAGTCTCTACGCCTACGTGCCTCTGCAACGGGGCAAGAATGAGCGGGAGAACAAGTTGGCGGATTCCCACGACGCTACGACTACCGCTACTGCTGCTGCTGCTCGTGCTGCTTCCTCCGATATTGATGGCGCACGCGCATGCTGCACGCCAGCCGCCAATCGGCACGGGATCGGCACGGGATCGGCACGGGATCGGCACGGGATCGGCACGGGATCGGCACGGGATCGGTACGCGGCGTGAATGCCGGCCTGCTGGCAGCGAGTTTCAGATGAATAGCTGCGCACTCATTGATGGATGCGCTGCTTGATACGACAGAGACATGCCGGGCAGGTGGTTTCGTAGTACACCAGGTGCGTTCGATGGCGACGGAACGCCAGCGTCATGCACGGTGCGATTCCTGTGATGGACGATCCTGCCAAGCCGTGCAGGGCAATATTCCCACGGAGCGATTCCACAGGGGTCAATGTGCTCGCTGATGCTTTTATGCCACATCGCTGGTAACAGCACATTGATTTCGTGGTTGCTCGCTGTACTGCTCATACATTCTCGTATCGAACAGAGCGTAACGGTGAACGAGACCGGTTCACGTGGTGCAATTGGATTTCCTTTCGGGGTGCTTTCGGGATGCGTGCATACGGAAGCAACGCACTGGACACGTGTACTATGTGCGTGCGCTGGCAATCACTCGCGCTTCTCTGTGATGCGCATGGATGCGAGAGGCACCGGACACGCACACGCTGCGTCTACGAGAGCCTCGGGGGCAGCATGTCGCTGTGATACACACCAGGGACTTGGACGGAGCGCTCTGGTATCGGGAATCTGCAGTCGCTTGACCGCTGCGCTATGCTCGCCGTCAGGTGTCATGCACGGCTCGTCATACATCTTCGCCAAGTCATGCGCTGCAACGTGCGGGCATCAGTGTAACGGCACACAGGAGGGCCCGAGACGCGCCCCATGAGTGAGCTGCGCCCTTCGTGGGTTGCAGTCACCAGAGGCGGCGCCGCGCCGGCGCCTCCCAGCTCGATGCCCGGAGCGGCATTCAGAGCGCCTGACCTCGTTCGTGCGCGGCGTGTGTCGCCTCTCGTAGTACTTCTGAACGTTTCGTATCGGTGCAAGCTGCTGCACCGTCTAGCGTGTACTGCATTGTCGGTGGAGTAGCTTTTATTATCAGTTTCGGTCTTGGTGCCACTGCCGCCGTTTTAGTGCGGCGTCCATGACCGGACAGCCCGTGAGCGCTACACCGGCTTTCGCGTGGCTGACTGTCGAGCCTTGCTGCTCGGAGCGAGTGTGACTTTGGTGTGCGGGACGGCCGTGTTTCAAGCTTGGAACGCCAGATGGACGAACTTCCAGAGCAGGTACTGGTGGAGTTCCGCGCAGGTCGCGCGTACCTGGACAGTGGTTTGGTGCACTCGGACGGCCGCAAGGGCTGCGTCCGTGTCGTGCGAGCCGCGGACGGCCTCGTGCACTTCCAGTGGCTCGACCGCGCAACCCGTGCAATCGAGGAGGACCTGATCGTGTTCCCCGGCGACGCGAACTGGCGGCGCGTGCACGCCTGCCGGACTGGTAGAATGTTCGTCTTGGGCTTTGCGTCGTCGGATCTACAGCTGTTCTTTTGGCTGCAAGAGCCTCGCTGCGACGCGGACGTGCGGCTGGCACAGCGGCTGCGCAACGCGCTCGAGTGTCGTCCCCTGGACGACCCTGCTGGCTTGGATCACGCAGATGAGGTGCGGCTCAGCGACGCAGAGTCCCGACCTGGGCCAGGCCTCAGCTCGCAGGTACCTGACGGCGCGACGCGTCCGTCGTCCGCCGCGCTTGGGCAGTCGCTCGTAGACGCGCTGCAGCGTCTGGGGGCCAGCGCTGCTTCCGATGCTGTGCATGCTGCGGATGACGCAAGTCGACAGCCGCAGGCGCGCGCCGATGATACGCCTGACCTCGGGGCGCTTCTGCGCTGGGGCCCCGCGCTGGAGCGGCTTCTCCGCGAGCCGGGCCTCGGACCTGCATCCGCTGCCCTGTGCCGCGAGTACCTGCCATCCAGCATCGACCTGGAGAGCGTGCTGCAATCTGCCGCGTTTCGGCAGCAGCTGGAGGCGCTTTCGACTGCGCTGAGACGCAGCCGCGGCGATGCTGGTCCCCTGTTCGCAGCGTTTGGCATCGAGCCACCACCAGCGGGCGACTGGCGGCACGATCTGGAGGCGCTGCTAGAGGCGCTGCGCCTTCGCGCTGAGGAGTCTGCGCGCAGTCGTTCTGAGGGCCCAGCGCCAGAATCACGGCATGGTGGTGGTAGATAAACTCGAGTGGGCGAGCTCGGGTTACCTGGAATAGAAACTCAAGTTTTATGCAGAGTAAACTGTATAGATACGTGCCATTGCCTATAATAATGCGGATATCCCATAGACTCGCATCTGGAGCATCGTGCTATCCTCTATAAAACTGCTGAAAGTGGATAGAATCTTCTGCGCTGACTCGTGGAGGCACGCATCAATCGACTGATCGTTGCGAGACTGTACAGCCTGCACTTGTGTGATTGCTCACAGATCAGTATCGGCGAGCGTGCGGTTTGCGACTGTCCTTGTCGGGACAGGCGGCCGCTACGGGTCGTGTGCCTTGCGCGGACGCCCTCGGATGCGACGCTCTGTGCTGGCGGTGAGCGCAACAGTGTGCAGCACTTGCACTTGCGCAGGCGGGCTGCACAACGAGCAGCTGCAACTGAGCAGCACGAGTCGCGTATCGGCTAGCGAATGCGTCACGCTGGACCCGGCCGACCTGGGTGGCGCTGCAGCCTCTGATTCGTGATCAGGGTGTGGGCGCTTTATTCACATAGAATATGCTCCGGTTCGGCGGTGAATGCCGACGCTGCTCGTATCCGCTGGTAGAAGTGCATGCACGATGCGTGTGCAGTGTGCAGGGTATCTACCGGTGCATCTGTGTGCGCAGCAGGATTCAGAAGGCAGAACGTTCCGCAGATTCTATGAGGCACCTTGTTGCTGGAATGACAGAATGGTGTACGCGACATTGCCCAATGATGCAGCATTCCATTGGATTTGGCGGCAGTTGGCTAGGCAGCCTCTAGCAGCGCCACACGTCACTGTATCCACACACACGCGCGATGCGTGCTCCCATGACACTACTGCGGCATGTGAATTGCGTTTCGCGGAGATGCAAGGCAGCCCTTATAAAGGCTCGCTGCGATCGACGCACCTGTAACCGAAGCATCCACGGCGACGGCGTTGATGTTGACTGCGGCACCAACGATTGCGTTCCGCACATGCGAACAGATGCGAATCAGCGCTAGACACTGATCTGTGCTTTACACAGCCGTTGCCCATCCGCATACGAACACGCACGCGCCTATGCCTGCGCATGCATCTATCTATGGATACACCCCGTAGACTACGGGTACGGGCGCTGAACTTGGAAACATCACCCAAGTGCATGGATCGCTGTATGCATGCATGCATGCATGCGTGCGTGCGTGCGTGCATGCATGCGCTGCGTGCAGCGCGTCGCCAACGCGTGCTGCGCTACGCCCGCAGATCGACAACAGGCACAGAATAGGACACTGCCGTGAAGCGTGTGCAGCGGTGCCGGTGCCGGTGCCAGTGCCAGTGCCGATACCGATACCGATACCGATACCGTGCTGAGGCCTCTGCTATGGCAGCGCCAACGAGCTGCTCGGCCGGCAAGGGTCGGGAAGCGAGTGCGTCCTGTTGCCTCGAGGTACTGCCCGTGGACGTGGCCTTTGTGCAACTGCATGCTTTCTCTGTAGTTGGCGAGAGGCTCGCTTCGGGTGCCGAACGAACGCCGCTGTCGCAGGTGCTGCCTCGGCGCTGGACACCGCTGCACCCGGCGAGCCTGCAAGATCGCAAACAAGCGTGGGTGCTCGGGCAAGTCCTGCAGAGACACCGGAGCTCGAGTGCTCTGCAAGGGTCCCGTGTTGGGCGCCCGCAGGCTGCGATTGTGCAGCTGCGAGCGTCGCTTGACCGCAGCGCACTGGCAGGTATGTCCTTGGCTCAAGCGGGCTTCCTCGTGATAGGCGCACGTGAGCCGGTCCTCCTGGACGTGGGCCCACTGCACCAGGTTGACGTCACTATGTTGCTGACGGGTGTAGCGACGGTTGGCGGTGTTCTCGTAGGACTCTTGATCGCGTTCATTATCTCTCGGCAGTGATGTCGCTGCACTGCGGCTGCACTGCTGGCGCTGCCCGCTGCGGTCTGTGCGATCCGCGCAGCATACGTTTGAACGGCAGAGGGCTTAGAACATTCGTTTGGCGTCTATTGCCGTGCATCACGCTTTGTATGCGTTTGCGTATGGATTCTGGGCGCACTCGGCGCCTGCGCATCTCTGGAATTGATAGGATTTAGAATGCTTTCCACTAGACGGGAATTGCCGACTGCGGGATTGTTGCATCATTCGAATACGTATGCCGCACGGCCGCACGCATTGCAGGTGACGCTCAACGGGGAACACGGCTGCCGCCTCCAGGTGCCGGCACCCATGGCGTGTCGGCCCTGGCCGCAGACGCCATCCAGCTCCGGAGTGAGGGCATCGTCGATGTCAATGCCGGGTCCGGGCGGAGTCTATGTGCGTTACCCTTGAGCGCACGGCGCTGTAACGGAATCAGATTGCGCGTACTGGACAGCATAGCCGGAGGTGGCGCGGTCATATCGAATCAGCCAAGAACGTGGGTGCACGAGCAGGTGGCGGTGTGCTAGAAGCGGGGCGATGCCGAGTCGTCTATAGGTGCAGTGGTTTGGATGGCGGGCCGATGGACGCGAAGCCACGGAGCCACCTGGTATCGCAGTGCGAATCGGCCCCGACGTGCGCGGACACCTAGATGGCGCTGGCATGGACGGCACTCCCGTGCATTCACCGAGCGCATCAGCTGCTGCAGCATGGCTAGAAGCGATTGCTCATCCGAATGCGGAGGAGCGCGCGCGATGCATCTTGCGGATGGTGCTATATCCGAGACACCAATGCACGGACACCGCCCCTTTATGACGAAAAACGCGTTCGGTGGCGTTGCACACCAGTCGTGGCGCACTGAGCCCTGCTGATGAGCACACAGTAGCGTCCATTCTCAGAGAGCGACTGTAGCGTCACGCTTGCACCCTGCTGTGGCCCCCCATACGGGCGACAGCTGCCAGTCAGTAAAGTCCACGCATCCAGTCGCCGAGAGATTCGAGTTCACAAACTAATCTATGACGCAAGCCTCTTCACCTCAGTCGAGACTGTGCGCTCTATTGCGTGCGCTGAGCACGCTCCCAGTGCCGACGTGCTCGACAGTGCGCCACTTTGCTGCCTACAAGTCCTAGAGGATGCGTTTTCCAGGCCTGCGTCTAGTGCGTGTCTTTGGAAGAACAACAGGTATGCGTTCCCAGCGGTTACACGCACAAGCAGGCGTCACAAACAAGGATCGTTCGAGGCACGCATGTCACAAATACACTTGGAGCATGCACACATGCGCATCCCCAGCGGATTCGATCACATGGAGGCGTCAAGGGTATCGATGCACGCATCGAGGTGCGTGCCCGTGACACGCATGGGCGCGCGCGATGCGTGCGCCTCGGTTAATTTCCCGCTGGCAACGCCGCTGCGCACTCGAGGCGCTCCTTCGAGGGCACGCTGCTGAGCTGTGTCGCCTGCATATTCCCATAACGTCGTTTTCAGTGCCATCCCTTGTTGTCGCCTACGCTGGACGTGTACTTGATCCAGCGCATGGCCTCATGGTCGTCGGCGGTGAGCGCGATGTGTCCATAGACCCAGGCGCGGAAGTACCAGAAGCACCAGAAGACAACGATCCAGACGATACCGGCGAGCGGCAGCTGCAGCACCGACGGTAGCGCCGGCAGATCGAGGACCGCGTGCGCAAAAAGCAGCTCCGCGAACAACAGCGACGGCAGGTAGTGGTAGATAAACGTACTTCGCTGGATCGGCATGTACGGGAGAATGCCGAGCGCATAGCCAAGCAGAAGGAATGTTGCCAGCCGCAGGTAGCGCTCCCATGCGTCCGTGCTCGTTCCACGCTTTTTCCGCTGGCGAATCAGGCGCAGCAAGAACGGCATTGCCGCCACTGTACCAAGCACCGCTGCCAAGCACATCCAGAACAGCAGCGGATTCCCGATCAGATAGATCTGCATGGCGTGATGCGGGCGCAGCGGTCGCCCGTCAGCATCCAACGTACCCTCCTGCCAGCGATTCCAGTAAAGGAGGCCACGGCCTACGTATGGCCATGTGTGCCAGCGCGCTTGCCACTGGTGCTCATCGAGGATGCGCGCGTTCGCCAGCAGCATCTCCTTGTTGAGCTGCCAGACGAGCTTGAGGAAAGGCGGCTTTCGGGCCTGCGGGTCGTAGCCGTCGCGACCAATGAGGGTCCGCTGGAACTCGGCGCTCATAAAGTCACCGCCTGGTCCATTATAGATCAGAATCCGAAAGTGCGGGTACCAGAGCGCCACGTACAAGAGCAGGGCTGTTGCGGCGACGATCGCGCAGGTGCTCCACTCGAGCGGCTCGGCGGCGAGCGCAGCGCCGGCAACCGACTCGAGGCCGAAGAGGCCGGGCACCACGAGCGTGGTCCACTTCACTGAGAGCGCTGCACCGCTCGCGAGGCCGGCGCGCACAGCAGCCCAGCGTCGAGCGCGGCTCGCTGGAGGCGTGCGCCACAGCCGCACGAACGCATCGATGCATAGCGCAGCGTAGAAGATGAGCTGCGAGTCCGTGAGGATATGGCGCGCCTCGATCAGGTTCAGCATGTCGAAGAGCAGAAACACGCCCACACTAGTGGCTGCGATCCGCGACATACCCATCCCGCGGGCGATGCGGAAGCCTAGCGGAGGCAGGAGCGCCCCGAAGACGCCAGCGCACGCGCGCATTGCATAGTACCGGCTGTCTGGTGGGTAGACCTTGTCGACGTACCAGTCGCGATTCGGGACGTCACCAGCGAGTTTCGCGACTGCGGCCAGCGTGAGCTTCGCCAGAGGCGGGTGGATATCAAAGAAGTAGGTGCGATTGAGGTAGTGGTGTGCGAACGACGCAAAGTGAACCTCATCGAAGACGCATTCGGGTGGCCAGCGGATCCGGTAGAGGCGCGTCCACAGTCCAAGCAGCACGAGCGCACCCGTGAGCCAGGCGTCCGGGTTCGCGCGTACGTGCGCAGTCGAGCGCAGCACTAGTCGTTCGAGTGGTGATGCCTGTTGTTTCTGCGGGTCAGCGCCCGGGTGCTCATGCTGTGGTGTGTCCTCTTTGGTGCGGCCCTGATGCATGACGTCCAAGTCTGCCGCCTGCACACGCT